GGGGGATTGTCTGGGTCGATTTTCTCTATGAATTAAAGGTTCAATGACACATGAGGTAGTATAAGAGGGACAGGGAACGGCTGTAAGATGGTGATATATCTCATTGAGTCATATTCACTCCCTTGTCCAGAGAGCTAATTGCACGTCTTGCTTCGATGTATGTGCATCTTCTAATGCAAACTTCCCAAATGCCTCTATCTTCAATATCTGTCCATAAAAAGACCACAATAGTGGTGAGCCAGGATCTTAGCGACAGCAGCCTCGGCCACGACCATAATGGTGGCTTGGATGTTGCCCGTGGGGAGGTCGGGATGGATACTGCCATCGACAATATACTCAACCAAAATATTAGCAAATATTCCATCATGTTGCAAATCAAAGCAATGCATACCAAGTTGTCCATTCCGTAGACCTTCGTATTGGTGTCAACAACGGAGGTGCCGTTTCCGTGGCGGCCATCGTCCGTGCCCATCTTAGCGGTGGTGATGTAGTGCATACCACTGGTCAGGCTTCCAAGAATGGAAGACACATTGGTGTAGGTCTCCAGCTGGAAGCCAGTCGAGGGAGCAGTCAAGTCGTCGACCAGGCTCTGGATGAACAGCTTGGCCGCAGCCTGATCACCGGCAGTGTTCATCCAAGGAGTCTTCTCGTACACGGTGTTGCCGCTAGCATCAAGTCCGAGGACACCGGACGAAGTGAGGCCGTGGGTCATGTAAGTCGTGATGGTGACCTCGTCCTCGCCAGTGGGCGCGCAAGATCCTTGGTAGTAGCGGGTCTCCCCATCCACCACGTTGGAGGAGAACCAGATCAAGCGGTGCTTTCCCTGCGTCAAGACACCGTTGCCCTTCTCATAGAGGCTGATATCCGCCGTTTCAGTGCCGTTGTAGATTCCAGCCCAGTCAAGCGGGCCGTAGGTGCCGTTGGTCTTGACGACAATGGAGAAGATGGGGTGGTCCTTGAGAACAACACCGACAGGGAGACTGATCCAGTCGTGCTTGGGCGGAACGATGACACCGCTCTTTTGAGCAGCCTCGATCTGGGACTGGGGTCCAATACCCGAGTTGAACAGAATGCGGGGGGCTGAAAGGGCGCCCGCAGAGAGAATGACCCTACCGTTGGCGGCCAAGATTATGTTTTGCAGATGGCCGGAGGCATTCTCTACCTCAACCCCGGTAGCCTTGCTACCAGAACGGAGCACACGAGTAACCTTGGATCCAAGCTGCAGGTTGAAGTTGTTATGCTTCTCAGCAAGGGGAAGGTAGGTGCGGACCGGGCCGGCACGCTTCTGGTCCTTGACGTTCCAGGCAGGGTAGCTGTAGACTTGGTGCTTCTCGTTGGGCTGAGAGATCATGTTAACGGCTTTCCAGCCGATGTTGTTGAAGAAGTTGGAAAGCACGGTGTAGAGCCCTTGGTCGTAGCGCTTGCCATCCGCAGAGGGCAGAATAGTTCCAGGGTTGCGCTCGTACAGCCTGTCGGCAGCAGGCTTGACGTCGCTTCATTTCCAACCCTTGGGCCACTTGTCGTTGAAGTCATGGTCTGGTGGATGCACAAAGACCATGTAGTTGACGGTGACACCGCCGCCAAGGACACAGGCTGCATAACCAGCAGTATCGGTGCAGATATATTCCTCCCACTCAGGGAGGCTTCCAATGTCGGCGGACAGACCCGGCACATCGATAGGGGTCAAATTCTTGTTCCAGACGAGTGTGTCAATGGCACCGGTAGCCACAGTTGGGCCATAGCGTCGCTCCAGCAGCAAAACTTTCTTGTTGGCCTCTACCAGACGCTCCGCGGTGATAATGCCGGAAGGTCCTCCCCCAACGACAATGTAATCATAAGCGTCTGACGTTACAACGGAGTGTGTATGCGGGGAGCCAGCCACCCCGAGAGCGGAGCTGATAGCAACCAATCCTCCAACAAGAGCAGACCGCATTTTGACCTCCACAGGCGTTTCTAAGAATGATTAAATGCCTGTTAGAGGAAATTTAGCGGTATAAGACATGAATTTATGGTCCTCCATGGCGCTGCGATTGCAGTGGATAAAAAAGTCTACCGACAAGTCCTGCTATCATTACCCGATCTTGACCCTTCGATTCGACTCGCATGAGTCATGCATAGTTGTTCTGGAATCCTTCAACGCAGGAAAAAAGCGGCCTCTCAGTTCCGTAGTAGACATGGCCTTCCGAGCCGAAACCCGACCTGTTCCAGAATTCGCGTTGTCCGAGCACGGGCCGTGGCTCCACGCGAGCAATATACATGGAAAGATACTCATCCACGAGAGAGTTGCCGATTGAAATAGGCAAGCCATGCTGCTGATCATCTGGGTTTCTCGAGCTAGCCCTTGGCGAGGATACGGAGCAAGTGGATAGGTGCATTTGCTGTCAGGCGCAAGAAATTATCTAGAGTTCCATCTAATCTTGGCCGTTGGTGATGAAAAGCGGGCTCCGTGGGTCAAGTCCTGCGGCTAGGGTGTAGACGATCGACTAGAAGCAGCGATTTCGCTTGCAAAGACTTGACAAATCCAGGTTCAGGGGACAAGGGTGGATTCTCAAGAATCTTCACCTACTGTATAAAAGCTGAGTCCTCCATCACTAAGCAGCTCAAACCTCGCGAAGAAGCAAATTCTTACTAAAGTGATTCCGTATTCTAAGACCCGGCTATGCTGTGAGGTTCACGAACAGAAGACACCACTGTCTAGCCCTACACTTGTTCCAAAAGTAGCCTGAAACAATACTACTTCTCATTATCAATCTTCGACGGCTGTGATGTCTTCAGGTCAGAAGTATGAGCAGATATCAGACCAATTGGCAGCGGACCGTATACGGGCTTAATTTGCATTCTATGTCGTGTGCAGAAGCGGGATCATGAATCCCGAGGATAGACCTTACTTTCCAGACCCTCCAGGGGTATCCGAGGTGCGTGCTTGGTTTAGGCAAGGACTGCAGCAGAACAGGACCCAAGGAGCATCATCCTAGCATAGCAAGGCCATAACAGGTATATTGTGTTCAAACTGAATCACGATGGCTTGTTAGTGCGAAGCTAGAAGTCACTAAGCTTCCACTATAGCTGCATGAGGACCAGTTATTTCCGACTGGTTATCAGCGGTCCAAAGCAAGAAGATATGATACAGTAGTAGAGTGTAAAGATATTGGTCGGAGAATTATAGAAGAATACTCAAGCAGAAGAAGCGTTGCCGTCGGTATTAGCTGTAACAATAGAAGGAACTTACTGCAACTACTCCATACCTGCACCTGTGTAAGTCTACTAGTATAAGATTTATCTTTCCCTCATTGGGAAGTTCAACCACACCGACCGCTTCCAGCCTCAGGCATACATACTCCGTACGCATATCCCACCGCCCTCAACAGCCGGCAGAATCCCTCCTCTCCGCCCCGCATCTCCAGCACTTTTTTTCCCCCTGCGACAGACACATGACCAATTCCACCATCAAGTCTCAACTGTTCAATTGACCTATAGCACACACACACACAAACTAATTTCATAGAATGAGGGTAAGCCCGATTTCCCAAAACCCATCGCTATATCCAAGGACACGACAGCCTCAACTGACGCCTTCACCAGATTGTCGACCCCCAATCCGCCGTTCTCTCGAATATCGAGGTCCTAGCCTACCTCACAGCCAACCCGCCGCGACGACCCCCGAACCCGCCGCCGAACTCCAGGCACTGGGTTCCCAGTCCCGATCTGCGCGACCACAATACTGTCGTCAAAGAGGTGCGTACTACCTGTCGTTTCTTACAGCTGTGGGATTAATGCCTTTCGTCCCGGGCTAATCCCACCATCCCGCTACATAACCCCCCAAACCGAATTACAACCAACTCATTCATAAACAAATAGATTCACAACTACGTCTCCCGCCTCTCCCCGCACCTCCAAACTTACCCTCAATACACGCATCTCCCGCTCGCAGAACTCGAAGCGCAAGCGCAAGCTCAAGCCCAAGCCCAAGCGCAGGCAGCCACTCACAACAACAATAACAACACCTCATCAACGACAACACTCCCAACCCTCCTACCGCCCACGACGCTCAACAAACCCACGCCGATCGACCATGCCCTCCGCGACCTCGTCACGCGGCTGCAGCCCTACGGCCTCACGAAGGGCGAGGTTCTCATGATCATCAATCTGGGAATCGGATTGACGCCCGCTGCTGCGGCGGAGGAAGAGGAGGGCGATGAAGAAGCGGGGTCCGAGGAATATGAGGAGGTGGAAGAGGAGTTGATAGAGGATGACCGTGCTGCGGCTGCTGCGGAGGAGGAGGGGCAGCAGGCGGATGAGATGGAGGTGGACGATGGTGCGGTGGCGGCGGGAGAAGATGCTGTTGCTGATGGGGAGAATGGAGAAGCAGGGGTGGAGGAGGAGTTGTCGGAGGAGGATTACGGGGCGTTGGCTTTGCTGGATACGGTCATCGAGGAGCGGGAGGAGCGGTTGAGTAATGCGGATGTGGCGGGGATTTTGGCTATTATTCGGGAGACACTAGGAAGTGGTGGTGGTGGTGGTGGTGCGGCGGCGGCGGCGAGCTGAGGTTGATGGTGGGGGGCACGAAGCAAGAAACTAACATAACAAGCAGATGGTGGTGTTTGATTCTATATACCCGTGGTGTTACGTGAAAGAGTTACATTGTATACTGGAAGGGGTCTCATTTTTAGGCTGGATTTCAAAAGGGTTCTGCATGTGAGGACTTTTAAAAAGCAGGAATTAGGTCATGTTCTATCTATCTATACAATATTGGTATCTCTGATGGGGCTATATCCAGTAGCTACTATCTAGTGTTTTCTCGCAGTCGACTTGGTGATAGGACGTCACTCCTCCCCCAATGATTGCTCAAGAGGCGTGCCATGTCTCATGGCAAAAGCAGGAAACACAACTCGCTAATTCAAGAAGATCTCCCATCACGGTGGGGATATATGCACAACCCTTGGAATGTGGCCGGACGGTCACTGCGCCTCGTAGCACCAGCCGCGTAATATGTGCAAAGGAAACGATAAATCTTGGCGACTACAGGAGGTCCAATGCCCACATGTCTGGCACCCTGCGTTTTGATGTATCTCACAGAAACCAGTCTCTGAGATTCAAGAAGAGCAAGCCATCTACCACGGGGGGGCTGTCAGGTCCTCCTTACCCTTGATAACGTTTCCGAACTGATTGTAGACTGGCTCGTCAGCGTCTTCACCGTTCTCCTGGCCAAATGGCCCAAGTTCATCGTCAAAGACGTCCCGGTTGTAGCTGCCGCAGACCTCGCCGTAATTCAGCCATTCGCCCTTGTCGGTCCACAGACCTCCCTTGCCGCCACGCATGTCCCACCATTCTTGGCCTCCCATCAAGGCGGATTGGGAGGTGTCAAACCCAGAGGCGGTCCGCATATACTTGCGGAGTAGTGCCCGAGCCCATGGCTGGTACCACATTTCCGACCACCACTTGTCGCGAACTGTACGATCCCCATCAAGGTGTAGCAGAGCCGGGACAGATGCCGAATGAATGTTCGTCATCAAAGGAAGATGATGCCACGTGTGGTTGCGATGGTTTGGAAGCTTGTCGAGCGTGGCATTCCAAGGCGGATTCGGCCAGTCGTCCTTCGTGAAACGCGGCTGGATAAACGGGTTACCGATTTTTGAGGGAACCAAGTCCTCAGGAAGCATGAGACGTCTCTCTCTGGGAACACCGTGCTGCATCTGCACAGCAGAGGTCTTGCTCACATTATGATAATGGAGCCATTCAACATCCATCTTGGAGTTGAACATATTGAAGAACAAACGAGATTCATAATCGACCCCAATCCCGAACTCATACCGGGTTCCCGCCGTAAGGCGTGGGGGAATAATACCAGTTATATTGGACACCTCCGAGATGCCAATTCGGCGGTAAAGCCATTCTTTGAATCTGTTGGTGGTGTTTCGTCGTTCCAGCTCGCGTAGGTATTCTTGACGCCCAAACATCTGAGTCATGGCCAGATAGTCACCACGCGAATTACGATGCTGATGGACAAAATGCAATATCTCGGCGTATATGACTCTCAGATCAGCCGCCTGACCCATGACTGCGCCCGGCTTGAGCCACCGCGGTCGGTTGAGATGTCCCTGCGGGTGATTGTCGGTTTTCCAGCCATAAGCGTCCGGGGGCAAACTCGATTGCGGGACCGTCACGCAGCCTGGGTCTTGAGCAAGACTGGATATACACGTCTTGCTAGCGGCAAACAAAACTCTCTGCGAGTATTTCTGTAGCGTCTGCTTGCCCTCTTTACGGAAAGGCAGATCCAGAGTGATAGTACCATATTTGCGCAGCAGCTTCTCGTTGTTCTCCCGTAGCAGATTCTGGAATCGCTGCACCAACACCTCGGCAGGCAACTGGAAGAAAACGTCCTCCGAATCAACAATGAGAACCAGATCATCATCACTCAGTTGCGTGCTGTATGCAAGATAGTTGTATATCCCCGCGATCTTGTCCACCATGGATGAGTATTCCGTGCGCCCATCCGAGGTGGACTTTCCGTAGCTAACCAGTGTCGGCGGTGGGTAATTCAGGATCATCGACGACGTCACGGTGCGACACAGTGAAGCTGATTTGTGCAACGCGGGTATAAGGAGGTGGAACGAGGGCGCTGACTTTCCTAAGGCGAGAGGCGCACTTTCATTCTTGTTCGTGGCACGCCGCCCGGCGTGGAGCATGGGGATATCTTCAGGGCGCCGTCGCGTCGGAGGGTAGGACGGGTATTTCACCCAGAAGTTGACGGATGGCTAACAAGCGATTCTCGTCAGCAATCGGATTCAATGTGGAAACAGCTCGTGTTTAAGACAAACGACTTACTTCACTGGATGCGTGCGACCATAGTGTGAGCAAAAATAAACATGCCGCAGCAAGGAAAAGGGCCCTGATAGGGCGGGCTCGTAAGCGACGGGGGTGAAGATGTTGCAGCCAGAACGACGATGCGGACGAACGCATGTACTTATATTGACCGGCCCATTGGCCGTCAAGAATGCCTCGACTCGACATCTCCGCGATGCACAATGGGCGGAAAGCTGAAATTCTTGACTAGAGGTGGGGAGTCCACCGCTCTCACCAAGGGCGATGGGCAATCGGACTAGGTTACCAGTTCGTATCGATTGGGGCCAGAACAGCTGGAATCAGCCAAGGTTAAGAAGTATATACCGAGAAAAGAACATTCCTGCAGGCGGGACATGCAACCACTACGCCAAGGCGAGAGCAGGAAGGCTACCGGGGAGAAGCAAGGTTAAGAGGCAAATCAACAGGAGTCGCAAAAAGCCATGATGGAGCCGGGGAAGAAGGTGGAGGGAGATGTGGGACGGCAAGCCAATAGTGAGAGCGGGCAGTTAAAGGATGATGTTGACCGGCGCAACAACGGGGACCAAATCCATACAATAGAAAGCAAAGGAGGGAGCCGCAGAGTGCAGGACCACAAGGGAAGATAAGGTGGAAGCGGAGACGGACAAAGGAGCGGGTGAATTGCGAAGGAGGAAGACAAGAGAAGAAGAAGAAGAAGAAGAAGCAGAAGACGACGACGACGGAGAAAAGGTTCCAATGTTTAGTCGGTCGAACAGGTTCTAACTCAGTCAATTCACTGAGACTTTACGTTTACCTGCTGGGACTGTCAGGGACTGGACCAAACTCCCTCGGCTATTTTGATTGGCGGTCACTCTTATCGCTTACAACCTCTCTGCGCCGATGGAAAAGAGGAGGATGAAGAATTCCACATCGATGCTTTGTGCATTCAATCCATACCGTCTTCTTATTCCAACAATATCCGATACGCTTGAGGTGGTACAGAAGTTGGACAGGAGTTCTATCAACACGAACTCCCAAACAGTCTTCCATCCTCCCTCATTGACCCGGATGCTGACAATGACCTTTATTCAGCAGCGACTCCGAATCATCCCAATGTCTGCCGCCGTGACGCCGTCTCTGGGCGGTGCCGCGTCATCAGCCCTGCGCATCCATGCTCTCTGGCTTCTCTGTGTCTTCCCGCAGTCTTGGCAGCAGTCGCATTTTCGTTTCACATTAGGTGTTCCTCTTGGAGTACGTCGCTCTCTGACGTTTCCCAGTGCGTTACTCCACATACGGAGTAGACGAGAGAAGCTTTGAACCAAGCTAGTTGAGGATCCAACCTATGGTTCATGGCGGACGCAGCAGGTGGACAGCAATGCGCATGGCTGGGAAACTTAGTTAAGCCTTTCTCTGCACGGGACGCTCAAAAGCTACCAAGCCTTGTTAGCTTTGAATGGCGCAAGCCTGAAGAGAGTTGGACAAGCCACCAATCCACCTATCACACAAATTCCCAATCATCTGGCAGTCTCTGTCATTCCCTACCCCTCCTCAAGATGCACGGATGATGGACGTTCATTCCCAGAATCTCCGCACCTGTGAGCATGCAGGAGATGGAGTCATTAGTAAGTTGTGTATGTATGCTGCTATGTACACTAAAGTAGTGAGGATCCAACGTAACATCCGTCTCGTCATTCGAGGTAGATCTCCTCACGTAATCGCTGTAAGTTGCGGAAAATACCACCAGCCGGGCCCTCGCTCTCCTGCCGTCGATGGCCCGCCGACTGTGCTGTGGTCGAAGAGCCCGAAGCTTGCTGAGACGCATCCGCTCGGCCCTGGCTCTCCAAAGCTCTACGACGATCCTCGACCACCTTCGCCAAGCTGTCCACGACCCGACTCCGAGCCTTCTCCTCGGCAGTTCCCTTCCAAATCAAGGCCAACGTGCGCAGCGACTCGATCCGGCGCGCGGCAGCCTCTACCCCCTCGAGTCCACCACCCTGACCATCCAGCAGCCCCATGACTTCGGCCCGCAGTCTCCTGGCGACCTCCTGCCCCTTCTCCTCACGGCTATGACTCTCGGGCCCAGCCTCCGGCGCCGATACCGAGATGAACGACGAGGCCAGCGACATCTCCGACGGCGGGAGAGGCCACTCCATCGCATCGCCAAATGTCTGCACAACCTCCTCCAACCGCGCCCGCACCTGATTCAGCATTCGTAATTTCGTGATGAATTCAGGATCCTGTATCGTAGTATTCCGCTTGTCTTCCGGCGCCTCGGTCGTGCCATCCTCACCCCCATCCGCCGCACCGACAGCCCCCAAGCCATCATCAGGCCCCCCTTCCGTAGTCACACCCTTAGGACCTTTACTCGCATCCTCTGGAGCAAACTTAGCGATATCGCCCCGCAGCGTCTCGGTAAGCGCATCCGACAACGCAATCGTCTCGCCGCGCAGCACCTCCACCTCGTAGGCCAACCGACTACCCCCTCGCAGAATCTCATCCGTCAGTCGCGTGAGCGTGCTAGAATATCGAACGTTCTGCGCGCTGATCTGCGAGAGAACGGACTGGACTTGCGTGGACATCTCGAGCAGAGGAATGGATGAGGATCCCGCCGCGGCCGCGCTTCGGGGGTGGTTGGTCGACTGCGAAGACGCCAGCGTCAACGCAGGAAGCACACTGTTGAGGTATTCCGCGGGATCGAAGGATGGGTCGGTGAAGTTGGGGCTGTTGTTGAGCTCGAGAGACGGTCGCGCGCTGGATGATGATGCTGTCGTCGTTCGCGCAGCGGAGGGCGCAGGGCTGGGAGTCTTGGAGGGGGGTGCCATTGTGAGGTTGTGAATCGACCTTCGCACTCGGTCCCTTTTCGAGGAAGAATTCTAAGGGCAGAACAAGTTGCCCACTGCTTTGTAATTATGGCATAAGCTTGAGGTCAGGCGTAGCAAGGATAACGGAATCAGGCTCTAAATCGCCAATTGGAGAACATGTGGACGTGCGGGAATGTCAGCCCTCCCCATACGGATGCCTCCGAACTCCGCCGCACACCGCCTGCGGCAGTATGTGAGGTGGGGAGATCTATATTCGGAGTTTTGAAGGCATATACGCATTTTACATCTGGTATCCTGATTGCTGGGAGTGGACGGTTACGGCGAGAAAGTGCAGTATAGAATCTCAAGACATACTCATTCTGAGCACGATATAATTATCAGGTCCAGGTCCAGAAAAGCGAGGCAAAACTATTCGACAAAGAAACGTCAAACGCCCCGGGAGTATCATAAGCAGAAGCAAAAACGAAGGTGGGTATCGTCATAGTCAGCCACAAAAAAATGCAAACTGCAGCATTTTGTGTGATAAAGCACAGCGCAGCAGCAGTCATATCGCCCTATAGGACGTCGTGGACGATGTCAAATCATGCGGCATCCTCCAGAACTCATCAAGTCAAAAACCAAGCTCTCACCTGATTGCGCAAACTAATCGGGTGAAGCTTAGATGTCCTCGACTACACGTGCGTTTATTGCACGCTGAAAACCGTCGTCTTCAGGCTGTTGTCCATATCGGCTCGGCCCCTCGCCGGCATTTTCCGCTGCAGCTAATTGCTGTTGCATAGTCTGGTTCATTGCGGGTAGGAAGATGACTTTGCTGTTGGCGGTCTTGGCCATAGCCTGCATGGCCTCAAGGTAACGAATCTGCATAGCAGGAGCAGAAGACAAGATGTCGGCGGCCTAATAGAAATGAAGTCAGCCGTTGTGCCTGGAATAAAGCGGAAATGTGATTGAGAGACGTACCTGACGCATAAGCTTGGCCGACTCGACTTCAGCCCGGGCAGCAATAACCTTACTCTCACCAATACGCTTGGACTGCGCAGCCATAGAAAGCGAGTCTTGCAGGTCATTGCTGAAGATAATATCCTTGATAAGCATCGACTCGACCGCGACACCCCATCCAGAGGCCACGTCCTCGATGATCTCGGAAGTTGATTGAGCGATTTCTTCACGCCGCTCGATCACGTCTTGCAGCACTCGAGCTCCGATGACGTGACGCAAGGTGGTTTGCGTGCGCTCTACGAGCGCTTGTCGAATGTTGGAGATACCGAAGGCAGCCTTGTGGGGTGATACAATCTGATAGTAGATAACGGAGCTCAGGTTCAAATTGACATTGTCTTTTGTCATGCAGCTTTGACGAGGCACTTCCACAATCTGAATCTTGACGTCCACAGCTGTAAGGTGCTCACTCAGAGGGTTCACCTTGACAAGGCCAGGATCAACCGCCCGTTCAAATCTTTGAGCGAAAAGTATCAGCATGTCGAAGTTCAAAGGGAGACTGGACAGTGAGAAGGAGAGAGACGGTCACACACCGTCCGAATCTTGTGATCAACCCGACTTCACCTTGCGCCACCGGCTTGAAGGGATTAGGACAGCAGAAGCAGCATGGGATGGCACCCAGGCATCCAATAAACTCTCCTAGTCCATGAACTATTGAGAAGCACTTTATTAGCCAGGATACAGGGATTACAAGTTATAATGGGGTCGGTCTCGACTCACTGAAGCCTGCGTACCAGCCATGCGCATCCGGGTTGTCCTCGCTGTGCTGAATTTGTTGAGCGTACTTGGGCTGCAGGTCTTCCAAGCGAGCCGGTTGCACGTTGACCAGGCCAGAGCGTGCCGATGTACTGGGACCCACCGGGTGAGCAGGCGCTTTTCCGTTGATGTCAGACATGGTTGGTATGTGTTTCAGATGTGCGTGTGGCAATGATATATGCGCGGCCGTTGTACTCAGTATGTATAGAATACTACTCCAAAAGATTTGATTATATCGTATCAAGCAAGGAGATTTGAGGCTCCTTGGAATATCTGCAACTTTTAAATTGATGGATGCTCGATGAGGTCCAGAAGCAAGTACTGACGGGGAGGAGGGGAATGGATCATTTAAATACCAGTCGTCCGACCATGGAAGGGGAGGTGAGCTGTGTTGGACGGACACATTTGGTTTGGTTCCTCCCGAGTCTGACCGCAACCAGGCGGACTAGTGGTTAACTCAGTACGGTAGGTACTACTACACGGGCTACTATACCTCCATACCTACACTAATGAGAGACTGCTGCATTTTAACCGTCATGTCACTTGCCCGAAGATCAGATGCTCTTTCTCCGCAATGAACTAAGGGGCATCAGTGGATCGACTTCACCCAGATTGTGGAGTCTGGCCCATTCCATCCTTCTCGGGCCCGCCTTGAGGCCCTTGTTTCCTCAGGCCTGCTTCTTGGCCAACTCAATTCTGTTCCCGCTGCGTCTTTTATTGGTATGAGGAGTCCAAGGCTGAGCTCTCGTCTCATCATAATTAATTTCATAAGAGAAGCAACTCTCGGAAACCGGGCGGGAGGCTTAGAGCTTCAACTCGAGGCAGACTTCGTGAACCTCCAGTGTTGTTAGAGTTCCTCGGCTCTCCATATAATGAAGCGTCATAGGTCCAACAATTATCTCGTATAGAATAGGATCATCTTGGTCCCAAGGTTTAGCGTTCAATCTAGGGACTAGTTCGCACTGAGAACCAAGGCGTGCCATTCAGAAATTGGCCGTCTTTTCCGGTCTTAGATCTCTAAGCCATCCACCACTAGCTGATACCGAGACCCCTAGGACGACCATCCATTACATCACTAAGTTGCCAAATGCAAAAGTGTTTGGTTAGCCATACGGATTCGATACCTGCATCAAGACTGGATACTCAACACATGGACCCTACTGCAACGTTGGCCTTGGAGGCATTCCTCTAGCGTACATCGTTGCCCTGGTACCCTGGGATGCTGTGCCTCCATGGGCGGGGCACAAAGCCTTCTGTAATCCTTCCAGATGTTTTCTAGTCATTTGACTGACTGGCCATCTTCTTGGTAAGGTCAATAGAAGATTTCCCATCAGTCTGAGGCTCTGCGGTGCACAGCCCTATTGACCATTGCATCTTTTTAGCTTAGGACCCGCCTTGGAGACTGTGTTGGCAACCTTGGCATACGTTCATCTCGTCCTCAACGGAAGGATACGAAGGATTTAGCGCTAAATGCGACAGGTAAGTTATTCGGCGGAGGAAAGCGCAGAATACACGCCTGACGGCTTAGATTCTTGGACAACGTATACTCTGGACAGCAGTAGATGGAACAACCACTCACCCCGTGACCTGTCGTGTCACCGGATACGACTTCCTGTCTTCATTCTGAGATTGTCGACTGGCAAGAGATGCGGTAGGCTCGGCACAGAGCATGATGGACCCACTCCCTCCCGCCAAACGATCGGGCGCAACGGGGCTGTGCCATGAGCCTTCGTATGTCGTCGCGCTAAGGTTGGACTAATGCTGCCCTTGTGCCACAAGGAAACAGACACCGTTCTCTGCACCGGGTTAGGCTCAAATGACCAATGAGATTGCCTCATGAGGTGCCAATGCCCTGTGTACTCGAGTAGACTACTCCAAAGTCATTGAATCAAAGTCATGCTGCATTGGGACATTGATTGCAGCAAATGGAGTATGGACTGAATGAACAGGTACACGCAACAGGAGAAGACGTTTAGAAGGCAACCTCTACCGAGTACGTGATCCTTAAGGGCACCTGTGCTTTGGTAGTGGGTCACACGCATACCTCCGGTGAATCGCATACTTGATTTGATCACTGTCACTCCTAGTAACTAGAACCAGAAGTCGGTCACTACCAGGCACCTGGACGATGATTTGGGTCTTCGGAGTACACAGTATTCCAAACCTCGATCAGCATGCTTGTGGTTTACGTGACAAACAAACCGGCCGGCATACCTTCCACATCTCATTCAATGATTATTCATCTCATCTCAGAAAAGGGGTAAATATCCCTTGGCTCTAGACTCCGAGGCATGAATGCAAAGACCGGCCTGGTATGAATGCAAGTCCCTCGGGCTAGGCCGAACACTATGTCATTATCGACTCGGCATGGCATTCTTTGCATGTATGTAGACTGCGGGTCGGAAAACCTGCTTTTTGGCTGCGGGTTCGCATGTCATCGGTGCCAAGACATTCTTATCTTCATCAACTGCCAATATGGGTCTATCATGATAGCTGAATAAATTCAGGCGGCGGCACCGTGGCGGTTTAAATCTTACCATAGCACAGGAAACAGCACGTCGGGAGCCTCGCGTTCTCACAGGCTTTTTACGGCTTTTGTTTTGTGATGTGTGTATGCATATTATCGAGTTATAATTCAATATGAGCATCATTGGTCTAGTGGTAGAATTCATCGTTGCCATCGATGAGGCCCGTGTTCGATTCACGGATGATGCACAAAATATTCTCTTTTTTGCTCTCGATTGACTTTGTCGAACTGCTCGGTCCCTTCACATCTGGGCTTCGGCTCTTCAAGCGCCTGTGTGCAAGCTATACTTTGCGAGTCTCCGGTACATCATTCCGCGATGTCGCCAGCTGGTCGAAGGACCGAACACAAGTGCGCGCGATATTTGCAGGTACAAAACCAGCGGCACCCTCTTGTCGCAGTCTACACGAATTCACCATCGTGCCTTGACATATATTAAACGGAATGCTTGCGCTCCCGCTGATGTCCTATAAGAATGCTAGTCATGTACTTTGCCGAGCCTAATATGGTTGAGGCCAATGAGCACCGAGGGATATCATTTCATTACTCCTGATCACGGGGCTGCGATGGAATATACACAGAACAGTTGAAGCCTCACTGCCAGAACAACAATAGCATCGGCTTTGACATGCAACGAAGCTCTCTACCAGGGCAGCTGGAGCGGCGTCGGCAAGTCGTTACCTAAAACAGGCTCGGCAGTTCCGATATCCCTGGGCAAATTAGCCTGGTTCCTCAGGACCTGAAAGGGCTACACAAACCTAGGACCCCGTGGTGCCCAGTATTGTCCAGTTTTGCTGATGTCGAATGTGTCAATGAACGAAGCGAGTGACTCTGCTGCCTCGTCCGGTGTGACAGCTGAGAAGACAAGTATTCAGCCTGACTGAACGAAACAAGTGACACATGCAAAGAACTTTTGGCAAAGACCTACCTCCACCGGCATCCCAGTACTTGTCAAATCCTACACCCTTTGTCATCTCCGTGCGCATAAATCCAGGATGAACAATGCCCACGGTAATTCCTTTGTCTTTGAGATCTAGACTCAGCAGTTTCCCAACCATGTTAAGAGCTGCTTTGCTGGCATGATGTCCATAATTTCCGCCTCCCTCTTTCTCATGACGCAGCGTGATGCTTCCGCTCTCGCTACTGACGAGTATTACTTTACTACCAGCATCCAGAAGTCCTGCTTTGACCAAGTGATGGACTAGGAAGACGGGGCCTATGGCAGATGTGCTATACATCTTGACTTCCTTCTCCCAATCGGGCTCGTCGAATGTCTCGAACCCGAAATAGCCAGCCGAAATAATGACTGTCGAGATCTTCGCAGACGAGGGTAGTTGGGTGACCAGATTCTGGCCGACAAGAGGCTTAGCCACGTCGATGTTCGAGATCCACGAAACGAGAGGCTCTTTTTTCGGCTTGGTGGAGTCTCTTGTCGTTGCGAAAACCGTTTTGGTGGATTGCTTTCCGGCATATAGGGTCTTGAGGGACGCCCCCAAGCCTCTAGTAGCACCGATGATGAGGATATTTTCAGACATTGTTCGGTATTTAGCAGGATTTTTGTGAGTCAGTGAGAAGGACAGAAGTATGAGTGAACACAAGGATTGCAGTTGCAGATCGAGTGAGTCGTGCAGCGCAAGAAGGGATGGTCAGCGTGTTTCTCTGAGGATTATAGATTGGCCCTGAACCCGGTCCCTAATGACGTAAGTCCGACTCCAGATTGTGACACGGCCTTCTCTTGCCCCTCCTCTCCTCCATCTTTAGATTACCTGATCAATGCATCTTTGATGACTGAGTAATGTTTCAGGATGAATGACTGCCTCAAATTAGCCGCCGCTTAGGTGGATATTAATGCGATCGCAGTGCTTCACTGGCCGAATTTCAGTCGCCATGAGAGGATCCTACTTGTCTAAGCAGCGAATCCAGCCCCCAATCAGCATTGGTTTCAAAGCACCGCATCTCCATCCATCCATGTTTCCGTCTCCTTCCCCTTTCCTAATCGAATATCTAGGCCGTAATCTTGCCTATACTCATTTTTTACAACCGAAGAATTTTTCTATATCCAACCTGCGCACATACTCTAACCACTCCGCTTCTATTTGTGGCCTGCTTTTAAATTAGCAACGACCCTCTTGCTCAGCCCTGCTTAGTCATCGCCCCTCTACCCCCTCCCCCCCCCCAAAAAGGCACCAGCGGAGAATCCCTTTTCAACGATCGACGAAAGGGGAATTCAGGGACTTTCATGGTGTCAAGCTGTCTCTTTAAGTGCTGAAGTCGGAGCTGGCCTCCTCATGTCTAATGTTGCTTGACGATGAGTACATTCCACAATTTTATGCTGCAAGCCAAAAAAGCACGCGCTGCCATCAACAGAGGCAAGAGATCCGACGCCAAGAAGAGCAATTCCTCCAAACACGGTGCAGTGCCATCTTCCGTGTCGCTGTACGTCTGCCCGCCCCCCCTGCTGAAGATCGATTGTCGACGCAAGCCTCAAGGCGTGCTCGTTACTGACGTGGTCCTTTGCTTTGTTGACAGAGTGGACATAGTACCTACCTCGGCCCCCTGGGATCTACTCCCCGTCGAAATCCAGATTAAGATATTCGCCCACTGTGGCGTCACCGATTTACTGCCGCTGAAGCTCGTCTGCAAGTCATTCTACCAGCTGCTCACCTCCCAGGAACAATGGATCACACGCCAGTACCTGCGCCAACGGCGCGGCGGAACGCTCCCATCCCCTATCGACGGCGAAAAAACATACACTAGAAATCCGGAGGATGATGTGGTGCTCCTGTCGGACCTGTTCCCCCCAGCGAAAAGTGCCAGGGGTGGCCATATCTACACCTTCAAATACATCTTCAGTCTTCGCCGTCGGCAGAAGCTTTGTTCGAAGCTCAGCTGCTACCTTGCGGACCGCGTCATGGATCGGTTCGTGCATAGCGAGCCAGGCTTCATGAAGTCGGTCTTCTCTCATAAAGCTGAACGACATGCTTTTGTGCAGCAGACGACCGCGCGCCTATGGTTCTACCTCACTCCACTGATGTGAGCATCGGATCGCAACTCGCCTCTGGTGGTAACCCACTGACATGCTTGTCTTTCTACTAGGTATTATGCGCTTTACTTCCTGGAAACATATGCTCTCGCCAGACGTGAGCAGACCAACATTCTCTTACGAGAGTTTGAGGCCGGACGTCTTCCGGTCCCCATACCCCCCAAAATTCGTAAAGTCATGTACCGGGAGCTGCAAGTAAAGATAATCAAAGCGCCCCCTTTCACCGACACAGCCACTCTCATAGCCACGCACCACTGCATGCAACTCCTAGTCTCCTATCTGCGGTATACCGTACCACCCGATGAGCCTACGGTGTCAAATGATAGTTGGATTGGGTCACTGCTCACTGTATCCCCGTTCCTACGGATTGTGGAATATTTCTCCGCGGAAATCGGCGATGGTGGGAGCCAGCGAATGCAGCGCAAGGAGTTTATGCACAACTTCCACAACGATATCACTTTGAATGAGAGGGACGACATTCAGTCGCTGGTGTTCCAGGTCTCGCCAAACGTCCATCTTCATGGCTCTGTGGAAGATGTCTGGTTCAATGTGGTGGAGGAAGAGTTGGCTTCGAGGCATGCGGTGCCGCATGATGCCGATCGCGTCATGGTCTGGAACGGGCTGCCTGTCTTACTATCCTGTCGCGAATGCCGCGTGAGAGACGGCTGGCATGCGTAAATCATTCCATTTTGGATTTAGCAAGCGCTGCGTTATCCTGCATTGTTTTGAGGCAAGGCGTTCCAGCGGGGTTCTTGGAGTGTAACTATATGATGGCGGGAGACGTAGCGGGTGTCAATTTATCTTTTGCTTTTTTTTTTTTTATTTTTCTCCCAAGGGATAATTGGGTAATTAGCATATACTGGAATCGAAACGGCTTCGAATCAGAACGTTTCCCTATTTGGTCTTGTCGGAGATGCTGGCACTATCCGGCGTAGAGCAGCTTGGCATGTCTGCGCGACGCGGGCGCGTGCCCCAAAGCATTTACAAGTAAGTTTAGTTTAAAGGTACAGACAGCTTCCCGGTGCCAAGATCTAGAGATCTTTTTCTCCTTGCGACCTTATCATCAACAAGACCCCTCGCGCCATGTGAACCTCTCCCCCACGCGCATCTTCTATCTCACCTCTAACAGCACGCCGACATGAGCATGACAATGGCTCAACTAAATCTCCTTAACACGACCTGGACATTACACCGACTTTCTCCGCTCCACCATGGCAAGGAGTTCCCCTCCCTCCTCAACAACGACCAAGCTTTGAAGACCTACGCAGCCCGTCTTCGTGACCATCTCACAGGTGGCACCACCACCACCCCCTCCTCCTCCAGCTCACGGACAACCTTCCAACTTGGAGGAGGCGCAAGTAATCCCGAGGACCCCGACCCCTCCTCCTCCAAAACCGGCGCACTAGTATCTTGCACCTGGGAAACCATCCCAACCCTCTCCCTCTCCGGCCACACAACCACAACCACAACCACCTCAACCTCACCTTCAGACACCACCAACCGCCCCCGCGGCCGCCCTCGCCGTCCAACCCCGACCCCCGGCACCCCCGGCGCCGGCATCCTCATCACTTTAACCTACGATTCCCAAACCTACCGCGCCGCCCTCCTCACGCACTCCGCCGCCCTCTCAACCTCCTCTGCCTTGAAACCAGAAACCCACAACCCAGCCGCAGCTTCAACCTCCCCCGAACCATCTTCATCAACAACGTCTAGAAAGCGCACCCTTCGCTCCCAATCCCACACCCAATCCACGCACCTACCCCTCCTCCTGACTAAACTCCCCGCGCCGCTGCGCCAGTCCTTTCTGGCTTTCCTGGCGGCGACGTTTGATACGTACACCGCGGGGTTGAATCTCGCGTCGGGGGTTTTGTGTGAGGCACTGGAGGCGTATGTCTCCTCGCTCCTCGAGGGAGAGTCTGGTGGGTTAGGTAGGGAGGAGGAAGGGGAGGAAGGGGAGGTGGTGGAAGCGGTGGTGAGGGAATTGCATATTATGTTGGGGTTTCAGGGGCCAGTGGCGCCGGGGCTGCGGGGGCTGGATATCTGTGTTCCAAGGGGGACGATAAAGAGAGTTGTTGGGCGGAGACGGAGTGGGGGTGGGAGTGGTGCTGAGGGTGGTGCTGAGGGTGAAGCAGAAGGGGTGGATGTATTGGGGAAGGTTGGGGAGTACTTGGATACGCATTTGGCGATGAAGGTGGATTTGAGAGCGGGGAAGGGGCTGGGTAGTGGGAATGTGGTGGGGGTAACAAGGATTAGTTGTGGTGGGTTCTTGTTGGGGGCGGATGGGAAGATGAAGTTGGTGGGTGCTGGTGCTGCTGGGCAGGTGGGTGGTGAGGGTGAGGAGGAGGATGCGGACGAGGATGACGACGTTCCGCCTGCTGGTGCAGGACGTGCGCTGAGCCTCAAAGATCGGCTTGCGTTACGAGCCGCTGAAATCTTGCTTATGAATGTGGTGCGGAGAGCTGCTGGCGAGGGACGGCGAGAGACATGACTCTTGAGCCGCTGAAGTATGCGTCTAACTTTCTTGCCAATTGATATCCCGACGCCGGATGGGAAAGGGAAGCACTCGCCAGAAACAGAGAACTCGGAAATCTTTCGCTATTAGCAAGTCTAACGCAGGCTATATATATGCAACAGAAACTCAAACAAGGAATCGGAAGCAACGTGTCACGTCATACACATGGCATCGTGTCTGCAAGGGAAATTCGGAAAACAACTCCGCTCGCCTTGAACCGAGCTCAAGGTTCCAACGGTCCGCCCTCGGCTTCGGCGAGTCTCAATGCTTCGTCGACACTCTGTACAAAGTATTGCATGCCCCCGCACCGGTCAACAATGCCGCTCCTTTCGAACATGCGGAAGACATCACGATTGGGCAGACGGCAGAAGAACACCCGCACTCCGAGGTTGAGGTATTCATTCACAATCTCGGAAAGAACTTGCGTCCCGGAACCGTCAATACTAGTGACTCCGTGCACATCGAATATCATGGTCTTGTTGTGCTCAGGAGGCCGCGAACGAGGCAGGGAAGGGTGCGCTTGGTTAGTGCCGTAGAATTCGAGCCGACGAAGACGATTCTTCAGATCACCGGTGTTGGCAAAAGTGAGGGGCTCCGGGATCTTGACGATAAGCGCTCCCTCAATAAGCTCCACGTTCTCCCCGTGAAGCTCAGCATTGTCGAACCGATCACTGGTACCGGCAACTTTACCAAGAATCTGGATTCGAGGCTGCGTGGAATGACGAATCAAGATCAGAATAGACAATCCAATTCCGAGCGCAATGCCCAGCTCCAAGGAGTAGAAGATTGTCGAGCCAAAGATCAGAATCATCAAAGCAAGTTCCGTCCAACCACGCAAACGAATGAAAAAAGCCACATCATGAGGACACTCCTCTATTAGACTATACGCCACCACAGAGATTGTAGAAGAAAGCACAGCTTTCTGGAATTTGTGTCAGCTTGTATCGAACAAAGAAACAATCATGACCAACATACCGGTAGGTAGTACAAATAAGGTAGAATGACCTTGATACAGATGGCGGTGATAATGCTGAGAAAGATACTGCTCATGGGAGATCGCGCCCCTGTGGATGCATTCAACTTGCTTCTTCCGTAGCCACCAAATGCAGGGAGCGCCATGAAGCAGCCACCAACAACATTGGCAACGCCCAGCGCCACCATCTCTCTGTTGGCACTCACGGGCATACCCTGCACTCCCTCACGTTTCTCGCCCAGGCCTTTGGCAGCGACAGAGGACTCGAAGAAGCCAAGCAGCGCAATCACGAATGATGTGCTCAAAGCGGTCCGCACATGCTTCATATGCTGGAACTGGAAAGGCCAATTGAACGCAAAGATCCCATTGCCCGTTTCTTGGACAGGCCCAAGAATTTCCAGCCCTCTTTCATACCAGCCGAGCTGGTAGGTCAGAACGGCCGACAAGATGACGACGATAATTCGGTCGGGAAAGTAGACAACTTGGGGGAACCGTGGCTCCAAGAACTTTTTGAGGGTTCTGTACCATGCGCGTGTTAGAGACTCGACGTTCTATTCGAGATTGATTACATACCGGAACAGCATGATAATACTGAAGCTGGTGAAGGAGACTGCAGCTGTGAGACCGTGGCAGCTCCCGATATTCCTGAGCAAGAATACAAGCTTCTCTGCGGTACTTCCGTGACTGACGCCAGCTTCTCTTGCCAAGTCAGCAAGGCCCACTTCTGGGATGAGCTGATCGACGAAGATGACGAAGCCAATTGCGGTGATGAAGCCTCTGAGAAATGGTCTGCTTAAGACATTGTCTAAGAAGCCCAATCGAGTCAGGCCAGCAACCAGTATCATAGAGCCTGCCATGGCGGTTGCTACACCGACAACCATGGCGCTCGCGGCTTCATCATCCTCTCGCGAAAGTCCTTGCGAAACACTCGATTTAACAATTGTACCTGTTAAGAGAGACCCAGCAGCTTCTGGGCCGAGAATCAACAGGGGACTACTTCCCAAAATCGCATAAATGAATGGTTGGAACACAAAAGAATAGAGCCCATTGATCGCAGGCGCATGAGCAAGATTTGAAGCCAGAGAGAGAGCCATGGGGATATAGATCGACGCAATGGTCAGCGATGAGATGAGGTCGCCGCGCAAATAAGACCACCGATATTGGGGTATCCAATTAAAGAAAGGGATGTAGTACGATATATACCTGAAGTTGTTGTCGTCAGTGGTTGGACCACAGTGACTTAGCTCGGAGTCTTAACATACAGAGATCTGGGGCTCTTGGCCGGGAATGTTGCTGCTGCCCCTACTCTAGGCATATTCTCGGGGCCCTCGACATAGGTCGATCCAGGAGTGCCATCGTGATATTCCTCACTTCCCGGTCTTGGTGAGAAGGTACCGTGGTTGCAAGCATCTCTCAAGCCACATGCTGGGTCATCACCATCGTAGGATTTCAGAAGGCGCGTTCTATCGCTTGGTTCGCGAGGTATAGAGATCCGTTCTATGTGAGATGCATCGGCGCTGCCTTGTGAGAGCCCTTGGAAAAGACCCATGATCTGGTCCCGCAAAGAGCGGTATTGTCGGGTTTGCTCATTGGTCTCCGACATTATGTCGCGGGGGCAATTCCACCTGTTTTGAGAAAGAGAGGGAACCGACGGTCTAGATGACTGTGATATACGCCATGGGGCAGTGTTGATGAAACTGGATCAAATAGCCAGAGTTATTCACTAATATGAAGGAAGGAGAGCAGCACAGCTAAAAGGCCGGGAAAAGCAGCGAGTGAAAAAGCGCAGAATCCGTAGCGCAGGGCGCAGTGGCTATTGCTAAGAGAGTTAGCGGGATCGTCAGCAGATAGCGGAACAAGCAGCATCACGAATGGATAGAGGCACACACAAGGGCCAATCGAGAAGGGGAAACGGTTCAGTGCTGAGCAACGTGTCTGAAGCTGGACCTATCTTCCAGTTCCCTGCAACCCACCACCACACGCGCATTCAAAAGAGCGAGCAACTAATCTTCAGTGGTAGGGGCAAAAGAAGAGTTGAGGGGAGATGAAGTAATCAGGCGATAACGAGGTGCTATCGTTGCCATTATCGAATTCTGCCCAGCGGTGAGAGGCTCCGGCACGGCACGTGATGACTCAGCCAAGCGCGAGGCCCAAAAGTGGGTTTTTCGAATTGTGCTTCTGTGATCCCGATTAAGTGGCAAGCCTCGTTACCTCGTCTCGCAAACACCTTCACTCCCCCTTCGGTGGTTCTACGGCATCTTCGACTTGAGACCATCTTGTCTCGGTTTATCACATATCCTTCCGGTTCTCGCCCGACCCTTTACCCTGCCCAAAGCTTTGCCTAGCCCAAGGCGCAACCCCGCCGAAAATGTCGTTGACAAATTGCCGTTTCTACGAGGAGAAGTATCCGGAGGTGGACAGCTATGTCATGGTCAATGTGAAGCAGGTACGAATATTCTTGATACGCTTGGAATGACAGCAGGAGATTCGGGCTGACAGCCGTCGTTCTGCGTCCCTCCAGATCGCCGAAATGGGCGCATACGTGAAGCTGCTGGAATATGACAACATCGACGGCATGATCCTGCTCTCCGAATTGTCGCGCAGACGTATCCGCAGTATTCAGAAGCTCATCCGTATCGGCCGTAATGAGGTCGTCATTGTGCTCCGTGTGGACAAGGAAAAGGGTGAGGGCAACTTACCTGGTCATCGTCAAGTGGGGCCCGCTGACATCTCTTTGTTACACCAGGTTATATCGATCTTTCTAAGCGACGAGTTTCCCCCGAGGATGTGATCAAGTGTGAGGAGAGATACAACAAGAGCAAGGCCGTGCACTCTATCATGCGCCACGTCGCCGAGGCCACCCAGACCCCTCTCGAGACCCTTTACCAGCAGATCGGATGGCCCCTGAACCGCAAATACGGTCACTCCCACGATGCTTTCAAGATCTCCATCACGTAAGGCTGCACTCAGAGAGCTATTACTCTCTCGGAACGGCGGCTGATTATGCTCCTAGGAACCCCGATGTGTGGAACGATGTTGAATTCCCCAGTGAAGCCGTCAAGAAGGAGTTGACGCATTATATCAGCAAGAGACTTACTCCTCACCCCACCAAGGTCCGTGCCGATATCGAGGTCACTTGCTTCGGCTACGATGGTATCGATGCGGTCAAGGAGGCCCTTCGCACCGCCGAGGCCAACAACAACGCCGAAAGCCAGATTAAGGTCAAGCTGGTCGCTCCGCCATTGTACGTTTTGACCAGCCAGTGCTTGGACAAGGCTATTGGTATTCAGCAGCTCGAGGAGGCCATTCAACGGATTGAGGCCAAGATTAAGGAATCCGGCGGTGGTTGCACAGTCAAGATGGCACCCAAGGCCGTCACCGAGCACGACGATGCTGCCCTCCAGGAGCTCATGGAGAAGCGTGAGCGTGAAGTCATGTTGGTCAGCGGTGATGAGGATGACTCCGAGAGCGATGAGGGTAACCTCGAGTAAATCACGACACAATCTGCCGACTGATGCCGTCTGATGGCCAATGGGCTTGCGCAATTGATGGTTGATGGTGGAGGTGCAGCAGTCCGTCTAACGAACTGTGAATAATCAGTATCGAGTTTGCAGGGCAAGTATGAGTACGATGGACAGGATCGGAAAAGTTCAATAGAGTTTTTGGACGTGACACGATTTTATGAGACGGAGGTACGGTTTGATGCGCGACGGGGCGAATCGAGATCATCGGCGATGGTCGAGACCATGTGAGGAAAAAGAGGGCAACCCTTCGGCCTCTATGCTTTTGAAGAAGCCAGTAGCTGCTGCATACCCTCTGTTGATGACTGGGCTCCGACTGGGAGGAGCTTTGCAGGTTCTGGTGTACATACGCTTCTTTGATCAACGATTTCCCGCCAGTGGCCATGTTAGACACTGACTCAAAACTCCTTTTTGTTGTTCATCTCATCATTTCCTTCTAGTGTGTATGCGCTTGATGATGTAACGAGATATAGGATAACTTTTCCACCCATGCATGCCCTAATTAGCTTTTCATTCCACGTGGGCAATTTGTAGCAAGTTGGCACAGACCAGCATAGAGAGTAAGTTGGTGGGGCGGGCGGGCGGGATGCTCAATTTGTTTGGAGTTACAGTAAGTTAGACGCTGTTTTAAGCCATACCGTCTATCCATCCATCCATGTATTCAGCTGGTCCTCCCCGCTTGAAAGTCCTTGACTTCTACCTCCAAATTATTCCGGCCCATCCCTCAGGTACCTTTAACTTGCCGATCCTCTTTGTGTCAACATGGGTCATTGGCGAGATATTTTTAACACGGACAGTGCGCGGACTCGGCATCGTCTGCACATGGAGCGACACCGTTGTACGTCATGTCATTGTGACACCCGGCGCCGGGGATACGAGGCGAAAGTCAAGCAGTTAACAGTATCGCAGTGCTTCCCACCTTCACAGACGACAATGTCTCCTCTGCTCGCCCCTCTAAAGAGGTGACTAAGGTTGCGCTGCGCCTGAAATACCAGATTGAGCAAGTCGTTTCATGTGAGGTCGACGAGGATGCCCTCACCGCTCCCCATAGTCGAGTCATTACCAAGAGCGTCGTCCAAACCGCTTGTCAGGCAGGAGGCGATGACTTACGGACCTGCGTACCTTTCTGTCTGCTAGTATGCTTACGCTGGTTCAAGATCCAGGCTCGGGAGGAGCTTTGGGACTCGGACCTGCATGAACGTCGAGCTCTCGCTTGTGAGGTCATTGCGAAGCGGATGTCGGTTGCCCCTAGCTTCATAATAACGCCGAATGGCCAGGCTGACTGTATCTAGAATTGAAAATGAAGAAGATCAGGACACTCTCCTTGCTCATGTTCTGTTGAGACGATACTCCATCTTTCTTGATGGTGAGGAGACGGTCCCAGCCAATGTCATTGAGCGCGCGGTCGACCTCCATGCCCTTAGGGTTATTGGGTCTTCTGGATATCAAAAGTGTATCCGGTATCTCTGGAATGGTTGGTTCTGCCAGCAGGAGGGCAATCCGACCAATTTCGTGCCGTACCAGGAAAGGGACAATACTAGTTTCAAGGTCCATTTCCACCCCGATCGTATGCGGACACCCGTCTATCAGAACGTTTGTCAGATCCTCTTCTCTCTTGTGTACCTGGGCTTGTATACCCAGGTAATCAATACGGTCAATCCCTCCGGTGATCTGGATGTGGTTGAGGGTGTTCTTTATGTGATGACGCTTGCATTCGTTTGTGACGAAATTGCCAAGGTGTGGAAAGTGGGCTGGCATTACATCGATTTCTGGAATGCCTTCAACTCAACACTGTACTCTATCTTGGTGGTATCATTTGTCTTGCGCGTTGTGGCTCTTGCACATTCACCATCGGTGCATGACGCTGAGCGTCAGAGGTTCAATGAGCTCAGTTACAACTTTTTGGCTTTCGCGGGACCCATGTTTTGGATGCGAATGATGCTCTATCTCGACTCGTTTCGGTTTTTCGGTGCTATGTTTGTCGTGCTTCGGGTTATGATGAAGGAAAGTTTGATTTTTTTCGCTTTGCTCTTCGTGGTGCTGGCAGGGTTCTTCCAGGCTTTCATGGGCATGGCTCAAGTGGACAACGATATTCCGATCACGAGAAGCATCATCCAGGGAATGGCGAACAGCATCATGCAGAGCCCAGAGTTCAGCACCTTCGAAGATTTTGCTTTTCCTTTTGGCATCATTCTCTATTACCTCTTCAACTTCGTCGTGATGACGAGTGAGTATTCTGGCCGCTGCCTACATGACTTTGGTGACTGACTATTGCTAGTCTTACTGAATATCCTTATCGCACTTTACAATAGTGCCTACGAGGACATCTCTGGGAATGCCATCGACGAATATATGGCCACATTCGCGCAGAAAACCATGCAATTTGTCCGGGCTCCCGACGAGAACGTCTTCATACCACGTAGGTCGCAATTTCCTGGATGTGAGACATGGCTGACACGTATTACCTAGCCTTTAATCTACTCGAGATCATCTTCTTGGTTCTACCCTTTGAATGGTGGTTGCCACGGCAGTATTATGCCAAGCTGAATGATGTGATCATGGGTATTATCTACTCACCTATCCTGTTGGTCACTGCTTTTCTCGAGGTCCGAGACGCCAGGCGGATCAGGTGGAACCGGCGGCGTGGGGAGGAGGACGATGACAGTGTCCAGGAGTGGGAGCATGCAGCTGAGGAGGTGGACTTTGACATTGATGATACATGGAGACAGACTGTACAGGACAGTTCGCCAGATTTGCATGTGGACGGTACCATGGCTGAGCTGGCACAGCTGAAGGAACAGTTGGTAGAGTTGACTGAGACTGTTCGGCAGTTGAGCGAGGAGAAAGCGAGACGGGGCATGATGATTGGGGAGTCGAGTTCGACCATGCTAGATGAAGACTAGATGTTGCACAGTGGAGAACTGCTGTCTAATCGTGCTGTTTACTGGTTGACATCTTGTCGGAACGATGCCCGGTCGTGGGCGGGTGTTCACTCGGTTGGATTTTGTCGAGTACTCGTTCCTGTTCGGGTGGTTTGGGACACTCTCGTCGCGGGTGTATGATGTACATTGTGGGTGTGCATTGCGCATCTTTGGTTGTAAACATTCGTCAGTCAATCTCTTTGGTCCATCGGGCAAAAATAAATCACCGAAGCAAAAGGTAAAGCCCAACGCGGGGGTTGAACCCGCAACCTTGAGATTAAGAGTCTCACGCTCTGCCGATTGAGCTAGCTAGGCTGATTTGTTGAAAACCTCATGGGTGCTTGCTACTATATTCAAAAACTGTGCTAGTCATGCGCGTCACCGAATACGGTTAATGCCTACTATGACTAGACAGGTGGTCTTGCGATCGAGAGTTGCGAGATCTACAACTAATACTTAGCTGCTCAACCTACTCACAGGCGTGGTCTGCCAGGCCCTCTGTTGCTGCTTCGATGCAGCACTCCGCTTAAATGCTTTTTATTCCTTCAATGGATCTTGACCCATGGTTGTCCCTTTGGTCGTGCTCTATATATATGTCGGCTGTGGATTGTCGGTGACTGACAGCTCTAACAGCAACTCGGGCCATTACAACAGACATCGACAACGGCAGAGACCAGCTGTGGCCCGAACATGACACATGGAACGCTCTTAATATCTGGCACACAGTCATCCTACATAGAGCCAGACGAACACAAATCCCACTTGCAGTAGGCTCGCCAATGCTACCGAGGCCGGATCAAGCTCGACACCATGGTCAATGACACGATACAACATCACCATGCCAATAATGCCCGTGCTAGAGCATGTCGCCACTAACGAACCCGCTGAACGTTCGAACAGCGCGCCTACAGCCCCGCAGGAAAAGGGGGTGCTGCTGCCCCCGTTCTAAAAACAGAGCGAACCTCTACCAACCAGCTTGAAGCAGGGGGAGCATTATCGGTCTGGTTGCGACACCACATCAATCGACATCGAAGCAGCACCGACACAGGGCTCAACAAAGCATGCGTCCGTGACTGATATAGTGATGACTTACTGGCCCAACAGTAGGATGACGTTCCCTTATCGAATCATTATCGAATCAAAGTGATGCTCATTGCACGCAGTATGGATCATGATGCTATCCAGTGAAGGATGTTTCAACAAATTAGCCTAGCTAGCTCAATCGGCAGAGCGTGAGACTCTTAATCTCAAGGTTGCGGGTTCAACCCCCGCGTTGGGCTTTACATTTTGGATATTTTTGCACTACACTTTTCCATTTTTTTCAAAATCGTGAGACCCACACCGCCTGGCTCAATGCACCGCACAAAGACACATACCCATCGCCAATTTCTCATCGCATCAAGCAACCTCCCGATTCTTTGGCAACGTCGAAATTTGGTTTTCATTGATTCTAGTTATTTTTGCCGATGATAGTACTTTGGACCTCAGCTACGATCAACAAATCAGCCTAGCTAGCTCAATCGGCAGAGCGTGAGACTCTTAATCTCAAGGTTGCGGGTTCAACCCCCGCGTTGGGCTTCATTTTTTTGCTCATTTACGCAGACGATCACTACTCAGTTTTCGAGCAATGTCACTTGCATGCTCCCCAAAGCTGCGTGTTACCATATCCAACTATAATTTCGGCTGCCCATGGTTCAGACAGTCCGCCGAGCCCTATACGATGACGGTATCATCCTTCGTTAGTCAAGACGCAGCTAGTAAACTCCACACAAGCGCCAATCATTCGATCATAATACATACACTGCATCTGACTCCAGCCAAAGCGCACTCATCATTCCGAGGAATTGTCGTCCTCCTGCTTCGGTGCCATTAGCTCCATGCGCTTGAAGACTGCCATGACATCCTTCCACCCGTTTTTGGCTGCCAGCTCCTTCGGGGTTCGACCACGGTCATCCGGTAGATTGGCCGCCAGGCCATGGCCAAGAAGAAAGTAAACATCATCCGCGAGTCCAGCCTCGGCCGCCATATGCAGCGCCGTCTGACCGAACATGTCCTTGGCGTGAACATGGGCGCCCTTGTTGACCAGCAACCGCATGACATGGTTCTCTGCCCCTACTGCCTTGAGCAAGGGTGTGCGCTGGTAGTCGTCGCGGACCTCGAGGTCAGCGTGGTTGCGGACCATGTACTCGACCATCTTCCGGCGGCCGCGCTGGACGGCCTTGTGCAGGGGACTCTCACCGGAGAAATTGGTCACGTTAATGTCCGACTTCTCCAGAAACAGCTCGAATAGATCCCGACGACCGCCGGCGGCGGCAAAGTGCAGAGGCGTATCGCCGTTCCGGTCCTGGGCCTCGGGGTCGGCTCCGTAGTCGAGAAGCATGTCCATGATGTGGTCGTGGCAGTTGATGACCGCCCTATGTAGCGCCGTCATGCCGTCCTCCGCGGTGGCTTCCAGGCTCACACCGCTGTCGAGGGCGATCCTGGCCAACTCCACGTCACCGTCAGTGGCGGCAATGTCCAGGATCGTTCTTCCGGAAGTATCCCTGGTGTTGGCATCGGCACCAAGGTTGAGGAGCAGCTCGATCATCTCCCGCCCTCGCTTCCCTCGGTCATACAGGACGAGGGACATCAGCAGCGACAGGCCCCGGGCTGGGGCGTTGACATCGGCTCCCTTCTTCAGCAAGTACCTGACCACATCGGAATGCCCGCGTCGACCGGCCTGATACAGGGCTGTGCCACACGGCTGCCGGGAGGGCTGCTGCTGCCCATTTTCGGGCTCAGCCGGTCGAACCTCCAAGTCAGCTTTCCACTTGACAAGCCACCGCACGATGGTCAGCGAGCCCATGCGCGCCGCCCACCACAGCGCAGACCTGCCTGCATCGTCCACGAGATTCACATTGACTCTCCGCGAGGCAAGCAGCAAACGCACGACCTCCTCAGAGCCTTTCTCAACTGCCCACAGCAGCGGCGGCCTTCCCTCCCCATCCTTGATGTCCGGATCAGCACCCGCCTTTAGTAGCAGCTGCGCAATCGTCTCGTTGCCCTTCTCAACCGCCACCGACAGTGGCGCGCGGCCGGCCATATCCTTTGCATCAGGGTTCGCTCCGGCCTTGAGCAGCAACTGCACGATCGTTTCATCGCCCTGGTCCACAGCCACCGACAACGGCGGTGCCCTAGCACCAGCTTTATTACCTTCCTCCCCACCCTCTCCCTGACCCTTTGCAGAATTCGGATCCGCTCCGGCCTCCACCAGAGCCTCCACGACCTCCACATCCCCCCTCTGAACCGCCACTTCCAAAGGCCTGATCCCGTCCTCCTCCGCATAATCCCTCATATTCACATCCGCCCCGGCCTTAATCAGCGCCCTAACGACCGCACAGTCCCCTTTCTCGACCGCAACCCCCAACGGCACCCTCCCAGCCCCATCCCTAACATTTACTTCAGCACCCGCCGCCGCCAACCCGTTCACAATCCCCAGCCAGTTCTCCGATCCAGTAACGGAGCCATGAACCGCATAAAGCAACGCCGTCCGCCCCTGCCCATCCGCGCTCTGCACATCCACCCCAACAGCCAGCAACTGACTCACCACCGCCGCATGCCCGCCCTCGACGGCGGCGCTCAGCGCCGACTGGCCCCCGCGCGCCGTCTCGCGGACATTCGGGTCGACCGCCCCGGTGCCCAGCAGTAGCCCCAGGACTTTGGAGTGGCCGTGCGCGGCGGCCCAGAAGAACGGGGTGCGGCCGAGCTCGTCGCGGCTTTCTAGCTTCACCCCGGGGGTGCCGAGGAGAAGGGTGACGATTGTGTCGTAGCCTTGGGTGGCGGCGAGGAAGAGGGCGACTTCGAGTTTGTCTTTGGGCGGTGGGGGGTCAGCCATTATTGGGTCTGATTGGATGTGGTGTGTGGTATGGGGTTTGTCGGTGTGTAGTTCAGTCTGTGTAGCGTAGTGTGTGTGGTGTGGTGTAGTGCAGCGTAGTGTAGGCAGTATGGACTGAAGGCGTGAAAGTAAGTAAGCAAACAGAAGAGTCGTCGTGAGGTCACTAGTTGTTGTTGTCGTGCGGAGGTCGATAAGGAGAACGTTTCCAACTCAGGCTTCAAACCCAGGACAGACACAGACACAGACACGGACAAGCGGACAACTGACCCAATCTACGACCCCCAGCTCAACTCTCCAGCTCTACAAGCAGACCCTGAGAAACCGAGCGATCTCCCTTCTCCACCCTCACAGACCCCGCAGTGAAACCCCCACTATCGAACGAGAATGGATTGCTTTGTGATATCGAGGAGAGTAACCACGTCCACTTCACACCTCGCGCATCCAAGACCCTACCAACAATATAAGGCAGCTCGGGCAGTAAGAATCGCACACGGCGCCAATCTGGCGACAGGAAGAGTGGGTGTCAGTCAGAGCTCTAGAAAAGCTAAATTCCTCGTTTGAAATTGCGCGTTCCGGGGCATCGCATGGCAGGTGCTGCACATCAAGTTAAGTTTCAAGTAAGTAAATGATATCATGGGGATATCCCTCGCATTAGTAGTATTAGTCTGGGAGTCCACCTACCTAGCCCCGAGAATAAATCAAGATACAAACCACAGAGAAGGTTGAATCGCTCACCAGAGAATCCACCTCCCTCAGAGAGTCAGACAAGACGAAAATTAACAGAAGACGAAGAAGAACAGCGTAGAAGGAACCGAAACAACCCCAAGGAAACCCACCCCGGCTACCCAACCCGTCCCAGAAATCGTTTAGCCTCTGTGCCTCACAATGAACTGAAAGCCAGGAACTAAGTACCCAATTCCCACCCCCCTGACTCCCTAAACTCACTAACTGCCTACTAGATTGTATAGACCCGCACTGCTGGGCCACGTGTGTCGTAGTCACTGGCTGGGTTGGGGGGTGTTTTCGTGCAACATCCAGTCGAATTTAAGAGGTGCTGTGTGTGTGTGTGTGTAAGGGGAGGGGTTCGCTATTTGCCATACATACACACACACACACACACACACACACACACACACAGTAAGGCATGGATTACCGTGGGATGATTGTTTACTAGTTCTCGCTTGGGTTGGCATTTGGGCCGGGGGAGCGGGAGTCTTGCGGGATGGTCGGCTTCTCGGGTCCAAGGGTCTCCGTGTGGCGTGCAGATTGTCTGAGTTGATAATACTGTATAGTGATTGCTGAGCTTGGACAGATTCGTACGGAGTACTGGCAATGCTATAATGAGGGGAAGAGAGAGAGGGGAAAGGTCGCTGCAAGCAGCATGCAACTGCTCTGAGTTCCTCACACCCAAACCCAATCCCTTCTCCCCACCCAACGACAGCCCAATCCCTCCATTCGTCAGGAAACCAATCCCTCCTGTAACCACGCATGCATAACGGTCAAACATCATTACAAAACGCCCATGCTATGCAATGTCAACGCAAAAGCCAACATGACCCACAACGCCGTGCCTGCACTGGGCTTGGATTCAGATATAGCAGCAAGGCTGGAAAGGCAAAACCTCCCACCCCACACTGGTGGTATGGGGGGACACTCAAGAAATAGAACATGCAATATTAACTACCCTGCGGACGATTCCCGGTATAGACCCCCTCGAAGTCTAACCCGTCCAGCATACCATTGACCCGGTCGATCTCCCGCGTGAGGTCTTCGACGTTCATCGCCAAGCTGCTGACCTCGTCGAACTTGCGCCGCCGGTTTGCGTCGGCGATCATCTCCGACACAAAGAACTTCTGTTCCTCGAGCACAATCAGCCGTTCCCGGAGGGCTTTCTCCTCCGCCTCCAGCGCGGAGACAGCACTGCTGGTGTCGCTGGCGAGACTGCTCGTGCTGGCGCTAGCGGCCATGCTGCCATATTTGATGGACGCCAAAGCCGACTCGGGCCGCCGAGGGCTGCCGACAGGCCCTTGACTTGGACTCCCAGGGGTGCTACCTGAACCCACCATTCCTCCGTTGGGCGTAGCATGTTTCAGCAGCTTTGGAAGCGTCTTCAACGGCAACATGTGCAGATGCAGGAAATTGCTTGCCTGCTGATAGATGGCCTTCTGTAGGCGCTGTTGCGTGGGTGAGTCTGTAGGCATATCGCGAATCCGTCTGGCCGCGACGTCGTACTGCGCAAACGAGTCCGTGAGTCGTTTGCGGACCTTGGAAGCTTCAACGATTTGTGCTGATGAGGGAGGCCGTCGAGGATCTCTGCCACATATGTCAAAGACTGTCCCCCCAAATGATTCAAGAATGCAATGGTGTACGTACTGCAAAGCTGCTAAAAGTTTCTGAAATTTGGGTAACAAGAGACGAATGCCTCTTTCGAACTGGGTCAGGTTCTCATATGCCCGCACGGCCGGGGGTTTGCGGAGGATTTCAGCTTCAAAGTCACGTCGGTCGAACAAGGTCGACCGACAGTCCTTGCAGAGCCTGACATCAACGTTGATCACGCCTGCGCGATCTGACTTTTCCGCGGCTGTTGTAGCGACTGCCGACTCTGCCAATGGTAAACTTGTAAGATTATAACTCTCTGTAACAAGATTAAAAGGTAACACACGGGATGATATACTCAAGGGAACCTCTGTGGAACAGGCAGTTATAGGGTCACCGCATACGACTCGCCCGCATGTTCTGCAATGGTGGCGCCGAAAGGAGTAGCTGGAAAATTCCTGCTGGCAAAAGGGACAGCGGAGAACGCTGGCATCGTCCTCCCAGCTGACGATGGTCTGCTCAAGCGCTTTCCGCTGGTCGCCCTGCCACGAAAGCGACCAGAGCTTATTGGCACTCGACTGGATCTGGTCCACCGGCAAACTCGCCAAGAGTTGCGTGAGCCGCGTCAGACGCTTTTCGAGACGCGAGACCTCCAGTAAAGCCTTGTCGACCGTATGCCTTCGTACAGCCTTGAACTCATCCATGCGGTTCCGGGTCAAACCTTTCAAACAGATCAGCCTGCTATAAATTTCCCCTTTTAAGTAGGTCAGGAGCCAGACATACCGGTATGGTCATTATACCCATCCCTCGACTTGTAACAAGTCTCACAAACCCGGCACCACAGACCCCTCACCGGCTCATGTTGCGCTGACCTCGAAAGCTTCATCTGATACATCGTGTGCTCCTCGCAGAACAGCTTCCCGCACTTGCGACAGTTGATGCAGCCATTCGTCGCACCTAGCCGCTTCCCGCACGACGGCTCCAAGCACGAGTCGTATAGGGACCGACCCTGCCAATGCTCTTTCGTTATGATATCATCTGGGTCGAGCGATCTCTCCGACGACGGCGGTGGTGGTGGCGGGTGGTTCGCATGTGAATTTGTCGAGGCGGCCGGGCCGGCCGAGGCGCGACTCGGCCCCGCGAACGGCAGCTGGAGGTTTTCGTTGGACTCAAAGACATCGAGTCCCTTAAGCTTCTGATTCAAAACAGCCAGAGGTTGAAAACGTTTCGCCTTATCCATCTGAGTCTTGAACCAATCCTTGACTTCATCCTGCCGATCGTCTTCCAGGTTCTGGTGTACGTCATCGATATGTCTAGCGGGGAGAGAGGGGAGAAACGAGGTCAGCTATGTAGCGTATCATGGTGCGGGTGGTGCGAGAAGGTACCTATTCAGTTGCAATAGTGTCAACTATAGATTTCCAGCACTAGTCAGCTTTTCCCTGTACTGCATGTTAAGGGGAAGGTGAGGGGCCAGAAAGCATGCTACCATACCATCTCCTCGCTGCAAATCGGACAGACCAGCTGGGCTCCAGCAGCCGCGGGAGCGGCAGGGATCGCGGTAGAACCATTCTCGAGAGAGATGCGCGAGGTGAGGTCTTGAGCATCGGCAGAGAACTGAGAAGCAGATGCCTGGGAACTGAGAGAGAGGCTGCTCGCGGAGGGCGATAGGGCAAGGCTCCTTGGCTGGTGGTTCAGTTGCGGAGACGGGATCGCAGCAGCGGATGGAGAACGAGCGTTCGCGGGGCCTAGAACACGACCTCCACCCAGCGTCCTCCGGGACATCTTGGCTGAAACCTATGAACGCATGAGAGACAAAAGCCCGCGGGAGCAGAGGAAAGGGAAGTGAATAAGATGGAGCAGTAGGAGAAGAAGAAGAAGTTCGTGGTAGACAAAAGGGGTGGGGGAGAAGAGAAGGGGGAGAGTGACGGTCAGTCCAGCGGCAGCCTTGCCCAAAGGTGGAGCTTCAAAGACTAAGAACAAGTAAATTAACAAAACGTCCGTTCTCCGTACGGAGCCGGAAACTTGCTTATCGCTCCGCCCGCCTTCTTCCACACCGAACATCATCATCTGTCACAATGTCACATTCCAGAAGACTCCTATTTACGTCAACACTAAAACCACAGAACAATATCACAATTCTAAGGCGTCATTCAAAGTTCTATGAACACACACTTCCACATGGCCAGAAAGGGCCTTTCCTACCAAAAGCAATAGTATATATCTAGACAAGACATCATAAGAATAATAGAGGTCTTCTAATGTACCCAACCCCTTATATCGTATCCAAGCCGCTTACGCCTTCGTCTCGGTCTGCTGCTCCAATGCCTCTTGACGCTTGCGCTCTGCCTCCCGCTGGAGCTGGTCCGGTCGGCGGATAGCGATATCCTTCGGCCGGAAGTCACTGAAAAGTCGCTTGAGCACATTCTCAATGATCCAGCATCCGGCGTAGTCGAAGATCATCAGGACAGTAAGAGTGGCCTTGAACTCGGTGCTGAAGGGGACAAGGCGCAGTTTCTCATTCAATTCAGGAACGAACTCCGTGGCGCAAGAGAAAGCAACACCAGAGGCGGCGACCAGACCCCAGTACATCGCCTTATTCTCACGGATCGACTCTCGGAAGGGACGGCCCTGGTAATTGATCGAAAAGGTCGATATCTGTTGAATAAGCTGAAGCAGGTAGATCGCGCTGTTAAGAAGCGACGGCTCGAATTCGCCCTCCAGGTCAATATCAGATTGTCTCCTAAGCACTTGTTAGTATATAATGCAACCTTGAAACTAGCATTAGAGGCATGGCTTACGGTTCAATTGAATAGACATAGTTCGACAGGTAGATTAAGGTGACAATGTGAATGGCAAATTGACCAAGCACAGAGCCAATAATGTAAACGTTGAAAATGTTCGGCTGCGGACGCTCCTTGGACAAACCCTCCACGGACTGAGATTTGAAGTCAGTAAAGGCATGCTATCGAAAGTGTATTGCGATGAACTAACCTTCGCGCGGGAAATGGAAAGGAAGCAGACGCTCATCAGCATACCACTGATAGTAACCTGGCCGTCACCGAATTTGATACCGTCCAAGTAGATGACACTCAAACTGTAGGCGCTGATCAAGCAGTTCAAGGCGAGGATCTTGTACATCTGGATTGTCGCAACAAGGGTACAGCGTCCCTGACGAAGAATATTCGGGATAGCGATAACGTTGGCGAGCTTGCTGGTGAACGGAGCTGCGACCGAGGCGTCTCCGAGCTTGAGAGTGGGGGGTTCGTTGTCATCGAGCTCTTGTTCCATCATGGACGAGGTAAGCTTGTCAGCAAACCCAGCAGCGGACGCCGCCGCTTGCTGCCTCCGCTGTTGTTCGGGGGTCAAACTGGCGTTGGACTGCTGTAGTGCCTGTGCGCCGGGCGAGGTAATGGTCGGGATAGCTTCTGCCTGGGGCTGTGCGCCTGGGTTGGCACCCTTGCGCTGCGCTTCACGGTCGACGGCCTTCTGATAGTGGGGATTGCTAGGCCCAGGGGGGTACAAATGGGCAATCTGAAGAGGAACAGGGGGAGCAGGCTGATTGAACCGTTGCATCATGGAAACCTGTTTCTCATAGATCTCCTTCATTTTGGTGGTACGGTAGTGGTCGGCAATACGTTGGAGATCTTCAGGGGAACCATTCAAGAGGGCAACACCAACATGAGCTTGCTTCAGAGCCCCCACGTCGTTTGTACCGTCACCACACATCAACGTTGTGTAACCAGCATCCTTGAGACCTAGCAGAATATCTTCCTTCTGCTTGGGGGAGACACGAGCATAAACCCAGGTGTGACGGAGAAGATCAGGTAGAGCCTTCTGTCCCTTGAACTTAGCCAGAGCGTAACCCGTAACACAAATATCCTTGGTGTCCAAGATGCGACGGTCGAGGGCCTGGGTAGGGTCAACATCAATGTTGACTTTGTCGTCAATGCTCCGCCAGACCAATCTGGTCCCGGACTTGTCATTCTCAGGAGCATCGAGGATCAGAACCTCACGGTCAACAATCTCGACTTGACGCGCAACATGGACGGCGGTCAACGGGTTGTCACCAGTAATCATGACAACACGGTGGCTGCTCTCGTTAAGCATGCGAACCGCCTTAATGGCATCGTCCTTCAAGGGGCATTGCAAGACAAGGAAGCCGGCAAAGGTCAAGTCAGACTCAACATCTTCACGGGTGTAGTTGTTAATGCGACCACGGGAAAACTCGGAATCGTGGGAAAGATACTTGTAAGCGAGAGCAAGGACGCGGGCACCGTTACGGGTGAAGTACTTGAAAGTCTCTTCGTAGCCAGGAGGAGTATCGACTAGCATGGTACGGATAGTCTCGGGAGCACCTTTGACACCGACAAAGGTGGACTTGACCTTCTTGTGTGCCTTGCGATCATCAAGAACGACAGTGGCAATCGTGCTCTGGCGCTTGAGCGCAGAAGAGAACTGGAACCGTCTCACAACTTGAACGGATTCTGGGATAACAGGACCAGCGGCAGGCGCAGCTTTACCAGTCAAGGTGTCGTTCTTGCCGAGGGTCCAGCCGAGCCATTTCAGAGTGGCCTTCTCCATGGGATCGCCGACCACTTCGCCTTCATCCAATTTGACCAGGGCGTGAGCACTAGCCAGAACAAGCGTGGTATCAAGTCCAATGTCACCGCCCTTGGCCAGCTCGGTGTGCGCGCCGTTCGGTTCGACCTTTGCACCGTTGTGACCCAAAGTAAGACCGGCGATGCCGTCGACGACAAGATCTTCACCGGTGAGTGTGCCAGTCTTGTCAAAGCAGGCAACATCCACGCGTCCAGCGAAAGGAATACGGAAAGGCTCCGTGCAAAAGATGGCGAACTTGCTCAAAGCAGCCAGACTAGTGTTGACAGCGAGACTGAGTTCCATTGGGAGTTCGGGAGGGACAACACTGGTAATGATCAAGACACAGTCCAGGAGAAGCTTCGACCTCTTGCGATCCTTTGAAACACCTTCCTGCCAGACATACCAAGAGGCGGCGATGGCGAAGATTAAAAGGAAGAGAATGAAAAGCAAGGCTTCCGCATTGTTGGCAGACACCCGCTCGGTAGAATAAATCATCGTGCGCACGAGACTTCCCTGGCTGGTCTCAAATCCGGTCTTGACGACGACACCCAGTGCGCCTGCGTCTGGAGTAGGAAGAATGTTCGATTCATTCTTGAAAACAAGATCTTCAGGAGCGGTGTTTGCATGGGTAATCTGAAGAACTTTGGTGCCGCCGTGAACAAACGCATTCTTGTCCAATCCTTCAGGTTCAATCAAGTCGTCTGAGGGTCTAAGCTGAACCGACTCCTTCAGAAGAGGCGTGCTCTCTCCGGAAAGCATAGCCTCGTTCACAATGGCACTGCCCTCGATCAGGAGAATGTCACACGCGACACCGCCATCTTCCTTGGTGCGGTTGACAGACATGAGGTCACCGGGCAGCAGCAGGTCACTGGTGATCTTTTGCCACTTCTTCTCGCGATAGACCCAAACGTCGTAAGGCTTGATGTTCATACCTCGGAATTCGCTGAGGGTCCTCTGTCGTTGCCAGACGACCGTGCTCTCAAACATGACAAGCATGGCGAGCGTGAACAAGGAGTAGTACCAGTATTCATCGAGCATCCACAGTCCAACACAGAAGATCTGGAAGACAAAGAATGGGGCAACCGCATGCTCTTTCCAGAGCTCCACAAAACCGGGAACGGGGATATCGAACGTGTTGTCGCCATAGTGGTGCCGAATGCGCTCGATTTCCTCCTTGGTCGCAAGTCCTTGGCTCTTCTGGAAGTACTTGAGTGCAGGCTTAGGCTCTGCATCGAGAACGTACGACAGAGGAGCAAACGAGCCAGTCTCCGGATTGAAGAGAAAACGGCGCTTCTGAAACAAGAACGAGATGGTCTTCTTTCCACCACGGTAATCAACAACAAGTGGACAGATTTCAGCGGAACCGGCGTTGGCAGCCGGGATAACTTTGATAAGCCGGGCGGAATCAACCGAACTGGCCTTGGTAGCGGTAAATAGAGTCTGGATATTGATATTCCATTTCGTCATCAGCCATAGTAGAGATTGCGCGGTGATGATCGAGCCAGTAAAAACGAAAGTCCATTCCTGGCCCTGGATGTAGGTATCGTAGCGCTCAGGAGACAGGTAAAAAGCCAAAAACGCGGGCCAGATAATCAAGAAAGGCCAAACATAGGTGTGTAGCTGGGTTGGAAGGGGGTTGTGAAGCGACGCATATTTGATCTGGTGATCGTCCACGAGTTTTGCCCTGCAATCGGACCTGAAGTTAGCAGATGAACGAGTACGATATGCAGTTCAGCGAGGGAGGGCGAAACCAACATGATGACACTCGAGCGACCACGACGCGGGTCAAACGACGCGAGCTTGGAACGATGAGTGGGGGGGAAGTCCTCTCAGTAGGTAAGCATAGGAGAGAAGGTGCCTAAACCATCCAAGGCGGACTGCCGATGTCAAACCGATATCGCAGCAAGAGATGAAGAGGAAAGCACGAAGAAGCCACCTCGACGGTATAAATTTGGGGATTTCGCCGCCGGGAGCTGAAGGTACGGAAGGCCCGTCGCTGGTTACGATTGGCCGCCACGTGCCTGCACGGAGCTGGGATTTTCCCGGCCGCTTCGTTACGATAAGAGATGATGCCGTTAACATAACAGGTACTGAACTGGATTACTGCGGGAATCAAGCAACTTTCTCTTTCTACTTTAGGTCCACCTTGGTACTGCTTTCTGCTCACTAAATAGCCCAGAGTATAGAAGAAGTATACAAGTATATATTCTAAGTAATAATAGAGTACTTCTAAAACTATCTAGAATTACTTATCTGATCTATAGTTGACTACTTTGTTAACTTAAGGTAGTTAGTTTAAAGACAGATGCAGTGACCTTGCCTACACCAGCTCATGAGTAGGTACGGAAGCGCGTTGATCCACTTGATTGTTTAGCGATGTGGCATTCATCACTCTGTCGAGATGCTAATTGCTTGACTTAAACCTTTAAATATCAGTAAAATAATATATTACTTAGGTTAATGTATCTATCACATAGCACGAAGACATAGCAAGGCACAGTCTACTGTGTTGTTAGGTAAATGGCTATCTGACTACACGCATTGGTGGCGCATGTTGTTACTGGCCGCAGACGACGGATCCCCGGCCCTCAACTGGTCGTTAGAACTGGCCGTTAAAACTGGCGAGATATCTGATCAGTTGCATGAGCGTCATTTCATCTCGGATTACCGAACTCCATCTGCTGTGCTCATCACCGAGTCTTTCTTTCTAGCTTTTCCAGATCTCTTTAAAAGGTCTGATATATGTTTCTAGGCCCTGTTCTCCGAAGCGTATAAAAGGTCCCTCCATTCGTAATACCCGCACTCGACGCGTGCATATCAGCCCGATATATTATGGCATGGTGGGTACGTGTACAAGGATTGAAGCATAATCCATCATCTACCAGGTACTAGAAAGTACCTACCGTCTCTGAGAGGCCTGCAATATCCAAACTCCAAGGTATTCCCCCCCGCTTTAGCGCAGTTGGATCTGGTCCTGCTCTAAAGCAGTCCGATGGCTTCTCGATACTGAAGTCGTCATCTCTCTGAACCCCGCTTATACGACCATAGGTTAGATTTGGACGATTTCAAAGGCAGATACTTCGTAGTGCATCCAGCCTTCTTCCACAGCTAGGCAAGCCCCCTTTTTCCAATGTTAGGAGCGCTGCGCTACTTACCCGAGAACCAGGCGGGGGGATTCCTCGAGCGGGAATTAGAAGTAGTTGGAAATGCGCCAACCAACGAACCTCAGCACTGAGCCTGCGATAACTGCAGAATCAAAAAGGTATGGATGAGCCCTAAGGCTTCCAGAATTTGAGAAGGACAGCCGCCCGGAATCTAGTACGGCCCCCGGCAGATCTCCCGCCAGGGAGGCTGAGGACGCTGCCCCACCAGCTGCGGTGCAGCCCACCCTGTTCACCAGGGAACCACCACTGTATATGGTCGAAGGAGAGTTATATCGGACTGCACAAAGCCATGCAGGGGAGCCAAGGGAACGCCGGGACAGTCCTCGATCCAATGAAGGATACTTCGACCTGGTCCAGTTGCCTCGATTGGTCTCCAGGAAAGAAGGTTCCCTGTCTACCGGAGTCCAATTATCCAATGACAGAAAATCCACACCTCGGCGTCGATTCTCTTCTCGCTGGGTGGGTATATCAAGCACAGCTCCGTCTCCCCGGGCCTGGAACCATACTCCAGAACTTAGGTCACTATACTACTTGGAGAAATACCTAGGTTACGCAATGTGCTCGAGTAGGACACTTCCCATATATTCATGTTGGAAAGCACCTACTGCTCCAGGGGAGAGGTCAACCGACTGCGCTGGAGCAACGGGATCCTGTAGGTGTTTTGTCTGGTTCGTTATCGGGGCTATCATTTTAATTGGAACACGGCTCATTTCGCTTGAGCCACCAAGCCTGAACCACTTTATCCTCAGCCCCAACAGCGGAACCTGCATTTCCTCTCGCCAATTCGACTGAAGAGAGGTCGAACCAGCGAGAAGTTCAACTCGCTCACCCCTCGCCTGCCATAAACCGCATGACTTGAAGTAATGCAACCAGAGCCACCCGTTGGCACTGAGATTGAAGGTATCTTTATGCCAGCATAGCTGAACATTGCTTCGAGATACCGTGTCGACCGGAATCTGCTTGCCTCCCGAGAATCACCACTACCATAAACGCTCGGGTGAGTGTTGAGGTTGATGAGATCGTAGTTGGGGTGGACTGGGGCGGAATGTAAAAGACCCCCAGCTATAATAATCCCGCGATCGTTAAACATCCGCACTGAACCGGCTCATCGTGCAGATTCTGGCACTGTAGATGCAAAAGAGTATAGGAACCGGAAACAGGATGGACGTTAAGCACCCGAGAAGCATCATGGCCCAATTGACACCTAGATTATGAAACTGGAACATAGCAAGTGGGGTTCAGATCATGGACAAGTTTTAATCCGGATCAGACTCACGATTGCAGTTGCAAACTATGGGAAACCGGCGTCAAGACACGAGTGAAAGATCTTGTTGGCTGCAACTGCAGAGGCTTCGAAGCAAAGCTAGAGGAAACCATAGATAAAAACCCCATATATAACGTTACCAGTAAAGGAATCGGCTCCTGTAACAGCATTAGTAATCGATGCATACAGGATCATCTTCTCCATCTCAGTCCACAAGGTTTTTGGAATTCGAGTCATCACAATTTCGGCCGGTGATGCGTTCTTAATCTGAATCCAAATCGCTTGGCGACTCTCGGAGTTACCGGCAGAGCAGAGAGAGGCGGGACTTAGCCAAATGACATCAAGCACACTTCTAATTCAGAGTCTGGTCTTCTGGCTAGGAAAGAAGTACAATAGAAAGGTTTCGATGGATCAATCAAAAACAGTACCTGTATGCTCCAGCATGAACATCTGTGCATGTAACGAGCATAGAACAGCCTGCATCACTTTGTCATAGATGACCTTACTGACCGGACACAGGAGGTGATTTTGTGCAGGGGTCTTATGCAGTTCTATCCCTGCATAGACCATATGTAGTGGCCCATAATCGGTACAACCACTACTGACGAAACATTAAACCTGATAGTTATTTATTAGTGTTGTGACTGGAGCAGGGGCGAAATGAGCATGACATAATGGATGCAAGCTTCAGTAACAATGTTCAGCAATAAGGAAACAGCATAAGTGTTGTTATTAATATATTCGTAAATAAGACATGAACACATGATAGACTTCTATACAACGTCAGAGGTAACTACAAAGGACTTGTGTATATTGACCCCTTTCATGCCTTTAGGCTTTGGATTGAGATCCTCCTGACTGCTGTGCGGACTCCCGGCGGCAGTCTGAATGGTCGTGATCACACCCTGGGAATCTTCTGGGTCGAGATCTGGGCGCCAGTATTTGGTCGCATGACTCTGTGAGGCGTGATATGCATGGCCGATTGAGCTCGAAAGCGGCATGCTATCAGCTGTTTTCTTGCTGCGTGTGACGCCGTAACTGGCGTCGCCCAGCCAGCGAAAGAGAGGACGCAGGGTAACTAGACAGCCTGCCGTAATGCCGAGGCCAGCCTCGACATTGGACCAGATTGAAATCTGCGCTGTAGCATCTGAAAAAGAAATTCGGTATGAGTTAATCTGTGGGGCTAATATGTAGATCGTGGCCAGATACAGCGGAGATGAGACTCACAGAGGAACTCCTTGTCGTTGTAGGTAGGCAGGAAAGGTATGCGCACAATCACAGCAGCGCTAGCTCTATATTTGAGATGATTAGATGCCTGAGGAATGATGTCAAGTAGTGATACCGCCACGAGGAGCACTTACACGCAGCCCATGCTCAGAATACCGGCCAGTGCAGCCTTGGTTCTTGTGCCCATTTGCAAGTTCCAAACCAGAAATGCAGGCAACAATCCCAAGATCAAGTCACAAACCATGGCCGTCACGCTATACAGGTATGCGACGTCGATAAGGTAGTTGATGGAAAGGCATGTCCCGGTAGAATGAAAGCGCTGCCAAAAGTATGACACGGGCTGACATTCCAGAGTCAACATGAACCAAAAAACCAGGCCCACGACGATTGTGATGGCGATGACAAACCATAAAAGCATCTTGTGTACCCGAGAAACGGTAAGACGGAAGAGAGTCAACGCAATAGAAACCTTGGCAACAACGACCGTCACGACATAGCTTGTTTGCCCTAGCCACCACCACTGATACTTGTTAGTCACTACTGACTGTGGAGTGATACGGTGACGCAGATGACGTACAAACAAAGCGGTTTCCAACGTATCTTCGTCAAGCCACTCGAGCTTCTGTCCCATGCCATACAGTGATCCGGTAATACCACATAAGGCGAACAGAATCTCCAGAGCCTACAACAGTAATCACATGATTAGCATGATGTAGAAGAATGCGGCCCACCAGCACTTTAGGAGCATCCAACCACATACCATGGCAAAAACCATCAGTGCATCGTCCCAGCCGAATGCGCGCACCAGTCGCAGCCTCACGAAGCATCGCAAGCAGACAGAAATGAAGGAAAGTCCAAGAAACACCACAGTAACAACGAAAATGGGCTCGCTGCGGCCTCTGAACTCAACCATTGTAGATTGTTCGGGCTGCGAGGTCAATTATGGTCGAGGATAATGGACTAAGAGCCGATGGCATACATGGTCACCACAGGGTATGAATAGTAACCATCGGAAAAGGGCCGAAAGAGAGGAACTGGACGCAATGCAAGAGGATTCGCAATGTAGACGTCGAACGATAGCATTTTAAGGGGAGAGAAGACTAGGAACACGAGAAGAAGCTTCTACGCTAGGGATCCGGGCCGGGTCGGATTGTCTGACAGGGCATAGGTTGTAGAGTGCATGATGGCACTCAGTGGCAACTTGCAAGGAAGCGACTGGGGGAGGGGGGGGGTGAAGGGGAAGGGAGGTGGAAAAGTGACGAATGAAACCCAGCAAATGCAGCTTGAGTGGACATGGAGTATCTAGGCACGTTCTGAAAAATCCCCTCAATGTCATCATCTCGTGCCTCTATGGCCAGGAATAGACTTGGTCGGAGGCTGAAGACCCATCTGCAAAACTTCAATGACTTAAAAGAGTCGATCGGCACTGCTCTAGCAGTGTCAAGAGATGGTTCCGTAACAGTCTTGCTCCAAAGTAACAAGCCGGTTGCTTGAGCGGATCTAAACAAGCACACTTATCCTTGAAAGGAAAATGTAGTCAATATCCTGTCGCTGGCACGGGGTCACTTCCTAAGGTGGGGAAAAGTACCTCAGGCACGGAACGCCTTACTGCAAGCGATTCTAGCATCAATGATGACAACATCCCATGCAGGACTAGTCTAGGATGCTATGCCGTTGACTTGAACGATCCGTGCCTCAAAACTTTGGTGTTGTGGAGTGACGGCTTGCTGTGCGATGGCCGTTGGCCAGACTCGGTTGATTAGACATTGAGACAAGATAAGAAAGGCACGCTGCAGGGGACACGCGGGCGAACTAAGATTGAGTATCACCTTGGCAAGGGTTCTCGGGCCTCCAAATTGGCGTTGAAGCTGTTGCTGCTGGGAACAGGCAGTTGATGTGATGACCAATCCTAGAGAATTCTAGGTTGCAGAAGAGTTGCTAGAGGTTCGTTCGGTCCCAACCATGGAAATAGACAAACGAAAGTCGAGTCCTGTGTCCATTCCCCTGGTACGACTCTGCCAGAAATAGGTTCATTGCAGAACACCGATTTTTTTTTTTGTTTATTTTATTTTATCTATTTTTTCTCTTGAATGAAGCACTAGTAGTATTCTCAGCAATGACCATGCTCAAAATTCAGATCGAGAATCGCAATCTCGGTAAAAAAAAAAAAAAAAAAAAAAAATCCACGATTCAGCCCGGATGAAAAACGAACCAACTTGATCGATCGTAGTCGCACAAGGTAAGGATAGACAGTCCCACCGATGAATGTTTCATTTGAATCTTCGTCCCTGCCGACACGATTAGCCTGAACTGAAAGTTCATTTCTCTTTTGCTACTCTCAGTATTGAGTAGCAAGATAGTATACGAGGACTTTTCTGTAAGAAAGCAAGCAGATCCTCCAGGTCTACAAAGTAAAATCCCTTCCATGATGCTTAGCCAGAGATGTTCTTATAGTTACCGTTGGTACGTACTCTGTAGTATCTTGATTCAAACAAGCCCGACTCGTAACGGGCTCCTGCCGAACGGGCTCCCACTTGCCCCTCTTCCCAAAACTCCCACCCGCCAAGCGACTCCACAATTAATTTGAACCTGCCGATCCAGCACGAGGATCGCATCTGAGGATCTCAGATGGAGTTACACCTGTGTCACCTTCCTCCCTCTGTCTGAGGGTTTGTGTAGGACAGACACCAGGACGGTCGCATTGTCAAAAGACGGAGACAGATTCCTTCGTGCGATAAGCGGTGTTCTGTTTTACTTTCCAAATATGCGTCTGACGGGTGACAGGTGTCAGCATTGAACGCCAGGGGATCTCAATCCAGCTACCTCCACGCCCTCTCCTGCCTAGGACCTGACCCAGCCCTCTAGTGCCGCCGGACTTCCGTGGCGCAGCCGCCATAGACTTTTATTCAGAAGAAAAACAATAGAAGTCATCTTATTGTGCACATTGTTCCCCTTATTCTCCTAAGCTCGGAGAGGGTGACCGCTTCCGGCGTCGCTCCGCCCATGCCAGCTTTCGACCCTCGGTGGATCCTGGCGGGGGGCGGCGCCACGAACCATACTAGGCTCGGCTATCAAAGTTGCATGAATTGTGACTGGTGCAAACTCCGTGACCTGCGCACTGCAACAGCGGAAAGTCTCGCGTACGTCCTCTAAAGCTAAGATGGGAGGGTATGCCAGAACGCTTGTCAACTCCATGCTACCACGCTCATTGAGACTCAAATCAACAACCGAGACCTTCCGATGAGCCGGCTTAGGGTGGTCCTGCATCTCTCAAGGTGGGACAGAATCGGTATCTCCTCTGTCGTCGTAACCCACGAAGTACTCCTACTTAGGTTCGCTGGGATTGTCAGCTGACTAGGCTAAGCCTCGGAGTATCCCCCAGCCCCCTCCCCTCCTGAAACGGTCGTTGCTTGAATGCACGTTTCATATGTCACTGTTGAGCTGTCAACGGAATGCTATTTTAAAGCTATCGGATCGAGTGATCTAGCTCTATATTATCTTAACATATAAGGCGGCGAGTCTTGAAGGAGACTCGCGTGAGTTCCTCCTTTGAAGATACGCTAGCAGCCCAACGCTTGGGCTTGTCCAACCTGCGATGGTGCCATACAGAATGTTCTGTACAACGACCACTTTATGCGAGGAATGGTACTCTCTGTCTTCATCCTCGCCTTAGGCAATTAGCTACACGACAACAGCCAATATGGTGTTACCTTTCAGTTTCGGGACTCCTTGTTCTGAGTGATGGCAAGTCGGATGTGAATCCAACTGTCGCATGCATACTACATCAAATCCATCTAAGCATTGGCCATCATGATCGTCGAATGTATCCACACGAGTGTCTCAGCGCCCATGGCCAAGACTTCTTTAGTGACGTGATAAGGTCCCTCGTGCGTAGACTGTTAAATACTACGCCAACCTATCGCTACATTGACATACAGCCGAATTTCGAAGAATTGAAGGAGCAAGGAAAGCACAGCTGATGGAAGCCCTATATTCCCCTGCAACCAGGCCCATGTGACAAGCGCATTGAACTTCTGCAACTTCTACTTGATCAACCTGGGCAATCTAAATCGAACAATGCAAACGTCTCACTGAGCTGCTATTGTATACAGCACACTTCGTATAGGGCGGGTTGGTAGAGACCAATTGCGCATCCCTTCGAGCTTATTTTTCTGCTCACCTTACCGCCTCTCATTAGCAGGATACAAATCCCCAGCCTCGTGAATCGCGCTTCACTTTGGTGCGAGACGAGGGTTCTGGGCCTAGTGTGCATCTTAAAGAGGCATAACTGAGGTAACTGTAATGCCGATGAGATCAAATACCCGGCGTAGGACGGGTTGTCTCACATGTCGTCGACGCCGCGTTCGCTGCGACAAAAGCAACCCAACTAAGGCTTCGCCTGTCAGATTTGACGGCACCATCGATCGCCCGACAGGAAGTTGGCGATGAGCACAGTAAGGTATCCGTTACGATGGCATGTACGGTAATTCACAAGGCCGGTAATTGGCACCGAGAGTCCATACACCATTTGGCTCAAGTAGTATTGCCTCAGCCAGTCCGAATCAGATGGGGACCGTGTATTCCGAGTCTCATGCGACGCTTTATCCAGGCATTGATACTGAGGATTCGGTCCCAGGTGATGTATCGGCACCGTCGTCCACGAGCACGAGTGCCCATGCTCACGTAGCCCAATGGCTGGTTGGGCGGGTGGTCAACATTATTTGCAGGCAAAGGAACTACGAGCATTCCGTCGTCCAAGAGGAAATTAGGTTTCTTCGAGCAGCGTTTGCTGTATGGGAAGCGAAGGGCTGTGCGAAGACCCAGCCGATCTTGTTCCACGGAGTTAGCCAGGCAATGCAAGCCGCCAACGGAATTGTCGCAGCCAAAGGTGGCGAGATGCTGGAGGGGACCTTGAATGAGATCTTGTCATCGGCTAGTGTATACGTCGCAAAGGCAAGATCAGACTTGGAGGCGGCAGTGTTCGCTGCTGCCTGCTGGTTTCAAGGTCTTTAGTGTATCGGAGGGGTGCCTGGTTCGAGATCGTGACATTTTGTGTAGCCTTTCTCATGGACTCGCTTGGAACTGATAACAATGTGCAGGGGTGCTTCATTTCATATGATCCCTTCCAATAGAGTGGGCTCACTTGATACAAAATCGCATGTTCCTGGGGGGCTCAGCGAGTCACCGCTTCCCATAGGGACCTCAAAGTGTTCCCTAGTCCGTCACCATCACTCCAGACTAGGAGAGCTCAATCAGTCACAGCCTTTGGCTTGCCAGCATAAGGGAGCTCCTGTCTCTGCGGGCGGGCATTGCTGCTCGCGACCATCTGCTCGTTCGCAGCGTCAAAACAAACTGACAAATGTCGTTAATCAACTCTTATCTAGCCAAAGAACGATGAAAGTAGACAAAACATGTTCTAGTTGTCCTCTAATGGCTATGCCCACGTGATCCAAGGGGTTATGACGAAACATCATCCTTCGACAAGGTCATCTACTACCCTCGGCAGAGTGTACAGGTACGAAACCCCACGCAGACCAATATTTTCTATAATTAACATGCAAGAAGTCTCAGACTGTCCCGGATATATGTATGTACATTTCAAACTGCGCTCCTCCATGATGCCGTATGTGCCTGACATCAACTAATCTTCACAGAGGATATTTACCACTTGGCCTGGGGGCTGCTCAGGAACTCCTTCAGGATTCTAACCCGCTCCTCGAGAGCCGGGACCTCACGGTTCAGACCGTCCTGCACCTTACCCTGATCCTCGCCCAATCTGGCGTAGAAGTCCTTGCGGTAAGGGCAGGCAGACATGGCAGCGGAGAAGAGGGGCTTGACAACGAAGGAGTGGTGGGGCTTGAGAGTGTCACCGTAGGCGTTGCGGAAGGAGTCGGCGAGCTCGGTGGAAGGGTTGTCGATGTTGTGACGGAGACCCTTGGCGGTGAATTCAAGACCCCTGTGTGGAGAGCGGCATGTTAGCTTGGTGTTTTTGAGTCAAGAGCTGAATGGCTGCTGCATGCCACATCGTCTTGTGCGGCTGCAGAAGCCACGCGCTCAGCAAGTTGGGAGGGGGACAGAGGGGTTCAATCTAACCTAACAAGCCAGAGGAGGCCCTCAGTGGCGGTGTGCTTGCCGGTCTTCAGCTCGTTGATGACAAGCTCCTGGAGAGTCTGGGACTCAGCAGGAGCTGCCACGAACCTGTCTCTAACTTTCTATGATCGGGTTAGATCTCAGCAACGACTAAATGCGGGGTATGCTATCCGTACCTTGATGTTGCCAGTAAGATCAGACTTGACGACGCCGAAAGCCTTGGATTGCATGACATCTAAAGGGAGAAGTTAGGGATGAGGTGTCACAACTGTGCTTTGCCATCTCAATGAGTGACATACCGAACAAGGTGGTCAGAGACTCAGCAGCCTCGAGGAACTCCTGGGTCGAAATGCCGTTGGCCGTGATGGGAACGTCCGCGAAGGACTTGATGCCGTCAAACCAGGTAGCCATTTTAGCAAGGATAGAAAGATGAAATGTATGCTGCAAGTACAGGGAAAGATAGTGGGTTGTAAGGAGATATTGCAGAGAGAGAGAGTCTCGAGTGATCAGGGGTTCCAGGAGCTTTTAAAAAGGCAACGTGGAGGGGAAGTGGAGGGCAGCTCATCAACAGCCCACGGCGGCCTGTCACAACTCACCGCCGCCGCAGGGGAGCGGGACACGCAAGCGGTGAGGTCGAGGCCAATCAACAAAGCGGGTCCGCGATCGCCCCTGAGGTGATTGTTTCACTTATGGAAGACAAAGCGTGCAAACAATGGGAGTCCCGCTCAGGCACTCAGGCAGAAAGGCATCAAGGCTGTAGCATTTCCTGAGAAAGGGGAGGGGGAAGCTTTACCTTAGCAAGCGACGTCATCGACTCCAGGCCAAGACTCGTCCCCCAGTGTTGGTTCCTGGCCGATGCCAGATCTGCATCTCTTACCCCCAGCCTTCGTTTCTGGCTCGATTGAAAATTCATTCTCTGTCCTCAAGGACACCCTAGCTATCTCTCTGAGAGGGTATTCTGGGGATGTCATGACTTCTCAGTCGCTCCCGGAGCAGCAGTCCAGTGCTGGAATGGCCACCGATCCTCGTCTCGGGTATGATGCCTCCAAATATCGCGGGCTAGATCCCGATTCCCATACTGCAGAGAAGTTGGTACGTGCTTACATACATTCAACATCAATCCGACTGCTGACCCCCCAAGCACCATGCATCTTCAAGACACATACACATGACAAATCGGCGATTCTTCATCGGCCCCATTCCACAGGGCTGGTTGCAGAATCACCGCAAATCATGGTGGAGGACGAGGCTCAGGTTGAGTAAATATTCCTCAAGAACAGTCACTTTCTCTGCAGATCCCATGGTGGCGCGATACTCTGAGGATTACGACACTGAAGAATTCGACTCATCCTCCGAAGAAGAGTCAGCTGGTCTGGCCGATACAACAGAAGATGAGGAAACCGAGCGGGAGCCCGAGGACGAAATGAGCGAACATGACGCTCGTCCCCGAAAGAGCTTACGGTCTATACCTTACACCCTTTCTGAAGAGAATGAGGTCTCGCGGACGTTTACTGCAGACACTAGTCGGTCAGCTTCCAGTGAAACATCGAACCACGAAGACGCATCTACTAGGAGACAAGATGGTGGTTCTGCATACTACACGGCTCATGAGCGCGGCCCAAGCGATGCATCTGCGGACCCCAGTAGAATGGGGTCGGAGCAACCCATGCAGGAACAAGACGGGCAAAGGCTACAGGTTCCTAACCAATATGCTGAGAGTCAGTCAAGCCCCATGATTCCTGCTAGTGATCATGGATCCACAACTGGGTTGCTAAGACCAGCTTCGCGATCCAAAGGAAAGGGAAGGGTACCTTCCACATCAACACTTGCAGACTTAGAGCAGCATGAGCCCCGGATGGAGAGCGACGATGAGCAGTCAATTCCGCATGGGAAGCGAGTTAGAAGTAACCCGTTGCACAAGAGGGCCGTCAAGTACAATCTGGATGACAACCTTTTGGATAAACAGCAGCGACTTTTCTCTCGTATATCGAGGACACAGGGAGTCTTGTCGCGGCATCGACCGCACAGGCGAAAAATCCAAGAAGGGGAGGTACTGAAAGCAGAGAAAATGCTTGTCCGAATTGAAGAGACACTACAGGACAAACTCCCTGATGACTATACAGAGAACGATAGTCTCAAGTCAGAGAACCGAGTTGTGGACCAGTGGAGAGAATATCTCGTGGCATGTCGAGTGTCTGCCAATGCAGATGCGCCATTCTCTCTCCAAATGTACAAGACTCGTGTCATTCCTGAAGTGCAGAAAGCAGGTACGCGGGTGTCACCGCAGTATGAGATTCCGTTGGGACGCAAAAGGATCAAGGTCAACCTCTACTCGCACCTAGACAAAACCATTGTTCTCTGGGGTCCCTGTAAGCGAGGAACAAAGATTTTCATAATACGGCCAAAGTCTGCGGCGCATGCTATGGAATGGTACACTTTCCTAAGCCAGGTGCTAGGAAGGCGCCGACCATCTTCGCTTCCAATCTATGTGCCAGATCTTGGAGTATCGCTTGTCTTCAAGAACCCTTTCGAGCAACTGGAAGCAATATACTCGAAGAAAGGGAAGAGTGGTGTGTTAGGTCGAGCTGCAACGGAGGAGAAATCTGTCGCCACGGCCATTGTACGTGGGTGCCTGGAGATGCTGGAGCACCGGCCTGAATGGGCCGAGGTCTTGAATCGCTGGTCGAAAACTGAGATTATGGGGCTTGCCTGGAAGCGGTATGACCGATTGGAATGGGTTTTTGGCAGCAATGAGGCCAACATGTACGGGTCGCTTGCGATGCATACTACCCACGAGCTCGAGCTGCGACCGAGGCAGCATTATCACACCTACGTCAAACACGACAACGAAAAAGAGGATGAGCCTTTGCCCGTGGAAGGCTTTCTTGTGCGTCTCACATCGCAACGTGGTGTACACCAACGGCTGAACAAGATGTTCTTTAAACGACTGTATTTCTTCACTCAAGATCACCACCTCTTCTTTTGCAGGCCCTCCAGATCACTGCCCCCAGCACCTCCGAAGCTCGCACGGGACGAGTTTACTATGCCCTCGACACAGCAGATCCTGGACGCCTCCCCTCTCTCCTACGAAATTGACCCCTATCCGTTGCAAGACGGAGAAATCACGTGGCTCTCAAGTGGCAACAAGGAACACGTCGCAAAACACGACGAAGACGCCTATGCCCATCAGCAAAGGAATGCACACAATATTGAGCATGCGGATGGTTTCATTGATCTCAACCGGGTCAAGGAAGTGCGCAATGTTCATCGCGATAGTTGCCCCGCTGACCCCAACCTTGAACAAGGGCCGGATGTCGATTTTCACCCTGACGCACGAGATTCGCATAGAGATGACGGCGCTACGAAGCAGTTTGATGATAACAGGACGTTTGAGCTGGTACTGCACAATGACCTTGTCGTTCGGTTCCAGGCATACGACGAGATAACCAAAAATGAATGGATGAAACGCTTGGATGCATTGGTAAAATACTGGAAGGTCCGGCTGGCGACCGATGCAGCGGAGCTGAAGCTTCTCCGCCAACGTAACCAAGAACTTCTTGGGATCGACGAGGAGATGGAGTCCATCATGGGCCAATTTGCGCGGAAGTGGGAGGTGAAGAAAGCCGAGGCATCGCCTCTGTTGCACAATATCTGTGCTCTTTCCGGCTGCCGGACAATTAAGGTTCGTCACAACCCACTCGATCGTTTAGGAACTCACTGACCCAAGTTGTAGATGTCGGGGCAGTTGTACCGAAAACCTCGTCGTCACAGCACCTTCAAGCGATGTCATGTAGTGCTCATGGCCGGGAAGCTGCTGATCTTCCGCACCTCCCTGCGCAAGCGTAATGGGGCGGAAGTGCCTCATATACATCAGAGCTTGGAGACGACGATTGACCTCGCCGACTGTTATATATATTCGGGTCTCTTGACCGACTCGGACTTGCTCTACACGAACCAGACCTTTGACAGCAATCGCCCTGGTCACCATTCCCTCCCGCGAGTCTACCTCTCGACTGATGTCTACACAAGCAGCGACGAGGATACCGCTATTGCCTTCGTAATCTGGCAGCCCCTCCGGAAGAATTACTTTCGGTCACGCGAGTACGGGACCAAGGGGGAGAAGCGGCAGCGACTAAAGCAGGTATCGACGCTGGGAGTGCACGGACGGACCATCGTCTTCAAGGCGCGCAGTCGTGTGGAGAAAGACCGGTGGGTGTTGAGTATCGCCTCTGAGATTGACCGACTGCAAGATGATCGACCGGAGGATGTGCGTATAATCTCACAGCAGAATTAGCGGGATGATTCGGTTGGAGTGTGCTTATAAGCGAAGCACCGGGTCTGTCTACTCTATATACATAGTGAGCACACGAGGAAAGCTGAAGACAGGACCTATATGTACATAGTCAACGCAAACAAACCATAATATACACACACCATCCTTTTATAATCGTGGAAAACGAGACGTACAAGTACATGCAACCTACCCGTGGAGAGACGCTACGACAACTGCGGCCTCTCCAACTGCACCGCCTCCTTGACCACACGCTCCCTGACCTCCTGGCGATAATCCTCGCCAAACCTGCGGTCGACGTCCCCCTCAACGACTCCCTTCTCCCAATCCCGCCAATCCAACCACCGCCACTTCGGCCACAGGACGGCCAGCACCCGCCCCGTGATCAAGCTACAACTCACCGGCCCATAGGTATTACTATCCATCGACTTGCGGGGATCCTGCGCATCCCCCTCCAACCACACATGATTAAACGGCACAACCTGCGACTCCTTCAGACAGGGTTCTCGCGTCGTGATGCGATCCCCGGGCAATCCAACAACGCGCTTTATGGCCGTGTGTCGGGGATTAGCGGGGGAGCTGTAATTAAAAGATTAAGATTAGCCCAGTTAGCCCATATGAAAACCCCTGGCCTCATATAACTCAATCACATAAATCCCCGCCAGCCCCCGCCCAATCCTTCGAACCAATATGCTCCCCCAGTCCCCCACCCATAACCCCCGTCACCCTCCCCTCCCCTTCCCCAAAAGAAAAGAAAAAGAACTCCAACTCACCGAAAAGTAACAACCATCCCCCTCTCCAACCTCCTCTTCCGCTCCCAGGGCCAGAACCCCCCTCCCCCCCACATATTCACTAACACCATGTCGCTCGTCGTGTGCATCTGCTCGTAGTCCTCATTCAGGTAGGGCGTCATGCTGGGCCCGCGCACCCACATCACCTGCAGGATGTGCTCAGAGAAGAACAGTCCGATGGGGAGGAGGGGCAGGGTGGCGCCGAGGGCGCGCACGGAGCGGCGGAAGGGGAGCGGGAGGGCGGCGTAGCGGGTGCGGAGGTGAGAGAATATCGTCGTTCGTTTGGGTGATTGCTGTTGGGATTTTTGCGCTTGTTGCGCTGCCTGGGCTTGCTGGGCTTGACGGGCTTGCTGGGCTTGTTGGGCTTGGATGCGGGCGGGGAGGTTCAGATAGCTTGGATTGTTTTGGAGGGGGTGGAGGAGGTGTTCGCGGGGGATGACGCGGGGCTTCGGTTTTGGTTTGGGCGGTTGCGATTGCGCTGGTGGCATTTTTGTGGAGTTTATGTTGTAAATTGGTGGAGAAGTTGTCGGCGGAGGTGATGGTCGTGTGATTGTAACTTGAGGGGAGCGGTCGGGGGGGGATGAGGTGGTGTTCGCTCGGAGAAGCGGGGTTCAATGAGCTGAGTGGGCGGTCCTTAAATTATCATGTAGTAGAACCGAGCTCGAATGACTGGTATGACTGTGAAAAAGGTGTTGAGTGTGTCGCACCGAACAGTGAGGATCGGACCCGGAGATCGTGATAATTATCGCGAGCTTGTTTGCTGTGTTTGCATTAGCCGGTTTGGGGACCTTGTCCTGTGACCGGACCCTGAGCTATAGATTGTGTTATATTATCACTATTTAGCAGGAGACACGGACCTATCTTGCTCTCTGAGGAGGACCTCCAATACGAACTGAAAATACATTTACTATCGTGATTGATGGGAGTCTCAGTGTCAACAGTGTCAAGGGTAGTGTGCTTCTGCTTAAGCTCCAGTTGCAAAGACCGCAAACGCCAGCCATTCAACAGAAGGTATTGTCATAAGTTCTGTGCATCGTATCATTCTTCCGAAGTCCGCCATCTCAATCACCAATCTTTTACCATGAGGCTGTCTTTCGACAGAATGCCGTCCGAAGATTGCGACCCATCCATCTCGATGATGCCACTTGATTGGACACTCTGCACATCGGTGGCAGAGGGAGGCCGGTCGACCTCGACCGGGTCATCGTCCAGTCTCTCGGTGCGGCCGTCCTCGGACTTGTCAACCTCCTCCCAGTCGTCATCCGATCTGATGGAGAAATCCTCAATGTGACTCTTTCCTCGCTGCTCGGTACCGGTCTCGTTAACCCTCTGTTTCTTGGTCTCCGGTTGGCCATCCAGTCCGGGCTCCATGGTGGGCGCATCGGGCAGCTTGGCTGCGAGGATCGCGGACGACGGTAAGGACTCACCATCAGTGCTTGCTGGCTGGGATTCGGTCTGCTCGATGCCGCCGTCCGTAGTGCTGGGAACCTCTTGATCCTCGGGCGGGAAGATCAAACTAAAAGACCGCATGCTGTTGTCAGCACGCACTTTGATGCAGCAGGGGCACAATAGGCCATGGAAGAAACAAGATTCGGACTTACGGTACGAGCTTCTCATAGGCTGCCTCGTCCTTGCGCTCAAAATTACAAAAGATGATGCGCTCCAGCTTGCCGATATTCCCATCAGCCTCCAAGAACCGGCGCGTCTCGTCCAGCACCGCCCTGGCCGCAGCCTCGCTCGGGTATCCGTAGACCCCCGTGCTGACGGCGGAGAACGCGATGCTCTTCATGTCATTCTCCACCGCCAGCTCCAAGCTACGACGGTAGCAGCTCCGGAGCAGCGACTCGGGCCGCCGGGGCCCCCCGCGCCGGCGCTCGGATTCGTAAATCGGTCCGACAGTGTGGATCACTCGTTTGCAGGGGAGCTCGTACGCAGCGGTGATCTTGGCGTCGCCTGTGTCGCAGCCATCCAAGGTGCGACACTCGCGTAGTAGGTCGGGGCCCGCGGCGCGGTGAATGACTCCGTCGACGCCCCCGCCACCCAGAAGACTTTCGTTTGCGGCGTTGACAATGCAGTCAACCCCTTGAAGCTTTGTGATGTCGTTGCGGATCAACGCGATCGTGTCGTTAAAGGCCTTGGACGGCTGGGCCAGCGGGGACGCGGCGGGAACCAGCCGCTTCAGTTTGTACAGGAGTGAAACGGTCGGGATCTCGGCGAGGGGTATGAGGGGACCCGCCATATTTGGGAGTCAGCACGTGAGCCAGCGATGTGTTGGTTTTGGTGATGAAGGAGATGGTTCCAGAAACTTGTTTATCGAATGGTGATGGAATCCTTCCCCGCCTTTGACGTTGAGGTGAGCGGGGAGCCGGGCACTTGCAGCGCAGGTCAACCCTATCGGAGGGGGATGTGTGTAAGCTTCAAATGGGTGTCGTTGGGACAATTGCCTGATTCAGCCCAAAATAAGTCTGAAAGAAATGCAATAGATGGTGTTTTCGTTGGATGTCTCTCTGATGCAAGTTGAGCTGTTGTGGAGGCGGAGGAGGAGCTTCCATCTTACACGTGATTGACACCTGATTGTTGACGCTTATCTTATCGCAGAGCCTGCTTCCAAGGTGACAGTTTCACCATACGTCATTCAGCGAGCAAGTGGATCGAAATTGGCAAACAGAGCCTCGGTCTATATCCGCATGTCTTGCGCCGTATGCGAGTGCTGAGCTCGCAACTGTCTCACCTCATAAACCTATGAGAAGTGCAGTGTCTTTCTCACAATACAGAATCTAGCCCAGTCTTTGTTCGCCAAGCACATTTACTCTACAGCATACGAAAGCAATCCAACCACTTTTCAACCACCTCCGCGATCGATATCCATCCATCCGATCCTCGACGTTAGCATCACGACTGGTACAAGCCACCAACCCACAGTTCAAATCCCACCTGTCATCTTCCGAACCCTTCCCTACACAACGGCCGACAAATCAGTTCCCCGGGGCCAATAATTGTACGCCAGGAAGAGTCAAACAATTCGATTATGCGCGGGTAGCATCCAAGCGCACCTGCAGGAACTGGAGGTCCGCCTCCTCCCGCCTTTCCTCACCGTACCAAGAAACTTGTCTCTATATCGGATGAAGAGAGTCAAGCGCCTCCTTCCATCGAACAATGTGATAGACGGTAGCGGGGCCAGATCGAGACGAGATCGATCGCAGCCCAAGACGTCAAGATGTCACCGCCATTTTGTTTGTTTTTGATCGGGCTTTTAGCATGCAAAAGCGCAGACTTTCCCCTGCACTCCGTCTTCCCATTACCCGATCTGGAAGACTAACGCACGGTATAATGCAATGTTTGATCCTTCTTTTTGCTTTTCCCTATCTGACAGATCGAGTCAGGAGTGATCTGTAAAACTAGTTGTATTGGATAGAGCGCACACAATGCATTGAACACCTTACCGCCCGGCAGATCCAAAATCGAGCCACATCTTGCAGATGCAGCAGCAACGATTGGATCGGACAAGGACGACAGGGCGAACTAATGCAAGGGCAATAAGTAAAAGAAAACCACTTTTGCGTGCTGATCCCGTGAGGGTCATGTCTCTCTGCACGCGATAGTTGCATTCGATATATTGTGATTATGACTGCGTATTGGAGATGCATAATGATTTGTCAAATGATGTCACGGGGGAGCCTCAAGCTGGGGTATCCCCGCGAATGGTGTCTCTCCCCTTATACATATAATGTGTATGTACTGTACTATGCAAACTGCATCGCCACATCATCCCAGCGGCTGCGCTCATTCGAGATAATCCTCCCTGTCAGCGCAGTTGGATGGATAAAATGCATTCTCGAAGAGGAAAAGGTTATGAGCGGGATTGCTCGGATGGATTGATCTCATACGTCCCCCGCAGCCTACTAAATCCGTTCGGAGCTCGGATGCATCACGCAGCAGTGACAGATCTATCAGATTCATGAACGACTGGGGAAGAAGGCCACCGGGGCTCTCTCGCTCATGCTGCAACCCTGCATTAGTATGGTTGCCTTTCTTGCTGCCTTCCCTTCCTCCCTCACGAGAACAGAAAAGCAAGATGACTCTCATCGCAGTCCGGCATGGACAGCAGACTTGACAGACAGGTGCCAATACACTCTCCCCTTCCCCTCACAGAATCGAAGAGAGCCCCGGGAAACAAAAAGCAAGCAAAGCCCCCTTTCTCGTGAACCGAATATTCTCACCCTTGTACGGGGTGGCCCTGGTTAAGAAGCCGGAAATCGCTCGCTCATTGGATTATTTGCAATCAGAAAAGAAAGTCGAGTCCATCTGACACTTAAGACATGAATCTACTGAGACCATGAATTATTGTCTCAGTTCGCACACTTTCTGAGCTTGTGCCTATACGAGCATAATCGCTGGATTTTCAATCGGTTCTGGAATATGCTTCCACGAGGAGTTTGGAGTCGAGGTTGTACGGCTAATGCGGCTCGAGGAGCGTCGGCTACACATCCTCATGCGCGTTGATCCTCGATCAGGAGGAGTACTAGCCTGCAGAGGCAAATTGAGTCAATCCCGGTACTTAAGGTGATTGTAAATTTGCAAGTCCAAAACTACACTCAGAGGCAAAATCGAGCTGGCTTAGTTTTGTGGACCAATTCTCGAACAACCAGAAACAAGAAGAGGAAATTTCGTATCTAACATGCGGTCCAATAGCTGATCTCAAACCATCCGCATCACTAACCAAGGTGGATCAGCATGATTGATGCTACCTTCGGCGAGTCGGCAAATGCCCATAGATCTGGGTGTCGTCGTGCCGGGGACGGGGCAGTGGGAAGGGCAAAAAACCAATGGGGGTGGGGGGCGACAGACAGAGAGAGGACTCCCCGAGAAGAATAGAAACTAGAAAGAAAGAACAGAAGAAAAGAGGGAGGCCGATCTATTCTGAAGTAGCTAGCGTTAGTTAGTTTGTTGACTAGTTCTTTTTTTTTCCTCCGTTCGTCCAAAGATTTTCTTCACGGGCGGTCTCTACTAAACCCGAATAGTTAAGAGTCCGTCTTCTAGTTGCTCTGCTAACAAATCCCGACAACTTGAACTCATAACTCAACTGAAGATGCTATGGAGGAAATTAACTACTAACAGGAGTAACAGCCGAAGACGGCAGCACCGGTCTTCACTTCCGTCCATTAAGCGGATGTATCCGTTGTGGATCGGCCAGAGTCGAACCTCGAACCGTCTCCCGAAGGTCACCGATTAAGGTACAATCCTCCAGAAAGTGTGGGAGACACATTTTCAGCTTTTACCTTTTTCTCTTCCAGACTACTAATGTGGATATGGTACGTTGACATCTAAGCCCCCTCCCCCCCCCCCTTTTCCCCAAGAGCTTAGACCGAAAGCGATCCAAGATGAACTTCCCGTCCACGAGATCGCTAATCCTAACCCGTTTAGGATTATCTCGTTGGAGCCTGGGACATGGTTGACCGATAGACTATCTAGTTCTAGATCGGGGATCTTGGAGGTGACTTACTCCATAGTGGTACGCGCTAGACCATCGAGATGAACCACAAGCGATTGTTGTGTGCTGGGCGGATCATTGTTGTCAAGCGTACGGAGTACTCCGATACCCGAGCCTCGTTTTTACAGATTAGTATGGATAATAGGAGATGCACTGGGTTGTGTGTATTGCTTGCTGTATTGCTTGTCCTCTGGAAGGACCTCCTTCTCTTGCATCCGTTGCAACAGCCGTATAGACGCCAAGAAAAGACGATGACCTGACACTCCATGGATCGCTCCACTATTTGTCTCCAGATCACAAATAAGAGACAGGAAGCATGCAACGACTTATTCCATATTATCAGATCAAAAAAAAAAAAAAAAAAAAAATTCAAGCCCCACATGCCTGTAAGAAAGTTCTGCAAAAACAGAAAACTACCTACGGCGTACTTCGCATAGTATACATGTCCATGTAGGAAATCAAGACTTTTCAGGCAGCTGTGCATGCTGTACCTAGCTACTTAGCGCTCTAATTAGCTGAGCCAGGTTTGTGATCTCTTCCCGATTAGGACTGGGTCCTAGCGCTGGTATATGATTCAAACCCTCGTGTTCATGACAGTTCCTATTCAGAAGAAGCCTAGCTCCGGCTGGGAGTGGAGTCCTTAACACTTTCTCAGACAGGGGTGTACGTACCATCGACGTTTTAACTCACAAAACTCTACAGCAGTGGGGACCATGTGATAGGACAGAACATGATCTCGTCACTCAGACCGGATGGTTTCCGGCAGGGAGACCTCAGCTTCACTTCCAGTGATTAGGTAGTACCTAAGTACAGTACCTTATGCACCGCATCGATTGGCAATTTGGTAGCTTGGTAGGTACCTTAGTCCACGGTAACTTCCATTGAGAACAGCATTCGAACAACTTAATGTTGGGCGCGCATCTCAAAGCTAAACTTCATCCGAGCCAATCAATGGGCATCCCAGCCACCAGAGCAGGGATCACCTAGGTAGGTACTTACTAGTTGTACCCTGAGTGGTAGACACGAGGGGCTGTGATGCTCCGACGATTCAGCCGCGTCCTCAACCCGCTCAGGCAGACAGAACAGGTTGCCTTACGTACAATACAGGTTCAGCTTCCCACGGAAAAATTGAGTTGCGGCCGGGGTGCTGGACCGGTGGCTATAGTTCAGAATTGGATTCGTCTTTCTGAAGGAGTAGGTGAAAGTCTGCTGTGTAGTATGCGTATGAGACGGCAGGATACCAAGAAGCTGGGGGTATACTGCTTCCTCGATGAACAATGGGAGCGTGATCATTGTTCTACACACAAACAGATGCTATGCTCACAGGCACACTGCGGAGGCGACTGCCATATTACATCGGGCTCGGTCGGTTAGGCCAAACATGTCTTTAGATGTCACCGCTGGCAGCTTATGAGTATTAGCATATCCAACCGAGCAAGGCGGAGTATCTACGCAACTCCTCGCATCCAAGCAGCCTTTCAACCATCGAGATGCGTCTCAAAACATGGTCGAACACAAGCAACGCCTACATCATACATACATCACCCGGTCCGCCGCCGCAACCATCGCCGCAACATGATGGAAAGATGATATACATCCATACTAACAACCTCCGACACGAAGTGTGCAATACTGCCAACGTAAGTCGGTTCCTACTACTTTTGCCAATACAACCCCCAAACTGAAAGTATTGTTTATGCAAAGTTGGAGTTGCAAATCCAACTAGCTCCGTTTCCATTCGAACAGAAATGTAGCTCCGATACGCACGTCTTTTCTTTTTAGGATTTTGCGTCGCTTTTGCTTTTTACAGAGTGGTCTGCGATCTGCGATGCATCGTTCCATTCCTTCTCGATTTGCATACCTAGATCAGATCTCGATGCCCCCCCCCGCCTGCCCCCCCCCCCCCAAAGCCCGCGGCGCCCAGCCAGCCTCGGCGATCAGCCTGCAGCCTTGTTTGTTGGGTCTGATACTTGAGCGGGATATGTTCTCACCTCACCCTCAAAAGATCGAGATCTAAGGTTCGAAACATGGGGAGTCCCCGGGAAGAGTCATGTCCCAAAGGGAGTTCTATACCTGGTTGGCATTTTGAGTCACGCGATGTGCAAAGAAGTAGACGATTCCATCTCGCGTAGACAGCTGGGGAATTTCTGTTCACATGGACCAGGTAAAAGCCTTCGGGGAGCAAAGTAAAACGCGAACACCCAAATCCCGAACAGAAACAACGACACAATAAGTCAAGTGGAGGAAGGAGCCGTCTGTCACTGCATGAAGCTAACCTGCCGGACTTTATCGCCGATCGAATAAGAAAAAAAGTATCTGCCTTGGCGGTGCATCCCGTCGACTGATTCGTGAATGTTGATCAATCATCAATGTAGTATGATAATATTCCCTAGGTCTGAAATTGAGACCTGCTGCTCGGATGCCATCCGACTAACCGCCCTTTGCTGCTGACCCTTGAGTAAGTTTTTGGGACAGGTTTGTTTGTTTGTTTTTTTTTTCTTTTTCCTCGTTTGGTGTCAGTCAGTGTACTGTAGATCACTTTCCCAGGCGGCAAGAATTCATGTCAAAACAACCAACTGGGATGTCGGCGGTCAAGACGATCGAGGTGGGATCCACCGTTCGCATCTTTGGACCTGGATCATACCGGACGATCTTATAGATGCCGATAGAGGGATTCGGGGTACCACCCACCCTCCTCCAGAAGAAGTAAAAAGGCATTTTCTCTAATAGCCTACATTGAGACATACCTACTCCGTGAGAATCCTGGCCGGCTGATCCGATGGGCAAACATTTGGGCTCGGGGCGTTTGTTTCAGACCCTGTTCATCGTGGGAGGAGGGAGGTGATAAACGAAGTTCGGTTCAGGTGGAACTGAGGACAAAACGGGGGCCAATAGAGTCATGACCCTGATGCTGTCTGTGTCATTTGATTTATCTTGATCAGAATTTTGAGCAGACTAGGCATTCAAGCAGAAGTACAGCGTAGGTACTGTACTACTAAGCACTGCACCTCCAACCTGGCAAGTAGACTTGCCGATACGGGAAGCAGATGGATCGATCGATCGTTCCGCAGTGGTTTCACCGCTTCAAGTACCGAGAGATTGGGTCAGCGGGTCGAGAGGCGCGCTGTGACTAGTCCAGCCAGCAATCCTAAGACAGGTATTGTGCAACTTGCTGAAAACAGAAAGGTAAAAAAGACGACAGAGAAAAGAAAACAAACAACCTCCCCCCCCCTCCCTGAGATGGGAAGTAGAGGCACGCATCTGTAAACTATCACTAGTGTCAACAGTGAGTTCAAGCCCAGAACACAGCACCATCGCCATATGTAGGTCTTAGTCGTGGATAGTGACTGGAATCGCCCGACCGGATCGGCCGGGACTCGGCCCTGTAGATTTGGAACTAGCACTGGCGGTGTTGCGGTGTTTGCCCGAGCAGAGAGACTTTTGTTGTGATGGTAGCCGAAGGTGCAGTTGGAAGTGCATCATTGCCCTATTATCGGGTGGAGAGTGTGGACCGAGTCTTACTTCTCAAGGCAGACGTGGCATGATGGTGGTAGTTCAATCTATTTTCAATCTATAGCTAGGCGAATGGTGATGCCGAATGTGGATACGTGAGAGACACTGGACCTCTGATTCCACATGATAGTAATCTTTCGGCCGGGGTCAAACGACATTTGCCGTGGTAGTGCAGATAGGCTGGTACGAGTACTGTATCTTCTCGAATCTGTACGCAGGAGACGACCTTTTCCTTAGCCCACTAGGACTGACGCCTCATCACCAGCCATGTTAAGGAAGTAGGATGCATAGTCAGAGAGGTGGAGGTATCTACGCACACAATAACTCCAGGAAATCCAGGCATCGATAACATCGACACATCGACAATATCGGTTTGGGACGAGTCAGGGAGAGAAATCGACTGAATTGGCGGTGAGAAGACGAGCCGTCGAAGCATCGAAGCGACCCACCCGCATCTGAATGAGATCTAAGCACACCACATCTTGGTCGCACATCGCCGCCTGACGCCGAACGTTGATTTGGAGGGCGGGGTGTGGGAAAATTGGCGTCTAGTGTCAAATAGGCGAGCCAACGATACGCCCGTGTAAGTCCGCATCTTACACAGTACAATAATGATTCCGATTGAGATTCTCTCAGTCACTGGGGCTATTGTCAATATTTCCGCTGGTAATAATCTTTCCACTTGGGTCAGGGGGCGGATGCAAGATCAGGTGAGATCGGATGCGACCACGATCAGATCCGCTCGGGCGTTCCCTCGATTGATTTCTGATTTTACGGTAAGGTCAAAACTCACCCGAGTCAGATTCCCTGGAGCTAAATCATCACCACCACCTACATCAGCACCACCACTCGGTTTATCTTTTTGAACTTTCAACCTCACGCTCTCTGAATCTATTGGAGATAGTAGCCTTGCCTGTGAAGCTCACATGTACTCAGGCAGCAGTGTTTTACCATGCACTGCAAACACAGATTCACTCCCTTTACTCTTATCCACCAGCTACTATGAGAATCCTACCTAGTTCAGCCGTCGACCGTGCATAACAGACGCCATTATTTAGCTACTGATCAAGCCTTGTGCGAAATGCGGGTTCTGCACGAGTTCTGGTCGGTTCTAGCGTCTCTCAAGGCTCCATCGGAGGGATTTTGGTGGTTATCGCGGGCACGAGGCACTATTTGTAACCCGCTTTCCACAAATGAGCCATGGAGCGATGCGTAAACTCGATCCACCTCTTAGTCCTTCTAGCTCGATTCTTTCCTTATTTCCTGCCTTTTCACGGACAGGTCTTTCGAAAGTAGTCAGAGCATTTGGCATGTAGAGATTCTCTTGGTCTATCACAGGCGCATAGCACAGGGTGGAGTAAGTCTTGACTACATACAACAAAAGATTACCGGGAGAGGTCATAGCAAGGATATAGACTTCCCCTTATCAGCAACGTGACTGCGTGGATGACATCATGTAGGCACATTCTAAAAATGGAAACATTGGCCAGACTGGTAATCAGGAGATTGATCGAACCGGGGGTATAATTGCAAACCAGAAGAACAGGAGTATAACAGAACAATCCGTGGGGCCGAACAAGTGGGACAGAGCTGAAGCAGAAGCAAAGCACATGCATGGTCCGTTGCGTCAGGACATAGGCTGCCACAGTAGAGAGGATATAGAACACAGGACGGAAAATGGAATGAAAAGCGACAAGTCTATCCCAAATGCGTTTTTGAATCATCGTGCAGGGGGGTATTAAGAGTAATTCACGAAACGTCCGGAGAAAATCAAATCAAGTCCCTCTGCCCGGGACGTGTTGGCAGCTAGCCAACCTGGAAGCAAATCGCATAAAACCCACATGAAACCTTACGATGGGTGTGATGATGAAGAGCAAACGAACTCGGAACGCCTGATGCTTCTAATCTCAAAGCCGGTTCTCAACGCCGAATTAGATGAGCTGCTAATGAATTTAATGGCTGTTTGGTGGCGAAGTGTCGAGTGCAGTCTTGGGCCGCAGATTCGAACCCATGGATGCAGCCTTGTTGGCGCCCATTTTGCGCGTTAGCTTGGCATAGTGCAGACCGCACGCATTGCACAATGTTCGCGCTCCATCCGGACCACGGCGCCATTCCGGTGTTTCGGCTCGATTGCAGCTGTGACAGCGACCAGGGGGAGCGGCTTTCTGCGGATGTTACTATTAGCAAAATGCATGGGTGGCAACGGTGCTGATGTGACATACCCCTCGTCTCTTTTTCGAATCAGGTCCCACAAATCCGCCGTTGGTCTTGAAATCTTCTTGATACATCGCCACGTGATCCTCTCCATGCACAGCACCAGCTTTGTAAGCTTTTCTTTGGGCCATTTGCTCAGCCAGAGCATGCTCCTGATTCAGCACTGCAGTTCGTATGCGAAGCAGAGCTTCCTGATTGCGCCGCTGTAGATTGAGTATCTCCTCAATCTCGTGCAAAGAAGGCAAGGAGCCCATTACTGGACCAGAACGCTGCGTCTGATGCGCTCTTGCTGCATAGAGACGCGAAAAGTCAAGAGTCTGAGTGCTAATATCAGCTATCTCATTCAGCGATGTCTCCACGTCATAAATGTCTAAATGCCGCTTCACGTGCTCCCCGTAATGCGGTCCGGATAACGGCGGGCGGCCCGTTATTACACCTTTCATTTCATCGGCGCGAGCAGTGTCAGGAACTCCTGATTTCCAACCTGCTCCAGCATAGGGTCGAGTATCATAAGGAGTAGATGGGTACGATGGCGCGTTATGCGGTGGTTGCGACTGAAATTGGAAGGGTTGCGAGAAACTCCCAAACCCATTGGGAGAAGCTACACTGCCCGCAGACGGGGGAGCGCTGTACTCATAGCCTGAACCAGCTTGGGACCCGGAGATCGAAGTGAGACCAGTTTTCGTACTTTGCGTGGGCGATTTCCCGGAGCTCAGTGACTGGAGCGACGTAGTTCTAGAGTCCTGGGTATTGATCGAGGCCAAACTCGATCGGGATGCTTCCGCTTGCAGCTGAGGTTGATGGGGGAATGTTGACTCGCGCATAAAGTTGCCTGACGGAGCGCCGTTTGAGAACGGATTGGGGGGCCCGGGAGGCCCTTCTGTGCCCGGTCGCCCGACGCCGTTAGACGACAAGAGGTGAGGGTGAGGTGCGTGGTGAGTCTGTTGCGGAGGAGCCGATGTGGGCGCAGGATATGGCAAAGGGTTGTCGTTTCCCAATGCCTCATGGATCGACGGAAGCGATTGCCTCTGCGGCTGCTTTTCTTTCTCCTCCTCAAATGCGCGCCGCGAATCTGGCGGTGATATGTACCCACCCTGCAGAGAACTTGTGCTGGCGGATGTAGAGAAGGAGTAGGGTAGGGATTGCGACGGATACATGGCCGTGGGACTCAAAAGCGGTGTCGGGGACGATGTCGGGCCCATGACGGCGGAAGGGTGCTTCGCAGTGTAATTCGGCCCGTCTTTGCCAAGGAATCCCAGAACTGGGAGGTGCTCTCTATATCGTGACGTCGACTTGTTAGTGAAATGTTCTACTAGAAGTGGCTCTACGCAACTGTCTGGGCCTGCCATATAAACACAGACTGAGCCCCATGACCCTGCATCCAGAGCGAGACATACCTGTGCCTGTGCTCAGTTTCTAAAGATCCCATCGCGCCAGTAGGTAATAACGAGGTAGGGGCAACGAAGGGTCTGTGTAAATTTCATCCACTGTGCCTGTGAAACTCGAAGCTCTTTGGTAGTCTATGAAGTGATGCGTCGCGCGATTATGCCAGAGCGGTTTGACGGTGAGGGCCGAGCAGCGAAGGCGGACGGAACAAAGGCCAGCAACGAGATCTAGGGCGAGTTGTGCGAACGGAAGCCTATAAGTCAAGTTGAGTCCCGCAACAGATCGCCTTGGTAAGAATATCCGAGGTCAAGTGAGAGTGAGGACGTCTGAAATCGCTTCGCACAGCTAGGTATTATCGGAGGTGGTGGCGGTTGTAGGGATAAGAAGCAATTGTAGCGGGTGAGAGTTGTAGGAAGGAACTCCGATGAATCGCCGGGTTAGCTCAGGAAAAGCCGACAAGAAGGCGGCGATTCCAAGTCAGCGTAAGGTGCGGAACAGAGTCCGAGAGTATATTAGTGGCAATGCGATCACGTTTAGAGCAGCCGCGATTGCTGAGTGCTATGCAACGCTATAGGATGGCGACAACAGAATATGACACGCACCCGCAGCGCGCAATGAACAGGTTAGATGAGAGTTACCCTTCCTGTTTTAACTGAATGACCTTGCACTCCCAGCCAAGCCTCGAACTCCTCAGATTCCAGATTGAGGTTTGACAGTCAGGGTCTTTGCTTGTGCACACTCAACCGATCGATTTGACAATGTTTGAGTTCGCGGGAGCGGCGGAGGCGCAGTAAATGCAAGGGATGAAGGTGAATGCGTCGCGTGGAAAGGGAGACGTTGGCTGGTCTTGTTCCCTTCCCTGCCTGTGATTTTTATAATCTGCCTGATAGATATGATCCTTCCTAGCACCGACAATGAATAATAAAAACACGAGCGACCGATGTAGGAATAAAAAATGGTGCAATGTCCGCGGAGGGAAGAAGAAATAAGAGGGTGGGATGACAAGCGGACACAAGGGCCTGCCCGGAAAGATCCAAAGGTATAGAAGGCGGGACAGGATGATTTGATTAAATGTCAAGGGGAGGGGGGAGGGTAGCAAAAATGGAGGGATTAGTAAGATGATTTGAGATGGCTCGCGAAAGACCAAGGAGAATCTCCTCACGAATGGAATGCTAGAATCAAAGAAGAGGAAGAAAGTTAAGGAAGAGTTGCGTAGAAGATATTAGTAGAGAGAGAGGAAGTGAGAGAGGGTGGGTAATCGGCAGTAGAAGCAGGGTAAGTAGGAACATAAGAGGAAGAATAACAATGGAGAAAAAGCAACATCCGCAGAAGACCAGATTAATTGACTTACTGGGAGAGAATATTTATTATTGCCATGATTATTAGAATAAAATAACATTATTTTTCAAAAGGGAAAAAAAAAAACCAAAAGAGAAGAAAATAAAGATCCAAATTAAAATGATACTCGACTGACTAAATCCTACTTCAACACCCAGGCCCGCACACACACGAGATACGGGAGGATCCAAACAGCAGCTACGTACTAGGACAAAGTAGTCAGTACATCGGGCCAAGACAGATGAGCTCAGACCTGGGAAAATAGGATGAATATTGAAAAAAAATAAATAAAAGAAAAGAAAAAAAGACAGGCAGGTGGAGGAGCCAGACCGGACTATGAGATCGTCGAATCATGCTGGTGGTCGTGACCACTTTAAAGTTACGGCGAATTACAGAAGCTTTACGGGCTGCGAACTGCGGATCTTCGACAAAGTGTGGAGTGGGTTGAAATCATGTTGGCGATGGGCGGATATCTTAGTGGGGAGCGATGGAGCCTTACCAGGGGGGGAAGGAAAGTGGTTTGTCCCTGGCCTTGAAAAATATTTTTTCTTTTTTCGCCCGCCAGTTCTGCAAAAAGATCGTGAATACATTACGTATTCTGTATACGTACTATATGATACCATCGCTTTTCAAACTTACATGCTAACTAGTACCAACTAGTGCTTAGTAAACTGCCACTTACTAGTTATCTATGATCGCAGCAGGTTTTCAGTTTTCAGTTCCTTCCAGCTTACAATCCTGTATTGTTCCTATAAGGGATCTAGAATTGAACAATCGGCAAAGTTACCACCATCAGCAAGTGCCGCTGGGTATCTCGCCCCAGATAAAGCGGCACTCGGAGGAGAAAAAGGCCAGGGAGTCGTGATTTCTTGCAACAGTAGGCTCATTCTCATGTAGTTAAGGTGTGCAGCTTTCGACCTAGAACATTCGCACTAGGTGAGTGTCTGATGAGCTACAAACTTTTTAAATTCGTAGTTTTGTGTAGTGTGAGCGATACCATTATCGCTTGTCAAGTTCATGCCCCCTGTACTTGGGACTATAAGGTCATTACCAGACATCGTGAGCCATTCGGACCAAGGATGATTGGTATGGGTACGTAACGATTTCGGAGCCGACGGGAGCTGGGGGAAACCAGAAGGGGGGTGGTGCCCCGTGTCCGAGGGGACCATAAGACAATGACATTAGCAGGGCAATGATAAGTGGTCCGGGTATCAAGATCCAGAGATCGTACGCTACGCAATCTGAAGAAATGCGTCTAATTTTGGCGAGGCTTGGATGATGGACAGGCGAAGGTTTTCTAGGTCAAGATGAGGTAACGCTTATGAGTTTACGGAGTTTGAACTGACAAGTTATAATTCGGCAGATATATGTACTTATATTCAGCACTCTTCACCTATAGTTGGCACACAACGATGCAAATGAGATTACCGTAAGACCCTCATCACCGAGCACTCGGATTCGGAAGTCAGATGCACCAAATAGCAAAATTATGTTGTCTGCAAGAAAAGACATCTTTGTGGACACACAAACAGGGCTATACTCCAGGCGCAGAGAATAGTCGAGCGTCGAGAGAAAGAACATGATAATTACTAAATATATACCACACAACATCTTGTGCAGGACGAACGGCGGCAGAGGTCGACTCTGTTCTCACGCTGTATTGTCTCTGTGTCTGCGACCCATGGCGACTGCTTGGTAAGGCAGCAACATGCTGAGAAACCAATCACCCATGGTCAATAAGTACTTTGGATTTGCATGCTGGGCACAAGGCATGTCAAACATACTGGTGAATCGAAGTAGCTTGAACACATTTCCCAGATCGCTGATTCGATACCTGGTAATATACAGGGAGCTTTGACCTCCCTGGCCAGCATATTATTCTCGTCAGATTGTCACCCCGATCAAACAAGGTTCGAGATGAGACCAACATAGAGTTAGGAAAATATCATCGTAGATGCACATGCCCACCCAGCTCTCGAGGCCGATGCCTACCATTCACCTCGCTGGACGAAAGGCACCATTAGCGTCAGCACCAGGTGCCATGAGGGGGTGGAATAGTCTCCGACCCTGGAGATCTGAGAACGATCTTAGTGGGGAAATGGAATCGCGCATCAGCAAAACGCCTGCAAACACACTTCGCCTGCTGCAGCTAGCCCAAAGGATATGCAATGTTGGGATCGCAGCTAAAGCACAACCAGCCATTCACCCCGAAGCACGACTGCGGAACCTCCAGCTGACGCGAGCCATGGGTCAGCTTCCCTCCTGCGGCGGAGGAGGTAAAAGATGCTCTAGGTTAGGTTGATTAGCTTGATAGTCCCTTGCTCTCGCTTGAAGTTTCAGGAGCTATTTGTAATTACGACATGGGAGGGGGGGTAGACAATTCAAGTTGTTGACCAAAAGAAACAATCTAGAGGAGGGGAAACGGGGGAAACGAGGGTGGTGGGGTGAAGAGAGGTGCAGCAAAGTATAGCCGTGCCTGCGTGATTTGTACCATGGTACAGTACAAACGCTCCCCGCTTTCCCTTGCTCAAGATCTCGGGCATAGCCGTTTGTGGGTGGCACCATCGTCATCACCCACCTCGATCAACATTCCTGATCATCATTCTTTTTGCCTTCCGTTGCAATGCCAATTATTTAGCCTTGGATAATAATGGAGGTGGTGAGTATCTTCTGTTCTTGCTGTATTCGCTTCTGAAGGGGGCAAGGTAGGGGATCACTGCGCTTTTCACTGGCTACAATCTGGTGTATAGCAAAGCTCTACCTAATTGAACTGCCAGTCGCTTGTCCTGCTCTGGATTTCGATAGCCTTGTGGCCTAGTGAGGCTGCGACGCAAAAGTGTAGGTAAAAACAGGAACAAACTATCGGAGGTGGTGTAACTGAGATATATCTTTCGGGCGTGAAGAATGGGGTAAACCTATAATGGTACGTTCGAAGATTCCAACGGACACTTGGCCTTCAACGTTGCTTATGCGATAGGGTAGTGATTGCACTCAAAGTTTCGATCAATCGATCACTAATCCAGATATTTGCCTGCAATAAGAAATGCTAGCAGGGGCAGTTGAGCAACACCCCTCCGCCCGTTGCAACCACATCTCCACCCTTTCCTTGTAACCAACGCACAGTGTCAAACCGGACGAATTCCCCGAAAGAGATTGCTGTCTTACACCTCCAGATTGAGACATGTCCTCCAACCTGGAAGAGAGATGTCTGACAACACTGTGGGCCTCACGGATCCTGGCCCCAGCAAATTCGATCTCTTATGATGGTCTTGGCTCACGAAAGCCATTAGTTTTATAGGAATGCTCTGCACTTGGCAAATCGTTGAGACCTGAGTCACATGACTGGCATGAACGGGCGCGCATTGGCGCTATTTACAAATAGTTTGTCGCACCGAAAGATAAAAGACTGTCTTGCTCAAACTGATCATGGATAATTTCTCAATGCGTTATCATCAATCTAACTTATCGTGTCTACCAAGCCACGGTCGTCACCGAAAACACATATTCACGTCTAAACCATTCTAGCTGGATTTCAATTTGGGCCCTCCAGTACATCTAACATATATAAATATCGGATATCACCACATACCCTGGAAAAGTACTTCAGTTTGTAACGAGCCTCTTGTTCCCTCTGACGACCAAATCATCCTGTGAATACTGGGCTCCTCATCCCCCCTCTGGAGACGACTTGCAGGGAAGGCCACTCAGTCTGATCTGTCTGTCCTCGATGGTTTATGTTATATGTCAACTTAGCTACTCAGCGGGCAAACAACTGGCTCCAAATTGATCGCGCAGAAAGAAGTGACTTCGATCGTTACGAGGTTGAGCCGTGATCTGTAACACCAGTACTGCGCAATCCTTACACACGGGGGAAGTGGGGGGGGCGGGCATCGCAGAATCTGGTCCGAATGTTTAGACTCACGTCAATCTTTCATCTTCATCTAGCGGCCAGAGAGTTCCAGGTTGAGGATGACTCTCGACACATGTTCTCTCCCGTTGCGATAGCGTGCTGTCTAGCTTCCAATCGAAATAAAGTTCAATTTACAGGGCGCCATTTCCCCGACCGGGACATGTACACAATCTCTGGTCATGTCTTGTTTGATTCCAATCGCAGGTCTAATATCGATCAGTTCACTTCAGCACCGTGAAACCTGCCGCCCACTTATTGGACTGTCAGTATAACTAGCAAATCGGTATTGAATTACTAGTCATTGACGTGATTGTTTGCGCTGTTTCGAGGGATCAACTAGAACAATCCTCAACCCGGTAGTTAAGGTTACAGCAATATATTCCGTTTGGCCCGTGGGTATTGGGATCACTTCCTGAAGGATCTTGTTCGGAAGAATTGGCTGACAACCATGATCATTTTGCATGTGAAGATGTTCGACCTATGACCTCATGCTACAGACAACCGAATATCTCTCTGCTCTTGTTCCAGTCTACACATCAAGTTCGGGCTCCGAATAGACCCAGTGTATCTCATGACTATGACGCTGACCTTGGGATTTCTGATCTGGAGGAACAACACCCCCGTGGTACAGTACAGTAAGTACCAGTGCACAGACGAGGCGGCAGCTGCGACCCGTGATGGATGAATCTAACGGTCGCCTGAAAATACGACTAATCTAATCGGACTGGTAACAGTCCTTCCGCCCGTCCCACCGCTCCAGGTACAGTACCAAGTATCAGGTAATTCCTGGCCGTAAAACCTAGACCACCCTCTCTCTGGATTAGGAGAAATTTACATACATCGCCCTCCCTCCACCCCCTAATAACAAACCTTGTTATTGACTGCCATTTTGAGATGAAATATTTGCGAGCAGTTGCGAGCTCCACAAAGACGCCACTGCCAAAATCAGATGCGATTCTGGTATCTACTGTTTTGACGTTCGCTCTTGCCGTCCTCAGAGAGGGAGAGAGATGAATTCGCGCGATTGGTATGTACACGGGAATACGCATCCATACGATCTATAGATTCCTGTCCACTTCACCACTTCCAGATAGCCGAATCTGCTCCTAATCTTGAGGGCGCAGGAGTGAGGCCCAAAGGTACGAGCTAAGCAATGCTTCAAGCCTAGTGCTGGATCGCAAAAATCCTGTGCACGCAGTACCGGGCCCCTCCAGTAATATCGATTGGTCGCTGTCCGCTGCATTGACCAACAAGCTCGCAGGATCTCAGTCTGTTTCGAGACAAGTGACAGCCTGCATGGGATCGAGTGAGTATCGATGCACCCGACACGATTCCCTCCCCAGCTACTCGATACACCGTCGACGTTGGCGAAAAGTCACTACGGAGACACGTATCGCCCCAAATGGATAGCTACTTTCGACGGCTGTACACCATGTGGTACACCAGCGGACAAGAGTCCTAGGTACAGACAGAATACAGGGAAAAGACCCAGGAATACCTTTTTGTCAGCTCGCATTCTGAAGGGCTAGCTTCCGCCTTGTTGCAGTGAGAGGAAAAAAATCTTCTCTTATCTGCTGCTGCAACTGTGGGCTTGGAGGACAAGAAGTGGTTGATCATGTAGTCTTTTTTTTCCAGATGGCAAATGCCGGCTCGCCTCGAAATCTGCACCTTGGTGATTATTGTGACGATCTCCGTCATCATTTGCATTAGAAAGAGGGAAGCAACCATGAAAGCGACGAAAATTTCCCTGAACAACATCCCCATATTGTGAAGAGAGCCATCGGCTATGTACCAGCTCTCTGGTCGGTGGAGACCTATTCCACTCGCCTTTCACCGACATGGTGCTAATCTATAATCTTCTTCCTTACCCACAGGAAGCAATGATCGCCACTTGAGAAGCTCTACTTAACCCTCCGGGAGAAGACTACACCAAACAATACCATTGTTGCCATTTCTGCCGGATGCCGTTCGTGTTACCACATCGGACTAGCAGGGCAAAGAATGAAGCTCAAGCCCCACGCAAATCGAGAAATAGTCTAGAGGTATCTGCATACAAAGAGGATCAAGAAGATAACTTGATGAGAGAAGAAGGCGGAACAGCTCAAAGCACCATCCTCACAACGTTCGAAGGTATGTGGAGATACCCTCTGATTTTGGACTTCCGCGTGCTGAGGACACTGACTCGACTTCTTTGACTTCGGCTCTCTTCCCTCCCGGCGAATCCAGGTCTCGTGTTCATTCCTGACTCGTTTGGTCGAACACATATTCAAAGGGTGGACTTCTGAAAACCAGGACCACTATTTATGGAGCCAGATGGAACAAATCTTGTACCAGGCAACAGACAGAGGATGCCTCGCAAAAGACCAATCATATTTGTCAGCAAGAGTGCTCGGCGGATCGAAGATTTCACGCATTGTCAGGAGGTGACACAGCATGGTTCGCGAAGCGAGGAAATTATTGGTGGTCCGGTAAACGGTCGGGATCGACAGCGCCAAAGGGCAATGGATAAAGAACCGTTGCGACCGTTAGTAGTTCTCAGTCCCGGTGGCCCTCCACTGGGTCTTTCTGACAGCGCGACACATGCTGCCTTTCCCATCGGGACCAGCCCCATAGGTATCTGAATCAATATGGATTAATACCTGGTAATACCGGCATCTAGGCGTCAGATGTGGGACCGGGTCCTATAAGTATGATCTCTCTCAACGCGGATCACTAAGGGAGAGAGGGAGGCGACGACGGCGCTTCGACTGTATGTGGCAAGAGTCTACAGTTTTTATAGCAGATGCTGATTTGACAATAGGCGCCTGTCCGTTGGAGCGGAGACAAAGTCCTGACACTATTCGTATTGTGATTTATGATGGGCCCAACTAACTTACTGTGTACTAATCGTCTACGGTAAATGCTTTCGCTACTGACCACCGATCGACTCCCACTACCAAGGACTAGAAAATGAGATTGTACGATATACTAACCGTTTCCATCATCTTGCATCATCAGCAAGCAAGCCTGCCAATTGCACCTTTGTCGTCGAGTGTCCATGGACGGGCTGTACGCAACCCCGAGTAGGGTAGGTTCCTTTTGGGATGGGATTGGAGGGGGCGGCAAGCCATTCCCGGGCAAACTACGATTGGCTCTGATCCCCAGATTCTCCATTGGTACGTACCGTTCGCCGGCAAAATCCAATCATTACTACCCAAGCGGATGGGCCTTGATCACAACAACCGAACGAGGACAAGAATAGAAAAGAAATGAAAGAGTCCCAGAGTCAGGGGTCGGTCACTATGATGAAAGGGAGAAGGATCATCGTAAGTTATCTATTGACTCTGTTGTACTCGATGCCACCAGGAAATGTATCCGAGGGCAAACATCTGCCCGATGCAGTGGATTCCTCCCGGTAAACTCTCCGAGGACCAGTCCCAAAACAGGAAGCTGACAGCTGGGGTTTCGCCAAACAATCGGCTTAACCCGTGCCTTGCGGCGGGTCTGTCGACCTTTTCCCGCAATTCCCTTGCCTTGAGCCAGGCATGGCTTTTGCTGCAGCTAGACCGATAGGGGGACTGTGTCCTGTACATTCGCTAATGGCCTCACTCACGCATCGTCATTCAGCCATGCTGCTGCCGTCCGTGTATGGGACTAATCCTCGATCCCCGTATCGAGCCAGACTCAGATTTCTTCTTCCTTTAGTGCTGTGTATATTGGACCACGACCAATTGAAGGGGATCAAAGGTCCGTACGAGTAAGCTATTGTCCTACGATCGGGAGTGTCCAGGAACGATTACTGCATATCGTGTGCATGGGCCATATTCATTTCCCCTCACTGTTTTCTTTGGTACACCTACTGTGTATGCTTTGCGAGCAACATTCAGCTGGTAGATTGGCGGGAGATACCGCTCTCCCTCGAATCTGTCCCTAGCTCTCCTAGAGGGAGAGGGAGGGGGGGGGGGGTTGCGGGGTCGCAAATGATACCCCGGTCGTCCCGGGGGCAAAGAGACATGAGACATCAACGTGAGAACAATAACAACGATAGTAATGACCACATACCTATCAACCTCCAAGTACGGAGTACCTACTACTCCTCACTGGGGTGCATACCCTGGCAGTACACTAACTACCTGCCACTTACGGAGTACTACCTCCTCAAGCCATAAAAACCACGTGTGTCACCGCACTGAAGGATGGCTCGGTCACCTCCTTCCGAAAAGAGAGACAGAGGAGCCGGCCCACCACATTCCTCCAACCAGCCCCCTGCAAGACACGTGAAGTGGGTCCTCCCTCATCGACTCCAGCCAGACTGTCCCGTCTATGGCGTACCAAGATTTGACTGGAGAAACCCTGCCCGAGAATGACGAATGCGACAGATGCCCTGTCAATCATCACTGCTCAGTGCCTTCTGCTGCTGCTGCTGCTGCTGCTGCTGCTGTGCAGGCCTTTCTGCCTGTTCCACTGTGGCTCTAGTGCGTGGTTGACAGGGAGGATACTCAGGCGAGGATAGATGACAATTGCTGCTCATCATTATCATCACCAGCATCATCATCATCATCATCATCATCATTATTCTCGCCGAGGACTGTGCAGACGGACACCGGATGAGGCAAGGAGGCAGTTATTCATTCCCCCTCCAACTTCCCGACCTCAGAAGAATGTGTGGTTTAGAAGAAGTCGAGCGACTAATTCTTCACCCTCTACCTACAGAAGATTGGCAGAATGTGTGAAATTGACAATGTGAGAGATACTTTGCATCCTCTTTCCATGTCTCTCCAAGACTGAATAATCCTCTTCATTTGCAGGCTATCGAAGGATGTCAGCTCCGACCGGCAGACGGATCTACTTCGGGTTCCGTGCTGGTGGTACAGGCAATCAATCACCGGTTCCAAGTAGTAAGCAAATCCCGGATCTCTGGACCTGGTTGATGCCATGATGGTGATTGTGGTGATCCGCTAGGCTCTTTCCCCCATCTGGTAAGAACTTTTCTCAAAAAAATTAGGAAAAAGAGAAAAAGACTAGACAGAAATCAGAAAGACAGCGAACTTGACTGATTCATGAGCGCAAGCTAAATCTTGACTGGGCGGATGGCTACTCGCTGTGTCGTCACGTCGTGAGGTAAATTAGATGTAGTTTGGTGTATTGTCGGTGTGTTGTTGGTGTGCTCAAACCTCTCCTCTCCCTTCCCCCCCTCTCCCTCCCCTCCCCCCCTCCTAATTTTTTGAATTTGGGCAAAGTTGGCGTCCGGGCCCGGAGACTGCGGGACGCAGATACTGCCTCTTCCAGGCCGTTGAAAGTTTGACTTCCCCCACTGCATCTGCCATGGACCCGGCTGCGGCGGGGGTTCCACCGTGACAACTTAGCGCAGACAAGACTGAGAGGGGATCGAGGCGGAGCGCATCACTCTGTGCGTCGCACCCAAAAGTACGCGATTTAGGGAAAGCATGCAGGCTGATCCGATGCATAGAGAGATTTTGGAGAGGGAGCAAGACCGGGTTGTCCGACTCGTCTCCTGTCTCCTGTTCATCTCTTTGTCCCCCCCTTATGCCTCTAGAAAACATCGTACAGGTACGGAGGGTCCTTTCGATGACTACCACAGTAGGACCATATTGTGCACATTGTTAGATTCTTTTCTTCTTTCCAACTGTCCCTTTGCCCTTTTTCATCGGGTTCATTCTATTTTCTCTACCTGAGGAATCTGATGGACATGTTCGAACCCCTAAAGCTTTATGCATGTGCCTCGGCTTTATTCTCCGCGTCCGCGAGACTGGAAGCTATTTTGAGCTTGATGGGACTGTTCAGTCGGCGGGAAATTGAATCGAACTGTGTTATATGAGTGGTGGATACAGTAGTGGACTCTCAGAAAAGGAGGAAGAACAGTCAAGCAGATGGAGAAGATATCACGGAAGGTTGTTTGCTCACCGTGATAGGTGAAGTAGGGAAAAAGCAAGCTAACTATGTACTGTAACTAAAGTTACTGGGTTCGCTGACCTCATAACGGTTGTCGATCGGCCCGCCGTGGCTAGCACGATATCCGTTCTGCAACCTCTATCTACGGAAAGGTGTCTAGACTCCAGACTCTTCTTAGCGTCTCCTAACTATCGCCCATCGCCATCTACGGATGAATCTGAGCGGATCTTGGGGGAGAGGGGAAGGAAAGGCAGAGGGGGTTTTCTGATTTCTTGAAGTCTATCAGTGATGCATTGCTAGCCAACAGCCACGGAGATGACCACCCGAAGGGTGTTAGTACCAGACGAGTTTAATTAATCGCCGTCGACCAATTCGTCCCCATTTTTTTTTCTTCTTCCTTTCCGTCTTCCTCTTTGGACGGAATGCTTACGAGGAGGGACTACACTTTTCCGAAGTCAACCCGTGAGATGATGAGACTTGCTGGATCCTATAATGAGCGGATACTATAACTGTTGCTCCTGCTCCCGGCCGTAACAACGTGGTGCGGTGGGTGAAATTCTAGTGTCAACGGGAGGTGCAGAAAAGAAGGGCGACCGGGTCTAACTCATCCGTCCGCGGGCCCCTCAAGGCAGCAGCAGCCGTTTTTTCTCCTACTAACTTCCAACCATTGCGCCGTTCGGGAATGAGTTAAGCGCGAGTCAGGCGGGCTTGCAAACAACCTAAACTGGAGCCCACATCCAGGGTACTTTTACTAACTACATGTACATGTTGTACATGTATTGTACCTGGGTAGACCTATAGGGGGCTGAGCCGGGCACCACTGATTCATACACAGTGGAAGACAGGCGGTTGTGCTAGTTCGGGGCAAGTTCGCCTCTCTTTTTCTTTTTCTTTTTTTTCTTTTTTTTTTCGCTTTTCCAGAATCATCGACAATAAATGATAATGCTGCTGCTGATGAAGATGATGATGACGGCACCTGCCAATCAAATTTTGCCGGAGTATTGCAGCCGTGGTGCCAGTGCCCACTGCGTTCCCGATCGAATCAACAAACACCTCAATCTAAATAGATTAAACGGGAACTCTCTCTCTGTTTTTAGTTGCCCGTACACTTGGACAACTACAAAGCACGACCACTAGAAGTATAAGCCTCGGATTGGGCCAATATATCGCAATCTATCTTTTCTTTTTTCCTGGGAGGGGGCGTCTTTTGAGTGCGCCTTCTCTTCCACCGTGTGAGGGCAACACAGCATATTCGTCATTCGCCAGAATGGGTTCAGACAAACATCCTCCGAGATCTTTCTCATCCATGATTTTGCTCTTCTGCGTTAGTTTGTAGTCAAATAGATTGATCCGAATCACCTTCCCCCCACTGACCAAGTACTAAACAAGGCACCATGTAACCTTGAACCGTTTCCCTCCCCCGATCGATCATGCCAGAGACCAAAAGTAAATCAGAAGCCATATGGCACCTGAGATATAATCTATACCTTCCCTGGAAGCTTCGATCGCTGCCAAATTACTCCGTAGCTTATGTTGACCTTACGGTAACACAACGATCCCATCCGGTAACGTGCTTACACCGAGTTACAATACACAAGTAAATACATTGGCTGGGGCAACTAAACCGCTGCGTGTGCCCGAATGGGGATTGATACCTAGATAGGGCAATAGAAAGGCATACCTCATTCCACTCTTGTCGATGAGCATTAGGAGAAATAAGAAACAGCATCCGAGAGGCTCGAGTCAGATTTGTAAGAATAAACCGCTTGAATCATGAGTCAAAGCTGATCAAACGCCCTGAGGCGCGAACTCTGACTCGCCGTACTGGGCGAGGATTTAGAGAAGGCTTACGAACGAGAGTATGCTACTATAAGAACATAAGTGATAGACTGACTGGAAGAAAGGTATGTACTGAGGGCAGATTTGTTATGGTATTGTCCTGTGTCCAGACTTTTCAGCAGGATCCCAAATAGTCAAGTCTGATATCACGCCCGCTCGATCCCCTGTCCGTGTAATTCTTGATGGCTCGATCCAAATCTTGCTCGGCTCTTGCTTCCCTACTGCCACTATGGCGACGTGTGTTATCTTGCCTGAATGCTGGTCTGGGCTAGAAAAACCTGATAGTCGACCTGTAGAAGAAAGTTCTAGGGTGAAATTACACAACCGAAGAGCTCATGAGGCCTCCGGCCCCCGTCACGCCCCCTTTTCAGACTTCACACATATTTCTCAGACTACACAAGTAGCATTGGATGATATCATCATACTTGCTTGTACCGACCGGGGGCATATATACTATATGCGTTCTTTTATAGGCTGAGTGGAGAGTGGGGGAGTTGTTATATCGGGAAAGAGGTATAGTAGTCGGTTTATGGGGAAAGTGCAAACCGAGAACGGTTACTACTTACTTCACATTAGTAACCAACCCAAAACACAGACCCAAGAGACAAGAGACCAACGCAGTAGGTGTGAAAATCAAGTTTTCCTTGGAGCTATCTACACGATTCCCTCGAACGATGGGGAAGATGATTGGTGAATCGCTGATACTTGTTGTTCCATGACCGGATTGCCCAGTACATACCGTCCTAAGCATCGACCCCGATAATTATTCCAGACTCGACCCAGCTTTCAACCATTAGAGCCTCTTCCCCTGACTTTCCATGAGGATGAGTTAGGACTGAATAGCTCTTCATAGAACGATCGCTGCCTCGCATGCTCACTTTCGTTTCGACAGGGAAGCAAGCCCTCTTCCCCCCCCGTCCTTGCTCGTGCAAACCTTGTTGTCGCTGCTTGGGACGGGCTTCGCGTGCGACGGCACTCAGAACGCGCTTGGAGAACTGTTGCAGGTGAGTCTGATGTCTGATTGCCTCGGTATTAGAGCTGCAGTATACGAAATAGTCTAACCCTTATGGTATCGTCTTTGCTGTAGACGGAAAAGGCTAATTGCCCGTTGGAACATGCCTGCTGCAGAGTGATCACTCTTCTTCTCTATGATAGCCAGACTACGACCGCGTATTCACCTTCACGATGCGATTTTCTTTGGCAAGATACCAAAGGTGAAAACCCCCTCATGGTGGTCTACGGCCGAAGGCAGCCGCAAGGGCACGAGCGACGGCTTAATAACATGGCACCTTTCGTGAGCATCTGGTGTAGCGACGTCTCTTCTGGGTTGAGAATACTATGATCGTCTGCTTGGTTCTCTCTAGAAAATCTTCCATCAAAGAAATGGAATACCACAGGGATAACATGTTTCTGACGTGCTTTCCGGATCACGGTCGGTACGCACTGAGTCTACTCTTCTATCCTTGCTGAGGGCCTCTACTCGATTCCTGCGATCGGATGAAACACTTATGCCAGTATATTGACCGACATACATTTCTGCAGCAAACCCCTCTCCCTGGTCTTCTGAGGGTTAGTCGTACGCCCATCGCTCGGGTGAGGTGCTAGACCTGCGCTCCCCGGCTGAACTACTGGAAACGACAAATAAAGAGCTCAGCCTTAACTCTCGCATTGATCTCGTACATTGAGCTGCAGGCAGGACCAAGGCACTCGACATGTTAATATTCGACAGACATGTTAGCCCTGCGAATCGCTTTTAGTCGCCAACCTGCACATCGAGTATTGTTACGCATCACGGGTAATCGACAGCCTTGTATCGGAAGAGCGCACACAAAATATGATATCAGAACCAGCCGACCAGAATGCAAATATAATCCATTGTTCATTCCACCCGCATACAGTCTATTGGATTTCAAGGGATACATATGACGTGAAGTACAGACATACATGAACATGCAGGGCAGGCCAAATGGCGTGAACCAACCGGCTCCTTTCCGTCCACGAGTGGTGCTGTCAACCTGCCAACAGAAATCCATGATCAGCAAGTCTTACCCACAATTTGACTACTTGCGTAAAACAGGGCGCTACGCAGCAATTCGAGCGCTTGGCCGTTTGCATATGTCTCCTATCTCTATCCAGTTTCCCACCTTTGATTGCTAGAGCATTACGAGGTCAATCGGCACACAAGTCTCTCTTTTCTTTTTTTGCACTTCTTGGTGTGTATGTATGGTACCACTTGGAAATACGTGTACCACAGTCATGCCACTTAGCCAGTCTTTCTAGTCCCATTCCGAACCTAGGTACTGGGATTCCCCGTTACCGCATATCGAACCATACAATAGCGGTGGATTTTAATTCCCAGCTGGTCGAGATCCCAACACACGTGGATTGGACCACACACCGTACTTTGGCTTGGATGGCGCGCTCAGTGCTGCTAGCCTGCTATCCCACTTTCGGCCGGCGGGAGACTCGGGAGAGATGATGATCTAGATTTCCCCTTCGCCCGTTCATTCATCTACCGATCCATCCATGATCTCATGATCTGTCCCGACAGAGTCGACGTAATGGGAACCAAGCGAACTGCCTTCTGGAAAGAACGAGATCGAATTCTCAATTTAAGATTCAAATTAAATCGTAGCAGAGACCCTCCGTCCGAAGCCTTTCCGCGGACGAGGACCAAGCGGCAGGGGAGAAGGGATAAGACAAGCGACCAAGTGGGAACCAATTTCGATGTGCTCCAAGGAAGGGCCGCGAGAGTATATTAATCTTTAATCCAATTAATTTAACATTTTTTTTTCTTGGTATAACGGGTATAACCAATCCAGACAGATTCAAGTTCTTTTTTATTTCTTTTCGCTGCTCTCGCAATGGTGCTTCTGTTCTTCGCCTAGGTTGGGAAAGTGGAAGAGTGGGTGGGTGACATTTTATATAATCAAACTAGAGTTTGTACGACTGCGATGGCCATTGCAATCTAACAGAATTCTGTGTATGGCTTAGTGTCAGATGAGACCCCAAACAGAAGTGGCGGCAGCCGAAGAAACGGCGATTAAGTTATTGTTTTTTCTCGTTGTTGATTCTTATTAATCTCTAAATTAATGAATCGACAATTAAATAGTATTACACCTGCAACCTAGTATGTAGTTGGTTTAGCCGATCGATTCCTGACGAAGAGTAATTTGAAGAAAAGTTGGGGCATTTCATTTCCCTAAACTACCGAAACTTCCAAAATTAGAAAAGAGAATTTAAATTAAAAGTTATTAAAAGTGCTCAGTGGACTCATACTATTTTCAGAAAAGTGATACTTTTGGAACTAAATTCTACTGAGAGTCTGAGACTATGTATGATAATCGGCATCAAACGCCCGCAAACGAGGTCCCCGAGCAGGGAGGGAGGAGAGAAAATTATACTGTACATATAATGGGGGCCGCCCACCGGCCGGGGAAAGGGTGGAAGAGGTAGCCGAGGGAACCCACGGGGAGAACTAACTGAGAGGTGTCGGGCGCCACCGACGACAGATGAATTGGTTTCAATTGTCTCAGTGGCTTATACTTACTTTACAGAAAGTACTGTACAGAGTACACACAAACCAGTTGCATTGGTTATTTTATACAAGGATGTACAATGTTTCTTGAATAGGCAGGGGTATCTTGCTTGCTAGCTTCAATAGACAAATCAACTGTATCATGTGGTTGGGGGGGGGAGGGGAATGGTCTGTTGAGTCACTCTCATAAAGTACTTACTATATGTACTTACTATATATGATTGAATCTCTGCAACCAAGACCAACAATCGTCATATCAATATAATTAAATTGAGCGAGCGACCGATCCTTTCTTTCTTCCGCCCATCCATCATCCACATCCACCACTCAGCTCAGACAACCGAATCAGTTGTAGATAGAAGAACTACTACCTACTAGTATCTACACAGAAAGTTAGTAGTGTACAGTACACACTGAGGTCCCTCTGTTCTGAAGTCAGTTATCTATACTGGCTGATCCAGTAATAAACAGCTCTAAGCACAACACCACCGGTACCTTACTCCTTAAGCCCTCAACGATCGCGATCGGCGCCTCCCCAATCAAAGGAAACCAAGATATAGCTCCTTTTTTTTTTTTTTTTTTTTTTTTTTTTTTTTTTATTTTATTTCACTGGTTGTGAACTTGTTCACTAGTGACCCGGATATGTCAACCCACCAATCCCCCGATCCCGCGGCACACACCTCATTGAGAGCCCACGTTTTTCTGCGTCTCCCCCGATCCAGACCTCTGGGATTATCCAGAGAAACCCCGATGAAAGGGTATCTTCTCGTCGTTGGGTGGGTGGATTTGTCGCCGATACGCGGCAAGCGGCTATCTGGCGTGCAGACCAACGGAATGTTCCATGGTTGAGGTGCGTCTTTCGAGTAATGTTAACCGAGACGGGGTTGTCATGGTAGACGAGCGGAACGAGGTTTAAGGTTCTCGCTGCTTGATTGTGAAGAAGCTGCATATTTATCTCCTCGGATTGTTTTGGAGGTGAAAGGGGAAATGACTAAGAAAGTTATCTGGGTTGAGTAATTGGTGGATGGAGTGTGTGTGTGTGTGAGAGTGTATGTTATTGTATAGTAGGAAATAGTGTGGGGATGGGGTGGATTGGCTGACAGGTGGCGATGGGAGGGAGGATAATGGGTGAAGAGTTAGCACTTAGATACATGCAGGATACCTAACTAGTTACATATGACTAAAGACTGATAGATAGACCGAAAGATCACTCACTATACGTAGGTAGGCTTGCACATCTATCTTCTGTCAGATACTGTACGGAGAATGAAGTGTCAAACTGGAATTACCTACTCGGACGACCACGAGTATTCCGTAGTACTTCGTACTTGACTCCATCGTAGTAGTACAATGCATAGAGAGGCAAAATTGTTCTCACGTTCTTGAGTTTGAAGAGGGGGGCAAATGATAGACCCAACCAAAGAGGAGCGGGCTCCATCCATCCGTCCATTGTCCGCAAAGCCCGAAAAGGGAAAATGATATGACAGTTTTGACAGCCACTGGGGAGGTCCCGGGACTTGTATCCTCTGTTCCCCCCTTGCCCCCATCCCCATTTCCCCCTCTGCCCCTCCTGCAGTGGTCTACGGACTCACTGAGTTTGCCTCGAACAGCACTCCGTACAATCTCAACAGTCCACTACTCCGTATCGCTAGTTGGATCTGCACTGCGCCGTTCGGGTCAAGACCACCCCCCATTCATCCACCCACACGCCCCCACCGCTCGTGCACTCTTTTTGATTCGATGGGAATGGGAAGGGGGGAAGATGATACAAAGATACAACGATTCGGGTGTTCCATTTGTCGTGGTGTAAAGTTTTGGAGGGGTGGGTTTTGTCACTTCTCAAGCTAATTACAAAATTTCTGTTTGCTGTTGTGTGGTACAGAGTACAGTAACATCCATCCTGGGTAACTTGTACTCCCCGTTCGTAAGTCTAAACTGTACTGTACCGAATGTCCGGGTGAAACCTAAACAACAATGGGGATGAATCCGCGATGGTGGGTGGGGTGCCTGGATTATGCACAGTACGGAGTACAGCAAACGCGCGGATGGGGATGGAGACCTTGGTTCTTTTATTGTTGCGTCAGTGAAATGGGACCACTAGGGTAAATAGACCAGGTCTGGGTGCGTGTAGAGGATGCAAATCGAGATGGGATCGGTACCGTGAGATGGGCTCGGACCAGGTGGGAATCCACTTGCCCGTATTCTTTCTCTCGAGGTTGGCCCGGTTGGTCGTGGTGGTTGTACTTATTTGTTTAGACCGGGATCTGGGATGCTCTTCTTGGCCTTCAGGCTTCTTGGTGGGTAGATTCCCACACTTACGCTGGACATGGTTTCATAGAGATAGACGGATGGTTCGGGACGAGGTTGGAAAGTTTGACTTCTTCAGTTTCTCATTTGTTAGAGAAGAGGAAGCGGCGGGGAAAGAAAGAAAGAGGGAATTGTTACCCACAGATGAGTTGAGAAGGTAATCTTGCTTGGTAATGCTTACGCTTGGGGCTTCACTCAACACAGTAGAAGGGGGGTGTTCGGATCTACAGTCAAGGATTCTGACTGGCTCCTCCTCCTCGCCCCCCCTGTACACAGAACGATACATGAGCCCCCCCCCAATTCGAACCACGCATCATACCCTTGTGTCTTCCTTTGTTTGTCTGCTGCTCCCACATTGATCCCCCTCCATCTCGTAAGCCGCATCTACGGTTTCCGATCCGACCCCGAGACTCGCACCTCTAGTTCTCCATTTCAAGTGGTATATTCTGCATCTCTGCAGAAGGGAACTCGGCTGTACTCCAATGCTTTTGGTGGGCACAATGCGGGACTTCCAACGATTAATGCGCGGTTGAAGAGAAGAGCTACACCAGAGTCTATCGCCAGTACGCAGTCGCCACGGAGTTGAGATAGTCAATCCCCTCTTTTCGCCACGTGTCTGACTCCATATAGCTAGTGGTATTGGCATTGAACACCAGGTCGACCGGCCGACCCTGTCCGTAGGCCTGCCACCGGACCGCAGAGTCGTTCCCAATGCCCGAATTGGGGTCGAGATCGTGGATGAAAGACGCCCACATGCTGGTCATCAGCTGGCTCAGTTGCACATACGACTCGGGCACCCCCGCGAACGGAAGCCCGTAGTGGTACCCAAGGCCGGCGATATTGTTGAAGACAAAGGCCACTTCCTCGAAATGGGTCGCTCCAGACAAGACCGGAACATCCGCGGACCGCACGTTGAAGCGGTAGCAGTAGGCCGTCGTGTTGGTCGCCGTCCACGCCTCACACTGTCGTCGTCGGTTGGCGTGCATTGTCGCGTCGCCTGCATACGCAGAGGTGCGTCGCCACTGGTAGCCCTTGGATAGGGCTCGTCTGGAGCCAAGGAACTCGGGAATGCCTAACGAGGGATCATCAGGGTAGAGCTCCAGGATCCGCTTGGCGATGTTTGGGGGTAGTTGGAAGCCCGATTCGCCATCTGCAGCAATTTAGTGATGTGAGATCATCGAAATAACATTTTCGTTATGTTCGGAAGGCCAGAACCATGCGTACCGGTAAGATATTTATAAAATTCCTGCGTCGTATTTATCCCGGTGGGCCCAAATGCCGTCCCTTCGTCGGTGTTCGTCCCAGCAATGATGGGAACCTGGACGAATTCCTGGCGATCGAGTTGAAGACTACCCCAAGTCTGGATCAAGTCACCATCAATGACGGGCGAAAAGGCGTAGTTTGACAGTCCATCAGTCCCGTTGAGGACGCGATTCAATTCTTTAAATGGGACCTCGCGCAGGCACTGCAACGAGTCGACAACATTGGAGCAGTTGACTTTGGCTACTAGGTCGTCGTAGAGCGGCTGGTAGCCGGTATAGTTGTTTGGTGATGCAGCAATGGTTCCTCCAGACTCCATGATAGCTGCACGGAAGAGGCCATCGTCTCTGCCTCCGTAAGCTGCAAGGTGATATCCGACGGACATCGCCCCAGCAGACTCACCCCATATGGTAATCTTGGTTGGATCGCCACCGAAGGCTGCGATGTTCTCTTTGATCCAGTGAAGTGCTAGTCTTTGATCCCGAAGCCCGAGATTGGTGTTCCCAGTGCCGCTGACTTGGCTAGAGCTTATAAAACCCCAAGTCGACAGACGGTAGTTGAGCGACACTGCAATGAATGGCTTGCCTAAGCGCGGCAAAAACCGTCAGTCAAGGCCCCAGCACCTTCTGGTAGGGCAGAGGACAAACCAATTTTATGAGCATTGGCGACAATGGCGGACATGTTGTAGCGCTGATCAGCGCTAGATCCCTCGGTAAAGCCCCCTCCATGAATCCAGACGCCGACTGGGAGGCGCGAGCTCTCGTTGACAGTCGATGCACGAATGACATTCAGAGTAAGACAAGCTTCGGACTGCGGGTACCATATGGAGTCCGTCTGGATACTAAAGTCAGCTTGCGTCAATGTTCACCGTCAAAGCCATAGTGATGCCATACCCCATATCCGACACAGATGTCCGAATACGCCTTCGCCTGGCGCTCACCGTCCCAGCTTTCATTGAGAGACTTGGGGACCGTGAATCGCAAGTTACCAACAGGCTGTTGCGCATAAGGCATACCGAGAAAGAAGTCTTGTTCGTACTCCGTGTTTCTCACACCGACATAAGTACCATTACGAACATGGGCTGTAGGTTCAGCCGAATCAGCCGAGACAACAAGGCCGCCGGCCGAGAAACCGAGCAAACAGATGAATGCCGTTCGCATCTTTCAGAGAAACGGAAATATTCTAGAGCGCTCTGAAGGCTGCCAGGAGCCATACTGAACAATGCTGCAAAGCAGCATTTATACTCGAGGCTTCACGGCATAAGAAGGTCTCGCAAGAGCCGATGTCACTTGCCAGCGCTGACGACCAACCCGGAGTCATCGGCAGTCGCGGAATGTGGAGGAGTCTGGAGTACTCCAGGTTCAGCCGTCAATAGCGACTGCTCCCCAATCAGGTCAGATCGCCAGCCAAAATGCGGAGTATCGGGGTCATGGGGGATGCAATCTTTAGAGCGAGTCTTGCAGTTGCTCTTCGGAACCCCCCGTCTCTATACCCTGATTCGTACTTCTCTCCGCAGCTTGCTTGAATCTAGCTTGGTCCGAAGTAGTGCCGGGGCTGAAAACTTGGCGGGGAAAATTACATGCCGTTGATCTCTCCGCAAACGGGATAATCGCATGATGCTATTAAGCTCTTGGGGTATATGTGAAGGTCTAGCGGGGTTTCGCTCTAAAGGGTCGTCGGATGAGGGCGCCCAGAGTTTAGGTCTTCAGAGAAGATGTAGGTGGGAGCACGAGAGGAGTAAGCTCATGCAGAACTGAGACAGGAGACAGGTTGAAAGTAAGGTATGAGATTGATTGTGGACGGTCAAATTTCCTGTGTTGCTTCAATTGTTGTATCCGGCGTGCCTGGTGCAGTTTGCTTTGTTTGCTGTCTGGGGCCCCGCGTGACCCCACATGTGGTTTGTTCCTCTTCGCATTCTTTGCGCGTCTGGATGCCCTCCTGAACTGTTCAGGCAACACATCAACCATATGCTTGAAGACAGCACACATTGAATAATTGATAAAGCGCATATACCGCCAGAGGGAGCATAATTAATTAAATAAGCTAATTGCTACCGATTGTTTCGATCAAAGCAGACCCCCCCCTCCGATATTCGTAATCCATCCAAGGATAGGCTTTTGGAACAAATAATTTCCAGTCAACAATATAGCCACGACAGTGGACAAGTATAAGCTTGATGCACAACTGATTAGAGGACTGAAGAGGTACTAGCCATTTCATCTCCTGCCTATTCCAGATAAGATTTGAGATGTTCATATTCAGCTGGAAAAAGCTAAGCTTTTGACATTCCCTACAGTGGTGAATAGAAAAGACAAGCCACACTCACTAAGAGAACAGACTCTGATAGTCACTCACTCATATGATGATCTGAATGCGTTTTGTACGTCTTTCTGCTTCTCCGGTGGTAGAAGAGAAAAGTATGTTCTTGACTGATTTGCCCCTTCAAGTTTTGTTATTACAATATAATCTCCATGCAGAGTTGCAGTCGATTGATTTCTATGAGAACGCGGTTTTGGCACCAGCACTCTTCTCTACCATCTTTGGGAGTCTAATGTGAAAGCGAGCTCAGAGGAGCCCGGGCAGTACCAATGGCCCATGACGGCCGTTGCAAGAGTCCTATGCTTATGTCTGATGAGCTTTATCTCATTCAAGCCCAGGACGAGTGGCGAGCCAGAATCAGGGATTCTCTGCGAATATGGCAGACGTCCTTCAACCACCTCTATCATCGCCTGTCACAAAGATCTGGGCCGCCAAAGAATATCTCGCATACTAACTTTCCTGTCTCATGGACCGTCCAAGATAAGGAGCCCACCAGGATATCACCGATTCAGACCAGATCATAAACCACAGCCAGAACCCGCTGCGTAGGAGATACGTAATTCGGGCAATGCATCGGATCCAGACTCAAACGATGACTCCCCTACCAGACTCAAACGTCACTGGAGCCAGACACCATCTTCAGAGTCGTTTCCATCGGCCACATCTTATGGCTCATCTTTATCAGTGCAACTGTCAAAGCGGTTTCGAGGCCTGGGGGTTTGCACCCAAAAATGCCTGCTCGGACTGAGGACTTGCGGCAAGCTGGATGAAAACTGTCCCAATGTCTAACGGCATCGTGAGAACGGGAGCAGGTGCCAGCGCACCAACATCCGTGGCTTGGTCCAGCTCATCCAGCATTCCCTGGCCGATCGCGTTGACCGTGCCATACCGATGGGCAATTGTGGAGCCGCCGGAGCCCCTTTTAAGCTCACCCGTGTTCGCTATGGATACACAGTCGTTGGTAAAGGAACGACTTGCTAATCATGGCCGAAGCTAGAACGTGAAGCAGATGTCTATCGACTGCTCTATTCTGCACAGGGCCCAGCAGTTTCTGTTTATCTGGGCAAGACCAGCTTGCGAAACATGTTTTACCTCTTCGGTGTTGGAAAGAACCGGCACATGATTCTAATAGGTTGAGATGGCGACGAGATTGATAGAGTCTGGATAATTAAAAAGCCCAAGAAAGATGTGGAGATCAAGAAACGAAGTTAAGCCCAGCCCTTAGCCATGATCCGGTTCCTAGGGGTTGTACACACGGACCTCGCGCCGACAAATATTCTTTGGAACCCCGAGCTAGATCGGGTCCTTATTATCGACTTGCATCTTTGCGTATTGGAACTAAACAAGATGAAAAAGACGCCAAAAAGGCTAACTTCAAGTAACCTCCTGGTTCAGCTTACGGGAAATGAGAAGCAGCGGCAGCATTGCTCGAACCACTGGGTGTGCTTACAGCCCTTGACCGAGAATTGTCCAAACGACAAGTATGACTTGGACTGATAAGGCCTCTTGGCGCTGCAGACCTTTTGATTCTGACGATTGTTCACCATCATTCCGTGTTACACTGTGTAGTAGTCTGTAAAGCTTCCGTTAATGATTTTTCCAGAGATATATCAGAGTATCCGGCCGCGGGTCTCTGGGGCCCCGGAACCGTTCGCCTGTGGTCCGAAGACCGGACATTATGTGCTAGGTCTGGTTACCATCGCTAAGTTCTCGCAATGTTTGGCGTAGTAATGACCTAGCCGTCTGTTTCTCAACTCCTGAGTGCATGCAGCCGAAGCCGAAATCAGTCTAGGTTTCGCGTCAATTCTCTTAGGCCAGGTTAGATCACTCAACCCAGATTCTTGTGTCCTCGTCTTCCATCCGTTCAGGGAGTATGAACCTCCTAAATGGGTAAATTAGGCACCTAGGACGGTGAACCTGGGTCGTCAACAGCAAAGCGCCGTCAGCCTCCCGAACATGTAGGTCTATGGTATTCAGAGTAGCATCGCAGTAACTTCAGTATAGACAAGGAAGTTATCCCGAAACTAGCTCTGCTTATTTTCGAAAGACCCTACCAGATGTTGCAAACCAGCTCCTGGTGAATGAGTGAGCTTCGTCCTTTGTGACTGCCATCTGGGTTGCCGTTTTGGGCTGTAAGTCTGCCGTTGCACGGCCGGCCAACCACTTCTCAGTACTGACATTTCTGGTCTCCTGGAAAGATCAGAGTCACACACAGAGTTGCACGTAGCCAGCCACCGAAGCATATGCAGCCTCCCTGATGAGCAATCAGTGGGTGTCTCGGCGAATCACTGTTCTCTTGTCAAACAATCTGACTTTCCAATTATACAACGCCCAACGCTCGACCCCTCGCAAGTGGTTGAACAAGGCAAGAGCTCCGTGAATCGTGGCAGACGATTCGAAAGCGCTTCACGGCAGCCGACTGCGACGACTGAGAGGAGAGTGGAAAGACTCGTTTTCAGTGAAGCGAACGCGCGCTCATGACGGCAACAGTAACCCTCAGGGGTTGCGGGCCCCTACTGGAACATTGGCACTTGAGATGTGCAGTTCGAATGGAAGGATTGCGATGCAACTGTACCTGTTGCTAACGCAGCCGGCATTGAGTTAGAACATAGCCGTCCCTTAGACTGATACAACAAGTGCGAAAGAAAGCTCAATGCCGACCGACCAGCTTTGGGGTCTACAAAAGCCGGGAAAGTGCATATAGTGTGTTCCCTTATGACAGATGGAGAAACGCAGTTAACATTTCTGGCAGGGAGCATCATCAAGCCAATGGGGGACATCACAGAGGGCCCGTGACAGTGGTTAGGATGCAGGGCCCTCATTCGCTCCTATAACTAATGTTCGGACAACAGGGCCACAGAGCATAGAGAAGATGATACCAGTACCTTTTGCAAGTAATGGCATGCCCATCGGCAAATTTTCCCTTCACTGCATTCTGTTTCGCAATTCAAACCCCGGAAGAACATGCATTGCCATCCTTCCACCATGTCAACCGTTCTGACAGCTCTCTCCCGACACTCCGAAGAAATTGAATCCATCTTGGTTGTCATCAATGGGTTTCTGGGTGCGCTCAGAACAAAGAGTCCCCTCGATTTCGACAAGTACTGCGTGCGAGCGGGCGGGATGTCCCTCTGGCCGCCGTCGCCGACTCTGCCTCGCTTCTGCACCATCGGCGCCTTTGTGGAACAGGTGGTAAAGATTCAGGACGAGATTGACGAGCGTATCTGGGATCCGGAGGTGAAAGTGTATCCCTCAGGCAGCCTGGCCGCTGTCTGGGCGCCTTTTCGAGCAAAGGTCAATGGTGTTGTGCATCATGTCGGGGTCGAGCTTTTCATACTTCACAAAGTTAACAGCACATGGAAGGTGACGGGAGTGGCCGATTCGTGTCGAGAACCGACAGAGGAGGAAAAGATTTGGTTGCCATGAAAGGGTGATTGAAGAAGTGTGGCATGGTTTAGGATTCGAGAGCTTCGATGACTTTGTGCAAGATGGGACACGGCACGCTGAAGTGTGAAGAGCCGAGAGAAGTATGGAGGGGGAGGTTCGCGGTAATGGCTCTCTGGGAGAATCGCTTCATTTGCAAGGGTGTGTGCCAGCTCCCATATTGCCATAAATGTCCTTCCTATATACATTAATATCAAGCACAAGTCGAATGGAATTGAACGCATTGAAACTCTTGTGATAAGCAACACGAGATTGAAATCTATTAAATGCTCCAAGAAACTTATATGACAGTGAGAATAGACAGGCTATCTACATCTATATGAGAATGTATTTGCAAGTTCTGTTCAAGAAGCTTTACCCTTGAGAAGCTCCCACCCAACGGTACCGTTTCTGCCCTCATTCACGCTCATTTCGTCCACGGCCTTGACAAGATCATAGCAGATTTGTTCTGAAACGACGCTGTCTTGCTTGTAGTCCGGGTGCGACGCAACGAATTCCCGAATCCACTTGGCACCCGTCCATAGAGTTCCGTTCGCACGCTTGCGTATCAAATCGAGGTAGCTGGCTAATGAGCAACGAGTCTCAACATCCACATTGACACTGTCAAGATAGGATTCAACAATTGGAATCAAGCCGGGGAAAGAGCCGTCAGCCGAGCCGTTGATGATATCTGCGATAGCCATGAGTTCATACTCGGATTCGACTGGGGCGAGGGTTGGAGATGGAGGCGGTGAGTTGGCGGCGGAAGATGTGGTGGAAGAGAGATTGCTTCCACTAGATGAATGATGATTCGGTCGACGAGGGGAGAAGGGATCCTTGCGGAAGTAGAACTTGCGGTCGTGGATCGCGTTGCGCGCATGTGCTGTCTCCATATTCTCTGTAGTGCGCGGAATTGGAATATAGAAATTTAGATCATAAGTCAAGATTGCGCGTGTCACAAGCACGATGAAAATGCTAAACGCGGCATTCTCGAAGTCGGTCATCTGAATCTCCATGGAACGGAACTCTACGCGCCAGCCGATATCATCCTTGTCAGGAGGCGGGGGCTTGAACCGCATATGCTGCCAGTTTGTGGACTGCAGATTCTCGAAGTGATCCGCCTTGTTCAAGTCTAGTTCCTCAAGATCTTCGGAGAATATGACCAAGGGATCACGAATGAAGAGATGTGCAAAGTGTGTGGCTAACAGGTCATCCATTCCGTCCTCCATGAGACGTTTTTTGATGTCCTCATCGATGATCAAGTCAGGATCCAGATATTCCTTCCGCAACCGGGCGTCTTGTGAGATATATGTCGAGTTTGAGGCATATCTGGATTTGGGGATCCTCCATCTGTTGTTCTTGAGTGGCTGCGAAGGATTAGCAAATGGCATCCCGAGTGAAACAGGAGAATCTCGTACAAATTCGCCAAGCTCTTCACGAGTACGGTCATCCACGGCCCCACTGATCTGGTTCCAACGGACATCTGTGTCGACAAGGAAGCCCTTGTATATCGGTGTAGCAGCCGTCAATGCGAGCAAAATAGGACCCAGGGGGCTCAATTGGTCATACAGCTTCCTCCCCTCGGTGATATTCTTCGCCTGGAAAGTGATTTGCAGACAGCAGCTACCCATGCCAAAGGCCATGGCGTCCATATAGACATGGTCGTCTTTGGCTGCTCCGTTTCTGACGTCGTCATCTTCGGGCCAGAGATGAAGGTCATAATTCACGGTTGGGTCTTTGAAGGGGCTAGGTGTGTTCGTATCTTTGTATACCGGAACGTTCAATTCGACCTTCCGACCTCTCCTTGATCGGATGTTGGCGGCCAGGGTTGGAAATCTGATGTGTGGATTGGCAATCTCGTCAGGCACGAATTGAGAACGAAGCGCAGGCCCAGATGGTGGGTAATAAGGCTGAATGTAGTCGTCCTTGGTACCCAGGCGAGGGAATGTTGTGAGGGTGATTGGGTGTTCATTCGGCGCCATGTGGGCTCTGGCGACCTCTCGTCTGTGATGGAGCTTTAGTGGTCTGTGGTTTATCGGTTCGAATCTCACTGCACGAACCTCCATTTCATATTGGACTCCACCTTTAGCAGGTCCTTGAAGTCAATTCCCCAGGGTTTTCCCGGTGTTGCCTCGAGCATGAAACGGCCAAATTCCGGGTGGAAGTGTGGTGGCTCTTCTCCGTCACTGCCCTCTATCAGAAGTGTCCACAGTCCCTTGTGTTCAGATATCTCACTGTTCATTGCTCGGGGACTGAGGTCGAGTCCCCGTTTTCCAGGATGCTTCGTCTTCAGCAAGCGACTTGAGAATCTCGGCCTGCGCGAGTGAGAGGCGGGCCTTCTTTGCTTCGTCATCAACAGCTACGACGAGGTACTCGACCTGATAAAATCAAATAAGTCAGCACAGAATACTTCAGATTATGTGACTTAGAGCCTTACCTCGTCACCCCATAGCAGAGCATTGCGTTCCTTCCCCTTGGCTCTATGCCAGTTCGCAAGCAATTGCTGTTTCCAGTCAATACGTTGCTGGCTGTAAGATTCGCTGAGTGAAACCAATGGCAGAGAACTCACCTCGATTCCCCATTTGCGAACCTGATCTGCTCTTTTCTGGGCCTCTGGCCAATCCAGGGCCGTCCCGAGCGCGCTGGAGGAACGCAAGTCAGTTTTTGCGCGCCCATTATATTTGACCTTCACTCAGAGCTCATTACGTACAGCAAGCCCATATTATCGTTTGAGCTATCGGCAGGCAGGCGCGCAGGTTCTCGTGGGCAAAACCTGACCGTTAGGTCGCGGCTTAGTGGTTGGCGGGGGTTTGCGACGGCGGGAAAATCAGTCCATACAAAAACCCCGCGGAGATGAGGGGAAACTTCCGACTATTAGACTTGCGATCTAGGACCCGATCGAGTCACGTCAGTAGCACGCAATGGCCCGACTTAATGCACAGGCAATATGGACCAAGATCCTGAATCGCCAAGCAGAATCACAGAATGATCACAGAATGTCAGAAGGAAAAGTGAAATGGTCGGATCATGTTCCTTCTTATCGACTTGATGCTGATTTTCGTGTCGAACCTTCGGGGTTCCAGCCTCCATCGCCTATTGGTGGGGACATAACGTCTCCCCGTTCATAGCGGGGCTGGAAAAGCATTATCGGTGATTGTCTGCCATCTCGATTTCTAAGCAGCGTGAGGAAAGGGATCCCGGTCAGGTGATTTTCCCGTCATCGGCGCGTTGCAGAGCTATAGCTGCTTACTTTTTCATTATCTATAACTATGCCTTCTTATTTCAACTTAGGGTAACGTGACCTATTCGGCTTACGCAGATGAGTGATCTCATAAGCAAGATGAGTGATCTTATGAGCAAAGTGAATATACATGCAGCCTCTAACATGGACATTCCGTACCTGATGACTGCCCATTAATCTCCGATGTGGTCATCCTAGCTTGTTTGCGACTAGGATAGAATGTTGCGCAATACGAAACAAGGCAACCGTACATTAACACATTGATATGGACTCAGGCCGATTGAGCTTTGCAGACTAACATGCCCAGCATGGCTTATCGACCAGGCATAACTGCTTGTCTTACTCATGCTATGGGTTGCTTGAGGGTAGCATCACGCCAAGCTGCGCCATTGTCCCGGAACACAGTTCAGGGAGATGACCAACTACTGAAGCCGTTTATAGGATTTTGGCCCTGGCTTTCCAAGAATGGTGCGGACAAAGTTGACCCGAAGGAATCCCAACGCCAAAGTCGGTGCATGGACAAACAATTTCACAATTTCTATGTACATAACATGCTGCTCGTTGGTCGCGAAAATTAGGATGTCGATAGCTTTGGTATCAATTGCTGCGGGCACCATCCTTTGCGGCGCGGAGCTCTTCCATTTTGGCGACGCGCTTCTTGAATTCCTCGTACTGGCACTTTTCGTAGCTGTGTCTCTCGTCCTGCAAGCTCAGAGATCAAAGTCAGTTCTATGCACTCGTAGCTTTATTGGCTGCAAGGACTATTCGCGATAATCAAAGAACGCACCTCACACTTCCAAGGGAGGTAGTACTCCTGCTGCCGGCAGCGATTCAAGGGGATCAACAAGTGAGCGCAAGAGTCACGGTACTGAAGGGGAAGACGAGCATCGGACATTTCCTGGCTCGTAGCAGCTAGAAGTAGGTGTCAGTCATGGGATCATCAAGCATCATTGTTCACCGAATGACGGCGTCTCCACGTAGCGAGAGTCAATGGCAATCAAAACTTACGAGTACTGCCTCCAAGCCCAATGGCGCTCTTCACTGTCTCGGCAACAGTCATATTGAGGGGGGAAAGGGTGTTATCGAGGTGGATTTCGAGGACAAAGCGACTGGACCGTGAGGTTTGCAGCTATTCCGTAGTTGTCGTCGTTCCTTCCTTGCCGGCTGTGTCATGTGATGTCACGTGTCATATTCTTTTTCAAAAGAGTACTAGCTTATTGAAATCCACTTTACGCGGTCCGGCGGACCCAAGGCGCGTCTTGCTTAGCCAGACCTTCGCGTTTCGAGATCAGTATTGCGGAATCATTAACACCCCTGCTCCGGTCAATTTCAAAGCATGCCTATGTGAATTCACTTAGCCCATCAACGAGCTAAGGGTCTTAATGCATTTTGATAATTGAAAAACTATCCGGGATCCTTGTTATCCTACTTCCGAGCGGCGGTGATAGTCGCTATTGTTGGACGGGAAGTCCGCTGAATCAGAACAGCCTAAGGGGGCGCCCATCATGACCGCTGTGGACTTCTCAAAAGTGTACTCTGCTACCTATAGCAGTGTAAGTGACAACGCTATGAGCCTGCCCCGCTCTTTCAATTGGAATCCCCATGACCGTCTCCATCCGACGGAAGGGATAGATTTCCAGCTAATGCATAATACTAGGTACCGGTATATGAATTCAAACTTGATGGTGAAAGCGTGATGCGAAGACGGTCGGACGACTGGATCAATGCAACTCACATCCTTAAGGTTGCGGGATTCGACAAGCCAGCGAGAACAAGAATCCTGGAGCGTGAGGTTCAGAAGGGCGTCCATGAGAAAGTGCAAGGTGGATATGGCAAATATCAAGGTAAGGTCTCTGTCGCATTTCTTTCGCTTGGATCCTCCTCTAGTCATACCGATTCTGATCTGACTTTTGTAGGAACATGGATTCCTCTTCCTGAAGGCCGGCTTCTCGCTGAGCGGAACAACATAATTGACAAATTAAGGCCGATTTTCGACTACGTCGCCGGAGACCGCAGCCCTCCACCAGCACCGAAACACACAACCGCAGCATCAAAACCCAGAGCGTCAAAGAATACAGCTAAGAGGAACATTATCAATGAGGAGGTCTTTAGTGCTGTCAAGCCAGCTCGCAACATGGCGCCCCCGCCTTTTATCCATGAACAACAGTACGAGATTAGCACTGGGTTTGATGACACCGAGTCCATTGAACAGGCAACGCTTGAATCATCGTCAATGATAGCAGATGAGGAAATGATGACGATGTCACAGAACGGTAATTTTTCTCGCAAGCGCAAGCGCGGAATCAATGAGGCGCCGGTGATGTCTATCACTGAACAAGAACATATACTTTACGGGGACCAGCTCTTGGACTATTTCATGACGGTAGGCGATGCGCCTGAAGCCACACGTGTGCCGCCTCCACAGCCCCCCTCCAACTTTTGTGTAGATCGTCCAATTGACGACTCTGGTAATACGGCCCTTCACTGGGCCTGTGCTATGGGAGACTTGGAGATTGTGAAAGACCTTCTACGAAGGGGAGCAGACGTGAAGGCATTATCGGTGCACGAAGAAACACCCCTTGTGCGAGCCGTTCTGTTTACGAATAACTACGAGAAAAGGACTTTTCCCCCACTTCTCGAATTACTTTGGGATACAGTTTCATTCAGGGACTGGTTTGGTGCCACCATATTTCATCACATTGCAGAGACTACGCGAAGCAAAGGGAAATGGAAGAGCTCACGGTACTACTGTGACGTACTCTTGGATAAGCTGCGCGTTATGTGCTCGGTGGAGGAAATGGATTCCTTATTGTCTTTCCAAGACCATAATGGAGATACAGCGGCCTTGGTTGCTGCTCGAAATGGCGCTTTCCGCTTAGTGGACCTGCTTCTTGCACGATGCCCACGGGCTGGCGACTTAGTGAATAAGAAGGGCGAGACGGCTGCGAGCATCACTCGTCGAGCGCATCCGTCTGAACGCGATATTCCTCCCCCCCCTTCATCGATCACCATGGGCAACGATCAGCTGGACGGCGAAGCACCGGGACTCATGAATCCTGACACACAATCCAGCCACCTTGCGCAGGAGTCATCATCCCCTGCCACCACCGCGTTGCTGACCAAAATCGGTGTAATAATGGCTGAGGCAAATAAGAAACTTGCCGTAAGCTACGGAAGCTCAAAGGCGAATCAGCAGGATTCAGACGACGTCGCAAACCCGGAAATCCTATACGAGCAGCTAGAGTTGGACCGACAGAAGGTGCAGAAAGAAACGGCCGTTCTGCAAGCGCAAGAGGCTGGAGAGCAACCAGTTGAAGTCCAGCTCGATCGCTACGAGCAGCTGCGAAGTGGCTACGAGTCACTGCTAGAACAAGTTCAGCAGGGGCGTCTCAGAGAGCGCATTTCATCGGTAGTGGTACCTGCAGCAAAGGAGGGCACGACGCCACCCGCCACAGATCATGATAAACTGCTTCGCATTTACCAGCTGGCTCGCCAACTGTGCTCGGCGCAGAAGGCCCGGCGCGCTGCCGTCAAAGATCTTGCTCAGCAGACGGCTGACGCGGGAGTAAGCACCAAGTTCGACGTCCATCGGAAGTTGGTGGCACTCGCCACCGGCCTGAAGGAGGAAGACCTCGATCCCATGGCTGCTGAACTGGCCGAAACATTGGAATTTGAGCGTACGAATGGCAAGGGCGACGCGGCTGAGATGCCAGATCCCGACTCTCGTAAATCCGCGACCTTCCCTTTTCCTGGGACGACCGTGTCTGTTGATGCATGAGCTCATCCACGAATCACCTCTCACATCATTTTACCCTTTCCTTCTGACGCTACAGGGCGTCTCCTCTTTTTTTTTTCCCCTTCGATCTGGTTCTAGCTGTCTTGCTTCGAACATGATGTTTCATCCGGAAAAGAGATTTTCAGGATAGCGCAGCGCCTTCATGATCTGATTCCAACCCTGGTTGCCTCTTTTCTCTCCGACTCGTACCAGTGTTTACAATTGTCTGATTCTGCATTTCCTACCTCTGGCGGATATTTTGCAAATTCTACTTTGCCAGCAGATACCCAATGCTTTCTCTTTATAACAACTCCACTGTCTCGTTCTTCTTCCTGTTTATTATCCCGGCCATGACATTGCTTGCACAGACCTTGAGCTGTGGATGCAATCGTCGTGCCATTGCCGTCGGCGCTCGGCCGATTGCGTGCCAGGCAAACCCAACAGTACGAGCCTGGAAGCCCGGCAAGGGGCCAGTGTGGGCTGAGCCTCGAACATTTGAACCCCCGAGTTCCCATTCTGGTTGCCTTGCCTTGCACTCGACGGGGAACCCCGGTTGGGTATGTATGTATGTACAGATGGAGTGAGCTCAATACAACCCTCAAATGACATGTACCTCTTGACCCTGACGCGTCAAGGCAAACTTTGACGCGGGGGTTATCCATGCCAGAAATGACGGCTTGGCTGCACACCTTTCTCCTGGCAAGTGCAGGATCCTGTCTCCCTAGGTCGACTTAACAAGCTCGAATGAATTCTAGGTCTTCTTCGCCGTAAGGACACTTTATCGTACATCCATACATAGTGGCCCAGTGTTAGTTAGCACAGTAGGGTACGATCATATCTGTCCAGCAGCACAAAATGCCTCAAAACCGATTCCCTCATTGCAGCCTAGATAGTAGATCCATTGTCCCCTTCGTGTTTGTCGTTAGCGCTGTCAGCAATGCATTAACCAATTAGTTACGAGATCTCTACGAAGATCTAGGCCACAATTGACCACCTTATTAACCAATTTAACTAAATGATGCAAAGCAGAGTCCAGACGGAAGCGCACGGCAGGCTGGCATCCCTCCACCAAAAGATCAGCCCTCTACCCTAGGTAGGTAGAATATGAAGCACAAATTCGCAACAACAGCAACAGATCCTTCACTCTTTCTATCCCAGCACCCGATATCCAACTCTCTCCCTCACCTTCACACCCACACATAAACAGCAAAAGCAAAAATTGACAAGAAAGATAACATTAATACCCACCACAAGACTCATTCAACGAAAAAGGCAGCACGCGGAGGTGCGGCGGAAGAACATAGAACCCCTCACCCCGGAAAGGGATTCATGAGGGGCAAAAAATAATTTACGAAGTAGACGGAACATAAGTTTAACCCGGACGCGTTGCGACAAAGTGGCAGATATTAGTCCCGTCTACGTACAGGGTGCTTGCATTGGTGCCGGGCATCGGCCGAATATTTGGGTTGTACTATTCGGTTAGAATGCACGGTACGGGGTACTTGTGATGGTTTGGATCGGGGATCTGGATGTCTAGAAGTTTCGGGGGCATGATGGGGATCAATTTTATTTTTCATTTTATGTTCGTGGAGTGGGGAGGGGGAACGGGGATTGAAGCACGCGACTGCATGGTGCATATCCCTGTGCTGCGCTCGAATTTTCGGTTCTACAACGCGGAAGCAGGAGAAGGAGGAAAGGAGGAGAGGAAGGCTGAAACTGCCATGATCCCTAAGACCAAGTAAGACATTGCTAGAACAAACTAATGTTGTAAGTTAAAGGAGTGGGAAGGAGGAGTGCGTGACTGCTTCAATGCTATTCCTGGCGCACATGTGGGAAAGTATAAGCAGACTCAAACTTTCAAACTCGGTGGCGCAACGGTCTTAACAGTCCGCCAGGGGTTCCGGCCTTGTGAGGGAGCCTCTAGGAAGAAGCAGAGTAAGAGAAGGATGGGGAAAGGATCGGCTTTGATGCCAATGACTGCTCCTCTACTAAGAGTAGTAGTTTGGGAGGGCAAGAGGTAATTTGAGTTTCCTAGTAGTACTGCATCTTTTTCTCTGATATCCCCCCCGTTGATTTACAAGAAGGAGTGCTCATCTATGGCTAAGTCTAATAAGCGTTAGACGAGTCACTTTTTCTTGTCAATCTGGACCGAAATTAGACTTCCAGTAGTGCATTTTGGCTCATTTAGAACGTTGCGATGCTACCTAGTTACGGCTTGTAAGGTTGTGACTAGAACGAGGGGTTGGGTATAACCTGAACGAGGGTGTTCGAGAGGTGCCGTCCTCAGCTACATGGAAATCTAGAATGATCCTCAGCGATGAATGCACTTCACTACCGAAGGTCAAGAGCTGCACGCTCCATGAAACCAGAAGTTCGGTGCCTCCGTTGCCTTTGCATCCATTGCACCGAGAACATCAGCTGAGTCCATGGAACGAGACGCGAGAACCGTAGGTAGGGCGACGAAAACGGTGGGTATCGCTTTTCGAATTGCCTCCTCGCACATCATGCTCAGACCCTGGGGCCACTGACATCGGTCACCGCGGCGTCACCAATGATTGGCAGATGAAAGGAGCTGACTTCATCTGATCGAACAATCTGGGAAAATGGGACTATGCAAGACGAAAGTTTTTTTCTCGCTGGCCTCTGACGGCAGTGCACGGGGGACGGCGGGACCGCCCGTCCCACCTCAGAATGGAGTCGCGATTTTCCGCAAGGGGGGCCCGTAACCCTCTCTACGCAGTACCTCAAGCGCAATCGGAAGCATCCGTTGAGTTGAGGTCAACGGAGTATTCAGCCATCGAAGTGCGGTTTGAGACGATCACACAATCAGGAAGCCTCTACCGAGCGAGATCGATTGTACGGGGGGGCTTGTTTGGAAAGTCTAAGCGATTGCGGGACGATCGATTAACCAGCGAGAGATTAGGATGCTCCAAGCTATATGACGCCTGGAATATAAACAGGGAGTGGACAGGGACAAGCTTGTTAAGAAGCGACTCCAATCAAGAACTGAATGGCCAAGGGAGAGAGAATCCATCCCAGTGCTTGGCAATCGAAAAAGGAGGAACTAGTCGCCTTTCGCGCAAATCCTTTTGGGGCTCCTGACCTTCCGCGGTGACTGACTACCTGTGAATTTCTCCAACTGGCAACAACCGTCCTTGGGGCGCAAGTCTAGTTCTGCCTAGTCTAGCTTCGTGGTTATCAGGAGCACGGAGAATTCTGGCAGGAGAAGCCCATCCATTCAGCATACAGCCTGTTGGCTCATCGAGCGTCGCAACCCCAATACTCTGCCGCTGAACCCAAGGCACGAGTGGATCGAGGTGGAGATGTGAGCCAGACAGGGAAGCCAGTCATTGCGGACGACAGGATCGCGGTAGGTTTTGGGAGGCAGCGACTGGACCGTTCTCAATGCGTGATTTTCGAGCAGGAGAACCTAAAAAGAAAGAAAGCTTTAGTCTCTGGGGCCACAAATGCGTTCCGAAGAAAGAGAGACCAGGTCCGATCATCAGACATGCGATCCACCATTAGCGTTGGATCTGCAGCCTCTGTTCGTCCAGTTTTACCTGGTGGGTAGTGTTGAGATGATTCACTTGAAGCTGTCTTTTGGTTTGACAGAACCCCTTCGTCGAATTTGAACGGGATGCTGCAAAGGAAACAGTAGGATTGAAAATGAAATTGTTCGGTAGAGCAGAGAGAAGGGACCGAGAGGTGAAAGAAAGACTAGTGATGGGAGAAACCGGACCATGTCTCTAGATGGAGGATCTGCAGTGGGTGTGGATTGACTTCCCAATCGCCCATCCAGATCTGTAGTAATTAAATAGTTATCAGTTCCTTAGCACGAGGTCAACAAAATCAACAAAGACGAAGGACATCAGCCAAGTCGATAGTTTGGACTCTCTCACCTGCAGTTAATCAATCTCAATCAATTGCAATTGCATTATCATTTGCCCGACGAGAATACACATTGTCCTGCTCTCTTTCTTCCCCACTCGGTCCATGGATCTTTCGCCGCCTTTGGATTTGCCCCCCCGGACACTCCTTCCTCTCCCTCTGACTTAATAATTATCGGCTCCCCGATCTCGACTACTCTTTCCTTCCCCCCTCTCCAACCGTCGTCTGTCGATCATTCATTTATCTTAATTCTTATTCCTTTTCCTATCCATTTTCTCAATCCTCCACCTCTCCTTGACTCGGTCGAATTCGGGTTTGCGACATTTGAACGTACAACACTCACTCTGTCACTTCTGATCGATTTCCCCCTCCTCACCCCACCATCCCCCATCGAATGCTACATTACTCAACGTCCCGCAGTCTGGCTTAGAATTTCGGTCGGACCTCTTCCCGCCCTCCTCTCTATCTCATGGATATCTTCCCCCCGCCATTCCGACCTCAATTCAGTCGTCACTCATAGAGATGGAGGTTCAGACATTGGTGTGCGCTCCGGGAAAGCCTCCTCTCCCCGCACAGCCCCAGCTTCCCGCTGCGCCTGAGAAACGAAAGCGGGTCCGGCGATGGCATCACCGCGGTTTCACTGGGTGCTCAACCTGCCGTCGACGCCATGTGCGCTGCGATGAGGCGTCGCCTTCGTGCAAGAATTGCACTCGTCTGGGTCTGGAATGCGATGGGACCCAGGGTCGCATGACTTTCAAGGTCTACGGGCCGCCACCAGCTGCTTCCGAATCTACATCCGCTCTCACCAAAAAACGAGAAAAGAAATCGACTTCCCCTACACCACAGGAGGTGAAACAAGAGGCGAAAGAGAATGAGGAGCCTTTCGAGGCACTGGTGGTGTCACCAACGACTGTGTCCGATCTGAAACCTATCAAGTACCGTTTCCAGGAACCTATCTCCCCAGCCGAGTTCATCTCCTCATCGCTTGACTGCGTCGAGGGTCGCTACTACACTCATTTCGTCGACCAAGTCGCCACTCTCTTACTTATCTATGACAATTCAATCAACATCAATCCCTATCGAAGATTCTTCCCGGACCTCGCTCAGTCATCCCCCTCCATGGCTAGTGCCATGCAAGCCATGGGCGCACTACATCTCGCCAACACTTCCAAAGGGCAGCAACGGAACAAACATCTTCAACAGGCTATGAGCAACTATGGTGAAGTAGTCAAGTCTTTCCGGACCCGATATACAGAGCCAGATCAGAGTGTTCGACTCACTGACCTCGCCACCTGTCTATTGCTGTCCCTGTTCGAGGTAAGACTTATCACACTGTGCGCCTAAATGCAATCATACTGATTGATTAGATGATGGACTCTCAAAATCACAACTGGGCTATTCATCTCAAGGGTGCCCGCGAGATTTATCGAATTCTATTTTCCGTCAACGACGACCCTGCAAAAGAAGCCAAGCGTCTCGCCGAAATCAATCATCCGATCAGGCCCTTCCTTGTATCTCTCCTTTCTTACCTTGACGTTGCAGGAGCGTGTGCTACCAGCGAAGGCACAGTGGTGGAAGGCAGCTATTGGAGAACTCATGGAGGTGGCTGGGAGTACAACCTTGGTACCCCGAGTTTATCTAGCGAACAGCCCGCCTACAATAATCACCTAGTGGAATTACGTCAATGTTGGGCAGTCATGATGGAGATACAGGCAGCAATCAGTGCTTTCGGCAAATCCAAACATGAAGGGCTCTTGTCACCTGAGCAAGAAGACCTCGTCTACCACGAACTGCTGCAGCGATTGGTGCAATGGCGCTTGAACGCTCCAGAGGCTTTGCAAAGCCTAGGCAACTTGGACGATGCAAGCCTACAACAATACCCATTCCCCGATGTTCTCGAATACGCAGGGTGCATCGAGGCTTACGAAAAAGCAACTAATATATTCCTACACCGTGTAGGAGCGGCCGGGCGACCTGATCGCCCGTCCCAAAGACCCCTGCTAGACATGCTTGCTTCGCGAATCTTAGCACTAATCGGCAAGCTCGCTAAAGATGTGGGACAGCTGGCGGCTTTATGGCCCCTGTTTACCGCCGGACATGAGACACGAAACGAACATGAACAGAAATACGTACGAAAGACAATGACAGAGCTACAGCGCTATGGTTTCAAGGTGTGTGCCTGGCATTTCCGCATACTCTTCTTGCTTCCTTAATACTAACTCGACGTAGAATGTCGATCGAGGCCTTGAAGAATTGGAAAAAGCATGGTTCAAGCAGCGTGCCTTTCCTGAAGGATGGGTTGAGTCCATGGAGGACATCCGCTCATCCATCCTTCTTCCATGAACGTTCACTCTTCACCACTCAATTTAGTCACACGTATAACCCTTCGTGTCGCTCACACCTGTTTAACTTGCTACTCACGAATCGTGGTCGGGTGATAATACTTGGTTTCTCTGATTTACTTTAGCGAGGAAGACAATCTTTGATGAAAGGCGTTTACAGGGTCAAGAGGCGCTTGGTATGGTAGGGCTGGGCCCTTTCCTTGCTACACATGGAATCAACGGGTTCTTCAGGAGCCGGATTGCAAGTGCAGTCAGATAAATAGTTGGATTCCTGTTACCTTGCAGCGGTGTATAGACGGCACGTGCAGGAGTTGTTTAAAATAGATGGCGTTATATATTATAGTGTGCTCAACATGGATCTTCCACCATGATCACATCTCCGACTTTACAACCTGGTCAATCGTCTCCGTTGAACAACGTACAACTAGACCCTAATGCTATCAATGTGGATTAGAACCAAGCTTTTTGGGTCATATCTTCCTTCACTGAACTTGGCTGCATTTGAAGTGATTAGAGACAAATTGTTCATATTCACAAATCAAGTTCCAGCCATGTACACAAGATACCCATCGAGTCCATCATCTATAGATATCTACAATTAATCATACACAAGAATCAAGTAGATCATGCCTGGGTGTGTTCTTTCCCGTGTTCTATGTATGCTCACGCAAACCGCCACCCAAAACCGCCACGATCAAACGAAACCACCAAAAAAAAAAAACTTTTGTATCTCTTTGCTTTTGTTCATTGGCAGACTACCCTTCTTCATCCCAAACAGCGAAGTTGAAAACCGAAGAGGAAAATAGCACAGCGCACCACTTTCACTCGGTCGTCTCGGAAGAAGGTCCGCCATCGTGTGTGGGACCGGTACGACTCACTCCAACCTCCTCAACGGAGCTCTGCACCGCTCCCTTGCTGTCGATAAAATGCGAGATACGGTCGATCGGGAGCCAGGCGCTTTCCGGGGTGACCCAATAGGAGATCAAGGCGAAGATGGTGACGGCAGCCATGATGATGGGGGCGTCTGATTGATCGAGGTTTTGTGTTAGTGTGGAAGATCATGGTAACTCGAGCCAGTCGGCAAGGGGTGCCTACAATTTAAATTCGCCCCGGTGACGGGAAACTCATACGGCGAAAAGAGGACGGCGACGACCCAGGCATTCCAGAACACCCCGATGAACTGGAAGGGCTTGCTGAGTCGTCCGAGACTCCACTCGGGCTTAGGGAAGCGCTTCGGGGTGCACAGGAGCCGACCGAGGCAGATGAGCCCGTAGGCGGCGGCGCTGGGGACGCCCGCGGCGGAGACGAGCGAGGTGAAGGCCACGTCTGAGGGGAGCAGCGTGCACGAAATCAGGGCGGAGACGCCCCAGACAACGATGACGGCGTTGCGCGGTTGTCCGTTCTTCACCTGCGAGACCCAGTGGGAGAAGGGGAGGACGCCGTCGCGAGCGACGGCGAAGACGAGGCGCGAGGCGGCGAGGATGGCAATTGCGGTGTTCTGTTCAGGCGGTTAGGCTCAGGTCTCCAGGGGTTGGGGTCTGAGTCAAGGGGAGGGGAAGTACCAGCCAGAGAGCCACGACGCAGATGATGTTCATGAAGATGTGGCCGCCTTTGCCGAGGACGACGGCGTACAGAGGCACGAACGGTTGCGGGGAGCCGAAGGAGAAGAGCGTGTCGGGGTCGGGCTGTTGATCGGATTAGTGGGGTTCTGGGTGAGAGGGCGAGATGCAGAGCTTACAGCGCAGAACAGAAAGAGGATAATGGTCGCCAATCCGCCAATGCCGCTCACGACAGTACTCCAGAAGATACCGCGGGCCGCGGTGATCGAGGCGTGCTTCGTCTCTTCGGCGACGTGGCCCGATGCGTCGAATCCGATGAGGATTCCGGCAGTGGCGAGGTACGACAGACACCAGTTCCAGCCGGCGGGGGCGCCGGTGCCGTTGTAGGTGGACATGAAGGCTTCCTCCGCCGTGCGGAATCCCCAGGTGTTGGCGGTTCCGATGGGCAGCCAGATCAGATTGAGGAAGAAGTCCAGCAGGACGATCAGGGACGATGAGTAGAAGACCCACTTGTACGCCCGAGCTTTATGTGGAAGAGCCAAGTCAGTTGAGTGGTCTATCTGATGTCAAGGGCTCAACATACGCGGCAAATAGTTCAATAGCGCAGCCAATGCCAGCAGAATCTCTGTGCAGATCCACTGGACGGCGCGAAACTTGACGCTAGAGGTATCTTGAGGGAAGTCGACGTTGAAGACAGTCAACTCCTGCGGTGTCCTATTAGCCGGTAGAATCAGAGAGGGGGGAGCTGGATGACACATACGGAAAGCATGTAGTTCACTGCAGACTGAGTGTTACTCGCACAGAAAGTCGTCCACGCAGTCGTACTCCACCACGCAACAACAAATCCCAGAAGTCTACCAAATCGAGGGCCTCCAGCCTCTGCGGCCCAGAGGTAGATGGATCCCGCAGACGGCGAGGCGGAGCATACTTCTGCAATTACCGCCGCAGTGATGTAGGTGAATACCATGGTAACCAAGTAACTCGTCCTATGTGTCATGGTGAGTGATCCAGACTTGGGATTGAGCCCGGCGCAAGCTCACTCACCAGTAAGCCAGGTTACCGCCTGCTGCGATACCGGTGCTGAATGTGACCCGCACACCTCCGACAAAGTACAATGCAGCTAACCATTCCAGATCTTAGAATTTGTTTAACACTATGCTGAACCGAAGATCTTACCAAAGGTTGTTGAGAAGTTTTCGACGAGAGTGTATGTTCTATGCAGGACCTATACATACTGATGTATAAGCGGCTACCGTTTCCATGTGGGTCACGGCAATTGAATACTGACTGGCTTGTAGCCCATTGATTTCTGTTTGAGCCGTTAGTATTTTTAGTCAGGTTTACATAATTTCTTGAACTCGCAAACTAGACGTGCAACGCGATCCGGGAATTTGTCGGGTTACATACCAGGAGCTTTGCATCTTCGTGCGACTCGGTCTGGCTTCTGACCGGCTCGGCTTCAACAGGAAGCGTGTTCGGGTCGACTACCAGCTGCGACTGGTCCTGATGGGCGGAAGTAGTAGCCATGGGTTATTTTGTCACCGAGGCCAGCTCACTCAGTCTCAGAGCTGGAGATCCGATAATCAATCAACACCAGAGAGAGAGAGAAAAGAAAGGTTGCAATGAGATGGTGGTGGATAGGATCTTTTCTAGGCGGGTGAAATTTCAAGCTGGTAGAAATCATGCCAGGAACCGGTAACCCCACCATGAAAGCCGCCAGCAAGACCCAACGAATCGCAGTGAGCCCAGCCAAAAGAGTTTGGAGCGGATTCAGGCCAGGGCCTTATAAGGTTCCGACAGATTTCCGAGTATTTTTTTTTTTTTTTTTGTTTTTTTGTTTTTTTGTTTTTTGTTTTACTTCAAGCTGTATGCTTCTAAGAAATAATGCAAGGCGGCGGCAGTTGTGAGGTTTTCTCTGGTCTTTTCTGTTGGTGGTGGTTGACCTTCGGAGATGTCTGCTCCGCAAGAGCCGTCAGGTGAGAATGAACTGAGAAGTAGAAGCTTATACTGTCCTTCTCTCCACTTCTTCTGCGCCAGATTCCAATCAGCCAGTGTACAGGGCAGGATGAAACCACCGTGGGTCAGGTTGTACTATGGTAGGTTTGGTAGCATCGTGTTGGCCCCGTTTTCAGATTCATCTAGCCGTCCTCCTTCGGCATTCAGCCGGAGCTGCGGCAAGTACATCATGACGCTGGTTTAGAGGACGGTGTGGTTTCCTGAATTCACGAATCATGTTTAACTGGCCGGTCGAGACTACTATACTATAATAATCTCTGATCTTTGGCGCACAAGCAGAACAGCAAGGCAAGAACGAACAACATCATCCCATGCCCATCAAAATCAAGCAGGGTCCCACAGCCGGTGGAGCCCCTCGCAGGAAATTCCGTGCGCGGCTGCTATACCAGACAAGGGAATTGCTGCTGCCAACATGACCCGTAGAGGAGCTTTTGTCGTTGTGAGAGAGAACCTGGTCAGGGAATGGATTGTGCCTGAATTGGATTTGGATTTTCTGGGAGAGAAGGAGAGTTGCGAGTCTTGGAGCCTTAGGCATCTATGATTCAGCCGGATAAGTTGTTGTACCCAGAAGAATGTGGAATGATGCTGGTGATGCAACTTGCATAAGGTCACGGGGACTGGCAATCACTCGGTCCCCTCAGCTATTCAAATTATCTTGTCGTGGCTGATCCAATCGTTTAGTCGAGTCGGAGCATAAACAATCCCCATCCCTGGAAGCGCTGACGGCAGCAGCTCCATTGCCAATGATGGATGGAAGGCTACACTTCCCCACGCAAGCTTCCCCTCATTTTTATGCCGACCTGTCCTTCACTGTCACATCCCCTCCGTCCTTCCCCCCATCCTCTCACCCCACGGCACCGTGTCATCGGGCGATCCGAAAGGAATAACTTACCCTACCGATCATCCGATTCATTTGTCCCGGCTTCATACTCGTGGAAAGAACCTTTTGAATGCCCGGTCCATGATTTCCCCGCCCATCCCTTGCGCGCCAATCCCCAGGCTCTTCCCCGCAATGTCCATCCATCGAATGCCTCTCTATTTGAACCGCCCAGCACCACACACTATTCTTTCCGAGTCAGAACCTTTGCTACACTCTCTCTTTCAAGCAAGCTGGTACATTTGTCTGGGTCGTGCTTAAGTTCTTTGTGTTGGTCAAGTGAACCTTACAACCAACCATCCCGTTGATTCACCGCGGGTGACTCCCGTCATCCCTCGACGTTACACCATCTATGTTGCCTGGACGCTTGACCCCGCGAGGCACTCGTCATTGAGCCTACTGGTGGGCATGCAGCTCCCTCTGGTCTCGCCATTTGCTACCTAAAGTACCCAGTACGACAATGAGTGTGCCCTCGTACCTGCGCTTGGCCTTTCGGCCGTGCCAGGCGGCGTTGAGCGCTCATCCCGGGAGATCGTTGCTGTACCTTCAGCAGTCAGGCATGTGGCTCAGAATCATTGCATGCTTTTCCAGAAGCACAGGCAGGGGTTGCTAATCTTACTTGAGATTGTTAGTGGTGCCTTCAGTCCGGATCCTGTCGCATGCGCTCGAATACGATTATTCCGCATCCTTCGGGACCCGACAAAAGACTCCTAGAAGATACGCGAGTAGTGCTCCAGAGCCCTCAGCTATTCCGTGCATTCCTTACGCCTCATTGACTGTCGGCATCCCTCGGGAAACCTTTCCCCACGAACGACGTGTTGCGATTACCCCGCAGACTGTTGCTCTTCTGCTCAAGAAAGGCTTCTCGCGGGTGCTGGTCGAGCGCGGCGCGGGTGAGAAGGCCGAGTTTCTCGACAAGGCCTACGAAGAAGCTGGGGCGACCTTGGTGGAGAGGAACGCTGTGTGGTCCGAAAGCCAGATCGTGCTGAAGGTGCGCAGCCCTCAGCTTCAGGGTCCGAACAACGAAGCTCGAGATTTGCGCCAAGGCAGCACAATCGTTTCGTTTCTGTACCCAGCCCAAAATAAGCCGCTGGTGGAAGAGCTGGCCGTGCGTGGTGTAACCTCTTTCGCCATGGATATGATCCCCCGAATTTCTCGCGCCCAGACATTTGATGCGCTGAGGTGTGTAAAGTGAGGCCCAAAGCAGTTTTCGAATGCTGAGTATGATTCTACAGCTCCATGGCCAACATTGCCGGCTACAAAGCGGTTTTAGAAGCTTCAAATCATTTTGGTCGATTCCTAACTGGACAGGTCACGGCTGCTGGGTAGGTGACATGACCCTTTTCTTATGTCTACGTACTAACATCGTTGGTTATAGAAAGGTGATACCATGCTTCGTAGTACGTGACTCTAAGACTTGCTAAATGATTCCCAGATACCTCCTAGCAAAGTGCTGGTCATAGGAGCTGGCGTAGCTGGTCTGAGCGCAATCGCGTCGGTAGGACATCCAGACAATCCACACTATAGACCTCGTTAACCGGCTGACTGTTGGTCTAGGCTCGAAGACTAGGTGCCATCGTTCGTGGGTTCGATACTCGGCCCGCTGTCCGTGAACAAGTTCAGTCCTTAGGTGCTGAATTCATCGAGGTCGATATCCAAGAGGATGGTTCCGGACAAGGAGGCTATGCGAAGGAAATGTCCAAAGAGTTCATTGAAGCGGAAATGAAGCTTTTCATGGAACAGTGCAAAGAAGTGGATATTATAGTCACTACAGCTCTGATTCCTGGCAAGCCAGCCCCCAAGCTGATTACCAAGGAGGTGAGCACAAACACCAAAGATCTATTGAGCGAGTTGCTTACTCAAATCCAAGATGGTCGCGGCGATGAAACCTGGATCAGTGATTGTGGATCTTGCTGCAGAGGCTGGTGGGAACTGCGAAGCGACGGTACCCGGACAATTGACCAAGTATAAGGATGTCACGGTTATTGGTATGTGAACTGAGGCGTTTGCACCTACATGTCGATTAACCTCATTAGGTTACACCGACCTGCCGTCGCGCTTGCCGACTCAGTCATCGACCCTTTATTCCAACAATATCACGAAATTCCTTCTCTCCATGGCTCCAAAAGAGAATTCTTTTGGCATAGACCTGTCGGACGAGGTCGTTCGCGGCTCGATCGTCACTCTGGAGGGAAAGATATTACCGCCTGCGCCACGGCCAGTACCGCCACCTGCTCCCAAGCTTGATGCAGCTGTGCCTTCCAAGGAGCAAGTGGCGTTAGCATTAACTCCATGGCAAAAGGTAACCCGTCAAGTGGCTGCTACAACTGCTGGTATGGGAACCGCTCTTGCTCTAGGCAAAGCCACCGGGCCTGTGTTCATGGGAAACTTGATGACCTTCGGGCTTGCTGGACTTGTCGGCTATCGTGCTGTATGGGGTGTCGCGCCTGCTCTCCATTCGCCTTTGATGAGTGTTACCAACGCGATATCTGGTAAGTGAGGATTTAGTACGCCTGACAATGATACTGACGGTCTATTCAGGGATGGTGGGAATTGGAGGATTCTTCATAATGGGCGGAGGCTATGTGCCCAGCACGGTGCCAGAAGCTCTCGGGGCCATTTCGGTCTTGATGGCATTCATGAACATTTCCGGTGGCTTTGTCATTACCAAGCGCATGCTGGACATGTTCAAGCGTGGGTGGCTCAGGGTCCCGCAAAATAAGATGTCTACTGACCATATTCAGGGCCTACCGACCCTCCGGAATACCCCTGGCTATATGCCATTCCGGGCGTATTGTTTGGGGGCGGTTTCGTTGCTGCCGCTAGTACCGGTATGGCTGGCCTGGTTCAAGCTGGTTATCTTGTCAGTAGTCTTCTTTGCATTGGTATGGCTCTTCATGCTCCATTCGTTCGAGGCTAATGGCATCAGCGTCTATTTCTGGCCTGGCCTCCCAGCAAACTGCCCGACGCGGAAACATTCTCGGTATCCTAGGGGTTGGCGCTGGTATCATCGCTTCTCTTGCGGCTGTTGGCTTCTCCCCTGAAGTGCTGACGCAATTTGGCGCGGTGGCAGGCGTGGGTGCGGTCGTTGGTAAGTTGTCCACTCGTGCTGGACATAATGCTAGTGCTGACAATTCACTAGGTGCGTTGATTGGGCGTCGCATCACTCCAACCGGGCTCCCGCAGACTGTTGCGGCCTTGCATTCAGTCGTTGGATTGGCGGCTGTTCTTACAAGCATTGGAAGTGTAATCGCGGATGTCAGCCATATCTCGACTTTACACATGGTGACGGCATACCTTGGTGTTCTCATTGGTAGGAGTCAGAATATTTGTGCTTAGCCACTCGCTAACCGAAGCAGGTGGCGTCACCTTCACGGGTTCGATCGTCGCTTTCTTGAAACTTGCCGGTCGCATGTCTTCACGGCCGACGATACTGCCAGGCCGACATCTGATCAATGCAAGCCTGCTTGGGACCAATGTCGCAACTATGGGGGCTTTTGTGACGATGGCACCCGGCTCACCGGTCATCGCCGCGACATGTTTGGGTGCAAATACGGCACTCAGTTTTCTAAAGGGTTACACTACCACTGCTGCGATTGGCGGAGCTGACATGCGTAAGTCAAACAGTGCGGCCAATTGTTTGCCTCGATTAACAGACTGTAGCTGTGGTCATTACGGTTCTCAATGCATATTCTGGATTTGCATTGGTAGCCGAAGGGTTCATGCTTAACAATCCGCTTCTGACAAGCGTGGGCTCCTTGATTGGAGTAAGCGGCTCTATCCTGTCATATATCATGGTCAGTGACGAGGTTCCGCCGATTGAAGCTCTTCTGATAAGTTTCAGTGCGTTGCGATGAATCGATCTCTTACCAATGTGCTATTCGGCGGAATTGCTGCTCCTCAGCAAGCAAAGAAGATTGAAGGACAGGTAACCCAGGTTACCGTGGACGATACTGTCGAATCTTTGTCGAACGCGGAGAGTGTGATCATAGTATGTTATCAGCCGATAGCAGCCCCTTCGGGCTTGGCTAACCAGCATGTCAGGTTGTCGGCTATGGCATGGCTGTTGCCAAGGCACAATATGCCCTTGCCGAGATTGTGCGTATGCTGCGCTTCAAAGGCGTCACCGTGCGATTCGCCATTCACCCGGTGGCAGGGAGAATGCCCGGCCAGTGCAACGTGCTCCTTGCGGAGGCCGCCGTGCCCTATGATAGTATGCTGCATCTCTTAGACTGGCTACTGTCCAGGGACTGACTTGATTAGTTGTGCTCGAGATGGATGAGATCAACGATGATTTCCCCGATACGGACTTGACATTGGTCATTGGCGCAAATGACACCGTCAACCCAATTGCTCTGGAAGCGGATTCGCCCATCTCTGGCATGCCCGTGCTGCATGCGTGGAAGAGCAAAGAGGTTATTGTGATGAAACGCGGCATGTCCAGCGGATACGGTAGGTTCCCCGCTTTCTGAATGATCCGTATGATTCGTACTGACCCTTGAACAGCTGATGTACCCAACCCGATGTTCTATATGCCGGGGACCAAGATGCTCTTTGGAGATGCGAAGACTTCATGTGATGGTAAGCGATCCGTTTGTGGTGTCTTGATTGTTTCTGACTGTTTGTAGCCATCAAGAGCGCCTTAGAGGCACGCAAGTAGAGAATTCTGTGGTGATGGTGAGATCAATATAGTATGCTTTCAGGTATTTCTAATTTTGCGATCGTTTTAGGCATAACATGATGTATGCTAGCACATATCTGTCTGAAAGGGTTGATGATGCGCCTCCCTCACCTGAACGCTTCCCTCGGGTATATTTCCACCGTAGGCAGGCCACTGGTCAACGCGGCTAACGACATTGGCGCAAGCTTAATCAGACCTCGTAGCATCAGACTTTGCTTGCATTTCGATGGATATCGTATGAAGGGGTTCAAATCGCAGCTCAGTTTACTGTGCGCTTCTTAAGAACTTCGCTGGACGCTCCTAGGTCCAGCATGCTCTAACCACTTTGGGATTGATCTGATATAGAAAATGAACTTCTGGTGGCACTGCCTCTAAAATGGAGGGGTCGGCAGATATAATGGAACAATATGTTCATAGTGAATGATGATAACTGTTTATCGGGTAATAGACGTCTAAAAGAAAAAGGGAGAGACCTGTACACAACTGCTATATACTGCTTGTATATAGTACCGAGTCAAGAGTGAATCCAGCGAATTACACCTCTCTCACTCGGATCCGGGTTTGGGAGTGATTTCTCCGGGTCTGCCGATTGCGATGGATATGCAAATTGCGCAATAACGAGGGCACGCGGTCCATCGCTTGGAGCACAAACCCCAGCAAGATCATCTGGAAGCACTCACCGTTCTCGTAATCCCGACCGCGCTCGTCGAAGTAGGTCGCCGTGAGCAGGTCGGGGACGAGGCTATCGGGGTCATGGGTTTGGCGGTTGTGATCGTCAAGATCCAAATCCAGGAGCATCAGGTGCACAAAATCGAAGAGCGCCACATGGGCAATGCCTAGCTCGGAGGCGTACTTTCGGGCTTGCTCGGTATGCGGGATGGCATTCGCCTGTAAGCCGTGAGTGAGGATGCTGTAGCTGTAGCTGTTGCTGTTGCTGTAGCTGTTGCTGTTGCTGTAGCTGTAGCTGTAGCTGTTGCTGGGCTTGTGCTGGTGCTGATGCTGGTGCTGGTGCTGGTGCTGGTGCTGGTGCTGGTGCTGGTGCTGGTGCTGGTGCTGGTGCTGGTGCTGGTTCTTATTCTTACTCATCTGGTTCTGCTCCTGCGCCTCCCCCCCTTCCTTAGTACCACCCTCTATTTGCCCACCTATCGGCTTCAACCACTTCTGTCCGCGTTCCCCGCCGATAATTCCCAGATAATCCTGCTTTCGAATCTGCCCCGGCGGCTTCAGAACCAAGGCTGCCACATTCAGATGCACCCCCCACGCCATCCCGATCGACCAGACGTACAGCACCTCACCCCACGCACCCCGCGTCCAGCACCCGTACACCTCCCCGCCCAGCGGCCAGCTGCCCTGCAGCAGCGCCTCCAGCCCCGGGATGAGGTTCACCGCCGTCATGCAGGTGACCTCCTCGACGGTCGCGAGCTGGGGCAGGAGGAGGGTGGGGAGGAGGGTCCTGCCCACGCTGCTGGTCCAGGGGGTGCTGAGGAGGAGGCCGTAGCGCTTGCGGGCGGCCTCCAAGTAGAACTCCGGGGAGAGCCATTGAATGGTGCGGTAGATGTGGGCGTCTTCGTGGGTGGAGAGCGGGGGCGCGGTGATGGGCTCGTAGGGAGGAGGGGGCCAGCAGGCGAGAAGGCGGCTGTGGAAGGCGAGGGGGAGGGGTTTCATTGTGTTTATGGTTTTCTTTTGGTGGGGTTTGGCTGGGGTTGGGGTCACTACTTACGAGATTTTTGGTGGTTTTCTCGGAGAGAAGGCTCGTGGTATTATATATATATGTGTAGGATTTGGTTGGAAGGTTGTTGTTTGGAAGTGTGTGGTATTCACCGGCGGGATCAGAGGAGGTTTTCATTTGTTGAATGAGGAGGTGTGTTTGATGAAGAGGGTTTGGCGATGATTCTTAATATCATTGTATCCTAGCTGTGTTGGTTGTGTTATCTACTTCACTGTAGAAGGGGGGAGGACGGGGGGTCTCCCCCCCCGTATTCCCTTCTATCTCTATATCCTGTCTTGTGTTATATCATCTACTCGAAATGAGGAGGTCTGGGAGAGATCTCAGATTCGGTACCCTCGCCTACCCCTGGCACCTGGTTATGCTCAAATAATGGCGCTGGCTTGGGGGAAAGTCCGGTAGGAAAGCCTGCAGACATTGAGACTGGCTGTGGTGGAGAGTCTCCCAGCTGGCTTGGATGCTTCGAGCCAGGCAGACGTTGCAGGTCAGGTTGTTTCTGGATGTCATGGAAGCTACGTACACTCCACTATGTTGAGTCTAGAAGGATGCACCACTGGATAAAATGGCGTTCCCTTGACAGTGAATGTTAGCAGATAGCAACGGGAGTCGAAGGCGAAGGAACTTTCTCGCCAACCGGAACAAAGACTTGTTCTGGGTGCTTGCTTGCTGCTGCGATGAGAGAGAAGACAAAGGTACCAAACTTGGCCATGGCACAGGTCAACCATTTTATGGTGAATACTGCGGACAGTCATTCCGCGACGTATTCATTCACTGAGATGTTTCCTCCGTTCAGGCGCTAACCCATATGTGATTCTGTACAAGGGGACCAGAGGTTCAACCTTGGCTGAGGATTTGCGGATTGACAAATGAAGTGTTTTCTTGATGTCACGGTGCATCGACTCATTTGTGGAAATGTCTGCTAGCCATCCGCCACTCCCAAGTATACACGTGCATCTTGCAGGCAGCAGGAGTCCAACGTGGTCGGGGGTTGTAGTAGAGACTATATACCTTCGGACAGACAGTCAAGCAGCACTTCACTCATATTGGACCCGACAGCCGGGGCGAACCCACGCATCTGAGACTAAGCATTCATGCATGGCGACAAGCCTTATGTTGCATAGTAGTTATACACTACGCATCATTGCCGTAGCCGCTCCACTCCCAACAACAAATGCCGACCCCCACCCATCATCAGCCTGGAAGTCATAATCGCAACCTCGCTTACAAACAAATCACTGCCCCAAACACCACCCAAACCAAGTCAACACCTCTCCCACAACTCTGCAGCTGCCAACCATAAGTGCTGTGCAACCTCTTGCCGAAAAACCCGAGTCATGCATCCGTGGATTTGGGGAGGGGAGTTCCTCGATCCGAGAACAACCCGGCCCCAAACAAACCACCCCACCTTCCCACCCGCCTTCCATGGTTTTCCCACCTCGCTTATCGGAAAATCATCTCGTCCATCCACCGCAATGACTCGTGCACGGCACCATGATGCGATCCATTGACTTGGTTTGGTTTGGTTGCCGAGAGGGCTTCGGCATTGAGTTCCGTACATCGAAGAATGGAAACTGGCACGTCCATCCAGACCGCACACGCAGATGATGGAGTGGAATGGGGAGGTTACGCCACGTCGGCTGAACTTTTTTCAATAGTCTATTCATTCGCGCACACTCCAAGTGATAAGCGAAGTCTGCCTGATGCCCCTTCGATCTCGGTTACGGTTCGACGGTTGTAACGGGGCTGTTTAGGAGAGTGAGTTGTAAGCGAGCTGAGGTTCAGTCTCTCTGGATTGGGTCTCGTCCTGAGGGGATTCGGGGATTGAGTAGCCCGGCATATATTCCACGGCATCATGACTGATCTTATGTTATGAATCTACCCAGACCGAAAGCAAGGACCGTGAAGCAGCCCTGTCATGCACGATGACTGCTTCATAATCCCCGGGTGGTAATAGACCCAACCAGTCCAGCCCAGTGCAGACCAGGACCAGGACTGTAGATAAACCATCCTAGCCATCCCTCGAGACCAACAAGCCGCATAGTGTATTCCCAATCCCTCCTAACGCAGCATCAATCCCCCAATCCAGAGGGTAAGTCTGGGAGCACCTGCAAACGCGAGAATCGAGATGATCCCAGTCCACTGCAAACTTGATTCTTGGGCCGATGTTTTGAGGACGACTAAGGTACCGTTGGAACTGTCAGGGTCAGTCTGTCGAACCCGAGGCCCTTCCCACGGTAAGTTCCCTCCCTTCCCTCCCTCCAGCCTTCCAAGGTTTTCTCGTTGGTTGTGGCCGGCTCGAGTCTGCCCAACCGACGCAGGGTATGCTCCTTCGACTGAGCTGGCATAACGATTGTTGTGGATCTGCGGCTGAGATAGTGGAGGCGGCAGAAGAGGCAGAACCACATCAAATGAGACCGATCGCAAGCTGAAACCCAAAGATCGTCATGCAACACCAATCAGCAGGTCCCTTCCATGGGCGGCTCAGACCGCGGGCGCTGAGACTTCATGATCCCGGTTCCACGAGACTTGCAGGTGGCAATTATTGTGGAGAGGGGGAGGGGGGCGGCTGTGGTCCGCCTTCGTCGCCCTGTAAATCCACTACCTGCGCACTCCGTCAATCATGCACTGGCGGGATCTCTGAGATAAACGGTGTTATCGATCGATGGATACTCTTTTTGCGTTGGATCTTGGGTCAGGTCTTCTTGGTGTCATATGTGATGGCTGTCCCTATGGCCTACCTGGTTACAGTTACAACTATGGCTATGCTATCTCCGCAGGATCAGCAGTAGAGAGGAGAAAGATGGAATTGCTGTATGTCCCAGGCAATGGGATTCAATTGTGCCTCCTAGGCGAAGGCCATCGGGGCCGATGCGGAGAGTATATTGGCCACCAACAACAGATAGAGAGGTCTGGGAGGATACAAACCACAATCGCAACTCTCAAGCATCCAGTGCCACTTAGTCAAACAGAAACAGAAGCCAAGCCGCGCCAGGCAGATTAAGTACAATCCAAAGCAAGAAATCCCTATAGAACCTGACAACGCTAAACCGCCAGAAGAACGCCCCCGTAAAGAACACCGGTTAATCCCGAAAACGGAAAAAGAGGAGGATGAAGTAGAAGTCAAGCTGAAACACACACACTAGCGGGAGGCCCCAGATATCCCGTGTCAACTCGCATTAACTATTATTTGTGAATGGTGGACTTTCTCCGGCCTCGTAACATAAACCCGATGAAACCACTCGAACTCGAACTCTTGGCGGCGGCGGCGGCGGGTTCGGCAGCACTCGCGGGTTTAGCGCTTCGGCTGTACCGAAAACTCTTCTTCCGCCGCGCGGTCTTGGCGTCCGACGTGGCGGGCGAATCCAGGCTGTACACGCTCTCCACTTCCGACCGCAGGCTGCTGGCTGAGTACACGCTAGACGCCGTCGAACTGGGCAGAAGCGAGCCCGCCGTCGTTGGGGGCCGAAATCCTCGAGGGCCCGACATGCTGGATGTGCTGAAGCTGGATCCGGAGCGGTGTCGGTTGAAAGTGGGGGAGGAGTAGTAGGGCATCGGACTGGAGGTGCGGGATGGCGGCAGGCTGTGATCGGAGCCCCCGAACGAGTGAGACACGGACATCGATCGGCTGTGGAATTCATCGGCGGGATGCATGGAGGTCTGGCGCGGAGGAAACGGCGAATAGCCCCCGTGGACAGTCTGCAGGGATGGAGGTCGACGTAGGTGGCTGCTGCTGCTCCCCTTGGGTCCACGGCTGGATACATGCTCTGCAGAGGTCTGTGGGCGGTGGAAAGCCATCGACTGCGAGCGCATGCTGGACGGCTGGGGCGCCTCGGGCACATCAGCCAGAGCGCGCGGTGCGACAAAAGGATCGGTGTCCGCTCGACGAGGATGCTGCATCGCAGACCGGCTATGTAATTGCAGGCTGCCACGCTTCAGGTGGAATGCAGGATCTGCCCGTTTCTCGCTCAGGAGCGGCTGCGATCTGATCGCCTGGTGGAGGGAGTACAGCCCCTTGCCCGTCGCAAAATGGTCCGGCTCGGTTCGCGCTGAGATGGCAGACATGGGCTCGGGGTCATCCACCAGGGGCCCATCGGTGACGGGACTGATCAGGATGAGATTGGGCTTAGCAACGGGCCCGACAATGGTGACCTGCTCGGCCACACACACATCCGATTCCTCGACGGAGTCGTCGACCGAGAAGATGGAACACGGGGAAGAAGACCGGGAGCGACGCTGAGGGTGCTGTGACTGGGGAGGCTGGTAGACAGTAGGTTGCAGGAAGACCGGAGACTGCATCGTGGAGGTGTTGTCGGGCGACGGCAGCTCAATGATTACGTCGTCATCGTCGCCAAATATATAGGACTCCGGCACAAATGTCGTACCACTACTCCGTTTGACGGTATCTAGTGAGACCGGCCGAGAGGACTTGCCCGTGGCTGGGTAAGTCGACAACAAGCGGGCAAAGGCGGTCTTGTCTGCTGGTGACTGGGGTGAGTGGACATTCGATGCTTCATCGGCACTCATGTCGGAATCAAAAGGGCCCGCCGTCTTAATCGGCGAGAAGGCATGGTCATGGGATCCCAATTCCGATTCCGAAGTCTCTTCCTCCTCTGATTCGTATTGTCGAGGAAGAAGCTGCTGGTTCAGGTAGTCCAGGTCTAGAGGGGCTGCGATCTGATACATGTTGGTGTGAAGGTGAGGAGGGTCCCGGAGAAAATGAGATCAAAAGGAGAGAACAGCGATAGAGTCCCAATACCCGGCAGGTACTCAATAATAATATAATAAGAAGGAACGATTAAGTGGATGGACTAGTGGGCCAACCCATGTACACAACAAACAACGAGTGGGCACCCGAGAAAGCAAAGAAAAGAAGAAAAGAAAAGAAAGAACGTGAAGAGGCGAAGCGTATGAAGATAAAAGAAGGCAAACGAAGCGGACCACCGACAGGAGAAGAGAATTGAATGTTCTCAATTATTATACCGGACAGGGACAGGACAGGGTTAGTTGGACCACACGGGTTGGTATGCTCGAAACGGAGTGGAGCTGCTGACCCTCCGTTGAGGTTTGTCTTGTCTGAGCGATAAGCCACCGAATGCCATCCGATCACACAACTTCCGGAGTGAACGAACGGACCAAGAGCTCCACCAGGAGAGAAGAGGGGAGCAAGTCAGAAGAGGGTATTGGGGGATTGCAGGAAAAGCAATGCTGCATGACACGTGCGCCACCAGGGGAAGACACTAGGACGGAGGGAGTTTAGAGACCGAAGAAGTTTCTCATACTACCAACAAGAGGATGAGAATCCAGGACGTGCACAGAGAATGAAGGTAGCGCTTACGTTTTCCATCCTTACCTGAGGGGAGTGAGTTGGGGGAAAGCTCAGGGACAGTTCAGCTGACCCTTGCATTAACGGGGGGAGGGGGGAGGAGATTGTTCATCGTCATCATCACTTTTAACTGGGAAAGGCAATGATAACGGATAAAGATCGACCCAAATTGTGGAGGAGTCAGGCGCCACGAGAGCGACTATTCAATAGGAAAAAGCATGATGTTGAAGCCATGAGGAAGGGGGGAGGGAGGAGAATCGGACGTATCAACGTGAGCTGTCGGATCGTGCCTGGGTGCCTGGGTGCCTGAGTGCCTGGATGCTTTGGGTATCTTGGATGCCTGAGGATTGGAGGGGAGAGGAAAATGAATGGCGGCCACATCTAGATTGCTCCCCCATGTGGTTAGTTAAGGTTACTAGTACTCCGTACTTCTACACTTCTCCGGTACTCCGTTAAATTGCTTCCCCATTTTCCTCCATCTCATTAGTTGGCCTTTCTATCTGATTCGTGACCATCCCTGATCCTTGAACCTGTTCGTTCCTCTCTTTCCCTAGTTATCCTCCGCGTTCTTCTCAAACTACCGACAGGATCTCTTTGCCAACCCTAATTGCTTTGCTTGACTTTCCCAGCACTTCCTCATGCAGCGAGCATACGTACGCATGTGCATCCTGAATAACCGCAGCGATAAACTCTCCCCCTTGTCCCTGACCCGATCGAGCTTTGGTCCGGGCTCACTGGAACTTGGGACTGTCTCTCGAGTGGGGACCTGATTTCTAGTTTCGTTAGCCTCGATGCCACCGCCTTGGATCAGGGCATCCATCTATTTGGACTCTGCATAATGGTCTATCAAATGCCACAGTGGTGCACTGACACCACTCGATGGAGAAACTGCTTTGAATGTGCATTGATGCTGCTCCCACCACACAGTAGCTGCTAGTCACCAGTACTCCGTACTGTAATATCCTTCCTCAAAAACCACTGTAACCACTCACTACATGCACTTGTCCCGTTTGTGCCGTTGAGGAACCCTGCGTGGTCAACGCCGCTGCTCCAGAACAGTGGAGCATGTTTAATTCAAACACACCAGACCCCCAGGCAGGTTGAATTTCTTCCCGCTCTTTTGCCCGTTTCCTTTTTTCGATTGTTTTTCACCGCTGGAAAACCCAGCAAGCAAGCCGAGCAAACAAGCAAGCAAGAAAGCAAGAAAATTTTTCCATCTCACAGGATGCCCCCCTATTCCACCGAGACTAAGCTCTACCCACTTTTTGAGACCATGCGGCGCCAAGCCCGATTGACCCGACCGGCCAATGGGAGTTTTTTCCCTCCTCTTTCCCCAGCAATGGATAACAACAACTGGAAACTGGTGGATACAGCCTGTAGACACAAAGCTCCCTGCAGCAATGGATGGAGCCTGTCCTTGCAGCAAAGTCATGCATCGCCACCATTGACTTCAATCTACGGGGGCAGATGAACGTCGGACAGACTTCACCCCAGAGGATTGGTCGGAAGCCAAGGAAGAGACGGTCACGATAACCAACGGACTCGCAACAACGATTTTTCCAAAATCCAAGTTCACACAGGCCTCCACCGGGATCATCAGAGACAGTGAATCCTCAGAGAGCACGGGAAAATCCTCGCTCGAATCATTCGACGATCCTCCGTCAAACTGGTGGTAGGATAATCTTCGGTGTTCTCCGCCTGTAGAGGAACGATCGCCCAGAATAGCCATGCTATTCCATCATCTGATGCCACGCCCCGACCTTTTCTCCATCAAAACTCAAGAACTCCGATTTCCCCAATTTGTCAACGGCCGAACTGTAACTAATGCGACCTGCAGGAACTCATCCAAGCGGTGGTTGCAGCATGAAACAGCCGAGTAGCATGGAGGAGGGCCAGGAGTTGATTAGTTGGGTTTCCTGGATTTGTTTGGTTCACCCCCAGACATGGGGATTTTTCGTTGGTTGCTACCAACACTCAGGACGCTGGACGAAGGATTGTAATCCTGACCGATGCAGATGCAGATGGCTGGTGGTACGGAGGAATTGCTTGTCGTAGGATGGAGAGAAGGTAGTAGAGAAGGATTGACGACCGTGCTTTTCGGCAGACTAACAAACAGTACGGAATACTATTTAGTATACTGTACTCCGTAGTAAGCTATGTATTTTTAGCTCTGGGATTTTCCCTCCCCTTGCTGGCCTCACCACCACCACCACCATCCTTCATCCTACTGCACGCACACTCCATGCAGCCCCAGCGCTTTTGCGCGCGAAAGCGATCAACATCGACAGTGCGTCTTGTCTGAGTCCCAAACTTGACTTGCATGGGTTCTTGTCGTCTTTTGTTATATTTAGCAGAAGAAACCACTGGAATTGTTCCGTGCCTTCAGTGTTACCTACCCACCTACTACTGCCTGATTCTACTGATGTACAGTACTACATCATCGTACCTATCACCTGCATATAATCCCAGCCACAATATCCTGACGTCGAGCGATCTTTGCTCAGGAGCACATTCCCCATCCCCAGACTGAGCTTCGTCTCCGACTCTCCGTAGTGTTCTTTCCTCCCTCCCCAAACCCCAGGGCAATCCCAATGGATCCTCCCGGGCACTGCTCAACAACCACCAAGGAGGTTTTTATTGTTTCAGCAACCGCTACAACACCCGCTGATGTACTGTCATCGTCTCGAGGTCAATTCTGAACAATTGTCGTCACTGTTCTCCGTCTACGGAGTATACCTTAAGTTACCCTCTTCCTTGGAACGGGCGCTGTCTGAATCTCTAGAGATGCGCCTGGCTGAAACAAGATTCAGTCATTCCCCACCTTTTGCCGGCTTGACAAACCTCTTTTCCCCCCGACACTCTCTGAAAGAGATCAAATAAGCTAAGTTAAAGCCGAAACGACAAAGCAGAACCGGAGAATTATGGTCGGGGGGAGGAGGGTCACTGCGCCAGTTTGGTCTGATGTGCTTGACGATAACGAAAAGACTTGATCGCGATGGACGATGCATTCGGGCAGGTTCGTGCCTGTGACCGCAACGCTATCGACTGGGGCGTTTCAGGGTGTTCTATATATGGGAGGGAAAACGTCAGTCTCCTGAAACGCGAAGCTTTGACTAATCGATGCACAGTAATTAACTTATAGAACGCCACAAGTTTTCAACTGCGAAGATAACGACCAACATCAAAGTTGAAATGGGATGGATGGTTGTGGTATCGCGGCGGGTACCAGAGTATTCCTGAAGGAATAAAAAGGCAGGTCAGAAACACGGAAGGTATGTATGTACAGTTAGATTTGGATCTACTCCACTGCCTCCGATGGAGAATCCCCTTCCCCAACGATCAACACACCGCTAAGTTAAAGTCGGGCGCCCCCGTTTGTTTGCTGTCGTTGGGATGTGTATACTTGAAGGGTGAGAGTCGATGGCATGCGCCCCTCACCCCCCTAACCAGGAACCTCAGAACATAGATAGGGGGCGAGTATCATGGTATCCTGGGCCTATAGACCCTGCTATTATAGCAGGCAAGCAGGCAACGCAAAAGTATCTTCATCCGACCTGACTACTACTCCCCTCTCTGTGCTATAAAAAGAGTTTCATTTTTTTTTTCCTCCACCCCTTCTCATTCCCGCCGATTAACCGTGCAATATAAAATGCGGAGACCTCCCGAGCGTTTCGGCCGCCAACGGCCATCCTGTATGTATGCATCTACCTCTTCCCTGGACTAGGGAGTCCAGTGCACTCAATCAGAAGGCGTTGCTATAGTGGCAGCGAGCACTAAGTGGAGTCTACCCGCCCGGCTATGACAGCCCGTTTGTCACCCAAACGGGTCCAACTTCCTTGACATCTCCGAGAGACTCCCTAGACTAATCACACAGAGTTATCTTAGTCCACGCAGTCTTTGATTATGAGCGACGCTGGAAATGGGTCTTGTGTCTTTCCGTAATCCCTTTTCGAACTTTTTTTTTTGTACGTAAAAGTGAAAGTATACTGCGTAAGATGGAGAAGCAGACAGACACCTGTCAAGTCTATTCGGAATAGTTAAACTTCTCCGTCTCCTGTCCCCGTTTTTCCCCTCCCCCCTGATCTTCGAACCATACTGTGAACGATTTGCAAGACATGCAATTCAACCATGTTCCTTTCTCTCTTTACTCTCTGACCGGTAAAGTGAGGCATCCGTCTCCACGCAGAACCGTTGACGCGAAAGTGGGGTTACGAGTGCAGTCAACACCAACTGGCAGGTGGCAGGAATAGAAGAAAGACGACAGGTGGGTTCTGGATTTGGTGTGACCATCTAGTCTGCTTACAGACTAGTTAGGAGATATTGAGGTTGAGCTCTTCTTTTTTTTTTCTTTCTTTGGGAGGCCTCGTCTAAGCAAACACTCCCCTCGTCTAGCCCATAAACTAAGAACAAAACCCCTGCTCAACGGCGTTGGCTGGTTCACTTCCTAGCCTGGGTTCAGTCACTTAGTACTCTGTACTTTTTTGCGCCCCCCCCTCCCCCCATGACCCTTGTCGAGATCTGAAGAATGACGATATCATGGTGGGTTTTTGTTCGTTGGGGGTTGGTGCGGGCTGAGAAGAAACGGATCGCACTCGGTCGATTATCAAAATCGATTTGCCACATTCTTTCCCACCTACTTCCGATACAGGACTTTTTTTTGGAGAGGGGCGCGGAGGGGTGGGAATGTCGTGCGTGGCGTCATGTGTGTCATTTACTATGGGTATACTAACTTAATGATAGTAGCTGTGGTGGTGGTTGCGAAGAAAGGGATGGAAGTCGGTATAGTAGGGAAGGGGTTCAGTCTTCAGGTAGTTTTTGAAGCCACCCTTCATGCCGTAGTCCCTCCCCCCATACATCCGCCTGTGAAGACCCTATACAATCCTACCTACCACTTTTCTTCTCATCCTGCTGATTTTAGCAGTCAGTGCCATACAGTTGGTGTATCTTCAATGGTATCCAGGGAGAAGCGGAGATCAGAGGTGCGGTGCGGTGTTTGAGAAGCGTGCAGGGTATGCTATGCTGGAAAGGATGATTCCCTTCCTCCTTCCCTCCCTCTCTGCTATCGTCACTCGTCGGATTTGTGGATTTTTTTTTTTTTCAGAGATCGTATGATGATGTGGAGCGCACTCGCAGTACAGACTACAGGTGGAAAAGACTAGTATGTTGTTTCTTGGCGGGCGGTGCGCGTTGCGGAACTTGATCTCGATGCGGATGCTGCTCACACTCTCATGATAGCAGGAGAAAATGAGAAAATGACGATCAGCGGAAGGACTTTTCGGCAGCTAAACCGCCGCTAGTTCGTGGTGGGTTCAATTTGGTGGTTGGACCTAGTGGTTTTCCAACGGCGAGACGGTAAAAGTACTACTACTACTACTACTTCACAGATGTTAAATGCTTCTCGGCACTTGGCCGAGCCAACGTTTATATGATCCGGTGTGATACAGTCCACCCATATGACGATCAGCTGCATAGTAACCTATACGAGTAGTACGTTACTTACCGTATGACAAAGTTTTGCAAAATCCGACGCTCTTACCGGGTGATACAGGTCTTGAGCTTCATTTCAGCATGTATATATCGATATTGATACAGGTTCGTAGTACATCGAAGGGAATCATTCCTATGGCGGCACCCTATGGAGGGCCTTTGCTCGGCGCTGCGTAGTCCAGCGTCTCAGTCAGCAGAACATTATGTCGAAGAACTTTCGCTCACCGTGGGTTTTGGACCTGTTGCGCTTGTCGGTCTGTGGGCTTGCCCGGCTCTTGGATCTCGCTTCGGTTGAGGTGCTGCTTGGCTGTCTGTCTGAGTCAATACAACCCTCTCGCCCCGTTGTGACTCCTTCTGCTGCTGCTTCCCTGAGCCGCTTTCCACAAGGTATGTACATACATGTACATCGGATGGTCTGGCGTCTTGCAGACGTCCCATAGAGGAGGCAGTCCACCTTGACTCTCAAGAACCTATGGTACCTCTGCTGATTTTGTTGTGGGTGGCCATGAGTCTGCATGTCCGGCAGCTTGCCCTCTATCTTCAAAGACATGTTGTGTCGGTGGTCCGCAGACTTTCTACGAAAAGGTAGTGTAAGAGGGGCCCGAGAAAGTCTCGTCACAACGCAAGCAGGGCTGTACCAGTTACTGAGAGACTAGAGTATCTTTCAAACTGAGTTCGAGGCTTTCATATAAAACTCAATCCCGGCAGGGCTCGATTGAGTATTTGAGACTTGTCGGAGCAGGGCTCATTCACTCTCAAGTATGTTCTCTTGTTACTTGGAAGCGGATGAATGATCAATTCTAGCCTCTGCATTCGCCTCACAGTACAGGAAAGCCCAAAAGGAAGGAAACCCACATCAAGGCCTTGATTGCATATCATAACCATCCCATTGTCAGTACTGTTCGTACTAGTCAGTGCAAGTTGGTAGCGCAGCGCAACCTTCATCAAGTCTGATGCGAAAATCTTCGACCATATAGCGGATACTTCGTGCGAATAGACTCACCAGCATGCTTCGAGACCCTAGCTCAGTTCTGGATGCTTCACGATAAAACTGACCACTGCCAAGTCAAGTCCGTGAGCTAAGATCCTCGAGAGTCGGAAGAGGCAAACACTTACCACTTAGTGAAGCCGGCCTAAGCCATTCGGACCGGCGATGGGACTCGGGGAAGATGTCTCCTTTCATGTCGGCCCAAACGTTGCCATTGACTGCGACCCAAGACAATACGAAGAGGAAGTATGAAGGACTCACGTTCTACAACGTAACTAACATATGGCCCGAGGTTGCTTAGCAGATAGCCATGGCAGGAATTGAACTCACAAACACAAACTACGGATATGAGTATTCTTGGCTAGACAGAAGCTCTAGGGCACCTACTGCAGGGTTGTTGCTTCTGAGTATCCGAGGAGAATCACTCGAGGTTGTCAGGCCTTTGTGTCTATTCAGGATCATATCTACACTGTCGCTGTGATCTGGATCGGTAATTTGTTGTGTCGTGAAGAGAAGAAACTCCGACCCCATGATCGAACACGTTTTTGAATTATCCTTGACGATCTTGGGATTTTTGCTTCTCAAACGCGTGAACAACAATGACGACTTTCGGAAACTTCATTAGGCTTCCGTCTGGAATATGTTGGATGAGTTTCAATCGACGTTCTCGGCTTACCGCGGAGCATAAGTGGATATATAATCAACGAGTCGGACGCGCATGCACAAAATGTATCGGCGAGATTCCCTCCGCTTGTGGGCACGGGCAGATTATCAGATGTCGACATTGCCTACATGAACAAGCAGAGGCTGCAGCCGTGACCTCGGACTTCAAGCTTAGTGACAACTTCCATGCACTATCATCACGTTGCATGAAACTATGTCGATAGCAGTCAAGGAAGCTGGGATAAAGATGACCCAACGATTGCGATGCTGTCCTTCAGCAAATCCGAGGAGAGCAATTGTTCAGAGCAACTGCAGACGAAATGGACGCTCAAGTCTTCTCGAGACTCCTGCTTTAAGTAAAGACCGTCGCGGCATGAAGCAGAGGGGGAATGGATGTCGAAAGCTGATTTCCAAGAAACATGATATCACTCTAGCTTGTAGTCAAATCATTTCGAATTTCCTTCCAACTCCATGATGGGCGTGACCAGACCGTGGCTTACTTCCATGTGGTGCTCTTGACAGTCGATTCCCACCACCTACACAGTCTTTCCTAGGCGCTGACTGACACCAGGAAACAATTAAGAAATCGGAAAATCAATTGCACATTCCAAGATGAGTGAAGTCCGAAAGGCATTCAATTATATACAGGCAAGGATCAATGATAAGAAAAACACATAGCCATGATTACATTTACGTTGACCTCCCGTTTATAGACAATTCAGAAAAAAAGACATATGTCGAAACTCTGCAGCCAGCGGAGCAAGGGCGACGAGGCGAAGCAAATAAAAGCGGGTAAAATACAAGCTGAAATAGCCAAGCCGTTGTCGTTGCTCGACTGATTCCAAGAAGAAGAAGAAGGGTAAAAGCCTTTTCCCCAACGAACATATCTCTGAATAGCTCTGCGCCACCTTCGCAGCGCGGTAAGGCCACATGCACAAGCTGGCCAAGAAGCAGAGACGACCATTATCATCAAGGTCATTCATTAAATAGTTGTAAATTTTGGCGACCGGGGTTGAGTCCCGGCTTCAGAAATGGTTGATTGTTGGCTCGCTCTGGCTCGGCCCAAAAAGACGCGATGCGCGAAGATTGACTGTAAAAGCGAAGGGAGGCTAGGTTTGCGCTTCGAAGCCGAGTTCCCAGGCGGGTCGTCCAAGAAGTGAAAGTATGCGCTCTCCCCGAGGCCTTCTCACTGCTCTGGCACTTAGGCCTTGCGAGAGCGGGTAACAGGGCCGTTGGAGCGACCAGTGGACACGGCAGCGCCGTTCGACTTGGCCTGTCCGTTGGCAGCGGAAGGAGGGGAGACCTCGAACTTGGCCATATCGATAACAGCCTGTCTGCCGGTGTTGCGACGAGGACGGCCAGTCTTGGCAGCCTTGTTGTAGGTAGCAATGTAGAAGGAGATGAACAAAAACAGGTAGGAGGTGATAACAGCCATTCCGGAGAAGGCGGCGAATTCCTCTCCAGCGCACTGGCCCATGTTGGGAGCCCAGGGGAAGTAAGTCGAGGAGAAGTAGGTGTAGGAAGCAAAGTAGACAAAGCCTAGGCATGAATTAGCTCGGAATCCGGCAATCAACCACGAAACGCGACTTACCGAGGTCGATCACGAATTGGATGATCTGGAGACGGGTGATCCATTCTTTCCACCAGATGCGGATACCACGAGCGCTCTGGAAGTAGTACCAGTACATAACGACGTGGACCAAAAGGTTGATGTCAATAACCACCCATTGGACGGCAGTCAAGCCAATGAGCTGGGTGTAGCAAAGCAGAGCGGTGGCACCGTGGTGGTAGGTGTGGAGGAAGGTCAAGGGCTTCTTCTTGAGGAACAGGAAGACGGTGTCAAGGAGCTCGAGGTACTTGGTCAGGTAGTTGAGCTATGCGCAAGACGAGCGAATTAGTTTTGGCCAGCGAATTTAAGACTGCTGCGAAACTCACGTAGTACAGGACGACCAGCGGTTGGGTGAATCCACCCTCATGCGAGCAGATCGTGTAGAAGAGACCGTGTCTCCAGAGAGTGGGCAGGAGTTGTTCGATGAAGAGAGCCAAAAGCGTTGCGCTGATCGCAGTCAGATAGAAGTTGTGGATCATGAAGAGCGTGTTGAGCTTGAAAGCAGGACGATTCTTCATGAATGCGCGACCACTGAAGATGATGACATAGTATGCCACGAGCATGACAGCAGTCTCCTTCAGCGTAGACATCGGGGTGACGCCTTCAACGAAGCGGAATTCGCTGGCGGGATATCCCACAACAAGCTCGAAAGCCTTGTCGAAGATGGGCCATAGGTGAATGCCAAATGGCCGATCAATGGTCGGCACGGGCAGGCTCTTGAGGAGTTCGGTGGCCATGGTGAGCGATTGAACCGGACAATGATTACTCAAAAGTGCAGCTGAAGTGACTGAGCGTCCTGAATGTCAAGGACCTGGGAAATTATTCTCCTTTCTCCTCCCAAACTGCTGACAAACCGGCGGGGGAGGGGGGAGGGGGGGGTGAAGAGAGCAGTGGAAAGGGGGGGGTAAACAGAGGTGGAAGCGAAGAGGAAAGAGAATGATCAAAAAGATAAAGAGAAGGGAAAGAAAAGGAAGAAGAATACGAAAGAAGAGGAAGAGGAGGAGGATGAGGAGGAGAAGCTGGGGCCGTGAAGAGGGAACGGACTCGGTGGAGCAGCAGAAGGACTTGGTCTCTTTTGACTGCCTGTTCGCAAGGAGGAGGAGAATCGAATCTCTCTTCCTCAGCAAATCCGCATGTCTTCTTTTTTGGAACTCCGGGCGCGTCCGCTGCGGCTGAAAGAGGGCTAGTGCAACCTTCGGTGACTGGGAAAAAAAAAGGGGCGTCCGCTTAGGGCCCGACGATCATGTGCCCTCCGGGTTCCGGGTTCAATTGCACTGTGCAGTGCCAGTGCCAACCCTCGTCTTGAATTTGTGGCCTATTTACTGGTAGTAGTATTTGTGTGGTTCTGCTGTTTGCGGCTAGCAAGTAATCGCTATGTACCTAGTCAGGTAGTTGAAGTAGTTAGCAGGAGAAGAGGTGAAGTGTAACTACAGTAAGTTACGCCGGTTGTATGTCACCTCAAGGTCACTGGCTGAATAGCAACTGAGAAGCAACCACGGACCACAGACGAGCTTCACATGTTTGGCTGACCATTGAAACTTGGTATAAGTTAACTACTTGAGTAGTTAACATTCTTATGGTAATTTCCTAATAGTATTGCCAATTTCCCCATTAAACGAGTTTTCGACTATTTGATCCTGGCAGCCTCATGAAACATCATAATTATGCAGGCTAATCAGGGTCACGCCAAGGGTTTCAAGTTATTCGACTCCGACTCCTCGGATTTGGAATTCTGCCATCTGTGTATCATTTGTTCACGGTATGCTCTTGAAACATGTTCTGGGTCAGTGCCAGGACCACAGCGCTAGTCTGCCAGATCCATGGGGAAATCTTATCTTTGATCTAATGTCTACATTTGCTTTTCGGACACAATACAAGGTAAGGGCCAGAGATTGGGGGGGGGGCGGCGGGTTCCTTGGCTGCGAAAATATAAGAGGGGATTGAGTACATGTACTGAAGATCTCAACAGCCAATGATGAATTGATAATTGGGCGGACTATTGAGACGAGTCAATGTCGATCAAAATTGTCACTTCAAGAGGGGCAGCAAGGGAATCCATGGATGTAATGTGGAACATCACCAGCGACTTGCACGATCTCTGCCTGAGGTGAAACTGGTGTAAGTTACTGGTAGTTAGTAATCCATCTCTGGGGCAAGGCGCGGATCTGGATGCCGCCCACGGGATCTGGCCTTGAAAATGCTCCAATCATAGCTGGCACATAGAAAGCACAACAGATGACAGCGTGGTGGCCTGAGGCATCGGAGCTGCTCGGGTTCGGCGGGAGCCGCAAAGGAAAAGCAGGCGATTATCAATGACGGACGATGAAATGAACGGGGAGGGTACTTTTGTTGCAGCCTGAGGCACCAACAACCTCACACCACCCGCAAAATCCTAGTGCAGCCTGACTTGACCTCTGACTTCGACTTCGTCAACACCTCGCCCGTCTTGCTCTCCCCTCATCCACCCCCAATTCGCACACCTCCACCACCCACCCTCTTCTCGCCATGTCGCCAATCTCCGTTTTCCGTGTCGCAACCCGCGCCGTCCGTCCCTCCGGCTTCATCAGAGCCGCTCAATTGCCCCGGGCCCGCGTGCAGTTTCCCATTGCTCAGGCTATCAGCCGCCCCAGCTTCAGCACCTCCGCTCAACGCTACTCGGGCCACCACGAGGACGAGACCTACGAGGAATTCTCTGACAGGTATGCCACCAACCCCTGCCCAACCATTGGAGACAGATGCCAGCCCGTTGGCTCCGTGCTCGGTCGCACCTGCAACCGATCCCGAGAAGCCGGCCCCTTCTGATGCCTCGAGATTGGGCCGGGCCTGTCCTCGCCTTCTACAATTCCCGCCAGCAACCGCCTTTTAACCCACCTATCGATAGATTTGAGAAGGAATTCGACGGTGTCCAGGATGTTTTCGAGCTCCAGGTAAGCCGATGCCCCCCTGCTCGCGTCATCCACTCGTATCGCGAGCCTTGATAATCAGCCAACCTGCCATTGGAAGATGCACACTGGCACCTTGGCTCAAACCTATAGCAGCTGGGCTAATGATTGTCTCCTTCTCTCTCAATTGCAGCGCAACCTGAACAACGCCTTCGCCTACGATCTCGTCCCCTCCGTCGAGGTCTGCACCGCCGCTCTTAAGGCTGCTCGTCGTGTCAACGACTTCCCCACCGCTGTCCGCGTTTTCGAGGGTGCGCTATTCTCCATCCCCCTTTGTCCATGGTCCCAATTGACCGCACAAACCATATCCCCAAGTTCCCGTTCAAGATAGACTAACATTATCACTTGCGTCATCAAACAGGCATCAAGGCTAAGGCCGAGACCAAGGAACAGTACAAGCAATACCTCGAGGCTCTTGAGGAGCTCCGCCTGGAGCTGGGTGTTCCTCTCCGTGAGGAGCTCTACCCCGAGGAGCAGTAGATGCAGAGACATTTGTTTCCCGCCCCTCCACCTCCTCCTGCGTGTCCGGAACCTCCCGTCTCGTTTGCTTTCCCTTTTCTTTTTTCCCCCACATTGTCAGTCAGTCAAAGATAAGGAACGCTGTATACATACTCTAGAAGTTCAGTTGGAATGAAGTTGCTGAATCGTCCTGGTGGTGGTTTTTGGGTGTGTCTCGATAAATACAGACCGAATTGGACTCCTCCCCGCTGCTTCTGCATCCGTGGTTGTGCGGGGACAGAGGTTGATTTGGAAGGTACATGCGTGCTTTTCTATTGCGGTGCTGCCTTTAGAATCTTATGAGCACTTATTTGTATTCTGTATCATTGAGGACTAGGTGTGCAAATCCAAGGTGGATTCTTGTTCGACGTTGAGCAGTCTGTGTGCTGCGGGTGAAGAGGTATAGCGAGTACGAGGATTTAAATCCGAGTCGACTATTCGCGGCCACACGAGCCGGCCGTGCAACACCGCAGCGACTGGAACTGCTACACAATACCTGGTTCTTTATAGCATAGCCAATGGCATTGAGGCATTGAGGCATCGTATAACTGATGTTATAGGTACAGTAAAAGTTAGCCGGGAGAAGCTGCTAACAGCATAGTACACTGCCGGATACAGTGCACCGGAAAAGTAATCATTAAAAAAAAAAAAAGAAAAACGGCAATCCGTGTAAAACGCCACCGAGAGAGTTCAATATAAATTTTAAGCAGTTTCTTCGTCATCAAGACTGGGTATGTGGTAATAATAGAACATGTGAGCGCTAGTAAATTGTGCGCACTCAGCTCCTGTACAAAGAATCGATCGTAATTCTCAAATGGCAAAGTGATCGTACCCGAACCAGGTCCTCATATGTGGTAGGGTAAAGATGGTCCGCCGGTTATCCCATCGCCCTCATGCGAGACGTTCATATGCAAGAGATCGAGGAACAATTGTCATATGCACCAGATAATCAAAGGAAAATAGAATCATATCATGCGGCGATTTCTAGTGCATTCCAACATGCTTGAAGTAGCTGGGTCGGCAGTCTTCCTTGGCCAGCCAGGGTTCACCAGCGTAGAACTTGGCGGGCGTGCAGCCGGAACATTTGGGAGAAGTGGGGCAATTGTAGTAAGGGATGTGATTGTATCCGATGTCCCGGAACCTAAGGGAGAGAAAGTTAGGGACCAGAGTAGGCTGCGGGCACAGGGTGAGGCCATCACTTACCAATGAACCTTGGACTTATCGGCGAAAAGGCCCAAGCCGATGGAGTGCACGGGCGCATCACCCCAGCGCTCGTAGTAGAAGCCACCGGCCCGATCCAAGTGCTCAAAGTAGGCAGAGTATTGCTCGCCCCTGAAGAACTCCATATCGCCAATCTCGAAGTTGGACCAGAAGTGGCAGGTGGAGTAACCGTTGGCGGCTTCCGTGTGCTCAGGTCGCAGCTGGTCGTCGGTGAGCCAGTTCATCATATTGTTCTTGTTCAGATAAGTCGGGTTCGCAGCGAGAAACTTCTTGGTCTCGGGCCACAGCGAGGGAATACTTTCGGGGGCATCGAAGAGGTTGATCGTGAAGCCGTAGGTGAGGTTCCGATCCTCCATGTAGCGGAAGACATCGTAATCGACATCGCAGAAGAATTTGACCTTGGGCTCGACACGCCAGTAGTACCGGTACTTCTGGAGAGCGGGGTGCTGGTAGAATAGACCACTGTTCCAGCGACACATCTGATGATAGGAGATCTTGTCACTGTACTGAATACCCTTCTCCTTCAGCAATTGGGCGGACTCGCGGAAGAGGTCCATGTCGATCCACTCAGGAACCTCCCAGTGTTCTTTGGGCACTTGCTCTTTACCTAAGTGTCAGATGAATGTAGAAGGGGCTATAGGTTGATCCGCATGACATACCGTAGTAGCATTTCGCCTTGGTTTCCGCCTGCGTCAACTTCTTGAATTCTTCCGTGAAGGGCTGGTCATTGAAGAAAATCCAAGGGTAGTTGAACTTGCTATTCCAAGTACGCTCAAGGTCACGGATGGTCGGGATAAGTTCGTGGAGTTCTTCGTTTCGCACCAGAGAGATGAGGGCGGCGTTGGTACGGGGAGATTTTGCATTGCCGGGGCTATAGTCGCCGTCGGTTACACGCCACAACTTGCCCTCTGGCTCACCGGTTGCTGTTGCCCAAGAAAATATGAATTAGCAGGAAGCAAGGCAGAGAAAATTTGTCGTATTGAAGCGGTGCGGACGTACGATCTTTGAGAGGATCGGAGGTGATACCCTCGTATGGCGTTGATGATGATGACGACGACGACCCCTTAGTGATCAGGGCGGGTGTTTTGTTCATTTGGAAGATGAGAAAGAGAACGAGGATGATGCACGAGGCACCCAGCATCCGGATGGGTCTTGCGACAGCCATTGTGCCGGTCTGCGAATCCTCCCAAGAATGAAGTAGAGGGGAATGTGAGCAGCAACACAGAGAGAGAGAGGGAGAGATAGAGAGAATGAAGCCGCAGGGGAGACAGACTGACTTGTCGCTACTAAACTTATCGCCGCCTCCGCGAATCTCCCACTTGGCTTCTGCTGCACTATACCCCAACAGGACTAGTGTGGATCTCTCCCGATCAATCATTTCTGTTGCTCGCCCGCCGACGTACACCACTCGACCAGCGCCGCGTAACCACCTCAACACCATGGAGAGGGCTGGCTGTTCTTGCGTTCACGCATAATTAAATTGCTCCGGCTGAATCAACTCATGCTGTGCTCACCATGGCTGCTACGGCCGACGTGAGCGCCTTATTAGAGCAGCTAATCGCGGCCGTCGCAAACGCGGACCCGAAGGTATTTGGTTGAACCTGCTTTGCTCCAAGGGTGGGTGCTGATATGTCTTGCTCAGGACATACCGCGTTTTGCGACTCTCAAACGTCGCGCGGAGGAGACTGTCAAAGCTGGCGCCCATGGCCGTGTAGATCAATTTGCGGTTGCCAACCAGCTTGACGGCCTGCAGGAGAAATTTCAAGTCCTCAACAGGGATGAGCTCGCAGATGCGCTTCGTACCAGGTTGCTAGAGCTCCATGAGCATCGGAGCTCCTGGGCCCCGGAATATCTTTCTTTACTGCTGGAGCTTGCGGATCGTCCGGCGCAAAATTCGCGACTGGATCGCATTGCGAAGCCGAAGCCTCAAGAGGAAGCGGCACCGCTCACTTGGTCCGACTTGGATGCAGCCGGGTCAGCATTTTGCGACGAAGACATCTGGGACTCTGTAGACTACGGAGATGATTCTTCTGATGAAGATATTGCTTCCGCTTCCTTGTCCAATGACACCTACCATACGCGGCCGACTCAGACTTCTGTAGCTCCAGAAGAAGATCTCATGATCCCTGATGTGGAACTGACATATGGTGATGATGAAGATCTGATAGCGTCGATTCAGAAGGCCCAATATTGGTCAAGAGACAGTCACTCTGAGGGCGCCCACGAGATCTTGGTTTCATGGGCCTTGACGGAACTTGAAGTCATCAGGGAAGCGATTTTCATGCTGCAGGGCCTGCCTACGTCTGTATTCCGACGGCTTGACGGCAAGATTGAAGTGGATAAGGACTACAGCATCGCGCATCTATCCACACAAACATTCTACTCAGTTCTACGATTGCTCTGCTCGGTCGGAACCCAAATTGACGTTCTCAGGCTGTTCGTCCGCACGCCACAAGCTATCCCCTATATGCAAACTTGTCAGCGTGGATTAGAAGGATGTCTAAGTAGATTTGACAGATTTCTCTCGGAGGAGCAAGGCGAGTATCTTTCGCCAACGGCAACCACTTCTGTCAGTCTTCTGCAGCTCTTTGAAGGTGTGGGCCGTGAGTCTAGACTTCTCTTGATTTTGTCAGACCTGGTTTCTGGGCTTGAAACTGCGTCTGTGGACTCTTCCGTTCATTTCCTAAATCGTCTTTACGACGCAACCTGCTTGGCCCAGGCGACTGGTGATGATGATGGGTTCACGGTCCTTGCCGACCTGTTCTTTTCGTGTTTTGAAACCTATGCCCGACCCATCCGTTCCTGGCTGGACAAAGGTGAACTAGAAGACTCAGTCAATCATGGATTCTTTGTACACCACCAACCGAAAAATGGAGATCTGCGAACACTATGGCATGACTGGTATACGCTGGAAGAGCCTTCAAAACTCTCCGCTGTCCCGATATTCATCCAACCCATCATGCATAAGATTCTTATAGCTGGAAAAAGCATGGTTTTTCTGCGGCATCTGAATATGGGCCCAAAGGATGAAGGTCGGCAAAGCACATCAGTGACGCTGGAGGACGTCTGTCGCCCAGACTCCTTTGCATCTTACCTCCCATTTTCTGCTTTGCTCGAGTCCGCTCTCCAGAAGATGGTGGAACAGAATTACGCCACTACATCTGCACTTCTGAGGAGCAAGTTTGACGAACAGTGCGGTCTGTGGGAATCACTCCAGGCCCTGGAGCACATCTACCTTTGCCGGGACGTAAGCATTTCCGGTCCAATCGACAGCAGGATATTCGACCTGCTTGGGAGAGGGAAAGATGCATGGAGCGACCGTTATCTCCTCACGGAACTGGCACAGAGCACTTTCGGTTCGATGCCTTTCATCGACCCTTCACGGCTGATTGTGCGGTCGACGAATGTGCTAGATAGCGATCGTGGCAGCGGTCGATCGACGAATATGCTCAACGCAATCTCCTTCGACTATATTCTCCCGTGGCCGGTTGCAAATATCATCCCGAAAAGCGCTATCCACGATTACCAGCGAATTTCCAGGTTTCTCATGCAGATACGTCGAGCGAAGCATGCCATTGTCAAGCAACGCTTGCAGCATAGCGACCTGAACGACAAGATCGGAGACGCAAGGAACAATACGGTCAGCTATGCTGTGCGACACAACATGCTCTGGTTCCTGAACGCTATCTACAGTCACATGACAGACTTGGTCATCTCAGCCGCGATCGCATCGCTACACAACGCCTTGTCTGCCGCCATTGACATTGATGGCCTGGTAGAGGCCCACCAGAAGTTCATGCTCTCTCTCAAGGAACAATGCTTGCTGTCGGAAAATTTCGAGCTCCTTCATCAAACCATTATCTCTATTCTTGACCTATGCGTGCGCTTTGCGGATGTCCAGTCCACGCGTTACGGCAGAGATCATTCTGAATTCCAGACGAGTTGGCGTGCAGAGAGTCGCAATCAAGCATCTGGGTCTCGCAAGGCCCACCGCATCGACGATGAGGATGACCTGACCGATGAGGACGAGGATCACCCCGAGAGCGAAACTGCGGAGTCATTCCACGAGTCGAAGTACCTAGAAACGATTAAGGAAATCAAAGGCCAGTTTGAGCAGCTGATTGCTTCTGTAGCTGTCGGTCTGAAAGGTGTGGGACGTATTGATGGCCAATTGAGCTGGGATATGTTGGCCGAGAAGCTCGAATGGCGAAAGGCGGCAGGCGGACACATGATGATATGAGGATATATGCCATGTTGATGGCAATAGCAATCATCGCTAACAGGGATTTGAGGCCGAGCCCCCACCGGTGTTACTGCGCGAGAGGAATGTCCATACATATAGAAGGACCGAGGATAATCATGACGCGCTCACGCCGTTTCTTCCGAGGGCTTCAAAATGGGGTTGAGAGACAGCTACTCTTCAATTGGCGCCGGATATCGCTTGCCGCGTTGCTTTGCACACACGCGATGGGATTCTATCAAAGAGGCACGAATATAGAAGCCACACATCTCCCACGAAATACACCTTGTCCCATGACCCTGCCCACTTAACAGAAACCCGAGTCTGAATACAGGTTACTCTGAACAATGCCCCGCCCTCAAAATGACGCCGTTATCCTTACAAGGCACCATCGGCAGTCAGATCTGACTTTGCCCTAATGGGAACATTAGCGAACTACGCTTTCTAGAGGCCGTGGAGGATGACTACCTTTTCCTGGCAACCATCCCCGACGAGCCGGAATCCATCCGCATGTCTTCCAAGACGCTCGCTCCACTGGTCTATGAAATCCCCAAACGTCGATGTTAGCGAATGGTTCACCGACCCAACGGCGAAGTATATTGAAATCGCTGGTTGCAGACGATCGTACATAAAGAAACACGCACATCTCTCTCAATCAAACAGAAAACCCACACCCTGGACAGGGAGACAAAGAAGAAGAAACAGTCATCACTTCGTGAGACAACGGCAGTAAGAAACGGAATCCAACACCCTACACATCCGACGCCACCTCCATCTCCCTCGCCAGCGGTATAAACTTGCGCGTCTTGAACCCCATCTCCGAGTACCGCACCCCGACCCCCAGGTAACAGTTAATCTCACTCGGATGGAAGTACTGCAGCACCACCATGGCCGCAAACATCAACAGGGCATCAAACACATAGATAAACACCTCCTGTTTCATGAGGAAGCCGTCATACCCTTCCAGGTACTCCACGACGCGGACGATCGATCGGACGAAAATCAAGCCACTCGAGATATACAGCGCAGCCAGATGCCGCCGCCAGACGCCGGACAGCTCCCTCGCGGTCCCGGTGGGGTTCTGCCGCATGCGCATCTGGAAGATGACGGCGGTGATGATGAAGAAGCCGAAGAAGATGATCTGGACGAAGAGACCGACGATGATGACGTGTTCGCCGGTGGACGGGTTGTCGGAGTTGCTGACCATGAGTCCGGCTCCTGTGTCGGTGTCAGTAAAGCTGGGGCTAGTCTTGAGGGGGGTGTTTTGTCTGGTGGGGTTTGTGGTCGTACCGGAAGCCTGCATCAGGAATGAAAGCACGTCGCCTAACACGAAGATCTTGGTCATCCAGCTCAACCGAATCACGGCGTGCTGCTCGGCGTGCACCATGCGGATGATCCGACCGAGGGTCATGTAGATGCTGGCGGCCAGAAAGGCGGGGGCGATGAGGATCAGCGCGCTCTGGATGATGTAGGGCCCTTGGGTGAAGTCGGGGCTTTGCTGGGCGGAGAGCAGGCGGCCGACGTATCCGATGGTTTCGACTAAAGCCGGGGGTTCAGTTCAGTTGTGTAGAGGATGATACAGAGAGTCGCTTCTGCAAGACTTACGGATGCCGCCTATGACGAAGGGGATCATGGACCATGAGTGCGTGCGGGCCAGTTGGTAGAGGTGCAGGAGGGTGCTGAGGCCGAACAGGACGACAAAGATGCCTGCGGCTGCGCTGGAGGGCGCGTAGTAGTAGAATGTGAACTGCATCTTTGTTTTCTCGATGGTGGGGGCAGGCTGGTTTGTTGTTTCAGAGACTGGTTGTTGCATAGATAGAGATAGCAGGAGATACCAGCAGGACAGAGGGGGCTCAGCTTTTATCTTGACATTCCTTCACCGTACTCAACCGATGTGGTCCTTGGCCCTTCCCCCATTGTTTAGGCAGACGCGAATTTCCTGCCTCTATTTCCGTGCCAATCTTGGAGGCAGTGAGGCCTCGAAAAAAAAAACCCCCCCAATGCTTCGTATCTCGTTGCGCGCTCCCGATGCGGCAAAAAGCGGGTTTAAGCTTAAGCTTAACGTTTCTCGTTTTCGTATCGATGTCCGGATTGGGTGAATTGGCAGGCAGCACACTTTATTTTTATTTTGTGGGTCCCCTGGTGTAGGGGTCTTGATTTATCAACCATTCACTCTATTATATTGTTATATTGAAAATCCATCATGAACCACACAAGAATCCCTGATCACTAATTACCATACACTGCTCTATTGATCTACATGGTCTCTTGAGCTCGCTGCGCCTGCTTGGCAAACTCATCCATCGGGGTCAGGTTGGCCTTGGCCGGGCCCTCAATGCACACGCCATCGCAGCTGAAGCGACTGCCGTGCACCGGACAGTCCCAGCTCTTCTCCGTCTCGTTCCAGCTCAGCACCGCCTTCATGTGCGGGCAGATGGCGCTGAACTTGTGGGCCTTGCCGTGCTCGTCCTTGTAGACGGCGACGGGGGTGGCTGGGTTCTCCTTCATCACCCCGCCCGAACACGGGGCGAGGTCCTCGATGTCGGTGATGTCCGACTGCATCCAGCGCTTGTACTGGGCGTTGATCTGGAGATCATGCTTGAGCATACTCGGCATCGACTTGGCGATACTCTTCATCCGGTTGGGGTTGTACAGATCCGCCCAGGGGTTCTCGACCCCGGTGATCTCATCGGCGATCAGCTTCCCCGCCAGCACGCCGTGCGTCAGCCCATTCCCACTATCCCCGGTGACGATATACGTATGGTTCAGCCCCTGGTTCTTCCCGATAAACGCCATGTAGTCGACGGGCTCGAAGATCTGGCCGCTCCAGCGGTAGTCGACGGCGCCGGCTTGCGGGAAGCGCTCGCGCACCCAGCCCTCGAGCTCGTCGAATCGCCCCGCGGTGCGCTCCTGCCCGACCTTGTGATCACAGCCCCCAATCACCAGGTAATCGTCCGTCTCATCGCAGGCGGTGAAGCGCACGTACTTGTACGCCTCGGCCGCGTCGTACAGCAAACAGTCCTCGACGGACCCCTTGGGGATGCGGATGGCAATGCAGTAGGTGCGCATGTACTCCATCTCGGCGATCACACTGAGCTTCTGCAGCGGCACGCAGGTCGCCTGCACGAGCGCCGCCGCGGTGACGGTGTGGCCGCCGGCCGTCTGCACGCGCACCCCGTCCTGCTCCTCCTCGCTGGACATCATGCGCGTGCCCGTGTAGCACTGGAAATTGGGCTGCTGGCGCAGCCACTCCAGCACGCCCACCAGGTACTTGGTCGGGTGGAAGGTCGCCTGCCCCTGGAAGACGGCGGCGTCGCGCTGGTCCACCGCGCCCTCCCAGCCGCGCACCGCCCGCCCCGCGTGGAACTGGGCCGCCAGCCCGAGTCCCTGGGCGAACTCGACCTCCTGCTGCAGCTCACGGACCTCAGCGGCGTGGGAGTGGGCAGTCTCGCCGTCGCGCGGGTACTGCGAGATCTCGTAGGCGGGGAGGGTGCGGTACTCGCAGTCGAGGTGCAGGTGGCGGGCGATCTCGCCGACGCGGTGGATCGCCCAGGTGTGGCTGTCGGCGGCGGCCTGCGCCCCCTTCCGGCCGTGCTTTTTGGCGATCTCCGTGTAGCCGTCGTCGAGGGCGTTGGCGAGGTGGCCGCTCGTGCGACCCGTTTCGCCGGAGAGCACGTTGCGGGCCTCGAGCATGGTGACGCGTTGGCCGCGGGTGACCAGCTCGTAGGCGATGGAGATGCCGGCGATGCCGGCGCCGACGATGCAGACCTCCGTCTCGACATTTTCCTCAAGGGTGGGGAAGTGGGGGTAGTGGGCGTAGGGCATGTGGCGCACCCACACGGGGTCTGTCTCGCCGGAGGTGTTCATGAATTGGTGCGGACGGTCGGACATGGTGGCCAGCGTGCGAGACGGAGGAGGCGCAGTGGAGGTGGAGAAGCAGCGCGAGACGGGGAGGAGGCGGAGAGAATGGAGCTGGGCGTTGACGCGTTTGAAGGCACTGTGTCGGATGACTCGGGGGCAGGTGATGCTGTAGAGGTTCAGAGCGGGACGCATGGCCACCGGGGATATTGTGGGTGTATTAAGTTGTATGTAGATTGGGGGGGTTGGGGGGAAGAAGAGGAGGGGGAGAGGGGTCGATCAGGAGATAATTAAGACTACAGCCACGACTCAAGTGCATCAGACTGGTGTCTGATGCAGTTCATCATGATGACCTACACGAATTTGGGTGAGTTATGTGTCGAGAACATGACACAACCATGACAGATGTGTAGACGACACGCTGATTGCTGGGATACCGTATCCGGGGAGATCCCCCCCAGATCTTAGTAGTGGATAAGCCGGGAGGTGGACCAGCCAGTCAAGAAATCCAGACCAAGAAGTAGTAAGTAAATACTAAACACTAACAGGATAATATCCTGCAGGGAAGAAGATTGATAAGAGGCGGCTGCGATAGGCTGCGAGGGAGCAATGGGACGATGACATCACCGTGACCGGGTGCATCAATTGTGACGACAGACCGAATCTATCCTTATCAGAACTTATACAACAAGTGAATATACACTCCGCTATAGCTACACTAGAGCTACACCCCTCCTTTTCTTTTCTTACTTGCACCAAACAGAATGTCGAAAACAGACCCCATCCAAACCACCGCCCCCAAATGCCCCCTCACCACCCACCGTCCCCCGGCCACCTCCTTGCACCGCAACATCCCCGACCCCGGCACCCCTCGCGGCACCGCCGCCATCTCCACCGAGCAACCCGACGGGGACCCTGTCTGGCAGAAGCAATTTGGCGAATACGTATGTACTTTGCGTAAACATCTCCTATTCCACCGACTAAACAAAATTAGACCCCCCTGCAACAACACATCCTCTTCTGGGACCGCGACGGAGACGGCCAGATCTACCCATGGGACACCTACCGCGGCTTCCGGGAATTAGGGTTCAGTGTGCTCTTCTCGGTGCTGGCGATGCTGATCATCAACCTCAATTTCTCGTATCCGACGCGGTTGGCGTATTCGATCCTCCCGGATGTGTGGTTTCGGGTGTACGTGGGGGGGATTCATAAGGCGAAGGTAAGGTGTTTCTGTGGCTGGTTCGATTTTCGGGGGCCTTATGCTGAACATCTTCTCCTCTGCTCAGCACGGCTCCGACAGCAACACCTACGACACGGAAGGCCGATTCGTCCCGCAGAGCTTCGAGAATATCTTCGCCAAGTACGACGGCGACGGGGATGGGAAGTTGACGTTCAGTGAGGTCGGGAGGATGGTGAGGGGGAATCGGTGTGCGGTGGATCCGTTTGGGGTGTGTCTTCCCCCCCCGACCTACAATCTATGCGTCTGTGGGAGTGAGGGAGGGTTGTGCGAACACACTATCTGACTGAATTTGTGTCTAGTGGTCGGCTGCGCTGTTCGAATGGGGCACGACGTGGTTGCTCATCCAGCGGGACGGAAGGGTCGAGAAGGAGGATTTACGGCAGATTTATGATGTATGGCCCTTACCTTCTCCCCCTGTGGTTCTGTGGAGAGCTGACATTATCTATCACTAGGGCTCGTTGTTCTGGAGGGTCCGGGAGGCGCGCGTGCATGGGTCGGGATGGAAGCAGGGGTTTGGATTAGGGGGGGATGGGTTTATTGGAGGGGTCAAGGTCTTTTAGATAACCTCATAGACTCCCCCTATCTTGGGTTTCTAGGGGTCGAATTACATGGTTATCTTGACTGTTGGTGGAGATGTACACACTGCTTTGGTCCAGGCACGTAGAAACCATATATAGACAGACATTTATTCAAACATAACCACGCTAAGTTGACATCATCAGGGTATCACTATATCATTCATACAACCCCCCAGTCACCTACACCATCCCCCCCCTTCGCTCTTCCTCCTTTACCTCCGCCCCCATCGACGAGCTCGGCGAGGCGGCCAGCGCACTCCGCGCCCGCAACCACGGCCCATACCGCCAAAACACCACGGGCAGCGGGATCAGCACCGTGGCAATGCACCCCAGCAGGGTGCCCGCCCACTGCACGCCGAGATTCTGCATCAACTGGCGCGAGAAGAGCGGAAAGGCGCAGCCCACGGCGGAACGGAGGATGGTGTTAGCTGCGATGGTGGATGCCGCTCTACATTGGTTGGTTAGTGACTCGGTGATACTACCCAGCGGGAGAGATCGACAGGGGAACCCGTACAAGGTAGGATAACAATCGACAATGTAGTTGAAACACTGCAGGAAGATACAGAAGATGCCAAAGCCCGTGAGGAGACCCGAGGCCATGGGGACGAGATAGTGGATTTGCGCGGTGTAGCCGGTCCAGCCGAGCCTAAGATTGATGATGTTGGTTAGTTGAACGTTATACGTTATACCTTATAAAAACTTGCCAGCCAGCCAGTCTGCCAGCCAGCCAGCAAGCATAAAACCAGGAGCAATCGACAAACATACCAAAACATCCCCCCCGCAAAGGCCACCGCTCCGACAATCGCAGCCGGCAACCGCCATTCAGGCACCGGGACATTGTCATGCGCCGCCAGTTTCCGCTGATAATCTCCCTGCAGAAACAAGATAAACACCCCCCCGGCCAGCTCCCCCAGGATCAGCCCGATAAAGGCCAACCCCCCCACCCCGGCACTCATCCCATACACCCCCTGGAACACCACGGGATACGCCCCCAGCAAGGCGTAGATCAGCCCGTAGATGAAACTGATATACAGCGAGATCAGCAACAAGATCGGCTCGGTGGCCAGCAGCGTCAGCGGCCGCGTGAAGTTGTTGCGGATCAGCTCGGGGAGGTCCACCTCGACCTGTTCCTGGCGGGCGTGGATGCCCCAGTTGCGGGTCTGCCGCCGGAGGAGGGCGGCCTTGCGGACGAGGATGACCGGGGCGTAGGTTTCGTCGAGGCAGCACAGCACCAAGACGAAGCCCACGCCGACCAGGATGGAGGGGAGGTAGAGCGTCCAGCGCCAGCCCAGCGCGCTCGTCGCCAGAAACCCCCCGATGAAGGGGGCGGCGAACGGACCGATGAAGACCGCCATGCAGAAGATCGACATCACCATCCCGCGGTGGGCGTTGGTGAAGAGGTCGGCGAAGACCGCGGGCACGATGGAGATCGGGCTCGCCGCAAACAACCCCCCGAAGAAGCGGCCCAGCATGAGCGTCTGCACGTCTTTACTCGTCGCCGAGGCGATCGTGAAGAGGCCGCACCCGAAGAGTCCCACCGCCAGCGGCCACCGGCGCCCGATCAGCTCCGACGCCGGCGCCCACAGGGTCGGTCCCGCGGCGAACCCGAGCACGTACAGCGTCACCCCCAGGGTGCTGACTTCCGTGCTGATGTGGAACTCCCGGCTGACCCCCGTCGAGGCGGCGGAGAAGATGGCGCTGGTGAAGGAGGCGGCGAAGGTGGAGTAGCAGAGGATGGCGACGAGGATGGATCTGGGTTTCGTGGGGTGGTCAGTCAAGTCGTTGGTGATGATGATGATGATGATGATGATGATGGGCATCATGATGTTGGATATGATGGTGGGCAATACCTCCGCAAGATGGACCAGTTATACGGATGTAACGGATCGGTCGCGCCCTCAAACTCGACCACATAGGTCTCCGGGTCCGGCAGCAGAGGCGGATACTCCTTGCCGGCCCCCATGGGCAGCCATTCCTCGCGAGGCACCGGAGGTCGCGTCGAGCCTACGGTGGCCTTCTGCTGCAGTCGGTAGGTGTGGATGCGGGCCAGCTCCAACGAGTCGGGATGGTGCTCCTCGTCTGGGTGTTGGGGCTCATCGAAGGAAGACGCGTAGTCATCGCTGGTGCTGTCAATCGGGGTCGAGTCGGAGAAGTACTTTTCATGGTCATGGTGGTGGTGATGGTGCTCCATGATGGTTCGTTTCCCCGGAGGGTTGGATTCTGATACTCCCGTATTGTCTACACTGACCGGAAGAGGAGAGAGTTGGGACGAGCAGACCAGGGCCTGATATATCTATCTACTGCTGTTACTCCACCACCACCACCACCACCACCACCACATCATACCCACATTGCAGTAACCCGTCAGTATGGTTTCCACTTTTATCCATGATATCGACCGGGATGAAATCTCTGCTGCTCCGCTTATAGTGACATGAGGGATTCTTGATGCTTTTTTCCTGACACCTGCAGCTCCATCTTTTTCCGCTGCGCCACATCGCCGAAGAGCTTGTTTTGCCATTGACCAATCACACATTGCAGCATCAAAAAGCAGTCTCGGGTACTCTCGGAAGTGTGGCTCGTGTCAGGCACACCCGTGCGGCATCGTGGCTGGACCCGCGGCCAGCCGACGATATCCGTGAGACCCGGGTGGGAAAAATCCGAATCTACTATGAAGGGAGAGCAGCACATGGGATGAAGCCAGCGATAAGAGCAGGAGGAACCCACGGAAAGATTCAGGCCCACGCGCTGACTGCAGGTGCGGTTATCCGCGCTGTCTCGCATGCGAGCTGCCGCCTGTCTAGATCTTTCGATGCATGAAAATCGATGGCTTCTTGGGAGGTTGGGCTTGTGGCGTCATGCATGCATTACGGTGTACTGTGTACTGTGTACTGTGTACTGTGTAGTATCTGGGTTGACATCGTCCATGACAGATCAATCACCGACAATCACGATCATGATTTCCGCGACTGCTCAGCAATACATACATACATACAATCCACACCCCCGGGACTGCCCTAAAACTCACCCGGGCCCTTGCCGAAGTGCCCCCCCGTCGGGACCGTCAACCACGGCACTGAATTGGTATCATCGGTGTCGGATCCCACCGTGTTTCCCCACCAGTTCAGCGTGATCTTGTTGTACGTCAGCGCGAAGAAGATGATAACCGTCGCCAGGGCCGTGCCCGTGTCGAGTGCCGCCTGCAGGAGATCTACCGCCGACGGATTAGCCCCATTCACTCCCCAAGGGAGAAGCTCCACCTACAGTTGTACTTCTTCCACCACAGGAAGGCCCGCTGGCGGATGAGGTGGTTGAACAGGTATCCGAAGATGAACCACAGAGAGTATTGCGCTACGGACGTCAGTCTACTGTGTCGGTCGAGACGACCCAAGGGGGGAAGACACATACTGGTGTTGGCCGGCGGGATATTTCCGGCGCCGTTGAAGAAGATGGGCACGTTGATGTACTTGACCCAGCTGTGCGGGTAGCGGCGGTAGAGGAGCCAGACGGCCACAGTCACGACCGGCTAGCAAACAACCGTCAGTCGCGTATACCCCGGGAGATTAAGGAGGGAAAGAACGCACCCCGATGAGGAAGAAGTACACCAGGGAGTTGTACACCTGTCCGGCTTGGAACATCCGTTGCGGGCCAATCGTCCCCCAGATCAGTGAGGCGTTGTACATGACCTTGGCTGAGGCACAGGTGAACTTCTGCGTGTTGTCCGTATCACACAGTCCATCGATGTGGCCCATCATCCATCGGAAGACTGGCGCATGTGAGTCCACGGGTCCGGCGGGGAGGGGGAGGAGGACACTTACCGCCGGTCTGGGTCATGGTGGCCAGGATGCTGGAGTAGATCTGGGCGAAGAAGAGCACCCGCGGCGGGATTTTCTGGCTTAAATCAGTTCTGAGCAGTGCATCAAACAAGCATGCTGCCCGACTCACCATATACTGTCCCAACTTCAGGTCCTGCGCAAAGTCCATCCCATGCTTGACCGAATTATATCCGTAACACTTGACCATCATGTTCGCGATCGGCTTCCCAGGCCAGGCGTACCCCGCAATCAGCTCGGTGATGATGTTGAGGAAGACGCGCTGGTTGGTGGTTCCTTCCAGGATCCCCTCGGGCACGATCAAGAAGACGCACATGCCGCAGCACACGACGATGAAGCCCCACACGGGGAGACCAGTCTCCCAGTATCTTACAGTGAAGATGCCCAGGCCGGCGGTCACAATAAACAACACCCCATACCACCAATTGGGCACCTCTTGATACGCATGCATCAGGCGGCGATGGATATCCTCGCCACCGTGGCGCGAGTTCTTGAACTTGGCCCAGATCTCGGAGCCATGGTACAGATAGGTGTGCACGACCACCGCAGTCACGGCGGCAAACGAGAGCCCGTAGGTGAGCGAATAGGACATTGAGATGTACATGGGTGAGTACGCTTCGTACTTGCTGACCACGAAGTCGAGGTTCTCATCGACAACCCGAGACACATTATAGGACGATCCCGTGTTGTCGAAGGTGGAGGAGGAGAGCAAGGGCAGGCTGCGAGAAGGTTAGGGCGCTGAGGGATAACAAGCAGGGGGAGAACTCACTAAGCGCTATTCCAGACATTGGTGTAGTACAGAATGGGCGAAAGGAAGAGATAAAAAAACACCACGACCGCAAAGGCATTGCAAGTGATATAAAACGGCGTCATCAGAGGATAGCCGGCGTAGTTGATCTGAGTCCAGTCGAGACTGAGCGGAAGCAAGCCCAGTCCGGAATTCATCTGGGCATATCAGTGACATCCAACAACACAAGACCGAGCAACGTACCCCAAAAATGGTGTTCACCTTCTGGTTCTTAGGGGCAATCCAGGTGACAAAGGCGAAGGTGCTCAGACTGGTCCAGAGGTAGTCGGGGAACCAGTAGATCACAAAGCCGATCACGGTGAAATACGCAAAGAAGCGATAGCGACTCATGGTCCAGCCGTGGACTGTGGCGCGACTTTCCGGTTCATGGAGGGCTCGGAACAGCACCGTCGACGAAAGCGAGGATGGCCAGATGAGGGCAGCCGGATAGACGAGCCAGCGACGTGTCAATCCCGCGAGACCAAAACTGGTTGGTCAGACACAAGCTGGCAACAGCGATGGAAGGATCTCTTACCCCAACATCTGCGAGGTCAACAGGTAGATGAAGGCAAATCCGGCGCCAAAGTCCTGATTCCAGTACTGGGGCATCGTGATGGCCACGAGGGAGCTGGACGCATACGCCGTGCTAGCGCTGATGTTGACACACTGCTGCTGTTAGATACAACACCGGTCTCATGCCATCCGAAGGTCCATCAGTGGCTCACAATCGTGATCAAAGCATGCTCCTTGATGCTGAACTTCCCCGGGTTGAGGTCGAAGGAGAGTCGACCCAGGGGCACTCTCCACCTGGGCAACTTCTCCCATGCTCTACCGACAGGAAACACCAACAATTGGGCGACGACATATTGCAGAGTGAGCGAGGGCTATTCTGGTTAGTAGTCGCCCTTGGCACAGGAGGAGAGAGAGCTCGACGCACGTAACGCAGACTGAAGAACTGGTTGACAGCTGCAAAGACCATCACAAAGACGGTGGTTAACACCCAGGCGCGCACCGCTACCGGAGGGTCAGTCCCTGTTCCTGAATTGCCTGAGCTCTGCTTCTAATACTGACTGTTGCACGGGATGCTAGGATCGTCGGTGTTGGGGACACACGCCGCCACTTCGGGGACTGCGCGACATTTCACCAGTCAGTTCAGTCCAGTGCAGCCGTTGGTCACGCTTGGTCACCTACAAGGCGATTGGTCGCCATCCACGTTCCATTGAAAGGCCTCGACGGCTGTGACTTCTTTGATCTCGGCCGTGTTCACCTCCTCCTTCTCCTGATTGCGTTCCAGACTACTCCCATCCGCGTCTACCCCTGCCAGATGGGTCTCGATCTCATCCTTGGGCTTGCCGCCGACGATAGCACCGGAAGCCATGGTGAGAAGGTGGATGCGTCACAACGGTGAATCGAGGGCGATTCTTGTGCGACCGAGCCGACCGTCAGTGATTTATAGTAGAAGACGGGCTGGACCTGATTGCCACCGCGGGGTGCAAGGCTCGTCTATCATGCAGCGATTCCGAGATATGCTTGCGATAGACCCACCCGCTATGGCAACAACGCCATCAAAAGCACACCATCCGCCCTCGAGATTCCCTCCTGCAGCCCGGGGGGTTTCCTGCTGAACATGCATGATGCAACGCATGCCATCCGTCCTCTTCTGTTTCGATGCAGAAATTCGCATTCGGAAGGCTGCTGTCGTGGAAGTGCTTCGATTGAGGCAGGCTGTAAACCAGCCGGCTTATCGAGCGTACCAGCCGAGAGTCGAGATAGAGAAGGGGGTGTTGATATCGTCCTCATCATGATTGGCTCCGGGAGGCAATATCACCAAGGGCACCAAATGGGCAACGCTGGACTATACATGGTATCACGACAAACCACGAGCGTCGCACGCCATCCATTCAGCTAGTACAGTAGCTATCCATCAGACCACCGTGCGGCCACCAGCCGTCTAGATTGCCCCAGCATGGACAAGGAGGAGGAGGCAGGCGTCCACACCTATAGACCCAAGGCTGTTCGCCTGCCAAGAAGTGGTCGTGGCAACAGATAAGCTTGTGGCCCATACCCCGCTCGAGGGAGGGGGGAGGGGCGTTAGAGACAGAGACCAGCAGACCAGAGGATTGTCGATTGTTCACGCATGTCAGAGAGTCATGGGGCAAGAAGCACTGAAGCAGTTGAAGCCATGCTTCCTGCTTCCTGGATGTTTAACGTCATTAGGGTCATCTCTTGCGTGAAGAGGGTGAAGAGAATCGAGCTGCCTTTTCACATCCAGCCCCGGTTGGTGATGGTTGTGCATGTCTCCAAATGGCGTGCTATCGTGACTCCAAAACAAGCCAAATCCACGCTAAATCCAAGCTTCTCCCGGGCCGGCGAGGAAAGCCAATCAGCGAGTCAGCTCGGGGGGCTCGGGCCAGAATAAGCATAACAATCATCAGCCTTTTTCAAATGACTTTTGCCGCCATGTTTAGTAGTAGGGAGTAGGGAGTACGAAGGAAATTCTGGACTGCTGATGCCTCCTTCGGAATGGGTTTCCGATATCGGCGGAAATCCTGCCTCGGTTGATCTGCAGCCATCATGTATTTATTGATGGTGTTCGAGTCATGTGCCACCTGCCTATCCTGAGATGCTTTGGCGGTTCAAATTCATAGATCAAATGCACCAACCGCATTTCTAATTATTGACCACATCCTCATCACGTAAGCAGCAGTCACTTTGCATGGAAGCAATAGTCACAGCCAGGAGTCATTGCATGACCCACCTACACTTTTAAACCACCCCTGTAGGGGTAGAAGACAAGGATAAACGTGAATGGAATGTCGATCACTAGTTAGCCTGATGGCCGAATATTCTCGAGTTTAGTATTGTGGTTCATCTTCAATTGCCCCGGAGAGGGGCTCGGAACTAACCGAGATGATGTCGTTTGGGGAGGTCTATCAAGGGGGTTAGGTTTATATTGGAGCGCGTTGATGTGCATTACATAGGTAGTCAATATTTGAGTCAATTCCAAATTCAGCTCATAATGACATTGAATGAAAAGAAAGCAGCAATGGCATGATTTTATATACAAATTAAACAAACCCCTCGTCATCCCCTTGTTTAGTTCTTCGGCTGATGACTCGGGGCCCGGCCTACCCTGTTCTCGCCCGTTTGTCCTCCAACCATAGTCTGGGCTTCTTTCTGCGAGTAGATCTTCTCATTCTTGCTGGGCGACTGGGCGCGGAAGACGAGGGCGGCGCCCGCAATCACGCCGAAGATGCTGAGGAGGGCGATATTGCGGGAGCTAGACATGAATTGCAGAGTCAGTCTGGATCTTCCTGCATGCAGCTGCACCAGTGGTTATAGCATTTCTTACCGCACTGAGCCCGGGTGGCCGTTGGTGAGACCTCCAGTGTGTGCAACCATGATGACGATGGATGGAGTAGATGATGGAAGAGTTGTGATTGATTGTGTTCCAGTGTAGTTCACTGATTGACACCCACTGGCAACCAGCGGCGAGTCGATACTGATATAGGCTGGATTGAGACTACCTACACATGACGTCAAAAGTCTACATGCATCTCCGTCGGAGGCATTGGTTCCGCCGGATGGCATTCACTGTCTGCAGTCGGGCTACCGTGGATGGGAGTTGGTGCGTCAGGAAGACGTGCATGGAATCTTGTCTTGTGGCATTGCATTGGCTACTAGTTACAGTACTGTACTTCCACAGGAGTGATGCGGGTGGCGAGCAGTGGACTGTGGTTGCGATCACTAGGGAGATATATCCGAAAAGCCGATCGGGAGGGTTTCAAATGATCCCGCACGATCCAGCACTGTCAGGCTGGCAGTTGAACCCTGCATTCGAGGTTTTGACCACTACTGATAGATGTCCCTTGTTCCTCACTCTCACTCTCACAGCAAAGCTCGATCATCACCAGATGGCTGTGATTGAGGGTCTTTGCCATTGTCTCCACCATGGATCCCGGACTGGACAATTAGTTCTGTACTACATCAGTAGCTATCCATAAAATTCCCAGTAACCCATATCAAGCTTCCACAGCCAAGATCTTGCGATCTGCACCAATCCTAGCAGTGAACATTGCGAGAACAGCAGAACCAAAGAAGTTGAAAGACAGCTTCGGTAAGTCTAGACCAGGCCAGATCGAAGCTCCGCCAAATCAACGTCATCGCCGCCTCCGACCCGCCGATCCGATCGCCGCGGCTGTTTTATGAAAACAACCACCACCAAAAACCACCACCATCAAAATTCCCCTTCCCTCCTCCCCTCGAAACTACACCAACCCATCATGTCAATCACCACATCAACCTACCTCTTCGGAGGCTCCAAGTCCGTTAAACCCCTTTCTCTCCTTTCGCAACCACCAAACCCTACTAACCACCTACCAATAATGCAAACGACAGACCCTGGACCCCCTCCGACTGGACCGCCTCCGACGATCGCGTCCGCGGCGGAGCCTCGCACTCCTACCTCACCCCCACGCCGTACAACACCGCCCGCTTCCACGGCACCCTCGACATCACCACCCTGGGCGGCGCGGGTTTCGCCTCGCAGCGCACCACCACCACCACCCGCGAATGGGATCTCTCGGCCTTCGCGGGGCTGGAGGTCCACGTGCCCCGCGCCGACCAGAAGCGCTACACCTTGACGTTGAAGGACGAGATCCCGCCAACTCGGCCGGATGGACGCGAGCAGAGCTCTGTGAGCTGGGAGGTGGATTTCACCGTCCCCGAGGCGGGGGCGCGGTTGCGGTTCGCCTGGGAGGAGTTCCGGCCAACGTATCGCGGGCGGGAGGTCGAGAGGGAGAAGGTTGCGCCGCTGGATTTGGAGCGGGTGCGGCGGGTGGGGATTATGGTTCGGAGGTGAGTGGCTTTCTCTCTGGGTGGTTGGGGGGGGGTTGGGCTGATGGGTTTGTAGTTTCTTTGGGGAGCAGGCGGGGGCGTTTGAGATGGTGGTTGAGTCGATCAGGGGGTGGGGGAGTCGGAAGGAGGAGATGAGGATGAGGTATAGGGATGATGATGATGCTGATGGAAGCGTGTCTGCGAGGACCGAGGGAGAGGACAATGAGAAATGGGGAGTGGGCGAGGCGCAGTGGATGGCGAGTCCACGGCCGTGGGATCGACTGCGGGCGATGTTCTGCTGTGGAGTGTAGTATATAGGAGGAGTATCCCCCTCCTTGTTCTATTTGCAAACTACTGCGCTTACTTAACTCTTAACGCATGATCCATACCAACTGGGGAAATCATATCAATCATCACCACCAGCAACATACCTTTCCACCTCCCCCACCAACTCCCGCAATCGCTCCGCATCCTCCCCGCCCACCGTAACCGCCGCATAACTCCAACCCCCAGCCTTCTTGTCCTCGCTTTGTACCCACGCCGTAACAATCAACTGCCCCTCCTTGACTGCAGTCGCAAACCTCTCCTCAAACCCCTTCCGATCCCCCCGAACATACAACGGCGACAACACCGCCGCCTCCTCCCACCCCCGACGCACAAAATGCCCCCGCAGCAACCCCAAATGATACGACCCCGTCACCCGCGGATTCACATCCACAATCACCTGCCCCCCGTCTTCCTCCTGCCCCATCACATCCACCCCCACAGGCCCATAATATCCCTCCGCATGCAACACCCCCGCCAACTGCGCAATCGTCCTCTCGTACTGCTGCTGTAAGGCGGGTTGCGCCGGATACGACACCCATCCGCCCGCCCACTGGCCCTGCGCGTTGAACTGCTGGCGCGACGCGGCGAGGAAGATCGCGCGGCCCGTCTGGGTAAGGAAGAAGCTGACCCCGTGGGCCGGGCCCGCCACGTAGGGCTGGAGGAGGAGGGTGAGCGGGTAGAGGTGGGCGTTGTCCGGGGTGAGGTGCGGCAGGGAGGTCTGGAGGATGGTGTGCAGCTGGGTGTAGGCTTGTTGTCGGTCGGTGGCGGTGCGGATGATGAAGGTGCCGCGGCCGGAGGCGGCGATGGAGACCTTGAGAACGAAGGGGAGAGGGTGCGTGTGGAGGGGGTGGAGCATCTGCTGGATTTCTTGCTCCACCGCCGGGTGGTCGGGGGATGTGGCTGCGGCGGGGAGATTCAGGCGAGGGTCGATGATGGTGGAGGGGAGGGTCGGCAGCGGCGACAAAGCGAGCCAGCGTTTGCTGAGCAGCTGGTAGTGGGTTTCCGCCGGAATGATATGCGGGAGATGGGCGAGTTCGTCCTGGGGGACGATGATGGCGATGCGGGTGCCGCGGGGCAGGTGGATATTCTCAGCATACGCAGGGAACTGGAGTTGGGGGCGTTGGGAAGGGTGCAGTTGGGCGTGGAGGGTCTGGATCTCGCCGATGGCGGCGGATTGGAGGGTTTGCTGCGCTGCGGCGGTGGTGGTTGAAGGCAGCGAGTCGAAGAGAACCACCGGTGCGGGCCCCGCGATGAAGGAGTACCGCTGGGCGATGCCGCGCTCCAGCATGTTCTGCATGGCGTTCGGGGCAGTGGTGTTGGGGAAGGTGATGCCGTACAGGAAGTGCGAGGAGGAAAAGGGGTGCGGCGTCTGGCGCTCGGACTGGCTGGGGTGAGGGTAGGCCGTTATGATCCCATGGGGCCCGTCGCTGTCCAGGGCGTAGAGCTCGTCGAGAGTCGTGTCTAGGAGTATCGACATGTCGTGGGCTGCCTCGGATGATTGTCTAGGATGTAGATGCAGATACTCTAAGATTTGGAGTCAATGCCAGGCATCGAGGGTGATCTAAGGGGAGGAGGGTAGGCATGTACGGAGTCGAGATACTGTCACGGCAGCCAACTCTGTAGACGTAAACCGGCGTCATGGAGGAAGACTAGACCGATGTGCGATTCCGGCGGCAGAGATGTCCGAGTCTCGCTCGGTTGACAGAGCCACCCCCGATATCATCCATCATGAATCTCAGACATTCGAGTCGGACTTAGAAAAGACTTCCCCGGTACGACTTGAGGGAATTGGAAGAGATACGCAGGAACACTGTTGTTGAGAAATCCAACTCGTCCCAGTCGTCGAGCCTGGATCGCTGTCGAGCCATGTGCCCAGCCACTACAGGAATTGATGAGTACAGCGAGTCTGATCAAGTAGCCACCACAGATTTGCAATCACTGTTCATTAGACTATCAGTATTTCATGCTAGGTATCATATACATCATTACAATCCAAGAGCACTGAGGATGGCCTTGCCTACGCCAGTCGCACTGGCCGGGTTCTGGCCGGTGATGACCACACCACCCAGACCAGCGACCTGCGACACAACCACCTTCTCGCCCCAGGGCTCGTCGGCCTTGACGTACTTGCCGCCGGAGACGCGGTTCAGCTCGTCCTCCAGCATGAAGGGCATGATGGGGCTGAGGCCAACTTGGTCCTCCTCGGTGTTGGAGAAACCCGTGACGGAGGCACCGGCAAGCAGAGGCTCGCCGGAGGGGGTGGTCGCCTTGACCAGAACAGCCGGGCCGTGGCAGACGGCCGCGACCGGCTTCTTCGCAGCGGCGAACTCCTGGATCAGAGCCAGGGAGGTCGTGTCGCTGTGGAGGTCGTACATCGCTGGACTTGATCAGTATGCAGTCAAACCATCTGGATGGAGGATAGGTGACTCACGGCCGTGGCCACCGACGTAGAAAATGGCATCAAACTCCGCAACCTTGGAGGCCACGTCGGACAGCTTGACGGTGTTGGTCCAGAGAGCCTCCTGTTCTTTCAGGAACTGGGTCGAGACGGGGTCGCTCTCGAACATCTTCACGGAGCTGGGGTCCAGAGGAGCCTTGCCACCCTTAGGGGAAGCGATGACCAGCTCGGCCTTGTCGTGCAGCACTTCCCAAGGGTGAGCGAACTCGGGCTATCATTGCGTTAGTCGCGGAGATGGACTATTTATCGTACACAGTCACTCGGGGATGGCGGACTCACCAGATACCAACCCGTGGGGTGGTTGTTGGCAGGGAAATGGTCCTGGGACGTGAGGACAACGAGGACTTTGGGGGCCATGATGAATGATCTGATCAGTTGAGACTTGGTGATGGGTGGATGTACTCGATAGTCACACTACTGAGTTGCTGGAGGTTTATATAGATGATGTTGCATCCTGAAAAATGGATGACATCAAGAGGCAGGAAGGATGATTATTCAGCCGTAGCAAGCGGGAAACGGGCGGGGCACAGGAGACTTTCCTGAAAATCAATTAGTTGCAGCTGGAGCTCTCGGTTCGATTATGGCCCGGGTGGATTCCCTCTTCTTTTCCTCTCAACCTGGAGTTCACGGTGTGAATCTTACCACTCACTGCCTTCCCTGAGGTTCCAGAAATGCTTCCCTCTCGTGATTGGGTGACAAATGCCAGTTATTCCGAACGGATGGAATTCAATTGGGGTTCCTGCAAGCTGCTTACATCCCCCCGGGTTGACCCACAAGCTCTGGAAGGATTATAGCTTGACTGAAGGATAAATCATTTGGAGCTCATCATTACTGATTTACCTGAGCCTACTGGGTAGATCTGATTGTATACTTCCTACGGGAGAAGCTTCGAGATCTCCTCACATGATCAGCTCCGAATGGCGGACGAGGATTGCTCGGTTTAGCTTCTCGCGCTAGTCTGACACTATCGAATTTCATCTTGGGGGCAAAAAAGAATCCAGACACCAGGCCATACTCTATAGATTGCGATACGTAGCTATCAGTTTCTCTAACATCACAAATGCGCCAACACAGCATCCGCGCCGGACACCTATACCGAAGTTAGTACCGGACCAGAACCAAACGGTCAAGCAAAACTGGGAACAGACCTTGACTCCCTTCTCCGTCTCAATCTGCGCATAGGTCACCTTTCCGTGGTCAATGATGATCGCGAATCGGCCGGTGCGGCCACCGTTGGCCCAGCCGATGGAATTGGCGAATTTGGCGTCGGGATCAGAGAGGAACAGCTGGTTGGATTAGATGGAAACAGTAATACATATAACTAGAGTACCTACAATATCATCGCCCTTGACGTTGTTGGCCTTGCCCCAGGCACTCATCACGAAGGGGTCATTGGAGGCAATGACTGCGACCACCTCCACGCCCTTCTCCTTGAGGCGTGGAAGGTTCTGAATGTATCCCGGAACATGGTTGATGGAGCAGGTGGGGGTGAAAGCACCAGGAACGGCGAAGAGCACGACTTTCTTATCGGCCCATTCTTTCGACGCGTTGTAGTTGATGGGAATACCGCAGGCGGTGATCTCCCCGCTTTCCTCCGTCCAGGGGATGTACCTTCAATTGAACTGGTATTCAGTACAGTACTCGTAGTTTCTTTGAATCAGGACATACATACTGGAACACAACGTCAGCGGGGAAAGAGTCTCCGGGTTTGAGAGTCATGGTGATGGGACGGATTGATTTTCGATTCAGGGAAACGCAATGAAGAAAAAGAGGTGGGGGGAAAAGAAAGACGAGGAGAAGGTGCGGGGTCGGCGGTGATTAATAACAATCAGGGAGCAAACACCATCGATGAGGAGTTGTGCAGCTCGTCATTCCGATGCGGTCAAGCGCGAGGAGCTCGGCGCTTTCCGTCCGATTCTGCTGCATCCCGCAACTCTGCACAGTTCAGCTCAGCTCAGCTACAAAGACACCTTGAAGTATGAACGCAATCTCTCTTCATAACATGCGAAGTCTATCTACAGCATCAAAATCATTCCTCATAACTGCGACTCCACCCCCTAGATGGCCCGTCCGAATTGAACGGGCTTCTCAACGGCCACTCCCAGCGTCTTGGCCGCGTTCATCACCCACTCCGGCTCACGCAAGAACTGACGTGCCAAAAACACCACATCCGATCGGGGAAAGGATCCAGACAGAGTGGCCTCTGCCGCGCGAGCCTCATCGGCCCCCTCCACAATATCCTTGGCTTGTTCCGCATCCGTGATGTAGCCAACGCTGCCCACAAGGGTCGATGCTCCAGCGTCTCGAATCGCCTTCCGCACATGGCCTGCCAGGTCCACCTGGTAGTTCCGGTGGGCGAAATCAATCGCTTGGTCTTTGTGATTACCAGCAGAGCTGACGTCCACGAGATCGACTCCGAGGTCTGGCATATCGGCAACCAAGCGAATGGTACTGTCGAGATCCCACGAGCCACACTCGGCCGCCACCGCCTTCCCCTCCAACCACTCGATCGCGCTGACTCGCAAGAACAAGGGAGTTCCGCTCGGGATCACCTCGCGGATCGCTGTTGCGACCTCTCGCAGGAATCGGGTGCGGTTCTCGAAGCTTCCACCATATTTGTCGGTACGCTTGTTGGTCACGGGGCTCAAGAACTGGTGCAGGAGATATCCATGCGCCGCGTGAATCTCGAGCACATCCACTCCAGCGCGGACAGCCGCCTCCGCACTCTTGGCGAACGCTCTTACCACCTCCTCGATCTCCTCAATGCTCAGCGCCCGCGGCGTCCAGTGTCCCTCGCCGGTGCCGTCCCACACATGCTCCTTTCCCCCGGATGGTCCGACCACGTTGGAAGGCCACCCGAATGCGTCCTCGTCTGCCTTCAAGCTCGGCTTTCCGGCCTTGACAGCCAGCCACGGGGCCGTCACGCTGGCCTTGCGTCCGGCGTGGGCCAACTGCACAGCCACCTTGGCCCCTTGAGCATGGCAGAAGCGCACGACTCGCTCGAGCGCCTTGACTTGCTCCGAGTCCGGGGCGGTGTCCCACAAACCAACATCATTGGGAGAAATGCGACCGTTGGGTTGGACGGCGCTCGCTTCCACGAAGACCAGACCCGCGCCTTTGATGGCGAAATGGCCCAGGTGGGCAATGTGATAATCGGTCAAGGCGCCAGCAAGAGGGGAGGAAAGATCGGGCTCGGCGGAGTACATGCACATGGGCGAAACTACAATGCGGTTCTTAAGGGTCACATCGCGGATGGTCAGCGGGCGGAAGAGGGTCGGTGTGGCGGCATCGTGGGGTTGAATGGCAGCACCGGCGTTGTTAGCGGGGGTGAAGTAGGGAAGCTGGTCGGCTTTGACCACAACAGTAGAGGGACTCATGGTGGACGTGTCAGGCAAAAATGATTCAATTTGGTAAGTGAATTGAATGCCATGGCTATCCGGGGCCATGCCATGGCTCTTATATCTCTGTAGTAAACAAGCTTTACAGAAATTGGGGTCGCAAAAGGTTGGCGGTGCTGCTGACAAATGCAGTCAGCACGGATCCATTATTGATTACGTCGCGGAGCACGGCTGAAAGACACGCACGAAAAGGCTCATTCATGATCGCATGGGTTTGTCATTGCGCCATTTTTTTAATCTCCCACAGGAGTTTCTCCAATACTCCAGTCCGCGTTGACCAGACTGAATCGTGCTCGGTTCCCGGTATGACGACCGATTCAAAAGAAACCACCCCTCCCAAATTGTCACGCGTGAAGCACTGCTCGAAGTACTGCTGTCCCTTATATCCGATCATACCATCTTTCTCTGCGAAAACACCTTTGAGCCGTAGAGGTTCCTCCTGTGGATGCTGTTGCGTACGGTCTCGCCCGGCCTGCACCATATGCCGGACATATGCCGGGAGATCCTCACAAGCGCCCCACAGTCCTGACGTGCCTTTCTTCAGGCAGACTATCGCCTCATCATTGATCCCTGTGGAGTTCTCTTTGAACATATACTCCAGAGTGATCTTCTCTAGGGTCTCCACAGCTTCTGCCGACATTCCGTAGGTGGCAAGGCACGGGTCCGTTCCTTCAGAAATCGGACCTTTTCCCATGCTGGGCAAGCTGGAAGACAAATTCGCTAGGATCCCGGCACTGGCACCAAAGGTCGGTGCTATCTTGGTCAAGGAGAATTGAATGAGCTTGTTCCATTGATTCAACATCCCTGTGGGGAGCATCCGAGCCATCTGCATGGACAATACATCGGAATGCTTGGGTTCAACCCATGGGGCTGTGGTCTGTTAGCGACCTGGGTCATGCCATTTCGTCAAATGTCCAGGGGAATACTAACCAAGCAGCATTGCGATTGGTTTCCGTGGCCATAGCAGGTCCCTCCTGCATGCAAGTAGATTCAGCAGGTAGATCGTACCTGCACTGTGTGATATAGGCACCACATGCGGGACCGACAAGTGGTCCAGTAGTGCTGTGACCGTTTCCAGCCAGATAGAGACTCGCTTTTCGACAGGTACGGGCGTGGATCCGCCTATCCCAGGACTGTCATTCTCAGCGACCCAACCCATGGTAGGATGGCAATGATACCGAGCACGCCACTTACCGATCAATTGAGAGTAATCGAACTCCAATCACATTCGCCAAGTGATCTTGGTGGTATAGCCACAGTCGGCTGCCCGCCATCCCAGGCACGGCCAGAATGACCGGCACTGGGGATCCATCTTCATTCTGACGCGGCCCAACATCTGCATATGTGACCGCAATCGGGCCATGATCTTCCGTTGCGGGTAGAACGAATCGCTGGTGGAAGCGTTTCTGCGCAGTGAACTCGGACAAGTCTCGGTCGGTTGCCATGGTGGTTCAGACGATGGCTGCAAGAGGCTTCGCTGAATGCGAAGAACGGGGGAGATCATGCGAGGCCGAGCGCAGCCTGAGCCGTAAGACAAGTGAGACAAATATAGACATAAATATACGAGGAAGGTCTCGGGTCGATTGGCTGGCAGGAGTTTGGGCTGAAGCCTGGAGGATCCCACGCATGATATCCTGCGCCTCATTTGCCTATTGGGTCCAGGCGTCAACACTCCTCGTATTAGTCATGGTAGCCTCTTCCTGCACTAAGTCTCATTTTCGGCGATATGCCGGTCTTCACACTCTGTCCTCTCTTAAGACAGCTATTATGGTGAGTTTGTACTTTACTAGACTAGAAATTAATAGTATTATCAAGATGTATATTAGATACTAGTAGCTAGGATCCTCTCCTACTATTTATAGTATATGACTCCAAAATCTAAATCTAGCTTCTTGTCAGATAGAATCTTACTACCTAGTCTGATTTCCTTACCAAGAAAGCAGCCTCCAGACGCTGCACTCGGGAAAGACCTCCAGCCCTAACGGTAAACAGTAAAAAACTAGAATTGCCTAGAGACCCCTACCGATGTGCCTCGGGGCGGTGTTGGTGGTGGCACCATCTCCGAGCACGCAAATGTATATAGTATGTTCGATGCTAAATAGAAGGAGATTCTATCTAGTACTCATGTAGCAATATCTATCTAGCATAGCGTGATCTTCTTGAGATTCTTGGACCGTCTTGCTTGGGGATTACTTTAGACTACATACAGTACAGCCGGTATACAACGATAAGTTAAGACTAAGCTCTATATACCATGATGATAGCACCTTTCTGGAGGAAGCCTGTTGGGAGGTCTTTAACGGATATAAGCAATCAAACTTAGAATGGAAATTCAGACGAGTGGTGGATGGTATATACATATATGCTCCTGGTAAATTCCTTGCGGTTGGGGTTGAGTCTCTGCTGATTTCACCGCGATATACTTGTAGAAATGCTGCAATGTCCGAACAAGGGTTTTTTTTTTCTTAGAAGCACAACCCCGATCCCATCGGTGGAGAACAAGCTCTGCCCACTTATTAGCTTCTCTCTGCTCCCCCCTTACGCCTCTCTCAATAGGTAAGAATCTCTGCAAACCAGGTCACGGTATACTGGGTACGACGCCACGAGCACACCGTGGATTAGAGTCAAGCACAGGGACAACGGGGGCACGAACATATGTACGAGAGGCAAGTGGGTGGCTTCCGGATGTTTGCCCCCCACATCGTAGCCCTAGAAGAAGGGCCCCTAGCTGTGTTCGGGATAATCTTTGTTACTGATCTGGAGTTATCACCTAACGTCGCTCAGGATATCGTGAAGCAGCGTGTTGTCAGTCCTAGGACTCCGATCTGAATCGTCGCACTTTTGACATCAACGAATTGCTCCGGATGAGTTGACATCCGCACTGCACCATCTTATCTGATCTGATTGCTGATCGACGTTGTTTTACAGGAGGGTCTGGGCCTATACGAAGTTGGAGCTGATAGGTAGTGGGGCGCACAGATCAAGACTCCAGAGATAATATACTCAGGTTGTGTATAGTGACGATAGACGGATGGCTTGGTATCTCCGGATCGGGTGAGTTACTGGGGCTTAGAGATGGATTGTGTTGTCAAATGGGCGGGACCCGGAGTGAGCCTCGTACAGTCTCTTAATGATAGAATTGGCTTGCCTTCCCCCAGGGATAATATTTGGTCCGGGCAATAGCATCATCATCATCGGAGACTCTCGTCGGCCTTCTGGTCAACATCAATTCACCATCGCAGGATACCCAAACACAAAGTCCGAAGGCTTCAGGTGACCGGTCAGTGGATAGAACGTCAGCCTTGCACCGAGACAATGGTCCGGTAATAGTGATGCACACAAGGCGAAACCCACAGGTGGTCGTGCGTACTGTCAATCACCGTGGCAAAAGACCAAACAATCCGCACGTCATGCATCCCCCCATCGCAAGATGAGGCCAGAGAAAGTGGCTTGATCGGGCAATACAAAATTCTCCGAGCAGACGCATCATCATTCGTCATCCTCGTTCCGCCCCTTGCATCGAAGGGAGCCAAACAGGAAAGGAAGCCCCAGGCATCGTCCGCGTGGAATGTTCTTCCACCTCTCCGCGGGTGCATCATCTCAGCGGCGGCGGATTGGTGCTGGTTCCATCAGTCACTCGCGCGATCAAGCTCTGTAGTTACCAGTGGAGAATGCATCGTCAGCTTTGCACTGACGGAGTATGCCCCAGAGTGACTTTGACGAGCGAACCCTCCAGAAGATCTGTCAGAGAAGGTTGCATCGACGATGGCCCTGCATATCCGACGCCCGTCCCTCATCCCTTGCTCACTCATCCCCCAAGTCACAGACAAGCTTGGTAGAACAGGCTTGGTAGAACTAGAGTCCCGACTTCTCCCGTAATCTCGATGATCACCTGGCTTGTCAACCTCAGGAGGACTACCTCCCTCTGAAGTTTGACAAACGTGACCTATCACATCTCCAGCGCCGCGGAAGATACACGCGATCATGACGTTTAGCATCACCAACAAGGGGGGGGAACGACCTGGCAGCTGCGCCGATCTGCCTAGGATGGCTGGGATGGCTGCGAGAAATGCGGTCGCTGCTGTAGCCTCCACCAGGCATGGCCCGGGACCATTGCCCCGGCTCAGGTCTATATGTCTCCCTGACCCCATTCGTTATTGACTGCTGCATTGATCCGACACCATGAACGGGAAGGCGGCGGCGATGATTCACGAGTCGGTCGCGATGGACGAGTACTTGCTCAAGAATCAGCTGGAGCTCACAGCCGACGGCCAGTACGTCCGCTGGGGCAAGGAGAACAAGAGGCAACCGCGTAACTGGCCGACGAGCCGGAAAGTCTTTGACAGTAGCGTCATTTTCCTGTTGGATACCTTCACGTATGGTGGTTGCTGCTCCGTACGTGGTTGCTCTTGCTAACACCGTCCCTAGGACCGCAACCAGCACGGCCGGAGTATTTCCACCCACCACCCGCGGCGGCCGAATTCTGATGCTAATTGGTGTAGTCCTTGGCGGCGCAGAAAGCGCAAGACGAATACCACCTCGGGTATACGCTGGCCACGTTGATCTTCGTGACACTGTATGCCTTGCTCCCCAATGCTCCCGCGCGGGGGATGATGATACTGACAGGATAGGTTTCTGGTGGGTCAGATCTTCGGGGCGATTGTCTTTCCCCCCTGGTCGGAGTCATTCGGCCGCAAAAATCTCTATATTCTGAGTTCGGCAGGGAGTGTGGTCTGCTGCGTCGTCCTCGGAGCGACGCATTCCCTGGGAGCCGTGATCCCTGCGCGAATCATAGCCGGATGTCTGTCGGCGATTCCCTATACTGTCGGTGGCGGGAGCATCGAGGAGATGTTTGATTCGCGGGCTCGGATTTGGGTGATATTCATTTGGACGATTGCGTCAAATTTTGGCTTGTTGCTGGGGCCCATCATGAGCACTTATATCTCTGCCCACCTCGACTGGTAGGCTTCACCCATCCTGTCTTCTAACCAGGCACTCACTCACCGTCGGGGTCACTCCCTCCAGGCGCTGGGTGTTTCACATCTCCGCCATCATCTTCGCCGTACTGACCGGGCTATTCCTTCTGATCCGCGAGTCTCGGCCCTCGCTTCTCCTTGCGCGTGAAGTCGCGCGCATCCGACACGAGACTGGCAACGAAACCCTACAACCGCTGAACCCCGACCACACACCCGACTTCCAGACCTTCCTGCGGGTCTCCCTCTTCCGGCCGCTGCAGCTGTTTTTCGGGGAGTTGCTCATCTTCGTCGTCGCCATCATGATCGCCTTTTCCTTTTCCCTCGTCTACGTCTTCACCGAAGCCCTCCAACCCATCTACGAGTCGATGGGCTACACCGCCGCGCAGTCCTGTTTGGCGTTCGTCGCCATCGGGGTCGGCGTCGTCTTCAGTACCTTCACCCGTTTCCTGGATCACCGCATCTTCGACGCACGCAAAGCGGCGGGTCAGCCCGTCAAGCCCGAAGACAAGCTGTACGGGCTGGTCATCGGCGCCCCCGTCTTTGCCGTCGCGCTGTGGTGGTTCGCCTGGACGATCCCGCCGCAGGTCGCGCAGCTCCCCTGGATCGTGCCCTCCCTCGCGCTGGTGCTGATCGGGTTCGCACTCAACGAGTTCGACACCGTGCTGTACGGGTACCTGTCGGATAGTTACTTGAGCTACGCGGCAAGCGGGACGGCGGCGGTGCAGTTCCTGCGGGCGCTGGCGTCCGGGGTGTTTCCGCTGTTCACGCGCCAGATGTTCGATGGGTTGGGGGCGAATGTGGCGGTCTCGGTGCTGGCGGCGCTGGCGACGGGGTTCTGTGTGGTGCCGGTGGTGTTTTTGTGCTATGGGGAGCGGATTCGCGCGCGCAGTCAGTTCGCGCGGTTTAGTCTGGAAGTGGAGGAGGAGTTGGGGACGACGGGTGAGGAGCGGGAGAAGTGATTGCCTGGAAGATATATAATAGTGACTTTATATATGTATGCTGTCGGAAGATCTTGGGTATCAGTTGTAAAATGTCACGGTGGAAGGGGGTCATCTCATTCCTCAGGGATGTGTTCAAAAGGTATATTGTGGGGTGGAAGCACCGTTGGTTGTTGGCATATCATGTTGTACAATAATGTCCCTAAATTCTAGTAAGCTGAAGCAAAATCTCCTCTACAATATTGCACCACATCGACCCACCGTCCGCTTACCTTCCATCGACTCCCACCTCCCCCCCCCCTCTCAACCTCTCCATGATGGTTATACATACTGTATACCCTGTATAATCATGAATCAGTTAGCCAACCCCAGATCCAATGTGTACGTACTATCGGGATGTGGGCTCCGATATGCGGGATGGCGAAGATAAGCATTGGGCGATCCCCGCATCAAACCCCATCGTGACGCGGCCGTACACCAATCGCATCCTCGCTGCTCCACCGCTTATCAGACGATCGGGCCGATGCAGTGGCAACCCGGGAGGAATCCTGGTGTCAATTGCCGGTGATTGGCGTGCAGTGGCAGTTCGGGGTTGGAGATAGTCGGTTGGAGACAATGGCATCCTTATCACCAAATGATCTCCCTCGGATCATAGCCACACCCGATGGGGATTCCACGGTTCTTAATGTCATCCTGCCCCGGAGCCGGGGTCAGAGGGACAGAGGACCGATGCCCACACTGCCCCTGCGTCGATAATTGCCATGTCTGCCCAGCACGAAGCAATTCCCCTGGACCGTAAACCCACGGTCCAGAAACATTCCCCACAGACTCCCGAGGAGACCAGCGTGGGCGATATCGACGAGCTGGTGCTCGACCCCGCCAAGGAGAAGAAGCTCCTCCTGAAGCTGGACTTGGCCTTCGTGCCCATCATCATGCTTACCTATCTGTCCTGTTTCCTCGACCGAAGTAACATAGGTAGGACGCCTCCGACCGCAAGAGAATTCCCAGCGCTGACGGGGCCAGGCAATGTCAAGGTGGCCGGGATGCCCGAGGACATTGGCGCCTCGACCAACGAGTTCTCCATCGCCGTGTCCATCTTCTACGCGACCTATGTCCTGCTTGAATCTCCGTGGGCGGTGGCGATGAAGACGCTGACGCCCCGCAACATCCTCACTGGCCTGTGCATCATCTGGTCCATCACCACCGTTTTCACCGGCTTCATCCGCAACGTTGCCGCCCTCTACGCCACGCGGCTGATCCTTGGCGGCTGCGAAGCCGGGCTTTTCCCCTGCCTGAATCTGTACCTCACGATGGTATACCGGCGGGAAGAGCAGGCCAAGCGGGTCTCCTACCTGATGAGCTGTGCGGCCATTTCAGGCGCTGTTGGGGGGCTGCTGGCTTACGCCCTGCTGCAGATGGACGGAGTCGCGGGGAAAGCCGGCTGGAGGTATAGCCCCTGACCCTCCCCCCCTCATTCATTTGATTCCGTGTACTCATCGACCGCCAGATGGGTCTACATCATCGAAGGACTCTTCAGCCTCGTCTGCGCGCTCCTCATCTGGTTCGGCCTCCCCAACGACCCGACGACCGCCTACTTCCTCACGGCGGAAGAACGGGAGATGATGCGCGTGCGCCAGGCGCAGCGGCAGAAATACATGGGCAGCGACCGGTTCAGCTGGGAGGAGATGCGGCTGGCGCTGCGCGACCCGAAGCTGATCTTCAGTGCGGTCACGCAGTTCTGCCAGGACATCCTCCTGTACGGGTTCAGCACCTTCCTGCCGACCATCCTGGAGAGTCTGGGGTACAACTCGCTGATGAGCAATGTGCTGACCGTGCCGGTGTACCTGTGGGCCGCCGCGGTCTCGGTTGTGGTGGCGTATTGCGCGGATCGGTATTCGAAGTTTGCAGCTGTATGCCCTCCCGCAACCTCCCTAATGGTTCAAGTTTTCTAACGGAAGCAATTAGTTTATTGTCGGAACCAATATCTTCGGCATCATCGGCTACATCCTTCTGCTGGCCGTCTCTTCTGATGCGGTCAAGTACTTTGCGACTTTCCTCTGCGGAGTGGCGGTGTACACCGGGGTGGGGCTGAACGTGGCGTGGCTGAACGTCAACGTCGCGCCGCAGTACCGGCGGGCGTTGGCGATCGGGCTGCAGCAGACGGTGGGCAACTGCGCGGGCATTGTGGCGGGCCAGGTGTACCGGTCGTCGCCGTATGTGCTGGGCAACGGGTTCTCGCTGGGGGCGTTGGTGGTGGCGCAGGGGGTGGTGACGCTGCATGGGCTGTACCTGCGGCGGGAGAACCGCGTCAAGGCGGCGATTGTGGAGGGAAAGCTGGAGGACAGACGGCGGGTGCAGACGGGAGATGGAGTGTTGGACTTTAGGTATCTTTATTAGCTGCGTGCTTCATAAGAGTCATTGTCGTCATCATGTACTGTCGACTCTCGACTTCCCTGGTGTATCAATCTGGATAATGAAAGATTGTGGAGAAAGCACCGAGGGGAGGGGAGGAGGAGGAGGAGAGAAGATAAGGTTATGTTATGCGGAATAAACCCCCAATCCAGCCACTGCAGCCAGCCTTACCAGGCGGGGAGGTGATGTCACTCCATTTGTCACAAATTCCTCCGTCTATAACTGAGTTAAAACTGAGTTACCCCGAATAACGCCTCGCTGCGCCCGCCTGATGACGCAACGACTTCATACGCCCAGGAACCGGCCCGTAATACTTTTTTTGGCATTTGTTGGCTATAAGAATGAATTCATATTCTATTCTTTGTAGAATAAAACTCTTTTATTCTCGCGATCGGGCCTCATACCAGCTGAATTGACGAACCGATCTACCACTCCCTCTTCCTCCTCCTCTGCTGCCTACGCAAACACGATCAATCCACCACCTCTACCTCTAACTCAACTTACAACCCACAAACTATTTATTCCTCCATCAATCACAACCACGACCAACAAAATGGGACTCTGCATGTCCCTAATGGGCCACCGCCGCCGGCACCGCGGCAACACCATGATGGGCGGCATGGGCGGCATGGGCGGCCCCCCACCCCGACCCGTCGGGGGATTCGGCGGGGGGATGCAAATGGGCGGCGGCGGTCGTCACTACCACCAACATCACCACCACCATCACGGCGGAGGCGGGTTCGGGGGGCCGCCTGGTGGTCCGGGCGGGTTTGGCGGTGGCGGGAGACGCCATGGAGGAGGCCGCCCTACAAGGGGGGGCGGAAGGGGTGGCGGGAGGTGGTGAGTGGATCGAGAATAAGGGAAAGAGGATGGTGGCGGTTGAATGTGATATGGATATGTGCAAGGTAATGGTCATGATGATGGGTTTGGATGTAATGCCTTTTTGGATCTCTATTGTTTGAGTCTAGTTGTGTGTGCTTATGGACAGCTTAATGTAATTCATTGTGTTGGTCGTCATCAGTTCGCATCTCGTAACATCATATACTCATCTACTCACTAGCCTTCCACCCCCCTGATGGTCATTCAGTCAGTAAAGGATGGACAGACTCATCGCTCTCACTCACACTACTCCGAAGCTTAACCCTCTGTCTGATCACTGTTTCTTCTCCATCGCAAACCCATGCATCCCCAACCACCGCTCCAACTCCCGATCCTCCCTTTCGAGATCCAACTCCCCACTCTCCGGCAAAAACCAGTACACCAGCGCCCCCAACACCGCGATGGCCCCCAACAGATAGAAGGTTGCACTATCCCCCGCCGCCTCCTGCAGGGGAGTAAAGGACTGCGTCCCCACCGCCGCCCCCGTGCGCCCAAACGCGGTGCTCACACTGTACCCCATCCCCCGCATCGCCGTGGGAAACGACTCGCTGCTGATCAGCCCGATCGTCGCCCCGGGGCCCATATGCCCGAACGCCTGCAGCAACCCGTACAGCACGACGAAGGCCGCGATGTGCTCCGACAGCCGGGTGTAGCACCCGCCGATGACAAACCCGAGCACGACGTAGCCCGCGAACCCCGCGATCCCCGTCCACCGGCGCCCGATCGCCTGGGTGAGGTATGCGCCCACCACCACCCCCGGCACCGGGAGGACGGCGAGGATGACCTGCCACTGCGCGGTGGTCTGGAGGTTCCCGTCCTTGACCAGCGAGGCGATGATGCTGCTGGACATGATGCTGTTGGGGAAGTTGATGAAATCGTACAGGAAAAACGCGAGGGAGGTGAGGAACAGCCGGCGCCAGTAGCGGCGCGCCAGCAACCAGTAGAAGCGGAGGGGCTTGCGCTGGTGCTTGAAGTTGCTGTTATGGTAGAGGGTGGAGTCGGTCATGAAGTAGCGCAGGACCATGATGGTGGCCGGCAGGAGGGTGGCCAGGGCGTAGATCGCGTGAAAGGTGATGCGGAGGTTGTCGTTGCTGGCTTTCAGGCAGATCAAATAGATGATCATGAGAATGGGAGCGGCGAGCGTGGCCATGAGGGTGGTGAAGCTGACGAAGACGGGGCCGCGGTAGCGGCGATTGAACTGCGAGAGAGGGTTAGAAGGGTGTGTACCTTATTCTTTAAGGGGTCCAAAGATGGGAAACGCACGTCATCGGATTCTTCGAGCCCCGCGGCGGCACTGGGGGGATATTCGCCGCCAACGCCAAAGCCACAAATCCCCCGCACAATGACAAAGTACCAGAGCATGTTGGTGGAGGGGTGCACGTCCAGCGCGACGGTGGCCATCAGGGTGCTCACAGTCACCAGGCCAGAGGTAAAAAGCAGTCCGGCGCGGCGCGAGATCATGTCCGAGACGTATCCCAGCACCAGCACGCCCAGGATGGCCCCGATGATCAGGGAGTTGCTGATGCGCGTCTTCATCTCGGCGGGATAGCCGGACTTGCCCAGCAGGTCGGCGAAAATGACATTGGTGGGGTTGGCCAGTTGGTTCTGGAACCCGTCGCTGAAATTGGCAATGTACTGGGAGAATGAATCAGAAGGAAGAGAAAGGGTCAAGCAACCAATAGAGAGAACAAACATACACAGCTGATGATAGTCAAGTTGCTCTGCCATTTGGTGGGTCGATACGGCTGGTGTGGGCCGCTCTCCAGCTCACGGTCTGCCACCACCGTCTCGCCTTCTTTGACCGGGAAGACGGCGGCCTCAGCCCCGGGTGTCGTGGCAGGGTCAGACTCAGCAAGCATGCTTATTTCGGAACCCCAACTATGATTCGTGTCTACCTGTCCAGTACGAGCAAGCACCGTTATAAAAGGAAAATCTTCACAGCGGGGCCCGCACTGTCCCGGCCAGCCCTAATCAGACTCCAAAGACGGTGGATGCCGATCAGATAAACTTCCGGTGCCGATACCGGGCTGATAATTCCCGACCCTCTAATTGGCCGTCTCTGGGGACTGACTCGGGTAAGATCCGCTGTTCGGTGCAGTCGCCAGCCAGAGACTGCGCTTTTCCGCGGTCCGCGGTGGATTTGCGTGATCGTATGACTGCTGGAAACCCTTTTGGTGGATCAGAAAAGCTTAGATTGTGTCTCCATCTTTCCTTGTACGCTTGTAGCAGCCACGTAACAAATGGAGGATTGCTTCATTCTCAATGGGTAACTCTCAATCAAGTGGCGAATTGTAGTTGCGGCTGGTCAGGGCTCATATCTTATGTCATTTCATATCAACAGCAAAGATGGGATGCACGTATCTGTAAAAATGGTTGGAATGGGTGGCCCATGAAGCGGAAATATCCCCGTAAGCGACGACAAGGATTTCTGATAGGGACCCACTTCGCGGTGACTTAGGGTTATATCAAGAAAGGGTCGCCATCAGATACGAGAATAACACCTCAATGCAACACCCCGGTACCCTTGACACTCGTGAATGAAGGTATTCCCGCATCTGAATTCTCTCCTCCGTCGAAGCTGAATTTGCTCAGCCTAGATTATGAGTGTGAACTGTCCTCTCAGCGGCACGCGAAACTAGTAGGATCGCATATGTGGGTATCCCCAGCGCACAATGTGCACCAAAACCAGGTACATTGAGAGCCTTGACAGCCTGCACATCGATCTGGATCGCTGCGCAACTGGCCTCTCTTTCGTGAGTTGGGCCGAAGTATGTCGGGAACGTGGAAATTGGTTGACGACCCCGGAGGCCTCCGCTGCGAGCTGTTTGCGGGTCAATGACAGACTCTGTTGATTGTCTTTGGTCCTGAAAGCAGCGTAGCAGGACTTACACAATATAATACAGCAGGAGTCCTTAGACGAACTGGTTGATTAAAAAGGTGCTTCTCATCTTCGAGAGTTCCAGGGGCTCCTTCCGACGCTCGCATGGCGGCGTTCTGCGGCCTTCAATCAGCGCATGGTGGAAAGGTCTTCTTGAAGGAATCTGGCGTTCAGATAGCCAGGAGCCATCACTGCGCCCAAAGAGGGTGACTGCACTGTTTATTCTCATGCTAGCAAGCACAGGACCATATCTTTGCGATGAGAAATATTATCTATATTCCGATTTCAAACTTCCATGGTTATGCCTGAATTTGAGATATCAAGCACGAACTCGCGTGTTTTGCTGGTGACAATTTCTTCTCCAGTAGACGCAAGAAAGGTTACCAAGGTACAAACTGTAGCAGCCCGTATAGCCTGACGGATACATGAAGCGAGGAAAGAGGTACCACCCAGCCGATGGTGCGTAAACCGCTACTTATCCCTCGGTCTCTGCGGCACAACTAGCGTGAATCAACATCGCTGTCATGCGTGGAGCCCCGCAAAGCTTGAAATCACCTTCCCAATCAGCTTGTGGTAGGGTATGAATTCCTAGGTAGTTTGTGACGACTCGTCTGTGCGGATGAGTGGTACGGATTATCTAATATTTCACCGATAACTTAGGTTACCTGAACATAGTCCCTAAGCAGAAGAAGCAAGATATCGCTTCTTTCCATAAGATACCAATTGCGCCTCCGTCCCAATAGGCACCTCAACTTTAGTGAATAGATCCTGTGCAGGTAGGTCCCGGAGTTGAGACAATTTCAGCTCCTTCCACACCCTGTCTAATGCTTTGTGCAGATCCAGCTGTAATTCCTCAGTATATCCAGGAGTAGGTGTGATGCGTAGTCTCTCCATCCCACGTTCAACTGTAGGGTAGTTGATAGACTGAACATAGATCTTGTGTTTCTGCAACAGCAGGTCTGAAGCCAATGGGAAAGGGTCGAGATAACCGGAAACCCCTATGCCCGGAGCTTGGCCTTCAGCACACGGGTGTGGATCTGCAGAAGAACGCGATCTGCGGCACTGGCTCGCTGATACTCAATCGGAGGAAAAGCAGTAGTCAAAATCAAGCCGGGTGCCACACTGCAGATATAATCGACGAGGCTGCTCGAGCCGGCGATATAGCCCCCTGCACCGCCAAATGCCTGGCCCAGCGTGCCACTGATGATATCGACGGTGCTTCCAAGTAGGGTTGTTCCTGTATGAGGATAGATGTTGGTGGATATATGAACCAACCCTCTCGACTCCCGTTCAAAAGAAAGAAGTCCCGGGCGTAGCGAGGGGTGTGGGAAACTCTTCAGCCGCACGTGGCGGAATTCTTTAGCTCAGTTTTTAGCCTCGAGTCTAGGGTACACGTGCAGCGTGAACATGTTGGTTTGAGCTCATTCGAGGAGAGCAGGCTGTCATTTGCAGGTCGTCGTCATCGGTACTCTAGGGCTGCGTACTCGGGCCCAAGCTCATCTCGCTACATGCACGTGGAGTCATCTCGTTTCATCTAACTATGGTCAAGCATGGACCGCAGTATCGAGTTTTTGACATTTCCTCGGAGAAAACTCGCGAAGAAGATATAGCACGCCAGGATTCCGGCAATTAGCTTCGCTGAGGCTGCCTTCAGGGTCCAATTGCTTCATGAGATCGAGCCGAAGTACGGGAAGAGCCGGGCTGATGCGCGGCAAAAAAAAGCCAACCCCGAGCCATCTCCGGTTAGCCGAGATATTGCCGTCGCCGAGAGAAAACCGATGCTTACTATCTATGAAAATATCTGACTTGCGGTGTCGAATATATAAGATAGGCCACCTGGTCTCTGGGGTAAGTGTAGAAATCTAAAGCTCATTCTTCTCTGCTTGTTCTCTGTCTCACACTTGGTCAATGAAATTGTTCAAAATGCGTGCTAGATCATCACTAGACATCAAACTCCTGGATTCATTACACCAAGTAGTATCCACAAAGCCCAGCCTCAAGTCCCGGTTACGCAGTCATTGGGAGCTATGGAAGGTTGGACTGGCTGCAAAAGAACACTGGGACGATGAATATAATTTTCCACCGGGCCGATACGCTGGACAAGGCCACCCATAATTGTGAGTATACTATAGAATTGCGCCAGTTGTTGTTCCGAGACTAATGCCGAACTGCCAGTTACGACCATAGACCTCATTACACTTCTACCAATGCATCAATGCAAAAGGTCGAGACATAACGAACTTCACGATTTCAACACGATTCGCTTGAATTTGGCAAAATCATCTCATTCCCATCACGACAGACTTTGTGCCGACATATACCACATTTCGATATCATCCATACATCCGTTTCGAAGGTTTCATGGCGCCAAGACTTCGTTTACCGACTCCGTCTCCACTTTAGACTATAAGTTAGCGAGTTGGATTTCACTATACTCAATACATAATATCTACATCACACTGCTTAAACAACTTTTTTACACTCTATTCCATCTACAGGCTTGACATCGCTGGTAGCCATCTTATGATTGTAATTCACACGGTAGAATCACGACCGAGGAGAAGTCGCAGTCTGGAAAAGGCATTCTGATCTCCATCGATGTTGAACACAGTACTTGGCCTCGATAAGCACTGTTACGGGACGGATGGATCGTGCTGATCGAAACGTGCCTTTGAACAAGAAGAAATAGCTGAAGAGCTATTTCATCAGTTCGTGCGAAATTCTTTTGGGTGTGTGTGCTAAGCTAGTGCTAGTTTAGTGTATAGTGTGCGAGGCCTCAGGTTCCAACTGGTGCCTGAAGCTGAGCTCTATATCAGGGCCTTGGTCCCATAACACTTATTTTCTTTAATATTTTTTATGTTTCTTAAGAAACTTTTCTTAAGACCTAAACATAGGGATTTTATATATAGACTGTACAAATTCTTATTTAAATTTAATAATCTTTGTTCTATAAGATAATAAAAACAAGAACGTTATAATTTCCATTTCTTAAATTTTCAAAAATCTTTAATTTTTTTAGAAACTTAAATATAGTGATGTCATATATAGACTCTTGTGCAGACGAGGTAAGGAATAAGGAGAATCCTGCTTTCACTAATTTCATTACTCTTGAACATATCATGAGTGAACTAACATTCCCTGTGCGACTAGATTGTCTTTTCTGAAGAGATCCTGACTCCGCCCAATGGCCAGCCACTACCGCTCGAAATGGCGACCGGCATATTGACGAAGCTTCTGCACTGCAACAGGCTTTTTGAGCAGGATCCCCAGCTGCCAAGACTATTGTTGCCGGTATTAGACCTGGCCAAGGTGTACGGCGTCCGGTTTTCCGCGGAGCCAACAGTCGAAGCCTTGGCACCGTTTTGTGCAATTATGGCCGATATTCTTTTCCGCATTCCGGGTCTGAACATTGCGCTGGATTATTATCACGATTCCCAAAAGGAAAACAAGATCTATGTTGACGACTTCCGGGCCACATGCCCATTTCCAGGTTGGCCAATTACCTACGGGAAATCGGTCCATGCCGTGACAGATCTCTTCTTCTTTGACCCAGCTGGTGACCTAGTTCCTGTAATACACCGTGAGGATTACTTAGAGGCTGTCCGAGATACCCGGCGCGTCGTATTGTCCTTCATGAGAGGAGAGGTACTTTGGGAAGAGTTCACACCGAGCGGCGCTGGCGAGTCCACTGGCCAAAGATGGGGGCCAGTGTACACCATCACAAATGGTAGCAAGGAAAGTTACACCAAGCTATAGACGAGGTTGTTGGGGAAGAAATCGCTGAAAAATGGGTCAAGGTGATTCAGGCAAAATGTCAGGTTCAGTGCTGGGTTATTCGTGCGTTTACTGGGGAATAGAACTAGTGCATTGGATATGACCATATCAATGTAGAAATGCAGCTCTCAATGCGCTGTCAATCTCGTCTCCCATACCATTTACCGCCTCAAACAGTGAGCATTGCAGTGAAGTACTTAAACACTGCAAGGCGTGTCGTATTTCTTCCTCTAGCCTTTCAAAATCTTGAACCTCCGTTCCCGGGGAGGGATGATGTAAAAGGTGATAGCACTTCGAAAGTCGATCAGTTGCTTATGCTGCTCAAAGCTTGTAGAGCACCATGAGCAGAGCGTAACAACTCTGCATTGCACAGCAGGCAAAATACGGGAGGACTATGGAGCACGATTTAGACCACAAACGAGAGCGTGCATTCCCAGGTGTGGTGTGGTCGATCATGGCCTCAGCGAGAGGATCCGAAGCGGCTGTGCCTGATATAGGAAGAGGAAAGCGGAAAAAAGCTCGGGCCACAGTGAGCGAGGCCCTGAAGCATTTGATTGATGAATCTTCTTCATCGAATGGGAGACGAGCAGCCCAATCAGCTGTTTGAGCAATGGAGTGATGCAGTGTCGAGGAATCTCTGTTTATCGATGAAAGGCCGCAATACCGCTGCCACAATATCGGCGCGTTCAAGAGAGCCTTGACGCGATGTAATCTGATTCGGGCACTATAGGAGTCAATTCATCACCCTGAACAAGGCAGGGGCAGGTAGGGTGACTACGTATGACTTAAAATCCGCGCTATAGCCCACATGCCTTTCGCCACGACTGTCTCGGCTCCCCATTGGTCGCCGTCAATAAGCGGGCGGTCCAAGGCCACGATTATTGAATCCACGTAGGAATCGAGTGTCTGCCAGTTTTCAACAGTAGGTGGAGACAAAAAGACTGCAGAACCCACTACGATTGGCTTCAGCTTGTCGTAAACCATAAAAAGCGCATTTAGCGCTCTCAGAACCAAAGGCCAAGGCTGCTAAAAGTTAACGCTCGCTACCGGCTCACTGGGAGTAGGCTTGATTTACCTCGACCGTCATATGGATTTCAGGGTAAGGGGTGCTGATTCGTGGATCATCTATTGTGATAATAGGTTGCTGAAGTGCTTAGATATCAGTGATAAATTTTCTATGAGTTTTTTTTGACATCTGGTAGCAAGAGAAGAAAGAGAGAGCAAAAGGAAAAAGAGAGAAAACAAAAGTGAAAAAAAAAGAAATTCTCACCGAAAGACTCAAGATGGAGGAAAGATATGCCATATACATCTAGTGCGAATTAGATAAAAATTCAGAACCTAAACTATAAGATGCCCACCGTTATCCACCACGCACGCCTATGTGACTCGCCGACATCCATATTTTCCTGGCCGAGATCATGGAGCGACATGTCAATTACAGTGGTAACAGTATGGTTTATCCGTACACGCATTTTCCAATATTTCCATAACTACAATATTCAACTACACTTAGTGTAACAAGTGCCAGAATAGACTCCAGATAAACTTGCACGTCTTTATGGAAAGGCGCTCGCTTATCCCTTTCTCCAATGGGTCCCGAACAGCCCGGTGCGAATGCTGGCTTCAGGTTCTCAATATCACTATCAATACTCTTCAATGCATGGTCTGCGAAGGCATCAGAAAAAGCACGCCTCCATGGAGTTGACTCAGGCGCTGAGTCTCCAGGTGGAGGAATGAGCACCAGAATTGAGCTCAATGCCAGACTCAGCGGTGACGATGGCCACAGTGGTAGGTTCTCCTTCATGTAAGCTGGTCAGCGTGAACATACAAGTTTTCTGGTCGATCCTGATAAACTGGTCCTGGTGAGGCGGGCAAAAGGGAAAAACATGGATGTATGAAAACATAGTACGCGTTCAGTCTATCCTACCCGTTCCACGACGGAAGAAGTTAGCTACAGCCTGTATCCTCTAGAAATCACTCCTGTTGCGTATATATCTGCCTCACTTCAATAGGCTCGCAACGTCTGAGTCAACAATTGTTGCGGTCTGTCCGAGGGATACTCAACCTGAGTCGCATCCGGCCAGGTTGAGTTGCAGAGGATGTGATTTGTGGCGGAGACCAAGCTGGGAGAGTGGTTGGGATTCTGTGCCTGACGACTCGCTAGGGTCATGAGTTGCCCGATAGTGGTCAAAGTAGCAGCGTCATCAGGGACCGAGGCATTGCTGTGAGAGGCATGGTCGGACACTAGCTGATCCGTGGTATTTGAGTAATCCACTTGATGTCTCAACCGAGATTCATCCTCGAAGCCACGACTGTTAGCCTTGAACATTTCATACCGAACGCCCTTGCGGGCGCCCCCGCGCGGCTCGCCCGGTAATTGCACGCCCTCTCTCTTTGGCGACACTGCAAATTATCAACATATTGATTAGTAGCGCTAAAGATAGGCGGGTTGACTATTAACTCAGGCTAGCGCAAGGCTTACACCCATCGCATCGAGTCTTGGAAGCTCGGCTGACAGGTTGTCAATACAGCAGTTTTTTGGAATTGCGCGCAAATTTGGACAGTACCATGCAAGACAAGCCGTTTTCACCGGCCCCAAGGATGATCTTATAGTTTCGGTGTCGGTGGTATCTTGATTGTGGCATTAGTGAAAGGAGATGATAGTAAGCTTTATAACTTGATCTTGTTGGATTGATGCTCAGCTGGGAGATTTGTCGGCACTAGAAGTGGACGTTGCCAGTATGATCACATGATCTTACACCATGATGAGTTATATGTACTTAAGTGACCCACCCTCCGACATCATCTCTCCGTAGCTGCCTTTAGCGCAGAGACAGGGTCGTATCATTGACTTGTAGTGTCTGTTTCCGATAACATTTACTACTCAGTGAGGTCGTGTACGATCGTTAGTGGATACAAAGTGGCAAAAACGCACTTCAATACTACCTGGCAGAATTTTTGCCAATAAGGCCAACCGAGCCTCATGCAAACACTAAGGTATTGGGCACCGGGCCCATCTTACTAGAATTGAACACTCTCAGATCATTTCTCAAGAGGAAGCGGTAGAGGAGCGATCAAGGTGGTAAAATCAATAATGGTGGCGACAAACGACGTTCGTAAAGGACCGAACCAAGTATATAATACAGAGAGGTTTTAGAAACCTCGAGTCTGAAGACATCCCTCCTACTATAATCCTACTCTTCAGTCAATCTTTACCACAACTTTACTAAAATGCTTCTGAGCGGCCTATATCATGGTAAGTGGGCATACTAGAAATCTTGGGCTGTTCTAGCCTTTGGGGAAAATGAAGCTCACCAAGTATTCCAGGGCCTCTTTTCCCTGTTCAAGCGTGAAGACTTTCGAATCGAGGACAGGGCGGATGTTGTTTGCTTCGAATGCTTGAACCATGTCCTTTAGCATCGCACGACTGCCAACATAAAGGCCTCTAACAGTGCAAATGTGACTCAGAGCATCCAAGAATCCCGGCTGAGACTGGTCGCTGCCGCCCAGAAACCCGATCAGGTTGATGATCCCCTCCATCTTGATGCATTTGAGGCTCTGGTCGAGTGTATTGGTACCTCCAATATCTAGAATGTAGTCGATCCCAGCTTGACCAGGTGTTAGACGGCGGGCAACTTCACCCCAATTCGGCTGGTCTCGGTAGTTAATAACATGATCAGCCCCAGATGCGCGCAATTTCGTAGCCTTTTCTTCTGACGAAGTCGTCGCGATAACCGTTGCTCCGGCAGCCTTTGCTAACTATGACGAGATATTAGATTCAAGAGTTCCTTGTAAATGGTAGTCCCGAATGATGAGCGGGAAGTAGCAATCATACCTGGAGCCCGGAAATAGCAACCCCCCCTGTTCCCTGAACTAGAACCCATTGCCCTGCCTTGATGGGCCTGAGACCATACAGTGCATTCCAGCTGGTAAGCGCAGCGCCGGGTAGCGTACTACTCTCCAGGGCAGTCAAGTTCTTCGGAGATTTAACCAATCCGGATTCGCTGTAAACGCCGAACTGGCGAAAACAACCATCGATGGTTCCACCAACCCCGGTTGATGCTGCATAAGGATCGATGTCACCATACTGGTGCCCTTGGTTGAAGACGGTGATAACTCTGTCGCCTTGGGAAAATTCTCTCACTCGCGATCCAACTTCTATGACCACACCAGCACCATCGGAAACTGGGACGATTGGATACTTGTGTGCGAAGGGAAACGTTCCCTTTGAAGTCTAAGTCAGCCATCTTGCAACTGGGTGTTAAAGATAGAGGCCCTTACCTTGGCGATAGCCGCATCACGATAGTTGAGGGCTGCTGCCTCGAACTTCACTAGCACGTCGTAATCGGATACTGAAGGTAATGACACTTCTTCTAGGCGCAAACCTTCCATGTCCTTATCGGGATGATCAATGGTCCATTGTTTCATCGTGGCGGAGGCCATTTTTAGAAAGGTAAAGCAATGATAATAATTTTCAATTGTCAGTAGCAGAAAGTGGTGCGATTTGTAGAGGACTTCTTCCCATATTTATGCTCTTCGTAGGCAGCTTAGTAAATCATCCTCTCAAGACTTAGGTTTGTTGCTTTCACTCTTGCCACTTTTACTGTTTGGATCAAACACCGGATGAGATGGTTAATCATCATCTGGACTAGGTGGGGCGGGGAACATCAAAGGCCGAAATTCTGGACTTCAAAGGCCGCATCCCCGCACAGCCATGAGCTGAGCAGTTTCGAAAACCATACTCCGGAGTAGATGCCGCAAGAGAAAATGGATTGAACGAGACTGACTAATCCTTTAATCTTACTGAGGTGTTCTAATTGGAATTCCGACTCTCATAGTACGCTGATTGACAAAGAGCATCCTGAGTCTACGGGAAAGGGAAGCTGCTCCTTCAACTGTTTCGAGCAGGTTTCCTATAATGGCATCATGGGCGTTCTGCTCAGCCTGATGTGGGTTTTATCGTATTCTTGCTTTGTACATAAATCTCGAGCTCAATTATATCAAGTCCTTGCTTTAGTAATCTTTTTCATCATGAAGTGATTACGTCTCTGTAAAGATCATATAGTTACGCTAACGCATTCAGAGGCCCTGGAATTGTTCATTGCGTTGAAAGCTAATGGTTGAAAGAAATTGTATGCACGGATCTGTTACATCGAGCCCCAAGCATTCAATTTGTAATAGACTATGGATAGCCTAGCTTTTTTGACTAGTTCACAGCTGAATCATACCCTCGACCTGAGTTGCGCCGTCAATTGGCTTCAAGTAAGCCACACGTCTCTTGACAAAGGCTTCGGCATCAATTTTTCCTTCAGTCAACTGTGCTGCTCCATTATTCAGTGTACCAGCCTTGATAGACATCATCTGGGGCATCGAGTCAGGCTCGCCGTAAAGAGACGACCCGCAGTCTCCACAGAAATAAGCTCGGTACGTGAACCATGAATCGGCAGTATACTCGCCATGCTTCGGTGCCCCCAAGATTCCCAGTTTTTCTGCATTAGTGGACACATATCACAGGTGAAACTGTTCAGAAAAGGTGAACTTACCGCTTAGGAGCTTAAAGGCTGATCGTGGTAAAATGAAGTTGGTAGTAAACGCAGATCCGCTGAACTGTTGCCATGATCACCTATTAGCTCCGGTTTCACTGGTGAGGCGCTCGGTTGGTTTACCTTTTGGCAGTTTTGGCAGTGACACATTGCCTTGACTGCAGGATCAGCTATACGCCGGGTTAGCTAATCTTCATAGATTGTAATTCATTTGACATCCTTACCATCGGCCTGGTACTTGACCTTACCACACATACAGCTTCCATTGAGAACCATCTTCAAGGTAAAGAAGTGTGGCAGCTCTTTTCAAAGGACTTGTTGAATTGCAAGAAAGACAAGAGTTAAGAATGGAGTTTGATTGCAGGAAATCTGAATCACAGGGACAAGACTTTTATAGCCAGTTGGAAGTGCTGCAACCGCGCATTCTTGACCCAATGGACCTCAGATTGGCCCTCTGGTGCTTTCGGTGATTGATTTTCAAACGCCGCCATAGATCAATATTAGAGTCTCGGAAACATTCAAGCTGAGGTCAATTAGGAACACGGCTTGATTTGCCCAGTCAGATTCTGATACTTCAGCAGTGGTTTTAGTTTGGCGATTGAACAAATATAATGCCGATACGTTGACGCAATCGACTCTCTTCCGGTGATTTAACAGTGACTTCCCAGATGCATCCACCATTTGCTTTCACGTAAGAAGCAGTACCTACCAGTTGCCACCTTTAGCTTCAACACAAAGCAAAGTTCGCGACTAGTAACGCCTTAGTGGTGGGGAAAAATAAGCCGACAGATTCATCATCATTCTTTCTGTATCTATAGTCTCACCAATCAACGCGGAGCATTGCCTCCAGATAGCGAATAGTACACCTCGTTGGCTGTAACAGTTGCTCCGACCTTCCTTGTTACTGGAAAATAATACCTTTATATCTGAAACAGCTAATCGTGACAGGCTGCTTTATCATATTACCATTATCACTTCCCAACTTCCACCCCTCGTCAGAGTTCTTACTACCATCCTTGATAACCTCGGTGAACGACACCTTAGTCATCGAAAATCACTATCAATTTACTTAGTCTATATCTATTACAGTTGGCCTCCTATTATATCCTGCTAGTTGCTTTCCTAAAGATTCTCTGCTCCCTGCTTAGCATTTATTGAATGGGTCAATAGCCTCTTTCTCTTGATTTGTGATCTTCCAGTGGCCGGGGTTCCGTGCTTGTCAGGGTTGCGTCGCTTTTAGAATTTTTCAAGCTCATTTATGATTTCTGTTATTTTATTGTCCTGCATACTGGCCGTATTACTAAATAAATATTATTCAACTAACATAGATTCTGGTGGTGCTTTTTTATTAAGTTGTGGTCAGGAAAGTCTAATCTCTGTGGCCTAACATAGAGCGTGTGTAATACCTGTTATTAATAAATGATTAAAGAAGAATCATAGTAGGTAATCCGCCAAGTTTTCGATTATGCCAGAGTGAATTCTCTTGAAAGCCTTGGAGCATACTAGTAGGTAGAGACTCAAAGATTCTATACAAATATAGAATATTATTGGAGGCACAAAAGAAGAATCAGCCCCGCCTCCCTAAGACCGAAGTTTTCTATAGAATCAACAAATATTTTCTCGGGACCGGGTGCTTTGACTTCCGTACTGGATCCCCGGGTAGAAGTGTATAAGTGAACTGTTTGGCTGCAAATCCCTTTTGCTTACCTAATAGGGGTGTTGTATATCTCAAGGATAGTGTGGCTTACGGTCACACCTCTCATGGCCGGTTGCTCCACTAACTGGATGATGTTGTTCGTATGTCGTGGCCTTCAAGGATTGGGCCTGGCTTCCTTTCTGCCGTCCAGCATCATGATTCTCGGAAAGGTCTACCGTCCTGAACCTCGCAAGAACATTGTATTCAGTGTCTACGGAGCCTGCGCAGCGCTGGGTTTCTTTGGCGGAATTTTCTTCAGTGGTATAGCCGGCGAATATCTGAATTGGCGCTGGTACTTCTATATTGGCTCGATTCTTTCCGCTATCACAGCTCTTTCATCGTTTGTCTCGATACCAAAAGACTATTCCACCACGCGAGCGTCATCAAAAGCCTCCATGAACTGGGTAGGATGTATGCTGCTTGTTCCGGGGACTGTGTTGTTTGTCTTCGCGATCGCGGACAGCGCCCACGCCCCGCAGCAGTGGCGTACGCCCTAAATCCTCGTTTGTCTGATACTAGGCGCCATCATCTTAGGAGTGTTCGTCTACGTGGAAGGCTGGGTGGTTGATAACCCTTTGCTACCCGGAGATCTGTTCTTCGTGAAGTATATGAAGCCGCTGGTGATTTGCCTACTGCAGATGTACGGCAGCCTGGGGATCTTTCTGCTCTATGCAGCACTTTAGTGAGTTCTCACCAAGCACAAAATCTCCGCACACAGCCCAACTCTCATACAAAGGACTTACTCCCAGTGGAATAGCATGCAAAGTATCATGGGTGCATCCCCACTACAAGTGGTAGCCTGGACGACTCCCATGGCCGTAGGCGGTCTCATCATCTCCGCAACCGGGGGTTTCATTCTGCATCACTCAACGGAACATTACTCACAATAATCTCGGGGCTGGGCTCCCTCGGCTCAAATCTCCTCTTCGCGGTGATCCCCCGGGGTGCAACTACTGGGCGTTCGTATTCCCGGCCATGATCTGCGGCACTATCGGCATCGATATCAGCTTCGACGTGACCAACATCTTCATCAAAACCAACATGCCGGGAGAGCGCCAAGGGCTCGCGGGAGCCCTCATCAACTGCACCCTGCACATGGGGATTGCCGTCATGCTGGCATTTGCGGACCTCATCCAGGTATACACGGAGGACCATCTGAGTTTAATGACAGCTATTAGGCTGTTTTTTGGTTTCAAGTTGGCTTGTCGGGGCTGGCGCTGGTGTTGGTTGCCTTGTTTGTTAGAATTGGTCGCGCGAAAAGTGATTTGACCCTTGACGAGAAGAGGAGGTTACAGATGGAACATGGGGCCGTGTTGGGGGATTTTTAATGTCTACTATGTGAAGCGTTCGTGGTTAGATCATCGTAGATGGCCTCTGTGGCAGCTGTGTGGGAAGCCTTCTGCATAGATCGTATTTACACTCAATGCCAGTCACAGACATGCATTCACGACCAAGCGCATTCAAAAACAAACCTGCGAATGCCGACAGTGATTATCCGCCAAGTTCACGGTGGTGGTGAGTTTCGGACTTGTATGAGACTCTACCTTAGACCTCTCTGTCCTAAGGGGATTCTTACGTCCTTCCTCTACTCCTTGTCTTTTGTTATCAGTGACTGTGTTGACTCAATCTACTATCTTTGTATAGGTATAAAAGGGTATCGAAACGGCTCTTTTCTTCTTTATTTCAGGTCTCCAAGCCGCCCCTCAGTCTAATTTAGGTTCTTTGTTGTAATAACCAATCCCGCCTCTCTATTTAAGGCTCCATGCAACACTATACAGCACGCGAATCATCAGACCCAACAGTACGAGACAACAAAATGGAAGCTGCAAAGCAGACCAAAATCCTCGTGAGCGTCGTCCTCTATTGGCACGCATTCCGCAGACCTGCTCGTCCAGCGATTGGAGATCAAGCACAGGCCGACGAGATCACCCGGCGGATCCTCGACACCCCTACTGAAGACCATACTGTGGTGCTGACCGAAAAGCTTGACAACTGGACCCTCAATGCGGAACTGCTCGCGCCCGGCGAAAAGCCAGCCCGGGGGCCCTGGGGGGCAAGGAAAAATCGGATGATGTGGACCGTCGGGCCCGATCATGAAGAGGTGCTGTCAGTCTATCACGCCTTTATCAAGTGGTACGAGGAGCAGCTGCACCGGTTGACGCTCGGCTTGCTGATGAGGATGGAGAACATTATCTTCTGGGCCGAGGGCGAGGAGGATGACCCGACACGCATCATCCATTCTCGTGATTGTCTTTGCTTCTGCCGGAAGTATCCTTCTTATTGATGATCTCGGTTGCGTATGGCTCGCGTCCAGTCACATACTTAAGTAAATCGATGACGGCATTTTACCTCCCCAGCCTATGCATCTTGCAATTCGTCTAGTATACATATAAAAGAACGCTAAAAAATATATTCCCTGGTCAGACAAAGTCTCAATTAGAGCGTCTGGAACAATTCAAGTAGTCAGCTTGACTCCGAAGGGTGGCTTCTATGGGTGACAATCGCTTCCAAGTGTTGTGCCTACTCATTCGGAACTACACCGAAGAAGGTTTCACGTATGTCTCGGTTCTTAATCTCACCTCCTTCACTTCTCTCCTACTTCCATTTCTGAAGGTTGCGGTGAATGATAAAACTGGCTACATGCTTTGTTTGGTCTTGGAAACTATCACACTATCCTTCATTGTTATATCATCAATCCTGCCAGAATATGACAGTCGTTCGTCTATGACATGAGGCCGGGCGCCTCCTGCGAATCAGCCCCAGTCCCGTAGTACATATCACCTTTATCGGCCACTTGATCATTAAACAACCTAAGAAAGTGAGTTCAAGCGTGTTCAGTCCTCACGTGCCTCATACAGCCCTGGAAACTGTTAAACTTCTACAATCCACATTTGAGAGCATATGTGTTGGCAAATTGGTCTCGGGAAGATATTAAATCAGTGGCTGCTGAAACTTTTGCCATGATCCAAACATAGGTCATTCATAAACGTCGTTCACTGAGCACGGCAAGCATAATTTGCGTATTGCAATTTGAGAGTAAACCACCACCTGCGATCCTACACTCCAAGAAGCGGTGGTGTTCTCTCTCTACTACGGAGTATATTTTTCTATTATTTCGGTAATTAGCTTGGAGATAGATGAGACTGATTGTCTCATAATTTTGATATGATGACTTTGGCGCCACTCACATCGAGGCTATGTCTCAGGTGGACATAGGTGCAATAGTGAAGAAATGCATAGTACATGTGTCTGGAACTTAGTGCAAACCTCGGGATAATTAGCCATCATGACTCGAGGTATGCCCCACTAGCCCTCAGGTGGCGGAGCTGCCAAATTGGCACAGGAGTATTCTATGACAGGATCGCTTGGCTGCATCGGCACTCAAGATTCACGCGCCTTTTAGCCGCCAACAGGAACCCAGCAGAATCTTCGCTGGGGCTGAACTGTCTTAACCATCCCGATTTAGTACTCTTAGTCCTCTAACTTTCCGGGGCCAGCACTCTATTTCATTAAACGGTGGTGATCCTACCAAGGTTTTTAGCAGATATTGAGGTGAGACACAGTTGGCTTGGCAAGTGCAGCATTTCATCTCACGTGAGCCGCAATTAGGTCTAGATGCTTCACGTGACCGTTGAGCGGGGTTCGGCAGCGGCGGAACAGCAGTTTGGGTCCGAGCGTGTCAGGGTCTTTTTCCCGCAGTAAACCTATTCCCTACTACCCTCTCCTCCTCTGGCCAGGACTCGCGTTCATTATCCAGCCTCAGTGCTCTCCAGCGCAGCTCAAATCGAAGGACAACTTTGCATTTCAAGCTTATTATTTTCCTTCAACTCTCAGTAGTAAGCTTTCAATAGTCTTCTCTTCTTCATGGACCTAAACTGGACTTGTTACTATCGGGGAGTCGTGAAATTGCAGGCGGAGCAGAGAAACAGCCTCATTTGACGGATCCATTAGCCTCCATGCTAGCTTTACTATAGCCTACTATAGCTGCTCCTGCCAAGGAGACGGGTTTTCAGAAGGGCTCCCAGCCGGTGGATTGGGTGCAGCCTCCTGTTCCTGAGCTGACAATTGGCCTGTGGGGATGATTGCCAAGAAGACCGAATCTGCTCGGGGTGGAGCATGTCCGATAGCAGATGGACCTCCGGTTCTACTCTGCTGCAATGGGCGAACGGGTCCAAACTTCGGCGCATACTCTCCGTTTCCTTGATCAATGAGGCAAACCTGTCTCGGGTGCCGACAGGGGTAGTCGTGCCCATTCCACCACCATACCCAAGGTTCCTATATAAGATATTAGTTTGTCGTGCTTAATCCAACCATCAAAACCATCATTCTCTTTTCTTTCATCCCCATTCATTCTTTCTTTCTCCCCACACTCTTTTGCTCTGTTGATCATGAAGTACACAACTCTCTTCGCCGCTGCTGCGGCTGTTCTAGCGAACTCGGTTAATGCTGGCGTCGTCGGTGCCGCTCAGGGTTTCGCCAAGGGAGTGACCGGAGGAGGCTCGGCTGCGGAAGTGTATCCCAAGACCAATGATGAGCTGGTCTCTTACTTGGGTGACAGCCAGCCCCGTGTCATCGTCCTGGACAAGATGTACGTGATTGATTTCGGAGTGGTGGGACCGACAGGCTAGATTGCTGACAACCCGACCGCATATAGCTTTGATTTCACCGGCACTGAGGGTACGGAGACCACCAGCGGCTGCAGCCCCTGGGGGACGGGCTCCACGTGCCAGCAGGCCATCAACAAGGATAACTGGTGCAACAACTACGAGCCTAAGGCTCCCAAGGTTTCTTCCATCACCTAGTGAGTCTACCAAACCCCTTCCATGACCTGGGAGGCATGAGGTGCTAACTGGACTTGCAGTGATAAGGCTGGTGTTCTCGGGATCACCGTGAACAGCAACAAATCGCTCGTTGGTAAGGGCTCTGCTGGAGGGATTAAGGGCAAGGGTATTCGCATGGTCAGCGGCGCCAAGAATATCATCATCCAGAACATTGCCATCACCGATATCAACCCCAAGTACGTCTGGGGTGGAGACGCCATTACCTTGAATAACGCCGATCTGGTCTGGATTGACCATGTTACCGTATGTCTATGATGTTGTTCCCTTCCCATCTTCCTCCCCGTGCAATTCCACATCAAGTTTCCCCCACCCCATGGCTATCTCCTCTAAGTCATGTTGCAGACTGCCCGTATCTCTCGTCAGCACATTGTCCTGGGTACCCAGGCCGACAACCGTGTCACCATCTCCTATAACCTGATCGACGGCCGCTCCGATTACTCCGCCACCTGCAACGGCCACCACTACTGGGGCATCTACCTCGATGGCTCCAACGACATGGTCACTCTCCAGGGCAACTACTTCTACTACTTGTCCGGTCGCATGCCCAAGGTTCAGAGCAACACCCTCTTGCACGCTGTAAGCCGCCCTTACCCCCATTCTGGGCTAGTCCCGGCTAGACAGTCGCAACATCAAAACCCAAAACCCCCACTAACGAAATTGACAGGTCAACAACCTCTTCCACAACATCCAGGGCCACGCTTTTGAGATTGGCCAGGGCGGTTACGTCCTTGCGGAGGGCAACGTCTTCCAGAACGTCGACGCCCCCGTGGAGTCCCCCATGTCGGGCGCTCTCTTCAGCTCGCCCGATGCCAACACCAACAAGCAGTGCCAGGCCTACCTGGGCCGCAGCTGCCAGCTCAACGCTTTCGGTAGCTCCGGCACGATGAGCGGCTCCGACACCAGCATCCTGAGCAAGTTCAAGGGCAAGAACATTGCCGCTGCTCGTGCCCCCACCAACATCGCCAGCTGGACCATGGCCAACGCCGGTGTTGGCCACGTCTAAGACGTCGTCTCGCAATGATGAAACTGGGAATAAGACGGTCGTCTCCTTGGGACCCTGTTGGGACCTCAGGATCTGTATAGGGTGGCATGTCGCATGAGGATTTCCAGTGGCAGACTCATTCTTCGTGTATCTTCATGCTACAGTACTCTCCTTCGATGCTAGGCTAGCCCCAGCAGTTATTTCTGATTGTTTCTTAGATCTCCAGCTCGCTGTTCCAGCAAAATTCTTTGTGGATGTGTACCTGCAGTCCGAGTAAAGTTGCACTGGTAGATCGCGATCATCGCGTGGAGTGATGCAGATCGAGACTCCGTTCCAACATAGTAAAGACATATTCGCATAACTGTGGTTCTTGTGCAGGTAGACCCTGTCTGACTCAGACATGCCAGGTGGCTGGTGCAGTCTCGCGGGTTTCATACCTCTTTTGGGAGGTGATGGAATCTACGACTTACTTGCCCCGTAAATACGATATATCTTAGCAGCGGAACCTCAGCGGAATAGACAGGGTGTATGTCCAAGTTCCGAGTCTTGCCTGAAAATTGGTGCGTCTTCATGATCCGGGCAGATTGAAGAACAACACTCAATACCTAGTTTGATGACGGAAGACAACTACCTGTGGCAGTTGATGAGTGGATGCCTCAGGCATACGATCAGGCACGGTCGCATCACCCCTTGGATGAAACCCTTTCCTGGCTGCCTGGCACTGGCCAAATAGAACAACTTGGCCAGCTCAATCTTGACGCTGCATGTTACAGATCGCTGTAAACCAGGTCAGATTCGCATTCCCGGACGAAGTCGTGCCAAGTCCAGTGGAGCTTCCTTGACTCCCACAACTTTGCATTCGAGAAACAAGTATTCTATGGCTGATCTCATTCCAAGGTCCCCAGCTACACACTAACGCAGTATACAACCTGGTGAGAAAGTACTCCACTCGAGGTGATTGGCGGGAGAACTAAGTTAAGTTATTTCTTGCTTTGTTGATGTAACCACTGCGCAACTCATGACGTGGTGGGCATCTGAGCAACCGGGGAGGGGATACGAGGTGTCAAGAGTAATTGACTCCGCCCTATCCCGAAGTGACAGCCACCCATGCTTGCAACAGACACATTCATTCATTGGACAGACACCATTGCCCAACATGATGGGTCGACTGGCCCCTCCTTGATAAGGGAGATAAAAGAGATAACTTGACGGGGCAACCCCCTCGCGACCTTTTCGCCGCCAGCACAGCCCACACCCACTCACTCTCTCCCCGCCATACAACTAAGCAAAACAAGCCCTACTAGCGGGTTTGCAAGAGCAACCGTGCTTCGCAATGGAGGTTACAGAGAAATTAGACACGAAGAATCGTCCCGATGAATGGTTGATCGAACAGGGGATGGCCGGCCACAAACTGCCCATCCTCGACCAAAGTGGCGAAGAGACCGTCCACCGGTACCCCAGCGACCCCGCCCCGATCACGCAGGATCGAGCCGCGATAGAAGCGATTGGAGACCGGGACGAATTGTTTGCCCGGGAGCGGGCAGGCTGGGTTGGGTATGTCGTGGTTCTTCTACTCAGTCTCCTCGACCCTGCAGCTCATATGTCATCGCTAGATATGTCGAATGGGAGAACTACCCGGATAAGAAAGCCAAGGCGCACAAGATCCTGACCTCGCAGACCTTCCCCAGCTCTCCCGACTATCAATTCGGACCCATCCCGGGAACCAACCCGGTCTTGTCGGGCGACGACTTCAAAGCCTGGCATGCCGCCATCGGAGGCGAGCTGACGAGGGCCGCCGATGACTCGTGGCGCATCGTGCTGCAGGAGAAGCATCCGGATATGCTGCATCTGCTGCAGTTTCCCTACAACGGCGAGCCCCCGAAGCGGCTGACGACCGCGCAGCCTATCACCCCGAACCCCTTGCACTTTGTGCGCAACCACGGCGGGATTCCGCTGATCGACAAGGATCAGTACGAGCTGCAGCTCGACGGGTTGGTCCGGAATCCGAAGACGTACACGCTGGATGAGCTGATGGACGAGAGTCGATTCCCGCGCATGGAGAAGACGGTTACCATGCAGTGCTCGGGGACGCGACGGATCGAGCAGATCAACCTCTACAGTGGGCAGGGCGACGAGGTTCCGCAGGCCCCGTGGGCGGAAGGGGCGATTGGGACCGCTCGATATGTCGGGATCAGCATGAAGAAGCTCATCAAGGACGGCGGGGGGCTGGTCGACGGGGCCAAGCATCTCGAGCTGTACGGGGCTGAAACCTACATCAAGGACCTGCATGCGATGAACTACGTGGTCAGCGTGCCGTGGTCCAAGGTCAAGGCCAACGAGGTCATGCTCGCGTGGGAGATGAACGGAGAGCCACTCCCCAAGATCCACGGGTATCCGCTGCGCGTGGTGGTGTTCGGGTACATTGGGGCGCGAAGTGTCAAGTGGCTCTACAGGATCAAAGCCATCCCAACGCCCTCGCTGGCTCCCGTGCAGAGTCGGGAGTATCTGTACTGGAACCAGCAGATCGGCAAGTACAACCTGCGTCCGATCGATGGCATCCAGATCCAGGAGATGCCGGTCAGCTCGGCGATCATGACCCCTTGGCAGAACCAGGTCATCATTCACAATGGATCCATCAAATGCAAAGGCTGGGCGTACAGTGGGGGAGGCCGGTGGCCCGAGCGAGTGGAGCTCTCGGCGGATGGAGGCTTCAATTGGTATGCTGTCAAGGAGGAGAATCTGTCCAAAAAGGGCAAATGGACCTGGCGGACCTGGGAGACTGAGATCCCCTGCGATGCAGAAGGGTGGATCGAACTGGTCGTTCGCACCTGGGATAATGCGCTGAATACCGAGCCGATTGGCATCCGACAGACGTGGAACTGGGGTCTCCATGTCACGAGCTCAGCGCATCGGGTCAAGGTGTATTCCGTCAATAAGACTCGTGAGCAGACCCGAAAGCGCCTGGCTCAATTCGAGGAAATGGGCATCCCACTTGCTCCCATCACCAAATATGAGGTGGTGTCAGGGCTGAGCGATGAGGAGTTGCACGCGTACTGGAAGGCTCATCCCCGTGATGTCGATGATTGATGACAGGATAGGACTGTGGCCACAGTTTCAGTCTTTCCTGAGCATTGCGCGAACTGTCCGTCCGTAGGAAGTTGGTTATTTTGACGAACCTGAGAAGGTAAACGAACGTTATAGCATCAATGAAAGAAGAGTTCAATACTGCTGCGTCTAGAATGCTAAGGTATACGGCTTCGACTGCACCATCCCGTTGTAGCCATACCACAATTCTTTAGCCACTCAGACAAGGATATCGGTTTGAGCACCTGCATCACACGCGTTAGTCCTGGCTCTGGAGAGAGTCAGTGATGATCTTACCATTCTCCCAGCCCATACTACTGCTGTACGCCGGACTGACCCTCTCGGGTGTTTCCACATTGTTCCCGGACAATTCTGCACGATGTCAGGACTCGAGATGCCACGCAGGCAACAAGTCAGGCTGTGAACAAAATTTTGCGCCATCTCTTCAGGCAGAAGATTGTTTATCTTCATTCAAGGTCCCACAGTCGGAAAGTCAAACATTACTTACCACCAGACGGCCACACATTGGCAGCCTCTCCTCTCTTCGCGTGCAAAAGGATCGAGCTATGACGCTGGCTTAGCTGACTTGTGATACTCTGCGTCAAGAAGTAAGTTACACGTCCGACCCGCTGTGTCCCCAGAGCCATTCTTTCTTTTGAAAGCATGGCTTTGTCGTTGATGGTTTTCACCCTGCCATCATTTCCACTGTCCTCACGCAACAGGCAAGACCAAGCTTCATGCGTATGACGGTGTGTAGACATAGACGACGTGTCACCTATAGCTAACCGAGGTAGTCATACGTTGCAGTTGTCTAGATGTAGCCCGTTGGAGAAGTAAGGCCCTAGTATCTTACATCACACAATCGATGCGTGGGGCTAGGGCTGGCAATCTACATTAGCGCAGTCGGGCCGACCCAATACTAGTGCTTGATTCGGACCTTTCCAAGGCTTTCACCCTTCAGCTTGTCGCGAGCAGCTGGAGCAGCCTGCATGGTTTGCATGCCACATGCATCGGTTGTAATGATTTTATCCTATCTCGAGGCCTCCAACCCCCTCTTTCAATCTAAATAGATTGCATTACCCCGCAGGAGTCCCGGCCTCGAGCTTCGATTCCTCAGCCACTGTGCTACACTCACTGGACGATCGTCACTTGCTGGGGCCCTTGCGGATGGTACAACCATTCTTAGTGCCGATGAGAGCTGAGACAATTGACTCCTCTAAGATGCAAACTGATTTCATCGTGCGTGGAGGCGGACACCAGATGAGTCAAATCGCGCAAATGAGGCCGTGGGTTTCAGAAAGCCCTCAGAATCAACAGATTAGGAAGCCATAGCATGTTCGCCTAGTGGCGTTTGGAAAACAGGAATTTGCGCGAGAGGCAACTGGTAGGACAGTTCACAGGGAAATTCGATGACCTATACACCTTGCGTACATTGACATGATGCTGCTGGAGGTGTATAAATACACTTTCACTGCCCACCCAAACACATCATTGATCTATCATTGAATCAGTGATTCAGCCTGAAATTGCCCGAAAAGCTCTTTGGAATTGGCCTCATTCGATTACTCTGCCACAACCAGCGGCTACAGCAGTCTACAGCAGCAATGACGAGTCTCCTGCGCGATGCAACAACCGGCCTGGCCCAAGGGGTGCTTGGCACCGCCAAAGACACCACCTCTACTGTCGACACCGAGCTGGGAAAAGCACTCGACAGTACGTTGTTGCTCCAACCCTTGACAATCATGGGTACGATCCTCACAACGTCTAGACCTCAAGAAGGACACATCCCAGGCTGTTCTGCACGTCTACTCCTATGATGGACAGACCCAAACGGTCAAGGAAAAAGCGTGCATTCCGTTTTCCAATGTCAACCAAGAAAGTCTGACCCTCAAGGATATCCGTGATCTACTCGTCGGGGAGAAGGCTTTGGAGCCGAGGCTGTAGGCAGCTTTCTTTTCAATCCGTCCAAAAATGGCTCTGCTGAACACGAAACAGGCTGTGGAGTACTTTTACCAACCAACGTGGGGCAAAAGTGGCCGATACAACCAGCTTCAAGGTCTATCTTCAAATTCTCAATGAAAAGGTAGGTGTGGATGATGCTTCATGGGGATATGTGCTAACCTGTCTTTCAGTCGAGCGAGGTTGGAGTAAGTATGCTTAACACGTTCTGCGCGACATAGGGTCTAAGGTGATTAGGATACCACGGAAGACAACGCCGACACTTATCGAGTCTATCTCAAATCCAAGAAGATTGTCGAAACGGAATCCTATAGTAGCCTTCTCGATAGAGGCGCTAAGGTAGCCTTGGATGTAGGACAAATTCAAGCCCAACAAAAATTATTCAGGGCGTCTTCTAAACTTGGACAGAAAAAAATCGCTGATCTGCCGGTGGCTCCGCAACCAAATATTGTTGAATCTCCCACCTCTTTCAGCCACAATATTTTTCTGAACCCCACCACGACTTTCTCCATTGTTCATCCGGCGGACATGAGCGAGAAGCACTGGTCAGTGGTCATGCGGTCGAACAGTCTGCTTCATGCATACAGGGTCGTGGACCTGAAAGGCGACAAATTTGTGGAGCGCTCTTTGTACCCCAGTGAGCCCCTGTTAAACAATCTTCAGTTATATGGGCCACACAGCATTGACCAGGAAAATTCGCAGCCTTCGTGTTGAAACCACGCAACTTTTGGAATTATCAACTCAGCGCGACAGCCGAGGTGGATTCCATTCCCGAGCAAAAGGTTGGAAAATTCCCCGTCAATAGTCATCTCATATTGACGACCTGCAGCAAATGCTACGGATTCCAAGGTTCAGAATCAACGACGATAGCTACATCCGGCAGTTTCAGACGAAGAAGTCGGTTTCCCGCGCGATGGCTGAGGCCTGTCTTTCCGAGACCGATGCACAGATGGCCATGTCAGTCTTACATTCCTGATGACAAAAACTTGCAGTAAGCTGAATGTTGCCTCAATGCAGTGAAGGCGGTGCCTGGGGATTCAGCGCCAGTGCTTCAGCCAGTTGGGGTGAGACCAAGTCGTCTTCCTCGACGTCCAGCACCAACAAGGAAAGTAGTGTGATGACGATAACGTACAATGTAAGACTGCTACTAACACTGTCTCAATGGTTTGGATCTTCTGACGCGATCCTGCAGTTTCCTCGAGTGATCATTGACTTCGAGCCCGCCGGCCTCGACCTCAGCGAGGAGTGCAAGTTCGATCTGGCAAGGGTCGAGTCAGCCGACGCAGTGGATGCTTTCAAGAACAAATACGGTCAGTCAGATGCATCGTGAAGTGAGAGGGTTTGGATCTCTCAACGGTATATAGGTCGCTTCTTTCCTACTCGCATTGAGCTGGGCGGTCGACTCCATTCTAGCGAGCAGAGCGAGTCTGACGATGCGGCGGCCACGACGCAACAGGCCAAGGCCATGAGAGCAGCGGCGGCCCTTTCGTTCTCGTCCCCTTGGGTGCAGGCGTCGGCCAGTGCAACTCACAACAACTCCTCCAATTCCAGCTCCGAGAGTAAGGATAGCTCGTCAACTAGCTCAATCAGTTGGGAGGCCCAGGGCGGTGATACCCTACAATGCAACAAGTGCGTGGCCCCAGTCGGTTGTCCAGCTCTACATCATGCTAACCGCGTGTACTAGCCCGCCGGCCTGGGCCTACACCGTCGGCTCCTTCTACAACTGGAGACCAATCAAACAGTCTAAAGTGCTGGCTTTGGAAGATGTGATCTCCACAGTGACGGGATATGAAGATACCAAAGAGAAATTTGCGGCACTGTTGGCGGCTGCCGATGCGAAGAAGCCAGTGCAAGAAGCGAAGCCAGAACCCCCTAAACAGAAAACCATCAACTTCAAAATTCAATTTGAAATGGAAGGTCTATCTCTGACGCTTGCAAGCTCCGGGAAAGACAAAATCTACAGTAAGCAGTTCGGAGGGCTGATGCAGGAAGGGAGTGACTGACTCTCGTTCACTTAGGCAAAACAATCGAAGGTCTTGTGGGGACAGACTCCAAGGCTCTGATCACTCCTGAGAGACTCAGGTTTCTTACTCAGCTGTCCGAAGAGAGAAGTCAAAGCACACCATTGCAACTGGTCGAGACGACAGACGCAGGGGATCTGACTTTTAGCGTCATTACTCCTGACACTGGCGCAACGAAGGCATGTACTCCTTTCCAGCGATATCAGACTCTTCCAAGCCTAGTGTTTTCTATTCCTCGTCAGATTAATCTTCGCTGACTCGTTCCATCCCTCACAGCTGCGCTATTTGCAATCTTACAAAATCAAAATTGGCGGAGATGGCAACGAACAATGGCTCGGTGTGAACCCCACCCTGTCAGGCTTCTTGCCCGAAGCTTTGGTATGGGCGGGTAAGGCTGAACATGCCACCTACATCCAATTGCATCCCATTTTCTTCGGGGGTGGGGGTCTGCCAGGATCGGTGGAAAATGGGCACCCGGTGCAGATTGCGCTCTATGATAAGGAGGAGAACTGCATTGGTGCTGCAATCCCTTACTCTCCACCTGATGCGGATTGGAAATACCTGGGCACCAATACGGATATGGTTGATCCTAGGATGATTGCACCCTTCAGGATCACTTATGTCTGATCAAGGATCTCTGACCTCGGCACTTGTTGCTTATGGCCGGGGCTCTCACAACTGCTAAGACAAGCCAAGGGATTTTCTCGTCCGATCCTGTACTCTAAGCAGAGGGGGCGCGAGTTATTCAGGTGTCTCAAACCACTAGTCTATGAGAATAGAGTTGCGACTGATGTCCTGAGATATTCATAATGGACATTCATGATTAGAAAGAGCATGTCGATGGGACATCAGACGGACATAAGCTCTTCTGGGTAATCTCACTAGCTGGGAAGTTAGTCGTGTAGAAGACTCAGGGTATCTGTCTACATTCTCTTTGGATTCATGGCGATACGTGCAACTCACCGCAACTCCAAATAAAAAATAAGTTGGGGGAATGGACTCCTTTCCACGAGATTTACAAAGTCTCTCGATTGAGAATAGGGTAGGTATGGCTACAAGCAGCAGGTCAGCCCGCCTTCATGGGCATCTGGAAATTGTCGAGATATTCTGCAAAGATCAAGATTTCGATCCTGGTATGTTTATTCGTGACTCTCTCAAATGCATTCAAGTCCCGTCATGTCTAGCTCGGGAACGCAGAGGCTGAAGGGCCAATTCATTGAATCTGTTGCCAGCGCTGGACTCGGTGGATGAGTGCAAGGGATCGGAAAAGAGCAACTTATCTTTAATCTACAATTCAGACCAAGCTTGACCGCTATGGACAGATTGGTGAATATGCCTGCTCGAATTTCGATGGTATACAAGTCAGAATACTTGGGAGAACTCCCTCCCACTCCCTGTACAGTCCTTGAAAGTACCGATGCAGCCCAAGACCAAGAGCCCTGCCGCTGAATGACCATCCTTATTGTTCTTCACTGATTATGTGAGGCCGTCACTAGTCATCAGCTATAATGTCGGATGCATAATTGGCCCGACATTACCATCAGTCCTCACCCCCAAGCCGCACCCTTGCACATCCAAATTCAGAGGCAGTGGCTAAACTTCGCCCTCATCCGCAACACCTGTCCACCAGCCACGAGCATCCCGATACCAGCCCAGCGACCCGACCAGCGCCAAACCAGCAATGAAGACGATCTTGCTCATCTGGGTCTGGAAGGTGAAGTCGTACTCCCAGTGTTTCGGCTCGGCCCCTTGACCTGGCGCGTCTTTCGAACTGGTCTTCTCATCGAGACACAGGCGAGAGGTTGAGAATGCTATGCGCGCGTGAGGTGCTCGGGCAGCACGCGCACTGCCGCTGAGGACGCGACGGTTGTTGCGAAGGCCCGCGTATAGCGGAAGGCGATGCAGTGTGACCATGATGCTGTATACATACATCGAACGATCGATTCAATCAGGGCAAGTACCAGCGTGAGTGAGCTGGGAGTGATGGCTGACTTGTTCAAATTTGATTCAAATTTGATGAAGATGAGTAAGATACAGACAAGGGGGCCAGACGGTGCAGCTGACTGTTTATAAACTACCTTACCTTATGCTCGGCGATGACAGTATCAGACTAGATCCAAGCAGGTATAGCGTCGGGCTGGCAGGGCGGGCTGGCCCGTGTTTGTTCCGAAAATAGACCGCCGGGTCACATGGCCTGGAATATATGTACTTCTCCGTGGGAGAACCACTGCTGAAAACATACTAGTATTTATTCAACTTTGGCGAAGACAATCTCAACGTTACTCATCCAACATACGTACGTCCTGTTTCGCAAGGTTCCAAAATCAATTTGCCATAATTTCAATGCTATCCGCTAATCAGGCCAATTGAGCTCATAAGCAGACATCAAATGAGAGAACACTAGATCCACAAGCATGCGCATTGCAACCAATAATCCTGTGCGCTTCCTGCTCATGCTGAGCAAGATGCAACCCAGCCCAGCCCAGCTCAGCACAGATCGAGACTAGATCTCAGCCCTGAGAAAGACGCTGAGTCTCCGGAACACGCTGCCCGCCTAAGCAGGGGGAAGAGCCTCCTTGCCCAGCTTCCACTGGCGGTCATAGACCCATTCAGAAACGGCAGTGACATGCTTTCCGCTCTGAAAGTAGACGCGAAGCTGCACCTCCTGGCGGGGAGGGGCGAAAGCCGCGACCTGGCTTCCCGGGACGCACTGCTCGCGGAAGCCACCACGCTGCCACTTCCCCCTATCATAGGCCATTTCGAGAACATGGTTGTCCTCGTGGACAAAGTAGACGCGGATATGGTCGTTGCTGAAGACGGTCGCAGCAAGGTCGGTGCGCGGGGGCGCCTTGGAAACTGTGAACTCGCCTTCCTTCCACTGTCTGCCGTCGTACAGCTTCTCCTTGAGGCTGAGGTCCTCGGACTGGTGGTAGACCCTATTGCTTGGTCGGTGCTTGATGTACTTCAAAGTCGGGGAAGGGTGATCTTACCGGATGTTCATGGGCTGGTCCTGCGAGTCGGAGCTCCTGGGGCTCACGCTGGCTAGACCAGTGCCGGGCAGGGCACGGCCCAGGTTGGTCATCTTCGACCATCCTCGCTGTTCGTCTGAGAGGAGTCAAATCAATACCTCTTTGCATCTTATTTTTTCTGGGGATGGGGCGGAGCCTCACCATCCTGGCCGAGCTCCTGGATGCTATTATCCTGCATCTGCACATAGACGCGGATGTGGGTGTTCTGCTGGCGTCGGTGGCTGCATACCGACAACATCGAATACGGGGCCACCTTGACCTGGTTGCGGTTCAGGGAGCCTTCGTGCCAGCGTCCGTCGCTGTCACGTTGCACCTCCTTGACCTCCGTGTCCTCGCCAATGAAAAACAGGTTCACCTAAGACGTGCTTAGTAGAAAAGCTCACATGTGTTCATAAAGATGCGAGAGGGAGACACACAGTGTCCGAGTTCGGCATGATAGCAGCAATGGGAGATCCCAAGATAGCATTGGCGACGACATCCTGCTCACTGCCGCCGGACCACTGGCCGTTTTGGCACCGGGTCTCGCGGATTCGACCAGCGGTGTCCTGGGTGTACACCAAGAAGGACTCCTCGGTACCGACAGCGGCGATCGCGCAGCCTATTGACGATTAGCATACTCGGGATCACAAGGCAGGGAAGTATATTTGGGGTTTGCCGACGGAAGCGGATTTGCTGGGCACCAGCGTTCGACATGATAACAGCTTTCGTAGGATTTTCTGTGTCGATGATAATGACTTTGTAGAGCCAACGAAGCTTGGATGATGGTGATCTTCCTGATCGGTCTGGAATTCCATCTCTCTTATAGCTGGGTGATGTTACACGGAAGATGTACCTTTCGGCGCTCCGACCCTTTGACCCCACTGGAAATACGCTGTAGTCACTGTTCCACATTGACGACAGGGCGGAGGACGTACGAATGAGAGTAAGCTCGTACATCGTCGGGCTGCTTCGGAACAGGGGACGCGCAACAACACTGACGTTGAATCCCACAGCTGCTCTCTCGTCCCCACATTTTGCATTGTTTCGGGCAACCAGTTGTTAGACAGAATTGAATAATTGATGCATCTCTGGTGAGCAATGGGTCAATGCCTCAGGTGGGCAGTCACTCTTGCCGACGAGAAACACGATCGTCGGATAGGATCGACGGAGACTCTCGGAAGTACACAATGCGCCAACGCCACTCGTGGCTGATTATGATGGAATAGATGCGAGGACTTACAGTATACACATGTCAAATCAATGATCGGCAATTGTGGTGATCGACTTCCTCTGATTTTGAGGCCATATCCTGTCCCACAGGGTTTCCACGTTCAGATGATTAGGGCAATGAGACACAGTTCAGACAGACGGTAGGTGCTTTCTACGTCGTAATGACGAATGGCTTCTTCTGACTTCTGTTCTCTATTCTAGACAATTATCAATATGTTTATAAGTTAAGAGGTAGCAGAGAGAATTTGCTGCGCTAGTTCTGATTGCGGCAGTGTTGCAGGTGAGCAGGTGGGAACTTATTTTGCTCAATTCTTTCCTTGAAGAACGAAACTTGCGGCATCATGTATTGATCTACGCTAGAATAATAACTACCGCGACTGACAACGGACGAAATCTTTAGGCTAAACCCCGTTTCAAGGACTATCGAAGGATGGGCCCGTTCCTTTTGCTTTGAGTCCCAGCCCACAATCAAAAGAGTAAAGCATTGTAAAACGAACAAATAAGGTCAATTTTGAGGATACCTTGCCTGTCACGCCTCTAGATCGACCTTCAAAATGTCATTCACACAACTAACCTTACTGTATACTACAGAAGCAAATGACAAAAGCCAGTTTCAAGGCAAAACCAGTTCATACCGTCCAGACACAGGATCTCCTGTGATGCAAAATGACGGCAAACATCACAACAACCCCTACGATGCATTCCGTTTGGCGAGCTCAACCGCCATGACGACCCCAGAAAAACCTGCGATATACCAGCCCATTGTCTGGAGCGAACCCTGCTCATTCCGCCTGTAACCGTAGTGGATCGCACACACCGCAAACCCCAACCAGGGCCCCGGATATGCAGCCCAGATAATCCGATCTGTGACATTTACCCGTGAATAAAAGTCCTCCAAATTCCCAAGCTCCAAAAAATCGCAGATCGACATACCTTGTGGAGCCTGCAGTCCCAGTTCAGGCAGGAAAAGAAGACCGAACATCGTCGCCACCAGCACGGAAGCAGTGGTAGCGGCGTCTAGCACAGAATCAGCACATCTTCGCCCATGAGATGAAGGTGTTGGAGGTCCCATACGTTTGCTAATCTGTGTAAAATGGTCTTGTTCGCAACAAACACGTTCGTCCTCTCTGATCGCACGATACAAGCATAGCCCAACGTTGTCGCCAAAGACACGCTGCAGGTGGTCCAGGGTCGCCGCCCGTAGCTCACAGCCTCGACCAATGTCCCAGTGCATTGCTTGTTCTGTGGCAAAGTCTACTGTGACATGGTGTTTGGTAACGAGGGCTTGGATGATGTACTTCCGGACTTCCTCTGCGGTGGCGGACTGGGATGGAATGGTTCTTGCATTCATTGTCTCGTCCATTGCTGTTGGTACTTTTCTAAAAAACGTAAGTTCGATAAGATGGAAGTCGCGAGTAAGGCGCTCTACTTTAGTTATATAAGTAACTGCCTATAGTCAAGCAGTATGTTGGCGGTGCAGAAGGCTCCGGGGCTAAAGCAGTGGGGCGAGCCCCGTTGGACGAACAGAGACCCCTGATTCTGCCCAGAAAGGAGTAATGCACGTCGTAGCTATTTTACTGGTGAGTGTGTTGGCACCATGGATTGTATTAGGCTAAGGTTTCAGTCTAGGCGTCAGCCTCACGAGTCTCTGATTATCTTGCCGCTGTTCTGGATGTGGAACCAGGTGGACCTCCGTTCCAATTCGAAGGTTGGTTTAGTGAGAAAGGAAAGCCTAGTTTTATGGATAACTAAAAGGTTTTACTATGAATATGCGAGGGAGGAAGAAAACACAGATTTGTGAGTTGTCCCTCTGGAGGTACTAATCTCGGTATCTACAGTCACCCACTCAGTTTCCGCTACAACGACAGTCAATCCACAAGAACAAAGACGCTGCGCATTCCTTGAGTCACACTCCTCTGAAGCTTCATCTTCAAGCATCCAAAACATCAACAACCCTCCCTGGCTTTGCCTCCCCCAACCACCGAGGCTCACTTCGAGCCGGCTCCAACGTTGGCCCATTGGGGTTGCCCACGAACTTGTTACACCAACCGATCACCGTCTTCCACCACACCAGACTATTCTCCCGCCCTTGAACAAAGTGATTCTCGTCCGGAAAATTCAGCATCCGCGTCTCAATGCCCTTGAGCCGACACGCCGCATACGCCGCCCACCCCGCCGTACTGGGACACCTGAAATCCTTATCCGAGTGGATAACAAGCAACGGGGTGGACCAATTGGTGAGATACTCGGCAGGATTCCACTTCCTCCAGACTTCCTTCGCGCTGGCTGGCTCACGGTCCGCGGATAGCGCGTCCGTGAAATACGGCGACCCGAACGATCGGGTCAGTTCCTCTATCTGCGCCAGATCATCGCCCAGAAGCTCGGCAACGACATCAAAGACCCCGTCATGGCAGACGAGCGCCTTGAGTTTCTTGGCGAGGGGCTGCCCGGCGACCCACAAGGCCATGTATCCACCGTAGCTGGCGCCGGCGGCTACGGCGCGGTTGATGTCGCATTTCGCGGACAGATTCTGCTCGACCCAATTGAAACACCGCTCGATGTCATGGTAAGGATGCCCGCCCCATTGAAGCTGGACACCGCGCGCAAAGTCGCGGCCGAAGGAGTCTGATCCGGTGAAGTTGGGGATCGCGACGATGTACCCTTGCTCCGCGACGAGGGCGGCGTTCCAGCGCCAGGTCCAGGCGTCTTTCATGGCGGAACTGGGGCCCCCGTGCATGAGTATGAAGAGAGGATGCTTCTCAGCGGACGCCGGGTCGTAGTCGGATGGCTTGAGGATCCAGCATTGCACGGGGGTTTGACCATCCGGTCCGCCGGGGAAGATGATGGATTCGACCTGCTTGTCGGAGATACCGAAATAGGCGCCATAGTTGGATGTGGTGTATATGATCTCGCTGCTTTGCGCTTGGTGAAGGCCGGGGGTGGGCGGGGTGACAATGGAGAAAAAGCCTTGGTCGACGAACGAGGACGAGGTGGCCAGGAGCCGGGTGTCGGATTCGGATTCGCCTAGTCGGGACAGAGAAGACACGGAGCCAGAGATGTCCAATGCCTTGGGAACCACAGTTTGGTGCTTGCACGCATCTACCGGTGGTATCGACACTCGAAACACCCGCGCTCGAGCCTGTTGATTCGCAGTCAAATACAAACTCGCGCTATCGTTGGCCCAGAGCAGCTCGTCGGGAAACACATCCCAATTCTGACTACTATCTGCTTCATCGATTGTCCGGAGGAAGGCCGTGATCTTCAAGGTCTCCACGTCGACCAAGCCAATAGTCTTGTGCGACCACTCCTCGCTGTCCTGGTCCACTAGAAAGGCGGCAATGGGCCCTTTTGGAGCGAAAGTCGGCGCTGACACAATGCTTGCATGGTCCGGGATATGAATCTTCTTGACAGATGGCACCTCAGTCTCTTCAAATGTCGACAGTGGGATGAAATACAACGAGCTTTCCGTTTTCACCCAATCCGTGCCCTTGGGCTCAGTCGATGTGAAGATGATCCCGTGCGTCGAAACGCTCAGTTCCGCCGAACTCGAAGAGTCATTGTAGAGTGGCACGACCAGCCCCGTGTCTCGTAAAGCATTGATAGGGCCAGTCGTAGATAGACGCCATTTGTGGTTGTCGCTATCGAATTTCAGCACGGTGTACCAAATGACCGATCGAAACTGGTCATTGAAGGTATCCCATCGTCTCGGACGAGTGTATTCCCATTCGCGAGCTGTGGAGTGCGGCTTCTCGGCTTTTGCTGTGTTGTAGAGCTCCTGCTTGTCGTCGGCGGGAGCCGTGAAGACGAATGCGATATCCCCGTTGTCCAAGACTTTGGTCCTCACGTCTTTCAATTTCGCATCGATGGTACCGGCCAGGTATGGTCTGATGGTTCCAGAGAGTCTCTCTTAGCCTTTCCTAGCCCTCCTTCGTCCATCATACATGAACCACTCACCGCTTTGTGTTGTTAGCATGTCCGATCCACAACTCCGTATTCTTATCCTTCTCGCCCTCCCTCTGCCACAGCAAGGATGACCCACGCAGCCACCGAAACGAGCTTTCCTTGGGATCATTGCTGTATCGCGTTGATTGCCTGGTTTCGATGTCAAGGAGATGGACATCTGTGAAGTCAGTGTGTGTCTCGAGGTCGTAGGTCGAAACGGTGTAGAGCGCCAATTTCCCCTCATCATTCGGTACTGCTGCTGAAGTCCGCGGAGCAGTAATCAGGCGTCTACACGGTCGGAGGGCACCTGATTAGCTATACGACCATCTTTAAGAGAATCTCAATGCACGTACTCGGGGGTGAATATCTTCTGGGTCGGCATATTGAATCAAAAGTTTATGGTGAGACAGACAATCCAGTGAGGGGAAGGCCGTTCTTATTAATACGACGCGGATAAGAACCGGAGCTCCGACGCTGTACATACAGTACAGATGTCAATGATCCGAGGCTAGCCTACTGTAGTTAGCGATCGTTACGCGGAGGAGGCACTGGGCATGCATAGTAAGCACTCATGGATTATGCCATGCCGTGGCCGTGTGGCACCTTACTGGGGAGAGCTGCGTTGGGTTTGGTGTGGTCCGCCTCTTACAATCTCTAGAACCGGTCCATTGTGGACGGGTCATGCGACAGTTATAGGCGCTTGGTAAATCAAAAACATTGATCAATGCTACGATGACAAAAGAGGAGATAGAATAGTTGTCGAAAGGCATAGGGTCCGGTCTGACACGTGACGGCCCTACAATTGCCCTACCTTCGGCCAAGTCAATCCACTCAGCGTCTGCCCCGTAATGTTGAATGAGATTATGAAGATACAGAGATTTCTTTTAACAATCTTCTGCTTCTCTTTCGGCCTCTTTATCCACAGGAAATCATAATTTTGCTCCGTCTGTGAGTCTAATTCCTCTTAATGAGCTCATTCGAAGTACATCCAGGAGCAGCACCTTCATTCATACAATGTACAAGTAAGCTCCAATGCCAAGATTGTCACCTAGCTGAGAGCACACACACCATTCCTTCATGCATATATTTTGTGAGTTCTTCGACCAGAGATGCGCAAGACTGTGCTCAGCTGAGAACGACACACAATCAGGGTAATCCCAGCCGAGAGCCAGCCCACCGATTCCATCTCAATTTCCATCTGTCGCGATCTTACCAACGCATGCAGAGTCATGTCTTTGCAAGAGAGCTTTGACAGAGCCACCAAGGACGTCCTGAATCTCCCAGAGAGACCCTCGAATGAAGAGCTTCTGCAGGTACAGAAATCTTGATCTCCATCTCTCCCGCGCCAGCAACATATTGACCGGCTACATTCCCAGCTCGACGCGCTCCCTAAACAAGGAAGTGGCGCGTACTTCAGCTTGTAGATAATCTGAAGGCAGAATATGGGACGAAGTTGACAGGCGTGACGACTTGGTATACATGGGACCCGAGTTGATGTGTTGGAAGTGATTTTAAAATGGTTTTTATTGCGACAGGGGATGTACTGTAAAGGTCGTCGGCTAATCACTGGAATCACACTCCAATATTTGCACAGCGAACACAGCATCCCAGAGACATCCTTTCTACTCACTTGGCATTGCATGTAAATATAGCAGCCATACTCATTCATCCCTGTTCTTCCCATGATCTCATCCCTGACCATTCCCAGCATACCAAGATCTACACATCCCAGGCGTGGAATGCTACGCACAACCACCAAAACACAACAACCCCAAACACAGCGAACTATAAAACCACCCACCGACTCGACGCTTGTCCAGATACCATGTCACGAGCATCAGCTCAACAACCCAAGGGGCCATCAAAATGCACCTCCCCGCAGTCTCCAAATTCACCCTCACCCTCACCCTCGCCCTCCTCCCGGCCACCACCACCTCCCAGACCCTCAACATCGTCGCCCACCAGGACGACGACCTCCTCTTCCTCTCTCCGGACCTGCTGCACACCATCCAGTCGACCACCGCCTCCACGCCCGTGCGCACCATCTTCCTCACCGCAGGGGATGCGGGCGACTCCTCCCCGACCTACTGGCCGGCGCGCCAGTCGGGCTCCATGGCCGCCTACGCGCGCATGGCCAATGCCCCCAACAGCTGGACGCAGTCCACCCTCCCCGCGACCGCCATCCCGCTGTACACCCTTACCGCCAACCCGGCCATCTCGCTGGCCTTCCTCCAACTCCCCGACGGCAACCTGCACGGCGAGGGCTTCCCGACGACCGGCAACAGCAGCCTCGAGCAACTCTGGCACCAGGAGATCGACTCCCTCACCAGCTTGAACCCCGACCAGCCCGCCACGTACACCCACTCCACCCTGCTCCAAACCCTCAGCGAGGCGATCGCCGCGTTCAACCCCGTCCGCATCAACACCCTCGACTTCACCCGGGAGTTTGACGCGACGAGTCCGCCCGAGGGCGGCGCGTGGGCGGATCACAGCGATCACCTCGCGGCGGCCAAGTTCGCGCAGGCGGCCGCCGGGGACTGCGCGGCGGCGGGGCGGAACGCGGCGGAGGTGGTGGGGTACACGGGGTATCCGGTGCTGGATGTGCTGCAAGCGAGCGGGAATGTCGCGGGAGCGGATCTGGTGGAGAAGCAGTTGGCGTTCTACACTTATGCGCTCGGGGATTGGAAGACTTGTCGGGATCAGAGTGGGTGCAAGGGGGGCAATGAGGAGGGATGGTTGAGCCGGCAGGTGGTTGCGACCTCGTCTGGTTCGGTGGTGGCGAGTGCGGCGGTGGGCGCAGCGGAAGGGGGGTTTGGGGGTCGGTGGGGGTTTGTGAAAGGGGGAGAGCGGGTGGTGTTGGATGGGGAGGGGAGTTCGGGGGGCTCGACGTACTCCTGGCGGCAAGTGGAAGGGGTTCCGGCGCAGATTGACGGGGGAGAGAGTCCGCAGGCGACCATTACGGTCCCCGTTGCTTCTTCGGTGGGGGGAGATACCCTCGTCTTTGAGCTGGTGGTGTCTGGGGATGGGGCGGTGCGGAGTACCCCGGCGCGGGTGACTCTGTTTGTGGTGCCCGGGGAGGAGTTGGGGCAACAGGCGAGTAATATCACCGCCTCGTCGGAGAATACGGCGGATGGACAGTCGGCTGCGAAGGCTGTGGATGGGAGGGGGGGGGGGTATCCGGCGGATGCCACGATGGAGTGGGCGACGGTGGGTGGGAAGGAAGGCAGCTGGCTGAGGCTGGAGTGGGATACACCGCAGACCGTCTCGCAGGTCTATCTGTTCGATCGGCCCAACACATTCGACCAGGTCACTGGAGGCGTGGTGGAGTTCGAGGATGGCAGCAGTGCGGCATTTGAGGCGTTGTCCAACTATGGGGAGCCCAATTTGGTGACTTTTGCGCAGAAGTCGGTTCAGAGTTTGACCATCAGGGTTACTTCTGTCAGTTCCACAACGGGGAATGTGGGCCTGGCAGAGGTCAAGGTGTTTTGACGGGCTTTGTTTCTTTCTTAATGTACAGCAAATGGATTTGTAAACAGTGTATGAATATCGGATCAAGCCTTGCATTCCCACCCGTCGAGTCATAAAATCAAAATGAGTTGTTCTTCTGAGATGTATATAGAAGGCGACCCTTGGTTGATATCGGTCCGGCCCGAGCCCAGAGCACCGCGTCTTGGAGAGGCCACAAAAGAGAGCTCGCAGGAGTGATTAAAGAAACGATCAATGCTTCTGGGTGTGTTGTTCAGTACTGGCAATATCGACTCACAGCATGATATCAGCTATTCCCCAGCGTACAGCCTCAGAACAAATCACGAATGATATGACAAGTAGGATCCAGGTTAACTGCATAGCCATCCAGGAGGCAAGTTCCACAGAAACTCCAAGTCAGCATCAACGCTATCCGAGACAGCGCCCGAAGACTCCAGAAACGAGCAGGTGCCGATGAACTTGACGTATGACTAGGTGTGTGAGGGGGTGGGATTTAACAAGTACTGGATGAGTTCTGCAAACTTGTTCTGCCTTGATCTGGGGTTGTGTGACGAACGCTAACTGTTTGGGGTGATAGGATCTCGAGGAGAGGTACAAGTACGAATGAAGCTTCAGCCTCTAATGAAGGATGTGGGCTGAGACATTAGGGGCGACATATGCACAATAAGAACTCATCTCAAATCATTCCGAGGGTTGGTCAAGCGATGGGCGCACCTGCACCGTAGGACCACTTGCGCACTTCTTGGGAACTTGAGAACATGCGAGGCTCAAGGCACTCATCCAACTCTATTCAGATACAATCTCTATTCGACTTGGTTGACTTGAAGTCAATAACTGTAACAAATGAAGATATGTACAAATTCAATTACAGTCAACGCAGTTGGCGATTCCCCTTTTCGCTTTACTCATCACTCGTTCGAGAACCTATGACGAGCACTAATTATTCGCAGCTACAGATATAATGTACAAGCAATCTTAACATGGGGCTTTGGGATGTTGGCCCCGCAGGTTTACCAAGACCTTAATCATACTCGTTCATCCTAGTTAATTGATATGTAGCCCTTGCGTGCACTAAATGACAGATCTGTCTGAGCAGATTGCAGTATTATTTCATTTCAGACTCTCTCATCCTATCCCCCTCTCACACCAATCATCCAATCCTCATACGGCGTCTGTTATCGACCCAGAAGACCCAAGAGAGCGGCTCTCGACCCGCAGAAGATCTTTTCGGAAGCGGATCCGCTCTCGGTCCATGAAGCCGCGCAGCAGCCACTGATTTACACCCAACATCCAGATATAAACCCTAACAAGAGACACATCATCCAAGACCCCCTGACACCTTCCCTTTCCCCCAACTGCACACAGATTACAATCGTTCATCATGACAAGCACGAACCCCAATCCATCCTCGCGCTTCGAATCCGCACCCTACATCCCCCCCGACCGAATCTTCGAACTGACCGCGCAATACCTCTCCGACCCAGCCAGTCCCAAAGTCAACCTGGGGCAAGGCACCTACTGCGACAGCAATGGCCAGCCCTGGATCCTGCCCGCCGTGGCCGCCGCGCGCGACCGGCTGGCCGCCACGGGACTGAACCACGAATATCTCCCCATTCTCGGCCACCCGGTGTTCCGCACCCTGGCGCCGCGTCTCGCCCTGGGCTCCGCGCTCCACGCCACCCTCTCCTCGCAGATCGCCACCTGCCAGGCCCTGTCCGGAACGGGGTCTCTGCATCTCGCCGGGGTCCTGCTCCGCTACCTCCAATCCCAGACCTCGCCCACCTCACCCTTACCCAAAGTCTACATCCCGACCCCCACCTGGTCGAACCACCACCAGATCTTCACCTCCCTCGGCTTCGAAGTCGCGACCCTCCCGTACTACTCGGCCACGACGCGCTCCCTTGCGCTGGAACCCTACCTCGCCACGCTGGCCGCCGCCGAGCCCAACAGCGTCGTCATCCTGCACGCCTGCGCCCACAACCCCTCGGGCTGCGACCCGAGCCTCGCGGAATGGCGGCAGATTGCGCAGACTGTCAAGGACCGACACCTCTTCCCGCTCTTCGACGCGGCGTACCTCGGGTTCAATTCGGGGGATCTCGACCAAGATGCCGCGGCGATTCGGCTGTTCGCGGGCGAGGAGTTCGGACTCGAGATCGGGGTGTGTATGTCGTTTGCGAAGAATATGGGGCTTTATGGTTTGTCCACCTCCCGAGTCTCCAGTTTGTGTTCTCTTGGTCGGAGGGATTGGGGGGGGGGGGCTTCTGTCCGAACGGAGAGTAACAGTATGAGTGAGAATTGCATGGGCTAACGCGGACCAGGCGAACGCACGGGCTGCTTCTTCCTGACCACCCACCAGGAAACGACAGCCCGGAATACGGAGTCGGTGTTGGAGGTGCTGCAGCGGCGCGAGGTGTCGAATCCGCCCGCCTACGGAGCGAAGATTGCGGCGCTGATTCTGGGCGACGAGGGGCTCACGGAGATTTGGAAGGAGGATTTGCGCACGATGAGTGGGAGAATTCGCGAGATGAGAGAGCGCTTGGTGGAGGGGTTGGTTCAATTCGGTGGGTGGTCCTGATCCCATTTTCCGTGCGTTCAGAGTGACTTGAGACAGGGATTGATTGTGCTGACGGTTGTAGGTGCACCGGGCGACTGGGAGCATTTGGTGCGTCAGACTGGCATGTTTGGCTTCCTCGGGCTGGATGAGGAGGTCGTGAAGGAGCTTCGAGGTGAGTTGAGCTGTTGGTTTGAACAGTGGTTGATGGGTAGGTGTATGTATGCTGACAGTGACCAGAGGAGGATCACATCTACATGGCGGATAATTCACGCGTATCCATTGCCGGATTGAACCCGGGAAATGTTGAGTATGTGGCCAAAGCCATTGCAGAGCGGCTGCGGAAGCGCAATGCTTAGAGAAGAGTCCTGAACCAGACTGGCGATGTAATACAAGGCAGATGATAATAGGAAATAAACCAATGCTCCTGGGTGGCTATAGCTTGTCCCTCGCAATACTCCGCCAAAAGCAGCCTTCGACCGCTACAAGTTGACATGGCATGATCATTGTGGTTGGGTCACTCTTGCAGTTCGGCCAGATTGATATCAAAATCAGGTCAATCTGTCCCTGTCATCATACCTACCAGCCGACCGATATATGGACCTCCAAGATCTTCCATGACACGCCGTAGCTGCATAGCCAGGGCAGTCGTATCCTCCACATCACAGATGAAATATGAGAGGACGGGGCCCCAGACGCACTATCATCATCAATATCATACAACATGGGACGAGTTCTCGGATGGGAACGTACCACGTCCACCCACTGAGACGAAAGATTCGTGAGCCCGTAGACTATATAAAGATCCATCTCTGTCCCCATGACGCATTCCACCCACCGATCCACCATATTTCCCCAGCTGGCACTAACCACATTTAGTAGCACTGAAGCTATACACTATACCTTACAACTTGAGTGATGCTGTTATGCGTGAGGCTGCTCAGATTCAGTAACAAAAACGTTCTTCTCAAAGCAGTCTTAATTATTGCCTAATAAAAACAAGGAGCAACTGTAGTGCTCACAGGTCTGACACTTGAAAGTCCTTGAATCACTGATGTTGACGGTCTGTACAGAGAGCGAGTGATGGATTTCAACAAGATGCAGCCCTTGCGGTATCAGCCTTCTCTAGACTTTGAGATCTATGTGAATTTATCCGTCTGGCCTCGAAGAAATCACCATGTTACCGCACCTCCAGACTCACAGTCGATTCTAGTTCAGCATGTTCCGCACGACCTCCGCCCTGCACATAAGAAGCTGTTAGCATCATCATCATCATCTGCTCTCTCCCAACCTTCAAGGCACTCACGCAACAAAAGTCCCAGCAGATGCCGGCATCGCTCTCAACAAGGCCGGTCCAATACCATGAAACATGCCCCTCAACCCACTCACAGCCCACGTGTCGCGCACCGCCTGTCCCACACCATGGTACTTCCTCTGCGGTCCAAAGCCATCACTCTGCATCTTACTCTTGATTACATCAATCGGATGAGTCAACAGCCAGAGCGCCTCCCCGGCCAAGCCTCCGTACACCGCAATCTGCCAGCCCGGTAACTCCTCGCGCCGTTTGCCCTGCCGATGCATCGCCCATCGCATCAGCCCTTCATACGTCGCGAACCACACTCCATACCCATGCATCTCACGGGCCACCGTCATCACTTGCCCGCGATACAGTCCAGCCAGCCCGCCAGCCCTCATCAGTTTCCAGGCGCAGTCAAACGGCCCCATGTAGATCCGTCCCGCACCGTGGGATTGTGTCTGGAGTCGGATGCGGATATGCTCCACTGGGCCGGAGACAATGCTAGTCACCAGGCCTGCACCGGCACCAGCGACGTAGAACTGAGGGAGGGAAAGGGTCGGGTCGTGCGAGGGACGGGTATGGCGGTTGTGCGATTCCAGCACCTGGCGGAAGGTGTGCAGGGCTCCGAACGAGATGCTAACCTAGACAAAAGGTTAAGGCTTCAGACAGAACTCGGTGGGGGATGCAGGATACGTACGCAAGCGCCGACACCGAGCAGCGGCATCAGCGTACCCTTGTAGAACGCGAGAGGACCTTCATGGGCCCATATCTGGCGAGCAGCGGACCAAGCATTGCCAGCCTGTTGGGTCTGCAGACGGACCTTGACGAGGTCTATGATGTGAGATTGTCTCCCTCTGAATGGAAGGGCTTGGGGTGGTGGTCGTCGCTTACCGAATGGTTGTCCTAGACATGTCAGTCTTGCTTCTGGCTGCCTGTACGGATACTCTCACCGATAAGGACTTGTGCGACGCCTCCAGCTGCGCCAGCTGTCACGTCTTTGGCGGTTTGCTTCCATTCTTGAGTGCTCTGCGGTTCCAGTTGGGGAATCTGGTCGCTCATGTTGGTATGAATTCTGCTTGTGGGGGGAAAGTCTCAAAAGATGGTAACAGATACTGTTGGGCCCTCTGTCGCCGATTACAAGAGGGGTTGATGCTTGATGTACGCATCCTTCATGTTCGGGTCTTGTTCCGAGAGTCTCTCCGCAGCCATCGCTGTGTCTCGGCTTCGAACGCCGACGCTCAAGACGGTTGCCAAATGCTCGCCTTGATAAGGACTATCTTCTGCTCTGCAGACGCCGGGTCATTGGATCATCCCTCTTCGTGCGAGGTTATCCAGCTTATCATATAGCTTTATCCGCCACAAACCTCCAGAATACGGTGGAATCTGGATCCATCATTGCCTCTACAATAGGTACCATTGAGAAAGAAGTTGACTTCTTTCAAGATTTATCGATTGAGCTTTGGACCGCATTAACAGCGATTCTTTACCTTGGTTGTTTAGACATTACTAGATTTGGAATTTACCACATAGCTTGTTTAGTAAGGGAGACAAAGTACTCCTCGCAGAGCTAATTCATGCGGACGAACAGTGAGGAGGCGTGAGTGCAGTTGGCTTGTTCCAGTCGATTGAATCTTGATTCTAGTCGTAGTCGCTCAAGATAAACCAGGCTCGCTGCAGTTCAAGATCATAGTATTTTTGATGATTCTGCAGTGATTAGCATGCAAGGAGGGGCTTGCGCGGTAAAAGACAGGAAAAGGGTACACTAACCATATGATGATTCAAGCCACTACTTACTCGTGCTTGCCAAGCCACTATGCTCATTTCATCTAGGTGTGAACGTCATGCGTGGAAGCAGATGCTATTAGTCCTCTGCCCTGTTTCTGGACGGGCATTATGACCCGAGGCCCGGCCTGTCAGGGCAGCAGTGGCCGAGATCACTATCTATGCTTATCTGATCCGATGGCAGGCCAGCTGGCAAACGGCGAGGTAACTTGTTTGAGCATGGTCGTCACGAAACTGGGTCACATGGACCATGCTGTCAGCCCTAGGATCTAGAGGATCGACGAGAATCTGAACCTCTGCTGGTCTAGAAGCTTGCTGCATCAAGTGCGGAGTTAGAGCAGGTTCGTGCCTTTATATTCAGTCATATAGCGAAGATCAACGCACTATGCCTTTCGACATGATTCAAGTCGACTTGAGACTTTGAATCAGCTCTGTCTCAAGCTAGGTCTAGACTATCAATTTCCTCTAATTCAGACATGAACATTCATTTGCCACCACACTATAGACTCCATTCAGCTTCGTGTCCAGAGATGTTATGGGTGGCGATTCAGTTACCTGAACTGTTTGAATCTGTGCCACCGCATTCGGCTTGAAGCTTTATCTCAGGGGGAAGCTCGCTTGGTCTACTGTTCTATTAGTGAACGATCCCGACGTGGAGACTGTTGCAAGTGCATGTTGACTCATATGTCTGCCTCTCGTTTTTTTTAGTCATGGAATACAGATTGACCCTGTTGAGACAGCCAAGACTGTCACTATCCAGGGGGCACTTCCAACAGTATGTGACTCAGAACAGCTTCTCATCCTGCAGCAAAGCTCAATGACCATGCTATTGAGCTGCTATCGCCGACTTCACCACCGAGTGTGGGGATGGACTGGCAGCACAGTTTTAGTTTGTCACGAATAGAGATTGACTTCCGTTATACCGCCAATCAGACGGACGGTATCCCTGGGATTCCCCAGATCTTGACATGGGAGTTGATATGGGAGCAGGAATCGGAGGCGCATCGGGCCAGACCCCGGAGTGACTCATGTGACTGACCCCGAAGCGGGAGCCGACCCTAACCCGATTCAGCCAAGGCTGCTTGCGGTAACCCACGGTTAACTTCTGTCTGAGCCAATCAGAAGCCAAGCAATCCGACATCGGCCGGGGAGGTAATGCTCAACTCCGGGTCACGTGGTTTGCCTCTGGCCGATCTCGTCCCCAGCAACGAGTTTATAAACTGGACGAGAAGCTCCAACTGTCTCTTCCCTTCCTCTTCTTCATCTCAATTTTTTCCCACTCTCCTCTCTTCTTCCTCATCCTCCCCTCCATCTTCCTTCTTCCATCTTCCTTTCATCCTTCTCTTTCCCTTCTTCGCACACACATCACAATGGCCTCCCGTGGACTTCCCCGTGCCCTCCGCCTGGCCCGCGTTGGTGCTCCTCGCTCCGTGCTCTCCGCCGCCCTTCCCCGGCCCGCCCTCAAGGCTGCCGCTGCTGCCGTTCCCCGCGTGACCGCCGCCCCCATCACCCCCGCCCGCGGTGTCAAGACGATGACCTTTGCCGACAGCCAGGAGACCGTCTACGAGCGTGAGGACTGGCCCCGTGAGAAGCTCCAGGAGTACTTCAAGGACGACACCCTTGCTCTGATCGGCTACGGCTCCCAGGGTCACGGCCAGGGTCTCAACCTCCGTGACCAGGGCCTGAACGTCATTGTTGGTGTCCGCAAGGATGGTGCCTCGTGGAAGGAGGCCATCCAGGACGGCTGGGTGCCCGACAAGAACCTCTTCGACGTCGAGACCGCCGTCAAGAAGGGAACCATCGTCATGAACCTCCTGTCCGACGCCGCCCAGTCCGAGACCTGGCCCCAGCTGAAACCCCTCCTCACCAAGGGCAAGACCCTGTACTTCTCCCACGGTTTCTCCCCCGTCTTCAAGGAGAAGACCAAGGTCGAGGTCCCCACCGACATCGACGTCATCCTGGTCGCCCCCAAGGGCTCCGGCCGCACCGTGCGCACCCTCTTCCGCGAGGGCCGCGGCATCAACTCCTCTGTCGCTGTCTTCCAGGACGTCACCGGCAAGGCCAAGGAGAAGGCCATCGCCATGGGTGTCGCCGTCGGCTCCGGCTACCTGTACGAGACCACCTTCGAGAAGGAGGTCTACTCCGACCTGTACGGTGAGCGTGGCTGCCTGATGGGCGGTATCCACGGTATGTTCCTCGCCCAGTACGAGGTCCTCCGCGAGCGCGGCCACTCCCCCTCCGAGGCCTTCAATGAGACCGTCGAGGAGGCCACCCAGTCTCTCTACCCCCTGATCGGTGCCAACGGCATGGACTGGATGTACGCCGCCTGCTCCACCACCGCCCGCCGCGGTGCCATCGACTGGTCCGCCAAGTTCAAGGACAACCTCAAGCCCCTCTTCAACGAGCTCTACGACGCCGTCCGCGACGGCACCGAGACCCAGCGCTCCCTGGACTACAACTCCCAGAAGGACTACCGCGAGAAGTACGAGAAGGAGATGCAGGACATCCGCGATCTCGAGATCTGGCGCGCCGGCAAGGCTGTTCGGTAAGCTTATTTTCCCCCCAACTTTACCGTTCTGACTGAATCAATGCTAATCATACCGTCTACAGCTCCCTCCGCCCCGAGAACCAGAAGTAAACACCCTCCTACTTCTTCTCTCTTAATTTCTTTTGCAAACACGGGATATAAAAAAAAGAATGATCCCCTGGGGGGAAAAGTTTTTTTTACGACTGTACTATGATCTGATTACTTTTTTCTCTTTTCTTTTTACCAAAACCTACCCATTGGTGTATAATCGGGAATCTCTTTTAAACTACAAATACCATCAACATTTCACTTCAACTTCTTTTCGCATGGTAATAATCTCGATTTGCTACCTAGCAAAAAACCCCATTCATATCAGAATTTCTGGCGAGGAAAAAAAAAAAAGTGTATGAGTCATCGACCGACAAATCCGGGGAAGGGTGTCGTGCCCCTCCAAGTCCGGCCGGTCAAGGCTTTTCGCTTGCACCCTTTCCCCCCCCCACTTAATTCCGCGGGCGATTGACTGTGCGGTCCGGGCTCGGCTGCGCTGCAGCTGCAGCTTCGCCACCTGCAGTACGCGAGTCGGGGAGCGGGCGATTACTCCGGGGGTCCCGAAAACTAAGCTATGCGCTAGTACTGTGACTATTTGTATGTTTTTAGATCCCGATATCGGGGATAAGGGACGCCATGCTTTCGCTCCCGGTTTTATACATCATACTCCTGGGCTTGGGAAGTCTGGCGACTGGTTTGTTGATAGAGAAGAAATGGCTTTGGCTCGTAGCATAATGTTATTCAAGAGTCGATTTATCAAGTAGAACCTGTGACTCCCTTAGAGGGCAATGACAATGAACTAGATGAAAACTGAACCTATCAATATATATCCCCGGTCACAACACCCATTACCTGCTCACCCCATCACTCCAATACTATGACACCTCATCACGGGCAGCATTGGGATACTCACTATTGACCCTCACATTCCTACTACCCGCAGTATGTACAGCATAGCTACTATGTCCTAGCGATGTGACAGAGATATCAGCAATCGATTTTCCCTGGGCCCTCCCAATTGAGACGAAACGGTGCTCCCAGACAAACCCCCACATTCGCCCTTTCCTGATCGTCTCGGGGCGCTTGGGACAATTATGATATATAGTCTAGCCGTATGAGGAACTAGCAAATAGATTCCCACTTCCGAGCGGGACTAAGTGGTAACTCGAAGTACCTGGAAAGCCAGCCGTACCCGCTGCCTGAGGCTATCCATGATAGCATACCCGCATGTCACCACCACCATCATCATTGCCGGATTTTCAACCCGCTCATGATGCATCCATGACATCTCTTCACTCGCCGGAGGTAAGAAGAAAAAGGAAATCACCGGGGCTGGGGTTCGAACCCAGAATTCCTTAGGACGTGCGGTGTGTTTCCCGATTACACCACCCCGGCCTGCGTTGATAGAGTAGGACCAGCTCCAGATCATGCCAGCCCCGTTGCTATTCTTCGAGGGCCTCAGGCCCTGGGGCTACTATGGCCTTCGATGACGGCGATTTACGTATCTGGGGGGACACTTGAGCATAGAGGTGTTGACGGGCTCAAACATCACCACGGCGATTTACTTGAGTACTGACATCTCATGACCGACAGAACAATACCTCGAAGAAAATTGGTATATGTCTAACTCAGATCGAAAATCAGTCTCCATCTTGGAATCTAGTCACGCCTTTTCTTTCTTGTCCTTCTTCTCCTTCTTGTCCTTCGGCCGCGCGGCAAGGGTCTCCTCCGGGGGCGCAGGCACCGGGTTGGGGTTGCCCTTCCATTCGAGCTTGCGGGGCTTCATGTACGCCGCCAGCAGCTCATCCGTGACCTCCTTGCGCTTCTCCTGGAACTGCGCCACGTACTCCTGCAGCAGCTCGATGGTCATCTTCTTCAGCTCGCCCGTCAGAAGATCGCCCTTCTTGTAGCTGTTGTACACTTCCTCCAACTTGGCGTCATCCTCCTCGAAGTAGGTCATGTAGATATACGAGACGTCGACGTCGGGATTGCCGCCCAGGCGGCGGTGGTCTTCAATGCTGACTTGGCCACCGCTGAAGGCGTACTTGTTGATCTTGGTCTGGATGAAGGGGAAAGGTTAGAAGGAACTAATATTATTGAAAATTGGAGATAATACCTTGATCTGCTTGGCGCTATCGGTCATGAAGATAGCTGAGTTAGGCTCCGAGGCGGACATTTTGCCGCCAGCACCTTGTAGGGCCGTGAGGAACTTGGAGTGAATCAAAGCGGGCTTGGGCGAGGGAAACTTCATGCGGTAGGAGTTTTCGCGGAGGAGACGGAAGTAGGGGTCCTGGTCGATACCCATAGGGATCAGACATTGAATGTTGGCGATCTCTTGGGTGCGCTCTTGAAGAGGCTCGTCCTTCCAGATCTCGGGGTAGGAGGTAGCGAAAGCGGCGACACACTGCACGGCGGGGAAGAAGATGCGGCCAACGTTGGTGCTAGCAGACCGGATGTTAGCAATTCCCAGTGTGATGGGTCGGCCTAACCAAAAACATACCTCTCGTTGAAGCCGAATGCGCCACGGACTTGGTTGAAGGTGACCAGACTCGAGAATTCCCAGGCATTCATAAGGATGTGGTTGCTGATGTACTTCAAGTCACTGTAGATAAAGGTCTTCTTCAGGTCGAATCCCAGCGCAATGATATCTTTGGCGTTTTCCATTGCAAAACCCATGGCATCCTCGAATGAGATGTTGTCCTTGAACAAGGCCTTCTCGTCGTCCGTAAGCATGAACACGAGCGGAACGTCGAACACATCCTGCAGCCACTTGGTGAACTGCATGGGAATGGTGTGACCGAGGTGCAGACTGCCGCTACTGGGGCCACGGCCGGTGTAGAGGAAGAAGGGTTCACCGCGCTCGTAGAGGGTCAGGATGCGGTCGAAGTCACGGTGGCTGAAGAACAGGCCACGGCGGAGCCAGCGGTGCGGCTTGTGTCCGGTGACTTTCTCGAAGCGCTCGAGAAGCTTTTCATCGATGAGCGAGGTGTTCCATTTCCTGTATAGTACCAATTCTCATCAGCTCAGCACCGACTCGAGATACAAGTGGACAGACACATACTTGGCAAGTGCCTCATAATTGATGGCAACCACCTCGCCGTTCTCGTCGCGACCACCCTCCACGGACCAGGGGTTGATGTCCTGATCCTGGGCAGGCTTGTGCTCGGCCACGGGCGCGTTCTCAGCCATCCTGACAGTGTTTCCGAGGTCTGGAGGGAGAAAAGAAGAAGAAAAGGAGCTGAACAACAGGCCGGCGGAGTCACGGCCAGACCGAGGGGAGATTGACTGCCCCTCCAAATTTCCCCTTTAGGCAAAGAAAGCATCACGTGCGCCTGTCAATCCCGCCGGAGTCCCGCACTATCCCCGATTGGGTCCATTCACTCTGTTGGATCAGACAAACAATTGCCTGCACTCAATTGACTGCAGAGGACATTTGGCTGCTCGACGTATGACTCATATGTGTCTCTTGCAGCTCGTTGTCCATTCAGAACGAATACTCTCCGGTGCCGGAGTCATGGGGGAGAGGTTGACCGCGGATATCTTGTGGCTTGCGGTCAATTGCGCCATTATCTCCGGAGCCTTGCGCATTCCCCCCTCAGGAACACTTCTCCCCACAAACTCTCCCATGACAGACTGACCGGACGTATTCAGAAGTCATAGAACTCACAAACTCCCATAATGTCTGATCCTAAAGTCTTAGTTCAATCCCTTACTCCCTCCGCTGTCCAGAATGCCTATTCCCTTATCCAACCCTACGTGCACCGCACGCCCCTCCTCACCAACCAAACCCTTAACGAGATCGCCTCCACCCCGCAGTCCCCCGAGGCATTGAACGGGACACCCTTCGAAGGGCAACCACCCGCCAACCCAAAGTTCAGGTTCTTCTTCAAATGCGAGAACTTTCAGCGGATTGGCGCCTTCAAAGCCCGCGGCGCTTTCCACGCCTTGCTGCGACTCATCGCAGAGCGGGGTCAAGAGGAAGTACAGAAACGCGGGGTGATCACGCACAGCTCGGGTATGTGACGGGAGTATGATTCTTGGAGGATGCAAGCCACAGACCACTACGGTGTTCTCGGCTAACACTTCACAGGGAACCACGCCCAAGCTCTCGCCCTCGCCGCCTCCACCCTCAATATTCCCGCCTACATAATCATGCCTGAAATCAGCACGCCTTCGAAGATCGCAGGAACCCGTTCTCACGGTGCAGAGGTTATATTCAGCGGATCGACGAGCGTGGAGCGTGAGGCTGTCGTTGAGGAAGTGCAGGCACGGACGGGGGCAATCTTGGTTCCACCCTACGATGACTTCAATGTCATCTGTGGGCAGGGCACAACGGCCTTGGAGCTTGAAAAGCAGTACAGTGATCTTGTTACGGAAAAGCCGCAGCTGAGTATTCATCAAGAAAACCCAGTCTTGGATGCTGTGATCACTCCTGTCGGTGGAGGTGGTCTCAACGCCGGTGTCGCAACCTTCTTCTCAGATAAGACGACTAAAGTATTTGGTGCGGAACCCAGTTTCGAAGGTGCAGATGACTGCCGGCGTGGTCTTGAGGCCGGGGAGCGTGTCTCGGCAGTATCAACTCTCACAATTGCTGACGGATTGCGCACTCCCGTTGGTCTCTTGAACTGGGAAGTAATCTCCGACAAGAACAAGGTGGCTGGCGCTTTTTCCGTGACAGAGGAGCAGATCAAGGCCGCGATGAGGTTGGTGCTGGAACGCATGAAGGCTGTCGTCGAGCCTAGTGCTGTCGTCGGGTTGGCGGTTTGTCTGTATAATGAAGACTTCCGGCGAATGGTCCAAAACCAAGCTCCCAACGGTTGGGACGTAGGCATTGTATTCAGCGGAGGCAACACCACAGTTGAAGCGATTGCCAAGCTATATAGCTGAGTCGGTGGTCGCTCGGTGGGAGAACGTTCAGTCCCATATGTAAATACCCAATCATAGTCATCAACCCAGTTGCACTCCGTCTCTGCCAATCCGGAAGAAGAACAGGCCTCCATCTAGCGCTTCGATACCTTCGAGCCATCTCCGCGGCCACTCCTCGCGCCCCCACATATTAACCCATCCAGAGAATCTCCCGCGCATGACTATGTCCTGGCGCTTGGCTGCAATCTTTTCGACATCCAGCAACCCCAATCCAGCAGAAAATGGACGAACCATGTCGCGCTGGACGACAACTCGTAACGTGGGGAACGTTCCCCATGGCGCAGGGAGGGCTGATCGAAATGATGGCATTCGAAAGGCAGGCGCATCAGAAGGGTTGTAAAGGTCAAACGGTCCAGAAGGTTGGAACCCGTGGGAATGATGGCTCGCTGTTGCGGATGGGGCAGCTGTGGTGGTAAAAACGACAGCACAGCCAAATACGCGCTGCAGCCGCTTAAGTTCCCTTACCAAGTCCGCATACATGTCGAAAAGATAAAAGCTGCGTTTCTCACGCCGATCATTTTCGACCTCCGCAGCCAGGCGTCCTATGTCTCCCACCCGAGTAACTTCGTCTTGTAGCTTATCCTGCCAGTAGAACGCATTGGCGCTGTCTAAAATCAGTAGTGAGAGCGCTCGCGGACCGGACGCATGGCGGGTAAGATCCAGGAGGTAGACGTCAAGCTGCTGAAGAGTGGCGAGCAGGGCGGACGAAGAGGTAGGACGGAACACATGGACATGCTGCAAGCAAGAGACGATCATTTTCTCTGTTTCCTCGTCCAGCAGATCCAGGTCTTGTGCTCCGCATCTGACCTTGACAATTCCACGAAGTACACCGCGAAGCCGCTCGGCATCGAAGCGTCCATCAGTGTCCATGAATACCACCGTCGATCCACGGCCTTCCAGCTGTATGCCATAGAGCTCAGATGGTAAAATAGCAAGGGCAGTCAAATAGTACAGCAAATGCGACTTTCCCGCTGCGGAGGACGTGCTGGAAATCTCCAAGACTGGGTTAGTATGGCTCGTCTGCCCTGGCCCTCTGACACCAGCAAGAGAGTCGGCAACTGCATCAATATGTCCAGACGGTATCTCATCCTCAATATCGTGTTCTGGACGAAGCTGTGGGTCTTCACGTGCTGCCTCTACATTCTGTCCTGACGGAGCGGATGCGGTGAAGATGTCGTGGAGGTCGTCAAGCTTGTCGACCCCGAGGCGAGTCTTCAAGGTATCCACTGCAAAAGTACCTTGATATAGCTCTCTTAGGTCGCATAGAAGCTGTAGGCCGGAGTCAGCGAGAAGGAAACAGAGAGTTTTGTCGAACGCGACCCGTAACCAGGCAACCAAGTATAGTATAGTATGATGAGCGACCACTGACCTCGTCCAGTCTCTCCTCATGCACTTCGGCGAGTAATCTCTCCCCAAAGCTAGCCGCCATTTTTTCAGTGAGCACCTGGAAGTCGTCATGAAAGAACTAGCATGTAGCCTGTAGCCGTAACTCATTGCATCCGACGGATGATGATGGAAGCAAGCAACCCACGAGCTCCGCCCGCACCGGCGCCGGAAGTGCTTCCGCTCTCCCTCCTTCCACATCTTCCCATTCCCCCGTTTCCACTCCGCAATACTCTATCAACCATATCGCCGAATACTGTACAGCAATTCCATCAGCACTCGCGAGGGAATCATACACACTCAAATACCGACTATAATACTAATTCAACCCCATTTTTCCTCGACCGAAACGAACAATGGCCCCCCTCGTCCCCGTCTTCCACGCCGAGACCCTCCCCGAACATGTCAACATTTCGACCAAGAACTTCCAAGAAAAGCGGCGCAAGGGCGGACCTGTCGATCTAGAGAAATGTCAGTTGCTAGAGATGGTCCAATACTCGTGTAATCCACCTCAGGGCGGGATCCCGAAGCCTGGCGTCATCGTCTGTCAGCCGGTTGTGCGCCTCTTTCGACGGTAGGGTTTCCCATTACCCCTTGCAGTCACGCGCGAGAAAGGGCTTCCATGAGTAGTGATTGCTGTTACTGCGGATACTTACTTTGCTATGATCAGATGCGCCGGGGGTTTGACTGTCGAGACGACTGCATGGGAACCGATTCGACTCCAGAAGGAGGAAGAGCGGAAGCGGGCTGCCGCAGAGCAGGCCGCAAAGGCATGAAGTGGACGAAAATTTGAAGTCGCATAGCATCGCTTACGGAGTCGGAGTTCTGAGATGTCTGGCGTTCAAGGTTGGGCCGGGATACTACGCAGCGGATGAAATGGTGAATCACAATTTTGCATTTGATTTTGACAGCTTCTACTCCTTGGGTATCTTCACGGCGATGCAATAGAAAAAGAAAGAAACAAGCTTGAACGCCCACGACGCCAGTGCTACTGCCGTACACGCAACATACAAACACCTCCCAGAATCATGTGCTCACCCAACTATCCACCCTGGACGCTCGATCATGCGACTCCTTCTTCGCCGGCGGCTGCTGCTGCTGCTTCTCCTCGGTCCTCCGCGAGCCTGAGGACGGCACTCGTCGCCAGAAATCCCGCTCGCAATTGATGATAGGCGGCAGCTCGATACTCAGCGCGAGCTTCGAGCGGGTCGGCTTGACCTCCGTGTCTAATCCGGCGCCCGAGTCGATTTCCATGGGCGCCGCCGGGCCCGGCACCGTGGCAGTCCGCTGCACCCGCTTGGCCAGTCCCTTGACGGTCTTCTCAAACATGCCATCCATCGTTTCGGTGCGACGGAAGCCCCACGGTTTCTTCTCGCGCGCCGAGGACCCAAATTGGTGGTCCTTGAAGGCGGCCCGCGCCAGCTTGCGCAGGGCCTCCTCGCCGTGTCGGCCGTCTTCAGTGGCGCGTTCGCGGATCTTCCGGGCGTCCTGCTCGCGCTCCGTGAAGACGGGCGTGTGGCGGTAGGTGTGTTTGCTCGGGAAGGCGGGGAAGTGTTTCGGGATGTGGGAGCTTCGGACGCGGTCGTTATCGCCGCTGAGCTGGGGCCCAAGAGATGGAAGGGTCTTGAAGGAGTCTTCTTCGGGTGGAGGGCTGGGCAAAAGGGTCGAGACGGGTTCAAGTCTTGGATGAGGTGGGATGTGCGGGAGGAGGTCGTTCGGAGAGACTGAGTGACGTCGAAGGGCGTCATCGAAATCATGAGGTATAGGTTGGATGCGTCGGCTCGCGAGCATAGATTGTCGTACGTACGACGCGACACTTAAAATATCTTGATGCAGACAATCGTGTGTTAGTCAACCAAATTGCGGCTTCTGTTTTATACCTCTAAACGAGACGCATAAACAGAGCAAACCCAGCATACATTCTTCAGTTACCCTGCGAAAGGCGTCCAGCGCAGCAGGGTCAGCAAGCTCGAACCCGCATGTTTGTAGATACTGCCCAATAGACCGGTTCAAGAGCTTGTCGATGCACGCATCGTCGACGATGGCGGGCTCGGGCAGAGCTGGGTTGACCGGGCTTTGCAGACGGTGGTGATGGTGGTAGTGACGCTTGACGCGCTTTGTATCGGAGACATTCAGTCCATCGTCAGGCAAGGAGGAGACGGAGCGCTTGATGGATGGTTGTTGCTCGACCATGGCGCCGATGTTTGGTCATAATGAGAGAGCTGGAAGGACTGAGAAGCCGGCGGGATTGACCCCGGATGCGGTTGGTCATGTGACTATATCCATAAGGCGCAGTGTGAGTGACACCTGAGGCAGAAACAACTTAGTGACATGAACAGACCCTCATTTGCAGATAATTTGAGATGGGTTATCACTTGTACCTCATAATATCAGTCAGAACATAGTATAATCCAAGTCACTGAAGACTCAAGTCCCGTATCTAAATCAGTGGAGAGCAGTTCGCAGCGTCAACCTCCCGTTTAGCCCAGTCAGGCCACTCACAGCGGTCGCTTACTACACCCCGGCCCGGGAAAGCTTCACCTCAACTTCCGACTTTCACTTCGACATCACCACTGCTTTCTCCTCCTCCACTTCCCCACCACCACCACCCTCAGTCTCCGGGTACAACTGCATATAAAAACTCACAATGGCTGCCACCATCAAGCCCATCACCGGCGTATGTCTCCCAATGCCAATTGCGCGGCCTGCCTGACCCGAAGCACCGATCATCCCACCCACCCCAGCCATGCCATGACACCATGCAATGGCAGCAGAATTACTCCACAGAGTATAGAGCTTTCATGGCTAACAGATCTTCAACCAACAGATGCTCCGCCGCACTCTGGTCCTCGACCTGAGCACCGCCTTTGGTGAGTTATCCTGACGACCCGGTCCCTGCCTGCCTGCGAGTCAAGAAGTCAATCGCACGTCAACCTCGACTACGACATGAGCAAGACCCCAGATGACACACGCCCTTTCACAACACACGACAAAACCAGGCGCAGCAACCACCATATCAACAGCCCACCCACCAACACCCTCGCGCTCATCCCCAATCTCAATCCCATACACATCCACCTCCCATGAAACCGAACCTCAAATCAGCTCGAACCCAAGACCCCCAAAACTAACCCACAATCGCTCTTAACAGGCTTCGGCACCACCTTCGGCTACCTGTGGTGGTACGGTACGTACAAATTCCTTCAATTTCAGCCCCTCGGGCTGAGCTCCCAATCTTCCCCCCCTTCCCCCTCTTCTGCTAAACAAATTTATCTAACACCCCCGGGGGAAAAAAAAGGCTACCACCTTCCCCGCGTTCGCGCTCGTGACAACTACTACACCCGCCTGGAGGCCGAGCGCGCCGCCCAGCAGGCATAGATAGATCTCGATGCGAATCCGACCTGATATCCTCGTCGCGGCTTTTGCTTGTCGAAAGATGCTGAATCGTTGTCGCTTGTTACTTTTGTTGAAGTAGTCTTTTCCAATCCAGATATTGGTCTATGTTCTCTATCCGCCTCTACTTAATTGGTTTGGTCGGGGGTGTGGCTGTGTATACTTACCTGTACCTTTGTACATGTATGTGGGCTGGCTGTCTTCGAGGATTAGGTTGAGGGCAGTTGGATTGGTAGAGGGGCCTTTGTGTGGTCTTTAGCTTCAAGGAGGAGTGGGAAGATGTGTGTTGTAGAATTGGGAATAGCTTTGTTGTATAGAGTAAGAGAGTCACAATTGATTGTCTATCGTTTTCCGTCATTAGATTTGGTTGTAGGGCATCTGCACGTAATCGTTCGTATTCGCTGCGGTTTTGCTTACTATTCCTATGCTATGAATAGAGTGATCTTGACCAGGTACTCAGCTCATGACCTGAAACCGAAGACTTCCGACAATCACACAAGCCATCATAGCAAGTCGTCGCCCAACGTCAGCATCCATTAAGAACAAAAAAGTCAAATCATCTTTCATTGATAACAGTAAAGCGAGACCATGAACACAAGCAGAACCAGGGAATCTATCCAGTCGCTAATAGAGAACAACGGGAACAAAACAAGGAAAAAGCCTTTTGAACGACAAATGCAATGCAACAACAACCTCCTCCCCCTCCTGCTCTTCAAGCCTCACCTCCACTCTCCACTCACTGCAACCTATCCTCCACTCCCGCCAAAAACCCAACTCAGCCTACCTATACCTCACACTCCCCAAACAAACCAATCCCCACCCATTTATCGCAAAACATCCTCAAATTTCACCCCCCTCACCATCCCTCCCTGCATCGCACTCCGCACATTTCGCTTAAACCCCTCCCGATTTGTCCTCAAATCCTCCGCCGCCTCCTTATTCAACGGATCGGAGGCATTCGGTTCCAGGAACAAGAATTGCAGGCCCACAATGACCGCATTCAGATTCAGCACGGGCTTCCAATCCTCGCGCAGAATATTCAGACACACATTCCCTTCCAAATCGATGTTCGGGTGGTAGATCTTCTGCGTGCACTTCACCTTGGGCGGGTCGTGCGGGAAGTTCTGGTTGACGTTGAAGGAGAAATTGAAGTGGCCGCCCTTATACATGCCCTCGTCGGGGGAGATCACCAGCACAAAGTTCAAGATGTCGTCCGGGTTGGGGAAGGTCATTTTCATGGTCGTGCCGAGGGTGAGTTCTTGGAGGTCTACACCATTCATATACTTTTGGTTAGTGGGTGGGAGGAAGAGTTCTGAGACAAAGGGCCTAGAGAGGGGGGCAGACTGGGAGAAGAGAGTGGGTGGGTGGGTTGAGAGCAAGCCACCGAGACTTTCTGGGAGGGAGGGGAATGGCTTACCTCTCTGGACGCGCAACTGAGCAGCCGTCACCTTCTTCTTCTTCTTGCCGGCGCCGCCTTCGGCATTTTCAGCTTGCTGCTGTTGTTGTTTCTATCCAGATCAAGTCCACGGCATCAGTATGAGTAGCAAAAGCGAAAGAGTTGGCGTGGAGGCAAAGGCAAATACCATCGACCAGATCTTCAACATCTTGACGGTTCGAGGCGCTCGACCACCACGTAGATCCTCTTTTAACGTTCAAAGTGTATGCAGATAATCTAGGCGGGATGCGCAGCCAGACTCGAATTCCAACGGCAGGGAAATCGCTCGAGGTGGTATCAGGTGTATGTCGGGGCGTGAATGGTAGTTGCGGAAGTCGGAAGATGCAGAGGGGAAAGCTGCGGGGTCCTCAAGTAAGCGATGCACGAAGTTTGCCACAACCCAACAGAAACGAAAAACGGTCCTGTCTGTAGATGTGTCTCTGGGGCCATGAGTTGCAAGGTCTACTCACACAAGCAGCACACACACCAAGATCCTCTTTCTTCAAAGCATCCAGGCAGAGACGGGGAGCGGAGAGAGCGGCGGCCTGACGCCATCTCTTCATGTTGGCACTACTCCTTCTGCCTCCTCCGCCCGCCTTCCCATCACCGCCTACAGCCACAGCCACCAGACACTCAGAATAATAAGTTAATTCTAATCCGCTAGTAGTTATTGTCTACAAACATCGCCATGCCTGCAGTCATTCGGAATGTGCAAATCCAATCAAGAAATGAAGAAAAAAAAAAAAAAGAAAAGAAAGAAAAGAACAGTACACAGCCCCAGCACAACAAAGGACAAACATCATATGTAGAATACAAAATTGCAACAAAAATGTGCCAAGAATAACTCCGCGAGGTCCCTGCCTGCCATGCGTCTCGCAAGCTACCTCTCCTTGCCAGCTTTTCATTAAAATGCCCTCTCTACCGCCGGGCAAAGCAGCACATCACTCCCGTCTTACCCAAGAACCAACAGGCTCCGATGAAACGGAAGAGAGCTACCACAGCGTTGGACCACAAGAGGGCCTGGAAGAAGCGCGAGGTCCGAGTCGTAGCAGAGTTCTACACGAAGCTGTTAGCTGCGAGTCCATCTCCCAAACACAACCCCGATGCAAGATACATACCGTGAAGCCAAACTTATCCACACCGTCGCTAGTGATACACACCGCAAGCAACGCATTACTGAAGATCCAGAACGTCACGAGGCGGGTCCGGAAACTCTTGTACGAATCGTCCAAACTCTTCTCGTCTTTCTCCACCGGGGGCACATATGGCGTCAGAGCCCGCTTGACGGTCGCCTCGAATTGACTATCAATATCCGCCTGCGGCTTGTCAATTTCTTCAATCACGGCTTCCTTGCCATCGTTCTCCTTGGTTGTCTTGGCAGAGGGCAGGGCATCGGCCTTGTCCGAACCCTTGGTACCCCAGGACACATCGTGCCAGTTGCTGAAAGCATAGACATTGAGGATATTGATGTAGGACGACTGCACTGCCATGTACGCAGGGAACGAGGTGAACATGTGCCACGGATCCATGTACATGAACGAGGCCACAAAGTACAGACCGAAGGTGGCCGCAAGCGCGATGATAATAATACCGGCACCGGTGGATCCGAAGAACGAGCTGAGGAAAGCACCAACACCGTGAGACGTATCGAAATCCATGGGAGCACTTCCACTGAAAGCGCGTACAACCAGGTAAAGTGCGTCAACCACAACGTAAAGTTGAATGATACCGAACACCACAAACGACGCAAGGTAGGAGAACTTGGATCCCTTCGGCCGATTACCCAGGGCGAGAATGAACTGTAAGAGCAAGAAACCGAGGTATGCATATTTAACGAGGGTGTTGATGACGGGGGTTGCCTTGGTACCGAAGGGGAAACCAGTGTTGCCGTTGCTTGAACTGGGAGTACCGACCAGGTCCATGATGACAGACGTCGTAAGCCAGTAGGAAGCTAAGCCAGAGAGTTAGTAACAACCCAAAAACAAAGCAGTCGAGCCACATACCCAAAGAGAACCAGGTTAAAATTGTCGAGAACACGTTGTAAAGCATCTGAATGTGGAGGAAGAACATGCGGATGATGTTATGTCCACTCTTGTACATACGCCCGAAATGCATCAACGAGTAAATTCCAGCGGCGAATGAACCGTTCAACCAACGACGACGCTGCGAGATGAACTCCGGAGCACCCTCAGGCACATCGGTCTCGGCTTTGGAAGCCTTGACGTAGGACAGATGCCATTTGGAGCCTGCCTTGGCAACCAACTCGAAACACAGAATACGATCTTCGGCCAAGAACATGTTCTTCTTGAAAATGTTCATACCCTCGATACCCTTCTTACCCAGCTGCTTGGAGAGGGTATGATCACCATGGAAATATTGTTCTAGGGGGCGACCCATGATCGCACGGAATCTGTACGCGGAGAAAGCACCAGGTAACACGGAGACGTAGCCGAAGGAACTTTCCAGAGGCTTGTCCAGGATGTTACTGATTTTGTACTCAAAGTTCTGCGCTGCGACAAGTGGGTTGACTAGGTTCCTCCAGCCCTTACCCAACATCGCGTGAATTTCACCGCAAGCGCCTCCCAGATCCTTGTCGTTGTAAAAAGCCTCCCACAAGGCGAGGAGAGACTTAGGACCGGGCTTGGTTCCGGCATCGAGCAAGATACAGATCTCAGGGTTGAGAATGCGGCCAAAGGCGTTGAAGAGCCATCTGTGCGAGTTGATCTTCTTGCTGTTCTTCTGCTTCAAGCAGAACATCATCTGCACTGGCGGCAGAGTGCTAGGGCCGTCATCGGTAGGCCGAATCAGCTGCTGGTTGGGAGTGACGGAAAGCTGGGTCGTGTATTCGAACTGCTTGCTGTCAGCACTGACGGCGAATCACCTCATTACGCTGCACGTACAATATGAGCCACCGTTTCCTTGCCGTCCACGTCACGCTTCATGACACCATCCTGGTAGACACCGACCGTGGCCAGCACATCAAGCACGTCTTTGTCGCAAGGGTCGATACCGTCAAAGACCAAGGCAACCACAATCTTCTGCCAAGCAGGGCCTCCCTTGTTCCAGAACTCCGACTTCTTGAGGTTCACAATGTCCCGGATGTTCTGCATCACACCATGCAGCGTACGGGCTGTGAGGGTCTTGTCTTCGTTGTAATAAGTGATGGCAATAAGCAATTCAGTGTGTCTGTTGTACATGGCGGGACGCAGGTTGTAACCGTTGTGGAGTGTGAATTCATTGGGATCGCAAGTCGCAGCAGTATCTGTACATTGAGCATGTCGGGTTAATGATTGCACCGCCAGCAGTTCGACGCGGAGTCTCACTTACATCGCATGTGGGTAAACTCCTCGCTACCGCCCTCGAGGTCATTCCTATACTTGGCTTGGATGGCATTCTGAATAGCGCTGGGAACGGGGTAGTCCACACTCAGGACGGAGCCCTGCACCAGCTTGACCTTTCTGGTCGCATAACGACGCAGATTACCACCGCCTCCTCCTCCACCACCGTTGGGGGCCTGGCGCTGGCGCCACGCTTCTGTCGACGAAGTCTCACTGCGCGCATAGGGCGATGCGACCCGGCCCGGAACACCAAAGGCAGCCGCCGGAGTCTCTCCCGATTGAGCGGAGTAGACAGATGCACCACCGCTGTAGGGATCATGGTAGGCGGCCTCTGGAGCATATGTTTCGGTCAAGCTATAACCCGAGGTTGGCCGCTGAGGAGACAGACCACGCTGCTGCGGATCATCAAAAGGACCCGTAAAAGGGCCTTGTTGGTGTGATAACAACCCATGGGAGGCTTCCTCTTCATACTACAGTTGATCGGACCATCAGTCTCAGTGATTCGGTAAGGGAAGTGATCGCAGTATTACACTGGTATCTGAGACTTACGTTGTTACCGTGACCGATATCTTGCAGCTGGTGACCGGCGGCACCTTCATCGTAGCCCGGAGGCGAGTGATTGCCAGCGCTTTGGTAGGCCATGGTTAATGATGGAGATTAAACGGTTGTACGCGTGAGATGAACTCGGAAGGTCAAGCAAGCCCCAAAAGCGAGCAAACCGCAAGGACAATCGTTACAGAAACGAGAACAACGTGCGGGGGGTATCGAAGAAACAAGGAGCAAGGAGTGCGCCGATTTGAAACGTCAGTTCAGACAAAGGAAGTCGTTAATCGATGCAGGCCCACGGCTCCGACCGAAGACCGGCAGTACAGCGGGGGATTTCGAGTCGCTGGCAAGGGTTCCGAATGCGCAGGGGATGGGCGTAAAATAATTCAACGCGACTGCAATGTTGAGCGCGAGGAGAACGATGCAGGCGACGGGAAGAACGTGGAACAAGCCGCCAGGGCTGACTGAAGTTGGGCTCGCAGGCGAAGGCGTAGCGGTCAGTGGAATGGGGTTGTGTTGTTAATTTATTGTTGTTGTTCCCGAGGTAAGGACGGGGCAACCAAAGACCTTTCCCAAAACGAGAGAGTGGGAAGGATCAATGGAGAGGAAGGATAAAGTAAGTCAAGTGAAGTAGAGTAAATCAGGTTTAATCGTGAGAGTGAAAGGGAAGAAGAAGGGGAGGGTGGGTTGCGTGAGAGAGAGAAGATGAGATGAGGATAGAAGGAGTGGGTAGGAATAATACGGAGGAAGGAGGAAAGGAGGAGTGAAAGGAATACAATAGGGTAGGGAGATGGAGGAATGAAGTAAGAAAGAGTAAGAAAAGAAAAGGAAATTGGGGGGGAAAAAAAAGAGACAGTTTTTATTTTTTTTTTCCTTTTTTCCTTTTCACAGGGCGATGGTTTCTGGGAGGGAGGGATGGAGGGTAGAGGAGGAGTGAGTGAGTGGGTATGTAGAGTTGGTGGCAGTGGCAGAGAGTGGCAGCAAGTAGCAGCTGGAATAGCACTGAGTAGCAGCAGCAGGCAAGCAAGCAATAAGCAATCACTTGTTGGATTCCTAGCCAGAAGGCTGGGTTGATGATTATCCACCGATCATTCATCTCCCAGCCGTAGATTCTCTGGTGTGCATATTCTCTACATTCATTACATTCTCACTTACTGACTGATTGACCTGCTGCTAATCATTATGATCCCTATTAACTACAGTCTTTACAGTAGTGATGGTGGTGGTTGATGTTGCGAGATGCCCACCACGGGTCCCTGTTTGACAATTTCCTCTTTCGTCATCGCCTATTGTTTCCCCCCTCCTCCTCCACCTCCAAATGCAACTGCATCGAAGATCAAAGCCTCTACAGAGTACTTTTTCAAATGCCCATACATCTCCAGAAATTTCTTATTCCCCTTTCCCTTCACCCCTGGATGAGAGATGCATGGTACATGCGTGGATGACAGGCGCAGTCAGTCTCATCCATTTCCTCCGCACATCATCATCATCATCATCAGTTGTTAATAGTAGAATAAAATTATCAAGGGTCTGAACCCTGATTACGGGCAAGTGGGTTTCTGGACCCTGCTCTGGCAACTCAGGGTCACGGGAGGGTCTGTGAAATCTAAATTACCTTACCATATGGTGGTGGTAACGTATTGTCCCGCCGAGCCCTTCTTTTCCCCTCCTTTCCTTAATTGCTTCCCCCACCACGAAATCTCGGGATGACAAACGAAAGAACTAACGGTGGCTAGCATAGAAAAAGAAATGAAGAAAGACAACAAGGAGACAGTTCTCTTTCATTATCAGGAGTAAATCCTTTATTCCCACCACAGAATAACATGAACAGGGTCAGGTACAGCAGAGTCCATAACACAACTGTGCTGGGTGGTGGTGAGATCGTAGATGGTGGCTAGTGGGAAAGTCAGTCTCGCTATCAACATGGAGAGAGTGACTGTAGAAGCACAGCATTCCTCATCCCTCGCCAGCATAACTGGCCACACGATGCTGGCCACACAGATAGAGAGAGACCGACACGCCCGACTACAGTACACCACCGTCCAGTCCCCATCTCAGTTGCCATCCACCCTATACGTATCCCAAAGTTGCCGCCCAAGTTGTGGCTGACGTGCTTTGCTACTGAGTAGGTACTACTGGTAGTCACCGCAGTAACAACCAACCCTGCAAGCATTAAGGTATACCATACGGTAAATACCCGCAGCCACCTCTCGTAACCAGTAATGTTCCATACAACGACTGTTTAGGGGGGGCGGGATCTTTACCCAGTAAGTTCTGGGCTTTTGGACCGACAGTAGACCGCATCCCCAAATATAGTAGCCTTGTGGGGGGGGTTCCACCACTAAATTCAACTTGTTGCAGCTGATGCGGTGCCCACCCCAGCCCCTCCGGTGTATAACGGCGGTTGGTCAATGAAGCGTTACAAATCCTTAATTCCCGCCAAGGAATCACAGCCCAGCCTTGGTCATGCTCCATCGTCACTCTTCAATGGTCAGCCCGCTGTTTCAAAGCGGCTGGGAGGGCGTGTGAATTTTAGCTTAGGTAACTTGTTGCTATCAGCCGCCACTCTTGTCGCTCACTTACTGGACTGAGTACACACAGTATGGACTGAATAGTCCCACTGAGTAAGGAGTAGTCAAAAAGTCTTCCTCACCATTCATTCACTAGGTACCGTACCTATCTACTAATCCACACCCGCCGCATCTTCCCCTGCATTCCCGGTCGGCATTCGATCATCATCTCTAATGGTCGGCGCGGGTTGCATACCGCCAGTGGAGTATCTCCAATGCTATCGACTCTGCACCTCTGCACGCCCTCAATAGACTGGATTTTTGGTACCTGCAGGAATTATACGTAACTATTCGCCAGGTTCCAGCAAGACTTGAAGAGGGAGAGGTTGAAGCAAACCATCCGGCCAGATACCAGCAAACAATGAGCCGGAAGGGACCTTGTAGCCGACGCGCGAAGTCACGACATACCGATGCCTCTCGAGCTAGTACCTACTGTAGCCCTTCATCGAGTCCGCGGTAATATTCCAACCACTACAAAGAAACAAAATTCTCCACATCAAAAGGAGAACTCACCCGTCGATCTCTGTCCCTGGTGCTATATACTCCGTAGCCAAGAACTATAGACCACTACTAGTCTGCCAGTCCCGTGTGGCAGGTTAATGCAGTGGTCTCGGTTGACAGGTCCGGTGGATATCGAAGATCCACTGCCTTCAAAGATTCCTGATAGTCCGACGAGTCCACTATAATGGCAGAGTGAATCAGGACGTGATCTTCACCATTTCATGCATATATTTGAGAACTTGTTGGGAGACTTCTCTTTTAACACGCAGAAGGTAGTCTTCGAGAAGATAGGAGGTGGAACTTTCGTCGCATGCCTCCACGATCTGCCCTTCGGTGTATGTAGGCCGTACCTGGACTATTGACTTTGACAGACAGGTTACATGAGATGTGTCAAAGGAGCTTGGATGGTTTATTGCTGGGACCTGACTAACCTGAATAGGCACATAGTGGTTGCTTTACAACCACTAGGCTGTCCTTTTTGTCCTTTGTATTTTGCAGTTCTGGGCATTCAGGAGATGAGAAGTGTCGGACGCGGGTTGAGGTGGGTTTGATGCTAGGGAATTTGACTTGGATGTCCAGTATCTGAGTTGTGGTGCTGTCTATGTATACTGATGCATCCTAGAATAGGGGTATATGGAAGATCGGTTGGCGATACCATCTCGACACGGTGTGTACTTAAACAACATACTGTGATAATCGCAAAAGTGTGCTGGTTAAGGCAAGGTAGATTGTTGTCGGTTAAGATCCCAGACATAAAGGCCCAAAGATCTCACCATGAGCTATAGTTATAATATTCGCACACGCAACCTTAGTTACTAAATACATAGTATAGGTCTCAGGCTAATAGCCACTACCATCACCATTCAAGAGAAGTCTTGACAACCAAAATCCTAGATCGGGAAGCAAACACCATTCCCTCCCCCGCCGCCCGCCCGCAACGGCTTCATAAAACTTCTACTTATACTTCGCTAGAAATTGAGCCGGGCCTTAGCTAGCTGCATCCGGCAAGCAACGATCGTGCGACCGGTGGTTTACTCTATAGTCTCACCCCTAGTACGATCTGATAAGCCTAGTAAAGTCTTATCCGACGATCCAGATGCGATTCATTGATAATCCGGCAGCATCGCCACAGTGTCCTCGAGATGGGAATCCTCAGTTTATCGGTAGGTATAAACCCGAAGGCTGAAGATGCGTCGAGTTGAGCCGCAACGAACCCACCCCAACCACGCGAAACACGAGGGCGCCGTTAAGGTGCAGTGCATGTAGTACATAGAACCCACATCTACGCATCTCATCTCCCTTGAAGACTTCGTCGATATGTACTAATGCACGTATGGGGTCTCCTCGAAGTACGGAGTACATACATACATACACATGCAATAAGTACAACATGCACCCTCTGCAAGATGCCGGGCATCTCCGAACTCGGATAGATTTTCAGGCACCCAACTTTGGCGGTCAGCCCCAGCCGTGTCTGGCGGGTGCGCTTGCTGTGCTGTGGCTAAGTTGGGGCGAAGTCTCTAAAACTGACTCCACGGCCTCACCGCTGCATGTCTCACCCACTGGCCTTTTTGGCTGGCACCAGCAGTTCGTAAATCTGACTTCGTTGCTCAGTTGCCATGAAAATTAGTTCAACGAGAAAGTCTGCGGTTCATACTGCTCGCAAAAGTACTTGCATTGAGTGGGTGATATATTTAGAAAGACAAAACCTAGCTATACGGTGCGGGCCTACGACCATGCGCTGTGGAAACCTACACAGTAAAGGTACAGGAAGGACCGCCTACCACCGATGGATGCGGAGATGGAAAGCCGCTTGGTCCTGGCCAATTGCGTGGAATTTAGGATGGATCCCGTTGAGTGTGACTGAGCACCGAAGTTCCTACTGTGTGAAACACTTCCCAAGAGTAGAAAATGGTCGCACGACGTACTGGGGTACACACGAGGATACTCAATGAAAAGAGGGTAGGCAACCCTGCTAACCGATGAAGCAATCAAATATGACCATTTCTCAGAACAGAAATGACTAGGTAGGTACCCCAAAATTGCATTGACTCCAAGTCTCCAAGTTTGTATTGCGGGATCACCCGACAAGCGGACAAGCATCATCTGTAGTGGCAAATGCACCTGGCACGGCACAGTACCGTGTACCTAGCAATCAATAATGTGACCATGGTCAGCTCAGGTCAAGTAATTACCCCAGACAGTTTAGTGTTCGTGGGGGCAAGCCTGATGTCATTTTGCCTCTCGAGTCGACACCACTTCATTTGTTCACAATTCTAGTCTAATGCCGCGTTGGAAATAGCACTGCAACAGCATAACACAGCCTAAGAATAGACACGGGCACTGTGAGTTGCATGATCAAGGGCTGAGCCAAAAAAGTGGTTGGCCCGGATGGTAGGTAAGGCAGTGCCTCGGGTTCCAGGCGGGAATGGAGATCAGTGAGGGTACCAACATGCGTGCGGACTATCAAAATAGTGGTCCTTCTCATCATGCAAACCAGTCCAACATTTCGATGAATACTATTGCCAAGTGTTCCACTGGCATCTGTCGAGTGAGAGATGTATGTACTAGTTGACTACTATTTTAGAAATCTTCTCCGGCACGTTAGACCAACTCATATATATACATTCCAGCCTCACCATCAAAGAATTCATAGCCGTCAGTTGTGCCTCTATCTACAATTAACTTCGACGTAAACCACATTATCAAGCAAGGTAATAGCCAGTTAAATATCCGCCTTGCTCAAAAGGCCTCCTCGACTTCCAGCCCCATCCCCTTCCCGATCTTGCGAATTAAGGCCCTCTTCAGGTAAGCCTCGCGCGCAAGTCCGCGTGTATGCCGTGACCAGGTCTCCACTCCAATGACCCCCTTCACCAAGGCGGCCTGAAGAGCATAGATAGCTTGCTGAATGCCGCGCTCCTCCGCCACCAGATCGTACAGCTGTTTCCCAACAACAGTTGGCGCAACAAGAACTTCGTCGATGGGGGGCAGCCCGGAAGCTACCGTGGACGCTTCGCCGGTGCCCGACGAAGGCGCTCCCGATAGCGAGGAAATACGCGTCTGAGCATCGCCAATCACCCCGTCCGCGCGGTGGAGTGTCTGTTGAAGAATGGAAGTGTTCGATTGAAGAGTCGCGTTCAGGGCATTCAAAGAGGATATCTCCCCTTGAAGCGTCGCAATGGCAGCGTGGAGGGAGTGAGACTGAGAAAGAAGGGAATGCGCTGCCGATTCAGACTGGGCAATGTTGGTCTGCAGGGTTTCGGAGAGAGTCTTGGAGACTGCTTGGAGGAGAGCGTCCTTTTCAGGATTAGGTGGGATCGGCGGCGCAGGGCCGGTTGGAGCAAATGAAGGAAGCTCGAGCTCGAAAGGCGAGGTGAGGAGATCGGGTGTTTCGGATTTAGGACGCTGCTGCACAGGGAGCGGCTGTTGATGTTGGGGTTGAGCTATGGGCTGGGTGGGGGCCTGCTGGGATGGTCTTTGAGAGTATGCAGGATGTGGCAGAGGTGTTTGTCGTGATGGTGTTTGAGCCGGGATAGGCTGATGAGGCATGTGCCCAAGATCTTGTGATGGCACGGTGGGCGTATTGCTCATAGGCTGAGCGTATGCCTGTCCCGGATGGTGTCTAGTCGCCGGTGGAGGAGCATGTTGCGGGTGCTGGTATTGACTTGGATTCGGCTGGAGTGGAGGCCTGCTGTGCTCAGGAGAATACTGCGACGGGCGAGATCCAGGAATATTGATGCCGGATTGCTGCTGAAAAGACAGCCTTCGCAGGTCTTGTTCCTTGGGTGGTAGTGGCGGAAGCGGAGGGGGAGTGTTGTATCGCCCTGCGGATGAGGGCTGTTGTGATGGTGATCCTGGGTCTGGAGTCTGGCCGGGCTTCGGAGGCGGTGGAGGTGGCACTGGAGTAGGACGCTGCATGGGCGCAACGGACGGGCTCTGAGTCCGAGGAGATGATTCGAGTTCGGGCGGTAATGGCGGTAGAGGAGGAGGTGCCTGCACCTGTGCCTGCTGTGGTTGCTGCTGTACGGGTGCCTGTTGCTTATATCTCACGGGCGGCTCCTTCGCGAAGACCTCTCGCAGGATGAACAAGAAGTCGACGAGAGATGATCTCTGTGATAGGGGTCAGATGCGTGAGCGCGTCACCAGTTCCCACAGGTACTGACCTCCCATGCTTCAGCCCAGTGTGCCAGGTAGTGATGGTAAACCCTCCCTTCCAGCGTTACATGCTGCCCTACACGGACCGCCATCTCAGGGGTCGGAGTGACGTAGACGATTGGAGGCTCTCGAGGGTAGGTAGTCGGTATCCACAATGTTACTGGAAATCTGTAAACGGTGCCACGAAATGAGACTGGGAGAGTGCCCGATAACTGGAGGAGCAGAGCCGAGAAGCCAGTTTCGTAGGCTGGCAGAACAAACAAGCGGTCAGTTGCAGAAAAAAGCAGAAAGTAGGCCCAAGGATATAACGTACTATAGACCTCAGTTCGAGGCGCAAGAGTCGGATATTGAGCGAGGGCGTTGGCGACATCATGGTAGGCGCGGTTGGGGTCTTGGTATGTTAGTCTGGGGTCGTAGTGATCCTAGAGCTGGCAGTCAGTGGTAATGCGCAGAATCTGAAGAGTGTGCAGGCTTTCTCACTCGTGTCAAGACGCCATAGAGCCAGTTGAGTATTCTCTGCGGCACTGCAGCCATGGCGAGGGAGCTGAAATGGAAAGCAGTGGGGGGGGCATGGTGGGATGAGTTGGGAGTTGGAGGCGGGCGGAGAAGTTGAGGTCACCGGCCGATCTTCGCGCCGCGGTCTTCGGAGCTTCACCTCAAACTTCCGCTCCACCCCGCGTTCGTTGACAACAACTGCAATTTACCACCACGTATGAGGTTCGGGATCGAAGAGAAGCTCTAGCTGAGCTAGAAATTGTTGACCACTATTGTATGAATGGTATAACTGCCAAGATCGCCATGCTCGCGTTGCGAATCAAGCGGAGACTTATAAAATAACAATGCTTGCAGATAGTGCTATATCTCCACCGAACAAACTACCACAATCACCATGAACAGCTCATACGTTGAGTCTCATGCCTCTGATCAACAGTCAACAACTTCAGGGAGTCGCATGTAGTCTGATAATGGCAACTTGAGTCTCAGAAGCGGCTCAACGGTGTCTAGATATCCCACCTGGACCATCACTCAGCTGCGGACCATTCATACCAACACGTCATCATGGAGGTACAATCATACGAACTTCCCGATTTCTCTACGTGTACCGTCAGGTATTTGCCGAACTTGAAGGTCACAGATTGTGGTATTCCCCGTTGCCTGACAAGCATGTGTCAAAACACCGGATGCTGATCATGGCCCACCTTTGAGATTTGCTATTATTGTTCTGGACATTGGCCTTGATATTGTTTGTCTCGGCAGCTGCCAAGGCTGTCAAGCTATCAAGAACCCCCTGTCTTTGCATTATCTCTAGGGACAAAGTCATGATTGGCATTGTATGAGATTGAGTCCCGCTGTGTTCTACTTATCATATTGTTATACCTCATTCCTGATCCAGGAGACATATTGTCTGTCTCGGGGTTGCACCGCATGGACAATATCACCAGTATTGTATCATTGGATCATTGGCTATGCATTCATCGAGGCTGTTCTGGATGTCATGTCAGGAACACGCGCCTCGTCTTTGGGACCTTGTACAAATCGGCGTCTCGACGACCGTCATTTTTCCTCTCCAAGTGGACAACCACCTCTGACTTTGACTACGCTCTCTAATCTATCCTCACATTGCACTCTTTACGTCGTACAACATCATTTCAAGCTCTTCAAACAAGCAATTCGTTGATCGAATCGTCACCATGAGCTCCCAGTTTGACCCGTTCACTCAAAACATCACCTTCCACGCAGTGGACGGCAGTCCCTTCAACGTCCCCGTGGAAGCCGTAGACTCGTTCATGCAGTACTGCATCCGCATCTGCATCAACTACGGGGCGCAGCTGGGAGCCAGCATCATCTTGCTGGTGGTTCTGCTGCTCCTGACAAGACCCGAGAAGCGTCGCTCCAGCGTCTACCTCCTCAATTGCACTGCTCTGTTCCTGAACATCGGGTTGCTCATCTGTCAGGCCCTGTATTTCACTTCACCCTTCGTGGAGGTCTACGCCTACTTTGGCCACGACTACTCCCGTGTGTCGCAGTCCACATATGCCAACTCGGTCCTCGGCGTCGTCCTGGCCACTCTACTTCTCATAAGCATCGAGATCTCGCTCGTCCTGCAGGTTCAGGTCGTCTGCGCCAACCTCCGCCGCCGCTACCGGCGCCTCCTGCTCGGCCTATCCATTGTCGTGGCCTTAGTGCCCACTGGCTTCCGTCTCGGCCTGATGGTCGAGAACAGCAAGACAATCATCAAGGCCGTGGGCACCGCGTATCTGATCTGGCTCCAGAGCGCCACCAACATCACCCTGACCATTAGCATCTGCTTCTTCTGCACCGTCTTCGTCGCCAAACTCGGCTACGCCATTCACCAACGCAGACGGCTGGGGGTCGCCGACTTTGGTCCGATGAAGGTCATCTTCGTGATGGGCTGTCAGACGCTCGTCGTTCCTTGTACGTCACCCATCCCTGACACATAATTCATACCCTACCCCGACCTATCCCCGCCACACGCAACACACATCCTCATCCTCAAACTAACCACTCCGACAAAAGCCTTCTTCTCCATCCTCCACTACATCGTCAACGTCCCCGCCCTTTCCGCCAACGTCCTCACCCTCGTGACCCTCTCCCTCCCGCTCTCCTCCATCTGGGCCGGCGTCGCCCTCGACCACCGCGCCAGCAACAACAGCAACAGCCCTACCAACAACTTAACCAGCTCAACTTCCTCCCGCCGCAACCTCTGGCAAGTCCTCTCGCTCTCGCACGTCGGCGATGAAAAGCAACTCTCGTCGCACACGATCGGCTCCACCGCCACCTCGGCTTCCGGCCAACACAAAACCGGCGCCGGAACCACTTGCTTCGCCGGCCCCGCCCAGCAGCATCGAAAGGATGTGGAATTGGGGTACGGGATCGCCGTGGAGCATGATATCTCCGTGCGGAGCGTGAAGAGGGAGAATGATGTGCTGTGAGTTCTAGGGGTGTGTGTCTTATTGCTTTTGCTGGCAGTGATGCGTGGTAAAGTGGGTGCGGGTATCGCGCTGCGTTGGTTTTAACGCATTGACGGGGGGAGGGAAGTATGGGGGTTGAGTGAGATCGTACTCAGGTCGCCTTTTAGCTGGCTGATTTAATATTTCCTTTTTTTTGATGGTTCGGTTGAGCACATGCGTTGAGGCATGATGGCTTTCTTACTTCGAAAAGCTTGTGGCTGGACTAGAATCCCTGTGCAAAATATATTGCAACGGACAAGTCAAAGTCTTTGCTTTTAGCGTGGGATGGAACTTCATAATTTGAATTCTGTTTAAGAAATCTTATCATGGCGTGAGACACAGCATGTGTGCTAGGTTTCCTCATTTACTGGAAAAATAATTATAATTCTACTCTATTGTATGGAAACCCGCAAAATTTGGCAAGCTGGGTCAATTACTATATTCTGTCACATCCCGCGGTATCGACTTAGGTTGCGGTGTGACTACTTTAGAACTTGTGCGTGTCGTAGGGGAACTAGCCAGATTGAAGGGACTCATTTATGCTCAATCCATCTCCTGCCCAGAGCCGGGCATACTTCTCCGCCTCTTACTTCTCGATCCGAGATCACGAATAAAGACAAAAGTCTAACCCTCCCGACCCAATTTCGCCAACGACTCCGCCAGGAATTCACTCGCGTTCATCAAATCTGTACTGCCGTAGACCACTCTCCGCCGGGGCCCTGTGACTGCACCTGACGAGCCACCCCGCGCACCACCGGCACCCGCGCCGGCACCGTCCTGCTGGCCATTGGCCCGACGAACCCAGTCCTGCAGGTTTCCGTACTCGTCCATGCTGCCGCCGCCGACAGTGAAGACGATGGCTTCGTTGAAGCCCTGACGACGCTGACCGAAGGTCGCAGTGGTGCCTGGGCCCGCACCGCCGAACCCCGCCCCACCTTGAGCGTTACGGGACGCGGAAGCCGGGGGCATGGCGCCGCGGGCGTTGGCGCTGCGCGGGTCGAAGTATAGATAATGTTCCGTCTTGGCGATGGCAGAGCTGGAGGCGGAGGCCGGGTCCATGATCGATTCGGTGATCTTCGTCAGGGTGAGGTCTTTGTTGGCCGGGAGGAAGTTTTTGACGCCCGAGATGAGGGAGTCAAAGTTGGCGCCCAGAGCGCCAGAGGTGATGCGGTCCGTCAACTGGTTGGAGAGCGAGGAGAATCCCCGGAAGAGGTTGGAGGATTGTTGTTGCTGCGGCGCGCCCGCCGTGGCCGTAGTCATCATGGTCATGCGGGTGATCTCGCGTACTTGGCGGACGTACGATAATGGACTGACATCCTGGACTCCCATGCGCGTGAGAGCTTCCTCGAACTGACTCATTTCCGCCCGAGAGACCTCGGTCTCTGTGCTCAGGAACCAGATGATGAACAACCGCAGTTTGTCGGTCGGGTTGTTGCCCTTTGTGGAGTCGTTGATAAGGTCCATGATCTGTGTCTTGGACTGCTTGGTGATATTCTCCTCGAGCTCAAAAAAGTTATCCAGCTGGCGGTCTTTGATGCCCTTGAGGAGAGCGGTGGCGATGTTCATGTGCATGTCAAGAATGGCTTTCCGTTCCCGCAGTTCGGGGAGCAGCGTGATAGCTGCCTTGAGGTGCTGGGCTGATGCACTGGTATCGTTCTGCAAGTCCTCGATAGAGGAGGCACCGGTCTTTTTGGTGATTTCATTAGCATCCTCTTTGTATCGTGTCAATTCGGCGTCAATATCCTCGGCCACCTGCGGGAAGGGTGCACCGGCGTTGCGTTTCCAGAAAAAGTCGTTGCTCGTCAAGTCGTACGCCCTCTTGGTTGCACCCTTTGCAGGATTTGTTTCATCTGTTGTTTCGACTGTGATTCGATTGAGGCGCATCTGCAAGACGTCTTGAACAAGGGACTGGTATGTCCACGAGTGGGATAACATGGGGACTAAATCGACGTTACGATCCACAATGACCAAAACCGGTCGCGAGGAAGGAACGCCGGGGGTAGACTTTTTGTTGGAGAAGAGGTTGTCTTTCGAGTTGAGGATATGATCACGCAGCTTGCGATCGAGCTTCGTAGCTATCAGCTCGGCTGCCCCTCCCTTGGGGCATCTGATGATGGGTATAGAGCCTATCTTCGCATTAGCCGACAGATAATCTGAAGGAAGAATTGAGCCATACCCATCGTAACGCTAACGCTGAACAACCCACTGACTATCCGATCGACAATAGCATCCAAGTCATCGTCGCTTGTTTGTGCGCTATTGATCTTCCAGTAGGCATCTTTGCCCAACCCCAGACTGAAGAGGTCGGGCTCAGCGACAATGAAGTTCAGGTACTGATCAAAGACCTGTGCGACGTGTTCTGCGGTGCCCGTAGTCGCGATCTCCGAAGCGAAGTCTTCCAAGAGCGGTCGAGGGACGGAGGAGAGAAAGTTTATGTAGGCGGGAGAGTAGAGCCCGCGGGCAAGGTCGCTGGTGACAGCCTGAATATTGGCCGCGGTCGGCTCGACGAGGTAGATAACAGGGACATCAGGTATAGGATAGCGATTGGCATTGATGTTGCTGGTGGTCCATGTCAGTTCAGCTGTCCGCCGATAGCGATTCACGCGCCAAGGGACTCGTACAGATGGATTGTGACGCCCCACTTTCGAAGGTCATTGACACGCAGTACACTGCTGATAACGTCTCTTCCCAGATTGTCGAAGACCAGAACTTTCCAGATCGGATCTCCATCCTCGTTCAGGACGGGGGTCGAAATGAGGCCCTGGGAGGAGCCATCGGGGTGGGATTCATCGGCGGGATGCGTATCGTGATTCAAGTTGAGTAGTTTTTGAATGGAAGCTAGAAGAGATTAGTCACTTGCGATGGTGATGATAACTTTGGAGGGTGGAGGGAAACCGGAAACCTACCGACCTGACGGTCGCGGAGAGAGGAGGCATGCGATGCCATGATGCGACTTGCTGCAGCACCCCGGACGGTTTCACGATCAGCTGAATTGGTTCAGTACCATGACAAGGCAGAGGAGCAAGTGGTAACGTTGACAAGCTTAGAGACAAGACTGAGGGCAGAGGAAAGTCTGGAGGTAGAAAAAGAGTGTGTTGAGAGAGGGTGCGTAGTGTAGATCCAATTGACCTTGTAGTTTGGGTGGTGTACAGTAGGAGTAACTAAGTCAAGTACTCAACTCACCCGGAGACTCTCTCTCCACCTGGCATCAGCCCCCCCCGGCTTCCCGCTGCGTAGAGAGACAAACCACACAAACCAGACAAACCAGACACACGGGGCAAACCATGGCTGAACAACGCAACGCGCAACAACCGAGTTGCCGCCCGCCGGCTTTTTCAGCTCTTTACCACCTCCGCCCGTCGCAGCTTAACTTGACTCTCTCTCCTTCCCCCCTCCCCCCAAAAATCCCTCCTTCCCCCTCCCCCGAAACTCCCCCCTTTCCACCTCCCCATCACCCATCACATTCCCTCTTCGTAAAGCAAATGACTATGCTGCTTAACTGCCGTCCTGAGTGGCTCCTTGTATAACACTTTTTCTGACACTCTTTTAAAAGTCAAGATTAAGGAAAAACCGAAGAAAGAAGATCAAGAAGAAGGTTTACCAGGACAGGCATTACGAGCAGGATTCCCCCTCAAAGCTGAATTGTCTCTGCAGATACACTGCAGACACAGGATACGGGAGAGCTTTCTGAGAAGAGCTAGGAAGAGTGACCAGGTTACCTACAAACAAGCATAAGCGTTTGCTTTGGGACAAAGACAGACTGCAGGGAAACAAGAAAAGCAAAGACAAGAGGTTGAAGAAGAGTTCAAAGTTATACGGAAAAGTACCAAGTACCTGGCAGGTGTATTCGAAACCAGAGTTGGTCCAGCATTTGGCTGTTTAAGAAATTACTGCCTACTGGGCGACAACACACGCGACGTGGACGTGACATAAGAAGAGCTACAGTTTATTATCAGGTGTGGGTTCCCCCTTTTGAAATCTCCCCATTGAACTCGAATCCTGCGGCTATTGCATTGAGATTCCAACTACTCATAAAAGAAAGACGAAGAGAGAGTGTGCGTGAGAGAGAGAGAGAAAAGCCTGGACCAGAAGGAAGAGATCGAAAGATCGAAATATCAAAAGAGAGGTTCAACCTTTTGCCACTCAGATTGCGACTTTCTCACCTACCCTTATCCTTGATTTGAGCCTCTCTCCCTCCTCTCTCTGTGTGTGTCTGCCTATCTTCAATCCCTCCCGCTCCCTCATTCACTCAATCACGGGTCGCTTTACCGCTTTCCCTGTTATTCTTTTGAATTCCGACGTATCAGGAAAATTGCGAGGCTGACAGAAACCCGGCCAGCATCCTTGATTCGTTGCAGCCGCTCCTGGACCCAGATTTGCTGCACCGCCGTTGCTCAAGGGAGCTTGGGCCAATAATTTCGTCTCGATTGCGCCCCCCCACTATATTTTCCCTTCAAGTTAAGAGCGGCACTCGATCTTATCCATTTCCTTATCAGCACGTGGATGCATGTGACTTTTATCCAATTTGGGCCAATCCTTCCCTGCTGGCATTCACCATCGACAACTTCATACAACAGATCCAGACACATAATAGTAACATAAGTCGCCCACTGTCCTGTCGCTGCTACTGTGATTTTAAAGCAGACCTTACAGGCTACGGTGGTTTTTTTTTTTTTAAAAAACAGGTGCGGAGGATAAATCAGGAGGTATGGAGCAGTCGCCGCCGCAGAACATCATGCCGGGTCTGCACCGCACGTCAGTAGATCCCGCCTCGTTGCCGCCACCGGAGTACTGGAATAACTTCGAACCTCTGTATGCCAACTCCGATCACTCACATCAACATGCGCATCCTCCTCAACAGCAATTACACCGTCACCAACAGCCTCCCGTGCAACCTCAATCGCAGCAACAGCCACAGCCACAGCAGCCGCAGCAGTCGCAGCAACAATCACAACAGCCGCTGGGAATTAGCTGGGATCATCCCGTCTTCAGTCAGAATCCTCCATCGCGAAGCCCGTTGCCAACACCACAAGAATCAAGTCATGGCTTGTATTCCTCTTCCACCCCGCAATCATGGCGGGCAGCAGCTCTGCACCCGCAGCCCATCTTGCCTGCAACGGCCCATCCGATTGGAATGACACCTCAATACCGCCAACCTCCGCAATATTCTCCAGCACACCATGCATATGAAGCGCAGCAGCTGCCCGCTTCAGACAGCGCCCACTTTCCCGCCTACGCCTTTTCTCGATCCTACTATCCTCCCCAGAACCTCTCTGTGCCGGACGTCTTTCCTCAATCCCACTCGCATTCACCTTCCACGGCTCAGCCACAGGCGCAACCAACACACTTTCGATCCGATCCACATCAACACCATGTTCCGCAGTATTCACTGCCCGCGGGCTACGGGGAAGGGAACTCGGTATGGCAACCGACCCGATTACCGCCACACACCGTACTAACTGATTCCAAGCATGTGCCGATGAATTACAGCAACGACTTCACGCAGTCGACTCCCAATGTCTCCACTCAAACCATCAACCCTCAATTTCTCAGCTCCGCACAGCAGGCGGCCAATCAACAACAGCCTTCCCTTCACGCGAATGAACTTCTCTACCTGAACCCATCGGACTATGATCGCTCCGATGAACCAAAGTACGTCTATACAAAAAGCATTGGTCAGGTGTATGTGTCTCACGTTATGTGCTATCTAGGCTTTATACCTTCTATCGGGAAGAGTTGCCAATGCCATCTGCTATGGGGCAGTCCATAACACATAACCAGCCCATTGCCCCTAAACCGCAATCGGCATACGAGTTTGTGCTACCCATCAATGGTATGTTGTCTCGGACTCCTGCTACTCGATTCTCCACTAACCGGATCAGGTCCCAACCTGTCTCAGTCTCTCACAGCTGCGAAGGGCGCTAAAGTAGCCAAGAAATCAGCCGCGAAGAAACAGTCGACCGTTCAGTCTAAGAAGGCGGCGACTAAAACAAGTAGTAAGAAGGTAGATGGGACTGCTAACTCGGAATCGGAGACGGACAGTTCGGACTCAGAGCTTGAGATTGAGGATCCGACTCCTGAAGAGCCGTCTCCCCTCCCCGCCATTCGGCCCAGTGAACCTGAGGCTGCTGCCAAGTATGATGCTTTAAAGGCTGTGTGGTCCCCACGTAATCGACGGCCTAATGTTGACAAGGTCAAAAGTGCGCTGGTCGCATTTAAAGACGTTGTGAAAACCGTAAGGGATGCTTGGAAAGACAGCTCCCAGGCCATGAAGGCGGCCGAGAATACAGGCAATAATGAGAAAGCGGCCCAGCTGAAGAAGGAGGTGGTCCTGCAGCGCCGTCTCATGGAGGTGGTCGTTTGTGCGACTTTGGAAACGGGCCATCCAATGATTGTCGAGAAGTATGTCCCTTTTCTATCATCTGTTTTTCTCCTTCCGTTTCGTTGCTTTTCCCTATCACACCTAGCATGTCGTGGTCGTGGCTATAGAAGTCAGAAACGCAATATGAGCCTATCCCATGTAGTTCCGCCTAGTGTGGGTTCTGGCCTCTATTAAAGCAGTCTCTGTCAGTAAGGTCGCATTAATGCTCACTACCTTCAGAATGGAGGGCCAGACCTGGTCGTGCTGTTCTGTGAATGCTTAAACCAAGACACCACGATTGGAGATGAATGACCCGCTGTTGGAGAACAAAGAAGTTGCTCCCTGTTGATAAAGACAGGATGCTCCCGCAATGCTCTTTGGCGGGGGACTTTGGGTTATAGACTTAGCTCCACCAGTCGGGACGTTGCATCTTCTGTTACTCTATACCTTTTGCTATTGCTTGGGCCTAATTGCGACGCCATGGAAAAAGACGGAGTTCTAACTTTTTACAGATTGGGCGAACATCCCATAGCGGTGGCGGCCATGTATTCATTCTTGCTGGACCGACACCAGGCTGCGGATATCAATGGGACATTGACAGTCAATATTCTGAAAGTAAGTGTTACCATTCATCATACCAATGTCTGGCAGTGCTGACCTTCATTCACAGTTGCTCTCGCACTTCGTTACCATGGACGAAGATGTGCTTCAAAAAACCAACGTGGCCAAGTTGTTGCCTCGGTTCGTCAAGAAAGGCGGCCCAGCTGTCAAAGAATTGGCGCAGAAGATCATGGACAATGCTGCGGCATCCACCAAAAGGAAGCAGGAGACTGCGAAGCCAGCGGCTAAGGACGGCTCGCCTAGTAGGCAGACAAACACGGCCTCTGCGGCGACGGCTCCTGATGGCGCCCGGGCAGAGTTAGCTGGGTCTAAAAGACCTCGTGAGGTCGAAAGCAATGGGCAGCCGGCAACGAAGCGAGTAGTCGTAACGTCTAATGTCAAGAAACCGGTGGGCGCTGCCGCACCGGTTCGGCGACCGCAAGAGGCAGTCCAGGAGACAAAGGCAGCGACAGCGCAGCCGGCTCGTCCGAAGACAAATATCGTAGCACCCAAGCCGACCAATCTGTTTGGAAGTCTGTCTTCAGCCTCAAAGCGACCCGGAACATCCAATGCTGAAAGAGCGGCGGCAGCCGCGGCAAAGACCAGGTAAGTCGGCCACAATATAGGACTCGGACCCGACCAATTTTCTAATGATTCGACCAGTAATCCTCCAGAGCGGAAAGAACCTCAGCCTGCACCTCCGCGACCGACCTTTTCATTTGGGGACCTTATGGCTGATCTGAACAAGCCCAAGGAGTCGGCTCCTGCGCAGCCATTGGAACCCAAGACGCCCGAGACGGAAGAAGAGCGGAAGAAGCGACTCCGTAAGGAGGCTCGACGCAGATTGCGGGTCACCTGGAAACCCGACGACTCTCTTACCGAAGTTAGGCTGTTTACTCATGATCCCGACGAGGAGCTTGGCCCCAGCGATCGCATGCAGCGTGAGGCGGGTGACGTGAAAGGCGAAGGAAGCGTCTTGAAGCTCCACCGTGATCTTGATGACGATGAGGACGAGGAGGGTGGTATTCGCGAGGAACAGTTGCTGGAGTATATGCTGCCGTCTGGTGAGTTGCTCAATCGTGATGGAAGCTCGGCTTTTCCAGAGTTACTAAAGATCATAGAAATCGATTTCGTGGAGATGCCTTTCGAAGAACGTAGCCGAAACTACGTCAAGCGTGGTGGCACTGATATTCCCGAGAGTGCAGAGAAGAAAGCTCAGGAGCATCGCGAGGCAACCACCCTCATGGTGTTCTATACATCGCCTGCCGATGTGCCGTCCACGCCCAAAGAGCCTCCCCAATCTGACACTGAAGAGCCGGCACCGGGTGTGGTCTCTTTTGGCGAGCTTCCTGACCATGTCAAGGTACGTTTCCTGTTCCTATGTGTCGTAATGGCGTGCTGACAGTATCAATTGAAGGCCCGGCAGAGTCGCTACTTCGCTGCAATGAAACCTCAAGCACCACCTGCACCTACGCCCGCACCCGCGACAAATGGCCAAGCGCCGTTTGATATCTCGAATTTGCTGAAGATTATTCAAAGTGCGCCCCAACAACCAAAGTCGACGCCTCCCCCTCAGGTTCAGCCCTCAACTGCGCCAATGTCAGACCTTGAACGGACATTCAGCATGTTCCGACAGGCGCAGCCCCAACCGACGTCGCAGCCTCCCATACTGCAAATGCCGCAGTTTCCTGCAGCTCCTCAGCCCGCAGCAGGCCAGGGCATTGACCTTCAAAATATCCTAGCCATCATGAACGCTCAGAAGCAGATGCAACCTGCGGTCACTGCCCCGCAGGTTCCGCCGGCTCAACCAGCCATTGCGCCTAATCTCGCTGCCATTTTCTCGCAAATCAGCGGCCAGAACCAGCCCAACGCGGGCAACGCGCCTCAGCAGCCGGGGCATTTTGAGGATCCAGAACGCAAACGCCTTCGCGAGTCTGGCGGATATGATGGGGCCGACGATGACCGGTACGGTTACTCGAAGCGTAACAAGTACAACAACGATCTTGGCAAAAAACACGTAAGTATCTCTCGATGGTTCCGATTTACAGACAACGATCTAACAGGCAACAGCCCAAGGCAGGATCTGTACCTTGCCGATACTGGCAGAGCGGGAAATGTCGCAAAGGTGACGAATGCACATATCGCCATGATCCGCTGATCTGAACATCATACTCTACTTCTTCCTTCTTTTCCTCCTGATACCCTTCGCCGACACTGCTTCTTTATTTCTCCTTTTCATACATCTTTGCATTTCTGCTTGGCAGACGGAAAACATATCTCCTACTTTAAATGTACACTGTACCTTTGCATTTGCCTCTGCTGGTGTCATTCTCAGCGACATTGACAGCATCGTTGTTCATGCCTAACAAGCCGGTTCTTCTTTTTTACGCTGCAACCATCTGTGTGTTTACGAGACGATACCATATTTCTGTGATTGCATATCATGCATGGGAACTTGCATGGAGTTTGTTGACTATGGGGTGACCTTTTTTCTGGTCTTCTTCATCTTTATGTTTTTTTTTTTCTTCTTTTCTTTCGCATCGTTCACATGGATGTATGGTTTAGTTAAAGCAAGATCAGTATGTATATTAATGATGTTAAGCTGGAGGTTTGATCAATATGAGCCCAGCTTGATCGGACAATTTCGGTCTACGGATTACATGTATTCACAAGATGCACATTTAATATATAACTCCCTTAGGATCATTGTAGGTAGCCTGGGTGCCTTGCTGGCAAGAGCGAGCGTCAAATGTGCAGCTTAGGTAATAGACCGCTCTCAGCCAGCAAGACCAGCTACGAGCACGACTCTATGCCTACTAACCATGCTCTTATCTATACGAAGGACATGATACCATCAACTCTCCAATCATCCTACCACCTTTGATTCACAGCATCGACAGCAGCACTTCCACCAATTGCAATGACCCACCCACTCACCCACCTCATCATCGTCTGCTGCCATGCCATATACAAAGGTGGTCCAACCAAGGGTCGCTCCGAGGACGAATGGTGAGTCTTGTATACTACACCTAATCCGCCAACCCCCCCCCCCCCCTCTCCTAAATCTTTGGAGACTCTGGCACCACAAATTACCACACAATTCGAGACACTGCGACCTCGTCATCTCACCCCCAAATCATACAATCACAAAATAACAGTCGCCAGGGAAATTGAACCCTTCCAAAAAGGCGAAACGCCCACGTTCACCGCGCACATCAAAGCGGGTCTTTGTCTCGCCGCTGAGGATCCGGCGAGTCTGCTTGTCTTTTCGGGGTGGGTTGCCTTCTCTCTTTGCAACAGGCTACTGTCCCTAGAGGGGTTGCTTCACCACCAGGATTGAGTTGTATAGCCACCAGGAAAGGAGACACTCCAAGTAACTGACTGGCACTTTGGTTCCTGACCTAGCGGCCCCACGAAACAACCCCGCACATCGTTGTCGGAGGGAGAATCGTATCTTGTAAGTCTAAGTTTACCCTCGCTTACCCACCTTGACTTTGTAGTGCCCTCGGGGTACAGTGGTGAATACTACAATCTCATCATGTATATACTAGCATGTAAACCTACCCATACCCCATCCACATTCGAGCAGACTGTGTATCCCGCAAGCCAACCGAATCCACCCCCCAAACACAACGCACACCAATTCAGCAATCAACCTCATACTAACCTCAAACAGAACCTCGCCCTCGCCAACAACCTCTACACCACCCCATTCCTTTCCACTTCCCGAATCACTACCGAACTCTACGCAACAGACTCCTACCAGAACCTCCTCTTCTCGCTCCTGAAATTCCGGGTAACGACGGGCCATTACCCCTCCCGCGTGACGGTGGTCACGCACGAGTTCAAGCGGGCGCGTTTCGAGGAGCTGCATTTCCCGGCGGTGGGGTTGAGTGCGGACCAGATGCGTGTCGTGGGGATCAATCCGCCGGAGGAGGTGACGCCGCTGCGGGTGTTAGTGGAGGGAGAGGAGAGGAGGGGGTTAGGGTTGTGGAGGAGGGATCGGTATGGGGTTGGGGCGGTGTTGGGACGGAAGAGGATAGAGAGGGGGTGGAAGGGCGGGATAGAGGGGGTGCCAGTGTTGGAGGGCATACAGGGGGATGAGGTGGTGGAGGCGTTGGTGAGGTGGGATGGTGGGGAGACTGGGAATGAGTGGTTTGATCGGATGGGGGAGTTGCCTTGGTATATTGCCCATGGTGGGAGTAGTAGCTGATTGTCAACTCATTCTATAGAATGCTGCTGCTGCTTTTGTCATGTATACATTGGCTTAGAAGTCGATAGATAGATACGTCATCCGAAAAATGAAATCGTTATTCCCAAATGCTCCCTGTTCTGCCTGTCTCTTATACCGTAACGCCCGCGAAATCATGTAGAATGTGAAATTAATCGGCAAGGCGATAGCTGACCAGAGTCTCAACCCGGTGGTTGTTTGTGCTGAAACTGCGCAGCTGCACCTTCTCCGCGTTCTTGATCTCCTTCGCATCGCTGTCACCCCATTCCACGGGCACCTCCGAGTCGGCGTCCGCGTACACCAGGACGTTGAATGTGCAGTACCCGTTCAGCACGGGCAGGAAGGTCACCGAGGCGGTGATCTGACGGAAAATCGCCTGGATTTCTTCTTGGATCTCTTTTTCCGTCTTCTCCACGGTTGCGGGTTGGGTTTCCTTGTCACTGGGAAGGGAGTCAGCTTGTTCGATTGCGGTCTGAGGAGGGGAACCATACCCCGGAGTTGCGTTCTCCTTGTCGCCGGTTGTCTTGGAAGAGTGGCTCTTGGAGTGCTTGCCGAAGATTTGAACCTGGAGCCGATTAGCCTACGTCTGTCTGAAAGGACAGCGTCCAGCGTACGTCAAACTGCCATCTCTCCACATGCTCCCCGGTCTCCTTGTCTGTAATGACGACGACGAGCTTGGAGATCTTTCCACCCATCATCCACTTATTCAGTTGCGACATGATCTTCTTGATGTAGGCTTTGACTTGGTCGTCGGAGGTGACTGGATACGGTCAATCGAGGCATCGTGAGACTAAGCGAGCAGACCAACCGAGCATGTTGAGGCCATATTTCTTGACACTGTAGTGGACTGGTTAGACAGTGTCGCTTGACGTCAGGAGAATGTACTCACGTAGTGAAGTCTTCCGGAGGATACACGCCCCGCTGGAAACTGGTCGTATTGTCAGTGGCGACGTAACGAGCCGCTGTGAATCGGTCACTTACAGGATAGAGTTGATGGAGTATTCAAACTACAATTGTTAGGCAGACCATAGTCATATCAGCTGAGGGCCACTCACGAATTCCGCGACCAGCTTCGCCGATCCTATCTGTCCATGAGCGTCTGCAGCGGCCTGTCAAGAGAAACGGAAGGTCTTACCTTTCAAGGACAGCTTGTGAACCTTGGACTTGTCTTTTGCAGCTGACATAGTGGTATGCTTAATGTCTTCAAAGGGAGTCGAGGTGTTTGTCGTCGCCAGGTACCGGCAAGAGATGCGGTGGAAAAAGCGACGGCTGCTTTGTTTACCCCATTTGTCGCCGCGGCAATTGCAGTCTACCGCCCGCGCCCTCAACTTCTCCGCAACCGCCGTACTTTTTTTTCCCGCCCTCCAGATCTCGCCCGGTGTCATCCTACCATCAAACAACTACACTCACTCCCATGCAAGTGCAGACCTCCCAATGCGAGGATGCCTGCAGTTAGCCAGGTGGCTGAGCGCAGCGCCGAAATGCTCTGCTGCTAGCCTACTCCAGCCGCCATTCGGCCTTTCTTCCTCCGTCCGGTTTTTCGCCAACTCCGCATCACGCTGCGCCAGAGGTGCCGCCGCCGTCCAGAGATCCGACCTTGAAAGCAGAATCGCCGCCATCCCCATCGATCGATACCGCAATTTCTGTATCGTTGCTCATGTCGACCACGGGAAGAGTACGCTGTCTGACCGCTTGCTGGAACTGACGGGTACGATCGAACCCGGCAGTAACAAGCAGGTGCTGGACAAGCTCGATGTGGAGCGCGAACGTGGTATCACGGTCAAGGCGCAGACATGCACGATGATCTATAACCACAAGGGAGAGGACTACCTGCTCCATCTGGTCGACACCCCGGGACACGTGGACTTCCGTGCAGAGGTCTCGCGCAGTTACGCCAGTTGTGGAGGCGCTTTGCTCTTGGTCGACGCTAGTCAGGGCATTCAGGCGCAGACCGTTGCAAACTTCTATCTCGCTTTCTCACAGGGGTTGGAGTTGATTCCCGTCATCAACAAGGTGGATCTTCCCTCCGCCGAGCCGCAGCGTGCCCTCGAACAAATGAAACATTCTTTCGAACTGGACACGGAGAGTGCAGTGTTGGTCTCGGCAAAGACTGGTCTCAATGTGGAGAAACTGCTTCCTACGGTGGTGGATCAGATTCCCGCGTATGTCTTGTGACTCCTGATGACGAGTATCTTTGCTAACTTTGAACAGCCCTGTCGGTGACCCCACCAAGCCCCTTCGCATGCTTCTCGTCGATTCCTGGTACGATTCTTACAAGGGTGTGATCTGCTTAGTCCGCGTCTTCGACGGTGAGATTCGGGCTGGTGACCAGCTTGTTTCTTTTGCCACCGGTCTCAAGTACTATGTTGGTGAAGTCGGCATCATGTACCCGAACGAAACCCCCCAGACGGTGCTTCGTGCTGGCCAAGTCGGTTACATCTTCTTCAACCCTGGTATGAAGCGGAGCAAGGAAGCCAAGATCGGCGACACTTATACCAAAGTGGGATCAGAGAAGCTTGTGGAGCCGCTTCCCGGTTTCGAAGAGCCCAAGTCGATGGTTTTCGTAGCCGCCTACCCTGTTGATGCGGATCATTTCGAGCACCTGGAGGATAGTATCAACCAGCTCATGCTCAACGATAGAAGTATCACGGTGCAGAAGGAGTCCTCGGAGGCCTTGGGTGCCGGTTTCCGCTTGGGTTTTCTGGGAACTCTCCACTGCTCCGTTTTTGAGGATCGTCTGCGCCAGGAACACGGAGCCAGTATCATCATTACCCCCCCGTCAGTTCCCGTGAAAATCGTCTACAAAGACGGCCGAGAGGAGATCATTAGCAATCCGGCCAAGTTCCCCGACGATGAATCTGCACGCGCAAAAGTGTTGGAATTCCACGAGCCCTACGTCACGGCTACTCTGACTTTCCCGGATGAGTACCTTGGCAAGGTCATTGAACTCTGTGAAAACAACCGTGGAGAACAGAAGAGTCTCGAATATTTCACCTCTACTCAGGTTATTCTGAAGTACGAACTTCCCTTGGCGCAACTGGTCGACGATTTCTTTGGCAAACTCAAGGGCAACACCAAGGGCTACGCCTCGCTGGATTACGAAGAGTCTGCTTGGAGACAGAGCAACATCGTCAAGCTGCAGCTCCTGGTCAACAAGGCCCCTGTGGATGCTGTCGCTCGCATTGTTCATTATAGTCAAGCAGATCGACTTGGCCGGCAATGGGTGACCAAGTTCAAGGAGCATGTGGATCGTCAGCTGTTCGAGATTGTCATTCAGGCAGCCATCGGACGCAAGATCGTGGCTCGTGAGACGGTGAAGCCCTATCGCAAGGATGTTCTGGCCAAGCTTCATGCTAGTGATGTCAGTCGACGTCGGAAGCTGCTGGAGAAGCAGAAAGAGGGACGTAAGAGACTGCGGGCTGTGGGTAACGTGGTGATTGAGCAGAAGGCGTTCCAGAATTTCTTGTCGAAATAAGGGGTGGCCCCACATGAACTGTACAATATTTCTCAGCATATACTCAACTAGTCTATTAATTAGTTATATACCTGTTTATTATGTTATCTCTGAATCCTCAAGTTTTGTCAATGCAGCACGCACTGCATGTCCTTAAAATACATGGCACCGCGGGAGGCATGTGCTTGCAGTGTATCCGGTGGCCGTGATTGGATGGAGTGGCGGAAGCTGGACTCGGACGGAGCTTCCAATTTAACCGCAGAAAAGTTCGTCGTCGCCGACCCCGCCGCCGCAATGGTCTGCAATTTCTCCCCCTCCTTCTCCTCCTCCGTCGCCCGTCTTTTCTCCGATCCCACCGCATTCACTACTGATTCAAGGGTGGCGTGTCGCTTGACAGATCGACGACTCTTGCGGTGATTACAATACTCTTTGCGAGCGCATCCATTCCAGCGCCGTCGCATCTATCTCCGCTGAGTCACTGTCATCTTGCCATGATCATCATTTGACCACCGTGATGCAGCCTCCAGAAGGTGTGCAGGTCGACCTGGGCAAGGCCCAGGTCATTGATCGTGTCCCCAAAGTCATTAAGGAACTGAAATTCGGTGTTCTGTGAGTTGCCCTCCCCCACTCCTTTTTTTTTTTGTTACCTTGCTGCCTCTTACTGTCGCGGGAATAGCCTGGAGAGTATGCTGACGGCGGTCTATGCAGATCCAACGACGATATCGTCAGCCAAGGTGTGGTGGAAGTCTCCGACCGGAAATTCTTCGATCTCGAACATGACCGAGCTGTGGTCGCCAATGGCCCCCTCGACGCGCGCATGGGTATTTCGAACAAAACCTCAACATGTCAGACCTGTGGTGGTGCCCTCCAGGTCTGCAACGGACACTTCGGTCATGTCAGGCTCGTCTTGCCTTCCTTTCACGTCGGTTACTTTAAGCGAGTTATTACCATCCTACAAGAAATCTGCAAAGAATGTTCGCACATCCTCCTCCCCGAAGCCGATCGCCGTGCCTTCCTCCGCGAAATGCGTCGCCCCGGCCTGGACAACCTGCGACGGATGCAGATCGCCAAGCGGATCAACGAGCGGTGCAAGAAGACCCGCAACTGCGAGAACTGTGGTGCGGTGAACGGTGTGGTCAAGAAGGCGGGTACCAGCGCGCTGAAAATCACCCACGACAAGTTCCGTGCCTTCAACGCCTCGACCTCCGTCAAGAAGGTGCCCCCGCCAAGTAAGATCGTCTTCGACCGGTCTTTCGACGAAGCGCGCATGTCGAATGCAGAGGTCGAGAAGCATTATAAGAAGGCTCAGGATGACATGAACGCGCTGCGAGTGCTCAATCTTTTCAAGAAAATCTCCGACACCGACTGCGAGCTGTTGGGTCTGGATCCGAAGGAAGCCCGGCCGGAGATGTTCCTTTGGCAATTCATCCCAGCGCCCCCGGTCTGTATTCGTCCCTCCGTGGGTCAGGACGCGGCGTCGACTGAGGACGATCTGACTGCCAAGTTGGGGGATATTGTTCAGAGTAACATCAACCTCAAGAATGCACTGTTGAAGGGTGCGCCGGTTCAGACTATTATGGAATGCTGGGACTACATGCAACTGCAGATTGCCGTGTACATCAACAGTGATGTTCCGGGTCTGAACAAGGCAGATCTAGGAAAGCCTATTCGAGGTTTCGTGCAGCGCTTGAAGGGAAAACAGGGTCGTTTCCGTGGTAACTTGTCTGGAAAGCGTGTCGACTTCTCCGGTCGTACTGTCATTTCTCCTGATCCTAATTTGCGCGTTGATGAGGTCGCTGTTCCTGAGCTTGTGGCGAAGAACATGACTTATCCGGAGGTGGTCACTCGCTACAACAAGGAGAAATTGCAGCAGAGAGTCCGCAACGGAACGAAAAAGTGGCCGGGAGCGAACTACATCACCAAGAAGGGACAGACTTTCAAGCTCTTCCTCAAGTATGGTAATTTGAACATGATCGCAGATCAGCTCCAAGAGGGAGATGTTATTGAGCGTCATATTGAGGATGGTGATATTGTTTTATTCAACCGTCAGCCTTCGCTGCACAAGCTCAGTATTCTTTCTCACTTTGCCAAAGTCCGCCCACACCGGACTTTCCGCTTGAACGAGTGTGTTTGTAATCCTTACAACGCCGATTTCGATGGTGACGAGATGAACTTGCACGTTCCTCAGACGGAAGAAGCGCGTGCGGAAGCTATGGAACTTATGGGCGTCAAGAACAATTTGGCCACGCCCAAGAACGGAGAGCCTATCATTTCTGCTATCCAGGATTTCATCAGTGCTGCTTACATTCTCAGTAGCAAGGACAACTTTTTCGACCGCCGCACTTTCTCGCAAATCTGTCTTTACATGCTTGGTCCTCAAACCCGCTTTGATCTTCCTCCTCCCGCCGTGTTGAAACCTCAGATGCTGTGGACTGGAAAGCAAGTCTTCAATATCCTCATGCGGCCGAACAAGGATGATCCGTGCTTGGTCAACCTGGATGCCGCCTGCAGAGAGTTCAAGATGCCAAAAGATGGGACTCCCAAGGATCTCGACCCCAAGGATGGTTGGCTCGTCATTCGCAACTCTGAAGTCATGTGTGGTGTGATGGACAAGTCTACTATTGGTTCTGGAAAGAAGGATAACGTGTTCTATATTATGCTGAGAGATTACGGTCCGGCGGCGGCAGCCGAGGGTATGAATCGCTTGTCGAAGTTGTCTGCCCGTTGGTTCACAAACATGGGCTTTTCTATCGGTATCACGGACGTCTACCCCAGCGAGAAACTTCTGGCTTCGAAACATGATCTGGTCGAGACTGCCTACGCAGCTTGTGACGAGGTCATTGCCAAGTACAAGGCCGGTACGCTGGAGAAGTACCCCGGTTGTGACGAGTTGCAAACTATGGAGAACCAATTGTCTGGTATTCTGAGTAAGGTCCGTCAACAGGCCGGTGACGAGTGTATTGCACAGCTGAGCAAGTATAACTCCCCTTTGATCATGGCGACATCCGGATCCAAGGGTTCTAGCATCAACGTGTCTCAGATGGTTGCTCTGGTCGGTCAGCAGATTATCGGTGGTCAACGTGTGCAAGACGGCTTCCAGGATCGTACCCTGCCTCACTTTCCGAAGAATGCCCGCCAGCCTCCTTCGAAGGGTTTCGTGAGAAACAGTTTCTTCTCGGGGTTGACTCCCACGGAATTCATCTTCCACGCCATGTCCGGTCGTGAAGGTCTTGTCGATACTGCTGTCAAGACAGCCGAAACCGGTTACATGTCTCGTCGGTTGATGAAGTCTTTGGAAGATCTCTCCACCAGATACGACGACACTGTCCGCAACTCGTCTGCAGCGATTGTCCAGTTTCAGTACGGTGACGACAAGCTGGACCCCGTGGACATGGAGGGTAAAGCCAAGCCTGTCCATTTCGACCGGACCTTTATCCATTCCGAATCCATCACTTATTCGAACGAAGAACCGAGTTTGCTTCCGGCTGAAATTATGGAGGTTTGCGAGGAGATGCTGTCGAAAGAGCGTGCCAAGCTGGTGCGAAAGGATTTGATGGGCAACACCCTGGGTTATATGGATCGCAGTGATCACGGCATTGACCAGTTCGAGAGTGCTCGCGATTTCCTGGAATCTATTCAGCAGTACGTTGCCACCAAGGCGGAGAAGCTTATTTCTCGCGGTGGTGACATTGACCCCTCCGACGAGAGAAGTCAAAAGGGTCTCAACCACACTGGCAAGCTGACCGAGCGCACCCTGCGGACTTTCATCACTGAATGCTTGATGAAGTATAAGAAGGCCCAGGTTGAAGCCGGCCATGCTGTTGGTGCTGTCGGTGCTCAGTCTATTGGTGAACCCGGTACCCAGATGACGTTGAAGACTTTCCACTTTGCTGGTGTTGCCGGTATGAGTATCACTCAGGGTGTGCCCCGTATCAAGGAAATTATCAACGCGTCCAAGGAGATCAGTACGCCCGTCGTTTCTTGCGAGTTGGTCACCAAAGACAACATCATTGCCGCCCGTATTGTCAAGGGTCGTATTGAGCAGACGTACCTGCGCGATATCATTCACTACATCCGCGAGACGTGGACCGGCAAGGAAGCCTATATTACTGTCAAGATTAACTGGAAGACCATTCAAGATTTGGCGTTGGAGTTGAAGATTGAGAACATTCTTGCTGCGATTAAGAGTCATAAGCGGTTCAAGGCCGACGATCTCAAGTTCCGCTGCTCGCGGTCCCACATCCACGTCTACATGGACGTCGAGCCGTCCAGCAAAGCCTCTCTGTCCAAGACGGAGATTGCGCACACGAGTGCAGATCCGTTCCTGCGCTTGAAGCACTTAAAGCGGATGCTCCCGGACATCCAGGTGCTCGGTCACCCGCAGGCCTACCGTGCGATCATCCGAACGGATGAGACATCGACTACCAATACGCTTCTGGTGGAAGGTTACGGATTGAGAGCGTGTATGACCACGATGGGAGTTGACGGACTGCGCACGAAGACCAACAACATCATGGAGATGCGCGAGGTGCTGGGTATCGAAGCGGCGCGGTCGACGATCGTCCAGGAAATCAGCGAGGTTATGAAGGACATGGACATTGATCCTCGACACATGCAGCTTCTGGCCGACGTCATGACCTACAAGGGTGAAGTGTTGGGTATTACGCGATTCGGTCTCGCCAAGATGCGTGACTCGGTGCTGCAGCTGGCGTCCTTCGAGAAGACGGCAGACCATCTGTTCGATGCCGGTGGTGCTGGTCGGACGGACTTGATTGAAGGTGTGTCTGAGTGTATCATCATGGGCAAGACGGTGTCGCTGGGTACCGGTGCCATGGAGGTGGTGCGCAAGATGAATTTCTACGAGGGACAAATTGGGCCGAGAAAGACGACGTTCGAGGACGCATGGACGGACGTCTACGAGGCCCCTCTTGAGCGCGCGCGGGCAAAGCGCAAGGCGCGTGCTTGAGGGTGAAGGCCGAGGAGTGTATAAAAGGCATTTGATTCTGGACGGAAAAGTCGGTCGCATACCAGGCGTTTAGTAGTGTACTGTATAGTCATGATTTAGCGATTACGCGGACGGCTGTCTTGATACAGCAGATGGAAAGAGATAATCTGAGTCTGTAAGATGAAGTCCTGAGTGTTTATGACTGGGTATGGTGTAGCAGTCAATAACCTACCTTACTGTACTTAGCAATGGTTGACAGCCCAATGCGGAATGCTTAATAACCGGAGAATGGGCTTCTGCCCCACTAGAACTTTTTGCGCCGTTCTCTCTGAATGTCTACCTCCTAGTTATACCACACCTCACCTCTATTACCGCCTCACCACACGTCTTCAATTGACTTCCTCCTGCCACGGACCTTACGAACGAACACAAATAACCAAAGGAACCAATCAATTAATCTACCCTTCTCTTCCCGTCGCAAACACCAAGATGACCGACTACCAACCCCCACCCCTCCCCCCGCCCTTCCACCACTACAACACCATCACCAGCACAACCACCACCACCACCTCCTCCTCACCTCAATCTCAAACCCAACCTCCGATGGAACTCATAACACAAGGCGCCGAAGCCCACCTATACAAAACCCACTTCCTCTACGCCGCCGCCACCCACCCGGCGGCCCTCAAAGTCCGGCCCTCCAAACCCTACCGCCACCCGATCCTCGACCGCCGGTTGACCCGTCAGCGCATCCTCCAGGAAGCGCGGTGTCTGGCCAAGCTCGTCCGGGAGGGCGTCTCGGTGCCGGCGCTGTACGCGGTGGACTGGGAAGGGCAGACTTTTGTGGTGGATGAGGTCACGCAGGAGGAGCGGTATGGGGGCGCGTGGTTGATGATGGAGTGGGTGGAGGGGGATGTGGTGCGGGTCATTGTTCGGGAGTGGGAGCGCGGGATGGCGGGGCGGTTTCCGGGGGAGAAGGGCCGGAGGAGGGATGGGTTTGGTGGTGTGGGAGAGAATCCTGGGATTGATCATGCGGTCGATTTGGATGGCGATGGTGATGGTGATGCTGCCGAGGAGCACGTGGAGCGAAAACGCGAGGAAGAGCGGATGAAGGATTTGTTGCGCAGGATTGGGAGGGCGGTGGGGGCGTTGCATGCTGCTGGGGTGATTCATGGGGATTTGACGACGAGTAATCTCATCCTCCGTCCCTCGGGGGGCATCATGAAGCCGCAGCAGCAGCAGCAGCAGGAGCTGGGTGGAGAGGAAGGGATGGTCGATCTGGAGGGCGAGGTCGTGCTGATTGATTTTGGGTTGGCGAGTCAGAGCGTGCAGGATGAGGATCGCGCGGTCGATCTGTATGTGCTGGAGCGGGCGTTTGGGAGTACGCATCCCCGTACGGAGCAGTTCTTCGCGGAGGTGCTGGAAGGGTATCGGGCGAGTTATCGCGGAGCTGCGTCGGTGCTGAAGCGGTTGGAGGAGGTGAGGATGCGGGGGAGGAAGAAGAGTATGTTGGGATGATTACGGTTTTTTATTGTGGTACTCTGTGCATGTAGCTAGACAGGAAATGGATGTGAGATGACATGACTATATGCTGCTTCTTCTACTTCATTCATCGTTAAATACAAAAAAGATTAACGCCGCGCTTCCTATGCGAAATTTCGAATGCAACACCCAACCAAAATCAAGGCTTGACGCAGCTGCCCACGTCCGCCAACGCAAAGTACCCCTTATTCTCCACCACCCCGCGGTCCTTCACCACCGCCGTATACTTGACCACCCACTGCGGCGCCACGTCGCCCTGGATGCCGTCGTCCGCGTCCGGCGCAGAAGCCAGAATGCCCGCGCCCCGGGCGCCGGGCCCCAGCAGCTCGCGTGTTGTGCCCACCGGCAGGATGTCATTGCAGTCGTTATGCGTCAGCAGCTGGATCCGCTCCTGCTTGGCGTACAGAATCAACGACTTGGGCACGACGCAGCAGTCCTTAAGGTTGATCTGGTCGACGGACGGCTTGACCTTGGTGTGCGGCAGGAACCGCGCCAGCCGCTCGCTGCCAAACTCGGCCACGCCCAGCTGCGCGATCATCCCTTGCTCGTGCAGCCCCTCCAGCGTCCGCCATGTCTGGAGCAGACTGTCGAAGTCGTCTTCTTCGCTGCCCGTATCCGATGAGCCCCCTTCCTCGTCCTCCACCTCGCTGTCATCGTCGGCGTCGAACAGAATCCCGGGAAACGAGACAATCAGCAGATCTATCGAGTCGACGTGCAGTTCTTTCAGGACGAGGTCGATCGCCTCGCGCGTGTGTGCGCACCGCCGCGACGCCGGGATGCCCGGCAGGTAGAACAGTTTGACCGTGATGTCGTAGGCCGAGCGCTCCTCGGACAGTCCATATCCAAAGTCTGTGGAGGGAATGTATAGCGTGTCGTCTTGTTGTTTCGTCCAGGTTAAGTAGCGCGGTTGCTGCTGGGTTTTGGGATCTTCTTCGGCGTGCTGTTGCTGTGCGGCCTGGATGTTGGCGCGGAGGGAATTAATCAGCTCGACGTTGGACTTTTCGGTCAGTTGGCGAATGACTGGGTGTCCGCCTAGCATCAGGTTGCTGTAGGGTGTTAGTTTTGTGTTGCGTGTATGTGTGTGTGCGCTGATTGAGTTTTGAGGTTTTTATGGAGGATCGCCGGGGAACGGCCCGAGGGAGGGATAGAGCAGGGAACATCGGTGGTCGTCGCCACTTACGAGGTGGAGAGAATTAGTTTCATGGTGGCTGATGTCGGATCACACCGGCGAGAGTTGCAAGAGTTGCAAGGACGGGGTTTGAGTCAGCTGCCGGAGGGGTGAATGGAGAGGAGGATTGAAGACGTTGGAAGAGAGAGCAGGAAGAAAGATAACGAAGCAGGATGAATTGCTAAGCAGCCAAACCCCGCGCCGCGGGGGTGGATTTTCTGGTCGGCGGCCATCGGACTTGGCCCGCCCGATGACTTTGGCTTGTACTGTATACACAATATCACACCCCGCTTATCATTATCTACATCCTTCTATCCTACTTCCAGAAAAAAATTTGGTCGCATGAATGCGCGTGCTAGCCATTCAATCATAATCCACCGTAGGATCCCAGTCCGTTGGCGAGTACACCCCTGTCTGCAACGCCTTCATCTCCTCCTCTGACAGCTCGAAATCAAATACCTCTGCGTTTTCCTTAATGCGACTAGGCGTCACCGACTTAGGCAGAGGAACGAAGCCCTAAACTTCGAATTAGTACTAATAAAACCCCAACCAGAAGCAAGAGTGATGTGCATACCCTTTGCAAACCCCACCGAATCATAATCTGGGCCGGCGACTTGCCATGCTTCTGCCCCAACTCCTTGAGCACGCGCTCACCCATCCTCGTCCCATGCGCCAGAGGCGAATAGGCCTGGACGACGATGTTGCGCTTCTGGAGCCACTGGGCGATCTCGGGACGGTCACACCATGGGTGCAGCTCATACTGGCCAACATCGATCTGCCCGCCGGCGCCACCCTTGATGTACTCCTCCAGCTCCTCGAGGTGGTGGATCCCGTAGTTGGACACCCCGATGGACTTGGTTTTGCCCGCTTGCTGGGCCTCCACCAATGCACGCCACGAGCCGAGGCGGTCCTCTTTGCCGCCGTAGGGGGCGTGGATGAGGATTCTGGTCATGGTGTCAGCTGGCGCAGCGCAGTGATTGAATTTGAGCGGCAGGCAACACCTACAGATCAAAGTACTCCTGCTCGGCTTCGCGCAAACTGGAGTCAATTGCCTTCTTGGTGCGAGTGTAACCCATCTTCTCCGGGGGGATCTTGGTCGTGAAGAAGATCTCCGACCGGTCTAGCCCGGAGTTGGCGATGGCTCGACCGCAGGCTTTCTCATTACGGTACATGATGGCTGAGTCCACCTTGACGGACATTATTAGGTTTGTTCGGCAGGGGGAAATGGGGGATGCATACATGACGATAGCCAATCTTGAGCGCTTCTAGTGTGACCTTTTCTGTTTGAGATTGGGGGCTTTTTTCAAACGAGGGGATTATGTTAGATGAACGGCATTTGCATGCAAACGGAGGCGTAGCAGACTTACATCAGGTAGACCTGGTTTAGATTACGCAGTTTAGTCCTGTGGTGGTGGTGGTGAATAAGGAGAAGAGTGGAGACTTACTCCGTATCCCAGGATGGGGATCTCATGGCCGGAATTCAAGCGGTAGGTTGAGCGTAGACCTTTGAGGGCAGCCATTGTGGAAACTGCTTGATGTGGATGGTTGAGTCCGAAAAGAAGAGCGAAGTAAAGAGGAGGGGCAATTGAACAAGTTATATACACATTCATCGAGAGGGGAAAAGGCGCGATGATCTCATATTGCTGCAGTGGGTCGCCGGCTTATTAACTTCTCGCCTTTGTTCTTATCGCCGCAGGGAGTATAACCACCCAAAGAAGGAAACTCACTGCAGTTGATATGACAGCTCCTCCTGCACTGCTTGATCAAGTTATGCATAATGCAGCTAGCATTCAATTAAGCTGGCTTGGTCATGAATGACTACCTTTTGTGGTCAACATGGCAAACCTCTTTCTAGTATGTACTTAAGGGTATAAAATCCCCACTCTCCCTCCCTTCCAACACTCTTCTTCCATCTCGCTCTTCTCCAACTTCATCCTACCTTTCATGTATCCTATCCTTCTGAGCTGTAATTAAAAATCCCAAAAGTCAAGCATCAACCGCAGCATTCCCAATTATCACTTTCGAGTCATTCTGGTGTCTCCATCATGATCGTTACTATTATCGAACAGGAATGAGAATGAAGTCCGGGGCTGTTAACGTTCCTCCTTGCAGTGCTAGATGGGCGTTCAGACCCAGCAGAAGCTGACCACGGTGTTCATCTATACAAGGCGCTGGATTTAAGTAAAACCGATCTCATCTTTGGTCTATCGACTTTGATGCTGAAGGTAATATCTTAAATGCAAGTTATTTGCTGAAACTAAGTGTGCTCCCATCTTACTAGATCAGCCGCTACTCAGAAAGCTCAGTCACTGTCAAGACTGTGACATGCCGCCTTTTACCGAGAACGATTTACATAAGACCGGGCAATGGGCTCAAGTCTTTCTGTAAGGACTAAAACTGTCTGCAATTCTTCAAACATTCATAGACGCAAGTCTGGGCAACCACACATCTCTACCGACGATGCAGCAAGGCTGGTTGAAGACTTATACGACTGGCCCAGGAGTCTGACCGAAGACCTTTGCCTCCATGGCCAGATGACCTGAGGCATGCTTTTCGGCGTCCTTCTGTCAAGTTACATCTTTTTACTTCGTCACTGTGATACTCTTCCAGCTGCTTGACAGGGCACGCTTCCCGTGGAAAATAGCCCACTCGGCCCTCGCTACCGCATCATGCATTACTAGGCTTGATGAAAAAATTCACTGCAGAAAAGAGACAGCGCGCTTGCTACAGATTCACGGTTATTTCTGCATGGCTACATCATTTTGGCGGCTATTTTGTCAAATGGGCTGCAATACTGCAGTATCTGACCTCAGTAGTGGTTTTGACGTGTTCGATATCAATCTTCGAGACGAGGATACACCATCTGCCCGGTGGTGAGGACGAATCTCTGTAGGCTTGCACCTTGATTCATCAGACCGCAAAAAAGATTACTCGTGGCCTCGCATTATATCTGTCAGCACCCTTAGTAACGTCGTTCTATCGTACTGTAGATGATGAGACCCCTCTGATGCTGGTGTGGCTCTGCCGGCAATGATAGAAGTGGATGCAGCCGCATGTGAGGGTAGTCGCAGAGGGCCTTGAGACCTCCACGGGGGGGGGGTTGATCAAAGTCGATGCCATCGTCAGAACTGGTTCATGCAACTGACAGAGGGATAGACCATGCTTGGCATACAGTAACCTCACATGCATATGCACCCTACTGCACATTCATGCACCTGTTCTTACAATATATCCAGAATGAAGCGTTCCCGGGGGAGAACCCCCGGACCCCCCTTCCTTTCAGCTTCCTGGTATATTACAAAGGGTCCATTCACAGATCACAATCAATATATTATCTCAGTAAGAAAGTGCTAACACAAAGTCATAACTCATTACCCCCGCCCTGCGGAGCAACATCACGCCCTCTTCTGGATATCTGCCTCAGCCCCGCGCTGCTGCACCTTCCCCGTATCATGGACCTCCTTGTACCGCTGCTCCTCCGCCTCATCGCCGGTCACCGCGGCCGCCACTTTGCCCACCCCGCCTTCGACCCGCCCCTTGACACCCTCCCCCCAGTCTTTCAGCTGCCCCTCCGCCTCCGCCTGCTTGCCCGCCGCGTTCTGCTCCTGGCCCGCCTTGCGCAGGCTCTCGTTGCCGATCAGGTTGCCCAGCGACTCCTTGGCCGACCCCAGCGTCTGGTCCCAGCTGCCGTCCGTGCGCTTGGGGTGGTCGGTCGCCGTCGCCCCCGTGTTGGGGTCCGCTGTCACGGGGCCTAGCTTGGCGGTCGTGTGGCTGTTTGCGTTTTCGATCTTGCCTTCTTGGCGGGTGGCTTCGCCTTCGTTCTGTTTGACACTTAGTCCCTGTTGCATAGTGGGTGATTGGGAGGTGGGATGCTGGCTGCTTACCTTGGTAGAAGCATCACCAGTCAAGGAGCCGATGGCGCGCTGGGCCAGACCAGTGGCCTGGTCGACGTAGGACTTGAGAGTGGAGGAGTTTTCAGAAGACATTGTGTTGGTTCTGGTTGGGTTGTTTGGGTTGTTTGTGTGATTGGTTATAGTTGTGGTAGAAGAGTACTAGTGGTGATAGTGCAAGTAGCAGTGATGATTGTTTGTGTTGTGTTGTGTTGATAACAAAGAGGAAAGGTGGTGGTGTTTATATACATCCTCGTCCGGAGTAGATCGACATGACGTCATGGGTCTCCCACAAGCCACGCCCCTCCATCGACGTCATTCCCAGGCACGAATTCCACTCTCTCAGATTCAAATGACGTGCGAGGATGCATCTACCTGCACATTACTGGATATCCAACTGTTTGTGGTTCATTCTGGATGCGATCTATGTACAGAAACACAAATGATGACAGGGCGGGGTAAGATGACCCCACTGCTCTCGGAAAGACACAGTACACTCATGCTGTACCTGCTGTGATTGTGGCTGAGCCTGTAGCTGTAGTGAAGAACGCTCAATGCTTGCTAAACCTTGTAAAGGAGAAAGAAAGATAGAAGGGATGTCTAGTACGTCGTCAAAGGAAGAAAACTACCAATGACAAATCCCCCCTTCGCTGTCATCCGCCGCCCACGTCCCCGACAGCCCAACCACCTGCAGATGGCCATCGTGGTTCTCGCCCACCTTGCTCAGCGCCGCAAAGCTCGTCTCGGACGGCCCGTTGCTTAGTAGACGTCGCGCCCACGCGTCAATGGCTGGCTCACCCGTCTCGTCCCGCGCCTGTTTCAGGAACGGAATCAGCGCGGTGCCCCCCGTGCCCCGCAGCTTCTTTGGGTCCGCCTTCTCCCCGTACCGCGCCGTCGCCAGGTTCGTCGCCTGCGCCATCTGCTGCGGCGGCGGCGGTCGTCGCGGGCTGGTGGCGCGCCGCGCCGGCCGGGCATCGCGCGACTGGATGATGATGTACCGCGACACGACCTGGATGTGCTTGTCGCGCAGCACGCGCAGCATCGACAGGCACGAATCGTACGCGATGCATAGCGCCTTGTCCGAGCGGCGTGCCTCCACGTACTCCCGCACGTTGGCCACCGCACTCACATGCTCCAAGAACCGCCGGTGCGCCGTGGGCATGTAGGAGCGCATTTCCTGGATGAAGCCGTGGCGCGGTGCTCCAACCATACCTTCCTTCTGCTGGCTCACAGGGGCACCTCCCGCACGTGCCGTCTCGCCCGTGGGCCGGTGCTCCACCCCCAACGCTAGATCGAAGAACTGGATCAGCGAGCTCTGCGCGTTGCTGCCCCCGCCGTACTGCCGGTACTCAGGCTCGCCCCGGCCAGTGTCGTACAGCAGCCCGTGAGGCAGCCCGGCGTCCGCCATATTCTTACTGCCCGCCAGGTAGGGCCGGATGCGGTGGTAGAACACATAGGGGTCGCAGTGCTCGTACATGCGCTCCAGCAGGGACCCCACCTCGTCGATCACCTCGGCCAACCCCTGCAAACTCTCCGTCACCACCAGACTGTTGCCAGCCCGTGCCGCCGCAATCGCCTGTAGCACCAGCGGGATGGCCGGGGCGCCCCGAGCCTCGATTGCTACCGAGACTAGATAGAACCATTTCTCGTCGTAGGAGCCCGTGAAGGTGTTGAGGCTGTCCAGGTTACGCAGGTCATCCACCGGCTCGTCGGGGAAGATGGGCTTGTAATTCCACAGGCACACGCCCGCATAGGTTGCGACGGGCGGCAGCCCCAGATGATCACACGCAGCGAGCAGCGGCACCGTCAATTGGGGAGGGATTTTCTGGCCCCGCCAACACCTCGTCAGCATCAGGATGTAGCATCTGTGAGAGGGGGAGAACCGTGTTACCAACCTCGGCGGGCCTGCTACCACCCCAGACAAAGCCATGTAGTATGAACACCAGTACCACGTACGCCCGGCGCCACTCACTCTCGTCCTGCAAATATGAAACAGACAGCATGGGCATCTGATCCACCACCTCCCGGATCCGTCTGCTGATCAGCAGCGCCTGGAGGTTGGACGCGATCCACTCCCATCGAGCATAGTACGGATCGGGGAGGGCCTCGAGGGGTGGCTCCGGCGGAAGGAAGCCATGATCCGGCGAGATGCCGTAGTCTGCCAGAACTGGAATCGGAGGAAGCATGATGGCGATGATTTTCCTGATGTGCCAGGGAGAGCACCATAAAAGGTGTAAAGGGGGAGAAAGAGCACCACAAGGACCAGACAAACAGGTTATTTTATTCGAAGCTGCTGCTGCTCACGTGCAATGTACCTGGGACCTTGACGTACGAAAAGAGAAGAAGGCCCGAGACTGCTGTGCAACTGCTGGTCAAAGTACTCTCAGGGCGAAGCTCGTGTGACACGCAAGCTGGTTGACCCAGGTCAGATTCTGAATGATCAGGGATCAACTGGGTAGATCCAGTATGACTGGTGTCAGATGTGTGGTAAAAGGAGCAGGAAAGTGGCGAGGCAGTCAAGGAAGCAAGTCTGTGTTTATTCTACCATTGCGGGGGAGTCAGAGGGTGGGAAAGAACCAAGCATGGAAGAAGGATGGGGACTCGGAGTTTCTTGGGATATAACTCTGGGTTGCCACTGAAGGCCACGGAGGGTGTGAACGAAACTCAGGATAAAAACAGGACGAATTTTGATCAAATCAATCAGTAGCAAGAATGGCAAGTCGTCGGGAAGGAAGTTTAAACCGTCAGACTCTGTCTTCCAGGGCATTAATCAGCGAAAAATCCGGACCAAGACCGGCGAAGGGGATGATTTCCCAGCGTAATAAAACCGTGCGGACACGAGACAGGGGTAGTCATCATTTCCATTCCATCCTTCTCGTCTTGCACCTCGACTAATCCGTGGATGGACGAGACGGCCAGAGGCAAGTGGGCCGGACCAGAAGGGAGGGCTTCGACTTATAGAGAGGGAGGTTTGGGTGGAGGAGAGAGAGCGGCGTTGGGAGGATGGCGGTGGTGACGCTCTGGAGCAGGGGGAATATGACTGAGGTAGTGAAGAGCAGTTCATAAGTGATTCAATATTCCTCCCATTCAATACCATTGATCATGTTGAGGTTGACGGAGGGGGATATAGTTCCCATAAACATTTACTGGCGGGTTGGGAAGCATGGAGCAAGTATGAAGCACCAACGGTGGCGTTGGGTGTGAGCGATTTGGGTGTCCACCGGGGTCGGACTAGTCTGAGTGCTAGAGAATGATCCGGAAGGCAGCAAAGAGGGGGAAGTCAGAGGCCAAAGTGCGAGATCGGGCGGTTAAGCGAGGCTTGGGCCGTGTTCGCTCCCACCCACGCCACCCCATTCTGGTCTGCGGTGAGTCCCTGTATGTTCCGTGTGGATTTGTCCCGTATGGATACTATCCCCCCATACTTACCCCATCTTATTTCGACGGCTATGTACTGCTGCGATGGGGATCACGTATTGAATTGGTGGAATCCATTTATTATTCTCCTATCTTGCATAACATCACCCCTCATCCTGCAGCCTGCCCACATGCCTCTACACTGAGCCACATAATTCTTAAAAACCCAATCACGTTGAATTTACCCGAGACTGTGACAAATCCTGTCTACGAGATGATGTCCCATATCGATCACTCAGACGATAAGGACTACTCATACAGCTACTCGGCACTATAACACAATCAATCGTCATTACATCCATTCTCTATGCAATTTCACGCACACCACATCCCAGGCCTATAATATTACACGCTATCCGAACGCCGTACCACCGCTGATATCGTGGATAAAAAGCAAAGAACCCAAGTGAACATGCCTGCGCCTGGTGCCTGACCAACCCACATTCCAGTCATTCTGAGACGCAGAACAAAAAGAAGAAACGGTTTTAGTGCTGGCTCCACTCAATGGTGCTCAAATCAATGCCCTCCTGCACCATCTCCCACAACGGGCTCAGCTCACGCAGGAACGTCACCCGATCCTGCACCGCCTTGAGCACGTAGTCAATCTCGCTGTCCGTTGTGAAGCGGCCGATGCCAAAGCGGATACTGCTGTGCGCACTCTCGTCGCTGCTGCCCAGAGCCCGCAGGACGTAGCTGGGCTCCAGCGAGGCAGAGGTACAGGCACTGCCCGACGAGAGAGCAATATCCTTCAGCGCCATCAAGAGAGATTCGCCCTCAATGTAGGCAAACGAGATGTTGACACAGCCGGGGTAGTGGCGGGTCGCATCGCCGTTGAGAGAAGTGTGTTCCATACCCAGAAGGGCGTCGCTCAGGCGCTTCGAAAGGCGGGAGATGTGCTTGGAGTCATACTATAGTCACGATGGTCAGCGGATGCTCCTCACGGAAGTTTGGTTTAGCCAATCGGCAGCAAACAAGCGGCTCATCACCCCTGCTATGTACATCATGGAGCACGGGAACATGCGAGAGCATGCAGCTACCCCCGTCATCCCTCAGATGGTGATACAATTCAAAGCGTATAATCATAGCCAGAACGCCAGAATATCGGGCGACAAAGAAACAGGCCTCAGGAATCAATACGTACCTCCATGTCCTGTGCTGCAATGCGACAAGCCTCGCCAAAACCGACGGTCAGGTGAGGAGCAAGGGTGCCACTGCGCAAGCCTCTCTCCTGACCACCACCGGAGATAAGAGGCTCAAGACGGACTCTTGGGCGGCGGCGGACGTAACACGCGCCAATACCCTTAGGTCCGTAGATCTTGTGGCTGGAGATGGACATCAGGTCGATGTTCAGCTTGTTCACATCCATAGGAATCTTGCCGACCGCCTGCGCGGCATCGGTGTGGAAGAAGATCTTCTTGGAGCGGCATAGCTTTCCAATCTCCTCCATGGGCTGGATCACGCCAATCTCATTGTTGACCGCCATGATACTGACAAGGGCAGTGTCCGGGCGGATGGCGGCCTCGAGGTCCTCCATGCGGATCAGACCGTTGTTCTGCACAGGCAAGTACGTAACATCAAATCCCTCATCCTGGAGGTGGCGGCAGCTGTCCAGGACACACTTGTGCTCCGTCTGGGTGGTGATGATGTGCTTCTTCTTACCGGAGCGACCGAAGAACCGAGCGACTCCCTTGATGCTCATGTTGTTACTCTCGGTGGCGCCACTGGTGAAGATAATTTCCTTGGGGTCGGCGCCGATGAGCTTGGCAACGTGTTCGCGGGCTTGCTCGACAGCTTTCTCCGATTCCCAACCGTAGGCGTGGGTTCGCGAGTGGGGGTTGCCGTAGATGCCAGTCAGGTAGGGAAGCATCGCGTCGAGAACACGGGGGTCGGTCGGAGTCGTCGCCTGCATATCGAGATAGACGGGTCGCGTTCCTTGATCCATGATCGTGGCCTGCTTCAGGATGCCGGCGGTCGGGCTCATCGAGGCGTCTCCGGAGACGCCCGAGCTAGGCAGCTCCACCTTTCCGGGCTGGATGCCAGTCTGGTTGACGAAGTTCTTCTGCTCCTGCTTAATGGCGGTATCGATCGTGACCTGAGCATTTCCAGCCTTGGTCTCGGTGACATAGGACCTCCGGGCAACGATGCCACCGGTGGCGAGCGCCCGTCGGGGCAGGAAGGAGTTCAGAGAGCCATGCTGAAAGCGACGCGCGTAGGCTCTGGATGCCTGTCTCAAGGCAGTAGGGGTCATGCTGGACATCATTCAGTTAACTCTGCGACTGTACCATGAAAGTCTGGATGGACAGTGAAATGAAACCGAGACAGAATGACAGCAGCAGAGGGAGGGGGGGGCGATGAGTTCGCTGGGACGAGGAAAAAGTTTGGATCCGGTTATATCATTGCCGAGACCGCTAGCCCCGATCGGATTTGTCAGACACTTCTCCGGTCATTTCCCTTTTGGCTGTAGTCTCGGTGTTTTGACAACCAGTCCAGGAAGCTTGCGAGGTCGGAGAAAATGGCTCCTCAAATAATATAGGGGAACTGGTATTGATAATTAGTCCGTACTCCAATAACGCTAAGTACAGAGTACGGAGGACAGTGGCCATATTCCTGACCACAGGCTGAAATATCATAGCCCCAGGTTTCTATGGGTGTCTTAGGCCGAGTTGTCGCCTCAGGCCATTATCGTCGCCTCAAGTGACGACTCCCCCGTCCCTGATGACTTCTGACCACAACAGAGAACACTACAATTCCCCCTCAACTCTGTCTATGTTATAAAGACGAGCTGCTAAGCTAATGTTTCCAGCACAACCTGCACAATCACAAACAGACTCTCACGCCGAAGACCCCTTAGAGCAGTGACAATGCTTGATCCGACAGGAAGCATCAGACTGGTCCTCTGCTGATGTATTCGCTCTTGGTCGCCATATTTTATGTCTACATCTCGTTCCGCTGAAGCTGCGATCGATACGCCATCTTGACGATAGCCATCTAACAACTTTTTTCGAGGGTCAGGCGTCAAGCAGAGCCTGCGGCCATCCGATTGCATTCATTATTCTCGAAACCTCCTCTGGCGGATAATGTTTGATGATTCTAATCCCACCTCGTCGACCGTTGAACGCGCGCGGGCCCTCTTGTGCTACACGATCAACTAATCTGGATGACGCAAACTACCTGACCGAGCTTCACTCTTCTTACTCCACGATACTGTACTGATGGTCTTTACCTACATAGATTGTTACCACTAATCAGCGACTCCGACTCACTCTCATACAAGGCTAGGTAGGTATCTTCCAGTTTGTCTGGCCTTGCAGTTCTATCTACCTGGACTCACTGCCATCAAAATTTTCAGACCACGGTGCATTGCTCGTGGAAAAATAGTCGGACTGAGCAGCAAAGCCCGGCGGTAATCATGTGTCTCCCCCGCCGCCTGTATCATCTCCCGCCCTTTAAACGAGGCTTCATGACGGTTGGGGGGGGAGGTGCTGTTCTCATAGGAATCATCCTTGGATTGACCAAGGCGATGAGAGAAGTGGTGTATCTTTTGCATCAATCCCAGAGGAGAGTTTCTAAGCCAGTATTACCATCTCAACCGGCAACATCCCAGTCATCGTGCAGCCGAGAAATTGTCAGTTTTGTGGCTGGTAGTGTTAGTATATATCATCAATGCCCAGTAGTACCAATTCATTTCTCGCAATTCATCGCTTGGGGCATCGGGGAGAGCATATAGCAGGCTTAAGGTTTTTCTTACAGGCCAGAAGGGAGCACGCATTCCGCTCCTGCGGGGCCCATCTCGGATGGACACCCTCTGACGGTACATTGAGGTCACTAGTCCCCTACATTGCCATAGTTTTCATGACAATAGATGACCTCAACAGCTGTTTCAGTTTCCCGAGAGATCGCGACAGTGGGATGATTGCGATCCATAAACTCGAAGTTCAACATACCGCCCTCCCTCTCCCTACATGACACAACAGGGGTTTACAACCAGCCGTGGCTGGCGTCGGTTGCGGAGAAACGTTGGTTCAGAGAGGCCCCATCAAGCGTTGTACCACCCGTTCGACGATAGAGGAGGATGGGGATGACGAGGACTATGCCTCTTCCGGCATTGGACAACCTGGTAGAGATGAGGAAGAGGCCTCGACTGTGCGGGCCAACTGTGTGGAAGTGATGAGTAATGTGCTTGAAAATCTTCGTGGTTCTGTGGCATATGATCTTGCTGGTCTTTGTAAGTATTTCTTTTGTCCCTCCTTGGTGCGATTCTGTGTCTGGGCCATAACTTACTGTCGTTGGCCTCCTTCCCAGCTTTCACATGTGTCTAAGTCTACTTGAGGTTTACTAGGCGCAATAATCTTTTAGTTACTCAAGAAGGTATTGATTTCGATTCGAATATGAATTCTCTCTCTCTCATCGCCCACTGGTCCTTGTGAGTAAGGATAGAACTGATGGTGGCCTGCGGAACATCCGAGAACGGTAACCAGGGATCGGCGCGATCACCCTCCATGCGGTTCAGGCAATACTCCTCCAACTTCCCCGGTACTTCTTCCGTGGGGAAGTAGAGACTGAGGGTTCGGTGATCGTATAACCTTTCAACCTCACGGTGAAGTAGGGCAGTCTTAAGAGGGCGGGGCGGGAAGAAGCCGGGCTCCTTCAGGCGCCAGGCATAGGCTTTAATCGTTTACCGACAGATTCCGCGATCCAGGGTGACCCGCAAGGTGGCTTCTTTCAGTTACTTACTTCAATGGGCTGTGAGGAACTTTATCTGGCTGTGTATGCAAGGGCGGCTCAGAGACTAGTCTGTCATGGGCAGTGCTGTGTGGTGAGTCGGATGCCTCCATGTACTAGTCTCCACGATGATCGACGGCTTATAGCATGCTACCATTCAATTTATGCCGGAGGCTGAGGAGTTTTGTAGCACGTGTTGCGCTTCAGTCTTTGCGATCTTCCTATATAAATGGTTTAAGATATCTACTTGTACTAGATAAGCTCTATAAAATTATTTAGCTACGGAGAGGTCAGCATACACTTACCTGGCTCGAGGGATGTGAACGAATGTGTATCGGACCGTAAGATATGCTCCTAGAATTAACATCCTTTCTTCAGATCAGGTTATCTGACATTAGCTAAGCCCTTTTGTGTGTTATTTCAATTGAAGCAGAGTCGATCTTGACTTAAACTGCGGTGATTATATTGCTGCATTGCGTCTACAATATATGTCACATTATACTTAGTGGTTTAGGGCTGAACTCGGTAGTGGATCGATCACGTAGGAGGCTGGATCGGAGTGTTCCGAATGTTCGAAAATTGAGTGCCTAAGGCAGCAATACATGGAATAGAAACATTGCCATGTGTTCATACTCCGTAATTTTAAACCCCGGACCCAGCAGGCATCCACTATACTGGCCGATCTCTAGTTTGAAGGAGCACTGCAAGCCACGCATCACGCACATGGTGCAGAAGCGGGCAGAAAGGGAGAGATACTCTGGTGCCTAAGACCCGGATTTGCGATCGACCCTACGGCTCCTCGATCATATTGCCACAGTCGGCTGGGAAGGGTTCTGTTGATCGAGGGGTATTATTGTTGCTACTGCCTTGAAAGTGATATTGGGAATTAAATACTGAGCAGCTTCTCATCTTTCACTGTCTCAATTGCATTTATTAAATCCATTCATGATAACAATTATCCGAATAACATCCGCCAGCACAGTGCTCAGCCACAGTTATGTCATAGCTCAGCCACAGCAGTCTAACCGTCACCGGCTCTCGCATTCCCGAACTTAGTGGGTGTTGGCGCTGAACAAAAGGAACTCCTCCCCCCTCCTCCCCACTTCTTCTTCCCCTTCCACCACTTTACACTCCTGACGAACTCTCCCTCCGTCCCAACCTCTCATATCGTGTGTTTACCTGCTCTTCCCGCTACTTAATCTCCCTTTACCACCGAATATATCTGAACCGGCTGCTTCCGCGGGGTTGCGCTACCTGCGACCAACCCGAGATGAGTTTGAAAGGCTTTCAGAAGAGCATCGTTCGCGCACCGCAGCAGTTCAAGGCCAAGTTCAACATTGGCGAGAACACCAAGGACCCTGTCTACCAAGATGCAGAGCGCAGATTTCAGGAGCTTGAGAAGGAAACTAAAAAGCTTCACGATGAGTCAAAGAAGTATTTTGACGCCATCAATGGTATGACCGCATTCCCATTGACCCCTCGCCTCCATTGGCTGACCCGACCTTGGCAGGCATGTTGAACCATCAGATTGGCTTTTCCAAGGCCATGACCGAATTATACAAACCCATCTCCGGCCGTGCATCAGACCCCAGTACCTACACCATTGAGGGCAACCCAGAGGGAATTCGCGCTTGCGAGGAATACGAGGCAATCGTGCGGGATCTGCAGGAATCGCTCGTCCCCGAGCTGGAAATGATCGAGACCCGCGTCATCAGCCCCGCCGAACAATTACTGGAGGTGATCAAGGTCATTCGCAAGGTGGCTGTGAAACGGGACCACAAGAAGCTGGACTTCGATCGCCATAACAACTCGCTCAAGAAATTGCAGGACAAGAAGGACAAGTCCCTGAAGGATGAGAAGGCGCTGTACAAGGCCGAGAACGACGTAGAGCAGGCCACGCAGGAATACAACTACTACAACGACTTGCTCAAGGAGGAGCTGCCCAAACTCTTTGCGCTGGAGGCCGAGTTCATCCGCCCGCTCTTTCAATCCTTCTACTACATGCAATTGAACGTCTTCTACACCCTGCACGAACGAATGCAGGGGATCAACATCGGCTACTTCAACCTGGATCTGGACATTGAGGAGGCCTACGAGGCGAAGCGTGGTGACGTCAAGGAGAAAGCGGAGGCGCTGACGATCGTTCACTTCAAGGCGACGGGTGGCCGCCGGCCAGGGTCCAAGTTCGGTCCTAAGGACAAGCTGTCGCAGGAGAACAAGGGCGGCTACCCGTCACGAGGAAAGGACCCTGATGTGGTCGAGAACCCGCCGCCCCCTTACTCTGCTGGCGCGGCCGGCAGCAGTTACACGGCCGCAGCCAAGAGCAAGCCCGCCCCGCCGCCGCCCAAGCCCAAGCCGGCCCGGTTCAACGCGCCCGCCGAGACCGTCACGGCTCTATACGATTACGAGGCGCAAGCGCACGGGGACCTCAGCTTCTCTGCCGGCGAGGTCATCGAGATTATCCACCGAACCGACAACCAGAACGAGTGGTGGACCGGACGTGTCAGTGGCAGGGAGGGACAATTTCCAGGTAAGATGCCCACGCCAAACTCGATTTGGATCCATCCATAGGGCGGACACTAACTCCGTCTTCTAGCCAACTATGTCCAGCTCAATTAGCATATTCTCTAATACTCTTGCGAACCATTGCATGTCCCGTGTTGTTTACTTTGGACTATCTGGAGTTTGTGGGAGCCACCACGTTTCATCTTGAGGTGAAGTCGGCATTCGTCATTTCGTCTTCGTGTCTTTCGTGACGTTTTACCCTTAAGCTATTTCTTCTTATCATGGCTTCTTTTTGCTATAGAGCATTTTGCATGATAATGACTGTTCGCTGTATATACTTTGAATCTTACGATCTGTTCGATCGACTGCAGTCGCCGGATTCACCAAGCTCGGGAAAGCAGTGTGGATTGTAGCGGGATTAGACTGAAGTCTGCCAGGTGTTGGTCTACTGATATATAGCTTTCATCTGGTTAATGATTGCATCAGTCATAGTTTCAAGGAGTATAGGTTAGATTCACTAGCACAGGAAGATGACAGCGGGAGCGAAAAATGAAATCGAGAAACGTCAAAAAAACGAATGACAAGAGTGGGATTCGAACCCACGCCATCTTACGATGATCAGGAAGCTTGGGAAAGCTGTGTGTTAAGGTAACCTTAACCTGACGCCTTAGACCAACTCGGCCATCTTGCCTTGGATGTTAGGGTTAGAGAATTTTGCTATCATAATCCCAAAGAAACATCATCTTGGGTCAGCGTCAGAGCTTTGTTTTGTACAAGATACCTACAAAGGTAAGTTAGAACATGAGATTCAATTCACAAACAGTCTGCAACACGTAGTGGGACTTTCTCTTACTGGGAAAGATTAGTTTTTACCATGGACTGCAGCTCTCATTGTTCCATTGACATTTAAAAATTTGTCCATAGTCTTGTCAGTTAGACAAAAATACTACTACAGTATATCCACCGCAATGTCTCTGCTCCACTACCTTTGAATAGAGTACAGCTCAGCTACAACCCACCGCCAAAACACAAAGCACAACCCCATCCCATCACTTCAAAGTTACTCACCACTTGAAACCGGCACATACCCCGGCACCCTCCTCAACCCCAACCCCGTCAACATGCTCGTTCCATCCGTCCGCACCAGCGCCCCGCGCAGGGTATTCTCCACCAACCTCCCCAGCGGCACCTGCGCGGTCATCGTCAAGTTTTGCATGACGGCCGAGTAGTAGGGCACCGACACCCCGTCGTAGGTCACGTCCGCGCCGACGGTGCGCAGATCCAGGTAGCCGCGCTGTATGGCGTCGCGCTGGTCCCTGAGGATTGTTGTCAAATTGGTGAGCAGGGCGCGGAGGTCGAGGGTCCCTCTGACGGAGCTGGAGTGGTTGCCGGGGTGGAGGGTGAGGTTGTCGAGGGTGACGTTGCCGAGGAGGAGGTTGTTGCTGTAGAGGTTTAGGGTTGTTGTTCCCTGTTTCTGGGTGTTAGTGGTTGGAGCAAGGATAGGGGGGGCAGAGGCTAGGGAGTGTGCCGTACAATTTCTAAAGTCATGACGGATGGATTGGGGAGGGTTGCGTTGGCGAGGAGGTTTGTGCCGTCGTCGCGGGGGCGGAGGAGGAGTTGCGGATCGGAGATGGAGAAGCCGTCGAATGAATTGAGGGCTGATGGTGGGGTTGGTTAGTTCGTGCTTGCTGACACCCTGACAGGTAGGTTGATTCGATATGATCCACAAGCGGAGCAAGAAGAAAAAGAAGCATACTGGTCTGGTGAATATCCTTGTTCATGGTGACGCGGGACTTCAACTTCCCTATATGCGCGGTCGTCGAGCCCTTTACCGAAAGAGGCGCATGCGACTCAAAGACCACGCTACGGACATACTCGGTCCACTCGGCGATGTTCAACTCAGTGAAGGTGCTGTTGGTGGCGAGGGTGGTGTTGCCGTGAATCCTAGCAGCGGGGAGGTAGACCTTCGCCCAAGTGCTGTTCTCGGGCCGGCCGCGGTTGAAGAGGCTCATCGTGATGGGGTCGATACGGACGGGGATCTTGAGTGGGAGGTTCAGGGCTGAGTCGATGCGGAGCATCATCGAGTCGGCCCGCGGTTGCTGCACCTCTGCGTGGACCAGCACGAGCGTTGAGCCGTCCACGACTCGCTGCGCGACGGCGGGGATGATGACGAGGAAGCTGGAGTTTTGGTTAGCCGGTGTGCTCGTGAGGAGTATAGCTGGAATGCTCACAGGATAGGAAGCATGATGGCTAGAAAGATGATGCCTCCAAAGGCATAGCAGCACCAGAAGCGACGCCAATGGCGACGGATTCTTTGAGCCCGCGTTTGCTTGCCTGGCTCGAGCGAGATCTCGTTCGTTTTCTCAGGGTGCGCGACATCCGCGCCCTGAGAGGACAACGGGCCCCGGTGAGTGCCCAGGGCATATCTGGCGTCCTTGGAGCTGGGATGAGCAGGTACGGCCATAGTCAAAGCCGTGAGTGTTGGTGTTATGAAGCCGCGATGCGTCCGTTTTACTATGAGGGGGCCTAGCATGTACCCTAAGTATCAAGGCAAGTATAGACCCTGTGGAACTGCACGAGCCCGACCCTGTCGATCAGCCGGAGATATTGTCGATCCCTATGGGGGCCCGGAGTTTGGTTCAATGCGGGTGGATGTACTGCTGGTCCGCCCGATATTTGGCTGCTGGACAGATTAGGGCAACGCTCACTTTTGCGACGAAAGTAGATCAACTGAGTGGCAAGTTTGAGGGAGAGGGGTTTCATCAAACCTCCAAGATCGCTGTTATCAAGCCAACCCTACCCTTTCTTTCTCAATCAACAGACGTCTAAAGTGAAACACGAGTTTCACCATCTCACGCTACTGCACGCTATACCCAACATCGCATCTCATCCTACACCACACCAACCAGACCCCCCCAGACCATCTCAAATCCATCATGTATCGCATCTTCCCAGAAGACACACCCCTTCCCCCGAGTCCTCCACCCCCAAGACGCCCCAGCGCCGCAGCCACCATCACCATGAACACGAACGAGAAAGCCATCTCCGAACACATCTTCGCCGTGCCCTCAACCTCCAGCAGCAGCAGTACCACTAACGACATCACCCTCACCACGACAATAACCTCCATCACCACCCTAACCACCCCCTTCCACGATCTCTCCAACCTCACCATCCTCCCGCAGATCCTCCGCGAAGGCATCCTCTTCACCGGCGTCGGCGCCGCCCTCCTGCTGCAAGCCGCCTACCCGGGCATACAATCCGCCTTCCCATACGACTCCCACCACACCCTCACGCACAACCTCACCTCCACCCTCCAAACCACCCTCCAGCACATAGCAGTCCTCGTCTTCGGCACCCCGCAGGAGAGACCAATCCTCCTCACTCGCCTCCACGCAGGCCCCGGAAATTCTCACCGGCAAATCACCCCCCCGCAAACCCGCCTCTGGATCGCAGCCACCATCTACGCAACAGCAACAGATCTCTACGAGCGCACCTACGGCTGCACCGACCACCGCAGCGCCGAACGCGCCTACGAGGAGTTCACGGTCGTGCTGACCGCGCTGGGTCTGGTGGAGGCGGCGCTGTGGCCCCCCTCGCGCCGGGAGTTTTGGGAGTACTGGGATGGACAGGTGGCGCGGCTGGCTGTGACGGCGGAGGCGCATCGAGTGGCCAAAGAGGTGCTTGCGGCCGGGGACCAGTCGATGGTGGTGCGGGGGATGTTTCCGAAAGGGTGGGCGAAGGTGTTGAGGCCGGTGGTCAGGGCGCTGACGATCGAGTTGCTGCCGCTGGCGGTCAGGGAGGCGTATGGGTTGCGATCGTCGGGGGCGACGAGGGGGTGGTATCGCGGGGTGATGGCTGGGTTTGGTCGGGGGGTGTATCCTGCGATGCCGGGGTGGGTGAGACAGTATCCTTTGCGGGTGTGTCTGGGGAGGTGGAGGGAGGGGGTTGACTATCGGTAGTTGAGTTATATGTAGGTTGTCGTTGGGATGAACATGTTTGACTATAGCTTGGCTGTGAAGATAGAGGGAGAGTGCTGTGCCCCGAATGACATGGTGTAGCATGAGGAATACCTTAGAAATAAGCAGCAGAGCCGGGGCTCGCTTCTCATATGCTCTGTCGAATCTATTACACTTGTGACTATGTACAACCATACGCCCTCGTACTAAAATATAGAGAAATCTTCGACACAAACCCCCCATATCCCAGTTAAGTCTACTCAGTACAGCTAGACCAGCTACCCATACACTCCCTTCCAAATCACTCACTCACTCCCAATCAACGCATTCATAATCTTTCCCACATCCGACACCAGCTGCCCCAATGGAATTAGCCCAACCCCTACCCACTAATCCCCGGGCAAGAAAACGTACCGGATTCGCCATATCAATCAACTGCGTCGTCTCATTCACAAACCCCGGCGTCAACAACCGATCCGCATTATCAATCAGTCGCTGTAGCTTGTCGATGTTCGTACTGGACAGCAACTTCTGCAGGTTCTGTGGCGTGTCGCCCCCGAGCAGCACGGCCCCCCCGCTGACGATTGTCTCGAGCTTGTCGACGGTGTCTGGACTGAGGAGCTCGGTGGCGCCTTGGAAAATGGTGGGGAGTTCCGATAGGAGGCCGCTGGTGGCGGGGGCGCGCTGGGCGATAGGGTTGGGGGTGTTTGTTGTTGTGGTGGTGGTGGTTGCGAGGGCGAAGGGGGTGAAGAGGAGGGCGAGGAAGTAGGTTTTGAGATGCATGGTGGTTGTGCGGCTGGTGGATTTGGATTTGGATTTAAATTTGGATTTAGATTTGGGAGTGGCTTGCTTGGGGGTGGTTTGCTTGGGCATTTTGGATGTGATGATATAGCTAGATGGTAATAAAGGGGGGAGGTAGAGAGGGTTAAAGATGGGAGGGTTGATTTTTGAGGATGGGAATGCGTTTATAGATTCAGATGCAAGCTACTAGTAATAGTGGTGGAGGATGGTCCCCGGTTCGGTTTGGGGGGAGGGTCACAAACTCTATTGCAAGTATAATGCGTTTCATGATGGAACTGGACATGTACTGGGCTTTCTGAAGGCTGAAAGCTGGAAGGGAAGTGCTCTATGGAACTGATCTCCCGAGCAAGTCAATGCAATTGTGGCTGCTTCAGGGACGATCCATCCGTGCTCAGTCCCCCCGGCTTAGGGCTACCGACACGGTCGATCGCTCAAGGGGCCTGTTCCATTTCACGCGACTACAAATCACAGGAGTTGAGCGAGACGTGCGGTGCAAGATTCCATAAATTATAATCAAGAATGACCGGTCACTGCACCCCCCTGTTGCAAGGAGGGGCATTCTGACGGAGCATCTGTTTCGACTTTTGAAAATTGGCTGAGGAGTAACCTCGGTTGGGGAAAATATGACTGGTAGAACTTGGAAGGTGAAAGTTGCCCCGTTTTTGAGTCTTCGGGTCAACGTTGGTGGGCGTTTCAGGTTGATGCGATTTGATCGGGGGTCGAGTGGATCGACGCTCAGGGCGAAGTTTAATGAAATTAAGGTACGGCAGCCGATGGGATTGTCTGATTTACTTTGATGATAGTGACAACCTGCAGTCAGCACTTCTCTGGGGTTGGAAACTTTTACAGATACTTGATGCTTGGTAAGAGTTGAAGGCCTGAGCATTGGCCGCTTCGCAGAGCTCGCTAAGGTTGTATTTGCGAAGCCCGCAGCATTTGTGAGTCAGTGATGATTTTAGAGACAATTAAACCTTTTACCGCCAATGAGCCCATAAACCAGAGATTATATATTTCGGCTACTCAATCAGTTCCGCTCTCCAACAAAGTTAGAAGCCCACGAACCAGACACGAACCCTAACTCCGTGACCAACAAGCTCAAAAATGGATGATGCCTCACAAAAGACCAGTTCTTTTCTCCCAGCTTCTGCTCTCCGAAACAGTTGAAACAGCAGTTGACTGCTCGATGAAATATTGACTATGAATATACAAGTACAATACCTCTTTCTAATCGCCTCTTCACCAACTCAGAACAACAACAACAAGAACAACCTAACACGCAGACAATAGTACATACATACATTCATTACAATGAAACCACCCATCTTCCCCATCCTCCTCCTCCTCGCAATTCCCGGCTTCTGCGCTCCCGAGCCCACCCTAACCGAGCCATCCTCACTGTACATCTCTCTCCCTTCCCTTTAGAACACCTAAAACGCATCTCCCATAGCAATCCCATGCTAATCAGCCCCTCCAGAACACCCTCCGAAGCCACCTCCCTCCCCAACCACGACCCAGGCATCAACCTCAATCTCAATCTCAACCTGAACCTCAAGCGCTCCCTCGCAACCCTCTCCCCGTCACCCCACTCAATCAGCACACAGATCCCGCCCAGCGCCCTTGCCGAGCTGCTCGTCCCCGCGCACCGCAGCGCGTAGGCTAGTGGCTTTCGCAGTGGAGTTTCGCCGGCGTTGTATACTCTTTGCCGACGGATGTGAGGCGGTATATTTCTTATGTGAAGAAGGAGGCTGCGAAGGAAGAGGGGTCCGGTGGTGCTCGATGAGGAGGGGGTTGAAGGGATCGGAGGGTAAGAAGGGGGATTTTGAGATTACGGCGGAGAAGACGACGAGTGGTGCGGGAGCTGGATTGAGGGGGAGGGGAGGGGAGTCGGCAGGGTGAATGGTTGTGGTGTTGCTTGGTTTTTGGGTCTGCAGAGGGTGTTGTTGCTTGTGTAGGTTGTCAGGGTTTGTGCTTTTGAAGGTCGGATTTTGTGTTGCCTTGCGGGGGACTTTTTGTGACTGAGGTTGGCCAGTGGATATGTTATAAGAATTAAGAATCAAGTAGCTTTTAGGTGAGGATGACTGACAAGATATACCCCTATTCTGGGTTCTATCAGGCGCTTCGGGGGTAATCAACAGTACTTTCCTGACAGGCGCGGATACAGATCTCTATCAAATCTGCGCTTGAGGCTGCGGCGCTTGTCCCTGTACAGTCCTGAATCGCAGGCCAATACTGCACCGGAAGGGGGGATGCAAACCTGGTGATGCCGTCTCCTGTGACCGAGCTGTCGCGAGGCCGGGCACAGTCGACAAACGACGCAGGAGAAGGTTACTGAGGATTGTCTTATCAACTGTCATGAAGACTGAGCCTTCCAACTGCTGGGTAAAGAATATCAGGGCTATCCCGGTTGATATTCTGCATGCCGCACCCGAGTCCACGTCCCGCAATGACTTGATACCCAATTCAACGGAAAGAGCCTGAATGGACGTGGAAGGTTGACAACAGGCCTGGGCCAACTGACATGATGTAGGCGCACAAGTCAATTGCTGGGACGGGGTGGCCAACCTTCTGCGTGATAAGATTGGAAAGAACACTGGCGTCGGCGACTATCAAACTCAGCATCAGCGGTAAGGTGTAGAGACCCGATTTGACCGGTCAACGAGTCTTACGGTCTGAATTGTACATTGCCCAGCAAGGCGGGGGTCAAATCATGGAAGCAAGCTCCATATACCATGGCAAACGCTGGTATGAACACGCCGAAGACGATGAAGAGGGAGATAATGCGGCCGTTGCTCCAGGCGTACGTAGATCCACCCCAATAGAGCGCAAGCAGAAGTGAGATGATGGAAGGGATGTAGAAAAGCATGCCAAGAGGATCGAGACGGTAGAGGTGCTCTATCAAGGGGGCTGGATAAATTTGCTTCCGAACGGTTTCCCTAGTCAATGGTATCTCTGGATATATGATGGTCCTTTACTTGACTGCTCCGGAGCCTGTTCTGTTTGTTACAGTGGAAGATTGCCAAGTTGAGATCTCAGTTAGCCCTATATCATGTGGCTGGATTGCTCCAACAGTGTCTCTTACTCTGCGCCTTCCTCTTCGCTGTCGACATTATATGGTTTAGTACTCTTTAGAAATCCAAAAAGTGGTCAAAGTTGGTTGTCATAAACCCTCCTTTTGTTTCGTCCTGCGAGGCTGTAAAGTGCGATATAGAATGGTTGTCGCCTAGCATAATATAATTGCGGTGAAACTGTGAACGTCACTAATAAGCCCAGTGAAGTTGAAATTGTATGACTGCTTCTAGTAGGGCGCCAAGACGAAAGACCCAGTACTGTGGTCTTATTGCTTATATGTTATGGTATGGGAGAAGAAGTGAAATTTCGAGAACTTCAAGTTGCATGGAAGCGATCCTGTGGCATCTATGCCTTGACTTGTTCATATGTTAGCTTGAACGGAGAACAAAAATTGAATATACTTTGAAAGTCATATTATGATTCTGAAATATGAAAGGAACCAGAAAGAAAAAAGACTTACACTTTGCTCGACACAAGCCCCTGGTGGGAAGTACTCGAAGCCAACTGCCGCTCCAGGGCTCGACAGACCAAGCCCAGCAGGACCATGACGAAGGTCTGACCATCGTCACCCTCCGGTTGACCCTCTTCGAACCAGGTCAACTCGGCTCGGCCAGGCAGCTTCTGTGGAGCAGACTGAGCTACGTTTTGAATCTCCATCGTGACAAGATACTTGAAATCCATCATGGCGACGTGCTTCACGTTCAATGCCTTGGCGAAGTCCTTCATGTCCTGGATGTAGGCGATTCCGGAATTAAAGAGCACATCCGGATGCGACACATAATCCTGCTTATGCACTGTGGCCAGCTTGGTCTTCCACTCGTCTTCCCTGTGCCGAGCGTTGAGATTGTCAAAGTCCTCGAAGCGGAGCATGTTGGCTGCCTTGAATGATATGAGCGCGATGTTGGTGAATTCGTGTCTCTTACCTCTGACGTACCAGCACCACCAATCGTCGTCCAGATTCGTGCACCTGAGTTCGCCCCTGCCACGCAAGTGATTGTTGACAGCGAGCTGGACGAGCTTGAAGACCCAGCTAATGCAGTTCTTGCGCACCGCATTTACAGTATTGACAACAGGCAGCTCGTTCTCGGAGGTCGGTGACATTATTTGAGAATAGTGTCCCAAGATCAAGTCCATTGCATCATATTGGGCGCCTCTCTGGTCTGCTTCTTCCGCGAGGGCTTTCATGTCCACATGTTTCAAGCATGACTTTCCCTCGTCGAGAATTGCCCTCGCATCGACCCATCTGAGCTCATCGTCCATCTCCTCGAAGGGCACGAGCGGTGCCAGCATCTTTCGATAGGCGGCTGAATCGTGCGGGTAGTACAGGGAGAGGAAGGGGCCGTAGAAGTAATTGAGGACTCTCGAGGTCATGGTGAGATGTTTTGCCTAAAAGGTGAGGGATTCCAGGACTTGTGGTTGTCTTCAAGTGTAGAAGGAAGATGGAAGGCCATTATCAGAGGCTGTAATGTGGTTCTTATATGGTATGAACCTGCAATCCTTTCAGTTGACAAGTCGTAACCTCCTGCTCAGCATCAAAGAACAGAAAGATGCCAGTGAGTTGTTTGATTTTCTCAATGCACGAAATGAAATTCCCCATTCGATAGTACCAAGCCCACACAAGCCGGTTCTCATTGTTGAGAGTGTCTGACTCGGAGATTGCACTTGCTTGTTGTACGTTCAGAGAACCAGATCATTCACAGAGTAAAAATGCCATCAACACAGAGCCAACAAAGAACAACCTATCAGGTATATAAGGGACCTCAGTTAATTTTTTGATGACCCGTCCAGTAAGATCATCATCGAAAGATCATCACAGCTCGCAGGCAAATCCCACGCGCGCATCATCGCCGATACACACTCCATCACGATGCTTCTCTCCCCCGTCGAGGATCCGTTCTTTCCACCGGATTACAACACCTTCCACGGTATCCCCAAGCCCGCATACCCCTACATCACAGGTAAGGAGTTCACGCTACGTGAGCACACTCCGGCCGAGCCCAAGCGCTACAAGGACTGGACCCTGTCTGGAAGCGAGCAGGAGCGACGTACCACCACAGAAATCGTAACCCGGTGCCTTTTCAGGAAGCCCCGGTCCGGGCAGGTCGGCACGCAAACTCTGAATATCACTGTTTGTGATGCGCTCGCGTCTGGCGACGGAATCACTTCGCAGGTGGTGCTGGTGAATGTGACCTCAGGCCACCTCGCAGGCATGCGGCTGGCCGCCAAGATCTACGATCCGGTATACTTCAATCACCGCGACTACGACTGCGATCCCTTTCGCTACCTCGACCTCCTTTATAACCAGGAGACGGCAGCTTATCGACACCTGCATGCACGCGGTCTGGGCGCATGGATCCCGCAGTACTACGGCTCCTACGAGATGGACATTGAGCATCCCGGAATCGGCACCCGCCAAGTACGCCTCATCCTCATGGAGTATATTGAGGGAGTCTCGTTGGAGCTCCGCGATCCAGCGGACTTCGACGTGATCACCCAGAAGCGCGTTATGGAGCTGATCGTCAAGGCTGAGTCGCAGTTCTACGCCGTCGACCTGCGCTACGAGGACCTCTGCATGCGCAATGTCATCGTCCACGGCCTCGTCGGTTTCGACCCGAACTGCCAACCTCGCATCACCTTCATCGATTTCAGCAATGCGATCATCAGTCGCACTGACAGTCGCAAGAAGGGCTGGACGAAGGCGTGCTTTCTGCTGCCGGGCGTCTACATCTCCCCGATCCTCCGTTGGTACCGCGGCTACATACCCAAGAAGCACGACTTCACCCAATGGTGTGTTTGGAACTGGAACCACTGGCTGTGCGAGACGTTCGCCGATGACTTCGAGCATATTACTCCGGAGATGGTCAAATGGGTCCCTGATGACGTGCGCGGAAACAAGTTTTTCAACGACATGTTTGGGCCACAGTACCGACCCCGGCCCCGGCCCTAACCCTGCCTATTGGCTTGGTCTCTTTCTTACTTCATAGTGTCGATGCCTAGTCCATTCTACATCATCTTGTCGAGAAATAATGTTTGGTTTAAATCTATTCATTGTTTTGCCTGTATCTAAGTTGTACTGATCGCTCGCACACAATCCCTCCAACCCTTGTCGACTGGTGCAGCTTGCCAGCCTGTCTTTGCCGCTCTCTTCAAGGTACTTATCGTGCCCTTGACCTATATATAGCCCCAAACATAGCCTCCCTGGAGCCTCTAACAACTCCCGCGCTCAACAGCTTCAGTGTTTCCGCCGCTGCGTCGCTTAAGGCTACTACTGACGACACCACTTAGGGCTTGTCCATAACTTCGGGTCGAGCTTTGCATACGGTTCACCGCACGCTTGCCAATCTACAATGTTATTTTAATTGTCGCATGGATTGGCAAGACACGAGACTGTGATCGCGACTCGTCTCCCTGAATTTGCCGTGCCAGACCTTTCACCGCAGAGATCTCAGACTACATGGATCTAGAGCAAAAAGAGATGGTCCCAGAGGGGCTCGAACCCTCGACTTTAACGTTATTAGCGTTACGCTCTAACCAACTGAGCTATGGGACCCGGTTGATGTATTGACCACAGATAGTTGGTTTCATGTTCCACTTTATGCTCTCTACCAAATCCACTCTTCGTTTCTATAAATCCGTCGGCACCCCCTGAGAACTATCCGCGGACTTTACCACCCTCTTTACCCCGACGACAACATTAATCTAACCAACACAACAACATCCGAGTAACCGTTCGGCGAATCGAATGACCTTCCGCGGAGATCCGGTATGTCATGGTGATTGGTCTGTAAAGGTGGAGTGCTACTCCGCATCATCATCATTTTTCCTTTCTGGATGTTCCACGCCCATTGCTAGTACTGTGTAGCATGTACTTTCAGATAATGGGCGTATAAAGGGCGCTGATGTAAGGGTCAACAGTCCGGCATGGCATTCTTACTGGGAGTCCTTCCGCATGCCCGATCATCGCGTGCTGACGGAGGGGCAACCGGGGGGAGAGTGGGGATCCATACGAGTAATTCGTGATTTGGCAAGCTTGTTGATCAGGCTGACGCAGCGTGACCGGCTCTAGCTACCTACAGCTAACTCGCAGCACAGCTTACAGCTCATCGACAGAAAGAAGAGGGTGGTCTATGAAGCCACCTTGCACCACACCCCCGCAAGACATGCTCCAAAGATATTACTTATGACAGGGATACCATAGTCCGAAGGATGAGCTGCTCCGGAGGATATTTATTGGAGCATAATCGCCCTCTGTGACGCGGGCCCCAGGAAGACGGTGCACGAGCAAGCCCGTGAGCCACAAGGCTGACCTGGCTGGGTCTGACGCAATCCAAGCCCTAGCCGAGAGCTTTTGTTGAGCAAAGAAGCAGAAAATAAGGAGGGGGCCAAGATAAGTGCTTACGCTCCTCCTCTTTGCTTTTTCTTTTTTTGCTTCTTTTTCTTTAAAAACCCTGAAGGATCCAGAACCCGTCGGTGTACCTTATATACTTTTCATCGTGCACTGCATCCTTCCCCCCCGGCCCACCAACGGAAAGAAACACCAGACCTGGTTCCTGTTTCAGACCAGTCGTGCCACCGCTTTACACGAGCGGGGATCATGCATGATGCCTTGACCTACCCCTATCCCCGAGGAGATCTGATCCCCGATGTGAAGCGGCGTGATTGGGAAATGCATTAGGGTTAGGAAATGGATCAAAGTAGTGCGATAGACCGGGATGATCCTGCTTCTGCTGCGGTAGGCCACTCCTGCACAATCCGTTGTCATCCGATCAGGCTGGCTGGCTGTTGGTTGCCGGCGCCGGTGAGAGGAAGCGTGAGCGATTTCCAGTATCAATGACTGCTTACTGACTTTGACTGTTGTCATCATCTTGCGAGGGAGATCCGATGTACAGTACAGTTCATATATACCCAGATTCAAGCTTATGACCACTGGAACTCCCTTCTGTAGTTTATCGATTTGGGTGGATGTGTTCAGCCTCATTTATCGGCGGGCATGGAATTCCTGCCTGAGGCACACAAGCACACTTTGGTGGATGGATCGCAAGCACGTGTGCCTCATTCATCCCTGTTGAGCCGCGTGCGTGCCGTGCATCTAAGTTGTCTTTTGTTGATCATCCCACTCCACGTGTAACCTCATAACCCGTGTACTATTGTATGATTATGTACACTGTACTGCGGTAAGTGTGAAGCAGTTCATCTAAAACTCAAAACAAACGAGGAGTCCAATTGAACTGGCGAATTCAAGCCTCATTCAACGTTGATAATCCCCACCTCAGATACTCGCCAGTGGGACCCCACATAATGAGGCTCTTTCCTTGTCGTCTTCCCCCCCCCCCCACGCGGCTAAGTTATTGATTTCCGCACATCTGCAGTAAATCAAGTAACTTGTAAGTTTCTGTCCAGTATCCACACGACCCCTTTTCTTCTCCCGGCCCGCCATTGCGTAATGCCGATATTGCCTGAGAAGCTCGGAGGGGGAGGGAAGCTCGGGGACTTACTGCACTTCCGAGCTTCGGGGCACGGGCTCCAAGGAATTAATCATTGGCTTAGGTTACATATTTAGTACCCGCTGCATTGTAAGGTACAGTGTAAGAGCCTACATGCTACATAGGTCTTTCTCGTCTAGGCTCCCAGTATTCCTTCGATTCTGTGATGCATTACTAACGCTAGTGTAGCTCCTGCTATACTAGTGTAGTTCAGTTAGACGTCGCTTTACCCTTTTGGGCGGGGGAGGATTCGGTTGTCTAGACTGGTGCGTGCACTTTGGGTTGTGGATTGTCAGGGAGTGCCTGTTTATTTTTCGGGTTTGTTCCGGCCGACGTAAAGTACCTTAAGTGAAACCTCAGGACACACTACACGCAAAAGTTCTTGACAAAGTTTCATACTTATTCGATGATAAAGAATCTAGGAGGCAGAAGGAAACAGAATCAATCGGGTGAAACACGAAAGCTGCTCAATACTTGCCATAGAACTTTGAAAGTGCAGTGACTAGAGACTTTGAGAGGAATAATAGCAGCAGCAGCAGCAACAACAAGACCAAGAAGACTGAAACCTAAAGTCGGTGCTGTTCCAGAATCAGGGAACAGGGTTGATAACGCTCCTCGGTCCATCGGCATGCTGGGAGCCCGTCTGCGGTGATTACTCTAGACCTCTTTATCCTCAGGGTCAAGTTTGTAAATGTGTTCTGATGAACTGGCCTCGACGCTTTCCACCATCAACCCAGCCTTACAGACCGACTCCGGAGGGTGATCCCTCTTCCACGGAGCGTTATATTCTAGTATACGCGAGGGCTTCACGGGGAGTCAACTTGTTGGGCTGAGCGTAATGATAGACCCCGAAGAAGGCTGGGGGAGGGGGTCAATGACCGTTTGCTATCAACTTCCTTTGTCCTCTTTCTCAACCCTACAAACGAACGCCAACCACAACCACAAATACCAATACAATGAACAATGACAAACGACCCTGTTGGCCCTCCCATGATTAGGTACCCACGATACCCACGATACCCACGAAAGCTTCCCCTCCCCAACTTAGTACCAGAGAAGCGATACATACCGCTCACTGATTTCCGTGTATACAGCGCTCTCCTACCTGGTCACTGTCACCGATGATTCACGACCCACAATTGACCCATTTCACGAAGATCTTACTAGTCCTATCTGCCATTGACTACTTGCTCGACGGCTTATACTGCATTGGTCATGATGCCGTACAGAGAGATTACTGTACCTACTGGATGAAACATGTGGTCGACAACGCTCAGATCCTGAAAGACTTCGGTGACGGGCTGATAACGGGGCTCGTGGCGCAGTCATATCGTATGTCTGAGATTTGTCCGCAGAGTCCGTTGCTTTTGATATTGGACTTCTTGGGAGAAGCATTAAGAATGTTCTATGCTACGTTGAGAGACAATCGCCAAGTCTGCACTTTACCAAAGTACTTTAGTTTTACAGTTCCAGCAACATGGACCGAGAGCGCACGTACGCAGATGGAAGCTACTGTGGTGTCAGCCGGCTGCGACAGGAGTTGCTTCATTATCGAAGCCGAGGCCGCTGCCGTATCAACGGCTCTTTCCTGGCACCGACACTCTCTTCCATAGGCGGGCGAGGTACTTATCGTCGTCGACGGCGGGGTAAGCACAGTGATACAGACTTTCTACCACGATTGGAACCCCGTTCTGCCTCCAGAATTTTGGAGACTGATTACAACGGCTAGGATATCACGACTTTCTGGATCGATGAAACCCACCCTGTAAATTACCAGCGACTTACGGCACTTACCAGTGAGCACAGGACCCCCTATGAGAAGTTTGATCCCTAGGCTGAACCTTTGCAAAAGCCCTGTGCCTTGTGCAAAGTATATGTTTGTGAATCTGTCCAGCTCCAGCCCTGGGCCTTCCAAAATGGCGGTCTGGTCCACGGAATCGCAGGTTCGAATGGGACGGGAACCAATTTGTTCAGTCGCAATTCTCCGAATGGGCTCGAAAGTACTGTCCCAGAGGTGCTGCGACGCTGTCGGATCTGAGCGGACTGGGACTCTTGCGATCTGATGTTCAAGAGGTCTACGATTCGACTGCGACATGTATCAGCGACCAAATCATGCGACAGGTCCGATGTGCGAAGCTCTTTGACGCGCTACCGGCAAATCGTCCTAGTGAAATCACCCTTTTGGTGCTTCAACACTCCTGAATGAAGGAGATCGAGTAAATAACCAGGTCTGATAATCCCTCGCATGCGCGTTACTGAGGAGTTACTGCCGGGATTAGTCTGCTAATGTGACAACGCCTTTTGCGCAGGGTCTTCGCTCCACTCAGATCAGAGTCGAAATTACCAGTTCAAGCTGATCCCCACTTGCGCGAATGGGACGGAGACCGCGGAGTGCATTTGGGTGATGGAGAACAGCGAGAACATGGCGGAAAACGAGGTTCGGCAGAAGGGGACAAAGATTAGCCAGATCGAGTACAATTGATCCCAAGTCCAGCGCCATTAAGCACGCGAAGGATCGTGGTTTCAGGTCAGAACTTACCACTGTGAGAGAGTATGCTCCTGATCTCCCAGTCGAGCGCATACTGCATCTAAGTCTATATTGGCGAGATATTAACAGTGGACCACTCTTGGGCGCATGCCCATGCAGCATATATTTGAACTTGTCGACTGCGTTGGCATTTGTGGCTCAGAAATGACACTGCAGAGCTCGCCCTGAGTGCAGATAGAGGGGGTCTAGACCATGACTGATGATGCCTTTCCTGCCTTGGAAGAAAATAATAACTAGGAGTGTAGGTAATAGGTAATAGGTAATTAGGTACGGAGTATACTGCACCTATAAAGAGTACTGTACAGTACGGTAATCTGATGGTAAACTGGGAGTGACGGAGCCGCAATTGCGTGCTCCAAGAGCAAGTCAGTGAGTGTCCCGAGGGCCATTCCTCCTACTGTACTCCGTAACCTTCCCCCCACTGCTCACGTGTTGCCCTCGCAGAAGCGGCATCGGGCTACTAGTCAATACCTAATTCTTATAACTACCAACTATGGAGTACCACCTACCCTAACTTCGCTTAGAAGTAAATAGCTACCACCTAGTTGAGCCTCTTAGTCCTGAACTGACGCAGTCAGTCTCACCCCAGGCAAGGGGCAAATGGGAAAGGATGCTACTATTATTAGCGCCGATCGTTCTCAAGGGAAGCAGAGCAAAAAGGTGGTCGTACTGCTGACTGCACCGAAACGCAACCTTGTCTGGGCTTGTCCCCCTGACAATCAAGCAACAAACTGAACCTGTTGATTCATCTCATCACACAGACATGGCTGATCTGACCGCCCTTTGCACTGTCGATCATGCGTGTAGTGATTGCGGCTCGCTACGTAGTATTCCATGCTCCTCCTCCCGGGAATCTTGTTTTATCACTCACTGGCACTTGCTATCAACTCAGTCTGTCACTCTCCCTCGGATACTCGGACACTCGGTGACTTTTTAGTCGTGCGGGTCTGCGCAGGGAAAGAAGGGGAAAAAAAAAGACACAGGCAAGTAATCCAAAGATTACTCGAACGATTCTTACCCACGCTCTTACGCACTAACTTAATCTACTTGCCCTTACTTTTTTCGCCCCCCCTCTTTCTTTTCTTAATGAAGTCGGTTCATTTTTCTTCCCCCTCCACCCAGTAAATCAGACGGAAAACCAGCCACAGAGCCGCATGAGGCCCCAAAAAGTACAAGTTGAACCATGACGGCTGATCTCTCTCTTGGACTCGGCCCACCCATGCGTATCTTACCCCCTTCGCATGATCGTTGATCGGGTACCCCTACTGCCATGGCTTTGAGGGAGCGATTCTTCAGCTGAAATCCACATTCAGTTGTTTCTCTTGCCACCGCCTAGATCTTCCCACGGAACTATGGGATTGGTTCTGGGGTGCATCTCTCATCAACTAGCATTTCCGATCGTCTAATACATTCACCAGCAGCGCGGGCTGCAAAACATATTACCCGTTGTGGTTTGGTTGCTTCAAATTGGGCATCTCCTTCGATCCTACTTTTCCTAAGGGAGTTAAACTAGTTATCTCAGCTAGTATTCACTTGCATCCAAACCGCCTCACCTTTTCTGTTTCTTGTTCATCGTTGTAGTCCCATCCTACTCTTTCTTTCTTTTCTTTTCTTTTTTTTTCCTTTTATTTTTTTTTTTTTTTTTACTGGTGATTCTTCTTCTGATCAATTCCTGAATTCTCATTCCCCTTGGTTAAGTTGGCTTCTTTCATCTCTCTTTGCCGCACATGATTGCCAGATCGAGATGGATGCCGCCCATAGACCCTCCAAGAATCTGGATTGTATCCCATACGATGTGTTCTACCAGATCGCTTCCAGATTAGGATCGCAAGACCTGATTCAGTTGGGCCGGGTCAACGGCGTCCTGTACCGCCTCGTGCAGGATGAAAACATTGCTCGCAAAGCCATCGAGGTACTTATTTCCACCCTTCCCCGATCTGTATCGAGGCGGATCATCCACTGACCGTTTTAGAATGAATTGCTTCATACCACCGAGGGTCAAGCAGCGATTGCCGCCCGCAAAGGGTATCGCCAAGCGCTGGGGCGCGTGTTCGATATCCGCGAGGCCTTTGCTACTGCGCAGCCCTATTCCGCTTCCCTTCTCGCCTATGGCAGCTCGTTTCTCTACAGCGGGGGTGCGCTGACCTACATCTACGGGGAAGAAATCCGGATTCTGGATGTCCATGGGGCAAGCCGCACGGAACAAGTGTTGAATCTGCACCGGGTGCTGTCGCGAATCATTCCGTCCTGCGATCCCGAGGAGGATACGATCCACATCCGGCTCCTGCAGTACCACGACTGGAACCTGGCGTTCACCGTGGAGCGTGAAGATCTGTCGGAAACGTGGCTGGTGGCGGTGGACATGCGGCCCAAGCTGGATTGCCACAAGACGGGGCGACTGCGGTTTCTGACTCGGCTGCGGGACACGCGACGGCTGTTCGTGCGGCTGAACAGTCGCTACCTCTATTGGGGCAGCCACAGCATGCTAAGCGTCGACGGTCACCTGCAATGGGTGGTGGAATGTGCGGATCTGCAGACAGGGCGCCCCACGACGCGGGCCCCGGTCGTGCTCGACAATTTCTCTGGACACGACATGGCGCAGACCGTCTGCTTCGGCGTCTATGACGACCACCTCTACGCGGTGTCGACCATGATCGGCCACGAGGCGGAGGAGATCGACTGGACCTCCTACTACGTGTGGCTGTGCGTGTCGCCCACCGAAGACACCAAGCAGAGCACCATCAACTTCCAGTGGCGGCGGCAGCACCGCGAGGGGCCCGTCAATGACACCTGGTCGGATCTGTCGCTGCGGGTCGACGAGGCCACGAAGCAGTTGATGATCCTCGAATGTCGCCGCGAATGGATCAACAGCGGCAGCGAGAACATCCGCACGTACTACATGCAGTCCTTGCCCTCGCCCGCCGAAATCAAGCAGAGTAAGCAGGAGCGCATTCAAGCCGGTCTACTCCGTCAGCATCGTTGTCGTCTTCGTAACAATAGCAACAGCAACAGCAATAGCAACAGCAATAACGCGCCTCCGCGACCCGCGGTCCTCCCCGACGAGCCCCTGACCCGCACTCTGGACTCAACCAACAAACCCCGCTACCAACCGCCCCAGAAACGCATCCGCCGTCACTATCACCAGGAATACCCCCCCGGCACAGATCTTGTCAAGCGTCGAGACTTCATCCTGGCCCGCACCAAATACCGGACCTACAACCTCTCCAGCTCGACCTTTGTCGATCTCGTGACGGACTCCGCCAGTCCAAACCACACCAGCCGCATTCCCACCGACCAACTTCGTCTGCGCCTGACCTCTCGTAAGCGCAAATCCCCCATCGACACCGCCGGCGACGAAGTCGAACCAGGCCTGCTGTACCCACCTGACCTCCACGATGTCGTTGACCCCACCGCCGCCGCCGACGACAACGACAACAACAACAAGAAAGACCAACCACAACCTATCCCCCACAGCGAAGAACGCTTCGAATCCCTGGGCGTGCACATGTGGCCCCCCGACGATGCCCCCGCGGCGCTAACGCAGCTTCTCTCCCCCACCAAGCGCATCGCCTCGTCGGACGTGCGCGCGGCCGCCGACGAGCGCTCGCTGGTGTACTCGGTGGACGCGCCGGATTTGGGGGAAGACGGCGACCAAGCCATCCTGTTGATCAACTTCGACCCCCTGCTGCGGCTGCCTGGCCTGCAGCGATTGGATATGAGGGATGGGAGCGTACGGAGCATGAAGCCGCCGCCCCCGCCGCCGCAACCGCAACAGCAGGCGACAGCGGAACCGGTGCATTCAGCTGGTTGTGGACAGGGGGAGCGCGTGCGGGTGGGCGACGTCGCGCAGATGGAGTCGACTAGGCATACGAGTTTTGGAGCCAAGCGGACGGCGGCGGTGGGCAAACGGGGACGACGGGGGTCGACGGTGCCGTCGGTGCGTGAGGAGGGGGCAATGTATCTGCGGATGGGGAGGGGGTTTTGGCTACGATAGGGTGGTCCTACATCGGTACATGCTACCTAATTGGAGATGAGGGATGGAGACTGAGGGTTTGCTGGGCAAACACTGGAACTTGGGTGGTTTTTTTTCCGTCCGCTTGCAATTACATCCCATTGCAATGCAATTTAAAGAGGACAGGCACTGCCTCAGCTGTGGTGGTCAGTTGGATTGGCTGGGCACTGCCTCAAAACGTGCCGTGCGGTGTGGCTGTGCAATGCATGAAAACTTCCCTTGTTGACAACCACAACCACAGGCAAACAAACATTAACAGAACAATTACAAAGAAAGTGATCATCCCATTGGAAGCATCTGAAGTACTGCACCGTAGGCAGCAGCTACCCATCCCACGATAACGGTAGGTATGCCCTCTCGTGTACAGTACACTAGGTACTATTCGCCAGACCAGGACAAGATAGAAAGGAAACTTCCTCCGATCGGATAAGATGTCCCCAAACAGTCCCGTCCGTCAGCCTTGGCAGCCCTCGCCATTAGTTCAACTAAATATGCACTCCGTAAGCTGACGGGATCCTGACCACGGACTGACTACACTGTCCAGCGTCCCCTCGCCAACCCCTTCAAGTCTCGGCGATTCGATTGACTCCATGGTTTCCCTCGGTGGCGTGTTGGCTTTCGGTAAATTAGTAATGCACTTCCCTGGTGCATCCTCCCATGCGGTGGCTGGACTTGGCGGTGTGCGTACTATACGCAAAGTAGCGAGGGGATTTGTCCCGTGCTTTTACGGTTTTCCTCATCGGCTCGGTAGGGGTTCTTCTTTTTACTTTCTTGCTTCGCGTTAGGTCTGGCTGATCAGGGATTGTGTGTGCATTGCCCTAAGGGAGTTTAGTTTGGCCTTGAGGTTAGAGTGCGTGGCTAGAAGTGTTGGAGCCAATGGAGCTTTGGGGATAGTAGTTGAGCCTCAACAGTCGGGTTAAGATACTATTCTCCATGCTTCTTTTTTTGGTTTTTTTCACTCAATTCACAATATATCGGTAGCACGTAGTGTACTACAATACACCGGAAGCTCCACGTGCGTGACTACCTACTAATCCTGCTGATCCACCCTTACACCCCACATGTAGCCTGGCTGCGTTAATAGTAAGGTTGCGTCTTTGTCTATGCTTTGAGCCTCATTGACTAAAATACAGTAGTCACTGTACAGTATCTATTAAGTGTTACGTCTTCTGAAAACGACATCGTCTTTCGGTATGTTTGTCATAACTGGACGGTCTAAGTCTTTGAGCTGGCTGCTGATGAGATGAGATCAAGGGCGACTTTTACTCTCCTGCTCGTATACTCCCATCTGTATGTGCCGGGTGATATCAAGCTTGGATTGTCAGGTATTTAGGTGTGTCCTCTACAACGAGTTGCAGGCCATGCATTCACAATACAATCCTACCGAGAAATACCTCCACCGCCGTAAGAAGGTCGGTAGTTACCTCAACTATCAAGATGCATGTTAACCTTGACTCGTTAGTGAAGTAGAATGGAGCGCTATCGTCGTCCCGCTTCGTGTACACATATACTAGTAGTAGTCTGCTAATCGTCCGGGCTCGTACCGTATACCGAATCACCTCTTAGTCTTCGAGTTGACCCAGGGTCAGTTCGCGTACTGCCGTACAAACGGGATCTACTCACCCTGCTGCCTATGTCATGTCATCCGACGATATCTGTCTCATCTGTCTTAGTTGGGATCGACTTGTCTTCGCATTCGGGCTCTCGGAGTCTCGGAAAGACGATTCTGTCTTGTTATACACTTTACTACTGTGTGCAGTCATGTTCATGTTCCCGTCACGCGTCCAACGGTTCAGAGTGGACCCTGTCTCTCCACTTCTTCCTGTCTTCTGACCGTTGGAGTTGAAGGTTGAGAGGAAGAGGTGGTGGGGATGAGGAGGGGTGCGGATACGGGCTCGGTGGGGACGATGTCTTGGATGATGCGGATGGCTCGTGAGGCTCTAGGGGTTAGCTTGGCTGTGTTTTGGGAGTATGTTCGGGTAACTAGTGGCTCGATGCTCTTTTGAGGATGATGTATGCGGCTCTTGCTGATTAGAATTGTGATCACACTTTTAGCTACGGCTTGGGAAACGGATAGGGTTGGCCGGGTGGTGTGAGTCATGGGATAGGCGAGGGGGTGTTCTAGCCTGCAGTGGGTTGTTGGGGTGTGAAGATGAGGCTCAATTGAGCCTCACTCCGGGTTTAGTAGTGGGTCGGTCTGGTAGAATGGAGCCGTCACTGTAGAGTGATTGAGGGCAGGATCGAGGAGAGTGCGATAGACATTGAGATGTGTTTCCGACTGACGCATCAGCAGAGCTGACACAATTAATTATCCGACCAAAAGTATCCGAGATGAACGAAGAGGCTCACAAATATCCCACCCCGACAAACAGAAGTAAAACCATCATCGTCTCAAAGTTTACACTCGCCCTTCTCACCCATATCTCCCCCAGCAGCAGCAGCAGCAGCATCCTCGCCCTTCCCCCTGTCCTCCTCCCCATCCAACAGCCTCACACTCTCCACGATCCCAGGATACGTCCAATTGAACCTGCGAAACCGATGGATCTCCTGCACCGACCTTCTCGCCCTCGCCTCGATATTATTCATCTGGATCTTCGTCGCGCGCGGCCGCCGCACCCGATCAAACTCCCGCAGCAATCCCGGCACCGCTTCAGCAGTTACAGAGTCCCCTAGAAACAGCCGGAACCCCTCTGCGTCCTCGATGGCCTGGGTTCCGCCCTGCCCCTGGTGGGGGGTCATGGCGTGGGCAGCGTCGCCGATGAGCACGGCACGGCCGTTGATGTAGCTGGGGAGCGGCGGAGTGCGGTGGAGGTTCCAGACCCGAAGGGTTGGGGGTGCCGCTCTGTAGTCGCCGGCGTTAGCATGAAGTGATTGAGGTACATACTACCGACATGCATTTGGGGGGTGGGTAGTACTATAGAGTGTCCCCAGTACTACATATATCATGTTCGTAGTAGGCAAGGTGTGTGTGGAAATTCTCACCGAAAATAGCATCTCACCCACTCGGGAAAATCCTCAAAATGCGCCAACAGCTCCTCCTTCTCAGCTGGGGCGGACCACACATCACCCGCAGTGGTAATTTGAGCGGCCGTCGACGCCCACAGCATGCTATCCGGCACGATCACCGCGAAATTGAGAACCTCGAAGTCCCTGCACGGGTAGATCACGACGCGCCGCTCGGAGTCGTCAAAGGCGAAGACCGTCGTGATGCAGCCCGGCTGCGCAGGGTCCAGGTTCTCGGGCATGTAGCCCAACGCCTCGTAGGCCTGGCTGCGGGTGAGGGTGAACCGGAAGACGGCGGATCCAGCGGGGATAGGGGAGATCTCCGGGGTAGAAGGGAGGATGCGAGGCCGGAGGGTCGATTTGATGCCGTCTGCTGCTGCTGGATATTAGCATGTGCCTATTTATCTATGTATCCCTGAACCTCTCTACTTTCTGTCACTCTGTCTACCAGCCAGCCCTAACCCACCCCAACATTGAAGTCACACCCTGGTACCAGACGCATCCCATTGGACTTGTTACTTACCAATAACCAAATCGGCCTTTACAACCTCCCCACCCTCCAACACCACCTCCGCCTGCCTATCCTCACCTTCACCACCTCCTACCTGCACATCCATGACCCTGGCCCCCCACCGCACCCTCGCCGCCACCCCATCCCCATCCCCATCCACGTCTCCCTCCATCGTCGCCAACCTCAACAACTCATCCCGCAGATCCGCCCGATGGAAAAACAGCCAATCCGCCCCAAACTCCGCCCGATAGTCGATCATTGTGTCGGCCGTCATCTCCCCGGCTTTGTTGTAGGCGAGCGTGCGGGCGACGGGGATGGCGCGGGCGCGGCGGCGGTCGAAGCCCACGCTGTCCAGGATGGCGATGCCGTTGGGGCCGATGTTGATGGCGGCGCCAGTTTCGATGGGATGGGCGGTGCGCTCGTAGATGGTGACCGTGTGTTGGGCGCGGAGGATGCGCGCGGCGAGGAGGCCGGAGATGCCGCTGCCGATTATGGCGATGTTTAGGTTAGTTTTTTTGGTGGTGGGAGGGGCCATTTTAAGGAATGTTTTGTGGTGGTAGGATGGGGGATGGATGGGGGATGGGATGAGGGACAGGATGGGGGTGAGGTGTTGTTAAAGGTTGTGTGGTAGTGGTGGCCCCTTGCGTGGAGGGTGGTGTTGGTGATGCAAGGTGATGATGAGGGTGAAGTTTCTTGATGATGGGGATTGTGCGGTGTCCTGATGTCATATTGGGTAGGTCTTGTTTTGATGCGTTGGATCGCAGGTTGACTGGTGTGGGACATATCAGGGTTGAGGGAGAGATAAGTATGAGAAGATAGTAGTAGACTGGGATGGATAGGGAATCAGTGCTGGACTTAGCCTGTGTGCCGACATTGACTGGCTGAGTACAGTTATGACAGGTCACAATAATAGCCATCATCGTTCTTATATGTTTAATAGCGCCTAAGTATGACATTGTGCGATCCATCGTCTCTGGTGGTGGACCAAGACCAAAGCTATTCATTCCATGAAGTGGTAGTACATGCGTAGTATTCAACCACGGCTATAGATGGTAGCCATGTCAAACACACTGCACTAGGTACGGACAGCAGAGGATGTTATCGTCCCAGGAATTTTCCCTCAAATATCTATTGCCTATGGTAGATTGTCTAAAATGCAATCTTCTCGTCTAAATGCATCAGCCAGTCGCAGCCAGCTGCTTCATGGCTTCCCGATATCCGTTCCAATGCAGCTGATTTGTCCCCAGAACATTCCAAGCCACTGCCAAATGATCCAAGATGCTGGGGCTATCTTGCGTGACACTGCATGGCCACTCATAAACCGGAATCTCCCCCGCATGGCGCGAGTGTCGAGTCACGGACAGTGGTAGAGGATATCATTGATCGCCCTACCCGGCAGGAGTCGCTTAAGTCCGAGGCCGAGCCAAAGTCAATTGGTCGGTGCCTAAAGAAATCTGCAGCCAGTTTCTGGAAGATTGCCGCTTTGATCCATGGTAAACATACCGGGCAAACGTAATCGCTGGTACGGTCGGATGTTCGGCTGCACGTTTTGTGTTGGTGCTGCAGTAGTGATGAGGGGCTGGGTATTGTCATCTACCTGTACTCAGCGGTATGGTGCCTCTGCCCTACGCCTCGTGCCGACCCACTCTCGGCCAGTGGCAGCCAATGCCGAGTGAGACCGAGCGGGGATGATGCGGCGTCAGCCAGCCCTGTGACAATCCGCCCATCTTCGCTACAAATATCATTCCTCCCCCTCGTCCCCGTCAGCTTCTTTTCCTGACAGTTGTTCCCTTGCCCTGGGTTGTTTCTGGGGTCATTCCTAGAGAGTCGGCCTAGATTGCATCGCCTGTGGCAGATGTTAGAATCGCTGCCACGTTTCCAATTATCAGTAGACCCTCCTAGATTCGTCGGATATTCTTATCCGCTCGCACACACCGACACATCGCCTCGCTGTCTCGCTGTCTCGCTGTCTCGCTGTCTCGCTAACCCCGTCGCATCACCTCACTAGCCAACAATCCAGACCAAATATTTGATGCACTACAACTCGGGTTATTCGCAGGGTTGGTCCGGCGGCTATCCCCCTCCTCCTCACCAAGGGAGCTGGGGACCGCCGCCTCCTCACCACCACCACCAGCAGTGGGTTGCCCCCTCATAGCAGCAAGCCGCAAGAGACGCACATTACTGACTTTAGTTTAGATACCCTCCAAGTCCGCAGTACTATCCTCCCCCCGGACCTCCCTCCGGACCTCCCCCCGGTCATCAGTACTCCCCTCCTCCAGGACCCCCGCCCGGACAATACTCGCCCCCTCCAGGCCCTCCACCCGGTCATCAGTATCCTCCTCCATCCGGTCCTCCTCCATCGCGACACCACCACCACACCTCCTCCGGAAGTTATCCCGCCTACCCATCCCCGGCTCCCTCGCCCTATGGCCATCCTCACACACCGACTCCACCACCCCAATCCTCCTCACCAGGCCACATCCGATCCTACTCCAGTAAGTCACAAAGCCTGCCACGGACTTGGACCCAAAATCGAAACTAACAAACCACAGACCACTCCCAATCATGGGGTCCCCTCCCCCCGCGGCCCCCGCAAGAAGCCCAACAATTCGGCAACGGCGCCCCCTCCAACTACCGCTTCCAGTATTCGAACTGCACGGGTCGCCGCAAAGCCCTGCTAATCGGGATCAACTACATCGGCCAGCCGAACGCTCTGCGGGGTTGTATCAACGACGTGACCAACATGTCGACTTTCCTGAACCAAAAATACGGGTACCGCCGCGAGGACATGGTGATCCTGACGGACGATCAGAAGAACCCGATGAGCTTGCCCAACAAGGCGAATATCCTGCGGGCGATGCAGTGGTTGGTCAAGGATGCGCAGCCGAATGATTCGTTATTCATCCATTTTTCGGGTAAGCCCTCTCTCCTGGACGGTGATGCTCCTCAGCGAGACAGTAGTGAGCTGTTAAAGACTGACTCTAGAATAACTGCAGGTCACGGAGGCCGGACCCCCGACCTTGACGGGGATGAAGAAGATGGTACATACAACCCTCCCCCTCAAGAATTATCAGTCCCAGCTAACCCCTCGCGAGGCTACGACGACGTAATCTACCCCCTCGACTACCGCACAGCCGGCCACATCGTCGACGATGACATGCACGCTATCATGTGCGTACCCTACCCACCCCTCACCAAATCACCACTAACCTAGAAAATAAAAAAGGGTCCGCCCCCTCCAACCTGGCGTTCGCCTAACCGCCATCTTCGACTCCTGCCACTCCGGCACCGCCCTCGACCTCCCCTACGTCTACTCCACGCAGGGCATCCTCAAGGAACCCAATCTCGCCAAGGAGGCCGCCCAGGACCTGTTCAGCGCCTTCCAGTCCTACGGCAAGGGCGACCTCAGCAGCGCCGCTCAGACGGCCATCGGGTTCTTCAAGAAGGCGGCCAACGGCGACACCGCCCGTCAGCGCACGATGCAGACGAAGACTTCCCCGGCGGATGTGGTGATGTTTTCGGGATCGAAAGATACGCAGACTTCGTAAGTCCTTCCTTTCCTTGTTCTCGTGGGTGGAGGGGGGGGGATTTACCCCCTTTTTCTTAACCCCAGGTTCTCGGAAGGGGTGAAGGGTGTATCTTAGTGGTAGGGCGGTTTGCTAATTACCCGGTGATGTGGAATAGGGCCGACACATTCCAAGACGGCGAAGCGCGTGGCGCCCTGAGCTGGGCGTTCATTAAGACGCTCCAGCAGCGCCCGAACCAGAGTTACCTGCAGCTGCTGAATTCGATCCGGAATGAGCTGGAGGGCAAGTATACGCAGAAGCCGCAGTTGAGTTGTAGTCATCCGCTTGGTGAGTCCAAACTTGTGCCTGAAAGTTCTCGATTCAGAAAGATTGGTGATGCTAACGTTCTACTGTACTTGGGACGGTACTAGATACCAATTTGCTTTTTGTTATGTGAGATGTGGGGGAGTGAGGTGCATGATCTCAGCCTGGTGTTAGCGCTTCTGATCCATCATTACTACTGCTCTTAGTTATTCTTACTAGGGTGATTCTATATATATCCCTGGACGGTCTATATCTTTATTACTTAGTATCTGGGTTTTGACATATGCTCGTAACCAAGACAGCAAGCTGCATCTAGATTCAATGTAATGCCCAGACACTGCACCAGACAACACCAGTACCCAAGTAACCACGCTATTGCAACCGCCCTAAGACTCCCCCCCCACCCACCTCCGCATTCAGAAACCGGACAAACGCATCCGGGATCTCCTCCGGCTTCAACCCACCCCCCCGCGCACTCGCATGCGGCCCCGCCACGTACGCCCGGTTCAGCGTGATCCACTGCCGCCGCCACCGCTGCAGCCGCGGCAGCGCCAGCACGCCCCCGGCCGCCGCCAGCTCCTCCGTCGACCCGCCGGACCGGGCAACGTGCGCGGGCACGAACAATGGCGTCGAAGAGTCCGGGACGGGGATCGTGATCCCCGTAGCTTCCCCGTGTTGATCATTCTTGGTAGAAGCAGCCAGTGCTTCATCGGCGGTCGGGTACTTGAGGGTGAACTCCCGAATGGCGGCAACAATCCCCGAGGTGGTTTTCTCGATGCTATACAATGCGGAAGGGGAGGTCGTGGCGGGGAGGGCGGTGGCTTGGTGCGGTCGGATTCTGGGGCGGCCGAGTGGATGTCTTCCGCCGGCGGCCGTCCCGGAGGTGAAGGTGGAGGGGGCGATGCTGGCGGCGGAGGAGGAGGAGGGGGAAGGGGAGGTGAGGTGGGTGTTGTTGAGGGAGGTGGTGGCTAAGTCGAGGGTTTGGTCTTGTTGCGTCTGCGCGGATGGGTGGGGGAGGCCGGTGAGGGCCGTCCAAATGTCGGCGATCGGAGGCGCGGGGTCGGACCAGGGTACCGTGAAGAGGGGCTTGTCCCAGCGGCTGTGGATGCTGGGTTCTTCGTAACGGAAGATGAGGTTGTTGAGGAGGGCTGGCGGGTAGGGGTCTTCTGTGTCGGTTGTCGTTGTTGGTTCGGTGGTGGTCTCGGGGGTGGTCTCGGGGGTGGTCTCGGGGGATTTCTCGGTAGTGGTCTCCTTCGTAGGCTCGGCGATGATCTCGGCGGCACGTTCCTCAGCGGCACCCTCAGTAGCCCGTTGAGCATCTCGCCGGATTCGCGCTTCATTATTTGCGACGCACTGGTCAATCGGCGTGCCGACGTGTACCTATCCCGATTCGTGATCAGACAAACCATAAGAAGGTCGGAGGGAGGGAGGCATACAACACAGCTCGACGTCTTCAACGCCTTCGCCTCACACCACAGCTGATATCGATACCCCTTGATGTAGTTCATCCCATCCAGAATCACAAAGCTGTCCTTGCCCAGCGCGCGCTTGGCCCGCGCGTACGCCACCCCGCGCGACTCCTTCTCCGTGCGGGCCTGATCGTACACCGTCCGCGGGTGCGACGGGTCGTGCGTAGGGACGACATGCACCTTGAAGCGTGGTTTGCTCTCAGGGAAGACTCCGGAGGCGTACAGCTCGTTCTGGGTTTCTTCGAGTTGCGCGGCGAGTTGGTTGGCGCGATGGGTGAGGCCCGAGCAGGGGTAGCCGGTTAAGACTATAAGCTTTAGAATTGGACTATTAGTATACAGAGCCAGGAGTACAATTGAAAATGTCTTACAGGCATGGTGAGGTTTGGCGGGGGGAGAACAGTTGCGATGCGATTGTTGCGGGTTGTGCATGCAAGTTGGGGATTTTTTTGCGCGGGGCCGGCGCGGGTGGGGTACATGTGACTTGTCTCGCTCCAAGGCTCAACTTTGCCAGTCAATTGACTCATGGTCTTGGATATGGATTACATTGGGGAATGAAAATTGTATAGATAGTTGTATTCTCCATCTAAAAGGCATATGGTCCGTTGGACCTGGTATACCGTCTATGCAAAACTTTTGTATGTACCCGCCTTTCACACCATCATGCAACTCAATTCGTCTCCTTCATCATGCAGCACATTTCACATGTGAGCCGTCTAATTCAATTCCTCCGCCGCCCACCGGATCTCATATCCAAACACCGTCTTTCTCAACCGCTCATCCTATTCCGGTTAGCATCTACTCCCCCAAATCCCCGAAAAGACGAGCTTACCCCCGGATCATTTTCAAACAAGACATCATCCATCACCTTCTCGAAGATCTTCATCACCCGGAACCCATTCTCCTCGGCCAGCGGGAAGAACTTCTCCGTCTTGGGCAACAGCCACGGCTGGTACGGGGTGAAGATGACGAGGGCGACCGCCTCCGGGGAGCGCTTAAGCGTCTCGCGCATCGTCTTGATCAGATTCGGATGCTCGCGGTGGCTGTACACCACATCAGCCATGATGAGCAGATCAAAGCCCTGGGCCCTTGCGCCCTCCGGCAGATACGCCAGCAGCGGCTCGACGGACGCCCCCCATTTGTACCCTTCCACATGCAGCGCGGAATCACTCCCGATGAGTGAGGCGGACAATTCGGCATTGTGGCGCATGTTTTGGACCAGATCCACGTCCGGGTAGTCGGTCATGACGGCGGTGCGGGCGCCCTTGATGGCGCTGACGATGCTAGGGACGCCGGCGGCGGCGCCGATCTCCAGGACATCCTTGCCCTTGACGAGGGTGTCGGCGTGTTGTTCGATGTAGTGAGAACTGGTGCGGCCGGCGTTCCAGAGGAGATTGCCCTATATCGCACCCAAATGTAAGCATTGTGCTTCCAACTAGCAAAGAAAAGGGAGGGACGCACGTAGAGAGGATGGCTGCCCACCAAGCGGACGCGCACCGTCTGTCCAGACAGCATGTGATGCTCCGCAAAGGTGGGCTCCGGTTCAGGCTCGTAGAAGCCCTCCGGATCCTGGAACATGTCCCCCGCGTCGAGATTGAGCTCATCCGCCATGTTGTGGATCTGTTTTCAGGGAATGGACCGAGACGCAAGGTGCATTATTGCGGGCGATCGATATGCGCCCGGGAGAATAATTTCTCTATCGCGATAGTGTCGAGTGGAGCCGGGCTGTGGTGGGGGGGGAGGGAATGTCCTAGTCACGTGATAAAGGACTACTCAACATACGATTCAATACAGTCACGGTACCTGCGTTCCACCGCCAAACCCCGCGTGGAGATGCGGACCGGGTATCAAGATCGATGCAAACAAACAGAAGCTTAATGGGCTCCATGAGAAGTACAGAATCTCGCAGCGGGTCAACAAACTCTTTGATGATAAGAGGAACCCGAGGGCACAGGTGCCCCCAGTGCCCTTGTACCCAGTTACACATCATTTATCTTCGTGTATTGACTCCCTGAACCAAAGAAAGGCTTCTCCACCGCCTCCACCTCTAAAGAAGGCGGAGATACACAGATCAGGTCCGTCAATAGTATAGGCTCAGCTCCTCCTCCTATTCCATTCAGTACCAATCCCCGCTGAGCGGAGGATAACTAAATAGGATATATATAGAGCTTCAGTGGTTGTATCAACAAAACAAACTGCTTGCCGCTACGCTACACTGGTTGATTCAGCGAATCACAGCATACAGTTGTATACTATTGTTCCCCTCTACACTGTATACCTTTGACTGTACATATTTAGCGGCAAGTTAGAAAGAACATCCATGATACATGGTTTCCTATACTATTGTTACTAAGTAATAAAATTTTCTTAACCTAACTATAACCTGGTGGTTAGGTATGAAAATTCTAATTAATCCAACCTAACCTTGCTGTTAGCCACTCTACCCTGTATATAACCTAAGGCGAAGGGCCAGCGTATGAATAATCATCAACATTATTGACTGTACCAAGTAGTAGACCTAGAAACATTTCCCCACACCTTTCACGTATAAACCAAATCAACGGAGTAAAGGTTCCTCAGAAAGGTAATTGATTTACTGGACTAATAGCTTGATAACCTATTAGCTGGAAACCATCACTACCTAGTAGTAGTTAATGTTAAAAGCCACCCCACTTAGTACTCGGCCCCCCGAGGAAAGGCGACTAACGCCAAAGATAGCTCCAGGGCTCCAGCGTAGGCGTGGAAAAGGTGCTTGGGCCTAGAGGCTTGAACAGCATGGACAATGGTAATCCGAGCAGCTCCTGAGCACGAGGGTATGATTGTTTCAGAGCACAGCCTCACTAATGTAGTTTGGGTGAAAATTTTAAAATGAGTGAAATATTACCAGTAATAAGAGGCACTGGTCAAGGAAGTCAATGCCCTTTCACTACTCAATTCCAATATGAAAGACTTTCCACCAAGCTCAATCACGAAGTGATACCACCAGAAATCCTCGGGCGCGACTCTATAAGTTATAACAAACTTGTCAATAAGATATCCAGAGAAATTTGTATCCAAGAGGGCTGAAAACTAGTTCTCGACCTGAGACAATTGCTGGTATTTATGTCCAGACAAAGGTCGGCATGTCACGTGATGAGAAGCGGTTTGGCATAGCTTACTTACCAGTCGTTTGAGCGGGCCGATGTTCAAGCTAATGCATGCATTGGGGCCCTTGTGGGTGCAGACGAGAGATGGTCATTATAGAAGCAATCGGAGTCCCCAGGTGCATGCTCCGTGAGTAATCTGTGAGCATCCCAGAGCGCACACAGATTATTCACATGCTGCCCTCATAGTCAAAAGCGGCGGCACCCCTATTAGGTAAGCAAACGGGATTTGCAGCCAAACAGTTCACTTATACACTAGTAGTAGTTCTTTGACTGATCATCGAATGTTCCAAGGGGGACGGCAGGCCTTGCAGTCCGACGAGGTACCTTGCGTCAAAAGTACGTATGCCTCTTTTGTCTGGGGTCCATCTGGACTTTCCAGAGATCAAACCCTACCCAGGCTTGCTGTGCCAAAGTACAGAGGGATCCTACCATCTCCCATAAAAGCTGGTTCGGTTTCATCATTCAGTCGTCCAAGAGTCGCAGAACAGCTTATCAGTATCAGTCTGGAGGAGATTGCCGGACGTCATACCGCGGTCTATCCGGTGAAGCGCCCCACGTGTTGGACTTTTTTTTTTCTTCTTTCTGTCTTATATTTAACTGATCTCTCTTCTTCCTCGCCATCACGCCATTCCCCCTCTCCTTCTCTTCAAGGCCGAGAGGCAGTTTCATCTCTCCAACCCGGACTCCACCGGATCAGTCCATACTGCTTGCCGTGGAATAGCGCAGAGATAGGGTGAAAGAAAGCCCTGCAGTGTACAATCCTCTTTGTTACTTGATAGATAGCCATTTTCTCTTCCGACTTGATCGTCAATTGTGCCTAATCTCAACTCATATCCAACCATCATTCACTTTACACTCACCTTCCACTTATCATCACACTACCACAACTATTACTTGTCTTCCATCCAACTTATCACCACCAGACCATCATATAAAATGGCAACTATCAACCCCCCGACCCAAACCCTCACCACCACCTCCCCGGCCAGCAGCGCGACCAACTCCAACCCCGACTCCAACCCCCTCAATCTAGCCGCCGCCGCCGCCGCCGCCATGGCCGTCACAGCCACCACCACAGCCACCAACCCATCTACCAATTCCCATTTCCAGCACGCAGCCGACTACCAGCATCAGTCAGGCCCCTTCTCATCAGCCACTAATCTCCCCAGCCACCAAACAACAGACAACTACCCCCACCAGATCACCGGCCCCGGCGGCCCTACCGCGACCGCCCCGTTCCTGCGCGATTTCAGCCTGGTCGCTGAGGCCGCCAAGCGGGCGCAGATGTCGGTCATAATGCGCGACCTGGAGAGTGTGACTCTATAGACTCATCTCATCAAAGAAGGCGCATGAAGTGGAGGAGGAGAAGAATATTGGGGGATTTGCATATACGCGTACGCCTGAAGATTGGGTATCGTCTCTAGAAAAGAGGACTCGCTTTAGAATCGGATTGGGACGAGCTGACGATGACTTGGAGTGTTGTATTGGAACGGCACATATAAAGAAAGAAAGCACGAAAGAAAGAGTCTGGGAGCTTGGGGCTGGAACTCCCGACTCGCCGGCCTCCCTTACACCGGACCATGCAATAGGATCTAAATTTTGGGGGCGGGATGCGATGCGATGCGATGCGATGCGATACAGCTCAATAGAACGCAAGAAAAAGTCTTGAGATCTGAAATGAAAACGCCAGAGACAACCATACCGAGACAAAATCACGATAACGGACGGACAAGTGCATGCATTCTCACCCTCTGCACAGATTTGACTCGACCTCATCAATAATAACAACAAAGAATTGTTCCCGCAACCTGACAAAACATACCGTGCGAAGCCTACCTACTCTCAACCTTCCTAACCACTCTCAATTTCCTCTTCTTGTCATCTGCTTCGGAAATGCTACTCTTATGTTCTGGAAACATCAACGTCTTTTCTTTTTGCGTTTCACTTCTAGGAATCCTTTATACTTACGAATGCTAGCGCTCATTAATGGTAATCACCGTGCGTGTGGATGATGGATAGCGGTGTCAGTTCATCCCTTTTTTTTCCTGATTTCATTATTTAAAGGAGACGTTAGGTATATTGGGCCGTTATTCGCGTCGTACGCTGGAAAAATTCTCGCTTGGTAGCATAGATGATACACGAGAATTCATATATGTGGTACATGCCTACAACCTACTCGGTACAATATCAGCACGTCGTACCTCTCCGCGATCAGATCTAGATGTAAATTAAGTCGTACAGAATCAAAATGGTCTATTTGATAAGGTACTATACTCGTGAGACTATGCTACTACACATGCCCAACCGAACCAAGCGACCACCATTATTCGTCCGAATGACAATCTGGTGAATACCTACTTCGCTAGTCCATTGTGCAGTGACACAGCTACTACATACAGCACCCACTACCGTAGCTGTAGCCCTCTTGTATCTCCTGGGAGAAGATAATCCCGCCCTTAAGCCAGGGCGCAGACCCGTTCGAAGCCCTTTCGTTATTGACTAATAAACAAAGATGCAAAACGAGTAACCATGGACCCAACCGGTGCTCTATTCGCACCCAAGGTAAGATGGAAATAATCCAACCATGTGGAAACACGATAAAGTACATCTTCCGTATACCACACACACACACACACACACTGCCAAGGGTCTACTGTTAGTGACAATTAACTACTAGGTACTATTAGTATTATGCCAACCGGGCTAACCAACTCACTAACTACCTTAGCTCCTACCCCTTCTCCACACCCCCTTCTTCCCCCGCATTTAAGCAAACCCTAGTATAACCTATTAGACAAGACGAGCAACCAAAACTTCCAATCCCATACCAAACAGATCCGCTAATCTTTCCCAACTTCCCCGACTACCATCCAGGCTCCGGCGCAAGGAGCAACTTCCAGGATTTTTGATACTACAGTAGTTACTGTACGTACCCCATCCGACCAAACAGACACAAAACTCACCCGCCCATCACCTACATACCCACAAACCTACATACCTACGTAGTTAACCTGCGTATTGACCATGCGCTTATCTACCTTACCCTGCACATGTTCCGTAGAGTACCGGGGACAAGTTGGAGTCCATTACGTGTGGTCCGGCGGTGGGCCCGTGCGATCAATTCCTCATTAAGCAGGCTTGGCTTGGCTGTGCTGTGCTGATCCTACTTTCGCTACGCTGCTCAACTACGTAACTAAGTCTAATGATATCATCAATTCCTGGCTGGGGGGTGAGGTGATGGCCGGTGTTTATTTTTTTCTTTCTTGCGGGGTGAAGTTACTCTACTAGTACCTTATTCAACCACTACGTAGCGTTCTTTTCTTTCCAGACCAATCGATAATAGGATCGGGCCGGGCGGGCAGGAACACCGGGGCCGGAGAACTAATGCATAACGCAAGGGCAGGAAAGATGTAAGGATCGGTGCCTGAGAGTCTAGTATACACACTTCTAAACGAGGTTGTGGGTAGTAGGAATATATGTATGTACAACAGCTAGATAGAGAATATGTGCCAGTTACCCGAATCTTCTAAAAATGGACCTGAAAGCAGCGTACTCCGAACAGAATGTGTCCTCGTACTGTACAAGCAAGCAAACAATGTATAAAAATAACCCCGTGTATGCGTTGTCTGGTCTTGGTCTGTTTGTTCCTGCGCAATCGAGACAACTCATGTGATAGATGGTCGAGAGCCAGAAAAAGCAAAGCCACCAGGGGGAAACAGACAGAAAAAAAGAAAAGTACGGACCGAGAAATGATCAACACCAAACACCGAGCTAATGCAAATGATTGAAATAAAAAAGACCCCGGATTAAAGGATTGAAACCAACCAGATCAGATCAGAGAGGAAGGGGTGATTCAAGAATAGAAAGGAACGACTTTTAACCAGATATGATGGTTTAGCAATGGGATCTCCAGACGAGGAAAAAAAAAGGTATAAGGATCGAATGACGGCCGCCTTGGCTCACTGAACTCCGAGGGGAATATGCACTTTCGGGTTTCGTAATTGTATTGGTGGGTGTCTGTGCGGGTGTTGGGTAGATTTCGAATTGGCGTGTTGGCTCAACGCGCATCACGTGGGACGAGAATGTATTCGGATTCGAGGTCATCTGATGCAATGTGACGGCGGAATGGCATGATGCAAGCAGCAGTCGGCATGGCATAGCCTCAAATCTGCGTCGAAGCACCGATCAGATTCGGCTGCGAGATGCTGCCCACCTGACCCGGTCTGAACTTCTTCTTGCGCGAGAAGCTGATACTCAGGCGCCGGCTGAGTTTGCGGACTGGCGGGGTCCAGGCTTCTGTTGAGAGAATCGACATGGGTCGAGATTTCGGAGGCTGCGGAAGTGCCGGGACCGTGTAGTAGTCCATTGTCGGGGTGGTGATGGAGGTGCTGGACATCACCGCCACCTCGTCAATGCCAAAGAACGATTGGCGTCGTCGTGCCAGCACCTTCTCGCTAGTGCTCTGGAGGGAGATGTCTTCCACAATGTCATCGAGGGCGTGAGAGAAGCGATGCAAAAGCTTGGGCTTCTCACAAATCGACGGGGCGCGCTGTTCCAGGCCGTACATCTGCAGCGGAGTCGACTCGGGACAATCTTCCTTCACGGGGGTGGAATAGTAGCGGGGGATTTTGTAGTGCTCTGGCCGGCGACGAGGGGCGGGCGGAAACCAGACCTGGTGATGCCGAGATTGTTGGGAGACGGGACTTCCGGAGTAGGAGGAACGAGACGAGTCGGTGGAGGCGGAGGTCAACATCCTTCTGTTTGTGGATGTGTGTGTTGTATGTGTGTGCGCGCGCGTATGTGTGTGTGTGTTAGGTATGGTGTGGTGGGTGGAGGAGAGAAGAAAGAAACGAAAGGATGAGATATTCTTAGGGGACGGAAGAAAAGAAAGGTGTTACAAGGATATGACGAGAGAGGCTGAGAAGCGATAATAGACTAGCGACAATAGATAATAAATGAGACGATAGATGGGGAATAGTAGCAGCAGGGGGGAGGGGGAGGTGGTGGTATATTGAAGGAAGAGAAAAGAAGTCGGCAGGTCGGTAGGGAAGTCAGTAGTCCAGGTCGGTAGGGGCAGCAACGAAAACGAGCGGATGAGACCAAGTTCCAAACGAGTCAGATGGTTCGTCTGTACTCAAGTGTCTGGGATTATAATTATAGCAAAAGAAAGGACGAGAAGAGACTAAAAGGAGAAAAGTGGGGGGGCCATCCAGAGGATTCACAGCTTCACTGGCTCCAGACGGATGGCGATGGATCCCCGTTGTTCGACTTGGGAATAACTGCCAGTGGTATTGTATTTTCCCGGGTAATTGATCGGTACCAGCGACCAGGTGCAGTGCAGGGATTTCAGTGAATTGCATTGAGAATTGAGAATAGTTTGACTGCATCAATTATCAATCACGGATCACGCCCTATCAAGATCTGTCTAGCAGCCGCCCAACTGCGCCGTTTGCCGTGGGTAGGAAGCAAGCCGATTGGGGTGCCTCCAACCGCCATCACTGGCTCAGATGACGCGGCTATTGGTGGTAAATGTCAGACACAGTTCTATGGTTAGCGACTCTGACTGAAACATGCATGGACAATTGTGTCGTCTGATACTTCGCTGGACACACAGTGATGGATGTGGTGTCACAGGGGGGGAATGTTTGTTGTGGGTGAGTTCATTGATGGGGGAGCCCATACTGACTACGGTACTATACACAGTACGGAGTACGCCATAGACAGGACCTTAAAATTCCCTCCCTGGAAACCCCTCACAACTTACCCTGATTCATTTACCCCAGACCTCTACTTCTTCCATAGTGAATACCTCCTCATTACCAAATGGGCCAAGCTGCGCGCATCCGAAGGGCAAGACTAGCGGGTGGTGCAGAGACAGCCACATTGCCCACCCGCTGCAAGGTGAAACATGATTTTTGACTCGCTAAGGCCGAATCGGTTATAGCGCAATGATCTCATCGGCCATGCATTGCACTAGCATTGGCTGCAGCGCTTGCTCTGGGTCCTGCGTCTCCATACTGGCCCGTATCGGAACTCGGAAATTATGAGCAATAAAATGGCGTGCTGGAAAGGTGCTTGAAAGAGTCAATTTGCAAACCAAATTCCCCATCCATCTGCGGTTCGCCGATCACGGCAGCTGTCAGCTTCGAAAACGGACTATGTGCGGCTTAGTTATGCTAAACCCAGCAATAAGCACCGTCCATGGGTCCACAGGACATTGATTGTCTTTGCTCTTTGCTCGCTTGGTGAGGCATAAACAACACTCACCGTCTCGGTTCACACACACCCTCTCTCTCACCGGTACTCCATCCACGAGTCGGACACCGCGATTCAGCCACATGCTGAATTTTTTTGCCCGACAGCCCGGGCCCGCGTCGAAACCAAATGCACCCTCTGTAGATTTGGAAGCTCAGACTCGCGCTTGGATGATTTTTTTCTCTCTTGATCCGGGCCCCTCGGATTTAGGCAGAAGCATACGCCGTACTGTAAACGACGGCGTACACTGGTACAGAAAAGGAAACGCCTGCAACTGCGGAGACTGGATTACAAACAGTGCATCACTGTGCATCCATCACAGTGGGTGTCTTCACATTCCAGTGACAAAGTCAAGCCTTTTCCATCTGCGTCCTTCATCCGACCGCCGAAGAGACCATGGGTCGACCGACGAATGACGCGTTGCCGATTTGCATGTCATATTGGTATGTCCGTCCATGCGAGGGGTGCTGACTGCGTACTATGCCATGGTGGCAAGTTCTGAGGCTTCTTGGATAGGGATGTAATTGGTCGGTGATCGGATTTGGACCTGAGTGTGCAACGCCTGCGTCCCATGGATTTGGTTGCCGGGTTGGTGATATTCCTGGTGATTACGCAGCAAATCTCAAGCCACGAGCGTGGCTATCGCGTACTGTACTCCGTACATTTTCATCATATGTTCTAGAAACGCTGGAGCGAGAGCGCTTCGAGCATGGTTATCGTAGCCGACTGGTATCTAGCTCTCATGTCTGATCCGGGTGCACAAACGTCGAGTAGAGCCTCGCCGCTAGTCCAGAGCCGTCTAAGCTGGTCGAATCAAGATCGCGGACTTCGTCGTGCGTGTGTGCCATATTTGGATCGGTGGATCGTACCTTGTGGTCTCTAGGTGGATGGCGTAACCTAAACACAGCCTGCGCTGAACCTGCAGGATCGTTACTGAGGCGATGTAAATAGGGAGTACAGCCTCATGCGAGGAAGTGGAATGTCAGGTCTTGACCGACTAGATGCTGACGTCTGCTGCTCCACGGCACCACGGTTGGATGGTATCTCCATATGTGCCAGTCACAAGCAGCATGGACGGTGTGGTCGGAGGCTTAGTCCGGCGTCGCAATGCTTTATTCTGCGAGAGCTGCATCAGCCAGACCCACTATCGTAGATCATGACGAGCGCAGACACTCGCGCGTGCAGATAATCCGTCCCGCACGGCGCAGGGGACATCGGATCTACGTGTGAGGAAGTGTTGGACGGAGTACTCATGCATTCAGGCCTGTGCGAGACACGTCTTTTCTATCTGCTGACGTATACTTACTTGGTCTTCGACAAAAATGTTGTTGTTGAGACATACTACTAAATGAATGTGATGCTGTACTTTGTGTAGTCACCGCCATTAGAGGAAGGGTTTCCCAACAGAAAAGACAGGGAGTCGAAAATCACGCTCATAGCACATACGAAGTGTCGCTTGGTTAGTCTATAGATGGAAGAGAGACCGGCGTCGAAACAGGCGTCGAAACAGGCTACGGGACAGCATTCCGGCTGCCAGCGGGATCGCGGCGCAGGATGCAAAAATGAAGAAGAGACATTCAAAGCGACGACAACCCATCCTCTACTTCTTTTCCTACCATCAAGATATCGTCCTCGAACTGCTTATCCCACGAAAACCTGAAGCTTCGTGTTAGGCACCTGCTACCACGGATTGGGCGACCTGTCAACGACAGGGCTCAATTAACCAGAATCAACCATGAACAGCTACAGTACTGAATGCTGGACGAAATCACGCAATGGAAGCTTTGTCAATACGAGAATTTGCGAATCCTATGGATGGAGGCAGAACATCTGATTGAAACTAATGTCGCCGAGCCCCGCAGCTTCATGCCAATCGCTCAACCTATTGTCTTAACTTCGGATCCCGAGATACCGTATAGCCTCCAAGTACAGCACAGCACAGCCAAGCCCCCAAGCCCCAAGGATTTAAGACCCGCCCCTCTGACTAGTTAGTTATTATAATGTTATAGTATACCCGCGCCCCAGCGGAACCCATCATTGAAAATCTTTTCACCCATCAAGATCTGAAACAGGGGGAGGTAAGTACGGACTCCTGTTATGATTTGCTCATTTACAGTGGTATACATACAATGTATACTTCAAAGCAGCAGGAAATATGTACAACTAGTACTCATGTCACTCAATCACCTCACAGGGTCACACACTCAAGCTACTAGCCAGCTAACTAACACTAATTAGAGGTACAGCAGTAACAATCGTTCGAAACGCCTTCTAGAAAATCCACAGGGCGTGCTCTCCGCCAGGAATGTCGGCTACACCAGCCGAAGGAAGAAGGCTGTGGACTAATCTGTTGGTGGCGTTCAATCAACTGTACTAACTTACTCTGGAATATAGTTACTCGAGAGCTGGAGCTGAGTCAAATTTTAGCTAAATTAACTAACCCGTCTCTAATTGAGGGGCAAATTCTCGGTTTGGAAAAGTGTAAACAACTGATGAACCTCCTATTATTCCCCCTAACTTACCCTGTCAAAACCAAATCAGCAAGATGAACCCAAAATTTACATCAAATTCAAACCATACGATGCAACATAGGGGGTCTCCGCTCCAATATCCTCTCAGTCGTGAAAAGGATTGATGAGGGCAAGACGAGACTTTTGCGGCGTTGCCCCCTATTCGATCTACCCATTCGACATCAGTAATACTAGCACCATTCTTCGATGGAATTTGCTCGCGTCTAGCGGCAACTCCGCTCTAACACAAACCATTTTTCTGTGCAAATGAGATATACTCGTCAACCGTGAGATCATGCCTTGTCCATAACTATTCTCAGTAGTTTAGGTCATTACGGGACAGCTTAGACACAGACCGGGAGTAATTGTCCAGGAGTCAACTACAATACTAGTAGCTACAGTCTGTACGGCACCAATGGCAATCAATGACAGATGGAAAGACAGTCAGACCCTGAACCAGGGAGTCTCAGCAATAGACCCTGAAGGCCCGAGGAGGTCTCGTACTGGGCGAATTGCCCCTCATATGCCAAGAACCACAAATTAAAGGGTGCTTCTTCTCGGGATAGGGAAATGCACTAACACAGAACTATCGCCAACCTACCGTATTTTACAGAAGGATGGAGAGGCCGGTCGGGAGCTACGGAAGTTTAGACGAGGGTCTTTTTCTTACCTAGTAGCTTCTACCCTGGAGATAGTTTTACCTCATTTGGGGGGAAAAAAAGGTAAAGGTCATCCCTGGCGAGGATATCATCCAGTAATTGAAGTCAAAGCAGCCATACGACCAAGAAAGTCATAGAATACTCAATCGGATTGTACTTTTGCTCTTCAGCCCTAAATCTCAACCACAAATAATCAACAAGAAGCAAAAGGTGGTTCCCAAGGTATCAAAGTCATCAATCGTCAAGAAGAAATCACAAAATATCCCCCACAAAAATGCTGATACATGATCAAGGCGTCCTGTTCATGCCGTCCTGACACCTGTACATGAAATGCGAAAAAACAATATGCAAGAAATAAGAGATATGCCCATAGCCCGCCCTCTAGGTATAAATCACGGGTCCCATCCATCCCATGTACACTGGTTGAAAAGAAAAAAAATCCCTAATGTCCAAGTCCACTTCCTGTTGCCTCCCGTTTTGCTTTGCCCAATCCTTGTCCGTTGTCCTGTTCTTCCTTGACAAGAAAAGAAAGCCCGAAATGAAGAAATGCAGATGTGCAAAAGAAACCACCCAGCACCGTGAAGTACACCGACAGAAAAAGAAAAAAAAAAGGGTAAAACAAAGACTTGTTTTACATGAAGAAGGCACAATAGAAGTATGCATAAAGAGAAGTAACAGATCTGCAAGCAGATCAAGATGGCCTTCCAGTATTCGTCACCGCCTGGAGCGGTGATGCTGGAAAGAGCAATCGAAAACCGAAATTCCTCTGGTCCGGTACGTCCGTTGCAAGTGACGGTCCTCCCTGCGAAGCATTGTCCGCGCGACAGGTCGCTGGTCAAAGATTGCATGAAATCATTCATGCGGTGAGGCCGTTGAACTGGGCAGCAGCCTGGCTAGCTTCGATGCTGCGGAAGTTCAGCCCCAAGGTAATGAGTTCCTGGAGGCTAGCGTTGACCTTCTCATGCATGGCCGAGTCCTGCGGAGCGATGTTGCTGATTTCCTCAAGCAAGCGGGAGCGGCAGTTGTAGTAGTTCCTCTCCGCATTCTGGAGGCGCTGGTTGTGGTGAGCAGACGTTTGCTGCGCAGCCTTCAATGGGTTGGTCTGGGACTGGGTGGACCGGGTACGCTTCATCGTTGGGGCAGCAGTGACGCCGGTCACCCGACGCTTACGTCCAGTCTCCTTCTTCTTGCTGGGTCCGGTCGTGGGAGAGGCGTCCGGGGAGCTGTGCCTCTCAGATGTCTGGTAGTCGTGAACCCGTCTCATGTGGTCAAAGAGATTCCAGCGGCGAGGGAATCCATAGCCCGGAACAGAACGGTCGCATCCGTCAAAAAGACAGAGGTGAGGGTTATCACCATGGCCGTGGAATCCGTGAGCCTCGCGCTCGTGGCGGAAAAGGCAAGCATTAGAAGAGAACTGCAGCTGAGCATCCATGCAGGCGGGCACCTTGCAGCGGTAGGGCTTCAAGTGGGAGTCAAGGTATTTGCTACTTCAGGTCAGCGTTGTTGCTTCCGTAGAGCGATGATCGTGATACTCACTGGTAAGCGCACTTCTGGGTAGTGGGAGGGTGGTTGCAAGGCTTGTCGGACTTGGCGTACGGGCAGTAGTACTTGCCATCACTGAAGGTAGGCAGAGAGTAGTAAGGGTGGTCCCTGGGGTTGCGCAGCTCGGAGCTTTCCTTGGCTTTCTGTCGAAGAGTATCCTTGACGGGCAGAGGGGGAAAGAAGTCTGGGTCCTGTTTCACCTGGGTCTGTGACGGCGAGGTCTGAAGAGCCGGTCTACGAGCATTCTTGGTGGCTCTGATGGTTCTGCTGTTTGTCAGTATACCGGTGAAAAGATATTTTGCTCAAAAGGTACTAACCGGTTGGGGTCCTGTTCACTCAGAGGCGGGGTGAGTGGGAACAGAGGGTCTCCCAAGTTAAGTCCGTGGCTTCCAACGGGTGTGGCAGTGATATCCTTGAGCATAGCATCTTCGTGGGTCATGAAAGTGGGGTATCCAGTGTGGCAAGAGGTAACAGCAACGTCATTACTTGCTTCAGTGAGAGGAGGGGAGACGGGTACAGGCTGGAACATAGTGGTATACTGGTCCATGGGCGATCCTTGGTAATTCCGGGAGTCTGCAACAATGGAGTTCCATGCGTCGTTGGCAGCCAGGTGGCTGTCATCTGCGTGGGAACTTTGCCCGACGGAAAGAGCATCGTCGGTAGAGCAGGACTGGGCACCATTTGGTCCACAAACATCATTATCAAAAGCAGACAAGTCAACCAGCGAGGAGTAGTGGTTGAATTCTTGTGCGTGGGAAAAGTCCATGTCATTCTGTTCGGACATGTCCTGCATGCTGGAGAAATCGGATCCGGCGTGATGATACATTACATCACTAGGACCAACAGTAGTTGGCAGAAGCTGCTGAGAGAAAGAGTAAGACAACATCTGAACTTCGGGTGAATCTGGCTTGGACATGGCACCGTTGTCAAGTGCATCCACGTCACTCAGAGCCCAACCCTTGAAGTCACTGGAGGTCCCATGGCTGTAGTGGGTACTTGAACACAAAGAGAAATTGTCCTGGCTCGAAAGTTCATCATCCTGGATTCCTCTAGAGGCCATGGTGGGGATTCCTGGGATCATTTGTGATTGCCTTGACTGGGAGACGTGGTCCAAGTGGTGCAGAGATGACTGGGACAAAGACATATTTTCTGGGTCGGTCTTGATCTGAGGGGTCATTGTTTGTTCCAGACTAGCTGGAAGGTTGGGGCAAGCACTAGAAAGCGACTGCAAGTTAGTACATCAACTTAGCTCGCAAAGGAAAAACAAAAAGGCAAAAGCTCAAGTGTGCTGGGGAATCCATCGTAGACCAGGGCCTATTATCATGTTAGATGAAGTTCGCAAGTATCAGTTTGGGATCTACCAACCAGTTGCGGAGAGATGGAGATGTAAATCCAGGTAATAAGTGGGTCCATGGTGCGATCGAAAGTTCGATCTTGGAGATCGGGCGGAAGGTCAAGGGGAGATGGGTCGACTGGGTCAGAATATCCAAAGTCATTGGGCCTGCGCGAAACGATTGAAGAAAGAGGGCGAGCGAAAAGGCCAAACGGTGCAGAGGTCCGACAAATCCACTTGGCTGATTACTACAAGAGTAGCAACAAATAGCATGGGGCGAATTGAAAATTCAAGCTGAAGGTGGTACACGGTCCAATAATTGTTGTCTTATTGTCATCTTATTGTCAATCCAGGTCAGAGCGTCAGTCCAGGGCCATTGATATACATTGCGAATCCAGGTTGCGGTAAATTAATCCAGATGAGCGGAATCCAAATTCTGGTACGGGTTCATGAAGCATCAAAAATCCAAGACGGGTAAAATCCAAGGGCAGCATCCAACTTGCACACAGGCTAGTGTGAGGAGATCCAAGAGTTCCAGACGGGAGCAGAAAAGTGATCCAGGAGAGTCGAGAAGAGTGTGCAACATTAAACAACACTCAGAGTGTCCAGTCACACAGCGGCCGCTGTGCGACGTGTTCATTCATGCCACGGTAGTGGATGAAGCTCGTCTTGTGACGAAGTTGGCCAGATGGGTTTAAGACTCCAGGGAATCCAGCGGCGCGATACGACGGAGCCAAAAGAGTCGAGACGAGAATCCAGAATGGGTCGAATGCAACAAGCGCATAGGGAGAGAGAAACAAGAATCAAGAACAAAGAACGAGGGATCTACCTGTTATTCGTCGTGCTCAGACACAAGCCTGGGAGGAGCAAAGAAAGCAAACAAAGCAAGCAGGTCCTATCCAGAATACGGACTGGGTTCCAGAAAGATGGAGATCAGGTTGGTATTAAGGCCAAGGAAGTAGTTCTGCTTTTTTTTCCCCAAGGTCCACGGACTGGAACTTGTCTGACAAGAGAAAGAGACCTGAGATCGAGTAGGGTGTAGAAGAGAGCAAGCTAGCTGATTTGACTGTGACAAATCAAGCACGAGAAGATGAAGAGTGGGGGGTATCTTGAGTAGTAAGAATCGAAGGAAGAATTGGGTATCGCGGATGTTTGGGTATCTAGAGTGGGAATCTGTTGGGTTTCTTCTTCGAGTCTGGTGTGAGATAAATAGGAAAGGTCGAGAAGGATGCCATCTGGAGGGGTATCGATGGCCTTTTAAGAAGTGACGGACTCGCATCTTTTTTTTCGCTCAGGAGACAGGGCGGGGTGGACTGTGTGTGAGAGGGGGCGTGGAAAGGAGAAATTGCCGTCCAAGCGTGTGCCGGGCTTTGCATGCTCATGCAGCAAGCGGACTGCCTCATTTTTCCCAGAGTGGGAGGGTAACGGACGATGATTTGACCTGCAAGACATTGGCGGTGATTATGGTGCAGCGCCAGGTGGTGTTGTCCGTTCACTATCTGCCAATGAATCAGTGGAGAAGCGGCTTGACGTGGCCGGACGGGAGAATAGCAGTGGATGAAAGTGGACTGCGAGAGGATAAGAAAGGATAGGAGTGGGTGAGAGTGGATGCAGATGGATGAGAAAGTGGATGCAGTTGAAGGGATAGTGGATGTATCATTTGGCACCGGCACCACCCGGGCAACTCCTTCCAAGGAGCGGTGAGGCGGCACAACCGCCATGATTGGCAGTCGAACCCCGTCAGTGAGCATGATGCAATGGTAGGCAGTGGTAGGCAATGGTAGCCACTGGCAGGCCATGACCGTCGCGTGCAGAACTACAAACTAACGCAGCGCCCCTGACCATCAGTCAGGAGCAATCAGAAGCAATCAGGAGCCATCAGGAGCCTGCGCATTCAGCCCCTCGTCTGGCCTCGTGAAAGTTACCAACTCTCGGCCTTGGATCGGCTGGTTGAGATACCAACACGTCAAGACCCTCCTACTCTCGGGGAACAGGGTTCTGAACTCTCCTCCTGCATTGCATGCAAGCAAACACCTCCCGTCAACAGACTCTCGGACTCACGGACAACTCCTAGCCCCCTCATTCACCTCCGTCACCCCCTCCAATTCCCCCCTCTATCCCAAAAGTACCTACAGCTCCGACGATGAGGTGTTACGTTTCATCAGCATGAAAAGGGACCTGCATGGATCTCGAGGATCTGGTTTCGAGGAGAATAGGAGGCAGCAATCGTCGCATCTGGCACCAGAATCTCCAGAAGCGCCGGGAGGTTGGGCAGCAATGTCATCATCTAATTACAGATAGTTTCGGGCAAGTGGGAACTAGACGGGACCTAGTGAAATGATATTCATATTTTAATTATTGCTTTGCTTAGTGAGATGAGATATTAAAGAAAAGAACCTGTTTCTGAAGTCTGCTGATTACGAATTCCAAAAAAAGATAATCTCCTATTTACGGCGAGCGAGGATCTGTGTCTGAAACAGGCAATGTCAGCAATGGCCAGCAAATGAAATGGCGCGTAAAGACAATGCAATCAAGCAGGCATGGATGTGTATCAGATAAAATTGAAAGATGGTATACGGTTTTCGTTCAGCGGTCCGAGACCTCAGGTGAACTATGCTTATTGGTAGGTTGTTCATCATCAAGGGCGCGAAAGCCCTCCAGCGAACATCCATGCGAAAGAAGCGGGGGAGAGGAGAGAAAGACACGGATAGTCTGCTTACCTTCAGCTTGAAAGCATGGACTGCCGATTTAGGCGACAGAAAAAAAGGAAACAGACACGAAGCCTGTTTCAGCTATCGGACTGACAGTTGCGTGGACCTGTCAACATAAAGACAGGAGGTCCATCATCTTGTCATGTCGAATGCAGACAGCGCGCGACATGCACAGTCTGGCTGTCTGTTGGCAGCTGGCTGCTGAAACAACGCGAGGGTTGTCTGACGTTTGTGAGGGAAAAGATTTCTGGCGTGTGGGAAAAACTGCTTTTTGAAGCAAGCGAGTATCACGTGAATTTGGAAGGTTTGCACTGCACCAGGGGGGGAAGATTCTTAGTCAGTCATGATGGAGTGGCTTCCAGCGTCTATGGTTCGTTCCCCGGGCCGAGCCGATTGGATCTTGTTGCAACTACGCTGGCCATTCCTCTTGAGGTAACGGTACATTTTAGCAGCTGGAGATACGGACTCCCCTTACTACAGCACTGCGACAGATTCAAGTTGTGTTGTTCAGAAATGACTCTGGAGTAGGATACGGCTCACCCCTATCAGACTCCAGCCTGGACAAGCCCTGTGGATCTGTACCTTCTGTGGTGCAACATGTTGAGATGCTCGATGGCGTAGACACAGCGTATGTTCAGTGGCTCGATCTCGCCTTGAAATCAGCTCAAGCACAGCATCGAGAGAAGACGTAGCGATCTCTTGCATGGAGCATGAGCAATACCTAACACTGCAGTGTGTCGGCCTTGCCTTGCAGCGCATCGTGACTAAGTATCGAGTTAAACCGCTACACTGCCGGCTGCCCTGCACCACCGGCCTGTTCAGGCATCACATGACGGTGGTGGCTCGGCCACCAGCAAAGCAACATCGAGACCCCGACTTTTGACATCACTGTCAACACCAAACCCGCTAGCTGACCCACACAAAGTACATCAACAATGAACTGGACAGGAGGTCGTCTCCGACGTCACTCCGCCATCCACGCGAGGAGCAGAAAGCAAAGGTTGAAGAAGCAGACGAGTAAGACTGGCGTGGCGGGGGAATCTGCGCTTCTGGACCGACCGGCGGTCCTTGCTGGGCGGTCGCCGGTACAGGTAAAATGATATATTCTTCCGACTTATTCGCACGAGTTGGTGCACGGCAGCTGATGAGCAGATTGCACAAGCGCAGCAGGGAAGTCTCTCCAGCCCCCGCCATTGAGAGCCACCACAGATCCTCCATCAATAAGGCAGACTCGCAACCCCGCCAGCGTCTGGACCGCATCCGGCGCGAGCTCCTGAAAAAGCCCGATTGGGCCGCCGTTGCCGCAGCACGACCAATCCAGATCGCATTCCCCACTCCAGAATCGCTGGCAAGGTTTGGGAAGCGGAGGAAGATAACAGAGGGTGATCGACTGAGACTGGGCACCTCTGGTTCATGCTCAACCCGTGTGACACGGCAGAGAAAACGCGAGGGCTCTCCCATCGAGGCGGTGGACTTCTCTCAGATCAACCTGAAGATCAACGGCAAGCGGGTGGTGAAGAGAGGCACGAGCTCGGTGCACGATCAGCCAACCAATGCGTCCAGTCAGTCTATGCTTCTGGACCGCGACCGGTCAGTGTCCACGAATCATCACAGATTTGTGGATTCACATCGGAGTTTCGATGACAGTGATGTCTTTCAGGACAGCTCGCTTCTGCTCGAGAATAGCAAGCCGTCCATGTCGCTTCAATTATCAACTCCGCATTTTGACTCGTTCTCCCAGGCAGCAAGCGTCATATCCAGTAGAGTGAAGCGGGACCTGTTACAACCGGACGATATGCAACAATACTCAAGTGGTCTAGATTCTCGGAGAGCAGGCAGTATTATATCAAACAGAAGACGGAAGCAAGATTTCCAGCTGAAGAGTACGCCAGATTTCTCCAGTAGGTCTACGAGCCTTGGCCAGGAATTACTTGTTCCGCGACGATTCACTATTGATGACCAGATTGAAGCTGAAAGAAAGGGGAGACTGGCATTACCCTTGACTCACAGACCTAGTACGCCTCAGGACGAGACCGAAAATGGATCCAGCACCAGAGCCTACTCACTGCTGTCACTCGGGCCGGAGAGCTGCAGTTTTGGGCGTGCGTCAGCGGTTGTTCCGAACCTGGACGAATCTGCCTGGCTTCCAGAGCCACAACGACCTGGGCATGGGACACATCGAACAAGTTCGACCGTCTTCACACCACAAACAAAACCTACTACCTCTGCAAGAGGTAGACACGACACACCATTGACGCTATTTGGACAGACTGTGACGCTGGATCAAGTGGTTCAGCACAGACCTGGGCAAGCTCCAATATGCGGCTCAGTAAATTTGGCTGAAGGAATCGCTTATCGTTCGCCTAATGCCGTCATGTCAAAAAGCTATCTGGCACCGGAGGTCACTAGAAGCTCCACCCATCTCAACTTCACTAATGTCAGATCAGACCCCCATTTTGTTGTAGACAGTACACAGTCAACCCTACCATGGAGAGCGACCGCACCATCTCGACACAGACAACCAATCCATACAACCGGTTCTATCCTTTGAAATAAGGGAGAATAACAGCTATGTCTGTCATATATCATTTGAGCTGCCCGGGTCAGCATTCAGATATAGATTTTATAAACTGAATTTAGCATCTAATCCAACCGCTCATACGTAACCGTCACAAATTATATACTCAAAAACAACACCGTCCTCAGCGCACGCAAATCTAGTATCCACCCTGCACAACCAATCCCAATTTCTGCCCATGTGTATCAACATCTTCACTCAAATCCACCTCGACCGGCCCCAGAAACTCCCTCACAACACTCTCCAACACTTCCTCCCCAATATCCATATGCCTCCCCGGCACCGACCGAAACACCAAAGCCCCCTTCTCATCCAATTCGCGCAACCCAATCCAATCCTCCTTGTAGATATCCCTCTCCCTGACTCCAACCACCTCCCCGTCCGCGTCCACCTCCCCAAACCACGCCGACTCCTTGGGATGGACCACCCCATCCTCTTCAAACAAAAACATCACAAACTTCTCCAGCCGACTCAAATTCTCCTTGTAAGTCGCATTTTTGACCACGCGCTCATTGTTCACATCCGCCAGGAAATTGCTATGCTGGAGATAAAGCTCCATCTCCGATTCCTCCGTTTGCACTTGTTGCCCATCACCATCACCATCACCCCCTTCCCCAACCCGGTCGATTACCACCCCTCCCTCCAACAACTCCAAACCACCACTACCTCCTCCCCCCTCCGAAGGCCGAAAATACTGTCCCGGCACGAAACCCCCCTGCACGACCGCACTCCACCTCCCCGCATGCAACAACGCCTCCGCCCCACGACACACCCAGTCCCCCCACTTGCAGTCCTGAAACTTCGTGATGCCATTATGCTGCGAGCCAAAGGTGATGAGCGTGCGGACGGGCGGGGCGTTGCAGCGCTCGACGTAGGCGCGCAGGAACTGGCCGCCCTGGGAGAAGCCGAGCGCGTTCACGGCGGGGGCAGTGCGCAGAATGGGGTCGGCGGCGAGCTGCGCGCACACGTCAGCGACTTGCGTGGTGAGGTTGCCCAGGAAGGTGTTGCGGCGGTCGGTGGCGGCGTCGTCGCCGAGGTGGATCAGGTGGGTGTAGGTGCCTTCGTGGATGGTGGTCACCATGTCGGTGAGGGCGGTGAGGGTGGGGTTTGTGAAGGTGTCGCCGAGGCCGTGCCAGATGATTAGGGGAAGTGGGACAGTTTCTTTTGCTTTGGTGGTGGTGTTGTAGTTGTGGTTGCTGTTGGAGTGAGGGGTCGGAGAGGCGAGGGTTGTGGCTGGAAGGAGGGTTGCGAGGGCGACGGTGAGGGGGATGGGGAGGTGCATTGTTGCAATTTAAGAATTCTTCTCTCTCGCGGGAGAGAGAGAAGGGGTTTGTTGTGGAGAAGTGAGGTGTTAGAGGAGGTGAGATGGTGAGGATGGGGAGGGTGTATGCTGAGTGCACTGGGAGAAGTCCACGTTGGTTGCGACAGAGATCACTGACGTAAGGCGGTCACTAGGGGAATCCGCACTAGTTTAGTTCCGTTCCTGGGAAATCTGGGGAAGTGGAGTTTCATTATCTGGCTTTCAGAAAACTCAGAATCAGCCAGAGGCCAGGGTAAGCGAAGCACACAGTCTATGTCGAGGTTCTGCATGTCAATTTAGATATACAGCCTGAATCTATAGCTAGAGGGCTCTTCCATCCCCGCCCCCTCTAGTCCTATTAGATAAGGTATCATATGATGGTATCCTCACTTTATTATTTTATAAAAGTATCTGCGTCTGACTGAAAGACCTTACAGATCTTTACTGATACTGGTGACTATGTAGAATCACGCGTGGCTGCGCGGAAGGTCTTATTTGCCCTGGTAGCTATATGAGGTTACCTAGAGCTGTATGAAAGACCTTGTAAGGTTTTGTAGGCTCTGATAGTCCTGTGCAATTATCTACAACCAGACAAGGCCTCGCAGACCCCAGGGGCATGATCTCGCCCACGCGGAGGCATCGCAGGCCCCGAGTTTCAAGCAAACAGCAAAGGCAACGGCTAAGGCACTAATGAAGCGAAGCAGAAAAGGATAAATCGTATGATTTCAACTTATGTGTTCGGCATGGCATCAGCACCACGTGATAACCTGCAGACATATATATCAAAGCTATATCCAATACACACGGATCAATTATCGTACTAGTTAGTATACCTCTATACATCAAATGCAACATAAGAGATTGGACAATGAGAGTAACAGGTAGGTTGGTATATTCAAGCCCCGCACAAGAAAACAAACATAATGGGAAGGATTGACACAAAAGACTGGTTCGACGTCATACTAGTATGGTGGACGTCCGATTCCTCCACTGATCCCCCGTCGACCCAAGCCTCCACGGGACCTTGCGCCCCCCGGCCGTTCAGCATGAGCCGGCGAAAGAAAGCCTTCGAGAAGTTTGGTCACCTCGCGTCGCGCATCAGAGTCTGAAGCATCAGCAGCTTGCGCTGCAAGACCCGTGCTCGATCGACTCTTGTGCTTGCTGAGGGACCTGCTCTGGTGAGGCGCGGCGGACGCGGCAGCCTTCCCGTTCACAAGTGCCTGTCCACGGAGGCCCGGAGCAGTTGAAGGTCGATCAGAAGCCAACGAGCGTTGCGACTCGCTCGCGAGGTTTCCGGTAGCGGACAGAGAAGGAGGGATCGGAGGAACAGGAGGGATATCCTCGTGAGCCATGTAATACATCTGAGATCCCGAGAAGGAAGAGGTTGAAGCCTTGGGAGTCACCATGTTGTTGCCGTCCAAGCCGTCTCGGGATTGATGACGCACTGAGATGCCGTCTCCGTCGAATTCCGACAAAGAGTAGCCGCTCACCATGCTTTCGCTGCTTGATGAGACAACGCTGCGGTTCGAAGCATCAAGTCGACCTCGAAGTGGGCTGAGGCGCCGGAGCTTCTCTTGATCGTTGATAGATAGCACGCGTCTCAATTCATTGACATGGACAGGAGAATCCCGGCTAGAGCTGGGAACCCGGACTCGAGCTGACTCCGGCACGCTCATCCGGCGAGAATTGTGCAGACCAGCTGCAGCTTGTTGGGCGGATTTAGGGGATGTGGTAGAATGAGAGCTGCCCTCCGTCGGGTTCGCATTAAAATGGTTGCGGATCGCCAAGGTGCCGGCTCTCGATCCATTGATGGACATACTTTCGGCCTTCTCTCGCTCTGCAGCGGCCAGGCACGATTCGCGAGTCCAAGCAGACAAGATCTGCTCGCGGACTATAGAAGGAAGAAGCTGATTCGGCAATGGGCTTGACGAGCCTGGTGCTTGTCCTAGCGCCGGTACGGTCAAGGAACGGATTGGAGATGAAGGGGGGCTGCTGGTCGCATTCTGCAGCGAGAAGTTGTACGAGTCCTCGATACATCGAACAAGCTCCTCGACACCTTCGAAAGGTGTGAGTTGACTTTCATCCCCGGCGTAGTTGCCGGCACCGTCATTGCTTTGTAATATATTCTCCAGACTTGCTGGAGGTAGACGAATGTGATCAACCCAGAGCCCAAGCTTTTGCCTCTTGATTATCTCGTTCTGTATGTCCCTGCCCACTGCGGTGGACTCCAGATTGAATTTCTCCGATACAGCCCACAAATAGCCATACACTAGGCTCCCAATGTTCACCTTTGCAGCAGCTGGCTGCAGCGACTCAACAGTTTCCACATCCTCTTGGAGCTTCAAAACCATAGGAAGACCGAAACGAACTGCGTTCACTCCTAGGCTGTCAACAAGACTCGCCAGCAGAAGATGCAATAGCCGCACCTCAGGAATTTGAGCAAAACACTCATGCGCGATGTCATAGATGGTTAAATGTAGCAGCCGAAGGAAGTTGTGTTCGGCTACCAACAGCGCCTTCTCTCTCTGACTCACGCCCATAGAAGCGGTCCGTTTGCCAGGTTTCTCGATATCAGACATCTCTCGTCTCAGAGTGTGGGTCTTGCTGGAGTTGTCGTTGACCAGCAGATCTTGCTGATTGGTTTCCAGTTTCAGCCAAGTCAGAAACGCGTCTGCGTACGCATAACGAACCTCATTCTGAGACTCTTGCAACAACCATTGTGTCCCCTCCCAAACATGAATACCCACCTTGTTCCTTGTCTCGGCACCGGCTGCGATCGCGGCCTTCTTGGAATTCGCCACCAGTAGAATGTTTTTAATAGCCCTGGAAGCCGTAATTTTGGCATAGTCTGATGAGAAAGCAACAGAGTTGCTATCAGAGACACTAGGCGCCTGGGAGCGTGCCCCGGGGGAATCCGTCTGGGACGGTTTTGACGGCTGGTCATGGAATGTTGAAGGTTTGACGCGAGTCAAAATTGCTCTGATCATGTCGACAACCTGGTCGCCGTAGTAGATATGAGTAGTGAGGTCTCCAATGCACTTTTGAAGAAGGGAGAGCTGCTCCCTCCTTTTAGCGGACGGTTCCGCCACTTTCTCACCCCCCGGAGAAGATAGCAGGTATGACATGTGTTGAAGAAGACCCAACAGAATATCAATCACGCTAAGACCGATCATATTGACCGGCGATTTGAGCAGCCAGTCAATCATGAAGATCACAATGAAAGGCTCGTCCAGCGTTTCATCGTTAAGCTTCATGTCTAGCAACATCTGCATCATAGTCACTGGGATGATAAAACGGACTTGGACAGGACACCATTTGGCAATGAATTCCATCAACGAGGTGGCCCAGTTCTCCTGGGTCTCCAATGTGAAGCTCGTGTCGCCGGTCGGGATCTTCCGAAGAATAAACTCGAGCGCAAGCTGTGTAGTGACCCGAATCTGGCCGCGACTGCTGCCGCTAACGACGATCCGCTCGAGGCAGCGGAGTGCGAGGACTCGCACATCCAACTCCACCTTTCTGTCTGCATCGGCTGCAGATTGCGATGCCAGCACCGGATCGCCGTTGGCTGTGTCGACTGTCTGCACGGTTGCGGTGCTGACGCGCCGTTTGTGAGCGAGCTCGGTGTCCGCCTTCTCCGACTCCTGAAGCAGGTGTTCAAGCGAGGACACCAAGTCTTCATCTCCTTTGCAAAGGTTTTCGAGGACGATAGGTAACGTAATCCGTAGCGATTCGCCGCCATCCACAGCCAAGCCTGTCTCGGAGCCAACTACGCCCTTGATCGCGCGTAATCCCGCATTCCTCCACCGTAGGGCCATGGGTACGCTCGGAGCGAGTGCGTTGGCCTGAGAAGACGCCTCAATCTCCGCAAAGCTTGCATATGTGCGCACCACCTCGCGATATTGCGTTGCAAAATCGGGTTCGGCGGCCAGGGCTGCCGCGTCCTGGTGGCTGCAGAAGGTTTCAAAAGTAGTGATGGAGTCCTCAACTATTGTGATGTCATGAGAGCGCAGGACGGTTTCGAGGATGGTTAGAACGGATCGGGCGTAAATAGGGAGGTCTCTGGGGACTTTCTCGATAAGAGCAGTAAGAATTTGAAGCGTGACCTGCACATTGCTACAGAAGGTCAGTCCATCCGTCGCCGGTATTGCGAAATCATATCCTCCTCCAAGCCCAATGTCACTCTTGTGCTCGAACTCACCCTGTTTTGCGACGCCAGACATCGCGAGCGGCTCGTTTCTCCAGGAAAGCGCCGACCTTAGTCAGCTTGCTGCGGCGAGTGCTAGCATAGTAGAGCAGATACGACAGTTCACTAGGATTGGGTTTGACCTCCTGCACTCCTTTTTGATATTGGGGATAGCACTTCAACACCAGGACCTGGTGTTTTGGTCGGCAGGACTGGCGAACGCTCTCCATGAGTGGTTAAACCAGCGACGGCTACCCAAATATCGGTATATGGCGGGTCTAACAAGAGGCAGAGAATGCGCGAGATGCCGTCGCAGTGGCGAGCTATAAAACCAGGGGAATATGAAGGCTGGTTAAACTAGCGAAGGAGTGCTTGTCTATGAATCGACCATCCAGGAGAAGAGCGGAAATTGCGTTAGTGAGAGCCTTGATCGGGTAACGGTCAACGTGGACCTTCGAAGGGTTGAGTGAGGAAGATCGGGAAAGACGAGGATCACAAGCGGGGTAACGCCGACGACATGAGAGAAGGCTAGAAATACACAATTAACAGAAAGCGACACTGAGCAGCGGGCTTAACAAGAGCCAGAGCTGGCAGATTGGGCTGGCAGGAAAAGCGAGGCAGAAGCGAAAATCCGCCCCTCGGATAGCCTTGGGACAGCGATAAGTTCAAGGTTGACGCGGCGGCGGCGGCGGCGGGCGGCGGAGTTGATTGAGTCCACACCAGAGAAGAACTTCGGGAAAATCAGGTCCGTCCGCCTCTGAGTGACTGATAAAATTATGTCAATTATGCATGCGTTGACCATCTCACAGGCAGAAGGTACGTCCTAGACTACAGAGTAAAAGACATCATGGATGGTTGGACTGATTGATAAATGCAGTAGTTACTAGGTACTAATTTGGGCATATCATCGCATTAATTCGATGATTTAATTAGTGCATCTTTTCTTTTCCCCTGCAACCCAACCCCACGCCAACGTCATCGACTCATGGACATCTTCCCAGGCACCCGTTCCCCAGCCTCTGGTTCAATAACGGAGATCCAAGATAGTTCAAATCGTGCCCTTTATTCTTGCGAGCAATTTCTGACGCGCAGGTGGCCTGGCAATAAGACACCCGACCGACATCGGCTCGCGTAGAACCGAGTACGGCATTTCCCGAGCAGATCTCCATCGTCTCAAATCTGAGACCTTGATCTGGATATCAAAATGTGGAGTAGCTTCGCACCTGCTGATTTTCTTCTGACAGACAGAGCTCCCAGAAAATCAGCCAGGCTCAGGAGCGAGCGACCCAGAGAAACGCCCTGGGCAGTGCGACCGAGATGTCCCTAGCCTCGGTCACACATGACATCCCAGCGCCCGTGGTTCGCAATCTGCCTTCTCTTGCTTCCCAGGGTAGTTTCAACAGGCTACTAGTCCCATACGATTTCACCAGGAAAGGCAGCATCCTCCTATCGTTCCATGATTCCCTTGCTCACAATGATCTTTCGGAGTACTACCGTACCCCCTTGCCAACCCTCATACTTCACCCTAGCTCCCCTGTCCGTCCTGCTGCTCCTGTTGTTCCTGCTGCCCTTCTCCCTGCGGTCGATCGCCTTCTACCACTGGCTCCTGCGGTCCATTGCTCGCCAATGCCTCGACAACATCCGGTCGGATGACATCTCGCCGGAAGTTCTCCTCCTGCAATAACCGCAGAGCTCGGAGCGTAGCACCTGGATGTGTCAGGAACTGCGCATATTCGGGGGTCTTCCAGTAGGAGTAAAGGTAGGCGAGGTAGGCAGCGAAGGCAACGGCGTCGGGGTCGCACGCGGTGGTTTTGTCGGTTGGATCAGTCTCGTCGGTAAGTTGGCTGATCCCCATGAGATTGGGGTAGTTGACCGCCAGGTGGGAGAGGTAGTATGGGTTGGCGAGGGATGAGACGAACTCGAGCTCGATAGTGAAGCGTGGGTTAGTGAGCGTTGGGGGAGGTGGCTGTTGCGGGTTCGTTGAATCGGTGGGCGGTTGTTGTTGTTGTTGCTCGGCCATGGCTGGAGAAGAAGAATAGAGAAAACTGCACAGGTTTGAGGGAAGCGAAGAGAATTCGCAGGTTAAAATTAATGAACGGAAGACTGCAGGGACGAGGAGATCAATAGCTGTGTAGGTATCTGTGGTGTGAGAAGAGGCGGCACGGAAGGTAAAAAGAAACGCCAAGCATCCGTGGTCTTTGGCAGACCCACTTTCCCCCACTCCAAAACTGGGCGAGCTGTCAATCTGATGTAGATTCAGCCACTGTCCAATCTATTCCAGGGGACTGCGTCTTCATCAATCCGGAGTGTCGCTCTGACTAGTCGTTTCGAATCTCTGACATTGGGGGGAGCTGGTATTTGGAGAAGTTATCCGATGCTTGAGATGATCTAGAGCTCCGGCCTAGCCTCCTAATCTGGCTTGATCGAGCCACTTTCGATGCGATAAGTCTGCGCCCAGATCCGAACGTTTACCGCAAATTCATTGATCACATTCTGACACTTTATTGTTTTAGAGCAGCTGGTGTAGGCTCGCGTTCAAACCCACGCGGCCTAGTTATAGTTATCACAAACTATTATGAGCTACTTATTTCCTCAGCCGGAGCGCGCGTCTTAGGCCCTCCGGCAACGTCAGAAGCTTGACGCCTAAGCGTCGTCTGTCACGTAGCCCAGACACACATAATACATTGGGCTAATATTGTTGGCGATAGCAGGCTTTGTGGCTACCTCGAGATCGAGATCAAACAGATCACGCTATTGTCCGCCAATGACTAAACAAGTTGGGCCGACTTAAAAAGCTTCCAGCTGTCCATGAACACTGGTTGAAGACCCTCTCAAGTCGTCAAAGCTATCAGAATACACGCCTCTCACTGCTCCGAGTATGTTTCACTTTATCGCCCTCACCTCCGCAATCGTGATACTGAGATATCCGAGTTGGCTGCAATTGAGACCATTCGTGGAAAAACATGGTTTGATAGAGGCTTTAATCCGGGTGCCTTCAACAGCCTTGATGGTTACTGTCAGAGCATTCTGGGTCATCATTCATTCTGATCAAGCTTGTCTCTATGTTGACCCGACTGGGAGAATGGATGAGATGTTGTGACGCAATCATCGCCGCGTTCCTGGCGTTGACGCACACGAAAGGGGAATGAGAGTACTAAGAGCTTGTGTCAACATCAGCATACGGTATTCCTGGCTACTTTCGGAAGCCTGAAAAGCAAGCAACCAGATTCTTCATTACATCATTGTGTCTGTCTGCACCCGGCGTGCGGACTGCCCAGGGGACCAGGACAATTAGTCTAGAACATACTATGCAATGGCTCAATGACACTTTCAGCTCGATTGTGAACCTGTTTGGTGTATTACAGGCTCCTTTGACGGCACGTTTTAGTTACCATTTGACTTGATTCTGTACCCAAACCCGACTGAAAAGCCCTTGTTTGACTGCAGTATGGCGTTGGCCCACAGAAAAAGTCGAGGGATCTGTGCTTGACAATCTTTCTGAGAGCTGATCCAGTCATTTCAAGCAAACACCATGTGTTTCTGGTCTTGATCCTCGAATTCGACCGGTCGCTTATCTCCGACCCATCCTGTTCAATCACTCGCATCCGCAGACAAGAGATCGCTCGAAAGCCGGAGACCGGTTCGATGCACAGTACTTTTATTCTTCGGGACTACAGCAGGAACGAATCTGAAACGGGTTTTCTAACAAAATGCATCAAGTAGCCGTTGCTTCCGTTGCTTCCGTTGCTTCCGTGTAGTACGAGTATGGAGCCCACCATTCCGGTGCGCTCTTCCCAAGTGAACCCTGTACGGCGTACAGATGGAGACAAATGGGAAAAAGCAAACATGGCAGTGGAAAAAAAGAAAAGGAAGAAAACCGAATAATGAGAGCAGCAAAAAGCAAAGAAAGCCAAAGCATGCACGTCAGCAAGATAACAGCCACTAAGAATAGTGGAGCTGAAAAGAAAAGCCGGGGGAAATCTGGGTGAGGTGAGAACCATGACGATATCCTCCCCCCGGTTCTGGCGCTATGTGCTATGTCATATTCTTACCATGGATCCTTCGAGGAAACGTCACATACTGCAAAACCGTGCCTTTAGACGCGGAATACGGTCGAATTATCTGTCTTCCAAATCAGGAATAAGAATTCCAAGACGAAAGCCACCGTGTGGGTGGCTGCAGTTCCTCCTTCCGTAGAAGATCAGGAACATTCCAAGGCTTGGGTGTACCTGTGCCTGTGCCTGTGCCTGTGCCTGTGCCTGTGCCTGAACGCCCGGGGAGTTTCTGGACAGGCGCGCTCGCGCAGACGGGAACACGCGTGCAATATACCACACCCGATCCTGTTTCGGTCCGCACAGTTCGTGCAGGGGAGATCGGCTGGATGACTTGGCAGATCCAGGGCCACCCACCACACTATCACCTTTAACTAACTAGTTAACTAGTTAACGTTAACTTGACTCACTTCCCAAGGACTTATGTAAGGATGAGAGGAGAGGAGAGGGAAGGGTTTAGAAGGTGAGTCATTCAACGTGTTTCTTAATTGATTGACACTGAAAAGGAAAGTGGTAGGCAACAGCCAGCTAGGGGCAAGATCAACATCGTCATCTGTCTATCAATCTGTCGATCGGGATTGACCGAGGGCAGACAGGCATCAAGAAGTGCACATTCCAGAGGGCAAAAGTTGACGCAATGACAAATGTAGCAGCGGAGCGAAGCTCCCACTAGTTGTTGGCCTGCAGGATCCGAGGTGGCTTCTCATGTGGTCTGGGGTTGACTAAATTCACCCGTGGAGCAGGAGAACGTTCTTCTCCTTCAGTTGCTCCGTAGTAGCCCCTGAAAGGGTGGGAGGAGAATTCATCCAGGAAGTTCACATGAAAGGGTAGAGAGAGCTTCATGCATCTATAGTGCCATAATACATTGATATACAATACACTTAGTTAGACACTGTCTCAATCTACAACTATCTACGGAGTAGTACTTCTTTTTACCATCCACCTGCTGCCACACTCGTGCTTCTCTTTCTTGCTCATCTTTCTTCTGCTCTGACCCATACAACTACCGTAGGTACCGACACATACTAACCGGAACACCTCCCCCCTTTTTGCATGTCAATAAAATCCCCCAATAACCGACGCCAAAAGCTTCTCGCCATCACTCCACTTTATTTTCTGCCTTCTTTCCGGTCTCCTCCACCCCCTTCCCTTTCAGTCGATGAACCGTGGTTGATCGCATCGGGACCGAAACTATAGTTAGCCTTGACTCTGGATGATTGCCCAGGGGCAAAGACAGCGAGCATAGGTAGTCATCCTGTACTCCGTAATAGCACCGCCGCCGCAGCAATTCCTTCCCTTCCGTCCGCTTCCTTCTCTTCGTCTTTCCACCATCTCTCGCTCTTCTTCTTCTTCCTCTTATTCTCTTCAACGCTTCTTCTTCATCTTCATTCTATTTCTCTCCCTTCTTCATTATCCCTCCTCTGCTTCCCACTGCACCTGTTGTCATCTCCTATTCCCTTCCAACCCCTCTCTCTCCTCTGTCTCTCCTCCTCCCCCCCCTCCATCATCCCCTCCTCCCCCCACCTTATCCGGGAATTAAATAATTCCACGCTGGACACAATTTAACCACCGAACATCTTCGTCCACCAACCACCTCTTCTGAACTAAAAAAAAAAAAAAAAAAGAAGAAGAAAGAGCAGCCACTGGCAAGAACCAGGCAAATCATTTCTGCTTCTAAAACAAAAATACTAAAAGATTAAGGATTCTCACATTCCTCGGTGTGCAAAGGTCTTTTTTAACCTCAACTTGACCGGACACACAGACGACGTCTTTGCTCCTTTAATTCCCTTCTCCAATAATTCCCTCCTAAATCGTCGGCCGCGGCATCGCTGTTTCAGCAGCGCCTAAGCTTACTCTAGTTTGGCGTTGGTCCTCGCATTCTCGACCCTCCCCTGATCATCCACTTACCTCCTTATCTTTGGATGTCTCTTTCTTCATTCCCCAATCAACTTCCCTGACTGTTCCTACTCTCGACATCGCATTGCGTGGACTTGCAACCATGAATGCCTCTCAGTATTCCTCGACCTATTCCTACCCACCCGGCGTGACGCTGGGCCCGTCAGGTGCGTCATCTTGCTGATTTCCGGTTTCTCATTCTCTGCATTCGTGCTGTCTCACGCTTGTTCGTCATCGCTCTGCTGTTTCACCTTTGGCGGGGCCTTCCCCTGGGCCAGAATGTGGCTGTCTTGTCAAGAATGTGGTCTATTTCAGACCGTGCTTCCCCCAGTCGCCCTTCCATTTCTTTGAGACTAACTTTATCTCTCCTTCGCAGCCCCCGTTGTACAACACGCACATGTGAATTCCTTGGGCTCCAACAATCCCTTCAGAAACCGGGCGCTGTCTCCCTCTGCCAGTTCTTTCTCTTCCGCCGGTCGACCTGAGCGACCGACCTCAACCAACCCCTTTGACGACCTCGATTCGCCACATTCTGCCCCCATCGGAGGAACCATGATCTCGCCGGTCGGAAGTCAGGATATGACTTCAAATACACGCGATCTCTTCGTACGTATCTCTTCGTTCTCCTGCTGCGGCCCATGCGAAGACTAACCAGGGCTGGCGTCGCTGGGTAGGAAAACCTTTCTATCAACCCTGCCTCGCAACCTGCCGGCTACAGACCGGCCCCTCCTCGTCCGGAGAAGCCTGCACCAAACGGACAATCCAGTGAACGAAGGGATCGTCCGGAACGCCGCGCACGCGATCCACTAGATATCTTTGCTGATCCTCCGCGAAATGGCAGCGGTCTCCGTCCAAGTGCCCGAGACAGACCACGCCCCCGTCGCAATTCCGAGTCGTCAATCATGGAGCGCCCCAAGCAGCACATTGATACTGAAGAAGAAAGAAAACGCCGGGAGCGCAGACGGAGAGAGCGAGAGGCTCGTGGTAAGGACGGCAAAGAGGGAAAAGCTCGTTCCTCATCATCGAAAAAGAACAACTACCAGCTCGACATTATCGACAAGCTGGATGTGACTAGCATTTACGGAACAGGAAGTAAGTGGGAAAGCTCGTCGTATGATGACAAGGTTACTTATACTGATACTGTGCAGTGTTCCACCACGATGGACCGTTTGATGCTTGCAACCCCAATCGTAACCGTAAGGGCGTGCGCACGGCGCCCATGCAGGCTTTCCCTAAAGATTCGGCCAACATGGCATTGGGAGGCTCTGGGCCAAACAACCTTGACATCGATCACAATTTGTTCCACGGAAGGACTGAAGAAGGCTTCAACGACTTCGCTGCCGGTGCGAAAAGCGAGCCGCGCAAGACTGATAACCCACCGAACTTTGACCCCACGGCCCGTATCGAACCTGTCCATGGGTCGGAGACTCTGGGATTGGGAACCAGCACGTTTTTGGACGGGGCCCCTGTGAGTCAAGCGGAGCTTCAGCGCCGGGGAACTACATCGGAAGGTTCCGGCGGCGGTATGAACGGTGGTGGTCTGCAGCGCAAGAAGAGTTTGGCACAGAGACTGCGGGGCATCAACCGCGCTCCCAGTGGCCGCTCTCCGGAAGCTATGTACACTCCGTCTATCCCTGCGGGCCACATTGGTAACATCAAGGCCAATGAGAAGAATCCTTTCTTCCAAGATTACGATGACGCGTGGGAGAAGAAAGGCGCTCAGATCACGTCCTCTGAGGAGGCACGGGAACCTCTACCTGGACGGGCACGTTCGTCGAGCAGCCCCAAGCAGAACACAGGGTTGGAGCGAAGATTCACCAATGAACGATCCTATGGGGGCTATGATGAGAACAAGAGTAGTGGTGGTGGTGGCGGTGGTGGTGGCTTCATCAACCGCATGAAGAGTCTGCGGAAGCCCCGGCCAGAGCGGCGTATCACCAACGAATGAGCAAGGAAGTGAATTGAATATGTAATCCGGTCCAATCCTGTACCCTGTATGGCCGGAGTAGTCAGTCATCGGTGGAGATCGCGCTGGCAGCACATCCATCTTATTATCCCCTCAGGCGCAGAGACTGTTTTCACAGGAAATGACAGCATGCAAGCGTTGATGAAATGGAACCATTAAGGCAACATGAGATCCAATAGACCGACGTAAATGGAGAAAATCGCGGGGGACTTCGAGCGCGACTTGCTCCATCAAACCCCATGAGCGACATGGGGAACCACGGCGGCTTGGCCGTGTTGAAGTTGGACATGATGAAGGCGTTGCGATTCCTGGGTGGAGACTGTATGTAGTGCATCGCTTGGTCGAAAGGGCTAACGCAGTTGATCCTCCCTGTCTGGGAGAATTGCACTTAGTGCTAGGCCAGCAATAGACAGGCATTCTCTTGTCTCCTGTTCTCTTCGAAATTGTCTTTTTTTTTAAAAAAAAAAAAAATGTTATTCTCTTGTCCTCTCCTCTAGCGAATGTTATCTTATCGAGTGCTTCTGAGTACATTTCTCAAACGAAAATGCCGTTTGGTTCAATCATGCTACTGAAATTGCTTCATTGCGCTTTTTGTTTTGGGTGGGTATATAGGTATTGAAATAAGCATTGATTATCACAAGAATGGCTTTCAGGTACTATCTCAAAATCACCGACTACACGGACTGGTCGCTCTCTGTCACGAGTCTGTTGTGCCCATCCCAACAATCATCCTCCTCCCCTCTCCACCTTCAATCAAAAGATAGATACTGAGTATATGTGAGAGTAAACGCTCTTCGCAACATCAAACATAGAAAAGACGGCGGAGAAGATGACTTCCTCATTGAGCGAAGCGTCAAATATACAGAGTATCCTCTCGAGCCGGGAGGACATTGCAGCCATTAGTCGAATGCAATCCTGATGGCATGATTCAGATTCTAGGTTTCTTTTAAAGAACCGGTAAGAAAGTACTCAAAGGAAGCAAAAGCCTGAAATAGATCAATGTCGCAATAAGTAATGTAGGTATATGTTTGCTCTCTTGCATCATCGTCGTTGTCATCAACATCAACCCCCACATGCCACCAGAAATTACCCGGAAGTAAAAATTAGATCACAATGCAATAAGGTAGAAGAGGATCCCATGGTCCGAACCCAAACACCCCTCGCCCGCACACCGGTAATCAACACAATGCATAAAGTTTTGTTTCCCAGAACCATCAAAAACCAAAATCAATGTCATCCCGTTACGTAAATAGCTTGAAAAGATAAACCCGAAGAAGAATCACCATCGAAAGCAGCTCTCTACCGAGGCCGGACAGACGACTGTCTTGGGCGGAATGGATCCGGCGCCGGGATACCTGCCTTACGACGCGATTGGGGCTTGGGTCGGGATAGGGTGTATCTGGATTTGTGTTAGCGAGATGTTTCTCCCCAAGGGCGGGAGCAGGGGTGAGCATACTTCGCGAAAGCACGAGACAGGGCCTTCTTGCAGCTGACTTTTTGACTGCCAATGAACGAGTCGACCGTGACAGCGATGGCGCGGTCGATGTCCTGCGCGGAACAGTATTCGGAGAGACGCATTTTGCAGAAGGATTCGGCGATACGCATGATGGCTTCGAGGTGACGGACCTGTTGATTGAGGGTTAGTGAATGTGGGGGATGAGATGCGATGGAAGGAACAGGGAACGCTTACGGTAATAGGGTAGGCGCCAGTGGCCAGGGATTCGCGGCGCATGTCGGCGAATAGACGCGCAATCTTGTCCTGATCGATCTGGTAGAGTTTGGGATGGCACCGTTCCCGGGCATACAAGATGTATTTGCGGAGCAATTCCTGAGGGATTTCACCCTCCTTCTCCTCTTCGCGCTTGCGGGCCTCGGCTTCGCGCGCGGCAACCTCCTCTTGCGTGGGCGGGAGGCGTTCCTTGGTCCGTTTGTCGATGCGGTAGCCCTCCTCGTCGATGGGGTGGCCATCCGCGTTGACCAGGTGGCCGTCCTCGTCGTGCAGAGGCCGCGACGGGTTGGCGCGCGAGTGCGACTCCACAACGAAGTTGGCCAGGCGCTCATCCTCGGTGGGATCGACCAGGTCGCGAACAACACACAGGATGTCGAAACGTGACAGGATGGGTTCAGTTAGCTGGACATTGTGCGAGAACGGAGCAGAGCTGTTGTAGCGGCCGCCGATCGGGTTGGCTGCGGCCACGACAGCGCAACGAGCTTGCAGGGTCGTGACGATACCGGCCTTGGAGATGGAAATTGTCTGTTGTTCCATGGCTTCGTGAATCGAGGTTCGGTCCTGGTCGTTCATCTTGTCGAACTCGTCGATCAGGCAGGTACCACGGTCCGCCAGCACGAGAGCACCTCCTTCCAGCGTCCATTCGCTGGTCAAAGGGTCCCGCCGGACACTTGCCGTCAAACCAACAGCACTGGCACCCTGACCCGTGGCGAAAACAGCCCTGTGTGCGGTCTTCTCAGTGTACTTCAGGAACTGAGATTTGGCAGTACCGGGGTCACCGAGAAGAAGCACGTTGATGTCTCCACGAATGGACATCTTGCCTTGGGCCTGCTTGCTGACACCACCGAAGAGGGACAGCGCGATGGCGGTCTTGACGTCCAGGTGACCGTAGATACTAGGGGCAATCGAGCGGACAATCTTGTCGACAATCTCGGGATCTCTGGACAGGGCACGAATTTCGCGTTCATCTTCTTCCGTCAAGTGGAAACCAGCCAGCTGGTCGTGGGACTTGACGATGTGATTGGCCTCAATGATCGTGGCGAAAACAGGGAACCCATTTTTGTTGTTGAGCTGCGCATCATAGCTGTTACGGTAGATACCAGTAACCTCAATCTCGTCACCAGGCTTGGCGGAGTCGATGAGGTCAGCAAGAAGAATGATCTCACGCTGGCGGGGGAGACGACCGGCGGGAACAGAGCCCGGGGATTCCTGGAGGGTCAACTTCTGGTAATTGCGGTACACTGTCTTCTCAGAGTGGACAGTGAACGGGCCTTTGGCTTGACAGTTCTGACAGAAAGTGATCTTGACCTCGGCACTGGCTTCCTGTTGAAAGGGACCGAGGTGCGTCTTACACTTGCCGCAGATGAACATAACATACTTCATCTGAGGAAAGACACCAGTACGGCGAGTGACGACACCACTAACACGCAGAAGACAGTTAAGATGCGACTGACGGAGCTGGCGGAGAGTATAGATGACGGGGAGGTCCGTGATGCGGACATGGATTTCGTTGTGGATGTCATGATATTGCGGGTAGTGGAACAGAGTCACGTCCAGAGCGACTTGATCGAAGACTTTCAGAACCTCGGTAGGTTCGTTGGCAAGGAAATATGCAAGAGCAGCCTTGGTGTTAAGAAGATGCACATAGCTGACCTCGAGCGATGCGGAGTTGACCTCACCAAGGGTCTTGATTTTGTTACCGTAAACCGAACTACCAGTGGGATCGGTGAATTCCGTGAGGAAAGCCTTGAATTCGCGATAAATGGAGCGCAGGACTTGAGGCTGAAGAACCCAGTCTGTGATGTTAGGGGCCTTGACATCCGTCAACTCCTCCAGGGAGAGCTCTTGCATGATATCATCGCCCATCTCAATGTCCTCTCGATCCTCATCGTAGTGGTGTCTGCGCCGACGGGGCTGGCGAGTAAGATCAACTTCAGCGTCTTCATCATCCTGCAAGAAGGCAGCAGGCATGCGGCGGCGGCGCTCTAGTTCTCGGTCTCTCTTGTTCAAACGAGCTTCCAGCTGACGACGAGTGGCCATATCAAGCTCTTCATGCTCGCCTTCATCGTCAATGTATGTCCCGCGATACTGTTGGTCTTGTGTGCTTCTGTAATCTTTCTCAAAGGTGTCACCGAACAGATCGATGCCGTCTTCGTCTTCAGCCATCTCATCAAGATCATCGATGTCGCCCAGCATGTCAGCCTCTTCATCTCCCTCGTTGTCATCCTCGTCGAAAGGGAGCATAGGAGGGGACGAAGGGGGAGCTGTTCGATGAGTTAGCATGCACACGCAGCTCGCCTCTTGCAACTCGAACATATGAGACTTACGACTAGAGGGAGGGGCGACTGATGAAGTCTCATCATCGGGTTCTCTGTCTCTCTTGCGTCGACCGAGGTTTCCCAGGCCGCGATTTGCGGCGGAATGGCTTGGGCGTAGTGGTGAACTGAAGGGGCATGATTATTAGTGGGGGGAGGATTGGGATTGAAGAAGCAGATGTGGCTTCTAGAGTGACCACTGGAGTACGAATGGGATGAGCATACCTCATTGTGTCTGGTGTTTCTGACCGGCAGTAATGGGGGTTGGGATTGAAGGGATTACCGCACGGAGGTTGTGGTGCGGGCGCCTTTTTTTCATGCGGTTGGCAGGGGAATCGACTGCTCCTTCGGGGGCGGTGTTGATGCGCGGCAGAAACGCGTTGGAGCGCGCCTCCCACGCGTTCGGAAAAACCAATTAAACCCCAATTGGGAAAAACGGGAAAGCGAAGCGCCACCCAGACCAGCGTTAGGTATTGGTTTTAAATATTTACATTGGCTAAGTACGTGCTTGAAGTATTATGGATACTCGGCCCCGATAAATAAGACAGGCTAGAACACTGTGGCATAATCAATTCTGCTTTTCTGGAGTCGAGTGGAAAGGTGGATATGTTGCTACACGGCCACTTCATAGTCACCGGAATCACACAGTACCTATCAACCACAAGAGCTCCAAGTACTATTGTAGAGATAAGATAGTCTAGCTTTTCGTCAAGGAAACCTCAACTAAAACGTAGGCATGAGCTCCAAGTGACTGTCTCCGAGTAAGCGTCATCGAAGTGCAGAGGTGATGCCATGCAAACGAGACAAACACTCGAGTGTCTCGCGCCGCCGCGCTTCGAGCTTCCTGCAAGCTGAGCACAGCGATAACACACCATCTATTCTATCCATAACTTCCTATGACAATTTGAATCTTGTATTATCTCGAAATATAAAGTAATTCTGCGACACTATACACCGCAGCATGGCCGACTCAGAGGCACCCCATCCACCCCCCACTTCCGGGCCATCGAAAGACACACAGGATGCTGTGAAGCGTCGCGAAAGCTTCAGCTCTCAAAACTCGCAAACTGCCAGACAGTGAGCTATCCCCTTGCTTCTTCGCAAGGCGCACTCTGCATCGCGACAACGATCACCCACATTCAAAATACTGATAGTTTCTTTTCATAGATTCATTGAGTCGCAAATTCGCCTCGAGGCTGATGCGCGTGAGATCCTTCCCTACGTGAGCTTGTCCTTATCCCAGAACACCAACTACGGACCGGTTTCCGTATTTCCAAACCGCTCACTGACAGGTGCAGTCTTTTGACTCTTGCACCAAGGCTCTAGGTCCTCTACGACAATCTCTCTTCGCCTGCCTAACTTGCAACCCTGCACCCTCCGACGTTCAAACCTCATACACCCCAGCCGCCGTATGCTACTCCTGCTCCATCGCCTGCCACGGCGAGCACACCCTCGTTGAGTTGTTCGCCAAGCGCAACTTCGTCTGCGACTGCGGCACGACGCGGATGCCATCGACCGCGCCCTGCACGCTGCGCAACGATCCCGAGACCGGCGCCAAGGGCGTTCACTCCGAAGAGCCCCATGCGGGCAACCACTATAACCACAACTTCCAAAACAAGTTCTGCGGCTGCGGCGAAGACTATGACCCCAATCAGGAGCGCGGGACGATGTTCCAGTGTCTGGGTGTAGGCACCGTTGAAACGGGCGGTTGCGGCGAGGACTGGTGGCACCCGGAGTGCTTGATCGGCCTGTCGCGCGACTGGTACAAGAATGCAAAGCAAGAGGAGAAAGAAAAGCAGAAGGATGTGAAACCAGAGGACGGAATCCCAGCGGTGAGCGGTGTCAACGAGAACGACGATGATGATGACGACGAGACGCCGCTCCCACCTGGTTTCCCGGAGGAGGGTGACTTCGACGTGCTCATCTGCTACAAATGCGTTAACTCCAATCCTTGGCTAAAGCGTTACGCGGGCACACCGGGGTTCCTTCCCCCTGTCTACAAAGAAGGTGGACTTGCCAAACCATCTGTCGTCTCCGAGAAACCCAATCCTGCCGAAACAGCAGACAAAAAGCCGACAATCACAGAGCCAAGCGGTCCAGTCACCACCGACGCGCAGACCGAACCCGCCAACCCCAAGAAGCGCAAAGCTGATGACCCCGACAACAGTGCCCAGGCAGAGACCACCGCCGAACCCGCCACAAAGCGCATCAAGGATGAGGAGGAGGGGGCTTCCGAACCCACCACAACCACGACTAACGCCGACACCAACCCAGCACCACCAATTCAACTACAAGAGGAAACTACTCCCCCCAGCACCTTGAAGCCAAAACACGCCTCCCTCCCCACCAACACTCCAACCCAACCCTTCTCCCTCTTCCTCCACGAATCCTTCCGCGACCACCTTTGCCGCTGCCCAGAGTGCTACCCCCACCTCGCCGCGCACCCGCAACTCCGCGAGGAGGAGGAGACCTATGAACCGCCCGTCTCCGAGGACGGGGAGGGTGGCGGCGACGGCGCCCGCAGTACCGGTACGGGCAGCCTGCTCGACCGCGGCGAGGCAGCCCTCAGCAACATCGACCGCGTGCGCGCTATCGAGGGCGCCATGGTCTACAACCACCTACGCGACAAGGTGAAGGAGTTCCTAAAGCCGTTCGCCGAGAGCGGCACCGCCGTCAGCGCAGAGGACATCAAGGCCTACTTCGAGAAGCTGCGCGGTGACGATCAGCATATTCGGGAGGCGGCGGCTGCCACGGGGGGGCAGGCTTCTGACAGGTCTGGGGGTCAGGGTGATCATGATGGTGGGGATGGTCGGAGGGAGCAGAACGGTATGTATTTTCTCCTCGTATTCTGCATTGATAAGGATGTGTGGGGTGGTTGCTAATCTGGGTTTTCGGGATAGGTTATTGAGTCGCTGTTTGCTCCTCGTTGATTTGGGTTGGGTGGCTTGCAAGGAAAAGGTACGGATTTAGCGAGTCTGATAATTTACTGGATGGTTGGGATATGCACCTAGGACTTATGGGAAAGGGAATTGATACTAAATATTGGATGGAAAGGCGCGATGGATCTATCACTTAAATGAGGCAGATAATCTGAATTGGCTACTGAGCGCATGGAAATAAGGTATGAATGGTATATGTAACGGAACGTGTGCCCGGCCGCCACGACGTAATTGATTGTCAAGATGGTTTATACTACTCTTCGATCTTGAGGCCTTGGTTGGGGTCGTTCAACGTGCATATGCTATTCTTTATCTAAAATGTTGCTGTGATATATGCATAGATTCTCAAGCACAGACCGAAACGCCGTCCCACATGCAGAGAGTATGTCTTGAAATTCATGTCACCGAAGAGGAAAAAAAATCCCGTCAGATATACCATCTGACAGAAGGGCCGCGGGGTCACTCCTTCAAGCGTTTGGCCGCTCTCCCCATCAAACTATCATCGGGCAGCCCACTGCGCTTGGTGCCGGGGAGGCTACCAGACCGGATGTCGTTGTCATCCTGCGTCACTCGGCGATGGGGGTACTTGCCCTCGAACCCTTCGAAACAGTTGGCCGAGATGGCACCGCCATTTCGAAAGTACGGATGTTCCAAAGCTTCCTGGGCCGTGATCCGCTTTGTGGGGTCGTACTCGAGCAGCCGTGCCAACAGATCATATCCATCCGCCCCGGGAGTGCCCGCGCTCGAATTGGCAGAGTATCCATTGTTCTTCAGACAGCTTTGATACCAGCCCTCGAGATTGGAGGTGCGGCTGAAGTGGCCAGGGGGCCGCGACATGCTCAATGATTGCAGTTGGGCGTATTCCGGCATCGAGACGATGCCCGGCCAGGTCTCTTTTGTTGGGAGGCCCATGATCTCCATGATTTTCATCATCTGGTTACGCTGGAAGGGGACCGTCTTTTTGCTGTCCATCTTGGCTTCTTCGCCTTTGAAAATGGGCCGCAAAGAGAGTAGTTCTGCAAAAATGCACCCCACGGCCCACAGGTCGACCGCCGGTGTGTAGTGTCGGCTTCCCATCAGGAGCTCCGGGGCACGGTACCAGATAGTGACGACCACTTTGTCTCCCGAGAAGAGGGAGTTGAGGGGCTTGTAGAAGAGACGAGCGAGGCCAAGATCGCCGATGCGGATGGCCCCGCTGGATGTGACCAGTATGTTTGCGGGTTTGAGGTCGCGATGCAGGACCCAGTTAGTATGAAGGTAGAGCAGACCGTTCAGTAGCTGGAAGAGGATGGACTTGACCATCGCCGCGGGGATTGCATGTCTCTGCGGTTGTGTGTGGTGGTGAATGATCTGAAGCAGATCGTGCTCCGTGTACTCAAACACCATAAAGATACACTTGTCTTCTAAGATGATTTCTGCCAACTGCACCACGTTGGCATGGTCAAGCTCGGAGCACAAGGCCATCTCTCGAATTGCGGACTGCGAAAGACCAGTATACTGCACTACCTCGCCTTCCTTGTCCGGCTTGAATCTGTAGTCGTTTAGCAACCGGGTTTGAGTGGATTAACAATAAGGTTCTGTCTACTTACTTCTTGATGGCGAACTCCCCCTTTTGGCCATTTTTGCCGATCGCTTTGTAGACGCGACCATAAGTGCCGCTGCTGATGAAACCGACAATGTGATATCTGTCACGCACCCGTACTTTACTGGTGTAACCCGTCCCCGGCGGCTTTCTTGAATCTGTGCTCTCTATATAAAGAAAATCGGGTTAGCATGCACAAAATCAGTACTCCTCACTGAGAAATTATTGACCAATCGGAACAAGGAAGAGTTCCGGATAACAAGGAAAATAAGAGCCCTGAGTCAACTTGAGATCGCAGGAAGAGTTGGACAATTCATAATGTGAGGATATAGTGTTAGCGGCCCGTGGCCGGCCACGGTCAGGTTTGGGGATCAAGGGACAACAATTACCACGTGGATGAAATCCGGCGACAGAATTATAGAACGGAAAGCTTTTTCCAAACATGATGGAGACACAAGACAGTTTCCTCTAAACCCGTTCAGGGAGCCCGAGAGATACAGCCCGAGTACATTGACATGAAGAGTCACCCACGAGATAGTAGTAATCAAACACTAAAAACAATCTTCAACCAGTGAATATTCTAATGTTCATGGACCAAGTCAAGAAAGTAGAAGGCTCACCAAGTGGCGGCAAAGGTGGAGACAGTCGGAGGTGGTGCTAACGGAGGAAGTGGATGGGCAAGCAGGCAGCAGTGGAGAAGCAGAGGGAGAATAAATAAGTGGATGGAGAATGAACGGATTATAGCCGGGGATTACCATCCACAGTAGCCTGCAGACCCTTCTTTAGAGACAGGCTTTGGCTGACGGTGGCCACAGTAGGCCTGGAAGTCGCACTTAACGGACCGGAGGAGGAGGGCGGGTTCGTCAGACTCATGGAAAGAAGAAAGAAGCAAAGGAGGAGAAACGAAAACTGGTGTGGTGTGTGCAGTGGTCCGATTGAACTAACCAGTGGTCAGTAGTAGCTTTGTTCAGATGGAGGTAGAGTCCACTGTACGGAGTAGTATCTGGTGGGCAAGGCACGCGGAGACACTGATCTCCACCACTATGAGAACAGCATAAGACCTGCACGAAGAATTGGGTCAATGATTAGGTACAGAAGCAGGTATGAATCTTGAATGAGCAGCAATGGTTGGTGGTGAGGAAAGGATAACCAGAGGAATTCCAGGTGAGGCTGCATCAAGAGGGGGGATGCAGCTGACTCAGCAATAATCGATCTCATGGCTGATAAGAATAAGTAAGAATAAGAACAAGCATACATGTGTAACCATCAAAAGTGGTCCTTTACACCATACAGTACTCCGTACCTCGATTCTTTACCTCTACAGCACTCATTGGCGGGTTACTTGGCTGCTCATACCAGGAGACAGCCATCTCCTCACTTCAGCACCAGCATCACAAAGCTTTTTCCTTATCAACCCCGGTCGGCCCCCCTGAGTTGGTGATAAGACAAACGGACTTTCCTTCTCCCGATGCATCCCTGTGGGCTGTAACGTCATCTAGACGCAGCGCAGCGCCCTCTCTGAGTCAACTCTTTCCTTTACTTCTTCACATTGTTGATGACGGGACCGGAGAAGCCTTCTTGAAATCATCCATTGGCCAGCCATATCGTTGTTGCACGAGAAATATCCCTGCAGATCCAGCACTCGATCCTAGAATGGCTTCAGGGGAGTCAACCAGGTCCAGGGTCACCCCATACCTGGTCTATCTCGTGTTTATCACGACTTTGGGACCGCTGCAATTCGGCTATCACCTTGTAGGCGTCACCGAAATCCCGGACCGTTTTTGTATCTATCTTAGCTAATCTCAAACCCTTGAAGGCTGAACTGAATGCACCCCAAGCCGTGATTACTTGCGAGCAGAAGAGTATCCATGCCTCGACGAACGCGCCCTCACTTCCACAATGCATCCCTATGAACCCTTCCCAGTTCGGTCTGGTATCATCAATTTACACCCTTGGTGGTCTAATTGGAGCTCTGCTGGCAGGACCAGTATCCACCAAGCACGGTCGCTTATTTGCTCTACGGGCCACGACTATCTTTCATATCTTGGGCCCCATCGCTGAGACCTTTGCATCGAATATACCATTGCTAAGTTTCGGCCGGCTCCTTTCGGGAGTCGGTTCCGGTGCTGCTATCGTCGTCGGTCCAATTTATGTTTCCGAAATAGCCCCTCCTGCTGCAAGGGGCTTCTTCGGCGCTTTCACACAAGTCATGACGAACGTTGGGATCCTGCTCACCCAGACTCTGGGGTACTTCCTGAGTTATGGGAGCGTGTGGAGAACCATTCTTGCGGCCGCCGGCTTTATTGGGGCTCTGCAGCTTTTGGGTCTTTTTCTGGTTCCTGAGAGTCCTACCTGGCTTGCTGAGCATCAGAAAGGCAGTTTGGCTCGAAAGGTACTCCAGCGCTTGCGCGGCAAAAATGCCGATATTGAAGAGGAGGTCAAGAGCTGGTCCAACTCCTCCGTTGACGCTGCAGATGACTCGGGAGAGGAGCAGTCGCTGCTCACACCACCATCGAGCAACATGCCTCCCAAACAACCGCCAGTGACCATTCTTAGAGCTATCACAGACTCCTCCTACCGACCAGCGATCATTGCCGTCGTTGGCGTGATGATTGCCCAACAATTCACCGGGATCAACAGCATCATTATGTACAGTGTTTCTCTCTTGCAGAGCATCCTGCCTACAACTGCAGCTCTTTTGGCAGTAGCCATCTCAGCTATAAACTTGGTCATCACCCTTGCCTGTACTCCTCTGCCCGACAAGATCGGCCGAAGAAAGTGTCTCTTGCTGAGCATCAGCGGGATGGGGATCACCTCCTTGCTATTGGCCGTGGGTATCTACACCAGCCAGAAGGCCCTGTCTGCAGTTGCCGTGCTGTTGTTTGTGGCCTGTTTCGCTGTCGGCGTGGGCCCTGTGCCGTTCATCCTTGCTTCTGAGCTGGTCGGTCAAGAAGCTGTGGGTGCTGCACAGAGCTGGGCCCTTGCGGCCAATTGGGTTGCGACATTCATTGTGGCGCAATTCTTCCCCGTCCTGAATCAAGCTCTGGATCGAGGCAGGATATACTGGGTCTTCGCAGCTATGGCTCTTCTCTCCGGCGCGTTCATTTACTGGCGAGTGCCTGAAACCAAGGGCAAAGCCAGCTCTGATGAGGTTTGGGGTCGGGATAATCGACGAAGAATGGACTAAACTCAAATCGTAGCCGTAATTGTTCTTTTTTGTTCTTGCACAAATTCTTGGAAAGAGTCGATGGTGTGAAACAGATTAGGACCTGGAAAGTCGAGATCCCCCATCTACTTTTGCTGAGCTCCGATACATCTGTAGTGCAATACGAAATGACTTTCGATATAAAGATGTCAACGCAGACTCTTGCATACCGCCACAAATTATGTGTCACTCTTGGCACTAAGGGGTAAGCTAGGATTGGAAAGGCGATTGGTGAAGCCTGATTGCGATCAGCATTACGACGGTCCAGCAGCTTCCTGCACAATGGACTGTGCATTGATCTTGACCGGCGGATGCTGAGAGCATCAAATCTGTCACATTCAGCTGAGCCCCCTATTTTCGGCTGGATTTTGTTGGCCGCAGGATGGCATCCAGGCGGACCCCAATCATATATATACGCGAATGGGGGAGATCACGTCTCAGGTTTGAAACACGAAAAATTGAGAGGGCGGACAATTCTTGTTACTTCAGATACAAAGAACAGGAACAATCGAAGAGTACACTGCATACATAGGATTGAGTGATTGACTGACGTTCCATCATCAGTTGTTAGTATGCGCACCTGCCACCCACCCCTATATCTACCGGCATAGTAGATATAGGGCTGGAGCCTGAAACTCCCGAATCGCCCGGTATTGTCGGCACCGCTACGGTGGAACGAGTACGCGCTGTACGGAGGCCGCGGAATGGCCCGTTGGTCAGCGGGTGCCCCTCCTTTAATGGGCAGAATTATGGTCAACCAAAAATCCAGTGCGAAAGGAAAACGAAAATCATCCAATCCAAGATTGTCATTTCTCATCCCAACGACAACTCCCTTTCAGCTCTTCCGCCGGTTCCTACTGGAGCATTTGGCACTCCAAGTGGAGACGCAATCGCTCAGCCCTGCTTCAGGGTAGTAGGTACTGCTTGCACAGGATAAGCATGGAAGCATTACTGAGGCTTCCATGGGACCCCGAGATGTGCCCATGAGGGGTTTTTTTCCGACGATGGCCAGGCAGCAAGAAACCCATAAAGTAGGACAATCGGCCGTCCCGTGGAAGCACTTATATGCAGGCTTCTTTTCGTTCTTTATAAATCCATATTACATTCCGTGCAGCAGATAGCAGATGCTAGTAGATGCGAGCTGTAGGGGAGGAGAGGGACGAGAACTCCTGTATAAAGTGTATCAGGTCGTATTGTAGCGATGGTTGTGATGCAGAGCCACTCATTTAGACTAGGCAACCACAATCGCTCGACTGTGTTGAGTCGTGGGAATGGGACTTCCACTGTGTAAGAATTCTTGGACCTGACGTCGTCCAAGCTGCTCTCCCTACCTGTTCGGCTGTCTCTCACACTCCCCACCTGCTCTCGCCAGGATCCTCTAGAATTCGCCAAATACTCGAGAGGAGGGGACGCTTTGCACAAGGGGGATAAATGCATCTGGCTGCATTACATTATTATTGGGGGCAGAGAAGGTTCGAGAGTTGTGGGGGACGAGAACTGCGCACGATAGACCCAACCTCATGAATCTTATTTCCGTTCTCCGGAATAGTCCTGCGATGCCGAGGATAACTTACAAAGGAGAGAATGAATGAGATTACGAAAAAATCCGATCAGATCTAGGGCTAGCCATATGTCAAGTTGGCATCTTACTCTCGTACTATTTTTGTTTTTAATTTTGATATATATCTATTTTTTTTTTTTGGTGGTTCTCATCCCGTATTCCGTTAATCTCCTCCCAAATCGATCGAGGCCACCCCACTTCATTCACGAGAGGACAGTCTGGTCTATGTACAGAGTAACTGTATCTAGACTGCTATCCCTCTGGCTTGCTTATTCCTTTTTCTCTGTGCTTCGATGCGCCCCAACCACTAGTTAACTAAACAGAATAAAGTCTATGCGCAACCCACTCGGTCTCACTCTCAACCCACGCAGCCGCGCAGTCAACTTTCCCACTGCATCCTTCTCACTTCGCTTTCGACTCTCTACACTGTCGGTTTGTTTTCTCGCCATGTTTCTCCTCTCTCACGTCTGAAGTGTGCCAATTGCAAAGTCTGTGTGCCCTTCTCCGTCCCATCTTCATTGCAGTGCGTTGCGACCGTGGTGGTGCCTTGCCTCGTGGGATTGTTGGCTTCGACCGGAGCAGCAGATCAGTCAGGATCGTCCGGCACTCGTCCTTGACAGGCAACCACCGCGACATCTCTCCGTCATTGTGACTGGGGAATCTCGTCCTTTTCTCCCTCTTCAGTGGCTGATTATTGTTCAGATTAGATTGACCCTCCCAATATCCCTGTCTGCTCACGAACACGTCCCTGGATAATAACATCACCCTCCGATCATCTTCGCCGTCGTCAGTGTCGACGCGACGTCACCTTCCGGTCCCCATCTGACCTGCTTTCTCCCCCCCCCTCCCTCCCCGCACTCCCGGACGGTTTATCACCATGGTCCGCATACCGTTACCGCAACGTCTCAGCACTCATTTGATCTCAAAAAGCACCAATACTACTCCCGGCCAAAGCAGAAGTACCAGTCCCATGAGAATGTCTGACACGAAACCGTTAATTCTCAAGATCTCCGTCCTTCGGGTGAGTCCGCACTTTCCAGACCGCGGAGCGACCGGAAACTTTGCCCGCATTCTTCGACAATTGCTGACTGTGGTAATTCGCACTAGGGGAGAAATTTAGCACCCAAGGACAGAGGAGGGACGAGTGATCCGGTATGGCATTAAATCCGTACTAGAGCTCGAGAAAGCTGATCGCCCGCTAACGAACCACTTTACCCAGTATATGATCGTCACACTTGGAGACGCTCGACAATCCACACCCACAATACCGAAGACACTGAACCCAGAATGGAATGTGACATTCGAGATGCCCGTGGTCGGTGTACCACTGTTGGAGTGCATCTGCTGGGACCATGACAGATTCGGCAAAGACTATATGGGCGAATTCGACATTGCTCTCGAGGAAATATTCAGCCGCGGCGAGGTCCATCAACAGGTACTCTCCCTCGAATGCGACTGACCTGGACTTTGCGAGTTGACATGATGTCTGCAGCCCACATGGTACACTCTCCGGTCGAAACGGAAGCCTACAAAGAAGAAGGACAGCATTATCTCCGGGGAAATCTTGCTGCAATTTTCTCTCCTCGACCCGGCAAACCCCAACGCCTCTGCGGAAGAGGTTTACCAGAAGTTCAGGAACCTGGTATATGCTGGTGACGAGGATGACGAGTTTCCGCAAGTTCCTTCGTTATCACTGGAAGATGTCGACAGAGAGGAAGAGACGTCGGATGAGACAGACGACCCGACCAAGCCAGAGGTTGTGGAAAAGCGAAGGAGGCGGCTTCGGCTTAAGCGCCTGAAACGTAAATCTTTGGCAGCACGAGCCTACCAATTCTCTGGTGTAGGCAACGGAGTGCAGGGTATCGTATTCATGGAGATCATCAAGGTGACAGATCTACCGCCGGAACGGAATGGTATGCGTTCCCTCGCTGCCCACTGCCGACCATGCTTAGGCTAATGTATGATACAGTGACGCGCACCTCATTCGACATGGACCCATTCGTTGTCACTTCACTCGGAAGAAAAACGATGCGAACGCCGGTTGTTCGTCACAATCTGAATCCAGTATACAATGAGAAGATGGTCTTCCAAGTCATGAAACATGAAACATCCTATACGATCGGCTTCACCGTCATGGACAGGGATAAGTTCTCTGGCAATGACTTTGTCGCATCTGCGGGATTTCCACTGCAGACACTGATCCAATCCGCCCCCAACGCTGATCCTGAGACCGGTCTCTATGATCTGTCAAACCAGACTCCCGACCTGACGAGCTCTGAATCGGACTTGGCTAATAGACCACCACCTAAGATCTCCGTCAGCCCTTCCCCTTCGACAAGCAGCCTTTCTAAATCGCCTCGGCTGGGCATGTCACCGAGAGGCTCTTCTACGTCTCTGTCGGGTCAATCACAGCAGGGAGAGTCGACTCTGCTTCCACCTCGGAGCGTTCCTGAAGACATCGAGCCGCCCGGTTTCTCCAGCTCTCCCACTTTGGCTAACTTTACCGTCTCCCCACTTGAATCCGACAGCGAAGGTCTTCGAATTTACCGCATCCCACTGAAGTTAAAGAACAAGGACAGATGGGAGGACAAGCACTCGCCCGAGCTGTTTGTGAAGGCCAAATATATGCCATATCGTGCCTTGCGCCAGCAGTTCTGGAGACTCATGCTCAAGCAGTATGATGCAGACGACAGTGGCCGAATCGACAAGGTTGAAATGACCACAATGCTTGATACTCTTGGTTCCACCTTGAAGGAGTCCACGATTGACAGTTTCTTCGAGCGCTTTAGTCGGGAGAATCAACCAAGCGAGACTATGGACCTGACTTTCGATCAGGCCGTGATCTGCCTTGAAGATACTCTCCAGGCCCTTCAAAAAGACCCGAGATCGACTGGCAGAAAGATTTCACCTTCATCATCAACGATCAGTCAGGACAGTGAGGAACAGTCCAGCGGGGATGATGATCTTGTTGCTGGATCTAACGCTGGCTTACCGGCGAACCACGACCCCCGGACCACACATGTCCCCACTATACCTACCGATGAGCAACCGGGCTTGGTTGATGAAGACCTTCAACCGGATGATCTGGGAGATGAACGTGGCGTGGAACATGTCATAGAGCTTCGGGAATGCCCCTTGTGTCATCAGCCACGGCTCTCCTCCCGCTCCGATGCCGACATTATCACGCATATCGCTACATGTGCAAGTCGGGATTGGCGGCAAGTGGACAATCTTGTCATGGGAGGGTTTGTGACCTCAAGCCAGGCGCAGCGCAAATGGTATACTAAGGTCATTACGAAAATCGGTTATGGTGGTTACAAGCTGGGGGCCAACTCTGCCAATATTCTCGTCCAGGACCGGGTCACTGGACAGATCAACGAGGAGCGTATGAGTGTTTACGTTCGTTTGGGTATCCGATTGTTGTATAAGGGCCTTAAGAGCAGGGAAATGGAGAAGAAGAGAAGTATGTTGTCTCTCACATGCCGTGACATTGTGATTAAGAGCAGCCGCTAACCATCCTCGCAGTCCGCAAAATCTTGAAGTCGATGAGTATCAAGCAAGGGAAGAAGTACGATGATCCCGCGTCTGCGAGTCAGATCCGGGACTTCATCAACTTCCACCAACTCGACATGTCCGAGGTGTTGTTGCCGATTGAAAAGTTCAATAACTTTAACGAATTCTTCTATCGTGCACTAAAGCCCGGCGCCCGGCCTTGCTCAGCTCCGGATGAGCTCAGGGTTGTTGTGTCACCCGCTGACTGTCGAACGGTTGTATTTGACCGCATGGATGAGGCGACGAGCATCTGGGTCAAGGGACGGGAGTTCTCCATCGAACGCCTTCTTGGTGACGCTTACCCGGAAGATGTGCCCCGCTACAAAAACGGGGCGCTGGGGATCTTCCGTCTTGCTCCGCAGGATTACCATCGCTTCCATATCCCTGTAGACGGAGTTATGGGCACGCCCAAGACAATTGAGGGTGAATACTACACAGTCAATCCCATGGCAATCCGTTCTGCCCTTGATGTTTATGGCGAGAACGTGAGAGTTCTCGTGCCAATCGATTCCGTAGCTCATGGGCGTGTTATGGTGGTCTGTGTTGGAGCCATGATGGTTGGAAGCACAGTCATTACACGAAAGGCTGGGGAGCAGGTTTCACGGGCCGAAGAGCTCGGTTACTTTAAGTTTGGAGGAAGTACTATTCTCCTCCTTTTCGAGGAGGGGGCGATCAACTTTGACAGTGACTTGGTGGACAATTCGAAGGGACCCTTGGAAACCTTGGTAAGTCTCCCTGGCTAGTCCTTGCGCCATGACCGTTTAAATTGACATGATTGTTTCTCCATATAGATCCGGGTTGGCATGTCTGTGGGTCATCATCCCGATATACCTCAGTTCGAGCCGGATATGCCCAAGAAGAGCGAAGATATCTCTCTTGAAGAGTTGCAGTCCGCCAAGCGTCGGATTGAAGGCAGCCTGGCCCCGCCAAGTGAGGACGTCCCTGCACTCCCGTGATTTACTTTCTGCATTGTATTCTTGTCAAGTATGTTCTGTAATCTTGCAGCTTTTTCAAGCGGGGTATATGTTTTATTTCTTTCGGGCGTTCACCGGTGCGCTTATGGGCCAGGAGCCTGCATAGCGTTTGAGAAACTCATTGTGTAAAGATGATGAAGCCTGAGCTGAGGTGTCTGTAGGGGGAGTGATGAAAGGAAGTGGTTTGTACACATGCTAGATATGGGGCAGAGGTAATCATACCGACGGGAATATTTTGCATATTCATCAGGTCTTTTTTCTTTTTCGTAAAAAGCGTTGAAGCAAAGCAAGGCACTGTCGGTATAGTTCACAATGAAAGAGATTAACCACTACATTGTCTGCTGTACTGATCTGGTTCCCGCTTTCCCGCTGCGCGGTATAAATTTGTGTAAACTTACCTCAAAGTGATGCTACCGCGTCGCTCTCTCATCCTGGCATTCCCCGCGGCGTCAAACCCTTCCAGCACCTGCATCGCACTCAAATCCGGGAGCAGGCGATTCACCCTCTCCTCCAAGGTCACGAGACCGCGCTCCACGCATTGAAGCGCCATGATCGTGGTCAGCAGCTTGGTGGCACTTGCCAGCCGGCAGGGAGTGGTGGGCTGGAAAGGGGGCAGCCGATTACACTCATTGCGGACCACAGTCCGCCCTCCGAAGCAGCGCGTATAATTCAGAGTGCCTATCTCTCATTGTCAAAGTCAGATCATGCTGATGTCTTCTCGGAAATACAAGGGGGCCTTCCTCACCGCTGAAATCTCGAGCCATGATGACCGCCCCGGGAATCTGCCCTAGTTTCACAGCCGTCCGGAAGGCGGTTTCCATTGCGATGACCCTATCCGAGGGAGCATCTTCCTCACTGATGGCCACCATCTTGTGTGTTTCAAATAGGAAGAGACAACGACTTTGGCCGCTATCTGATTGCGTCTCAGGCCCAGAACTTTTTTTTGAATTTGGACACAGATTCACGCAGCTTAGGGGAGAATTGGGTGGGGGGGGGGCCGATAGGCACATCGTTAGCTGCACTTCTACGGCTCCCTGAGCTAACAGCTTATCCCGCATAAGACCGAGACTCGGGACTGGAAATTCTCGGTGAGTTTCGGTGTTTACAACGAGCCCGGGACTATACTAGACTACACTACTCGGTAGACTACACTAGTCAGATCGTACTAACCTGTGCTAGCCTCTCCTAGACTTTTTCATAGGGTATTACCTTATCGGTTATCATATTACAGCATAATATTGTACGATAACAGTATAGCTTAAGAAGATTGAGTGACCAGTTACCGCCATTAGCTTGGACGGTAGCATCTACCGATGACAAAAGACCCTTCTATACCTAGTTTGGAGCATGAACGACAAGTACCTAGGGTTCCAGATTGGAAGACAGACTTCTTTGCAGTTTCCCATTCTTGATATCCAACTCCGGACTGCATCGACAGCCAATATAGACGCATGGCTGATGCTTGTGGTTGTTTCGTGAATAGACGTAAACAATCATCGAAGCATCATGCCAGCAGCAGTTCTTGGCCCTCTGTGGCATGATACGTGAAGTGTAGAATGCAAAATCCACTTTTTCCAGATGAACGGGAACAATCGAACCATGGCTCATTTCTTATACCCTGGATCTGGTGACGCAAAACGAACTCTACGCAATTTGTCGGCCTTCAAGGACGTTCGGTCCAGCACATTGATCATGCCAGGTACAACCTAACTCTCCCAGCCCACCGCGCATCTTTGCCGTCTCCTTCCCAAGGCAGTGGCCCATCTCATATCAAAGGACGCGGGTAGGCAATTGGTGAGACCTCACTTCCTTGCGGACGCCACCGCACTGCGATTGTGCTGCATATGAGCATTGACCAAGTGGCCAGCCGCTAGAGCAGAGCAGGTGCTTAACTCGCCCGCCAGCACTGCAGCGGCGATAATTCGGGCTAGGCGGCGCGCATTGGCACCAGGGTCAGTGGGATGCGCACCGCGCACCCCGAGCAGGTCCAACATGGAGCCTTGAGCCTCGAGGATGGTGCCTCCGCCGATCGTCCCGACCTCCATCGAGGGCATCGAGACGGCGATGTGGAGGTTCCCATTGATGCTAGAGCAACCTACCGTTAGCACAGACAGAGAGGCATATGTACAGCCGGTCAAAGAAACAACGGGAACAGGATGGGATGAAACATACTTCTTCATGGTCGTGATACAACTACTACTCTCAACATTTTGGGCAGGATCCTGGCCGGTGGCTAGAAACACCGCCTGAACAAGATTGGACGCATGGGCATTAAACCCACCAATACTACCGGCCATGGCACTGCCGACCAGGTTCTTAGCAGTGTTGAGTTCGACTAACGCATCGACCTCCGTCTTCAGGACCTTCCGTACCGTGTCGGCGGGGATCGTGGCCTCGGCGATCACGGACTTGCCGCGGCCCCCAATCCAGTTCATGGCGGCGGACTTCTTGTCCGCGCAGAAATTTCCTGAAAGTGTAATAGTGTGCATGTCCGGGAATCCGCCCTGCACCGCCATCGCCTCGAGAGCCTTCTCGACCCCCTTAGGGATCATATTCATACCCATCGCGTCGCCGGTGGTGGTGCGGAATCGAATATAAAGGTAGGTGCCTGCCTGCGCTACAGTCAGGGTCTGAAGGCGGGCGAACCGGCTGGTTGCGTTGAATGCGGTCGTGAGCACCTCGTGGCCGACCGACGACTCGACCCAGCGCTGAGCTTCAGCGGCGCGTGAAGCAGAGGGGAACCCCAGGCAGGGGCCCCGTGTCATCCCATCGCCCTTGAGCATAGTCACCGCGCCGCCTCCCGCGTTGATAGCCTTGCAACCCCGGCTGGCGCTGGCAACGAGCACTCCCTCCGTTGTGGCCATCGGGATAAAGTACGCTTGGCCATCGATCACCATGGGGCCGGCGAGACCGAGGGGCAAAGGGAGGTATCCCATCACGTTTTCACAGCAGGCACCGTGCACGAGCTCGTAGTTGTAGTCGCGATAGGGGAGCAACGATGCTTCGACGCCGCTGCTGAGGCCTTGCGTGGAAGGCGTCCTCGATACCGCGGCACGGCGGATCCGCACGGCGCGCGTAAATGCTTCCAGTCTGGTTACTGCGCTGGACGATCCCGCGGTAATGCGCTCTAATGTCTTCTCCAAGCCATAACCTGCAATCTTACCCCGAAGACACAGCTCCAGCAGCTCGTCGTCGGTCAGAGATGTTGCTTGGTTCGATTCGAACAGGGCCTCGGTCTCTTCGAGGCTGCGAGAGCTGATGTCAGTGGCAGAGGGGGCGCGTGGTAACGACGGAGAGGAGCTATCTATGACAGCTGACTCTTTTCTGGGTCGGGGCAGAGCATGCCAGCGGGCGGCCTGGATCAGATGGTTGTTGAGGATGAGGCTGATAACCAAAGCGCCTATAAGCCAGAGTCGACCGAGCGGGCTTTCCAGTCCATCCAGCACACCCTCAAACACGGGGCGTCTAGTGGCCGATACATCATGCTTAGAAGACTCTAGGACATACCGAACAGGCATTAGCACTGTCGCACGCGTCTCTACTCCCTCGCGGCGAGCTGACAGGTAAATATCGTTCAGACCGTTGGCCGCTACTCTGAAGGGACTGACAGGAGTAGGGGTCAAAGCGGTTTGAGCCATAAATCCTCCCATCAAGCGATAGAAGAAAGATGACAATTGGAGCACGTTGAAGAGCACGAAGCCACCCACCATCAACAGTTTCCAACGGGCCACGCTTGCAGGCTTGACATTGTACCCAAAAATTCGAGGGCCATGCTGCGCGTCAGCTTTATGAAGCGCACCGGGGCCCCGGATCCGCGTCACCTCTAACTTCACGCAAAGAATCGTGGCGTAGAAGGTGAATAGCAGAATAGCATCAACAAGCAGGATCCACACAGCTAGGAAGCAGAAGTGGCCGAGACTTTCCTGCGGCCGGAGTGCCGCTCCGATCCCCAACGCGCCGATCTCCAGTAGATACGACCGCAAAATATACCACCCTTCTCGATCAACCGCGAGCTGAATTGTCTTGGAAATCGATTGGCTCTGGCGGGTATCCTCCTCATTGTTGCCAATGGAAGTAGACTGCTGTAACCCGCTGCGCTGGAGGTTTTTAGACGAGTCGAGAACGGTACGAGTAAATTGGATCGACTTTTCGAAGCCAATCGTCAACACCAGGAACGGGATACCTTCCCAAAGCAGGAGCATGTCGACAGGCACGCGGCAGGCAGTCGTAATGCCCAGTCCAAGTATAAAGGCGAATGTGCCAGAGAGTAGGACCGAGGCTGCTAACCAGAACCTCGAGCCGAGATGACGCATCGCCCGAAAGAGAGAGACCACGGTCAGATTCATGGCTAGGTAACCGAGCCCAATAATCACCAAGTCAACGGTCTCTGCATGTTTGGCACGGTGAAGGAACGAGAGCCACGAGCTTCCGAGCCAGCGTCCGAGTGACATGGGACTTCCTTCTCCACGAGGAGACCTGATTATCCATGTATGATTCTCGTTTTGCGAGGCTATGGATTTGACTGCCTCCAGAAAGCCGCTTAGTTGGAAGTATGGAACTCGAAACGCCAACGAGGCATCATCAGAGGAAGTGAAGAAGTTGGCAGTAGGCGGAATTAAATCCGCACCGAGGGACTGGGCAAGCGAATCTGACAGAAGGGAGATACTATCCGCGACAGAAGCATCTGGTACATTAAGGGTGACAAGGGCCCAGTGAGAGTTCGCCTGATAGATCACAGGACAAGCACCGTTTGATCAGCACCCCGAATTATTTATCAGATTGATGGGGCGGGAAGAAGTCTATCATACTTGGTGAAACTCAGACGCCTCAGGCAGGTCATCGACCTGCCATCTCCAGGAGCTGGTCGCTCCGAGGCGAAGAGTGCGGCTGCCCCAGAGGAAAGACTGAATGTTTAAGGGAGCTGCCTCGATCTCGGACCCCAGACCTACATTAGCAGCCCGATAGCTCCCTTCCAAAACATGAAGATAGGTCATGGCCGCTGCCAGAGCATAGACAAGCAGAGTATGAATGGGGTATCGACACGCCTGTCCCACAAGTGCCCGTAATCCTGTGGTGATTCGATGCTGCACCCAGCCAGGATTCGGCCTCATCATCACAGATTCCATTGTGAGGTTATCCTCGATTGTGGGAAGGGGGAGAACTGTTGAGTGAATGATTGGGGCTATGAAAGAATAAAGCAAGTATAGGGCTAGCAAAATTTCATGTCCTCGTTGAGAAACAGGAGAGAGATAATTCAGCTGTACAGTTCAAGGACAATAGTTTCGTCGGCGGGATTTGGACGAAAAAAAAAAGGAAAAGAAGAAAAAAAAAAAAAAAATAGAAAAAGAAGGGGGAAAGAAAGAGAGGAAGAAGAAAAACAGAAAAGAAAGGGAAAGAAAGGCTATGGGATAACCGGAGAATGGGTTGTGGGAGCAAATCAACTTGGAAGCAATTCGGGTTGCTCAAAGAGACGAAGGAGCATAAGTCAGCTGTTCTCTTATGTGAACCCCTTCATGCATACTTTATTCTCGGCCTGCACTACATTGCGGATTGGTTTAGACTTGCTGCGAGAGAACGAGCTTACTCTGGGAGTTCCCCCAGTCCAAGGCATTGCAGCTTCCATCACTGTGGGTGGTGGGTGGGAACACGAGATGGATGCCGCACGGCCAGAGACGGCCCATTCCATCGTGGGTGGAGAGAGACTGTGCACTTTAGCCTCTCGAGTACTGTCCATGTTCTGTAGTGATGAAGCGGTCATCCATGGGGCAGAGTCTGCTGGTTCGCGAGGCCATATCCTCGCGGTGCTACAACGATGCTATGGAGAGATTTTTTCCCTTGCTCGTCAACACAAGATGGCATTTTAGGGAACCTCAGCAAACTCCCTGGTGTCAATCCGGCCTGCCGTCACTGTACGTCTGCCCCATGCACCCTGTTATCGGTGATGGGGTTGGACGTTCTCCGCGGTTTGGAGAGATATGGTATCAGTTAGTGGACTTGTCAGCTCCTAGTCGGAACTTTGGGTTGAGGCCGCTCACTCGTCTCCGCATTTGTGGGTAGCATCAGGCTGAGCTTCTTACTGTGCAGTGTGTTCAAAGTATCGTCAAGTCAAATGCTGACACCAGAGACCGTGTCGAGTCCCAATTCACGTTCAAAGGCTAGCGGATGTGAGCATTGAGGCTTCGTTTCTCCTGGTTGACCCGAAATTGTTTCTAGAGCTACGCACACTGATTTTAGACCACACAATCCAACTGTCTTAGACTTTACATGTCCTCTTTCTCCGGTCATATCACTGCGCTAACATCGATGTTACATGGCCGGCCCCATATTCCGGCCGTAGGCTAACCTGATTATGGTATAAATGTGGGTATGCTTTTGCACTCCTGAGTCTTGGTTGAGATTTGGCCATCATAATTACAGATCGTTCGTCGGTTCGTTCAGAATATGGCTATGGCTGAATCTGATGTGATGTTTGTTTTCTCTTGATTTCCTTGCTTATATGGCCCCACTGCGCGGGCCGCTCTCCAGGCTCCATCATTCACTCGGAGAGTCAGCATCCCCCCGTCGATTGATCCAGAAAGCACCCTTGTCTCAAAACAACTTATGGGTCAAACAAATAACAAATTTGGAAAATGTGCGTTTTTCTATTGTGGCGCTCATGGGGGCTGAAGCTACCAATGGTTACGTGTCCTGTTTTCAAGGACTGATATTAATTGTTATCAAAAGTCTTCTGCTGGGCCCGGCAAGCCCAGTGGCCCAGTTCCAAAAAGCCCTTTTGGGGGGGTTGCACGGGACAACGCAAGGTTTCCAATCATTCAAGTCCACAGTCCACGGTTGAACTGCCGCGTGCGCTCTGAGTAAAGTACTACTCGGTGAGTCCCGTCACTTCACAGGTCCGATATGATCATGGATCAGGCTGCCAGGTACCTGAATCGAACTAGAACATCCTTTGACCAATCACGAGGCGCTTTTCCAAAAATAGACCCGCTTTCATACTTTCAGTAGGTACCTAGGTAGGTTCTACCTACTAGATATACAGGAATCAGAAGCAGAGACGCAAGGGTTTACATTTATACTATATTCTCATCAATACAGAATTACTAGTCACAGGTTCCAACATTGCAGTACTCCGTACACAATTCCTCAATTAGCAGTGAATGCAAATTAGGCCCAGCCAGACTTTGAATTTGTCTGCTTGATATAGGGTTAATGGTCTGGCCCAGGCCCGGCAGCCTAGTCTGAAGCGATGCCAGAAGTCAAGAACAAGACACGCAACCTGGGATTTGAGGATAATCAGGAAGCAAGCAGTTGCGAAATTTAATGCATGTAAAGTGGGACTGCGGATTCATAGCATTGCAGTAGAGGCGCGCCTTCACCAAGCTCTTGGCAACGGGGACTTAAAAGCACCCCTCCTTTAGCTAACTACCTTGTCAACTTAAGGTACAAGTCTTTACTAGCTCAGGTATAAGTGCCCTACTAATCAGATCTAGCATAGTGAATTCGAGTTAGCTCCGGAGAACTCAGATGAATGTGCTTGACACGGGAGAGAAGTCCACCCCCCACCCCCAAAAAGAAAGAAAAAGAAGTAAAATACAGGGCGCATTTCATGGACCGAAACTTATCATAGTCTTGTGCTTCTCATCACAGCTTAGCTAATCTCACAGGCTAGGTCTAGTTGTAACTTGGGTAAACTCTCCTGGTGTTTCTGATGCTGCTGGATGTCATCGGCCCTAGAATTACTCTCAGCTGTGGAGATAACCCACTTGGAGATGTCGGATGATACGAAAGTACGTACCTCTTGTCAAGTTAACTGATTGCCCCCATCGCCCTCTGTGCCTTCTCAGGCCGAGCAGTCGTTGGAATGGGAGGGTCGGGACCTAACTTATCAATGGTGTATTCGTTATTCTCTACGCGGCAGCTAAGCAAGAGACCTTCTGGTAACAAACCCATTCTTTCTACCCTTTCTTGAAAAAAGAGTTCCTTGATTGAGTGTGAGAGAGTCACCCATCAGTTGTTCAATTCGGTAAGCCACTATTTGTGATATTACACTGGAGCGACGGCGGCGTTATAGGCGATATTAGAGGTATTCCGTTGAGTGTTGGGCGACTTCCGGTTTGATTTGATATGATGTAAGTCCATGACATGTATGTCGAATACCAGATGATTTTTGCTATTAGTCCACGAATGAAATGAAGGGGTTGTACCGTTACTTGTCTTTCCACTATGTATAGCCCAAAACCTCATGTTCTTGGGGCTTCTGCACACAAAGTGGAAACTAACATATTGGTAACTATCTACTTACCCCCCACCCCGCCGTCTATTCCCTACAATTCCGTCCACAGCTGATACTTCAATCACGCTAACTGGCCCTTCTCTCGAGGCCAAAGAGTCAACCTTAATGGACTAACTTACACGTGGGTATAAGTATGAGAGGCTGGCCCTGGTCCCATGATGGCTTATTGACCCAGGACAGATCCCTTATTCGACTTTTCCCACGGTTCTCCTTCAACTGAGCCAGCATTAGAAACAATAAAGGAAAGAAAGAAAGAAAGAAAGAAAGAAAGAAAGAAAAAGAAAAGAGAAGATTTTTAGTTCTCTCAGCCAAGGGTTCAAAGAGATAAAAGCGTGATATCGCGAGTTCCACGGCGCTGTCCTCGGTACTGGACTTTCCAGGAACACAGGTTACTTCTCGACAAAGTCTCCCAACTTAGTCAGTGTTTCCTCTCAAAGCAAGCACTATACACGGGGCTTGGGGCTTCGTAGAAACCCCGCTAACTCCATCGCCTAGTTACACAGTCTCGACAGACAGGGAGAACGAGACGGTAATTAGCTGGAGCAGCGTGTCCAAAGTCCTCGTCCATCGAAACAATAAGAATTGCCGCAAGCGCTGGTACAGACTGACCGGGGTGAAAAAAGGGTTGTGGTCTGTGAGTGAAGATCAGAGACTACTCGAGAACGTGGGGAAATACGGTTGCCAGTGGGCGCTGGTGGCTTGAGCCGTGAAAACTCGAAACTCAGACCGTAAGTGAATCTTGCATCTACTCGGAACGAGAATGGGGCATAGGCCGAAGAGATGGGGGCTTCCTCCGACCGCGCAAGCCTCCAGAAGACCGGCCTCCAATGAACAAAGCTTGGTTCAAATCTGCTCAATAACTGTCTTACCTATGTAGACACATTGCTCTCCTGCGGCAGAGCAAGAACTTGCCCGGCATAGACTCGCTGGCTGTGGAAAAACTGACTCCAGGTATGGCGTGGCTGTCAGCTGAACAGGGAGAGGCCAAGGAGATGACACCACAAGCAGTGCTTGACGCGCATGAGCGTAGTGACGGCGCTTATACCGAAGGGTTGGACGCCCTGACTTCAGTCTCCCATGTTCAGCTCGACCATGTCCTGAAATGTGCGCCTCCCAGCCTATTCATGTTGGGCACGCCTGCACCGGTGACAGTATCAACCTCCTTTCCTTGTGCACCTGCCTGGGAGCTCTCGACTCAGTCTGAGGTCCCTGAGACAGACCCTTTGTGTTCCTCCCCTAGCAATGGAACCATGGTCTCATCGTGGGATCACCTGGCTCTCTGGGGCACTATCACGGAGGGTGATACCGACCTTCTGAACATGCTCCGGCACCCAGCAGCGGCATCTTCCCCAGAACAACAAGCAACGAGCAACCAAGATCTCTCGCGTCCGGAAAGAGGTAGCAAGCCGTCGCCTTCGGACTCAGGCTGGACGCCACAAGATGTGATTCACGATCCTACGTCAAGCGTGCCACAGATGATCCTTACCGTGGAGAACCCGGAATCGGAAACTATGGCCAAGATACTTGAGATTTTGATCCAGGCTAAGATCAAAGCGACAACCTCCATCACTCCCAAGCTGATAAGTGATAAGATGCTTATTCATCAGCTACAAGTTTCGAGGTCGAGTGGATGAAGGCTTGACCCAACCGAGGGCGCTGCATTGATCTTCGCCTAGGGCGCCGGGGTGAGTCCACATATTCAATCTTGCCCGATGTCTGCGAAAGATCTACCGAGTACGGTATATTGAGTACTCGAAGTGTTCAGATTGGGGCGACCTTACATATGTACTCATGTATTTCTTCGAGTTTGTGTTCCATAGATGCTATCTTTCTGCACAGTCAAGCAGGAGGGTTTGTTTTTCCTGTCTTTGTTTTGTTTCTTGCCCGGTCGGGTCCTGTCTCCTTCGCTAAAGCGTGGATCCACTGAAGCGAGAATCATGTGGAAGTTGAGCTTCCTGTTTTCTGCAGTCATCTCTAGCCTGTTTGGAGGACATCATATGAAGCGACAGCAGAGAAGATAAGGGACTTCATATACCCCTGCCTGACAGAGTAATGTATGAGGACTCGTAGGAAACGCCAAGAAACGTTCGCTTTGATGAATAGACTGAGTCAATACCTAGCTCGGCGTGTCTCAGGTGCAGAGTGCCACGGGGCTATGAAGCTCTGGGCAGTGGAGCTCATGGTAGGCAGTTCGGTCTGGCTATATCTACTGAACACACCTATCGGCGATCGAACATCCCAAGAGGAGACAAATGTAGGATACTTAGATTGGACGTGGTGATGTCGCAATGATACACTGAACAACACCAGAAAAAAGAACGAATAAAGGCAACGAAGAAGCGAACCAGAAGAGGGTGATGCTGCTGCGGAAGATTTGAAGGCGCGCTGTATTCATGCGGCATGCATTCTCACCTTTACCCCGTTGGCGACACTGTCAATCAGGGTCAGGTCATGCCGAAGAACCTCATCTTCATTCAAGTTCTCCATTCTGTCGAACCGTTGCAACAACCGAACCGTGACATAGCTCGCTTCGGTAAGCGCAAATTGCTGCCCGATACATATCCTCGGCCCTCCGTTGAACTGTTGGTTAATTTGATGGTCAGTTGAGTGCCCTATCAAGGGACAAGAAGGAGTGCGTTCAAGAACAAGGAGCAACAACAATGGCAGCAACACGAATATGATACCTATAGGTATATGTCCCGAGATCTTCAAAGCGTTTAAGAAAATCGGCAGGAAACTGTTGCGCTCTGTCGGCTGCAAGTGCGCGTCGTAAATTGTCGATTCCAAATGGCCAACTATTCTTCTCCACCGGAGGCTCCTCACAACCGAGATGGCGCGCTTTTACCGCGTTGCGGCGAGAAGTAAGTGCTGGCTGCAATAAATCGGAAGACAAGGTAGAGAGTAGCACCCCAAAGAAGGGCGTTGATGACAGTTTTCAATTGCATCTTGAAAGCGATGTCCTGTAGGTCGTCGGTCTTGGGTGGCAGGACGACAAAGCGGTCTCAAGTAGGATTCCGGCTTCCCACACACTGTTTTCTATCAGCGCACCCAAGGCGAAGACCTCGCTAGGGCATGATATACACGGCAGACTCATTAAGAACTGACCCGGGTTTCGACCTAGTGCGATGCAGGAACTCGGGTCCAACTCAGGTCCCAATTTGTTTTTGTATGCGCCGCCGCGGGGGTAACTGGTAAACTGTACATCACCATAGATTTCCGATCTCCCCAGCACAGTCACCCCAAACTAATACCATCACGATGACATACCCAGAAAATGTTGGCATCAAGGCGAGGGAAGTCTATGTTCCAGCACAGGTAGAGCCATTCTCGTTGTCTTATTCCTTTATCCCCTCAACATTGTATCAGCTCTAATTGGTGAAGTGCCTCGACCAAACTCTCTTTGAGCAACACCAAAGCGTTTCTGCTGGCAAATACACGATCGGCCTTGGCCTTCAGTACATGAAATACTGCACTGATAGGGAAAGGCAAGTCTCCGCCTACTCAATTCCAGTCAGCCTGTCAAGCCGAGTGACGTGTTTGCGAACAGAACCGGAAAAAGAAAAATTGAATAAAAATAACCATGGCTTTCCAGATGTTTGCTCCCTTTAGTGTGTGCTTAGTAAGAGATCAGTAAGTACACAGGAGTACAGAAGAAGCAGTCATATAATGCCATCACAAAAGCAGCAGCACCTGTATAAGGCAAGCGGACGGGACTCGCAGCAAAATATTTCAGTAATGGGACTACTGTAAGTGGGTTAAGCTGGAGCTGGTAGTCATCCCAAACGAGACTAGCGCCTCTCCCCACGCGCCACGACCAAAACAACCGCGTGCTTTGCGGCGACCGACCGACCGACCAGTGCCAGACCCCCCCCCCCTCCAAATCGTCATCCCGACGCCAACTTCCAAAGGCCTCCTCTGCGCAAGGAGACGGGACTTCATCACGCTAAAACATTGCGGTGAGATAGTGAGGGAGAACTCTTTCCAAGCGCGACCGCCTATCCCGGATCACAATCTGTGCGGGTTGTTGTGCGCGCGCAACCTGCATCGACGACAAACACACGTCCCTCGGACAACAAAACCTTCTCGACCCCTCCCCACTCATACTTAATCAGTCCACCACGCTGTCAACGGATTCGACTCATTAGATCGACTTGATCTGCTTGCGGCCGTGCGATAGCAACAGCTGTGAACTTTCCTCCGACATCGAGTACAGCTGGCGAGCTAGCCGGAGGAAAGGGAAACACGACACCCGACCAAACCCATTGACCAAACCATCACACAACCTGCGCTCAACAGTGGTTTTCATTCGGCGCCCTTGTACGAAAAAAAGGAAAAGGAGAAAAGGGGTATTCGACGGCCGGATCGCCAGTCAATTGAATCGGAGTGCAGTTTGGCGTTGAAAGCGAATTACTCACGACACTGCGGACCAATCCTATTTTACCCTTCCCATCTCACGTACGCGAACTTTTTTTCGAACTCTCCCAAATCGCCGTGCGTCCTGCGAATGCGCCAATATTACCTGCCAAAATCGTCCTCTGACGCAGAAAGCACGCGTTCGAAAGCGGCCTGGGCGATCTCTTTGCAGACAAACCTCCCCGACTAGGAATTGACAGCCATTTACTGTTCGAGATTTCCTATCCACTTTGATCGGCATCTCTGATATGACCGTCACTGTTCTGGCGACCCCTTCAGTCATCACTACTACTACTACAACTAAGACGAAGCGTCGCGGACCGTTACTGGCTATCGATATGGCTGCGTCCCAGGCGCAGGCGCGTCCTGCCGCGCCTGGAAGAACCGGGGGTAGAAGATCGAGTCGGCGCTTGAGCAAACAGGATAAGGGCGAGGAGAATGCAAATGCGAATTCGGCAGCGAATGGTGTAGGTGGAGGGGAGAAGAAGAGGAAGTTAGGTGAGTTTTCGCTTTGTATGCGGGAATCTAGGTGTGTGGTCGCGGTGTGCTAAGTATCTCATTTTTTCGGTGTGTAGTGCCTGTCGATGAAGAGGAGGACGACGGTTTTCAGTTCACGCGCATCGCGACGAAAAAGGCCAGACCCTCGACGGAGACAATTCAACCTGCAATTTTGCCGGCAGTTTCAGATCTGAATACGGCGCCGCAGCCGTCGCCGAGGAGGGGTCGGCCGCCCAAGAAAAAGCCGGTAGTGGAGAAGGTGGATTCTCCTGCACCGGCGACGAAGACGGCCAAAACGACCACGACGACGAGACGGAAAACCAAACAGAGTGAGGGGACAGGCAAGAGGACGACGCGGGGTGCCGCGAAGGCGAAAGAGACTCAGCCTCAGCCTGAGCCAGAACCAGAACCAGAACCGGAGCCCGAGCCCGAGCCTAAATCGCAGCCACCAGTCCAGACGCAGCCAGAACGTACGAGGCGGTCGACGCGAAAGCTTGATCAGGGGGAAACGGTGCCATTGGAGAAGAAGCGGAGGAAAGGACGGCCTAGCAATTCGAGAAAGGAGGAGCAGATTAAGCCACAACAGCCAACGCCGCAGCCGGAACCCGAGCCGCAAGAGCAACGAGCGTCACATCACAATGGGTACGTGTCGCCAGAGCCGCCGCAGGCTGGAACAGCCACAATTGCGTTGCCTTTGGCCGACACACCGGTCATACAACGAAATCGGGAGATGCGCGGGAAGAAATCCGTGAAGGGGAACAACAGGCGGAGTAGTCTGGGGATGAGAGGCCGGCGAGCTAGCTCGCTTATCGACTCTGGGGCGTCCAACGGTGGGTTTGACGATTCTCAAGTGATTGACAGGCATGAATGGCTAACAACAATAATTCAGCGTTACCACATGGGAAAGTAGACACGGCGGATTTCTATAAACATATTGCCGCAGACCTACCGGAGCCGCGGCGAATGCGGCAGCTTCTGATCTGGTGTGGTACCCGAGCCATAGGCGACAAGCCTTCTGGGTCGCGCTCAGAGGATGAGAGCGCTCGGTTAGCGGGTAGGTGCACCTTTCCTGGAATTGCCTTCCACATGCTAACGCGACGTAGCACGGGTTATACAGGAGGAACTGCTCAAAGACTTTTCTACGAATTCCACGCTCTCGAACTGGTTCGAACGGGAAGACCTGAATCCACCAGCCGTGGTGGTCAAGAAGGAGAACCCGAAGAACATCCAGAATGCCGAGAAAATCAAGGAATTGGAGGAGTTGATACAAAAGTAGGCTTTCCTCTCGAGCTCTGTGCATGCCAGACTGCTGACTCAGGAATCAGGCTGCAAAAAGAGCGGCACGCTCTCAATGTACTCTTACGACCACCCGACATCCCCCGTATCAAAGAACAACCGCCTGAGACAGATCCCAATTCATCCTCCTATCCTTCATCATCTAAGCTTCACGAGCCGATCGACCTCTCAGTATTAGATCCAGCGCAGCGCAGGATATACGCGCAGATCGATCCAGAGGCCGCGAAACAACAAGACGAACAGCCAGACCCACAACTACCACAACCACAGCCGACAGATGGCGAACCAATGGAGACAGACCCTCAACCAGCAACAGCAGCCGCAACAGCCTCCGAAACCACCTCCTTCCTACCTCCCATGTCCCCTACCACCATCTCCACCCGCCTCTCCCGCGTGACCAGCACCCTCGCCCCGACTCTCGACGCCCTCGCCGCGGGCATCCACAACCTCGAACTTTACCGCTCCACCTCCGACGCCGTCTCCTCGCGAGTCCTGCGCATCTGCGCCGAGCGTCTCGAGGCCCGAGACGCCCGCAACAGCATGCGTCAGTCCGCCAGCACCTCGACCGAAGCCCAGAAGGACCTCAGTCTCCGGCCACGACCCAAAGAAGACCTAGGATTGATACTGGGGGCGTTGAGTCGGGTGGAACGTCGAGCTTGATCTTGTCATGGTTTTCTCTTTTTTTTTCTTTCTGCATGGGATGCGCAGCGACTGGATGCAAATACTTTGCCGGGGGCCTTGCTTTGACACCTTTCTAACTTTAAACTTGTTGTTTCGCTTCTGGTAAATCTGAATGATAATCCCAAGACCTATACTTGCTGCTGCTGATGCTGATGCTATGGGCTGGACCCGGCGGGAGCCCGCTTTTTCTCTTTTTGTTTTGCTTTTCTTTTTTTTTTCTTCTCGGTTCGTTCAGCGAGCATGCGGGTCGTTCCAGCCTTGTTTCTGGCTTTGAGTTTTGGATGTATGGCTGGGATGGGACGAGCTGGGTTTCATTGATCAGATATAAGCACAAGCGAATGGGCGTTTAGTGGAAGTTGCGACGGCTTCGATTGAGCCTGAGGTCTTTTGCGGGATCTGAGTTGGTCCGGGTGGATGATAGGTACCTACCTACTTACCTGTATGCATGTAGATAGAATTGAAACACCCAGGACCTCACTTTCTGAGTCCCAGAAAACAAATCTACTCGTTTTTTTTTTTCCATATTGCATGGTATGCATGAGATCTATAGATAGGTCGTGAGGTGCTTTTGACTTCCGCACTAATGAAGATTGTAGCTGTGGGAACTTGAAGTCAGTCACGATGCTATTTCCCTTACGCACTCATGTTCAGCTGAGCTGAAGACATACATGCAATGGTTACTACTACCTTGAATGTATTCTGGACTGGTTCTGGAACATTGTTGTGGAGAATGAACAATACTCAAATACTCAAAGATTCCATTAGTTTTCGGTAGTCATCTACATACATATATTTATTTCTACACTTTGAGCTCGAGATGTGTCAAGTTTAGAAAAAGCCCAGTAAACTACTACTACCATCTTATTGCGAGAAAGACTTTTCCTTTAGAGGTGGTTGGGGATAAATCAGACCTGAGACATAAGTACCAGTACAGTACAGTACCTAGCCAGCGATTGCAGCAAGTGCATCACAGAAAGATACCGCTGCAAGGATCCTACTGCATGTCCAGCCCATTTTGTGTATGTCGCGCGCAGTACCCGCAGCACAGGAGGGTGTATTACATCACATCCTGGATTTATTTCTGCAAGTTGAGGAATGGAGATTCTGCAGTGGTTTGTGGGCTTGTGCGTCTGGAAGGTTCGGACAGTACAGCAGTGCGCAGGGTTATCAGATGCGCGGGGCTGGCCGCCAGGTCATCTAGTTGTTGCAAACTGATTACTGTGTCTGTGTTGTTCAAGACTTTTCGTTCCAGAGAGCACAGCTGGATCTAGGCCCAAGACTCTATAAATTGCTGTTGTTCTGGTCAATGTTGTTGTCACATGATCTTCGCTGAAGGGGTAGAGCGGGTCATTTTCTAGCGAGGGATGTCCGTCTCCGACCGCAAAGGAGAAGAGTTTCGAGCTGAGGGCTTCATGTGATCTCAACTGGGCTTGCTTAGAGATAGTATACGGATTGGGATTGGGGGGGTTTTGTTGGTAGGTTTACGAGGTCATGATTGGGAAGGAGGTTGGCGCTGGCGCAGCTGGCTGAGCAATGCTTCTGAGACTTGCATGGCTTCGTCGGGAGTGGAATGTTTGCGGTCTTCAAGGCACGATGATCTGTTCTTTGGTGAGAGAGCCCAGGTGCATGGCTAGCTCAAAGTTACAGAAGGCCTAGAGTCTTCGTTTTGAGGGTGATGAGGGGTCCTGGTCTTAGGACTGCGGTCGAAGACATTGTCAAAATCTCCAAAACTCTCGAGGCTGTAGGTCTGAATCATGCCAAACAGCTATGCGGACTAGACAGCCGCGTTGCGGTGTCTAGAATATGGGCCAGGAAACACCTCGCGATGAATTTTCAAGAAGTCACTGATTGACTCTGGCATAGACATTGTACTGACTTCTCCTGATCATACTGTGACTGCACAGGCGCTTTGACTGCTTCCCTTCGGTGAGATCATCAAGTCACACCAGCCCAGATGGTCTCTGTCTCAGTTGAGACCCGCCTAGAACGGCCCTTTGACTCTGCATTGACTGACAGGCCGACAACAGAGCAAAAGATAGAAATCCCTGTTCCAGGTGCAATTGCGATGATGGGACGTCCACCTAGCAATAGAGCTCCTATCCCCGATGGCTAACGTCACCTTGGAGCGGGATAGAAAGAAATTCTGCCACTATCCCTTGCACTAACAATCAAAGCCAGAGCTGGCTCCCTTGCCATTCCCCACAGTAGCAGCAGCGAGCGCAACAAGATAACGATGACAGAACACATACATCCGCCGGCACGGCTGCACCGCCTCCCCGGTGTGACGCCGGTAGAGTACAGATCCCTTCGCTATCATTCCGGCTCGCAGAATTAAAGATTGGTCCTTGCGCTCATGCAGGTGACACGGCCATCCTCGGCAGCACTGCGCAGCGTCGGACGGGAGGGGTCAAATCCCGCTCTGTTGACCAAGCCCGGTCGCATGAAGCTTGGAACCTCGTCGGGTGTGTAGACTTATGATGGTGTGGATCGGTGTGTTGATTGGCAACACTGATGCAATTATGCTCTAAGAATCGATCTGTTAGTGTAGCAAGAGAAAGGCACGCAGCGGACACACCAGCCGCCACCGAGCACAAAGAGGATGAGACTAGGTTCGGGTGTGCGTGGTGTAACCTAGCGCCACGCAATCTACCAAGTACGAATACCCAGTGACATCATGAATAGGGGCGTTATACAGGCTCAAAGTGCTCGTAAGCAACACTAGTATGCAGGTACGGGCTAGCGAGGTCCAGCACCCGGCTTGATGGAAGAGACTTCTGGGTTGGTTCCTCGTGATGGGTAATCATCCGCTGATTCTCCTCATCATTCGGAATACTGGAGGTTGAAAGCTGAGTGTCGACGTGATTGAGATGTTCTATATTTATTCTTAGTACTCGCAAAGAATGTCAGTCTAACTACTCCATAGCTGGCGGTGGGGCAGTCTTCGACCATTTGGCCTAGCTCTGCGCATCTCGTCAATCGAGCAGTAGATCGTCAAGTGCTATTGTCTAATCAAGTCCCGACCGGGGATCGGCAACATCACCGCCACGCCGACCGGTTGGCAAGCCTCAAGTAAGGAGGCGAGCCAGAGGCGTTTACTTAGTTCCAACGTCGAAGCATGTCCGCAGCCGGCAGTGAGAGTTTTTAGAAGGCTTGCTTCCGCAGAACATTGAGAGAAACAAGAGGTGGGACCATATGTGAAGAGCTGCCTGACCCTAGATGTGTATCCCGCTTCCTCAGCTCCGCCGAAGATGCTCGCAGATTCGACAGTGATACGGTGTAGCCGAATCCGGAGTTCCGCTAAAAGTAGGTATTGTAGATCCTTGAGTGCACCGTGCATTGACGCCTGTGCAGGAGCAGTGTAGAGATTCGATTAGCCCCAAGGATGCAGGACCCATTTCGTTGATCTTCAGGGGAGGGGGTTAGTAGCTGCTGAGACTCCATAGTAGGGCAGGGATCCTCCATGACAGCAAGGGAGCTCAAGCAAGCTGCCTTGATTGCATTTATCCAAGGCATGTTCGGAGTCAGGTTGCTGACTGGCTGCATGGCAAGAATCTTGCGGATTATCTATTGCTTGAACGCGCGTTCTACCCCACAACGCCATCTTTCACTAGAAATGCATGGCAATTCTCCTATACTCCGTACATCATTAGTTAACCTACGAATGCAATGGGGCCAAAAGAAGCTTACCCTTGTGATCTAACCACAAAAAGTATGTGAAAAGTATGGGATGGGGTCATGCAATCTATGAAATTGTGGTGAAAGAAAGTTGAAGATGGTCTTGAATTAAAAGTAGAAGTTGGATTGAGGCCGAAGTTCTACTCCGTACAGGAAACTGCCCGTCAATCCCGTTGAGGAAGGACCGCCCACACACCTGGCACCGCTTCTCTTCCCTCCTCAACGTCAGCTTCACAATCTCCATCCATCTCCACACTCCTCGTCTTTCGCGCTTCTCCTTCTCGATTCTCCCCTTAGTAAATCTCACAGTCTGCTATCCCCGGTTCCCTTTGTCCCACTCAGTCGCCGCATCGAGTCTTGCCATGTGATGGATTCGAAATTGGCCCCCAGAAGCTTCGTCATCCGCCAGGGATCCTCTTTCCCTCTCCCACTCGAGCCGCGGCCGAGATTCTGCACTACGATATGATGTGATGCTCCGGTGAGATGGTCGAATGCGGTCCCAGTCACCAAGTTATCCATCCACCCATCTGTCCCATCTGTCAATGATCGGAAACCCAACCGGCTGACGTGGAAAATGGCCAAGAATGGCTCAATGCTGCCCTTCCGTATCAGAAACCATGGGCTGCTTGGCCAGACAGACCATGGCTCCTCTCCTGTCCCTGAGTGTCTTGCTTTGATGGACCGGTTCGGACACTAAAAGAAGTAGACAAACGTCGTTGATCGTTAGTTGCGGATGCGAGGATCCTCTTTCCGGACCCAGCGACGGGCCCACCTCCCCCGGGGGTGTGTTTTTGCCTCTCAACCCCTTCAGGAGAATCAGAAAATCCAAATAGATGTGAAACCAGAACCCACCGCGCGCATCAGTCAACATACCTCGCGATCGTCTCAGCCGCGTCAATCAACCTTTTGCTCCTTCCCCAAGATGTTCCAGAAGGCTGCCCTGTGGATCCAGGCACTTCTACTCCGTATCTGTGGGGTCCAGAAGAACTGAACGGCAAACTAGCGGACAGTTGACTCTGTCCAGGCTCTAAGCGACTCGAATGAAGCAGTTGAGGCCATGATAATTATGCACATTTCTGACAGCATGACAATAAACAAAAGCAGCTAAAGCACAGAACACGCTGACCAAGGATTTTCGTCATAGTTAGGACAAAAGAGGGCTCCCAGGTCTGTGAGACGACAGCCCCTCAGATGAGCTGTCTTGGGCTCTCTTTGGTCATATCCCTTCTACGCCGTACATTTAAAACCGTCTCAGGCAATGTGACTCCATCATTAGCCACAGTGGTACCGTATCGTGGACCCCGTGGAACCGGTTCCGTCAATGAATGTGGTCGCGTCCCAGATAGTAGCAAGACGGCACGGCCCTGCTGATTGATGCCTGAGCGCAGCTCTGGTCTTTTGGGGTTGGGTGTCACTCTGTGATTCTTGTGATCGTCTGAATTCCTTGTCATTCCCTTCGCTTCAGCGATCCGGTTGGATCCAAGCTATCGGACTTTAGGGCTAGGGAACTGAACCAGGTCTGGAGCTGGGACTCCGCCCAGTACAGCTTGACACACTCACTTTGCTTGTCTCTCCCAATTGTCCCTTTTTATCTTAATCTTTTTTTATTTTGAATCATTTTTACCCACCCTGAAAATCTCTGATCCATTGGTCCTGAACTGTCATGGCCTGCATCGATCATCAATGTAATGATTTATCAGCGTGGTAATGATGCCTCCGTAGCTGAAGCTGCATCTGATACAAAACTTTCCCTTCCCCCCCTTCAATGGCACTCTTTGGTCAAACGTCTGGCATACGGACAACAGAGAATATCCTAACTCAATCTACTTTCTACGGCGTTAAAGGTCCTTAAATCCTGCTACACAAGGCCAAGGACAGATCGCGCACATTCATTTCTTCATATGATATTTCGTGCTGTTCGAGCTCCGTGATTGGTCTTTCCTTCCTGTATCCGGATTTCACATATTTCAAGATTCGGCTGCTTTCGTCCATCAGAAGATCGAACGCCTTTGGCACTTGCTTTCCCCACCATTGTTGATTATATCCCCTTCCAACTTCATCGTGCCCGCACTTGGTAGAGGAAGCTCTTATCTATCCCCCAGCCCCGCCCCCTTTCTTCCCTCACCTGCCTTCTGTTCTACTCTGTAGCAAATTCGGATTTCCTCTGGAGGAGACCATTCATCCTGCACAACGAATCAGGGTATGCGTCCGTGACGTGCCTTCATTCCTTGCGGCGGGCCTTCATCCCTTACAACCAGCCTACACTCACACCACTTACTCTTTGTTTTTCAAGGTGGCTTGAATTGCGAAGTCTTTGCAATCACCAGATAATTCTGTCAATACTCGCCTCATTCTTGAGTATTGGTAAAATCCTGCCAGGTGAGTTTCAGATCCGAGTTAAGCTCAATTAGTGATTTGAGGCGCGGATCTGACAGGGCTCCCAGGCTACTGAACATAGCTACGATTTTCTGACCTTGGGGCCGAGCCTGCGAGGTGCTGAGAGATCAGATATCGATCTCGGACCAGAGAGCAGTGCATCTTCCAAGAAGGTCTGTATGGAGAGTACAGGGCAAAGAGACCAACAAGTGGAATATTCCGGGTGTACTGAAAAAAAATAAAAAAAACCACCCAGCCGCGTGACACAGAAGGGTACTTGAATTCCGCTTGTTCAAAAAGGACTTTGCTCAGTCCTGTAAAGCATACGGGAATGGCTGGCGGTTACTTTGACCTCCCTATTTCCTCATCAAGACCACGGAGCCTTACCGATGTGTCTGGAAGAACAAGCAGATCCTCCCAAAGGCCGCGTATATCCCCTCGTTTGATCCCCAATGAGAGGCTGCAAGAGAGTGTAGGGGACTCTGGCGGAGTCCAGGGAAGATTCCGGAATGCTAGAATCCCCAAAAGCGCGAATCGCGTCAAATTCACAGTCAGCGAAGCTGGTCTTGGCGACTGTATTCTTGGATCGACGTCAGAGACCCGGATCGATGGAAGGGGCTCATCTTTGCCTCAAAGACCGTTGCCCACAGCTCACATTCCAGTCACCGACAGAATCACTGCCAACACCCAATCAGTGCCCTTGATCGATATCAGTCCTGGTTCACCGGTCGGTGTCACGGGCCTAACTGTCCACTCAAGGGCTAGCTCGCCGGAGATTTATGTTGATGATGAAGTCAGAAATGAGAAGGGGAGAGCTATCCACCTTGCGCAAGAGAGAGCTCAGAGATTGGCCACCCTAATAAGTCGTTCTCCTAACTCTCCTAAGCCAAGCCTTCGGAGCAGTCTGCCGTCATCCATAGACTCGACTCCCTGCGAGGTGGTCCTGCCCGCTGAGCTTGGAGATGAAATTCCCATGATCAGCCTGACTGAGAAACAGCTCGACGACTATTCAGACGACGATGAAGTTGGCCCATTAACCAGTCAAAACTCAACACGTACCTCTGAAGCTCACAAACTAGGACAACAAATGACTCTCAAGGATTTCAACTTCTTGACCCGGCTTCAAGCCCCATCTCCAGGATTTCGGTCTGGACAGATTACCCCTCTGGAGGACAGGGAGTCAGAGACTTATGCTGAACGCCCGTCCCAATATCGGAGTGGCATACTCTCATCTCTGCTGAAACTTCATGAGCACACGGATGGTCATTACTCGGGCGGACGCCATGGGCGTTCGCGTCGGAGTAGTGCCGGGGAGATTAGTGGTAGAGGGTTGTCTCCGGACCCTAGCTGGAAGTCTCAGCGTCCAAGGAAATGGTACGAAAAATCGCCGAGCCAGTCTAGTCTCTCTCTGGCTGGTTCGACCGCCAAGAACTCATCTACCTCTCCGATCGCGATGCTCAAGCGCTCACGGAGCAGCGGTGCGATACCTGGGGCGTCCAAGCGGATGGGCAAGCCGCAGCTCGAGGACGAGATCCGGATTACGGTGCACATTGCTGAGCTTCTCTCTCGGCAACGGTATTGCATTCGCCTCTGTCGAGCTCTGATGAAGTATGGGGCCCCGACACATAGACTGGAAGAATACATGAGGATGACGGCAAGAGTGCTAGAAATCGACGGCCAATTCCTCTATATCCCGGGATGCATGATCATCTCCTTCGATGACGCTGCAACCCACACGACGGAGGTAAAGGTGGTGAGGGCTCCCCAAGGCGTCGACCTAGGCAAGCTGTCCGACGTACACCTCATCTACAAGGAGGTCATACACGACGTGATCGGGGTAGAGGAAGCGATCCAGCGGTTGGACGAGATTATGAAGAGGAAGAATAAATACCCAGTGTGGCTTCTGATTCTTCTGCACGGATGTGCAAGTGCTTGTGTTGGCCCATTCGCGTTCAGCGCTCGACCCATCGACATGCCGATTGCATTTTTGCTTGGATGCCTCTTGGGCATTCTGCAGCTTGTGCTCTCTCCGCGATCAAATCTCTATCAGAATGTCTTCGAAATATCGGCTGCTGTCCTGACATCGTTTCTGGCACGAGCGTTCGGCAGTATCCGTCACGGAGATGCAAGGCTGTTCTGCTTTTCAGCTCTAGCCCAATCGTCAATTGCCTTAATTCTCCCAGGCTATATCGTTTTGTGTGCCAGTCTGGAACTACAATCACGCAGTATCGTGGCGGGATCAGTTCGAATGGTGTATGCCATTATATACTCTTTATTCCTTGGGTTTGGTATCACAATCGGTACTGCTGTTTATGGCCTTCTTGATGCCGACGCTTCCTCCGAATACACTTGCCCTCCAAGTTCCATCACCAACGAATATCTAGGGCGGTTCCCCTTCGTCATTCTTTTCACCTTTTGCCTCGCCGTCATCAACCAAGCGAAATGGAGACAGATGCCTATGATGCTGGTCATCGCATTTACAGGATACGTAACGACTTATTTTGGCACCAAGCGGTTTTCCACCAGCACCCAAGTGTCTAACGCTCTGGGTGCATTTGTTGTTGGGGTCATGGGAAACCTCTATAGTCGACTTCGACATGGTTTTGCAGCCGCCGCTATGCTGCCTGCAATCTTCGTTTTGGTGCCGTCAGGCCTTGCAGCCAGCGGCTCCTTAATTTCTGGTATTGCTGCAGCGGAACAAATCACGACGGTGCCCTCTCCGTACTCGCCGGTGTCCAATGGAACACAGGGTTTCGTTGACGCAGCTCAAAATATGACCAAGCCTGAGTACGATACCCAGACTCAGGGGATCGTTCTAGACATCGGTTATGGCATGATCCAGCTAGCCGTGGGCTTCACGGTCGGTCTGTTCTTGGCTGCTCTGGTGGTGTATCCTCTGGGCAAAAAGCGAAGCGGACTGTTCAGCTTTTAAAGTCACTAGTCCATTAGGTCACACTCTATCTATACGTCACTCTTTCGCATCTATATACGTGAAGCGTCCGCGGTTTTTTCTTGTGTTTGTTCAGCGTTGTTATCACGAAGCGGATCCGTCGAGTTTTTTCAGCGAGAATTGTTTGAGATGATTTCATCGTTGATCTCCATTACACAGTTTCGGCTATATCGCCTCTTTCGTCCTGACTTACTGTGATCTCCTATCTTGTTGCCCCTGAGGTTCTTGCATATCTTGATAAACGCACTCTCTCAGTTTTCCTTACAGTCTGTGTCCGTGATTCTCTCGATTCTCTCTGGTATTCTACTTACAAGGAATGACGGAATTAATTATATGTCATTGAAAGCTGAAGCTGATCACCTTCCCTTTTCCTAGGGTACTAAAAGTCTTACTTCGGTATGGCAGTAGTAGTACTTGCTGTGCCGTGCCGCTCCTTTACTGATTAAGTGCCTGCAAAGTGGCGCACATGGCTCCAGTGTATGGCCTCTGATTATGTTGCTGGGAAAATAGTTGCTATGTAACTATGATAGGTAACTATGATGTAATGAGACGTATGCAGCAGTATATGGCAGTCACTTGGCAAGCATGAAGTATGTCAGTCAATTGATATTGAACTATAGAGAATAGAATATACAAACATGAACCCAATCACAGTCCCGTGAAAGGATAATCAAAAGCATTTCCTGACATAGTGCACCTTCATGCGGAGAAAGCTTTGTCCTCGCGAGCGTGATTAGGAAGGTTCATACGGGGGATTTTTTTTTTTGGCTGGCGCTTTGATATCTGACATAACTAGGGAGGGAAGCTTCACTGAGGTCAACTTCAGCCGTCATCGTTTAGCCCTGATTGGTGCATCCAGCCCAGAGTTTTTCAGCATTGAACCTTTCTGGATTGGCTCCGCAATACTGCACCAACATGCGAGGCATTCATTTGCGTCGCGAGAGTGGATGAATCTGGCCGTTAGCACCTTGAGCGATGGGCAAATGGAAAGAATCAGATAGCCCCAAATCTCAAGCATAGTGGAGCTGAACTAGTCCCAATCATTTCACTGCCAATTGCCCTTGAAGACGCACATGACTATCGAAGCGGGGTACGTCCAGACCTCTAGTGAGTGAATCTGAACATCGAACAGCCGGAGGTAGCCGAGCTCCAAAGCATGGATCACCGTCGAGACAAAAATGCGGCAGTGTCACAACTTCCTTAGGTGAAGCGAAAGCTAAAGCGAAAGACTTATAACCAGATGTAGTTCACCTCCTAACCCCACCCAGAAGAAGACCTGGTACCTAGACCTAGGCATCGCAAGACCCGAAAACCCATGAGTCAACGCGTAGGAGATAGAGAGGAAGGAACCTGAGTAGAGAACACGTTGCTAATGTCAAGGAGCCCGCTCAAGGAGCTTATCAATTTGTTCAGGTTGTAAGTGGAGAAAGGAATGATAGAAAGAGAAGAATAACATAAGTCACATTTCATATGGGGAGGGATTGCGAGGTGGTCGTTGAGCCAGTCAAATCGACTAAACCCAACCCCATCTCGTAGAGCCCGATCGTGTGTCCAAGCACATCAGAGAAAGAAAACATGAGACAGATGATCGCTCGGGACCAAGATCTGCCCCATGATTTGACATCAGAAATTAAGCGTCTCGTCTTCAGAACCAGGAAAGATAATAGAATCAACATGCTTCAAAAACCAACACCCCAGAGGTAAGCGATAAAAGAAAATCATCCAAGCTTGGCACATCCCGTGGCGCATCGCAAGTCACATTATGTACGGCGTTCACATTACATGATGGTGGGGGTCTTACGCTTCTCAGCGCTGGACAGCACAAGCATGGGGGTCTTGCGCCGCTCCTGACCCTGAGCTACCGTCTTCTGGCCAGCGACGACAGCAGCAACCGAGGGGGATCCGGTTCGAGGAGAGCCCTGATCCGCTCGAACATCCGCGAACTTTCCTCCGAAGAAACCACCTTCCTCACTGATAGGAGTCGTGTTGAAGGGGCTATCCTGCGATCTACGCTCGCGAGAAGACCTCTCTTTCCTCTCGGAACCGATGGCGCCATTGGCGGCGGCACGGAGGCTACCAAGGCTAGGCTTGCTAGAAAGACTACCACCACTACGCACAGTGGCGTCGTCTCCGTCAGAAAATGTGAATTCCTTTTCGCTCGCGGGAGTGTTGGTACCACCGCTGCTATGGCAACCGAAACTCCGGGTGTCACCGCGACGCTCGATGCCGGCACGCACCAGGTTGTGGACGGCGCGGCGTCGCTGGCGCGTAGCAAAGTTCTTGCTGCCCTCAAACTTGGAGGTGGGTTTAGCGACCAGCTCTTCCAGGGAAGGAGGGCCGCGGGGTTGGCGAGTGGGATGTTCGCCCGCGCGAGCTTGGCCGGGACCGAAGGTTCCGGTCGCCGGGGTTTGGGGGAGCGCAGCGGTCTTGGGGGCAGGCGGCACCATCTGGCTATTAGCCTTGACAGTATCAATTGGCAGCTTCAGTGCAGGACTGAAAGATGAGCTCTTCTTGTGGCCTCGACGGAACGCGTTGATGGAAGGTGGGGGCAGAGGAGCGACATCCTGGGGCGGCGAGGGACTAGAGCGCGGAGGAGACACGGGCTCGCCGATGCTGACCGGGGACTGGTGGGATTCGGGGGGAGAGACCTCAGCTCTGAAAGTGGGCACTGGAACGGATGGGTATGAATGTTCCTCCTCATGGTAGGGACTAGTGGTGCTTTCCTGCTGGACGGTGTTATCATAGATGAAGTTCTGCTGGCCGGTCAAAGGATTGTAGACCGAGAAGAGACCCGGCTGACCCGGGACCGGCTGCACAACTGGTTGCACACCCTGCTGGAGCTGCTGCTGGTAAAAGCCCATGCTGGGAACGGAAAGCGCGGGATATTCCTGTTGCTGTTGAACCATAGGCCCCCCCAAGCTCATACCCTGGAACTGCTGGGCTGCTGCAGTGACGCTGATCAATTGCTGCTGCAGGCGCTGTTGCTGGGCCGCAAGAAACAGATTGGTCGACATAAGTTCCGCATAAAGATTATCGTCCATTGGCATATCGCCAGCGATGTCAATAGCCGGAGGTGCGAGCACCTGCTCCGGCAAAGTATACATAGGACGACCCGTGTTCATGTCAATATTCTGGTTCGTGGCTAGCGAGTGGCGTGGGAAACCGGTTCCCATGGCAGTTTGAGGGACACGCTCCGTAGCCTGGTGCAAAAGGTTGCCATAACGGTCTCCTTCGTATCCGAGGTGCTGCTGGCGTTGAACTGCCGACGGTACAGTCGCGGATTTAGGTGCGGTTCTCAGTCCTGCCAAGAGATGAGAACGGCTGGTGCGGGGGGTCGGAACGGGCGCAGAAGGCTGAGATTCATCAATCGAAGCGATGTGCGGCGGGGGCACGCTCAGGCGCTTGATGTGCGAACCCTTCCGTCGAGACCCGAAGCTGGCTCCAGGAGCCCCGAGGGAAGCGCCATTATTGAAAGACGAGTTATAGGTCATCTGAGCAAGACCGCCAGCGTCCATACTCGTGGTTGTAGATGAAGAATTGTACAAAAAGATATGTGCAGTAGACGAAGCAAAAGGAGTGCTGGTGAATCAGCAACGCGAGGTAGCCTTGGCGTATTAAGAGATTAGGAGGCTTCGTCGATAACGAGACGCACAAAATAGCCGATGCTGGATGGCTTATAGGCAACGAACGGTAAAGATAGCCCGACGTTCCTAGAAGGAAGACCAAGAGAGCTTTCCGAACGATTAGCCAGATGCTGTGATTGAGGACTCAAGGCCAGCTTACCCGAATGACACAGGAAATTATGCGAGTCGACGCGCCCCTTCTGAAATGGTGCCGGACGGCAAAGAACGATTAGGAATCAGTTGTACAAGAAGATAAAAGCCAGGCGTCGGCAGTGAGCGATCGACGTTAATTGAATGACGAAGAGAGAAGCCAAAGGGAAACGCGACCGGAGCAGAAGCGTAGTCGGCTAAAGCAATGATGGTGGTGGTGGTGAAGGATATGTCTGTGATTAAAAGACCGATGGTGGTGATGAACAGACGGGAGATGCTCTGCAACTCCTGGTAGAGGTAGAAAAACAAGGCTCGATCCCACGATGTAGCGAAGAGAATACTCGAGCCTGAGTTGTTCGTCCGAGTCCTTTGCGACACAAACACAGCGCTGCAAAGACGACGAGATAGGAAGTAAGGGATGCAAGCAAGACTTTTGGAGATCTTGTCAAGGGGAGATCGATAGATGAATAATTAAAGGACAAAGCTTCCTCTCAGTTTTCCGAATTTATCCTTGATAAATCTTTTTTTTTCTGTAAACCCTTTTTTCACTGAACCTTTTTCTTTTTTGTGTTTTTTCTTTTTAAAATCCGAAGCTGAAAGGGAATCCGCGCACTGGGAACGGTGGGAAGAGAGAGAAGGGAAGAAGAAAGAGGGTGAAGTGAGGAAACGAGTCTCAACGCCGGGTGTGATTGATTCGTTTCTTCGGCTCTCGGCGCGTGTTTTGGCCGCCTTGTTTTTCTTTGCTTTTTTTTTTTTCTTTCTGTTGCGTTTTGTTCCGTGGCTTTCCTTCCGCGCCTAATTGGGGAGCAACTGGTTGGATGATGCCTCGTAGTGCCTCAGGCAGACAGGCGGTACAAGAAACCTCTCCCGGTCCAGGCAGGGGTCAGGCAGAACGCAGATTAAAGGTCTAGCAAATGAAAGAAACGAAATCAGGTGAAGGATAAAAATAAGCGAAATATTAGTTGCCGGGGAAAGAGTCTGAGAGAAGAAAGGGATATGATTGAAGTATAAAAGACAAGGCTGAAGGGGGGGGGGCGAAGGAGGCTGAGGTTGACGGGGAGGGGAGGGTGAGTGAGAGAAGCGAGGAAGAGAAGGGATGGGGGGAAGAAAGATGGGAGGTAGAGGAAAGGAAGAGTTGGAGAAAGAGTTAAGAAGCAAGAGAGAGAAAGGGCGAAGAGAGAGAAGATGAATGAATGAATTGGGGAGAACACCAAGTAATAATAAGAATAATAAGAAGAGCGATAAGTTTAGTAGAAGAGAGTCGGGACAGGGTAGGGAACCAGCGGGGGGGGTAGGGAGGGCCGGGCGAGAGATGAGAGAGAGAGAGAGAGAGAGAGAGAAAGAGAGTGATGAGAGACACCACAGACAGACTGAGCTGCCATTCCCCAATTCCAGACGCCCAGTTCGCCGCCCGGGGCCAATCTGCCTTCAATCTGCCTTGCTGAATGGCTCGCTTGACTGGCGCCCTTAGTAGGATCGGGACTAGCGTCATGGCCATTGTTTGGCAGTTGTGGGCCTGGGGCATCTGATTGGAGCCAACACCCACTACCGGGGTCTGGTGCCTGAGAATTTGGGAATGACCTTGAGGAGACTGAGGAACAGACAATGGTTTGACTTTGATTGACCTTCCCCGTCAATCACCCGCCTTTTCTTTATCTGACGGATGCTTCATGCCGTCAACTAAAGTATGTACCATGCCATCGAGGACCCATCCTTCAGATTGACTATCTTAGAATTACAAGCTACCCTCACCTCCCCCCACACACCTACCTAGTCTCACTTAACCTAGCCATGTTCGTTCCACTCCAGATCAGTGCGCTCGAACTCACAATTCCACCCGACGCTCGGCCAATTCGTCGTTGGCCTTCGCCTCATCTTATTGGCTCAAATTCTCTCGGTGCCACTTGAGGTCCCCACAGCGACTCCTGAGGACAATAGCTTTGGACACAGTCGCACGTCTCAGCCACAACGCGTCAGTTGCAGCGAAGAGAAATCAAACCAAACACCCGAGTCACTAGCAAGTTGCAACTCACAATGAGCCAGCTGAACGTAGGCATGTGGAAAGAATTCAAAAAGCTATCGGTCGCTCGGATGTGACTTTAGTAGTATGTCCTTCCGTAATGGTCAGAGCACTCGGCTGTAATGACCCTGATCAGACCTGATGATCAGTAGGACTGTCAAGAGCCTGGTTCTCTCTATTTGTGTTGAATAGATGGTAGGAGTGAAACCTCGCTGCAAGATCCCGTTCAAGTCGTGCCTTCTCTTCTTCAGTAGCATCCGTGAGACGGACGGCCACCTGTTCATCAAAATTCCTTGCCACTTCCTCCGGGGTCGAACGGGCAGTCTCAGGGAAGATGAGATAGATAACTACGGATTCAGTCAGTGGCTGCCTAGTGGGCTAATTCTCAACCTCAGTAGGTCAGTGCTACCTACCTGGAACAAAGAAGGCAGACCAGCAAATGATGACCAGGTAGTACTTCCACCCGATGCTGTTGAAGCCCATCGGAGCCGTTTCAAGCAGGATAAAGGTTGCTCCCCTTCACTAAGCCATGACGACTCAAGTTGTCATCTGGCCAATACTCACCGGCAAACTGTCCAAACAATGAAAAGACCATGCCAATCGGCCGAATCTCGGTGGGGAGAATCTCAGACACGGACAAGTACATAGTGGTATCGCAGAAAGTCCTGTTCGTAATCAGTAGAGATGCCTGTGGCTTTCAAAAGCCATCTTTCCCCCGGAAAGCTAAGTAGAGATTGATGAGGAAAATACCAAATCCGTTTCCCACTCGATTCTTAGTCCCGGCATATTGTGCTGTCACGGCGGCTTAGCATGAGGTAGTGATGATAATACCGATGAAACCGGTGATGTACATCCTCCTCCTCGAATTTACGCGGTCATGAAGCCAAGCTCCGAGCAGATTATATATGATTCCTAGTTGATAGGTGTGAGAGCGTGCTGGCTCAAGGTAAGACTAAGAATCTCTTACCGGCCGTGGTCAACCATACTGCACTCAACAACAAGGGCGTACTGCCTGTCATTCCAAGATTGGTATACAAGATAACGGCATAGTTGTTCTGTTATGCCGTCAGCAGCTAATTAATAAGATTGGTAGGAGTGCGACGTACTGTGATTAGAGGCGCACCAAACTCGGCCCCCCATTGAGTCAGGAACCCGATGATCATACGTTTCTGGTACGATTCCTTCTTGACGACTGCTTTTCATACGCTGCCATAAGTAGATAATCGATCGCTCTCCGCTGGATCTGCTGAGTGGTCTAATGGTATTCTTCCTTGCCAACAAGGCTGTCAGGATCATCGGGGGACTTGCGCAGTCGCTCCAAGACAGACTGTGCCTCACTCTGCTTGCTCTTGATGATCAGCCAGCGAGGAGAGCGGGGAATCCAGGAGACCCAACAAGTAGTATTAAGGGTGATAGGCATTGTAGACAGAGCGGAAACCTCCAACCAAAAGTCCCCATTTGGCCCTGCGCGAAGTAACATGCATAGCCAACCCAGCCAGCAAGCATGTATCCAAAGACCAGAAAGATTGCATGATAGCCCACAAGCCAACCCTGGCGGAAAGCGCTCGATATCTCGGATAAATACATAGGGCAGACGGTCACCAATATACCAATGCCCAAGCCACAGATGAAGCGACCTGCCTGAAACATGCTGAGGAGACATCAGATTAACGGCTTTTTCGAATATCTGGGATAGTACAGGGCGTACCTTAGCGAGTCGGCACCACCCTGGAGGGCACCGCCAAACATGGCGAGGAAAGCGCCCAGTTAGATATTACGCTTTCGCCCGAAGAAGTCGCATGACCACATGATGAAGAGACATCCAACGGCACCTCCTGCGCTGTACACACCGTTGGAGGTTGATATGGCGGATGTTGTGATCGACCTGTATCCATGCTGACCCTCCCGAGGAAGTTCGAAGTAGGTATACCATTCCGGCTGGCCAATGGTGCTCGAGATAATGGAGGAGCAATAACCGTATGTCTTAGTAAACGAATGTGAGGTGCTATTCGAATGACAGTACCGTTACAGTGAGAGTCTTACTATCGATCCCACAGCAACAAAGGCTGTGACCAACCTGTTATAGGCACTTGTTTGTAGTCCGAATGTGCCCATGATGGTACATCAGACTTCGACTGGCAAGAGAGCAATAAATATGTATTGAGCACTCCAGTTTTAAAAAACGAGTCCAGTAGCTCGGCTTCATCAGCCACAGCCTTGCCGAGTGTGCGACCGAGAAAGGCTTGCTTATGCAGACTACTCTGCAAGACAGTCATCCACATGGATTGAAATAGAGAACACATTTGCCCTCTTCTTGCTAGGCCGAGCGGGGTGATATCCCTACTCCCAACGCTACTCATATCTTGGCTGGTGCAAGACCAGCAGCTCAAGGTAGTCCAATTCAGTTTCCGTGCTGAGAAAAAATTGTTCAAACTCTTCATAGACAACTATCAAAGCATTGGAGGAAGAGGACGAGGAAAAAGGAGAAGAAAGGGAGGATGGAGGGGTGGCTGTCGCCTCGTGCTGATCCCCCGCCTTGTCCCTCCCCGGTCCCAGTTTGTGCCATGTTTGTTTCCCCAAGCTGAACTTGTCCACTTCTGACTTCCAACACGAGTCTCAAAGGTCTTACAAGCCATGCTTCCTCCAAGTCTCAGTCATTCCTCGTTAATCAGTCGAACGCGTTCTGCAAATTCGGCCTGATAGTCGATCTGGTAGGTATTGTATTGTGATGCTAGCATAGCACTCCTTGCAGCCAAAGCTGGAGATACAAGTCCTGTACACTGACAATCTTGAACATGAGCAGCCATTCCAGCCAACGCGAGTCAGTTCTCGATTGTGTCTACATACACAGAAAGCAACCCCACCACCGTTTCTTCGAACAACTTATCGCTCACACCTATTACATCTAGCTCCAGAAGAACCAGAAGCCCAAGTACGGCGTATGCTCAGCCATGACGGATAAACAATCAGTTTTCGACACACCCTTCGACCTGCTTCCAAATCCCAAGCAGGTCTGGATAGGGGAACCCGGAAGCCATGAAGAAGGCCTCGGGAAGCTGTCCATCTTGACACCTGAAGTAGTGGCCAAGGCGGCAGCATCCGAGATCAAGACAGGCCGGCGGGTGACTATGGCTTGGGAATTGACCAAGCTAGATTATCCAAATCTGAATCGTCAGCCATGCCAACATCGCATTGTGCCCTTGCTAGGCGGGGTGGCCTTTGATGATATCTACACGATGAACCCACGTAAGGCAAGGATTAATCTAGCCTTTCTCTTACTATACTAAGCCATTCGCAGAGCAGAGCAGTCAATGGGATGGTCTAAGACATTTCTCACAGACGGTGCCAGGTCAATCAGAGCGTGTCTTCTACGGCGGAACGACTGCGGCCGAAATCAATGACCGGAAAAATGATCGGATCGGCTTACAGCACTGGGCACGCGCGGGCATAGCCGGTAAGCCGTTCAGCTATAAGTCCACCATTGTGTCATATCTCATTTGCTTTTGCACTGAACCGCTCTTTGTAGGTCGGGGGGTACTCATCGACTACGCCACGTGGGCTGCGAGGCGCGGGATACAGTATACCACTTTCTCAACCCATCAAGTCAGACTCTCAGACATTTTGGAGATTGCAAAAGAATGCAGCATCGCCTTTCAAATAGGCGACATCCTCTTTATACGAATCGGAGTTATCAAAGAGTGGGACAATGTCATGACAGATGTTCAGAAACAGCAATATTCTGCGAATAAAAACCCCCAGCATGCCGGAGTGGAGGCTACTGTCGACATGCTTCGTTGGTTATGGGATACTGGGTTTGCAGCCATAGCGAGTGATGCTATCAGTTGGGAGGTGAGATCGCACATGTCATGTCATTTTAGCTGCTTTGCACTACTCCTTCTCTGACATTGGGTAGGTATATCCACCACAATCTCCTGATCTTTTCCTTCATGAATACGTCCTTGCGGGATGGGGAATGCCGATCGGTAGGCCAATGAGCCAGTGTAGACTCAGTATAATAGCCGGTGCTAATTGTCTATAGGCGAGCTCTTTGATCTAGAAGCGCTGGCACGAACATGTGAAGGACTTCAGCGCTGGACCTTCTTTGTCACATCTGTACCTCTGAATATGCCTGGTGGGGTATCATCCCCCCCGAGCGCTATGGCCATATTTTGAGAATTGAAGCGAAGGTGCATAGAGGCTCCAGTTGGGATTTCCAGCTCTTGTGAGATGTTCGACGTGCTTTTCCATTTTACTTAACCTTAGTCTATGTATTTCTTGTTGCACAAAGAGCGTATAGCTATTCCAACCACACTCTGGGCTTGGAGTCTTGCCAGCTGCTGATTCATGTCCCAGCCGAAAGCTCAAAATACGTTCTAGCTGAATTTTCAAGAAATATTTCAGCCAGCGTGGGACACTTCGGTTTGGGCCGTCTCTAGCCGGCTGCATAATGACACGAATACTTTGCCAGAGCTGGTAGATATCGCAACAACTCTCACAGGAAGCAGACGTCACACAGCAAGTTTTAAATGTCGAAGTAGGAAGATTCATGGTCTAATGTTTCTGCATCCATGACGAATCGACTTCCCGTCCTTGATCATCCACGAAGCTTGTGGTGTGCTCCACAGGTGGGGTGCACATCACAAATTTCACGCAGACGCAGACGCAGACGCGTGAAATTGAGGTGACTATCATTACGGGTGCTGCAGCCTTTTCAGCCAGTCAGAAACAGCACTAATATTAATTGATAGATTGGGGCTAGATCATCGCCGATACTACCCCACTTGCGAAACATCCGTCTCATTTCACCCAAGCCTTCTCCGGACGATCCTGGATATTGACTCCAAGCACATCTTATCGCTCGTGGTTGTGACCGAAGATAAGCAGTGGACGGATGGTACGGCTAGCGCTATGCCAATTCCTCGATTGAGGCCTTTGTTTCATTTAGGTCCTGCCAGCGCTCCAACCCGAGACATATGTGCTCGAAGGTCCTATCACCACCTAGAGTCTGAGTGTCAATTTGACCTTTGGCTATATGAGCGGGCCATGACGATCCCAATGCATCGGGGAGGCACTCCACCAACTTGACGCACATGAAGTGTCATTGGTGCAATCTCATTGTTGATTCCATACGTCGAGGACTACGACGTACCATTTTTAGAAATGTGCTATATAACTCTGATAGAGCAGTGGCCCGTTCTTGATGGCACCGTAGATTTTCCGGTCCGTGGGGCTTTTCTTGCGGTAAGTGATTTGTTGACACTGCTACAAATCTACTTTTCTACTTTTCAAGGTTGCGCGCAAATTGTCGGCGCCTATTGTGGAATCATACAGGGAAGAATACAGAAGCCTCTGCAAACAAACAAGACCAAGTACAGGAAACAATAATTATCTTTAGAGCACAATCTACACATAGAAGCAGTAGCGCTTCTCACTCGGGTCTCCTATCATTCCGGCACTCGGCTCCTCGGATCCGTGGATAGTCATAAAGTGACTCCCTGGTGCCGGGTTAGGCCCGACGCAATCCTCACGGCTTCCACTGTGCAGAAATATCCTAGACAGGACCCGAATTTAGTATAGAGACTATCGACGATCAAACCAAAGAGGAGAGAAGCCAGCCTAAACAGTAGCCCACAGCCAAGACCAGTAGGACGACCACCACTACCTGCTTGACGGCGTTCTCAAACCGAGCCCGCTGCTGTGGCTTACATCCCGCCCTCGCGTAGAAAACCCAGTACATCAACGTGAGCAAGCGGCTATGGTGTGCAACAAGCCGCATACCTGCTTCCACCGCAACCGCCCGCCCCGCTAACTGATGATACTGATCCCTGTTCTGCAGAAACAGCGAGGAGGTCGAGAGCCCTGCTTCCCTCAGCCGCCTCTCGAGCTGCACCGTGCGCTCATCCGCAAAAGCGAGCCGAGCCATGCCGAGACCATTGTACACCCGTGCGATAGGATGCAGCGCATCCTCCGGCGTCCCCTCCGGAACATACCTCACTCTCTTCTGCCAGGGCATGCGATCACAAGCGTGCACCTCCGCCCAGAACCGCCCAAGACACATCTGCCCCGCCTCCCCCGCCACCGCATGCACGATCCCCGCCGTGCCACACGCAAGATGCGCCAGGATCCGCTCCGCGACGACATCCACCGGCACCTCATCGCACAGGCTCTCCTCATCCGGGTGGTCCAGCGAGCTCGGGATCGTGACGGTCTGGAACGGCGCGAGCAGTAGCGCGGCCGCTGCGGCGACGACCGGCGCCGACTCCGCGAAACTGAACCCCGGACAGGGATAGCCCTGCGCGGGCCCGATGCTCGATGGCCGCATGATGAGGAGTTTGTGCGCGACGTCAGCGAGACGGAAGCGCTCGAGCAGGAGACGCTCGGTCAGGTGCTTCGCGTAGGTGTAGGCGGCTGGGAACGCGTGTGCTTTGTACTCCCAGCTCGAGCCATGCTGCTCGACTTCGTGCCATTCGGTGATGGCGGGGCGGGCGGGGTCCCCCTCGGAGAGCGGGTAGATGCGTTCTTCAATTGATGATGGTTCTTTGTGGGCAGCAGGGGTCCAGTAGAGGAAGGCGTTGACGTAGGCTGTGGAGACAAAGGCGAGCTGGATGAGGTTCGCGCAGCCCAGGGCGAAGTCGGCGACGTGGAGGCTGGCGCGGATGACGGGGTCGGTTAGGGCTGGGAGTGGCTTTTTGAGGTTGATGGAGGAGGCGGCGTGGATGATGAAGTTGGCTGTTCTTTGGAGGTGGATAACGTCTTCCTCGGCCATGCCCATGTTGGGGAGCTGGGTGTTTCCTTGGATTATGGTTATCTTGTCGTGCGCGAGGGCTTCGAGGCCGAAGAGTGCCAGTCTCTCTTCCCATTTGCGGTGGACATGTCTGCTCATTGTGAGTCTCTCCGCGCGGGATCATAGGAGGGTGGGTGGTGGTACGCACTGCGTGTCTGATCTTGAGATCACATACACACGGGCGGCATTGGTGGACGACACGATGCGATGGGCAAGGACAGTCCCCAGAAAGCCTGACCCGCCAGTAATTACAATCACTTTCTTTGAAAAGGCTTCCCACATCTTCCCTGTAGTTGAGAAAAATCCGCGGGAGTAAAGCGAAGCGGTGGTTTCGGGGACTACTGTTCATAGTTTGAGGCAGTTTAGTTTTAATACATGATTCTTTGCAGAGAGCGACAGAGTACAGGGAAGCGTCTGACGTCTCTTTCCAACGATGATGTGCGTCGGAAGCAGCTGATAAGCAGAGATAGCAATTCCGTCATCTTCAAGGCGCGTGGGAGTTGGCTGGTATGTTGAACCCGCCAAAGCATGCAAGATCTACACGCTCCTGTCCCAGCTGATCGACCGATTTTCGAATTTTCTGGCTTCCAATTCGTGGGTCTGTGTCGGAAATATAGTCCCATTCAAACTCCTCACGCTCACATATTCACGGCTCTATAGTCGTCTGGTTCAACTAGCCGGGATGGGAGGGATATGGGCATTTGACGCTGACTGAAAGATGATCTAGAACACGTTTTCCCATATCTGGCTCTCGCTGGCGACAGACTAGAATATGCAGATTGACAACACTTGGATATAGCTTGATAGGAGGATCGAGTGTTCAAAACGTGAAGAACATGGCAGACATAGATAACAAACCCGGTATAGAGGGCCTCACTCCGAAGAAAGAATAATAAACATACGATGGGGCTTGGGCCGGTCGTCACGACGAGGTGCTCACCAGACTATGACTTTCTCAGTACATATAAACGTCATTGGCTGTCATCCTTTTAAATTCTTCGCAGGTCCATTGAACCGGTGCGTCGGTACTCTGGTGCTGATCGTCATGTCGCGACTTCATTGAGAAAGGCCAGCTGCACGTATATCCCGGAATGGTAGCTTTTCTTATTACCTTGCATCATATCGCAGTAAAGATCACGTCTAGATTGCATCTCACTATTGATGCATGTTGCATGCATAGTAGAACCGTGATTGGGGCGTGCCGCTCTGTCGTCACTCTTGGTAGATCAGGGCATGGGAATCACTGATCAGTCCGTATCAGAGGCCATTCGTCAGGATTGCAGGTCGTACAGACAGAAGATCAAGCGTCATATAGTATGGCTTCGTTTACAGATAGAGACTACTCACGTGGTGGGCAACATAGGAGTATGACTGGGAACATAGTCAACTGCTGGGCAGTGATCATAGAGACATGGAACTATAAAAATCAGGCCAGCTACCATCCTTGCCAGTATCATACTCAAAGTCTCCTCTAGACAACCAGCCACGCTTCTCATTCTAACCATGCTTCCTTATTTTCACCCGATCAGCCTCGCGATCTACGCACTCAGCGTCTTCACCTACATCTGCTGGCAAAAGTACTGCAGAAACAAGAAGATCCGCGCTTGGGGTTGCGAAGAGGCACAACATCAAGTCTCAGGTCTTCGATATGGATTCTCTTTGTTACGCGCCGCATATGACCGACAATGGCTCCCGTTCCTCGAACAGCAGCACCACCAGTACGGCCACACCTTCAGATTCTCTATGGCAAACAATAATATGATCTTCACTATCTCTCCGGACAATATCCAAACAGTTCTGTCCACCAAATTCAGCGACTTCGGTATGGCGCCAAGCCGTCAGAGGGCATGGAAGCCGTTTCTGGGGAAAGGGATTTTTACGCTCGACGGCGAAGCCTGGTCACATTCGAGGAAGATGATAACGCCTATGTTTGCACAGAAAAGGGTAGGATTGTTCCATTTATGTATCCGTTCTTAAGCATTGGGATTGAGGATTGTGGCTAACATTATCCAGTGGTCCGACTTCACGCAGTTTGACAGGCTAGTCGACAGATTCCTGGCAGGTCTACCCACAGACGGCTCGACGATCGATATAGAAGATCAGTTGGAACAACTGTTCCTCATGTCTACCACCAACTACTTTCTCGGTGAAGATGCGGCAACCTCTCCGCTTTTTCGACTGAACGGCTCAGAGCAAAACACAACCTCGTCGACTCACGGACAACGCTTCTCGGAAGCGATCAAACGATCCGAGCGGATGACAGCGTGGCGAACAATATTGAGCCAAGTCTACTGGGTCTTCAACACCCGTACATATCACCGGGACAATCGAACCATCCAGAACTTTGCTGATTATTTCGCGGACCGGGCCGTCGAGCGCAGGAAAATGGGGAAGGTCGAGCAGTCTGACCCTGGTTTCACGTACCTGGACAGTCTGGCAGAGCACGCCAGTGACCGTCAGGCTCTGCGCAGTCAGATCTCCCAGGTATTCATTGCCGCATCCCGCGACCCGCCTAGCCTCCTTGCCTCGACCTTCTACTTGTTGGCGCGACACCCGCGTGTTTGGGACAAATTGCAGGCCGAGATTCGGGAGGTTTTTGGGGACGACCTGTCCAATCCTAGAGAAGAGATCAACATGGCTACACTGAGCAAGATGAGCTACTTACGCCATGTTCTCGATGAAGGTAAACCCCCTCCACCACTGTCAATTGCCTTGGTTTTTGGCTCGGGATGAAGCTGACGGTAAGAACAGCGTTGAGACTGATACCTCCAGTCCCCTTTAACATGCGTGTGGCCCTTCGGGATACGACATTACCGATGGGTGGCGGTCCGGACGGCAGTTCACCGATCTTCATTCGCAAGGGTGATAGGGTTTGTTACAGTACGGCAGCCCTCCACAAGAGAGAGGACATTTGGGGATCCGATGCCTGCGCATTTCGACCGGAGCGGTGGGAAGATCTGCAGCTACAGCCTTGTGAATTCATACCTTTCAATTTCGGGCCCCGGATCTGTCCTGGTCGTGAGTGTGAGCCCCTAGGAAGTGGGTAAAGCTGGTGCTGATTGCTTGTTACAGAACACTATGCTATCGCGCAGACCAGCTACGTTCTTGTCAAAGTCATGCAACGTTTCAACGGGTTGGAACCAGCGCAAGCGGACCAGTTTCCTGTGACGCAGCCGATAATCGACGAGAAGCTGACGACAAGCCACTATGACGGTGTTTCAGTCCGGCTGCTCAGGTCTGCCTCCGCTTAGCAGCGAGCTTTACTGCGCTTGAGAACAAGAGGAAGAGAGCGGCCACCACACCATGGATGATGGTCGCCAGCTGAATGTGATATATACCTGATTTTCGAGGCCTTCTGACACAAAAGAGACATGGGGATAGATCTCTTGGACTTGAACCTGACTCCTGACTGCTGGATGAGGGCAAGAGTTACTGCAGTGATAGCCGGGCTCCGCGGGGTGAGTGGATACATTATCTATGAACAAGGCAGAACATACCAATCAAGGACTGTACATTAGCTTTTGCACCACTCACTGCAATCCGGAAAATCTTCCAATGAAACTTGAATTGACGTCAGTTGGCATTGAAGTCTAATTGGCCAAGAAATGTTGAAGAAGTCTGCGATATAGTAGAACAGTAGAGGGGAATTTAGCTTCTGTAAGGTCGTCACGATAGGCGTCTGTGAGGGGCAGCGGATTCTACAGGCTCAGACTGAAGTAACAAACCTGGAGTTATGATAAATATATGATTATTTTGTGTCCAGTAGTGACCCAGAACCGAGAGCGCAATAAAATTCTCTCCCAGATCGAGATTGGACTCAGAGAGGTGCGTTGGTCAAGCGAAGGATTGATCTTAGTGCCATCAAGCAGTGGCCTCGACTGGCCAAGTTTCTCCTCAACCATACATGCATCTGATCTTTGCTCTCGACCGATGCATGTATCCTTCTGGACCCTTGCCTTGCCTAGTGAAAGCTGTGCGAATTTGGCTCTTGGCTCTGGAAGCCTCACGATATAGCTAACGTGCAATAATCCGAGAAAGAGTGAGTTTTGAGATGGAGAGATGGAGAGATTCCGAGGGGATGGAGTTGTCACAGAACAGAAGCACTCTCGGGATAACTACCTTCTATGGTCGAATTACCCCGTGACAATGTCTGGCATACCCAACTAGGAAACTCATCCTGTGTGCCAAACAAATCGCTCTCGACGTGCATCTTTGATCTTCTTCGTATCACAATCTTGACTTCAGAGAGCTTGGGGTATAATCAATGTGTCTTGCATATCCTCTATTAACTTCTTCAATTATGCTAATAATTTGATTTACAATACACCAGTGTAATCCGTTCATGCCCGATCCACAGACGTTTGAATGCGATTCAAGATACCTTGGAGGCCCTCTGCATCTACCGACTCGGACTCCCGCGCAATCAAAGCTCGCCTATTCTCGTCACGCGGGGTGAATGTGGCTGGAAATGGGGGCGGTCGGAGGAGACCACCGATCTCCTGAAGATTCCAAGGATCCAATTTTACCTTGGTTCCATTACAAGAGCCCGTTTCGATATTATAAGCCCAGAGAATGTTGGGAATCAGGACTTCGAGCTCCTTCACAGCGAGGAACTGCCCTGAGCAAGCCCTTCGCCCACAACCAAATGCAAGAAGCGGCAGGTGAGGGTCTTCAAGCCACCGCTCCGGACGAAACAAGGCGGCATCTGATCCGTAGGTCTCGGTGCTCAGAGCGGCAGACCAATGGTTGAGTATGACAACCGAGCCTTTAGGTATATCATAGCCCATGAATGTGTCATGCTCAGAGCTGCAGTGCGCTAATGACCCAACTGTGATAGGCCGCCAGCGAAGAACCTCCTTGATAAATGCTCTTGTATATGGAAGCTCTGGTAGATCCTCCAGATTGGGGAGACGATCTCTCCCAACCACAGCATCCAGTTCTCGTTGAGCTTCAGCCATTTTCTCGGGGTGCAGAACACATGCTAGGACGCAATACCGAAGGCTCGTTGAAGTGGAATCAAGACCAGCTTGAAAGAGCACTCCGACTATATAAAGAAGTTCTTCGTCGTTGAGCCCGGTGGTTCGTTCCTTCGTTTGAACATGTTTTGTGAAATTCCATCCCGGTGCGGTCATAGCTCGTCTACTGCTCTCTGCGAAGATTCGCACCGCCTCCTGGTGGCAGCGATTCCCGAATCGTTTCCAGGGGTTGAGCATGCTCGGAAGTAAATTGACCACGGGCAAGATGTCCACCAGCCAGGACCCAGAGATAGCGCGCATGGTCTCCTCCACAAACACAGACATTTGCTGGATCTCTATCTCATCGCCTTTGAGACGTTTGCCATACGCAAGGCTGTATACGACGCTCGACGTAAAGCGGACAATGCTTCGGTCCCAGTCGTTTCCATGCAGCATATCACGGAGAGTTAGCTTTGCTTCAGCCTCGAGAAGCTCGTGGAAATGCATTGCCTTGCTCGGTGGGAGAATGGTCTTGTGGATGCGATTATGCGCTCGCCATCGGGGTCCATACGGAAGGAAGACCGTGTGCATCCCATGCGTCAAGTTATCTAGAGCCATGACCATGCGAGGCCGAGAGCTGTAGATGCGGCCGCGTTTTGCGAATAGTTCATTGGCAATCGAGACATTCCCAATGATAATGACCCGTCTTGACCCCAGTGATAGTCCCACGAGTGGCCCGTATTGTTTGTGCCATTTATCGAAGGTCAACCTGGCCAGGCTGGACGGATACTGGTGAAGATTTCCTATAATTGGAAGTCCAGGTGGACCGGGAGGGAACCTGGGTCTTGTCCGTTTCTTGATCGCGGTCAAGAAGAACACAGCAATTATGAAGCCTATGGCAGCCCAAAGGTGCTTCATTATTTATAGTTATTGTGCGATGAAGCCGATTTCCGTTGGCCGATGGACTAACGTTTACGTGGATGTATCATCCACTATATACATCCAAGCTTTCTTTTTTTATTAGGTGCGTTCTTGCTTATCCTCGAAACCATGTACCAGTTCTAACAAACAATGATCTTCCATGTCAAACGAAAGTAGTCTTTTGGCATGTTTCTTGGCATCCGAGGTGGAGAGGACGGAGGCAATTGATGGACATCATGTATACTGTCATTTTTCTGCCCTGATCTGCGTCTTACTGTCTGTAAGATTCCGGAAAGCATGGTATATTGTCTGTATCTGGCTTCGATTGATCGCTTACTTGATTATCAACTACTGCTTCAGGGCCCATACATGATCATTTCTTGAAATGGCATTCAGCGACCAAGGATGTGGTGTCAAAAGTCCTGTCTAGCCACGAGCCAGAGGTAACAATCAGGTTTCGCGGTGGCTGAACAAAGATAACCAGCCGGTCGCCTACCTAACGCAGCGAAGGGCATTCGAACTTGTGAAACCTGACTTCTTTGTGTTCTTCTGGGCTGCAAGGTCGACAGAGGAAGACACATACTGCAATTTCTTTGGCAAAGAAAACCGAACGCATGGAGATGTCTACCATGAGACGTCTTGCCCCTCGATTCTGACAGATACTTGACCTGTGCGCATCGACCGGTATCTAACCAAATCATCAACGGACGCAAGGAATGAAAGAATTTCCTCATTGATTGAGTGGGCCTCGAATTACCCCGGACCGAAAATGTCACCCGGTGACCTATCCTTAAATCGTGATTCGCCAGCGCAGGTCCTGCCAATATAGATTGAAACCAAAGCTTTGCGTGGTTTTAGATCGCTTAGCCGGATCCGTACCACGTCTCCTGCTCCTTTGTGGTGCGTTGCTTAAGTTGATTTTGCTTCGAGGATAGAGTTCAGGATGTCAGGATGACGTTGCAAAATGCCTGAAGCATGTTGTACCACTTCAGCTTCCCTGGCCCCGAAACGTGATTTTGCATGAGCTTGCCACGCAGATTGCCTTGTCATCGTTGAGTGCTGCCTTGTTGTGGAAATAGTCTATGCAAGGGGCGTTCTGTCTCACACGGAAAGGTCAGTCGGTAGTTGTTAGTCGGGCTTCCCGCTCCGTTGTTGGCTGCCATTCTGCTAGTGCCTTGCCTCAAAGCTCACTTAGAAATACAATCACCTCTTTTGTCCAGACTTGCATACGCGTGCTGTCTGTTGGATGCGGGATTGCATTGCAGTCCACCGGGCTGTTGGATGCTTGATGGTGACGAAATTAGAGCTTTCGAGGCGAGCTACGGAACCCAGAGGAGCCAAGTAGGCCTCCGTGCATCCGTACCAGTCTGTTCCAACAACTGATGTGGTGATAGACGGCGGTAGAGAGCGTCTGCACTGAGGTCTATGCATCCGCATATACGAAAAGGACATATACATCCCTCATCACGTCGCATTTATCACGGATCTTGAATACGAACCCTTGAATACAGATACACATCTGGCGAAAGTGGTTGGTCAAGAAACATTAACTAGAACAACGGGAATGCAATCTACACTTCGTAGAGCCATTTTCCATGGCCAGGGTTAATCTTATGCTTGGACTACCTGGCTCAAAACTTGGAATTATTCAGGAAGGTGATCATAGCTATGGGTCACAGGAAAACGGACGTTGCAGATGCTGCTACGAAGACAGTAGATAGAAGCCTGGGGAACCAGTCAGTAGGTGACCAGCACCACCACCACGGATCGTCTGGGCTCGACTTACCATACTCCTCTTGCGAATCCTTCCACACCTGCGAAACCTGAAACCCGCTCTGCCGTGCAATATTCCCCATTTGTTCCTCATTCCATTTCCCACTGCGGAAGAAGAATATCATTTCCCCTTGATGCACGGTCACAGGCCCGGAATCCAGCGCCCACGCGACGTCAACTTTCGGAGAGTAGAAAGCTAGGATTTCACTTGCTTGTCGGTCGTACTCTATGGTGCAGTCCCAAATTGCGTCCTCGAACAAGCTCATTCCAAACAGTCTATTGACATGCTGTATACCATGGCGGAGGAAACTGCACGATGGCCCAAACCTAGGGTTGTAGGCCTTGATCAGCTTGCTCGCGTCTGTGCAGGCGTCTGCAGAAACGAGGAAGCGACATTGGATCCCCGCGGTACAGCAGGCCTGACGGAAAGAGCCCATGAGATTGCTTGCTTCGGCCTTCGAGAGATTCGCTACGCTATTTCCGACCCAGAGGAAGGTGACTGAAGGCGCATGAGCAGTGGCAGGATTGTTGGTGATCCAGTCCACGCAGTCATCGTAGGTGCCAATCAGACCCGAGATGCGGATTGTCGGGAAACAGTTCATCTCTGCTTGCAAAGCCCGAAGGCTGGTGCGCAGTGCTGACTCCGAGACGTCCACGGCGTAGTATTGGACCTCTTTGCCTTGCGTGGCGAGGGCAGACAAGATGATAAGTGTTTTGTGCAGGTTTCTGTGAGTAAGTCAGACCATGACCGTGGTTCAATACAGTCGCATGACCTCGAATCTTCAAAGATAGGTTCACGTACCCACAACCCAGCTCAATCAGTACCGTTTTGCTTGGTAGAGCTTCGGCCATCCGGTGTTTGTTCGCCTCGAGGATCTCCGACTCTTTCGATTTGGGGTAATAGTGGGGACACTCGGTCCATTCATTGAATCTCTTGAGCCCTTTTTCGTCCCAGAGGAGCAGAGATGGCACTGATTTTTGAGACTGCAGGAGTCCTGAGAGCACGCCGGATTTCAAGTCCAGAAGCTCCATGGACTTTCTGATGTCCTGTAGCACCGGATCCTTCGAACTATGTTTGTCAAGCAAAAAGGCCGGAGACGGCTGGATTGTTTCACAGATAGTGGCCATAGTGAGAGGAATGAATAATCTTGGACAGTCGATGTTCTTCCCCAGTGTAGCAGTTGTTGTTGCGCAAAAATGTCCGACAGGTTGTTCTTAAGGGAGACGGATTGGAATTCTGCTTTCATCAGATATTGTGTAGATGATCGGATAATGCAATCCTGTATGCTTACTTTAGGTGATTTAAGAATGTTCGTAATCCTGAACCAGCCCATTCTTGGTGCAAAACTGGTCATCATAACGTACGGCTACTGACTCAATGAGCCCATACATGGCATGAAACCTGACACATAATCTCGACAGGCAAGGAATTGGATCATAGTGGGCAGACGTCGACCAGAGATAGGATTCGGGTCTGCGGGATAACGCAGTTGGGGATTGATTGAACGTCATTTTAGCCTGGAATGTGGAGATACACAGCCCCTTTTTCGGAGTTGTGCAGCTTTGACAAGCGAGCCTTGCCTGTTATTGTATGGGGAACAGGAATTTTGAGGGTCCAGGGGCGTGCGAACGACTGGTTTTGGATTAACTTAGACCGGATTGATGCAGATTCATGTATGATCCATTGCGTTTCCAACAATTTGGAAGACAAGTGACATACCTTAGAACCTGACAGTTGGTGAACCGGAGTGGTAGGTATTGTAAAGAAACAAGGCAAGTGTTGATCGCCAACCCGCCGGCCGACTCTCTTTTTGCATCCTTTCCAACTTCCTGGAATCTTTCTTTGCCATCGGCTCTCATCTCCAAAAGCACATCGACAGACTAGAAAGCGTACTGTGATTTTGAGGCCCTCCTTATCTTGCACCCATTGCCTCGACCGAGCTTCACATTCGTATACTCTGCTTATCTTCGCAACAACCTCATTCTCTTTCATTTCAGACAGACAAGTACACAACCATGACCCAGATCAATGTTATCGAAAACGAAAACCATGATTCCCTGAGGATTTCCGCCAAGGGCGCCACGGACAGCAACCAACAAGCGTTGGAATCAGTGGCTGAAGACGAGCTCGATCCGAAGCAGCTACAGCAACTATGTGCTTTCAACTCCAGGACTCTTAAGTCCATCGAGATCTGCATACATGAGCTGGTTCACCAACAAGCCCTCACACATCCAGCTCGTGAGGCTATCGCTGCCTGGAACGGAGGATTGACCTTCGCCGCTCTCGATCGCCTCTCGTCCTCTCTTGCATCCTATTTGTGTGACTGTGGAGTCACATTGGGAGACTTCGTTCCGGTTTGCTCGGAGAAATCTCGCTGGTATCCTGTAGCGTTACTGGGCGTTCTAAAATCTGGAGCTGCATTTGTGCCCTTGGATCCATCCCATCCCGCTCAGCGCTTGGAGGAAATCTATCGAAGGGGTTCTGCAAACGTGATGATCGCCACGAAGGCCACAGCCGCGAAAGTGAATTTTGGTGGAAAGACCATCGTGATCGATGACGACAATGACACCACGTTCTCAACAGTTTTGACGGGTTTGAGGCCCTTACCCAAGATCACATGCGACAATACTGCCTATGTGGTCTTCACGTCGGGCACTTCCGGCAAACCCAAAGGAGTGGTTGTCGAGCACCGATCTCTTTCGACCAGTGTATTGATGAACAGTGCTGCACTGAATATACGAGAGAGCACTCGTGTCTTCCAGTTTGCCTCCCATGCGTTTGATGCATCTTTGCTGGATATCTTTGCCCCTTTGGTGATGGGCGGATGCGTATGTATACCGTCAGAACAGGAGCGGAAAAACAATCTAGGGGAAGCCTGTCGACGCATGGACTGTACATGGTCTTTCTTGACTCCATCTCTCACGCGGGTGTTGGAGCCGGAGGACTTATGCACTTTGCAAACACTGGTAATTGGAGGCGAGGCTCTGCGAGAAGGCGACGTCGAGAAATGGATGCCTCATGTACAATGCATCAGCGGTTACGGTCCTACCGAGTGCACAATCGGATGCATGGCAACGACTCTACGACTTGATCAAAAGCCAGACCCCACCGAGCTGGGAAGAGGCGTGGGAGTCAACTGCTGGGTTATTGACCCTACGAGCCACAAATTGACTGCACCGGGCGAGGTCGGAGAATTATTGCTGGAGGGTCCCATGGTTGCACGCGGATATCTCAACGATCCACGTACGGCTGAGGTGTTTATCACGCCACCTGAATGGTACCAAAAATTGATGCCCCAAGAAAGTCGTTGGCGTATGTATAAAACAGGAGACCTGGTCGTTTTCAACGCCGCGAAGAACTCGATCCAGTACATTGGACGAAAGGATATGCAGATAAAGCTCCACGGCCAGCGTCTCGATACTGGAGAAGTGGAGCATCACATTAAATTACTGGCTCCTGACGCCGTCGACGTTGTGGTTGACATGCTGTCTGGCTCAGAGGAGTCTTCTGCCTCAATCCTGATCGCATTCCTTGTGCTGAAGTCACGCCAAACCGGGGAACACGGTTCCAAGACCGACTGGCTGGAGGAACCGACGGAAGAGCTGTATACAAAGGTGGAAATGCTTCAAGCGAAGTTGGCCGAGTTGCTTCCCGAGTACATGGTTCCCAGGGCATTCCTGCCCTTGCTCTCAATGCCTCTTACGAGCAATGGAAAGAGCGACCGGAAAATGCTTCGCAAGTTGGCCGCAGGCCTGACACAGAATGAGCTCCGTCGATATTCTGGGGGCTTTGCCGCGAAGAAAAGCATGCCCTCCAGCTCAATGGAGCGAAAGCTCCAGCTGCTGTGGTCCAGAGTCCTCGACATCAGCCCCGACAATATAGGCCTCCAAGATAGCTTCTTTGGTCTCGGTGGTACCTCTGTGGCAGCGATGAAGCTTGCCGGTCTGGCAAGAAAGGAAGGGTTGAAACTAGATATAGCGGATTTATATGGCCACCCAGCCCTCGGAGACATGGTGAAACGAGTTTATACTGTCTCAAAGTTGAGTACGATCCAGCCCTTTGGTCTCATTTCCACTCGTGATGCACAAGCATGTGTCATTGAGCAAGCCACGCGTCAGTGTGGACTAGATCACGAAAAGGAGATTGGAGACATTTATCCTTGCACACCCTTACAGCAAGGACTTATTGCGCTTGCAGCCAAGAAGCCAGGCTCATATATTGGCGTCTTCCGATATGAGATACCCATGCAGGTAAATGCCTACCGGTTTCGATCCGCTTGGAATGTGTTGGTGCACGCCCATCCGATTCTTCGAACTAGATTTATCCAGACTAGCAACGGTGAAGTTTATCAGGCCGTAGTTTGCCGAGAAGTTGCGCTGGAGGTTAAGTCACGTAACCCTGAAGAACCACAGATTTGGGATACTTCGCTTGCCTGCGAGATGGGAAGGCCCTGGATTCGTGCCCGACTTGAGGTGGGGTCTTCGTCGCAGCTGCCAATCTTCACGCTGATTGTGCATCACACCTTGTCTGATGGCTGGGGCCTTTCTGTGCTTCTTCGGGATCTCGAAGCGGCGTACAATGGGAACAACCTGGAAAAGAAGCCATTCAGCCCTTTCATTGGGTACATTGGCGTTACATCTGCTGAAAGGGAGGCATTCTGGAAAGGTCGCTTCACCGAAGTGCGCAGCGTAAGCTTTCCTTCGCTACCCTCACCGGCTTACACCCCGACGTCCACGGTAATGCAAGCGATTCAAATTCCCGTCGGCAAGAGCAATCGAAGTGAGTATACACTTGCCGACAAACTGAAGTTAGCCTGGGGAATTCTCGTTGCACTCTACACCGACACGTCCGATGTCGCTTTTGGCCTCACGGTTCATGGCCGTGGTGCCCCTGTGCTTGGGGTCGAGGACATTACTGGTCCAACAATCGCTACCATTCCTCTCAGACTAGTTCTGGAACCCGATATGACCGTGAAAGCGAGCCTCAAGCAGCTACGTCAATTTTACCTGGATGCAAGTCCGTATGAGCAGATAGGGCTTCAAAATCTGCGGCGGCTGAGCGAGGGAGCCAGCAAAGTCTGTGATTTTCAGAGCCACATTGTCATCCAACCAGAGGAGACCGGCGGTGATTGGATGTTTGCTAGAAAGCAGGACCAATCAGCCATAGGGGCATTCAGCTCCTACGCCATTACCATGATCTGTCAGCAAGGGCCTGGTATGATACAGATTGAGGCAACGTTCGATCCGCACGTTGTACCTCACGTGCAGATGGACCGTATGCTGAAGCAGCTTAGACATATCATGCAAGTCTTAACGAACGGGTCTGAAGAGACTGGTCTATGCGAGCTGGACACTATCTGTCCCGAGGACTGGTCGCAATTAAAACAATGGAATGGCGCACTCCCGGAGACAGTGCAGGTATGTGCTCATGAATGGATCCAGAAGCGAGGTCTCACTCAACCTAATTCCCCCGCTGTGTGTGCCTGGGATGGTAATTTTACGTACCGAGAGATGGATCAGATCTCATCTGAAATGGCGGCCTATCTCGGGGGTCAAGGCGTGGGTCCCAATGTATTCATCCCTCTATACTTCGAGAAATCCCGCTGGATCAGCATCGCAATGCTTGCAGTGATGAAGGCGGGGGGCGCATTTATTCTACTGGATGACTCCCATCCAACACAGAGGCTCACTGGGATCTGCAATGATGCAAAAGCGCCATTCATCATCACGTCAGAGACGAATGCGTCTCGTGCAGCTCATATCACTAAGAGCTATATTATCCTGGGCAACTCTCACCGCGCGTGGAGTTTGGGTCAAGGGATCCCATCATGTCCCAAGCCCAAGGTCGATCCCAAAAATGCCCTGTATGCAGTATTTACCTCGGGGTCGACAGGAAAGCCCAAAGGTGCCGTTATATCGCATGAGTCGTGGTGCACGAGCGCGAAGGCCAACAGCGTCGCCCTATCGTTACATAACACTTCGCGAGTCTTCCAGTTCGCCGCCTATGCGTTTGATATCAGCATCGCAGATCATCTGCTGACCTTGGTGGCCGGCGGTTGTATCTGCATCCCTTCAGCCAGGGACCGAGAAGGAGATCTTTCTCACGTCATCCGCAGCCTGGAAGCCAATTGGGCATGTTTGACGCCGTCTGTGGCGCGCATCATTCAACCTCAAAGCGTCCCTTCACTTAAGACGCTAGTCCTCGCAGGCGAGCCCATTGCGCCCGAGGATATCTCAACGTGGTCTCCAGCCGTGCATTTGCTGAACCTATATGGCCCCGCCGAGTGTGCCATACTTACCACTCTGAACCAAAACGTCAACAATACGAAGGATCCGAACAACGTTGGGCCGCCGACAAGCGCAGTATGCTGGGTTTTGGACACAAAAAACGACCAGAAACTGGCACCCATTGGGACAGTCGGGGAGCTCCTCGTGGAAAGTCCTATCGTAGGCTACGGATATCTTAATGAACCCATCAAGACGGCCGCCAGCTTCATCGCGCCAGAGGCCCACCCACTGTGGCTACGACGGCTCCGACGTTCAGAAAGCAACCCTCGTTCGCGTCTTTATCGCACCGGCGATCTAGTACAGTACACAGCAGATGGTACGCTGCGATTTATTGGCCGCAAAGACACGCAGATCAAACTGCGCGGCCAGCGCATTGAACTTGGAGAGGTGGAGTACCACCTACGCCGCAGCTTCCCCGAAGCCGCTGAGGCCGTGGCTGAAGTCGTCGTGCCGAGAGAAGATGGAACCAGAAGCAGTCGAAGCCCGCACCCAATCTTGACGGCCTTCATCCGTCAGCGGCGCGAGCAGAGCGGAGCCATCCACGCACAAATTGCCGCTGCTCTGCCTACTCTAAGAGCATCCCTGCCGGCGTATATGATACCCTCAGCATTCCTCAGCGTGGAATCATTTCCCCTGAGCAAATCCCGCAAGCTAGATCGCGGCCGCCTGCGCAGCTGGGCCGCTGAATTGCCCCGGGAGAGATTCGTCAATGCACCCACGCTGCAGAGGCGAGAGCCGTCCAGTCCGGTCGAGCAGACCCTGTTTCAGCTGTTTGCTGACACCTTGAAGATCGATCCCATGGATTTCGGGGTTGACCATGACTTCTTCGGCTTGGGTGGTGATTCGATTCTGGCTATGGGTTTGGTGGCGCGGGCCCGCGCGCGAGGGTTGGATCTCAGGGTGACAGATTTGTTTGCGAGTCCTACGGTGTGCCGTCTCGCTCACCAATTTGACAGTGGTGATGTTGCAAAATAAGTTTATACTAGATATGATTGAATTGAGTAGTGCTATGACTAGACTTGCATTCTAGTCAACTTACCATGCTATGCCATAGCACGAGATCGAGGTGGACGTCCGCTTCGCGCATCAGACGAGTTTCGATTAACATCAAGTTGGTCAGTTTCGGATCATCAGGTCCCGTCTGCAATCAGAGCTCGAGACTTGCGTGTAGCCTCCATTGAGCTCCCTCTTAGATTCACCCGTAATTCACCACAAAGCAACTTGAAAAGCAAAAGCTCAGCAGATCAATGAGAGCGATACTGTTCGCAATGTGCCTGAATCGTGCAAGGGTTGATTGGGGGTTCAGTTTCCGACTTGCACAATACTCAGTTTTCTACCAGAACCCGAAAGCTTAGGGCTGGGCCTGCCGACAAGCTGGAGGAGGCTCGGGAGCATTCGGTGGTCACTCAAACTGTCAGACGACTTGCTCCTTCCGCCCCATACCTACAAATGCCATGCGATCTTCAGCCCACGGAAAGGCAACTACAGAGCAGCCACCGCCAACCAGACATCAATCAGGATTTGCTTCGATTGAGTGTGAGTGGGATGATGAGTAGTACTAGTTAGGTAGGTACTACCTACCTTATGCCATAGCATGAGTCAGTAACTTCTTTCCGGAAAGATTGTCATGACATTGGCTTTCTTTAGGCAGACAATATCGGAGGGATTGCAGCCACCGCTCCTTATCTACTCTGGCAGTAACAGGAAGCAAGCGGGGCTATTTTGTACCTTTTGTTGGCCCGCCGCTTCGTGTCGTGCTTTGGCTTGTTCCGCTTCCGACCCGGCGCTAGTACCGCTAGTTGCTTCACCTCTGATTAGTTACAACTCATAAGAATTCACTGGCATCTTCACCATGACTCACAATCTGCCGTTACTAATTTGACACCATCTGAAGGCCGGAAAGCAACCAACAGCCGTGGTCATTGTCTCACCATCAGCCACTACAAAATACTTACGGAACCCAAGAACGGACTTCAAGATGGCCCGCAAAAGTCCAACCGAGATCTTAGCAACCAGCCCCCTAGATCTAACCCCCTACGAAGATCTCTATAAGCATTTCCACGCGCACCCCGAGCTCTCCAAAGGGGAAAGGGTGACTGCTGAAAAGATAGCGATCCACCTCGCGCAATGGAACGTCTATGAGATCCATACCCAGATCGGGGGCCACGGAGTCGCCGGCGTCCTGCGCAACGGGCCGGGCAAAACCGTCCTCCTGCGGGCGGACATGGACGCGCTCCCCGTGCGAGAAGTCACCGGCTTAGCCTACGCCAGCACCGTCACGATGCACGACGCCAGTGGTGTGGAGAAGCCAGCCATGCACGCCTGCGGCCACGACATGCACATCACCTGTCTGCTGGCGGCGGCCGAGCGGCTGGTGCGGGTCCGGTCCGAATGGAGCGGCACGTTGATTGTGGTATTCCAGCCGGACGAGGAGCGTGGAGAAGGCGCACGCGCGATGGTCGACGATGGGCTGTACGATAAGATCCCCGTTCCCGATTATGTGTTTGGCCAGCATGTCATGCGCATGCGCGCGGGGACTGTCGGATCGCGGCCCGGCACAATCATGGCTGCGGCGGATAGTTTGAAGATCACGCTGTTTGGGCGGGGCGGGCATGGGTCTCTGCCCCATCAGACGGTGGATCCGGTGCTTTTGGCGGCAAATGTGGTGGTGAGGTTGCAGGGGATCGTGAGTCGGGAGATCGATCCGAGTGATCTCGCGGTGGTGACGGTGGGGAGTCTGCAGGCGGGTCAGGCGGAGAATGTCATTCCGGACACGGCGGAGCTGGGTGTGGACTTTCGCTCGGTGAGCCTGGAGACCCGGGACAAGATCCTGGCGGCCATCAAGCGAATCGTCGAGGCCGAGTGTATGGCAAGTGGCTCGCCGCGCCCCCCGGTCTTCACGCCAACGCGACACTTCCCACCCACAATTAATGACAAGCAAGTAACAGCCGAGCTGGCCGCTACCTTTGGAGACCACTTCGCCGACCGCTTTGACGCCGACACGCCGCGGACTAATGTCAGTGAGGACTTTTCCATCCTGGGGACCAGTCAGGGCCGTCCGTGTTCGTTTTGGTTCTTTGGAGGCATCGATTCAGATTTGTGGGATGAGGCGGAAAGCAAAGGTTGTCTTCATGAGATTGCTGGCAACCACTCTGCTTCGTTTGCTCCGGCTATTCAACCAACGTTGAGGACAGGAGTGGACGCTCTTTGTCTTGCTGCGTTGACATATATGAAGAAGGGAGGTCCCTATATGGAAGCACAATGTACATAGAACCAGCAAAGCGATTGGTATCTCTCCAAGCAAATCTATCTACCCCGGGTCTTTCCAATCCTGTACCTGGTAGGCTGTCCGATAAACCGCCCGAGAGAGGATTCTGATAGTGTAGCGGCACTTTAAAGATCGCAGCTCGGATAGCACCCGCTGTACAGCCCAAACTTCTTAAGGAATAGGAAGACGGCGAGTTTATTATCATAGAGGCATGCCATAACAAAAATGGTGAGGGTCATTGATCGACTAGGCCAACGAGGCACTCAGATTCCCGTCGGAATCAAACAACCGACGAGGGCTGGCATAAACAGCAAGTGAGGTATGATCCTGCAGAAAAGGTACTGTGGCGTTGTAACCGTTGCCGTCGTGAGCATCCATCAGTTTCAGCGCAAGAGGCTCATCCTCCACCGGCCATCTGATAAGGGCCCAGCCACGCGACTTGCCACGATCTCGAACCACGTAAACCGGGAGAATAGCCTTGATTTTGTGTGCGGTGAAAAAGTCATAGTCCTGGCGGTTGACGTCGATGACGATGAATGTTCGCTCCTTCCAGACATCGATGACCAGGGCCAGAATACGAGAGTCTATCTCCCAGTCGGCGAATACCTCGCCGATAGCCTTGCTGGCCGACGCGCGATAGTCTTGAGGGTCAAGGGTCTTGGTGTGCAGCTTGATGACGATTCGTTTGGGGTCGTTGTCTTTGAAGATTTCGTTTCGTATGCTAGCGAGGTTAGCCATGGAGGAGATGTGACTGCGAGTCTGTTGCTCAGTGAGTTGCATGGTATGATTCAATTCAGAAACGATCGGCTGGAGAGGGATGAGAGAGGATCGATAGTAGGAGCTGTCTTTATTTATGTATTTACAGTATTAGGCACAATCTGCGCTAATCCGTAATAGGTATGCCGGAAGCCTGGAGCGGAAGCCTGGAGCTGATGCCTCAGGCTGGAGTTTATCCACTCCACTTTCCCCGCGTCGCCACATCGCGTCTGTTCGCAAACAACATCGGCACCCCCTTCAAGCCCACCCAACAGCACACTGTCATAAATCCGCCCACGGAACTTTGTCCACTTGCTCAATGTAAATTTGACGGGAGTAGTGTCATGCTCAACACGACGCAACATGAGACACCATTATCGTACACTGCTCGGTGTTTACTCTGTGCCATTCAAGAATGGCCCCCAAGACCACTGGTAGTACAGAGTTGGAATCGTTGGACAGCTGAGGAGTGAGTTGAGAGCTGAACCTCTTCAAACTCCATGCCGAAGAGCACTGTATTATATACCAGAACCATAATGGTGTCGAAGTGACCATAATACCCGAGTTGAGACGAAGCAGAGTCGGAGCAGGAGACATTTGGAGTCATGTGTGCACTTCGGGCCATACATCAGCAGATATTACAGATCAACTGAAGTTCGTGTTTTCACATGCTCTGCTTTCCAAGTAAACTACTCTCATATAGCGTCAAGGCTAGTAGTGAAAAGCAATATCAAGCCCCGCCCACAATTTGGACGTACATAGAATGAGCGCCCCTGACCTTTCAGCGTCTTCCATCTTCGGTTCAAGTGATCCGATATAATTCATCCTACCACCGACAATCTCGGTCAGTCAAGACTGCTCTTGTAAAAGTCATGCATAAGTCCAGGTTGATATTGTTTGAATCAGGGCTTCAGTACAAGTGGGGATTGTGGGTAAAAGTCAAGCTCTAAGTTTCTATTTTGCAAACGGATGATCAAAGTGCTATCATTCGATTCTACTAGTTCAAAGTTTCTCTGAGCCTAACCTAGTACTCAAAGGAACAGCAACAATGACCTAAAAAGCTAGTCGGTAAAGAAAAGGACCACCACCCACCGATCAGATATCCCTAGTCGTGCATCAAGTTTGACCTATATTCGCCGGTATTACTGTTCCATGAGGCCATGGGTGAAAGGTGACTTCTTCTCGCTTTGCTTTGCTCTAAATGGTATCTCACATACTCTTTTTTCGTACTTTTTATCTAAAACGGGAAGTCATCGTCATCCCATGTCGCGAAGTCCGCAGCTCCACTCAGCGCGGTGTAAGAACCATTGCAACTCCAAGGAAGCAAAAGATGGGGATGGTTGGCCGTTGGGAATATACGAAATGTCAGAATGGTACCAGACTTCAAGAGCTTGTCTGAATCTGTGACAATGTCTGGCCTGGTTATGTGCCGTGGACAGGTTTCAAAGACACCAGGGCGCTGGAACGATGCGTCCTTTAATAGTTGACCTTTGCACAGGTGGAACAGTTGCACGCTTACTTTAAACCAGTTTTGCCAGCTTCGCCATCGGGAGGTCGACATTGAATCCCTGCACTTGGATGTGTTGAACACATCTTTTCAGGAGTTCGATGTTAGGTTGTCTTTCGGTGAAATCCAGGAGTTCCGAATTGAGCTTGTCGCGGAACGAGACGACTATCCCGAGGTGTCGCATGTTCTGGTGATTGGCGGCCTTTGTGATACACCTCCACAACCGGCCCGCATAATCCCAATGTTGAAGAAGGATTTCAAGCTGCTTCCTATTCCTTGATTTCCGACAGGTTGAGAAACAAGTCTAGCTGCGACAAACGCCATACTCCCGCAAGCGAGCTTATCAACGTGGTCTTTCACTCCACTGCTTGATCGTGGCAATGCGGCCGCTGGCGGAGGCTATTGTAGCTATTAGTCAACCTTAATAGCGGTGTTGGAGAGCATCATGATTCATGTCGAGGGCATAAGACCTTAACAATTTCAAACAGGAAAAGCCAGCATCAGTTTAAATACATTCTGCAAACCACCCGCGACCTCCAAACCTATAACCCTAACGCGAGCTGCAGCACATACTCGCGTTGGACAAAAGTCGGGACACGCGGGGGCGCAGCCTACTCCGCAAGGAGCAGTACTAATGTACCGCCCGCGTGCAGACAGTTATTGCACTTCTGTCCAATTCCTCCGCTGATACAGTCACGAGGATGCCCTCGCGGAGGTGGGCCCGAACAGTCAGCTGCACTAGATCCGACCACCCAATGTACAGCACAGGCCGCACAATGGGTTCGCGGATCCAGGCCCGCTCTCGACCCGACAGGAGCTGCGTTCATGATTGACAGTGCTATAAGGCTTCAGTCCATTTGAATTGATGTTTCTCCTGCGCTCGAATGCCCATCTGCTTGAATTCGCTGATAGAGCGGAGTTGGATCTCTGTCACTCAGAACAAGATTTCCATGACCCCGGTCCGAATGTCCTCTGTCAGTCTCTTGGAGTGACTGCGAAAGCTTTCGGACTGATACGGTTCAACAGTAAGGAATTGATCGTGAAGCTGTCGAGTGGGGAAGGTCTTGAAGATGATCATATCGATATACTGCCTCTTTCTAGAGACGGATCAGCTTCTGCGAACTGGAATGGTGATCGCCACGGCACGAACTCACATACACTATGGTGTCCCGCTTCGGGTAGTTGAAAGGCTTGAAGCCTAATACTTGTATCTGGTTCTAGAATGTGGAGGGGCATAAGAAGTCAAGATAGAGGGTGGTTGGTAAGAGGATGGTTAAAGGAAGTGAAGTGGGAGAAAGACGAAAGAAGGTCAACCACGGACTGTTCTCAGCAGTTGCATCCGGTGAATCAAGCGGATTCGGGTTGCCATTTCCTTGCCGTCTTGTTCTATGGGGTAGCTCCTTCCATTTTAGTCGATTCACTATTTGTCTTCCCACGCCGTGGGATGCATTCACAAGGCAGATCATTGACTGTGTTTTTGATCGGATTCAATTCTCCGTCTGCGAATTGTGAATCTTTATGCATGATATGTGTAGCTATGTGAAGTCACGCCGTGGAACAAGGTCGTCAGAGAGGTCATTATACAACGAGCAGATGAGGGCTTAATGCTTGAAATCGAGACCGTCTAGTACAGTGCACCGCAGGCAAAGGAATAGACGGCAGTGCTGTAGCGTTTCTTGAAAATTCTGGACTTTGAAAGCACGACATTGCTTCCTAAACCTACGCTACGATGCGGTGCGGCTGATGGGCCAGATGTTTAGCAGTCAAAATAGTGCTCCTGCAATGGCCATTCAGATAACGATGAAGTCAGGTTACCAGGATTGCACCTTTCACTTTCTATCATGGAAGCCACCGCTTCACCCGCGGCCTTCGCAGTATCACTATTTCGTACATTGCCTTTGGCTTCCCGAGCGGAGACTTGCAGTGCTCTCGCTAGTCCGCTCCAGTCATCCGATCTGAGGTTGATTGCGTCCGTCGCCTGCTTGACAAACTCGATTGCGCAGTCTGGGTCCCCTCCCTCATAGTGAAGAAGACGTTTTCGATACCGAAGACGGTCCTCAAGCGATTATTCGGGTGTATTTTGGCAAGGTGAGGGGAAAGGAAGTTCTTTCGGCCAGGGTATTTATGGGCATGGATGAGCGTGCGACATTCGCCCGGAAAGACGTTTCTCTTATCTTCATGCTGGGGGATTCGCTTACAATGAATCTAAAAGTGATGAGGCCGATGTGCCTGATTACGAGCATAAGAATCATGAAGCTTTGCAGGATGTAACTTGATGAGATAGACGACTGTGTTCGTTTCTCAGAAAGTGGTATTGCGTAGATGAAGATATACGGGAAAATGCCATGGGTTGGTGGTACGGTACTTTTTTTATTTGTTATGTGTTGTCATTGCTAATTGTTGCGAGACAACGCAGGGTGTGAATATGTTCAGCCTAGGTCTTTGTATCGCTATAAGTCCGGATAGTGGAGGACGGATATAAGAGGGCAACAGTTTGGTCCAACTATGAGTATTTGAACTTTGGGCAGTGAATGAAGGAATTCAACCCCTCTACAACGCAGGAACTGGGATTAAACCACTGAAAGGCGATTGCTGCATGCTGTGAAACAGATATAGAGTAATTCCAGATCAAGAAATGAGAAAAGTACCTTGATGGCGTCTCTTCTCTCGAAGATCCGTTCCATACAGATCTCCTATTTGGAATCTCTAACTACAGTACACATGATTACTCATCATAAGCAGTGTGGATTGGATATGGAAGAATCTTCAAATATTATACAATTGGATTTTTTTCTCGATTTTGTCTTCGAGCTTGTCTCGGTAATATTACCTCCTCCATTCCAGGGAGTCTTCTTTTGCGAGGAGTGGGCACGTTCAACGCGCAATTTCCCCGGTTTAGTTGTGTAACTATTCACTAAAGCATGCTGGAATCATAGCCATAGTCAACGCGCTCACCTTGAATTTCTTAAGAGTAGTCTCGTCCCCATCCTTAGCGTCATCGTCTTCATCGTCTCCATCATCATCGGAATCGTCGTCTCCCTGAGTGAACTTCCGTTCTAGCACCTCGCGCCACCAAGCCTCTTCTATCTGGTCCAGAGTTCTCCCCTGGGGCGGAGGGCAATCCGGATCCCAAGTGTGGACGTGGAGGCGCACGAAGAGGAGTTCGAAATCGAGATCGTCGGAGTAGCCGTGGGAATTGCCAGCCATCAGAGCGCGGCGCATGGCCCGGACCACGCCCACAAGATTTCGATCGAGGTCGAGCTCCTCTAGGGGGGCCCAACCGTCCCACGCTCTGGGCAGCAGCTGCATGCAGACGCGGAGCAGCTCGCGGTGCCAAAGGCGGGTGAGCACATAGTCTTCCTCCGCGGCGGAGTCGCGAGCGTAGAGACGGATGAGGGCTTCAGTCCAGCAGGCGTTGGTGGGCATAACGAAGCGGGTATTGGGGTTGAGGCGGCTTACGCTGGGGTGGACGGCCATGTCGCACCAGTAGTAGTGCAGATCATCGTCCTTGGGGCTCAAGGGCGGGTCGGGGAACCACCACATGAAGAGCGACTTGCGGTAGATGCGCACGGTCATCTTGCTGAAGGGGCGTGGGACAATCATCCCGTGGTCACCGTCCCAAGGCCTGTGGTAATGCTCAACGTCGGTTTGAGGAATGAGGTAGCCTTTCATCGAGATGCATTCGCTCCCCTCAGGGCATGGCATGGCTCCGTGAGCGCGTAGTGCGGCAACAGCCTCACCAATGTATTGATCGGGGACCACAAAGCCCGCAAAATCCAAGCTTCGCTGGCAGATGGTGTCGTTGAAGGGGTTGTCCATTCAAAGGCCTCGGTAACGGGCAAAACGAAAGAGCAGTAGGGGATCTTAGACCATCTAAGGGCCAAGACAACCCTGCCCTGGTAGTCCATGCTGTAGCTGAAAGGGAAGTATGATTTTGTGTTGGTCTTGCAGATATTCTTCGCTTAAACTTTGGGCTAGCTGAGGAGATCGAGCGCAGAACAGATCCTACGGTTATATATACTTCTCTCTCCGTGCCGGAGCTCTCTGCTGAGGGCTAAGTCTAAAGAAAGTTTTCCGTCATATGGATTCGTACGCTCATTGGCGTCAGGCTCCTCGAAAAGGCCTGTGTGTACTTATCCTGGAAGCTTCCCCCTATAAGCAGGGGAATTTCGCTCAAACACGCCGGTAAGAGCGGAATTTGGCTGAAAGGAATTTCTGTTCAGATTCCTTCTCTCTCAATAACACGGTAATGACGATGTGAATCGTTCGCCGGTGCTGTCCCTTGCAAAATTCGGAGCTTGCCGTTTAAATGGATTATAGCATTAAGGTGACTAATTTTCGTATGCGTGCCTTGCTGAAATGGGAAGCAGGAAGAAGCAAAGACAGACTCGTTGCACGCGACCGATCGCGTCGATCTCATGGTTGCTATTTTCAAGATGTCTCTTATATGTTGTGGCTTCACGAAGCAGACACCGAAACAAATGACATTTGGCTCCAGAGATGGAAGATAGGATGACATTTGGCTCCAAAAGTGGTTCGGTCTCGAATGAGGTCCTGTAGGAGAATGACTGTGATCAGCAATGAGAGGAATCACTGGAGAAGTTTGCAAACCGAATCGCATGTTCCCGTGTTATAACTGGAACGATACATCAGTCGCGCCGCGCCAAACAGCACGATGGATCTGTCTCATATTTGGCGATCTGGCGTGTTTGCGGATTGAGAAAGGTGTTCAGTCATCGAGCAGAGAGGCGAGGATGGCTGGACAGGAAGTCCGGAGGTAGACCGCCCGTCGGGTCTAAGTAATGGCTCGGTCTTCCTGCTAGACATGGACTGCATATGCACGAAGCTGTAGACTTTTCGATTCAAATCGTAACAGTCATTTACAATCAATCACAATAGTTATGCTAAGGTGAAGAAGAACGTTGGAGAGATTTCAGTCATACCTTCAAGAAGAAAGAACTACACCACGCACAGAAATTGAGAAAAACATAAGCAAAGTCACAGTGCAGCACAAGCAAGCTCACTTAGTTCCCCTTCTGAGTCTGTTCTCCAGAAGAATTTTTCTCCGTCTCTCCCCCCTGCTTCTCAGTGGTAACAGCAGCTGCACCAGCAGGATGAGCATGAACAGTCACACCCGCACGCTTCAGTTTGGCCTACAGGGATTTCAACCAATTAGACGCCCAGAATACCTAGGATATAGGTTGAAAGTTGACTTGCCATGGTTTGCAGCCCGTGTAACAAATTCAAGGTAGGACAGTTGTCCGCGACATGTCCGATGTCGGTGCAGCCAGCGCAGATTGGATATTCGTCTATGGGAGATTCCGGATCGGACTGTTCAGACATCAGTAATCTTTTCGGCAGTAGCCGGTTGGATAGAGCAACTGACAGCCATGACGAAGACGTAGTAAGGTTAGTAGTAGTAGAAGTGTTGTTGGGTAACAAGTGATAATAGTAAATGTAGTAGTGATGATAAATGTTGAAGAAAGAGAAGCAGAACGAACAAGAACAGGCTGACGGAGAGAGATCTATTATTTATACTGGCCTACAGTAGAAGTACCAACCCAGGCGAGCTCTGTCTTCTACTACAAGTTACTCCTCCATGCATTGGAAGAATCATCCTGATTATTTGTACAATTTGCCTATTCACTGATCTGGTTACAGTCATCACTTGACTGTAATCTCCGTGCAAATGATATTCTAGGAAGCAACCAATCCAGTTACTTATAGACCGTGAAAGCAACTATATTACCACGCTACCATGAACAAAAGTGAATTCATCAACTCCCATCGGACTATTATCCTCTCTAGTAGAAATATCCGTTCAATTAATGTCAGAGTATATTATGTTGAAGCAGATGGGAATGTAAGCACTTCCCCACGAGTCAAGATCATCTAATTATTACTAAATCTTGAGTATATTCGCTGTTACTGTACAGCTTGTACTGTTTCTAGTATCACGGTCAGTACCAGGTAGTCACTATTGTTACTAGACCATTAGATCAATGATAAGGGCTAAGAAAATATACAGAGTAGGTAGCCAGCGATTATCAGGCATTCGAGATGTCCCACCTGCCCTGCTACGCACCTGTCTATTCTTGCTCATGGTGTTACAATAGCTTAGCCCCCACTGCTGGGTCAACTCCGCATAAATGATCACACTTTTTCTGCCACACCCAGACCAACTCTTTAGTTAGAGTGTGTCCTCCTATACTTAAGAGAACAGTGAAAGACCGGCAAGGACTACCAGGTGTCAATCCACGCACCTATGATAATGTTTATGAAAATCCCAGTCTAATCTTTCTCTGAGACCACACACATCCAATGATGTCAAATCATTCTTCACAAGATTATGCGAGATAGCTGCGCCTTTTTTATTATTAGTCTTCAGAAATGCAGAATGGCCAGGATAGCGATCTACCCCGGTTCATGTCCAGACATAATCACAGTCCTCCTCTCACAGTCTCATCGAGACCATATCAGAGAGCCCTGACACTTATAAACCTTACACCAAACACAATCGCAACTACGAGCATCCACTTCTACCAAAGGCGCAGGAGGATATCAACCCCATTCAATCTTCCATCTTCAATCTTCTCCCCAGAAATCACAAACCAGCACACACACCCGTCAAACCCCCTCCCCCTCATCCTCACGCTCACACTCACTCTCCTGCTGCACCCTCTTCTCCCCATCACTCACCCTCCACCCCGTCCCCGCCTGTGCCAAACCGGCCAGCAGAATCAACCCACAACTCGCCAAAAACAACCTTTGCAAGGCAACCTGATAACTCCTGACCGCAACCTCTCTCTCCACGCCCGTCAAACTCTTCACCAACGCCGGACTCCCCAGCAACTTCCGCACCAACTCCCCCTTCCCCTCCAACATCCCGTGACGCTCAAACCCACGCTCCAGCCCTTTCTTCAGCTCACGGATAAAGAATCCGCCGCCGATCGCAGACCCGAAACTCCCCGCGAATCCGCGGCTCATGCCCACCAACGCGCCCACGATGTAGTGAATGTCTGCGTGGGTGAGGTGCAGGAGATGCGAGAGGGTGTAGTTCAGTAGCGCGCCGACCGTCAGCCCGTGCAAAAAGGTGGCGCAGATGAAGGCGAGGACGGCGGAGGTGGGGGTTGCGAGGGTGGTGAGGATGAAGGATGCGAGGGCGAAGAGGAGGTAACCCGTCAGGCTGGATCTGTTGAGGGAGTTTTCAGCAGTCACGTCAGTGTTGTGGTTGGAGCGATGCTGGGAAGGTGTTTTGTTGTTGTAGGGTAACGAACGTACAGGTAATAGCTCTGGGATTTCCGGATATGCAACCATCCCGCCAACACACCCCCTAATCCGAAGCCGGCGTTTGTGGGCACGAGGATCAGCCCGGCGGAGGCGGGACTCCAGTCGCGCACGACCATGGCATAGACGGGCGTGTAGAAGAGCACGGACCAGCGCGCCATCATCGTGATCAGCCCCGCGAAGCAGGTCAGGCGCACGCTGCGCAGTTGTACGATGCCGGTGGGGATGATGGGTTGCGAGGCGACGCGGGCTTCGACGAGGAGGAAGATGGCGCTGGAGATGAGGAAGCCGACGATGGGTGCAATCTGTATGGTGGACGAGGCCAGGCTGGATAGGAGGAGGGTGACAGAGAGGGTCTAGATTGTATTGTAAGTCAGCCGTGGTTCAGTGGAAGATGGGGAGGAGATTCTGTGCTAGCAACAGCAACATACTAGGGTCAAAGCGCCCGCATAGTCCACCTGCGCCAACTTGCGCAGAAGACGGCGCGCGTCTAGGCGTTCGTCCTCGGGGCGGACGGGGATCGCAAAGAACATGATCGGCGCCAGGATCAGAGTGATTGGGGCTTGGACCCAGAAAATGAGGCGCTACATAGCGAACCGTTAGCGACTGCCTCCCAGCATGAACAATGCACCGACCCAGCCGTAGACCGTTGTCAGCAGGCCCGAGAGAACGGCCCCCGACGAAATGCCCGTGGTCATGGCCACGCTGATCAAGCCTAGGAATAGCCCTCTGCGTTTCTTACTCGTCAAGTCCAGGGCCAACACAAACGCGGTGACGGTCTGCCCGCCGGCGCCGCAGCCCGCGATGGCTCGTCCCAGGAGGAAGACCGTCAAACTGGGCGCAGATGCCGTGACGAAGAGTCCCAGCGCGAGCAGACTCGTCGTGAAGAGAACGTATACTCGAGGGGTGAAGATCTGGCACAAGCGACCGGAGAGAGGGGTGATGCTCGAGTAAGCGATCTTGCAGCGGCGGTGTCAGTACCACAATTCATGCTGAGTCTCATTGTCAGATGCGAACCAGGAACACCGAGCTGAACCATGTGGCCACTGAAAAGGCATCGAACTCGGCGGCAATGGCCGACTGGGCCGTGGTCATGGCGGTGATCTGAGTAGCTTGAATGAACAACAGCAGACCCATGGCTATCATGACCGCCGAGCCCTGGAGGACAGTCACCGGCACCCGCGGCGCATCGTGCACCGCCTCTTCCTCGGACCGACCCAGCAAGGGGGTCTGCTCCGATGGAGCCGATTTCTGTTGAGAAGTTACTGCAGTCATGGTTGATGTTGTGGTGGACAGGATTGTCCTGCCCGGAGCCCAATGCGCGTGTGGGACATTTTTATCCCAGTGGGCGAGGATGATGTGATGTGCGGAGAAAAATGCGGGATGGGCGGATTGGCGCACGGTGATTAAGCATTTCTAATCGAGCTGTCGAACCAGGCAGCCTGAGGGTCCGTCGCCATAATTCTTGGTAGAGAAGCCGAGATAAGTAAGGGTTTGTCCAATGGCAGACCTCTTCAGTGGGTTCAGCGCGTGTTCCTGGTGTCCGACGCATCCGCTTATCTGCCATCATTCTGACAGCTCACACTTCCCCAAGCAGCTAGCCGTTCAGCGTGCGCAAATTCGTGCGAGATGACAGAGGATGACAGATGATGTCAGGCCCCAGTCACTTGTGTTTCAGGTCCGACCATGGATTCAGATTGTGAGGATGCTTTGTAATTAGACCTTGTTTGTGCATGCTGGGTGGAGCTGTAGTGGAGCTGCAGTAGCAGACGGAGAAGGTAATTTTGGGTTAGATAGGACTATACTAGAGCCCAAATGTGATAAGAACATCCTCGCATATGATGCAGACAAGAACCTGCAGAGATGTCATTTGGATAGCTGAAGAAAAAAGCAGTCCAAAGGTCAGTCGCGTCTAGCAGTTGTGGGCGCAGGTCAGGAGGGCGGCATTCGATGACTCGCCTGCACATGTACATACTGTACTAAGTGAATATACCCCCAGTAGGTGCCAGCCCTCACTACAGATTCGAAAGACTCATTATGATTAAGTAATAGCCATGATGCTGAAGACAGCGGAAAAGCAGATCAACGCTCTGCATGCAGACCACACCCCCATCAATGGCCTCGAAAATTGTAGGTCTTACTCCTCGACTCCACTAATCGACATCACCGCTACAATTCACTGACCTCATCATCAGCATGCTATGTATGCTCATCGCCATGCTCAAAGGCAGTATACTGTCACGGCCGATTTCCCCAATGTTGCACCGACGGCATTTACTGCTACTGTTGTCGCGACTGAGATTGTTTGGGATACACAATGCGCCCCGATACATAATAAGATGGCTACAAATAAACACCAACGAATTCCGTCTCCTTAGACAGGATTTCCCCCTCCCTCACAAATCAAGCCCCATCAACCGTCCCCATCAAGGCCACTCTGGCAACCCAAAGCGATCAACCGATCCGAACGCTCCATACAAAGGGTCCAACCACCGATCCACAATCCACAAATACCCATTCGCCGTCTCCACCTGCGTGACAAGCCCGGCGTTCAGAACAAACACGGCATGCTTGTCCTTCGTAATCGTCAAATTCAGCCCGGTCACATCGCTGGCAACAGTCATCGAGCCGTTGAGGGTTTTGCTATTCAATCGCTCGCCATTACTGTCGATCCAGCCGGACTGCCACATGAGTGTGTTGAAGGGACTTTTGTACGGGGCGACTAGGGTATCTATTACCTCACTCATGAGCAAATGGCTTTGATAGTATAGTGTAGTGAGGAAAGGGGAAAGCGTAGCTGCACATGGAGGGGGACGTACGATACACAGGCAAAAGAGTCGGCATCAAGTCAAACGCCTCATTCTGCGGAGCCACGAAGAACTGCTTCGCTTCCGACTGCTTCGACAGCCGCCGGATAGTATCCGGGGAATTCACGGAGAGAATACTCGACGAGTTGACGAGTCGGGAATCGGTGGTCAGAAACGCCCCGATCGTCAGGTCTGTCTTCTCGTATGTAGGCGCCGCAGTCCGGTTGCTGGGGCCCCCCCCGTAGATCAAGAACGGGTCGATGATCTGATCGATCTCGTGGATCAAGCCGTTGTCAGCCACCAAATCGGCCCGGACAATGGCCGCCTGGTCGTCGATGTGAATCGTCCCGTTCGTGGCGTTCGTGGCGTCGATGTAGTAGCCCTGCACGGTCTTGGTGAGGACGCCGTGATGGTATTGGGAGGTAGTGTTGGAGAGCTGCAGTGCGGTGGAGATGCCGCCGGCGGTGCTGCTGGCGGATACGCTGACGAGCTCGGCGGCGGTGAGGCCGGCTTCGATGATGTGCGTGCGCAAGAGCGCCTCGATGAGGGGGTATGCTTGCTGGGTCATAAGAATGTCGAAGATTGGAGCAGGGATTTTGGCCCATGCCTGCATGAGCGTCAGGAGATGTTAGGGTTGCATTGCTGGGGGAGGACCATACGGCATTGGTTGGAGCCAGGAAGGTATAGTTGCGTTTGTCTTCATCGTAGTTGAATCGCTTGGTGAACATCGGGTTGATCTCCACAATCCCGCCCGTCATGTTATACACGTGAGCATACGTAGAGAGCTCGGGGATTTCGAGAAGGGTGTCCATGAGCGGAGAAGCCATAGTGGTCCTGCTCAGGATCCCACCCAGTGCCACCAATGCTGCTACGGCGGCCCACATGGTTTGAGTGTCGGGTCAAAGCTGGGGATCTGCAAAAGACGTATCTTGCAGGATGCATGTTGCTTGCGAAAAATTGGGGCCTACGGCGATTATAAGATCTCCATCGAGAGTACTGTTGACGAGGATCGATAGTCGCGGGGGGACGAAGAGGCAAGGGGGGTGGGTATGTGTTCTTCCGCTGATCATTCTGCAGATGCTCTGGTGGGTGGGCCGCAGGTTTGGTGACAACCCACTTCGCTTACGGCATCGATGCGTGTCACTTGCATTAGTCTCGTATAGTTGAAAGCTTAGCGTAAACCGGATGTGCCTAGGAATTGCTTGATGAAGACGGAGATTTCGCTTGAATTATGGCCTCGACTCATCCATCCGGAACTTGACCACCTGCGGTTTAAGACCAAACGTCTAACAACGAGTTCGCCAAATCCAAGTGTTCCCAAAGAAGAGCGGTGAGAAAAGTAATGCCCGGTTGGACAAGGCAGATAAGAATCATTCGACCGAATAAGACACATATCACTGCAGTCGTACTGGAGCAGTCTACACGAGGTAACTCGTAACTCGAGGGGTTCGGGCTTACTCCACGCGGGCGAAACTAGTACCTAAACACCAATAGTTTCGACGACGTCATTATCCTGACCACCTTGTCCTGATCTAATTCGTTCAGATTGTGCCGCTGTCACAGCAGCTGATGTGAGACAAACAGACTACTACTTACGCGTCATCGCAATTCAACCATTTTGCCTGATCTCCCTGCGGACAGCGGCCTCACCCGCTAATAAGTTGACCCACACCGCACCCACCGGAGATCCGGCTGCCCCCATTCACTCGTATGAGCATGAGCAAGGACAAGAAGAGCGGGTAGGTAGACATGTTCGGCGAGACACTTCGCAACTATAGCACCAGCTCTTACTCTCAACCGCCAGTCATGAATCTGGCGAAGATGCGGATCGCATGCGTCTCGCAGCGCCCGCAGGATCCCCCAGCAGTTGCGGTGCAATGCCAGGCAACCGAAAGTGAGCTCCATTGTTTCGCTCTGGAGGGTGTCCCGCGATAATCCGATGACGGAGAACCGGCGCGCAGAGGGCTTCTTAGCCTGCAGCTTGTGCCTGGGTGGACTGGTCCGACGCTGCATGGTGGGCCCCTGCTCATCCTCACCACGTTCCCAGACAGCGTACTGAGCGATGATCTTTTCCATGGCCGCCTCGCTGAACCCGTTCTGTCCTGATCCCTGACAGTACTGATCACAGTACTGATCGAAGAAGATTCGTTAGATGGAGCAACCGCCTGAATATCCAGACTCTCCGGCCCGGTCCTCGATTGATGTAGTCTAACACCGTGGCGCCGATTCTGAGCAAAGGCTGAGGCAGACAGGCCCATGCTAAGGCTGTATCGCGTGAACTAATCCTCGGGAGTTCGGGGTGGGTTACCGATGAACAGTTCTCATCATGCCAGCCCAGAATAAGATCCATGCCGACCCATCGCGCGGTCAGCAGCTTTTCTGGAGCACAGCGTAGTACAAATGGGCTGTGTACATAATGCCCCCGCCCCACGCACCCTGGAAAGTCAACGAAAACTCCTGGAAGCGAGCCTTGAGGTTATATGTCAGCATTCCGCAGACAAGCGGGTGCCATCTCAAAAGCTTGCGACTTTCGTCCGGCTTCCACACTTGCAGACCTTCCTTGGCGGAAAGCGCTAAATATCAGACTTTGCCCAAAATTGAATAAATTCTAGCAGTTGCAGCATAGTAGCTTCGTCATTGTACTTCGGCCATTGCTTTTCTCAACGAGAGGGCTGAATGAATAGTAAAGCAAGGTAAACGTGGGGATGAATAGTGACTCGGCCGGAAGTTCACCGGGTTTCCCCACTCCGGGGCTTCTGCATCCCCTCCTTACGCCAGGCAGAGTGCCGCAATAGAATCGGCCGTTGAATCCCGGTCCCAAATGTATACATGACGCTTAGGCGGTGATGATTCTGCCGTGGGATACTCTTTCACAGTGTGCGACGGCAGGCGGTGAGGCAGTCGACCCCGTGAATCATTCCTGGAAATGCGGCGAACGTCCTTCGGTCGGCCTCCAGCTCACCCTTCATCTCAGCTATAATCCTAATAGACCTCGACTTATAGCCATCATGCCTCGCGCCGTCCGAGGTACTTTCAAGTTCCCGCTTGATTCCTAGGTCACACTCCCGCTGACCGATTCGTTTTGCAGGAGTACTCATTGAATGCGACCCGTCCGTGAAAGCCATCATCCTTAAATACGACGAAGAGCGCCACGACTACATCGTCGAAGACCTCGATGACGACCGTCACCTCGTGATCAAGGAGAGTCAGCTCCAGAATCTGAAAGCTCGCTTGGGGAGGGTAGGAAACGTCTGGTCTCTCGTGGTCGAAATTGTCGTACTGACGGTCATAGGAACTCGATGAGAAGGTCATGCAGCCTGAAGAGTCGGAGTCGGAGTAATGTTCTATTGCTCAACAAAGATACGACTACCCATATCTGGCATCTGGGATGAGGATCGACTATAGCGATTACCGATGTGTGTAAGGGGAAGAATTTGAGAATCAAGGGTCGGAGATTCGACAATCAGCAAGCCTGGCTTGATGCTCGTGTTGTGGTGAGGCTCGTCGCATCCACAGTCGCGGGCTCTTGATGTCGCACCGCAGCATCATTGCTTTGGCTAGGTGTGATCTGCACTGTCATGGTCGTGGTGTATCTGCCACACGAAGAAACGACACGCCTGGTGGCTCCTGCCGTTGAACCAACTTGCTTGCTGGCAGGCATCAAGTAGGTCCCAACGATAAGCCATCCCGCTCCTGCGAAGCACCGGCCGCCTTTTGACTGCGCTTAGACATCACCTCTCAGCTGTGACCGACCAGACCGCGGCGGCCTAGCCAGCACTTGAACACCTCTGTCCGAACACTCAAATTTCTCTATCAAGTTCTTTTCCCACGTCTGGGATTTCATCAGGGCCAATACCCACCAGACGAGAGTTCCGACGAGTTAGACGAAATACGATCATAGGAGGTTTGGCTGGAGTACAGATAGTATCATGAACCAGGTTCTTCACTACAAGACCTTTTACATAATCGTTCAAGCTAGATATCCACTCACGTATCAAGCAAGAGTACAAAACAAATCCCTCCGCCGGAGCAAACCAACTGGAAGTATCCCCTCCGCTAACTTCCGCGCTAAGCCCAGCTTATACGCGCGATCCGATCAGCCCGGCGATCCGATACCGGCACGCCCTTGTTTACCCCACCATAGCCTATCAGTAAATCAGTATATAAAAGACACCAGCAACCTCCAAACCCCACACCCCCGCTCCTCGACCCTCATATCCAGTCCTCTCCTCAACTCCCTCCCTCTACACATCTCAAACTCCAATAACTACTATAACGACCTCCACAATGTCCAGCACCGCCGAAGAAACGCAACGAGCCACCGCCCTCCTCCACGCGGAACAAAAAGCCTCCACCCTCTTTGACGAAATCGAAACCACGCTGCTCCGCCCGGGCATCTCGGAAAAACAACTCAACGACGCCATCCACCACCTCGGCGCAACCCGCCACAACGTGCGCACGCACTGGCACAAGCGCGTCGTGCGCAGCGGCCGCAACACCCTCTCGCCCTTCGCCGAGAACCCGCCAGACCGCACCATCGAGGAGGATGACATCCTCGTCGTCGACCTCGGCCCCGTCTTCGAAGAGTGGGAGGCGGATTTCGGCCGCACGTATGTCCTCGGCGACGACCCGGCGAAGCTGGCACTGCGGGATGCGCTGGAGGGGATCTGGGTGGATGTCAAGCGGGAGTTTGATGCCGACCCGGACATCACGGGAGAGGGGTTGTATGCGATTGCGGCACGCAGGGTGGAGGAGGAAGGGCGGAAGCAAGGGCTCGGGTGGGTGTTTGGGGCGGAGATTGCGGGACATCTTGTAGGCAGCTTTCCGCATGAGCGGATCCCCAATGATCGCGTGACTTTGTACATCACGCCGGGGAATGGGGAGAAGATGCGGAGTAAAGGGAAGGGGGGGTGGGACCGGCATTGGATTTTGGAGATTCATGTGCATGATAAAGTACGCGGGTTTGGGGGTTTCTATGAGCGGTTGTTGACTGTGGGGTGATTTGCATTGACTGGGAGTCACTTGTCACTTAGGAGGGAGGGAGGGCAGGTACTGGCTTGTTAAGGCATGGAGATGACATCATGTTAGATTCAAGTTGAATGTATACGGCTAACCGCGCGTCAGCTCAAACTACACTATCTGTGAGCTCTTTCCCGCAAGCACAATCGCCATCCGGGCACGGGGAGTCACACCATGCCACCTGGACCCTCCGGCGCAAGACTAGCATAGGTCGAATGCAACCAGTCCGGGAGCGGACCGTCGCCCGTGAAGGTATACTCCATGCAGGGGTCAATACCCACACTTCTGCGGTGGGGGTAAGCCTCCAGCGCGTCCAGCGTGGCATGCACGCGGGCCAGCTGCGTCTTCACCGCGGGGGTGAGCCCCGACCGATCCTCTCGCGCGGCTTGATTGCACCAATACAGGATGAGGGAGTAGGGATCGTCTAGACCCGTCGACGACCAGATATTGCCGCCGTGGGGTGTGGGCGGGCGTTGGGGACGGTTCTTGCCTCCGCCGTACCAGAAGACACTGATGTGCATCAGCTCCTCGATCCAGTACCGCTGCGGCTCGCCACGCGTCGCCAGGTCCTGGGCCAGGTTGTCGATCACCGCCTCCGCGTAGACGGCCGGGACGAAGCTGATCACCGGGGTCTGCCACAGCTCGCAGATCCAGTGCTCCTCCGTAGCCTCGTAGTACTGGCTCTGGGCGAGCTCCGAGCGCAGCGGCGGCTGGGGGTAGCGGTCGAAGTGGTTTTGCTGCGAGTACAGGAGAATGGTGATGCCGCGGATTCCGGAACGCCTGCGTGGGAAAAGCAGGTCGGTGAAAAGCAGCTCGCTTGAGGTGTCTGAATCCACCTCTATGGTGTCGCAATCGGACGACTGCTCTTCTGTCGGCACTTCCCACGGCATCTCAATGGGCTCGCGAGGCATGAAGTGGGGGGCTTGTGCGTGGAAGTGGTCCACGCTGGTCGGCGGCTGGGCCAGAGAGCGCGTGAGCTCACAGTCGGCCCCGTCCTTGCATAATGTCAGTCCGTGCTGAATGAGGATGCTGCAGGCGCGTTTGAGCTGGTGATCGGGAACGATGATCTTAACTGGCATGGACTCGTGATGATAAGCACTCACCATCCACCATGCCCAGGCCATGGGGGTGTGGTAGTAGGCATACCGGAGACCTTCTTTTTCGAACCACTTCACCACGTTGTCTCGTTTACTCATGGTTTTGGACATGGTGGTACTGGATGGATGGTGATTGGCTGTGGTATCTGGTGGAGTTCCTTTGCTGACGAGCTTGAGTGCCTCGTGGAGGACGATGTATCCTCTTTATAGGTGAGGGAGGAGCATGGAGAAGTCTTGGAAGGGGTGAGTTGGCTATGTTGGAGATGTTAAGTATGTGGCCATTTCTCATTGTCCGGATTCATAGACCGTCTTTGTCGAATATGTTCCTGTGGAGATCCTCAGGATGCAATCAGTAGCACAGAAACTTATATACTGATTTATAGCAATGGTGCAGTGGTACCTCGACTTAGCAACCTTAGGGACAGGTGCTCAGTGCAAATAGCAGACCTTTGGTGAGAAGACCAAGATAATTGCTGAATTTAGGGATGTGATATTCGTCACAGAATCGGCCTATAACCATGGAAATGTCGTCTATCTATCTAATAAAAATTTCTCTGCTGAGTATATATCCTGTGTCTTATTGTTTGGCACCCGTCGGTAAGTAAGTACAGTATACAGACCCAGCACCAGCCCTAACCCACCAGATGCTTAGACGGTGCCAAGAACCACTCAAATCCCACCTCCAATAACAACCTCACCCAACCGCGGTTGCTGTTCGTAACCTGAGGTAATTTCTACCATTCGACCTCCTGCACAAAGTCAGCTGCTGCTCACTAAACCAATGTGAGCAGCCCATCGGGGACCAGTAGCCACGGTTCGCCCCTTGAATCGACCGCATTGATCGCACCACGACGTCATGCCACCGTTTCATTGTTGCTTCCCCGCCTTTAAAGATCCCCTCTGCACCCCGGATTCTCCAAGCCACCATCTTGTATATTCCTACTACCTGCCATCTGCCATAGCAATTACCCCATCATCTCATCAGCACAACCAAGTCAATTGTCCCTCTCATCATGGAATCGCAACCCCGCAAGCTCTCCGGCCAATACCACCTCACCGGCGCGGACATTGTCGAATCCATCGACGATCTGGGCTCGGACGGCCGGTGGGAGGAGCTGCAGCGCCATGCCCACCAGCCCACCGCCGAGATGCCCCAGGGCGACACCTCCACCAGCTTCACCGCCAACAAGGTCCCGGACCGGTCGCAGTCCTTCCGCCCGTATGAGGGCAAGGCGTCGATGGGTATGTACCAGCACTATATGCCGTGGGGCTAGGAGATGACCAGTTGCGGGTCTAGGTACCGAGCAAAGCGAGGATATTCATCCTCCTGAGTAATTGTGGGCCACGGGGCACGTTGCTGCGGCTTTGATGTCGTGTCTGTGGGCGTAAATGCTTCGCTGCGGCTCTGTTCGCTGGTCGAGAATGATGCACTGGTGTAGTATACTGAGACATGGTTTTTCCTCTTGATATCTGTGAATTCTTAATCAATTGAGCTGTAATTTCTCTTCTTTTCTTGAATAGCCGGTAAAGGTTCTAGCAAGCGCATGGAAACATACCTTCTCAGTATGGATAGCTAGGATATATTTCATAACCCAAACATAAAAATCTCATCCGATAGTCAACAACATGCCAGTGATGACTCCATCACAGTCCCCCTGGAGTCTCCGGATGGAGTAGATCTAGTACAGGCTGGCTGCAATGGCAACTCCACCTTGGTGATATCCGCACAATGTATATCAATACAACTATTGCTAAGTTAGCAACATAAACCACTCAAGACCACGTTCTGAACCAACAGCACTGCGGAAATCGCATGACCCTCTTTCCTCCCCAATCACAGTCTAGCGCTGCTTATAGTTTAACAAGCAGCCACGAACGTGGGAAAAGCTTAGCGGTGCGTAGACTAGGAAGCATATATATATTTTGTGAGGTTCAGGGCTAACTTGCCAGCTGTCTCGGCTGGGCTGGTTTTTCTGATTTGTGTAGACATCCCACCGTATACACAACCACAATTAACCACCTTCTTATGGTTGCACAAGGAGAGGAGTTATGTTAATTCCATCGATTAACCCTGTTATTGATAAAATAGCCACTTGTCAGGGTACCAAGCCTAGTTGAATTACATAAAAATAGATAAGCCAGGCAAGAGTAGCCATACTGCAAACATTGACACATAAGCACTTTATTATAATATCATTTACCTACTATCGAACGAATCGATCAAATTCCATACTAAGGTTTATCCTCACATCAGCCCACACCACCGAATCTAGACCTCACTTCCAGCGCCGACTGGAAGCACTTGCCGCAACGCGCCTAGCGCAACCCCAATTCCCCGCGGCAAACTCCACCCAGCAGTGGGGCCTCCCTCGCACCGGCCCTCCCAATCGGGCCAAATCTTCCGACACCGGAAAACTCCTGCACTCTGCATATCTGAATATATAACGCGGCTTGAATCTTAGTTCAACAGACATCAAGATACATTATAGACAAGATAGACAATCCATTGGGCTTACGTGCACACACCTTACATATCAACGCACAGAATACACAAACACAGCAGCACGCACACCCACCCCCGGAAAGAAAGAAATGACCCTCCTCATCCTCGGCGGTGGCATAATCGGCCTCTCCACCGCCTATTACGCCTCACAAGCCGAGCCCACCCGCCACATCCAAATCATCGACTCCGCCTCGGCACTTTTTCAATCTGCGTCGGGCTTCTCCGGCGGCTTCATCGCCAAAGACTGGTTCTCGCCCGAGGTCACCTCCCTGGCCGACCTGTCCTTCCGCCTGCACCAGCAGCTGGCGGACGCGCACGACGGGCGCCGGAAATGGGGGTACAGCGCGAGCCAAGCATTCGGGGTGACGATGGACGAGCTGGACGCGCAGGGGCGGAAGACCGGGGGGAAGGTGCGCGGGGAGGATTGGTTGTTGAGCGGGACGAGTCGGGCGGAGGTCGCCAAGCAGTTCTCTTCTATTGCCGGGGGGAAGAAGGAACCGGTGGAAGGGGATGGGAGGGTGGATGCACAGGGTAATCCGACGTGGATGAACCAGCCCGCGGATTGCGTGGTGGAGGAGATTTCCAGTGAGGCGGGATGTGCGCAGGTCGACCCCAAGGCGCTGGTGGAGTGGCTGTTGGCGCGGTGTCGGGAGCGCGGGGTGGAGATCCGCCTGAACACGCGCGCCACGGGGTTCGCGGTGGATGCGGACGGGAAGATCGAGGCGGTGCGCGCGGAGCAGCGTCTCTCGGCGTCCAGCACCCCGGTGGAGATCACCCTGCCGTGCCGGGATGTGGTGATTGCGGCGGGGTGTTGGACCCCCCGGGTGTTCCAGACGCTGTTCAAGCGGAAGATGGCGGTGGGGATTCATGGGCTGGCGGGGTATAGTGTCATTGTGCGCTCGCCGCGGTATACGCGCTCGACGCGCCAGAAAGATCACTCGATTTTCTGCGCCCCGGGCCCACAGTGGGAATTTGCGCCGGAGATGCTGGGCCGCGTCAACCATGAGGGGGTGGCGGAGATTTACGTCGCCGGCCTCAACAGCGACACGATGCCCCTGCCGGAGGTGGCGGGCGACATCCCCAAGCTGCGCGACCCGCAACAGGTCGAGCGGCTGCGAGAGGTGGCGCGGCTGTTGACGGGCAGCACCGCGTCCACGGCCAGCGATCTGGAGATTGTCAGTGAAGGGCTGTGTTTCCGCCCGGTCTCGTCCACCGGATCCCCCATCATCTCGCCGGTCACCGGTGCGGTCAGCAGCGCAGGAGGTAAGGTGTATGTCGCCAGCGGACATGGGCCGTGGGGCATCACTCTGGCCCTGGGAACAGGCCAGATCGTGGCAGAGCTTTTGGCGGGCGAGACCCCGAGTGCGGATATCAGCAAGTTGGCGCTGAAGCAGGATGTGTCCCTGCTCAAGAGTCAGCTGTAGATGGTTGTGTATGTGTCTTTTAGCGTGTGGTTGTTTTGTTTTGAGACCTTTCGCGATAGATGTATCTAGATGATAGAATCTCATGAACCGATGTGATGACATGCTTTATGCCTTGGTGATGAACACAAATTTAGTTGCTTTAGAAGTATGTGCCTTACGATGCAGAATTGAAACAGCCAGATCAACAATCACCTAGGCTGCCGGGCTTGCTGTGGGGTTTTCTGATCGATGCACATAGATAGCCCGTAATCCCAGACCAGTCTTGACTTAGGGCTAATCTTTGTAACTGTGAGCAGACGAAGGTAACCGCCCGCTGATCAGAGCCTCGGTTCAAGTGCGCGGATAGACCCGGACTATACTGCAGGGAGGTCCATAGAAGCATGAGTAGCCGTAAAGCTCGCGTTCTTTAGCTCTTAGCTTAGTTCCGGTTCTCGTGGCAATAGCAGACATGTCGATGCATAATACTTAGAAGCCGAGGCAGATTCAACAGTCCAAGAATTGCCACATCCTTGGAAACTAACCCAGGTGAGTTTTGAATACACGATGCAGTCCAACTCCGCAATCGTGACACTGTACCTAAACAAAAGCCACCATCTGGGATGGCTGTCAGAACTGGACCAGGCATCCTGGAACCCTAAGCATGGCTCCGAACACCGGCCATCTCAATCAGTCACACCAACGCACCAGGTAGGACAAAAAGACAACCCTTACTCATGGGTTCACAACAGCCCTAGCCTCAATCACAAGACCCGACCGAGTTAAAAGGACCATTCCCCCCTAACCCCCAAAGACAAGGGCATGTCCGCACTCTCCAGCACCACCACAGCTCATTTCCCAATCCACCTCGCACCACACCGCACCACCACAAGAATGCCAACATCCCTCGTCACCGGTGGCACCGGCTTCATCGCCCTGCACGTTGTGAAGCTCCTGCTCGAGAACGGCGAAAGCGTGCACGCCACGGTGCGGAGTCTCGCGAACACCGCCAAATGCAAGCCCCTGCTCGACCTCCAGACCCAATACCCCGGACGGCTGTCCCTATTTGAAGCTGATCTCCTGCGGGAAGGCTCGTTCACGTCCGCGATGCAAAGCTGCCGCGTGGTCTACCACATCGCCTCGCCATTCCTGGCGCCCCCGCAAATCAAGAACGGGATGAAGGAGTGCGTGGAGCCCGCGCTGCAGGGGACGCGGAATGTGCTGGAGTCGGTGAACGCCTGCGAGAGTGTGCACCGCGTTGTGCTCACCTCCTCCAGTAAGTCAGATTTCCACTTCCACTTCCGCCCATCAAAGCCCCCCCCAACTTCATGCTGCTACTCACACCCGCCGCAGTTGCCGCCCTCTACAGCGACAGCATCGAAGTCACGCAGATGAAAGACCAGACCCTGTGTGAGGCATACTGGAACGAAACCGCCAGCCCGACCAACAACCCCTACCATTACTCCAAAGTCATCGCCGAGCGCGAGGCCTGGAAGCTCTGCAAGGCACAGAGTCGCTGGGACCTGGTCGTGCTCAACCCGGGGCTTACCCTGGGGCCCCCGCTGACCACCGCCTCCACCTCCGGCAGTCTCTACACGGTCGACAACATCTTCTCCGGGGCGAACAGGCAGGGCACGCCGGAGCTGTACTACCCGGTGGTTGACGTGCGGGATGTGGCCGAGGCGCACTGCAAGGCCGGGACGAGCGCGACGGCGAAAGGACGACGGTATCTGATTGCGGGCGACCACACGGTGGGGCTGCTGGAAATGGCGGAGCTGGTGCGGCCCATCCACCGCGACCCGCGGGTGCTACCGACGCGCAACCTGCCCAAGATTATGGTCTACTTGGCCGGGCCGTTTATCGGAGTGTCGAGGAGTTGGGTGTCGCGGAATATTGGGGTGAACTTTAAGGTGGATAATGGGCGCAGTGTCAGGGAGCTGGGGATGGCGTATATTCCGGTGGAGAAGGTGGTGAGGGATCATTATGAGGCGTGGTTGGCATTAAAAGGGGAGCAGTAGGGCTGTATCTTGAGCTCGTTCAGGGTTGGGCTATCGACATAGCTTCCAAGGCGATTGATGTTCGGTGGTGTACCAGACAGCACTCAATCCTGTTGGAAGCAAAAGCGATGTCATGGCTCTGCGCTGGATGGAAATGTCACCCTTGGAGTGTCTCATTTGTCCTGCTTTATCTTCTGTCTGGGACTGCCATACATAGCGAACATCGATATATTTTCAATGCACGAAGTGGACTTTTTGGCTCAGCCAGTTCAAGGTGTTCCCCATTCTCTGGTAAGGTTGTCTGTAATTCAGTTACGGCTTCAATCTTATTATATCATAAGCCAATAGCTGTCACTTCCTAAGTAAAGCCTACCTAAAGTAAAACCCAAGAGAATATATCGAATAAATTACTGTATTAGATAAGGCGAAATCGACGGATACTGAAGCTGTAAACTAGAAAGAACTTGTTATCCAGCTATTACAATCAACTCAAACTTTAGTATGGAAGAGCAGGTACACTGACTGCCTCTAGGACCGAACATTATACCCATTATGTTGAGCGGCTTCTGCTGGATCAATACCCTAACGATACATGTATGTCGAGTGCTGAATGACAGCTTGCGAGCCCGACCTAAACAGAGCCTAAGTATTTTTTTCTCAACAGATGTGACTGGCTCGAAGTGGGGGATGATGGTGGGTGTTGTGTAAATGCAATAGAACGCAATACCACGAGTTGTGAGAGAGATCCTCATCTTCAACAAGCGATAGACGAGGAGACCAGGTCTTCCCGGGCCATGCGATTAAATGATGGAAATACGAGGGCTTTGTCAGCGGGTGCCTCCCTCAGCCAGAGGCGCTCCAAAGCGGACTAACCCCTTTGGGCGGCTACGTGGGGTTTAACCACCGGGCCACTAGACCACGTGACTTGAAAAGGAAATACTGAGTGGTATAAGGTGTTCTTAGATCTAAGGGGAAGAAAAACTTGGATTTTTCTACTATATAGGTGACGAATAACCGCCCCGGGCTTTTCTTTGGAAGTCACGTTACTGTCACTCGCAGTAGCCATTCAGAATCCAGGAACTGCCTCCGATGTGGCCAATCATCGTCCGCCATCCCCGATCAGGCCCTCATAGAGTTGCAACAGAAAGCTTAGTAGCGCTTTGTAAATCAGTTACATATTGTAACTGCGGTGTAACGTGATGTATTTGATCTTCCATACCTCTCTAGTCACGTGATATGGCCACATATACAGCGAACCTGCACTGGAAAATAAGATATGCTAAATACCAGGTGTGGGGCGATCAGATTTTCAACCCAGTACGGAGTAGATTAGAGGTCACTTGACACGCAAAAATGAAAATGGTAACGACACGGTCCCTCTTTCGACGGGGGCTTCAATCCAGCGCCTTCGACCAGTCGGCCGCGTCACCTTTCGGTTATTTTACTGTAAGTTCTGACGAAACACAAAATTTCATCAGTACTTGTGGGTGACAAGTAGAACTTTTGATTTTGACTGGTGCCCCCGTGGTCACTATGTTGCGAGGGTATTAGGGACAGATTATGTACTATGTTCCGCGAACACTTAGGCTTTAGCTTTTTTGTGGTCCTGTTCTTGCCCACAGCTCTTATAGAGGCCCCGGTGAAAGCATCAAATTAAGCAGGGAGAAGTGGGTCCTTTTCATGAACAGTAACAGTGATAACCCGGGCCCAAGACGCTACCTCGGAGAGATTTTGTCTAGTGGTCTCTGCAAGATGCACTCTCCGGACCGTTCATGCAGGGCAATCACACTGTGCCGCCTGAAGAACATACGGAGTACATACCGTAGCCTCGAATGCCAGGCGGGTCCCTTCGAAAGGGGTGAACCCCCGTTATTACCGACCACCTGGTGGAAAGCGAAACAACCGCGTCTCCCTGAGTCCTGGATGCGTGGCATTTCCCATCGTAAGAGCCAATACACAATGTATCCTGCATGGTGTGCTGTTCTCCTTCATCCGTCGCCATGCCCTATCTTCCTCCAGGAGCAGCGTGTTTGGGGGCCGCTCCTGAAACCTCCATTTGATCCAGCCCGCTGCCAATCCTTCGTTCCTTTGGCCCCGAACTAGAGGCAATGGGTATGGCCTTCCCTTCGCAGGCTTCAGCTTGCTCGATCTAGTTGGACTTGCTGTCTCCCCGCTCCTGAGGGGCTCGTCTCATTCGGAATATCGCGCCACCGTCCCGGACGAATTCCATTCCCGCAAGGAACAAGGGGGGGAGTTTGAATCCTATAAAAGGATGGGTGATCGCCACATCTCTGACAGATTTTCAGGAACAAGGCAGATCATTCCTCGCCCATCTTTCCCCATTCTTCATCTCCCACCCACCATGATCCTCCCCCGCGAATTGGGGATTGTTGCGGCGCTTGGCCTGCTGGCCCAGGCTGCGCCTGCGCCGGTCCACCGTCGATGTAGGTGGCTCCTCAGCCCTATGTTGCTTGTTTTCAATGCTAAACCTACCCATAGCTGTCTCCACCACCCTGCTGGACAAGATGGACCTCTTTGCCCAGTACAGCGCGGCCGCGTACTGTTCCTCCAACATCAACTCGGTCAGCACCACGCTGACCTGCGAGGCCGACAACTGCCCCGAGGTGGTATTGGCCGCTCCGACGGTCTTGGAGGAGTTCAACGAGTATGTCCGAGAAGCCCCTTTCACTCCCCCTCACACTGCTAAGAAAACTCTCCCCCCAGGACCGCCGAGTTCGGCGACACGGCGGGCTTTGTCGCCGTCGACTCAACCAACAAGGCCATTGTGGTATCCTTCCGCGGCAGCTCCGATCTGTCCAACTGGATCGCCAACATCGATTTCGACCTCGTCGACGCCAGCAGTATCTGCACGGGCTGCGAGATCCACAGTGGCTGGTGGAAAGCCTGGGAGACCGTGGCCAGCGCCATCACCTCCAAGGTCGAGGCCGCCGTCACCACCTACTCGGACTACGATCTTGTCTTCACCGGCCACAGTCTCGGCGCTGCCCTGGCCGCCATCGGAGCCACCATCCTCCGCAACGACGGCTACACCGTTGACCTGGTATGCGCAAAATACCAATCCCCCCGTCCGTAAAAAGATCATGAAGATGGATACTAACCACAACCGCAGTACAACTTCGGCCAACCCCGCATCGGCAACCTCGCGCTGGCCGACTACATCACCGCCCAGGACAAGGGCGACAACTACCGCGTCACCCACACCGACGACGTCGTCCCCAAGCTCCCCCCGAAGCTGCTGGGCTACCACCACTTCAGCCCGGAGTACTGGATCACTAGCGACTCCGGGGTGACGGTCACTACTACGGACATCACCGAGGTGACGGGCGTGGACTCGACCTCCGGCAACGACGGTACCCTTCTGGATAGTGTCTCTGCGCACAAGTTCTACTTTGAGTACATTAGTGCGTGTGATTAGCACTGTTCTGTCTATCTAGTTTTGGGGGGGAGCAGTAAATAGGGAGAAGAGCGGGGATGGTTGAAGTACGCGTCGATGGACTGTACATAGTCATCCTACATATCCTGCAAATAATTAATTAATAAAGTTAATCCAAATGAATTTACGTTAGCAGATGGATCCCTCTATAATTGAACTCCAATATTACAAAGTATTCTCTCTCAACAAACGAAAAAAAAACGTTTCTCGTTTCTCGCCGAAATACTCCCGACCCAATGCACGGTTCGTAGGTTGTCTCAGATTAACATCCCAAACCACGGAATACATAGAGCCAGCCACTGGGGGGGGTCCACTCTCCAATTCTTAACCGCCATAGCCTTGAATAGGCCAAACTCAAACGGCAACCTGAAGAGGAAAAGGGGCAGTGACTAGGCTCTATTCCCGTGTAGTTAGTAGTACTGCACAAGACTGTGCCTCATGTCAGCCCTGAGAAACAACACCCCCCCCCCCCCTTACACTTTACTGTAGTGATTTAGGGCAAGTTTCCAGAACAGCGGACCAACCCGGACTCTTCAGTGAAATGAAGGAAAAGCGTAGTACGAAGTAGATCCGGATCAACCTCCCGAAACGGGTATCTGGGCCGAGCCCCCCGGCCCGCAGTCAATCAATTCCTTTCTCTGTCGATCAGAGGGGGGAGGGGAAGTCAACGGGTAAACCACACAGCACGTGGAAGATTTCTGTCACGGTTGATTTGTGGAGAATCTTCGGTACTTGCGTTGCGTGCTGTCAACCTTGATTTATCATTCACATTCACATTCACATGGTCATGGTCATGGTGGTGGTGGTGGTATCTCGGGATGTGACTGGCTGTGCGGGAGGTGTGCGGCACGCGGTGGCTGTACTGTACTGTACCTACAGTCACTCTACACTTGGGGTTTTTCAGGAATATGTTGGAACTGTGTTCCTTGTCGGTGATTAAGATGGCTTAGGTTTTCCCGATTCGGAGTGCGGTGCAGTAGCTACTGCACGGGCGGGGATGCGATCCTGTCCTCGTCGCGGTGTCTATCACCATCAGCTCCGTGCTGGTTCCGGGTTGGCATCCGCGGTGTTTATGCGGGGCTGTTAAATTTAAGGCTTGGTCGATGTTAGACCACTTGTAAACGCCTTGCGGGGTTGTTATATGGCTTGGTCGGCGTTGAACCACTCATAAGGGTCCTGAATGAGCGTGAGGAATAACAATATACCTAGCTCCGTTGCGCATTCACCACCACCAATAACCTTGCGAAAGTAAAGCAACAATGGCCCTGCATTAAAATCAAGAACTGCAGACCTCGAGCTGTGGTCTCGTTTCTCAGACTCAGACAATAACTTACGTGTAGTTATTGCTCCCTGCCCACCTCCGACGGCCGTCCGCACGCGCACTGATAACCACCGTTTCTTTCTCGAGACAGTGCATCGGGCGTAACAGTAGCCTAGCAAGTTTATTAGAGTGATTGTTATGTACCAATCACTGTGCTGTGGCAATGGAACGGCAGGCGATCTTCCTGCCAATGTCTCGCTGACGGAGCTCCGACGTGCCCAGTCGGAGGACAACCGGCGCCTCTCTCGGTGAAGGGATTAACGGGGCTGACACGGCGGGACGGAACGTCTCATGCTTGGCTGTGGAGACTGTCTTAACTTGTGGTGGCCTTTGACACTGACAGTTTGCATCTGACGGCCCTGAGCACCGGTCACGGAATGATTTTCCGCGAATTCGCCAACCCAGGTATTGATAAAAGCAAAGCTCACATGGTATTAGTTTGTATTGTACCTATTCAGCAGGTACTATAATGTCTACATTGGAATATGGACCATCTCATTATAGTACCTCTAAAACACGCACCGCCTGATCTCTTTCTAACTATACAGCAACTCTACTCGAGTGGAGCAGTGAAGTGTAGTTAAAGTCGGGAGAAACTGTTCATAAATCAGGTTCCCCCTTGACTTGCCAGAATCCATTGGTGTGATTTGCTACTTTGATAAGGATCACCTGCTGGGATACAGTACTATACAGTACCAAGTGTGACCCTTAGCCTACAATTGCGAGCGTACCCTACTTACTTCGCGAGAATCCTGAGTAGATTTTCTAAAACTAAGCAGCGAGATTCGCCTCGATACTCGTTTACTGTGTAGAAGACAAGCCACAAATCTTCTCGTCCTCCCCCCTTTCCATTGCGCGAAAAAGCCGGCAAAGAATCATATAAGGCACATTAAGTTGACGAAATCATAAAATGAACGAGTCAGGGCGGTAGAGAGAAAAGCAGGATATAAGCCTAGGTGTCTTTCCGGCCAAAACTGCGATTCAGCAGTATCCAATCCAAATCCATGGCAATCGTAATGCAGCGACGTACTAATAGAGAACCAATGTTTATTTCTGGAGAGATTTAGCCGGAGAATGCCGGGTAACATGCATACTGTACTCAAGACAAGAAGCATACGTAATGTAGTTTTCATTGAACTCTAATATAGACCAATTATTTTCCTTTCAATAGATGGTATTACAATATTTTGACTAGGTTTTCAATACGGGTTCTATTATCTTCAAAGCTAACGATAAAAGGATAATTAGATTGTTACTCCCTCTCATACTAGTAAGAATATAGATATGGTAACATAAGCACGAATCAAGAAAATGTTCTATAACCTTTTCAATAGGGTATCTAATAGTTAGGCCTCCAATTCAGTTTACAGGACTGAAGCGACTCTATCTAGCCAGATTCAGCTGAATACACTTCAGGTAGCGCGCTCTGCAACAATACGTGTATTTCAAACAATCATTCCGTTGTTAAAACCATCTCTGCCGCAAAGTGTCTTTATTTATATTATTATCTTCAAACTCTAAGTACAGATTCCTAGTTTAGCATTTTCCAACCGGGAGCCAGCTGAAAGCGACATATTATTTTGAAGGTTCAGATGAAGAATGGCTTATTACTATTAGACTCCGACATAGTTGTTATGAGTGATGTTATTGTGTCGAGAATACCAGATGAAAAGGTTTCGGAACTTTGATCTCACAAAGCAAAGTTTAGAGATAAACCACGAAAAGGCTGATCATGCCAAACGATAGGACGATCTGGGTCCAGCTTGCAGAATGCGAGACAGTTCCAGCACCAGTAAACAGCGGTGCGGCTGCGTTGGTTGTAACTGTTGTAGCAACAGACGGCGTGATAGAAGTGTTGAGGGTGTTCTTACTGATGCCACCATTGTTAGGATGGCTCAGTGCTCCAGTGGCGGCGACGTTTCCGCTCGAAGCAGAAGTGAGAGATAAGAAGGACAATGGTGATGGAAGCGACTGGGCAGAATATGTTGCAGCTGGTACAGGTAAGGTAGAAATAACCTCGCTAACCAAGCGTGTCTCAGTTGTGATCTGAGGAGTAGCCTCAGACGTAGGACAATCCGACACGCCCGAAGGACAGGATGTGAAGGTGGCAGCGCGGGTGCTGAGATTTGTGGATACAGACGGTAAGGTATAAGTAACCCCACCAAGGAGGAGTGTCTCAGTTGTAACCTGAGGAGTAGGCTCAGGTGTAGGACATTCCGACACGCCCGAAGGACAAGAAGTTAAGGTCGCAGTGCGGGTGCTGAAAATTGGTGACACGGAGACCATAACGGTAACTGCTGGAAGAGAAAGAGATTCCGGATTAGATGTAGCGGTCATCAACTCGGCTCCGGTAATGGGACAAATGGTAGTTGAGATAAAGAGAGTTTCTGTTGTAAGGAAAGTGGTTCTGCTCGCGACCGGGCAGTTCGTGACGGTGGATGGGCAGGCAGTAATTGTGGCCACACGAGTTGAAAGAACAGTGGAGGTAGTATACAACTCGGGCTGGGGCTGCTCTGAAGAACTAGTGGCTACCGCTGTCGTGAGGGCAGCCACCTGCGTTGCAGCGTCCTGTCCATCTACTGGATAAGTAGCAGTGGCCACAACAACTGTCTCAGTAGTAACAAAGGTTGTGCGTGACCGGGCGGGACAATCTGTCACTGTCAACGGACAAGCAGTAATGGTGGATGTGCGAGTACTGTAGATAGTAGAGGTCGTCATGGTCATAGCCTCACCAGACAGTAGCGCATTGGATGGGACGACAGAGACCCCAGAAACTGTAGTTGCTGAAGCTGCAAAAGACAAAGCCGCGGTGGGGTCCACGATCAGAGATGGAGTCGACAGAGTTAACTGCCCGCTTGACTCTGTGGCTGGAACGGCGGTGGAAGAAAAGGGCACCGTACCAATCGTAGATGAAGTCGACAGAGTTAATTGCCCGCTTGACTCTGTGGCTGGAACGGCGGTGGAAGAAGAGGGCACTGTACCAATCGTAGATGAAGTCGACAGAGTTAAATGCCCGCTTGACTCTTTGGCTGGAACGGCGGTGGAAGAAGAGGGCACTGTACCAATCGTAGATGAAGTCGACAGAGTTAACTGCCCGCTTGACTCTTTGGCTGGAACGGCGGTGGAAGAAGAGGGAACCGTATCAATCGTAGAGGCAGAGGGAGGAATGATCCGCACGCTCGATGATCCGGGAATCACCGTTGCGCTTGTTAAGCTCGAGACTGACGCAGTCGATACGGAGATGACAGTTGTCAAAGACGAGGACACGGGAACGATGACTGCTGAAGACGAGATGATATGAGGGGTGCTAGATGAAGTTGAACTGATAGGCACGCTGCTTGGTGACTGGATTGCTGAAGTTGGTGGAGCCACTTGGCTCGAAAGGGTAGATTTGCTTAGGAGCAAAGGGGTTGATGGTTTGACAGAGGGAGAGGTGGGATTGATGACCCGGGCTGAAGGGCTTGAAGATGGCAACACAGCCACACTTGACACCATTGGCGTAGAGGAATGATTGGGATTGATCGTTGTGGCTGAAACCGATAGTGATACCTTCGGGACGGATGATGGTTCCACTGAGGGTGAGCTAAGAGCAGCGGGGCTGGACAAGACAAGCTGACTTGAGGTCACTGATACTGATGATGCCAGTGTGGGGATTGATGATGGTTTCACAGAGGGAAAATTGATAGCTGAGCTGGGTAACACATGCTGACTCGAGGATGATAAGATAGCCACACTCGACGATGCATACATAGATGGAGCATCAGGGGACGTCATGCTCGGTGAAGCTGGTGAGACCGGTGTGGTGATTGACACGGGTTGCACCGACGGAAAGCTGACGGTAGAGGAGCTGATTGTTGGAGTCAAGGTTGAGGTCACCGTGGTGCACACCTGAGTGGTCGTAGTGGCAAGCAGTTTGGCATTGTCCAAATACGCGTTGAAAATGGAGTTGACATGGTATGGCGAGCAGGTCATATAGAACCCAAGCTGATCGCTTTCACTTGTCGGAGTGTATGAGCCGCTGAAGGTGAACCACTGATTGGTGTTCCTGGTGAACGGTTGCCCTGTTTTGTATGTGATGAGGTTGCCCCCCGTGAGGGAGGTGTGATAAAGGTAAATATTGCACGTCTCTTGGACTCCGTAGTCCGGGTTGAGGTAGGGCAGAATATCAATGGATGCTTGGTACGTGCTACCGGGCACGAGATCTTGCAACGCCTGAGTGACATACCAGTACGAGTATTGACCGGGCAGATATCTATCGCTCGGTTAGTTATGCAGCAACTCTACGGTGTTTGTTCTGTCCCAGGGCGGACGTACAGAGAAGCCGAGCCTTCAGAAGCAAAAGTGGTTGTGGTCGATGCGGCGAAGCTATAAGTCCATTGGCCCGTGCCGTCTTCCCAAGAGGGATTTGCTAAGATATTTGTCGAGACCTCGGTGTCCGTGCAGGTCACTTCAGTCATGATCGAGTTTCCGTCTGAGACGCCTGTGACGACGGCTCGACCAAGCTGTGCATAGAAGGCCATGGCGAGCCACTTTGTAGACGGGGCCATGATGCTCAGGGCAGAAGCAATTTAGCCTCCGATCAAAAGACGAGTGACTGTCATCATCTCGAGGGCCCTCAGGGTAAATTATAAGTGAAGCGGCTCGGCTTCCATGACCACATTCTCCACGATCAGTTGCGTGAATTTCACCCTGATAACTAGATTAACCATAAGGTTCGCGTGGCGTTCCAATAGTTTCATCCGGCTGGGTCGGGAATAGCTCCACCGGACAAATCAAAACAGCAGCCAGATAAAGTGAGCGGGTCTCCTCTCGTGATTCACTCATATAAACCAGGCACCGTGCCCCTATTCACAGTCAATTTCCAGGGATTCCCAGCCCACGTTGGAGAACAAGCTCAGAGCATAACTTAAATCTGTGCCGGTGGCGGCTTGGGGTAATCTAGCCGAGCGAGATATGGTCCTCTTCCTATCAAGTCTCCTAGGTGTGCCTGATAGATGAAGCTCCATCAGGCGCTCGAGATTCGCCTGAGAGAAGCTTTTCAAATGCTCCTTGTTTCTCGAAAAGTGGGCGATGTCTGCCCAGAAGTTATCACTGGCGCCTCTACACTTGGCTTTCGCAGACGAAATAATAGCAGACTCTCCGAGCTCATTATTAGGTTTGATTGGTCGAATCAAATCTGCTGCAGCTGCAGTTTTCAGAGGTGGGTCTGGTCTTCACGTCTGGCTTTTCATGTAGTTGTTCCAGAAGATGTCTGACCGCAATGCGATGTTCGCCCAAACAAGCGAAATGCAGCGCTGTCATACCGCGGTTTGTGGCAACGTAGAGATTGAATCCTTGCGTAACCAAGTATCTGGTCAAGTCGTCGTGACCGAAGCGCGCTGCGATATGGAGCCATCTTGCTCTCATTGGGTTCTGTATACTTAACTATACTTAACTAACGAGGCTCGGAAGGGTCCCTAGGCATTTCCTCGCCAAGGGAATACTGCCATTCACCACCGCCCACTGCATGCTGAGTCATGAGAACGAGAGATCGATACGCGGCGGAAGGGCCTGCATGATAGCTTGCTTAGATCTTCTTGATTGTAGAAGGTCTCGATGGCAATAACGAACGTGGAAGCAATCTTGAAACCGGAAGGTGTTGATTGTAGAAGGAACTGATGTTTGCTTTGTTTGCTGTGACCGACTGGTTTGATCTGTTTGTGTCTGTTGTATTCTGCTCTTCCTCCTTGCAGTGCCTCGTGTCTCCAAGTTATGGATGCCTCATCCACGTCTTCTAATTGGCCTCTCATTGGAAACAATATCTGCGATAGCCAGATGACCACCTTCTTCCAAGGCAAGCGAAAGCAACACCAGCTGCGGAAGACTTCTTCACTTCCGCCCAAATTCTCAGTCCACTGCACCCTTGACGATTCGGCCGACAGACCGGAAAAGTAATCCGTGTTGATGCCTTAAGGGTCAGGCGCTGGGCGGCTCTCCGCCCGCGTCAAGCGCGAGGTTGAGTTCCCTCCGCAATTTCTCCCCAACGGCTTCTTCCTTCAAGCAACATTCCTCTAGTTCCTTCCCACCCCACCTTTCTGCTGTCTCCCTACTTTACTCAGGATTCGTTGCATGCCAAATCTCTTGGTTGCACTCTCGCCTACACTTTCTTCAGACAAGGATAAGTGTCGATCTCCCATCCGCTGCCTGATCATGTCCATACAATGAGTTTCATCCCCCAATTCGGCAATCTGCCCCCCATCCAGACCCGCAAAGCTCTACTTCTCCTAGACCTACAGAATGACTTCGTGCGATCTACTGGGTCTCTCCATGTCCCCAATACTGCCGACTTTCTGGAGAGTATTCCTCCGCTAGCCAGCACTTTCCGCCGTAACGGCGATGTGGTATGGGTGCGCTCCGTCTACCAGTCACCCCAACCTCTGATCAGCCCATCGGACGGCCAGGACCTTGTGGTTCTCGGAAGACAGGATCTGACTGCGCGCACGAAGCGCACACCTGAAGATGAAACGGTTGGTGGATGCGCAAAGGGGGATGGAACGGTCGATGAGGAGGCGTTTCTCTCGGCCAAGACCCCTCAGTGCTGTTTGCCGCAAACGCCCGGCGCTCAATTCCCCGCACCCGTATTTGCTGCCATTGACTCCGAGTCTGATACCCTGATTGAGAAATCAGGATACTCGGCGCTCAGCGACCCCAACCTCATCCTGTCGTTCCGCACGCGGTTTATTACTGAAATCTACCTCTGCGGATCTCTGTCCAATACATCCGTCTACGCCACCGCCCTTGACGCTGTACGACATGGCTTTTCGGTGACTTTGGTGGAGGACTGCCTGGGGTATCGCAGCTTCCCCCGCCACGAAGAGGCGATGCGACGCATGGCGGACATTTTTGGCGCGAGCGGCATCACCACGCAGGAGCTGTTGGAGGAGCTGGATTGGGAGGAAACTGATGCGATCGCCAGAAGCAGTAATACCCGGCCACTGCGGACTGGCGTACCTACGGAAATTGAAGGAGGTATGGATGGGTTGGATTTTGGTTCGAAATCGCGATCGGCAATCGAGGAAGGGAGCCCGGAGTCTCTGGCGGGCAGCGGCAGGCGCCGCAGGATTGAGGATCTTATGGCGGAGTTCTCCGACCACGACAACCAGAGCTTGCAGGAGCTGGCCAGCCTCGCGCGCGCTCGAGCTCAAACCGCGGCTTCGGAGACGCAGTCCGCGAATGCTGGGTTACAAAAGGTCCGCGCTCGTGTCCGTCGCACAAAGAAAATGGATGCCAAGGGCGAGTCGGCGGCGCGCACAGACCCCCGGCGCAGCGAGAAGTCGAGGAAGCGCGAGGTGTATAGGCCGGGCGACAAAATCGGCGAGGGCGATTCCAGGATTATATACGATTTAGAGCTACCAGAAGAGGCTTTCGAGAAGATTCGCGATGAGGTAGCTTGGCAGAAGATGTATCATCTTTCTGGACAGGTCCCTCGACTGGTGGCAGTGCAGGGACATGCGCTGGACGATGGATCAATCCCTATCTATCGCCACCCGGCGGACGAGTCACCTCCTTTACAACGATTTACGCCGACTGTGGACGAGGTGCGGACTGTGGTTGAGCGGATCCTCGGCCATCCGCTGAACCATGCACTTATCCAACTCTATCGTGATGGACAAGACAGGATCTCCGAGCATTCCGATAAGACCTTGGATATTGTGCGGGGTTCGTTCATCTGCAATGTCAGTCTCGGGGCTCAACGCGTGATGGTCCTGCGAACCAAGGGAAAAGAGGCGGAAGGGACGGATACGGGTCGCCTGACACAGCGCATTCCCATGCCGCACGAATCGCTGTTCATCCTTGGGGAGAAGACGAACATGCGGTGGTTGCATGGTATTCGGCCTGATAAGCGCGCTGTTCACGAAAAGTCCTTGGAGGAGCGAGCGTACGGCGGACAACGTATCTCGCTGACATTCCGACATATTGGGACCTTTCTCAGCCCGGCCGGAGACGCGATCTGGGGCCAAGGTGCAGTCTCCAAGACTCTGGATAATGCCCATGCGGTGATTCATGGTCAACCGGAAGAGACCGAGCGCTTGATCCGGGCATTTGGGCAAGAAAACCATGCGACTGAATTCGACTGGGACGGTGTCTATGGGGCGGGGTTTGATGTGGTTAATTTTGTGACTGCTACCACCGCCAAGCTTGTGCTCGGGCCGGACCCTGTGGCTAATCTTCGGGTGCGGCTGTGTTTGAGTGAGAACGGACTACGCTACGACGCTGTCAATGCCACGGACACTACAAGCGATCTGCCAGTATACATTGATGGCAGTGAGGCCAGGGTCGCTGGCGACTCTGCCATATTAACACACTTCTCGGCTCACGCCTCGGAGTTAGTGCGACCGGAAGTGGAAGCTCTGCGCGGGGGATGCCTCCTGGGCGAAGTCGACCAGCTCCTGTCTAGCTGGCGCAATCAGGGGCAACCATCAGGTGATGTATGCCTGGACAGATGGGAAGCACTTTTTCAGGAGCAGCCCTTTGCGAGCGGCGCCTCTTTCGGAATCGACGACTGCGCCCTTTGGCCTGTCCTCTGGGACATCCAGTCGACCCACCCTCTGTTGTCCACGTCTTATCCGAATCTAGTACAGTACTACGCTCGAGTGGAGAAGCGTGGGATAGTCAAAGCGACACTGGAGGAGATGGCATAGAGTGACCAAACAGCTCTGGACGCATACTTCAAATCATGAACATAAGCGAGCATCAGATATCATTTGCAATGAACAAACTACACTATACATAATGACTCTCAGCACCCACCCACCCTCTTGCCCTTCCGTTCCGCCCTACAAACATGTTCCCTCAAAGCTCGTCGTTGTGAGCACATTGTTCAACGACGCCCCCGTGCACACCACCGCCTTGAAGAACGCCTCGGCCACGACCTCCGCCCCGGCGGGACTGGTATGGGTATGGTCGATCTGGTAGAAAGAGTTGACGGTCGCGTTGCCCAACGTCTCATAGATCGCCGCGACATAAGCCCCGTGATCTACGTAGCCCACGCCGGCAACCTCAGCAGCCAACTCAGCGTACCCCACGAACCGCGTGGGGGTGTAACTGAACGTGCCCGTCTCCCAGGGGTTGTCGGGCGTCTGACTGCTGATGATGACGTTGGCGCCCTTGGCGGTGAACAGCTTGGAGGCGTTCTCGAGGTAGGCGGGGAAGGTGAGGACGGTCTCGTTAACACCATCATAGACGCTGTAGCAGACCTCGGCGCCGGTGCCGGAGCAGTCGGTGCGGCCGTTGTCGGTCGACAGCGAGCCGCCGTCGTTGTGGCCGAACTCGATCACCACGTAGTCGCCGCTGGTGACGACCTCGGCGATGTTCTCGAAGCGGCCTTCGCGGGTGTAGGAGCGGGCGCTGCGGCCGGCCACGGCATCGTTGACCACGGTGGCGGAGACGTATTGGGCGACGTATTGGCCCCAGCCTGGTCGGTCAGTGCCTGCTGGAAGTGAAGACGTGTACGTTGTACGTACCGTTAGTCCCAGAGCCACCGCCAAGGTTCGCCATGGTAGAGTCACCAGCGAGGTAGATGGTCGTGGCGAGGGTAGAGGGGAGGAAAAAGAAGGGTGCGACGGCAGCGGTCTTCATATTGGCGTTTTGTCTGTGTATCTGTCCTTGCTTGATTGACTGGATCGACTGGGGACTTCTTTCAATCCTGCATCTCAAGCCCGAGTCTCTCCCTGCCTTATATACCTCCCAAGAAAGCTGACACTGCCCGGGAAAACCCCCACCACCACACGGACAAATTTCCCTGCTGCTTCTGTCAAACGACCTCGGCCATCACTAGAAAATCAGGTCAAACACCCTCAGTGTCAGGATGAGTATGGAGTAAATGCACAGCGGCCTTGAGATTTCTTCCTGCTCGGAGGCATCTTCTCGGGTTCATGGCCCCCGAGCAAAGCCATCGAATGTCGTGCTCTTGCGCACCTCCCTTGCGCCGTCGCAGCGAATAAACGAGACTGCACACTCCAACAAGCCCGCCGATCGACAGGGTTTAAGGGTACACGGAGGGTGCGATGCAATATGTTCGGGCTGGAGGAGGCAAGGGAGGTGCGGGGTGCACAGATGTGGATTTTCCACCTGTGAGGAAATGTCTGCAGGATGAATGAAGTTGAAGGAGATTGGAGATGGCGATGGAATCAGCGCCAGCTGGTGGCTGGCGGCTGTCAGGGTCGATGTCAGAGGATGGAGCTCCGTTTCGATCTGGGTTAGAGGGAGCGGGGTACATACAATACATACAGCACAACTGGGGGTGCATGGGTGCATGGCGTCAAGCGCGGGGAATAGTTATGATATGCCCGAGGTTGAATTTGATCTGATTGATAGGATCGCCCACGTTGGTTTGTATATTCTTTGTCTCGGTTATTGAGATTCTGTAGCTTAAGAGCATGTTGACTAGTTAGCACCTAGGGTTTACTTCTTCACTTTCTACGGAGTACTGTTTTACTCCACATCCGTCTCAGAAGCCCAAATGGTATAGTCGGGACCCCCCAAACTTCTAACGTCAAGACATAGTATCGGACATTTCTCGGGCTCATACACCCTTGGCTCCTCACTGTCTGGTGAAGGTGAAGACCGAAATGCACCGATTACTTCTGATCAGGCTCAGATCTGACTGAAGCTCGGCTCCAGTCGGCCATCTTGTCGACGGAACAATGCTTCAGATTGAAGACTCCGCCACGCGCCTCCCGCTCGGCGGCAGCGCTGCGGCACTAACTGTATCAGCCTCTTGCAGTATGGCACCGTCTTCATTCCTCTTTATGTAATGAAAACTCACCAGCACAAGTTAGAGACCTGAACCTGTCAGTATTTTTATGTTACTAGTAATAAGTAAAGATATAGTAATATCTTTACCAGACTTAAGAATGATTCCTATAAGAATAAAAATAGTGAATATAGTACTAATTCGACTAGTCAGTGATTTAACCTGAGCTAAGCCAATTAATAGAAGAATCTCTATCTATATTAGTAACAATACCAGTAGCAAGTACTAAACAACTAGTTTAGTAGAGATCAATAACAACTATACTAGAATAATCAAGAGTATTAAGACAGTCAGTAGTAATACAGCTAGATATTCTTAAATATACTGTCACGGTGCGAGCTAAGAGAGCTGTCTGCCGTGGAACCTGAACCTGAACCTGAACCTGCCTGCCTGAACCTGCCTGAACCTGCGATGTTCATCGATAAAGACTTATATAGTGTGCGCAGTGTAAAGCCATCGGCTTTACATCCTAGTCCTTTTGCCAATGGTGCAACGGTTAGCTGCTTGGAATGCGTACCCAGGTTCCGCTCCGTGACAAATACTTAGTATATGTCACGGTGCAACCCCAGAGGACCTACCCGCTCTGTTCGACCTAACTGACCTGTTTGACCTGCTTAACTCTTTCTACCCTTTGACCGCCCTGCACGTGATCCACAACCTCTTTAACCTTCTTCCCACTTCTGATTCTGTTTATAGCTCTTTGAGCTATGTCTTGTCTATAAATCTAAGAATAGTCTGACTAAGTAGCTAGAAGATAGAATCCAGAAGACTTATATTAGGAGACCTCCAGCCAGAACTACTAGTTCTACCCCCTTGCCTGTGATTAAGCCAGCCAGTCAGCCCGCACCTTGACACTACGTAGCTCCTACCTATAGAATCAGCAGTCAGATAAGATGCCGGCTATTCTACAGCCCCCTGTAATATCTAATACCCCTGAAGAGTTTACTCAGTATACAAATAAATACTCTAAACAATAGTATATCTATTATAACTAAGTCTATATCTTTACTATAGAGATAGATCAAGACTACTTTTATCTTTAATAGATAGTACAGACCCAAGAAGGAATCTCTTTAGAATAACTGGAGCTTCTACTATCTTCTGGAGATATATTCATAATACTCTATATGATTACCTCAACATGTTTTGTACTGCTTATCTAGATGATATCCTGATCTATAGCTGGATACACTCCAAATACTCTAAGTATATTAAGTATATCCTATAGAAGCTCTGTTAAGTAGGCCTATATACTAAACTGTCAAAATATGAATTTATAGTCAGTAAGATAAAGTTTCTAGGCCTGATTATCAGCCGCGAGGGATTCCAAATAGACCCTGAAAAGATTAAGACAATTGCCTAGTAGCCGACCCAACCTGTATCACCGACGTCCAAGCCTTCTTAGGCTTCAGTAACTTTTACCGACGATTTATCTATAACTTCTCGAAACTCACCGCACCGCTGGTTAACTTGACGAAAAAGGGGGTCCCCTTTGAATGGACGCCCCCGGCTAATCTTATAGTTAAATGGGTAGGGTACCCTGACCCTACCGCAGAGCCTGCGCCGTACCTTGAGAACGCCCGCCAGATTGTTGAGAATTTCCACCGCTGTTATCCTGATAAGCCCGGGCCAGCGCCTTAACGGAGCTTGGCTTAAGAAGGGGAGTGTACTACCACGGTGCAACCCCAGAGGACCTACCCGCCCTATTCAACCTAACTGATCTGTTTGATCTGCTTAATTCTTTCTACGCCTTAACCGCTCTGTATATGATCTATAATCTCCTTAATCTTCTTCCCGCTTCTGATTCTGTTTGTAGCCCTTCGAGCTATATCTTGTCTATAAATCTGAGGATAGCCTGACTAAGTAGCTAGAAGATAGAATCCAGAAGACTTATATTGAGAGACCTCCAGCCAGAAGTGCTAGTCCTACCACCTCGCCAGTGATTAAGCCAGCCAGCCAGCCCGCACCTTGACAATACTATTATAAAAAGTAATACTAAGAAGCAAGAGATAGTTATAAAAACTAAACTAGTTCTTTTAATCTTTATAGATAGCTATAAAGAGAAATCTATACAGTAGATCTTAGATATTAGTTATATAATAGCTAAAGTAGACTGCGATCTTCTATTTAGAGAATAGATAACTTATAAACTAGATAGATTAGTAATAATACCTTCAGACAATAGATTGGCATCTTTGGCCTCACAAGAGCTATTCGTTCATCACGCTATTTCACCATCTTAGCCCTTTTAGATCGGGCAGAGAGGTTTATGGTAATTGAAGGACGCTAGCACTAGGCTGTCCTCACATGATGGTCGCGCGAACATTTGTTGAGATTCTATCTTGTTCTTCGATGCATTGAAAGATTGACGACTGACTCTTTGTCTTTCTTACAGTGATGACGATGATGATAAATCATATGCTGGCCCCTCTTAGGTGATATGCAGGGTTTCACTTTCTCTGGCCTCTAGTCCAGCCGCCAACCAAAGCACAGGATAAGAAAACATGGTTTCTCTTCGAAAGCGTCGGGCCGTTAGGAATTTTAGTCTAAGAGCAGCATTAACTGCTTTAGTAAAATCATAGATATTAAAATGCCCCTCTTTTCTGGTGTGGCATATCACATTTGTCAGGCTTAACTCATCAAAGCTGGTCCTTTATCCACTTGCGTCTATCCATAATAGGCAAAGGATATAAAGGCTCATTCGGGCAACCCACCTTTGAAAGAAAAGACACAAAACATCGCCGACATTCAAAGTTCTAATGTCGTCAATTCTGTTAACGGAGGAGAATATTTCCCAGATACCTATCAGTTCACCGCAACGCGAGGCACTGAACTTGAGTATGAGACTTCCCCTCTGCTGAGCTTTCGTGTCATTACCGATCAATCCCCTGCTATACACCAGAAGACTTTGACTGATTGAGAAATTATGACATTTAGGTATCGCGGCGGAACTTCGTGCTAACTTTGACTATGATTTCGAGAAGTTTTGGCAATGGTCGGGTGTAGTGAAGAACGACACTAGCCCGGTTGTGTTGGCTGCAAAGCTGACTGGGGCCTATCACAGTCTAGAAAAGGGCTTAACACTCGAAGAACCTCGCGCGTTGTTCGGACGGTCAAAAGTCAAATTCATTATACGCGCTGTTAGGGCGCTCGAGAAGATCGGGTACACTAGTGTTGCGACCCGCGGTGGCCGTGGCACCATCCAAGACTATATGCGGTTTCACAAGGAGCATCATTACAGCTTGCCTGCGGATTATGAAAAGGAACTTCGCGACTTCGTTAGCGAGAGAGATGGGTTGTTCCCCGGTGGCGCCGTGTTATTGACCAAGAAAGAGGTCCAAAACGCAACCGCCTTCGACTACACTCGATTTGTGCAGACTCGACACAGCATCCGCCATTACACAGGCGAGAGTGTCTCTCCCGAACAGATTAAGCTGGCCGTTTCCCGCGCGATTCACACTCCCCGAGCTGTAAATCGTGAGACGAGGCGCGTCTATGTTGCATACGACACTGTGCTGCGAAACCACGTTCTAAAATATCAGCATGGAAACATTGGATTTGGTCACAAACTTGGCGCAGTTCTGATAATCACTACTGACATTCGTGAGTTTGACATCATTGGCGAGCGCAACCAGGCTTGGATCGACGGTGGGCTCTTTGCTATGGGACTGAACTTCGCATTACACGCCGACAATTTGGGTACGTGCATGCTGAACTGGTCTGCGGACAAGGAGCAGGATCAGGCTTTACGCTCTGCATTTGAGATTCCTGAATACGAAGTGATTATCACCATGTTGGGAGTCGGTAGTCTCCCGGAATCTCTGCGCGTGGCGGCATCGCCTGCTCCCGTAGCAGATGATATCCTTTCTGTTATTAAACCGCGATTTGGGTTAGAAGCGATGCCGCCGGCTGGTCGCCGTTAGATAATGAACCGAACCTCTGATCAAAACAAATAGAACTCCTGCGACAGAAATACTTCAATATTGGAATGTGAAATCAGTGAGTATTTATGCATACCATTTTCGCCTATGGCCAAGAACTGGCAATCAGTAGGCGCTATTGCAATTGAGAACTTGTCTCTCTCCAGCCGGTATCTCAGGGGTACACGTAATGACATCTGAATACATGTCAAGTGCGAAGAAATATTTAACAACTTCGGCACTCCGGCATTCTGAAGCAGATCATCCAAACCGAAAATGAGCGTTAGCTGCTGGAAAACAGTATACTTGGCATGATACTGGTGCATCAAACAGGAAGTAATGATAATGCAAGCTTGAACTGTTGAGCCCATGTGCATCCATCTCTTCCTCAACCAATTGGTTCGTAGTAGTGTCGCCAGCAGAATATACATCGGCCTGGAAGCCCTTCTGCCGATCACTTGGCCACCTACAATGTCGAGTAGATTGACGACCAAATTGAAGATCACCGTTACTAAAGCAGGAAGCTGCTATATTATCTTACCCATAATGCTGGCAAAGCTTCTGATCGTGTGCCCCTTACTTCGGAGGTTGATGATTTGTATTAACCGCACTACTCAAAATGGGTCTTTGAGGAATGTTTTGGATATGCTTTGAGGTACTAACTAGGGAGTTGAGGAAAATACACTCCTACCATTGACTAGGCAGGGAAAGTGGTGGAAAGGGTCACTGACGAGACATCGAAATTGTACTACCAAAACACATATTACTATCTCGGCGTCTTCGGCATTAGTTATTTTCTGGCCGCACAAATTTCCATCTACTGAGGCCAAACCGGGGACTTTGCCAGGACTTTCGAATGGTTTCATTGAGCATTACATGAATTTCTATACACTGATCACATCTGACACTGCTTTGGAGGGCAATGAGTATATTGGTATTTTCTAGTCTATGAAAGTCTTGTTATCATAGCCTTCAGATGAAGAGAAACTCCTCCTAAGGGACAGAGGAGAAATGTTCTTCCAGCTCAGCTGACAGCTGAAAATCTGGCCGCGCAGAAAGCTTTTCTGGTATATCTGGTACTCGACTATTGCCACGGAATTCCTTAAATTGAGAAGCGAGTAGCCATTTGAGGAGAATAAGAGAGAAAAATGGAGCCGTGAGATATCTGCCTTTTCCGCCCGGCGTCAGAAATGCATCTATTCTGTCAGAATCATATTTCTTCTTTCGCTTCCAGGAGTGATTCGGTGGTTACTATGTGAGAGTCTTAAAGCAATCAGTCCACACATATGGTCAAGCATGAAGGACATCTCTGGCAGATTTGCACTAGCTCCCACTCGTGGCTGCAAGTGTAATAATACTTTGCCTCTGATATCAGGACAGTTATATTGGCTATTATTCATATGTCGATTGACCAAGATCCGGGCTTAGATTAGTGCTAGATCTATACTACGTTGATGAAACGTAACTTTCGAAGTATAGATTCTAGGCATCTCAGCTCTTTTGGTACTCTAGCTAGCCACCTCCTGGTGCCGATTTCAATTCGTCATCGATTTTTTCTCTTTCGAGTATTTCACCCAGAAGCCAGCCAATGCCTGCAAGGGTGTCTAGATTAGACTTTCGAGACAGTTTCAAGTTGGGATAAGACGCAAAATGAACGTGAGGCACTCCTGGATACACGTCCAACTTAGTCTTAATCCCACTCTCCCTAAGCATACTTTCCCAGATAATGCCGTCGTCCCGTAAAGGATCGCAACCAGCAACCTGAATATATGCTGGAGGAAGACTCTTAGCCGGAGGCCCAGAGTTGACTGGAGACCAAGCAGGAGAGAGAAGGTCGGGCTCATAGCTTCGGTCAAGAATCTCCAGATCGTTCGTCGTCAGCCCTGGCGCATCGGTATTTTGGCGACGTGAAAGCCACAGATGCCGGTACCTTTCAGGCACATTCTCTGAGCAAAACAAATTCGGCACGCTCAGCCATTGTCCGGTCAAAGGTGGCGAAAACTTTTCTTCCGCAAGCATTTGGGCCACAACCGCGGTCATCGTAGCCCCTGCGGAGACGCCACCAACTATAAAGCCTGTGTCTGGATTTGCACCAAATGATGCCGCATTCAGAGCAAGCCATTTAATGCTGTCGTAGATGTCTTGAGTAGCAATGGGAAACTTGTACTCGGGTCCCAAGCGATAAGAGACAGTCACCACAGTCGCTTTGTAAAAATGAGCTAAAGGCCTTGCGAAAGGGATCAATTGGTAGTTGGAACCCAACAACCAACCACCGCCGTAAACCAAGATAATGAGAGGACGACCAGCAGGTGTACTCTCGGCTGGCTGTGTAAACCGGGCCTCACTCTGATAACCATCGCGCATTTCGAGCGCCTTAGTGAATTCATGAGTGCCATAGGTTGGCGTTGCATCCGCTCTCTCTTTCTCCGCAAAACTTCGTTTACCCCTCAACAAATGCCTATCAGCAGTGAAATCAATTTTCGCCGGTGCATTGTCTTGGAGGAACTATAGGTGTCAGGACAAGAAATTGGGAACAGTATTGATAGTACTCACGCTAACTAGTTCTGGATCGGGAATGCTGAGCGCTCGAACGCTCTCTGGCGTTGAATAATCACCCATTGTGAATGTGGAAAGAGGAGGGGGATGTCTGTGTATATTGTAATGATGCTGCGAATTCTCACTTTAGTGCAGCAGGGAAGGCTTATTTATAGGTTGCTTCATAGCCGTGAATCGACAATTGGGACTGATGCCGCACAGCGCGGTGCCCGCAAAGCACTGCTTGTATCATAATTAGTAATTCGAGATGAACTGTGCGGCGCGGCTTCCATGCGGGCCGCATCTCTAACCACTCATCCTCATCGCTTATTACGAGCATGTTTTGAAACCAACACTTGACTAGCCCTGCTTTCAGCGGCGTTGTTTATGCGTCTGAGGAACGTTAGCCTGAAGACCTAATCTGCGTAGGGTGTATTGCATGCCAAGAAATACCACGTGGACTTCTGACATGCCGTCTTCAATTCTCGAGTCACAGTCCTACTTACGTCCCGGTTTCGCTATGACGATGGTTCTGGGGCTCATTGCAAAAATGCTTATAGCTTGCCGAAATAGCACGAGCTGAGCAACCTATGAGCATATATTTTGTCTGATGACAAGGATCAAGGGATTATAGACTTCGCACAGCCAAAGAGAAAGCGGTCGTCAATTGCACCGTCGCACATACAACTTGATCCAAGCGATTTGAGAATTGGCAGGTACCATCCTTGGTCTCAAAAAGTAAAACATCAACTAGGAAAGTAGCGTTTTTGGGAAGAATTTCAGCGCTCAAAGAAAATGTAGTGGTGAACATATCTGTCACAGTGCGACATAAATCCATTTTGAAAAGTTGTGCATTAATTCACAGATTGAGATAGGATATTGATTTGTAGGTCCAGATGACATGACGTAATACCAGGCTCGCTTGGCTCACTTGTGATACTCACGGTGATGGCGATAGTGGTTATTTACCAAAACCAAGGCTAGGAGATAATTAGTTGGTGGTTAGTTATTCCCACGTGGACTGACAAAATCCTTTGTATCCCTGCTAATTATGAATTCATAAGAGGTCTACCATACTCCGTATACATGCGAAGAAGAAATTTATGGACTTGTTATAGGTATTCGTATCACTTGTCATTCTCCACGTCAGGCTGCCCTTGCGGCACACGAAAACCAAACCCACTGATGTCTCGGCAAAGCCAAGCGCCACCTGCGGTGACTCACCAAGCAATCTCCAGTTCTTCTTCCTTCATTGCCTAGCTTAATTTCAATTCAAGTTGCAGGTTCATAAAATAGGCTGTCCAACAAGAAATAGTCAGCCAACAACGGAATGTTCAAGTCCAGGTTATCAAGGTAAGTAGCCTCCGGAGTGCCCGGCTCATCCAGACTATGAGCAGTGTCTTTTAATGCATCAAATGTAGTCCTCGTCGGAAATAGGGCTTGATGCCCATTCAGAGCATTTGCCATAAGCTCAAGCTTCTTGAGACGTCTTTGACGTTCTTGAGAGACCAAAAAACAAGCGATATAGTAAGACTCCCGAACCATTTCCGTCTTGTACTGGCTTACGATGATTTTCAGAGTGTCAAGGGCTTCAGCTAAGAGACAGAAAGCTGAGTCGTCGTTGATGACAAGAAGAACGCATACAATCTGAAACGGGATGTTAATAATATGCCACCAGGGACATAGAGACTCGGAAAGGTCTTTCACCACTTGTAGGCTATTCTCAGCCATGCCCAAGATAGACCGTAGACTTTGATCTGAAAGGTTTTGACCAAGAGCTCGTGCTCGTCGAAAAAAACACAAACCAATATTGCATTGTAGAAGCCGCAGCATAGGCTGAGTGACTTGAAGCGCGCCAAGCTCTGCAATATTCTCTTCAACCTTGCGCGGTTCAAGATTATCTTTTTGTGCAAGTGAATATGACAAGTAGCATAGGTTTTGTTGTTCCTTTGTCCAAGTTTGCCCGGGTAGCTCTGACGACGCACCATGCAATTCAACTCGAGATTTTCCATAATCTGACGACACCCATATGTTGAAGAGCTGTGCTACCCAGTAAATACGTCTTCGGAGGTCGGGCGCACACAAGCTTGGGCTTTGTGCCAGGATCGAATTCTCTGAAGGTTCAAGGTGAAGCTTTATCGTCTCTATCATATGCATGAGAGTACAGCTCGCCATCCAAGTAGCATGGGGAGAGCTAGTGGCTCGAAGATAGATGACACGTAATAGCCATCCAATGACATGGTCGAGATCTGGACAAGGCAGGGAGCTTGAATATTCCAGAGCGCTACGGGTAGTTTGGACTATTTGGAGCTCAAGAGCAGTTGATCGTCCACCAAAAAGGCACGCAAGCGCCGCGATTCCGCCTAACATCGAGTCGAGACTGTCACTTATAGACTGAATTTGCCATCGTTTCATGATGGCACTTTCGACATATTCGCGATCCAGAAAATTGTAGACCGGAGCCACATGAAGGAAGAATTCTGTAGCCATCATACGCATTTGCGTTACGGTCAAAATCTCAGTTAAGCATGATGACTGAAGACAGGCGGTCTCTATCCTGAGGCCAAGATTCCAAGCGTAGCAGTTGAGACGAGGGGCTTGAGTAGGATTAATTTTCAATCCTAATTGCCTGACAAACACAGCAGGGGACCCCGCCTCTAGCAGGCGCAGCTGTAAGTTGACCTCTGTGGTATCATTGAAGGTTGAAGCGTCGTTGTGGGAATCCGACCTCTCCGAGTTTTGCAATTTTGCCTTCTTTCTACTACTTTCATACTCGCAGTTATGCTCATTACGAAGGCAGTACGAGCAGGGATGCTCTCCATCGCACTTTCGTTTTCGTTGTCGGCATGAGCTGCACGCTTTCTTGGAGCGTTGAGGGGTTAGAGTGAGGGACATTTGCATGTAGGTTGAGAGAAAACAAGACGGAAGGTCGTGGCTTTTTTAGTATATGGAGAAGCGGCACGAGAAAAATCTGCAGGACTTTGAGAGAGATGATCGGTATGTAGGGGATATTGCAGAGTCGATCCTCAAGGAACCAAGATGACAGAAGATTACATAAACAAAAGACATGGTCTGAGTTCAACTGGAACGTGGATCGCCGAGGTAAGTTAAAGAGGCGGACTCTGTCTTACATAAGCTAAAGGGAGGCCCGAAATTATATCGCCAGGCGAGCAGGTTGATTGCCTTTCATCTTACACTCTGCTATCACGGGGAATAATCAAACATGTGCTATGGGGAGTCGTCGCATGCTTGTCTGTCGCACCAGACCACTATTTGCATCTAGACATTCAAACATATATCTATGCACTAAGACACATAGCTCACTTCGTGGACGTTGTAGTATAAATGTGCTGCGTACGACCAGCTCTGCTTGCGTTAGTTACATATGCTGGCGAGTGTCCTCATCTCCTTGTCAAGATACAAAGTATAAATTCCAGTTCACAATCTGCCAGCATGCATATAAAGCACTTTGGTTCATGGTAACATCGAAATATTTAGTTCGCTGAAGTGAGATCGCTCAAAAATGAGAATCAAGAGACTTTTCAGAGTGCATTATTCTTGTTCTTCAAGCAACTGCGGTCTTCCTTTTTCAAAACTCCAGTCACTTTTCTCATTAGCTGTCAAAGATATCATGAGATCAGTATCTTGCACACCGCATTCCTTCTCCAGATTCTTTGCTAGGGTCTCATATAGTGCTGTTTTGTCCATCGTTGTGCGGCCTTGTTGAGTTATGCAGATCAGGACCCTTTTCTCCGTTCTTTCAAAGCCCAGTCCGTTGTCTTCCAGAATAAGCTCGTAAGGTTCGTGCTGGATTACAACCTGTTTGTGTTTTAGCCCAGTCCTGTTAGCGAGCGAGCATACAAAAACATGAAATACTCACGTGCAAACGGTCCTTGGAAGAAGTCTTGAATGAGTCCTGCAGAGACTGGTGTACTGTTTTGGACAGACGAAGGACTTCTGACGGAGAACGAACCCCTTTGATGATATGAATTGACACGAGGGGCATGATTGATAGTTGTTTCTCATAAATAGGAGTAGTTGAGTACTGTGCTAATCTAGTCGCTGAGATGTTTGAGCTCAATAACGATGTAGTATGCTTTTATAGCAATGTTATGTCTGATTATTACTGCATCTCTACCGGTAAATCTGTTCTCAGCAAGCAATTACGATGACTTCATTGCTGCAATGTGTGCGGCCCGCATCCTGTGTCTACTGATGTCATCGAGATGTTTTGGCTACTTGATCATGACGGGCTCAAAGATTGCTCCTCAGTTTTCAGGCTTATGCCATTGACTCGGGAGATATACGCATGATAAGACTAACACCTTACTTACAAGGGAAATGTTCACAGTCGTACCTAGTAGTATTCTATCTGAGTGCCTGATACGTCTTCTCTCAACATCAAGCCATAATTAGCAGCAGAATCAATTTTTGCTCAATTCATGTAACTAGTGTTTCGATGAAGTTTTCTATGACAATACTCGATTTGTTGGATTGTCATCCATTATGGTGCAGGCGAACAACCACTTTGTTGAATATTCCTTTGGTTTTATACTTAAATCCTGATTTCTTAGCCGATTACTGCATTAGCACTGCAGATGAACGGATCTCTAATCTTGCATTAAAACACTTCATGATGCTTGATATAAAACATCCCTGACCTTCCTACCAACCTTGATCTTATGTATTTTTATCTTTAGGGCCTCATATAAATCATTCAGTTTTCAATTGAGCAGCATCACCATGATGCAGTCTATCATAAGGCGCTATATCAAATTTATTTAGTGAGGTCTTTAGTGGATCAAACGCCTCGTCTTTATATGCGAGGCGAGTTAGGTAAAGCTCGCTTTCCAATGTACATATCTGAGCGTTGAGTTGTGCAATCTCGGTTTTCTTTCCAAGATACGCCTGTAACAAAGTTGTGTGTTTCTCTTGTAATCTTTGATGATGGATGGAAAGAGTTCGAAGACTCTCTTGGACTCTGGTGAGGAGAGTCAATGAGCGCTGCGATACAGGAACATCATTAGTAACATGCTAGTTGTAGCAAAAAAGGATACAAAGGGAACCATTATTACCAAGGTCTCTGTGTGCGAAGTCCTCTTACTCCTGTGGGTCGACAAACATTGTCTCTGTGTCTCATACGACCGCTTTTTAGTCTGGGCAGGTTCCTCTTTTGAGTTGGAATTAAAGTCGTTATCATGTTCTGGCGGAGCCATTTGCAGCGGGAAAGGTAACCTTGCACCCGAAAATGCCGGATTGCTAGACGAGCTGCTATGGACAAGATTTTCCCACAGGATTGTCAGCATATTTGGCCATGTTAATCTGGTGATACAACAGCCTTACTGAGCTGGAAGGTTTCTGGACGCTAAGGTCTTCTCGTAATACCTTGGCTATAGCATCCATACCTCTAAGTAGGAATATAGGGAGAGAATCGCGGAATCTTAGTCTTTCAGAGGACATCTAAGGTCCGACGATTTAGCTTTGTTTCCCACAAGACGATTACATGAAAAGTGGTCATCATTTGCGTAACATTTATTATAAGCTGGCAGGAAACAGTGGCTTCTTGTCTCTTTGTGCAGTTGCTCAGAGAAATCCTGTTCCTGCTCCTTAGCCTACATGTTCCGTGCATGTGTGAGAAGCCTTGCCTGCTAATCTCCGAAATTAGTCAAGGGAGGTATATCTTAGACGCTTTTCTTGAGTAGCTGTCGTCACAATTCGAAGGTCGGCTTACAAATGCATTCCTCTTTCAAGAACCCGTTCGAGACTTCGACGGCGGCGGCTTGTGTGCGGGCCGCACGATACCCGCGACCCGCACCAAGACGGGCGGCTCTACTTCGATGGGAGACCTAACCATGGAACGGTGATATGATTGTTCTGTTCAGGTTGCTGGCTTCATTTTCAAACCTGTATCATATCTTGCTAAGGTTGTTCCGTAGAATCTCTTTGAAATCATCGATCCAGTGACGTCAAAATGTCGAAGTTCTGAGAATTGAACAGACAAAACTTATTTAAGTCTCGGTGAAGTAGAACATCTGTTCAAAGGTTATCTATTTTTCTTCCATACATTTTTTACCATTACATATATCATATTCGACTTTCTGACAAGATGAGCATATCCATTCCCCAAACCTGCAAAGCAGTAGTCCTTGACTCACCAAGGGCTCCATGGCTCGTAAAGGAAATTCAGGTGAAGCAACCCAAGGAAGGGGAGATCTTGATTAAGTCCTTGGCTTGCGGTGTCTGCCATAGCGTATGAGTCCTTCGCCCCGTCGTTGTTTTCGCCGTACAATCATACTGATCAGACGCATAATGTGATACACAGGATCTGGCTACTAGAAATGGGGACTTTGATTCTATGTGCGTGCAAGCATATTCGAAATCTCACTACACGCGAATTCGATTACTAATATGCCTTTGATGAACACTACAGCACAAAGTATCCCATTGTTCCTGGCCACGAAGTCCTCGGTGACGTTGTCGCCATTGGGGCCAATGTCAAGGGCTGGAAGCTGGGAGATCGTGCTGGTGGAGCATGGCACGGAGGTAACGACGGCAACTGCAAGGCTTGCTCCCGGGGTCTGCCTCAGGTTTGTAAGAACTTAGAGGTTAACGGCGTCACTCGTGATGGTGGCTGTAAGTGACTGATATTCCTCAGATTTACCAGCGGCCGTCAAGTATTGTACACAGCTAACGCGAAGCTAACTGACAAGTTTCGGAATACTGTACCTTACGGGCAGATGCCGCCGTGCCGGTCCCTAAGGATGTTGATCCAATTTCGTTTGCACCTTTACTCTGCGCGGGCATCACTGTTTTCAATGCAATCCGCAAGAGCAACGTTCCACAGGGCGACACGATTGCTATATCTGGTGTTGGCGGTCTTGGGCACCTTGCCATCCAGTACGCCCGACTCATGGGCTATCGGACAGTGGCAATTTCAGAGACAGAAGACAAACGCGAAGCAGCGCTATCACTTGGCGCACACAAGTTCATTAATTCTCGAAAGGAAGACCCGGTGGAGGAACTTCAGAAAGACGGAGGCGCTTCCTTGATAATAAACTTTGTTGCACGCCCTGAAGTGTATGCATCTATCATTATCCCCCATCCATTTATTTCAATATTCACTAATGACTGAAAAAAACCGCAGGGTCCAGAAACTTGTCAAGGGCGTCAGTCCTGGAGGCTCAATTCTGCTTATTGCGCGTGAGTTGTACCAGAAAATCTGACATGTCCTTTGCTGATTATGCGTTAAAAGCTGTTGATGGCGTATCTCTGGATTTCATTAAACTAATTGTGTTCGGCGTTTCTGTGCGAACCTGGTCATCTGGCTTTGCACCAGAAACTCGAGAAGCAATAGATTTTGCGATTAACCAGGGAGTGAATTGCTTGACCAAGGAGTTTTCTCTTGATGAGGTCGAGGCTGCTTTTGCTGCGATGGAAGACAGAACTATTCGCTTCCGACCTGTGATCAAATTTTAAAGGTATGAGACACCTACGTCGATGATCATGTTCCTCGGCGAGTTATTGAAATAACAAGCAATTGTTGGAATCTGTAACGCTCATGAGTTGTTGGCAATGATTCGATAAGTACTCTACTTTGCTTGTTTAGAAGCGTACGGTTATCTCTTGAATCCGAATAAGTAAATCAGGGCAAATGTTCTACTGCTACTGGAACTTAGACCTAGATATGTGAGCATGCATTTAGATGTTCACTATACGTTATTTTCTTGGCTCTAACAGATTTCAGGTGCAGCTAGCCAGGCATGGCATGCGACTGAATTCAATATTCACCCATCCGAGTTATAGTAACATACCCCCGCAATTATTGCAGCGTTGGATCTATAAGATCTGGATACGAACGCGTTGTCAGTCCTATTAGCCTAAACAAGTAGGTGGGACCTGGGTAGTTGTGATAATTGAAGTCATTGCAGAAGCCGTTCCAGTTTACAATTGAACAAGGCCAGAAGCCAGCAACCTGTCCGACGGCTTGGTCGTAAGAGAGAATCTGAAAATGTGCTCGTATTTGATTACTCTATATTGGAGCACCTTATGCGTTGCTGCAGCGAGTTCTGGAAAGATAAATAGTATTCTTTGCATTGAGCCTCACTGATCTGCTCGTCATTCCTCATTAATGACATAACTACATGGGATCAAATTTCCCCTTTCAGTACATGCCTTCTCTAATGAATTTGCTCCTCCTTCGAATCTGTGGACCGAATACTACCAGCAGCCAGGGCACAAATGTCAAGGCAGCCCCTATACCTCCAAGCAAACTTGCAGCTGGGCCAAAGCCTAGATTGTTGAATAGCGCTTTTGAAACCAGAGGAAAGATGCCACCTAGCATGTTTCGACAGAAGCTTTGCGCTGCAAGCGCTGAGCTTGCGTATCCATGATAACTGTCGGCAAGGTAGTTAAATACGGCGAGATAAATTGAGAAAATACCCATGGTGGAAATAAACACTCCAATGGCGGGAACAATCCAGTGAACTTGAAACTGTGATGTCCACCCGAATATGAAGAGCCCAGCTGGGAGTAATATGCTTTGCAGGCACGAGAAATATAGACGATGCTCGGGAACTGAATTCCAACCTTCACGCCGTATTGCAAACTTGTCCTGAACCATGGACTGCGCCATCGCGAAAAGGCTTCCTATGCACGTCGCGGCGAATATTGAGTTGGCTTGAGATAGCGAAAAATGGTAGGTGGCCTGGAACACCAGAGGTATCACGGATAGGTTGATATAGAGAATGGACCAGCTGAAAGCCGCCCATAGAGAGAAGAAAAACACCACTGGCTCGCTTAGCAAGAGTAAGAAAGGACGATGAATCGAAGTCCAGAGCAGCTGGATGAGGCTGGATTGCACTCTTTCCTCATCTACTTTCCAACGAATCCGTCGAGGGCGGTCCTCGGACGCTTCGTCCTCCTGTGGAAACCGGACCCCAAAGCATCCTTCGGCTTCCAGTGCCTCGTACCACCCATTCAAAATCTTTGCTCTCCTGCTAAGCACGATGTGACTCCGTGTCTCCCGAAAGAAGATCATCACACCGAGACAAATCATCCCCGCGATGATTATCTGCAGGTAAAAAATCCAACGCCAGCTTGTATTTTCTCCAATGAATCCACATATGAGCGGTCCAAGGCCTGTACCAAACAGTGCCGCTGTAGAGAATAAAGTCATAGGGCCATTTCGCTCTTTCGGAGGATATAAGTCAGCAATGATACCACCGACCATTGTGGAGAAAGTTGATCCCCCAATCCCGGCGAAAAAACGAGCAACAAGCATTCTAGGCAATAACCTCTATCAGCATTTATGTAAAGTGAGAATCAGCTTTGAGATAAACTGACCCAGAATATGACCTAGTGACTGAGCAGCATATCTGGCATATTAGAAGAAGGATTGCAGTTCCTATGAACACTGGTTTTCTTCCAGTGATTTCTGAGAAAGGCGCGAGGAACATGGGCCCAATGGCAAATCCACAGCAAAAAGTGGTGATACCCACGAGAGAAGCAACTTCACTGATGTGCCATTCCCCAGCCATTTGCTTCGCTCCGGGGCTGTAGCAACTTGCCGCAAACGAAGCAAATAGCGTGGCAATACACGATATCCATGTTACACAAATCTTATGTTTTGGCGACCAATCGTGAGGCGAGACTAGTTTGGTTAAATCCGGTCTCGGGACTTTAAAATTTTGTGACGGTAGAGGAAGTTTCGCGTCAAAAGTTAAATTGAGGTAAATGATGTTCTCGGTAAAGTTTCCAGATTCCAGGGAGCCGTGTCCGCTCTTTTCGCTCGGTTGATTCATCGGTGCGCGCTTTGGCAGTCTTGAAAGAGCATACTAGCTGTGAGGTTGGAAGAAGCAAGAAATCTGAGCGAAGGCTGAGTGCGAGATGATTGCTCATTTTTTTATCCTACCATGCGATTCTCGTGGCTCAAGCAGAATAATTATTGCTTGCGGCACATGCGGAGCTCGCGGGCCATGCGAAGCTTGCGGAAGGATGGCGGGCCGCATGAAATGCATCTAGTCATTGTTTTTGCTATACAATTCTCCCCGATTCGAGTACTAAGAATGTTAATAGAGTTTCTAAGAAAGAAAAGCCTACTTCTAAGAGGATTGATAGTAGTGAAAGGCACCCCTTTGTAAAGGATACCTATTCCCTTTCCATAGAAATTGACCTTCAATAAGTCTAACCTAGTGTACACAAGCTTGGTAATACATTAGGTTGGACTGAGACGCGACCTCAAGCCTGTGCATATATTTCCCTTTGTCACTGCATCTCTACCGATTTGATAAAACTTGTACACATACTCGAACATGGAGTTGTTCAAGGCGAAGTATTGTCACATGAGATAATCTTCGTTATCGTGAAGAATCATGCATATTTGCCATCCAACATATTAGTCAGTCACATGTTCTGAATCTAATGCCAAGTCATCCGAGCAGGAATAAATCTGGTTTGACCAACTCACGCCGGAAATCCATCATTCAGTTGTAGTTTGCCACATATTGCAGCGACGTCCATTTATCCCATCTTCAATGCATTCCAGTCCCCGCGCTCGACATTGATTTTTTGATAAATGCTCAGCCACATTGCGTTGCTGCCGGAATGTTTTATAATATTATAGACAAGAGTATCTTTTCAGATTATCTAATAAGAGTCCTTAGTAGTTATTTCGATAAATACCAATAAAGAGATATGTATGTGTTTTTATATGTCTTTTATATATAAATAACTAATAAATTAGTAAGATTAGATATTACAGATATATACTATATTAATATCTTTTTAGACAGCTGGAAATACATATATATAGTTCTCTGAATACCACTTATAGTAGTTGCTAATTTTCTATAAGTACTTATAAAGATAATCTTTCAATTATATAGTATAGTATTATCGTTAATAGTATAATACTAGATATTCTAAAGATATACTCTTAGTACTTATATTTCTAAAGAAATGTTACGGGACAGATGGATCGTTATAAGGGCTAGGGTGATGAAATAGCGTGATGAACGAAAGCTCTCGCGAGGCCAAAGATGCCAGTCTATTGCCTTAAGGTGTTGTTGCTGATCTGCCTAATTCGCAAGTCACCCGCCCCCTAAATGGGAGGTCGCGGTCTGCTCGCTTAGCTATCACGTGACTAGTGCCTGAGGCCTACTATATAGATTTCCCTTCGCAACTATACGCGAAGGTTGGAAGGGTTGGTTCAGCCCTTACAACTTGGCAAGTCGGTTTGAATGCTCGGTTAGAGATAGGGTGTGTGTCTGGCACCTTTGCTGATTCGAGACATAAGGCCAACAATTCTGTAAGGTAGTCTCCACTGTCTCCTAATTCCTTCTGCTATTTGACTAAATACGTATGTAAGTCAGTGGTTGAGCCAGTTCTTTGATCGCTTCCGGGACTAGTGTTGAGGAATCACTGTGACAACATAACAAGTCTATGGGAATGAATCCACCTCGTTAAGCCCACAAGTAGAATCAACCAGCAAGTATGTATGTCTATGGATGCATGGATCTAATACAACCACCACGCTATACCGACTCCACTCTATGCTGTGCGCAGCATCCATCACAGCTCATCGTCCCTGCAAGTAAATCTTCACCGCATGCAGACAGTACCAAACCAGCAGTACCACCGTAACTCATAATATACACCATGAACTACTTACAACTTCTCAAAAGTCGGCTTCCGCTTCTGAATCCCCGACAACAACGCCGCCTCGACATCCTTTGTCTGCAACGCCGCACTATTCCAAACCGCCGTATACCTCAACCCTACATCTCATCACATCAGCATAAACACTTTCTCAGGCCAAACCAAAAACAAAACTCACCATCCTCAACCCTCCGATCCCTCGACCAATTCAACAACTCCTTCGTCCCCTGCACAGCGACGGGACTCTTCCCCGCCATAACCCCCGCCAACTCCAACGCCCCCCGCACCGCCGCCTCCTTGTCCTCCCAGACGCGACTCACAAACCCCACCCGGAGCGCCTCCTCCGCCCCAAAGATCCTGCCGGTCAAACACACCTCCTTCACCCACCCAAACGTCCCCACCACCTTGGGCAGCCGACTCAACGTCCCGATATCCGCCGCCAGCCCGATGTCCACCTCCTTGACCGCGAAGCGCGTGTCGGCTGCGCAGACGCGCACGTCCGCCGTGACGCTGATGTCCACCGCCAGGCCGAGGGCGAAGCCGTGCATGGCCACCACGATCGGTTTCTCGCAGCGTTCGAGGGAGGAGATGCAGGACTGGAAAGAGAGGACGTGGCGGCGGAGGTGGGTGGCCTTGCGCGCTGGGTCCTGGGGGTCGTTAGTGGTGGAGGGGGAGAGGAGGCCCTGGCTGGCGGCGTGGACGTCGAGGCCCGCGGTGAAGGCTTTGGGGCCGGCGCCGCTGAGGACGATGGCGCGGACGGAGGGGGAGGTGGAGAGGTGAGTGAAGATTTCTGAGAGTTCGAGCCACATCCTATCGTATTACTTTGTTAGTAGGGTCGGGGTGGTTGAAAGATGGGCGGTGCGGGGTGAGGGAACGGGCAGGGGGAGGGGGCGCACGCTTCGATAAAGGCGTTCAGTTTGGCGGGGCGGTTGATTTCGACGTGGGCAACATGTTCGTGCTCTGGCGGGAAGGTGATGTTGAAATACTTGTATTGATCGGGTTGCGACATGGTGGTTTGTGGTAGAATAATGGGAACAAGTGAGGTTGAGGGTGGGAAAATTGTTGCGTTGGAGTGGAGGATGGAGGAGAGGCTGTCTTCACTCTGGGGTAACAGTTGATGAGCCGAGGTAAGTTACAGTCAATGCAGGGCGACCGCTGGGGAACTCCTCAGGTACCGCGGATGATCCCCACTCCACCAACTCGCACTGGATATGATTGCGATAGAGCTCGGGTGAGAACACTCAAGCTTGTTTTCAGTAAGTTAAGTTATCCCCACTCGCATCTATTGCTTTTTTGATGCCTACCGCTGTATTTCCCTTGCGCAGAAGGAGAGGGTATGACGTCAACTATTCACATGCAGAGCCACCCCTATACTAAAGTGTTTTCTATTACTATCAAATTCCTGCTCGGGATTCCTCGGACGTGCAACTTCAATAGGCACAATCGGTGAGGTATCTGGTAGGTCGGTTAGGTGGTTCATTCTGCTTTGAGGGGACTAGATCTTGCCCTCTGCTGGCGGTCTCAGCATATCCCACAGACGAGCTTCTGAACAGGATGTTTACTTTAGTTCAATCCCCCGTAGCCTCTTCTCTCCGCCAGCATTGCTTTGAGCCACTGTAGTCCATCGGTGGGGCTGCGTGGGGCTGCTTTGGGGGGTAGGGCTGGCAAACTCAGACTCGTAAAAACAGCTCCACTGGACCTTACTTATCATTACCTAGCTGGCGAGATAAAATGGTCTCCATTCAACAATGGTTTTAAAGCTTTGGGCCCATTCTGGTCGCACTGGCACGCCTTTGTTGCCTGGCAGCTTGAGTGTACTAGTTGACATGGAGACAAGTAGTGTAGTACCCTATAGAGATAATTCGACAAAGTATGATCCCACCACTGCGGTGTCGACGTGACTGGCACTGATTGTCCTTTGGATGACAATCGGGTGTAATTGCTGCGCAGATTTTGTCTAGGATTATAGGATAAAGACTCTAGCAGCAACCACCAAGAACGGGTCGGTAGCTCAGTGGTAGAGCGTAGGATTGCAGATCCCGAGGTCACGCGTTCGATCCGCGTTCGGCCCTTCTTCTTTTTGTCTTTTCTCTTTGGTCTGCGGTCTGCTCGGCTCGCTCCAACGCATACACAAATGGGTATCATGGCCCGATACATGATTGGTTGCCGGTATACGGCTGCTTTGGTATACTTGAACGACTCTTGCTACTTATGTATCACCTGTGAGACTAGCCCGAATCCTGCGCTGATGGAGCTTCCCTCGACTTTTTATCCCCAGTTCTTTTATTTTACCCCTCAGCGTCTCACAGCACAGGATTCTTATCTATCGCCAACCGTGATGTTGGTGGACCTTTCCGATGTTTAATGTCAGGACATTGTTGCCTTTGTGTCTTTGTGACAATTAGTGGCCAAATACTAAAGTCCCCTTGCATACCGACTGATTTAGCCCCCAAAGCACGGTCGGGAGGGTGGAGCGAGCGGGAAAGAATTGATGCATTGCCTGTTCATGCCGACAGAACCATTTAATAAGACTGTGACTCCCTGCGACCGATGATGCAGTCTACCCCTATCCCAGTTGTCACGCCACCCACAGCAATGTCTCCTCCAATCGACCTCTCCAACCCCGGACGCCCAATTCACGTGGGAGTAGTCCTGCTCCGGACGTAGGATTTGCCCTGCCCTCTACCCCCAAACCCTCCATCCTCAATGCTGATTGACGTCCGGCAGGGTGACCGAGCAACTCGACATCGCCCCCGTCGGCTTCTTCTCCTGGGTCGACCGCGACTTCATCAAGGACATGCCCACCTCAATGATCAGCGATGCATCCAAAGCCCATGCCCTCGAGTTCGTCTACCACTGGGTTAACGAGGACGGCCGGACACCAGCCACGTTGACGGCGGGGATGAAAGTCGTTCCCACGGTAGGTCTCTTAGTAGTGTCATACTACCCAACAAACCCCCAACTCCAACCCTGACCAAAACACCACACCCACAAAACACACTAATACCCCTCTCCACCGCACCTGAAAGGACTCCTTCACCTCCTGTCCCCCGCTCGATATCGTCCTCATCGCCGCGGGCAAAGTCGGCTACGAGGCCAGCGAGGCCGAGAAGGCCTTTTTACGCAAGAGCTACGCCGACTGCGCCGCCATGCTGTGCGTGTGCGCCGGCTTCGAGCCCGTGCTCCATGCCGGCCTCCTCGAGGGGAAGACCGCCACCGGCCCGCGGTTCCTGCTGCCGAGGCTGCGCGAGCTCGCCCCCGGCACGACCTGGGTGGAGAAGCGGTGGGCGATTGAGGGAAAGATCTGGACGACGGGGACGCTGCTGAATGGGCTGGATATGGTGGCTGCGTTTGGGCGGGCGACCTGGGGGACCCGCGGGGATTTGGTGGAGACGGTCATTAAGAAGGGGTGTTTTCCGTGTCGGGATGTGGATTTTGGGGATTCAGAGGAGGCACGTTGATGGTGGATGTGTGGGAGAGGCTAGATTGAGAAGAGGTGGTATGTATAGAGAACTTCTAGTATAACAAGCAACGAGACATGTCTAGAGGCATCTTGAATAGATGGATGGGGTGTATTTGTATTTATCTCTGTTCAGAACCCAACCAAGAAAAGAAGACATTAAAACCGCCTCACTTATTCAATTGATTAAACTTGAAAATTGTCACCAACTCCAGAGCCCAAACTACCTGTTTTGCTATACTAATGCTTTCAGTCGGCTGGAGGTCCCAGAGCCAGTGCTTCTTCAGATAGAGACCTGTATACGAAAATAAGGTACCCAGTCTAAGATCCCGGGGAAGAAGTACACCCAGCTGTAACTGTGAATCTGCCCCTTCACAGATAGACTGACCCAGACAGTGGGATACCATATAGTATAAGCTGATCCTGAAAACTGGTGTCCGGATCCCGCGGGGTAGTGGGGGTTAAGATCATTTCTCACTCCGGACTGCAGGCCCTAAACCTCAAACTGGAACCCAAGACACATTGGGTCTAAGCGTGGTGGCTGCAGCGATAGAATCATAATTCTATTAAGTGATGATTTTGATTCGCAGCCTTAGCCGCGGGAGGATTCAGCCACTGCAAACTGCAGTAATCTTCCAGAATGAAAGCTCTTCACAAGATCAAGTCCCATTGGTGGCGAGTGCTGAGCGGAAAAGTCTGGCCAGTTCGGCCAATTGCGGCGAGGGGTTTACTTCTCTACCTAGGAAGCTCGGAGGAGAACAGAAGCTGGCGCGGAGACACCCCTTTCTGGTATTTATATGTAATTGCCATGACGTTCATACAAGTATATCATGTCAACATCGGGGTGATATTGCGGGGAGGGTTTCTCAAGTGATTAGACACATCTTTTCTTCTATCATATTGTAAGGGACACAGGTATCTTGTGCCTGCGCCGCGCAGTCCCCAATTCTGATGAAAAATACTTACCTACTGTTATATAAGCGCTGGCATGTAGCGAACCGCAAGATGGGGTGGAATTGTAGCCAGTCAAGAATCGAAGTTGCACGTTTTGTGGTGGACATAACCTGCCAGCGAAGGACACGATATATACTAGGTAGTCTAAGGTACATCTGCCGAATTAAGAGCTCATTGCCTCCGCAACGGAATCAAAAACTTCATATACACTCAATCATTCCGCAAGATGCAAATCCTTCGCCAAATCAGGCTGCATCAATTCCCGATTGAACTCCTCCGACTCGGGAAGCTCTAGATGCACGTGTCGATTGACCGCAGCGTTTAGCACGGCATTCTCAGCCTCGAACTCGAGGATGTGCCCACCTGCGCTACGGTCTGCCGACAAGAAATGCAAATGGAAGCCGGCAACGCAGATGCCATTGGTGTATGGCGGGGAATAGAACCCGAATAAGGTGCCGGCAATGTTCTCGTACGTCTTGACGACCTGTCGCTGGGCCAGCTCGAGCAAGGGCTCCCTGGGCCGCATTTGCGGGCCGCCAATGCGGTAAACAATCTTCTTGAAGGTGGCGTCTATGCGGACAGCGATAAAGTTGTTCTGCTTGGTTGGGAAGAACGGGTGCAGGGCTTGCTTGAGGTTGTCCATGTGCAACGTGTCCAGGGTCTTGGTCATTGTGGGCTGGAAGTCTGTGGCGACGATCATGGGCATGTGGTCGGTTGGCTTGAGTTTGTGAAGTTGATTGTCGGGTGTAAAGTGATAGGCCTCGCCGTCGACGATGACGATCTCCCCATTCAGGTTGCAGACAGTGCCAAGGCCATGGTTGCATTTGGACAAGATGTCGGAGACGGTGGCCCCGTCCGAGCTGAAGCCCTGCATCAGGGCACTGAAGATGCCGTATTGGTGGATGTGATTCATGTCGACGGGGAATATATTGCACAGGTAGGGTCTATGAGTTCAAGTGTACAAGTGAGCGAACCAAATGCTATTCGGAAACTAATGATTTTGCCTTGAGCGGAGAGCAACAACATCACGCACTAAGCCCTTTTAGGCATCCGATACCGGCTTTTCCGGCGTCCATATTGTACATACGTAGTAGTACTGTGTAGTCCTCGATAGCTTGCGGCTCGAGTCGGTTTTGACCCAGGTCCTGGACTTATACACTTTTAGTGTAATGATAGTGAGTATGAATTTTATGTGTTCGAGCCTAAGCTGGAACTTTGCTGCTAGGCAACCATCAGTTGCGTGCTCGACCTATGTGCAGATGATGCTGCGACAGGTATCTTCAATGATTGGCTCTGGACATATGTTCCAGTGGCTGAGCATAGCTCAGATGCTTTGAGATAGTGGTAGGATATTCGTCTCGTTCAGTGGAGATGAAGGGTGGGAAACAAGCAATAGTATGCTCAACACATGCGAATTCGAGCTTTGTATGTCATTTTCCCCTCAGGCTTTCTCTCTCGCCTTTCTGTCAACTTTGGTGATTGGCTCATCATTTCCATTACGGAAATCCCAGATTCAACGATAAGAAACAGATTTTGCCTGTCTATCTGATCGAACATTCCTGGTATAAGGGGCAAACCTATTTCCGAGGCTTGTAGTATGGATCCCCTCCAGAAAAGCCGGCGGCAACGTTCGGAGGGCTGAAGACACTACAGACAGCAAGATGTGTCAGACTGGAGAAGAGCTCGGTATCAGAATTAGCCTACTATCATCAGACTGTTTAGAGCTGTACTTGCAATCATGTCACGCAGTCGCTGATGCAAGGCCCAGGGACGAAACCGGTAACCCCACGACTTACTTGCATATGGAAAGCATGACTCCATTATGAGTCCTATCTGCTAGAACAGCAATGTCAAAGCTCTCCTCAAAGTCTCTTAGCACTGCAGATCGTGGAGAAACTGAATCTGAAATTGCACCTATCACAGGATGGAGTTCCGACAGGGTCGGGTTGAAATGAGGGGTCAGTGACTCTATAGATGCTCGGCGGAGCTCGAGATACTTGATAGTACGTAGCTACCATGTCATTTCGAACCTATTATCCCCAATCGAGCTTTCAATGGTTGAAGGTGAATGAGCATTTGGAAGACAAGCGTCCGACACAGCCAGAATGTTGTCCCGCGCCCTGCTTTTCATCGCTGCTCTCTCATCGGCCCTACTATTGGCCTCTCAGATATCGCAAACAGCGGACGTACGCGAGGGGGCGCAATCAGCTGACAAACCATGTTAGCTACCAATGGTATCACCTATGTATATATATACTTATAGAGCACATCCCTGCAAGAATTCAAAGGAGTTACAGTGATACACGCAAACTGTATAGCCGCTGCCGGGCTTCAAGCAACAGCTGGGTCTCTTTATTCTGATAAGTCAAGCGATGTGACTATGGTTTAAAACCCCACCTTCACTCCCTGGTAGTTATTGGTACCAGAGAATGGATACAGTAGGTAGTACTCCACAATACAGTACAGTATGTCGCCGGTCAAGTACTAAAAAGGGCTAGGACAGGACCGATAGGCTCATGGTCGGAACGGCGCTGTCTCTCCTTCTTCTCTACGATTTTTACCCTTGTTTCAATGCCACTCATCAAAGGTAGATCCTGTCGGACATCTTTGACTCAGCCATACCGCAATTGGGCGGGGTCACGATCCCGGCTTAACACCGGCCGTGATCGCGCGGGCCGCACTATATGCGGAAACCAAACCTCATCTGATCCCAGAAGCGGATATAAGGAAGCACAGGCGAAAGGTTAATAAGACTAGCCGAATCAAGACCTCTACAACGGTGGAGATGAATCTAGTAAGTCCCAGGTTAGGTTTTCGGAAACTGTCCGTAGCGAAGTCCCACTGTTTAAAGTCCCCGTAAATGGAATCTTATTCGGAGTGTGAACCTGGTTGGTGAGCTTAAGTGAGACCTGGTACTGTACCTTGTTTTGTCGCCCTCACTACTTTCCATCTCGGAAGCGTATACAAAAATTCAAGAAGAAAGATGGAAAAGAGAAGAAGACTGAATATCTGATGCTACCAGATGTTTTCCCCCCCTCACTGCTGCAGCTCTTCACTTTATCTCATCTTTTTCATCTTCTGGTTCCAATCTTCCATTGAACATGTCACGGTCGTCACAGGATAACTGGTCGGATCCCCCGACAAGCGGAGATGGCCCTCCCAAGTGCCTTCATGGGTCATGGTACAGCAGCCGCGCACGGCGCCCATGGTACTGAGGGTGGTGGCACACTTTTCCGTCGCAGAACGAATCGTTTTCAGCTCCGCAGTCGTGTCGCAGTTGCTGCCGGTGGTGGAGGCTTTGTAGGCATAACCCTCGGTGTGGCTGCCATCCGAGTCGGTGCCGTAGGTGATGGTGCAGGAGTTGGCATCAGACTTGGATTTGATCACCCCGGCGATGAACTCGTAGATCGTGATCGCGGAAGCGGCGGTGATGATGACTTCGGAAGTGACCTTGGCCACTGTGTACGCGGAGACCGTGGTGGTGATGTCGGTGTGCTTGGTAAGGTCCTCGTTGGTGGTTGTGTTGTCGTAGAGATACGCGTAGTCGGCATTCACCACATCCATCGAAACCGTCAGGTTCAACCCGGGGCTGCTGTCGGAGGACTAGATATAGGAGGTCACAATAGTGTTGTTTGCAAGACTCGAGCCCACAAGGCCAAGTGCGAGCACACGAGAAAGTACCGTGCTTGGGGAGACCATTCTCCGGTGCGGAAGCGGACGAGGAGAGCAAAGAGGTCCCCGAGGATCAGGCAATACCACGTCCACTGCATACTCTTTCCGTGACAAAATAGGTTTAAGGAAACGAGGGATGTACTTGGGAAGGGAAGCTTGAGGAGGTATGTTGAGATGTAGCTCATAGTCCAGGGGGGCGGAAGATGCTTGTACTTATAGTACAAGCTGTTAGGCCGACTTCCTTTTGCAGTTCTTCCTTTTCTTGCACCACCTTAGCCCTTATACTATTCTAAGAGAAATATATAGCTGGTCTTTATTACTAAAAGTTATAATATAACAATCAGTACCAGAGTACCGACACACCGGTTTACTGGACCTGCGAAGAATTTCAAAGGATGACAGTCAATGACGTTTATGTGTACTGAGAAAGTCATAGTATGGTAATCACCTCGTCGTGACTACCGGTCCAAGCCCGTCAACGGCGACGACAGCATCGGTCTGAAGGGTAATTCGACGGACATCACCATCGCCGATTCAACCTTTTCCACCAGTCTAGGCATCTCGATCGGCAGCATCGGGGCAATACAAAGACGAGTTCGAAACGGTGGAGAACTTTCGTGTCTCGAATTGCTCATACTAAAAGACCACCTATGCTGTGTGCGCAAGACGTGGACTGGGGATCAGGTCGGATACTGCCAAATGGAGGGGGTGGCGGACTTGGCTATAAGTCTAGGTTCTTGATAGCATCACCGGACGAGAAGCTAATGATGAATAGACATTTCCGGCGTGAAAGCTACGGACTTGTCGCTCAACAACCTGAAGGGGACACCTTTTACAGTCTCACATTGCACCACCTTCTCGGGCGCTTCCGGAAACTGCACAAACTCCCAGTTCCAGGTCAAAAGTTTGTACTCCAGTGATATTTCCGGCACGTTGCCTTCGACGGACGTTCTCAGTTTTCAGTGTAGTGCTGTTGCGCCGTGCGAAAATATCACGGTTAAGGATGTTAGTCTGCGGGGGTCTGATTCATGGGTCGAGTTTTCGTCCGCCAGAGGGTGCTTTGCCTGCTCCGAGCACCGTCAAAGATGTTGATTTGCAGCACATTCACTTCAAGTATCCGTCCCGTCAACGCCAACGCATGGCCCTTGCAAAAGCAATACTGTGGAAAGCAAAAATCCTGTACGTATTTTTTTCCCTCCTGCCTCGCAGCTCTTGTCTTACAAATATGCTGACGACACGCAGTCTCCTCGATGAAGCAACCTCTGCCTTGGACACGGCTTCGGAGTACCAAGTCCAGCAGGCTCTGCGCTCGGCGATGGGCGGTCGCACTACGATTGCTGTGGCTCAACGGTTGAAAACCATCATGCATGCGGATGAGATTCTGGTGCTTGACAAAGGATGAATTTTTGACTGGGGAACGCATAGAGAATTGTTGGAGAAGCGAGGCGTGTACTGGGAAATGGCACGGTAGCAGGAGTTGAAGGGGCGATGAGGCGGTGAGATTATTGTGTAGTAGTCTTTTGTGTAGTAGTCTATGAAGGGACTGTTCTGTCGGAGGATCTACTCCTCTTCTTGCATTGTCCTCCAGTGTAGGAAATGCGAGTGATTTTTTTGTTATGTAGCACGCGCTACCCGAAGTGTCTCTCACGCCCAAGCATCGACCATGACCTCACTTGGCGGAGACAAGCATTGACCGCACATCTCGTATTATTGTGGTTGTTGGAGGATTGTGGCGGTTTGAGGCTGTGCACAGCACATACAGTAAGTACATCGCCCGAGAGTATTGGGCGGCAACCACTCCGACTGACGAACTTGACTCTATCCACAACACCACACCCCTCAAGTCTCAGCATATGGCTCCTGAGTTATCAGCCTAGCTGTCTGACAAGACGGTGACATACTTCCAAGAAGAGGTTGACAAGTCATGTCAGACACGGGTCGGTCAACTCAGATTGGGCGAAATACGAGGGGGAGGCCTGATGTCTCGGAGCTGCATCCACACTCTCCCAACGAGATCCTGCAACCCCGACTCTCGATAAATATAGCCGAAACATCGTCCCGTCTGACATCGCCGTGTGACTGGAGGTAGAAAATAGCCTTACGATGGAACATGCGGGATGGGCGGGCATACTAGTAGTAGCTTGCTGTTGGCCGCATGAAATCATATCAAATTATATAAACCTCACCATCTCAGAACTGAAGCTCAACTTCAACCAGCACATCCATAACCCGACACTTGAAAGTCAAGATCATTTGCCAGCAACCATGAAATCTCTCATTACCCTTGCAGCCTGTGCCACCACAGCCCTGGCCCAAGGCATCTTCATCAATTCTCCCCCGGCGAATTCCCAACTCCAAGTCGGAGAGACCATTACGGTTCAGGTCGCGCGTGGTGTATGGCTCTTGAATTTCCTTCCTCTGCAGACTATTCCTTTCTCTTCCCAAACTCATCTTTTCCCTGCAGACTACCCAACATAGCACTGACAAGTAACTTGATGAAATAAATAGGACTACATCCAAGCCATGACGGAAATCGGCATCGCGATCGGCATCCAATCCTGCCCCGACACCCGGCCCTGCGCCCCGCCGAACGAGTACCTCCAGGATCTCCTCTACACGGGTCCCTTCGACCCGGAGTATCACACGGACTTCTACGATGAGTACCAGAATTTCACGCTGACTGTGCCGGACGTGACTGGGCCGGCGCAGATTGGGGTGACCCGCGCTTATCTTGTTGGGGTGAGTTGAGTTGTTTCTTTCTTGCTGGGTGGTGGTGTGGGCTGCGGTGCGTGTTGATTGGGGAATGCATGCTGATTTGGCTTTCGGGGGTAGGCGGGTTATTTGACTGTTGTTGGGTCGGCGGCGAGTAATTATACGATTGTGGCATGAGGTGAACATGATCGTGGGAGGGGTGTAAGGTCTGGGTGTCTACGGAACGGGCTGCTGTATAGAAGCACTGCATGTGGTGTTGGTTCAGAAGAAGAAGAGAATTAAATACATTTATGGTGTAGCTGAAAAGCAATAACACTTTGCTGTTACTGCAGCAAAATAGAAAGGGTGTACAGTTTACCACCGGCGAGAGACCCAGAGCGGCAGATTGCGAAGCCCTAAGTCTTGCGTGTATGGCCTTGCAATATGGTAGCATTACTGGTATACATAATGAACAGATGCAAGCTGTTTCTAGGTCGCAATCATAAGTTAGTTGGTTTTGCTCCAAGAAACAGTCTTCCTTTAGCATGCAACTGCTTGAACTCTCATACTGTCCAGCCGCTTTTCCGCATACATCATAAGTAGGTAAGCTTGATTGACTCACCCTGTAAGAGCTGGCTCTACATCATAATTGAAGAGGCTTGTTTGCAGATCACGCTTATTTTGTTGGCCTCAACTTTTATTGAAGCCTCATCTTGAGATCTACCTGGCGGACGGCGTGAATAGGTTGTATTGACTTAGAGCACTCATGGAGATTTCCCCTCGACGCTACTGTCAAGCTCCCGTATCGAAGCCAAAGCCGAAGTCAGGTCCCGTGCAGAATGTTCAGCTATTTAGCACTTCAAGTTTCTGGAAGAAAACCTGATAGTGGTTGTCATAGGTGAGTGAAATCCAACCCTCTAACGCACATGAAACACAGAACTGAGCAACATGACCCAGTGCCTGAGTGCTCACATCTTCCCGACAAGGATCGGAAATTACTTGAATGATGGGAGGCTACACGGGAACACTTCACCCCGCGAGCTACAGAGTAAAGGTTCCGATGGACGAGGCGTGAAGATAGCACCGTCAGAAATTGGCCACGAGCCGAAGCAACCATCAACCATGATGTCAGCAACACAGCACTTCCGTCAATTCAAGAAAATATCGTCCCATAAGATTATCCCAACAACGTCCGAGTTCAACTATCCTCAAACAAATTATACAACACAACGAATTTTTCATCCAACCGATCCATAGTTCCAGACAGCAGAAAAAACCAACAAAATTACAATACGTAAGGTCGCCTCGATGAGGCAAACGGGTATAGTCTCCAAGTCCTCGACCCCGATGCAATCCGACCGACACACTTGTCCGTGCAATCACAGATCCTTAGCCTCAGTCTCCTTCCCCACGGTATGAGCCGTGCTCAGCGAACTCGTGCGATAGAAGTAATCATGCACGGAACCCTCGAGCAGCTCGTCCTCGATAAACGCATCGACATCATCCCCGCGCTTGGTCTCCTCGCTCATGCGGGCCATCTTGGTCTCCCACTCGGCGCGGTACTCGCGGAGACGCTGCTGGTAGTCCAGCTCCGGGTCGTAGTGCTTGGCGGCGCCGCGGAAGCGCTCCCACACGGACAAGTGCTTGGGATGGACGGCGACACCGTGGTACTCGTGCTCGCGGCCCGAGCGGATGTAGATCCAGCGGCGCTCTTGCTCCTTGAGATCGAGGCCGGTGGTGTCCGGCAGGAACAGGTAGGTCAGGGCCATGCCCAGCAGGCCCCACCACGGCACGAAGTAGAATTTCGTCTGCGTGTCGATGTAGTTGAAGAGAACCCCGGCCATGAGGGCGCCCAGCTTGCCCGTCGCAGCGGAGATGCCGTGGGCGGTGGCGCGGATCGGGGTGGGGAAGACCTCGCCGGCGACGAGGAAGGTCACGCAGTTGGGGCCGAATTGGTTGAAGAAACTCGACAGGAAGTACATCGCTTGGAAGGAGTGGATGTGGGCGGGCTGGGTGTAATAGTCGTACTTGAAGGCAGGGACCACGAACATGATGAAGCACAGCAGAAAGCCCCAGATCTGCATCCATTTGCGGCCGTACAGCTTGTTGTCGACGAAGGCAATGGCAAAGTAGTATCCCGCCAGCGTGACGACCACGTCAATGAAACTCCACTGCCACGAGGTGAAGATGGAGGTGGACTTGGGGCTAATGACGGCGATGAAGTCGCTGGAGAACAGCTTGGCCCCGTAGAAGAAAACGTCGTTGGCAAACCAGCCGCCCGCAGTGGCCAGGACCCGGGGGGTGAAGTACTTGAAGGTCAAGCGCAGGGACTCGGTGTCGTAACCGGTGACAGACACCTTGGCCTGCTTCTTCGTGGCGGCCAGCTGCTTGCTGGCGGCCTTCATGTGGTACGCACGGTAATACAGAAGCCACACGGTGCCCACCAGCGGAATGACAAAGGAGATGCGGTAGGTCCACTGGGCGGCGGTCTGGTTGATGGGCTCCTTGCCGCTGCCGGCGTTGAAGATCAGAAGCAGAATCATGAGGAAGGCCTGGTTGAGAACCTGACCCCAGCCCTGCATGGAGAAGCATCCAATGACTTTGGCACCGCGGTGGAGGCGATCCTCCCGCGTGGACAGCTTGCCCGAGCCGACAGCATTCTCCATACCACTTGTAACGGTCATCGGGTATTCGCCACCTGAGAAAGGTCAGTCAATGGTCCGTCAGATCGAGGCCGAGAGAGCTGAACTCACCGACACCGACACCGTAGATGAACAGAGACCAGGCATAACAGATGACCCATCCGTTCTGGGTGGTGCCCCATGCGGCCACCAACATCACCAACCCGAGGATCATGATCCAAGCGTCCTGCAACAGACCCCAGCGACGGCCAATCCAGTCTCCGATAACACCCACCATGATCTGACCGATGATAATCCCGACGATTTCGAGGTAGGTCACCGCCGAGACCCAGGTCTTGGAGCAGATCTCGTACTTGCCCCAGCAGGACTCAAACGACTTGCCGAACAAGGTCGAGATGTTCCCGATGGAAAGGAGAACATAACTAGCACCGAATCATCAGCTCTCAAAGGAAAGGGTCTTGTGCTCAAGGGGTCACGGTGGGCTCACCCTTCCAGACCGATACCTGCACCCGGGATGACGACGTTCTTGAAATAGTCCATCAACGGCGACAGCGGATCGGCCTTGAACTGCTGCCAAAAGAGAGACCATTGGCGGCTGCTCTCCTTGGAGTCGACGGAGCGGACGAACTTGATCCGCTGGCCGATGGGGAGATCGGCCCAGTAGACGCCCTCGGGGGTGTAACTGTCATCGGGACGAAGGAGTCGGTTGAAGGCGTCCCTCTCGCTGGGGCTCATCTCGGGGAACTCCTGCTTTCCGCCCATGCTGGGCTCGTGCGAGGCGTCAAAGTCTGCCATGTCGAAGTGTATCGATGGGAGGCTTGAGGCAGACTAGATAGAGATGATCACCTCCGAAAAGGGGAGAATAACGAGGGGATTATATATGTGCGAGCAGAAATGAGCTGCATTATCATGCTATATGCACCAGGAACCATCAAGATCAGAGTCGTTCAGCACGTTCTAGCGATGTAGCTTGTGGTTGGTCAGGATAATTGGTGGTGGTCGCTACTAGACCTTAGTAGCGGTGGTGTATTGCCTTCCGGGTCAAGCGAGACGAACTAGTGGACCTGCGGCCTCGGAGGATGCAAGCTGACAAGATTTGCCGACCAATGGAGACTGTCATTGAGATAACAGGAGATTGCAGTGATAACTTGGGACATGGAACATGATTCAGGAAGGCGTTGGATGAGCCTGCGCGGAGAAAGGTGACTGACTGGTGACTGGTGACAGATGATAGTGCCTGAATACTCCGTAGATCGTATTGTTCCAATTCATGGGCAGGCATCAGAATTGTAAGTCGTAGCCATCCCTGAAGTTGTCGTATGTTTTGTCACACACATTCGGAGCCATGACTGAGTCAAGCAGCGAACCTCCAGGAGACAAGCCTCCTTGGGCTGGACTTGGCCAACTTGGCTCCAGCGACACCCGGCGTGGCATTCGGGGCGTGGCACCACGTGCCCAATGGGAATGAAGTGAGAAGAAGCAGTGCAAGTGCACGTGCCCGTCTGGCCGCCTTTGGCTCGCCCATTCATGTCTCTGTCCTGTCGGTCGGTCCTCGAGTCTAGTCTGCTTCGAGCTTAGTCCGTGAGCCCATCCATGCAATGCGCAACATTTTACACAGAACTATCTTACCCACGTGCCCACATGGTTTGAGAAAAATCTACTCGGAGTATGTCCTTCTATGGATCCGCTGAACCGATGCAAATCAGAATTCGTATATTATATACAAGATACATCCATCCGTCGAGGTGCAGCAGTGGCTCCCTCACACCAACGGACTAGGCAACGGAGACGAAGCCACCCGCAGATACCGATGTGGCCGCCACGAGAATCGCCTCGACCACCAGCAGATCAGAATCGTACCCAAACACGCAAACAGAACCATCCCGAGAACCACCTCGTTCGTCGCTGTCATGAATCGGTCGGCCGTCGAGCCTGGTTCCGACGCCTCCTTGGCCATTGCTTCGTCCCCAACAATGGTCTCCATTGTCTCGGTCGCTGGCGCTGCTGGTTCGACAGCCTCTTCAGCAGGCTGGGCAACAAGAGAAGCCGGATCGTCCGGGACCAGCAGGGGCGCCTCGCTATCCTCCGAGGCATACTGCAGACCTCCCTCGATCCGGGTGCGGACGATCATCGACCAGCCCAGCGAGTTGCCGTTGCGATCAAGCGCCTCGGCAGAAACAAAGTCCCAGTAACCCGGAGTCACGAAGACAGACTCAAAGTCGTGCTTGCTCACGTTCCCAATCAAGTAGGGAATGGAAATCTCATCGGCCTGCGAATAAAAGTTCCACACGGCGACCTCGGTGGCACCGTTCCAGCTGACATGGAAGACGGTCGTCAGCTCGGAATTCGATGAGGAGGCGCTGGTGGCAGACGCATGCGCAAGGCTGGGCTTGCTGGCAAAGACAGAGGCAACCAGGGCGGGCGGCTGCTGAGGTTTGCCAATGAACGGGAATTTGTACGACCGGTAGCTGTTGAAACGAGGCGACTGAAACTGGGCCTCCATGAGAACGGTGCCATCGGGGGCGTGCTCGCTGTGGTAGCCTTGCGCACTCCAGCCCATAAAGACGTTACCTCCGTCCAGGCTCTGCAGGTTGCCTCGCATGCGAGTCAGTCCGCCGTCCGGACGGGTGTAGCGGTTCAGGAGCGTGGCGGTCATAGTCACCGTGTTGAGCTCCACGATCATGCCGGAGGAAACCTCCTCCTGGTTGGTGAAGTCGTCGGAGGCGTTGTTGAGGAAGGAAAGAATGGTGTGCGTCTCGTTGACGGAGACGAACCGCGCGTTGTGTTGCTTGGAAAAGGTGAAGTCCATGGCGAAGTTGGTGTACTTGCCCCCGAGACGCCAGATAATATGTCCGTCTTGCCCAGAGATGAGATAGATAGTACTCGTGTAGCGAGCCGACATGAGGTAGTCGCCGTATTGGTTCTTGTCGGCCGCATTGACGTGAATATAATCCAACCCGCCTCCCCCTTCAGGCGGCGACCACGGCATCACATGGTCCGACTCGTGCAGGGGAATCTTATCGCGAGAGTCCCAGTCGAAGAGGACCGCGCCGGTGGCGATGTCAATCTCCAGAAATCCCCCCGAGGCCACTCGGCTCATTTCCGTCGGTCGACCCAACTCCGCCAGGGTCTGATCCTGAATCCGAATGGAGGCTGCCAGGGCCGTCTTTCCGCTGGGCAGAATGTTGAATTCGTGCAGATCCCATCGCTCGAGGTCGTTGGTGATCGGGATGGCATTCTCAACCATGTATTTGTCGTTCAGTATATAACCCGCGCCTTTGGCCAGCGGCGTGCCATCGTTCACGAACATTTGTTGTAGGATATATGAAAGATGGGTGGTACCCTCGGCGATGTTGGTTGTAGTCTTGAAGTCAAAGACGTTGCGATTATCATGTAGGCAGGAGCCGGTCCAGACCAGCTTGCCATCCTGATCGTAGATGTGAGGTCCCACCTGACAGGGCACGTATTTGCGATTTGTATTGGGAGCTTCCGCTTCGAAGTGCAGGTACGGTGCGACAAACCAATACCCGGGGCTTACGCGACTGCGATCGTAGTATGTTACGTTGTATTTGGGCGCCTTGACATTCGGCATCTAGCAGGGTTAGCAGTGATTCATCCTTCTTCGTATCTGTGGCGTACTGTGATGAAGGAAAGAAGGTCATCATCGCGTTTGACGTCAAGTGTCTCCGCAGCGTTGGTGAGAGGTAGAGAAAGGCTGGAAAGAAGCAGAAAAGATGATAAAGAATGTGGGCGCATTGTGCTAGCGGAGCGAACGGACTCTCAATGGAGGTGAGGTTTAGAAAAGGATCGACAGGTGCATCACAACATTTGGGCAATTGTGTGAGCAGTACGGTGCCAGGAGAAGTGGGAAAGCAGGGAAATAAAAAGCAACATCCTGTAGATCACACGACCGCCGCGCCGAAGATAAAGGGACAAAAAATTGGGAAAAGAAGGCAAAAAGGATCTCTCCACCACGTGGGACCGCGGGTATCGCAGCGAGGGTTTATCGGCTTCTGGCCTTGGGTCGCCCCACAAGAGGCCCAGCATTGGCCTGAGCGACCAACGGGGGGCGTTCGTGTTCGTGGTTGTTTAGGCAAAGCGACCCGACACTAGATTTAGGGGAAGCTATAATTGGTGCTGTACTTTGATAGTTAATAGTTGGATCCGAGCTGGATTTCACAGAGCTGAACCGTCAGTTCCATGAGCTGATATCAAGTTGACGCATCACATCACGGTAATTCTGAAACCTGGAACGAGCAGTGGCGCTGACATATAAGTCCGTCCAGTATCAGTCAAGTCTTGGTGGCAGACGAGTCCTCCACAGTTTCTCCTGAAGGATGGTACGCTGATCGATAAGAGCTCTGGCTCAAGACTCAGAGTGGCGCCCATCGGGTTCCATAGCTCACTTTTCACGATCCTGCTCTGTCTCCCCACAGAGCTACGTACGTCTTTTTCTCAATCAGGGCGTTCGTCGCTCCAGATGACCCTGCCTGACCTGAAGATCCACAGAGGCTGTTCGGGACACGCCAGCTGATCCGCTGTCATTGCCATTCTGGGCCTGGGATGATGCTATACGGAGTACATCTTCAGCTGGTGGGTTCTCATCAGAACTTCACACGAGGATGGTCGCAAACCAGGCTAAAAAGCACTTTGATGAACAGAAACTGAGGTGCTCCAGTCATCGATTGAGAGACACTAGTGTCGACTGATAAGTTATCATGTAGCACACCTGATGTGACAGTGCATAATCGGAGAGGCAAAGACCCTGCATTGGACTGCGAGAGCCGCACAAAAACAAGAGATCCACAAAAGGAGGGTCGACGCCAAGAAGGAAGCGACCGCGGAAGAAGAATAATCCGGGCTGCATATGAAGCCTTGTCCTTCAGGCCACAGGATCAGGCTGCCATCGAATCATCCCCAATGCAGACCACAAGTAGTTGCGAGTTTATCGCATCGTTTGATTATCTCCAGAGGGGTGTTACTGGGTGGGCCAGCCCTTTATATGCTATCAGCCCAAGAACATCTTTGATCCAATTCTGCACTTCTATCTGGGTCTTGGTATCCACTCTCGATGTGACTACTGCAAGCTTGCGCAGGGGAAAGCAGCCACTGCACGATGATTCCGCAAGGCTTCCCAAAACTATCGCTTGGCTCTGACGATCCTTACTGAATGGAAGGATTGGTATCTGCATCAAAAGCAACAATGCGGTCATCTGAATAGCAACCGACGATCCGATCATGCAAGGGTCGGCGTGGGCGCGGAGTCAAATGTGTAAGTGGCTCAATTGTGCCGCCCCCCTTTGCAACATCAAGCCTCGCATCATCTGGAACGATCTACCAGCCAAGGACCTGTCTCAGCTGTGTAAATGCTGACGAAGGCAGGAAACTTGGCCGAGACGAAAGGGGGACAGGCTGCACAAATACCGCGCGATGCTCCTGTTGTCGGCTTCGGGTACGGCTTCGGCGTTAGAACTACGCCCTCGGAATGGATTCAAGTGATATGACGCCCCAAATCACTCCCAGCTCGCATCACGTCACGAAACTCTCCATGGAAGAAGATCCCCCACCAAGCGACCACAGCATGGGAACCGACTCGTCTCCCGAGCCCACACCCCGCATGGACGGCGGTCTCACCGCGTGGCTGCAAGTGCTCGGCAGCTGGATCTGCTTCGCCAATACCTGGTCTGTCAGCCTACGACAGCTTGCTCCGTACAGTACAACTTACGCGCACAGGGGCCTAACGAGCTCATACGGCGTCTTCGAAACACACTACAGCAACGAGCTCCTCGCAGACTACAGCCCCTCGTCCATCGCATGGATCGGCTCGGTGCAACTGTTTCTCATGATGGCGATCGGACTGCCTGTGGGCTCCATCATGGACAAGGGCCATCTGCGGCTGCTGATCATCCTGGGGAGTTTCCTGCAAGTGTTCGGCATGTTCATGACCTCTCTCTGCACGCAGTACTGGCAGGTGTTTCTTGCGCAGGGGCTGTGCGTGGGGATCGGTAGTGGCATGCTGGTCGTGCCGTCGGTGGCGGTTCTTCCGCTGTACTTTTCAGCCCGACGCATGCTGGCGACGGGGATTGCCGCGACGGGGAGTAGTCTCGGTGCCACCTCCCCTTTAAACAAAAAAAAATGAATCCATCCATCGCTAACCCACCCAGCGGGAATCGTCTACTCAATCATGCTTCGCCGACTGATCGTCTCCATTGGCTTCCCGTGGGCCGTGCGCGCGCTCGCCTTCACCATGCTGGCCGGCTCGGTCCTCTGCGCTGCGGTGATGCGTCTGCGACCTGGTCATGCCAAACGCGCGCGTCTTCACTGGCGGAAGCTGGTGTCTGACTCGTCTCTTCTGATCTTCACGGCCGGGATGCCCTCTTCCTAACCCCTGTCCCATCCGCAAGCTAATTTCCCCGTAGCATTCACGGCCATGATGGCCTCCGTCTACATTCCCTTCTTCTACGTCGAAGACTACGCCATCGACCTCGGGGTCGACGAAGACATGGCCTTTTATCTGCTGAGCATTATGAACGCGACAAGTCTTTTTGGGCGAATTGGCTCGAATTGGCTAGCTGATCGGTGCGCCAAACCCACACCCAATCCGTGATCCCACGTGGGCCTTCCCCCACACAAACCCAACTAACCAAGAAGCATAAATCAATTAGGTACGGAGGCCTTCTCCTCTCCCTCCCCGGCAGTCTCTTCACCTCCCTCATGCTCTTCTTCTTCCGCTTCGCCACCACCCTCCCGGACTTGCTAGCCTTCGTCTCAATCTACGGCTTCGTGTCGGGAAGTATCGTCTCGCTCCCGCCCGCTATCATCGCCAACCTCACCAAAGACACCGCCGAGGTGGGCGCGCGGATCGGGGTGGCGTATACCGTTGCTGCTTTCGGGGCGTTGGTTGGGAATCCGATTGCGGGGGCTGCTCGGGGGCATTTTGTAGGTGTTGGGGAAAACGGGCAAGCGGGTGCAGTGGCAGCCGTGGCGGCTGGGTATCAGGGGACGTGGCTGTTCGGGGCGGTGGTTATGGGGGTTGCGGCGGGGTTGGTTGGGGGGATGTTGTGGTTACAGCGGAAGAGAGGAGCGAGGGTGGCTACTACTTAGTTGGATGAAAGTTGGAGACTTGCAGGGCGTGGTGGTTCTCGGATGGGGACTTTTGGGGTCTACTATATACTGTGATTGACCCTGCCTGTGACTTGGTAGGTTGATGAGCACTATTTACTAGACGTTGAAGGCAGATAGGTACTAGTAGGTGGGAGGGTTCCCTGAGCGTATATATTGCAACTTGAGCTAGCATCACCAGCAGACCCTCAAACACAAAAGCTAAAGGGAAGATGATCACTGCAGGACAACATTTCTCGAGGGAATGGTAGCCAGCATACTAGAAACAATCCTTCATCACACTCGACAACTCCCCCCCATAATCCACCATATACTGGCCCCGCCCCCAACCATCCACCTCTGGCGGCAACGCTCCCATCCCCATGATCTGCGTCTCCAGACTACCCACCGCCTCAAACCACTCCATTAGCTCACGCGTCATCTGCGCCCCATCCACCGGCGTGAGACTCTGCATGCTCCCCGTGGACGGCAGAGGTCCGGTATCGACCCGATGCGTCTCGTCAACCACCTCCGCGCCGCTCTCATCGGGTACCTCCTGCTGCTGCTGGCGGCGCATCACCTGCGGTCCCAACTTCCGCAAACTGCGGATCGACTTCCACAGCCGCAGCGAGATATACGACTTGGTCGAGAAGCCCTTGATCAGCTCCAGCCCCAGATAGAACTCCTCGCGGCATTCGGCCCCAAACTGCGCGGGGCCCTGCGCGACGGCCAGAAACAGTGCCGCGACGGCAGAGACGAGGAACCAGTTGAAGGTGATCTGCTGGAGACGATAGATGTCGGTCGTCTCGTTGAGGTGGGTGATGAAGCGGATGGTCTCCTTGGCCAGGTCGACGACCAGCTGGGATTCGGCGGGGTGGCGCATGAAATGCGCGGCCGAGTGGAGGACGGGCCGGTGGATGAGCATGCGGAGTTGGTTGGCGCGCAGGTGCAGCAAAGCCCGGAGACGGTGGAGGCTCCGCGGGGTGGATGGCTCGCGTTCCTGTTGCGGCTGCGGCTGCTGCTCAAGACGGAGTATGTCGGGGATGTTGGCAACCCACTGCTGGACCTGCCAATCCAGAAAATTCATCTCCTCCTTCTTGATCTCGTTGGTATTGTTGAAGGCAGAGATAAACTTCCACACCTTGGCGGCAATGCGGCTGTACCGGATCATCACCCGCAGGTAGGGCGTCTTCTCCTCCGGCTCCGGGAGCCAGGGGTCGATATCGCTGTCCTCGAGCGCAAACGGCATGCCCGTCCCAAAGCTCCAGCGAATGTCGAGGATGTAGATCGACCAAAACAGCCGCAGGACGCGGTCGCGCCCCGCAGCGACGATGGCCGGCTGGGTCAGGGTTTCGCGGCGGTGCAGCCCTCGCTCAAGACACATGCGCTCGACGATGCCCACAATGCGCCAGGCCAGGATCTCCTCGTCCATCTGGAAGTGAAAGATCGCCTAGAGCACATCAGCATGCACCCTCAGCCCCGAATGCCCTCCACACAGATTCCTTCTGGGAGTACTCACGACCAACGTCAACAAGATAATACTCTGGATGTCCGGAGGCCCCCACACGCAATTATCCGCCGCCTCGCGCACACTCTCAAACAGCCGCATCGCAAGCTCACTGCTCCCTGCCGCCTCAGCCGTCAGCGCACACGCAAATACTAACCGCAGGATCTGCACATCGTCCGCATGCACACCCCCTGCCTTGACCGCGGACCCGCCGCCAAACACCACATCCACCTGCTCCAACAGCCCCCCCAGCTCCAGAACCGGATACATCGACCCCATCTCTTCCTCATACACCCGACACAGCCGCCTCGCTTCTGCATGATCCAGCTCCCTCAGCGGATCCAGCGCTCCTCTCCGCGTCGCACCCTCCCGCCACGATGGCGGCGAGGGCGGGGGATTCGCCTCTCCCTCCCCCTCCTCTGTACCATCATCCAGGCCGTCGTTCACCTCAACAATCCCCCGCCGTCGCAAATTCGACTGCGCAAGCTGCAGACCAAACGCCGAGGTTGTCGGGCCCTGAAAGGCAGTCTCGCGGACGGTAGACGGACGACGATGGAACGGCCGCTGGCTACTCGTGCTCCCGCTGATGCTCTTCTGCTGCATCTGCGTCAGGGTTGTCACTGCTGCGGACAGGGTTTTGATTTGTTCCTGCATGGCGGTCATTTGGTGGCAGAGGTGCTCGAGGTAGGTTCTAGGTCTGTCAGTTGGGTAAACATGCATGAACAGATGCAAATATGTTGCGTATCCATGATCAGATGGAGAATTCAGAGGAAGGGACCTACTGTGGATCTGTCTCGCCGTTGGTCTGACGAGAGGGGTGGTCGTAGACGCAGTCGATGCGTTGGCGGCCACAGCGCTGGCAGGGGATTTCGCCGTTGCATTTGATTTTGCGGCGTTTGCATTCGTTGCTTGCTCATTGTTAGTGCAGGCTTTCTTGCGTGGTTACTGCTTGGGGCTTGGATGTTGGGTGTTGAGTGATGTGCTCGGAACTTGTGTGTTGGAGTGCTTGGCTAAAGTTAGGGGGTGCTGGGGTAGGAAACTTAGGAGCTCTACCAAGCCTTAGCAATATACTTCCGCCTCCGTTTGCGCGGATTTGCCTCATCAGACTCATCTCTGGGTGCAGAGGGATAAGTGTCCCATGCAGCTAGACTTGTCGCATTCATGCTGGATGATGCAATTTTGTTGTTGGTGAGAGAGAGTGCGGAGAAGACGGAGACAGTGGCCGGTAAAAGGCGGGGATAAGCGCCGAGCGCCGGGGCGGTCAATGACGGAAGAGCCCGTGCGGGGGATTCCGCGTCCGAGGCGCAATTCGGCCGGACTTTGCTTATCTTGGAGTAGTTTGAGTCCCCTTACACGCATTACACGTAGGGTCTTTCACCGACTGCTACATTGAGAATTTCCAGCTACAAACTAAACTACTTCTGTCACTCTTCCTTTCAGCTGGAAAGAAGTACTATCCCATGTAGATTGCCTCTCCGCTGTACTGTACAGATCCACTCAACTAGAGATGCTTCGTCCGCTCATCACTCTCCCGAATCCACTCCTTCAACTTCTCCGCATTCCGCGGCCGGAAGCCCACCTTGAACGGCTTGGGCTCCGTCGTCAAGGCTGTTGGTATCGCATTGCACTTGATCGAATCGAGAATCGGGCGGTCGGCCGGATTCTTCGCAGGATGCATGGTGAAGGCGGTGATCAAGCGGATATAGGCGGTGTACAGCTCGCGGTTGGCCAAATGGGAGCCAGCGCACATGCGCGAGCCCGCCCCGTAGCCGTAATGGGGGGTGCCAGTGCCCTCGCCGACCTCCAAGTATCGCTCCGGGAGGAACTGGTCAGGCTTGTCGAAGTGGTCCTCGTCGTAGTCGGCTGCGTATGCATTCTAATCCCATCTGGTTAGTATTTCGAGGTGCGAATGGGAAACAGCCAAGCTTCTTACCATGAAAAAAGTAGTTCCAGCCGGGATCGTCGCCCCGTTGTAGACAATATCCTTGATGCTTTCACGCGGCAGACAGATGGGGATCACCGTCCAGAAGCGCAGGGTCTCCTTCACCAGGGCGGTCACGTAGGGGACTTTCTCCTCCACCAGGCACTTTTCCCACGCGTCACCATCAGGGTAGACTTGCATGATCTCCTCGTACGCCTTTTGCTGGACGCGCTGCCCCTCTTCAGAGGCAAGGTAGGCGATGCCCATGATGACGTTTCCGGGAACGGTGTCCAGTCCCGCAGACACCATGGTCAGACAGATGGATTTGACCTCCGCTGCATCGTGTCAGTGCTCGCCAATTCCATGAATTACACCCGCAAAATTCACTCACCCTCATTCAACTTCGCCTCCGGATCTTTGAGAATATTCCCCGTGATGCATGGCTTGTCCGTCCCCTTGGCGATTTGATCCTTGAGGATATCCAGCAGGTAGGTCAAATACTTATCGCGCCGCACGCGGAACGACTCAGCCTCGGAGTTCATCTTGGGGAACAGCCGCAGGAGCGGGATGTAATCCTGCCAGTTGTTGCTGGTGCTGCGGAAGTTGGAGACACCGCGCTCGACGTCGCAGATCTCGTGCAGCAGCTCGTCGTCGACATTGCCGCTAATCCGGAACCCGTAGTTGAGCGTCAGACTGGTGTTGAGGGCGAAGCGCTGGAAGTACGCGACCGGATTGATGTCCTTGGTGCCGCCGTCGCTGTCCTGAAACAGCTCCTTGATGCTGGCGGTCGCCTCGAGGTCGATGATAGGCATGTACGACTGCACGGCGGGGCGGTTGAGCGCGGTGGCGGCGGCCTTGCGCCGGCGTTTGCAGGACTCGTCCCATGGGGAGGTGCCGATGGTGAAGCCCTGCGAGCTGGAGACGACGCTGTGGAAAGTGTGGAAGGTCGGGCGCGAGATCAGCGCAGACTGGTCTTTGATCCATAGTTGACGGACGGAGTCGAAGCTGTTGGCGAAAACGATGCGCTGCGACCAATTTAGTCAGTCTGTGAATAGATGCTCGGTCGGCAAGTCAGGGGAGGTGGGGTGCATACCCGATTGCCCATGCGGACCTGGAAGACCGGCCCATATTTCTTTGCCCAGTTCTTCGTCACCGTAGCATGTTGATCGCCTAGTTGCAGTAAATTGCCAAAGATGGGTACCCCCGGAATCTCAGGGATGCCCTTAATCTTGGGAACGTCGGTGCGGTTGAGGTAGCGGATCAGCAGGTATACCACCGCAATAACGGCGAGGCCGACTGTTTGTAGCGACATGGTGTGTGGGTGGATGAGCAGTAAAAGTGGTTTGGACTGTGCAAGAATGGAATAAGCGGGCGGCTGCTTTATACGCCTCTCCCCAGCGCTTCTCCTCGGCTTAACATGACTGGTATGCACCGCTTCATGCAGCAGTGGGTTTGCGTCACGACCAAAGGCGAGAGAGAGAGTCTTTCGTAAACGGTAAGGCAGTCGGTGGGCTTCATTCCCCGCATTTCCCACCATTGGAATCGACAAATCCCCCGGCGCAATTGGCCAGAGCGGCGTCTCATTCCGAATTCCCGCGATCCCCGCAACGAAAGCGGAACCGGGGCCGTGATCGACTCCCGCACTGTTGCTTCCGCTGCCATCCGATCATCCGTGGAATGGAGATAGTGCAAGCAGCTAAGACGGCCAGGAATCTTTAGCTGGAAATTTGTCAATAATACTGAGTACAATAGACAGGAGATAGAAGAAATATCAACCTCATCAATAGAATTATACATAACCATATAGACCATAGTCTGTACTATTAGTCTTCCGATTTTTCATCTGAGACTCTAGTGCTACTTGAACATAATATGTATCTACTTATACTAGTAGTAGAGCATATGGATGTACAGATACCGTAATGTTCAAAGTCGGAGTTGCACAGAGAAAATAATACTGAGTACAAGTTGATTGGATTATGCTACCTATCATGAAGTCACCTAAGCTGCCACTTTTAGTCACGGTCGATGACAGCAACTGTTTCTCCCAGTTCTTGCGCAACATGCATGATAATCATGCGACTGCCTATTGACCACCATAGACCATCGCTTCGCCAAACAGCACCCACCCATGCTCACTCATGCCGAAACTCCAACACAAATATAGTACCCGTACCACATATTGGTGCAGCCCGTTCCCACCGCCGGGTTCCACGCCACAATGTTCTGCACCGTAATTCCCTCTTTCGTCGCAACAGTGGTACACGTATCGCCCGACGCCACCAGATAAAAGGCATTGCAGTTGCTCACCATACCCGTCTGGATCGGAGTTGGCGTGGCCACCGCCGAAGTGGTCGTGGTAGTCGTCGTGGTGGTAGTCGTCGTTGATCCTACGCCGATGCACACGTAGTACCCCAGCCACAGGGCGGTACACCCGCTGCCGACGCCCGAGTTCCACGAATAGAAATCGGTCAGCGAGATGCCGGCAGCCGTCGCAATACTGGCGCAGGTGTCTCCGCTCGCGACCAGATGGTACGAGTTGCAGGTCGAGGCAATGCCGGGCTGGGTCGGGCTAGGAGCCGCTGCGGCCGCTGCATTGTTGACTTGGGTCGCAGTAATGAGCGTGGTTGGGTTCGGAGATGCAGCACGGGGGAGAATGGCTGCTGCCAGGGGAGCAGCCAAGGCATAGATAGAGAGGTATGAGAGACGCATGCTTGATAATAGAAGGGGTCGATGTCAAAGTCTCCAGATTGTTTAATCCAATGTCTGCTTCAGCTCAAGATGGCGGGAGAATACTCATCCTTTTATATGTTGATGGTCGGATTCTGGGGGTTCTGCAGCAAGTCACAAGGTCCCCTCTGATGTCAACAGAAGGATGGATTCTCGCATATCGCGGAAACCGGGATCGTGGAAGATGAGAGGCACCATCACATACAACAGCTGGGATTGATGCAGGTCTCATATTCTGGGGTTCGTCGGATGACCAAAAATGGGGTATGATCCAATAATCAGGAGTTGTTACAGATAGCCTGGCCATCGAATGATTGCATGACAGGACCCCTGTTGCTCAATTTACCATCTTGCCGCAGCTATGCTGCTTATGAGTCAGTCCCAGTAGACATTCGGGCTGTTGCAGGCATCGGGAAACTTGGTGGTATCGGCTCTCGGTCAGGACTTCTTAAGCAGAGTTCATAGCTTGCGAGACAGCACAAGGATGCTTGCAGCAACAGTGACACGCCGTCGCTCCTTTGCGTCCCGTTGGTCGGCTTCGGGTCGATCGCTCGTATTATGTCTCACAAAGGTTCATAGCCATCGAGAAAGCATTCAAGTGACTCTTATGGATTCCTGGTTCCTGCATCGAAGAACAGGTGATTCCTCCAAATGACTGCTGCCGCGGGAAGGCTCTTATTCAATCCTAGTCATTAGTCGAGCCCAGAATTGCCAAGGATTGACTCCTTGAAATATTCTGATTGGATTCAGTTACTACATGGACATGACTTCACCGTAGAAGGTCAAGGAAGTCACACGTGCCGTTCGTCAAGATGGGCCGCCTTAGCTCGATAGGTACTGCCTTGTCTCACTTTGCTTCCGGATCCCTCGGCGTATGAGCTCATGTTGTCTGACATGCAGGTCTCATTCGGATGAGGAGGTGAGATGGCAAGGGTATTTATTCATCGTCATCGAGCATTCGGCTCCTTCCAGAGCTCGCTACTCGTACTTAGTTCGAATGTTGCAATACGCATTCCAAATTCATCCTGCGGAACATGAAAGCTTAGTTCAAAGAAGATCTATGATGATAAGGAAGGATCGAAAATAAGAGAGGAATGTTCCTGGACGGGAAGAAAGCCTCATTCCCTGCTGGTAACGCCACAAGGTCAAGGTCTGTGCGGAGGTGCGGGGAATGCATTGGAGCTACTGCATGTCTCTTGTCTGCAGGTCGCGTTGCAATTTCAGTAGACAAGTCTACAGCTTGGTATCAGGTAGGGCCCAATTCTCTCGCTTGTCTCGGTTTGGCTACTCCGCAAATGGCCGGGTTGCATTCCGGGAACAGAAATAGATAAATACATTAGCCCAAGAATCCAATAATGTTCACTTCAAGGAAGAGTCATACGAAATTGGTGAAACGTCGGAATTGGACAACAAGATAGCCAACAATATTGATGATGCCGTCAAACCTGCGCTTTTACACCGTAGATACCTTTCTCGCCGCACACATACGGCTACTCCGCCGTGTACTTGCATGTCTTTGCCTATCCGCGGCAAGGGTCTGTGCGAACTTGCTCTTGGCTCGGATCTTAGGCCCTTGCCACTAAAAGATGTAAATTGGAATTGTCACCAAGAGTGCCAAGCGACCAAGGATCGTGCTCGCCCATTGGAGGTGGAATCGTCCGCCAATATTGGTATACACTGGGGTTGCGTACATCGCGGAGAGACCAGCGAGCAAATCTCGGGCGAACCCATTCCCGCCAGTCGCGGAGGCAGAATACTCACCATATGCTGCCACCATATAGTCTATCGTAGCCATATATATGCCATGATTCGCAATGGCGATCAGAAACACAAAGACCAGAGGCACCATCCAATGAGTATACTCCGGGCCCATGGATGTCCAGGCAAACCCAAAGAGTCCAACGCAATGAAGAGCAGGAGGAGGAGCCGGCGCTCAGCCAGCCAAGCCGCGTCGCCTTCGCGTCGTCGGATCAAGCGCTGGCGATTGATGTCGGGCCAAAAAATGGCATAAGCAACCAGATAGCCCACGACAATGGCATTAAAGGATAATTCAACTTGAAGTGGATTAAACCCCCATTGTGCAAAAACCAAGGGGAATGATTCAATGCAGGTAAATATTAACGCATCAGAGAAGCCAGAAAGCAAAGACAGAAAAAGTACAATGGGCTCACGCAGGTACATTTCAAATGGTCGTCGCCAAACACGGAGGATTTTCTTAACCTCAAATCGTGAAGGCTTCAACTCGTTTGGGCCATAAACATTCGTATCTTCGCCTGCTTTGCGTCGACGTTTAGCCTCCCGGTCTAACGAAATCGATGAACGCGTTTCTGTAACGAGGAAGAAATGGAGTATTTAAGTGAGTCCGCCGAATATCAGCTGGATCCAGAAGTTCCACCGCCAATTCAACCACTGCTCCATCATTCCACCAAATATGGGCCCAATAGTAGTCCCACCGACGTAACTCAAGACCACATAGGCTACAGCGAAGCCTTGGTCCTCCGGTTCCCACATATCTGCAGTCATACCCAGGGTAACCGAGCCTCCTGCTAAACTCAGTCCCCCAAGACCACGGCAGACCACCATGGTTCCAAAATTAGGCGCCAGAGCACAGGGGATTTGCCATATGTTCACAAGGAGAAGGTTCATTTGCATAATAGGCCATCGGCCGAATTCTTTGCTCCATGGAGCCCATAGCTCGCAGCCAAAGGCAAGTCACGAGAAAGATCATCTGACCCATTCGGGCAGCTTGCTGGCTGATTTGAAAATGTTCCGATAGTTGCACCACCGCATTCGAGTATGTGCTGCTTTTAAAGTTCATCGACATTTGCACAATAAATATCACTGTCGATATTGTCTATTTCTTGCACCAACTGAAGCTGAAGCCGAGTACTTCGTATGCATCCTCCTCAGTCAATTCGCGCTTTCTGTCACCGCGAAACTTGCCTCGCACTTCGCCATCGAAATCGTGCGTTGCTGCATTCTCAGCGTAGACATTGGTATGTCTTCGTGTAGGACTCAGGTCATAGTTCCCTAAGCCGGAATCTTTTTTTTCTGACTTCTCAAGCTCAAAAGAGGATGATCGTCGCGATTGATCTCTCGGCACCATGTTCTTCTTTGGCTTGAACAGCACGGCAAAGAACCAACTTTGTTTCTACTGAGTGAATGATAGAAAATAAGCGCGCTGCTTTCAATGACTGAGAAACCTATTAAGGGCGTGAAAATTTTCTGATCTTGAATACTCTACTCGACATACGGAAGCAGAGTAGACACGCTACATCACGAGGAGCAACCACCGCAATTTTTATAACCGAGTTCGCAATCCCATCATGCTGTCGACTCAAATGGGAAGTAGATGTGGGTGCTCGAAGTGCAGGCGCTGCATGATCAGGCCGTGGGGGCCCGACGTCATAAGTCTCCCCGATCGAATTTGGGCCTGGGTCAACTTGAAGAGTGGAGATGATGCACGTCCGCGCTCCAATTTATTAATCTCGTCGGACCCACTTAATTGATAATTGACTTCGAGGCTTAGAGTTGCACCAAGACTTAACAGTCTTTACCCCATAGAAATCACTTCTGGTGGTAGGTGGATTTGTCTCCGTGAACGAAGGAAGATGTATCGATTTTGGCAGTTGGGAATAGCTTTCAAGATCTGACTGGCCTGGGGCTCGATATCTGATAAATCATCAACATGTAGGAGCTCCAATCAGCGATCTCGAACGCTAGTCGGGATTCCAGAAGCGGCAAACCGGAGTGCGACCGTTCGAGGACAGAGAAACGCTTGTTATTTGGTCGGATTCATCAACTGGACTCTAGACATGACGCAAAGCTAGAGGCAAAGACTATCAAGATCAGACATAGGCGGTTTGCGCATGAATTAATAGTTCGATTTTTCTGTAAGTTGTCCTTCGGCGGTTTATTGTCTCTATGGCATGAATTGACAGACAACATTACCGGATCCAGTCAATGTCTTGTGCTGTAAGCTGGCGATGTGACATCAGACTTTGATATGAACTGCTGTTCTATGCAGCAAGGAAAGAAGTCCCATTCTTTAGCCAAGCTTGCTACTTGGACGCCATTTTTGGATGGTGCTTTTGAGTGCGCCATTGTCGAACCGCAGGACGACTCTAGCACAAGGCATGGGCTCACTCCATTTTCTTCTCTTCACTCGATATATATCCTGAACAGGGAGTTTGATGCCAGAAGAGGAGGTGTAAATTTTGGCAGTGCCCTGAGAGGTGATTGACAGAGGATAGTACCCGGTTTCTCGTGGGCCGCTGGGAACAAATGAACAATCAACATCATTTCAAGGAATTAGAGCCTGACGTAAAGCTGAGCAGTGAACTTACCGGTATGTGTCATGAGCCAAAGCCATCGAGTGTCTGCGATTGAGGCCTCAGCCTGGATGTTATCGCAACTCTCGGTATGCTGTACTCCGTAGGTGCTGAGGTTGAAGATGCTTCCACCTCGTCGAAAGTAGCAACACGGATGGTCACCTGACATTGAAGCGAGGTGAAACTTGCAGACTCCATTCTTGTTCAAGGATATCCTAGTACTACTTCCTTGATTTTTCAAATCAGTGTCATAGATCACTTGAATGCTAGACTGCGAACTTTCTTTTCTGCGATAAGGCATAGGAACCCGGCGCGCTCAAATTCCGCAGCCAGATACTCAACACTATCAAACAGTCACTTGCATTCTTGGGAGCCGTTCCAGTTGCCGAAGAGGATTTTTCCTTTTATTCGGAGGTAAAGCACTGAGATACCATGAGCTGGTAGGCGCTGTGCTCGATTCTGATGGTTGCTCTATCGAGGTGGAGTGGATACTCCTGCGAGATGACCGGGTGAGCCAAGACTCTTCTAGTCTGATTTTGGGGGCAGCTTGCGAGGCCCTGCCAAGTTTGGTGGAGAGGGCCGAGCCTCCGGTTTATGGCCGATACCGGGTGGAGCAGGCGTTTCACCCCCTCTTTGTTAAAGTCCGCCGCCTGTCGGGCCGGCCCCGAATCTTCCAATCTCAACATCATCATCACCAGTCTTGCAATCATTTTCCTCTGCCACATTCCGAGCTAATTGGTCTTATCGATGTCTGCCTAACGTCTTATGAGTCCACGCACTGCGCGTACCGACATATGCGTTCATGGTTTTTCCGGGAAGGCTGAGCACCGGCTGCTTTGTATGCCGTAAGCGGAAGGTCAAGGTACTTATCCTGAGCACAGATGGAAGAGTTTATGCGTCTGTTGCTGATAAGTTATCTCATAGTGCGACGGCGAAAAACCCGCGTGTCGCCGTTGTGTAGCACATAACAGATATTGTACAGGCTATCCTGCTGCTTTTGCATTTCGAGCCTACAAGCCCAAATCGACACAAACCACTTCGGGGAACAAGACGCACAGTTCAGCTAACTCCAGCCGAGAGCATAGGAGCGAAGCTCCAACTGATGCCGTAGGCTCTAAGGGATCCAAATTATCATTATGCTCCACTGCCCTGACCCCCGCAGCGCCGGGACCATTATTACCCACTCTTGCCCCTTGCTGGGAGTCCCAGTCCCTCGGCTACTTTTACGATCAGCATGTCCTTCACGCCCAAAGATCTCCATGCGAAGGTCATCTCGCATTCCTCCCAGACTTGCTGCGCGAGAAAGGGAATGATCCTTGCTTGAAGCATGCCGTGCTCAGCGTCTCATATCTGTCCCTGCATAATGCATCCCGACGTGGAGAGCTGCATGCTAATGCGCGTCGGCACTACGGAATGGCCTTGACATCCCTTATCACTGCACTCAGTATTGAAGGGGCTTATATGAAAGATGAGGTCTTTGCAGCGGCACTCTTCTTGAGCATGTTTCTTGTATGTGGATTGAGTCAACTACCCTTGACAGTCCAATAACCATCTTCAGGATATGAGCGGTGATCGCAACGACGCCATAAACCCTCACATCCCCGGTATCTATTCTCTGATGCAACTCCGAGGGAGGCCGCCGCAGACTAGCAAGTATGGACGTGATCTCTTCGGCTGGGCCTTTACTCAAACCGTAAGTCACAATGGAGCCTGGTACCAATCACGTTGCGATATTGACATAGTACTAGCAAATCCAGGCTGTAGCCAACAACCAATACCAGTACGCTTCCTTACCCTCGTCGATCAACATGATCTATGAGCCGGACTTTGTTTATCGCTCGGGCATCATCACGGGGAAAATATCCGAATTCTGTCAGTCCGCGCAACGAACACGGGCATCTCTGAGACACGATGCAAAGCTAATAAAATCACTCCACTCTATCCTGTGGCGGGCACATTGCATCCTGGATGAGATTGACACCTGGAACGAACGAATACCCAGTCACTGGAGACGTCAATACCTCGATAGCAGCCCGCAAGATAGCCCTTTCAGAGCGCAGCAGAACCCGTGCGACCGGTGGTCCACGTGCTTTCTTGCCGTCGTACAAGCAACTCAAATCGTGTTCTACGTTCAAGTCATAGCATGCTGTGATAAACTTGATGATCTGAAGGAAATGCTAATTGACGTCCCCCCATGCCGGTTTAAAAGAGATCCTGACAGCGAAGATGAATCATCAGACGAGGGTCCACATGGTCACGCACCATTTTATGACATTGACTTCGAAGGTCGCATTGAGGATCTAACAGATTTAATCTGCTCGACTATAAATTCCAATCTGGGTCAGATCAACCCGGTCACGGGCGCATTTCAACTCCATTCACATAGCAAGTTAGCGAATAGCTCGACATTGCTCTGGCCAATGTGGCTGGTGTCTACTTCTCCCTACTCCACAGATGAGCAGGTCTCTCTTTGTCAAAAGGGGCTACAATGTATCGGAACGACCATGGGATACCGCCTTGCATCCGTGCTGAGTGGCAATGCAAGTCCGCTTTCGCCGTTTGGAGCTGCCAAGAGTGTGAACATGTCAGCCTCTGCCAATAAATAAGTCGAATTGCCAATGGCACTCCGGTACTGATGTATAGACATCTCATGACATGTTAAGACCAATGAAATATGGATCATGTAATGTGACCGATCAAAAGCAAAGATCCACAGAACGAAGCCACGAGTCATGAATTATACTTGGATCATCGAATTCGAACATTCCAAGTCAGAAGCCTTATAAACTCTGTTTCAAGGTATGATTTGGCCTACTCTGGATCTTACGAAAGCGAAATTGAACGAGCTTGCCGCGCACCCTCGGGGTTCAACTCATTCGGGGTTTTCCGAGCGGGTTGAACCCGGACAAAAACCCGCCCCGACTCGCCGAAAGTTGGACCCCTGAAAATTCCCCGAGACTGCCCCGGACCGGAGGTTCAACCGGCGAGTTCCAACCCGTCCTGAAGCTTCGACGGTCGGAAGTTGAACCTTTTTCCCGATAGATCATATTTCGTCGGGAACTCCGCATCAATCTACACTTCAGGTCTTCAGATTAGATGCTTACTCTGGGGAGGACCAATGCTCTAAACATAACTGCAAATACCCTTGAAAATAATGGCTTATAACGCAGTTCGAGGAATTTTTAACCATTTGCCACCAGCTTCTGACGTTCGACTGCTAGCAAAGATCGAGAGAATAGTTCTAGTCCTAACCACGCCTCCTATATGACATGTCAATTACCAGAGGCGCGGGTACTAAGAGTTCAAGATCCGTAAGGCATTCGCGAATTGTACTTATAAAAGATTGCGATAGGTGAGGAGATTAGAAAGTATTAATTAATGCATGAGCATACTTGAAGGTGTGTAGAGTGATCGTGCGTGAAGGTTATGCTGTTGTTGGAGCTTAGGTGAGGGCATAGAACTAATCCTTGACATATCACCTCTAAATGTTGTTTGCGGCAGCTCTCTTGGAGTTAAATTGTCAAGAAATTAGGATTTTCAAGATGTAGTAAGTGAATATAACTGATATGATGGCGATATAAATGATGCACGGCTCAACTTTGGTACAACTTGTTATTGTGAGGGATGCATGACTCTGCATAAGACATCTTGTGGTGTCAGCCAATGTCATGAAAATATCTTTATGCCGTCCAGAGCACGTAAATTCTACTATTCGTAGCGAATAGAGAGGATTGGGGCTGGTCGGCGCAGCTGCCCCCACATAAGACTAGCTGTTCTGGGAACACCCGAAGGTAATTCCTGATGAATGAAAGATGGAAATAGCGGTCAGCAGCAGCAGAACGGAAGGAGGGTCTAGAGTGGCCGACGATTACCAGGGACTCCATCCGATCTACAAGAACAACAAGAACATTCACCACCACCACAACGCTCAACTCACAGAGCCATAATCATGGCAACCTCAATTCGTGAAATTAATTCTGCATCCTCATTATGCGTGGCATCATCGTGACTGAAAACCGTCATCTATCTGGCATTCTCGACGGGGGGTCTGGCGGCTGGTATCCGGAGTATTGGGAATATCTCACGGCTATGCGGTTTGGCAGGGCGAGCTGGTGATGAAAAGTGCTTTCCTGGATCATGATTGGAGGATATGAGTACTCCGAAGACTGGAACATGGCCGTGCTCTGTACAAGTTGACGTGATTAGCTATTGCTTCTACGAACTTGGTCGGTATTGAGACTTTACGAGCGGGAGTTGCGGCTGTGGCTCTGCCTATGTACACGTAAAGCTCATATTTAATGAAGGTACACGATCTTCTTGACACTTCTAGATTATATACGAACAACCATAGAGGCTGACGATTTTGATAGACTAGTACTACGTAGTTGATGTACTAGGTAAAGATTACAATCACCATTTAGAAATTTACGGAGTAAAAGTTGAAGCAAGCACAGCTTGACCATCTGAACGACTTGTAGAGCAGAATTTTCCATGTGAATCAATCCATCCCACATTTGAGCAACACACCTACAATTGGACGTGTGGACGTGGCTGGTGATTGCCGGAAGCATTGGCCACGTACTGATTGCCTACGGCAAATCACTCTGCCTCAAGTGCACCGACACTGGGGCACTGCACAGTACCGCGCTCGATAAGCTTCCGCAAAATAGCGAGCACCCAAACGCGGCAAGTAATCCCAGGTATCTCAATCAGGTGGCCATTGTATAATGGTGGGATCCACTAGAGCGACCTAATTCAATTGACAACACACAGAAAGTTGGATCTAAAGACACCGCCGGTCCCTGACAAAATCCGGTGTCCATGACGTGCTATCGCTGGAGATGGTTGTCACATGGTATTTCATTTCACCGTTCGAGTTGTCATGAAAATAGAGACCCCATTGGAAGTCGTTGAAATTAGGCGGGTCGTCTCGGAGGTGAAGCCCAACGTAGAGCGTGTTCAGTGGCAGGCTGCGGAGGATTTCTTCGTGAAGCTTACGGACGGCCACGTTTTTTTCACAGGAAGTTGAGTCCGGTGAAATTGGTCTGCTATTTCTTGGTCAGGTCCTCCATCTCTGCGGGTGATCCTCAGATCTGCTTGTCTGTATATATGAGTTAATGATTTGCACCATCAAATTGTGCTTCAAGGATACGCACTTCGAACTTGCAAGGTATTTGTCTCTAGCCCCCCTCGCTTGAGAATGCCTTGAGGAGGTATATCTGAAGTCTTCAACCAGTGTGTTGCAATACTGACTGGGAGAAAAGACAATCAGTGGAGCTGTGCTAGTCTCATACATTCAGTATCGAGAAGGACCCTGGCAAGATTCTTTATCCATCATTGAATTAAAGAGGCAGGAGATGGGATTGGTATAGTTCTACAACAGCTCTTATCATTCAACTGGAATGAAGCAAGAGTAGAGAAAGGCCAGGAGCGGTGTTGTTTAGCAACCAGACCAGAAGTAGTGCGCCGTCAAGCGACCACATTCGATCAATGCATTAGACGGTGACGAGGTTTCGATCTTGAACCGATCCTAAATCAACATTGGCCCTCGGAATGTAGTAGATCATGTCCGACAAACCGGGTCTTGTCCTTGAAGCGGATAATCTCTTTCCCTGCCATCATGCCATCAACCCGAGCAAGGGACCAAATGAGTATAACATTTCAGGGTTTGGGGGCCCCATGAATCATTCTTGTTCGTAAAACTTACTCTTTCCAGTTCCTCAAGCCGATTTTTACAGCGAGATGCGGCTTTGGTTGCCCATTCGAGGTAAGGCTAATAATCCCCGCGGCTCAACTCCGCCCTCCGCAACCCCACACAGCCGGCAATTGACGCTATCCGCAACACCTACCTTGTACAACTGGTCAGAATCAAGATTTTGTCCTGGGAATCGATTGACATCAATGATCATGAGATCCATGAGGTCAACTTATAAAGAACCGTCTTCGCTTTGGGGATCAGTCGCCTTGCAGTACTTATCGACTGCATCTAATAGATCGTTGCGCTCTCAAGTTCTTCAAGCGTCATGCGGTATTCTAGTCTCGTCCTAAGCTTGGCTGCTCTCGCCTCAGCCAAGGCGGAAGATCCCTACTATGCCAATCTGACATGGGAAGCCCCACGCACCTTGTCGAACTGGTCCAACCTGACCGTCGAGACACACACCGGAACCTTCATTGGCATGCTGAATGACACCTATCCCAATGTTCGCCAATTCCTTCGTGTTCCGTATGCAGAGGTCAGTTGACTGTCTTTCCAAGAACTGACAAGTGCACCTCTGAACCTGAATGTCTGCTTGAGATATAGCCTCCCGTGGGAGACCTGCGGTGGATGCCTCCTCAGAAGCCGAAGAGGTCCAACAAACGAATTGATTCCACTTTCTATGGCCCAGGTAAAACTCTCTTGAACCGAAAGAACTGTACGTTCAAGTACTCATTCTGGCAGCTTGTCCTCAGTACGTGACTGCACCAGCCAGTATCTGGAACACGTACGAACCCCCAAACCTCCTGGTCAACATTGGTGAGAAACTCGACCAAGGATCCACGGCTTGGGCATCAGCAGAAGATTGTTTGTCCATGGCAATCTGGACACCTGCCTCAGCCAATCGCACTTCTAAGCTTCCAGTTGCATTATTTGTAACGGGCGGTGGCGGCGTCACCGGAGCGATTGATATTCCCTCTCAGCTACCGGCACACTGGGTCTCACGTTCGCAGGAGCACATCGTCATCACAATTAACTATCGGTCGAATATTTTCGGAAGTTCGTTTGTAGTCTCACTTTCCCATTCTTTTCATACTGACATGTCTCGTAGATCCCAAATCTAGAGCGTTGAATGAGACCTCATTGACCCTGCTAGATGTCCGGGCTGCGGTTGAATGGGCCTATGAGAACATCGAAGCTTTCGGTGGCGATGCTGAGAATATCATGGTGAGAATAATTCCCGTCTGGGGTACTGCATTTTTCTAATGTGAAGATAGCTGTGGGGTCAATCTCAGGGCGGAATCCTAACGCACCTGTACACTCTCGCGTTCCCGGATGAGCCTCTCGCTGCCAAGTTCGGTGTCATTTCGCAGGGCGCTTCGGCCACCCTCGATCTCGCCACAGCCGGTGACGTGTACCAGGATTTTGACATTGTCGCTAAGGGACTCGGGTGCAATTACGGGGACGACTATGAAGCGGAGCTCGAGTGTATGCGCCAGATCTCCTGGGTGCAGATTGAAGAATACATCAACCGCTATAACGCTACTCCCTCGATTGCTTTCACAAATTATATCCGTGGGTCGATCCTTGTCGTTTGAGGCGCGTGGGCTTACAAATCCTCTCTAGCTGACGAGAGATACATTTTCTCGAATGAGACCGAGCGATACCTTCAAGGAAAGGTTGCGCCGGGCCCTTCGATTCGATCTGATACAGCCCGGGAGTTCCCTGATCAGAACAGCACATACGTTAGCTACGAGGAAGGAATCGCTGATTGCCTTGCACGTTCCGACTCGGAGCTTCGGGCATCCATTGGTCTTGACACCTACCGCTACTACTGGGCTGGTGAGTGGATGATTTTCGCTACCTAGTAGAGACTAGATACTGAGACTTGACCTATTCTAGGCAACTTCAGCAACATCAGCCCTGTTCCCTGGCTCGGTGCATTCCATTGGACTGACCTTTTCATGATTTTCGGCACTTACATGCTGGATGTGGGTAATATTACCGAGCTCGAGGTCCAGACCTCCGAGACGATGCAGGATTTCTTTTTGGCGTACCTCAAGGATGCATCCACAATCAACACCACTGTAGGCTGGACTGCCTTCAATGGGAGTGCGCCTAATGGCGGTGTTATTTTGGAGTTCGGCAAGGATGTTCCCGTGCGGAACGTGACGGGCGACTGGCTTGATGGTGGTTGCTGGAACTCTTCGATTCCCTTTCGGATTGATGGATAGGCAGGTGGTGCGAGATGTGTTCTGACAGGGTTCCTGTAGAATCCTGTTGCAGTGGCTTGAGACTACACTATTGAAGGTGGGGTGGGCTTTCATACTCCGGAGTCGAAAATATTATAGAGGCGCGAGGCGCTTATCCCTTTTAGTCTTTAGTGAATCTTCCCCGCCGTGTATCTCCCCAACCTTTTCCCCCTGGCATCTTCACCACACAACAACTTTCAAGTGAATAGTCTAAGCTATTCGCTCATCAAGCCACTGCATTTATAGCAATATACTGTTCCTAGAGTCTCATATGTGAGTATCTCTTTCGGGCGCAGAGGCCCGCGCTGCTGTTGCCGCTGACGCCTGGTCCCGCACTTTGCTGCCTAGGATCCCGAGTCGCGTCAGATACTATTAAGATCGCGAAGTGACCACTTTACGGTTGCTTTCTTGTACATACGAACGAGATTGACAGACTCTTACTCCCCAGCACGCTGGAGCCGACGTAGCAGTCACCAATGGCTCACCTCTTGTGTCTCCCGACCGAAGTTTTGCTGCAGATTGTTTCTCTTTTGTCATCCAATGCGGATCTTGCGGCCTTGGCGATACAATGCCGGCGACTTTATTCAATCACCGATATGAAGACCCGCAAGAGATATCACCGCATCCGAGTCACTAACAGTACAAAACACCTCGGGCACGCCTTCGTGCTCCTGGTCGAGATTCTAAAACAGCCACTTTTGGGTCGTTATGTGCGTCACATTGAGTACTTCGAGCCTTTGGCGCGATGCTACTCCCAATACAAGCCTAAGAATTTTCTGAACGAGCTAGACATGCCGGTAGTCCGAGCGGCAATTGAACAAGCAGGGTTTCGCAGTGCAGATGTTAAACGTCTGGTCAAAGTGTTTACCCAGATCTTCCGAGTTGTCGAAAGAGTGGAGAAAGAGGGGCATCAACCAGGCCGGTCAGTAGAAGATTCCTTGCCAGAGCTGCGATAGATCTGGCTTTTGTTCTGACTGAATCAAGACTCTTTGAGGTGGACGAGCCCTTCCTCGCGCAGACACTGACAGCACTTCTCATATCAGTGTCACCGGATGTAGTGTCCATGGCTCTCACCCAGCCGTATCCCACCGCGGATGCGATGCACTGGTACGACGACGCCCTTGAGACCGAACCTGCTACACTCCCTTTGTATTGGTTCCTGTATCAGATTAATAACAACGACGATTTCCCGGCCCCCGGAAGACCGAAACTCTTGACGAAACTTCGCAATGTGTATATGATCAACGAGAGAGAGGAAGTATATTGGTACGAGGATCGGTTCTATTATCCTATGGACTTGTTTGGTTTTATGACCCTCTTTCACCGCCTGCCGTCCATCGAATCAATCTGTACAGACGCACTGGAAGCTGACGTGGATGGGAGACGCGGGTTCCCTTTTGCCTCATCGCATATCTCCCGCATCCATATACATCACTCGTTGATTGGAGACCTGGACCTGGCAAGACTTATATGCTCTTGCAAGCAACTGCGGGAATTTCGCTACTCCATCGGGGGCAGAGCGACCGGTCGGGATCCTATCGCGACATTGAACGACTATCGTACCATTTGCCAGGCCCTATTGATTCACCGAGCTACATTAGAGATTCTTGACTTGAATGCCGCAGAACAGGATTCTCAATGGTCGGCTGTAGTAGAAGACGACGTGGATGAGAATCTGGAAGAACGGAGGGACCAGGAGCCCTTCTTTTGGGGAGATGAGGATTTATCCGATAGCGAGGACAATGTGGCCGTGCCGGCCTGGATATGGGAGCAGTCTGGCTCGTTGAAGGACTTCTCGGCCCTGAAGCTCTTGGCTGTGGATATCAATTTCTTGTTGTACATGGCAAGAGGGGTGAACTCCGCGAGAGATAAGGGATGCGAGCTCGCCGGCCGCTTGCCGCCCAGCCTGGAGTCTCTGCTCATTAGAGGTTATGAGAGTGGGCGGAATAAGAATCACGATAATCAAGTGGCTTCTCTGAGAGCTTTGAAGAGCGATCAAGTCTCTACTACATTGAGAGACATCCAGGGAGTGGATCAAACAATAACGCCGGCGATGCATGTTGAGGATCCTGATAGGGATAGACATCTTCTTTGGTTTAGAGAGGAAGAGGAGTGGTCAGAAGAGGACGAGGACATCGAAGTGTCCGAGTGAAAACACCAGAGAAGCTCCAAAGGGGAACTTGAAAGGGCATTGGTGCAAATTTGCCAGAAGAGTCCTCCGGAGAGTGGCATTGACCAAGTGGAATTTCGAATTTGGGACCATACCAGGATACCACATCCTCCTTCACCGACTTTGTACAAAATTGTCGCCATTCAGGACAATCTGCTGCCATGAATGTTCGGTTCAACCCACCAGTTCCTGAAACGGTGGACCTTTGGTCCGTGCACGCGGGTGACCGACAGATCCTTTTTTGCTTCGCTTTTTTCCACCCCAAAATAGCCACAAGCCCGGAGGTCGAACATAAACAGGAATATAATTAAGTCAAAATGAACCCCCTTCGCTACCTTGCCCCTCCCTCGCCCTACAAGGAGCTCTCCACCTCCAATAAAAAAGGCCTGAAGGAGCGCCTCAGCTACGCCGAGGCCCTGCAGCACCACCCGGCCCTGCAACTGTCCGCCGAGGGAGCTGAGCTCCTAGACACCTACCAGCAAGCATGTGAGGCTCTTCTTGAGGATCCCGGCAACCTCAACGCCGCCATGCGCATGCTGCAGTACGAGCAGTCTCTCGAACCATCGGCTGGCAGCCCCGTCAACCTCTCCTTCGACCTCGCCACGAAGGTCAAGCTGGGCGAGGAGCTCGACAACCTCTACAGCGTCTGGACCGTCTCCCGGTACTTGAAGTACTTGCCGACCGGTATCCGCGAGGAAGCCGGCAACCACCCCTCGTCGAAAGTCGAAGACCCCTGGCACACAGCCTTCTGGACCCCGTTCCACGGCCGGCTTGAAGCCGAGGCCGAGGCATTCTCCCAGGTCCTCGCTGGCCAGAACCGTCACAACGAATGTCCCACTTCTCTTCTCTTGATGCTGCTCTGCGATCGCCACACGGTCGACTGGGACGAGGCGCGGGCGCTCATCCGGCACTCCGCCGAGGGCGCTCAGGGCGCCGTTGTCGCGAACCTCCCCGAGAGCGACTTTGGTGAATTGCTCCGTACCAAAGACGTGGCTGGGCTGGCGACGAGACTCGCCCGCGACGAGACCGGATGGTCGTGCTCGACCGAGTATGTGTTGGGTGTCAGTACTCTGCTGATGGGGTTCTTCGCGAATACCCTGGCGGATACGCTGTTTGATACCGAGGAGGAGCTGATGGATCCGACTAAATGGGCGCCCAAGAAGCCCCTGCGCGAGCGACTGGCATTGACGGAGGGCCATGAGCAGGCGTTTCGCGACCTGTTGCAGGAGATGTACTTGCAGATGCTGGTGGGATCCGATGATGAGGATGATGACGATTTCCCGGTTTATGATGACTATGATGATGAGTTTGACGACGAGGATGGTGAGTGGGAGGATGAGGAGGGAGGCGAGGAAGATGATGGGGAGGAGTCGGATGAGTATTAAACTTTGTGGTCAATGTGTCAATATGATTTACGGCCAATTGGAGAGAATCGCAATACCATCTCTCAGATACTTTGGGCATGAAAATGTCTTCAGCGCCTTGGTTTTCTATAGGTCAGCTTAGAGTGCGTGAATCTCTGCAGCATGATTCCAAGTAAGAACACAATCCCACAATACACTGAATATATTGCCCAACGCTTACACATGCAAAAGACACATTACTCTCATCTCCAGACAGGTCTCCAGCAGTCATTAGGGCCCTGGTACTACGCAGAGTCTAACTTGTGACAATGTGGGTGGTCAAAGTCGTCCCACCACCCCTAGCGCCAGATCGGGATCTGGCAGAACTCATCATCATGGCAACCGTGACACTCCTTCCACACTGTCCAATTCAGATAGTTCTTCACAGACCACAAGATGTCAACCACAACATCGTACTTCATCAGCCTTCATGACCTTCACAAAGCTAGTGCAAACTTGACTGCTAACAGTATCCACTGCACGGTGTGCCTGTGAATCATCTGCAGCATTGAGGAGAATGAATTGTGTTGCGCATCTCTCCATCTCTGCATCCACACTTCTTTCATCGTAGTCAACAAATGTATCCCAGATCCGCGTGACGTCTGCATCCGGAGAGAGCAGTCCGAACCAGTGGTGGTGACCCGATGCCAGAACACGCATCAGGTGGCTGTACTTCGCAATGAACATGTCAGTGACGGCCTGCCAGTTACTCTGTCGGTCATCGACGTCGTGCGTCATGACGAGGCTTGTCAGGTTCTGACGGATGGGCTCTAGACCTGCCCACGGCAGGTGGCTCAGACGTGGAGCTTAATGATTGTCCGGAAACAGATCCAGGGAGTAGTTATAGGCCGTGACAAAATGATTGTAGTTCAACAGAACCCGGCCGCCACCAAGACCATTGTACCTGGCCCGCATCACCTGGCGCACCTTCGTCGGTTTAGTGCTGAGCCCCATTGTCCCATCAAAGCGTGGATGGCATTGAAGATGTAGTTGGCAATCTGGATAGATTCGGGCGGGGGGTGGGATGCGGCGAGCGGCGAGGGAGGTGGCAGTGCCTACAGCAGAGATGAGAGTGAGGATGCAAATTCGATGCATTGTATCTTCTGGAGGGAAGATCAGGTTGCGCTTGCTTACCAGTATAACACAAGGATGGTTGGAAAGATGCGCCTTTTGGAGCCTGATGAGAGTTGAGACGTTGCCTAAACAGGATATCGAGGCCGAGTGGAATAGTCAGGCACCCAGGCACTCAATCTCCCGCCAACCATCTTCCCTGACGCGCAGTCGATAGATGTTCAAGAACAATGGATTTATCAGTGACAGATCAGCCCTGCAAAGCGTTAAAATCAGCCACGTGACGGACAGCTTTTCTTCATCGTCTCGGACCGTCAGCTTGCATTTGTTGGACCGCGCTAGATTGCGTCGAGGGGTACATTCTCCGCTTAACGGGTAATAACTGATTCCTGATCTTAATTCTCCGACATCGTCCAATCGGTGAAGCCGGCACCAATCAATAAGATGCGCAGGCGTACGCAGGGATACAGTAGCAATCTTCCGTCCTTGGCTCGGAATCCCGCTGACTTGCAGGTCTTGGCAGAAGTAGCATGATAGAAGAAGACCGCTGGTTGTGACTAGCTACATGAAAAGGCGCTCCACATGAGACTTGCTTACCCCTGAAAACTTATCTCCGGCTGCAAGTGCTTCAGAGTCCACCAACCTACCATTTCTTTCGAACTCAGCCTGCCGGAATCGGTCCACAAACTGCATACTTACAAACCATGACTCAACGCAGCAGCAATAGTCGGAGACATCTAAGCAGCCTCTCAGTCATCTGATGGGTACATGAACCTGTTTCCTGAAACCGTGAGGGCATCTCCCGAAAGGAACACGTACCTTGCGAAGATGGGGCCTGAAAAATTCAAGCAACCGAAAAAAGTGGGCCGCCCAGTATTTCGGGACCATCTCTGCCAAGACCTTGTATACGTCGTCCCAAGGGTTCCTGCCCAGTGATGGGTGCCTGAATGCTTCGAAGTGGATCTTATCAGATTGATTGATTATCCCACCCTCCGAATTATGAATCAAGCCTTGCTTCCCATATTGTAGTGGCGCCTTGTGGATGTTGAGATTCTGTCCTAGACAACAAACAGAAATCTCGATGGTGTTCGCACAATTAGGAGGTTTGTCACCAAGGAAGAGACCTCTTAAACGCCACTTATGGGGCCAATACGAGAGAGGCAGTGGAAAGGCCGCCACCATTGATTCGTTTCTTCTTGAGGCCTCCGTCGGCTATATTCTCCAAAGGATGTTTTCCACAGCGCTACACATATCCCACCAATTGCCACGCATACAATGGATGCAAAGGTCTAGATGGCAGGCGCATCGGCATAGAAGTGGAATCTCTCCTGGGGTGTAAAAGTAAGCCAAAACCCCAAGATGTTGTCAGTCCGTGAGTCCCTCGTGCATCAGCACGCAAGATGAGAGTGCCAATTACCCTTCTCTTGATCCTCGCCTGGACGGGTGTTCCCGTCCTTGGGGAAGGGTTCACTATGTCTGCTCCTGAGCTTGCGGACTACTGCTTCTATGCTGTTTACGAATCTTTGAGCTCGTATGCATATCTAGGAGCTACTACGACCAGCTCAGGCTCAGGCTCAACTAACTCCACCTCGTCTGACTCCTCGAGCTCTTCCAGTACCGTTGTCAGCATACTACATGGCTCTTCAAAACGGGGATTTGCAAAGAGAATAGCCAAAATGGCCAAGCGTGGTCACCATGGCAGTTCGTCCACCGGTGGTTGCACCAGTCCAGTAGGTGTCATGTCGTTGTACGCCAGTGCAAAGTCGTGGTGCAACCAGAAGCAACTGGAAGCCGCGATCCCTTACTGGCAAACATTGTGTGAACAAAACAGCGTCAGTCTCATCAGCATGACTGATATTATCGCCAACACCACCGACTCTTACATAGCCTCTTTGCCGATCATCGACCCAGAGACCAACAGCACAACCACAACCGGCACCATTGAGAGTCCAGTCTTGCTCAGCCATTCGTACTACAAGCGGGCTTACAAGTCTTACGTACGTCTCTCTGGGGGATTGATGATTGACTCACTGACCTGAGAATAATAGGTCACACACGACTATGCACACAGCAAAGACATCCGGTATGGTTGGGGTCTCATGGGCTACTGGGCTGGTATTCTTGTTCTCGGCATGATCGTCAAGGCCTGGAAAACCATGCGGGCTCAGCTCTACACTCGCAAGTCAGGGGTTTCTGAGAAGAGCGGCTTCTACGCAGCTGGTCGTTCATCTTGCGCCCCTGTGCCAGCTGTTACTCACTTTCTTCGGACGTACCTCGTCATTCCGGCCAGTTTCGCCCCGGGCTTGACCAACCACCAGCAGCTCAAATGGTTCCATACTATCCCGAAGCGATTGGATCTTCTAATCGTCTTTGGTTGGTGGGCTGTGTGTGTTATTCTATCATGCGTCGACTACCAGAGTTTCAAAGGGAACATCCAGTAGGTCCACCACTTCATGGATATCAGAAGAATGTCTAAGAAGATACAGGACGCCGAGTCTCTCGCAGCAAAATTGGCAATACTTGTCTGGTCGTACTGGAATTCTGTCCTACGCGTGTCTTCCTTTCCTTTGGCTCTTCGGTGGACGCAACAACATCTTCCTCTGGGCTACAGACTTCAATGTTCAGTCCTTCAACATCTTCCACCGCCATGTTGCCCGGGCCTGCACTATTCTGGCGGTGGTCCATTCAATCAACTACACAGTTGTTTTCCAGGTCTACGGTCGGTAGTTTGTCCTGATGTGATTTCGCAATCGAGCTAACAGATTGGCATGACAGAAGGCAGATATCATACTGCACTGAAGCAGAACTACTTCTACATGGGCGTTGTGGTATGTTTTCGTCCGCGCGGAATTCGCGATAATAAGATTAACATGTCCCAGGCTACAGTAGTAATGTGCGTTATGCTCTTCCAGTCCGGCACATGGCTCCGCCGGAGATTCTATGAGACCTTCTTGATCATCCACGTTCTACTGGCCATTCTGACCATCTACGCTCTATTCCGGTAAGCTTCCTCGATTGGCCTTCCGGTAGCTTTCGTTATGAACAACAACCAGCCACACCAGCTTGAACGGAACCGCCCACAACTTCTACCTCTGGCCCATGGTCGCCATTTGGGGCTTCGACCGCGCAGTCCGCTACCTCCGCGTGATCTACTGCAATTGGAGCGTTTGGGCCGGCAAAGGCTTCGTCAAAACCACCTCCTCCACCGTAACCTACAGCCCCGCCAGCGATCTGATCCGCATCGAAATGACCCCCGCAGCCAAGGGCCTCACCCCAGCGTCCGGCCAGCACTACTACCTCTACCAACCCAGCACCCTCCGCGGCTGGGAGAACCACCCTTTCACCCTGGGGTGCTACAATCTGTCTGGTCCCGAGCCCAAACTCACCTTCTACATCCGTCCCTATGACGGCTGGACCCGCCGTCTCCGCGACCGGTGCCGGTGGGCCGACACGGGCGCCCTGGCGATCACACCACGCTTGCTTCTGGAGGGGCCCTACGGCCACCAGGCGCCCTTGCACACCTTCGACACTCTCCTTCTGATTGTCGGAGGCACCGGTATCGCCGCGGCGGTTCCGTACATCCTCGACCACGTTTCCCGCCTGGCCGCACCAGCCAAGACCCGCACCACGAGGATCCACCTCGTCTGGTCCAGCCGTCAGAGACAGATGTTCGATGAGATCTGCTGTACCGATCTGGCCACTGCGCTGGAGTGCCCGGACATCCAAACGACGCTTTACTGCACTGATAAGCGCAGTATGGGCGCGACGACCACTGTAGTTGCGGACGAGGAATTCGCCTCCTCCGCCGCCCCGCCAATCCAGGCCGTGGACACAGAGTCGAAGGAAGTCGGGCCGGTTATGCAGGATTCGTCGAGCCAGGAGTCGCAACCTATAAAGGTCGAGCATCTCGGTCTGGAGCTGTTCTATGGCCGTCCGGATATCCCGGCCACTGTCCAGGCCACGGCGGAAGAGGCGCGGGCGAGTGTCTCCCGCTTGGCGGTGTTGATGTGCGGTCCGGCCGAGATGGCGGATGCGTGTCGGATGGCGGTTTACTGGGTGATGAAGGGCGGGTTCCGTGACGTCGAGTATTTCGAGGAGGCGTTTGGATGGTAGAGCCTGAGTTGGAGGGATTGCTGATGGCGTGATACCCTTGTTTCATACTCTTGCATGAAACGTTGCTTAGAATTAATGAAAAGTTCATTACTTGTTTAGTGGCGACTTGTTCCCTTCGGTAGCCCTCTTCTCTGTGCTGTAGAGCGTCGTACATGATCGAATGTATAACCCTGCTATTGCTCTGCCAGGCGAAAGAGATACACACGCGTTGACTCGAAAGAGTATACCACTGCAAGACCCAGTCTCTTCCCCCTGAAATCTCCTCAATGATAAGGTAACCAGCAATCCCAAGCCCTCACCAACCTACAGTTCTTGGCAATGCGATACGTGTTCGTACATCGCGCGTTCACCGCGTCTTTGTATCTATACCAAACTCGAGGGAGAGGATGATAGTGTGGGTTAGGGTGCTATCATGATGACTCACAGAGAGGACATACATCTGGCTAGGTGGCAGGTGTGTTTGACAATATATGTGGTTTTCAAATTGCTTGCCAGCAGTCGCACAGAACTCAGAAGAAGGCCATAGCAAGTCATTATTGTCATAGTGTAGTTTCTGGCTGGCGGTTCTGCACCGTGGGCGGCGAAGGGGCGCTCGGAACGATCTGCAAGCCTTAATTTAACAGCCACTAAAAGATCTCGACTTGCCGGTCGAGACGGCGACTTCAAGTGCCTGCTCGCCATCAGGGTCCAACAACCGGCGACTATCGGATGAGTAACTTATAGAAGTCCCGTGTCAACGAGGAAGTTGAAGACGGCGAGGCAGCCGCGAGTGGTTCGGGGAAGGAGGTGTTGACAACCCAGATGATCCGAGAGATTGAGTCCCACGGTCACTCAGCATTTGTATCTCTGTGGTACGACAAGAGGCGACGACACTGGCGAGTAACGGTCTTCCGATGCATCGGCTGCGGTTGGATCGGTTTCCGCTGTTGGAAGATCATCCGGCTGGTCGCAGTTGGGGAGACACTCTGCGGCATGAGCGAGCAGTAGCTCGACCACGTCAACATGGCCACACAGGCCGCCCAGCAGATGGCAGTCAGAGGGTCGTTACTGATTGACTGGGAAATATTGGACTGGGTCAAGATTCAAAATCTTCTCGATGAGTGTGACTCGGAGTGTGGTTATGATCCTGACTCAAGTGATCTGATCATGGTGGTTAGAAGAATGGAGCAGGAAGGGGGTTGTTTTGCAAATTAAGTTAACTACTAGTAAGTTAATGGGTGGGACTTGCGCTTATCTGATGAAAAATGGCACTGGCCTCAATTCGCTGAGAAGCCAGTGAATCCCTCTCAACACCGTCAATCCTACCACCGTTATCCTACCTACGAATCTTATGTTCTCCAGTTTCAGGAAGGCTCGTTTGGCGTATGCGAAGAGAATAAAACTCAATTGTAGTGCTGTGGATGTATACCATCATGCTATGCACGAAACTCTGCATAATAAAGAAGACAAGCAATTATATACTTTTCAATGATGCAACTCCCTCGTATGTATAAAATCATCACTCCCCCAATCTATCCGTCTATTACAATACAACCCTGACTACCCCTTGAACGGCGCAAATCGCGACATCGCCCGCAACCGCTTGCCATACACCATAAACAAAAACGGCACCGGGATCGCTGCCGCGGCCACACCCCCCAAGATCGACATGGCCGGCCCGACCCCCAGACTGTGAAACATGGGCTGCGAGAACAACGGAAAGGCCGCCGCCAACACGCTCCGCAGGAACGTATTCGACGCCGTGGCGGATGCCGCGTAGGGTCCGTACGTATCCACCAGGAAATTAATGCACTGGCCGAAGATAATACAAAACCCGCAGCCAAACATGCCGGCGGCCACGCAGGGAAGCGCCCAGTGGTACTTCGGGGCGGCGGTCCAGCCGAACCAGAACAGGCCCGCCGCGAACAGGAACCCACCGACGGCCATGGGCATGAGACGGCCCTCCGGCACGGGCTTGCCGCCGCCTCGGTCGTAGATGCGGATGTAGTAGGGTTGACCGACGAGGATGATGAAGGCCGAGGAAAGGAGCACGCCCACAAAGAGGGCGATGAAGGGGAGGGTGGCGATCACCGGTTTCCATTGTCGGAGGTCGTCGAAGACGATCGGGAAGACCTCGAGGGTGAGGTAGAGGAGGGCGTAGGTGAAGGACGCATACAACGCGATCACGGTCACCATTGGTTCGCTCACGAGCATGATCAACGGTCGGGAGAAGTGCTTGGTCACGATGCTGTGCGCGTCGACTTTGAGGTGCTCGTGTGGGTGGTAGAGGTCCGCGTTGCCGGTCTCTTTGCGGAGGCGGACGGCCTTCTTGTGCAGCAGCACCGGGCCGTACACTTCGGGCAGGCAGAAAAATGTCACCGTGAATACGAAGAAGACAAAGATTGCTTCGATGTATTCGGTCCAGCGCCAGCCGAGAGAAGGATGTGAGACCAGCGCTGCCCCGATGATCGGTCCCATCGTGGGCCCACCAACAACGCAAATGGCGTACGAGGTCGAGGCAATCCCCCGCGCTCTCATATGGAAGATGTCTCCGAGTGCAGCGGAGACATTACTGACGGGCGCAGACCCGAATAAGCCGGCGAAATACCGTGTAATCAGCACAGAAGCAGTGTTCTTGCTGGTCGCGGTGCCGATGCTAAACAAGCCGAGGCAAAAGACAGCAGGGAGCATCGACCAGCGACGACCCCAGAGTTCGGAAATCGGGGCCCAACACAGGGGACCGAATGCGAAACCGAGACTATCCTTCGTTAATTTATTAATTCCACGAGATCGGAGAATGAATCATACATGTACAGCGACGTGGCCAGGATGCTGACCTCCTTACTAATCTCAAGGTATTCCATTAATTCTGTCTGCGCAGGAGATATGATACTCGATCCCAGACTGGCACTTAGGGCCAGCATCCCTAATTGGAAGGTGATCCAGCATTTGTACGCCGTGGAGAAGTTTTGCGGATTATGGGGGTCATTCTCCTCCCATCGCACCAGGTTAGGGTCGACCGACGATACTGGTCTGGCAGCCTTTTCCACATCACTGGGCTGCGTCGTCGACACGGTCGTTCCAGGCACCACCGTCATGCTGCGTCAAGCTTCTGTGTTCGACATAGGTTCATATTTTTCCTCACATTCCAGGCGACGCCAGGTTCGATCTTTATTGGGCTTGCCACCGGGTCTCGGCACGGCGAGTGACCGAGGGGTCCCTCTTAGCGTCGGAGGTCCGAGTCGGAGGTGTCCGATGAGCCAATCATCGCGTCATAAGAAGTCAGTATTAGTCAAGGCGACTTAGCGAGATGCTGCTGACGACAGAAAAGGTCTGTGCTGATTTCTCCTTTTCCTTGCCCTTGTCCAATGACTTTGAGGAAAAGAATCTTCTATCTCGGAGATAATGTAATCATTCTCGAGGTCCGAGTTCCGAAGACGGGTGGCTCCGTGAGAGCATTTCTCCTTGCACACACTTTCACAGTATCACTCGTTCTGTCCAGTCTCAGTTTCAGTCACCTTTTCCTTAAACTCTCATCCGTTTTTACCCGCGTAACAGCCAATCACGCCCCGTTCCGACGCCAGAAATAGGCGCGGAGCGGAAGCTTGGCAAATACTGCTTATCCCAACGAGCAGACACGGTTATTGCACGTCAGGTCGAGCTTGGCGCTTGGCGTGGAGACCAGTTACCTGAATAGCCCACTCAGCTCGCAAGAGAAATCGTACCCTGCTTGAAGGAAAGTGTAGATGGAACTAAGCTGAGATCATCAGACGTTCCACACTTTACTTGACATGTGCCGAGAAACCGTTGGTTAGTACTAAGCGAAAGACTGTGCATCGAACTTCAGGCCGTTTAGTCTTCAAGTGCCGTTGTCTCATACAATGTATTGGGCATGTGCATGGCTTGTAACAGCCCTTCATCAGCATCGCTCGACGAGACACAGACCGCCAGATCGAGCCGGTGTACCAACATGTCTGCTGCATCGTTGAAAACCACATCCCAGTGCGGGCGGAAAATGGCATCTCCCTGCGGTGTGTCAAACCATAGGACTCTCTTGACTTTGTCCATTGCGTCACTCATATTCCACAGCTGTAACGTTCCTGAAGCAATCATACTGGCCCTCCCTAAGAACCATTGGTAACGGGCAGGGTCAGTCCCAGTAGCAGCCACCATGCCGATCGTCACGAACCAGACGTCAAGCGAGGTGTGCACACGGGGCTGCCGATCGAGCAGCTTGAGCTGCTGCACAAATCGTGTGACCATCGTGTTCAGAACGACGGCGTGTGAATAGTAGGTCGGTCCATGGACGATGAACATGTAGAGAATGGTGGCGTAGCGTATGCATTCGGTGATTGGTGTTACTGTGGTGTCTCCAGTTGCTGAGAGGAGTAGTCGGTGGATGACGAAACAGGTAAGGTCATGAAGGTGGGTTGGAGGAAATGGTATACTTCGCGCACGTTGAAAAATGTTGCGGAGACGGATGAAGACGTTTTGGACTGAGCTCTCGACGTCGTTTTCAATGATGTCGAAAAAGTCGGTTGTTTTGTCTTCCGGAAGCAGGGACATCGGTGAAACAAACTGCCATTCAGGAATCGGAGGTATACCGTCTCCGACACCGACATCATCCTGAGTCTCAAATTGGGGACAGCCTGTAACAATCATCGACACCCTAGTGGTCGATAAGTATCAATATGGACCCAAAGAGAAGATGGCTTACCAGCTGATCATTCTAGCAGTCAACGGGCTGGTCTGTCTTACGGAACTGATGCCACCCCTCAGGGTGACTAGTTTCTTGACGCCGTTGATATGCATCATCGCGATGTCAACGTTGCCCTTTCCAAACTATGGCACTGTAAGCATGCGAAATCGCACACAAGTTCATCACTTACTTCGATGGCTGCTAGAGTGATGACAGAGTTCATGGTGCCGTCCTGCACAGCCAGTGACTGATCTTCGATCTTGCGGCGGAGGAGCGATACCGAGTCGGTCATGAGGATCTCGGAGCCCTGGAATCCTTTTTGGGCTAGCAGCTCTTCATCCAGACACGCTGTCTGCAGGGAGACGTGGAACAGAGCGGGATCCCCCAGCGCCAACGGCCACCAGGAGATGAGAAAGGGATTGGTAGTGGCGTTCAGATCCAGCGGGTAGTACTGGAATGCGATTTTGTGCAAAACTAGCTAGTGAGTGACGAAACCTTCACCAGTTGACGCGATACGTACAGCTATGGATCAGACGCTGCACGCGCTCCCGGGGTAGACGAGTTAGAGGGTAGGAGTCGAAGGGGTCGAGACCGGGGAACCTGTAGCTGCTCAACGTGGACGATCCGGTCTCCTCCGGCGCCGTTAAGGGTTGATTGGCGTAGACACATTGGACCTTGCGCTTGATGCAGCGCGAGCAGCGCGGGGTGCGGAGATCGCAGCTGTGTTTGTACTTGTAGCATGCGGTGCAGGAACGACGAAGCGTTGGTGACATTGTCGTAGCACGCAGTTCGAGATCGATGGGTTGTGTTGGATGGGGCCACCAGCTGAGGCGTGTTGGTGGAGATAAGCGGAAACGCAATCTAGACTGTGTACGGTAAGTTTAAGGGTCGCCCGGCGGTGCCGAGACTTTGCTTATTCAGGTTGCTGTCTGTGCTAAGTGCAGATGGCTGTGAGTGATGAACAAGAAGCGTCATTATCTGGGGGTTGTCTTTTTGTCTCAGGGGTCATAGCTGGAAGAAAAGAGACGCCAATCTCTGCAGCGTGGTTAGTCAAGATCAGGATGAAGCAGTTGGTTGTTCGTATCGGTACGAGTGGAGGATGAAACACAGTCCCAAAAGAGACTAGCGTCCGAATGTCTTTTCGGGGGCTAGTCCCAATTCGGACCATGTATACAAAATATACGGCTGGCATTTGCATTGCATCGCATGATGAAATCCATCCTCCTTTGATTTCAGGCGCAGATATAAAGCAACGCGGAGATCACTCCTGTCAATGGTCAACTCAGCTCTCTCTGTCTCGAAGCCTACATCATGGCAGACCCCTTCAACGTCACGACAGCGCACCTCGTGCAGTCACCCCGATGGCCTCCAGCTCTATACTCAGCAACTGGCTGGTCTGCCTGGCACTATATCGTGACTGTCATACTAGGCGTGGTGTTTTATGACCAAGGTCGTGGCTTTACCCAGATCATAGAATCAACACACGACTGACTCCTCCCAGTCATGTACATCAAGCGCAAAGGCTCCATCGCCGGCCCAACCTTCAAGATCCCTCTCATGGGTCCCTTCCTCCAGGCCATCCACCCCAAGTTCGATGAGTACCTCGCGCAATGGGCCAGCGGACCTCTGAGTTGCGTCTCCGTCTTCCACAAGTACGTCCCCTCACCACCGAATCCCCCCCCCCTGAGCCACCGCTGACAACTCCGCACGGCAGATTCGTCGTCCTCACCTCCGACCGCGACCTCGCGCACAAAGTGTTCAAATCGCCCACCTACGCAGAACCGTGCCTCGTCCCGATCGCCAAAGACATCCTGGGCCACAAAGCCTGGGTCTTCCTGCAAGGGAAAGCCCACGCCGAATACCGCCGGGGTCTGGCGCCGCTCTTCACCAACAGAGCCATGGCGACGTACCTGCCGGTCCAAGAGAAGGTGCTGGCGGACTACTTCGCGCGGTTCGTCGCGGCCAGCGAGAGCCAGCGCCACGCGCCGATCCCCTTCATGACGCACTTCCGCGAGATCAACTGCGCGCTCTCCTGCCGCACCTTCTTCGGGGACTACATCTCGCAGGACGCGGTGCAGAAGATCGCCGACGACTTCTACCTCGCCACCGCGGCGCTGGAGCTGGTCAACATCCCGCTGACCATGTACATCCCGTTCACGAAGCAGTGGCACGGCAAGCGCACCGCCGACGCGGTGCACGCCGAGTTCGCGCGGTGCGCGGCGGCGTGCAAGGCCAACATGGCGCGCGGGGCGCCGCCGACCTGCATCGTGGATCACTGGGTGCTGCACATGATGGCGTCGAGCCGGTACCGGGCGCGGCAGGCGGCGGGCGAGACAGTGGCGGCCGAGGAAAAGCCGACCAACCTGATCCGCGAGTTCACCAACGAGGAGATCAGCGAGACGCTGTTCACCTTCCTGTTTGCCTCGCAGGACGCGTCGAGCAGCGCGACGACCTGGCTGTTCCAGATCCTGGCGCAGCGGCCGGATGTGCTCGAGCGCGTGCGCGCGGAGAACCTGGCCGCGCGCGGGGGAGACCGCACCCGCCCGTTCGATCTGCCCATGCTGGAGGCGCTGACCTACACCAATGCCGTTATCAAGGAGCTGCTGCGCCACCGGCCGCCGGTGATCTTCGTCCCGTATCTCGCGACGCGGGACTTCCCCATCACGCCCGACTATACCGCCCCGAAGGGGTCGATGGTGATCCCCTCGTGCTGGCCGGCGCTGCACGACCCCGAGGCGTATCCAAACCCGGATGTGTTTGATCCGGAGCGGTGGATCACGGGGGACGCCGAGTCCAAGACGAAGAACTGGTTGGTGTTTGGCGCCGGGGCGCACGACTGTCTGGCCCGGCGATATGTGCCGTTGTCGATGGCGGGGATGATAGGGAAGGCGGCGTTGGAGCTGGATTGGACGCATCATGCGACGGCGAGGTCGGAGGAGATCCGGGTGTTTGCGACATTGTTTCCGATGGTGAGTGTTTGAGCGGACTTTTTGAGGATCGATGGTTGACTAAACTGACGATACGTACAGGACGAGTGTCCGTTGGTGTTTAGGAGGCGGGCTTGAGCGGTTTGGCCACGAGCCACACCCACCATTGCGCATAACTCATAACTAGGTAGTAATCTACACAACCCTAATCCAGACCCCGGACGTTGGATACCAGCAACAACAGCAACAATCTCCGACCCTAACTACGTCCATCAACAATCAAATATGCTCAATCATAATCTAGTTTTAAACTGTACCCTGTTGATCTCCATCCCAACCCCACTAACTCCTACCCCTACTTACTTCCTCCCCGAACTCAAACCCGAACCCGCAACCGGAACCCAATACCGCCACCTCCCCCCTCCTCCATCACCATCTCCATACCTCGACACTGTATCCCCGTGCCCATACATAGAATCCTGATCCTCATCCCCATACACCTCCCAAACCATCCCCCGCTCCAAGATCACAGCTCCCCCGGGATCCCCAGACCCATCCCTCCCGCCCCGCCAGCAGCGACCAACCTCTCCCCGACCACGAATACCGCTCCCACCACCTCCTCCACCACCCCTGCGCCTCTTATAAGCCCTACACAGAAACCCCCACCCCTGATCCCAGCTGCGATCACCTTCCCAAGGCCTCTTCCTGCTTCGGACCCGGTAATCCGAGATGCGGGTGTAGTAGGAGCTGTCCGGGACGAGGAAGGGAGGTTGGATGGTGAGGGTGAGGAGGAGATTATCCTTCTCCGTTGGATGGGATTGTGTGTTGTTGTTTTGTTGATGGTGGTGGGAGGATGGGTTGTGGTTGTAGTTGTGGTTGTGCGGGGCGTGGTTCGGGGTGTCTCTCCGCCGTATGGAGTGATGCTGTGGGGGATGTTTTGGGTGGTGGTGATGGTGGGGTGGATTGTTCTGGTTCTGCTGGTGTTGTTGGTTCTGGGCGTGTTGGTGGAGTTTGTTCGGATGATGGTAACAAGAATAATCGTCGTAGTGGCAGCAGCAGCAGCCCGGTTTGTTGGTCGCTGGGGAAGACTGGGAGCAGGAGGCACGAGGACCGGTCACAGCACTGGTTGGCAAATGCTCCTGATCGTTGGGATAGTTTGACCACCCCGCCAAAATCGTCCACAGCGACAAGCCCCGTTGCAGCCCGTCGCGGAGAGTCGCGTGCTCGTAGCGGCGTCGGGCCAGTCGTCGGCCCTCATAGTAGGTCTTGTCTTGCTCGCAGCGGAGGTCCGATATGAGACTGGGTGGTGAAGACATCACTGCATGCACCACTACTATATTTCAAAACTGGATCAACAGACAAAAAAAAAAAATTTATCTCTTCGTCAAACAGCACCATCCTCAATACCCACAGATACTTATACCGTCTCGAGATATAAGCATCTTTGAGCCGATCGGCACACGGGATGTCATGTTTCATCGACGCGGCTTAAGGGCTCCACTTGATCATCGTCCACGTACTGCCTTGCGTGTCCACAACTTCGACTGCCCACACAACTTTGACTCACTTTCCATGTTAACGACTCCGTATAGTACAGACTACATCTCAGCCACTCTGTATCATAATAATATTGACCCATCATGCAATCATCTACTGTACATTCAACCGGCCAACAGAACCCCCACGAAGGCAAGAAGATTCTAAGATATACAAAAACACCAACCTCCCTCCCCCTCCCCCACTATAGACATATTTCGTAAACCGTGCAGCTATCGAGGATGGGGGGTCAACGGTCCAGGAAGTCCTCCCGCATTCGACCCCTGGCTGTACACGCGATGGTGTCCCGGCGCCCCATGCGGTCCAGGTTCGAGACCCCCGGGTCGTCCTTGCAAGGCGTGCATAGCACCACTAGGTGCATAGCTCAACCCGCCCGCGGGGTTGGGCTGCAGGATCGCCGGCGGCGTGTACGACCGGCCCATCGCCATCGGTTGCGGCCCCGGCCCCGGCAGGCCTGCTGCCCGGGACATCTGACCCTGCGGAGGCGGCGTGCTATGACCGTACGCTACGGTGCCAGCCAGCCCCAGAGCCGACCGGTGAGCCGCTTGTTGATGAGCCCCATTGACCATGGTTTGCACATGTTGCTGGTAGCTTTGATGGTTCGCATGCTGTTGCGCTGACAGCCCCGCGCCGGGCGTGGGTGGCGCCGACGCATATGCCGAGGAGCTGACAGCAGATGGCCGCGCCGGCATCCCCAGGATGTTCGCAGGCGACTGTATGGGCGTGGGTGGTCCCTGTCGAGATCCATATGACGCAAGACTCCCGTTGCGCGGTGTGGGAGAATCAACCGCCGATCGATACATTGCGTTCTGCGCAGCAAGCTCCCGCGACGCAGCCGCACTGGCCTGGGCGTGGGACGCGGGGGAGGGCGCATACACAGGAGCGTGGTAGGCGGGCCGTTGCGTCGCAGCCGGCGAGGGCGTAGGAGCCGGCGACGGTGCAGTAAGATTCTGCAACGAGGAACCAGGCAACGATTGATGAGACGCATACGGCGAATAAGCCGACTGAGAGGCCAGCGATGCAGACGCGCGGCTGCTGGGCTGTGGTGGCGGCGCTTGCTGCTGCTGCTGTGGTGGAGGCCCTGGGGGTTGTTGCCCACGCGGGTCGAACCGTGCCATCCAATCATTATTAGCCGGGCCGGAGGCCCCGGACACAGAGCCGTAAGGTTGATATTCAGCATACGTGCGAGCTGGCGGAAGGTACGGGCTTGGGGCGCCGTAAGCCGGACCCTTCGGTTGAGCCGACAAACCAGGATCTTCGGCGCGGGAAGGTGGCTGCGACAGCGGTTGCAGACCAGCATACCCGACACGGGATGGGGATCCTGTGTGGCTTGCTGGGGTGGATACCTGGTCGGAAGCGAACCGCTTCCGTGGTTGTGGCTCTTCCGGTTCGTCATTGAGAATACTCATGATGTTCGACCGTTTGGCAGGCACACGCGGCGGCTCCGGCGGCTCAAGGGGAGTCGAACCCGGCCGTAGAAGCTCCTTGGGAGGCGATAGGATTGGAGGCTGAACAATACTTGCTGGTTGACCCGGGAGAGTAAAGTAGGGTCGCTGGGAGATCGAGTCGCGCCGGAGAGGGGAGTGTTCAGGCTCGTGTCCCAAAAGTGGTTGAGCGGGTGAGCTGGGCGTCTTTGTCAAGCTCGGCTGTCGAGAGTGAGTCCCGGTAGACATCAACGATGGTTGATGTTGGGGTGGCATGTAAGCAGGCTGCGAGGCCGGGAGGGCTGCTTGTGATGGAAGCAACGGTGACCCATGAATGTCCATGTTGGCAGTCCGGTAGCCCTGAGCGTGGAGTGGGTCAAGACGGGCCATTTCCGCAGCCGACACCGGTGTTTGACGGGAAGACATGGACACTTCCTGAGCATGAGATGCTGGAGTGTGAGTGAGCACTGTCCCAGGAATCTCTCGCCGGTCGTCGGCAAAATACCCCAGACGTGGGCCTTGCAGTCGCGGTGGCATGGGAGCCGAAGCCTGAGCGCGCACTGGTCGCGAAGCGTCATCCCCGCGGATGGGCACCGGTACGGCACCAGCTTGGGCAAGCGGAGGGTAACGCGAGACATTCCGCTCTTTTTCTTGCGCGGGTCGAGTATGGAGAGGGACCTGCTGAGAGGACCCAAGTGGCTTGCTTTTGGGCCCGAGCCGACCTTCCTCCGCTTCAGGCACTGCTACGTCAGTATGAGGTGCGAGAGGCCGGGGCATGATTATGGCAGAGGGGGTGGCTTCGTAGCGGCGCTTCGAGGCGAAATTCGGCACAGGCAAGGGACCAGTTGGTTCACCGCGGGCCTTCTTCGCCTCGGCACCTGCAACGATTTCCTCAAAGTCTTTGTTGCCCGAGTCGATGCGGCGTTGAAAGTAGTTCTTGACCTATACAACACACTTAGCGCGATCGAACACGAAAGGAATCTCCGTCAGAAAAAAAACGACACTGGGAAAACCTACCATGACTGTTGTTTTGGTCTTCATGAAGTTGGAAATACCTTCAAAATCGCGACCGAAATGGGCCAGCAACAAAGGAAAATCGCGTTGCTCGGGCACCGACCAGTAACTGGTGGGCTGCAAGGATCCGTATCCGCTGACTTCAGGCTGCCTGGCGGGGGCGGGGGCTTCGGGCTCGTTGGATTCGAAAACATAAACCCCCTCTTTCTGACGTCCTCGTCCTGATCGCGCCCGTGGTGGAACGTCGCTCGGTTCTTTTTCTTGCGGCTCCTTGCGAACGATTGGAATCTCTGCTGCAGCAGCTCCATCAAGCGATTGTTCAAAGACCTCCGTCTTCGGTACGGGAGTGACTGCAATTCCAACAGGGGGCAATGGTGTCGCTTGAGCAGATTGCTCCAATGGCGTCGGTTGCGGTGTTTGCCGTTGCGATTGTGATTGCGGCTGCGGTTGTTGCTGTTGCTGCTGTTGCTGCTGTTGTTGTTGTTGCTGCTGCTGTTGCTGTTGCTGCTGCTGCTGTTGTTGTTGCTGCTGGGCAGCTTTGCCTCGCCGACCCCCACGGGTGCCACCGCCACTGCGAGGTCCTCGCCTGCTCGGTCTCTCGGTTTGTTCCCCGTCCTTAGCATTTCCACGACGACCGTTTGCATCCGTATCCGCCGATGAGTCTCCGAATGTGGGAGCAGCTGCACGTCGGGGACGACCGGTATCCGTAACGGGCGCGGGCTCTTCTTCCCCTTCGTAGTCTGGCTTGACCACACCCAGATCAGCCATGAGCGCATTCGACTTTGGACGAGCGGATCTTCTGGCCCGACCTCGACGACTCCATCGTTTGTTGAGCTTGGCCTTGTATTTGATCTCTTCCTTGGTGAGATAGTAATGTATAATACATTGCTGAAAGTCACGGCCTGGTAGAGACTCTGCAATCTTGCCCCACTTCTTCGGATGCGCCATGAACGCATCTGTAAAGATCCCGTGTTCCTCTTTGGTGAAGTCGTTGGGAGGTGGAAGAAACCCGAAGACGTCCATAGCGTTGTCAGGGTCGACGATGTTGTTGGTGTCTTTATAAATCCGTGCTTTCACCTCACGAGGTTCCAGCATGTCCGGAATCACAGCCTCGCGGGACAAGTCCGGATGAGCTGTAGCTTTGTTGCCGCGACGCTTCTCAAGCTCCTCCTGCGCAGAGATCTCCGAGGCACGAAGAGCATTTTGAAAGTCCAACTCGCTGTTTCCTTTGTATCGGCGCCCACTTTCAGCACCTGGTGTAGCTGTCACAGGAATAGGAGCAGCGGGTGGCGGGGTCGGTCCCGGCGTGACTGACGTCTTTTCTCTCGCATTGTCCAATTCCCAGACATTCATCCTCCAGGGCTTGTAGTGCGAAAGGTACTCAACCCGGAGCCCGGCATTCTTCTGGGCAATCTCCTTACGTTGCTTCATGAGCTCTCCGCGGAAGATATCCTTGAGCTGCTCGTGGGCTGCTGCATTCTCCTGATAGATGTCTAAATCGGACAATGGAGTCGGAGGACCAGTGTTGAGAAACGGTAGGGTCTCCACAGGCAGTACTTCGGCGGCGGGGACTGTTTCCATGACCTCCTTGGCCGGTAGCTCGTGATCTTCAGCCTTGCCATTGGGCTCGGCGGTGACATCCACATCCATTGCCTCCGGCTGGTCATCACTGGCTACCTTCTCCTCTGCCGCGACAGGCGGAGGGCTTGGAGTTTTCTCCTTGACAGTGGCATGCGCTAGAGCACCTAGTAATTGAATCCGCATGAGCAGTGCTACAATAGTCGGATCTTCAAGCGGCGACGGAGGAAGCTCCGCGCGAAGCGCTTGCATGTCTTTCTCAAAGATACGTTTGCGCTCTTCGAGATAATCTTGCGTAAAGACAATGTTTTCGTCTTCATCTTCGTCGCTAGTTCTGGTGAAATCTGGAATAACCACATTCTTGGGCGCGTCCACTGGCTTTGATGGTGGCGGCTGTTGTTCCACGGGCGGAGGTGACCTCTCGCGGGGTCTTTCTGGTTGCGCCACTAGGGGTGGTGAGGGCGGAAGTTCAAGCTTCGGCTCAGTGGGATCCTTCTCACTGACTATTTCTCCGGCTTCTGGCCCAGAGCCTGAATCATCATTGTCAGTGCGCGAATCACGCCGATGCTCTTCGCTGAACGACAGACTGCGCTCCTTCCCGTCAATGGAATCTCGCTTTGCAGGGATGTTTGAGCTCGGCGCGGTCGGCGGTCGACTGTATCCTGGACGGACCCACTGCTTGTTGGGCTTCGGCGGTCCCCGAGAGACAGACGGCCGCTGTTGCAATGCGCGCGGACCGGTTGGAATCGTTGAGTTTGGCATTCTGGGGGAGGTATGTGCGCCTGGAGACGCCGCACGACCGGCTGCAGACGGTCTCCGCCCAAAATCAACCGTCAAAGGGACTGGTCCTACCTTGCTAGGCGACGTCGCCTCGTGGAATGCCGATGTCTCTTTGGCCACCATGGCTGCTGGCGCAGTGGGGGGAGAAAGCTCCGCCACCTTGGGTCCACTGGGCAGAGGGGCAGCAGGTGGTTTCGAGACTCGTGCGAGGGGCTCGGACTTTGCGGGAACATCAGTGGTATCATCACGGCGAGTATCATCCCGTCGGATTCGTTGCTCGAGAGGCAATTGAGGTGCCCGCTCAGCCTTCGGAGCCGTTGGAGGAGGCCCTGGGACCCGTGGTAGAAGCTCGGGGCGGTCCTTTTCGGCTTTGGCAAGGGGGGGTGGACTAGGGGCTAACTCGGTAGCCGGTTTGTCGGCCGTGACTTCAGGAACTGATGCAGAAACCGACCCAAATGCGGGGACTTGTGGTGCGGCCGGGGGTGAAGACCGCTTGACGGGCGCAGCTACTTCCTTCGGTGCCTCTGTACGAGATGCCGGTGCCTCAGTTCGTTCAGGCTCGCGACGGACATCTCCTCCAGCTAGCTTGCTTGGTGGCTCCGGCACAGGGATTTCGGGTACCCGCTCGAGAACTGCAGGGGTCGGTTGCGGTGCGGGAACAACAGTTGAGGCGGCAGATATACTCGGTATCCGGTTGGGATTTTCTACACGGTTGGTCGGCGGATCACGCTTCCGTTGATCCCCCGGTCGGTCTCGATCCTCGCGCTCGACGCGGCGATCCAAGTCATCTCGCCGCTCAAATCTTTCTCGTCGACTTTCCATTAATTCACGTTCTCTTTCCCGTTCTCGTCGATCAATCTCACGGTCGCGATCCAAGGGTCCTCTTTCTCGTTCTCTTTCGCGGTCACGGTCGAGTATGCGGTCTCTATCTCGTTCACGATCACGCTCACGCTCTCGATCTCGATCTCTCTCCCGGTCGCGGTCACGTTCCCGATCCCAACGGCCGTCGCGAGATCGACTTCTGCGTCTGAAGGTGTCGCGATCATCCAAGTATTGCATCCGGCCTCTGCCGCGTCCTGCTTCCCACTCACCCCGACCCCGCCCACGGAGGGGAGGACCTGTCCGCACATGGTGACTACTACCCGCTGGAACGTCCGGCACAGCCGAAGATACAGAAATCAAACTATCACGAGAGCCGCGTCGCATACGGACGATATCTGGGTCTCGACCAAGGGGCTCTCTGATATCTCGAAAGTCGCGAGGTGGGGGAGGAGAGCGCGAACGACCGCGTCCAAAGCCGATGCGGGATTCTCGAGGGTCAAAGTCGCGATCGCGGCGAGTCCAGTCCCGGTCTCGATCCAGGTCGCGGCGAAAAGGTGGCGGGCCATCACGGGCATCTCGAAAGTCTCGGTCTCGGTCTCGATCGCGATCTCGAACGTCTCGGTCTCGTTCGCGGAATTCTCCTCGGGCGGTGTATCCTCGGCCACGACCGGCGAAAGAAGCACCGCGAGGCGGATCAATCAGAGCTTTAGGACCTCGGGGCGGTTCCCGCCCCAAGGGAGGGATATTAGCATCGTCGGACCCTCGGGGTCCTGCCGGCGGTCGACGGTCACCGAAACGCTGCGGAGAACGGTCACGGGAGTTAAACCCAGACGGCGGAGGGTATCTTTGAGACATCACCAGGTCATGCTAGTACACATGAGACAAAGCAACCCGGCAGAATGCCTGCGACAGGTTAGTCAAGGTGGGATTCTCCCAATGCAGGATAAATAGGTAGCACAGAATGAAGCTATGGAGGAAGAGAAAGGGAAAACCAGACGAAAACAAAGGAAAAAAGGAAAGAAGAGAAAAGAGAATAGATGAATGGAGGAATGAGAGGTGAAAGATGAGACAGAACTCAAAAAGAGCGGGTTGAAAAGACCAATTGACACAGCAGCAGTAGTAGCAGCGGCAACAGCAGCAGCAGCAGCAGGACGAGGGACGAACGACGAACGACGAACGATCGGGCGGTGCAGTGGAGAACACGTGATGGCCCGATTGAAACATGGATGAGGAGAGCCTGAGCCTGAGCCTGAGCCTGAGAGAGGAAGGAAGAAGTCGAAAAGTGCACGGGCCAGGAACCAAAAATTAGGTAATCAGCTAAAAAAGGGAATTCCAGTTCAATCCACCTTAGCGCGGAATCGGATCCCAATTTGGCACCATCCCTCATGCTTAGCGGCAGCCACGGTTGGCGCCGATTGTTTCAGCCGGGGGGGCAACTTTGCTGGTGGATCGGGGATCACGCAGGCGGCAGACTGAACTGGAATCCAGTGAGAGGGGGAGAAATAGTCACCACTCGACCATGGAGAGAGTACATGTATCGTCTCAGAGAGCCGCGAATAACAAAAAAAAAACAAAAAAAAAAAAAAGAAAAAGAAAAGAAAAGAAAAGAAAAAAGAAAAAAGAGCAGAGATCCCCATTACCTACCTCTTCTTTTGACGGACGTGACTGACTGGCACTGGTCGCAACAACAACGTGCCAAGGTACTGAATGCACTGCAAGGGAGTGGGAGCTGGACAGCAAAAGTCCTCGGTCTCGGAACGCGCCCTTGAGACCCCAGTCGGGAGAACGTGTTACAACCGGTGGATGGAAAGAGGATTCGGTGGTATTTTGCGACGGGTGACAGAGATAGCAGACAGCAGTAATAGTCGGAGGAGGAAGTACTGAGTTGAAACTGGAAGGAAAGGCTAGACTGGCGGAATGAAGATTATGATATGATCATGGAAGAGATGAAGGGAAGAAAGAAAGAAGAAATGGAACTGGAACTGAAACTAGAGTGAGTGACTTGGAGATGAGCGTGTCTGATGGGGGGGTTGCGGTCCAGTGGGCAGTCCAGCCCGTCCAGCCAGTCCAGCCAAATGGAGCCGGAAGCTTCAAGTGGTCGGGGACTGGGCACTGCAGTCCACATTGAAGGACTCTCTCTCTTTTCTGAAGGGCCAAGGGGGAAGAGGGTTTTTACTGGCTGCTGCCTCAGGTGTCAGTCACTGCACCCTTCAAATCTTTGCCCCAGGCATCTATGCAGCCGCTGCCAGTTCTGCCCAGTGCCAGCTGCCAATTCCCGCCTGCCGCCGGGCATTTCCTGCATCCCCCGCCATCCGCTTCAAAGCAGAAAAAAAAAAAAGTGTCAAAAAAAAGGCTATTTATCTCGGGAGGCACAGCCCGCTTCTTTTTATTTATATTTCATTCGACGTGATCACGACTGTCAGTACCTATCCCAGTTCGTTGTTTCAATCAATAAGAGCGAATCAGTGCTGTCCCTTTCAATTCTTGCAAACAATGGCTTCAAGCAACGCCCCCGCGGCTGTGAATGCACCCCCCTCCTCTGTCACCAATGCAGTCTTGGTCGCATCAGAGCCAGTACCAGAGGGGACGCACAAAGTGAGCGGTGTCGATTTCGATCTTTTCAAGGGCAGGGATATCACTGTTGCAGAATTGGTCGACAATTTGAAGTATACGGGTTTCCAAGGCAGTGCGGTCGCAGACGCCGCCCGCATTATTAACAACATGGTAGGGCCTCGCCCCTTATGATGATCATATAGGCCTCCTCACTGATCAGGACCGAATCTCTACAGCGAGCTTACCGCCATCCTGAAACCGGTGCCAAAACGACCATCTTTCTCGGATACACCTCCAACCTGATCTCCTCCGGCCTCCGTGATACCATCCGCTACCTCGTGAAAAACAACCATGTCTCGGCCATTGTCACAACTGCCGGCGGTGTGGAGGAGGATTTGATCAAGTGTTTAGCTCCGACCTACATGGGCTCCTTCACCACACCTGGCGCAGGGTTGCGGGCCAAGGGATTGAATCGTATCGGCAACCTCATCGTCCCTAATAGCAATTATTGTGCCTTTGAGGATTGGCTAGTCCCGATCTTGGATAAGATGCTAGAGGAGCAGGAGGCTGCGAAGAAGAAGGCATTGGAAACCGGTGACGAGGAGGACGAACTGCACTGGACCCCGAGTCGCATCACCGAACGCCTGGGCCGTGAAATCAACCACGAGGACTCGGTGCTTTACTGGGCCGCCCGCAACAAGATCCCTGTCTTCTGCCCAGCTCTGACGGACGGCTCCCTCGGAGACATGCTCTACTTCCATACATTTAAATCTTCCCCGCAACGGCTGCGCGTAGATATTGTCGACGATGTGCGCCGGATCAACACCATGGCGGTTCGTGCTGCTCGTGCCGGTATGATCATTCTCGGAGGCGGCGTCATCAAGCATCACATCGCGAATGCCTGTCTGATGCGCAATGGTGCGGAGCATGCCGTCTACGTGAACACTGGTCAGGAATTCGATGGCAGCGATGCGGGCGCGCGCCCGGACGAGGCCGTCAGCTGGGGCAAGATCAAAGCCGACGGTGAGTCGGTCAAGGTGTATGCGGAAGCTACAGTGGTCTTCCCGCTCATCGTGGCCGCTTCGTTTGCGCGAGTAGATGCAGGCAGATCAGATGCCGTTTAGACCCAAAATTGATGGTTGTCACTGCGTAGACTTCGATTATTTGGCGCGACAGTATTACCCGATTCGTGCCTGATCCTCTACTTAGCAGTACTCAACCAGGCGAATTTCTCGCTCGTTCGAGGCCTCCTCCCATGGAGCAACTCTTGGCGGATGGTCGAAGAGCTCCCTCCTATCTCGGCCCCGCGTCAACACCGGGAGTCCACCAGAGGCCGATCCAGGCGTGGCGCTACAGTCCCGCTAACTACCCCACCCATTATGCGGCCAGAGGAGGAAATCTAGAAGGGAGGCAAATCGGACGAGCAGCTCCGAGGGTCAGGGACAGAATCTGCACGGCAAAAGACGGCAACCCATTGAGAACCGGAGGTTCGGGAGGAAGGCTGTTGGATCGGCAGAGGGGCAAAAAGTTTGCGTGATGAGGGGGAAATTTGGTGGAATGGCGAATGGCACAGATTGAAAATTGCTGGGCCGATGGAGCGTTCCACAGTCAATCATAGCAAGTCGAAAAGGCCCTCAATTAAGCTGGGTGTTCTATCCGAGACTGTTGCCACCGGAAGGTGACTTGCCTGCGGTTTCCGAGGAATGGGGTTGAAGGGCGGGCCACTGCACAAAGAAATCAATGAAAAGGAATTCTGTAAAAGTGATAGTGATCAATGAAATCGAACTGCTTGAAGGACATTTTCTTTGGAATTGGATGTGTTTGATTTTCACCTAATTAGAGGGAGAGGGAGGGGGAAGGGGAGGGGGGGGGCAGGCAACCCAGAATTGACAGGTCAGTTCCTGGTGTGTTGTTTTCCCCGGCTAGTTCGGTCGATCAATCGCAACAATCGATAAGGATAGGCACATACAGTAACTGTACGAGATAGTGAGGGGAGGCGGTGGATTCGACAATTGTTCCGTGCTTCGTCCCAACGAAAAAGAATGGTTGGTTCAGTCCACACAAGCTGGCGGTGCGAAAACAATTGATTTTTTTTATTTTTTTTTTTTCTTTTTCTTTTGTGATTTTACAATCTTTTCCCACTCTGATCCATCTCAATATCCTTTACCCGAGAGGGAAAAAGTTGGTGGCAAGAATGGACGGGATGGAGACGGAGGTTAATAATCCGGGGGAAGAAGAAGCAATCACAAAATAACCAGCGGTGAGCGCCGCGTGATTTGGCCGCTGCATTGCCGCCTCATCCTCATCCTTTTGCCATTGGTTCCCTCCTCGTTGCTTCTTCTGACTCTTCTTCCTCTTTTTTCCAAATTCTCTACTTTCTCCCTCTTTTTCCTTCTACTCCGTACCTTCTCCCTCTTCTTCTATCCTTCTCTGTGTTTTTGTTCTTTTTCTTCATCTTTCCCCATCTCCCTTTGCGGGTTGGCATACCTTTTCTCTCTCTCTATATACTGGTCTATATACTTATCTATACATCCCGCACTGTCTTCCCCGGATTCGATAACGCTCGATACAATCTCTCCGATAACCACAAAAGCAATAGATGCTTTAAACTTCCCCTCACGCTATACCTTTCTCTCCTTATTTTCTTTCTCAGCACTAGTGGTTGACATTCGTGCCCTTAATTCATAGAATTCAGACTCCAGCTTTGGGCCCCTTTTGCCTCTCCCGATAAGCAGTGCTTGTTTCCTCTTATCGTTCAGTTGTTCTTGTTAGACCTTCGCTTCTTCTTCGCCTGTCAGGCTCTCAAGCTTTCAGCTTTCCCCATTATAGCCCCTCTGTCTGCAGCCTGACCACTGCTTGGGGATTCGTCAGCCTGTCATCCTTCCATTCAAACAGGCAGCATTGCATCCGCCTTCTGGCCCTGGAATGTCTGATTGTCTTCTGTTGGCTACACACATTCTCTGAGGCTAAGGCTTCTCGTGTTTCTCAGCCTTGACTCATCGGCCCCAGTCTAGCCTGGTTTTTGGCGTTCAACAGTAGCCTTAAGGGACAGGTTATTCCATTGCTACGTTTGTTCCTCGCTTTTTGACTGCTTTTACGCTTTTTCCATCTCTTGAACCATCAACATGGACTCCCAGGTTGAGGAGCCGACCGTCTCGGTGGACCAGGTTCCCTCCTCAATTTCCCTTACCCCCGGCTCCAGTCTCCCTGAGCCTGTCGCACCAACGGTGGCCATCGAAGTCACCTCGGAGGAGTCTTCCACTCTTTCTACCGACACTCCCACCGACCAATCTACCGATTCCTCTCCTCAAGAGCCGCAGTCCGAGAACCTCACAGGTGGTTCCCGAGGTGATACACAGATTGTTGATCCATCCGAACCCCCAGCGGGCCAACCGGCTCAGCCGGAACTTGAACATGCATACTGGGCTGAGATGGAGGAGGACTCTTCGGTTCCGGATGAGGCGGAGACGAAGGAGATTGAGTCCGCGGCGGATGGTGATTACAGTGCCTATGAGTGTAAGCTCTGATCACGTGGGACAAATGCCAGAATTGTGAGATGGGGTTGCTAATGAGCCTAGATGACTATTGGGAGAAGAACTTCCACGCCGACCTAGACGATCCGGAATATCGCCCCACGCAGAAAGCCCGTCTGACGTGGAAGATCAAAGGCGTTCGCGGCTCCCCGGACCGCCCCAACCGCGCTAAAATCATGCGTTCGCCCCCTGCTTACATGGGAGGCTATTGGTGGACGATTAAGTTCTTCCCCCGCGGTAATAACGTTAGCTCCTTGAGCATCTACATTGAGTGCTCTCCTACTATGCCAACGCCGGAGAAGTCCTATCCGAGTACAGAGTTCAAGGTGCTTCAGGGTCCAGCTGACCAAACTTTAAACACCGACTCTCCCGAGCTTGACATCAAGTTCAACGAGACTGAAGACACGGCCGCTTGGCTGGAACACTTCAAGGCCCAGTACCCCCCTGCTCGACAGGAGAATGCCAATGGAGCCAGTTCCTGGCGGGTATCCGCTCAAATTGGAGTCATTCTTTACAACCCCGACGAGCCTCGAACGGGGTGGATGCAGTCGTCGTGCCACCAGTTCAACCCACATAACCTGGATTGGGGCTGGACTAACTTTCACGGGCCGTGGGACCAGATCCACCGCCGGCAGCGGGGCCAGCGTCAGGCACTACTTCGGCACGATACACTAGCGTTCGATGCTTACATCCGCATTGTCGATGACCCCACTCGGTCGCTCTGGTGGCATGCCAGTGACACCGAGCCGACTTGGGACAGCTTGAGTTTGACCGGCTATCGTCCCTTAGGTGACTCGGTCATCAACCACAGCGCTGAGGTAGCCGGCCTCGCCACGTGGGTGCACCTTGCTCCCTTCTGCAAGATCATTCAGAAGGTGAACGTGCTGGAGCATCTGAGCGACTGTGACGTGAAGCCCAAGCCGCTGTGTGACGCGTTGCAGAAGTTCCTCTGGCAGTTGCGTTCGCGAGGACAATCCTTGCAGTACGTTGACACCGACCTCATTACATCTATCCTGCGGAACCTGCATGAGTACTCGGGTGATGTATGCGAGTTCTGGGAACGCCTGCGTCGGACTCTTGAGATAGAACTTGAGGGCACTGATGCAGTTCGTGAGCTCGCTCAGCTCTTCGACAGCCCGTCTGTCGACTCGCTTCCCACCAGTGCTGGCGACTGTGCGATCAACACCGTCCCGAAGGACTATAACTCTCGCATCTGTGTTCCTGCGGATCAGGTCAAGACCACCAGCGAGGCCTTCAGCAAGTACCTCGGTGCCAAGCCGGGTCGGTGGGTTCTCCCCCCAATCTTGCATTTGGAACTCGGTCGTCAGAGCCTGGACAAGGCGGCCAGGCAGTGGCGTCTTCTCTACAACCGCGTCGATCTAGACGAAGAACTAGACCTTACCCCCTGGGTGCTGGATGGCCAAGACGGCAAGTATGTTCTGTATGGGTATATTGTCCACCGTGGCCGCCGCACTTCGGGCAAGTTCTTCAGTATCCTTCGCCCGGGTGGACCAGGCACTAGGTGGCTGGCTTTTGACGATGGCAGCGACAACCGTGTCGAGTGCCTGACTCGCAAGACTGCTCTGGGCCCCCACCTCGGCTTGGACGCGTCACAGAAGCCTGACCACAAAACAGGCCACGACGTCGCCATCGCAGTGATGTACATTCGCAGCGACGTTGTGCAGGAGTATCTGCCCGGTCCTCAGGGACCATGGGATGTTTCCGCTCCGCTTAAGGAGTACTACGAGACCGGCATCCTGCCCCTGGCTCCGGCTGAAAAGGATGAGATTGAGGTTGAAGTCTACTCACTTCCGAAATATGATCAGCTGAGCAGTCTGTTCGATACCTACGACCTAATGGCGCAGGCCAAGACGGCGAACAGCGTGATGTACCTCACGGTACCTCGCTCCTCCAATTATGTGGATCTCCGCAAGAAGATCGCGCTCTGGGCGTCTACTAAGACGGAGCAGGCCACTAGCCCTGAGTATGTGCGTTTGTGGCAAATTGGGCACACTCGTGATCAGTTTGGTCCCACGCTTGCATTTGCCCGTATCTCGGAGCTTTCCCACTGTCTGGAACTTCCTGCGAAGACCGCTCGTTTCTGGATGGAGATTGTTTCGGATGCAGATGCGAAGCTTTTCGCTATTGCAGATCCTCAGCAAGCTCTTGCCGTTGAAGCCAAGCCAGAGGAGGCTATCCTCGAGCGTGAGGGGTCCGAGTCATCTGATGACAGACCTCTCGATGAGATTGACCCTGCTCAGCCCAGCTCGTCTGGCAATATCCCGGATCATCTCCTGGATAGCATTCCTTCAGAGGTGGCCCTCGAGCTTGCTGCACAGACCGAGACAGTGCATGTTGAGGACACCGCTGTACAAGATGAGAACAATGCCGTCATTGCTGCCATCATCGCCGAAGACCTTCAGCAGATGGAAGTCGAGGTCACTGAGCCTGCTGCGGTGGTGGAGGAACCCAGCGAGGCTGTCAATGAGACCGTCGACGTTCAACTTGAGACAGTCGTTAACGTGGACGCCCCGCCTACGCCTGCCGAGGTCGAAATTCCCCAGCCCGTGGAGCACGTGTACTATTTCATTCAAGTCTTTGATATCGAGGCGCAGATCCTCCGCACCGTGGGCTCTTTCTTCTCGAAGAAGGAAGAGAACATCAAGGCTGCGATCCGCAAGCATCTCAAGTGGGCTCCCATGAAAGACTTCCAGGTCTGGCAGCGCATGGACGGTACCAACGTGACCACCATGGCATCCGGCGAGACTTTTGAGACGTTCGTGCCTGACGGCACCTGTTTCATTGTCGGTGACAAGGTTAACAAGGACCGGCGCCTCAAGCTCAACATTGCCGGCATGTTTGCCAATCCCGACCAGCTGGTGCGCTATCTCTGGGCTGCGTCACGTAGACATCCTACGCGGGCGCACACGGGCTTCAAGACCATCGAGGCGACCTTCACCAGCGAGTACTACAGCGGCGAGCTCGTCAAGGGTTACTTCCACGGCAAGGGCAAGCACGTTTCGGATCTGGCCGCCACGTATGAGGGCGATTTCGTTCTGGGCAAGCGCCACGGCAGCGGCTTCATGGAGTACCCGATCGGCGATACGTATGATGGCGACTGGTTCGAGGGGATATGCCATGGCCAGGGAACGTTTGTCGAGCGCAAGACGGGCAACAAGTATGTTGGTGGCTACAAGGACGGCAAGCGCCACGGCAAGGGCATTAGTTATTGGGAGGTTGCGGATGAGGAGATGGACTTGTGTCAGATATGCTATGGGGAAGAGCAGGATGCGCTGTTTTATGACTGCGGACATGTTTGTGCTTGTGTGACGTGCGCGCGTCAAGTGGATTTGTGTCCGATCTGTCGGAAGAGCATTGTGAGCGTGGTGAAGATATACCGGACTTGATTGTTCAATACAGGACCGATGGAGTGAGGGACTGGTGTTGGAATAGATTTTGATGGACGGACATGATATAGGGGTGTCTAGATAGCGTGGATTGATTTTGCTATATACCTGCACTGTTGTTGCTCTTAGCCGTTACTGAGATGTTTAAACATTTGACAAGATCGTTCTGATTTGTCGTTGATGGACACATTGTCGAAGCTGTTGAGAGATGTTTATACTGATTACGAGATTGTTTGATATCGGTCAATTGACTCAATTGTTCAATTTTTTTCAATATAATACATGGTGACCGTCAATTCAGCATCCATGCCTCTTCCACATACTACGAAGTGTCAAACAGTAGAGGCAGTAGTTGAGCACATCCCACCAAGATTAAACCGTACCACATCCCTATAGAAACCAGACAGCCTCACAACAGACCCAGCACTCAAGACCACTCCCAGATGTTTTCCTGATATTACAATCATCGAACAAGACATCTCGCGAGCCCTTACTATCCCTCTCCCCTCTGCAGGATGATTTTAACCCAAACCCAGACCCCAAGAAGGACTTAACCCATCCGATCCCGTCCCGACCATCCCCCCACTGAAAGAATGTTAACAGATGCGATTCTGACACCACAACCGCCCATATCGCCCCCAACACCCCATTCCAGTCCACCTCAGAACCAGAAGCGATGGCAGGGCTATATACGATACCTATCGCGGTTGTGTCATCATCAGCCTTCATCCTACACAAAGGCAAGATCTGATGCATGGCGCTTCGAAACCGGTTCGTCAATCGGAACCCGACAAAACATATATACCCAGATCTGTGATCAGTCGGACTGATCAGGGTTCATCAGTCTCGACCCAGCACCAGCTAGATCATCCATCGCAGCTACATAGTAACCTTGCTGGCAAGACGAGGTCCATACACTTTGAAGGTAACAAACAAATGGTATCTATTGACTACTTCAACCGAAGAATCTATCCATTGAGACAAGACAAACAAAAAAACAAAAATGATGCGCCACCCATACCAAAACAAGGACTATGCTTTTTGTCTCAACATAAATACACGAATCATAACCCAGTCAGCCAAAACTATTTCTTGGCGGCCTTCTTGGCCTTGCCCGTCTTATTATCGGCCTTCTTGGTTGCGGTCTTCTTGGAGGGAGCGGTCGTAGCGGGAGTCGCGGGGGAGGAAGCGGTGGTGGATTCGGTCTTGGATTTGTCGGATTTCTTGGCAGGTGCCTTGGTCTTGGTGTCTGCATCGGTCTTCTTTGCGGTCTTGGGGGAGGCTTCGACAGCAGCGGGCTTGGGCTTGGGCTCGGCAGCCTTAGGCTCAGTCTCACCCTCACCCTTCGGTTTCGAGGACTTCGGCTTGACGGCCTTCGGGTTGAGACCCTTGCGGCGCAGACGGTTACGCTCCGCCCGGGCAATGCGCTCGGCATCCCGGTCGTCCTCCTCAAAAGGACCGAAAGAACCACCCTCAGCCCCCAAAACCATGCCGTCTTCGTCGACAATCGGCGTCTTGTCGACGCTCTCGTCATCGGTGGAGGGGGCGGACGGCGACTTGGCCTTGCGGTCGGACTTGGTCTCAGCCACACCGTCACCAGCCTTGGTAGTCGGGGACGGGCCGGTCTTCTTGAGCTTGCAAACAAAGAACCCGTCGACGTTTTCGCGGTGGGGGAAGTAGCGGCGGGTCAGGGTCAACTTGGCATCAAAGTGCTTGCCCATGTAGCTGGTCATACCGGGGCTGCCGAAGTCGCCCAGACCGGTGTCGACGATCTTGACGTTGGGGCGCTTGCGCAGGATGTAGTTGACCACCATCTCATTCTCCTCCACGGTAACACTACAGGTCGAGTACACTATATAACCTCCCGTCTTGGAGTTGTGGTCGACGGAGTCGATGGCGGCCAGAAGCAGCTGCCGTTGCATGTGAGGGATGGCCAGGAAGTCGCGTTCGTTCTTGGAGGTCTTGACGCTGGGGTCCTTGGAGATGACGCCGGTACCGGTGCAGGGGGCATCGAGAAGGACACGGTCGAAACCACCCATTGCCTTGGGGAAACCAGTGCGGGCATCCAAATGGGTCACGATAGTGTTCTTGCAGCCCAGACGGTGGATGTTACCGATCAAACCCTTCGCACGGGGCTTGCTGGCATCGTTGGCGATCACGCAACCAGTGTTGCGCATCAAAGCCGAGATGTAAGTGGTCTTACCACCGGGGGCAGAGGCCATATCGAGAACACGCTCGTTGGGTTGCGGGGCCAGAGCCATGACGGGCAGGAAGGAAGAAGCCGCCTGCAGAATGTAATGACCGGCCAGATACTCAGGGGTGGCACCAAGAGGGACCGCAGACTCGAAGACCTGCAGACCGACCTTGGACCACTTTCCGACGGGCTCGAGAACGACACCACGGTTGATCAAAGCCTGGGCCAGGGACCGACGGTTGGTGCGCAGTGTGTTGGTACGGATGACGACGGGACGCGGCGTCTCGTTGGCTTCGAAGAAGGCAAACGCCTCCATGGGGGTGAACAGGTTGAAGAGCTTCTCCGCGAGGAAAGGAGTGTAGCCGTAGTAGGTGCAGATATCGCCGAGGAGCAGGTTCACGTAGTCGGTTCGCGACTTGCCGGGCTGGCCGAGGGTCTTCAGGTCGCCCAAGATACGGATGGTGTCGGTGATTCTCGTGCGGAGGAGCTGGAGGTCGGGCGCCAGACCGGGCTGGCCGACGTCGTCGCCGAACACGTCGGGACGGTCTCCCGCGATGTTGGTCTGCATGGCGGATTCCTGCAATTCGAGCTCGGCCTCTTCCTCCTCCTCCTGTCTCGCCAGGTCCAGTTTCCGGGACAGACCCTCGATGTTGGCTGCCGTCAGTCTCTCCTCCGCATCGGAGAGGTCTTCGTCATCGGAGAACATGGCTTCGCGCGGGTGGTCATCATCCTCCGAGTCAACCACGGAGTCTTCGTCATCGGAGGCCATCTCGTCGTCGTCGTCGTCGCTCACGGCATCAAGGTCACCAAACTCGTCATCCTGCATCTCCTCATCGTCCAGGTCGGACCAGGCATCCTCATCATCCTCCGCCTCGTCGTCCGAATCCATGAAACTCGACTTCTTTGTAGCCGCGGCGGGTTTCTGCTCCTTGCCCTTGCCCTTAGCCTTGGCCACCTCCACCTTGGCCGCCTTGCCGTTCGTTGCCTTGCCGTTCGTTGCCTTGCTGTTCGTCGCCTTGCCGTTCACAGCGCCATTGGCCTTCTTCTTTGCAACCGGCTTGACAGTCTCTTCCTCCTCTTCAGCGGCAGCTCTTCTCCGCTTCTTGCCCGCCTCGGCGGGCTTGGACTCGGGCTCAGCGGCCTTGCGCTTCTTGTAGATAGTGATCTTGGACTCGTCCAGTGGGGCGGGAGGACCCTGCTTCTTCATGCGATTTCCCCGACCCATTGTGAATGACAGTAAAGAATAAGTTGGGAAGAAAAAAAAAAAAAAAAAGGGAAGGGTACACAAAGTGAATCCGGGAGGAAGATCTAAACTTTTTTTTCTTTTCCTCTCCGCGTACAATTTTTCCCGCGGGCGGTCAGAACCAGCAGATAAGGCGGTGTATGCCGGGTTGACTTAGTGCCTGAGGCATAGACTTCTCCTGGCATGAAACGGGGGGAACAAGCTCCCTCTCCCCAATCGGGTAAACCATCCATAGCCCGCGGCGGCGACATCATATCCCAGGCTCTCTCCCCCACCACCTCCACTCCGGTCATATCCAACTCAAACCAACCTTTTAAATAAACCCTCACTTCATCAACCTCGAAAAAAAAAAAAAAAAGAACAAAAAGACAAGCACAGGCACAATGGCATCCGAACTCTCCTTCGCCAAAGCCTTCCTCTCCGCTCTGGACAGCCGACCCATCAAACTCCGCGCCGACTATGTCCACGACGACCCCAGTGTTCGCATACCGGTATGTCCACACCCACACTCACCCCCCAACCCATCTAAACCCAAACCAACCACTAACTGACCCACGAAAACTAGCACCTCCTCCCCCGTCTCCAATCCCCCCGCCCCTCCATGCCCAAGAAACCCACCACGACAACCACCTCCGTCCCGGGCTCCGCGAAATCCATCACCGTCACCCTCAAATCCGCGCGCAACCCAGCCCTGGAATTCTCGCTGCCGAATCAGCCCCTCACCACGACGACGGTTACGGATCTCAAGGACGCGGTGCGCGCGCGGATCGTCGACGCCACGGACGCACAGCCCGCGCTGGACAAGGTCAAGATTCTGTTCCGGAAGAAGCCCGTCACAGGAAATAAAACGCTGGCGGAGATGTTGAGCGAGGTGCCGGAGTTGTTGGTTGGGGGGAAGGAGGTGGAGGTTGGAGTGATGGTTATGGGTGGGGGGAGGGTGGTTTCGGTTTCTCCGGAAGAGGGGGGTGAGGAGGGAGGACACAGAGAGGAGGATGCGGGAGCGGCTGCTGCTGCTGCTGCTGCTACTACTACAATCAAGCCGGCTGTTGGGCCGAGTGGGGAGGAGGTGGTTAGGACAGAGGCGTTTTGGGCGGATTTGCAGGGGTTCTTGGAGCAGAGGATCAAGGATGCGGAGGAAGCGAAGAGGTTGAAGGGGTTGTTCCGCGAGGCATGGGAGGGGAGTAAGTAGTGTCCTTGCGGTGTTGGTCGAGAAGGGAGTGTAGTGTGGGGTTTGGGTGGTGATACCTTGCTTAATGATCTTCCTGTGATCTAAATATCAGGATTCTCTTGTGTATATTGCGTGTCCAGAAGCACAAACTTCAGGTAAACCAAGGTCATGTTCCGATCGACTGTACTTTCTCAATCCGACAGACTGCGACTACTGATTTATCCTGTCCGATCAACGGCATATGAGGAAGAAATGTACAGGTCAATTGAAGGGCTTCTAAGGCAAGAGGAATGTAATCAAGGAAATCATTATACAGCCGAAGGCAGAGGGGCTCGGGCTCATTAGGGAAATCTCTGGACAGCATCCAAGGGGGCAAGTAGTAAAAGGCAATGATTGTTCACGGAGAAAGTTAATATGCATGCAGAAATTGCATAAGAAGCGCAGAGGTATCAGAATGCTCAGTGTAACAGACTGCGGACCCGGTAAACTGTTGAGCCGTCCAACACAAATAAAGTCATAATCCGCAGCCGGATTCAGTCCAGTTCGGCATCTTATCTGTTAAAAATGTAGCAAGGTGGAGAGCAGCGTCCCCGAAGAAGACAAGTGGCGAGCGATGCAGCCGATCGAATAAAAAGGAAGAAAAAGAAAGCTATAACCACAAAAGTAGAAGGAACAGATGCCAGGTGGTTGAAAACCGTTGCAAATGCTCAAGAACAGGCCAATCGCTCATCCCTTTCATGCGTCCAAGGAACATGCCATAGAAAAGTATCAGCTGGAAAGAAAAAGAAACGGATTCATACATCGCGGAAGCGTGCATAGCCCTCAGTTATCTCGAGAAGACCTTGACAACCCCATCGCCTCCTCCACTGACAACCCAGCGGCCGTCGCGGCTCCACATGGCAGAGCACACCCCTTCACCACGCATCAGCCGGTGACTCGTGATCTCTTGAGTGCAGCTCCGCTTCTCCAGGTTCCAAAACCGCAGACTGGCGTCGTGGCCTGCGGAAACAAGCTCTCGTCCATCCGGAGACAAAGAGAGCGAGGCAATCGCTGACGGGTGAGCGAGCATTGTATATGTGCATTGACCTGAGTATACAAGATTAGAATGTGCAATAACTTATTGATGGATGATGACATACCGCTGTTGGCATCGAAAAATCGAATATAACGGTCTTCATAGCCACTAATGATGACCCCTTCGGCACCGCTTGACCCAGTTGCGCCATGGACCACCTCCTCCTCAGCCATTGTTCGGCTGGGGTCAAGACCGGCCGAGCCGTCGAATCCAACTGTCGTGGCAACGACCGCATTAACACCAGTCGAAGGTGTACCGTCATACGTCTCCAGACTGGCCATCCCAGCGACCTCCTCGCCCGTTCTCGTATCATAGACCAAGATCGAAGCATCTGTGTAAGAGACAACAAAATTAATACCGGCCAGTGACAACGGACTGATACACGTGGGAGATGGCGAGCCCGAGCGCACGATTTGGCGGACCATTGTGTAGTGGAAGGGTGTAGTGGTTGCCGTGCTCGGTTGCGGCGACGAAGGAAAGTTTGAACCAGATGAGATGGAGTTGGCTCGCCGACTACCTCCCGCGCGTCGTGATCCTGCTTGAGGCGACGACAGCTGAGGCGGTGCACTGACTGCCCAGATAATGATCCGGCCATCGGCACCTCCCGATGCGAGTAGAATCCGATCAGGTCCGCCATAATGGCTGCAGGAGTCGCCAAAGACAGAGCCCGCTGTTCCCGGAAGAACACACAGACCCCATACTGCATCCGTGTGTCCTTCGAGTGTGGCCTTAGGATCGACCCTGCCACGCTCCCAAACCCGTACGCTGGAATCCTGTCCACCAGAGAACACCCACCCATCACCAAGCGCGCGACCGCCGTTGGAGAAGTTCTGTGACGGTGAACAAGCCGCCAGCGCAGTCACAGCTCCTACATGTCCGCGGTGAGTGAAGTAGCTCGTGATGTCCAGGTCATTACTGGAGTTGGCGCCGTGAGCACCAAATGTCCCATAGGTTGCCGGGATAATCCAGCGCTTGATTGTTCCGTCATCGCTGCACGTACAGATCTCTGGCTCGGAAGGGCTTCCGCCACCCGTGAAGATTACGGAGCGGACAACATCTAGGTGACCTCGGAGGGCGAAGCGGACTTTGAAAGAGGTATCTGGTTTCGATGCCGCAAGGTCTGCAGCACCCTCACTCTTGCGCCTGGCACCAGAGCTTTTCCGGCGGTGGGAGACTGAGCCGGTCCGTGCAGGAGATTTTGCGCCAACAAAATTGGCGTTTGGGAAAGCATCGACATCGGGTCGATGGGGGGGTATTTGCTCAGCTGGAGGAGCTGGTTCGGCAGACTCGTCAAAGTTCCAGCCGTCTGTGTCTTCAACAGTTTGAGGTTGCCGGGTCTCCTCCTTGGTTGTTACTTGCGAGCCATAGCCATCATACACCTGCTCCTCCGTGCCAGCACGATCCTCCATGGGGGCAGATTCAAACGTTTGCTTCCGATTTTCCAGTGCAGTGATAGGGGTCTGTTGCGGTTCCATGGGCCTCCTCTCCATAGCTTCCCTCGAGCTGGGCGGATACCCGAAGTGGCTGGGAGCACGAGATAGCCCTGAGTTATCCGGGAAGTGCGTGATGATAGGCTGGTGATTTTGCAGGGCCACTTCCCGTGCCATCATGTTGTTCGCCTGCTGTTGCTGATGTTGTTTCTGACGCTGCTGCTGCAGGTAGACCTCTTCCAAGGTCTGTTGCGACATCTGCTGCTGATTGCCGTAGAGATGGTTCGGGAGGTCTTGATCGCTGAAATCGGGCGGCGGATGGGACGAAGGAATGACGTGGTACGCAACTTCCTGCGAGCACTTGGACAGGTATAAGCGCGACTTATCCCGCTCATTCTCTTGGCGGAACTCGTGGTGGTTCTCGAGGTTTTGGTCTGCATCGTTGACATCGCCATGCGGCTTGGGATGTTGGGCTAGAATGGGGTCGTCAATTCCGAACACAGATGACGACAAAAGCAAGGGCAAGATACCTTTCAATGCATTAATGCTCTCCCGGGCAATCTCCTTCGGGTCCCTCGTGTCATCGATCTTCTCATTGTTGCTGAGCTTCTTGACCTTCTCGCGTTCCTTCTTCAGCGCAGCCTCCAATAGGCGAACGTGCTTCCCCAGCGACTCGTGTAGGCGTTTGCTTGTGCGGACATCGCCCTCTAGCTTTCCAATGCGGGACTTCATCTCTGCGCGCTCGATCTCCCAGGCGTTGCGGTCTCGTTCATGCCGATGCCATTCGGTCTGCAGGAAGCGCATCACACCTACAAACAGCACGAAGAATAAGCGGACGAGTCCATTGGGCCGCGCCACCACCTGAAGAAGTCAATCTCACCTTGTAAAGTGTATTCCGTCCCCTGAGGCTGTCCACCATTGGAGGAGCCATCACCTCCCGGCCCGACGAAGCCTCCACCCCCAGCCATGGCCGAGGGAGACTGCCAAGCCATGCGAGATCAACAGTGGGATTGGAAGGCGGATATTTCAAGCGGCAAGGCAAGCCGGAATGAAAGCTCCGGCGATCGCAAGCCGAGGAAGAAGAGGTCCGAGCTGAGGGGAAGGAGCTGACCCAATCTGTGGGACTCGGGGAGGTCGCAGGTCTGGTTGGGGAGATGTGTGGTGGTAAGTTGAGACGGGGATTCAATGACGGGGCGACAACGGCAGGACACCACGTTCCAGACCGTGTCAGCACCGATGGAAGAGGAAAATAAACAATGCGGATCCTTCGCGTACAAGGTAAAATACAAACGACAACTTGCAGCGGACAAGGGAAGGGAGACGACGGGTCAGCGATGCGAGTTCTTTTGGAGCCGAGAGATTTGGGGGGGGTAGAGAGAGAGAGGGACTGAAACAGTGGTCACTGGTCACTGGTGCGCGTTTCTCTCCTCCTCGCTGCTGCTTGCTGTGAGGTAAGCCTTGGTACAGTCGGGGAAAGCCACCGCCGCCGCTGAGCTGCCGTTGGTTCCTTAGGCGCCCACGCGGCCTTAACCGCTTTTAGCGCTGGGTGTGAAAGAGAGCCATCAGAAGGGCTTTCGCAATCTCTTTGAAGTTGCGGTCAATAGGCCGACTGGCATCATTTTGTGGGTGAGAGAGGTTGACTAGAATAGTGGAGTTTGCGACTGGACTGCTTTGCACCCTATACAAAGTACAGTACACTTCAAAAGTACTAGTTCTGGGGTAAGCTACCTTACCTTAAAAGGTCGGTGATAGATCCAAAAATTAAAATAAAGCCTAAGGCACTAAGTCTCGTCCATCAGGCAGGAGCAAGTCCCCCCGCATCTTGACCTCAATACCAATTTCTTGGAATGGCGATGAAGCTACTCACTCGGAGCAGTTACACATGACATTTTGACACGTTCATTTCACTAGATCTACTAATATTACAGGATGAATACAGGAAAGGGAAGAGAGTAATGCGATCAGCCCAAAAGTCCTCTTCTCACGTGGTGATAAGGAATGATGCACCCGCGATAAGAGCCTGGAGAACCGCATCCGCGACAGGTTGAAGTAGAAGCAGGCACATTCCTTGCCCTTTAGTCAAGTCTTGGTCATTTACGAGGCGATTCCTCAAGAATAATCTACCATTCCCTCACAAAGCTCATCATCGTCCCTCTCCTGCCCATACAGAATCTCACAGACACCACCCACCGGCACATCCAGCACAGCATCCGTGCCTTCGCTCCAGATCTCCTTCCAGTTGATCTTGCGGTTTTGTGGACCCATGATCTGGTACGATGTCGCTCCAGGCCTCATCTTGGCCCCGCCACCGGGCCGTCGTCGCCCCTTGCCGTCGATGACTGCCACATTGGCCACCTCGTCCACGATGTTCTCCACGCTGTTCATGGGCAGTGTGAGATAGCCGGTGTTGTACGATGCCAGGGCGACGTAGATATAAATGATCGACATGACGAGCCAGGAAGGAAAGGCTAGCGACCACCATCGATTGGGGTAGTAGTATATGCCGAGTTGGTGGAGGAATGGGGAAGGGAGGTAGGACCAGAGAATGTAGATCACTAAAAGATAAGGACAATTAGCGATTGTTCTTGCGCTTTAGTTGGACTATGCCTGAGCACTCACAGAATGCCAATGAGGATGCGAGATATAGCACGAAGCCGTAGTATTCGTACGTTGGGACCTTGGGGCTGGCGCGGGGGACTGTGGTTGCCCGCCGCGCTGACTTGGCGACAGCAGCCTCCGTGTCATTTGGTGTTTCCACATCCGAGCTGTCGGGGGTTGTCGGTCGCGAAGTGGTGGTGGAGAAAGGCGGACGCAGGAGCGAGGTCAACGAGGGAGATGGCGGTAATGGGGTTGGAGGACGATTGTAAAAGGGAGGTGCAAATGCGTTCGGACCGTGAAGTGAGCCGGATGACTGCCGGAATGGGTGGTGCATGGAGATGCCATCCTCCGGCGACTGCTCCGAGTCCGTGGATGCGTCGGAGAACGATTGGTCTTCCAAGGAGTACTGTGACTGGAAGTCTGCATCTTCTTCGACTTCTATATCTCCATGCAAGGGCGACGGTAGGTCCCGAGTCTCGATACTTTCGAGATGTGTGTTGTTGGTCTGGACATCGAGGCCATTGGTCGCGAAATCGTCCGCGGGGAGAGGCGGGAACGGCTGCTTGGGTTCGAAGGAAGAGCGTCGTTGGGTAGGTTCTGTTCTGTTCAACAAGTACTCTGACTTTGGTCGCTTGCCCTCGTGACTTGGGGCCATAGTGGGTACTAGACGAGTCAGGAAATCAACAAGCTCATCGGAGAAGAGCTGCTGTGGAAGCTTGTTTGCAACTGCTCCCTAACCTATGATGCGACTCCTGTCGGTACGGCAACATGCATATTGCCTCTCTTCGCCGCCCATGACATTTGTTGTGCCATCCGTCTCCACAGCTAGCTGGCTAGTTACTCAGTTGAGTAGCAGTGCAAACTGTGCTATGTCAATCACTTCTTCCTCAATTACTGACAGCATCCTGCTGTGTAGCACAAGCACTCACATAATGACTTGCGATATACACCGCGGTTTTTTTTAGCAAGTATTATGTTCTATAGATACTAAAAAAGCGAGAAAGTCTAGCATATACGACCACAGGGTATGGAAATAGGGCTTCCCGTCCGCTCAGCCGTACTCAAGCCACCTATTGAACGCGACTGAGTGAGATATAGCCTTTTCTCAGTCACTGCTCTATAGGTGAGCAACACTAAGACGAAGGGTAAGTACAGGTGATTTGGGTAATGTTACGAGGGTTTTGTCTACGGGTGCCTCCCTCAGCCAAAGGCGCTCCAAAGCGCACTAACCCCTTTGGGCGGCTACACTTAGTAGCCTTCATCCCGTTTCGCCCTCGTTTTCATCAGTCCCTTGGGCTACTCCCTGATTCTCTCACTTCAGGCGTCTTGCAACAGTCAAAGGGTTGTCCATCCTATGTGGAGGCGAATCTTCTCTCAATGTCTATTTCGATTGATATCTGGACCCTTGCCTGCAGAGTCTCCGCTCTACAGTGGTCTGGCTACTATTCGTCGCATTTCTAATACGGCGTTGGAGCACCCGAACCGAGTGGCTCCCCAAATATATGATAAGATAGCCAATGCAGCTAAATCCAACGCAGGGAAATCGAAGATCTCTTTTGATATACATTAGTTCGATGGCTTATTAATGAAAAAGCCCAATAGTGTTATGTGAAATTTGATCTTGACAGTCTTTGTCACCTAGCTGCAGTATGTTTCAGTGATGCAACAAAGTGTGTTTGTGTAATTGAGCTGGAAAGAAGCTTTAACAAAGCTTTAATTCTTACCATGGATGATGGCAATGAAATCATAGCAAAGATTCTGTGTTTAAATGCCGGTCCACTCTTAATGATCATGGCTTCAGAAGTTGCTACTCTGATGTTTCGTATGTGTTATTATGTACTTTTATAACTTGCTTTGGTGTATGCTTATACTTTTCTTTTCTAGTAGGGTTAAGGATATCTATTCGAGCTCTGAAAGTCTTTCCCTGGGGCTCTGACTCTGCTAATCCAGTCGGTGCCGAGTTCATAATCATGAAAAGGGCTAGGAGCGTTGCTTTGTCAGAGATGTAGGAAGCAATAGACATCATGGAACAGTATAATATAATCGATAAAGTTATACAAATTGAGAAGAAGCTTAGCAATATCTTAATTCCAGTATACAGAAGTCTTTTTTCTTCGTGACTTGTTGCCTATCATATATCGACAGTATCTACTTCCTCTAGAGCTAGATTCTGAAGACCTATTTTGTATTGAACTGTCTTGTAAATGAATATAGTGTTACAGCAATTTTGTTGATAGATTTTAATTAGTATTGAAAGATATTGGTTCTTGTATGTATCCCTGTATCTGTGCTATGTTAATAATATTTGATGAGCGGTACTGATATCTTGTAGAGATGTACTTTTTACAATATATATTATTAATTGTCTAGCGCGAGCTTGCTTATATTATAAGTTCAGAAATTGAGGTATAATATCAACTCTACTATTTATTGATAAATCACAGTCAATCGATAAATATCGAAGTCTTCTAAAAATAAGTGAAAATAGTAATCCCAATTTTGTCTTAAGAACCACGAGTAATAGGTGTATCCGATCCTGTTTTATAGCATATAGACTTACATCTAGGAAATATTTTGGCTTCTCCTAATAAAGCCCAGTGTTATTAAAGAAATTACCAATTAGTAATTATCTCAGATCTGTCCTCTATTCATACAAGCTCAATTCCCTGATTTCTGTACGCCACCGAAGAACTATACGTTTGGCCCCGGCTTACCCAGCTTGCCGGATGGTCTTGACAACCTTAGTCCCGAGCAGAAGAAACAGGCTATAAACACAAAGAAATTAGCTTCGATATCAAGTTTATTATGAGATGTCCAGCCTTGCACATAACTAATGCGTTTATAACGCTATGAAACTTGACTCCAGGTTATGGCAGCCCTTTACTTACTGCCAGCTATTTTTATAACGTATGTGGTACTATAATCAAGCTGGACCGTGTGTGACTGTGGATTGTCGAAGATTGAACCAATACTATCGGTAGATTGCATTCTCATCTCTTCTGGCATGTTTCTGCCTTGGCGTGTTTGAGATCATAGGCTTTCGCTAATACGTGGCCTGGGAGAAAAGGCGGCGCGATCGGGAGCAAGGACGAATTATTGACCCGAATTGTGACTATCGGACGATGCAGACGAGGTGTCTTGCGAGCTGGACGGAGCCAGGGACTTCTCCGACTGGAAACATCAGAATCACCGCTATTGTCTTCAAACAGAAAGTAGCAGCTTACTATGTCCGGCCCTTGTGTATAACGAGGACGATTGGGTTTCGGGAGCTATTTTGTACTGAAGAGCATATATCGCGTGTAAATGAAGCAACATGTGCCAATAATATAAGCACTGGTGCTGTTGGCCGTCGTAGCTCAAGTCAAGCCAAGCTTGTTTGCCAGCCTAGAAACTCCACCACGGCCTCCCATTCAAAGCGGCCAATGCGTGCCTGAGATACTCCTTCCAAATTTAAATTACGGCTTTGCCACAAATGTTCAACTATTCTCTGTGCTCGCATGGTGTTTTCGTAAGGCGCTTTTTCTCGCGCAGCTCGAAACAATGTCAGAATCTTAGCTTGCGCCGGTGAGTCTGGCTCACTACAGCATGACGCAATAAAAAGAGGCCACAGAAGCCAGGATACGAGGAGAAAGTCTAGCTCTAAGATGATACCATTCACCAAGGTGAGAGTTTTGTCGACGTAGTCCTGTATTTGTGTAGGGTGAAGTCTTCCGATGGTAGTAGGTGTAAACCCTAGGAAGGAAGGTTTAGACGCTTCAGGCAGCAGCAGACAAGCCGCAAGACGGTAGATTTCCCCTGTGTGCGCCAGGAAGCGGTATGAGTCTGCGGAATCGATCGTTTGTTGCAGATTTCTCGAGGATGTCGGAAGCAGTTGCGTGACATCACCGAGACTAGTTCTCAAGCATACTATCTCCGTCTCAATTGACGACTGTGCTGCAGCCATCATGGATGGTGAAACGGAAGCTGGACAGTCGTTTAGAGCAAGGACATCGTCTTTGATAGCCAAGATGTCGTTTATCAAGAGAAGAAGGTGATTACTAAGAATGGAAGGACCCTGCAGTGGTCGGAGGAATTTGATCATCTCCACATCTCCATCGTCTCCACCAGCCCCGTTTAACCCGCCAGGGATTGGAGAGCGATGGTTGATTGGCGCGAAGTGGGGAAAGGCAGCCTTTGACTTCTCGGCCCTCCCGGTGATTACCAGGTCCCGATCACAACGGATACCTGTACCGTTCGGGTAACACGCCCAAAGTCGATTAGTGGTAACTTACGGTATCAGCCACTACACTTAAAATTTACTACGTACCTTAGTACACTATGGGGCGATCCCAATTCCCGATCCCAGTCACTCAAATCAATGTTACTGCCAGTACGGAGTAGTATGTAGTGGCATACTCCGTCGGTACCTCCAGACTACTACTACGTAGTTCAGACAACTACGGAGTAACTAACTTCTTTATTGCCAACCACACACTGCTTCTCATTGCCTCCACCCTTGAAGCTACTCGCAGCCCGAGTGCTAGTTCTACTCTACCTTCCATCCACTTTCTCATTTCGGTGCAAGCTTAGTCCTGAGAAGCAACATGACTACAGGGACATGAGTAGGGAGCTCGACCTAGCCTCGTCAGATTGCCGTCTCAAGCTGCCGTTAATAGACGCATATCCATGTCTGACATCGTACATGACGGGCCATCGTTGATCTCCGAGAAGGGACACGGGATTGAATGCCTGTTCTGTTGCCTTGCGCGGGAGACATTATTGCGTGACAACAAGGTTCCTGAGCCCTATAGGCTCGCCAATATGGGAGCCTGCAGAGAAAAAAAGAAAAGGGCGACATCTCTGCTCTAGTTGCCTCAGCTCAGCTTCACATGGATGAATACTTCAAATTGTTGGCTGATATAATGCCTTCTCTATCAGAGCTGATAACGTTACTTCTGGAAGGGTAGACAATGGAAGTGGCATACTCAGTGACGATGATGGTCTGTGGTATGTTCTGGATGCATAAACGACGAAAAATAGAGGGACTATTTAGGACCTAGGCTTGGATCATGGATTCGGCAGACACACATCAACCCTCACACTGGCGGACCTGGAAATATCTCTAAAGGTACCTTGACCTCTGTTACCCCACGCTTGTAGAAGGTACTTCTTCAATCAAGGAGAATAAGTTGCCAGTCACTTGTACAATGTCGGCCTCGCTGCTACCAAGCTTGGAATTCTCGCCCTCTACTACGGCATCTTTCCCGTTCGATGGTTCTCGAGAACGGTCGTAGGATGAGCAATCTTTATCTATCTTTGGATCACAACTATTGAGATCTTACCAAGAAAATCGACTTGTGCATAATTTTTTCAGTCGGTTCTCCTGTGAGTTTGCAATGTCCTGGATATACGCCTTTCATTTTCTCGTGTCATTAGTTACGGCCACGACCAGAAACATGCGCCATCAGTGCAGCCCGATTAGCTTATGTTTTTGCACAGAGCTCAAGCGACATCAATTGTGAGTCACTCTATCAGATTCTACCTTGGCTTGTCTCTAGCTGACAGTATGCCTATGGGAGGGCGTTTCCTTGGTCGTTCTATCCGCTTTCGAGTTCTTTGGAGGAATTCTCTGCGCTAATCTCCCGATCATCTACCGGCTCTCTTGATTCGCCGCCCAGAAGATGACCAACCGTACTGGCAATAGCTCGTCAGCCCCCTAAGACTCCCTACCGACATAACGGATATGGATCGAACATATACGGCTCGAAAAGTGTTGGAAGATGACCCATCAACTGCCGGCTTGGCCTGACTCGCGAGATGCAGTGTCCCACTTGAGGGGCCCATGCCGACACTCAATCTGGAGTGAAAACCGAGAAATATTAACATCCACGGACAGGTTCCGCAGCTCCTGCATCCGATACATGGACAGGTTCCAAGAACAAAGAGAATCAGGTTGATTCTGGCGTCATGACGCTTCTTGACTATTGAATAGCCTAATCCCTACCCCTTCATGCCCTCTGTCATCATCTCTTACAGGTCAACGTCTACTGAAGGTCACATTGGAATCGATTTTCCGGGTTTGGCTATCTTAATTGAGACCGACTGGCGCATACAGAATCGCGAAACAGAAAGCAATATCTCAACAGCACGGCTGAAATCGGAAATGCGGTCCACTGGCTCGGGTGGTTCCAAGCCACATCGCAGAGCTAGGAGCTGAGAACAAGGGTCTTCTTTCTTGACACACCGAAGTCTTCCACTATTTTATTCATCTGAGACAGAGTAGATCGATGGGCCACTTGACCCAGATCTTGGCTCATGTTTTCTCATAAGAGCCAAGGGACTAATTCATGGTCAACACTGCACGGAACCTGACCGTTCCATTGACCATGGCATCTGTGCGGAAAAGTACATCAGTCAGTAAGAAAATCTCGCAGTAAGTCTGTGAAGTTGCGAAGACTGCCACTTAAAATCTCGGAGATTACGTGCGGAGGATTGTGGCTGAGAGAGTTCCACACCCAATTCATTCCAGTCAGGACAAGTCTCGTAAACTCTCTCTGCGCATAAATCATCTCCTCGATGACCCAAGACAGATAGAAGGACTTACCATAAGCCTTATTAGCATCTTCAAGCGGGAACTCCTCCACCATGCAGTTGATATCTTGCAACTCGGTGAAGGTAATAGCATCCTCGCTATCATTTGCATGGCCCGATGGCCAAGCTTGCACTGAAAGTCCGCCGCTCACCTAACACGGCCACGATTACTTAGTAACCTGTCTTATTTATACAACAACCAGGCTTACCATAATTGAGGTATCCACCGGCACCGGACCCGGCACTAAGAAGCGCACCAGCATTCTTTGGTCAGCTCTCATCCCTAATGACAGCTCGAAGATCATCCTGGCGTACTCACCTGACAGAATCAACAACTTGCCCAAAACACCCAACCCCTTCAGCAAGGGACTAATAATTGCCGCGTTCGGCGCCGTCGACATGATTAAAGAGGCTCCACCAAGCTGCTGCAACGCCTCGCTCACATTGACCCGACTCTCGTCAATGTAATCGTGCGCACCGAGCTCCCTGACCATTGCCTCCTTCCGTGAGTCTCGTGAGATTGCCACAACCCGATACCCCATCTTCCGCGCATACTGAATGGCCAGATGACCCAGTCCACCCAGCCCTTGCACGGCGACGATCTCTCCAGGGGTGATGTTCATATGACGAAGAGAGTTGAAGACGGTGACGCCTGCGCAGAGAATAGGCGCGTATTTCGCGGCGGGGACATGCTCGGGCACCCGGACCGCGGCTTCAGCGTTCAGAAGACAGTACTCAGCATCTAGATCAATGCTTTCAGCACCCCGGAACCAGAAAGATTCGAAGGAAAGAACATACAGCCCCCATTTTTGGTTTCGCCATTGACCTGCTTGGAAGAGCACATCTGGAAGAAACCTTTCCTGCAGGCTCCGCAAGTCCCTGATGAAAGAAGTTAGTTTTTGTCCAAGGGTCGGAGGGAGACGATCAAGAAAGAGAGCTCATTACCGTCGTGTCCGCCATGCCAGCCTCCGCCTACCCGGTCTCCGACCTTCCAGTTCAAGACGCCGTCTCCAACGGCAGCAATGCGGCCGATGATCTCATGACCGGGGACGATGGGGCTTTTTTTAGGAAAAGACAAGTCAGCTTGTATCACGAAAGCCGATTAAAGGTGTCAAGCGCAGACATACAAGCCTCCGCCCAAAACATTGTTCTGGGCCCATCGGTCCGAAGAGCACACGCCACAAGCCTCTACTTTGACAAGGAGTTGGCGATCGCCTGGTGGTGTGAGGGGGCTCTCTTCTATCACAAGCGGCGATCCCGCCGCACGAAAAACCGCCTGCTTGAAGGTCGCAGGGAGAGACATATTAGCCAGGGCGGAAAAAATGTCTGATATATATGCAATAGAAATATTTCAGACGGTTACCACGAAGGGGACAATTGTCGCTCGCATCTGTGCGCTCTTTATATCAGATTGCGAGGCTGTGCGGGGTAGCGGAGCGTCGCGAAGATGATTCACTACCACACTTGAATCCTAGCTGGTTTCTCGTGTTCATCCGCATGAGGCAGGAGACTTCAAGGGATTGCGGAGAATTGGCTCGGTGTTGTTCAAGATTCGCAGCTTATCTGTCCCAAATTCACGGCAACTGTGAAGGGGAAGCCCGGGTCATCGACTACCCATGTCATTGAATCAACCCCCTATCTAGAAACGTGGTATGTGACAACTTGTCTGATGCTACTGGGAAAGAAGTCAGGAGGATGTCAACCCTGAATAAGGTGTAGGGATTTCCTCGTATTAGATTACTCATCAAGATAAGCCAGGCACGGGCGAGAGTATCCCAATTGGCGGGGGGCTTTCGTTCGCATACTAGTACCTACTAATCATCGATGATACTATACTATGTACTTATGTTTGCAGGCCAGGACTGGAAGAGATACACCGCCCCACCACACAAGACAGACCAGTCCCCTTCGTTCACACACCTTCTGGCCAGCCCATTCCCGCACGGAAGTTAGATCCATTCGAACGAGACCCTATCCAGCGCCATGGATACGAACGCGCTTATCGATCTCGTTCATGTGGCCCAAAGTGAAGTTTGGGTTGCCAAGGTGAACGAGTCACACAGAACGGGCTGTCTCTGCCAGTGGGTGTCGACTTTCCATGCCGATAAACTTCCCCGTCAACTTGACTGTACCTTTCACCAGGGTGCATGCAATGCTGAGATAAAGGGATGGTGTTCGGTGACGGCACTGCCGGGATGGTCCGTTTCCCTCGTGTGGGGAAGATCTGTGACGATTGCGCCAACGAGAAGGTTGCCATGGAAGCCTCATCTCTGGGTCTCATCCGCAACCAGACTACGATTCCTGTCCCGAGGGCCTGGGTGTGGGGCTGCGCTGCCAGCAATCCACTTGCTCTCAGCCCGTTTATTATCATGGACGTCATTGGGAATAGGGAAGTGCGCGAGTAGCATGAGTATGTATGATGAAGCCTTGGAGAAGATGGAGGAGAACAAAACCCTTGCGGCTAGCGCCAACATGACAAGGCAGGAATTCATCGCCAAGGCTCTAATAGACTGAGGCTGTGTCCCTTGTGCCTCGCCATCGATGAGGAATGGTATAATCAGAAACGAGGATGAATTGCCGCTCGGGGATTCCCTCTGAGAGCAACGAGTGTTATGTGTGTTGTGTGTAGCGGTAGACATTCTGGACTGCATTATCTGCATGCATGCATGGAAAGCCAAATGCGCGGCCATTGCAGCAGAGGTACTCCATATAGACCCCGACCATGCATCCTTCTATAGATGAACAGTACAAAAAGAGCCTAGCTAGATTCAAAGGGAAAGTGCTTCAGTCTTAGCCCCGGGGCTCCTGGGGAAGGGCGGACGCCGTAGCGCCCGGGGCGTGTCTTTCCAACACCAGGGAAGTCACCGCATGTTCTATGAGCCCTACAAGAACAGCTTACAGTATGCTGCTGCTCGTCACCACTACGAAAAACTGACTCGTCTTTCCTGCGCAGCGTCGTCCGAGAGCCGGTGGTAAGTGCTTACTGGCGACTGGCTACATCACATGGCAGGGTGGGTCATGACTGAGTCATGTCAAAATGGATCAATCTGTTAACCTGAAGCTTAAGGCAGTATAGTAGGCTTTAGGATGCTTCGATTGGCTCCAAGGCTGATGTAGACGGACCAACAGCCACCCCATCTTCGCCGCGGTTTCATGGAGCATTCTCGAGTCAATGCGCATTAAAGCTGTCACGGAACTCACAATCGGTGACAAACTGACTGGCTTATATCTGTGCTACGCGTGCTGGGATTTCGTTCTTCAATGAAGCTTAAGTGCTTAGCACGTAGAGTGATAATGTTAGTATCCAACAAGAGCACATCAACCAGAGACCGGGGCAACGCACGCCTCCATATATCAGTACTAGGTAGCCAGGCAAACTTAATTCTTCGAGTCCTTTCATCCCAGTCTTCTCTTCACTACCTCCTCACCATGGCTCCTGACATCACTTGGAGCAAAATCTGAGAGGGCTTTCCTGCTGGTTGCGTACCGCATTACACGAGTCAGCCGATGGGCAACAGGCTGGAAGGGACCGGGGAGGGAACATTATGGGTCTCAAGCCCGTTCCCCAGTGCTGGTGGGTTTTCACCTGTGAGCGGCTCGTGAGGGTGACGAAGATGTCGACATCGTCGCGCAACAGGCTATTGATACAACGTCCGAGACCGTGCAATCTCAAGCTATGGAAAGGGGATTATTTCTGGACTTCAGGTGCATTAGTTTTGCCACAGGGTCACAGAAGGTGTTGGTCAGTTATGGAGCGGAGAATCTCCAGAGAATGCAGGACCTCGCGGACAACTGCGATTCTGAGGGCGTTTTCCAAAACGTTGCAGCACCTGGGCTTTCTTCTGCAGGACAATGTTGGAGTATATACTCTTTCGCCAGATATACGAAGTGGTTGTCACCAGCCACGTCTTCATGAAAGGTTGACAAGTTAGAATAAAACCACATGACTGCTGCAAGCCACAATCAATAATAGTTCGTATCGACAGTCCTCTTGTTCCTGAAGGCCCGGGCTCTCAAATGTGGTCACAACATTGAAATCAATCCTTACCAGTCTCTTCTCCTTGCCGGGCACAAGAAGAATATTTTGAGAGCATATATCCTGGTGAAACATGCGAGCATGATGTATCTGTCGAATACCTTCAATCGCCATGTCATAGAGGTCTTCCGAAGCATTTCAGCGTCTGGGACGTACTCGAGAAGAATCGCTCTCGGACGGAATTTGTCGTGAACAAACTGCTGCAGCGCTGGCTGAAATGCAGCTGGATCAAGCCGCTCGACAACCATAGAATCGCGGAACAAGTCCGCTGTCACATACGCCATGGTTGAGCAGAATTGTATATGCATTCAGCTTGCACCGAAATTGATTCAGATCACCGGCCCCCCTCTGAGTGTCCAGAATCTGTTATCGTGATACTGATACGTTAGTGATAGTGGGGTAGAAACGCTTTTTCGCTTACAAGTTTCATCGCGTATATGGCACCGTCAAGCTCTATCCCGATAATCGAGGACGCTTTGGAAGATGCAAGCTCTGTTTTGATGTCTATACTCGAGGGAGAAAGAATCAAGCGGTGATATTCTGCTGACTGCATATTGGGTCTATCTGTATGTTGAAAGGACTTTTTGCCAGTTGCGAGTGGTGGGGTAACTTTGAGCGGTATGCCCAGATGTCATATCATAGACTCACAGGTAGCAAACATGTTATTCTCAAAAATTCACGAACGCTTTATCATGACGAAGCTCTTGTATGGAGTAGAATAGCTGCTAGGGTGCTATGCAAATGGTTTTAAGAGGAAAAGGTGGGTGCCTGAGCTCTCAATCTAACCAGATGGAGTAAGGTCTCAAATCATCACTGTATCCTCTCCCTTGTCTCCCCACCATCATCAACTATACTTTTATCACAATGAGCAGCAGTTCATCTTGCTTCTCGTCCGGCCCCCTCAGTCATTCGTACTCCCCGACATAACTACGAGTCTGATAGATCTAGTGGGGCTTATGTTCGCACTCCGTTCCCCGCTCGGAGAACTACTATGTGATCCACTTGAAAATCCCGAGCTGTCAGCACTCACTTGGCCCGAAGAAATATTCAAAGCCAGAGACAGATTCCCGAGATTTCATACTGCTTGTTTAGCTCTTGATGCAAAGAAGTTCTCACTCCAATCATTTATCCCAGCAAGAAAGCATTCCACAATGCAACTTTTCCAGCGTGCCGTGGTGCACCAAAGGGGCCTCCTACGAAGGCAGGCATCCCTTGCTGGCAGGCTGGCACTGACTCAGTTCGGGCTGATTTGCAGGACCCACCGATCGGCAGCGCCCCCATCCTCTATTGGTTCCACACTGCTTGTCCAAAGAATCAGGAACCATTGGGAGTCGCCATGTCCTGCGAGACTGTCCTTCCTGGGCTTGGTCTCATGCATAGTCGCATATTGATACACCTCTGAGGTACTTCACCTGGAGCGTAGCTTCGCTCAAGACCCGCCGATCGTACAGGTCCATGTCAAGATGGGCGATTCTGCCTGCAGATGTGAAGGGATTCTTTCACAGCACAATTTTGAGTGTGCCATCTCGTGCTTCTGATCTACAGCATCCCAGATAAGCAAATCGCAGCCCAGGACCACTAAGAAAATCGCAGCCAACAATGGCACGCAGCTATCAACATTCTTTCTACCCTCATTGGCTATATGCCCTTCTCTCGAGTCACACTGCGCTAGCGTGCGTGCTTTGCAGCTTCAGCCCTTCCAGGCTATGTACCTTTGCGTGGCTTGTGCCTCAAATGACAGGTCCGACACGCCATCGCACAAATACACGGTACACAACCCGCAATCTGGAAGCTTGTCGCGTTCGTTCTTAGACATGAATGCGATCGTCCTCCTCTGGCAGCTTTAAATCAGGACAGCTTACCCTTTGGACTTCTTTATCACAGTTGCCAATTGCAGCTTTGCAGTCAAGTGATATGGCTCTTCGAGCCGTGCTGAATCCGCTTGTGAAGCGGACAGACATTCTCGTATGCCCAGTCTTTTGTGCGCTTCTGAGACTTCCAAGTGTTAATCGACTGATCAGGGCTCGAACAATGATCCTAATATTGGCTCCTCGCGGGGCAACGCTTCCTCGACAAGCTCCGATGTAATGGGGGACTTCGGGCTTGGTGGAAGTTCAACGTCCCTTTCTGCATTTCTCACAACTTTAATTCCTGCCTTGGTGATTGCAGCTTTCTGGTTTGGCTTATTTCTGATCTGTCGACGGACTCAGCTGCGGTGGTATGCCCCAAGAACTCATCTGCCATGTTGGCACAAACAGTACGTGGCCTTCTCCGCACTTCTGTTATGTCTCAACGGCTTACTTAGACATGATGTAGTGAGCGAGCCCCACGGTTGCCCTCCGGCTTTGTCAACTGGTTTGGCGAGTTCTTCAAGATCAATGATGCTCAAGTATTGCACAACTCATCCCTGGATGGTTACCTATTTCTACGATTTCTGCGCGTATTGTCTGCAACATGCTTCACCGGATGTGTGATTACTTGGCCTATACTGCTGCCTATACATGCTACCGGAGGCGCTGGAAACACGCAACTTGATGCTTTGAGTTTCAGCAATGTCGTGGATTCCAAGCGGTACTATGCTCATGCTCTCACGGCGTGTATTTTCTTCAGTAAGACCATCTGCGCAGGGTAATCATTTCAGCTTACTGACATCTTGAAGCATTTGTGTTCTTCGTTATAACTCGGGAGAGTGTATTTTATGCAAACTTACGACAAGCGTACCTAAACTCCCCTGCCTATGCGCGCCGTATCTCATCAAGAACGGTACTCTTCATGTCAGTGCCCGAAGAGTACAAGAATGAGGAGACCTTGCGAGAGGTCTTCGGACAATCAATACGGCGTATGTGGATTACCTCCGACTGTAAGAAGCTGGACGGCAAGGTTCAACAAAGAGACAAACTAGCCTTTAGACTTGAAAGTGCCGAAACAAAGCTTATCAGGGCAGCAAACTCGGCTCGTCTCAAAGCCATCCGGAAAGGAGCTTCAATTTCCAAGGCTTGCTTGGAGACTGATGCCTATCATGACCGTGAAGCAGACACTTCGGGCTGGTATCACGGTGTGAGAAGGCCGACTCATCGCCCCAAGCTGTTTGGCAAGAAGGTTGATACGATTCGCTGGCTGCGGGCCGAGCTTGTCAAGGTCATTGAAGAGGTTAACAGCCTCCAACAAAAGCACAGGAATGGAAACATGAAGAATCTCTCGGCGGTCTTCATAGAATTCCATACACAGAATGATGCGCAAATCGCCTTACAGACACTCTCACATCATCAGCCGCTGCATATGACTCCACGATTTATCGGTATCTCTCCAAACGAGGTGGTATGGTCTGCATTGAACCTCAGCTGGTGGCAGCGCATTGGGCGCAGATTCTTGGTTCAGGGAGGCCTGGCGGCACTGGTTATATTCTGGTCAATTCCATCCGCCATGGTCGGCACACTCTCGAACATTAGTTCTCTAACCGACCTTTTGCCATTTTTGAGTTTTCTCAATGATTTGCCCGATGTGATAATCGGTCTCATCTCGGGCCTGTTGCCATCCGCTGCTCTGTCTATGCTCATGTCACTTGTTCCTGTTATTTGTCGAGGTATGGCTTCCACCTCTACCTCCTTTGTCGAACTGGTTCTCACTGGATATACAGCATGTGCCAGATGTGCGGGTGTACCTTCTGATGCTCGTGTTGAATTATTTACCCAGAGTGCACATTTCTGCTTCCAAGTAGTGCAGGTTTTTCTTGTCACGACTTTGACATCTGCGGCCTCCGCGGCGACTGCGCAGATCATTCAGAATCCGCTATCCGCCAAAGACCTGCTCGCTGAAAACCTTCCGAAAGCCACTAACTTCTACATATCATACTTTCTTCTTCAAGGCCTTGGCTTGAGCTCTATGGCAGTTGTGCAGGTTGCTGGAGCAGTGGTCTTCAAGTTCATCACCACTTTTCTCGACCGCACTCCACGCCGTCTGTACCAACGATGGGCTACGCTCAGTAGTCTTAGCTGGGGGAATGTCTTTCCTGTGTTCACCAACATGGGCGTAATAGGTATGAATTCACATTCTGATTGTTGTACATCTGGCTAATTGAACCCAATCAATCAGCGCTCACATACTCCTGCATTGCTCCATTGATCCTTGGGTTCGCATTTGTTGGCCTCTACCTTGTCTATCAAGCCTACCGTTACAACTTTCTCTTTGTGTACGATCTTCGCATCGACACCAAGGGTCTGGTTTACCCCAGAGCTCTCCAACATTTAATGACCGGTCTTTACTTGGCTGACATCTGTATGATTGGTCTCTTCGCCATCAAAGGTGCCATTGGGCCGTTGGTAATCATGGTTTTGTATCTGATCCTGACCGTGCTTGCCCACATGTCCCTCAACGAAGCCCTTGCACCCTTGAACTCTTTTCTTCCTCGTACCCTAGACGTCGAGGAATCCGCTCAACTCGCCAAAGAAGAAGCCTCGGCGGCATCTACGCCTCTTGACACAAGCCCCTCACCTCTGCAAATCCGAGGCAAATGGCAGTCCGCCTGGAGATGGTTTCATCCCAACCTTTACCGCGACTACGCTGCCATTAGGGGCAAGGTTCCCCGTGACCACATGGAGATCCGATACTCCGAAGAGGAACAGAACAATGCGTATTTTGAGCCGTGCATTACCTCCCGGACGCCAATGGTATGGATTCCGCGGGACCGATGGGGCTTCAGTCAGCAGGAGATCACGGATACTGATCCGCTGATCCCGATCACAAATGAGGGTGCGCATTTGAGTGAGAAGAATAAGATTGTCTGGGACAAGTTCGATCCGAGATTACCTTTGTGGGAATTGAAGACTCTGTACTAAAGTGCTGATGGGGTGAGCGAGCTGAATTATGAACTGACATGCGTCATGAATCGTCGATACACCGGATGCTATCTTTTAGTGCATTCTAGACCCAATTTGACCTACAGACTCGAAATATTCATATTTCGCAAGCTATATCATGCCTCTAGGTCTCACTCGTTGTGAAAGCGAATATCTGATATCGACCCTTGCACGCCCTCCAAATGACGTAGCCATGATCTTGCCTTCGTATACACACCAACATATACAAGCATCAACCATCAGTTTTGCAATTAGAGCTCATGGATAAGTACTACTTACTAATCCTAAGTCTTTGATTCGCATAATGAAAATTGCTCTTCTCGGCGCGACCGGCCAGATTGGTCAATCGTTTCCTTCAGGCCCTGCTCACCACTACTTCCTACCAAGTCGTTCAGCTCATCCGACCACAATCCGAATCTTCTGCTCGCGATCATGCCGAAGGGTTCCCTCCGAGCAAGCCAATATCTATCAACTGCGGTTCATGATCTTCTCTCTGCTACGATTGGAGATCTTGTCCCCCTGCTGAACAATGTGGAGATCTTCAAGAGTGGCCTAAACGGCAAAGCGCTGGCCGCGCAACGAATCGTTCAGGACGCAGCAGCTCGAGCAGGTGTCAAGCGGTTCTACCCCAGTGATTATGGGATGCACCATGCATACAGCCCACCAGGAAAGGAGGACCAGATGGGATACCTGCATCCTGTAGGTCGCGTCCACCCCGTCAACACTTTTTCTCACCGATAATTACACAAGAAAAGCCCGAAACTAACCTGGCGCACAGACATGGAACCTCAAATTCACCGCCAACGAGCAATGCCTTCACCACCCAGCCATCCTCTCCGGCAAGATGACCAACACGCTCATCGGCTGCGGCGACTTCTACAACCAGCCCCGCGAGACGACCTGGTGGTCCTGGGCTAACCCGGGACCGCCCAGACAGCCACGCCATCCCCATCGTGGGCGATGCGGACGCCAAGGCCGATTTCACGCACATCGACGGTCTGGCTGCGTTCCTTGCAGCGACGCTCGAGCATCCAGAGCTATCGGAGAACCGCACGCTGAATTTTGTGAGCGACCGCATCTCTTATAATGAGATTGCAGCGCTCCGGAGAGGTACTCAGGTTGCAAGGTCGAAAAGAAGGTCTACCCGTTGGAGGTGCTGCATCGCGTGTGAAAGGACCCCGGCGGTGCGACTCCGGCGGAGGTGAAGGGGAAGAGTGTGTTTCCGGATGACTTCTAGATTATGGTCAAGGGGATGCGAGGGCTGGGGCGGTTCGTGCGGCCTCCGGGGAAGGTGCATAATGATGTTTTTCCGGAGGTGAAGGTGAGGACGTTTGAGCGGTATTTCAGCGAGGAGATGTTTGGAAGGCCGACGGACGTTGGAGCGCGTATGGTGTGTGTGTGTGGTAGATGTTTGAAATCTGGCTGCTGTGATTGACACAGGGGACAGATGGGATCATCATTGCAATGGATTGAAGTGCTTGTAAGACTAAGAGAACCCTTGATTCGCTTGGCTGTGTATTGATTGACATGCTGTGCAGCGGCATAGTATATAGAAATCAGGTGGTGATGGTGACTGGGCTTGTCATCCTCCCATCGCTGCCTCGAAACTTTCTCCCCACTTCTCCCTTCCCTTCCCTGCGAGTGCGCCGGTCCCACTATGATGTCCCCGCTTCTCCACAAATTTCATTTCAATGCGATTGCCAATGTCTTCGACTGACTACTATCAATGCTTGGCTCATCTCGATTGCGGAGAGTCGAGAGCTACCGCCATCGCCACACACACTACGCACGCTCCGTCATCGAAGCCAATATCGGGATGCGCCAAAAATGGCATCATTCCTAAGCTCTCCTCATACCACCAGCATTCCGGATCTGTTCATCGGCCAGCAGTCATGAGAGAACTGGAGTCTCCCCTCACACACTAATGCACCGCATCCGCAGTCTGCTCCACGGCAATTGTTACTATACCCGTTTCACCACGGCCGTCCCTCCAGCGACCAGGAACCAATCGACCACGGAGAAATCGGGAGCAAAGCAAATAGCTTGGCTCGGGTGGCTGCCAAACCACAGACAATCATAACCTGATTCAAAATAGCCTAAATGCTTGGACATTATACGATGTACTTTGGTAATTTCCCCCTCCTTCGACCGTGCCACAAACTCGGCAGCAAACCTGATGCTCTGGTTCCACCTACCTGGTCATTGTGTATCGCTCGCCGCCATCTACGGAGTACAAGGTTCTTTCCATGACACCCCCCAGTGTGGAGTTCTATCCCCGCTTCAACAAATTTTGGGCCTTATAAGTAACGATCGTCATCCCCTGTCGACCATCATGAGTGCTTCTGCTGTCTCGGCATCCTTTCTTAGCTGTAGTTCTGGAATTACTGAGATACAATCCACCTAGGCGCTATGTTGGTGTCCTCTTTGACGGTGCTGGCGTTCATGTCCAGAGCCAATGCTCTGGTTCGGCATGATGACGTGGTACGGCCCAATCCACAATCCATCGTGCTTCAGACTAAATGTAATTAGGGCCGAGTGCCTGCTCTGGGCTGGAATTCGTGGAATGCGTTCAATTGCGAAATCGACGCAGACAAGATCCTGACGGCCGCCAACGAGGTGATCGATCTGGGGCTGAAAAATCTCGGCTACGAGTACATCAACAGTAAGTTTCGTTCAGGTACAGGTACTTGTGCTTCAGACCGTCCTGCTAATCAGATTGCACGCACCTTAGTTGATGACTGCTGGTCTGTTAAGTCCGGGCGCAACAAGACCACCAAGCGCCTGATCCCAGATCCGGATAAGTTTCCCGACGGGATTTCTGGTCTGGTTGACCAGATTCATGCTCTGGGACTGAAAGTCGGCATATACAGCAGTAAGACATAGCCCTTATCGGCATGAAATGGAAGAAAGCAGCTCACGCCTCACAGGTGCCGGTCTCACCACCTGCGCTGGCTATCCAGCGAGTCTTGGGTACGAGAAGATCGACGCGCAAACTTTCGCCGAATGGGGCATTGACTGTACCGCACCTCGCACACCTCCCTCAACCTCAAGTCTAACCTATGGTATATAGACCTCAAATACGACAACTGCGGCGTCCCCACCAACCAAACCGACAAATATACCGCCTGCGTTCCCGACAGCACCAACGACGGTTTCTATCCCAACGGCACCTGTCCAGGGCTGGCAGACGCCGCCCCGGCCAAGTACGACTGGTCGACCTCGACGACAGCGAAGCGCTACCGGGCCATGCGCGATGCCCTTCTGAGCGTAAACCACACGATCCTCTATTCTCTCTGTGACTGGGGCCAGGCCGACGTGAACACCTGGGGCAACGCAACCGGCAACTCCTGGCGCACGACCGGCGATATCACGCGTAGGTTTCTTCCCCCTATCCCAGCTTCTTTCCCCCCTTCGCCAGAGCAACCAGATCACTAATATCTGGACCAAAACAAAACAATACAGCCAACTGGACCCGCATCGCCGAAATCGCAAATGAGAACTCCTTCTACATGAACTACGCCAACTTCTGGGGCCACCCGGACCCCGACATGCTCGAAGTCGGCAACGGGAATCTGACGCTGGCCGAGAACCGCGCCCACTTTGCCCTGTGGGCGGTCATGAAGAGTCCTTTGATTATCGGTACTGCTGTACGTTTTCCCCCTCCCTAGCAATCACTCTCAGCTCCTTACACACCCTACACCCCCAACCAAACTCCATCCTTCCATCCACAACTAACCTCCCAATCAACCCCCCCAGCTCGACTCAATCGACACCGCCCACCTCGCCATCCTCAGCAACAAAGACCTCCTCGCCTTCCACCAGGATCCCGTCGTCGGCCGCCCCGCCTACCCCTACAAATGGGGTTACAACGCCGACTGGACCTTCGACCCCGCCCACCCCGCCGAGTACTGGTCCGGCCCATCGTCGACCCTCAACGGAACTCTGGTGCTGATGCTGAACTCGGAGGACCGCACGCAGACGCGCACCGCGTACTGGAAGGAGGTACCCGAGCTGCAGGGGCGGTACCGTCGTGGCACGCACCAGGGGCAGCAGCAGCAGGGGCAGCAGCGCCATGGGACGGGATTCCGGGTCCGGGATGCTTGGACGGGGAATGATTTGGGGTGTGTGAGGGATAAGTATAGTGTCAAGTTGGCGAGTCATGATGCTGCTGTTTTGGTTGTTGGGGATGTTTGTTGATTGTGTAGGGCAAGATTTCTATTGAAATTGCTGACGGGTGGAGGATGGGGATGTCTAGCGGGTAGTAGTAAATGTTTGGTCTGTAAAGAGATAGCCGTCTTTTCCAGCAAATGGCAGGAAGAGCATGTCTTATGGGCTATGTATCGTTGCTGTTTCTATCAATCGCAAGCAACTAGGTCGTACAAACACATATCGTATTTCTTGTATTCATGTCCAGTCATTCGTGGAATGAAATCAAAGTAATACAAGTACCTAAATACGAACCTGGCGCCCGGCCATGGCACGAAAAGCCCTCGGCGTAGCGAACCCCACGTCCAAGTCAAATCTGCCCTCATTACAGCATTACTCATCCCATCTGTACTCAAGATTGACAAACGAACCACCCCGGCTGGCATGCAGCTTCAGCGCCACAGATCCTGTCGACTATCGCGGTGCCAGCCACCACTACTCTTGGGACGGCCGTCATCCTCGACCGGCACAGCCAGGAACCCGCCGAATCCATTCCCAACAAGAACGCTTTTGCGGGCGTCGCCGCCCCAGGTGCGACTCAGCTGCGCGTCGTGGAAACTAACCGGCCGCGTGGTGCTTGCGCGGCGCCCGTGCGTCGACGGCGGCTCGTACGGGGTGAAGTTCCACTCCAGCTCGTCGAGCCCCTTGCTGTACACGTTGAGAGGCTGGGACAGACCACCATGGAAGAACTGGGGGCCACTTTCGCCGCCTCCCAGAAGACGCGGGGGCGGGGCGAGAAGGAGGGTTTCGGGGAAGCTCGAGTCGCGGACGTAGAGGTCGCGAAGAGCAGGCAGGGCATGGGACATGAGCGAGGAAATGAGGTAAGTGTAGTAAGAGGCAGCGACAGGAGGTAGGTTGCCGTTTGGACCGGATGGGGATGTGATCTCGTAGTGGAGGAGGGCGAGGGATCGGGATGCGAGAGGAGGCACTCGGTCGGCGGGGAACGAGCGGGTGACTTCTTGACTGACTGAGAAGGCGCGGAGTTGAGGCGCGACGGAGAGAATCTGGTTGAAGGTTGATGGTAGGACACCGGTAGAAGAGAGAGTCAAGGACTGGAGGGTTTTGCGATTGGAGGGCAGAGAGAGGAAATCGACAAGCCCGCTTGCCGTGACGTTCGGGGTATCTCGTAAGGTAAGGCGCTGGACGGCCGGGAAGGGAGGGAGGGTATCGGAGGAAGCGAAGGCGGAGTCATCAAGCCAGGGCAGATCATTGAGGGTAAGATCTCGGAGATGAGAGAAAGAAGCAAGCCCCATTCGGAGAATGTGAGGCTCGATCTGCAACCGGGACAACTCGAGAACCTCCAGGTTCACCCAGAGCGGAGAGTCCGGTAATTGCGAGAAGCTTGCCTCGGCACCATGACGGTAACTCATCCGACGGATATCCTGACACCGGCCGATAAGCTCTTGTTTCAAAGCCAAGCACGATGGATCGTCGCTGAAGATTCCGGCGGGGAGGTCGACATAGCGGAGATTCGGCAAGACGGAAATGGTGCGGGCAATTTCACTTTTGCTAGCCTCGCGCGTCATGTATGGCATGCGAAGCGAGAGCACTCGATGTCCCAGCTCCGGTGATTCTCGCACAGTCTGCATGAAGAGTCTTAGCCGTACCTGGGGCGCGTCGATGGCTTCACCGTTGCGGTTCATGAAGGAGCGTCGCTTTCGTTTAGCGGAGAGTTGCTCTTCGAGTTCGCAGTAATGGACGGGGTCGATGCGGACATGTGAGTATCTAATGAAAGTGGGGTGTTCAGCAGGCCATCTATGTCCTTGTAATGACCGCTAGACCTACAGCAAAGCCCGAGCTTCCAGATACCAGCGTTGACAGACCAAGGCGCAGTGGGCCAGATCGCGCATGTCACATAGCATGCAGCCATCCTCAGTCATGGACTCTTCTGATGTTTCATAACTGTCGTCAACAGTATGTGGACACACGGCGGCGAAGATGCGATTCAGGACCGGTCGAGGGAGGGATTTGGTCAAATCTTGGTTGGAGCCCGACCGCGGATAACGGTCGACCTCGGTGCGGAGATGATCGTAGGTGGCCGCATTCCCCGCACTGTGGTTCTTGGAAGAATGTCTGCGAAGCCGGCTCAGAAGACCCATCATGCAAGATCCACCAGAATGGACATGGATTGAGGGGGAGCTGAGGCGAGACAGAGGAGGGGAGAATTTCGCAGAGAACACAGTACAGCAGAAATCAAGTGGGAAAACAGAACCCAATAGACAGGAAGTTGAACAAATGAATGGGGTTTGGAGATAAAGAAAGCTGAAACGCGGACGGAGACTGGCCAAGCGAGAAGCGGAGAACAGGAGGGGCGCCAAAGAAGCAGCACAAGATGGCGGACGGAGAGAACAGGAGGAGGAGGTATAATTAAACCCTGAGACTGAAACTGGCGAGAGAGTTCAATCGATGCACCAGAGCTGCATGCACCCGCCGTTCGTGTGGCTCAGGGAGGCGGGCTTTGGTGATTGGCATTTCTCCTCAAGCGAGATGACAGGGTGTCGCGCGCCAAGAGTCTCCTATATTAAGGGCGGGGGTTTCAGGTTGGACTGGCTGAATGACTGGTTCGGGAATCCCCAACGGTGGATTTCATTGTGCAAGGTTGAAAGCAGTGAGTCTTCAAAGATGGATATCAAGATATCTTCCGGAGTGGATGCGTGTTGTTGTTGTTGTTGTTGTTCTTCCCGGAGGGTAGGAAAAGAAGCAGGCAGGATTGAGCCTGAGGCAGGAACAGTGGTGACAGAAGTGGTTTAGCGCGGGTGTCTCCACCGCTGAATCCCTTCTACAAAGTACAGTACCTCTAGTTAGCATTGAAGGCTGCTCATTACAACTATATCGCTGGCGAAGGCTTTCAAGTGGAATATCCACAGCACCAATTCTGGCAAAAATAGTCATGCATTGTGCATCGTTGCTACAGGCAAGAAGAACTTCCTTGCAAGACCAGCCACCAACACGGCAAAATATGAGTTCTTCCTACTATCCTAGGACACAGAGGGGGCAAAGGCAGCATTCTCATGAGTGTTGCATATAAGACAGACAGGGCTCAGGAAGCGGACGCTATATTGGCTATTCACCAGCAACTCATTCAGAATCAGCGATTGTCATCTTTAGCAAAGAACCCTTTTGGATTGATTCGCGACCAGTTTAGTCCCTCCACCAGCATAAAAGGGCCGCCCAGACCCTGCATCCTCGTCGACCACTCAGAAACAAACGCTCAGACCCCTAGGCTCTATTTTGTGTACAGTAACTACGGAGTACCTATGCAGCCTTCAGGCTCCAATACAAGCTTACTCTCTATAGAGATTTCTCCCATTTGGCGCCTATTGCACCCGTATAGGGCTGTTTCCATATCTGTGAACCGCACCGAGTTCCAGATAGTAGCCTTTCCGCCCACATCTAAAATGAACACCTCTTGATGTGAAGCCCAGCACTTGAGGCAGTCTGAGTCTACTAGAGAATCCATTGGATGCGGCAAGAATAGGCATGCTTAGCAGGGACCTGGCTTGTACGCGTGTAAAACACAGTCACTCGACCTGTGGTCCCGGAATATGACAATAATATCAATTATCAATGGCAGGTTCCTCCAATTGTGCGAGTAAACTTTGATTCCAATCATTCTCTCTATATTGTTGCGACAGCAGGATGGGACAGAAGCTTGACCCATCTACATCGGCAGATGACCGCAGTCGGCCTTGGAACAAGAAAGAGGCATTCAACGAGAGACTTAACCACAGCATTCATAGACACCTCATTGCACAGCAGTATCTTATTCAATGGAAACGGCACGGCATTCTGGGGTAAAAAAACCTAGCGGCCCCGAGGTCGCGATTCCCCCAAGGTTGAAAGGTTGATTCATAGAAACAGGCTACTACTGGTTACTAAGTAGTTGCACCACCACCAGCAACGGACCTAAATTTAAGCTTAACAATTCAGTTACAATCTATCAATTGGTCTTATTCTCTAGCTAGAAATTCCCCAGGTCTTCGCTACAGCATCTCAAATCATCAACACCCGTTCGCAATGATTCAGTCATTGCTCTTGTTTCCAAGGGCCCTCTCCCCCTCCCCCGTCATCGAATACATCGTCATGACATCATCCCCACGCCGTCCAGCCCAGACCCTGCCACGACCTTCAAGATTTCTGTATAAATAGGACATGCGAACTAGAAGGGAAGCTCTTTTTACGAGATCTTTGCTCTTCCAATAAACCAACCTCCGCAACTACTGCACCTTATTGATATGCGATCGACTCCCCTCCGACTCTGGACCCCATTCCTTCGCGCATCCACTCTCACCACTCCCAAATCCTATTCCCCAGCAGCAGCAACAGCCCGCACGACTCAGCTCCTCCGCCACATCTCCACAACAGCCCCTTTGAAATCCAGCGGTATGTCGGACAAACCCGAAGGCACCAAGGACATGGCCCAGCGGCCGCCGTACGTGCACCGCTCCGAGAAGGACTTCGGCGAGGTGAAATGGCGCGGCAGGTGCCAGTGCGGACAGGTGCGGTACAAGGTCAATCAGGAGAAGCCGCTCAAGGCCAAGTTCTGCCACTGTCGGGGGTGTCAGATGACTCACGGTACTTGCCCTATTCTCGTTGCACACAGAAGGTCCAGGATTGGTCAGAGCTAATTTGATAATCATGATGCACAGCTGCTCCCTTCCAATGGGCCGCCATCTTCAAAAAGGAGAGTCTGTTGTTCGACAAGGGTGCCGAGGGACTGGCATTCTACTCCTCCACCAACAAGACGCGGGACTACTCCCTCCCGACCAAGGTGTTCTGTTCGTGGTGCCGGTCGCCCATCATGGACGAGGGCCGGAATGTCTGCTTGTTGTTCCCGGAGTCGATTGAGTGCGGAGATACCGATGCGGAGCGTCTAGAGTGGCGCAAGGCATTTGAGGTCGAGTATGTTTGCTTCTTTCCCCCATACTACCAAACCAGTTCTTTTACTTACATTTCGATGTAGTTGTCACATCTTTTACAACCAGCGAATCTTAGAGATCCCTGATGGCAAACCCAAGTGGGCTGGCATGGACGAGGATAGTGAGATGGTGGATGATATGGGCAAGCCCACTAAATAATCGGTGGCCCGCGGGGACTTCTCTGACCGCGTACACGCACTGGGTCAGCGATATGAATCAGACGAGGCATGATAATGAGTGTGATGTGTATATTAGGAGTTCTCTGGATGTCATATGTTAGATAGAAAACGCGATCAGCATATTCAAGAGACCAATCACGCTGCTTGTAGAAGGAACATGTTGGTTCTCGGGAGCCCCGGTGTCCGTGGATCCTCGTCGGCTGCCCATCAGACGAGCTGAAACTGTGATGGCAGGCCTGGCTCACGCCTGACAACTCCGGCCCGATGTCACCCTTGACAGGGGTCATGCTGACCAATCAATCGACAAGAGTTCAGAAGCACAAGGCTGAGAGCCCTCACGGTGTTTTTAGGTCTCAAGATCCTACAGCGGGGACGGTCAGCTGACGGCGAAGATCCGATGATCCCAAATGCTTGCCTCTATAAAAGATCCCAGCACAACCCGGCCGAGTGCACCCACATGTAGATGCTCCATATCGTTGCAAAACGCGTAGAGACCAGCCCACAATGTGGCTCAAATCCCAATGCGCCGTGCTCGCGGCGCTGGCCGCCCACGCAATAGCCGTGACCCCGATCACGGAGGCAGAGATGACCACACTCCTCGACCAAGGCGGCGTCGGGCTCGCAGACCGCTACGCTCCGCTCTGGTTCTTCGGCCAGGCGCTCAATGAAGTGCCCTGTTACCCGACCTGGGCCTTTGGCGGCTCGCCCGACTCGCCCGACGAATACGACTCAGCACAGCAGACCGCGGCCGCACCGCAATGCGAATATCCCGACGTGGGATGCGGATGCCGCCACCCCGGGGTCGCAGCGGGGAGCGCCGGGCCCGCGTTCCCGATCTACTACACCGTGCAGCGGTGCAAGGAGACCGAGGTGCGAGTAGTGTATAATCTCTTTTATGAGAAGGATGGGGCCAAGGTGCTCGACCTGATCGATACAGGTCATGACTAGTTAGTGTGTCCCAAAAGAAAAGATAGAGTGTCTGACTGCGCTTTGGGGGTTCTAATTGTGTGCGTTGGGTGGGATAGCGACTGGGAACGAGTCATCATCGTCCACTCGCGCGACGCGGCAAGCAAGCTGTGGACGCCTGCGCGCGCCCTGCTCTCCGCTCACAGTGGCTACCATAACCTGGTCTGGAGCGCAATCCATAGCACGCTGACGAGCGAGGAGATCCAGGCTGGCGACGCAAGAACCCCTGACGGGGTGCGGAATAATGACCATCCCAAGGTGTATGTCTCGTGGTCGAAGCACGCGCACTTCGACACCAAGGATAGAATCTGGATCGATCCGATCAGCCAATCCACGGACAACGCTTTTCGCAGTGATGATTGGTGGTATTATGTTGAGCAGCAGTACTATGTTAGTTCACTGATTATTCATTTTTGTCATGCATCGCTGACAGCACAAAAAAAAAGATTCAAGCGGATAATTCCACCGAGGCAGGTAAGGCCTTGGGCAGCACGGATTGGGGGTCGGCGACGAGCAATCCTCCTTCTGTGCAGGCGAGCGTGTGTTCTGCTTCATAAGTAGACATGATATACATGATGATAGACAGATTGTGAGAAGCGATAGACATGATCAAACATTTTTGTGCTGGAGATAGTGTCTGTTGGTTTGATGTTTGAGGTCAGCAGCCTGTAGTAATTCAGCGATAAATAATGCGCGCGGGCTCGGAGATGACGTCGACGGCCTCTTCTGAATCTCCCCCACGTAAATCCCTCTGTATGTCCGCTCAACCTCTAACCAATCCTCACTCACCTCTCAACGATCTTGCAATTGTACGTACACTTTCACCCAAAAAAAAAAAAAAGAAATATTGGACCCATTCCACCAGCTACACAAGCCCCCAATAGCAACACAACCCCACCAAAAAACACAATCAAAACCCACCGAAACTAACTCCTCTTCAGAAACCGAGAGAAAATGGCCTGGTTCCAAAAATCCTTCACCCTCCCCTCCCGCTCGCGCGGCAGCTACCTCATCACCGACCAGGTGCTCTCCGAGCTCCCGGAGATCCGGGACTACAAGGTCGGCATGCTGAACCTGTTCGTGCAGCACACGAGCTGCGCGCTTTCGCTGAACGAGAACTGGGACGAAGACGTACGGGCGGACATGAGCGACGCGCTGGACCGCATCGCGCCGTACGACAAGAAGGGAAATCTATATCGTCATTCCGCCGAGGGGGAGGATGATATGCCGGTTCGTTTGCAATTCCCCCCCTTTTTCTGGGATTAGTGGAGGGGTTGAGGTTTGAGCTATAGGCTCTGCTGTGTGTGGTTCATACTCCAAATAGGGCGAGCTAACTTATTTTTTTTTTACTATTTTGCAGGCGCATATCAAGTCCGCTCTGATCGGTGCCTCGGTCACAATCCCTATTACCAATGGTCGGTTGGCGACGGGGACGTGGCAGGGGATTTGGTATCTGGAGTTCCGGACGAGTCGACACTCGCGCAAGGTGGTGGCTACGATTCAGGGTGAGAAGGCGTGATTTGCGTGGCTGAATATTGCATTGCAGTTGGGGTTATATAGAGCCGAACCAGAATGCAATGATACGAATGTTCATCATTCATTGTAGGAACAGCTGTAGTCACTAAAGACCATAACAGCACAATGGCACTTCCCCGGAGAAGAATGTTCTAACAACTTCATTGTCTGTTACATCTGTACAAACACACAACCAAGGGGAAAAAAAACAGATCATCAACGCCAAAACAAAAACAAACAATCTTTACCGCTGCTCGAAAGCATTATCAGTCACACGCTGGGTCTCGTTCACCTCGGCAGCGTCACCCAGAGGCTTGAGGGGGTAGCTGGTGGCGGGGAGGGACTCGAGGTATGAGCGGTGCTGCTCGTGAGCCTGATGTCGCTGTGTTAGCCTCCACAATTCTGTGAAATCCACAGACACTTACAAAGGGAAGACCGCAGTAGTTGCAAGTAGCAATCTCGGGCTTGTCGGTGTTGATGAAGATCCGGGGGTGGCCGAGGGGACCGCCGCCGCCGTCACACTCGACGACTCTCTTCTTCGTCCAGCGCACGGGCTGCTTGTGAATGAGCTCGATGGCGGCGTGGGGTTGGGGCTGAGGAGGAATATGTCAGTTTCCAGGTCATGGTGTTCTCCTCCAATCGTCCACTCCAATCATTCCCACTCAATCCTCATCCTCCGGTCCAATGGCTCGGGGCAGGCTCGGGACAACAGACCTGCATCTCCATGATCGTCTGCTCGAAGCGAGGGCCAACCATAGCCTTCTCTCTAGGTTGCTGGCTGGCGGCCCAGGTGGTGGCCCGGTTGGGAGCCTGGAGCACGCGGGTGCGCTCCGCAGCCTTGGGCGACTCCTGCAAAGGCTTGTCCCAGGCGCCCATCGAGTCTACGGGGGTGGCATTGGTGGCCGAGACGTTCTGGACAGGCTTGGGCGGGGTCGGATCGTTGGCGTGCATGGTGTTCTCCGTGAAACGAGGGACAGTGGTCGAGTAGCTGGCCCGGGCGACGACGCGGGGGGTCCAGGCGGTGGAGAAAGCCGCGACACGGCTGCGCACGCTGTTCATCATGCTGGGCAGACTGTTATCCCAGTGAGGATATGGAAGTGGTGAGTCGAAGCGGAGGAGAAAGACCGGGTCGAAGGGAAGGGACGGAGGATTGCAATAGTGAGGTTTCCACCCACCACTCAGTCTTGCCGGCGGCGGGAGCTGGCAGCATCGGATTGACCAATCGGCGCTGCTCCTGCCTCAAATGCGGTGGGATTCTGCCGCCGGCGATTTTCTTTGCTTTGCAATCGAGTCGGTTTTGCTGGTCGTCACTCGCCTCAGTTTAGGCGGATTCAGGTTCAAGGTTATAAATCAGTTGACGGTCTCTCTCTATCTCGCTTTCCTATCACTTCATCACGCTGGAACCGACCAAACATAATCATGTCTTCCTCATCGACACCGGGCGTTAAGCCGGAGAAGACCATGTCTTCTCGTCTCCTGACGATGAAGGTATTTGCTTATTGCGAAAATGATCTGAAAGAAATTCCGTGCATGCTAATTCGTTTAGTTCATGCAACGTGCTGCTGCTGAGAAGGCCACGCCGCAGTCTTCCGGTGAGACTTCCACTACGCCAACGAAGCGACAAAGACTATCGACGGGGTCAGTGCAAAGCCCTTCGACGCCTCAGTCGGACATGGACGCTGTCGCGGCCGCCCTGGCTGCCGAGGAGGAAAAGCGCAAGGAAGCTCTTGCGCGGCAGGCTGCAGAGTCGGGCGATACGGAATGGGTGCTCGACTATGGCTTTGACGCACCTGCGCCGCAACCGTACGTCGTCGCCGACAGCTCGTTGGATGCGGACGATGATATGGTATACGGTGGTCGGCAAGCCTACGGGAATTACAAGCGAAAGAAGAAGAGCGCGGTAAGCATCTGAAAAACACATCATAGAGCATCGATTGATGAGATACTAATACATAATAGGCCGGAGAACAAGAGGATTCTGATGAGGATGAGGACAGCGAAGCTGACCCTAACGATATGGAAGCCATGATTAAGAAAGAAAAGAAGAAAGCTCTGAAGGAAAAGAACAAGCCTCAGCCCGTCAAGCTCTCGGCACTGACGAGTATTTCCGGCGGACGCCATGGAGGCGGAGGCGGAGGCGGCGACAAAAAGCAGAAGAAACGCAAGCACAAATAAATAAGATCATCGCGACAGGTCAATCATATATCATCCGTGACACGGCATTCATCTCTGCGACACGATGTTGTACCATTGTTCACACGAGGCGCGGAGTTTTAGGACCTCTTCGCGAGCTGGGGGATGGCATCGACGGGGCATATGCGCATGATTTGTCCACTAATCAATTTTACCAGTACTCGTCGTTCTGAAGCACCCAGCTCGAAACCCTGCCATTCACGGTTCCGTCATCTCGACCATTGTCGTCTCTGGACGTTCTATAGAATCGCCCTCTGAATGGAGATTGCACATGCGTACCGAGTCGGCTTATCTTGCTGCTCGGCGGATTGCCGTGGAATGACTGGGAGTCTGTCTCCCAGGTGTTCCAGTCACGAAGCGACGGCGGCGGTGCTGGGGGCCACACTTTTTTTGGGGACCGGAGATCTATGAAGCTCGATTCCAGGGAATGAAAAGGCGTGCGCAACTTATATAGACCATTAGGCAGTCTCTCCAGAGTGAGGATCCGGGGTGCTCTCAGGGGAGAGTCTCTTTGGGCTTTTGGCATAGGCTTTTGGCGGCGTTCATTCGGCTGGGAACTCCTTTGGACATTGATGCGAAGACCGGTCTTTGCTCCGGCGGCAGGAGATACGGCTGGTAGGTCTGTACAGACCAGGCGAGGACTGTTGCTCTTGCGCTGGCTACTTCCGTCCTGTTCCTGCGGGAATGATCGGTAACTGGGCGAGTCTTCTGCTTCGCGTACACTCTGAATCACATATCCGGGCGGAAGCAGGATGCGGGTGGCTGCGGGATCCTGTCGTCGTCGCAGGCTTCGCAGGCGGCCGTTCCTGGACTCTACCCAGCTCTCGTACTCGGGGGTCAAGCCGCAGAAGCCCATACGGAGGAAGTCTTAAGTGTAGTGTTCTTAACCAAGGTCATTAGTCTACAAGTTAACCATAGAGAATCCGAGTGCGCTTACCTCTTGAATCAATGCGATGTTACGGGCAGAGTCATTGCAGCATGCAGTAGCTGAAGCTGTGGCTGTTGGCTGACCAAATCAGAGATCGTAGTCCATCCTACACCCTCCTGCCTGATTGAGAAAATCACATGGCAGAGCTGGTGCAGAACCACCACTCACTGCAACAACCAATTGCCTCATTTCACAAGTCCCAGACAGGAAGATATACTACCACAGCGACAGAACCTACAGCCAACGCGCTACACACGAACCGCAACGCAGAAACCAAAAATCGACCACCCCCAAAAAACCACACACCCAGTATATTACCATCAAATCTTCGCCCTCACCCTCTCCACCTCCCTCTCCCTCGCCCTCCTCTCCCACCCCCTCCTCCCCCAGAAATTCACCCCGAGATTCCACACCGCAACCACTACCCCAACCGGCGGCAGCACCAACAGCACCCAAGCCCACCAGCGGGGACTCGACGCCCTCACCATTTGCAACGCGCGCGCTACCTCCCCCTCCAGCGCCTTCTTATCGCCATCATTCCAAACCACCAACCCCCTCGTCCTGCCCCGATACTCGGCGCGTTCCGCCTTCCCCAGCACATCGCCCTGACTCTTCACGCGGTTCTCCGCCTCCTCCGCCGACAGATGCGCGTCCCGGGCGCGCAGCCGCGCCATCTGCACCGCGGGATCCCGCACGCCGACGACCACGACCGTCCCGCAGATCAAATCCATGCCGCTCTCGAAGAGCAGCGGGACGTCGAGGACGACGGCCCAGTGGCCCTGGAGGTAGCACCGGATCAGGGCTTTGTAGACTTCGCGGCGCACGAGCGGGTGGACGATCTTGTTGAGGATCATGCGGTCGCGCTTGCGGTCCTCCGAGGGGCCGAAGACCCGGCGGCCGAGGGCGAGGCGGTTGAGGGGTCTTTCTTCGGTGGGAGTAGCTGTAGCTGTAGCTGTAGCTGTAGCTGTGGCTGTGGTGGGGGTTGCTGTGTCGGTTGGGGACTCCGGTTGCGCGGGAAGCAGCAGGTCCGGAGTGGTGGGACCGAAGTAGTTGACGATTTGGCGGTAGCCGGGCGTGCCGGGCTCGACGACCTTTCGCGCCAGGAGGTCGGTGTCGATGATGGGGAGGGAGTAGGGCGGGGAGGAGAGGAGGGAGGAGACGGTGGATTTGCCGGTGGCGATGGAGCCGGTGAGGCCGATGATGAGCATCTTGTTTTGGGGGTGTACCCTCTGGGGGGGAGGTGATTTGGTTTGTTTGATGAATTGGTTTCGGGGTGGGTGGTCTAGTTTCAAGTAGGTCTCGTGGTGTAGGTAAGTTGCAGTGTATGTATGGTATGTGGGAACTACTTGGAAGTGATCAGGTAGGAATTTTGTTGTTCTGAGCCCGGGGAAGAAAGGTTTGGCGCGGGGAAAGCTCCCGGTTCTACGGCAGGCAACGCTGCCGAGGCTCGTGTGTAGCTGCATGCGCGGTGGACCATGGGTTCTATTTTGCAGACCCCTGGGCAACTGGACTAAGAACGGGTGAAGATAATAAGATATTATTGAATGACTTGTATTACATTACATCCAAGTTAAGCGGGGTACTTTTCACTCATAGTAGAGCATTTGAGAATACATCATCACAACCGCACTGAATCAGGCCACGCGACACCGCTGTCTACTGTCGCGCCGCAGCACGAGTCGAGCAAGTTGCAAGGTCCCCAATGTATCTATGTAGACGAAGATTATCATTTGGGGCATCATCCTAGGTCCATCCGTGGACAAGACGGGGGCGATTATGCACGGCCGCCCAGTGTCATTGCTCTCCCTATTCGAGCTTGCATAGATCGCTTGGAACCACAAGCCCGGTCTGCGGTGTAGCGCAATGCACACGAACCTAATTCCACTACAAGATGAATCAACTGAGGCGTTGTCGGCATCATATTCACACACACCATGTCGTGCGCTATACCTCAGGGAGTCCCTTCGTGGGGTCCTGTTTCTGACCCTTCCATCCAATATACGGCCATCCTTCAGGCAATGAAGAATACGGTGGGAGGACATAGCGGCCAGCGCATTCCCCCTCGGTGGGGCAGTCCAAATCGCAAAGCCCAAAGACCTTGCAGTAGCATTCCTCCGCCGTCGGGCAGTGGACGGGCCCTTTTCCAAAGATCACTGGCTGCATGTCAGCACCGCTGGGGGGAAAACCAAAAGCCCAGAAATTAAACGTACTGTGCCATGAGTACTCCATAATTCGTCCGCTGAGATCATCAGGGAGCGTTGTCTCCGTCAACCACTTCCTGAATCGTTCATAATCCTTCTTCGGCCGTTCTCGGATCTTCCAGTTCGTGACGGCAAACTGCGCACAGCACGAGACTCCCACTTCCTCCGGAACCTCCTCGCCGGGGAAGAGCTCCTTGAATCCGTTCTTAAAGTACTCGCCAACATGGACGTCACTCCGGTGCGAATCAGTGTACGGGTGAATCTCCGCGGGACAGCCGAGGATCCAGGCGCAGCGCAGGTTGACGTAGCCTTGTTTCTGCAGATACGGGAGCTGGAAGTTGCGGAGGACGGGCACCCCGTCGTAGTACGGATCGTCGTTGTGCCATTGGTACCGTTGGGGGTGAATAAAGAGGATCGATTCGGGCAGGTGGTCGTAGTTGTCGATGATATACCTAGACACAAATACCTCTCCATCAGCACCAGCACCCGGTCAGGATCGCGACCACCCACGTCAAATAGACCATCGACTCCCGGCCCTTGTTCTGCTGGACCGTCAACTGCGCCGTTGGGTCGTCCACCACGTAGACACTCTTGTGCCAATCCGGAAAATACCGGTACAGCCAAGAGACATCATCGGTCTGCATGCTGGCCACGACCATCTCCCGGTCAAGTGTCTTGGAGGTTCGCGCGGCCGATGCGGACGGCGCAGCCTGCCCGGAGCGCGAGTCGCGGAACGGTCCGCCTTTCGACACCGCTTCGTGGGCGGACGTGTCGACGTGTGCGTGTTCGGAGCTTCTCGAGAAGAAGAGGAAGTAAAGGGCGTAAACGATCAGGATGGTGCACAGTATAGCCTTTTCCTGGCTGCGGCGGCGCGGGCTCGAGACTCCGCTGCCGAAGAACAACATGGTTGCGACAGGCGGCAGCGAACAGGTGGCATGCAGGGAGTGAAACCCGAGATCATATGCTGCGTGGGGAGTATGGTCGCGTGAGGCGATGGTTTGTCCAAAAAAAGTTATGTTTCAATGCGCCGGAAGCATGGCTGCGCGAAGGGGCGATCGCTGAGCTGTCCGGTCGGTGAGCTGCGGAGCGGGCAACGACTCGGTGATAAGAGAACCTTTAGGGGATTGCGCAACGGGTGGGTAGGGATAAATATGGGCCTTTGGTTGAGGTTTAATCTTTGGATTAAATGCCCCTGCAGGTAGTTGAGATCAAGTGAAGCGCGTTGGCGACAGCTGGCAGCTTCTGTTGCCTGGAGGAGGAGAGAAGGTGTCAAGCCACATGGTGGTTTCACTATTGGGGAGATTGTGTTCCCTCTCGGTCTCCCTCCATCAGCGAATGCTGCTTGGCAGCCATCGGTTCAATAATTGCCCGACGACCATCCGATCAGCCCTACTTTCAGCATCTGTGCTGTTAGTGGTTATACTGTATAGTATAGTGAAAATGAACATAGGAGATGCAATGATATACGGATCCATCATAGCCAGGCTGCATCCTGCTCATTCATCCCTTCCTAATTTATTTGTATCATTCTGTTTCACGCACAATACACAAGACTTTCCACAACACATCGTTTACAACACCTCATTCACATGAGACGGAATACTATCCCTAGCCGGAGCACCATATATTCATCCGATATACTTCACATCCCCAAGTAGTATGTACTACACTTTCATCCCATCACCCCCACAGATATATAATCTAATATCAACAAGTACCAATGCTGATGAAATACCACAGATGCGCCAACACGCTCGTGATAGCCTGCCCCGCGTTTCCGGCAGTAGAGTCCACACCCTGAATGATTTCGATATCCGAGGAGGTGACCGCGACGCCCGTCTGGCTGGTGATCCAGTATTCCGGACTGGGTTGGCTATACCCTACCGATCTCGGCGGAAGTCTAGGCACGACATCGTTGAGGTGAGTCACCCGGAAATTCGAGCCCGAGCCTTGGTTCGTGATGTAGGTGGCCAGCGCCGTGTTGCCGACACGGGGACAGCCATAAGAGTACTGTTATCCGTGGGTCAGCATCCTCTTGAAGATCCTGGAGAAGACGGGGAGAAGCACTCACCAGCTGAACAGGGTAGCCCGCGTTGCGCAGCACCGTCGCGCCGATGGTCGCCAGCGCGCCTCCCAGACTATGCCCCGTGAACACCAGGGAATAGTCCGGGTAGGCCGTAACAGCCGCCTGGATCTCCGCCGTCAGCGTGTCCGCGACGGAGCTCCAAGCCTTCCAGAAGCCCTGGTGCACCTCGCAACCGCTGCAGATGGCGCTGGCGTCGGTGAAGATGAAGTCCAGGTCGGCGATCCAGTTCTCGATGGAGCTGCTGCCGCGGAACGAGACCACCAGTAGTTTGTTGGTGGAGTCGACCGCGAGGAACCCGGCTGTATCTCCATACGAATCAGAACTGATACAGGCAGTGGTCAGTCGTCAGTCTAATCCTGTCGCACATACAGACCAGGACACAACAAGCAACACATACTCATCAAACTCCGCCAGGCTCGTGGTCGTCGCCGCCGCGAGCAACGGACAGAGCCCGTTCGTGCAGGTCACGCTGGTATTGGGGGAATTGAGATTGGTCGAGCAGTACGCCGCCTCGGAGTACTGCGCAAACAGGTCCAGCTGCGTCAAGACAGAGGTCGAAACATCTGTATGTGACTATAGTCAGCTTTGGGTTCTTCAGCAACTTTCTCGACAGGCAGCATCAGTCACCTCGAATATCAACCGGCGCGGCCACAACCAGCGCCGCAAGAGCGGCCACCACTCCGCCTAACCGAGCGATATATACCATACTTGCTTTTCGCAACGACGAGTATATACAGATATATACAGAGGCACTGCGAGTCGCAGACGAATAATGTATATACCAGACAAGATGAAGGAAAGCAAGGGACCAGCGTCAACGACACTCTGAGACTGACAGCTCACTAGCACCACTGAATTGAACTTGGATGATGGCGAAAAACTCAACTTCCATGCGGTCCTATGACACTATATATATACATCCAGAGACGACCATATTGTCGCCCAGTCCGCGCAGGCCCCTCCCCCTGATATCTTTACATTGAAGCCAAGAAGCAGCGCAGAGTCAGAAAAAACAAATGAAAGGGCAAAAAAAAAAAAAAAGCAAACTCAAGAAATTCCCATCCGAACCATTTGCCGTTAGGTCACATTTTCTTCACAGTCACCACGCCATGTCCCTACTCTAATAACCAAGCGGGGTAAAAACAAGAAGAAAAATGACTTCTCCAGAGAAAAGATGGCAGCTGGAAATCAGTCAACGCATCACGAACACCGCATTATCCCCCGTTACTGACTGGGATTGAGACGACCCCCTGATCCTAGCCTCACTCGAAACACAGGGCTGGGAGCCCGGAATCCACCGGATGGCAAAGAGCAGAATGGCTGAAGGCAGGACGCAGGACTCTGTTGGTGTTGTTGTGTTCTGGAATCACTTTGAAGATGTGTGTACGCGCACTCCACAAAAACCCTCCCAGCACGGAGCAGTGGATGTACTGTACAGTAGGTTGGATCTCCACAGCGGTAAACAACGGGAGCCTAGTCGACCGGGTAGTATATAGACTGGGTAGGCGCACTATTAATCCACTTCCTCCGAGCCATGCTTGCCAAGTATCCAATAATTTGTGAGTATAAGAAAGTATAATAAAGTGGAACACAATGGCACGCGGATGGTAACTGGATCCGGATGGGATCAAATCATGATGGCCTGTGTAGACAGACAGGCAGGCGAGTGGACGGACGTGACGGGGGACCAGCGCACCCCGCGAACGAGGGCGGTCAATCAAAAGATCAGGTGGGAGATTGAAGTAGATACACCCAAGTACACACCAAACACAAAGCTATATTGTACCGTAGAGGTACCTACAGCGTAAGCGCGCAGTCCTTCACCACGGAATGGGAAAACAGGAACAACGAAGCCTTCATTCGTCCACAGAAAGCAGCAACAGACCTAAATTATCACGCTCGGGCCGGTTGTGACGGAACATGGCCACTCCTCTTGCAGTATCGAGTCGATCCTCAAGCCCCCCTACTACCTAGTTTTACATCCATAACCTCTTTCATGCCTAGTTCACTAACTCCCTTTGAACAAGTATGTATCTGAACCCACCTACGCCTGGAATTGAAAAGTTCATGTGGCATCGGTAAAGGGAAATTGATCCTTCTGGCCATTCAGCCGAGACAAAAGACAAAAGCCAAAAGCACCCCCGAAAGTCTCAGAAACAATGAAGGGAAGAGAAGAAGATCCTTCATGCTTGGCTCCTAGGCTTGGTGAAGTCGGTCGTTGACTGATTGCCCGATGAATTGGCCCGTTTACCTTGCGATTTGCTGATCAGCCAACTTTACTGCCCATAAGAGTAAGGTAGTAGTTAACCAAAGTAAGTATGATTGAGAGCCAGCCCACCTCCGAGGTGTCTTGTAGTGGTTGGTGCTCAGAGGGAAAACAACCTTGTCTACTCTGTCCTGTCCTCAATCCAAACAAGTTACCCAAGTGATCATAATTTTATGAGCAAAGTTTGAAGATATACACACCTCAGCTACACTCACCCCATACACACATAGCACTAGACTAACAGAAGCCAGCCACTAATCAAATGAGATCACACTAACCTCCAACCCCCTCAATTCCTGTCACCTCCCCGTTTCCTCCCCCTCACATTAACCTACTCTCCTCGGCATCTCCCATCCTTCTAAGAGTAACTAAACACATGTGCCGGGCACCGCAAGCCACAATCCCCATCTTGTAGATTGAACATCTCCTCCCGTTGGTGCAGAAGACTGCGGGGGAACTTGGGATCCCGTGCGGGATAGACGAGCTAGTAAAGTAGCCTAGCACTAGACTCCCTAGTATGCAAAACCACAAAAGTGAAAACAGACGGAGAATGGTGGTTGCGGCTAATTGCTTGAAGCCGAAGCTGCTTGAGCCCATTCCATACGTGCATACATACAACCCACTAATTAAACATGTCTTGCTTTTCTACGCCAATCGGGAGGGGATCTATTTCCGAGGTGAAGACCGGGGTGCATGTCAAAGATCAGGCTTCGGAGCTGGCTGGAGTATCCTCGGAGGTTTGTGCAGCTTTTTTTCTTTTTTTTTTTTTTTTTTCTGGTATAATTGAACCTTGATTTGATATTGGCTGGGCTGGTTGGTCAGCTGCCTCTGTTCGCTCCGCCTTGGCCGAAGTTCTTGATGCAGAGACCTGCGCGAATAAGTCCAGGCTAGGGCAGCACGGGGCACCCTGGTTTGGATGTTCGCGATGCACGATAGGATGGCATGTCAGATCGTGGGAAAACTTCAGGCACGGCATGGCATGAACCGAGGTAGCAGACTGTCACAACAAGGTTTCGAAACATCTCCCGAAAGTCTAAAACTCTGGATGACGGGGTCGTACGATAACGCGCCTAGAGTCCACTTCGATACCGGAAGTCTGTAGATATTCAATCCCGTGAACAGGAAGGCAGATAGAGAAACACCAGATTAAAATCATAATTCACAATGTATTCGCTCCTTGAAAAACGCCATCCAGGTGGGCAACACCATCGTATCTTGATTTTGGCAACGAAACAAACGAGAAAAGGAAAACTATCAGGTAGCAGAAATATCCCTGAAAACCGAACTGCGGGGAAGCAGAGAGCTTTCGCGTCTAGCTGCAGAATGGTCAGTCTCAGCCATGCAGTGCCAACCTTGTTCGGAGTTGTTTCCAGACTGGGGAAAGATGTCTCTCCACGGCCAGCACACTTACCCACTACCATCTGGCATCTCTGAAGGTGCAGATGGGGCCAGAAGAAATGTGGTGAGGTGAGCCTCGGAATCCCAGGGACTGTCACGCAGCGACTATGCCATTCTCCCCACCTTCAGGGGTGTAGTCCGCCATTCCCTCGTCCTGCCCATCGCCGCTGTCACCCGCCAGCACCTTAGTCCGGAGCACCTGGCCATCCGGCAAGGGTGTACCTGGCGTCGCGGCCACCACATTGTCATTCTCATCCACAAACTCAAAGTTGTACCGGGACAGCAGGTGCGGAATGGCCGATAGTTGCGGTCCGTACCGCGCAGTGTTGTCGTACAATTCAAACAGCGGCACGGCGAGAAGCTTCATGTTCTTCGGAACGGAGAGGACCTCTAAAATAGATGAATGAGCCACCGTTGATGAAAGTGAGATTCGGGCGCGGGCAGTCGGGTGAGACTCACTCTTCTTGGGCAGCTGAATGAAGTACAGCTTCTTGCACTCCTTGGGTCGAGTAACATGTCCAGGGAGAAACGGGTACATGAACGTTTCGAAGTTCGGCCGCCACCACTGCGCGAGCGTGTCACCAATTTCCCAATCCTCGTTGACCCCCTCGCCCGAGAACTGCGATCCGACGGGCGCAAGGCGCTCGTTGAGCCTCTTCTTGAAACCTTCGACCTCGTCATCTTCGAAGGGCAGGTAATCACCAGGTCTAATCAAGTCATAAGAGTCAGTTCCGTGTTAATCGGGGCTCCGCATCCCAGCCCGGAACTGTAGGGACCTATGTCGCAATCGGGGCTGGGCGCGGGAGATCTCGATGTTCGGGCGGAATACATACAGCTTGAAGAAGGCATTTGCAATCTGCAACATGAGTACGTGGGGATGGTTATGTTCATGGCAGACAAGCACACCCTCGCAAGTACGTCTCATGCCATATTTCTCATAGTGCTCTTCGAGGCGTTTCAGGCGGGCCAGTACCGAGGGATCTTCCTCTGGTTGCGTTTCCTTAGTCCCAAAAGTGTAGTTCGAGAGAGGATATAGACGGATCGTTTGTGGTTGCTGGGCGGAGAAGTCTTTGGGGACGATGGGACTAGATGAGGATCAATGTTGTTGTCAGTACCTGTCCACATCCTGACGTAAAGCTCAGGCTCGCCCTGAAGGTCTGCAACGTACGGGCGAGAGCTCTGGATCGTCGTCGTTGTTGCGGTCGACATCGTTGTCAGATACGGAAGTCAGACTCTGTTTCCACTAAAGGCGAGTTGAAAATTCAGACCGATGTAAATTGGTGGGTAGGAAGAGCTGGGGAGGGTAAAGGACAGCAGGAGGTTGGTTGTTGTTGCAGCTGCTCGCGAGGTGGATCTCAGCCCGGCGGAGTTGATGCTCTCTCCGCCGCCGCTCGATCGATCGGTCGTTTGGTATCGGAGCTGCCCTCCGCGAAAACATTCGACCGCTCCCGACGCCCATCAGCCATCGGTCTTACATTTGCTTGCAAACAGATCAAGCAGCTGCCCTCTTGAGTTCATTCAAATCTTGAAAGGTTTCAATTATGTATGTTTCTAATCTACATCCCATGAGTTTCGTCTAATAAGCACCGTATCCTGCACCTTCGAAAATATGCTGTATACCTTCCAGAGCCATTCCCCCCCCAAACCAACGAGGCAACAAAGAATTTCTATCATCATGATATGGATTTGGCAAGTGAGTAATTCTAGGCTTCGACAAGTTGAGCAATCATAGCTTCGCGTCAAAGTCCTCGAACTCGCTGATGTCGATAACGGGGCTCGGTCCGGCGCTAACATTGAGGCGGGCCTTGTACTCGGGCACGTTGGTGATATAAGTGACAGCCTCATGGCCGAATCCATTGACCGTCTGGCCAGGCTCTCCTTCAAATCTCTTGGGCTGGATACCGATGTGCTTCAGCTCTACCCCAACGCTCTGTATCATTGACTCCAGGGCCTGCTTGGCTTGTTGCTCCGCGAGACCCATTCCATCCAAGACACGCTTGACGGTATCCACAATCAGGCGCTCATCGCCACTGGACACGTCGACGTTAGCGAATGCGGCTGCCAGACGATCGGCGTCGACCGTAACCTGCGCTTTCTCCAACAGTGTGCGCAGGCGTGCCAGCAGCTGGGTCTTCTGCTGCTGGGGTGTGCTCGCGAGAGCGGTAGCTTGTGCCTTTAAGTGGATTGACAGCTTGCCACGCGTGGACGATTGAGGTTCGATGAACTGCTTGTAGAACTGCATGAGGTCCGACTTTGTCAGAGACCGCACGTTGGCAGCATCCGCTTCGTTCTGTACGAAATCGAAGTACTCCGATCCGATGTGAGACCAGAAGCGACTGGTCTCTGAGCCCAAGTTCTTAAGCTTCTCCAATCTCCTGTTGATAAGACTGCGCTTGTGCCTTTCGAAGTCATTCTCCGGCATCTCTGCCAATGTCTTGCCAAACATGGTCAAGAAGTTCTCGATGCGGTGTTCGAGATAACCAGCGACGCGTTCGCTCTGGATGATGACGCGATAGCCGATGGTTGTGGAAGAGTAACGGGCGCCGCTCCAGACGACATATCCCAGTTGCTCCTTACTCCGGAGTTGGTCAAACGCAGGCTCATCGGTCATCTGGGCAAATAGCAACAGCTTGGCCCGCAAGACCGCATCGTTGATATCACCGATGTACAGCAGGTATTCGATGCCGTTGTTAACGTTGGCCGGGTCTTTGAGCGTGCGCTCATAGGTGTAGTTGGAGCCTGGGGGAATGATGATGTTACGCCTCACGTACCACTGCGACTCGGGCAGGGTACGACTCTTGAGTGTGGACTCGACGAGGTCAGTCATCCGCAGTGCATCCTCCTTGTACAGGTTGCCGTGTGCCAACACCTCAATGTGGTTCTGACGAAGAATTTGCGGGAAGAAACAAGCTACGTCTTCCACTTCAATATGCTGAAGCTCAGATGCATATTGCTCGTTGAGCCAGGACCTTTCCGCAGTCAGATAGCGAGTGTAGTCGCTCACTTGGTAATAGGGCTGCTGGTACTCGGCGTTCTTGTAGGCCCGTGTCAGGCGCTCCTTGATTATGTTGAAGCGTTCTGGCTTCACGACGAGATCACGCATGCTCGTCAGGACCTTCTCCAAGAGCACGGACATTTTGTCGTTGTATCCACCCACAGAGATGTCCAGACCGAAGATACTGATACCGAGGGAGTAATCTAGCCCAGCCAGCTCGGCATCATAGGCATATTCGTTGAGGGCATCGCGCACCAATTCGCAATAGAATCGGGCTTTGACCACGTTAGCCGGGGTGGCCCACACCAGAGGGTTCCGCAGCGAGATGTTGAAGGTGCCCTTGGGAACCCAGAATCGATCATCCTTCTTGTACCACAAACGGACATGGTCATCGTGTCGGATCAGCTTCGGGGTTTTGGCTGGTTCCGAAACTTCCTTCTTCTCGACAGAGAGACGAGTCGGGACGAATTCGTTCTTATGAGGCAGGTGTAGGTCGGGCAGACGGTTGGCGGATGTGGTCTCATACGCCTTGCGAATGTCGGCCATGAAATCCGGGGGAATGTCCTCCACCTTATGCTCCGTGCCGTACCACTTCTCCTTCTGGTCCCAATTACCCGGGTAATCCTGAGCCACAATAAGCATCCGGAAGTTGTCGGGCCGGAGGTAGGACAAGGCTTCTTTGATAAGAGCCGGATCATACTTGCGGAGGAGTCCGGTGCTGAGCAACCACTCACGAGGGTGGGGCTTCTGCATCTTACTGCTCAGATTGCTGGCGAAGCGGCTGGCGGGCGTCTTTTGTTTGAAGCGGAACTCGACCTCGGCCAAGTTCTTCATCTCGTCATATATCCATTGCTGAGGCTCACCTTCCTTGATCATCGCGATGTACTCGAAGATGACCCTAGCGACTTCACGGTAGTTCTTCAAACCCTCGGGGGTCAGGCGAACATTGATGGTGAAGAAGGCCGCGCCAGGGCAGATGGGAAGCGGACCAGCGGACAGGCCATTGGCCCAGCCTTTGGCCTTGATGTAAGCCAAAATGCTTCCGGGGCCCTCGTGACCGATCAGGTGGCTAATGTAACGGTTCGGCTGCGACTCGAAATAGTGCTCCTCATCCATGAAGGGGAAGTAGATGTCCAAGGACCGCATGTCCATGACCGGCTTGGCAAAGATCTGCTTTCCTAGATGCTCCGCCGTCCAGGGCTGGACGTCGTCCCAACGGTTCTGCGGAAGGTCCTTGTTCTGGACGTGGGAGAATAAATCCGAAACCCACTCCTCCATCTCGTCCAGAGATTCCCGACCCAGCAAGACCAGTTTCATCCGGTTGGCTGAATAATGGGCCTCATAGAACTTGATGAATTCACTTCGAACCTCCAGCCCCCGCTTCTCCGGATCTTCCTTCAGCGTCTGCAGGTTGCCCGTGGAGAAGTGGTGGTAAGGATGCGCTGGGTTGGAGAGGCTCTTATTCAATTGCATCAACCGCCACATATCGCTCTGCAGGTTCTTCTTGTTCTCCGAATCGACTGCTCTCAATTCCCGATCCAAGGTTGACTCCAGGAAAAGAGGCTCAACGAAGAACTGGGCGAACCGGTCCAGGGCACCATACAGTGGCCCTCTGGACTGCGCAGCCGAGGGCGAAGTGGGCGCGTCGGATTTCTCGTCACCGGAATGCGACGTAGCAGCGACTTCAAAGAAATAATTGGTCTCCGTGGCCGCCGTGTAAGCGTTGGACATGCCCGAATTAGATGCTAGATATTGGTTGTATGCGTTCTCTAGGGGGTACTAGAAGGCGGTTCCGCCGAGGTTAGTACCGGACTGCATGCTGGCGCCAGGGGCGACCACCTACCTTTTTGGTACCCATGAACAACAAATGTTCGACAGCATGAGCCATGCCCGGCATGTCATCTGCGTCTGAGAAATTGCCCACGTTGACGTTCACCGCGGCACTGGCCTTGTCCGTGTCAGGGTCGTGAACCAATAGAGCTTCGAGCTTATTGGGAAGACGGATGACGCGGTAGGAGCGATCATCCAGCTCCGGCTTCAGCAAATCCTCCGCAATGCGTTCGACAGAACCCATCTTGGTAGAACCCATGTTGACGGGGCGAGTGGCAAAGGGAGCACGCGAAACGGGGGAAGTGGAGGGAAGGGAGGTGGTGGAGGAGCGAGGATGAGTCTGTCCACCGGAGGCAATAGATCGAGGCCAGCGATGCGAGAACAAGCGTGGCGAGGGGTAGGAATGAGGGGCTACCGCCGCAAAGGTGCCTGATCGGGGAAACGAACGATAAGTTGGGGTTGATAGAGATCGAGAATGTCTAGGGTTCCACAAGCGGCAGGGTGCAGAGGACCTTGGAGGCATGCAGAACAAGGAAGGGTGGTCCAAGGAGCAAGGGCCGCTGGATAACAGATACCGAGGAAGTACCTATCGTAGAGGGTGGAAAGAAAGAGGCAAATGTATGCGGGGAGAGGCAGGGAAGGAGGAAAGATATTTAAAGAAGAGGAGTTGAAGTCCGTGAGAAGAAAAGGGGAAACACGATCCGGTCCGATTTCAAAAGACCCGAAATTGAGCGTCAATGCGCCAGAATGAAAAGTTGAGAATAAAAGAAGTTGGGGATGAAGAGTGAGAGAGAGAGAGAGAGAGTGAGTGACAAGGGAGTTTCCCAAAGAAGGGGAGGCAGTAAGACCGAGTGCTGGCTTCGGCGGTGAAGACGAGATGCAGGCGGTGAGCGGTAAGGGCACGTGTCGTCCTCTGCTTGCCTCGTCATCTTCAATCTTCCTGCGAGTCATTTGGCAGGCTGAGCGTGGAGTTGCGCAAGTGGATCTGGAAGGCTTCCTTCGAGTGCTTCTGTTCTTCCACGTCAACAAAACCACTCTGCAACAGCGCCGAGACCATGGCGAAACCGCCGCCGATCCCCCAGCCAAGTGGCAGTTGACGCCCTTGCAGCCGGCAGCAAACTCTCGTATTCTGTCTAGTTATATTGGGGTGATGGTGTGCTTTCTGTACTACCACACTCTGGGTGTGATGCCATAGGGAAGTGCTTGGGGGTCTAGGGAGTGCTGTTTGTGTTATGAAGAATGTGATGTGTAAATGGGTACTGTACCTACTATGGATGCCAGTATACTCGGATGTACTCCAATCAATTGGTTTGAAGTATAGAACCACCACTCGGAACATCAACCGATGCCACACCCTCGGATCTACTGTCCGGACGGAACCTCACCTCCATCTAAAGATAAGATCCATGACAACTGTTTGTTGACTCAAGCATTCCACTGTTTTTCATGATCTTGATACCATTTCGACGCCGACCACCACTCCCTAGCAGAACTTCCAAACAGCCACCACCACCAGAATGGACGTCAGCCAAACCCTCGCCGGCCACCCCACCACCATCCACTGCATTGACATGCACACCACCGGGCAACCCACCCGGATCATCTACGCGGGGTACCCCAAGCTGACGGGCACCCTGCTGGCGCAGCGCGACCAAGCCCGCGAGCACCACGACCACATCCGGCAGCAACTGATGCTGGAACCGCGCGGCAACCCAGCGATGTACGGGGCGATCATCTGCCCGGAGACGGAGCTGGTGAGGTCGGGGGAGGCCGACGTGGGGGTCCTGTTCGTGCACAACGAGGGCTACTCGACGATGTGCGGCCACGCGACGCTGGCCCTGGGGCGATTCCTGATCGACACGCACGACACGAGCGTGTTCCCGCGCCGGCCTCACCTCGCCTTCAACGCCAGCACGCAAACCATCCAGCTGAGACTCCATGCGCCCTGCGGCGTCGTGAGCGTCCGTGTGCCCACCAACGCAGCGGGCACGCAATCCGACCCCTCGCGGCCGGTCGCCTTCCTGTCGACCCCGGCCTACGCCACCGCCCTGCAACTGACCATCCCGATCCCCGCGGCCGCGCGCTGGCCCGAACTGCCGCCCACAAAGCACTCCATCACCCTCGACATCAGCTACGGCGGCGCCTTCTACGCCATCGTCCCGGCCACCGAGCTCGGCTTCTTCGCCGGCGGGCTCCGTGGGGGTGTAGACCTCGCCGCCATCACCCGCTGCATGCAGCAGCTCAAACCCTACCTCGAGCGCCAGCCGGAGGTCGTCGCCGCCGTGCAGCACCCGGAGGACCCGCGGCTTTCGTTCCTGTACTCCATCATGATCGTCGATTCGGCGGTGGGCCTCCCGTCGGCCGATGTGGCTGGTGCAGAGACGGGCCTCTGCTACTTCGCTGACAACCAGATCGACCGGTCCCCGACGGGGTCGTGCGTGACGGCGCGCATGGCCCTGGCCCATGCGAAGGGGAAGCGGCCGGTGGGGCTGCGGTGGGCGTATCACTCGCTGGTCTCAAACCATTTTGGAACGGACGAGTTCTGCGCGGAGGTTGTCGAGGAGGTCGAAGGGCGGCGGCCGTCCGTGATTGTCCGGGTGGAAGGTCGGGGGTTCTACACGGGCACGGCCTCGTTTATGGTGGAAGCCGAGGATCGAGTGTCGCGGAAGGGGTTCACGATGGAGGGAGTAGCAGCGGCAGCAGCAGCAGCATAGATTATGATTTTATGATCAACCGAGATGAATACCACCAACATGAACATCCAGCCTAAAACCATCCTTTCTTTCCCAACCCTCCCGAAGTAAACTAAACTAAACACCCCTGCGCACAAACCGTCAAAACCTCACTACTCCCCGCCCCACACGTCTTAACCTGACTGCCCCCCCGGATTCACGCCATTTGGCCAACAAATACTCGGACAGGAGGCATACGTCGGCTGGACTTTCAGGCGCTGTCCCGAAAACGCATCGCCAAACACAAGAGACAGGTCGTACCAGGTCTTGCTGCCGTCAAGGATGTAGGCGAAGTCCAGCTGGGGATTGCCATCAAACAATCCATTCGGGGTTTTGGTGATCTTGAGGGCGACGCCGCCCGAGGCCGGGTCGTAGTGCAGGGCCTCGGAGTAGCTGACGCCAGGCTGGATGGTCTGGCGGGGGTCGACGGAGCCGCCGACGGACCAGAGGTAGATGGGGGTATTGCAGTTGTTGGTGACGATGGCATTGCCGGCGTGAGGGTGGGGAGGAGAAAGAAGGTGGTGAAGTGCATTGTAACTTACTCGTGTTTGCTTAATGTCGTATGTTGTATGGAATGGATGAACGGATGGATGGATGGAGTCTGTAGTAGGCGGAATATCTCAACATGAAGGCATATGCAGTGATGTTGAGGAGCCCATCCACTGCTCACATCTCCTGGTCAACCAAACCAAAGCAATGAGTAGTACCTAAATGTCTCAAACTCATGCTTGTCAGGTCCCAATTCAAGGACAGAAAAGCATGATGCACGTAAGACATCAACCACACCACATGCAGGGTTCCAGACGTAGTACCATGATTTCGAGCCACCCACAGTTTGGTAAATAACCTCTACTATGAACCTCCGAGGAAGCCAGAACCAAAATAGCTAAATTTTCACTTTCTTAAGAGCATCAGGAGCATCACAGTTCGTATTTCTTCAACACAAACCACCATCTTCATGGATCTACAGCAGGTCTTACTTTACCCCACATTTACTACTTTCTTACTCCCCGTTCATAGTTATACTCTCGAGAATCGACTCTCTCCAATTCAAAGTCTACAGTCACCCCACACCCCAGAATCAGGATGCAGGAATCTGAGTCAAAGTCATATGTTATGTCGCAAGGAAAGTAACCTCAAAGTACTCCGGAACATATCAATGTGTTGGTGAGGTTTCCACTTTCACAGGCTGAACAACGACACACCAGAAAAAAAAAAAAAAAAAAAAAAAAAAAACGAAAACAAATTCGGAGAATTCAGCATCAGGGCTGGGATCTTGGCTCGTTATCCGTCCGGGCTGACAGACTAACCATATCAATCATCAGAAAGAGGATCGTGGTTCATGAGCTTTGAAGGATTCGTGTTGAGAATCTGGGAAAGGGGAGCTACCAGTTGCTGCCTACTGTACTGTACTACCAAGTACCTTGGCATAGGACTAATACTAAGGGAAGAAATGGTTGCAACCCTGAGGAGGTACCGTTCGTATACTATCTGGGTTTGTACCTAACGAGTCTCGAGGTTCATCACCGGAAGTAGATGCTGACTGTGCGTTTACTAGTTTACTGCCGTTTTGGCCAGGCCAAAATGTCCGCGATGCAATGTACCGTCAGGAACGAGGCCGGGAATTCATCCCCCAGAGTGTGAGTGAGGGTGGTGTGACTGGACCCTGGACAGCAGCGACCTGCAACAACCAAGACATGCATCACACCACGGCGTATGCAACCCATACTTTCTTCAACAAACAACAAACCTCCGAAGTATGCGTCTTACGCACGGATTGGTACAAGCGAACAACTACTGGACCTCTAACCAAACCAATTCAACCAAGTTCTAGATCTAACTCTCAGCATCCCTCCGGGTAACTCAGCTGGCATGCGGTCGACGGCCACCCTCCCCACCGGCAGTTGCTCCCTTAGTAGGCGAGCGTCTCGTCGGCTTCTCGTCCTCGGTTTCTTCACTATCCGCCGTGTCCGCACGCTCCGAGATCCACTGGTACACCTCCTCCTTGTGGTGCATGAGCATCTCACTCAGCCCCGCCTTGGGCGACTGCACCAGGGTGCCGTAGCGCTTGGAGGGCTTGCGTTGGAGACTCGTCCAAACGCCATGCGTGTGTGAGACAAATACGAGCGAGTTCTTCACACGAGGCGGTCAGCTCCGAGCCAAACGAGAGAAGGGAAGGAGAGATTCAAACTGACATCTTTGTACCACCGCGAGAGCCAGACTTGCGTGTGGGAGGCGACCGCACGAACAGGATTCTCCGCCACAAACGAGACCACCCCATTAACCCGCTTATACAAGGTCTCTGGTCGGACGTTAGCCAGGTTTTACATCGATTTGTCCTGATTTGTCTTACCTCGGTTGATCAACAGGTTGGCTACTCCGTAGAAAGCGTTGCCGATACCAATAAAGAAGATCTCAGTAGCCTCGTTGGGTCTAAAAACTGGTCAATCCACGGCCTCCCGATTAGTGTCTGAGGCCAAGACATACTCGATATAGTTATCCCAGAGGTAGCCAGCGAGCTCCTCGGTGGCGGTAGGTCTGTTCTCATCCTCGCCTTCGTACTTTCCGCTAGACTATTCGGGAGTCAGTAATCATGGCCATGACTGAGAATATATGAACTGACCGAATCAACAGTCACATGTTTCGGAATGTTCACGTCGATAACCGCATAACCTTTCTCTACAGCCCATCCAACATAGTCCTTCAATAATACATCAGCCTGGTGTTTGTCAGCAGATGACTGAAAACACTTCACAGGTTCAAACGTACAAGCCAGCAATTATGAGCTTCGAGTTTGTTCGTGACCGGGTGGGGTAGACCCATGATCTCGGGTCTAATCTTCATCAGAAAAGATCGCCACTGAAAAAGGGAGAAGGTGCTCACGGGTCATGAAAGAAGACAAGCAAAGGCGTGGCCTGGTAGTAATTGGGACTTTGTGACAGGTCAGTTAGGTTCGTGCCTCATTCGGCAATCCGATTTACCTCGCAAGAACTTGATTCTCGAATGATCGCGAGATAGCAGTGCGATAAATGTAGAGTGACGTCAATTTGTAGTTGTCATACAATTGCTTGGATTGATAGGCACGGATGACATCTGCAGATTTGTTATTACCGGGTTTCTCAGTCGGGGAAACCTTCTTACCGTGAAGTCGGTCAGTGAAGTGACCCTCCTGTTTCGGCGCCTTTGGATACATGCAACTCCAGTATGCAGACTGAATCATCATCACGCGTCTCACAGTCGTAGCCGCCGCTTCTGAGGGGGTGGTGGAATGTAAGCGATCAGGGGGATCACCCATTAGAGTCTTTGTGACAGCTAGAGCAGACTTCGAAATCGACCGGAAATTATAGCCACCCTGCATGTCCGATGTTAGCCCCGATATACTAATGTGCAGTGATAGAACGGATGGTCAAACCTCCAGACAGACCGCGACCTTGCCGTGTGCAAGCGTCATAAGCATATGCGTCATATGAGCATAGCAAGCTGGAGTCACGAAACAACCTCCAAGCTCATCACCTGCGGCAGCGTCGAACCCAGAGGCAACTATCTCTGTCAGTCTCGTAGACGCAAAGGAGCCCCCTCAAATCAGGGTTGACGTACTGATGACAAGGTCGGGATTGAACTCCTGGGCGATCGGCATGACCACCTGTTGAAAAGCGTACATGTAGTCGCCGTCGCCCATTCCCTGACTCGGCCACGGTATATTCACATTACTTGTCGCATGTCAGTGACTGCCGTGACACCCAACAGGAATATCATACCGTCCAACACCGGCGCTGCCACCGCAGTGTTCCCAGTCACCTTCGTCGCCTCCCGGGTAAAACTTTCCTTCTTGATAGACATGAAGTGAAATGTAGAGAACGTTGGGGTCATCATAGAATGCTTTTTGAATGCCATTCCCTGCAGATTGTATAAGCTAATGCATTACGACCCTCAATTCAAAAATCGGGGCTCGAGCAAATACCATGATGAACGTCCCTGGAGCGAGTCAGTGACACGGCGAGTATAGGTTTTCTTGGACAAGCTTACCAATCGAGGATCAAGATTTTCCTACAACTCTCGCCCAGCTGCTGCTGGCACACACGAGCGGCGACTGAAACATTGTTGAACAGACAGAATCCCATAGTCTTGTCATGTTCAGCATGATGGCCAGGAGGTCGGATGACAGCAATAGCATTCTTGACTTGGCGGGTAGCAACAGCCAAGCATGTCTCGATGGCCCCGCCCACAGACAGGATTGAAGATGCGAATGTGAGTTTATTGAAGTAGATGGAATCACGGGTATGTTCCAAAGCGATGAGCTCATCATCCGTCATATCTGATGCATCCAATTAGGAGACTGCAAATCATCATAGCGGACACAAGGGAAAATGTTTTACCTTGAGTGCTCTCTACAAATGCATAATGATCAGGCGTGTGGACAAGGGAGATCTCCTCCTCAGTAGCATTGCGAGCATTGATCCTTTTTAAGGGTCGAGACACAAGCGGACGACTGGACTCAGGATCATCAACGAGTCCAGCTCGACACAGCTCTTTGTAGATGTAATAGATTCGTCTTGGATCCTCCGGGTGAACGTCTGCAGTTGGCCGCACCTCGCAGTGATAGCGCATCTGCACATCATAGCATAAGCCTGAAGGGAGTGAGGCGAGTGGTAGGCCAGTGCGAGCGACTGCGTCCCCATCGGACCAGTCGGAGTTCTCTTCGACGAGACTATCATGTTTCTCGTCCTCATCCATAGCTTCACTTGAGTCTACAGACTTTGGCAGGCTCTTAGACGTAGAAATGCCCTCGTTCTCCATCTTCGAAGAAGAGGAGAGAGGCTGGGAGTTGACAGGATGGCGCGACAACGGCAGCTTGAACGTCTGACCCTGCAGCGAAGATGTAATGGACGACGGCTGAGAGGGGCCACCGAATCGAGCTGGCGCACCTGATTTGCCTGCCTCACCCATGACAGTGTCTTCGTCGCCCTCCATTGCCATTGTGGTGAATCTGAGGCGGTTACTCTAAATTCCTCTTTGACCGAGCTCTGGGACGATTCAACACCTCATGGTCAAGCTCGATGGTGAATGAAAGGGCTACAAATCCCCCCCCTGGAAAAAGAAAGATCAACCAGAGAACGAGAGGCCAGAGCCGAATTCCTAGCTTGAGAAAAGAACGAGCTTGTTGGCGAGGAAGACGGAAGAGTGGGAAGTTTGCTTGATATCCTTAGGCGTGGCAGGACCACAGGAGCAAGGGCACTGTAGATAACCTGTACTAGACTCCGGGGGGCTCAGGAAGACCCACGAAATCGGACGACTAGTGAGGCACGACTCAGCCCGGTCGAGCAACAGTTGTAAATATCGTGAGACCCAGTATTTAGACCAGAATTCTCCCGTGAGATAAGAATTGTGGCAGCGGGCACAGGAAACCACCAACAGAAGCACACCAGTGGAGGCGTTCTGGACTAAGAATCTCGAATCGATTGTAGAGCTCGAAATTCCGCAGTTTAGCTGCTGCCCACGTGACCTCCGCCCTCGATCTCTTCCATTTTGCCCACTTCTTCACGGACACTTGGGCTTAAACAGGACCGTCGATAGTAAGCTTACATTTACCTCTATCAGGAGTAGGGAAGCAATTAAGCAATCTGCTTGTTGGATGTGCCTGGAATTCAAGCGCAGCCGATCATCACTATCTCTCTTGCGCTGCTCCGAGAAATTGCCGCGGTTGAGCGGAAGGATTCCTTTTGGCGATAATTACAGAGAGGCTGCCCGCTAACACTGGCCTGTCGAAGCTTAATCGCAACGGAGCGCTAACGATGCTGTAATGCCTCCGTTGGTCCAATCCCTTCTGTGAGAATAGTCAAGATCCATGGAAAGAACACAGTACGCGATTTTATGTCTTTACGATTGCATCTGGGGGCCCGCGAAACACAGGCATTTACGGGCAGCGGCAGCGGATTGAACAAGTATGAGCATTTGTGTCATTTCATTAATAGTACGTCATCACATGCTTTTTACTAAAGCGAGTTTCCATGAGAGCAAGCCGAAGCTAGGCAAATGAAGCCGCGCACTCAAAGCAAGCTCTTGAAGTCCATATTCTGTCCTGATTCCTACTGGCTGTCGACCTTGGCAATGTAGGCTGTACGCAGAGGTTAGTGAGTCCTTACACAAGCTTCGTGGCAATCCAAAACTTACCAATGAGGTCAACAACACGGCGGGAGTAACCCCACTCGTTGTCGTACCAGGAGACGAGCTTGATGAAGTTGGAGTTGAGGGCGATACCGGCCTTGGCATCGAAGATGGAGGAGTGGCTGTCACCGTTCAGGTCGGAGGAGACGACGTCGTCCTCAGTGTAGCCGAGAACACCTTTGCAACAGTCAGCGACGGATCTACCCCGACCTTGGGATTATCACTTACCCTTGAGCTCGCCCTCGGAGGCGGCCTTGATGGTCTGCTTGATCTCGTCGTAGGAAGCAGCCTTCTCGATACGGCAGGTCAAGTCGACAACGGAGACGTTGGCGGTGGGGACACGCATGGCCATACCGGTGAGCTTGCCGTTGAGGGAAGGAATGACCTTGCCGACAGCCTTGGCAGCACCAGTGGAGCTGGGGATGATGTTCTGGGCAGCGGTACGACCACCTCTCCAGTCCTTGTTGGAGGGGGCATCGACGACCTTCTGGGTGGCGGTGTAGGAGTGGACGGTGGTCATGAGACCCTCAACGATACCGAACTTGTCGTTGATGACCTTGGCGAGGGGAGCAAGGCAGTTGGTGGTGCAAGAGGCGTTGGAGAGAACGTTGATGTCCTTCTTGTACTCGGTGTTGTTGACACCCATGACGAACATGGGGGCATCGGCAGAGGGAGCAGAGATGATGACCTTCTTGGCACCACCCTTCAAGTGAGCAGAGGCCTTCTCCTGGGTGGTGAAGACACCAGTGGACTCAACAACGTAGTCGGCACCCTCCTGGCCCCAGGGGATGGCAGCGGGATCACGCTCAGCGAAGAAGCGGATCTTCTTGCCGTTGACAATGAGACCCTGCTCGTAGGTCTCGATGGAACCCTGGAACTTGCCGTGGGTGCTGTCGTACTGGAGCATGTAGGCCTACATCAAGTGAATCGAGCTCGGTCAGCCAATGCGTCTGGTTGCTAAGAAACCTGAATTGGTCGCCACATACAGCATAGTGAGTCTCAATGAAGGGGTCGTTGACGGCAACAACCTCAACGTCACCAGAGGTGATGCTGTGGACGAGCTGTTAGTACAAATTGGACGTCCGATGTCCCGGAGTAAGGAACTCACGCGTTACGGAAGACCTATAGGAGGGGTGGTCAGTGCAATTCATTCGCAGCAAGCATTCGTGGCTACTTACAATACGTCCAATACGACCGAAGCCGTTGATACCGACCTAGCATTGGTTCAGTGAGTAACAGCGTGAGGATGATGGAGCTCATCCATTTCCCGGGCGTACCTTGGGAGCCATTGTTTAGATGTGTCTGTAATAGCGGGGTAGCTTATTAGTAGAGCGCTTGGGACAACGAAGCGGGCAGCTTGCCGGAGGGGAAGTATATGAGGATGAAGGAACTGGGAGAGAATGGATTGATCTGGGGAAAGAGACTTACGGATTGAATGGGGGAATTTGTAGAGAAGAAGATGAAGAAGAGGATGAGGATGATGGAGAGTGAAAGAAAGAGAAAGAGAAGAAGAGAGAGAGAAAAGTTTCAACAGGCGGGGGAGGGGAAGGTAGAAAAAGGATAGCGGGACAGACTGGAATCATCGACTGACGCAACAACCCGGTCACTACACCGAACAGACAGACGGGGCAAAGGCTGTGCGGCAAGCTCTGCCACTCTCTATGGAACATTTGGGGAAAATACGCCAAGCTGGTCAGCGTGGGATTGCCCTATGGGCCTATTGATTGTCCCGACATGCGCCGCTCTCCAGCTTCCCCATAGCCTTTTCCGGTTTCATACACCGGGCAAAGCAGGAGATTCACGATATCTGGGCCTCCCAGACTTCCCACCTTTCCCCTCGGCAGCTGCCGTCTGGGCCAATGAGCGAGCTATACAGCTATCACGCCGGGTACTCACTCCAACTGCTCGAGAATCTTTTACCTTGCTGCATGGTCTTTTTGTTTCGTACTGCTTCGAATGCCTAGGTTATTGCCGGAAAGACAGGCCATTCTCGCATCCTCCGGGACTAGGATCAGCCGAGGTGATGTGAATCAGGAGGAGGTGGTGGTGGTTGGTGGTGGTGATGGTGGTGGTGGTGGTGTTATTTGTTAGGGTGACAAGGGGGAAAGGGAATCATGAGGTTACAACAGGCCACTAATTACCTAGTAACTACTACCACCACTACCACCACCACTACCATCATCTGGCACTACATGAACTGGGTATTGTGTACATTGTCACCCCTCTCCGAGACATCCCACATCTCCAATTGAACACAATTCCCCGAATGCCCGCATCCAGATTCGGCCCGTTTCGATCAACTGCTCGGTTCGGGCTTATGATGATCCCCTCCCTTGGCAACTTTTTGCCCCTCCATTTGCTTTGCTTTGCGTTTGCATCCGCCCTGGCTGGACCATTGCTTGAGATGCTGAAAGCGGGCCTGGGGAGAGCTTCAACTGAACTTTGACACCGAAGGTGCCTGAAAAGATTCACCGGCTACCCATGTCAACCATCACGCGTTGTGTCTCACTTTGATTTTTTTTTTTTTCTTTTTCTTTTTTTTTTTTTTTTCTTTCTCCTTTCGGTCATTGGATCTGTGTGATGAGTGGAAGACTTGCCTCTGCGGCTTCGTACGGATTTTTCCATGCCCAATGGCAATGAAGAGAAAGAGATTGTCACCCTCGACATTCTGAATGGCGGCATCAGTGGCACATACTGTGTAGTCTTCGAGTCATAAATGGAAGTATGCGAATAGTAAGCTTATGACCTACGATTAGTTAGAAATACAGAATAACTAAGCCCCGCGGAGCAAATTGGTGCCCTGGATCCCAGGGAGGCCTGAGGCAAACGGATAATGCGGCAGACAAAATGAGACCGGAACATCGGGTTTGACTCCACATATGAACGCATCTACGTAGCTCATCTCCATCCATTGATGCCGGACTGCTAATTGCAGATCATGTCTGTCAGCTGATGTGACCGTCCTCGAGCAGTTTGCAGACCCTGGTATACGAGGTCAGGCGAAACAACTATCAATCGCGTTGCCACACCATTGCCCGTTTGAGTCAATCGGTGAAGCACCTGCTTAGCATATCGATGCGATTAACTTACTGTACATGCACGCAGCTATAAACGGGCATCAAAATCAACCTGCTTACATCCTGGTGATAATCCCAACACAAGCGATTAAGAAATTCGTAAACCCATCGGCAGTATCATTAGCAATGAAGATCAAAGCGAAGCAGCACCAACGCAGCTCGGCTTAGCTTTTCACTTCAATGACAAGGCATCTATGCAAGGCATCTATAAATACAAGAAGTACAAAACATGTGCCATCTTCATCGCACGTCTGCTACCTAAAGCCGTTCCCGATTACTCCTCCTTGACACCTCCCCGCCAGTTCTTCTCGGCGCTTTCGACCGAAGCCTTGTCAGTCTTCACTTGGCCCTGGTTCATGAAGCTGTTGCCGGACTTGAAAGGGCGCTGGAGGTCACCAGTGGCAGGCTTGCCGAAGACATGGATCTTGACCAGGTTCGACTCGAAGGCGCTCTTGAGAGGGATAATCGACTGGATCAAGAGGGGGTTGGTGTACTTGAAGTAGAGATGCATCACACCCATCATGCCAACACCCATGAGTTGTCCACGGATCAGCTGGCGCAGCTGTCCCTTGTCGTACTCACAGTTGGTGGTAGTCACGGGACGAGGCTCCTCGTTGCTACCCATGGGAGCAGGCTCGACGTACTTGAGCGTAGTCAAGTCTAAGGTCTTAATTAGCGGGTGATCACCGTCGTTTCAGATAGGCGCACATACCATTCTTTTTATTGATCTTAGCCTGAGTATACCAGTAAAGACCCAGGATGAGGACGTTGGACAAGATGTACATGCAACGCACAAGAAGGAGCACATCGGGGTTCTCGAAGGGCACCTTCTTGGCTAACTGCATCATCACCACGATGATGGCGAGGTTGGTACTGCGACAAAGAACGAGTGGTCAGTGATGCCATTTTCGACAACTGCAGCTGGCTGACAGGTGGAGTTCCACTCTACGTCCTGATAGAGAGAGTTGGAGGGGAAAAAAAACTCACACTTGAGGAGACACCATCTTGACGGATCGAACAGCAGTGCTGAGGCCTAACAGGACCCTTGAACAATGAGGAGCAGTGCGCGATGGGGTGAAACGAGGATGGGGACAAGGCGTGCAAGGACAGAAACTTCCCAATCTGCGGAACTGGAGCCCCCCGGGAAAGTGAAGGTCGGGCCAGCTGTCCTGATAGCGCAATGTCACGTGGCAAATGTTTGCCACTAACTTATCTCTGTGGCACACGCGACCCAGAGGCTACAGCAAGTGTCAACGATAAGCAAATGTTGTGTAAGGCCTAAGGCATCAGAAAATCACCTGTTCGGCTTATGTAATCGGTCCAGCAACCATCATGCTTTGCACACTCTCCTACCAACCTCGACTGCGCTTTCACATACAGGCAAGAAGCCACCACCCTGCACCGTCTGTTGCGGCTCACATCTCTTTGATATGAGCAACAGCCTGTAGACGTTCTCCTCAACACAATGACTTCTTTGGACACCCGTGGTGTTTTTGACCATCGCTGCATCAAGACTTGAATGACTCGACCCAGCGATGGTATAGACACTCAGCAACTGACCCCTCCCAGGCTGTCTCTTCGGTGGCCGATTGCAGCACGAAGCTTCGCCTCGTGCACTGATTCAGACTACTCAATTTCAGTGGCAGCATTTGGAATTATTCCTTTTGTGAAGCCGGCCTCCAGGCATACTCTGTGCTGGTCGATACCTCTCCGTGGTAGGCAACTGAGGAGGCTTCCTAATGGGGACTAGCGCCGCTCCACGTTCGACGCCCGTCTTTAGCGACCAGGATGGCTTTGACATTTCTGACTCCTTCAACCATCAACAACGCGCGTGCTTGAGGTGCATCGGATCGCTCTACCATCCACCATCGCACTCCACCCTTTTTAATCCTTCGATTGACGCGACATTTTGATCCTTTCGGTCCCAACCCTAGAATCTATTCACCATGCCTGGCGGAAAGGGAAAGTCCATCGGTGGAAAGGGCGGCTCCAAGGACTCTGCGGGGAAGAGCCAGAAGTCTCACAGCGCAAAGGCCGGTTTGCAGGTCCGTAAACCCAGTCTCTTTCTTCCTACCTCCGGGGAGTGGCGTCAATTACGATGTCATTCGGCAAGTTGCGGGGACGCGTGGTTGAGGCAGCTGTAATGGGATTTTTTTTCTCTGCCCCTCACGCATGCTGTCTCCTTGACATCCGGCGGTCCTCGCTTTGCTACACCGAGGTCGATGATCGCTTTTGCATCTTGGACCATTAGCGCGCTGGCTACTTCTCGACACAGCGAGAGACCCGGTTATCCGCGCCTCCGGATCCCCCCCTCTCTTGCCCCTCCCCCCCTTCAACTCTGGTTTGGATCGAGCTTGCATCGGAGCCATGAGCTGACATTTAGCTGCTTAGTTCCCCTGCGGACGTGTTAAGCGTTTCTTGAAGAACAACACGCAGAACAAGATGCGCGTTGGTGCTAAAGGTAGGCCGTCTGTCGCAGATAGTCCCTTGAATGCTGCCAACTTCCTGACTCCCAAGCACTGCTGACAAATACCGTCCACAGCTGCCGTCTATGTCACTGCTGTTCTCGAATACCTGACTGCTGAAGTTCTCGAGCTTGCTGGAAACGCCGCCAAGGATCTTAAGGTCAAGCGTATCACGCCCCGTCACTTGCAGCTGGCAATCCGCGGAGACGAGGAACTGGATACCCTGATCCGCGCCACGATCGCCTTCGGTGGTGTTCTGCCACGCATCAACCGCGCACTACTGCTGAAGGTCGAGCAGAAGAAGAAAAACAAGACTGACGCTTAAACTTCTTTTCACGGCGGACCGGATACCCGACGAACGAATGGCGTTTTGATAATGATGAATTCAACCCCGGGAGAACTGAACCGGATTCTCTCTTCCTTGGCCTTCAACTTGCTCTTGGGTCTCGGCCAGCAGGATTGGAAGACGGCTCTGAAATGGACACAGTGGCACACATCGTGTCGTCTCCCGGCACGCTACCCGTTCGAAATGTTTCTTTAGCTCTGTTTGTCTCCTTTCTATTGTGATTCCATGTGCTTATCTCCCCCCGACAGTTGTGTCTTTTTTCATGGCTCCGCTTCAAATTCTGTTTCTATTTCTATCCAGGGCGCTGTAATGGGAAAAAGGGGAATATCTCGGCAGTCGGTTTTCTTTATTTTCTCGTCATGTTGCTGTCGAATTATCTATCTTATTTCTTTCATGTCTTCTTATAATCGACTATGAAACGGTGTTGTCTGTGCTCAGTGCACTTGACGAGACTGATTCGCATAATCCTCTCTTGTCGCCACATTACGAACGGATGGGCTCTGGTTCTAAGATTGTAGACAGGTTTCTTCTCAACGATACACGGGTCGGGCGGAGTTGGACATAAGTCATAGTAGGATAGAGATCGATATCGATATCCAAATTTCAAGACCGCAGAGCTGATAACAGTCGGGGCGCTGATTGGGATTTCTTCCGTCCTCCAGGTCAAAGGACTAGAGATCTTCAAATCATGAGTAGGCAGTCTGTATCCGATGGATGGGATATCGCGAGACCATGGTTATACACCTAATCGAGCACAAATGACAATCACAATGATGTCTAGTAGGTAGTAAGAGTGCATCAGTTCGTGAGAGGAGGCATAGACGATAGTGACTATGGCATATTATTTCATTCGATCGGAAAAAGAAAGCGGATAGAGGTAAAAAAAAAGCCAGAAGGGACTGGAGATATATATAGCACTTACTAACGTCCGGGTCCCCCGAGCAGTGGTTCTTCCCTTGGATGTCGGGAGTCAAGCTGGTCGGAGAGTGATCGCTTTCCCTCTAAACTCAGTCAACTATAGTTAATGTGGTTGAGTTTCCACGGACTACTACTACCCCTATACTAGATCTACATACTGCGGGTTCTTGATCTATATTTGCCCGTCGGTGCCGCTGCAAAGCCAAGGACAATTTCTGGAACACTGAATACAGTCCATCAGGTAGAATTCGACAGAACGATTCTTAGATGGGTATGAGATCTATCCGTAGCATTCCAAGACCCTAGAATACAAGGCGAACAAACACATTTCAACGATAGTCCTCTACAGTCTAGCAATGGAAGACAAGGCAAGATGAATAGCTAATACAGTACACAGACAAAGTCATGTCGATCATATGAACAAACAAAACATCCACCCATCTGTGGCCCCTGGCATCAAAACAGAACTCCTCAAGCAGCCAAGCACAGAATGCAAGCACCCGTTCCGAACCGTTCTCTTTCCTCGGGAAACAAACCTCACGAACTGCATATATCCCTTCTCGAGGGTTTTCCATGCGATAAGTTTCATAAAATGATAGTAACTGGATTACATATGCGCGGACAGGCCCCGTGCGAGATATTTTGATCCAGAAGAGCTGACCAGGCAACAGGCGCAATGCAGGTGATGTGTATGCGGGTTTGCGAGAGGATCCGGTTCAACCAGATCAACCGCACCACATAGCAAGTGTGTGAGCTTGTGTGTTAACAAGCCACGTACAAGCGAGAGAAAAGGGCGACGAATGAGTAGAGAAAAAAGAAAGAAACATTAATTGATGCACATCGCCCCATATACAAACAAACAAACAAAAGGAGAACGGAATAGAATGATGAAAATGCAAATGCTAGTAGTAAGTCATCATCTCTCTTGCCAATATGACAGACATCAAAGGTCTTTTCCTTCTCTGTGGTGTCGTCCTTCGTAGTCTTCTTTCGAAAAATAAAGAAATTTTATCTTGCTTTCCACTGACACGACTTGATCGAGCTTCAGGGGTCATAAGATCTGGAGTAGATAGTGATGATTCTGCATGCAAGGCGCCCGCGTCTCAAAAGTTCAGCGATTTCCTTTTTTTTTTCTGATGTGAATGTTCCGCGTAGCAAGGAGAAAACATAAAGAGTCCGTTCAAACAGCGTGCCTGCTGGGCTGCCCCAAAAATAACGTCTAAACTTGGCTAGATCAGAGAAATATTCTTTTGTGGTTCTCTCGGTAGAGTGTCATCTCGTCATCCCTCATCGAATCGTGAGCCAGTAATCGCAGAACAGGATCAGGCCTCGTGATATAAGAGTCGTATGCATCTTGCGGCAAAGCAATCTAACAAGTTTCGTCGTCTTCGTCTCCCATCAATTGATTTTACTCCACAATAATTTCCACTCCGGAGCTGGTGCGCAACTCGTCACTCCCACGCGTTTGGTGTCCGGTCGGGCGTCGGAATCCTGGACCTTTTTCGGGCATCGGGCCTCGCGGCTGTCTAATGGGCATGCGCTCCTGTGACTGTCCGTCAAATCCAACTCCGATGGATCGGTTACTACCAATGGGACCAGCGCTGGAGGGTTGACTTTCCGGCTGCTCCCAAGAAAACATACCCCTCAATCTCCGCGGGCTCGCATTCGGCCCTCCAATCCCAGTTCCCAAAGCAAGACTGCCAAGGCTGTTCACCAACAGGCTATCATCACGCTGCATGCCGAGAGAAGAGGCGGACGGGGCAGACGTCAAGGTAGGAGTGTTGGACGTGCCGCTGGCAGTGCCATCGTAGTGCTGAATCCGTGCGCCGTTCGACTGCAATGCGGCAGGAAAGCTCGCAGAAGAGGGCACGGGTGAGGGCGTGTACGAGCGCAAGTCGGCAAACGATTTCGCCGCCCGCAGGTTCTGCGTGTTCCCGAAGTTGCCGGGGGAGTCCAGAACGCCGAGAAAGCCGGATGGCTGTCCGCGCAAAGTGCTGAAAGGGGTGGGTCCGTCGCCCCGAGACTCACTGAAATCGATGGTGGCCGCGCGGTTAAGTCCCCGACGCGCCGTCTCGACGGGCTGGACCGGAGCAGGAATAGTCGACAAGGGCGGGCTCACATTAGTACCAGGTGCGACCTTGAAGACTTGAACCTGCCGTTGTTCCCCTGACCCACGGGATGCGTGTCCAAGTCCCATATTATGGGCGAGAGTATGGACCGTACGGCGCTGAATAGGCGAAAGGTTGGCCGGAAACACCATGGAATCGCGGGCAGTGTCCTCCTTGAAGAGAAGTAGTTGCGAATAGTATGACAGCGTTGTGCTGTCATTCAAATCGACGTCTGTGAAGCGACGCAAAATCATTAGCGATACACTATAGCGGGGGCCCAATGGCAGGCATCTTACCTAACTTCTGACCCCGCTGCGACACGGGTGACGGAGAGGTTGCGGGAAGGTGTGAGGTAAGCGAAGACATAGAGCTTTGGGTTTGCAGCTGCGAAGTCGCCATCGGGCGGTGCTGCTCTTCCAACTGACCACGGCGCTCGCGCTTCTCACGCTCAATGCGCTCGCGCTCCTGCAGAGGAAGCATTTTCTTGTACTCGACCCGGAGTTTCCGGCCCTGCAATTCGAAATGGTTCAGAACCTCGATGACGGTCGCAGTTTCTTCTGCGGAGGTGAAATTGGCGAAAGCCAGTCCTCGAAAGACACCATTGTCGAAATGATAGTTGAACGCATAGGGAAGTGGCAGGTTGAGCTCAGTCATGAGCTGGACCAATTGCTCCTTTTTGACGGCAAATGGGATATTCTTAATGACTATGGCCGTCGGGATCAATTCATCATCTGCCTCAGAAGGGCCGGTCGGTTCCTGGCGCATCGCGTTGCCCTGGAGAGGACCAGGGCCAAGGTTGGAAAAGCCACTGGGGATGCCGGGCTGCTGATCAAGCCACGTCTAATGAGATGAAAATCAGTGAGACCAACCGGGAAGCAGACCGATCGGGGTGGGCGGTACATACAGTGGGCAATCCAGCTCGGCCAGTGCGCGAGGTGGTCTTCAGACTGGCCGAGGCGGATCGGATGCCTCCCAATGCCTGGGCGTTAGCGAAACCATTGGGGTTCCATGTCTGAGAGCCAGCCAAGTCGTAGGCATATGAGTTATTATGCAACGAGGAGTTCAGGCGCTCCAGCCGACCAGAATCATAGCGAGCCATCGAGTCTTCGTACAGATTCACTGGCATGGGACCGTAGGCGTCAAATTGGCGCGACGGCTGGCGGTGCAGAGGTTGCTGATGACGCTGGGAACCAGGGGAACGCGCCGAAGAGTTGTCGTGATACATTTCTTGAGCTTGTTGATAACTCATGGCGACCGAGAGATTGTGAATTCCCAAGAAACAACCAAGCCGAGGAATGTGGGCACGGAGATCCACCACACAACGATTCGTTCAATGAGAAGCCGATAGTCGGAAGGAACTATTCAAACATAGGAGCGACCGAAAAGGCGCTAGTACCCCAGTAACAGTTGATGCCCCTAATGAGACTAGATCACAGACGATGTTCAAGTTGTGCGAAAGTCCGAAACTCGAGAGGGAACGGTCGAAAGTGAGGTCAACCACCAACGGAGGGGGAAGACCCAAGACGGGGCGACTGAAAGGGGGAAAAGAGAAAAAGAAGAAATGCGAAAAAGCGACAAGGAGGCTAAATCGCAGGCGAACTAATTATTTCGTGACGAAAAGGTCATCAATGGCCGTATGAATCCTCAGGCGTAAATCGGTTTCAGGAAACTTTTTTCTTCCCACTTCCCTAAGGGCATTAGAAACGAACAGGGAAGGAGAATAGAATGGAAATTGGAGGATGAGGGGAAAGAGAAAAACAATATAATGGATGTAGATGACAAGAGAAAGGAAAATAACAGACAATTAGAACAAAAGGAAAGGGAAAAGAAAAAGAGAAGAGAAATTGCCACTACCTGGGTGAGTGGGGGGTGGGGAGGGAGGGGGGGGGAGAAGGGTGTGATGGTGGATGGTGGATGGTGGGTGTTGAGGAAGACACCAGGAGTCACAACCTGGCGAGTGTGAGAGAGGAAGGGAGAGGGGGCGACGACAAGACGAGGCCCGAGATGGTGGAGGAAGTGGAAGAGTAATAGTGGTGGTGATGAGGGGAGGAAAAAGAAGGGATAGAAAAAGAGAACGAGGTGGTCCAGCAGGAGGAGAAAAGGAAGAAAGGACAGGACGGAAGGGGGAGGGGAGAGGGGGAGCAGGAAAGCAGCAAAGTGTAAAAGTAGAGCAGCAGAAGCAAAGCAAAGCAGAGCAGAGCAAAGCAAAGCAAAAGCAGTGCAAAAAGAAAGCAAGAGACCAGACCAGAGCAAACAAAGCACGCCCTCCAGACGGCACGTCGAAAAAGTCCCGGCGGCCGCTTAGTTCTAGTCTTCAATCTCTTTTTTTTTCTTTCCTCCTTCTCTTCCTCCTCTTCCTCTGCGGCCCTGCTTCCCTGTACAGGTGGGTAAAAAAAAAAAGAAAAGAAAAGAGATCAATGCAATGATATAATCCAAGACTCACAACAGACTCAAATGCAAAATGCTTGGGAGAAGGAGGAAAAGGGTGTGCTCACAATCAGTGGTCCGGGGGAAGGAGATCACCCAGGCACGGATGAATGAAATTGAATAGATTGAGAGGCAAGGCGCAGGCAGGAGAAAAAAAGAAAATGAAACTTCAAGAGAATTGAACACTGGGAAGAAAGTGAAGAAGCCGCAACGAATGGGATGAAGGGATTCCCGCAGTGCAAGTGCCAATGAATGCCAATGGGGGACGGGACGAAGAGACGGGGAAGATCGCGAGCATCCAGTGAGTGGATTCAGCGGACAGAAAGCTCGCTAGACTTGTGTGGGATTGCTTTTCCCTTTCTCGTTCCACTTCCTCCAGTTCTGGCTGGCAGTTTGAGATGGGTCTTGTGTATGCTCCCTCTGGTTGTCTTTCCCCGTCTTCCTCTTCTTCCTCTTTCTGGGTTGAGGCTGAAGGTGGAAAAGCTTTGAGACGAAGCAGAAGGGAGGTTGGACGGAGCGATGGAGAACTCTGATATCACCAAATGAGGTCACTCGATAGTATCCTCCTGCTTGGTGGGGGGGGGGGGAGGGTGGTGAATGGTGTTCTCTCGACCCTCCTTCACTTTCGCTTGTGTTTTCCAATTCCTCGGAACTTCTTGAGCACTTCTTTGCTTTCGCAGACCTCGTTCAAGTGGCAAATGCTGATAAGAAAAAAAAGCAATCGTTCACGAAACGTTGGGAGAGGTGGTGGACACAACTTCAAAATATAATGGGAGGAATCCGAGGCTTTTGCCCAGATGAGACAAGCAACGATGATTGGTGGTTGGCCGATGCAGGCTTGAAATCCAGAATCGGGGCTGTTCTGCAAGATGATGCTAGACCATGGATAATGGGAAGGCTGGGACCAGGGAAAGGAAAAAGCAATATAGATATATATATGTATACAACATGTATAGATCAACAGTTCATCAAAGGAAATCAGTGGCACTTACAGGAGGAGGAGTATATAGTAGTAGCAGTAGACTTCAGGTGTACTCAGAGAAGCCAGTTAGTAGTAGATAAACACAATCGGTAGCGGTAGCATATACGGAAATAGGCGGACGAGATCTATCGAACCTCTCAGGAACGGGGCGAAGTACTTAAGTACCTCACATCTCAGGGTAGTTTACGGAGCATACTACTAAGAATACTACGACTAATTCTAATGGACCTAGGAGAAATAAAATTGGGGAAGTGCACAGAGAAGGTATAGAGTCGAGCCCAGTACCGTCCATCCGGGACTAACCCAACTACGGCTAATTACCCAAGTTGTTTGACTATCGTCTGGCCACCACCAAACATCCCTACTAATTACGGAAGAGCCGTTTCTGTCGGGTTGACCACAATTGAAAGAACACTTGCAACCTCCTGAATCTACTGTATAAGGTTAGGTCTGGTGCTCTCAGGCACCAGATATATCGGCAAATTAGAATTTCCTCGCAATCGTTGGATGACTGACAATAGTCGATTCATGCATACAGCCATTGTCTTATTGAGTGCACTAAATTCATTACCACTCACTGCTGCTCACTGCATTGCTGGACTGTCTGCACTCACTGCTGGCCCCTGAGCTCTGACGGTCCCGTGTCTCAAGGAAGAGAGAGAGAGAGATGAAGCATGAAATCACCTAGGGGATGATGACGAGAATTTGGCCCATCCGTCTCCGTGAGATTTGCATTTAATCATCGGTTCTCGCCACTATGACTGTTTTTGAAACCTTCTCTTTTGTTCTTGTAATACCCTATCCCCCTGAGGAAAATAGAGCTTTCCCCATGGCCATGCCTCCCACCGCGTCATCTTCCGGTTACCCCTGCTGCGTCGTCAAGCGATTGTCGCCATCCGGTCTGTTCTCCTGTCGATGTGTGTGTTTCAGCCTGCCATCGTGTTCGGATGTCCCTGAGAGAGAGACCAACGTGAGAACACAGCACCCCGCCTCGTACCCCCAGCGACCCCCTCTCCTTCCCCCTTCCCCTTCAACTTACTTCCCTCGGGCTATAGGGGAATAATTCTCCGTCAAAGGGGGGAAGTGTCAATTTGGGATTAAATTTTCTGTCATCAGAAATGACGCATCGGTCCGAAGATCGTTCCCTCCTTTCTTTATCGGGGAATTTGGGGAGGGGAGGCGTGTGAAAGAGGGGGTGAGAAGCGTCGGCGATGAATAGCTGCCCATCTTGCTGCCTTGACCCTCATTCATCACTTCATCACATAGGTGGCAAGTCTTGTCAACTGTCTTGCAAATCTTCCTTCCCGAGCGCACCCTACTCGGGGAAATGGTGTAAGTGCAAGCTTGCAGTTCGACGCGTCCCTATTGCTCCCGAACACCGTACGTAGTTAGACTAGATACGGTGGGTTGGGATCCGCCTTTTGGTGGGTAAACACATGCCCTATAGCTTCAATACTTCCTGGGAAAACATGAATGAAAATCGAATCAAAGTCCAAAAGTCAAAATAAAACGAGCCAAAAAGGAGAGGAATGCCCCACACAAGCTTCTGGCAGCTTGATCCTTTTCTTTTACCTCGTCGTCAGTGAGCTTCGAATTTGAAGAGAAGAAGCAACCGCGTTCTGAAAGAAATAATGATTCACATGCATGGTCAAACAACCTGGTCGGTCTCGAGTCCACTGAACGCAGAAGCAACTAGCGAGGAGCGAGCCCCGAAAATCATACCTGTCAGTCGGGATCAAGCCCCGACCCCTGATGAGCGGTACTCCATACAGTCTATTTACCCTGCATCCGTCCATTCGAATTCCGGAACAGACACATTATCACTGTTATTATTATCTTCCGTGCTATTCTTATCGCTTTCTACTCCGTACTGCCGAAGCAATTGTTCTTCTTTCCTGCGTCATTTACATGACACGCAAGTGTTTACGGGGTCCCGGAGCCCGGAGGAGTCTCCCCTGGACGGAGTGTTGCCAACGGAGATGTGCAACGAACTCTTTCCTCATCGATAAAGGAGCGTAAGTCTTGCAAATGGGTTTCCGGACTGACAAGCCTTTCCCCTTTCTGCAGCGAGTGGACACTTGGTGACAAGAAGCGAATCTGGAACAATCTTACTGGGCTCCAGCAAAATGACGGTCAGAAGGAAAATCTCGCGATAAGACCCGAACCCGCAAGGCCACTAGAGCAGTGAAAGCACAGTCGACCACATACCGGTCGGTATACACGCCATAAGGATCCGCAAGTCCCCGAATTCTGGCTTATTATGGGGAATTGGCCCAATATCTGGCGGTTTGGGATTTAACGCTTCCAAGCTAGAAGCCGCTAGAGTGTCACCAGAACCTGTTTGTCGGAGATATCAGATTTTACCGCTTGTCGACTTTCCACCCTCGAAGCAGCACCAGCACCAGCAACAGTGCACGGGATCCTCCGACTAACTGTCATCCCTCCCATTGTCATGCAGTGGCCCGCGGTCCGGTTGAAACTGGCACCTGCCCTGGTTAGGCCGAAGAGAGGGAGGAGAAAGAAAAGAAGTCTTCTAGGCGAGCACTAAAAACTAGTCTCCGTCTCCTACTAGTAATAATTCCCTCGGCGAAGCGCTCACTGTATCCACCACACATCCTCGCACTTACCTCTGGAGGAGGGGTCTTCCATCCTCAGGGTAATTTATTCATCGAGACAGGGCCAGTCCCGTGGCGTTGTTCGCCGGGGAGCTTCCATGGGCGATCCCGACATGAGCTAAACTCGCAAGCGCTTCCATAGAATATTCTTAGTCTGTTCCCAATCCACTGGAGGCCGGTTTGCTCTACCCACTTGAGGAAATTGGAATGGAGCCTTTTCGACACCATGGTCCTACTAGTGATTTATCGTCATCGCTGATTGGGAAAGCTCAATGGATTAATAATTCTTACTATGGGACTGACAGTCATTAGCCTCCGCGGTAACAGAGATAGGGGGCAAGACCAGCTCTGGTAAACCAATCGCCTTCCGTGAACATGAACGGGACTTGACAGTATCAACATGGAAGCGTGCAAGTGCAAGCCAGCAAGGTGCTTTGCGAATGTGCTGCTAACTTGACGGCTGTGCTGTCCTATTCACGTGGTGGTGTATGGAGTAAAGCAAGCTGAAATAGTTGCACCTTCTAGTTATACAGGATAGCTCGCAGTTTCCCTGCCAAATCTGTGGATTCTTGCTTTGAAAGAAATTTTTCCACTCATCAAGAGAGCAGATGCGATCAAATGCTCCAGTACCGTTAGCTTTCGTCGAATTCCTTTCTCCTTTGTTCGCCCTCGTGGGCTCAGGTCTTTCTCATTACTTCAAAACTATTTTACTACCAGAAAGCTCGAGTAAACCAGCATCTGACCCTGCGCCTCACATCTCCTGTCAAGGGCAATCTGTGCCATACAAACGACAATGGGAGGTGAAGATCATCATCTAGTGTATGATTTCCTGGCTGGTGGGTTGAAGACAAGTAATTGTTGACTTGACGGCACCCACCTTCCTGCCAATCACACGTCGCCGACATGACCACAACTTAGGTCATTCATATGAAACAAGTGGTTTCTTTTTGCTGTCTGTGTCGACGCTGGCTCTGCCAGATGATGCGCTGCAGGCAACAAACAATTCCGCTCTGACACCTCGCCTGTGGAAGTAAGCCTAAGAATCACTTCTTGGATCAATCATGGGGGTTTCAATTTATGATCCGTACAGACTTCCAGGCAATGATGCATTCTCCCTTCTCTTTTTCCGTTTTCTTGTTCTGGTACGAGTTGCGGCAGTGTTTACATTTTGTTGTGGTTTGTGCAGGATGGGGCTAATGCAATGCAGTATGTAAGCCACCTGATCCATCATTTTGGACCTTCCCAATTGCCAGCTGCTACGGAGGAGTTGCCACTTGAGATATTTTTCTCTCTTCGCCAACAAGGGAGGACAAAAGAACCAATCAATCTGTCGAAGTCTTGTACCACACTGCCCTCGATAGAGGTGCCAGTAATGACCCAACAAGCAATGCAAACCTTCTATTCGCATAGCAATAGCATATAAATCCCCCCTCACCCCACCGAGATACCGTGACCCTTTGTCTCCTACTACCCCCTTGAAACCAAATAGCAACCAAGTTACAACAGTCATGCTCACCGAGAAAATGTTCAGACAGGATCGTTCCAAATGCCACACTCGACCACCAAGAGTACAGACCGACCTCGCCCATGCAAGGGTTGATCGCTCCCCTTCAGCCCTCCAACAACAACACATACACATGAATACACTCACCGAAGCCACTGTCCTATCCTGTGCGTGACTGCTGGATGTATGTACCGTACATACATATGAAGGGTCAGATTCCTTTTTCCTGATCCGGACCACCTCGCCTATCCTGCATGATACGGAGTAAAGATGGGAGGAACCCTTGCGTTGACTGTCCGTTCCGTGGTCCCGTCCGCCATGAAAAAGAGGAATAACACCCGTGGACGGTGATCTTTCTTTGACTTTGCCCTTTAATCCATCTCATGTCAGTCCAATGTCATCTCCGCTGTTTCCGTGGTGATTGTACGGAAGGAGGAGTAAGGAGATGGCGAGCACGATCATATCTGCATGCCTTGCGCTTCTCTCTTAAGACAATTGATGATAGATAGATAGGAAAGATGCGTTGTTGCCAGAGCTAAAGATGATAGGTATGATTGACCCTCATTTTCCACGATATGGGGATTTTCAACCGGAGACTCCGCGAGAGAGCTCACATTGGGTACGTCTACATGGATCTAGGGCTTGTGGTACATATAGCGATTATGTCATAGCGGTCATCGCTGTTGGTGAGTTGTAGGTATCCCAGTAGTCGATGATTGGTCTTCTTTTCCTCCGCGGTTACGTGCGCTCATCTGAACTCAGTGGCCTTCACTCTCCGCATGGGCGTTGAATCACAAAGTGGTTCGTGGGTGTATTGTCGGGGTAACGTGCTGAATTGTACGATCAGTTTGCTATGTATATATTGCGCCAAAGTGTCTGTGGACAATCAATCGAACTCTTCCCACTCAGAATGACTCGCTAATCATGACTACTTGCTTGTTCGCCTTGACTACCGAAAATCTGTGGCTTTCTAGCTGAAGTTTTGCTGCACTCATGATAACCATTCCCACAGAATAGTGTAGTGTTTAGGAGGGCAAGTATGTCTCTGGCTGGAGTTTGAACCTCCAAGCAGATATAAACCTCGCAGAAAATAAGCTTCTTTCTACCAAGTATAAGGCACCTCATCCCCAAGACCTCAATTCAATCTCATCAGTCAAATAACATCACAACTCACAGCGCACACCCAAAAGACCACCTACATCAGCAAGCAACTTGAAGCATAGGTAGCATAATCAAAAAAAAGTAAAATCACAGCCATTCTACCAAGATCATCACCCATGGTCCATCATTCATGAATCCATCTACTCAGCGATAGTCCTCAACTCCCTCACTTCCAACCTACCACTCCGGCACTCCTTCCTCACAAGAAAGCAAGAGCTCCCACCCAGACAACAGCCGCCGGAGAAGCAGCACCACCTAGGCCCACTATCCCCGGCGCCGCGTTACCAGTTGTTCGGGCTCCTATCGGAGAGAGCGAGCTTGTACCAGATGCAGCCAAACCAGTCGCACCAGTCGCACCGCTCGCAATTGGTACCACCACTGGTTCCCGCAGTATCAGCAGTCGACACCCCGCCCGCGCCAGTAGCAGTGGCTGCGGAACGTCCCGTGGTCGAGGTCGAGGTCGCGGCCGCGGGGTTCCAAGTTGTGGTTGAGAGAGAGCATGATGTTCGTAGTATATCGTATGCATCTGTGTGTTCGAGTTCGCCGAAGAGGGGGGAAGGATTAGTTGATGTTTGTCTACCCCTCATCTCACCTAATCTCCTGGTGGTATATACCTCCTGCGTGTATACGAGGGCGCTGACTTACCATTATCATGAGGGTCGTTATCGTGGTCATTGTCATTGTCCTTGTCATCGTCATGGTGATCATGATCATGATGCTGGGTACGGGATTCCCCAATGCAGGCCTCGCACAGCGGGATCAAAGTATCCGCGCGGTCCCAGTCCAGATGCACTGCAGCTCTGCGCGATCGTTGTCGGTGCGGGCGTCGCAGGCATGCGTGATGTTGACGACGGGGCTGCACACATCCCAACAGGAAGAACGTCGTTGTGGTCGAGGTCTCTACTGAAAGTGACGGTGCTTGCGAGCCTGAGGCCGCTGAGAGCGAGGAGTTGGGCGATGCGCATTTCGTTTGGTGTGGGGGTGTGTGTGTGTGTGTGTGGTTTGGAGAGTATAGTAGTAGCTTTTGCTGGCAGGAGAGAAGAATTGATGTCACTATCTGAGAAGAGTGCTGTGGACTTCTCGCAGCTTGTGATTCTGCGGTGCGATTAGCTGTTTGGATGTGAACTCTATTCGACCGTGACCATCGGGCTTCTTTATAAGTTGCTTTCCCCTCACTCTCTCTCCCCTCATCATCTCCTGTCTTCCTATATCTATGTTCTTGTATCGCAGCGTAGGCTACAGCCTCTTAATGTTTCTCAAACCGCACGCAGGGCGGCCAGGTCTTCGTGGATATGAACTTCCGATGCCGAGTTCGAATAAGCGACCAGTTTCTCCATGCTTTCGGAAGAAGAGCCACTCTGCCATGGACGCTATCTTGATAGACATTGCTCAGCCTCGCAGAATCGCTGTCGTCAGGAGGGTAACTTAGAGAGAGAGGGAGGAGACCGGACCCTGATAAAGCGGCGATCGACGTCCAAAGAGCCAATGTTCCATGGAGTAAAGTGGTTGCCTGCTTGCTGTGCAGAGATTGAGATCCGGATGATGATTCTGTTTGTGCGCTGGATTGGTTCTCCATGGGGATGTCGCTGTTCGGGTTCGGCATCATAGATATTGGTTCTGCACGCCTAGAACGAAAACATGCAGGATCAAGGGTTGTCCTGACTGCGGGTTGGTCGCATACCTATTTGTTTTTTTTATCCCCCTTCGGGATTGAGAGACTGGAAGGAGGCCACAGTCGGGTATTGCGCAGCGGGTGATCGAGATCATGGAATTGTGTGAAGTGGATCTCTACTGCATGGAGTCTACTGGCGTAAATAGGATAAGATGATGTTTTCCCAAATACTCTTTTGGTTGTCTGTTACTTACGGATTATCGTTAAAAGTATGAAGATAGTAGTCTAGATGGTTGTAGGGGTCAAGTCATCAAGACCCTGGAGAACATGCATGTACGGAGTAAGTAGTAGTATGTACCTGAAGGCTTGCGCCGCCTCCTTGCTATAATTAGATAGTGTCCCAGGTTAATCGGACCGCGAGCCAGTCGGAGAAGCCATCTGCAGATTGAAGAACTACTCCGTATGTTGCCTGAAATTATCTGTGCATGAAGATTGACTACCGAACATCCAATTGCCGACAAGTCAAGTGTGACTATGAGTACTGTAGGATGCAGAGATTGAGGAAAATATTCATGATTCGAGCGGGTAAAAGATGCAACTACAGTTCGAACAACCCCACCACCATGCCCCATCCACCTACAGAGTAGATGATAGATAACCGGAATTGATTTTTCCATATATGGTTCAAAAGAGTAAATGGCAACATGTTTCCTTAGGTCATCATGAGGTCAGTTTTGCCTCCTTGGGATTGACTCTGCGTCGGAATGTGCCGTCGCAACCCCTCATTCCTTTTTATCCACTTCAACCCATCCACTAGATGTTAGATGTCATACTAAGATCCTGACCGTCTGGAGTAGGTAGTATCCATGTTTCCACCTCGTGCGTGAGACGTACCTTATCACCCAGTCTCTCTTGTCTACACAGATCCAATCGTTCAATGGTCCGTATGGCGATAAGCAAGATATCCTGGGAAGGCCATGTCCTTCGGCCGGTCCAGAACGCTCCTCCCTCTATAATACCGACGCTGATATATGGGACCGCATGGAAGAAAACCCGGACTGCTGATCTGGTTCACCAGGCTCTCAGAACTGGCTTCCGGGCCGTGGATACAGCTGCCCAACCAAAACACTATCGGGAGGATTTAGTGGGAGAGGGCATTCGCAGGGCCTTCAAAGATGGCGCCATCCAGCGCAAAGATCTCCATGTAAGTCCTGATTTTACCCGTCCAGAGCCCCTCCCGGAAATCCATTCCCTGCTGCCTCATGATGCATGGCCGGTAGCTAAGTTAGGCCTAGATTCAAACAAAGTTCACCTCTGTTCGGGGCCAGGACCCCAAGGATATGCCCTACGATCCGAAAACATCCGTCACAGACCAGGTTCATGCCTCGATTCGATCATCGCTGCATAACCTCCGCGCGGACGATGCGCCGGAAAGTGCCGACGAGGCGTACATTGACATGCTTATCCTCCACTCGCCTTTGCCCACCATGGCGCAGACGCTCGAGGCCTGGCAGACCTTCGAGGCTTACGTACCGCACCGGATCCGCAATCTGGGGATATCAAATACCGACTTGCCCACGTTAAAGGAGCTGTTTACCCACGCGCAGGTGAAGCCCTCGGTAGTGCAGAATCGATTCTATGCCGACACGCAGTATGATGTCGCGCTGCGTGCTTTCTGCCGCGAGCAGCACATCATCTATCAGAGCTTCTGGACGCTGACAGCCAACCCTGACCTTATACGTTCCAACGCCGTACAGTCTCTGGCTCAGCAGGCAGAGCTCTCCCCGGCGGCAGCTCTCTACTGTCTGGTCTTAGGCTTGGGATACACCACCATCCTGGATGGGACCACTAACCCGGCTCGGATGGAAGAGGATCTGATAGCCCTCAAGAAGATGGAACGATTTTCTGGCCAGCAACCAGAACCGTGGCAGACAACCCTGGCAGAGTTCCGACAATCGATCAGGGAATAGACTTGTGCCATTAAAAGGAGGAGGTTATAACTTACTACCTTCGGTATCAGCGGGAAGGGACTGGAGTTAGTTTAACAACACGCGATAAATGTGGAGGTGTGGATAATCTCGCTCGTACTTCCGGCGGAATCTCGGTCGTGGTCCGTTTGCTCTTGGCCATCCTCCTGTCTTGCCCTTCTGGGAATGAGATTTGCTCCTTTTCGTCGTCTTCCCCAGTCCGTAGCAAAAATTTGATCAGCCAGAACTCCATCGAAAGCGCTTGAAACATCTGGAGGACCAATAGCTCTGGGGATCATGGGCATCTGGAGGCCGAACAAGGTCGAGGCTACGGTTGATAATGAATTGTGATTGGACATGGGGAACAAGTGGAGAGCGTGCCGGTCCAAGGCACGGTCGAACTAGTGATGAGACAGCCTCAAATTGTACAATTTGTAGTCCAAGTCTACTCAAACAACCCAAAAACTTTTTCTTTTTCTTTTTTTTCCACTGGGGCGTGCCGCTTCGACATTGGGGCGCTCGGTGCCAGATAAGAACAACACCCCGAAGGGTGCCAGTGCTCAATTGGATAGTATCGAGTTGCTACTTCAAATTAGCATAGCTCATGTTCCGAGTCAGTCACTATATCAATATATTGAGGTATGAATCACTTAGGTATAACTACCTCCTAGTAAGTTTAACTTACTAAGTAAGTTAAGGCCACCCCATCGTTAAATCATTCATTAATTACACGTGCAAACAAGTGAGTGACACCTGGCTGAGTCAGCTACTAAACAACCTCACCCGCCAATCAGTTCGGATCCGAGCAGCAATTGACCTCATCACCGCCCGCCAAGCTTCTCGATAGGAGGAGTTTTGCAGCACTTTCTACTACAGACTCCGGCATATCCACCCAGCACCGCGCCATCAGCGCCCATTAGGATCAGCTTGCTATCGCTGCGGAGCTTTTAGATCAGGAGGGAAGCTGTGAGCCGACAGTTTCAGCTCAGTTCATTCTGTGACTACTTGTGCTAGGGCTCAATCCATCGTACTTTATTTTCTGCCGGTGCTGGTGCTTTTGTCTGTCTACTCGTCTGCGCCCGCCCGCCGGTCACTCCCCCTCTGCGACCCAACTGGTTCGAAATCTCACTCAGTCGCCCTACCAATTTCCCTGCGCTGGGAGACGAACAAACCAACCGCCATTTCCTACACGGTAGCGAAACGACAGTGAACGACAGCGAACGACAATCGCCATCATCAAACAATACCTCCCACCCCATAAGAGCGAGCGAAAGTTGCCTGACTTTTTCCCGCCCGCACGCCTGCCCGCCTGCCCGCCCGCTCTTGCGCGCGTTGTTCATTTCTTGCTACTACTCCATCTAGCGTCTGCGGCGGCGCCCGTCGCGTCTCCGCCGTTGACACTTGCCTTCTCCATCCACTCTTGTCCACTGCTCCTCTGTGCCTTGTTTGTCATATCCTTCGAGTGATATAGCTCTGGGTTTATTCACCTTCGCCCCTCCACGCCGTCTATGACCGTCCTTGCTTTTGCGATTCCCCCGCCCACCCCCCGAATCAGCCGTGCCAGCTGAACACCCGCCCGCTTGTTCCCCCCCCCGCCATTCGCCCATCCAGCAAATCCCGAGCAGCGAGTCGATTCTTCCCTTCGCTGGTCGCCTATTTTTCCGACTTCTCATTCTGCCTGTTCCTGAGCACCACAGAGCACGCCTCGACTGACAGCCGCCCCTCCTCCCCCGAACAATACCCGCTTGCCCGACCGACCCTCCGTAGGTCGTTCAGTCGCCTGTGATGAGCCCTCAAGGAATCACTCGCAAACGACCAGCTCCTGGCACATCCCCTATCGTTCACCCGCAACTGGGTCCGCTGACGAACTATTCGCAAAACCCCGGCAATCAGCTTTCCAACGACCAGTTTCTGCAATGGGGCCAGAATCCTTCGTCCAACGTGTCCAGCCCCTCCTATCCCGATGCCGCCTCTTACAACCCGTCAACGTACACCACGAACCCAGATGTCCCGGCTTCCACCGTCACGGCTTCGAACCAGCTTACTCGCCGCCAGACTCCTACTCAATTGGTCAACCGCAGCCGCGGGTATGATCAAACGTCGACGTCGTTTCCCGACCACGGCACTGGCACGGGGGAATCCGGAGGATGGGGGGAGAGCCTGAACGAGTTATATGAGCGCGCGATGGTCGCAAAGAGAGAAGTGCAGGCTAAACGGAAACAGATCCCGCCTTTCGTTCAGAAACTGAGCAGGTATGTCCTCCCCGCGGAAGAGAACCCCATCAATGTGCAATGCATGACTAACGGGCTGCAGTTTTCTGGATGAATCAAAAAACACTGATCTGATTCGGTGGTCTGACGATGGCAACTCATTTATTGTGATGGATGAAGACGAATTTGCAAAGACGTTGATTCCGGAACTATTCAAACACAACAACTATGCCTCTTTCGTCCGCCAGTTGAACATGTACGGCTTCCACAAGAAAGTTGGACTCTCCGACAATTCGATGCGCGCGAGTGAACGGAAGAACAAGAGCCCCAGTGAATATGCGAATCCCTACTTCAAGCGCGGCCACCCAGACTTGTTGTGGCTGATCCAAAAACCGAAAAATGCAGCCGGGCAGGGTAGCAAATCAGGAAAAGGCAATGTGCGGGTGAAGACGGAAGAGATCGAGGACAATGAGAACGACGAGTATGGCGATGATGCTTTGGGTCCCGCACGAGAGGATCGATCGCGCAACCGCCAGCTGTCCTTGATCACGGGAAGTCTCATGCCCAAGGATCAGCTCGCCGGGGTGTATAGAGAGTTACAAGCCATCCGCCAACAACAGCAAGTGATCTCCAACACTATCACCAAACTGCGGAGAGAACACGAGCAGCTGTATGCGCAAGCAGCCAACTTTCAGGAGCAGCACACCCGGCACGAGAACTCCATCAATGCGATCCTTACATTCTTGGCGACCGTCTACAATCGGAGCCTTCAAGGGCAGGAAGGGCCGCAGAATCTGGCAAGCTCGTTTGCTGGTGCCATCTCACAAGAGCAAGGTAATATCGTTGACATGGACGACTACTCGCTCGGGTCTCTGGGGCCTACAAACATGACCAGCCCAACTGGGCCGCGCTCGCTGAAAAAACAGCAGCTCTTGCTCAAGGCGCCTCCGGGGGCAGACCGTCCGGGTCGTGCAACGACCTTGTCCCCCGCCTCTACCACATACGACCACCCACACTCGCGCGGCCATGGTCGGCAAGCCAGCGCCTCCCAGCCGGGTCACGTCGAGGAGGTGTATGACAACAGTCCTCGTCAGAAGGAGGCGCAGCCGCCTCCGGGGTCCCATGTTCCCCAGCGGGACATCATGTCAGTCATTCAGAATTCCAATGCACGAAGCGGCATGCCCACCAATTTTGCCGATTTTCCAAACGTGCTGTCATCACTTGAGACGTCGGGCGGTAATTCGCCGCTTACGCCCAGCCAACGGGCAGATATGCTTCGACTCATGGCCCACGAGACAGGCTCCGGCGGAGTCAATGGTGCATCATCTCCCAATAACGCCTTGGTCACACCGACGCCTCCCCCAATGCCACACAATTACTCTGGCCGGCTGGCCAACACACGAGCGGAAATTGACAACCTGGTCAAAATGCAGGCCGAGCAAGATCGCTCCGTGCAGAACCTGACCAACCTCCTACAGCCCCTCAGCCCTACAGGCACCATTCCAGGAATCAGCATAGATGGCAGTGCGCCCCCTCCCCCACTTGACCTTGATACTCTCTTCAATAACGATTACTTCACGGACATTGGAGATTTGGACCATAATAAAGCTGGTTTAGGGTATGGCAATCCGGCCGGGTCCGTGCCAGCCACAACCGGGGCCGACCCGGTGGTCACCGCCGGTCCCGACGATGGTGGGATCAAGGACGCGAACGAACTGTTCGACTTTGAGAACCTCCCCGCCGACAATGATCTCTTCGGTGCAGCCAATGGCCCGGCACACGATCCGAGCTTCTATCATGGATTTGACGGGGCCGGTTACGGCGGGAATGACCTCCACGCCAGCCTCGGACCGGAGGGGCAGCTGTCAAATGGGAAAGATTCGAATAGAATTGAGTCCTTGCCCGACAGCGATGCGACCAGCCCCGCCAACACCGTGGACGAGAGCATCCAGTACGGTGGGCTAGACACGAGCAACGATGCTCAGGGAGGTAAGGGTCTCGGTAGCGGCGTGAAACGGCGCAAGAAGGCTTGAAATCCATCCAAAAATTTTCTTATATGACAGAGTCTACTAACGGGGGAGGTCGGGCGCTGGGAAAACTCGACTGATGGGAGTAGAAAGAAATGCAAGGGAACGTATACCTGGGGAGTCTCTGCAAACTAAGTCGCCTAAGTCGCGAAAGCCGCGAAGGTCTTTTGAGGAAAATGCATAGTATCTATCTTCTTTGCTTTTCCTTATCATTCTACTTTCTTTCCCTCTTCATCAAAGAGGGGAAGGGGGCTTTTGTCGACCGAATGTTTGGCAGGTATATGGCCAAATGCTTCCCTCAAGTCTCTCTCTCCCTCGCCGACCCCCTTCCCCTTGGCCCAGCAAACCCCTCGAATAGACTCTAGCACTCTCTATTCCCCTGTTTAATGACTCTAAAGACACCAAGAATAGGTAAGCAGCCGGATGACTTGTTGAGTTATTCGTATCTGAAACCACCAGTGGTAGTTGTCGGTTTGATCGGCTTGCTTTTCTGTCTTGTGTGTCTGGGCGATCGATGCTATTTACCTGCTGCTAGATTTCCTATTTCGACCTAACAGAAGCAACGAGTTATATGACAGTGGTATGTATGTAAGTGTAGTGGTTTCTAGTAGTTGTACTGAAAATACTCCTAAAGAGCTTTGCCGTTCCTTGAGCGTCACACATATCGTATTGATAAGTTGAGTCTATCGCAATTCACAGGGTCATTCGATTAATATGATGTGATACTGTATTTGTGAAGGTGTATAGTCTACACATTCAGAACGATATCCTACAAGCGTCATTGAACACATCAAGTTATCGTATCATCTACTGGCACAGAAAGCCGGGCGCTCGAATCCCCGTTACTTGAAACCATATACTGTACATACATACATACATCACATATGCAATAATACCCCTTCCCGCCGGTCAACCAAAGGCTGGGCTATATTATAAAGCTACTATGCTCTGCATAATAAAAGACAGCATCACCGCCTCCTCTCCCTCTCCCTCTCCCACTCCAAATCCCCCACCCTTCCGCGCTTCCGCTCGCGCTCGCGATCCCGCTCCAATCCGCGCCTCTTGCCCGACGAAGACGCCTTGCCCGCGGCAATCTCCCGCTCCTTCTCGCGAGGATCGATCACCATCAACGAATCCACATCGTCCGGGTGCGCCTTCTTCCAATTCAGATCCTTGCCCAGGGTGTCTTTCTTGAACTGCAGCTGATGCGTCAACCACCCGCGATCATCATCGGCGGCATCCGCAGGGTTCGAGGCGTTGTCTGCGTTCTCGCCGGAGGGTGGCTCGTCCCAGGACTGGCATGATTGGCAGTTGGCGATGAAGTGGAGGTCGCAGAGTTGGGCTTCTTCGTCGTCTTCTTCCGCGGGGGGTGGGGCTGTGGTTGTTGCAGTAGTTTTGGCGGTCTTGATGGTGGCATTGGTGGTAGGGGCCGAGTCGGCGTTCTCGAGCTTGGCTTTGAACGCGTTGAACATTTTCAGGGCCTGGGCGTCGGCGGAGCTGGTGAAGCCGTTGATTCCGTTGCTGCCGGTGGTGGTGGTGGTGGTGGTGGTGGCAGCAGGGCGGCGGCGGCCCCGGATGGCGGTGGAGGGAATCATGGCTTCTAGAGCGGATTTCTTGGAGGAGGTTTCCATTGGGGCTGCGGTGGTGCGGCGCATCGAGGCCATGACGGACTCGATCTCGGCGTTGGTGCGGTCCAGTCGGGACTTTGCGGGCTGTGCGACTGGTTCTGGGGAGGATGGGGTGCGGAGGGGGGATTCGGGGTCGCGGAGGGGGAGTTGTGTGGACGGGTCTGGGGTTTTGTGGACGGTGGTTTCTGCTCGTTGTGGTGCGGTCGTTGTTGTTGTTGAGGGTCGTTTGCTGCGTGGTGGTGGGGACGGTTCCTCTCGCTCATGTTTCTTCGTAGGTGCAGCATCCGTCACGAGAGCAGCGTTATACTTAGGCTTCGCTGGTCGAACCGGTATCTCCTCATCCCCCTCCTCACCATTCTCATCCTCCCCATCTCCACCCGCAAAACTCAACAGCGTCTTCTTCGGCTTCTTGCTCTTCTTCTTAGTCGTCGCACCTTTCTTTCCCTCCCCTGCCCCCTGCGCAGCAGCAGCAGCAACAACCCGTCGATTCAACACCACCTTCCCCTCGAATTTGCCCAACTCCCCAACCTCACACCCCGTCACCTTGACCGGATACACCGGCCGTTCCGTCCCCTCCACCAACTCCGCCTCCGCAATCTTAAGCACGGTAAAGATACTATCCCCCTCGACACGCCCGAACAACGTACACTGCCCGTTCAGCTCGCGCTCCGTGTTCGCCAACGTGATGAAGAACTGGCTGCCGTACGTCCCGTCCTCGCTCTTGGCCATCCCCACCAGCCCGCGCCGGTTGAACCGCAACCGGCTGTGCAGCTCATCGCGCAGCACGATCTTCTCCGTGGGGTCGCGCGCCTCCGGGTCCGTCTCGAACTCTGGCTCCTCGTAGATCGAGGTCCCGCCGGCCCCGGTGCCTGTCGGATCGCCGCCCTGCACCACGAAGCCCGGGACCACCCGGTGGAAGATCGTGCCTGTGTAGTAGTTGTCCGCGACGTGTTGGAGGAAGTTGCGCGTGGTGAGTGGCGTCTGTGCGCCGAAGAGGCTGAGGTGGATTGGGCCGAGGGTTGTGTGAAGTGTTGCGGTGGCTGTTGCGGGGGGTTCGGTGTTGTAGTGGGATGACATTTTGGATGTTTTTTGGAAGGGGGGTTGTTCGATTGGTGGGAGCTGGATTTGGGCGGGGTGCGTAGATGATGCGCGCGACGAGTGAGGATTGGGCTGGGTTCGAGGATTGGTGCGCGCGCCAGGTAGGATGAGGCGGTAGGTTTTACTTGAGTTGCGGGCAGCTGAGCTGAAGAGTATCTGGTCGGTGTGTGTGGAGAATGCGATGATAGTTTTCGATGTCTCGTGGGCTCTTTGACACCCCGCGGTGAGGTGGGAATTGGGGGATTGAGCCGCGGAGAATTGACAGGCGGAGAGGATGGAAGGTTGGAAGATGGATGGAGCTTTGAAGGCTTTCCCGGGAAACCCACCTTCCGCTCTCCCGACCTGATGGAGCACAGCAGAGTGACTCTCTACAATTAATGCTTAAGTGCTAAGATGATTTTTTTTAATCCTCTTGCTTCAAGTATAGCACGACGTGAAGATTCTACTAGGGCTATTGAGATATGTTTTCTGCAGTGCTCTAGATCTCCGAAACTACTACGCTGATATTGCATGACACTGGGAAGCCCTTTCAAAGAGCTCAGACCTATCGTAGTGCGCCACCGGGAATAGCATGTCAATCTCCAGTCGCGACCATTCATTTACGTTCTGGATAAACTTCCATTTGCTAAAGTGGTGTCATGGTTTCTGACTCTTTAGTGGTCATGCCTCGAGTAGCACCTCGACCCTGGTGTATCGATACGAGTGAAGTGATAAGATACGATTGGGAAGATCTTGGTGAAGTTTTTGTGAGTCCTTTCGCTATCTCTCGAATCATGATTGCATAAAATCATTTTAAATGAATGACTATCCTACCATAAATCATCCAGTCATTACCGCCCTAGTCACAGAACCTGATTACCTTCATCGCTTACCGGGCTATTTCTCAGAACCAGCTGCAGCGGCAGCAACAGACGCGCGCTTCTTGGTGATGCGGAATCCCCCCGCAAGGAGCAGCAGTGCCTCGAGACCGAGAATCACCGCCAGGGTCACCATCGCACCGATGACACCGGCTACGGGCCTGGAAACGCCACCACTACCCTTCGACTGCGACGAAGTGGTGGTCGTGGTGTTCGAGCTGGTTGACAAAGCGGCACATTCCCCGTCAGTGTTGCCACACACACTACACCACTGCTTGGTCGAGGTCACGGCAATCTTGCTCGTGAGCTCGGAGAACTCCGCCCAGGAGATGGTAGAGCTCGACTTGCCATACAGCGGGTACTCGGTCGGCGTGCCGGACGAGAGAGTACCATTATGGAAGACAAAGCGCACGCTGATGTCGGAGGTAGAAGGGAAAGAATCCGTAGAGTTGGTGACCAGCTCCCATGCCATGGAGGAAGCGTAATCGGGCATACCCGTGAAGTTGACGTCCGCAGCGGGCAGCTGGGCCACACCGAAGTAAGACATGAACGTGCCGTACGAGCCGAACTGGACGTTCAGCTTGGATTTGCCCTTGGAGGTGATGGTGTCATTCAGGCCGAGGAGCACATCTCCCGCAAGGATCTGACCGGCGATGGCGCGGATGGTTTCCGAAGAGTTGTAGGCCAGATTGTACTGCTCGATATTGGCCAGGAGGAAGGCCTGGTGAAGCTGTTCCTCGGTGGGGACATTAGTGGTGTTGTGAATGTACCCAACATTGAGGTAGTCGAAAATCGTGTACGCGTTCTTGAAGCTCATCTGAGAGTCGGAGAAAGTTCCATTTAGTAGAGATGACAGGGACTGGTAGAAGTCCTTGGTGGAGGAAAGCAGAGAGTTGTAGAGTGCCGACGAATAGTAGTTGTTGCTGCTGACCTCGGCATTCTGGCACTCGGTCGAGCTCTGCAGCCAGGCCGTGTCCTCGCTGTTCGAACCAGACTCGGTCACGGCGATTGGAATGAGCTGGTATCCATTCAGAGGAGAGTCGATCGTACTGCCGTTAGCCAGGGTCTGGTTGGCTGATGAGCCCACAGGGGGGTAGACACCCTGGAGAAAACCCGTAGCCGAGTTCTGAAGCACATCATCAGACGGCGATGAGGCACTGATCTGGCTCAGCTTCACGATGTTCTCGTTGATACCTTGAATCTGGAGAGACGAGTTCGAGTCGATATACCGGCTACGCCAGTAGCTGCCCGTCTGATAAACCTCGCTGTAGCCCAGGTCGGTTAGCTCCGTATTCTTCAGCACCTTGGCCGTTCGATCTCCATGACGAGCAAAGATATAAGCCCCGAGAATTCTCTCTGCTGATGCTGGTAGAGCTAGAGGTAGGGCCAGCAAAGCGAGAACGAGACTGGAGTGCTGAGTAGAGGACCGCATACTTAGTGAAGGATGACTGCCACGAGGTCTTCTTCACCGAGATGTAGGAGGGAGAGAAGGCGATGATGGTGAGGGGAAGAAGACTGAGGGGAGAGCAGCAGCCAGAACGGTCTATAAGAGGAGAGAACCACGGCCGACGGACGGAACCCCGGCGTCTGCCGCGGAGAAGGGCTTGCTTTGATCATGGAGGTTGTTTGCGGCGGGGTCCGCAGGTGAACAAAAGAGAAGAATCATTGGGTGACATGATTACTTAACTTGGCAGGTTGATTCGGAGATGGTTGGTCAATTCATTCCCAGTCCTAGAGTAAGGTACCTAGTAGGTACTGTACAATGCCGACTACAACAATATCATGATAGTAGAAGTGATAGCAGGAGAGGCAATTTACGTCAGGGTCATTGCGCAGATATTGCTCGTATTGTCCCGCGGAAAAGCGAGAATGAAGCCATTGAGCAATTTCAACAGAGCTTATCTCGATGCCAATGTTGAATGATTTCTTCGCGGGGGATTGTCTGGAGCGAAAATCCAGTGGCTCCAAGCGCCACTTCCCCGCCGGTGGTCTTGGCTCCAACTTCCATCCCGTATTTTTTTCTTATCGACATTGCGCATAGTGGAGATGATTGAACAGAATTCCAATCTGAATGACACTAAGAGTCGAGAAGAGGCATCTTCCACAATGCTCAATCCGATATGTTGAGCGCAAAGACCGTCCCTACCCCAGCTGCGGGCGGGTCTCATGGACGGAGTATTGGACCCTGAGTCAGACCCTGAATGCCCGGTCCTGCAGCCCTCAGGGCATAGGTTTAGCTTAGCCTATTTGGTCTTTAGTTTTCGCCTTATCATCGGCCTGACACGGACAATCTATCGCTAATTGGCTGTTAGGTAATTCATCTACTAAACCAGTCCTATAGTACTTTACTGATGCTAATTAATTGACTCATGTGGTATAGGATGATTGTTCTTAGCATTGTTCTGCTGCAAAAATGGCTACCGGTCCATCAATTCACAGCCATTCCGTACAACACCCACCAGCCCGCCGGTCTGTATCGTCTCCGATCCACCGCCCGCCAGTCTCCATTCTATCTCTGCCAGTCCCTCCAGCCAGGTGATCCTGGTTTGTGCGGGAACTTCTACCCGTTGCAACTGGTCTCCCAACCCAGACAGGATATCTGCCAGAGCGAGGCCCTTGTTGGTCTTGATGGTGTTGATCGTATTGAGACATGAGGTAATATCACTCGTATTCAGAAGCGTGCGCATGATCTCTTCGATGTCAGAGGGGTGAGGGGCGGCAATGCAGTCGTAAATCGTTTCATTCGTGATCGTTTCGGGTTCCGGAAGGGCCTGGTTTTGAGGTGCGTCCTTCATGGGAAGAGGTTTGCCTATTCAGGTCAGCATGGAAACAGATTCCCAAGACCATCTTCTGTGCCTGGACTTACTGCTCGCATGGCAAGCCTGAAGGACGTTCAAGGCCCGTCGCATATCGCCCTTGCTCAGCGTGACCAGGCTATCCACGGCCTCAGGCTGGATGTTGATCTGCTCCTTCTCAATGACCTGATCCACCAAAACTCTGATGTCCCGCTCTTTCAGGGGACTAAATCGGAATCTGGTACAACGCGAAAGGAGCGCCGGCGAGAGTTTATGTGTGTAATTGGCGATGATGCAAAATCGAGTGTTAGCGGTATACCGCTCCATGATCCGGCGCAGCGCCATCTGTGCAGTTGCCGTCATCGCGTCGGCCTCATCGAGAATAATGAGCTTGAAGGATGCGAGGGAGGAGCCACCGGAGGCGGCCGCAGGCGCCATGGAGAAGATCTGCTTGGTGCCTAAAAAGGTCTGGTAAGTCTGAAGAAGCAGGCCGTATTTACGGATGGGCAGACATACTGGCAAAAGTCTTGATCTGTTCACGAACAACATCAATACCACGATCGTCACTGGCATTGAGCTCCAGAACCATTTGTCGCATGTTCTTGCTGCCATATATGCGTCGTGCTAGTGCTAGGATCGTGGATGTTTTGCCCGTACCGGGAGGGCCGTATAGCAGAAGATGGGGGAGACGCTAGAATTCATGAGTAGTTTGTTGATGGTCTGTGGACATGGTATTGCGTACATTGGCTTCGACAAATTTATTGATCGTAGCTAAGATATCCTGATGGCCGGAAACATCGTCCAAAGTATTCGGTCGGTATTTTTCCACCCTACAGAAAACCAGTTAATGAACATGCCACAGCAGACAGGTAGCATGGTCGACGTACCAGGGAAGGTTGTCTTGGGCCTCAATCGGTAAATCTGCTGCAGGTCTTTTGGATTTGGCACTGGTGTTATCGGAGCTGAATTGGATCGCGTTCTTGGACGGAACGTCCACATCCATTTCATCCTCGTAATCGGACATATTGTAAAATCTAGTCGACTGCCTAGCTAGTTGACAACTGGGAGCTTGAGAACTTCGGCTTAAACAATGAATTGACCCAGCAAAGCACGGAGCAAAGCACAAGGCAAGGGCCGGACGCGTCGAACTCTGGCAGCGCGTAAAGAGGTTCGGGGCCGGAAAATCCCAAGGCGAAGGAGGAGCTCCAGGACGGAGCGGCGGGCGGGTGATGACATGCGACAACAACGAATCTCTCGCCGGCCTGACAGCACCGCCTTCGATCAGCACTTCTTCCCCTCTCTTCCACCCCACCACACTGCGGTTCTTCTGAATCATCAACAACCCTTATTAGACAGGCTCTAAGGGGACGCCATTGCTATTCGACACTATCACATCATGCCTGTAAGCTTCGCAGAACTTGCACTGATGATAGACGACTCTACTTGACCTCCCACCCCCTGACACTGGTCTAGGCCTACCACTCAATCTTCCTCGAGGACCGGGATGTCCCCGTAATAGGTATGGCGGAATGCGCCTCCCATCTTCCATGCGTATCTCACACAATCCCCCGTGGAAGCAGTAACACATATCTATACTATACTTTACTCGTATTGACTCTCAATTCCTTTACAGGCAATTTCCCCGTCCTCCCCCTCCGCACCCGCACTCGCGGCCCCGCATACACCCTCCCTCCGCTACCGCCTAATGCCGATACCGAAGTGCCCCCCGACAGCGAGTCCTATGACTGTGTTGACGAGATCTTGTCGCTCTTCCGTGCCAATGTCCTCTTCCGCAACTTCGAGATCAATGGTCCTGCGGACCGTATGCTCATCTATGGAACGTTGTTCATCACCGAGTGCTTGGGGAAGGTGAAGCCGACAATGACCGCTCGCGATGCGGAGAAGGTTAGAGCTTCCGCAAATTGAGTGGACCGAGAGGGCCGATGGACGGTGTGCGTGCAGGAAGAACGGTTGCTGACAGGAGTCCGTCATATTAGGCTTTGATCAATGTCGCGCTCGATCACTTTGCTATCCCTGGTGACGTGTCCTTCCCTCTGAACCAGGCCTTCGAGGCCCCGCGGGACCGTCAGGATGCCGAAACGCTCAGATCGTATGTCTATAACCTTCCGCTCACTCAATGCATCAAGACATGGAAGAGGTTGCTGATGGGGTGGCTCCGTTCAACAGTTATCTGTCTCAGGTGCGGCAGGAGATTGCTATCCGCCTGCATGCTAGACTATACCCCGGCGGTGTCGGTCCTTCAAAGGTATGTGTCCCGATTCAGTCTGTGTGCAACACCTCTGTTAATGGACTGTCCTATAGTGGTGGCTCAGCTTCACCAAGAGAAAGTTTATGGGAAAGAGCTTCTAGGATAGATCCATTACTTTGATGTGAAATCCTCCGGACGGCTGCTGAAGTCCTGCCACATTAATTCTGTGTATATTCGAATATGAGCGTTGTGAAAGCGAAGATTCACGAGGCTGACTATATTGGTCGAGTAAGCCTTAGTTCTTACTCTTGTTCGGACGCAACGCTAAGTGGTTCTTGTCACTCAAATCCGTCATAGGAATTCCCGGGATATCTCTTGAAACCAGGCGTTATTGTCATTGAATTCGCATCAGGTTTGGCTCTAGTCAACCCGGTATCTTGTAGAGCTTCTATTTTACCGATACTCATATTTTGGGTAAGAATCTGGATATGGCTATCGAATACAGGTTACGCGGTCATTTCCACGTCGACACCATCAACACTGCTTGCTGGGGTCTCATCGGCCCGAACGACCTTTCGCTTCTTGCGGCTAGGATTACCTGCTGCTTCAATGTGTTCTTGCGTGGGAATGACTTTCATTCCGTGGAAGATGAAGCCGTCAGCACCACCCCGACTGGACATCATGGGATGTGATCGTCCTGGTAAGACCTGCCACACGCGAACTCTTGATGTCTCCAAGGTAGGTGCCAGTAACAGAGTCGGGTCAAGGGGAAATTCCTGCTCCAGCTCAGACTTTACATCAATCGGGTCTTCCGATGCCGCCCTCTGCTCAACTAACTCCCGCCTTCGGTTGATGAATGCGGTTTTTCTTGCGGTAGAGTATAGATCCATCACCTCCGTTAGGGGCTCGATGTTAGGCGAGTACACGGCGACAGGGGCCGAACCGGCCAGGAGAGGGATCGTGTGCTTTAGCACACTACTCGGATCCATCAGGGTTGCAATCACCAACCCATCGAAGCCCCCAGCCCGGGCTTCGTCAACGACTCGTCGTACGCGCATCCACCTGCCACGCTTGCGGTGGTAAGCACTACGCTTGCTAGATTTGTATGTGGATAGCTCCTGAGGAGGGATCTCGGTTGGTTCCTGAGCATAGATGCTGTCCGCATTCGGGTCCAAGAGCTGCATGAAAGAGACGGTCTTGAAGTTTGTGTAGAGAGGGTGAGATTCGCTCGGGTCGTCAGCCTCGTAACCGAAGTACTTCAAGAGACTGATGTTTGGTTGTTTATTGGCGTGAAGCAAGGTGATGGTGTTCCCTTGAGCAGACATTTGTGGGCGACGATTGCGACGTGACGTCGCACCCTCGGTGGGCTGTGCCTCGTCGTCTTGTTCCCCGTGCGCGCCTGTTGTGGCAGGCACCTTTGAGTGGGCGTCCTGCTGCTCCTCGTCGAAATCTCCATCATGTGGGTAGAGGATTCCCATCCTCTCCGCCATAGCAGCCACCACCAAGCCGCCCGTATCATCGACAACGAGATACCGCCCGTTCGGATTCGCCAGCACCGTCTCCATATCGAAGGAGGTGCTGCCTCCGTGGTGCACATTTCCCCAACAACCAAGCAGACCGAGCGCCTCGTCGCGCATCTCCAGGGTTCTTGCCGCCTCCTTGTCCTGCAACATATAATTCGTCAAGAGACTGACATCCAAGGGGATGACGGTGAACCGCTTCATGTACTTCCTTTCCTTGCGCAACTTGTATTTTGCCAACGAAAATGCCGTCTTCTGGTCGATCGCCGAATGTGATTCCAACAATTTGGCAATGATCTCTTTCCCTGCCCCAGTACTTTCCCTCTTCAGGGCTTCGATTTCCTCAATCGTCAACTTCTGCGTGGAGCGGTCGTCGATCGTGTCGCGGTTCGTGCGCATCGTCGCTGCCTCATCGACCGGCTCTTGGTCGTCGCCATCGCCCTCGCCCTCAGCAATAAGGTGTTCCGCATGGAGTTCGGCCGCCGAGACAATGCGCAGGTGGGTGCTATCGGGCTCGCCGGGGGTCTCGTGGATGTCGAAGGTTAGGTAGAACGGACGGCCGATGATCTGGTTGGCGGGGAAGGTTCCATATTTGCCCAGGAATACTTGGCTGTAAAGGCCGGTCAGCTGATATGAGTCAGACAAATGATCGAGCTCGTGCTCAGTCGGACAAGCGCGCATACGTGTTAGGGACAATCTTCTGGATCCTCGTCTGATCAGACGGGAGCTTGAAGGCGACAAACTGATTCGGTCGCACGTATGAATGCATGGTGGAGGACTAAGCGGGAAAAATTCTCTGAAGATATTAATTTCCGGGGCCGACCATGCCACACTATACACGCAATGAGAGGATAATTGAGTCGCAATACTGGACTTTTGATAAGCCCAGTTGATCTGGGGAATCAGATTACTTTTTTTCTCTGCGATAACGCACGGGCCGCACGAGCTTGTGATAATGCATGTCTTATGTAAGCGCAGCGCTGTGAACGGAGCGGAGCTTAGTTAGTCCGTTGCGGTTTCCAGCCCACGACGTCACCAGGTGGCTCGAGAAGAGTGGCTCTGTAGTGGGTCTTGTGGCTGTGTTTCTCTTACCCTTCTTACCATACAATACCCGTTGCTCGGACTACGTAGAGCTTTCAGGCAGCCAAATTGCTGATGCGTGCGGTAATTGGCTGTAAAGGTTGGAAGGATGGAATCTCCACCGCCAGTCATTGACAGCTCGCCGAGGTCGACTGTAGCCGTTGCTTCTATCCCAGTTCTAATTTCTGGGAATTCGGGTGCCTGTGGCCCTGATTAGACTCTTCATCGACTAATCCGGAGTATTCTTCTCACTTATGTCATCTCCACGACCGATTGCCCAGAATTATGGTCGTCAGCTGAAGTGTTTACCTGCGAAGTGACGACGAGCCTGGGAGCTACTGGCCGTGTTACGTATACATACATCCCCGATAGCTTCCAACCACCATACTGTCGGCCTGTTGTGCCCTCCACTTCGTCCATCCATTCATACATCGAGCTGTCTGACTGCATCTGTCGCTTCTTTGTCCACGAATTAAGCTCAGACCCCCTGGTCCTCGTTTTTGACTTATTCTTGCTGCCTGGAGTTCTATTGGCCCCCAAAGCTCTTCAACGTTTCATTGATTGACGCCCGTGAGCCCGGCAACCCACAAGGCCCCCCCACCCCCAAAAAAGAGACCTGGACGGCAAAGAACCCGCATTCATGGTCTTACGAAAACGAGCTCCGCCACGACTCCAAAGCCTCGGTCAAGCTTACGACAAGACAGACCCTCGTAACCTGTCGTCAAAGACCTCACCAACCTCCAAGTCACTATCGTCGTCGTCTCCAAAGCGTCTCACGCGCCCTAGAAGGGCCCAAAGCACCCCTCAACCTCAACGTGCCTCTTCCCCCGAGTCCATCTTCTACCCCGACCTCAATACCTCACCCGCCTTTGACCTGATGCCTTTGGAACAGGCGCAAAGGTCGCCAACCAGGGCCTCGCCCGGTGATGCTACAAATGCATGGGCGGACGAGCTTGTGGAGAGGTTCAACCTCGGCTCGCATGAGGCGTCTGGTCTCGCACCACCTGCAGCCCCCGTGCCAGCTGGGAATCGCATGCAAGGAACGGATGGCAGTGGGATGTCCCGCGTGCCAACAGTTTTGACCCCGGGAGCTCATGGAAGGCCATACACGGCCGAGTGGCAGCAGTCGCGAGACCACAGTGCTGGAGATGGGCTCGAATGGGATCCGCATTCGGGGCAGCATTCTTCGATGCCGCTACAATCCAATAACCCATTCTTGAAGCCCAGGATCCCTTCGGGCTCAAATCCTTGGGAGGGTTCTCAGTCCCGTGCTTCTTATGGTGAAACGTCATCGATCTCACAGGATGGCGCAAGTGGTCGCTTGGGTCAAGGTACGTCGATTTAAAGCGTCCCGGCTGTGGCGCATGTTAATGGCTTCTTGCTTAGATGAGGGCTATATTCCGATGACGGCCCGCTTGTCGCTCCTAGAGCAACCCGACGAGGCGTCCTCGTGGGCTGAAGAGCATACCAGCACTGCTCCGGAACCTACGCCATATTCGCAAGTACAACCTGTCCACTATCTGCACGAACCAAGCCAGATGTCTTCGGATAAAAGTATAAGTACACCGGCGTCCGTAAATACAAACGCTACAGGTTCATCTCATGTTCTCGTCGACCTGAATGAGGCTCCTCCCTTGCAGGCGGGAGAGCCAAGCAAGTTGAGCCCAATGGAATATGGAATCACAAGCGAATCCTCCGGTCCTCCCCAGCCCCCAGAATCTCTTTCAGGCCCACCTTTGCCGGAACGACCGAAGACCACGTCCGAGCCAGAGGCAGAAGCTCATGCTCATTCTGCGTCCATAGCTCCAATGTCTGAAGCTGAAGTGCAGCGCCAACAGGAGCAAAGATCCGAGACTTACTCCATCCGGCATGTTCATTGGACGAACTACACGGGCATTCTATGCGACTCACCAGTTCTGATTCAGAACAAGAACGGGCCATGTCCTCTTTTAGCATTGGTGAATGCCCTGGTTCTGCGTGCTGCAGGACAAGAATTCCGGCCCCCAATTGTGCGAGCGTTACAGACCAGGGAACAAATTTCTCTAGGGTTGTTAATTGAAGCATTATTTGATGAGCTTACAAGTTGTTTGGGCCCAAATGACGAGCTTCCGGATATAGAGGCTCTTAGCCGCTTTCTGACCATGCTGCACACCGGGATGAATGTCAACCCACGACTCACGCTGGTATGAAGACTGCCTCCTCGTTTATTCAATGATACTCACTCAGCGCAGGAATCCCAAGATAGTCTTGGCACCTTTCTCCAGACCGATGTCATCCGGTTGTATAGTACATTTGGCGTGCCATTGGTACATGGCTGGGTAGCCGCTCCATCTACGGAAGTGCATGCGGCCTTGGACCGGGTCGCTCAGTTTTATGAAGATATTCAACTTCTTCCCTTTCGCAGGCAGGAGCTTGAAGACCGTGTCGTTCAGGGGGGCATATTGACCCCTCAAGAGGAACAAATTATGCAAGATATCCACACCATCCACGGATTTACGGAGGTTGAAAATGCAACACAACTAAGTCCTTTTGGTCTCAATCAGTTACTGGCGAAACTGCAGCCGGGGTCACTCTCCATTTTGTTTCGCAATGACCACTTCACAACGCTGTACAAGCACCCCCAGCTTAATCGACTGTTCACTCTGGTTACCGATGCGGGCTATGCCTCTCATGCAGAAGTTGTGTGGGAGAGTCTTGTTGATGTGAACGGATCAAGCACTAGCTACTACGCCGGAGACTTCCGGCCCGTCAGTCATGATGCTCCAAGGGTTTCAGATCCTTCTGGTCCCCGAATTTCGAGCAATACAAGAGACTCTCTCCCGGTGCCGCCGGAACGACCGGAACGACAAAGCGCGAACCTAACGCCTCAGGAACAGGCCGATGCCGATTACGCCTACGCTCTGTCTCTTCAGTACCAAGAAGAGGAACAGAGAGCCAGCACCGCAAGTAATGACAGACCTCCGGCGCATCGCGCCTCCATGTCCAACGCCTCAACTGGAGTATCCCGCGAATCAGCCTATGGTCATACCCGCTCAAGCAGTGGTGTCAACGTAAGCAGTACTGGCAGCGGAAGCACGTACGCGGCAGCTGCGCGAAATCAGCTGTCGCAACAACAAAGTCGGAGCTCCGGACGACGCTCGCAGACTCGCTTTTCGACCCATCGCCCTGTGCACGACGATGAAGTCCCTCCCCCTTCATACGAGCAGGCCGCCAGTACCCCGGTCTATCCATCCCCTCAACGAAGTGCCATCAACACCACCGACTCTTCCTCGCCGTATCAACGAAACACGGCCACAAGGCGATCGCATGGGAACTCTATCTCAGCAGCAGCTTCAGAGCGCCCCAGAGACCGGAATAAGGATTGCGTGGTCATGTGAGGTACTTCTCATGACGATATTTGCTTACCGCACAATTTTAGACTCAACTTTGGCCAGTGGACTCTAAACTTGGTTTTTGATGATACAATGTGCAATGATTGAATGCTGTGTATGTACTATATGATTTGCTGCTGATTGATATTCTGCCGGACAAGTAGCATACGGCAGGCTCTGTGTTACGATGCTTGACATGGTTATTTACGGGACCTGGGTTTGAGTGCGGACGCGATTTATGGAAAGACATTGAGACGTTGTTTCAGCAACTTCAAGGCTTTGACCTTGACATAGTGCTTGGTTCTTATGAAGTGTGTTTGGCGTTTCGTTGTACGTATATAGCGAGTTAGCGTGAGGTTTGCTAAATCATGATTGCTGGAATCGAGGAAACACATTCATCTGCACTCCCTTTCCCCGCGGCAGGTTAGAAAGAAATAACACAATACAGTTCCCCAGGAAGAGTCTCAATCCCCATGGCAAATTGTTTATACACTATTCTCTCTTATAGCTCCTTACTGTTCCACTACGTACTACTACTACTACTACTAGTTCCCCCCCCTGACCCCATCAAAGCCTACTGCACCTAGCCGACACAAAAAGCTCCACATGCGCATATGCATTTTGGCGCGATGGCAATGGAACCCTTCCCATTGGCTTGAGTCGTTCGAAAAGTGGATTTTCGTGTTTTCAGTGGTGCCATTGCCACGAGTCCACGAGTGCGCAGTGTGTCATCTCGATGAAGGAGGGTATAATTGATTGGGTTGGTGGGTTGGTGGTTTGGTGGATTCATCTTCGACCTGTCTGTGCTCGTCAGATGTATGTCACGGGAGGGATTTGGTGACGTTGAATTACGTTCCTTACTTGATATTTTCCTTGCTATATATAATGGTTCTATTGTTGTGTTGCGTACTCGTCGACTGCAATTGCTAGAGGCATTGAGTAGCTTTCATTGGATCGCGGAAGGGGCTGGGCTGGGCTATAAATAGTTCTGTGGGCTGCTGTGAGAGAATAGCTTTCGGCTACAGGCAGGGCTATAGTGGGTCTGCAACCTTGGGGGTAGGAAAACGAGATCGAAAGAGACCGGATGTGGGTGGGTTGGTATGAGAAGTGGGATACGATGAGAGGCATCATGTGTGCTGTGGCGGACGGTTTTGACCAGCCTATTTGTGAGGTCCTTGAAGGAGATCGGAAAACAATAGGTGACGCTGTGTTTCATGATAGAGAGAGGGGGAAGAAAATCAGGCTCAAACTGCGCAACCCGGAAAGAAACTTGCCGACAACAAGCCTCGAATCCTCGTCCCTCACTAGACGGATCACAGTGAGATAAGACCAAACAAGAGACCGCCTTCATGGGCCAAAGTAAACAAAAAAAGGACGTTTGAACACGATTCTTGGTCCTTGTTTTCAATGAACTATATATCAGAGATCGACTATTCTGCATCGGCCCGTCTCGCAGACCATCAGATGGTTCTTGGGGGGCTGGGACGGCCGCAATTCTTTGTACAGTGGGTTGCGCGTCCGTAGCCAGAAAGATTGGTTTCCTACAAAATCCCCCACATGGGACGGTCTGTTATCCACAAGAGAGACGGTCGTGGTAGCGGTTGATAACGTGGGGCCGGCTTCGGCACGGAGCTTCTTCACTATAAGATCGCGGACGGCAATCGGTTCTTCCATTCGACTGGTGGCGCCCTCTGATGCTAGTGTACTGCTCGGTCCCTGCGGCATGGTTGCTGTGCTAAATACACCGGTGATGTTCCGCGTGCCCGTCTCTAGTCCGACGATGGCATCCAGGAGTCCTACGTATAGAAACGGGTGTTGCAAGATCTCCACGGAGAAGGAGCGGCAGGTTTGTCGGGCAAGGACCCGATATTCCTCCTCTTCAAAGAGACTCGAGAGACGCAGCAGATTCCGCGCAATGACGCCGTTGATGGATGGTGTAGCTGACTCTGTGCCTGTCTTCAATCGTAGGAGAGGGCCTGGCGTGCCTGGTGTCATGGTGGAGGGGGTGCTATAATAACCTGCTGATGTTGAGCCAACGTATGCGAGGAAATTCTCGTTAAGGTACTCTGACACGGTGTATTAGTAGACTGGGTCAATCACACAAGCTGTTCGGCACTCACTCTGCAGTTGTTCGGCGAATTGCAAATAGCTGTCGTCGAAAGTCGCCTCGTACATGTCCAATAGCCCACTAATCAAGTACGCATAGTCATCGGCAAAGCCAGGGGTAGTTCCCTTAGCGCCGTCGCGATAGATGCGCCATAGTTGTCCCGTCGACTTGTCGAACAGGTTCTCTTTTATAAAGTTGATTGCCTTGGCCGCGGCTTGCCTACAATGCTCGGCCTTTGAGCTTTCAATCTCCTCGAACAGCGCACTGCACTTGGCGAGCGCACCAATGGCAAGTCCGTTCCAGGCAACAATGATCTTGTCGTCCAGATCAGGACGTACACGGGTCTTCTCTCTGTACTCGCACAATTTCTGCTTCGCAGACTTGATGATCCTGACCACCTCGTCTTCACCGAGACCGAATTCCTTGGCTAATTTGCTAGGTGTCACCTTAACTGATAGCACGTTTTGATTCATAAATTCATCATGCGGGTCATTCTCTGGCGGAATGTTGCCATCGGGCAAAACTCCCCAGTGTCGAGCACAGACCCCAGCATCGCGCTGACCCAGTACTTGGGTCAGCTCCTTCAACGTCCACACATAGAATGCACCCTCGCGCTTCTCGGTATCATTCGGTGTTGGAAGACTGTCCGCGTCTTCAGATGAGTGAAAAGCACCTGCAGGTGACTGAATAGGGGCAGATGTAAGATAGGTGACCAAGTCAAATACAGCCCCCAATAATTCCGGATTATGAGTGAGCTTGAATGCATCTACGAATGCATCCAACAGCTGCGCTTGGTCGTATAGCATCTTTTCAAAATGAGGCAATCCCCAGTCGGCAGTGACACTGTACCGCGCGAAACCATGTCCAATATGATCTCGAATACCTCCACGGGCCATGCTGATTAGTGTATTGACTGCCATGGCGGTCGCCTGCTCGCATTCGGCCTTTCCGACAATATCCGAGACTGCAGTTGGATAAATACCAAGACGTAACAAGAAAGCCAGGTTGGACGGCGTTGGGAATTTGGGTGCCGCGGAAAAGCCGCCATGTACAGGATCGTATCGGGAAGCAAAATGCTGATAGGCCTCCTCCAACAGTTCAATGTCCAGGTCCTCGTCCGCTTGTCGATCCCCTTGGTAGGAATGTGTGCCTTCTTCTGCGAATTCTCGGAGCTGTTTGGTGATCTCCTTAGCACTCTCCAAGCACCTCTGCTGTTGCGTCTGCCACACATCGCGGAGCTTCTCAAGAATTTCGACGAATCCAATTGTCTCATTTCCAGTCAGAGTCGAGGAGTTGGGACCCGGCCAGTAAGTTCCGCCAAAAACAGGCTCCAGATCTGGAGTGAGAAAAACATTCAAGGGCCAGCCTCCTGAGCCGGTTGTTGCCTGAACATAGTTCATGTACACATCGTCAACATCAGGTCTCTCCTCTCGATCCACCTTAATCGGAATGAACGACTCATTCAGTACCGAAGCCACCTCATGTGACATGAAGGACTCTTTTTCCATTACGTGGCACCCTATTGAAAGTTAATCGCTCTGAGGGCCAGTGAGTTCGAGCACGGAAGCAAGAGGCCGGCTTACAGTGACATGCCGAATACCCGATGCTTAGAAAGATCAACCGGTTGTGGTGCTTAGCCAACTCGATGGCTTCGGTGTCCCAGAGCTGCCATGCAACTGGGTTGTTCATGTGCGCCCGTACCTATAGAACCGTCAGTAGAAATGCAGACAATCCGTTCGAATAAACATGACGGACATAGGGTGATTTGCTGTCCCGCAACCGGTTGACGAGCTTCAGCCCTGCATCGGCCGGATGATGATGCATGCCTGAAGGGGCAGCCATGTTGAGACCACAAGACATCCACGGAGTCACAGGCCTTCAGTAGCCAATAATCTGTCTCGAACTGGCACGAAAAGTGCAGCCTGTTTGCGATGCGCACGCGCGTTAGAGGAAGCTCAGGCTGCTGATAAGATACGACCACTTGGCCGTTGGCACGAGGGGTGCTCGTTACACCAAGGATCTACCAGGCAGTAAGAACGTGATGACGGACCAGCTGTAAGCGACCCGATCAAAAGGCGCAGACAAGAGCAGTCGTAATAGGAAGTATAGGCTGCGTTACTTCGGCGAGCGGCGGGATGAGGGGGAGTTGTTGGCGAGGGGAAAGAGAGGGAGAGGAAACTAATTCACTTCGCGATTAGTTCGTCTCGCCCGCATCCGGGAGATCGTCGCCCGTGCGTCATGGACTCGCCCCTGCATCATCACGTGTACCCCCTCCCCATCTCTACGTACAATACTCGTCTACAGAGACACTTCTCACTATTAATTGCTATTTAAATCGTATCGCTGCATTGTGTAGTCGTGACGGTCATTTTCTATTCCTCAGTCCTCGCCCATAAGCTCTGCCAGCTCCCGCTCCTCCTCTTCGGTAAGCATCGAGCCGGATTGGGTGGGCTGCTCCTCATCCTCGGTCGAGGTCTTGCGTGCCATGGCTACTGCTGTCTGCAGCTCATCGGGCTTCAGTGACCATTGTCGGATGGTAGCGTCAATCCCGACACTAACAACTGTGGTACCCACTATGGCTAGCCCAGTTACCTCTTCGTAATGCCCAGAAAATGTATGGTAAAGCTGACCGGTCTGTGTTTATGGTAAGCATTTATCACGGCAAGGCAGCAACAAGGCAAATATACCGATCGATTCCATACTCGGACCTCTTCATCACGGCATGCTGTGATTACCCAACCTCCTTGTTCGTAGACCGCCACATCACGCACGTAGTCAGGGTGATCCAGCGTCGTATTAGGCTTCCAGCCATCGTCTCGACTCAAGCACTTCGTCGTCTTATCGGCGGAAGCAGTCCACAAATCGGCGTCTTGGTCAAAGAACAGCTTGTGGACGTTGGTCTCGTGGGCCAGAATGGCGGAGGTGCCAGTCTGATCCTGGCTACCAGTAGAGATGTCAAATTGACGGATCTCCCGGTCGCTCCCCGCACTGAACACAATCAGCTCTGGGCTGTCTAGATCCAGCGAGATGGGATCAAGGGCCAGATCTTGAATGCCCTTGGCGTGGCCTTTGATCACAGCCAGTCTTTGCCCCGTGGCAATGTCAAAAACTAGGATCTGCGCATCGGCACCGCCGGAGACCAACACATCTTGTCCACGTAGCCGCGTGCTGATGACGGAGCGTACAAAGTCAGTATGGCCTTCATATCGCAGCTTGGGCTCTTTTGTAGCCACATCCCAGCTCCAAACGGTTTTATCCCAGCACCCGGCGAACAATAACCGGTTATTAGGCGAGAAGCATAAGCTCGTAATCGGTGCCGTAGGGCCCTTGTAGATGGCGGCGGTGTCTCCGGTCTAATAAGAGGTACAAAGTACAGGTCAAATGTTCAGCCACGGTCCAAGCCATCAGGTTGCCATGCACCTACTTCAAGATTGACCTTGCGCACCGTTCCACCACTCTGGGCCACGAAGACGGCTTGTGTGTTGAGCGGATCGGCTACGACGGCCAGGATCTTGCTCTGGAGGCGAATTGGGTTTCCATTGTTATTTTGCGATTTGGCAGTCTTGCGTTTTTGCTCATCGAGAGACGCTCTGCGGCGGGGAAGGAATCAGCGAGGGGCATGCGGACGGCCCAGCTAGGCGATGATCAGGAAACGAACGTGGTCTGAAAGAAGTCATCGCGATGACTGGATTGGGCCATAGTGCGGCTTGTGCGAGACACAATGTGAGAGTGTGTATACAACTTATCACTTTGTTGCACTTGCTGCACACGTTTGGTCTCAATGCTCAAATGCTCATAAGCTCATAAGCTCATAAGCTAACCATGACTAATCTGGCAAACTTGGCGAAGGGAACTGCACGGTGAGCTTCTCCCGGTCACCGGAGCCGCCCAACTTCGCCCACCACAAAACCGGCTTCTTCCATTTTCCGACCTTTCCTCTTCCCTCTCTCTTCCTTCCACTTCTCTCGCCTTCTCTCGCTTCTCTCGCTTCCAGAATTTTCCTATATCTTCACCTCTCCCTCTTTCTTCCCCTTGTTCACTTTCTTTTCTTCTGCGCGTCGATCGCGCACTCCCCCTTGTCAGCATGGATATGAACCATTTAATAGGGTCAGTCTTCTATGCCTACCTACTGGTGTGATCCTGGGTTTGTGCGGCTAGGCGGGAGTTAACACCTGGCAGTCAGCGGTTCAACCTGATCTCCAAGAGTGACATTCGGTATGTGCCACCTTGCCTTTTTCCAACCCTTCAGGGCTCTATGGTCTAGCTTCGAGCTCTCTGTCCATTGCTCTTCGGAAGCATTGGCAATGACGTGCTTACTGACAGCTTCCTAGCTATGTTGGTACCTTGCATGAGATCAACCCTGAAGCGTCCACAATAGCTCTGGAAAATGTCGTCTCCTTTGGCACTGAGGGCCGTCGAGGCAACCCCGCTGAGGAGATTGCTCCGTCTGCCAGTGTTTATGAATACATTGTCTTTCGGGGTAGCGACGTAAAAGACATTAGCGTAGCGGAGGACAAGAAGGAAAATGCACCATCTGAACCTCCTCAGGTCCCCGATGATCCTGCTATCCTAGGGGTAAGTTTTGCCAACCTTCAATCTCACTCCTCACACTTTCTCTGGTGTTGGTGTCCAGTCCTTGGACCCCTGATCTTATGATGAAATATTTCGGATGTAAACTCACAGACCTGTTCTGAATGCGCAAAACCATGTGGAGTTTTCCGTTGCCTTCCTTCTGACAAGATCAAAACACCTTACCCTTGACCTCTGCACACGAAGACACCTTCGGATTCATGATGCTAACGTGTCAATTGGTGTAGAGCATGTCCCGTCCTGGTCCAGGTCCTCAAGGCATTCCTTCTCACTCGCAAGCACAGCAGCCTCAGGTCCCCCGTCCAACGCCTGGCTACCCCCAGCAACCTCAATTCCAGGGCTTCTACCCTCCTTACGGGCAGCGCTTTGGAGCTCCTGGTTTCCCTCCTGGGCCTGGATTTCCTAATATGCCGTATGGAGCTCCTCCCCCAGGATGGTACCCTCCCCCGGGTCAAGGATTCCCTCAAGGACCAGGCCAGTTCCCCCCTCATCAGATGCCAATTGGACCCCCCGGTCAACACCAGACCCCTCCGCCACAGCGCCAAGGGGCGCCTGGTGCGGGCCCTGTAAACGTTCCTAAAGCTACCTCGGAGCTTCCCGTTGGTGAAAGGCCCTCCAGTAAGCCCGCCAGCCGGAATGCCACGCCTGCACCTCCTGTTGGTCAGAATCCTCCTCCACCCCCCGTTGAATCGAAACCTTCCGTAACGGAAGCCGTACAAGCATCCAGTATTTCCGCGGCGGTTCCGGTTGCACCCATGCTTCCACCCACTGGACCCAGGAGCAGCCGTGTGCAGCCGGCAGTCCCAATGGCTATGCATTCTAAGCCGCCAGTCCCAGCTGTAGGCCCTTATCCCGGTGCTGTTGCGGGAGCTGCTGTGTCGCAAGGTACCGCTCCTCAAGCGGCCATTACTGAAGCCACTCGTGCTGCCACTGCCGCCGTTGCAGCTGCGATGGCCAAATTGCCCCAGCCCGGCGCTCAGAAACTTCCTGTTCAAGGGGATGTGTCGGTGGATGGTGTGACCAAGCAGCTTGCTGAGATGAAGCCCTACGAAGGCAACCGAGCTCCTCGCGGAGGCCACGCGCACCCACGGGGCGGACGCGGTGGTCATCGCGCTCCCTATCAGGGCCAGGCGAAGAAGGTTGATGTTCCTGACACCGACTACGATTTCGAGACCGCGAATGCCAAGTTCAACAAGCAGGACTTGGTTAAGGAAGCTATTGCCACCGGATCTCCGGTCCATGAAGCCGAGGCTGTCTTGCCTACAGGCGAGGCCGAGTATGCCGAGAAGCCCAGCTCGGACAACGTCAACTCATACAACCGGGCCACTTCCTTCTTTGACAACATCTCGAGTGAAGCTCGTGATCGGGAAGAGGGTACGGGTGCCCGTGCCGGTGGTCGCGAATGGCGCGGTGAGGAGGAAAAGCGCAACATCGAGACCTTTGGCCAGGGTAGTGTCGACGGTTATCGGGGCAGCTATCGGGGCCGTGGCAGAGGTAGAGGCTACGGCCGTGGCCGCGGAGGTTACGGTCGTGGCTACAACTCTCGTGGCCGCGGAGGTCTTCGTGGCGGTCGCAATGCTCCTCAATCCACCGGAGTGCCCACCCAGATCTAAATCATCCGTTTGGTTTTACTATTTTATGACTGTCAAGCAGCAGTTCATTGTATCATGCGCTTAGCGATTCTTGTTGCTATCCTTTTCTCGTGAGGGGAGTGGTTTACGTCCGTCCACGACTTGTTTTGTTTCTCCTGATATCCCTGGCGTCTGACGGAGCATCCAATGAATACATACATGATCTTGACATGTGGAATGTCATGACTTTCGATTGTGATTGGGATTCTTGTGGGTTATGGTGGATTTGGTGAGCCTTGTACTGGGACGGCTGCTGTTACATCTGGTGTCGAATTTGGCGTTCTTCATACTCATGCATGAGCGAGTCTCGAGCCCGCATTGCATATCCTGGACGGGGGGATCTGTTGCAAATAATGCTTGCTGCCGTCATCTCAGCTTGCCATATTGTTGGTTGGCTGCTCCAGTCTCTGTTGTGACTTGTTGGGCTACGGTTTGAGTGTGCACCATCTTCTGTATCATACTACAAGATATCATCCCTGAAGAATGTAAAAGACCAAAAAAGGGGGGCCGTTTGGCCTACCAACCTGCTTTCCAGTCTGTAGATCCGTAGGTGATTCCGTGACGAGCTCATAGAGTGTCGATACATTTGGCTCTGGCTGCAGATGGGCCGGCCAACTTCCCCTCACCACCTCTCACAATGCGTCGTTATTGTTCATAGAATCATTAGCATTGAGCTTCGCAGCGTGGGGTGACTTTTTCCCCATTCGTGTTTTCTCAAGCTGAAGAGAACACTTTCATTCGGCAATGTCCTCTCACGGCCTTTCCATCTGCCGCGGCCAAGATATACTCCCCATACCCGAAAGAAGCACACCTGCGTAGCGAAGGGACTTATAAACTTGGCTCTCCTGTCCATTCAAAGAATATGATCCATTGAGAGACGGTACGAAGTATACCTATATACACACAAGACGCCATGGGTTCTGTCAATCTGGCAACGACTGAGGAGAGTCCGCGAAATTATCTCGCCGCCAGCACCCACCTCGAGCGATAGTCCCACCATCATGTCTGCTACCGATCGGGTTCAAGCTCCTGCCCAGCTTCCCTGGGATCCCAATTGCACGCGATTCACTACGCACGAGGAAATGCTCAAGATCCCGGGGGCACCGAAGGATGCTGCATGGGTGTATGGGGGAAGGATTCGGATTAGGTATGTCAAAACACAGCTGCTGCCCCTCCAGTACCTGCCGTACCTTTAGTGTATGCCTTTACTGACTTGTATGTGGCGCAGAAGGGAAGGGGGGAGGTTGAAGCATGGAAAGAGGGTTGGCTAATGGTTGTGTTGTTGGTAGGTGGTGGTTGGGTCACATGCGAATGCGACGGCGATTTTGTAGGTGGTTGTTTCATTCGGTTTGATGGTGAGCAGTGATGGGAGGTGGTATCTACCTACAGTACAAGTATCCGTGACTAGGGGAAGTTCAGGGTGTGTCGAAAACTATCAAGGTGGTATGGAACGTCCCTAATGAAGGAGCAGTCCAGCACTAAATATGTTCTGGGGATGATGGTGGCTATACATGACAAGTATCAATCAAGTTCAGAGTCAATTCTCATTGAGTTAGTGGTAGTCATCACGTCGTCACATTCATTAGGGAGTAGTAGTAGTAGGAAATCACATAGGAAAGACTCCCCGTCCTGTCCTGTCCGTTGGACCAGTTCATACGCGAATGGGACATCACCCTCGAAGCCTGTAACATATTCAAATCGGTGTTCAGGAGACCGGCAGATCTTCACACCAAGACAAAACACCCCCGACCAAACCAACCAGACGTAAAACTCCCAGCGCCGCATCCTCGATCCATAACCATGCCAAATGTAACTCAAAAGAAATCTTCCGGCCACTGGAAACTATGAGCACCGCCCGAGCCCGACCGCTTCCCCAACTCCACAGCCTCCAGCCTCTGCCCCAACAACGACTGCGGTTGCATCTGAGGTCGAGGCTGTGCCTGCTGCTGGGGCTGTGCCTGCGCCTTCTCACGATCCCGCGCCTCTCGTTTCTTGCCCATCTCCTTCGCCAGTCGTCGGTCTACCTTCGCCGCGGTGGCCGACAGGTTCTTCGGGAGCGGCGGCACCGGGGGGATGTGATCATACCGCGCAGACCTCTTCTTGCTCGGAGACGAGCTCGGGCTGGGGCTTGTCGGGAATTCCCCGGAAGTCAACGCCGTGGTGATGAACATCTCGTCAGAGTCATGGGACTTGATTAGCGCCGTGCTACTGCTGTATAGCTGCAGCTGCTGCGCATCCTGATTCTCCTTGTCATGGTTATCCCCCGCATTCGCAGTGGGCAGCAGTAGACCTTCGCCTGCACTGGCGGACCGGAGATCGGGACGACCCTTTTTCATGCGCAGGCTGGGCTGGGGCAGGGTGGCACGAGTTCGGGAGTTTGAGGCGCGTCTGCGCGCCGCTGTTGTTGAAGGAGACCGGGGGATGTTGGGCGATGATCGGAGAGGTGTGGAGCGTCGACGACCGCGCTCCTCACTTGCGGTATTGGGAGAACGACCAGTGGCCGTATGCTTACGCTCAACGGAGCCGGGGCTGTCGCCGGGGCCCATTTTGGGAAGCTTGGGCTTACGGGGAGTGGGTGTACTGTTTAATCCGTGGTAGGGGCGACGGTCGTCGGATTCGTGCTGGGACGTTTTCACTGATGCAGGATCCGGTGACTTGCGTTTGAGTGTGGGACTGTCTGCGGTCAAAGACGATTGGGATGGGGGCTCCTTGGGTGTTCGTGGTGTCCTACCATCCTGTTGCTGCGGTGTACTGTGTGTTGGCTTGTATGGTGTGAATTTCTGCTGCACTTCAGCAGGTTCGATTTGCTGAGCATGTTCCAGCAGGGAGATTAAAGGTGTCGACACGGCTCGTGGGGAGATTGGAGACGTTGGCTGGCTGGTATTGTGCAGTAACCGCTCGGATGGCAGCGAGGGAAGCGCCCCGGGGACAAATCTGCGGGAGTATGGTTTGTCGAGAAAGGCTGTCGATGCCTGTGCCTCTTCTTCCTCACCCACCAAGTCGCGTAATTCCTGACGGGCCCGGTGTAATTTGAGTTCCAGGTCACTTACGCGCTTCATCAGCTTGGCCTGTCGCTGGAGCTCTTTGCGTGACTTCTGTCGTCGCACTTCCGCCCCCTCTGGCTGTTCCTCGGAGGAAAGCTTGTTTGAGTCCAAGCGTTTGATGTAGGGAATTCCCAAGGATGACTTGGCCTTACGCAGCTCCTGAAACGAGGACCGGATGGAGCCGCCGGACTCGATTCCTTCCCCGGAGTTCTGTCGCGAATGATACGCCAGGGGCCGGTAAGTCGTGGGCTCTGGGATGGGATTCCAGGACTTCGGAGGAATTCCAGACTCACCGTCCAGGCTCCGTATGTAGCTGCCCTTGACCGTCCCCTTGTAGCCGGATCGCTTGAGCTCAGCATAGGCTCGCTCGGCCTGAGCCAGCGGGTCTTCCGGCTGCTTGTTCGCCTCAGCATTGCCCTTCCACCCCCAAACACCAAAGGGATTGAATGCGGACGCGATCGCCTTTCCAAACCGGAAGATACCAGATCCACGCTGCTGCCCGGTGCCACTCCCACTGTGCCGTGCATCGTCGCGCAGGAAGATACTCGGTGGCTTCTCGCTCACACTATCACTCATAGTTCCCTCGACGAACCGCGATCGTCGACCCCGAACAGACGACCCGCTCTGACGGCTGAAGCGGCCAGATCCCAACGACGTCCGCGGAGAATTTCTACCCGCTGCAGTCTGAAACGGCTTTCGAAGCCCTCCCGTCTTGCCGCCATTGCTCACAGCCTCATGAGCATTATCATTAGTATCGTTGTCGTTACGATCGTTGTCGTCCTGTGCTATCGCGGCTGCCTCGCCATCGGCAACTTGCAAAGGCCACTCATTAGACCGGCGTCTTTTGGCCGAGTGCACGGACGGAGGTCTGCTCTGCGCTCGGGAGGGGTAGTTGGACTCTTCGGCATCGTCAAAGCGACCGGAATCGTCGGAAGAAGGCTCGGATTCTTCATCGGTGGAGTCATTGATGGTGCGCACATGCTTGCGACGGGGAGACTTCCGGTGAGCCTCGTGGTGGCGGTTGGCGCACATGGTCTGCAGCGATTGTTCGAGTTGACGATCGGTCTCGAGCGCGTCCACTCCCGTTGCGGCCGTGCGGTTGTCCGTCGACGTCTGCAGATTACACGACATCAAAGTGTCAATTGATAGAGTCTTAATGAAAACCAGTCCAGTTCATCAATGCCTGTGAACTCAAAGCGGAGGTGACACATCCCGCTGCGCAAGGGAGGTGAAGGCGCACTGCGGGCCGGACAGTGCAGGTGGAATCGAAATGACAATATATAGACAGACACGAGAGAAACAGAGAGCGATAGGAGGAGGAAAATGGTGGCATGAAGTACTAACCTCGACCACGCAGTGTCCGAGGATGTGATCGGTCATCCCTGCTGCATTCACTTGCTCACGCATCCATCGGCTTTCGCGCCGTCACTTCGCACGCGCAGCCTTCGCACTCTGTTTTTTGTTGCGAGCAGAGTTAGCCTGAGCTACAGGGCCAGTCGACCTTAACTTTTTCTGTCAACAGGACGTTCCTGATCCGAAGAACATAGGCAACAGGAAGGTAGACAGAAACCCGGGGAAGAGCAGGGCGGGGAAGAAGTGAATGAGGAGAAAGGGAAAAAAGCGGTCAGACGACGCGCGATGACGAGGAGGAGGAGGAGAAGGAGTAGATTAGTGTAGGACTGTCTAGTAAACAATAACTACTAATAATCAAAGTCATCAACAGTAGTCAAATAATTGACTAGTGTTGTTATTGTTATGGTTGTTGATTGTTTACCTTCAGCCGCGCACCGGGTTTGTTTACATTTAAGGCAAACGTACCCCGGGAGGAACCAAACCAACCCAAACCAAACCAAACGAAGCGGGTTTGTTTCTGCGCCCCAGTTTCATAGTGGTCCCATAGTATGATCATTATTGTTCTTCTCTGTCTCGGATGACAATGTTTCATTTCCCACCGTCCAACAGGAATGATTCCTTCGGTCTGGAATGTAGGACTGTGCTTGGTGTGGTAATCAATCTGCATACCTCAATTTGCGCATCCAAGACATGTCGCACTCGAAATACGCAACAGATAAGCTACACACATCTCTCGACCCTACGAATCACAAAAAAAAAAAAAAATCTCTGTAGGCGTACTTCTGTTGGCTATTTTCAACCCTGCCTATAATGCTTCCAGCAAATTGGTAAACGAAATCCATCTTACCCAACAGGGCAGACATCCCACCAGCCAATAAACAATAAACAACGAACATCGGGGGAATCTGTGTGAAGCGGGATCCATGGTGGGCCGTATACAAAAGAAGACAAAGCAAAAAGAAGAGGAAAGTGTGGTATGAATGCCATGTCTGTGATCATGACAATGAAATGAGATAAGAAGAAAGCCCCTCGAAGCCTCCTCTTTTCAGGCTTTCCCAATATCATCAATGAAGGAAAGTAAAATATTATAAACTCATTCCGACAGGCCAGTTCGCCAAGACGCCGTCCTATTGCGAAAAGTGTCCCAGATTCGGCAGAGAACAAAAAGTAGAATGCTGAGCGTTTCGTCCATGTCATCGCATAGCTGGAGAGATTTTTGTAACCATCCTGCCGTTGGCTCGCTTATACGCCAATTCGTTCCGGGACGGGCTGTAGGATGCTTCTCGACTGGCATCTGAAAGCCTTCTGTCCCCCTGAGAATATGTGTCTGAATTGGGTCGCATGCCATTATACAATGGACGCTCGGCTATGCCGAAGGATTCTTCATGTGTTCGTTTGGTGAAGGTTGTTCCCGAGTTCGTGTCATAATAAAGTCTTCTGCCCTGGTTTGCTTCAGGGCCAGGAGTAAGAGCAGCTGTATTGCGCGGTTGAGGGATATCGATGGGGAATTCACTCGATAACGAACTAATCGGTGGAAGTATGTTGTTGCGGGGTTGGGGCATAGCTGCTGCAGGCTGAGCTGCTGTTGGGTACATGGGAGGATCGGACGAACGCAAGTCGGTGGGTGATGGGTTCGGCGTTGGTGGGTTGACACGCATAGGTGGTAACCTGAAGGGCTTCGGGTCACTGTGCTCGGAGCTAGCCGACGAGTTTCTGGAGTGCGAGTGCGTTGCGTGAGGTGGAAAAGCCGCGATTGACGTTGATCCAGATGGCGGTAACCTGGGCAACTGAGGGGCGGAATACTGAGTCTGCGTCGAACCGAAGGACAGGTGCGATTGATACGAAGCATTGTGAGACGAGGGAGCAGCCGAGGCAATAGGCGAGGGGATCGAAGCTGCGGGTGGTGCCGGAGCATGAGGGACCGGACGCTGATAAGGCAACACATTCTGAAAGCCATATTCCGTCGCGGACGCACGGCGTGAGGCCTCTGGACCGGAGCAATGATCGACAGTGCCGATGCTGGTCGACCGGGGGCGTTCGGCTGGGTTCGGACAAGTGTCCGCGGTAGAATGGCGTTCGAGCCGGCTGCTGAGCATCCTGTCCTCCTCATAATCGTAGTCATCGGACCGCTTTTCTCCACGACGTCTCATGCGGACATCGCGCCGAATACGTACACGGCAGCCTTGCTCCGCAATGATACGACTCAGGTGTGTGCTTTGCGTCAAACCTGGAAATTTCTTGGCGCTGTAGACAGTAAATGGGATCGAGACGACTTCGAGGCGAAATTCCAGGAATGACTTTGGGATTGTCGGTTTGGAAAGGTTCGTTCTGTGCATTGGTGACTGAATCGCCGTTCCTTCGTCTGCATCCTTGCTCTCCTTGGTCTCCTCGTAAAGATGGAAATTCAGACGGTACAGTCCTTCATGACGCACGGATAGATCGGGGAAGATGAAATATCCAGCCGGAAACGGACGGTCCAAATATGCCACACCTGCCACGGGCACGCCCGTAAGTACTGGAAATGTTGGTGTCGAAGCAAGTCTTCCTTGTGCTATTGGACGCGCGGTGTCTAATGTAGCATAAAGAAAGAAATTGGCGTTATAAGCGAAAGTGATTTCCGTGAGATTACTGTCGTCGCCGGGATCGGATTCAAAGATACGCAATTCAACAACAGGCGGAGGGTCAACCGGTCGACGGTCAGCAGAAGCTATCAGGCAAACCATTAGTTTCTTCCCAGAGAATATATCATTATATACGGATCTAAAAGCGTACATTTGGCGCCGGCGCCGCATGCTCTGGCCCGCTCGGGTTGTTGCATTACTCTCAAATTGTACGTAAGCTTCTTCCCCTCACGAGTAATTCGACTGACGGAATGCTCCGTCTCATTTACCGGAGGCGATAGAGGAGGTTTGGTAGCCATGATGAACTAATGCGAAACTGAAAATCTGAAGAGCGTTAATATTTCCTAGTAAGAAAGATTACGACGAATGAGAGGGCAAAAAACTCACTTTCAGCCGATCATAGATGGAATCATGCAGGTGAACTGTGGCCAAGTCGGGGGCTGATACGCGCAACGACCTGCTGGGTTCTCGACTTGTTGATTGTGTCTTGTATGCAGAGACTATTAGTGACAAATGAGAATTATAAAGGCCGACCCTGCGGTTCAGGTGAGATAGAAGAAGAGGAGAAACAAGTCGTGAAGACGAGATGGGCAAAGGAGAGGAAATCGCTGTAGAAGCCGAGCCAAGGAGCCAACAATACGGGCAAGAAGCGAGGAAATAGGAGATGAAGAAAACTGAATTGGGACGACTGCGAACTGGACTTTGAAGGAGGAGAACGACGAATAGCCCAGGGCGATTGACCCGTGCGGATTGTTGAGGAAAATAGGATAAAGAGGAGGGATGAGGAGGGAAGAAGAGATAGGAGGAGATGGAGTTGCTAGAAGAAGAAAAGAGGAGGTTCAAACGAGGATGGATGGATTGATGGAGGAAGGAGGATTGAAGAACGAGTGTGGCAGACTAGACCCAACTAGATTTCCACAAGAAAGAGGGGAGGAGGAGGCGTGGGGGAGAGCAACAGTGAGTGGAAGAGTCAGCCGTACTGTAAAATGTGTACAGTGCACTAAAGAAGTCACTAATTCGAGCTAAGCAAGTCGCCGAAGTCCTGAGTACCGGTACCCAAACAGTACGTGGATAGGGCGGCCCACCACCGGCTCTTCGGGTCCGGTCAATGGATGGATGGATGGATGCTATCATCCCTCATCATCTCACAAAACTCTATTCATCCAGTGATGGGAAAGGGATTCTGGTAATTGATCTAATTGCATTTTGACTTCTATCTAAGAAAAGAGAGGATAACTTCAATTCAGTCCGTAGATTGTAAGTACCTTTTGAAAGAGCCCACTCAGTAGGTTCCATGTTGAAGAAAACTAAACCCGGCACTGTGGACACTGGGACGAGCTAGACTGGAGCTGATCCACCGTCCGAGGCAACGGGCCCCGACCGTCCCTCATGGGTTCTCATTATGACTTCGACTGGCTTTATGCTAGCATAAATAAGTCCAAGTAGCTAGCAAGAAGACGGAGCATTGACACAAGATAAATTACTGCGAATTAGACGGAAAAGGAGCGATACTCCGAATTGGAGCAGTAGAAAAATCCATTCCTTGTACAGAGTACAGTACGGTGCACAGTACACGGTACCTACTGACTTAGTGCGGCGACTACCACTGGGGCTACTGGGGGGGGCGGAGAACACATAGTTAGGGTGCGACGGAACAACCTCCGGGGCGCAATAGCATCTTCTTACCACGGTTGTCTGTAAATTATCAGTAAGTTATAGAGTTGGTAAACTTCGTAGCTATTGAGCTGCTAGCTAGGAACAGCCTAGTATCCTGCCATTGTTCACTCAGCGATGCGATCTCAGTAAACGAAACATTGGCAGTAGTGGAAATACTAAGCTGGAAGGGTTTTAGTAGTGGTCGCTCTCGGCTGAATAACACAGTTTTGCACTGGATAATCCAAGGGTTGGCAAGGCAGCTGGACTATCATTCTCTGCAACTGGCTAGCTCGTAAGATTGAGACAGCCAGTAAGACGCGCCAATAGTCTGTCCCCCTGACACGATGCTTGCGAACTCAAAGCAAGGTTTCCGTACTCCGTACCTGCTCCAATTGCTCATCCCATTTCAACACTCCTATATTTAGGCAGGCTCTACCACTCAGACTTTTGTGCTGACTGGGCCATCATTGGTGTCGGATTCAAGATAACAACTTAAACCAAAAGAGGATGTCGTGCCAATAGGAAGCTGTGGAAGTCACAATAGAACTCCAAGCCACACCCATACGGGCCATACCTAGCTCGGGATTCCTAGCAGTGGGGATTTGTTGACACTTGACAGACGATCGGTTGCGATCCCGAACTTGTCGCCAACATCCCGTCATCAAACAATAAACAATCAATTAGCAGAGAATGACGTGTGTGAACATGACCCAACTCCAATTCGACCACATGGATGAGCTATTAAAGCCACGGATTATCGAGCTTATGATTACGCAGTCCAGCAGACCGGTTGCTGGTTCCCGGTTGTCTGGGAGTGGGAGCGCAAGAACACCGACAAAAGGCAAGTGGGGGCTGGTCAATGCGCGCTTTCCTGCCATCCTGCAGATGCCAACCCCGGCGCCTGGTTGGCTCCGATGTTGTCCCTTCGTCAGTCCAGTGTACTAGTCTGGTGGAAGATTAACGCTGGCTGAATTATAGCAGGAGGTGGCACCACCATGGAGGTGGTTCCCTCCATCAAGCTACCTTACCTTTTTGAAGCTAGACTGTATTTGCAGCCTGCAGACGCAATCTGCATGACAGGCCAATCAACTGTCGAAAGGAAATAAGACTCTTCCATGGATATGCGGACTGAACCCAGCTTAGGGCAGCTAACGCAGTCTAGGTACCAGAAGAAGGGAATCGCATCGTATGGTCGCAACCTGCTCAGCTATTAATTTGTTCTATCCTATCATCCTTGGTATCCCTGGCAGGAACCCGGTTACTGTTAGACAGTGAGGCACTAAGGGACCACCAAAATGGAACCATTTCTTACCGGCCGAACCAAGGAGCGAAAACCTTAATTGTGTGAGCGGAAAAGCAAATCTGGCACCGATCGCTTTGCTGCCGATCCTTACTGAAAATAGTAGGAGTCGGGGTTTGGAAAAACCGTCAGCACCGCCTCCAGAATTTAAAAAAAAAATTTTGGGATTCTGGATCTGCAGCGAGTGGGTTGGTCCTGAGGCACCAGAAAGTATTCAGGCCTCAAATCCCCATGTTCCCTCGGCACATTTCCGGCGTTGGAGAAAACAGTACGACTCAAATCAGTAAGGTACCAACGTCGGAGTACGTAGTACTATCAATGTACTACTGTACTACACACTGACACAGTCCGCACTGGGCTGGTACAGCTGGTCCCAGCGCCCCGACTCTGCTGATATTCGATCCCTGATCCTTGATCCCTCAATCCTTGATCCATGCTCATGGTCCTTCAGGCAATTTACGCTTTCACAGTCTAGCCTCGTCCGCAGGCTCATGCTCAGCTAACTTAGCTAAGTACTAACTAGTATCCTAGTGCCCTACACGCAGACACTAATCAAAATTGGACCCACTCTCTTCGCTTTGTGCCGGACAGGACATCGGCTCGAGGTCCCTATCATCACCTGGAGGATCAGATTCTCGTGCGGCCGTGCCAGCTGAAGGCGGCGGCGGTTAAGTGGAAACAGTGGGAACACTGGGAAGTTTCGTTCTGCCCCACTTGGACGTGGACGGTCCGCACCGAATCGAGCGGCCCCATTGCAAGCAACCACTTGGACTGCTTGCTCCGGAGCTCTTTGCAGTCACCACTGCAGAGTGACTGCGCATACTGAGTATCATCATTGACAAGTCGGTTGTAGAAGGAGATGGAGAGGTGCGCTCGCGCTGGCCCATGCTCACTGCTTTAGAAGCTTATTGTTTACACGTCCTTCACGGCATCAGACACCGTCAATCCGGATCCACTATACGGAGTACTCGCAGAACAACGGTGAATGGTCCCTCGTGGGATTAACGTCTGATAACTCATACCTTATGCGGTAAGTTTGAGAACTTTCGTGGTAAGAGCCCAGATCCGAATACACGCAATAAGTTGCAGCTAGGCACTCCTTAAGGCATGAATTGGAGGAATCTCTATATGACGTACGGAGTACGGTCCTCTCCATTGATAACGCAATTGATCAAATGGAGTTGCAGGGAGCAAGCATCTCGCAGTCGCTCGGCACCCTGCTTTACCCCTTCTTGTCCTTACTAGCTCTCAATAATCCTGTTAGGTTCATCAGATCCATATTCCACGCCAGTTGTTGGCACTATCGCTGCGAGGGGGTCGCCCAGTAACCACAGTGTCGGGTCTTGCCAACATGCAAGCCCCTAGTCGGCTTGCATGGACTATGGAACTATGTACTCCGTCTTGTGATGTGTATCCTATGCAGTATCCAGTATATGGAGCGGTAAGTAGGGTCTGAGAGTCATGGGGTCACTACACAGTAGGCACACGAGAAGATTGATCGTACGAGTTCATCCAATCGCCTTGCGTGATCGAGACGATCAATTCGCAAAAACCCTGCGGCCTCGACTCGTCTGGTGATACTGTCACCAGAAGAAGTCGTCCCTGAATTGATGGTCATCTTCATAGTTTCCTCCTCCCGATCTCGATCCCATGATCTTGCATTCCTCCTCGCAGGTTTATTCATCCTTCGTGATTGTGTTGAAGGTACCCCCAGGGACGGCCACTCTCAGTCCACTACATGGGAGACGACTCAAAAGGTGTCAAGTATCTTCCTGGCGACTGGGCGACTGGGTGCTGCAGCTAAGATACGAAGTACGGCAACTATTGCAACTGGTATGCACATTGCACACTCGGTGCAATGGGTGCGCAATTGGTGGGTAAAAGTCCGATCTGTCTGCGGGGCAGAATGAGGTCTGAGTCTCCGACTTTGGCCTGTGCGACCGCGACAGCCAGAATTCTGCTCCGTTGTGCTACCAACAGAACACCCGCCATTCGTTATATTCGTTACGGATTCACTGCCTGGAACATTTTGCTTCACCGCAAGCTTTCTTTCACCATCTGTTATTCACCATCGTAGGTTTCTGAAATTGCTACCAAATCACCACCGTGTCCGGGAAAAGTCTAGCCCGCGCTCCTCATCGCTTCTACGCAGCACAGACCGCATAAGTTACCTATGCATTTCGGCCCCGCGGCATCAGTGCTATAGTCAACCTCTCTCTCGCCTGTCCGCCAGGGGGTTGGGGATCTTGGCTGAGTTTTGACGTAGAGCTTCAGACTACAGCGCTTAGGGGAAACGAAAGAGAAGGCGTTTTACAGCAAATGGTAACGCTCAGGCCGGTCCGATCATGAAGTACGTACAAAAATAGTCGGCAGATCCTAATAAGCGTCCGTAGATTCGATAGCCGTACTGTTACACCAGAATTAGAACAAGTTTCTGGTTTGTTGATCTATTTTCAGGAGAAAAGGGAAATTCAAGAATCTCACTCTCATCATATACAGAAGAGGATTGGTGCACGCACCCCCTGGTCTATAAGTGACTAGTTATATCATCTTGGTATCCATAAATTCCATCCTGCTGCTGTCAGAAGATGGAGCACGGAACGAGGCCGTAACAGTCCGGTAACTAGTCTCATTCGGTTCTAGCCGACCGTTTTTTGACCAGGGTAGCTTTCGTTGGCGACTTGACAGATCCAGTTTTCCAATGCGATGATGTATCATGTATCCATTCTGCTCCTGCTCGCGTTTTTCTCTAACAGGCAAAGAAGAATCGGTCAGAATCTGGACTCAAACTTGCGCTGTTCGCTTAATTCGTCCCTTCTCCGTTTCTGCATGCTTCAGGGCGCGGGGGGCTGTTGTCCGCCCAGGTGCTTCTTAGTGTACGGAGTACCTCTGGGCAATGCATGATCGTGTCATAGCTGTCTGTGCGCTTGCCATGCTTAACCTTCTTTTCATCATTGATATGACATTTCACGTCATTCACAAAATCCTGCCTAAGCTTCACATTGAGAGCTGCCAAATCCTAGAACCGGCATTTCGGATGATGCGATGCCGGTAGTCGGCCGTTTATGGTACAGATCAGTCGGGCTAGGTCACAGCAGGGGTACAGCGAGTCTCTAGACCGAGCTCATATGTCAGTAGTCCCACCTTGGGTCTGTATACCCACGCCTGACTCGCAAGGCCAGGAAAACAGAATATATTCAATGCAACTAGGTGGTGCTTCCAGAGAAAGCCACCCGTGAAACACAACCGCGTCACGTCTAACCCGTACCTACTCCCACAAAGTATTCGAATAACTCCAGACAGTTATTCTCCGAATTGCTCTTCATTGACCAGAAGGTTGAAAAGTTGACTTACCGGGAACACCTTCCGATCCCGAGAAGTTTAACATCATCTTACAGGCGTGGTCAATGCGAAGGATGACCCACTCTCATGACATGATACATTTCATTTGTCCGAGTACATGTCCACAATCGCCTCAGGATTGCTAACTCATCAGATTCAACCCGTAGCACGAAAAGGCGAGACAATGAGTCTCATTCTCTTCGATGATATCCCTCGTCACCGAGGGTGCTTCGACGATCCTCTGGAATGACCGTCTGTCCGGGGCTGGAATACGAGGACCAATGCGCTCCAAGGTTACACCATTCCGCTCCTCGGGGAATTTTCTCCCAGGTTTCTTCGTGGGAATCTCAGAATCCCACTCGGATGAGATGCCGGAATAGGTTTCTCTCCGGGAGTCGCCTTTGCCGGATACGAGAGTTGTCCGATGGTACATATGCGCATAAAGTAAGCTTGAGAGGGGGACAAAGGCTTCGACACAGGCCCTTAGACATGGGACATTGATTCATGGGGCTTTCTCATATGAGGATGCTTTGGGGTGACGTCTGAGCTGCAATGTGCATTGGTTCTGTGTTGAGAAATGCAGCTTCGAGACATGGGAGTGACCAAAGCATCAGACTCACAACTTGTCTTCAGGAACTACTGGAAGAACTGCTTGAATCATATTGTGCCCTGAAACTCTTCGAGCAGCAATATCTGAAGATTGGCCAGGAAGGAGCCCAGAAACACCATTCCTAAATATAGTCTTTTCGTGAAGGGAATTCGCGAAGCCAACTTCATCTCGATGTGCTATACGATGTCACAATGAGACAGTGAGGAACAAGCTCAATCACTCCAAAGGAGTGCTATAGGACCCATTCAATCTGTAACGCTGTAAACCCTTCTTTATCGTACTTTGCGGAAGACCAATTAGCGATAAGGCACGTGCGGCCGCGTCTTCTCCGCGTCGCCGCAACGGAACCACATCGGATGGCGATGGCTGCCTCGACCTCGGCCTTTCTTGAATCTCTCGCGCCTATGGATCTTTTATCAGTCCTTCCGGACTTCCCAACAAAACGGTACTCCCACATCCTCCCTCCACTGGAACGGAACAACATCACCACAGTCGATCTAATCACCCTCGATACTTTCGAAATCGCCAAACGCGCCCACGTCCCCGCAGCCGACGTCCGCCGATTGTCCACTCAGATCGTCCGAGCGCTGCATCAGGATGTTGGATTCGAGGAGATTAGAAGCCCCGATACGGAAGAGCCAGGGTCCAGCCTCAGTGACGATGTCTCCGTCGCTCCGGGACCAGCCACCATGATAGATTTGTCGCAATGGAGCGCAATCAGCACGCTCGACCCCACACTAGACGCACTGCTTGATGGCGGGATACCGACTGGCTACGTGACCGAGGTGACGGGTGAGAGGTGTGTTTGCAATCTTGCAGTCCGCACTCACGGGAGACTTGGAAGAACTGACTGACCCCGATTGTAGTGGAAGCGGCAAGACGCAGTTCCTCCTCACCCTTCTTCTGGCCGTTCAGCTCCCCGCGCCTCGCGGCCTGGGGAAGAATGCTATCTACATCTCGACCGAAGCTCCGCTAGCGACGCCGCGACTATCTCAGCTCATCGAATCCCATCCCTACCTTTCTGGTCTCACCAAAGCTCAAAGCCCTTCGTTGGAGAAGATCCTATCCATCAACGCCATGGACCTCGAAAGTCAGGATCACATCCTCAACTACCAACTTCCTGTCGCGATCAAGCGCTACAACGTCGGGCTCGTGGTCATCGACTCCATTACTTCGAACTACAGAGCCGAACACTCCTCCCACAACCTCTCCGGTCTGTCAACGCGGTCCGGTGAACTCACCAAACTGGGCCAATTGCTGCGCAATCTCGCTGTGGCCGAAGACGTCGCCATTGTTGTTGCCAACCAAGTCTCGGATCGCATTGACAGCGACACTCCATCACATCTACTCCGCCCGGGGGGTGCTGCTGCTGCTGCTATTCCATCCTACTCTCCTAGACTATCTACTCAACAGCAACAGCGAATATCCCGACCCGAGATTGGGCCAGGGGCCATGTCACCCCTTCCCCGCCGCCACAGAGCTGCTGAAACCGGCAACGCGGATCTGACTGTCTTGAGCCAGCACCACAGCAACGCGATGCTCATCCCGTCCTCACAGGCTCCACTCTCTTCCTCGCCATTCCCTTCGATCGAGGATGACCCACAACAGCAACCGCAACAATTCGACGGGTCGTATCTCATCGGCAACCCCATCCGGAACGAGATTCTGAGTCTCACGCACCAGCAGCGCTTCTTCACGGGATGGGGCGACACGCCACGGTCGTTGTTTCCGAGCTATTACTCCGATGATCTATGGAGGTCAACCTCCAAGACCCCGGCGCTGGGCATGGTATGGTCGACGCAGATTGCATGTCGGATCGCTCTGAAGAAGGAAACTCGTCTGATGGAGGCATTTGAGTTCGCGGGTGACTGGGACGGCTATCCCAACTCTACCACCGCATCGCAAGCTCCCAAAAACCTAGATCCGATCGAGGTACCACCGGAGAGCAAGAGTGTGCGAGAAGAAGCGCCAGTGGCCACCACAGCAGCCGCAGCAACCCGTGCAAGCCAGAAAGAAGAGGCACAAGAAGAAATTGCCGATTCCGACTCCGACCCGGAAGTACTCGAGCCATCAGATGAAGCAACACCGGAGTCTGGTGGTGCTGGTGGTAGTGGTGCCGCTGAGGACGAGGACAAGACAGCCGTCCCAAGCCCCAACTCCAAGTCATCACCATCACCATCATCATCACACAATAATGACGACACCGCGCAAGACAAACAGCAGAAACCAGAACCCGCGACCCCAGCAGCTCCCGATCCTCTCCAAGCTCCCTCAATCGAGCCACGCCTGAGACCCGAACACCTGGCCCCCTCGACTCAGAGCCTCACCCCGCAAACCGTCCGTCGAATATTCAAGTTGGTTTTCGCCCCTTGGACTGGGGGGATCAGTCACGTCTCAGACCCCGGGAAAGAGGAAGAACAATCTTCCCTCCAAGAGGAGGTCGAGTTCGAGATCTGGAAGGGTGGTATTCGGGCTTGCTGATGGATGACAATCTTGTAGTGTATAGAGATAAGCGGCAGAGTCACCCGCCATCTTTCTCTTGACAACTGTCATATATATACCGATCTGATCTGGTCTGGTCTGATCTGATCTGATCTCATAGTAAATATCCACCCACACACACACACACACAAACATGTACATACAAACCTGGACACAAACCCGTTGACACAGACAGGGGCAAATCTGTGCACTAAACCACCAACGTCAGCTTCTAGCATACTGACTCGCACCTTCCTCCCTCTTTCCACCATACGTGGCTCTCAACTACAACAACAACACACACATCTCACTGTCACTATCTCCGAGGAAAAAGGAGTACAACCCTCAACCCCTCCTCTGGATTTACCAACCGCAGCAACGCAAGGATACCTCCAACTAAATCCTCAGAGAAATGAATCAAGCGTGCACCACCTATATAAATAATAGGACCCCCAAAAGTGGACATATATGGTGTAGTAGTGGTGGCAACGTATGCTAAACAATACAGTTTTCCGGCATCATAAGCGGTGTTAATACGGAGCTAGCGAAGTAGTGGTGCACGTATTGGGTTGATATATCATATCCTGATTTCCTGCTGATCATGAAAATCAGCGCCCCCTCATTGGGTCAAACTCTGTGTGAGAGTAAGCTCCACAGAGTTCGAAACCTAATTCAGGATTTCTCCAGACGGACATCTAGATATATGCTAGGTTTCGCCAAACCCTCGGGTATTTCGGAGGATAGAAACCCCGCCTCTTCCATTGCACTATACAGCTGCCGTGACTGCCAACTCAAAATATGGATTATGCTTGCTCTTCAGCTACCCAGCTCAGCAAACCAGTCTGGCGCGAGTATTGAACCGACGATGGCAGCTTCCCCCTCTTCATCTGCTCGTTGGGGATTCATTTACTTTCACCCAACACACACAGCAGCTAGTCTTTCCTTCGATACTATATTCATTCAAGATGTCAAGTCCCAGAAATGAGCATGAGCTATTAATCGCAAAAAAATGACCAGGTGTTTGCCTATAAAGTAGCATCGTATCGAGACTGAATTCGTAACTGTCTCTCATCTGTCCCAACCTCTTGTGCATTCAGTGAACCCACGGCTCGTAACCACGTCCAGACTATGACCTGCCACAGGAATAGCACGGACCTGGGATCAACTACGTGAGGTCCAGTCTGAGGAAGTAGATGCACTCGGAGAAAGTTTTAGGGGGTCAACGGTGCAAGTAGTAGTGTATACGCCGTTATATCACTCCAAGGAGTACAGGGAGATCATAGTATATGGTAAGCGAGCCGCACAACGCCGAGTCTATGTCTCGCAAGCCTGGCCTGGAGATAAGCGCAGGACACCCCTAGAATCAAAGAGCGGTCTGCAGCGGTGCTGTCTTCTCCATTACAGTGGTGAGAGGTCATATGCAGGCCATGTTTTATCGATCGGGAAGTAGGAACGCTCGGGGACATATGTGGGCGTGCAATTAACAGCCCGAATCGTCGCACCATTTCTTGCATGAACGACTACTATATATGCTCCTATCTGCTCGGCCTTGGACGAAAGCCAGAGGTCGTTCTGTTTTACTACACTTTAAAATAAGCCACCCAGTCACTGAATCACTTTACAAGAGCCCTAAGGACCTCCTCTGTCACCGTCATCACGTTCAACCTCGTCCGACTATGAGCACCAGGCACGGCGCAATCCTCGATTTAGGAAACGATGATAATAAGAATAATGAAACCACCATAGACCTGCGCGCCTCCATTATCCATGGCCTCCAGCGAGATCCCCCGGAGCTCCCCTCCGTCATCATGTGGGATGCCGCCGGCCTGAGCCACTACGAAGCCCTCTGCCACCACCCAGCCTACTACCTCCGTCGCGCGGAGGTCGAAATCCTCTCGCAACACGCGGCCTGCGTTGCTCAAACAATCCCCGCCCACGCAGTCATCATTGAACTGGGCTGCGGCTCGCTGACGAAAACCGGTCTGCTGCTGTCGGCACTCGCCGCCCAAGGCAAACCGATCGCCTACTACGCTCTGGACCTAGTCGCTTCGACTCTCGCGGCTAGTCTTCGGAGTCTGTGTACGGCCTTCCCGGCGGAAGGTCCCGTGCAGGTTGCTGGGCTGCTGGGCTCATATGAGGATTGTCTGGGCTGGATCCCGGAGCTGTGTGGGATCAGGGGAACCGGAGGGGATATCGTTGGGGATGGTCCTGCCGCTGCGACTCCACCGTCCATTCACTTCCTGTGGATGGGCAATACAATAGCCAACATGGAATTAGTCAAGGCAGCCTCCTTGCTGGCCTCCTTCCGACAGGCGTGTGCGGCCGTTCCGTGTGCGTTTGTCGTCGGGGTGGACGGCTGTCGTGACGAGGAACGTCTCGCAGCCGCGTACGACATGTCCCAGGGCCCGTTCTACGCATTCATGCGCAACGGATTGGTGACAGCGAACCGACTTCTCGGTGCGGAGGTCTTTGAGCCTGACTTGTGGCTGGTCCAGGGAAGCTTCGACGCGAAGACTAAAATGATGCGGTTCGGGCACCAGACAGATGAGTCGGTGACGGTGCGCCTGGATAGCCGCATCCTGACATTTAAAAAGGGGACGTGGATTCAGCAGTTGGTGAGCGGGAAATGGACGGCCAACGATGTTCAAGAGGTAGCAGATCTCGCGGGATTTGTTCTGTCGAAAATTTGGGCGGATGAGGCGGGGTCGTATGGTAAGTCATCGCAATGAAAAAAAAAAGCTGTCTCTTTGTAAGCCCTCGCTGATAACTTGAACTGTCAAATCCAGGTTTCTACTGTCTCAATGCAAAGAATTCCTGATTTACTGTCTAGTCACTTGTTCACCACATAAATGATGGTCTAATCTTCATTGCTGTCCTTTGTTGCTGTTGTGCTGTCTAGATTTGGTTCCAATCAATGAGCCCAGTGAGCCATCACTCTCAGGTCTTCCTGACACCGCTGCATCCACTTCCGTAATTCATTCTTCCTCTGCATATCCCGGTGAATGCTCATTTCCACGTGGAGGCAATCCCCTCGGACATCGATCGACACCTCGATCAGGCCGAACCGCCTGGCTGACCCGACGATATCCCACTTGGAACCATCTAGCTCATTGGTCGACTGGAATAGCGCGTCCGGGCGTTCAAGTTGCTGGTACAGACCGGCATAGTTGAGAATGATTTCAGGAATATCCTGGGTACCGAAGGCTTGTCGACCCTCCTCGTTAGTGAATCGAGAGGTGAAATACGCCCACCCTCGATAGGGAATCGCAGCATGGACGGCTTGAACCTGGGCCAATGCGGACCGCAGATTATCCGCCTGTTTCTCCATGGACACCGGACACGGCCAGAGGGTGGTGAACCAGCCCACCGTGTGCGAGATATCCACCATGGCATCCCACGACTCACGACCGTGACCCTCGCAGTAGATCGTAGGAGAAGGGCGCTCAGGAAAACTGCGGATGAAGGAGGTCAGGAGTGCCGTGTGATACATGTGCAGCGGCGCAGCCTCCTGCGCGTAAAGGGACTTGGTCGTTTGCGCATCTAAATCAAAGCTGAGGGTTTCAATCTTGGCCCAGGTGTTCTGCTCCGCGGTGACGCCCCAGAAATTCTCCGGGGCGGGCGGGATGCGAAGCGGGAATGCAGAGGTGGGAAAAAGATGAGTGCCTCCATACTCCGATTGCAGGCGCGTCCAAGTGGGAAACGGACAGGACGAGCAGAAAGTCAGACTGCCAGTACTGAGATAATCCTGGAGATCAGACAGAATGATGCGCCAGGAGACTAGGTCCATCACTAAATGATGGGCAACCAGGAAAAGATACTGTTTATTCGAAACCCTGGTCGTCACTAAGTCCGCCTGGATTAAGGGGCCCGAGAAGATATCGATACCACGTTGACTGCCGCAGATAATTTCCTGGGCGTCGGCGGTCGTTTCAACAATGTGTGCCCGCAGCCGATAGGATTGCCTGACCTGATCAGTCACAGCCTGTTTCCAGTTCCCATTGACCTCTTGTCGGAACCGTGCCCGCAGCATCGCATGCTGGGAAACCAGAGTACAGAATGCGGCATCCAACTTGTCAAACCTCACTGGTCGGATGACTCGGAGGGTAAAGCTTTGATTGAAGTGATTGAGGTCCTCCTTGATGGTGTCAAAGAAAAGCTGCTGAATGGGCGACGGGTCAAATTCCTTGCCCAGATCCGCTGTCTGGATGTTGAATCTGGGCAGCAACAACTGGTTTTCAGTGTGACAGACCAGGTCTGCGATCGTGTTCGAAGCTACCACATCTCGTGCGGTAAATCTGATCCCTGCCGCTTTCGCCTTCGCGGCGAGCTGCATCGCACTGATCGAGTCTCCTCCTAGGCAAGAGAAGCTGTCATTCAAACTAATAGACTCCGGTTCCAGATTCAAAATTTTTGCACAAAGGGAATGGATGATTCTCTCATTTTCCGTTTCGGGTTTCTGCTTGTCGGAGGACAGCTGTTGAGTCACTAGCGGAGAGTACTCGAGCCTCTGCTCGCTTGTCAAGCGAGACGCAACTTCTCGCAGACAGCGGCGATTGATTTTCCCCGTGCCGGTTAATGGCACTGTTCTCAATGGTAATATAAGGCTTGGAACCATGTAAGTGGGCAGTTGACGACGCATTTGGTCCATAGTGCGAGCGGCTGCTACCCTAAAGGCTGTCGTAGCAGGAGCTAGACAGCCTTCCTGAGTGTTGTCAATCGCGTCTGGCAGTAAGACGAAGGCAACCAGCATAGCCTGTGTCGGTGAAGTTGGAACCATCTCCGCGATGGACTCTCTGGAGTCAGGAAAGTTTTGGTGCAGCTGAGCTTCCACTTCTTCAAGCTCAATCCGCTGCCCGCGAAGCTTGACCTGAGTATCGCGTCGCCCAATGAAGCGGATGATACCATTCTCTCCATATTGTACCAGGTCGCCCGTCCGGTAGAGTCGCCCCACCTTTCCAGACGGTCGCCATCGGCGAAGCCAAGCAGGTGCGTCAATGAAGCTCGAGCGAGTCAGACGGGCATTGTTCAGATAACCCCGAGCAACAGCCGGACCCTCGACTATGAGCTCTCCCACTGCCCCGATGGCTGCCAGTGTATGTGGGTTATCAATCTCGGTGATCCAAGCAAGCCCGCCAAACATCATTCCAACATCGCCGGGCTTCCAGCGGGTTTGTTCGACCACCCCGGCGGCGCAAAAGCACGTTTCGGCCGGGCCGTACGCGTTGATCAAAGTGGTCTTACTGGCCCACACATCGACATGAGCCTGGGTCATAGACTCACCACCGACGCAAAGTGTCCGCAGTTCTGGACAGTCCTCAGGACTGAACAACCGCAGTGTGGATGGTGTGAAGCATGCCCAGTTTATTCGGTAGTCGCGCATGCAGCCCGCTAAATCGGTGTTGCGCTGGGCCTCCGATGGGATACAGACGCAGCCACCAAAAACCAGAGTGATGATGGTCTCGTAAATGCTTAAGTCGAACGTGTAAGATGAGAAGTGAATCACGCGACAGTCCGGCTGGTAACCCATGGGTCCGTATTGCTCCCTAGCGCACGTCGCCAAGTTGCGATGCTCGACGATGATTCCCTTTGGCTTCCCCGTGCTACCAGAAGTGAATACTATGAAAGCAGGGTCTTCTGGCCTGACCATAGGCAGCTCTTTTCCCTGGGACTCGGTAACGACTCGAGAGAAAGTATTTGTGCAGATATGGATAAACCGACAGTCTAGCCCAAAGAGCATAGATTCATGTTGCGGCGAAACAAGGATAGTATCAGCTCGCGTCTCTTCTATGATACTTATGAGCCTTGATGGCGGATTGGTAGGATCCATGAGCACGCAAGTACCCCCAGCCCGAAGGACTGCTAGAATTGCAACAACTGCCCACTTGGACCGGTCCACGCAGAACGGGACCATAGTGTTCAAAGTAACCCCGCTGTTACCCAGAAAATGGGCAAAATCATTCGAGAGTCGATTTATTTCCTCGTAGGTAAGATCTCCATCCCAGGCTGAGATGGCAGGTGCAGTGGGCTGTGTAGCACACTTTTCAAGGATCAGGTCATGCAAACATCGCTCATGCGCCGTTGGAATTGTTTGGTTCCAGCTACGAAGGTCATCAAGATCCTGGAGACTTGTGTACTCAAGATGGTGAAGCATGCTATCCGGAGCTGCTCGATGCAGCTGCTGGATTAAGTGCGAGAATTGGTAGACCAGGCGGCGCGTCTGGTAGAGATCAAGGACACGCGGGTCGAAGTTGACCTCTACATCAACAGCACTCTCAGCGTCACGAAGCGTACAGACCACTAAAAGAGCATAGCTTGCGAATATAGCATTTCCCCCAGCATCCAGGCAGCGTCCATCTTCTGGAATAAGGACACCCTCCCTGATTGTAGCTGGCGCGGGCTGCACAACGAGGTGAGATTGAAAGCTACATGCTGCTGCCGTGGCTTCATTGTATAGGCGGATGGCTTGCAGACCGGCCTGCTCGAAAGGGATCATCTCAGCAGACTGCTGCTGAAGTCGGTCTAAACTCTGCAACACAGACTTCTTGGAGTCTAGCTGAACTCGTAGTGGTACTGTGGCAATTGTTGGGCCCGTCATGAGGTCAATGTGCTGCACAGTAGCACCACGGCCGTTGACAGTAAGACCATATACCACGTCCTTGGATTGGGTATGATGTGCAATCAGAAGACCCCAAGCTAGCTTAATAATGGTCGGCATTGTATGACTTCCTCGCTGCCGGATATTTTGAACGCGATGTTTGATCGCTGTCGAAGCATTGGGCAAGAACCTCGCGGTGGGAAGCGCAGGGAAAATGGGAGCGCTGCAGTCCGCTAGAGTAGTCTGCCAGAAACTCTTACTCGCGTCTTGATTCTGGATATGCTGAACAAAAGGTCCAAAGCTGATACGCTGTGCAACGCCTCCACGGTAGTTGTCTTGCAAATGATTCAGAATGAGTGGTAAAGAAACACCATCATATAATACATGATGAAGAGTAATGACGCAGTAGGATGAACTGATCGCAATTCGAGCCAGTGGTCCGCCGCCGGCCATCACATTCTGACTGTCCTCGGCGAGATATATGTCCAGATCATGGAGCTCCTGAATATTGATTTCCCGTTGAAGCACAGCCTGGAGAAGACGCCCATCAACGGCAGTGATGATCCTCGTACGCAGGATATCATTGTCTCGCACCGTGTCATGCCAAGCTGCATGCAAACGAACCATGTCGGTGTGTGGCTTTAGACGAAACACATGCTGGGAGACGTAAGAACCAGGCGTCTGCGCAGATAGCGCCATTAGGCCCTCTTGTAACGGGGTACACGGATAGATGTCTTCTATCTCGTCGATCGATACGCAACACTGTTGCGCGGCTAATGGCAGGACTTCCGACCTGTTCTTCAACAAGGAAAATGGCAAGTATATACCGGAGGTATTTGTTGGAAGGCATGTTCGGAGGACCGTCGCCTGGTCACTCAGCGTTGGATGTCGGAAGACGTCCGCCACCGTCAATGTATATTCATGCTTCGTGACGGCCGCGACGAGTCTCATGGCCAGAAGCGAATTGCCTCCCAAGCCAAAGAAACTGTCAGTCTGCTGGATTAGATGCGTTTCCAGCTGCAGTGTTTCGCTCCAAAAAGCTCGAAGGAGGATCTCGTTTTCCGACCATGGTTTGTCGCTGGCCGGACCTATGAAGTGTCTGGATGTTTCCCAGGATCGGAGCACACTTGTCGACAGCAGCTTTTGCAATCTCCGTCGATCTATCTTACCGGAAACGCCGAGAGCAACGTTGCTGACTTGGAGGAAAATCGAAGGGATCATGAAATGAGGAAGTCTCTCGATCAACTGCTGTTGCAGAAGGGTAGAACGAGCCAGGCGGTCTGGGTCGGCGGGGAGGACGGTAGGCTCCCTGGCCGATGTTTCTTCCGCGACAAATACTATCAACAACACATCACTAGTCGAGGTTGCAACAGTATCGACAGCCATGTAGGGAAATGCGGCTGAACACTGCTGTAGAGCACGCTCTACTTCCTCTGGGTAAATCCTCTGCCCGTGGATCTTGATCATGCGATCTTTGCGGCCCAGGTATTGCAGTGAGCCATCATGCAGGGTCTGAACTAGATCGCCGGTTCGATACAGTCGCGAGTCTGTGCATTTCTGGCTAGAAAGATGCTGTAGCCACCGGGGTACTAGTGAGCAGAATGGTGAGTCTGGATCCTTGTTCCCTCCGATATATCCCCGTGCTACAATAGAGCCTTGGATGAGAAGCTCGCCGACTTCGCCTGGTGACACTAATTGATGATAGTCCTGTGGATCTACCACCCATCCAACACAGCCCATAGCCGTTCCAATAGCCCCTGGCTCTGTCTTTGGCTCCACTCGAGACAGAATGTGGGTGCCAATCGCGCATTCGGCGGGCCCATAATGATTGATCAGCCGCACATGCCGCGCCCACCGATCAATGTCCACTTGCTTCATAGCTTCTCCCGCGAGACACAACGTCTGAAGCGCTGGGACCTGATCGGGGCTCAGCAAGCGCGCGACTGACGGGGTTAAATTAGCCCAGTTCACTTCCAGCTCCCGCATCGACTCGGACAGTCGGCTGAGCCGATCTTCTTCGGACGGAATACATATGCAGCCTCCGGCAATCAGAGTGACCAGATGATCAGCTATACTGACATCAAACGCGTAGGAAGCAAATTGGAAAACACGTGAGTTCTGGTCAAGTCCGGTACGTGGAATGAAGTCGTGGGCGGCGGTGGTGAACGCTGCATGGTCGACGACAACGCCCTTAGGACATCCGGTTGACCCCGATGTAAAGACGATGTAGGCAATGTCGGATGGTGAGCTTCGTCTATCTTGGACATTGGGAGTGTTGTTGGGACCTTGCCATGTGGTTTGCTCATCGATGAAGATTGTGCTCTTCAGCTCGAGTGAATCCACCAAGTCTGATAGCTCTTTCGAACCCACAATCACGGTTGCCCCAACTTGCCCACAAAGCGCTCTCAGACGCTGGATTGGGCTCGTTGGTTCTAGCAAGACGAAAGTGGCGTTGGCTTTGAGTACTCCTAGCATTGCGATGACGGCCCATCTTGACTTCGGAAGACAAATTGGTACTATTTGACCTGATATGACATTCGCTCTCTCTATCAAGTGTCTAGCGAATTTGTTTGAGAGGCCCTCAACGACAGCGTAGGTCCATTTTGTTGTACCAGCACGAATAGCACAGTGATTCGGTTGTTGTTGGCAGCGTCGGCTTATCAAATCATGAATGCAGTCATACTGGAGCGCGGGCTCTTCGACCACATTTGCCTCATTGTCAAGTACGGCTCCTACTTGAACAGCTGCCAATTGCTTTTCATCGTGCATTGGAACACCGAAATAGGTTTCTGACATGATTCGACAAAGGGATCTCGGTTGTCGTAAGCGAGTGGCTTATGGCACTGTCCATCCTTGGAACTCTCGGACTTGAATCTCCTTATATTCCGGAGAAAATCAATCTAGTCGAGATTCGGCGGAGATACAAGTGACATATCTTCTCGTATCTGCAAGCATTGATCAGAGGACCCTTGCAGGAGCTTCAGGCGTACTCGCTGCGCTTCGAATTGGGCTTACGGAGAATCAGAGGTCTGATCTAATGGCTCGCTCGGACATCTCCTTCCAGACGGTTGGAGGGTCAAGTGGCTTTCTAGGTTACTTTGAGAAAGCTCGACTAAGACCTGAAGGGAAAATGCATTCATGAACTCTGATGCTCCCTACACCGCCAGAATCGTGGTTAAATATGACCCTAAGATTCGAGCTTAACCCTCCTCGGAACCCAAAGCTACTTGACATCAATCACTCCAGAAAGCAATGACTTTCTTTGAATTCCGTTATTTGACCTCATTTCTTCCAGAGTCTTGGGGCGACCTGAAACAGATCGGGGTGAGCCTGATCTTTGTCTTGGCTTTGAGGGCAGGATGGTTGGCCCTGAACCGTCTTTACTGGCACCCGCTGCGCCAAATCCCAGGTCCCCTTCTGGCCGGCCTTACAGAATGGTGGGAGTTTTATTTCGATGTCATCGAGAACGGTACATTGGTGCAGACCTTGCCTCGCCTGCATCAAAAATACAGTGGGTGATGCCTACCCTCCTATTTCTTACTATAGTGCTTGATGCTCATTCTATCGTCGATCTCGCTAACTGATTAAGGATCGCCCGTAATCCGCATTTCACCCAATCACGTTCATGTGAATGACCCAGATTTCTATAACATGTGAGCGGAAATCAACGAAGTGCAAACGTTGAACTGACTCATGGGCACAGTGTCTACCGTGCTGGGACAGATTACCGCAAAGCGCCCTCCTTTTACAAAGCACTGGGCTACCCAAACTCCCTGATATCAATACTGGATCCGCAAAAGCATCGGGTCTTTCGTAATACAATCGCCCCGCTATTTTCACCGGCTGCTCTTGACCTTTGCGCGCCTCGCATCCATCGAGTAGTTCTCCGAGCTGCCAGCAAAATTGTCGACGGTCTGCAGACCGGTTCCCCGATCCAGATCCAGCAACTATATCGATGCCTTGCGGTGAGTGATCGGACCCTTTTGAGCCGAAGATAATTGGACTCATCAGAAGTCAGATGGACGTAATCTACGTGACCCTGTTTGGGCAGCACGGCATGTTCGTTGACGATTACGAGCGCCCGCATGAACTCATTACGAGTATCGATCAGTTCACAGATCGGATGTGGCTTGGTGAGTTAATATCTAACTTTGGGCGCCTTGGAGCCCTGTGAACTTTTACTAACTTCATTAGTGAAACATTTTCCAATAGTTAATAAAATCGCGTTGAATTTCCCTGGTTATGCGCGATTCCGCCAGGTGAGCTGCACGCTGAAGACTTTCTAGACGGTGCAAGGGGAAGTTGACGCTCCACCAGCAATGTGAGTCCTGGGTGGACGAAGTCAGGCAGCGGCGCTCTCGGGGCCATCTGACCACTTCTGACGGGATTACCACTATTTTCGATGCCATGTTGCAGCCCAATGAGCAGAAGGGCTATGAATCAAGAACCTCGGAGGAGCTTATTGACGAGGCTGCTCTTTTCATTATTGCTGGCAGTGACACCTCCGCCTATACGCTCACGAGCGCTACCTACTATCTCCTCACCAACCCTTGCGCTCTGGCTCGCCTGCGTAACGAGCTGGATACTCACTTGCTCTTCGATCGTGCTGCGTGCAAATGGGAAGAAGTCCGGAAATTGCCCTATCTGGCAAGTACTTTGTGCTCTCTCGCTATTCGAAGCTGACCATCCTTTTCTCCCGCGCTGATTCTAGACCGCGGTGATCAAGGAGACTCTCAGACTCAGTACACCCATTCCAGGAATCACTCCCCGAGTAGTCCCAGCAGCTGGAGTCCGGGTCCAAGACTATTTCTTGCCGGGAGGAGTAAGCTAAGCCAGTTTTGACATGACAACGGAGAGAACTTAGCAGCTAAGCAAGATAGACTATTGTCTCGATCACGCATCGATCCATCCATGACAATCCGGATATCTTCCCCGAGCCTACTTTGTTCCAGCCTGAGCGCTGGCTCGGAGAGAAGGGCAAGGCACTGGATCGATGGCTGGTTGCATTCAGCAAGGGGTCGCGCCAGTGTATTGGAAGCCCGTAAGTGCTCCGCTCGACTGGGAAACAGCAGATCGCCCAAAGGCACCTTGAATGCGACTAACATCGGCACTGAACCTCATCAGATTGGCATATCAGGAAGCTGCACTGACGCTGGCGCATATATTCGGCCGTTTCGAGCTGCAGTTGCACGAAACCGACGAATCTAATATGAGCTGGGTGGATCATGCAGTGGCAGTGAATAGCAAGCCGGTGCAAGTGCGGGTTCTAGAAGACCGCTGGTCAACTGACGGGAGTTTTTGCCAGCCAATCGAGCAGGCGTGAGCTTCTTCAGAGCACATGTGGCCCCCAGCAAGGAGTAGTCAGGTTGGGTCAGGTGACACATCAATTTGGCAAGGAATGTGATGTGTAAGATTCAGACTGAAGAAGGATGTATTAGCAAGTCCCGACTCCCCAACAGCCCGCGGGCCAAGCATCTAGATAGTGAGTGTTTTACTTGCTGATAGCCCCTTCATATAATTCACTATCGTTGATCCCTGCCAATGCCGAGTAGCAAGGGATGACTCCAGCGGATTACCATAGACATAATTGACCCTCTACGTGGTTAGGCAGCATGGCTCTAGACAGAATGTTAACTAGATAGATAAAACTGTTGTGAACGCATTTGATAGTAGCACAAGTATTCTCGTGCAGCACGTTTGCAACCCTTCTCCGTGACCGGTTTAAACCGTACCATTCACACAATGGACGCCCTTGAAAAGCCCGCGGTAGAGGATCTCGCAGACGAAACAAACATATCTGTGAAAGAGTCTCCTATCCCAACTTCCACCCCCGGCTCCTCATCTTGCTCTCACGCGACCCACCTCCTCGGATGGCGGCTCGGCGCCCTGGTCTTGGGGCTGGGAATGGCCATCTTCCTCGTCGCAATTGACACCACCATCGTCTCGACCGCAATCCCAAGCATCTCCCAGGAGTTTGGCTCGGTGAGCAGCGACGGCTGGTACGGGTCAGCTTTTTTCCTGACGAATGCGGCCACGCAAGCCCCCTGGGGCACCATCTACGAGTTGACGCGGCTCAAGCCCAGCTTCCTGGTGGCCATGACTCTATTCGAAGCAGGCTCCCTCATCTGCGCTCTGGCCCACAATTCCGCAACCCTGACCGCGGGGCGCGCCGTCGCGGGGCTTGGGGCGGCGGGGGTCTCGTCGGGGGCCTACACGATCCTCGCCATCGCCGCGCCCCCGCGGTGGCGCTCGGTGCTCACGGCCGTCTTCGGCATCAGCTATGCGGTCGCCAGCTTCGTGGGTCCGGCCATTGGCGGGATTCTGACTTCCAGCAGCACCTGGCGGTGGTGTTTCTGGATCAACCTGCCCATTGGTGGGGTCACGATGGCCACCGTCGCCGTGGTCTGGAGGCCGACCACCACCGCCCATTCCCTGGCCCACTCGGCTGCCCCGTGGAAGACCATCGGCACGCGACTCGACCTCCCCGGCATTATCCTCTTCACGGGGAGTCTGACCTGCTACCTTCTCGCGCTCGAATGGGGCGGGGCCGCCAAGCCGTGGCACGATGCGGGGGTCGTCGGAACGCTGGTCACCAGCGGGGTGTTAGGGCTGTTGTTTCTGGTGCAGCAGTGGCGCGCCAAAGAGAACGCCGCGGTGCTCCCCTTCCCGCTCTTTCGCCGCTATCGCCGCATGGCCCTCCACTGCGGGGTCATCTTCTTCCTGGCGGCGGGCTTTTTCGTGCTGCTCTACAACCTCCCCCTGTACTTCCAGGCAGTCCGCAACCTGTCGGCCACCGCGTCGGGCCTTCGCACCGTGCCCCTCGTGCTGGGCTGTGGGCTGTTCTCCGCCCTGTCGGGATGGTACATGTCCATGGACGTCGCGGTAGGGTGGATCCCCATGCTGCTGGGCGCGGTCCTCACGACCGCAGGCGCGGGCCCGCTGTGGACACTGACGCCCTCCACCCCGGTGGCCACCTGGGCCGGGCTGCAGGTGCTGGTCGGCGCCGGGGTCGGTATTGCGTGCCAGATCCCCATCATCCTCAACCAGGCGATGGTGGTGAAGGACGATCCCGCAAACTTGTCCGTCGCCACCGCTGTGACGCTGTTCTTTCAGTTGCTGGGCGGCTGTGTCTTCTTGCAGCTCGCGCAGTGTCTGCTCACCAATGAGGTCGCGGCGCATCTGCACCAAGGGTCTCGGAAGGTGGATTTGGCGGCGGTGCTCGAGGCGGGCGCCGCGGGGCTGGCGCAGAGGTTTGACGGTGATACCTTGTCAATCGTCGCCGGGGCGTATATGCAGGGGATCAAAGCCACCGTGTTGCTTAGCACCACGTTGGCTGGACTGGCTACGATCTTTGCTGCGATCACTGTGCATGCAGAGCTTAGAAGCAAGGAGCACAGGCATGAGGTCGATGGCTAGGATGATTCGTGAGATTGGGGTTCTCCCGAGGACTTATCCATACGATCTCAACCGATTAATATATAGTGAATATATTCACTATCAAAGTGACAACGTGTACAGTATCCTGACAGGAAGCTGGCGGCAGCTAGCCCAAGAAGTTGTGAGGGCATCTCCATATTAAGCCAGACAACGTAGTGGTCGAATCTCAGATATGGAGAATTGGCCGAGGATTTTGGACATTATGTGCTAGCGAACTGAAATACACGACCCTCATTACTTGAATTCCTCGAATCATTATTCTGGTTCCTCGAGTACTAGCCCTGATATCTTCTCCCTGATCTCTAGATATAATACTCTCTGATTTAGTAGCAAGCTTGCAAACAGAGATCCAAGGCATTGTCCAATCCAGCCCCCGTCCCTTGAGATTTTTCGCCTGAATTCACTGTAGCTGGGACCCAGACGAGCTCTCAGGATAACCAGTTTACTTTCTCCAGCATTGACTTCTAGAGCAATCCGGGATCACTTAGGATGTACTTAGAGCACATAATTCTATGCTTCCCCCACGCTCCGGGCCACTCAGTGAGCAAAAAGCGGCGCCAAGTTGAACCCTACAGCGGAAAGGAAAACCCGCTCGATTTCCGCAACAATTCCAATTCGTTAGACCCTGAACCTGGTCACTTCCAAAATGAGACTAGTGTCCCTCCCCACTCCAATCATCCCCAGCTCTTCCCTCCGGCACGGACGGAAGCCCCCCCCGCGGGCGGGAGAACCTTTTCTTTTTCCTTTAGTACCTTCTAGTTTAAAAGGGATAAAGGATTTTGTTTCAATCCTGTTTCCATTGGGAGATTTGATGTCCCCCCCCCTCCCGCCCCCTTGCCCCTCCCCCTCTTGTCTTCCCGCGTCCCAGACTTTGCCTTCATCTTTTTCTCTCTTAAACAGATTAGAGTCTGAATCATGCCCCCGCCGACTTTCTGATCTTCCCCACTATGCTATCTTTCCTAGTGAGTCGATGACAGTCATCTCAGTCAATCGACTTTCGCAGGGACTATCGATTGGGTCAACGTCATGTCATTGTGCAACGTCACATCCTACGACGAGCGTTTCGATTTATACTCACCCGACGACTTTGCAGGATGTTCAAAAGGGATGAAGTACTGGGTGATGCAGATATTAAATCTATGGAGCTCAGAAGTCATACTTGTACAAGATGATGATGAATAGTGAGAGACATCTGGATGGGGAAAGGGAATGAAATGACACCAAAAAAGATATTGATAATGGCCGACTCAAGAAAGGATGACTGCTTTTTGTGTTTTCTAAACATCAAATCGAACAATCACGATAAACCCGACCCCTGCCTGCTTCCCCTTCCACTCCTTATACGCCTTCAGCGCTCGAATGCCAATCGATCAGTTCCCAGACACTCTGATGAAGTCCCGACGAGTGCTGTTCATATCGCGGCCAGTTCGATCCTGCGAGAGCACCACGAAAAAAAAAGATTGAACACAAGAAGCCGACATTTCCCCCGCCGGGACAATGAGGGGAAAAAAGCAAAAAAAAAAAAAAAAAAATATTTGACACGCGTTCTATGTATTAACCGAAAACGGATCTATTGGGCAACCTTGGCAGGAGGGACACCGATACCGTTGATGTTACGGTAGAACATAACACCGGCACTCTCGCCCTCAGCGCCCTCAGTAGGCTCAACCCACTGGCAGACACGGGAGCTGGTCCACAGGGCCTTGAAGAATCCGGTCCATCCGGTGTGGGCCTCGGTACGGTAGTGGTTGCCCATGACCTTCTTGATGGCTTCGCTGGCCTCATCCGCGTTGTAGAAGGGGATGGTGCTGACATAGTGGTGGAGAACGTGGGTCTCGATGATGCCGTGGAAAATGTGACGGCCGACGAAGCCGAAATCACGGTCGATGGTGGCGCCAGCACCACGGACGAAGTTCCAGACATCAGGGTGGTAGTGGGGGAGGGTGGGATCGGTGTGCTGAAGGTAGGTGATGGCAACTAGTGAAAGAGATTAGCCCTTGTCTGACCAAGCGAAAATCAGGGAAGCGAAAACTTACCGAGCCAGTGGTTCACCCAGAGGTAGGGGAGACCGTACCAGACCAAAAGGTTCATCCAGCCGTACTTGGAGCCAATGAGATACAGAACGGTTCCAGTGATGGCAAGACCGATGTCGCTCAAGAAGATGAGCTTTGCGTCCTTGGCTTCGTACAGGGGGCTGGAGGGGTTGAAGTGGTTGACCCCGCCAAAGTAGCCGTTCTTCTTGCCCTTGCCACGACCCTCGGGCTGACGCTCGTGGTTGTTGTGGCCGGTGACATTGGTGAGGAGGTACATGGGCCAGCCGAACAGCTGCTGGAGGACCAGATTGGACGCAGTCAGGATGGGAGTCTCCTCCATCAGATCGTTCAGTTCGTGAACAGCCTTGCCAACGCGGGTAGCGAATTCCGAGCGAGTCTTGGGGACGAAGACCATGTCGCGGGCAAGGTTACCAGTGGCCTTGTGGTGCTTTCCGTGAGAGATCTTCCAGGAGAAGTAAGGCACCAGCAGAGCAGAGTGCAGAACCCAACCAACAGTGTCGTTCAGGACCTTGGAGGGGGAAAAGGCCTGGTGTCCACACTCGTGGGCCAAAACCCAGATACCCGTTCCAAAGAGTCCCTGCACGACGGTGTAAAGGGCCCACAATCCGGTGCGAAGGGGCGTGAAAGGGATGTTCTCCGGGGTCACATAGTTGTGGAAGACATAGAATATGGTGGCCAGCCAGAACAAATCGCGGAAGACATAGTACAGACTGGTCGTGGCCCGGCGCTCAAAGCAGTGAGCGGGAATGGCATCGCGGAGCTGCTTGATGGTGAAATCAGGAATCTTGAACTCGTTGCCATAGGTGTCCAGCATCTTGCTGCGGGCCTCGGCCTCGGAAGCCAGCGACGACAGAGAGGTGGTCGAAGGAGACTGGCGCGGGCTGTCCATCGGAGAAGGAGCGATGGAGCTGGCCACCGAGGAGTCGGTGGTAGGGTTGCGGTGCAGCGCAACGCGCTTGGGAAGAGCTGTGGAGGACATGTTGTGCGGTTCGTCCTCTTGTGGGCTGGCAAGCTTTACGAGAGAAGACTAAAGCTTCAATGAAGAGTTAGCACAGGTTGTCTGATGCACTGACTGTGACTTTCACATGTTCTATGGAAAGAATTCGACTCTCACTCACCAATTGATCAAAGAGACCCCGAGGTTAAGAGGGTCGAGATGCACCGGACGGAAGGAGTTTCCACACAGCAAGGAGATACTAGGGAGGGAGGATGACGAAGAAGATAGGGGCAGCAAGATGATCCTGACTGACCACCTCGGAGAAACAGCCTTGGCCGGATAGGGAGAGAGAGGATGAAGAAGAGGAGGACGAGAGGAGGGCGAGGAGGGAAAGAAAAAGGATGGGAGGGAGGCGAGAAAGAGGAAGAAAAAAAGAGGTTTGATAATTTCAGGTGGTGGTTCAACACAGAACCCGGGGGAGGGGGGAGTCCGGCGATTGATTGATCCAGAGAAGGGAAAGGGAAAAAAAAAATATATTAAATTTGCAAAAAGAAAAGAAAAAAAAAAAAAAAGAATAAGGGAAAGGGAGGCGAAGAAAGACCAGGCAGGCAAAGAAAGAGAGAATCTGACTCCATCCAGAACAAACAATCGGCCGCCCCTGGCCCTTGTTACACTTTGGTACGGGGGATCTCCCGCTCAGAAATTTTTGCATCAGTTGGGACTGCCATTATTGGTCCGTTGGCTCAGGAATGCCACCTGGTTTGTTACCACTGCCGGTATTTTGCAATCATGTACGGAGTATTTGACACACCATCATGCTCCATGCACTATAATCAACTCAACCCTCACTGTGTATTGGGAAAACTCCTCATACTCACAAGAAACAGCTGCCGTCAATCGTGCCAGTCCTGTTTACTGTGAATGCACGGGACTGCCGAGGTTGAGCTGAGTATTATTGACTGGCTGTGCCAGCTGAATCTAAGTTTCAAGGTGCATGCTGAGATGCATGGCTATGCAGAGCCTACTGTAATGACCGCAGCGCCGCACAAGTGGGATCCGATCTTGACTCTAAGTTACGGAGTATGAGGAAGACTGTCGGGACACCTTAGTCCGACTGCCTCCCCTTAGGACTGGCTGAAATCTACGATGTAGTACGGAGTTACTCAGAGTGAGTATAGGGGGACGATGGGAGAGCTCGCCCTCGCCACCTCGTGGTCAGATAAGGCTGATCTGGAAGCAGAGAGTCTGACTAATAGTCGTACGACCTGCGGGTGGCTGAGGATCTGGAGTCTGCAGGTCTTTTTTCTCACCGCAACAGAAGATGGGATCATGGGTGGTGGGTAAATGGATTCATCCCATGTGGCCGGCCGGCATCTGCATTTTCAAATCCGAAGTTCCTGGGTTGCAATAATACCACAAGATGGTTTCATGGCATTACCTGCTTTACCTTACCAGGGACCGAGAACCGGAGGGGGGCGGAGGGATGAAGCCTTCACCGCCCGCCGCGGCCAATGAGCTTCGCGCTGCCGAATTGTGGCTTCTCAACAATTCCACTTTGATTCTTTATTTCTGTTTTTGGTCCTTGCGATTCAGCTTCAGCAATCAAAGAACAAAAAGCATTACCGCGGACGACTTCTTGTCAATGATATCGCCATCCGTCTGATTCGTCTTTCCATCATCCGAGCTTTGGTTGTCGGCCGTCATCATGAACGAGCCTCCAGAGAGACAAAGGCAAAAAAAGCCGGAGATGACTTCGGTTATAAGCTTAATGCGGAGCTTATCATCACCTTATCAGTCCGCACTTCCCCAACAAGAAGACTCGGGGGTGTGGTGTTTTACATTTTCACATGCCATCTCGGGGAGAATCAGCGTCAAGACTACATGTCCTCGTCACTCACCACCACTGATCTTATCTCATCTCAGCTGAGCGAAGGTGCTCTCATCCAATCCACTCAGTGTACCGTACGGAGTCTGAGTTTGGAACTAGTCGTCCTGCCCAGCAGAGGAGAAGTTGAGAATCGAAGAACTAGTTACGGGCAAGTGGGACAAGGAGATCCTGCGCTTCCACTCTGCTTCTGCTTCTGCTTCTGCTTCGGCCAGTCTGATTAGCCCATCTAGAAAGAAGATCCCCGGCGGCGCGTGGTCGCCACATCTAATGCGAACGAGTCAAGGATTGGCGGATACCACTGCTCAGTAAGTTGCTAACCACCTCAACGGGATGGATATCCATCACCAGCACACACCACACAGACATGAATAAAATCAAAAGTCAAGAGCCAAGGATAGGGTTCCACCGACAATCAGCAGACCTAAATGAGCCTCCCAACCACGCAACACAAAGACAAAGATCACCAGATACACTACACGAGTAAATTGGCTTATTCCGCATGTTCTGTAGATGATGAATTCCCTGGCCAATTGCGAAATGCCAACTAAAAGATGACCTGAGCCCGGAACTCCCCTATACCGAAAGACAAACAACCCAGTAAATCATGTGTCGAATTTTTGCACGGGAAGAATGAACCCCCCCCCCCCCCCCTCCGGGCCCCAATGCATGTCAAAACTTCTGTTGGGGCAGCCCAGCGATTCTGTTGAGAGATTGGGTCCCCCCGCCCCACCCTTCTCTCTGGCAAAGTTCCCTCAGGTCTTGAGTGCTCCACTCCCTCCCTTTCCACCTCCCTTTGATGGGCCTCGGCTGGCTCTGGGGTGGCTGGATGAGAAGTCGAAGTCAGAGGAATGAGCCGACTTGTCATTTGATGAGAAATTGGGGGCGTGCTAAACTGTATGGTTTAGTTTATCGTCCTGGGTACGGAGTAGTAGGTGGTTCTTTCCCTGCTGGGAAGGCTGGTGCTCGTAATTTTGAGTTGGTAAGATGGTTTCCGTCTGGGAATGAAATTTTCATTTCTTGGCTGCAATCAATGCTGTCGATCGATAAGTGGAGGCGAGGTGCGATAAGAAGATCAATCAGTCTTTAACATCGCCACCTCGCAGGATTCCATACTATACGGAGTATACTGTGTGGAGCCTCTGAACACATCAAGCCACTTACAAGTAATGTGTAGGATCATTGAAGTTCTCATCCATTCCGAGGCATCGGTGCTATCTTGTATACTGTATGTTCAACTCTGCATGTAGCATTTGCCATAAATACGTAAGGATATATATCTAATAACTAAGCTCTATGTACAGATGAGTCGCAACACCCCATGATCACTACTACGCTAGGTACTCTTCACAGATTGGTGTAGCCGCTCAGAGTCGACTAACCAGGCACCACCATGGCTGCCGCCAGAGAGGGAAAGACTCACAGTCGTCGTTCGCAGATCGGGGAGAACAAGAACTGTCTCCCCATGGTTACGGTAGTCTACCTCGCACGGAATGGGTCGTCGTTGCAGAAGACTCGGGGTGGTCCCAGGATCTGCCATCGGCCCCCCAGTCGAGGGCTGAGGCTTCGAGGGAGTGGGTGGCGGCGGGGCTCCCGCTGACGAGGCCGATGGTGGTACAAAGCTTCGAAGCTCGAGCCCAGGGAGGAGGAGGTGGCCAGCCTTCTGGGGGAGAAGCATGATCGCAAAGGTCTTAGTCTCTCCCTCATTGGCGGTGAAATTCCCGCGACGTCGACCGCCCACCAGCCAGCAGTCCGGATTGGCATGAAGCTCGTACGTAAATTCCAGTGGTCCGTCTGGATTCGCACGCTGTTCAGCTGAGCTCCAGCGTCGAGTGTGAGAGATGCTGAGTTCAGCGGCGATCATTTGGCCAACCGCGGCGTATCGCGGTTGGTCGGTCAAATTCGTGAGGCGGAGCTCAGCCGTGTGGACAACCTGGATCTCGGGAATATCAACGGGGATGACGATGTGTCTCTTGAGCACTGTGGGTGATTCCGGGAGACGAATTATTGGATTACGCTGTGTACGTTAGAAGAGCGTCTTGAACGATCCACTTTGAGCATTTCCACGATGGGAAAGAAAGAAAGGGACAATGTGCTGGCGGCTTTCTTACCTTGTGCCATTCCTGGAGCCAAGTTTTCAGTCCTTGGATTGGCTCCTTCAGCGCACCCAGCAACCCCTCCCATCGAACCTTTGCATAACTCAAGGTTTCCACCTCCCGGACCAGACCAATGATCTCCATGTCGGAGTTTGACAGTTGCGTGCGGAACGCCTCGACAATATGCGAGGTTAGCAGCGTGCTGTACGGCTGGAATTCACTGGCCATAACGCTGGAGCGGAATGTTCTCTCCACGGCGTCCACGCATTCGTCGTCCACACATGTAAAATCCACACTGAGTCGCAGCGAACGCCGGGCCCCAGGGGAGGAGACATGTTCCTGCTTCGGGCGGATCTTGTAAATCAGGGACGCGGGCTGCTTGGGAAATACATCTAACGCCACAGAATCGCCGATGCTCGACTGCACCTCGTAGGCGTCTGAGCTTGGGATGCTGCATTTCGAAATGCGCAGAGGAATCATCAACGCCGGGCTGATCGTAAATCGGGAAAAGAGCACGCTGTTCTTGAAAATATCTTGCACGTTGACACTGATCGGCAAGGCCGAGGTTATGTTGTGAATGGAAGAGTATGAAAACAGCCCGCTGTCTGTTTTGTAAACCACCTCTGCTCTAGCGGACAGTGTTGGTTGATGCTCCTCGACGGTATATGGGACCCGGAGCCGAACGAATGAGTTGGGGTTCAGTTCCGTGAATTCTATGGTACCTGAATCGCTGTTGGCTTTGATTTGGATTTCGCCTTCTATCAACTCTGCTTCCGTGATCCTCAGTCGCAGACCAGCAGTGGCTGGTCTCACACGCAGAGTGCCTGTTCTGATATTGTTCCATCCGCTGTTGAGTTCCAGCTCCAGCGTCCGCATTTCTTGCAAATTGACAAGGTGCGGGGAAACTATCTTTGCCTGCAGGCCATTCGGTGGCGGAAAACAATAGATATACGGGCGGCTATCGTCCTCTTCTGCCTCTATTGCTTCTCTAAACCCTATAGGTAGTGAGGCGTTTTTTCCACTTGTTGACGTGAAGATGAGATTCTTCACACGTATCTCGATGCGGTCCACGTAGTATTTCCCTTGTAGTGAAGTCTTTCCCCCCGCATGTCAGTACACTGAAAGGAGAGCTGGACATAAGCAAGTGATACTCACTGATGAGTCGACCAGAACCTTCGTCGATGACGATCTGATCGTCATCCCCGTTGACATTTCCAACCAATGCTCGTTGGTCTGAGGACCAGATGCACTGACTAACCGCAGCTTAAGCGAGTCAATCTCCAGTCGCTTCCCGAGAAGGAACCTCAAGGCAAGCTGCAGCTGAAACCCGTCCTTATCTTCATAATGGGCAATGGTCGGCTTGACTTTGAGGTCCCCAAAAAAATCAGTCATCGGTGCGAACACTTCCTTGTTCAAAGCTCCGGAGGCCCTGAAAAGCTCATCAACATACTCGGAGACCAAAGCATTTTCGGCAAAGATGTGAGATGCATCTAGTGTTTTTTGTCGGCTTGACAAGTTTGACTCCGTCCAAGCGGCGAATTTAGCAAGAAGGCGGAGAATCGTCCGGACATATTCATCGCTACGATCTAGCTCTTTCAAGCAACGCGCATACATCTCCAACATGACACCCTCCAGGACAGACCAGTGTTTGTTGCCGTAGAATGGAGTCAATTGGTGGAAGTATGAGGCAGCCGCGCCATAGTCACTCTGCCGATACCGTAGAAGGGCCATGTCGGCAAGCGCGGCGTGCGCTGAGTTGCTGCGATTGGCAGAAATATGATGCCGATACATCTGGTCCGTCAGGTCTTCGAAATGCACCCGAAAAGCTTTCCTTGAACGAAGAGCGACCCTTAACGCAGGAAGAGAGATACCACAGAGATACCTGGGTTCTGGTACATCTCTTGAGGCTGCCTGTGGTTCATCGTCAAGGCTGACCTCAGCCATGTCGTTTTCTGCATTATTCCCCTCATCAAAAAGTAGACGGAGTTCATTCCATTTCTCTTTCCAGCCACACCTACCAGAAACCTCCTCCAAAGCCCGTCGAGCCATGAGATATAGATCCCCTCTCCCGGAAGCCAACTGCTCGGAGCCAGTTTTGGCGGTCGGTTTGGGTACCTCCAAACCCGGCCGAGCATAGACCGAAAGGCTCTCAGACGATAAGACATCCGATGTCCCAGACCGTGAACGCGCTGCAGAAGAGTTCATAAGCGAGCTAGTTCGTTTCGGAAGCTCCCCTGCGCCTTCTACGGACTTGGTAGTCCCCGATTCGTTGTTCGCGACATGGCAGGTGGTCTCCGGAAGCGTCAATGCTGGTGTGAAAGTCTGGGCAAGGATTTGAGAGGCAGCAGCATAGACCCAAGACGACACCATATTGTCAATCACCTCGTGCTTTGCGGCGCTATCCACTTCACTCAGGCCCGTTTCAAGATCAGACCTCAAGGTTCGTGCCGCAAGGCTGATGAACTCATTGGCTCTGGCACAGACCTGAGAAAGCAGCATCAAGTTTTCAGCCTTCGTGGCTTTGTTGGCTGAGTTCTTGTTCCTCTCTGCTTCTTGATTGACCAGAGATGGAGCCCTGGCTGCTCGGAGAAGGAGAGTGACTTGTCGAGAGAAGACATACGTGCGGAAGTCAAAGATAGAGATGTTGCTTGCCAGGATCATTTCACGATAAGGTTTCTTGTTCGAATCGATTGGGAAGTCACTCGAGTCAAGGCTGGGGACCGATACCGGCTCGGCATCATCTTCATCCTTTGGTGCAGAGTCACTCTCGAACTCAAGGGCCTGTTTCGCTGATTGCTGCCAGTCTTTGCTGTGGGTCAAAAAAGCACTGCCGTGCTGTTCACCAGTACCTTCCAGTTGCTCGGAAATGGCAGTATCCAGGCCAACGGCAAGTTCATCGTATCCCAGCAAAGCGTCCTCGAACAAGCCGACATTTTCAAACCCCCTGGCCAGCCCTTCCTTCAAGATGAAGAATGTGCAGAAGTTCCAGCCGGGTAAACTGCGCTGTGAGTCCTTCTCCTTGATGTCTTCCTCATACTGTGCAACACGCAGGTCAAAAGCCGACAGAATCGCGTTCTTCATCTTCTCCACAAAGTCCTCGACTTGATCGGCCAGCTCTGGCGGCTTGACAACGCTGTCTTGTTTAGGCAGACGAATCTGAGCCACGCGATCAACGGCGGACTTGGACGCGCCATTGAAATCCGCCCTGACCTTTTCTAAGACCGTCGTGGTGGTGCGCCCCCATTTGGAAGCTGGGGCGGCTTGTGCGGCGCCCTCCCCATCCTGCACTACGTGTAAGATAAGCCAGTCGAACGCATCGTGCTTCTCCTGGCTACTTGTGGTGGTATTGGATAGGGAGGTGGAGGCGTGAGACTTGATCCAATCCCGCAATGCCCGCCGCGCGGTAGCCTTGTAGGTGTCGTTGTCGTCGCATCGAAGGAGGAAGATCTTCAGGTATGGCGTTTGTCTTAGTCCAGGAATCTGGTGCCGGCGATGTGTCACTGCGGTTCCAGCTGTATCGGTGGAGGCATTTTGCTCGTCCGCTTCATGCTGCGCAGGTACGAAGCCAATTCGCAGGGACTCAATGGACCGGACAGGACGAGTAGGTGATTTCCAGTGTAGATTCCTGAGCGGGAGTTTGTTGGCGAGAACAGGCTGAAGGGCGGGGAAAAGGCCGGACGGATCAGTATACTCGACTGGAAGCAGCGGTGGTGGAAAAGTGAGCAACGTGTAGCACAAGTACATCGAGCGGGAACGGGGCTTATTTACCGGTAACACTGCTCGAGCTCCCCTGGGGTGATGGGTCCATGGTTTCCCGAGCACTATTCGGGGCAAGGCAGACTACCTGCAAAGGACATACCGCATGAGGCAGCTGAAGAGAAAGAGGATTGGGATCGATCTCCCTGATTCAACCAGGGTTTGCGGGGGAGGGGGAAACGATGAAGGAGATCGGGGATGCAATAATCAGAAGATGGGACGGACGGATCGTTGGCCGCAAACAAGACCGCCTTTCCGCCTTCTGTTCCCCGTCCGCCATCTCTTGGCATTCATTCAACACTGCACTACTAATAGTACCTTATACATACACTTACACCTCGTCCATATTCACTTATGCATCAAGTGTTCCATTAGATCTATAGAAAAATGAGTGAAAACCGCCCCAAGAAATGATACCTCTGTACAGAGACCCCACTCGAGATAACAAGGCTAGAAATTTGATAAGGAAGGCATCAGGAACAACCAAGGTATAGAAATAGACCCATCATATCCCGTCGTTATAGAAACATCACACAAAAACCAAACAAGGGATGACAAAATGCCCCGTAAAAGCACCAGTCCAATGGACAGAACGCCCTAGCTCTGAATGAATGAATGAAAAGAGACAATTCGAATAAAGGTTAGTAGGCAAATGGTGTGGTAGGATCGCTCAAGAACCGACTTCTAGAACGCGCTGCGCATATCGGGCTTTGACAAATTCATAACCGCTGTAGATTCCCTCCCAGATCCCGGGGACATAGCTTCGGACCCAGGCTCCGATCACCAGGAGTAATAGAGGGATCTGAAGCAGATTAGCACTAGATCCACCAAAAAGCTGAACAGTTTTGACACATACCCAGATGAAGTATAGGTTACGATCCTTCCCAAGACCCTTCATCCTCCGTGCCTGCTGCTCGCGGAGATGTTTCTGTTGCTCACGCGAAATCACTTTGCGACCAATTCGGATGTCCTTGAGCTCTACGCTGTCCGCTTTGGCGACAACAGCTTCTGAGGTGCTGGCCTGAGCCTCAAAGTGCTGATCAAGGGCAGCCTCTGCAGCCGCTTGTAACATGCTAGCCTTCTTGAGTTGCGCCGCTTGGTCCTCTTTGGTATGGTTCTCCTTGTGCGGGTATAGCTCTTCATAGGAAGGTAGCTCGGCTGTTGGCGGAGCCGAGTGGTCGGTAGCCGTATTGCCGGTAAGCATATCCCACCAGCCATCCTTAGACGAGCGGGATGTACTGGGCCGGTGCGGGACGAGATTGGTGATACGACGCATCATGGGATGGGCCTGATAATCGGGCAAGGCGGGCATCGGCGGCAAAGCAGGGAGGTTAGGAAAGGCGTTGGCTACACTTTGCTGGAACTGGTTGATTTGTGTTTGCAATTGGTTGCGCCAAGCGACTAGAGCAGCTGGGGGAGAGAATGGTCGCGCGTCCGCTCCTTGAGGTGGTTGTTCAGGAGCTGAAACCGACCCTGATCGGTCATGATGGACACTGGATCGTCGCGATATCGTATGATTGATCTCATCTTCGTCGAAAACCTCATCATCAGAGTCCTCAACAGCATGGCCAAAAGAACCCGATGCGGACGATGATTCCCAGAGGGAGTGCAGGGAGGCAGAACTGTGTCGGCGGCGCGACGATGACAATGAGCCAACGCTGCGTGAGCGATGGTGGGCGGGAATAAGAGCAGCTTGGTGCGCGGGTAGTGTAGTCGCCAAATCTGCTGGTGTGAATCCCCGTATGCTGCGAGCGGTAGTCTCAGCTCCGGCAAGGCGCAGTCTCTGAACAATATGTGCGTGACCATTCAAAGCGGCTAGGTGCATGGGCGTATTTCCCGAGTTGTCTTGCACATCGGGACTGGCACCTCGTGCAAGGAGTCCAGCAACAAATCGCGTGAGTCCTAAGGATGATGCAAAATGGAGCAGCGTCTGACCCGTAGCTGAGCGAGAATTGTATCGAGGTGGACGAGGGCTATCATCAAGATCGACAAATTCAAGGTAAGTCAACATCTTGGAGTCAAGGTCGCTCAATTTACCCTGCGACTCATACCCAGGTACTTGTCGCTGGTGTCCACTTGAGCTCCCCTGGAACTCTTTCGGGATATTGAAGACACTCTTCATGTCGCTACCCATGATCTGCTGAGCTGTTTGGAACGCATCTGCTTGACTGCCCAGCTTCTGTCCCAGAATCCCAAGAGCTAATCGGTACATCTGCAGCTCACGGTCGTCTATATAGCGGAAAAACTGCTGCTGCTTCGGCATCAAAGGTTGCGGTGTCTGGACCTGGCCAAACGTGGGGTGTTCGTGCTTGAACACAACCGGCACCACTCCAGGCTGCAATGCGGGAGGTGTCAAGCAGTTTAGACACTTGTCGCCCCAGAAGGTGGTCGTAGTGGCAAGGGTGTCACCAAATACCACTTCCATGCCAGGGTAGAAGCCGCTACCAAGCAAGGTGACTTCAGTGCCTCCGGTGATAGAACCCTCGGCGGGAACAACTTTATGAATGACCGAGGGCAACCGGTTTCCGGCGTTGGTGAGCGGCGGCCACATTGGAGCAGACGTGTTCGGGCCGAGAGACAGGTTGAAAGATTGGTCATGGAAATTGTTCCTAGAGCCGCCGGGTGTGCCCGGACGACTGGGATGGGCAGAGTTCGGTGCAGACATCAACTGCTGCTGTATGAAACTGTCCAGGCTTTGTTGCTGTATTGTTGCATTGAGGAACGGGTTGTTGTCCCCGCTGCTTGGAGTCGGAGGGCTGTTGGGAAACTGGTTAGACATAGCAGATGAAGTCACGAAGGGCCTTTCCAATGGTGACGCGAAACCGTGGGCCCCTGAAAATTGTGGCTCATTGCTGGGTGCTGCCGAACTGGAACTGTTGGCTGATGATTGGGTATTCTCCAACTTGGTCATGGTAAGCTCCGAAGGAAGTCTTCCTGAGTTACTATGCTTGCGTCTCTTGCTCATTGGCCCCTGGAAGTCGTTGGGCGAGGTCTGCCGAGATAGACTGCGTGGTGTCTGCGAATTGGACGTTGTGCTGTTGGCTGACGCTTGAGTCATTGCGAACGACCCAGAAGGCACTTGATACTGTGAGTTGAATCGTTGCTGAAGTCCCTGCAAATCAGTCGCCGAAGCTGTTTGGTTCGACTGTTGCGCGAAGGTTGACGCTTTCCCTGTCTCCACACTGGGACTAGATGGGAAGACACCAACGCCTGGCAATTGGGTTCCATCCGGCAGAGAGGGCGAGGGGCCAGGGGCTGGCGGGGCCGGGGGAGCGTGCGTTTTATGGTCGTCAGTGATCATAATCGAATTCGTGATCGCCTGAGCGATAACATTATCTTTATGATCTTTGATCGTGAAAATAACCCTAGTAATGAACTGTGAGCCTCAAATGAAACAGAGCCACAATGTGAAAAATTTCAGCAAAAAATGGTTAACGTACTGGAACCCAAGCTTCTCGTTTTGATGCCTGCAATAACATGCTATTCGCATCGGCAATTCTACCTGCATAGCCCCAGCCGGAATGTTCAGAACTTGACTATCACCATAACCAGGTATGGCGTTCTTCGATGGTTCCGTCCAATCCTTGATCTCGTTTGTGTTGAAAACGATGACTCTCTTCCCTTCGTCCTTCTGGAAAAGTTCATCTTCCTCTGGCTTCCTCTGCTTCTTTCGGAAGGCCCGCTTCCTTTCGCGCTGTATACACCCTGGGCAGATTTTGACCTCTCCTCCGTCCAGTGGCTTGTCGTCTTCCTGGACGTCATCGGCAGCGCGTGGGCTCGAGCTAGAGGACTGATAACGACATTCGCCTCTTGCTCTAGCGAAAGCTTTCTTGAGCTTGTCCTGCTCTTGCATAGCACTGGTACAAACAAGGCTTGTGTGAAGCTCCACGATTTCTGGGGAACGTTCGATGGTCGGCGGCGCCAGGAATTTAGGCTTCGAAATCGTGTGACTAGGCAGACGAACTTTTTTCACGCCGGGCGGCAAGGGGAAAAGCGTCAGTCGGATCGGGATCTGAGTCTCCACGCGCGACTTGAGTGACGTGGGGTGAACTGTCAGGATATGACGCTGTGGTGTTTCCGGTTTCATGAAGCTTGGGGAAGGCGATGGAGCGAAGTTGATGCCAAAAGGAAAGCTGCTCGGCCCGAAATTCAGATTCGAGTTCATGGGAGAACCATTCATATTGATGCCACCAAAGCTTTCCTCCAGAAGCGACGAAGGTGAATGACCACCCCAAGGACCCAATGTAGACTTCCCTTGACTTATACTCCGTGATACCGAGAAGGGAGATGCTTCCTTGGTGCTTCGAGGGAAGAAGGCCGTACCGGGGATCTAGACAATAAGGTGTCAGCATGTGGGTCAATAGCATGTGAATGCTGTTTGGACAGGGATTACCGGAGAGGCAGATTGCCTGGCTGAAGCGCCCGACGTACTCCGCAATTGGGCTTTGGATTTCCTTTTGGATTTGGACTGCGGCGTGGTCTCCGATTTCAGCGGACTAGGACTACTAGCAGCACTCTCAAAATCAAATGCTGCATCCATAACCTTATTACTCGATTCAAGATCGGCGTCTGCGGGAAAAGGACCATCTAGATTCGGTAGAGAAAGATCCAGACCAAATAGTGGCTCCTCCTTCACCGACCCGAGATCAGAATTCATCCAATCCTCCGTTGTGTAGCCGAAGGGCATCATCGTGCTCTCACTATGTACTGCTGATGTGGAGGACGCCACGGACGGGTTTCGAAGATGATTCCGGGGTGACTCAGAAGACGAACTTGGCGTTGAACCGTCTGGCGACTCGGCGGGGGATTCGGCGGAGACCACAGTGAATTGTCGCATCGCATCCGTCTCTTGATAGGGGTGTTTCAACGATAGGTCAGATGGTGATAAGCATGCTGGCTCCGAGTCACGGCTCTGTCGGGCGGAAGGGGCGTGAGAAAAGAGGTCGTCGAAATCCCTGCCCGCGCCTTCTGACGAGACCTGCAACCGTGCAGAGTCTAAGAAATCCATATCTGTATCGTGATAAGGGTTACCCATCTCGTCGTCGACTACGACAGGTTCAAGAAAAGAAAAAGCAGGTGGAGAGACAGCGTCCGTCGATCCCATCCTTTGATCCTAGCGATCCTAGCAATCGTCTGCAGAGGATCTGGAGGAAATGCCGGCGATCCCCCCTGACAAGCCTCGCAGGCTGCTCCGAAATATCCCTTATCTTAAGCCCCAAACCCAGATCTGAATGGCCCAAGAGCGTAATACTATCGAGATTGAATGAGGCTGGACAGAAGCCGCAATACCTAGGAGAGCGCGCTCAGTATTTGCCGACAAACAAGTGGTACTGCGAATCCATCCGTAGTAGGGATCGGATTCGGTGAGACTAAAGATTGTGGTGATATCTTATTCCGACCAACCAGAGGAGGGTAGAAGCGTATGACTGTGTGAAGGAGAAGACGGCGTGATTGAAAAAGGGCAACGGTTGTCGTTTAGGGGGGGAGAAGAGCGGAGGCGGAGGTGCGGCCGGGCGAGAAAGGGGAAAATCAGAGCGATGGTCGGAGTTAGCGAGGTGAAAAAGTTTGGGAGGCAATCGTGCCCAAGATCGGTCGGAAGAATTGAGAAGGAATTAAGAGGTTAAGAGAGGAGGCTGACAGTTGTAGTGATCGACCACGGAAAGCCCCGTAGATAAGCCAAACCTGGAGAGAGTGGGAGAAAAGGGGGGGGGGGGTGTGGGAGGGAGGGTAGTAGATGTGGGTGTGGAAGTGTACAGTAATAATAATGAGAGAGCGAAGGGAGAGGGAGAAACGGACAGAGTGAGTGAGACTCAGTGTGAATAATTATTACTGTTTCTGCCTACCAGTCAAAACCACTTAGTGAGTGAGTGATTTAGCGGCTGGATTCCATTCAGTGCCACTCAGTCCCTCCATGCCTTGGCGGTGAGTCAGAATGACGCTAATCCCAATAGAGGAATTGGACTGTCAGGAACCGGAGTAACTAAAGCTACCAGGTTCTTATTGGTCGAAAAGCAGCAGTAGGCGGCCGGTCTGCTTTGTACCTCTTAGTTCCAGTTCCATTAACTTATCTCTGGTACAGGTTCCTATCCATTACTGTCTAGTAAGCCTGCTATATGGCCAATACAACCTGTCTCTTTGTAACTTATGCTCATTAATTGCTGGGCATTGTGTTGTATAATTGGGTTACAACTTGGACTTTCCATACCCGTTAATGGAAGGGGGAATTGATGATGGGCTCACTAACTAAAGAAGATCATCATCCATCCACCTGCATCCCGCCATCCCTTCCCCGTGTGAAGCAGAGCGTCCCCGTCCCGAGCAGGGCCATTGTACCACAAGATGACTTATTTCCGCGATGACGGCTCATTAATCAGAAGTGCCTAGATTTTGACCTTAGCATTGCGTATCACGCAGCATGGACCTTCTACCGGACTTGTGCTACTACCCAGATGACTTCACGGTCGGCGCTTGGTGCCCTCATCGACTATCTTACGTTCCAGTCCAGAGCAGCAGAAACGTGCTGGATTCCTTGTCGCTATCGCGTCAAGCCGGATCTAATGCACATGAAACCTGGGTATATATTGGTCAGCAAGATGCTAACGGTCAATGACCACCAGCGAACTACGCGGCCAAGAAAGAGAGGCAAACAAGCGAAAACGTTTCGGACCAGTCCGGGTGCGAGTCTCCTTGAGCTATGGACAGCAACCTAGCATACCTCGTGCGGGGATGCTAAGATATAAAATAAGCACAGGCAAGTCGGCCCGCGTGAGATGCTCTTACCCAGCTAATCACACGGCGTCTATTGTTATCATCACGCATTAGCAGCTCATACCCCCGAAGTACCCCTCATCAACCTGTGCCGCATCCAAGCCCTGTCAGCCCTGGATGGTCGGCGCCTATCATCCTTCTAGACGTGGTTGGATAGTCATGCTTCAATGGTCGGGCTCTAGACCGGTCTTCAATCAATAGATTAGGTCTGCGCTAGGCTAAGGGTACATTCGTGAGTTCCATCTGGGCATTTTATCGGAGAGAAAGCAAGGCCTTCTGTGCTTGATATAGAAAGAATGGAGGCTTGAAAGTCGTCTTTGTCTTCCGCATATGCTGGTATGGCATGCTGTTGATATTTTAATCATAGTGGCTTGCAACTCAGAATATCCAATATCCAGGTATGTTTACTGTACAAGGAATAAATGACTCCGCCTATATGCTAACCATAACAATTGGTTGGTAAGAAGGAATGTTTCTGGATGTATGAGGCCATGTCGCGAGAAAACTTAGCCCCAGTTTAGGGCTTGATGGTACGCCACGGTGATTGAGACATCACCATAAGTTTTGTCGTCAGCTATGACAAAGCTGTATAAAAATTCGCTTATGGGAAGTGGCTGTATCTTGAGCATTTGCTACCTTACAGATAGATTCGCCGCCACGGCGCATGGACGTTGCCATGGCCCTGCACAAGTGCGTGTTTGAAATTGAGGATCGACCCCATGTGAGGTCGGGGATTCGACTATATCAGTAAAAGCCAATTAGTGTCAGGAACGAAGCTGTCGCTTGTAGGGTCAATGGCTCCTTTCTCAAGACGAATCGGTTTCTCCTTGCCGAATTGTCGTACGAGATCTGAAGCTGCAGGGACATAGGCCTTCCGACCATACTGTCTCACCCGACTCGGCTTCTCAAGTTTCACGAAGCGCGAGCGCGTGTACACATGGTAGATGCTGAGCAACATAATAGAATTCGACAGGCGTGACCGACACCGACAGGAGGGGTGCTGCTTTATTTACCAAAACCCTGCTCACAATCCTCTGAAGGAGTATTCATCGATGGCGGGCCGTAACCTTGGCATCCCACGAAATCGACAATCCGCAAGGTGTATCCAGGCTCGCGGCTAGATTTTGTCAGAGAAATACTTCACACAATCTCTATGAGTATGCGCAAGTGAGACAATAAGCTTTTTAGGGGTGAAAGAAGCCTCCTCATAACGTTCAGGAAAAGCTTGGTTGATGGACTGGAGACAGCCAGCCTGGCAACGGTCGAAACCTCCGCCGAAGATTGTTTCAGGTAAATTGACCTATGGCCATGGTACCGTGCACTCTACTCCGTACACCCTCGTGGCCCACTGGGAGCAAGGAGAACGAGAAGGGTGGGCGAGGCAGCGACTAGACCATGATGGTAGGGGCGTTTACTCCGTGTAAAAGGTGTTTCAACTTGTTAGCGACCCTTTACATGACCCTGCATGGAGCGGTAGACCCTGAGACGTTAGTTGTCCTTGTACCAAACCACGCAGAACGAACTCATCAATGGCTTCTCGTCTTTGGAGAAGAGGCTGGAGTCGGCATAGGAGTGAAACACACGTGTTGAACGAATTTGAGACAGTTTGCAATGCCAGCCTCCAGGGCCTAAGAGTCTGAGACACATAGAGATGCAGGAATTGGGAGACGGGCCTTTAAGAAACGAATTGCAATGCTAAGACCAGATTGAAACTCTCCTTGCAATCTCCATCGACAATCTCGATCTCGACCTGCTCGAAGGACCGCGCGCCTCTAATTAATTAGGGATGTGACCAGATGGCGCCATTTAGCCGGAAAGGTGGATCATGCACCGGCTCACAAGCCGAGGGACCTTTCTCATGCATGCGCTGTAACACTACGGAGTAGAAGCCTTTCCTATTATTGACCAGCCACTTTCAACTCCAGCAATTTTCTGAATAAATCATGATAGAGTCAATCAAGGATAATCGAGGACAATGACATCGCAGTCGATTGTGGGAAACACGGCTCTGATACTTACTGTACAGAACATCGGTAGGGTAGCTGGGCACGTGGCTGCCGATTGAGCAACGCCAGGGTCTCATCATCCATGTGAAGACACGATTAACTACGATCATCACAACAACCCACACCACCACAAACCACCACAATACCTTATCGTCCCAAGGAATTTGAACGACGTCGTCTTCCTCACAAAATTTCCAGACTTCATTCATGCCTTGATTTCTGGTTGGTCACAATTTCCCGCGACTCTTCAGAAATGGCATTTCTTGGCAGGGCGGACTTGGAGCAGCTTGGCTCCTTGTTGAAACTCGCTTTGTCGCAGACGGCCGCCAGAGCACCGGCGCTTGCAGCTCCACTCGCTTGTTAGGGTGAGTAGTTAATATCCATCGAGACCTTCTGATGTCGCTCCGACCTCCCCTCTCCAAGCAACGCTAAGTCAAAAGTAGTCTGTGTTCCTGGGAATGTCTTGACCGTTAACGCCGGAACCCACAGTTGCGTTGACGCTTAGTGGTCCGGTGCCTGTCTTTCATCAATCTCAGACTTGCCTTGCTGCGATGACCCTATCCCCATTAATATCGAGCATCCGATAGCCACACATGGAGTGGAAACCTGACAGGTGCCAAGGCAATCTACGTGTAGCATGGCCGGCTGCAATGAACCTTTCAATTTTCTGGCCTCGGCGACTATCCGGTCTGAGCTCTTCTGGCGGAGCCTCGATGATTGCGACAATACAAATATAAGAGGGCGTCAAAACCACGAGTCTGAAGCTTTCTTCATTCTTCCCACCAGCTTCTCATTCCTTTCTTTACCTGGGTCTTAGAACCTTCCATTCTCTTCCTTTCCTTTCCAGGCTTCATTGATTGAAGACCGCTTCACTTCGTCACTCTTTCCGTCTTATCAAAATTCACATTCACGCTGTGCGTTGATCTAAAAATGTCTGTCACTAAGCTTGCTGGTGTTATTCTCGGCTCGGCCGCTCTCGTTGCTGGTCACGGTTACGTGTCGGGTGCTGTTGTCGATGGAACCTACTACGGCGGTTACATTGTCACTTCATACCCCTATGAGAGCGATCCCCCGGAGACTATTGCTTGGTCTACTGAGGCTACCGACTTGGGCTACGTCGATGGTACCGAGTATGCTGAAGCCGACATCATCTGTCACAAGAGTGCTAAGCCCGGTGCCATCTCTGCTGAGATCAAGGCTGGTGGTACCGTTGAGCTCCAGTGGACTACCTGGCCTTCTAGCCACCACGGTCCCGTCCTAACCTACCTTGCCAACTGCAATGGTGACTGCAGCAGTGTCACCAAGACCGACCTCGAGTTCTTCAAGATTGATGAGAGCGGTCTCATCGACGACACCGACCTCCCTGGTACTTGGGCCACGGACAATTTGATCTCCAACAACAACAGCTGGACTGTGACCATTCCTTCTGACATTGCGGCTGGCAACTACGTCCTGCGCCACGAAATCATTGCCCTCCACTCTGCTGAGACCAAGGATGGCGCTCAAAACTACCCTCAGTGTCTCAACTTGAAGGTTACTGGCGGTGACAGTCTTGCTCCCTCTGGTACTGCTGGTGAGAGCTTGTACAAGGACACTGACCCTGGTATTCTTGTCAACATCTACGAGACTTTGACTTCCTACGATATCCCCGGACCCGCTATGTACAACGCCACCTCCACCTCCAGCTCTTCCAGCTCTGCCAGCTCTGCCAGCTCTGGCTCATCCAGCACCGCCGCTGCCTCCAGCAGCTCTAGCACCACTGCTGCCGCTGCTGCCGCCACCAGCGCTGCTTCTTCCGTCGCTACTAGCGCTGCTTCTTCTGTCACCTCTGCTGCTGGCTCCGTCATTACTCAGACCGCTACCGCAGTTGAGACGGATACCGCCACTGCCTACCAGACCTCTACTGAGGTTGAGCAAGTCACCGTCACTGGTAGCGCTCCTCAGCAGACCTATGTTGCCACTCCCAGCAGCTCCAGCTCTGCCTCCAGCAGCTCGAGTGCTTCTGTGTCTAGCACCACCAACCTTACCTCCTACTTCGAGTCCCTGAGCGCTTCTCAGTTCCTCAGCGTTCTCAAGGAGACCTTCAGCTGGTTGGTCAGCAGCAACAAGGTGCACGCTCGTGACCTTGCCCACTAAGCGCTATGTTTTGGTGTAGACTATAGATCGATTACACTTTTTCAATATCTCTTATAACAGCCGTTGGCTTTCCCTTTCATTGTGATTGTTCTGTTCAATCCGGGTCGGGCATCCCACTATGTATCTATAAAAACAATTCAGAAGCACTGGGTATCAGAATGTTCTGCTGTAATATTGGTATGGTTTTGTTTTTGTATTCAACTATATTCGTAAAGCTTTCGGACTCGCAACGACTGCATCTGAGGAGAGGCCCATAGAACAATCGAGGATCTATGCTCCGATTGAGAGGCAGCCTTCGCGCCCTCGACGAAGAAGTGAGGAAAGAATGATGCGGATGGTCACTTGCCCGGCCAATCCCTCCGACGCGGCGTCCATCCATCGACCTTGACTCTACCATCAAACCGTTCACATTACAGAAATCAGCCAACTCGATCAAAGCACACTTACCACCTACTCCCCGTACGAGCAGGGCTACCCCATTATGCCTCCTGCGCAGGACAAGAAGTCCGACCTGTCCGACATCGAGCCCAATTCAAAGTTCCAGTCTCGGTGGCTCAAGGACGCCGGCTATGACAATCTCTTCAAGTTGGGACTTTGCTACGGTGAGAAGATATATGAGAAGGAAGGACTTGAGGAGACCAGGAACATCCTTAAGGCTCTGCCAGATATGGACCAGGAAAAGTGGGAAGAACGCCAGAGGGAGAAGAGCAAGTAGCAGATCTCACAGACGGGGGACTGCACTTTGCGGTGAGCTCAGAGGGGCCCCGTGCTTCATTCAAGGTGCTGATGATCTTTCCTAGCACAGTTTGATGTTGCGGGAGGGGTCGATGCACTGGTTGCGAGCAATATCCTGGGATGTTTCAGTAATGTAAGAGTGAAAGCCAGAATTGTATGTCGCGATGATTCAATCTAAGGCGGGCCAAAAGCGGCCGATTGTTGTTGCGGCAGTCAACCCCCATTTCCCCACCATCTCATTCAAGTCCATCCCTCCACTCATTCTTTCTTTTCAATGGTATACCTTTTAATGCCACACCTAATTTTGGAATGATACACGAGCATTAGGTTTCTCTTCTGCATATACTCAAAATCTCCCTGTATCTTTTCCTCCGCCGCCATGTTCAAGAAGAAGCCCACTGTGACTTTACCCCTCCCCCGCATTCTCGGGTCTCTGAGTCGCTTGCTTAGAATTCGTCACTGACCATTCTGATGATGATAGATCAAGAACCTTGCACCTCTGCGGTCCTCTGATCGCAGAAAGATTGCCGATCAGATCATCGCCGATTACAAAATCGAAATCCCTTCTAGTGCGCCCACCGAACCCAGCGGTGACGATGCGGCCGCTCCCAGCAGCGCTTCCAACCCGGCGGCCCGAAATCTCACCTCCATCCGAAATGCCCTCCTTCCTGATAACTGCCTGTCTGCCCGCTTCACCACGACGGCCGGCCCCCAGCTTCGCGAGGTTCAGGGCACAGTCTACGTAGGAACGCATCCTGGGGGCGACGAGCGCGTCCTGTGGTTCAAGGTCGACCATGGCCCCGGCGCCGACGGGCGCCTCTATCCGACAGTCTACACACTTTGGCACAATGCAGACCTAGTACCCCTGCTTCATACTCCGGGAATGGTGATGCAGAAACTCCAGGGTGGGGCGGATCTCATGACTCCCGGAATTGCCAACGAGCCGCCCTTCGATGAGCGTGCGGTCAAGGGTGCGGTCGTCGCCGTGGCTGATCTGGAGAAGTATACCGTGCCGCGGTTCGTCGGCGTCTGTGAGATTGATATCTCGGCTCTGGGAGAAGTGCAGGGCGCAAAGGGTCATGCTGTCCGCGGACTCCACTGGGAGGGCGACGAGCTCTGGGCTTGGAGTTCGTCGTCCAAGCCTGGCCAACCGGCCCCCGAATACTTGGAAGGTTGGGATGATGTGGAGGTGGAGAATGACAGTGGCGACACGAAAGAAATTGAGGGGGCCGTGGATGACCTCAAGTTGGATGAACAGGCCCCTGCCCAAGCGGCAGAGGATGACGAGCCGTCCACTGAAGCGCCCCCGGTGGAGGAAGAGCCTGCCGAAGAAGAGAAAGAACCCACGACCAAAGGTTCGTGAAGCTAGCTTCTTTCATAAATGCGTTACTCCATTCTAATGTCTCCCAGAGATTGATGAAGCTTTTGAGAAAGCCTTCCTTTACTCGTTATACAAGCTCAAGCAAGACAATCCCTCCGCGCCCAACCACGGCTTGTCCTTGCCTGTTCAGCCTTCCGCGCTGGTTTCGAACATGATCACACCCTATCTTCCCATCTACACCCCTAAGCAAGCTCAGTTCTACCAGATCAAGAAGACCAGCTGGAAGAATGTCAAGAAGTTCATCAAATACCTCGACAAGCAGCGCCTGGTCAAATCCAAAGACCGCAACGGACAGGAGACCGTCATCCTGGACGTGGACTTCAACGACCGACGGGTCGAGCAGTTCGTCCCTTACCGACTAATGTCCAAGAATGCCATCGAGAACGCCGGTAACAAACCCGCCGCCTCCGGTGCTGGTACTGGTAGCAACAAAACCATCGCCTCCGACGGCGACCCCTCTGTCGGCCAGACGCTCACGGTGCAGACCCTCTACCGACCCACGGGCAAGCTGGCGCCCACCATCTTCCCGGCCCTCTCCAGCACCCATCCCAACAACTACTACAAGTACGCCGACGTATCCAGCCACCTGGACCAATACCTGCAGTCTCAGAGTCCGCCGCTCATTGACCCCCACAACAAGCGCATCGTCAACCTCAACCCCTTCCTTGCCAACACCATCTTCACCTCCCCCTCGTCGGACGACCGCAGCACCCTCGCCCGTGGCAAGACCACCCGCGACGCGCTCCTGAAACGCCTCGTCGACGATCACGGCCTCATGACCGCCCACTACGTGATCCTGAAACCAGGCCAGTCCCTAGCCAGCGTCAAGCCCAAGGCCGGCGCCGCTCCCAAGGCCACCATCACCCTCGAGCGCCGCACGGGCTCCAAGACTGTAACCAAGGTCTCCGGCCTCGAGGTCTTTGGCATCATTCCCAGCTTGCTGGCCGAGGAGCTGCAGAAGAAATGCGCCAGCAGCACCAGTGTCGCCCAGGCCACCGGCGCTGCCAAAGGCGTCATGGAGGTGCTGATCCAGGGTGACCAGCGGCGCGCTCTGGAAGAGGCCCTCTCCCGGCGGGGACTGCGGACGCAGTGGATCGACGTGGTGGATAAGACGAAGAAGAAGAAATAAAGTGCGAGTTGCTTGCCGTACCGTTTTTGCATGTATCGCAGAGCCGAACGATACTGGTTTGGAGGAGATTAAGCGACACCGGTGATTGTATATACAATGCAGCTTCACAATCTAGTTTGGACTGGAATGAAGACCACACATAGCAGATGCCCACCTGGCAGAACATTTATGCTAAGCCACGCACATCTATACAACGATTTTCACTGCCTACAAGCCTCTAACACAAGCCATATATTCATGTCTGGGAACCCAAGTCCATTTGGAAAAAAAGCTAAAGTATAACAAGCAGCAAAGAAAAATAAATAGGGGGTAAATATACAACGCCATTATGGTATGGTCTTCTTTCTAAATCAAGGAGAAAAAATTTCGAGCCAGGCCATGCTTTTTGTTTTTGATCCCATCCCACCTTTCATGAAAATAAGAAATAAAAAAGGGAAAAAGAGGTGTCAGTGTTTTCCCTGATGTTGAATTTTGTTTTTGGAAGATGTTGACTTCTTTTACTCCTGCTTGGCATCCACCTTCTTGGCGGGGTGGTCGCCATTGGCACCGTCTTCCTCACGGGCGCGCTTCTGGCCGGAGGACTCGTCGGTGGTGCTCTGGACAACGGGGACACCGCTGATAAGAAAGATGTTAGCATGAGGTTGATATAGGGTTGCGCGGGGATCCTGGAGAAGTGACCAAAAAAAAAAAGACTTACCGAGCATCCTTCTGAATCTCCTTGGGCTCTTCCTTCTTCTCGCTGGATCCATTCTTCTGGTCAGCGGCGCGACGATCTCTCCAGTCGCCGCGCTTGTTATCTCCGCGTCCGCCACGGTTGCCACCACGGCCGCGCCCACCGCGGTGACCACCACGTCCACGGCCGCCGCTGGGCTTGATGCGGCCGGCCTCGATCTCGCGGGCCTTCTCCTCACAGTAGTCCTTCTTGCTCTTAATGAGCAGGTCCTGGTCCTTCCACTTGGGCTTGGGGTCCAGGGCGAGGAAGGCCTGCTGCTTCTCCTCGGACTCGAACTCGACAAAGACACTGCCCTTGAATGTCTTGTCGAAGGCGCGGCGGAGACGGATGGCGTTGACGGGGCCATAGGGGGCAAAGAATTCCTCAATCTCGAGCTGGGTTGTAGGGCCCTCCTCGCCGAATCCCTTGGCGTAGACGCTGCGGTTCATGGCCTTGTCCTCGAACACGCGGACCACGGTGGGGTTGTGGTTCTCGGTCACGGTCTCGGGGAGCGGGGTCTTGCGGCGCACGCAGGTGTCGTTGTCGGTGAGCTCGAGGGTCTCGGACGACTTGATGGCCTCGACAATGGCGCTGAAGGGCTGGAAGCGGCGCATGCGCTTGAACGAGTGGAGGAGCTCGAGGGAGACGGGACGGTTGCTGCTGCCGCCGACCTTGGACAGCAGGAACTTGTCCATGGGGAGGTTGGAGTCGGAGAAGTAGAATTCGACCTGCTTGCGGATCTGCACAGGGTCGCTGGTCACCTCCTGGCTGGAGGGGTCGAACTTGACGTTGTTGCGGTAATTGGGACGGCCACCACGACCCTGTTGCTGCTGCTGCTCTTGCTTCTTGGCCTCCTGCTTCTGCTCCTCGGCTTGCGCGGACTTCTCGCCCAGCTTGGCGGCCGCCTCCACGATACGGGCCTCCTCGGCGGCCTCGTCGACCTGCATCTTCTCCTCGGTGGCGGGAGCAGTAGCCTCGCTGCTCTCGCCCTTCAGCTCGGCCAGAACGTTTTGGACATCCTTCTCGGCCTCAGCATTGGGCTGGGCAACGGGCTTTTGCTCGTCAGACATCTTGAAGTGTTGTGAGTAGGGGTGTGAGAGAGGGTCGTTCGGAAGAAAGAAAGGATACTCCTCCTGTAATTGAATGATTATCAGTAACGGCGAACACGAGGACAGGACTGTGATGCGCGTGCAGGGTGGTAAGCGAGGATAAATAAATTCGAAATCTCTCGCTGGGGGGGTTCGCGATACGGATCAGTCTGGCCAATAGTGATCGGATGTCCGCGTGCAGCAGGAGTGGGTGGGGACAAAAGTAGAATAAAGATTTGGAGTGAATGCTTACCTGTGAAGAATAATGTAAAAGCACGAGATGAAGAAGACTTGAGAAGAAAAGAAAAGAATAAGAATTCGTTCACAACCAGGAGGTCTTTGCTAGTAAAGAGAGAAATAAAATAAAATGGAGGGAAAAAAAAGGGACTCGAATTTCTGCCTCAGCTGAAGGACGGAGCGGCGGGGGAAATTTTCTGAGCGCCCGCGGAGCTGGTGCCACACCCTTGAGGCGGCCTTCTTGAGGCCTCAGGCAATAATATGTGGCGCATGAAGCATACTGAGCGACTAACCAGTCTAGGACTATACCACTATATACCGGTACGACCGGGTCCAGCGGCCTGGACTTGGTTGGGATTCGAGATTGAATTCCGACATCATCTCATCTGAAATCAAAGGATGAACTTTGTATAAGCCATTGCTTTTCATTGTAGACTTTTGGCTCGTTCCAAATCTAGCTTCGAACATTATCAATCTGTAGAAATACCCAGGCTCGTGACAGACTACTACTAAGCGATGGTTGTACATACTACAGCCTTCACATGATGAACGCATTCATCGGCCCTCCAGCATGATATACCATTCTGACTTGCCGCAGGTAATGGGAGGCCATGATTCTATAAGAAATACCATGGTTGTGCAATATTGAACCTCGACACAATTTTACATCTTCAAGTTGAATGTCACGGCTACTATGATCACATTATACTAGTAACTATCCAGAAGATGTGGCTTACAAACAATACTATCTTTCACAGCTCCTGAGACAGAGAAAGAGATCGCTTTCAGTCGTGCTTATTCTTCTCAATCAGTCTACAATGACTCCTGCAACGCCTGCTTACCTACCGGCGTCAGTTGCACCTGCCTTTCTCGCACATGTCCTGGCAGCTCTGGCCTTGCTGGGTTGCCAGACCTGCACACGACAATGGGCTTGACATACAGACCAGGTGCCGCTGCATTTACGCTTATCATTCCAATGCATATACTCTACGCTCTCGAGCTTGCATTAGCATTGCTGCATATTATACAGAATTGATTCTTGCGCATGGCCTCGGCTACCGAAGAAATACGGCCTGCTCAGACAATGACCACACTCACAGGGCTCTCAACTGAACTGTTAACCTGAAGCCTTACTCGGACAATCTCTGCTGTTCACAGACAAATACCTTGAGCTTTTGAGATACCTAATAATGGCGGCGCGTGGGCAATCCGTGAATCTCGGGCCATGGCCTACGAAAGATGTACTGCGCATCCCATGTACCCATGGTAGAGCTGTGACTGATTGAGGCTATAGATCATCTATGTCTCTATTCTTGGACCCCTGCTGATTGCCGCTTTATTGGAATGGATATTATTCCTTGCCGCCTTCATATACTGTCTGGTTAAAGTCTATAGAAAAGCAGATCACTGGAGCATCAGAGTCCTAGCGATCGTTATGATTGTACTTTTCACCTTACTCAGGTAAGTCGGTTTCGATGCTGACTTTATTCTATGCCTGACATCATCTAACTTGTCATGCGCCCAGGGGGGTATTCTTTCCAGTCATGATCGCTATCCTTCCCTTGCCAACGCAGATAACTCGCTACTTTTCGATGAAATTGACTTCGATTCTCCAATGGTTTGCATTTTGGACATTCTCGGTCCTTCTAGTGATACCATGGCTATTTTGCGTCAGTCGACTCATCACAAATTCTGTGGGAAGAACCAAACGCGTCAAACAAGCATTGGATGACCGGACTGCGCCTAAGACGGTTATAGTGATGCCGGTATTCAAAGAAGAGCCTCATGTGCTCATCAAGGCAATTGACTCAGTCGTCTGCAGTGATTATCCTGCATACTGTATTCATGTATTCCTCTCATACGATGGAGGCAATGTCGATGAGCCTTACCTTCAGGTTATTCAACATCTCGGTATTCCAATTTCTTTAGAGACATACCCACAGAGCATTGATGTGACATACAAAGGCGCAAGAATAACAGTATCGCGCTTCAAGCATGGCGGTAAACGGCATTGCCAGAAGCAAACTTTCAGACTCATCGACAAAGTATACTCGGAGTATCTCAAGCGTCATAATGACCTCTTCCTTCTATTCATCGACTCCGACTGTATTCTCGACCAGTTATGTTTGCAAAACTTCATGTACGACATGGAATTGAAACCAGGGAGCAAGCACAACATGCTAGCAATGACTGGCATTATAACATCGACCACAGAGAAGAACTCTCTCATCACAGTCTTGCAGGATATGGAATACGTGCACGGGCAGCTTTTTGAACGTTCGGTCGAGTCTGGATGTGGTGCTGTGACCTGTCTACCAGGAGCACTGACAATGCTGCGATTCTCGGCTTTCCGCAAGATGGCCAAATATTACTTTGCGGACAAAGCGGAGCAGTGCGAGGACCTCTTTGATTATGGGAAGTGTCACCTTGGCGAAGACCGATGGTTGACACATCTTTTTATGATAGGCGCAGCTGAGCGTTATCAGATTCAGATGTGCACCGGTGCATTCTGCAAGACGGAGGCCGTTCAGACTTTTGGTAGCCTTTTGAAGCAACGACGTCGGTGGTTTCTTGGATTCATCACTAACGAGGTGTGCATGTTGACTGATGCCAGACTCTGGAGGCGTTATCCGCTCGTGTGTTTGGTGCGCTTCATGCAAAATACCATTCGAACCACCGCTTTGCTGTTTCTGATCTTGGTTGTTTCGCTCATCACCACTTCCAGCAAGATCGAAAACCTTCCCGTGGGCTTCATTGCGATCTCGCTAGGCCTTAACTACCTGCTGATGCTGTACTTTGGATTGAAACTCAAGCGGTTCAAAGCTTGGCTCTATCCGCTGATGTTCATTGTGAATCCTTTCTTCAATTGGCTTTACATGGTGTATGGCATATTCACCGCCGGTCAGCGCACATGGGGAGGCCCCCGAGCCGATGCAGCAAAAGCCGACGAGTACACATCACCGGAGGAAGCAGTAGAAAAGGCTAGGGAGCAAGGTGATGAGCTCAACGTCATAGTTGATACGTTTCGAACGAAGATTGACGAACGGGGCGTCCCCGTCCGCCCAAGCATGAAGATCCACGGACGCTTGTCGGGTGCACCGCCGCTTCCTGACGATTACCGTTACCTCCACAAACCAGAAGACCTCGAGTCCGCGATGGTCAAGTATATGAACCCCCTTCCAGGAGTGCCGCGGATAGGGCTGCACCCGTCCTACTCATTAGAGTCGGTGGCAACGACAGATTCTGGCACCAATTCAATCTGTCTCCCGTTGCCCGTGGAGAGCCTAGTCAAAGGGCAAGAGCACGCCAAGCACCATCACAATGGTGGTACACTAGGGCATGTCGAGTCAACAATGGAGACGATACCCGGCTACAAGCCTGAAGTTGCAGTCTTTGGATCGCCTCTGCCATCGTCTGAGGATCATGAGCGCGGCCTAGTGCGGCATTCAAGCAACCAGTCACAGCCTCCAGCCACATACAGCACCGCGAGTGAGACAGTAGACGAGACGGCTGAGTGTCGGAACTTCATGCCCAGTGGACCTGGCATAAGAACCCCAGATGTTTGTTATAATCCCTTGGCCCAGCACTATGGTTCCGGCCCAGCCAGCGCGGGGCTGCGGTGAATCTCGAAAGCTAGCTTGTGGGATGCCATTCATTCTGTAGCTTCTGCATGCATGAGTTCCTAGGTACGGAGATGCCAGGCCGATCCATACATTGGTGGAACATGATATTTGTGCATGATCAATGGCGTCTCCGTACTTCAAGGTTGACATGCGCACCTTTCTTTTAGTAGTACTATTGTGAATGTCATGTTTCTCTGTGAAGGTAGTAGCTCCAGGCCCAAAATGTGTAACTGGTCTAGAGAACTTCATCTTCACAGACTACTGCCGTTAACAATGCTATAAAACTTTGAAGTATATAGTAAGGTACCTAGTTCTACTTAGTTAATTACCTTCGGTATACTCAGCACTGAGCTGAGAGCTTGCGGCAGAAGAGAGCTGAGTAGCCAATGGCAGGGCGAGTAAAACTCTGATTTATCGATAAGCCCCGCCGAGGCGGTGGAAGGGGAACTGCCAGGCGGAGAGCAGGCGGTGATGGCGCGGGAGGGCTCGAGGAGGCGCTGGAAGGTTCGATGATGAGCTTCTCTTCCATCACCAAACAATCTTCTGCTGGTTGAGTCAAATTCCTCTTATTTCTATCTAGATGACCGCCTGCAATCACGCATAGCTAGACCCTGCTGTAACCATCCAACCATTTAAATTAATTCAAAGCTCTTGTAAAAGAATATTGATTGATACCCATCTCTCTTGCCGCCGTTGCCCGACATTTGACGACTTTACTTCAGTCTTGGGAGCCACACCCGTTCAACCTCTAGAAATTCTTCCCTACCTTTTCTTACCTAACACTGACCGCCCGATAAGTGGCGTGGCTGCAAATTCTCCCCCTCTGTTCCTCTCCTAACCTCACCCCCTCCTCCCCCCCATATTACTACCACTACCAACACCTCTTTTTTACCTTCTCTCTTCTCTCGCCCTCCCCCCACCTACATCTCCTCCCCTCCCCCCCCTCCCCTCTCTCGCAACAATGTCTGTCGTTGGTATTGATTTCGGTGCCCAGAGCACCAAGGTCGGTGTTGCCCGTAACAAGGGTATTGATATTGTGCGTATATCTCTTTTACTCTGCCCCTCCGTCTTTAGCGTTTGCGGAGATTCCATATTTTCCACCACAGAGACTAACCGGTTTTTTCTTCACCATGAATAGATCACCAACGAAGTTTCCAACAGATCTACCCCGTGAGTTGACCCATTAGTTTTGTCGTCATCAGCCGCATCAATACTGACTTGCTTGATATTATAGTTCCCTGGTTGGTTTCAGCGCCAGAAGCAGACACATCGGTGAGGCCGCGAAGACCCAAGAGACCTCCAACCTGAAGAACACGGTCGGCAACCTCAAGCGTTTGATCGGCCGCTCTTTCAGCGACCCGGATGTCCAGATTGAGCAGGAGTACAGCACGGCTCAGATCTGCGATGTCAATGGTCAGGCCGGTGTCGAGGTCAACTACCTCGGCAAGAAGGAGAAGTTCTCTGCGACTCAGTTGGTCGCCATGTACCTGACCAAGATCAGAGACATCACCGCTAAGGAGCTGAAGCTCCCCGTCTCCGACGTGACCATCAGCGTGCCCGCTTGGTTCACCGATGTTCAGCGCCGCGCCATGATCGATGCCGGTGAGATTGCTGGCCTAAAGGTTCTCCGCCTGATCAACGACACCACCGCCACTGCCCTCGGATATGGTATCACCAAGCTGGATCTGCCCGGCCCCGAGGAGAAGCCCCGCCGTGTCATGTTCGTTGACATCGGTTACAGCGACTACACCGCCTCCATTGTTGAGTTCCGCAAGGGTGAGCTCAACGTTAAGGCCACTGCTTACGACCGTCACTTCGGTGGTCGTAACTTCGACAAGGCTCTCACCGAGCACTTCGCCGACGAGTTCAAGGAGAAGTTCAAGATCGATGTCCGCTCCAACCCCAAGGCCTGGTCCCGTACCTTGGCCGCTTCCGAGAAGATGAAGAAGGTCCTGTCCGCCAACCCTGCTGCTCCCATGAGCATCGAGTCTCTGATGGAGGACGTTGATGTCCGCTCCATCGTCAAGCGTGAGGAGCTGGAGGTCATGGTCAAGCCCCTCCTTGAGCGTATCACCGTTCCTCTTGAGCAGGCCCTCGCTGAGGCCAAGCTCAAGCCCGAGGACATCGACTCCATTGAGATGGTTGGTGGCTGCACCCGTGTCCCCGCCGTCAAGGACGCCGTTGCCCAGTTCTTCGGCAAGAACCTCTCCTTCACTCTCAACCAGGATGAGGCCATTGCTCGTGGCTGCGCTTTCAGCTGTGCCATCCTCTCTCCTGTCTTCCGTGTCCGTGACTTCTCTGTGCACGACATTGTGAACTACCCCATTGAGTTCACCTGGGAGCAGTCTGCCGACATTCCCGATGAGGACACCAGCTTGACTGTCTTCAACCGCGGCAATGTCATGCCCTCCACCAAGATCCTTACCTTCTACCGCAAGCAGCCCTTCGACCTTGAGGCCCGCTACGCCAAGCCTGAGATGCTCCCTGGCAAGGTCAACCCCTGGGTTGGCCGCTTCTCTGTCAAGGGTGTCAAGGCTGACGCCAACGACGACTTCATGATCTGCAAGCTTAAGGCCCGTCTTAACTTGCACGGTATCCTCAATGTCGAGTCTGGCTACTATGTTGAGGACATGGAAGTCGAGGAGCCCGTCCCTGAGGAGGGTGAGAACGGCGAGGTGAGTCGATTTTTCCCCTGTAGATTCTGGAATCGACATGAAGACTAACGGATTTAGTCCATGGACACTGATGCCAAGGATGGCGAGCAGCCCAAGAAGACCCGTAAGGTCAAGAAGCAGGTTCGCAAGGGCGATCTGCCCATCTCCTCCGGCACCACCGGCATTGATGAGTCGCTCAAGAACACTTGGACTGAGCGTGAGAATGCCATGTACATGGAGGACAAGTTGATCGCCGAGACCGACGAGAAGAAGAACGAGCTCGAGGCCAGCATCTACGAGCTCCGCGACAAGATCGACGGCATCTACGCCGAGTTTGCCAGTGAGGAAGAGAAGGAGAAGCTGCGTGCCAAGCTCATGGAGACCGAGGTTAGTTCATATCCCATCCTCCCTGTGACCCGATCATCATGCTAATGCGTCGATAGGACTGGCTCTATGAGGAAGGTGAGGACACCACCAAGTCCGTCTACGTGGCCAAGATGGATGATATCCGCTTCATTGCTGGTCCTATCATCCAGCGCCACCGCGAGAAGGCCGAGGCCGAGCGCCAGGCTGTCCTGCAGGCGCAAGAGGAGGCTGCTGCCAAGAAGCGGGCTGAGGCCGAAGCTCAGCGCAAGGCTGAGGAGGAGGCCAAGAAGGCCGAGGAGAAGGCTGACGATACGGAGATGAAGGACGCCCCGGCTGAGGGCGAGGCCAAGGCCCAGGAGTAGATGTCCTTCTAGGTGGGTGCGCCACTGCCCTAGAGATGTGGCAGGTGCAGTGTGTTGGCAATGTGGTCACGAATCAATACAAACATCTTGATCCCCCGTGTTATCTTTTCATATTTTCTATTCTTCTTATTTTTTTGCGTGTCGCCGAGAATCGGCAGGCTCTTGTGATGTAAAAACGCCCTGGGTCCGAGCCACTTTTGTTTTCCCGATGTCCTGACATTGCTGTTCGGTGCGCTTTCGGCGGAGCTGTTGGTGGTGCACAGGGCATGGAAAGCAGAAGGGGATTAAAAGACATAGATATGATATGGACCCTTGATAGACGTTCTGAAGGAAACAAGTATATGACTGGTTAATTACTATTGGCAATCGCGACTTGCTTTTTCTCTAAGACGGCCGGGACACCGTGCCATTGCCTATTTATGGTATTGGAGCAGCAAGCAAAGCAAGCAAAGCAAGGGATGAGCGGGATGAAGAATCATGTGACCCTGCATTCTTCTGTAGTACTTGGTAAAGTCAAGTCCTGCGCAGGAATACGAATACGAACAAGTGTACGGACTAAAAGTTATCGGTGCTCAATTCTCACTGCTTTGGGAGGCAGGTCTGCGGGAAGTGGATAAGGTAGTTAGTCGCTGGGAGTCTCGTCGGAGTGCCAAGCGCCAACTTGGTCCAACATCATCGAATGGGCAGCATGTATGCATCATCCTGTACGCAGGGTTCCCTCCATTTTTCGTTTTTCTTCCCCTCTTGTTGCTCTCCATGGATTTGCCAAGAGAAACAGCCGAAGCAGGAATGGAGTTGTCAACTTGACCCTGTCCTATCCGCTGCAGCAACCGTTTCCCTAGAGTGGAGCCCCTTTTTTCTTTTTTCCTTTTCTATTTTTTTGGGGGGGGTTGCTCGGTGCGGTGGCGGTGGATGGAAAAGGGACGAAAAGGGGAGGTGGGGGGGGGGAAAAACACATCTACCAGTACGGGGGGTACTTTTTCAAGGACCTTTCAATATGAGCTCAAATTGACATACATCAAAAAGAGGAGAAGGGAAGTGGTAATTGCTAAGCAAGCTCATGTCTCAGGTGGCGTTGGATTTGAAAGGCTCTGACTCGTACAGAGTAGTAGAAACAGATCAACCGGGAGGGCGGGATATGACCAAAGATTGTGCAACTCAATGAATTCACTGGTAGTTATACATAATGCTGTGCTGTGCAGGGGCAGGGTGGGCAAAGTTCACTGGACACTAAGGCAAGGCCCATTCGAAACCCTACCATAGGCTTAGTCATGAACGAGATGATGTGATTGTCACTGCATCCGAACCCCCATGGCTTGCTGTGTGGCTGGCTCTAGTTTTTGAGTTGTGTGTATGATACGGGGGCGGCAATTGTCCTATTCATGTTTTATGTTTTTGAGTATTGATTGATCGATGGTTCATATATTTGTGATCCTGAATGAGTTGTGCACGTACACAGTACTATCAGTAGTTAGTAGTAGTAGTAGTAGTAGTTGTTGCTGTTGAAGCCTAGTACCTGGGAATGATATCTAGTGGGGGGAGGAAAAGACTAGACTAAACTAGTCTGGGCAAAATGGCACGCGAGGATCTCCGGAAAGAAAGCCAACTTTCTCGGATTCTCCTCTCCTCCAACTACTAGTGACTATCGTCTAGTACTGGATTTCCTTGGCTTTTCTCAGCAAGAAAAGGAAAGCAGTCATTTTGAATTGAGAGGGGAGACAACAACAACAACAATCTTTGCGAGAGGCTGTGAGCCCACCTGACACCCTCTCCTGGTCCTGTTCGGCCTTTTGTCGTCATCGCTCCGATTTCTTCGATTCTCTTGGTCGAGTCGAGGAACCATCAGGGTCCAAGTCCATGGAACAATGTCGAGGGAGAAAAAAAAAAAACTGCAGCGTCTTCGAGTGACCTGAATGGTCTTCGAGTTCAAGTGGAGGTGCCGAAATGCCCGCCCCCGCTGCCTGTCGGATTATTCCTTCATTGATTCATTTCAGTCATTCATCCAACCAATTCATCCATCCATTGCTGCTCCTGGATTATTACCCCATTTCCTTCCTTAATCTCCATCTCTACTTGGTATCATTTAGACACTTACTATACTAGTTCCAAGAAATCCCCACTTTCATTCCATTCCCTCCCATTCCTACGGATCGGCCGGATCGCCGACTGGGGTCAGCGACAGTCATTCTGTTCGTGAACCTGTTCCTTATATTTTATAATAATCTCCCGAGGGCTCGCTTCGCTCTGCGACAAGTGAACTGCTGCCGCCCCCTCCCCCTTCCCCTTCCCCCCCACCTCTCCCCCCCTTCCCCTTGACGTCTTGACTCGCTCTGCCCTGGTCGCTGTGTTACGAGATCTTTGGTCAACCCCAATATAACCCGGACAACCGAACCCGAAGGTGCCATTATCTCCGAGACTAACGGCCAAGGAGCTTCAACGATCTGATTCAGAGCATGCGATCATAGCGCTGCGTGGGTGCACTTCAATCCTTCGGCGCTTTGGCAGTTTATTTCTCTTTTATCTGTCCTCCCCCTCTCTTCGATTGAACACAGTTAAGATAAGCACGCTTGGCGAAACGTGCATTCACCGTGCTATACCCCCCTCCCTTCCTCACGCCTCGAGCTCAGGATGCACGTAGAAGTGTGATCGACACTCCCTCTTTTTTCCCGGCAATTGCACATTCCTCCATATTCGACACACCTTAGTTGCATCAGACTTTCCTTCGCCGAACGATGAAGAAGCTTCAGGGCCTGCTGGCCGTCGCCTGCACAATCGGGTCCTTCGCCACGACCGCAACCGCAACCGCAACCTCCTCGTCCAAGGCGCAACCAGAACCGGTGATCCACCGCACCTATGGCGAGCTGCTCAACCACGACGACCCGGACCCATTATGGGAGCAATACGGACTGAATCGCTCGGAGGAGTTCAAGTACTTTCAAGAACCGGGCAACGATGACATTCTCGGCCATTATGACTCCCGATTTTTCACCAAGCCCGTGGCGGACGAGGAGCGCTCCCTCACCTTGACGCATATGATCCGCGCATATCTGAATTTCTTCGAAGACAACGGGCTGGAGACGTGGATCGCACATGGTACGCTCTTGGGGTGGTGGTGGAATGGAAAGGTAGGAGACTCCGTGCTCTTGTGCGATGCGACCCTTCGCGGCGCTGCTTGTTGTCATTCAGGGAGATTGATGGTAGGATCTTCAGGTCATGCCGTGGGATTGGGACATTGACACCCAAGTCATGGAGCCCACGCTGTTTCAACTGGCGGACCATTTCAACCAGACCGTGGTCCAATACAAGGACGAGGACGTGGAGCGCAAGTACCTTGTCGACGTGAACCCGTGGGCCCGTCAGCGCGATCGCGGTAAAGGCCTGAATATCATCGATGCGCGCTGGATCGACATGAGCACCGGCTTGTACATCGACATCACGGGGCTGAGTCGATTAAACGCAACCAACCCGACGCAGTGGCAATGCAAGAACTTGCACAAATACCAGACGGACGAGATTTATCCGTTGCGCCGCACGGCCTTTGAGGGGGTTCCGGCCAAGGTGCCCTTCAAGTATGACCAGGTGCTGGAGGATGAGTACTCGAAGAAGGCGTTGACAAATACGCATTATCATGAGTGAGTGATGACCTAGTCTGGGAGAGTAGCTTCCGTCTTGCTAATGTTGGACTTCTTCAGTCATACATTTGATCCCAAGCTCGAAGAATGGCTGTTAGATAAGCCGAAGGCCGAGGAAAAGGAGGACGATAAGGACGACCGGCAGTACGAATGAAGCTGATCTGGAGAGGTATATAATCGCGCTGATCCAAGCATTTACGGGCATATTCTTGGGTATATAAAACGATGTTGGTGGGCGTTTCCGGAGGGTATGCGATGGCGTTCGGATAGGTTAGTAAGGTTATTTGTCTATCTAGTGTCTATAGGGTCACTCGACCCGTCAGTACAGTAATTGATTAGTAAATTCAGGATTGAGAACCAAACCAACTGTGCGCCAAATGAAGGGGCTCAAATTGAGTGTATGTGGAGCTGGCGGTTTATCTCCGACAAGCCTTTTATGTGTAAATTACTCCAGAGAGTCCACACGGGATGAATCAGGCCCGAGGATAAGCAAGTGACCGATCAGGATGATTCATGCCTGAGGCAAGAGCAAGACCGTCTCAGTCACGGGAACCATTCTTATCGACGTCTTCTTATCACCATGTGATCTTATCCGAGCTGCGTCCGGCTGACAAAAAGCGCATCGAAGAAGATCGAATCTCCGCCATTGAGTCTGTCTCATCACTTTTATCTCTCCGAGTCCCTCTGGCCTGTGTCCGGCCATTATCACCTCTATCATATCTTCAGCTACGACCTATACCGCAGCATGACCGAAGCCAGCAACCCTCCGGTTGAGGACCCTCACGTCCCCGACACCGACACCTCCCCCGCCCCTTCGGAGAGCGCCAACAACCCCGACCAGCTCCAACTAACCATCCACCACCGCAACAAACCTCACACGCTCACCCTCCCCTCGACCGCGACCCTACACGACCTGACCCTCGCCCTCGAAACCACGCTCAACATCCCTACCCACCACCAGAAACTCCTTATCACCCCCCCATCCGCCTCCCTCCCCGGCACTCTCAAACCCCCGCTCCCACCCTCCCACGCCACCCTTTCACTATCCACCACCCTCCCGCTCACCTCCCCGCGCTTCAAACTCACCATCTTCGGCACCCCCAGCGCCGACATCCAAACTCTGAACGCGCAAGGCGCCACGCAGTCCGCGCGCGAGCAGCGCCGCCGCACCACCCACGCCCAATACGCCGCCACCGCCACGCCCGCGTCCGTCGCATCCTCCCTCTCCCGCATCCACACTCTCTCCTCCCCCTCCGGCACCCCAGACGCACAATACACCTTCCACCGACTCCTCCCCCTCCCGCACCTCCCCAACCCCGCCCGCAGCCTGGACTTCCTGACCCGGCTCCGCGACGACCCGGGCATCCGGTCCGCGATGCGCATTCACAAGTTCTCCGTCCCGCTGCTGACGGAGATGGACCCCATCGAGCACACCACCTCCCACTCGCGGACGCTGGGGTTGAATCGGAACAAGGGCGAGGTGATTGAGTTGCGCCTGCGGACGGATGCGTACGACGGCTATCGGGATTATCGCACCATCCGAAAAACCCTGTGTCATGAGTTGGCGCATTGTGTGCATAGTGATCATGATCGGTTGTTTTGGGAGTTGACCAGTAGGATTGAAAAGGAGGTCGAGAGGGGGGATTATACGAGGAGTGGGAGGGTGCTTGGGGCTGGTGCTGGTGCCGGCGTCGGGATGGATGAGTTCTATAATCCGGGGGAGTGGGAGGAGACGCTTAGGGAGGGGTTGGTGGTTGATGAGAAGGGGTGGACGGGGGGAAGTTATGTGTTGGGGGGTGGGGAGCGGCAGCAGCAGCAGCAGCAGCTGGATGGTGGCGAAGGGAGTAGTGGTAGTGGTGGTCAGGCTGCTTCTGCGTCTGGTGGAGGGAGTATGAGAGAGGTTTTGGCTAGGGCTGCCGAGGAGCGGATGAAAAGGAAGCGGGAGAAGGAAGGGAAGTAGAGGAGCGATTGGGACAGTAATCATATTGGGTCCCGGGCTTTACCACTGCTGTGGGGAAATTTTGGTGCATATATCCATGATCTCCTACCTAGCAAACCAAGATAGCACTAGTATACTTCACGAATAACGAACCAAATCAAACCTGCTCATTGACAAACAACCCTGCCATCCCCTGACCCGTCCCAATACACATACTCGTCACCAGGACCTTCTTCTTCGTGCGCCGCGCCTCACTCAGAATCGTACAGATCTGGCGCGCCCCCGTCGCCCCCAGCGGATGGCCCAGCGCAATCGCGCCACCCCTGGGATTGACCTTCTCATGCGCCAACCCCAGGTTCCTGAGACAATAGACGGCCATCGACGCGAACGCCTCATTGATCTCGAACAACTCGACCTCCTCCTTACTCAACCCGAACTTTTCCAGCAACTTAGGAATCGCCGCTGTCGGCCCAATCCCCATAACCCGGGGCGGCACGCCCGCCACCGTCGCCCCGCAGAACTTGGCCAGGATCGGCTGATTCAACTCGATCGCCTTCGACCTGCGCATGAGCAGCACCGCCGCCGCGCCATCCGTGACCTGACTGGAATTCCCGCCGGTACTGCGGTCCCCGAACTGCGGAAACGCGGGCCGGATCTTCGCCAGACTCTCCGCGGTCGTCCCGTACCGAATGCCCTCATCCTTGGTAAGCGTAACCGTCTTGACCTCCCCGGTCTTGGGATCCTTCACACTCGTCGTGATGGGTACGATCTCCTCGTCGAACCACCCGGCCTTCTGCGCCACCTCCGCCCGCCGATACGACTCCGCCGCGTACGCGTCCTGCTCCGCCCGCGAGATGTTGAAGTCCGCCCCCACGTTCTCCGACGTCTGGCCCATCGGCTGCATGCAGTCGGCCGCCTCCTGCGTGCGCAGGATGTCCGGGTGGAAGGGCTGCGGGATTCGGTCGCCGCTCGGCGCGGACATCAGTTCCGCGCCCACCGCAAGCCCCACGTCGATCGCCCCCAGTTGGATCTGGTTCGCGATGTCCTGGACGGCTTTCAGGCCGGAACTGCAGAAGCGGTTCACCGAGGACCCGCCGGCTGTGTGCGGGATGCCGGCGGCTAGGGAGGCGGCACGGATGATGTAGGCGGCTTTGCCGTCGTTGACCTTGCTTGCTTGTTAGCTTCCCTGAGCAGGAGAGTGGGAGGTAGTGAGGGGTAGTGGTAGATGGAAAGGAAGCAGTAGGGTTTTTGACTCACATTCCCCAAGCACACATCCTCAATCAAAGTAGGATCAAGCTTCGATTTGGCAACCACCTCCTTCAGGAGTGAATAAATCAGGAAGTCGAGGTCGGTGTCCTTGAAGCCGCCCTTGACGGCCTTGGTCAGCGGGGTCCGCAGAGCGAGAGTGATGACCACATCGTCGGGGTTCTTCTGGGTGCTGCAGGTTCATCGTGGTCAGTATGTGATACGCGAGAGAGAGAGGAAAAGAGGGAAGGCCAGGGCTTACATGGCGGAAAGGCCGCTACTTCCGGACGGTTTCAGGTGGCTGAGGATGTTGTTTAGACGGTCTGTGGCCATGGTTGCTGCTGTCGCTGGTTGCTGTCAGTATCGATCTGTCCCTGGGATTCTTGGAGTATGGCGTGAAGGGAAGCGATGGGGGTAAGATAAAACTGGAATCGGGGAAGGAGGCTGGTGCAGGATGGCTGGTGCAGTAGGTCGTGAGTAGCATGAGGGACTGGAATGGGATACTTACTAACCTCTGGAATGATGTGCGCTGTTCTCGAGAATAGGATAGCAAGCAGAAGACGTTACGAAGAGTTCACGAGGAGATGTCGAGTTGAAATGGGATGGAAGGGTGTCTTACCCCAACCTCCAACCGAGCAACAGCCGAGGTTCGTTTTTGGCCACTCCCTACCGACTCCTCATTTCATCACTACAATAGAACCCGAGGTCCTTTCTTAGGAAATATTAATCAAAGAACTTCATGTGCGGGAAACAAGCCATTCTCTCCTAGGAAATAAATAATTATTTACACTAACCATGGGAGCGTGTACGGCCTTGGTTATTCCTTGATCCAAGTTAGCAAGAATAGAACAGCAAACGCCAACACCCTCCTTCAGCGCCACCCAGCTACATATCCCATACCCAAGGGAGCCCAACTTGCCTACAAGTGATGTATGTGCTCCTCGCTGCTGATTACGCTGCCCACCTCCGACCAACTGGTCGGTGTAGCTACCCCAGTCGACCGGCCCAGGTCGCTTAGGGTGCCATCGGATGCCGCATCAATCGCAGACTCATAGATCTGACTGTAGCTATCGCTAGTAGACGGCGTAGAAGCGCGCTCCTGCTGGAACTGCAACTCCGCCAAATCCGAGAAAGGTGACCGCAGATCACGCTCAGTCTCATTTGTCGGCCAGTCCATGGGATGATCGAATAAGACTTCGGAATGTCCTTCTGTATGGCTAGAATCTGACCCGATATCTCCAGTAACACGTTGTTCCTCATGTTCAACTGTCGATAGAAACGACATGCCCAATTGGCCACCGGCTTCAAAGACGGGTGTAAACTCGGCCAGTGATGGCGAGCGGGCGCGAGGCGAGGGAATATCGAGCTGCAGCGGTTGACTTGGTTCGTGAGTATTTGTCTGGGCGGGAGACTCATCCGGCAGCAAGGTTGATGCCCTAGTCATCTTGCCCCGGTGCACAGACTGCGACGTTGCCACTTCCACGGCGGTCGAGTTGGCCAACGGGTTATCGCTTGATTCTGCAGTGTCCAACAACCGACCATGCTCATCGACCAAGGTATCGAAACTGTTTGTCGGGCCTCGGGCCATGCCTTTGCGACGTTCCTCGAGCAAGGAGCGACGTCGTTCCAGCTCTGCCCGAGCTATGCGGCGCCGTTCTTCGGCTGCTGCACCCACCTCTTCCGTCATCGAGATATCTTGTCTGAAGGGAGCATCGTGGGGGTTAATTTCATCGCCGAGATTATGCAGAGCCAACGCGATCTTTCGCCGCGAATTATTGACCCACTGGCGGAACTGCGGCGACTCGTAAACCGCGATCCCGGCGGCGATCAGCGCCGAGACGGTGATGATGATACCTGGGTGTGTCAGTATCATGAATCCAGACTAGCTTTTGATAGAAGCAAAATCTGTGATCGAAAAAATCTGAGCAGAAAACATAGTAGAAAAAGGAAAGATGTTGATCCCGGTTCAATCCGGGGATATCGCATTCATCGTCATCATAACCACTGATAAGCACACCGCCCAAATAGATAACTTCTCTCCTGCAAGCAACATGAGAAGGAAAAGAAATAACCTTCAAGAGCAAGCATACCTTTCGCAACGGGCGTAGGCATCGCGACAGATACACCTTCAGCCCGAATTTGTCGCGAAGGGAAAGTGATGGAAGAGGAATAGTAACAAAGTAGGCAGCAGTTGGATCCAAGACAAGCAACTCCTTCCCCGCGCCGCCGCCACATGACTCCGGCTGCCCTTATCCGACTGCCCTAGCAGCCTTATCACGTGCTGCCCCTCCGCGGTCCATCCATCCATCAAAACAAACAGCTGCTGCAACAGCAACCTCGTCGCCTTGCATACATACAAATCCCACTTTATATCAAGCCCTATACATTGTCATCATGTCGCAGTCTTCCTCGATGGCTCAGCGCCCGCTGACTCTCACAGAGGAGCTCGAAAAGCTCGAGCAATCCATCACTCTCACGCTGCAGGGTAACCACGGACAACCCGCATACGACCTCTAATGAGTCTACTGACATACGTCTTTCCAGAGATCGATCATAACTTCAGCCAGGCCCATCGGATTGTCACAACCAGTATTTTACCTCTGATCGAGCAGTACTCGGAGGCATCTCGTGACGTCTGGGAAGGCGCCAAGGTACGACAAACACCAGCGCATCTCTCACACCCCATGTGTACACTGATCACTAACTCGTCACCAACTAGTTCTGGAAACAATTCTTCGAGGCCAGCGCCAATGTCTCCCTCTCCGGTTACGAAGAGAAACCAGAAGATACCACCACGACGCTCCAAGAAGATGACCAGTCCCTCACCGCGCACGAGCAAGACACACAGCTCACCGCGCAACAAGACGACTCGCATCTCAGTCTGGACGAGCACCGCGAGCAGGAACCCGAGCTGGAATTGACTGCTCTCAGCCTCTCCTCTCACAGCACCCCGCGCCCTTACGCCGCTCCTCACCACCAGCACCACCAAGCCAACGACACGACGGTCACCTCCTCAATCGCCCACCCCTCGCCCTCCCCTGGCGACCTTGACCCCGACTCCCTACCCGACAGCGACACTCGTGACCTCGCCCGCGCCGCCGAACTCGCCGACGCCGAAAACGAGGAATCCTTCCTCCCCACCACCCCAGGCAAATACTCGGCCTCAGCCTCGGCATCTCGCTCCTACCAGCGCCCTACTCAACAACAACAACAATATCCCTACCACCACGACGAATCCCACACCCCACTCTTTTCCTCCCCCTTCATTCCCCCAGCCCCAACAGCCACATATCCAAACGACGACAATGACGACCACGACCACCACGAGGACCCCATCCTCCACCGCTTCAACGACAGGACGTACCGCGTGCAAGCCACCCCACTCTCCAAGAAGCGCCAACCACTAAAGCACTACCTCTCCACCTCGAAATCCATCAAGTTCACCAACCCCATGTTCAACAGCAACTCGGCCTCCACCCCGCAAAAGCCCCCCGCGAAGAAATCCAAATACTCCTTCGACGACTCCCCGATCTCCAGCCCGGAGCCCGAGGCCCCACAACTGCACGCCGAGATCTTCTCCTCCCCGATGAAGAGGGGAGCCGAGACCCCGAACACGGGCCGCAGGCGGCGGCCGAGCGCTCACCATCCCTATCAATCCCGCGTGACGCCCAAACCCGGTATGAGTGTCCTCACCCCGATGAAGGATGGGACTGGTCGCCGCGGCGGGGGCTGGGACAGCGATGACGAATTCGGTGGTGGTGGTTTCGGCCGCGGCGGCGCGGCGTTCAGTGACGAGGATGAGGATCTGGGTCCCAGTCCGCCCAAGACGATGCAGTTCCATATCCCGCAGAGTCGGTTGATGAAGACACCTGGTAAGATGTCCCCCCTCTTTCCCTCCCCCAATTCCCCCATGCATGTAAGGAGATAATAATAATACTAACTACTGGCCCCCTTCCTTGCGATTTCAACAGCGAAAGAAGCCTCCAAGCGGATCGTCGAGGACTTGTTGTTTACAGCGGGAGCCAATGATACCACGGATGATATTGTGGAGGAGCAGAGTCCGAGTGTGATCCGCAGGGTGGAGAAGCTCGAGGATGAGACTTTCTAAGTCACTTAGGCCAGAGCTTACCAGTTTTTTGATATCTGGGACAAATCATTTGTGCGGCTGTGGACGAACTGTTCCTATACTTTCATATACCAAACAACTTGATCTTCTATTTGTCTTTGCTGTCCAATTTCTTTTGGCCTTGTAGAAGTAGGGGGACATACCATGCAAGGTCAGTCACGGAACGACTACAATACTGGATCCACATCGAGAAGGGTGTCTGTCCTGACCCTCCCTTCCGGAGCTGCGCATAGGGCGTTTCTGAAACTACAGCTGTCTCGTTTGTTCTTCGACCAGACTCGATCCAATAATACTCCCAAACGGTCCAACATGACCAGATCAATTAGTTGTTGAGCCTGAGGCATCCAAAAAAACCACCAGACCACGTCGCCCCTGCTGCCATAATGGCGAATTAGGTGTAAACTAGCTTCGAACCTGCGGGATCATTCGAAAAGGGAAATGGAAAAAGGAAACAAGTGCAAGGGGGGGGTCAAAGTACAAGTTGGGATCAGAGGGTGGATGCCAGGATAATGAGACAAGAAGGGTATCGACGGGGGTGAAGGGGCTTGATGAAGATGACAATTGTTGAGAGACAATCCAGTTAGGAGGGAGGACAAGGATGAGAATGAAGAAGAAAAAACAAGGGGGACACACAAATCGTCCACGCCAACGTGGTAAATGTATGTACAAACAAAGGTTTTGCCGCAGTGGACAGGAAACTGGGAGGGTATTCTAAACTAAACAAATGGAACCAAAGCGTCAAAGGAGAGGGCTTTTTCTCCAGAGCAGGTCAAGCAATGCCTGCTCCAATGCCGCACCAAGCAAAACCAGGCCTGGATTCTGGCGATGGTGTAGGGCCAGTTATCAGTTGCTGTTGTTGTTGTTGTGCATGCCCATGAAGATCTCCTGACAGTTGTCCACCAAAAACTTCATCACCTCGTTTTTCTTCTGCACATCCGTCATTTCCCGTGCCAGACTCTCCGGTCGCATGATGGTCGGGGCGAACACCACAGCAATATTTTGGCTGGTCATCAGGTTCTCTTTCTCGCGCTCAACCACGCGCTTCAGGTGGAAGATTAAGAACTCAAGCACATCCTGATGCACACGTGGCAGCTCGCCAAGACTCTTCTGTAGGACCTCAATGCGACTCGCCTGAGACGTGATGTCACCAGTTTCGATGATGTTTTCATATACCTCGAACGTAATCAGGGGCGTTGGCAGCTTCCGGAAATACTGCTTGAGTGCCGAGGTCACTGCGTGGATATCAAGGTCCGGATCAGAGATATCGTAATCGTGTGGGGAACGCTCAAAGCCTTCGCGAATCGTCTGAATTGCCGAGCTAGCACCGGATTTTCGATAGATGCCTTCCATATCCATGCCTTCAATCATTAGCAGAGACCTTACACTAGACCAGTAAGAGGTACATACCACGTAGCTCAACTTCCTGAATACAGCGCGAGACAATGCCGGGAATGATGCTCTTTTCTTGCTCCATCCGTTGCTCCAATTCGGTACCAAAAAGAGCTTGGCGAAGTTAGCAAGACGATACCCTCGGTGAGAAAGTGAAACATACCATTAGGATTGGTTTCGGCGAGCGCTGGGACGCTGTCCGTGGTCGGCATTCGAGCTCCCGTCTGCTTGCTGCGTGGATTGCCAAAGAACCCGAATCCCGGACGACTAGGGTCTTGCGTCTGAGATCGCGGCAAGCCAGGGCTTCCCTCAGTGGCAGTGGCGTTTTCACTTGACATGAAAGCGCCCTTGAGGCCCTTGGTGACACCCTTGGCGACGTTCTGCCCACCCTTCTTCCAGTTGAATTTACGCGGCTGTCCTTTCCGGATACTAACAACCTGGGGGCCGGGCACAATAGTGGCTGGCTCGGCCTCTTCCGACAAATTGATCGCCGTGACTGGAACTAGGTCGCTGTGGGCCGCTTTTAAAGCTTCAATGGACGACAGGGACTTCTCCTTGCCATGGGAATAGATACCCAGGCCGTTCGCTCCGCGGCTGCCGTCGTTAGCCTTGTAGAGCTCCTGAATCTGGTGCACCAATAGGTTGTTGAGTTCTGCAAGCTGCGCATTTTTGGATGACAGTTGTTCAAATTCTTGGAAGCTCTTGTCTTTCATGCGGTTCAGGTTGGTCAGTTCTTCGGCGGCATCATTGCGCTTCTGAATCAATTCCTCGATCTGCGGGGTGAACGAGTCCTTCAGCTTCTGCATCGACTCCACAAATTCTCGCAGAACATGGTTGGTCAATTTGCTAAGATCGAGTGAACCGCTTCTGCCATGCTTCTCAGCCTCGAGGTGCTCGGTCAACACGGATAATTCGCGCATGGCAATCTCTTTCTGCGCGTCCAGAACCACCATGGTAGAACGCTTCTCGTTCAGCTCGGTGTTGACTTGCTTGACCTCGGCACTAGCATTCAGCATAGCCTCCAACTCAGCCAGCTTCTGCTCCCGATCGAAGACCCGTTGACGCTCCTTACGGAGCTCATTGCGGAGCCAAGTCACCTCGTCAGACCCGGCTGCCTCTGCAGAAGGGCTGGCGAGGTCAGGAACTGCTGCAGATCCATTGACGGGCGACCGGGGCCATTTGGCATCGCGAGACAGGCGAGAGCCTTTGTCGCTGTAGCTTCGACCATGACGCACCGAATTAGAAACACGCCGCAAGAACGATTCGCTGTTCTGTGCTGTGGAGCCATCACTAGTTCCCATGGTCTGAGAAATCTCCCCGTCTACTGCGAGATCTGCGCCATCTCCCGGACGGTAGGACTCCACTTGCTGTAGAGCACTGACCGAGTTGGGGCGTGCCGGAGGCTTAGGGCGTTCATGAACATCGCTGCGTGGCATCCAAGTGGAGTCGCCTGTACGAGGATTGCTCTTGCTGAATCCGTTGCGGTCGGCTGAACGCTCGCTCCATTGCTCACTCGGACTCAGTGAAGAAGCACGAGGCGACAATGGCGCGTCCTTCCTTGATCCCTGGTTCAACCGTCGGTCAAGGGAGTCTCCACGCTTGGGATGAGGCTGCACACTCGAAGAGGACAAGAAGGAATGTGCGGAGTCAATGGAGCCACTGGTTTCGTGAAGTCGGCGCAATTCATGAGATGGTCTGGTAGGGATTGTGGTCATGCTCTCTGGGACGGTTGCTATTGAGCCGTCTCTGGGCACGGTTGTCGTAGACTTCGTGCTCTTGGGGCTGGGCGATGAGAAAGTACTGGTTTCCTTCCGACCTCCCAAGTCCGACCGAGAGCTACGCACTGAACCTGAGCGCGTGACAGGTGTTCTGTCACCACGGGACGTGCCGTTGACGGCTTCCGTCTGACGCCAGCGAGCCGCATCATCATTCCGCTCACGACCTTTCTCCTGGTAGGCGATATGGGGAGACGAGCCTCCTGACGTTGAGTTTGGTTGTGAGCGGAATCTTTGTTCTTCGGAGGGGTCAAAAGCGAGGGGAATCAGGAACTCGCCGCCATCTGTTTCGCGATGGGGGGGCACAGTTGATTGACGATTGCTACGGTATGTACTCGACGGGAGAAGTAGGTTATCTGTATCTGTTAGCTCTGCTTGACCATATGAGACAAGCGCCTGGGCGCACTGTCAGAGACTAGCTCACCTTGATTTTCTGCCGTGGGACGAGATGTTGAGCTGTGGCCTCTTTCTGCGTCCAGCGCGGGAGCAGCTCGCGCAGGGGTATCCCCGCTGGGCATTGAATAAGCATCCTGATCGTCCGAGGCGCGCGAGACTGGTTCCATTTCCTCTGGGGGTAAAGACGGAAGGGACTTGTCTAATTTAACCCCCGGAGGACCCTGTTTTCGCGTTGGGGCCGCCTTTCGTTTTCTCCGCCGCTGCATCAATGATTCATGACAATCCATACAGAATATACCCTGCGAGGTGCGGGCATAACGCAAGTTCTCGATCTTCCGCTTGCAGTTGCGGCAGCGGAAGCATTGTGCGCAAAAGGCTTGTTCGCCGGTAAGAATGGCGAGGTCCTCAATCTTGTTTCCGCAGGAGCTACAGCTGTAAGTACAGTTGCTGCAGATTAACGATCCATCGCCGAGCAAAAGAAGGTGTGCATCCGAGTCGAGTAGCGTGCCGCAGGTACTGCAGCAGAAACATTCAATATGCCACCGGTTGCCCGCTAAACCATAGGAAAGAGGCAATCAGCCAAGGGCACGGAAGCCATCACTACCACGGAACAGGAAACTTACCAAGCTCAAAGGCTTTACCCTCTTCAAGTATCTAAGTGAGCGAGAGAAGAAGTCTTCTTAGTATGATTGTTGTACACCTAGGGACTGCGCATTTGATGTTCATACCTCTCCACAGCCCTTGCAAGGAAAGGGAATGTCATCTTGCTCCATAGGAGACTCAGGATACCCCGGAGATTCCATCTTGAATACAATTTATGGTGTAGCGAGCGACCGTTTTGAAGGGTGAGCGCGGCACAAGGACTGAGTCCAGAGGATGCGAGAGACTAGACTCCGGGAAGGGGGGAGGGGGCGCGCCCGCGAAGCTCAAGCCAAAACCAGTTGAGGGGCTATTCGGGAACTTGGTCAGGCATTCGACTTCCGATAGAACTGACGTGGTGGGCTTGCCGTCGACAGAGATTATGATCGCAACTAGAGAGGGGGGAAGGTGGGCGAGGGGAAGCTGGACCGGGGGGAGGAAATCGAGCACGGTACGGACTTGTTGTAGCGTCAAGGATGGGTTCTCATGTAGAAGGAAGTCTGTCGAGGATGGATTAATTTCAGGACGGGCAGCCGATCGACCACGGCCATAGTGGGAGAGGATGGAGCAAAGTGGTGGGAGATTGAGATCGTGTAAATTATGGGGGGAATGTGGAAGGAGTGGTGGGGGGTACAGGAGGGTCTGAGTAAGAGATTGTAGAAAGTTGCGCTGAGACGGGCCAGGGGGGTGGGGAGGAAACAGGAGATGTACATACTGTGTTCCGCACCATGCAGCTGAATCCGGGGCAGCCAGGCTGATGCTTAAAAAAGAACCGGGATGTTTCAATGCGTCAGGACGAGACAGCAGGGGCCGGGGGGCGAGTCAGAGAGAGGAGAACCCGAGGGAAATGGGTAGCAGACGCGATTGTTGTTCTAGGTAGCAAACGGAGAGGAAGAGAGGGAGGGGATGTGTGGGTGGAGAGGGAGAGAGAGAGAGAGAGAGAGAGAGAGAGAGAGAGAGAGTAGCGAGAGAGCAAGGGAAAGAGGGAGGGAGAGGGAGAGAGACAGAGACAGGGAGAGATGAGAGAGAGAGTCAATGAGTGGAAGACGGAGAGAAAGAGAGTTTGAGGCCGCGATTGAAACACACCACCCGTTTCAGATAGAGAACAACTTACGCCCGTGTCCCCAGATTCTCCCAATTTTAACTCATTGGTAATCAACCAGGTACGTAGTAGGTATTTACTGATAGTTCAACTGATAAGTTAGTGGTCACTGATTCAAGCTGACTAGGTCACTTGTAAAGTACTCCATACAATTGCGACTAAGTGAATTGTTGTTGTTGTTGTTGCATGCAGGTTTCCCCGTCGCAGGAGACGAGACTGTCCTCAGGCCACCATACGGTACATTACATATCAATAGACCAATAGACACGATGTCTCTCTCATCCCAAACCAGGTACGAACTACGAAGATGATGATACTCCGTACGTAGTCACGTCCACTCAGACACAGTGCATAGCCAAACGCACCGTCCTCAGAATACCCGTGCCAGCTTCTCTACGCATTTCATCCCTGGTAGTCTTCTATTCCTTTTATCTACGAGGCTTGACCACTCTTTAGGGCCGAGTGATCCTGCGGGCGGAGAGGGATTTGTGGTCTTCGAGCTTCGTCCGCAAGCACGTAGTTAAAGTACATCACAAAAATCGCTGCCAAGCTGAGACTTCGAGCATGCAACTCGGGGCGCGTTGTCGACTTTAGGACATATCGCTAGCCTACTTACGAGGTCTCGAGTCATCGTTCATCGCTCTATTCTTGCACGACACGCGTTTTTATTGCATCCAGAATAACATTGTCTAGTGATGCATCGGATTTCAATGCTTCTGAGGCGCTCAACACATACACAGTGGTATCAAGGAAAACACAGAACTAGAGTAGCAATAGTGAAAAGTTAATAATACTGACCCCTGCATCTGCCCAAGAGTAGGTGATCACTTCCGGGCAATGTAGTATGTCAACAGGTTGCGTGAGTTCTCGCGTGGCCATCCAATAAGCTGCCAGAAGTGATCATCGTTGTCGGCCATGGTATGCAATTGTACGCAGAGCTGGGTCGCTTGACGTCTGACATCGGGCTGTCGAGCGGTCAAATTCCTGCCTGCTAGTGACCCGACTTTCTCCACAAGACTTTCTGAAAGCCGAATGGCGCTGCTGTTCATCCTTTTAAAAATATCCGTCATGATAGAAAATCCCATAGTAATGGCCCGATCGCTTTTTTCCGAATCCTCCGTCGACACGAGCTCGGTCACAGCGTCGATGACACTCTCAGGCTCGCATTGTCCAAGAATCTCCTCAGCGGTCTCATTCAATCCATTGATGATGTGGCTTGAAGAGTCGTAATAGTTCCTAGCGGAGATGAGGGCTGCGATGGCTCTGGGATAGTAAGACGAAACAAAGTGCTTGTTGTGCGCAAGCATGAAGCGAACGGTAAGAAGGACTTGAGTTTTCAAGTCCAGCGGACGCCCAAGGCGTTGTCGCTTCTCGTCCGGAGGACTTTCCAGCTCTTCGAGCAAAACCAGTAGCATCTCATCATATTTGCCTTCGTGAAGAAAAATAGAGTCGTGATATTCAATAAGGCCTTGCAATTTTCGGTGTCCAAGGATGTCCATATTCTTGGACCGAATCTTCTGAATGCCCTTCTCAAGCATTTCCCGTGCTTTGGCTGGGTCTTTCGAGCGGGGGCTGATGCTTCTTTTGCGCTCGGCGGTTGGGCCGTTTTTCTGGCGGCGATGTTCTGGGCTACCCGTAGGACTTGTCGCCCCAATTGATTGTCGTCCCCGATACAGAGGGGAGGCTGGCACAGCTGGCTTACTATCACGATGAACAGGTTCATTGAGGGATAGTTCTGCCAAAGCGCTGTTATTGGATACATGTTGAAGGGTAACAATGTGGTTAGGAATAGTCTCCTCCTCTCGGGTAGATGATACATGCTGTTGAGTATGAATAGACTCCTCTTCTCGCTCTGGTGTAACAATGGGATCTTCATAGATTTGCACCGGTATAGCCTTTGCCCCTAAGTGGATGGGAACGAATGTTTCCAACGGGGGCGTTTGTTTAGGCTCACGGGTCTCCGTCTCGTCTTCATGTTGGGACTGTCGTTCTCCTTCGTTTTCGACGGAGTGTTCTTGTTCTCCTTCACTTGTATTCCCACATTGTGAATCAATCTTTCCATCTTCGAGTTCGCCAGCACCGGGATCCGAGAGCCGGACGTCAGCGATGGGCTCTGCGAAATGTTGGGCTGGGCGATTTTCAATGGGCTCTTCGGCACATTGGTCCTTCTTTTGTTCTCCAATAGGATAGCCTCCAGACTTTTCTGCGCGGGCGAAATCTTTCTGTTTGAATTCTTCTGAAGCAGTTAGCATTTGCACCACAGTAACATGGGGACTCTCCGACTGGGCCTCGACAGGGATATCATGTTCTGTGGGAACGATAGATACCTGAAGGCCAGTGGTTTTGCCACCCTTGTTCTCCTGTGGATTACCATTCGCACGGGGCTCTGTGGCACGGGTCTTGGCGATGTCAAGTTTCTTCGCCTTGGCTTTCGCCGTGGTGCTCATGGGCACAGTAATGTGCACATCCGATTTCGAATCGGAAGTGTTAGACCGAACAGTATAAGAGTCCGCAGTCCCCGGGCGGCTCAGTTCAGGTCGGCGCGCTTTTCCCGCTGGGCGCATAGGTGCGGAAGACAATGAGGAAGCAGAAGAGGTATTTCCCATCGAGCGCACAGCTGACTGGCTAGGTGTTATTTCGAGGATGTCTGTGTCTGTGAAGACAGACTGCGCAGAGTCGCTGCGCTGGGTTGTTTTGGCTGCCAGATACCCTTTCTGGTAAGCCACATTGACATCCTCAGTCGAGGGCAAGTGCAAGTCCGGTTGGCTTGACTGCATTGTGCCTTGGGCGTGGATATTGGCGACGAGAGATGGAGCCGCTGTAGGACGCTGTTGATTGATAACCTTAGGGGCTAGGTGCGCTTTCTTCTGAGCGGCAATAGCTTCCTGCAGAGCCGATCGACTTCTGACAGAGGAAACGCTAGGCGTAGCACTCTTACGAGATGCAATGTCGCTTTTCATTGCGACGATATTTGGATTGCCCGGATCTTTTTCAAGCTGGCTGCGGGACTTGGGGTCTAGATTGGACAGGATTCTGTGCAATGTTAGTCCCAGTAAGCATGAGAGAGGAAGAAGAGTGAACGTACTCATTACCCTGAGCCGGCCACATGCTGAAAAACACCCAAAAAGCCCCACGCATCGCCTGTCTGACAGCTGGATTCGGATCGGAAATGCCCTTTTTGATCCCTTTTTCAAGGAGATCCAGCCCACCTCCGTGTTCGATAGAGGACTTATGGTTAGCTTGTTTTTCTAATATAATCTTGATCCAATCTGCTGAGAACAGCCGCAATTGGGCGTTCTTGTCCTGCGAAGCGTTGCATATGTGCTGCAGGATACGAGGGGTAAAAGTAACGTGCTGGATCACGATTTCCACAGTAGATTTGCCATTCTGGGCAGTGATCTTCTTCATCCCTGCGGATAGCTTGATCAAGTTCTGCATGATGATCTCCATCATGGAATCTATCTTCGAGCCACAATAAATGGCCATGTCTTGAAGGAGAAGACATCCGTTTGTTGTCATGGTAGTGCGAAGCGAATTAACCACTTTGAAAATCCCGTCTAGTATGGACTTCAAAGAGGTGATCAATGTGGTAGAGTAAGCCTCAGAAGCATTGCCTCTGACGATGCGGCGCAGAAGCATGACGTTTTCCTCGCGTGTGGCCCAATTGTCTTCAGACTCACGCCCTTCAAAGTGAGGAACCATGCCGCGCACGATGTCTTCGATTTCACGCGAAGAACCGACATTAAGTGGCTCGTCTCCTTTGCCATCGGAGGTGGATTTGACAACTGAAGTCTTTTAGCTTCCATCATTGACGCGGGGATGTTTGCCAATAAGGCACTCACCTTCTGAGTGCTGCGAAGCAGACTCTGCTCTGGAGATTGGGCGTTTCACTGGTCCATCAGCTCGAGACATTGGACGTTGCGAAGGAGCCTCTGCTCCGGTGATAGGGCGATGCATTGGTCCGTCGGCTCGAGAAATGGGACGTGAAGGAGCCTCTGCTCCAATAGTGGGACGGTTTATGATTCCATCAGCACGGGAATGAGGGCGCTGCGACAGGGTTTCTGCCCTGCTCTTCGGCCGTATGGGTCCGTCAGCTCGGGACAAAGCACGCGGCTGTGCCTCCATTCTAGAAGTGGGACGTTGCGTGTCCTCATGAGACAAGAGGCGATTAGGTGCGAGATCGGAAGGATCGAGATTGATCGACGTAAGAATGGCGTTGACAATAGACTTGCGTACATTGTGAACGCTAAGCTGAGTCATAAGATCTGCTTTTGCGCGGGCTGATGCACCAGATGCAGCGCTATAAAGTGATTAGCTTCCAGACCGAGGTCGGATCAGACGGATGGGAGCATACCCAAATAATTCAACTACAGTGGACTTTGCAGCGTCTCTTACGGCCGGGTCCGCATCTTCGAGACAGTTGACTAAGCTTGCAACATATTGGCGAAAACGTAGGCCATGCTGTCTAGACATCTGCAGCGAGAAAGGTGCGTCAGAACATCTACTCGATGTCAAGCGAGAGGAGCAACTCACATTTGACAGCCAGATCAAAGCCATTTCCTTTGCACGTGGGTTTCTTCCCACCATTGCGGTATCGAGAACATAATATTCCACCTCAGCACTCGCAGCTGGCCAGAGCTCCGTGAACGCCTGAGCGGCGAATGCTCGAACGCGTTCTCGGTTGTCTCCCAGTCGTTCGAGAAGTACAGGTTGAAGGACGCGACTATAACTTGCAATCCATTGTGGTTGTCGTTGATATGTCAAACGCTTGATCAAATGGCTAAGCGTCTGGAATGCAGGCCCAATTTCTAGGCCGCGTGGAGTGGCGATAAATGTCCGCAGAGCCTCGAATGTCGGCCGCACTGCGGCTTCGGGGACATTTCGTTGCTTGATTTCTGATTTGTAGGCCACCAGAGCAGTCTGCTTCTGGTCCCATGATAATGTGTTGCTTTTCGCTATTTCTAATAGCTCTAAAGCTTTTGCTTCCATTCTGATCACGAAGCCGCGTACGTCGTCCTCAACTAGAAAGCCAACGAACAGGAGAATACAGAACGAAAATGCAATCTTGACCCCAAGCCAGACAAATCTAGCCACAAGTACACCAAGCAGGTTGAACCACGATTCTAATTCGTGTCCGTATGTGAGAAACGTGAGGAACAGAGCGGTCACCACCACAGACGAGGATATTCTAGAGTCTGCCATGATGTTAGAGAAAGCAAGGAAAACAAACGAAAAAGGAGGTTTTTTTTCAGGATTTGAATTTTCTCATTGGCAAGCAAGACAGAAAGAGAGCAACGCAGAGAATGAGTTTGATTGTGTGAGAGAAGTGCAAGTTTGAGTGTGATTCGAGTGATCTCACACATAAACGGGGGAGGTTGAGAAAGTTGAAGAGGAGAGGAATCGGGGGGGGGGGGGGGGGGGGCGAGATCGGGTCATACCTGGGAAGAGTCTGCTTTCAATTGTTGTGGCAGTCGCGAGAACGAGTAGAGAAAGGCAGTCGCGGCGAAGAAGTTGTTGTGAGTGGAAGGAGTGGACGGGGTCGGGTTGAAGATGATGGAGGTTGCCGCAAGAAGAGGTGGAAGAAGAGGTAACTACCGTACCTAGTAAGTTATCGAGGGGAAGAAGGAGAATCGCGCGCCGATAAGCGACCAACCGCGGCGATAAGAGCGCTTAGAAACTCCACTCGATCAACTGAGCCCTGACGGGGAGATTGGTATGTAATTCTAGGGGTGACAGATCGGGAGTACAAGATGTTATGTACGAGGCTACGAACTGTCAAGCCCAAGAGGTGGGGGGAAGGGGGAAGGTTGGAAGATGGAAGGCGAGAGAAAGTGGCGGTAGTGACGGAGTAGTTATCAGTACTTATTGTTATTGTTGTTGTTGTCTCTGACTCTTTTTTTTCCCAGTTGGCTTTGTTTACCCGCAACGTCGCCGGAGCCATTGGTTGCTCCGCTTTGGGCAAGCCGAATGTTGTTATGGCAGCTAATTAGGTAGAGATGCTCCTCTGCTTCGTATAGCATGGGGCTGCCCAACTCGAGATCATGGTTTGAAATTTTGTAGCATTATAGATTTGATCACCTTTGATGTTATCTGCCAGTGATCGCTCCCTGGCGTTGTGGCAGTCGTGTTGTTGTCATGGTAAGTCCCCTGCCGATTCGAGACGAGCAGAGCGCAACACCATTGACTACATCGACTACACTTTCGCTCGCAGACAGTACAATCTGGCGCATCTACTCAATTAAATCGGTTAGTTAGCTTAGTAACAATGAATGATATGTGCCTAAGCGTCCCAGAATGACTCCCTTAGGCGTCGTCCGTCGCGGAAAGGGGCTGCGGTGTAAGAAGTAAACACAAACGTGATCCCGCTCCGATATATACTTTTGCATCACGACCGCTTCTCTGTTACTCGGTAGAATCAAGACGTGACCGAGTGGATGATGGCAAAGCAACAATTTAGAACATCGCACCCCGGCGAATTAGACTCCATCTCCCTACACAATCTAACGAGTACAGTACCCAAGCAATCCAGGACCCATCTCCAGCGCCGAGTGAGTGTCTGACTAGACCACAGCAACTCCACCGGATCGCCGCTCCGGGGGTGGATCGGGCCATTCTCTGGTGGCGGACGAGCAGACACTTGGACCAGCTGCCATGTGATGGCCGGGCAAACCACAAGCAAAAATGCATGGTTATTCTTCCTGGTGCACAGCACACCGTAGTTAAATGACCGGCAATGGACTACAGGTGGATATGATCCCGATGGTGGATCCTGTCAAAAGCCCTGCGGCATGCAACCGCGTGTCTGCATGCAGGAATCTTAACACTTCTAAACGAACTAGACCGACCGATAGAACCGCGCGCACCGATCGATAGCGTATATATCTGAAGTGCAACCCCGTTCATATTGTCCGAACTCACTTGCTCATTAACAACAGTGAGTTATCCACCGACGTGCACTACCCACAATGGCCCGGATTCCAGCACCGCCGCCGCCCCAACCCACTACCCTCCCAAACAATCTCCCTCAACCCGACAGCAGCAACACCACCACTACCACCACGACAGCCTCCAAAGACCAGCATAGCCAACATCCTACCATCCCCTCCCCAAAGTTCCTCCTACAAATCCATGACCTCCGCCATCCCGGCAGCCACACCTTCCTAACCCTCATCCCCGACCTAGCCTCCACCCTCGAAACCGCCCTAACCACCATCCTCGAAACCCTCTATACCTCACCATCACCATCCCCAACCTCAAACCAGAATCCCAAGCCCAGACCCATAACCTTCATTCCCTCCCTCCCCCCAACCCGCTCCGTCACCACCCTCCTCCGCCCCATCCCCGGCGTCGCCTACACAACAGGCACCGACCTCGACCCAGACCACAAAGAGATCCACCTCTCCCTCTCCTACATCGAGAACTGCACCACCCGGTACGCCGACGACCCGCGCGCCGAGATTGTCGGGGTCCTCACCCACGAACTCGTCCACTGCTACCAGCACACCGCCCCTCCAGAGAACGAGGACACAGGTCCCCGCCCTCCCGGGGGCTTGATCGAGGGGATTGCCGACTTCGTGCGTCTCAAGGCTGGGCTGGCCCCGCCGCACTGGACACGGCCGCGATCGGCCAAGGAGCGCGCGGAGAAATGGGATCAGGGGTACCAGCACACGGCGTATTTTCTGGCCTGGTTGGAGGAGGTCCGGGTCGGGAGGGGAGCGGTGGGGTTGGTCAATGATCGGTTGCTGAGGGTTGGGTATCTTGGGGAGAAGGCAGAGGGAGACGGAGAGGAGAGGAGAAGCGAGGGCGAGGATGGGTCAGGGAAACCTGGGGAGGGTTTCTGGAAGGCGCTGTTTGGGGTCGGAGTTGAGGAGCTGTGGGCGGAGTATGGCCGGTATTTGGATAGTTTGGCGGGAGAGCTCGAGGCAGAGGCAAAATAGAGGGTCAAGAAATAGAGCCCTGGTGAAAGCCCAATTCTGGAGTCTGGAACAGGCAGTCAGACACTGACTCGATGTCTGATCTTCAGATACTATACCCTTGAGAACATGATAGATTCCATTGGATTCATTGAGTACATGTTGGTCCAGCCGCTTGGATCTGCCAAACAATTTTTGCGTCTTGGTAACAATCACACACACCCTTCCCATTGCGAATCTCTATTGGTATAAAGAAAGGGGACGAGCTTTATAACTTAGTAAGAAAATGAAAAATGAAGATGAAACACGACATGATAGAAAACATCGGATGAAGTAGAAATTCCCGTAATGTACAGAACCTTGCGAATATTGCGAAATCGGTAGGAATAATATGTGAATGTTGCACTTGCCGTCGATTACCACCTTGACAAGGTCTATATCAAAATGTGACGCCGTTTCCAAATACTGCTCTCATGAACCGCTCCTCTTTAAACAATCACCTCTCCCAGATCCACGTGCACGGGCTTCCATGGGGCAGCCCCCTCTTCTTCCATCGAATTGGGCAGACGCACATTCAGCGGGCTGTACAGGTACCAGCCCTTAAGGGAGGCAACGGCGGCCCGGGACCGAGCCTCGAGCAAACTGGAACCCGACCCCTCACCGAGCTTATCCTTGCCGGAGAAGATGCCAACGACGAAGACGGGGTGCCGACTCAAGCGACCGGTTTCGCTGAGGATCTTGGCATACGGGGGCTCGAAGTTCTCGCGGGCACATAGGCGGGAAAGATCACGAGCCGGCTCGCGGAAGTTGAAAAGATCAGAGATGTTGAGATGGCGGGAGATGAAGTGCTGCTCGAAGAAGCGCTTGGCAGCAGGTCGGCCAGCGTGAAGGTAGATGGCGCCGAGGACAGCGCGGACGAACTGAGAGCAGGCCTGCTCAGGAGTCACACCCGCGGCGTATCGGTCGGCCGACTGAACCTGTTGTCGCGGGTCGACGCTTGCCCTAACGGGTTCGCCGAAGACATCATCATAGACAATTTTCGACGAGATCGACCTGCGCCACGTCGCTTCGTTCTCGTAAGGTCTGTTGGGATTCTTGAGAGGTTGATTCGGGTTGACTCCGGGGTCGAGTCTTTTGAACTGCAGGTGACCAGGATCAACCTCTCCACCAGGGGCGACAGCCAATTCCACACCCCATTCCTTCACCATGGCGGACAATGTCTTTGGGCCGACGTATGCGTACATGGCGGCGAAGATGACCGTCATAGGAAGCCGGGGATATGTGCAGATGAGGTATTCGGAGGTGTACTGGGTCAGAAGATCATGACCGAGAGTAGCCAGGGATTCGTTGTTGAAATCTGGGTTTGGATCGGCCGATTCATCCACAAGAGTACGAGCAAGGGTCTCGAGGGGAAGTCGTGCAGGAAGGTAGAGTCGTGCGTGAAGCGCAGCGAGTTTCGCGGACTCGCGTGCGGCCTTGACAGGTGGAGAAGGGAGGGAGTGCTTGGAGATTGCTGAGCGAGAGGAGCGTTTCTTTGGCGGAGGGACTAGGTCCTGAATCGGTTGTTTGGCTTCAGCCTCCGTGACAGGGAATGGAGTCGTTGTCGTCTGGTATCGGAGACCGTGTTGTATACGTCGCTGCAGTCGACATCCAGCACGGACTTGCGGCGAAAGGACCGAACTGCTCCATCGTTGGGGTTGGAGTCTCTTCATCTGTGCGATCTGTGGTTTTGAGGCCGGAAAGAGAACCGAATGACCGTATATCCAATTAAGGAATGCGTCGTGGCGTGGGGGGGAGAAGAAATGGGGGAGAGGGTCGTCAACGGGCTGCCAGTACAAACTTTTGGCCGCCAGAGAAAAGTTGAGCAGAGCAACCTTTCGGCGGAAGTCACGGGTTTTGGCGGTCGTGTGAGAAAGTCGTCCATATTGCGCTAAGCCTATTACAGACCTAGCGTCACGGGGTCTGGGACCGGGAGGGACGAACGACGGCCAATTCGGCTTCAACCCGCCAGAACAACTGCTTTCTAGCGAGCCATTGTCAACCTACCCTTTCCAACCGCTTATCTCAGATACCTCAATCACAATGGGTGGAGGCGGAAAGATCCCGTATGTGGTCCATGAATATCCAACTTTCCCGTGTCGCGCTAACGGATAGCCCGCGCAGGTATCCCAAGGAAGTCTGGTCTCCCGCCGGAGGCTGGTATGCTCAGCCCGCGAACTGGAGGCTTAACACTGCCATCATGGGTGCCACCGTTATCGGAATCGCTGCTGTCGTTTGGAGCATCAGCGCTGACCGTGAGCACCGCGACAAGATGCCCGAGCCTGGCAGATTCTTCCCCAGTCGCTAGTCAGTTCTACCCAGCCAATCCCCTGCCGAGTGTTTCTAAGCATCTGATCATTGACTCTATCTCGTCTATATAGCTGGAGCAGAGAAATCATTGAGCACGAGAGAAGACAGCAGGCCTCGAAGCAGGACTCATAATGTGGTTGACGGGGAATAAGAAGCGAGTGTGATAAAATGCAATTCCGAAGACCTCCTGTGGCATGATAAGTTTTGTTTTCATCGTTTTTTTTGAGGGCTGTACGACAATAGAAGGGCGTTCTTCAACCGGTCAGTTGATCTGCAAGTGCTTCTGAGGAGACTCTTCAAGTGTTCGATACAAGCGCTGTGTGTACAGACGGACCCGTTCCGTGAACTCAGTTTCGTTCCAAAGCTCTCTTCCATCGGTAGCTGTAGAAATGTGCGGTACCCCAATCTGTTCGACCACGAAACTAGCCGCTACAGTAGCGAACACCAGAGCTGGAAGAAAGCTATCATTGGCGCCGCCAGCTTTTACAGCTTCCTGCCAGGCCCTAGATCTTGCGAGCACCGAGGTGACAATAATGGCTGGAGTTCGCCCCGAGCTGATCATACCTTGAGTCAATGCCCCAAGGAAAGAATTTCCGGCCCCTGTGGGATCAACCACAGGTGAAGGCATCGACGTATCGGGCTGATGGTACGCGGGCAGCCAGATTCTCTGTCTCCGAGAGAACGAGTAACTACCATCTTTGCCTGCTCTGATAACAAGGTGTCCATTCCCATCAGGCCCGATACCCTCGGCAAGAATCCTTTCAACAATAGCTTTTCCGTGACTGGTCCCCTCGCTCCAACCGGGCTGACCGAACATCATACCAAGCTCTAGCTCGTTAGGGCTCACAACATCTACGACTCTGTTCGCAGCCAAGAATGTCTCTTGCTCTTCAGGCGTGCAGAGGTCTGGAACAGGTTCCCAGACGAAGATTGGTCGCTGTGTGGCCGAAACGGACGAGGGCACTTTGCCCTCTCGATGGAGTTCTTCCCGCCGTCGCAGGATCTCCTGCACAATGGATATGCAGCGGGACGAAGAGCAGACCATGTGGAAAGTCTTCGAGAGTACTTGCGCGTCTGAGAGCATTGAAGGCTCAAGCCGCAATTTAGGCGTCAAGTACTTGAAATCTGGATTGCCTTATCAGTCATGTGCGAGCCCAACGCGAAAACACGAACGCGATTGCACTGACCCCTTTTCTCATTCGGCCCGTAGCCATTCCAGGCTCGTGTGGTCAGTCGGTCATTATCCTCTCTGATAATACAATTTGTACCCCAAGATTTGATGACGCTTAGAACCTCTGCAGGGAAATCGGATCCGACATCAACAATCCAGCTCACAGATCGCGCATGCTCTTTCCCAGCGACGAGACGGGCGCCAATAATCGCATAGGATGCAGCACCGCCGAGGATGTTCTTCACCGGAGGTTTTGTGCCTTCAAAATCAATATCGTCTACCGCCGAGGAGAGACCTCGTAAGTATATGTTGCGGGGAGTTATTCACGAGCGGAACTACAGCGTACCAAGGATGAACATGCCCAAGGTGCAGAAATCGACAATGTCATTGGGATAGGGCTCATTGTTGCCTGCCATTGTATCTTAAGCGTAGTGGTTCAATTGAACGAATATATATTTTGTGTACTCGTAGTATGCGATGGGTGGGGGATAGAGGGGAAGTATCGGAGAGAAGAACGGATTACGGACTGATACCCACAACGTCATAGCGCAAGGTCCCAGCATGGCCTGCTGAGCGGTTACCGGAGGGTATTGGTACAGTATTGTACGGCTGGGTCCACCGCCCGACGCTCAAGCCTCAGGCACGGCGGATTGTTGGTTTAGGGAGAGCATCATCTGTCAGTCAACATCATTCCACTAGCATCATCCTCTTAATTGTTGCTGCCTTCCACAGCAATCTCTTTTCTTTGCTCAGCAGCCTGACTCTCTCTTTGATTCTGCTGCTGTTCAACATTTGAATCGCACAGCCTGCGTCCGATCCGCACGCTTCCCTTTGACCTAGTCTCTCCCTGTTATTCTCCGATAGTTGTCTCCTTACTTTGACAGGGGCTCTTAACATGGCGTCAGGAAGCCACATGCATAATCTCACAACCCTCATCAAGCGGTAAGTTGCGACCAAAGCGCCGGCTGAATAGGAAACACTCAAGCCCATTCAATCCCTCTTCAAGCTCATGTCATTGTTCTGTACCATACTGACTATGTATACCTCGCTACAGGCTGGAAGCCGCGACTTCCCGCTTGGAAGACATGGCGATGTCGCTGGACGACCCAAACTCGCCCAAGACCATCGGTGCTGTCGCTGCGCCTGAAACAGCCACACCCGAGACTCCCAAACTGGCTCCTCCAGCGACTCCCGCAGCCCCCCCCGTGCCGCCTCAGATCCAGGACTTTGACGCACTGATCAACGGGGATGTGCGGACCTTCGTGGAGTTGGGACAGAAAATCGACGGATTAGTCGGAGAGCAGGTACGCTATGCCTCATGATACCAACAATATGCCCCCACTAACGGTTGTTATCAGTCAAGAGCCGTCCAGCAAGCCTTCGAAGCCGAGCGTACTTACCTTTACGTTTCAACCAAAGCCAAGAAGCCCGATCAGCAGCCCCCGGAGCTCATGACGGAGCTCCACAATGCCTCGGACAGCATCAACAATATTCGTGAGTCCAACCGGGCATCACATCTGTTCAATCACCTCAGCGCGGTGGCAGAGGGCATCGTTGCTCTGGGCTGGTTCTTCGCCAGCAAGCCGGCCGATTTCGTCACCGAGATCGTTGGTGGGATTGAGTACTACGGAAACAAGGTGCTCAAAGACTACAAGGAGAAGTTCGTGATCATCCACAAAACTAGCCCCTACCCTACTAACGTTATCCTTCCAGGGATCGCACCCACGTCCAGTACATCCAAGCCTACTATCAAATCTTCAAGTCGCTCGCCGCCTACCTCAAGAAACACTATCCTAAGGGTCTTACCTGGAACGATCAGGACGGTATCGACGCCCAAGAAGCTCTCAGACAGGTCAAGAGCGGCGGCAGCTCCGCTTCATCCCCTAGTGAAAGTAGAGCCGCCCCCCCTCCCCCTCCCCCTCCTCCAGTACCAACCATCAACGTCTCCGGCGGCAATGGCGGCGCTCCTCCCCCTCCCCCTCCACCCCCTGGCGTCCCCCCTCCGCCCAGCGCCTCCAGCCCTTCTCCCGACATGTCCGCTGTCTTTGACCAATTGAACCGCGGCGATGCCGTCACCTCCGGCCTACGCAAGGTCGACAAATCCGAGATGACGCACAAGAATCCCAGCCTACGAACCAGCTCCGTGGTGCCCGAGCGGCCCAGCTCGCAAGGCAGCTCCGTCTCCTCGCCCACCTCGCGGGCGCGGTCCCCAGCCCCGCCATCTACGAAGCCCAAGCCCGAGAGCATGCGCTCGCGTAAGCCGCCACGCAAGGACCTGGAGGGCAATAAGTGGTTGGTCGAGCACTTTGACAACCCCGGCGGCATCGTCGAGATCAGCGCGCAGCAGAACCACTCAATCCTGATCTCGCGCTGCAACAAGACCATCATCAAGGTCAACAACAAGGCCAACGCCATCTCCATTGACAACTGCACCGGCCTGTCCATCATCGTCGACTCGCTCGTCAGCAGTCTCGACGTCATCAAGTCCTCCAAGTTCGCCCTGCAGATTGACGGCGTCGTCCCCACCCTGCTCTTAGACCAGGTCGACGGCGCCACCATCTATCTGAGCCAGCAGAGCTTGGCCACCGAGGTCTTCTCCAGCAAGTCCACCGCCATCAACGTCATGCTGCCCCCTAAGGAGGGCACCGATGACGATACCAAGGAGTGCCCGCTCCCTGAGCAGATCAAGTCGTATGTCAAGGATGGTGTCCTGGTGAGCGAGATTGTGGAGCACGCTGGTTAAACCCAAGCTTCCTACTCTGTTTGCCCGCCCTCCTCGGGCGTGATAACCCCTCCGAGATGGGGTCAAGTTGATTTGGTGTATGTAGCATCGGACAGGGAGGTGATCCCGGCCTGCTCCGTGCCCGTAACTTAGATTTACTATGTAGATAAGGATTTAACTAAATCACACTTTTGGTGTTCAACGCATTTTCACCACCTTGCCTGTGTGCAGAACCTTCTGTGACGCTTTAGCCTATCCATGCGAGCAGGAGAGATGCTTCGACTACGTGAACTATGACGGATTGCAAGGAGGATGGAGCGTCGGAACAGACATTGACTGAGTTCATTGATCTCCGAACAATAGAGGGTGGACTCAAATGACTAAATTCTTGGTGGGAATTGTGTGAGGGACAGACAGTCATGTTTCCCTGATTAGAGATGCGAGAAGTCTCGACAAGTAAAGAATGGGGAAGTTGGGCTTCCATTACCAGGAAGCTCGTCGACCCTTGGACGATGGATAATAATCAAGGGGAATATCACACCCCTTCGGATCACGCAATGTAATTGCGCCTGAGCACAAGCATGTGTGACAAATCCAGAGAGGGTGACATCGAAGCTAAAAACATGTTGGGTATATATACTAGTCCCGTTGATAAACGCCGCGCCTGGTCAGGCGGAGCGAGAAGTTTCTGAACGAAACTGGAGATATGATCAAGATGAGAGATGAGCCGGCATCTCATGCATTTAACACATTAATTGTTAGTCAGGAAAGAGTGATTGAGAATTACCCCAGAGTGAGAAAGACAATGCCTCCGAGCGGGCGCAAAATTCAGTACTAGCGGTATGACTGGTCGTGCTGTGTCGGACACAGGCGAATCGTTGCATCAGCGTCTGACTCATAGTGCTGTTGGAAGTGTCGATGTCTGTGGACATCCAGTCCCCTCAATCGCTGAGCAAGGAGGCTGTCACCAATGTCGATTCCGTTGGACGGATAGCCAACGTATCCGTTCTCTCCCTTATGCAGCTTGCTATACAGTCCACTCTTAGTTTGACGCTTCTCAGGCAAATCTGCACAAGGTGAAATCTGGGATATTCCCGATAGTGGATAGGCCTGTAAGGGATGTGTGGATGACTCTCGCGCATGACAGTCCTCGCCACCTCGAAGAGCGGACGATTCGCGGGTCGATGCTGCATGCCGCGTGGACGGACTACACCCAAAGTAAGAAGAACATCCTGGGTGAGACATCTCAGAAGAGCCATTAAGCTCAATGTTCGTGAGATGGCCAGGCGTGGACTTTCGAAGCCGCTTCTCGCCCACCGTGTTCAAGTGCGCATGATGGGCTTCTCGTGAGGCTCTGTAGGGTGAATAGCGGGGGTAAGGAAACTGAATCTCATTGCGTAGCTTCTCCTTACCGTCAGGAACTCGATTGGCAAAGACAACGCGTATAGTCGAATACAGGTAGAATCGGCCCTTCGAAGGACAGCATATGTTCAAGTGAATTAAATAACGGAGAATGGGCTTGTCCTTGGGATCTTCCGAGACATTCAAGGACGCCTCAGGACGATCAGTGCCGTAATTCTTTCGCGCGCTTAGTGGCATATCAATGGTTGGGCCCGCGGAATAGCTCCGTTGGCGAATGAACGTCTTCGTTCCAGGCTCCATGTCAGTGAGGTCGTAAGGAACAAGGAACAATTTGACGGCAGTTTTATTCGGATTCTTGATTATGACCTGTAGCTGGCCTTGTTGCGGGATCCGATAAGAGCCGCCCGGCGGCGATTTGGGCGATTCTGCCCTTCTATGCCTTTTCTCCAACATTCGAAGAAGCTCTTTCTCATTCGACCTTGTCTCGAGGGGTGAATTTAGGTGCTGGTCATTATAGATCCCACCAGGGCTTTGGTGATGATGATGCTTGCGACGTCGATTATCGCTCGAAGTGTCCTTTGGCAGGGAACTATCAAGGTCAATCATGCCCACATACGGACTGGGACTATCGTCTGCAATTGAACGCCCACAGCCTGAGGTGGGATAGCTGTAGAACACAGCAGGAAATGGAATCGTGACATGGGGCGGACACTTAAGGCTGCCTTTACATTTGCCTTTACCCAGAACCCCTATCTGTGCGGTGAAGTCCAATGGTTTGGAAGGATTTGTCGACATCCTTCCTCGGAGAATGGACTCCTCGTATGAGCCCACCATGGGCGCCAAAGCCCTGGAAGAGACTTCGGAGCCGATCGAAGGCCGTCTAGATCTGGAATTCGCGGTCTGAACGGAGGAGGCGAGCTGAAGGCTGTAACCGCAGGTCAGGGACCGTTTTGGTGGCTGGAACTGATGGGCCATAGCACTATTCCATTCTCTCATTGAGGGATCTGGCGGGAGCCGTGCCCCTCGCCCATGGGTGGTTTCAGGGATCTGCATATCCCGGAAAGTCTCCGGGGGGAGTGTCCGCCGGCGAGTGGCTTTATTATCCGAGAAGCCAATATGGCCGACATGCTCCGGCCGCGGTGGATAATCGAAATCTGTGATATTGGCTTGATGTACAAGTGGGCTTGTCGGTGCCTTGAGAATATAGCTTGATGAGAACGACCCCAGAGATGGCGCGCGAGAGCGTGCTACTGGAGTTGTAGCGAGAAGTGACGAGCTTTGTCGTTCAACTGAAGCTGGGAAAACAGGAGTGCTAAACCAGGGCGTGGTTGGAGAAGAACTGAGCGGAGAATGGTATACGTCATATGAAAAGTTAGGCAGTGGTGACTGTGATGGCTGTTGTCGACTCTGATTTTGTGAGCTTCCTTCTCGAAAGTCCCCAGAGTGTAAGGCCGAGCGAGGGCGCTCAATGTCCGCAGGCGAAGCCAGCTTCTGATCGCTCGAGGGGAGCTGACTACCCGCAGATATTGATTCTATTAGTTGATCCCTCATTGCGTAATACTTCTCGGGAGTAAACGGAGTAAGATCGTGACTGGCATCCGCCTCTCCCAGCTGTATCCATCAGGTTAGCAAGTATGCCATTGCAGATCTTACAGTGATTATAATAAGGGGCTCTCGACAAAAGAGAAGCTGCAGCAAGACTCGACTTTTCAAGGATAACGAGACATACGGAGCGATGGAAGTTCCACTTAAGATCGCCAGCATTTTTTGACCGCCGTAATGAATTCCCGCGGTCATCTGCGTCATATACATCAGAAGGCGAGGGACCTTCGGGGTGAAGGTATTTTCCGCTCGCAGACAGGGGGACTCCAGAGGAGGTATTTTGAGAGCATTCCCAGGAAGCTATGGTCTGACATTGAGTCTCTTGACCGGAAGAATGGTCATCAGACCATGGATCATTGGACCGTCCGGGGTCCAAATATTGGAAAATGGGCATGATCACCGGAAGATGGACAGATAGAGAAAGGCGTAGAGACGGCGAACATTTCAGCCCTAAGAGAAGGGAAGTCGTGCAGGAGGGGAGCAAGGAGACTAATATATTGGCAGAGAAAAGCACAGAGCTGTGGCACGTCAGGCCGAAGTGGCGGAGAAGTCACCGTGAGGTGGACTGGTGGAGTATGAGCTGGACGGGAATTGAATGGATCGACCGCGGGATGAGGCGGTTACAACATGATAAGATGATTGCGAAGCTAAACCGGTTAATGAGAACGAACAATGTGAAGAGATGAAACAGTAAATGAGAATACACAGACAACACCCCCGAGTCCACTGGAGTTGAAGATAGCCAGGAAGGTTGCAGCAAGAGCTAAAGTAGTTGGTTAGTGGTGGGGGAAAGGAATATATGTACAGTACAATAAGTTAAGGTAAAAAGAAGAACAGAATGAAATGATGGTATGAGGAGAAGAAGAAGAAGAAGGGGCAAAAAAAGCGGCATTGTATAATCGCTACAAAGTCAATACCGTCACGATATTCCAGACCGATCTATGCCGTAGAGAGAGAGAGAGAGAGAGGTATAACATTTTACTTTCCTTTCCTGCTTCCCCCCTCCATTTGTCCCACGAGTTCTCCTTGACATTGCTTTTTTATGTTCCTGAAGTATAGTGCAATTCTCTGCCATATTGTATACTGTTGTATGCACCAGAGCTATCGTGTCACTTCTTTGCTGGTGACAACGCAGAAAGAATCCTTGTTACAACCTGACGGAGACTGTGACAATACTTTCTGTACGACTCCAACTTTTTCCGGCGGTCGATGCGGCACGGGATCTTCTTCTCCCCCGATTTTCTTTCAGTTTGTTCTGTTGCGGCCTTTTTCCAAAGACGAATCAATTCGGTGGTGGGACGAAAGTAGCCTGGCAGTTTTCGCAATTGTTGCCTAATACTTACTGTGCACTTCCTACACCGTCTAACTTGACTCTTATTCCGTCGAAATTCTCACCGAAAAAATAACACCACCACCACCACTACGCACTACCCTCACTATATATCATGGCGCCCAAACGCTCCCGAGACGAGACAACCACCGACGAAAAGCGGCCTGCTGCTTCCGATGCGCCAGTCAAGAAAAGAAAGGGGTTCTCCGTCGGACCTGCCAATCTTCCCGATGGCACCTATCGTCGCAAAAGTATGTCACATCGCCCGGGCTTTCTTCGCTTCTTTTCATTTCCTCGTTTGCATCTCTGCACCATCCCAGCTCTTCCCCCGCACCCGTGAAAAAAAAATTGATTATCGTTATTTATCGCAATTCACTCACATGTATTATTCTTACACAACCATACAGCCCAGAAGATCAAGTCCGATTTGATTCAGAAAGCCAAAGTCAAGAAAGCCTATGCCAAAATCAGAGACCAAGAGCTGGCCGCCGCCCCACCCAAACCCATTTACACAGCCGATCAGCCTGAAAATGCCGGCGAGGAAGCCGAGCCCGCGTCCTTAGAACTGCACCCGGACCGCATGGCGATGTTGAACGAGCCCGAGCCGGAACCCACCCCCCAGCCGCAGCGAGCGGACAACCGCGAGCCCCGGGGCCGTCGGGTCCGGAAGCCTAAGCCTTCCGCTTTTGCGAAGGAGATGGAGCTGGCTGAGAAGCGCAGGAAAGAAGCCGAGAGGCGGAGAGAGGAGCGGGAGTTCAGACAAAAGGACCGGGAGGCTATGGCTCGGGCTAAAAGGCCGGATCAGAGTGGGAAAAGGAGATTGGGAAGGGAGAGTCAGGTGCTGTTGAGTCGGGTGCAACGCATGGTTGGATCGACATAGAGAAAACAAGGACTGGGCTACGAAGGAGAGCAAGAATGGTAAAAGTATGATACCCGCGAATTTACAAAACAGTTCGAATGATTTTTTGATATTTAGACTTCTGGGTGCATGCATCTACGTATGTATGTATGTATGTATGTATGTATGTATGTATGTATGTATGTATGTATGTTTTCATGTGTGTGTGTGTGTGTGTCTTGCGTTTCAGATCATATGCACAATCTTGCTAGCTGAAGAGAATACTCAGGCGGTAGCCTTGTGCCCTCCGCCGCTGCGTGGCTTCCGGAAACATGCGAATTCGCCCTTTGTTCTCTCTCTGAGCCGCTTGAGTGTGACCCGCATTTCGCTCAGCTCTGACTGTAATCGGGCGCGAGCTTCGTGCGTGGTTCGACGATCTAATTCCACGTATATCTGGCTCTGAATGGCGGATGCTTCATCCGTGGAGTATTGAGACATGGTTTGAGCAATGAACTCGGTATCAAGCGTCGCCTGCATTAGAGCAGCAAGGGTGTACTGAGACCGAGTACTGAAGGCGGTCAAGAGGGAAGTTGATACTTGTGTCAACATAAACATGAGAATGACCGATAGTAGCGGGGATTGCGCAGCCGAGTGCGAGCGATTGGCCGTGGTCAACAGCGTGGATGGAATTGTAGTTGTGATTTCCGTATGGACCATTACAAGTGCCAACATCGCATTATACACGTATGGCCGAACCTGCTCTGGCCGCGAGTCACTAGCTGGTTCCCAGTCGGGTCCAGCAATGCTCTCGATGATAGTCGAGTTCAGTTTGTTGATGGTCGGCTTGGTGTATGACTGGAACAACCGATCTTCGATCTGGCCGAGTACGTCTCGAATGGTTTTCGCTTCTTCCGTCAATTTCACCGAGAAGGAGTTTTCGAAGTATGCAACTAGTTGAGGAACGAGATCGGCCTGGAAAGCCTTGATGTTCGATAGAGTCAATAGTAGACGCACATTCTATAAGAGTCAGTTCTGAGCAGACCACCCAAAATGGGCCGAATGAATAGTACTCACCCTATCACGAACATCAACCGCGTCTGCTACCAGCAGGGCCGTCGACGGATCAGCAGGGGTTCTAGCGACCGTTGGTGCAGCTAGAACCCATTCATCTTCCCCGTCCGTAGATGCCGGGTGTTCCGCATTCTCGACCAGACCACTCAAAGCTTTGTAGACACTCGATACAAACTGGCTGCGCACCATGAGCAATAGCTTTGTAGGGGGTTGCGTAATGACATCTACAGAGCCTGCCTTCACCATGGCCTCGGATATATAGAGCATTCTTTGCATACCGCTGATGATGGAATTCTCAAATGCCACAAATAAACCGGGCATCTTTGTCAGATCCCTCCTTTCAGGATCTCGCGTCCAGTCTTCGAGCATCTTGCAGATCTCCGCATCCTTGCCCCAGGCCGCGCAGGCCACACGCACGGAGCGTTCACGGGCGACACTAACCAGTGACTTGAGAAGATCGTGAGTATTGCCGCTGCTCGACACCGGCTCCAGAGCCGCCATTTCACTAGCCGCTGTTCCAATGATTACCAGAAATTGACTGAGGTAGTGCACACCGCTGACCGAGTTTGAGAAAGGAGGCCAGAAGGCATACTCTTCCCAGTATTCACCGCGCTTCGGAGTGGGAAAGGGCATGTTCTTTGGATCTAACTTGAAACGTGATTCGGTAGGGGTCACCCCAAGACTTCCTGGGCTATTCGGACTCGCTGTCGAAATGGGAGACGTGAGGAGAGACACATCGTCGACCGGCGGGTCGGCGAACAGAGAAAGCACACTCTCGCGAATCAAGTTGACAAGCTCAACGGTGCCTTTCTGCAGATCCCTGACATCGCTCGAGGAGAGGCGGTGATGCTTCCGGCTTTCCCCTTCGAACCCAGCTGGTAGAAGCCTCTGCTTGCTGCCATCAATGAAGGACTGCGCTACTTCCCAGAAATCAAAGACCTCACCAAGGAGGCCCCCTTGAGATGATAGGAGCCTGGTCAAGTAGGTGTTGAGACAACCCCACAGCTCAATTACCTGATCAGTGTCGCGCATTGACTTGGATTCGGCTGAATTATCGCGTGGTGCTAGTCGAAGATAGGATGCGACTGCCTGAGGCGTGGGCTTCTCACCGCTAGCAAGCCGGCGTCGCAGGATCTCTATCTCCGACTTGCAACGCTCACAAAAGGCCGTAATCTTGGTCTTGAGGAAGTCATAGCGGCTGAGAAGCCAGACCCAGATGGGATTATCATCGACTCCTAATTCCAGCAGAGCACAGATCAATTCCATATGCTCCTCAACCGGGCCGGTCGCTGTGATGGTTGTTGAGGTAGTAGGCGCGTCGCTCAGACGCCTCCACAAATCACGCTTGAAGGCTTGAATCTGCTGCTCAACATCTATCCACATTCTCCCCATGGCCAAGATGACATGTGTTTCCTCATCAGTCAGTGCTCGGTCCATGCCAGTTGCGGTTTCCGCGATATTCTTGGCGGATTTCGCAAGAGAGCGTGCTTTGCGGAATTGTTCAAACACGGAGTCATAGTCGCGCTGCTTGATCGATTTCGACAGTTGTCCTCCAATTTCATATATATCCCTGTGTTTTTCCATCATCTCAACAACTGACTTCAACACCTGTTCTCTCTCACGGCCGCCCAAAGCCGGTCCCCACACCTCCTCAGCCTTGACGGATGCCTCCAGCAAAGGCACCCGGATCCCCTTCATGCCGTACTCGCTCTCCTTCGTGAGTGCATTCTTCCCTGGTCCCACTTCGGCGATGGCTGTGGCAGAGATGCTGTGCCTGCTGCCGGAAAGATTCCGGAAATGGCCAACCGACCTGCGGTGGCCTTGAGGACTCAAAAACTCCTCCTTTTGCCCTTGTGTCTTCATTTCTGTATAGACACTATCAATCGTGGCTTTTGCTCGGACGAACCGCTCGAAGTTCGCTTCAACGAGGACCTTCAACGAAGCAGACTTTTGGTCGATGGAGCGGGAGAGGCAGTCGAGGCCATCGAGGAGGGACTGTATCGAGGCATCGGAATGCACTTGTGAAAGGAAGAGTGAAGGTGAGAACGAGGTCGATGAGAGCAGGAAACGATTCCGTAAGCGACTATCTTCGTCTAAAGACAAGCCGCGAGCTTTGAGAATCTTGAGCACGCTGTCGCCCATTCCAAGGGGGTCCGGCTCGTCCATTTTAAGATTCTCCCGCCCATTATTGCCCTTGAATGATCCCAAATCAACACTCCTTCGAGTGCTGTTGTTGCGTTCCAGAGCGAAATAGCGCGACCGCTCCGATCGGGAGCCGCGGCGTTCCAGCGCCTCGGTCTCGTCAGGATCGCTTTCGTCCAGCTCTGCAGGCCATGCTTCGGGGTAGGCTGATGGGAGATTGTAATAACTGGCGACATCAACCTCTGACATGGTGAAGATGAGCCGAATAGCACGGCAGGAACAGTGGTGGTGGTGGTGGTGGTGGTGGTGATGATGATGATGATTGTGTGGTGAGGGAGGGAGCTAGGCTGAATGACAGACTGAAGAGGAAGATGGTTAAGACCGCGGCATAGAGTGAAACGCAGCTGTATGATTACGAAGTAGTGAACTTACCAGTGATTAAGTGAAGTGGAGCCAAGAAAGAGAGAAGTCAGATTTCCGTAGAAGGCAAGGATAGTTCATAGGAGCTTAGGAGCAGTAGTAGTGGATAAGGCTAAAACGTGCCGTGTTTGCCAGCACTTGCTGCCAGCTGCATCACCACCAGCAGGCCAGGTTAATGTTATCAGATCGTGGGTCCAATTTGGCAGCCAAAACGAGCAAACACGGCATCGGGAGCGGTGCTGCCGAGTCACGGGTCTGGGAAAGGCACTCAAACTGCTGCTTTCACACAGCAAAGCCAGTCCGCCCGCACCGACCGCCCCGAGCCCGCCGCCTTTCCCTTCCCATCCTTCTCTCCTCCTCCTCTCCTCTCTCCTCTCCTACTCTCTTCCTTGCTTTCCATCTCTCCCCTCTTCCTTCACCAATCCTTTCAATTCCTATTCTTCAACCCGCCCGTCGTTGCTTCCCGGGGCTTTGTCACAATGATTGCTGCCAGGAACTTTGTTACCCCCGCCCGCCAATGCTTGCGGACCACACGTGTGTCCCCTCGTATTGTGTCGCCTTTTTCTCAGGTAAGGATCGGATAGAGCCTTTGTTCCCGTCTGCTAGACGGCAAGCCGAACCTCATAGACTGATTATTGATATAGCTTCGCTCCTACTCCGCAGCTGCCGATGAGCGCGTCGCCAAGTTCAAGGGACAGAAGGGCTCTGATGTATGTCGCGCTTCCGGCGAACTGCCTGAACTTTTTTTCCCCATACCTGCCCGTTCACGGCCTTTGGTCCGGCCACTTCCGCCGCGACTATCGACGATTCGTCCTCCTTCTCCTAGATCCGCATACAAGTTTCCACGGAATTTCACGGAAGTGGAACTCTAACGGTTTTGATCTAGGGAAAATACACTGTCACCTTGATTGAGGGTGATGGTATCGGCCCCGAGATTTCCCAGTCGGTGAAGGACATCTTTGCTGCTGCTAAGGTAAAGCTTCATCACATTCGCCCAGCTGTGTCGCATCGCACCGTACTCATCTCTCATCAATTCAGGCCCCTATTAAGTGGGAGCCCGTCGATGTCACCCCCATCCTGAAGGACGGCAAGACCGCCATCCCCGATGAGGCCATCAAGAGCGTGCAGAAGAACTACGTTGCCCTGAAGGGTCCCCTTGCTGTAGGTATTCCATAATAACAGGGACTGCAATGAACTCCATTTGGCTCATTCGTACCCTCGATAGACCCCCGTCGGTAAGGGACACGTCTCTCTCAACCTTACCCTTCGTCGTACCTTCAACCTCTTCGCCAACGTCCGCCCCTGCCGCTCCATTGCCGGCTACAAGACCCCCTACGACAACGTTGACACCGTCCTGATCCGTGAGAACACCGAGGGTGAATACTCCGGCATTGAGCACGTTGTCGTTGACGGTGTTGTCCAGAGCATCAAGCTCATCACCCGTGAGGCCTCCGAGCGCGTCCTCCGCTTTGCCTTCCAGTATGCCCGCTCCATCAACAAGAAGAAGGTCCGTGTTGTACACAAGGCCACCATCATGAAGATGTCCGACGGTCTCTTCCTCAACCTCGCCCGTGAGATCTCCAAGGAGTTCCCCGACATTGAGTTCGACGCCGAGCTTCTTGACAACTCTTGCCTTAAGATCGTCACCGACCCTGCTCCCTACAATGACAAGGTTCTTGTCATGCCCAACTTGTACGGTGACATTCTCTCCGACATGTGCGCCGGTCTCATCGGTGGTCTTGGTCTGACCCCTTCTGGTAACATTGGTGACGAGTGCTCGATCTTCGAGGCTGTCCACGGATCCGCCCCCGACATTGCTGGCAAGGGTCTTGCCAACCCCACTGCTCTGCTTCTGAGCAGTATCATGATGCTTCAGCACATGGGTCTCAATGAGCACGCTGCTCGTATCCAGAAGGCCACCTTCGACACCCTTGCCGAGGGCAAGGCCCTGACCGGTGACCTTGGCGGTAAGGCCAAGACCCACGAGTACGCCGAGGCCATCATGTCGCGTCTGTAAGGGATTGGCTACGATTGTACTATTCCCTCTTTATACCTTGTTCTTTTCCTTTAGCCTGTGAATGACTAGACTAAATATGTACTCCAATTTCTATACGTTCCGAAATGTATGTAGATGCTACTATCTCCTTGTCTTACGACCTTGGCATGCCGAGGTACATGTACAATGGCATTGACAACCGATGACATTAATGGCCAGCACTGGCGAAATTGTGAAAACACGATTCTTGGATTGATGCACAATCAACGATCGGATGTGATGTTATGGGCATCGAGCTAAGTGCGGCGCTTCCGCGACATGTATAAGTAAGTAATGGTACATTGACAGGTAAACCCAAACGCCGACTCCTAGCTCCAGGTATCAACTCATGCAGTATTAAGACCGAAATTCATGCGAGACCGAACGACAACCCCTACGCCTGGCGTCTCCGGCCGCCCCTTCTGGTGCCTGTTCCTGCGCCTTTTCTTTCTTTCTGTTTTGACCGAGAAGCCTGGGCCCGTGTGTTCCGCGTGGTTGGCGAACCTCCAGCATCTCCATCAGCCTCATCGTCCACATCGCTATCCTCTTTAGCTGCGTCGGAAACCTCCTCATCACCCTCGTCCGACTCGTCCCCGGACTCCCCTTCGTCTTCGCCATTCCCAGAAGTCTCGATCTCGACCTGCAGTCGCGACGAGCGCGTGCCGCGTCCCGTTTGCCGACCACCACGACCAGGTTTCCGTCCTCGTGAGGGCGCGGGAGACGAGCGGGGTTCTATGTGCGAGCAAGCAGTCAGCAATCCTCTCCAGTTGCTTGCGAAGTCCAGGACGCCAGAAAACCGGAACCCAGGCAAGGGTCTCCAACGTACCATCCGTATCAGCCACCGTACTCCCCCTCCTCGACTCCGCAGGCCCACTGGGGTCCGGCGACGGCGACCCCTCCATAGCCAATCTTCTCTCAAACATCAAATCCCCGTATTCATCCTCGGGCAATTCAAACGGACAATACAACTCCCTGGTGCCATCGACATCATCGGACGTATCAGTGATCAACGAATCTTCCTAAACAGATGCGAGAGGGGGAACCCCGTGTGAACAATCAGTCAATTATAACACGCATAGCAACGCGCACAAGTCGGGAGGGGACTCCACAACTCAAGGAACTCACACGTTCATCCAGCGCCGGTAAATTGTACAAAGTCCCTAGCTTTTTCCAAATCCCCGGAATGCGAGTATGCTCTGCGTTGGCGGGCGCATATCCTTGGCTTTTCATGAACTCTGAGATGGCAATCATACGGAAGTGTTTGTGCATGCCTGTCAGGTGTAGTAGAGAGAGAGCGAGCGCGAGAGTCAGCAGCAGACCGCAAATGGCTTCAGCCATCCGCCACACTTGACGAACTGAAGGAGGACGAAGGCTCTGCGCAATTAACCCACGTACCGACAGGTTTCCACTTAATCAGTCCCTTCAATAACGCAGTTTCCTGCTCGTCTGTCCAAGGGTCCGTGACGGGGTCGTAGTCTGCGGTCGTCGGCTGGGTTTCCCCGGGGGCGGCGCTTGCGGAGGGGGTCTCGGTGGTGCCGCCGCCTGGAGGTGTGAGCTTGGCTTTCTTTCGGGGAGGCATTGGGATGACGTGTGCGTTGTGCGTATGATGAAGATGCAGAACGGGGAGATACAGAACGACTGAAGGACAAGGGGGATGGAAGTAGTATAAATGGAGGTCGGTGATGAGTTAAGTAGAGCTTCGCTGTAGCTGCACGAGTGGAAGCTCGAGCTGCGGGCGATTCCTGCGTCTCCCGCTTCGGTTTCCCGAACAAGCGGTGGCCCGGGCGTAGCTCTGGGGGAGGAACTAAGCCCGTTTCGGGTCTTAGTGAAGGCGGCCCCCTCATGGATGTTTCTCGCGCTTGTTAACGCGTCGCAACCTTCGATGACGAAAGTTGTTTGCGGCACGCTTCACTCGAAGACCGTTGCGGAGCGGCTGCTCGTTCAATCTGGTGACAATGAATGAGGAGGAGTATATTCAGGATCCGTTTTCGAGCGACGGCCTGTGGAAAATCTCGGAGTTTACACTGCAATGCCTCCCGCCGTTGGACTCTCTGCCGTGGGATGGGAAATTACCAGGTGCGCGCCGGTCTTGCGGCAGATTTACGCACGTTTATTGGCTGCTGACTATGAGTATGAACGTATAACAGATCTTTCCGGTGGCTTCTTCAAGTTACCTCTTGATCTGTTCGAGAAGGATGCGCCTCGGATTCCTGAACTAGATGTCTTCGATACCAACTTCGCCGATCCGGAACCCGCATTGCTACCCTCATTAGATACCTCGAGTGAGAGCCAGTTTGGAATAAGCGTGAAGGGAGTTGATGGGCAGGAACAGGCCGAAGAGGAAGAACAACCTCTTGATAACATCTGGGATCTAGATATGATCTTGCACAATCCGTGCCATGAAGTTTCATTGAAATCCTGGGAGAAGTTCCTTAACCGAACGCACCGTGACATCGTATCCGCATACTTCAGCGAGTCCGGCGCCAAAGGCTTCGACGCTGCATTAGCACACCAGGCTGCAAAAATCAATGCTCCAGAAAAGAATCTTCTTGTTCGCAATGACTCCTTTTTCCAAGCCTTATATAGGCTCGGATTAGGCTGGGGCTCCCTGTTTTTTCGCTACAATCAACAGGGTAAGACGTTCGAAATCGTGCACAACAACCTCCGTATCTCTGGCGTCACTTCTACTACTCTCAAGGCGGTGACAGACGATCTGATCCAGTGCGGGAACAAGATGCAGAGGATCCGACGTTTCGTGGATGACGTCCCTCTCAAGTCGAATGAGTTATCAACACTTGGCGCCTTCTCCAGCGCAGCAGCGGTCGTCATCTACACACTCGAAAAGCAACTCGCCAGACACGCGACCCGTATTGCTTCGTTGCTACAAATCAAGAGCCTCTTCATGCAAAGCGGAGACCTCGTGCACGTGCTAGCGGACATGGTCGACGCTGTCCAGGGAGCAGTATCCGAAGCTCAGTTGATCTCCGTTGTCCTCGAACGAGCGGCCCACTTCTCGCAGGTGTATAGCCAAATGGAGCCTCTCCTGCGGCAAGTCATTACTCGGGTCATGGAGCCCTGGCTTTCTTACGTGGAAACTTGGGTCGGGTTCCAGCCTGAAACGTCGACTTCGATCGAGCTCGCATCTACTGGGAGGACTTTCGTGCTTCGAGAGACGCACGATAACCATACATTCGCTTCCCGTGTGACAAGTGTCGATTATAAGTTCCTTCCAGAATTAATGCCCTCTTTCGTCCCTTCGGACCAGGCAAAGCTTATTTTTGAGACCGGAAGGACTTTACGGCTTCTGAAGCGGAATCACCCACAACATCCCATTGCAAACCATGCAACCTATCGTGCTGATTCTATCAAGCTTGACTGTGCTGGCACCTGGCTCGATATTGAGAAAATCCAAAGGAACGCATCTGCGTATGAGGCGAGGCTGCGCGCTGCAATCTTAAAGTATAACCGAAAAGCACCCGTCGAGACAGACACTGCTCCAACTCCCGATGCTTCAGCTCCTGAGACGCACAGCGAGATTGAGGGGACATATGAACTTTTCGACATCGACAAGGCTTCAAAGACAGCAGGTCTCCTACCAGACGACGAGACTATATCACAAAATCAACTCGGGCGCCTGATTCAGGAAGCTCAACCGCTAGACGAGTCTCCGCACCTCCAAGAGAACGACCTAAGTCCCGAGCTAACATCCTCACCTTACCTGTCCCTCGCGCCGCTCCTATCCTCCCAAGCCATTCTGATTGACTATTCCTGCCTTCACATGCTATTCAAAGAACACAACCTGCGCACTCACCTCACTCTCCAATGGCGCTTCCAACTCCTGGGAGATGGCTTCTTCGTCACCCGCCTCTCTAACGCCCTCTTCGACCCCGAAATGACCAGCGGCGAGCGCAAACCTGGCGTCGTCCGCACTGCCGTGCACACAGGTCTCCGCCTAGGAACCCGTAGCCGCCACACCTGGCCTCCCGCCAGCTCCGAACTACGCCTCGTCCTCATCGGCCTCCTTGACGAATCCTCCTCATCCTCCACTACCACAAGCAACACGAACACACCCCAGCCCCATGACCACCTCAGCTTCTCCATCCGCAACCTCAGCGCGGCAGAAGTTCAACGCGCAAGAAACCCGCACGCCCTCGAAGCCCTCGACTTCCTCCGCCTCATCTACACGCCCCCTACCGACGTCCTCTCCACGATCCTCACCCCGACCTCCCTCGCCAAATACGACCGCCTTTTCCAACACCTCCTCCGCCTCCAGCGCATGCTCTCCGTCGCGACAACCCTGATCCGGGATTCCACAGCCCGCACCTCCCTCTCCGGCGACACGCACAACATCTACCAGCGCTTTCGCGTCGAAGCGCAGCACTTCATCCTCGTCGTGAGCGACTACTGCTATCATGTCGCCGTCGGCGCAGCCTGGACGCGCTTCCAGGACCGTCTCGCCCGCATCGAGGACTGTCTAGCGCGGGGGGATATCGACGGGACCATCGAGGCGGCAGGCTCGGTACAGCAGCTCCGCGAGATGCACGAGGCCGTGCTGGATGAGATGCTAGAAGCTATGCTTATTAGTGAGCACAACCTCGACCCGAACCTTACCACCCAGGAACACGACGCCGCAAACCGACTGGAGAAGGGAAGGCGGTGGCTAGAGGCGTGCTTCGCTTCGATTCTGGAGTTCGCGCCGTTGTCGAGGGTGGATGGCGCGGAGGGTGTGAGGGGTGGGGAGGCCGTCGAGGAGGTGCGCAGGTTATATGCGATGTTTCGGAAGCAGATCGCGGGGTTTGCAGTCTGTTTGCGGGGAGGCGTGGATGGTGGGCACTTGTGGCACAGAGATTCGGTTGCGCCACCGGTAGGAGGACGGAGGGTGGCGGGGGGGAAGGGCCCGGATAGTGTGTTTGAGCATTTGTTGGCGCGATTGGAGGTCAAGGCTTATTATTGAAGGAAGGTTATGGGGGGCCTGTGGGTTGGATTGTGGATATTTTCATAGGCGATGATTTGAGATTATGTGATTGAGTTTATGTAGAGAATCGAAGAAGTACTTGGCACGACGGTGCTGGGAGAGACGGATGGCATGAAGCTGCCTTGTCTTGAGGGATTGAAACAACGTCAGAAGTGTGGAAGTTGGTGTGTTATACCATCCTGTGAAATTATTTCAGGCTGTGCTATGTTATGTCTATGCTAACCATACCGTATATACATGCCACGGACAATCTTCCCTTACTCAACGAACAGTCATTCGGACTTCGGACCCGACCGTCTTAGAAAAAGTGAAGGTCCGACTCTGCCCATCCTTGTGCCAGCAGGATCCTGCGGGCAGACTTCTCCATGGCTTCCGGGCCACACACCAGCACCATACTCTCTCCGTCATTGACAGCAAACTCCTGGAGCAAATCCTCCGCGATGCGGCCCCGACGACCAGTCCAGCTGGTGGGGGCCTGGGTCAAAGTGTGTATTATCTGGCATTTCTTGTCGTCCATCGATGCAAAGGCATCGAGTTCTGCCCGACATAAGATATCCTCCTCTTGTCTGTTGCCGTTCAGAACAAGACAGGACGTGGGGTCCTCCTTGTCTTGCATGACAGCACGCAGAACCTGGAAAACGGGGGTGATACCGGTGCCTCCACAGATCATCTTGAAAGAGCGCACAGAACGCTCCTTGCCACTGACAAGGACCTTGCCGTTGCCCAGATACTCGAATCGACCGGTAGGACCTTTGCAGTCGATGACAGAGCCCAATGGAAGCTTTTCGAGCGCTGTGGTCATCTTACCACCTTTCTGCGTGGGGGTGTCGAAGTAGATCTTGACGAGCAAATCCATCGTCCCTTTCTGGCTGGTTTCAGAGATGGGAGTGTACGAGCGGAGAATCGATTCATTGCTGGCGGCTGGATCCGGGACTTTGATCATAAGATGCTGGCCAATGGGTAAACCGAGAGTCTGCTTGTCATGTTCCAATTCAAAAGTGAAGATACGTGTATCCCATGATACTTCCGTCTTCTTGGTCAGCGTCATCTTAGACCAGGCTCGTGACTGAAGGAACTCGGCGCGTGGCTCGCTTGATTCGGGGGCGTTATCATCTTTGAGCGCCGCCAATGAAGCTTTATCCATCGTGCCAATATGATAATCGGGCATCATCTTCTTGGCAGTCTCACTATCTGTTGAGAAGTCAATACTCGGACGAACAACTCTGGGAAGCCACGGGTTGACTTACGAATAGCAAGGAAGTCCTCCGATACATCAAGCCCGGCCGATGATATGATGCTCTGAGCTCCGCCGGGATGACCTTCAAGAAAGGCGGTGCCGTCGTACACTTCTCCATTCACAATGAACCACGGCTTCTCCTCACTGGAGTTGTTCTTGAACTCCTGCAGCTCGATCATGCGGGTCACGCCATCTTTCTTCATGTTGATCTCCTTTTCGACCTCAGGCACTGCTGGCTCTTCTCCCTCTTGCCGCTCACCCCAGTTACCGTTTGCCAGATCACCTCCTGCTTTCTTGACACGCTCCATCCAACCACCAGCCCCGGTGGGGTCGGTTGGATGCTCAAAAAAGAGCTTACCGTTCTCCTTTGTGATGGTCACTCGAAACCAAGGATTGTTCATCATCCCCAGAACAGACCAATACATGTCCCGGGGCTGAATACTCAGCGCCTCGTCCATTGCTCGGACGAGAATGGCATCACTATCGGCAAGCTCTGGTATGGCAAGATCAAGCGACCAAAAGATCCAGCAAAAGCACGTTTCACGCGCAAACATGTCCACCTTGCCGCCGAACAAGTCGCCTTCAAAATCACGGTATTTATCTTCGGCGTATGTGATGTCCGCTAACCGCCAGGCTGGAGATCAATTAGCTTGAGTTGGTTACGAGATAACAGACGACGACCATACTTTTGCCTCTGTCAAGAGAGATCTCCACTCGTGTGATTCTCCTGCCACCTCCTGCATACGCGTAACCCTTCACAGTGTACGTGGGTCCAGCCAACGAGAGATCGAGCGTCTCCCTATGTTCAGGGTATACCACAGAGGAGTTGACGTTGAGATCGTAAATCGCGTAGCGGTCATCACGCCACCAATTTGGATCGTTGGCAGACATTTCGGGTGAAACCATCGTGCTGGAAAGAGTAAGACACTGCGCATTTCTCCAGCGAGCCGCAGGACTTACGGTAGAACACGATTATCATATATATGATACCAATTGTCGCTTGGTGCATCAGTGAGGATAAGCTTCTTTAGCCACTTGACACTTCGACCACCGATCTGGCCTGGCACAACAGCCCTAAGAGGGCGACCGTGATCCGGACGGAGGGGTTCCCCATTCATCTTATGAGCGAGCATGATTCCTCGGTTGAAGTCCATGGCCCAATTGAGCTTGATGGATGTACCATAGTATCCGTTGGGCTACCATAATAGTGTCAGTGGACGATCCTTGTTGTGACAGACTCCTGGGCAAAGACTTACCAATTTGTCCGCTCCCTCCATACAGACATACTTGGCTTTGCGAAGAGGCTTAGCACTGCGCAGGATGTCCGCCATCATGGGACCAGTCCAGAGCGCTGTTGACAAGCCAGCCGAGCCCCACGAGAACCCCTTGGATTTCCGTACAGTGTTCTGCTCTTTCCGTCTATTCCCTGCGCATACCATGGTGATGGGAGCTGTTATTTGGTCATACTCCTGTAGAATCTGGCGAAAGTTCAGGACCAACGGCTTCTCAACCAGCCTTGAGTAATGATCAGCTAATGCTTCATCACTTATATGTGACAAGGAGGTACTGACCCTTCGATGCTAATCTCCCAGTTGGGAATGTCTTCATCCTTGACTAGAGGCACAGGGCCGTGGTTTCTGACATAGAACAATTCCGGGGAAGTCAAAAAACCTTGCGGTGTATGTCAGGACGAGGCAATCAGCAATCGATGTTGCTATCGGGGAACACTGACCTTCGTTATACAACGCTGTGAGTGGGGGTTCGACATTGAATGGATGCACGCCCGTTAGTCGAATCAGCCGCGGGTCACGAGGAACATGGTAATCTGGTGTGGGTTTATCCACGTTCAGAACCTCTGTGGGCTCTTTCGACGGAGGCGGTAGAGGTATGTCTGAGAGATCAACCTGGGGGATTTCTTCCTGGTCTACTGTAATGGGGCCCGACTTGAGCGGGAGAGCCAGGATCTCCGTCCTTACTTCGGTGACTGTTGTCATGGTGTGATGGTGCTCTCTCGGGGCCAGGAAGAGGCAAAAGGCTCAAACTCAAGTGAATATGAGCTATACCGGTTCAAAAAGCTCTTAACAAGTCTAGGTAATCGAGCAGGTGCCCATCAAAAATGGAGAATAGGGAAGAAGAGAGCTTAGGGCAGTTGCTGGCTAAACAACCGGCAACAATTCGAGCAAAACTCGGGGACCCCTAGGGGGTAGTACTATGAACGCACAGCGTTTGAATTAGTTTAACAAGCAACAATCAGCTTTCCGGGATCTGGCCTACCGACGAAGAACAGGGCAATTGTCTCGTCGGCTGCGAATAGTTGCACAGGGCCGGAATGGGATATTTCCGCGGGAGTCACGATGAGGTATAAACCAACCAGTCAACGGGCAGCGTCAGTGAAGACAGGAGATTAATGTAAGGAGCAAAGGAAGTCTAATCCGAATGCCAGTCCTTGTTCGCCCCCCCAAGTCATATCCGTCTGGTCTGGCAGATTCTAAGGGGGGCGAATAAATGAAAAATGTGAAAAAAAAAAAATAAATACATATATCAAAAAACATATGACCCCGGTATACCATCTGCGGATGGCAAGGGATACGACAAATTAGGCGAGAGGAAGACAGCTCGCCAATGAGAAAAGGAAAGGCAAGAAGAAGCCCCATTTTGGCCGCGGAGAATGAAACGAGAACTAGAAAAAGAGCGATGAACCAGGCCGGTGCCGGACGGTAAGTAGCCTGAGATCCACCCAGGATCCACCATCCCCATCGGACGGATTACGACTCTTGACTTGAGAGGGCCGATTCGGCCGTAAGAGAGGGCAGACAGTGTGATTGGCTCCAACTCATCATCGTCATGCATAAGCCTGAGGGTGGAATGGAGAGCTGTTCTGAGGGGAATCTAGGCTGGGAGTGGTAGTAGGTTGTAGTAGATTAGTAGGTGTGCTGTAAGAAGCCGAAGAAGTTCGAAGGCATAAACTTGAGATTGAAGCATGTACACAACTTACATAATTCTGTGCTTGCCCAATCGGAGTGTGATTTACTGAGCTTATCAGCCTCATCGATAAGCATCGGGTCTATTGTTGGTAAGACCACCATCAATGGATAACTTAACACTCTCTATCTACACCCAACTATGGCCCATCTCCTACTCTTTCTCCGCGGAGACATGCTCCGGAGTACATCATTCTGCTCGTTCCTGCCCCAATCCCATCCCGCTGGGTCCAGATGAGTGTCTGAGCGTTCGCCCCTCCCCCTCCCCCAGTACCTTATTGTTATCATTTCTTCTAATCTCCCGATCTACGGCTCGTCCCCATGAATGGTAGCTGCCACGATCGACTTGGCGGGGCGCAGAGACCCTGATTGTGGCTCATTTTTGACCCAATCAATTGTCTCATAGTTTGCCTCTGAGAAACAATGCCACGGAGAAAGACAATGCATCGAGTCAGTCAATCTGACTGCGGGCGCTTATCAGTACCTTGGCGAAGCTCATGGTGACATCTGCTGTAGTATATGAGTAGAAAGGCGTCTTGGCCATTTGGTGGCACAAAAACGATCTTCTGGCGGGTTCCCGTGATCCGCTGCAACACCAGGGTTCCTTAGTCTCCATCATCCGCCACCATGCCGCTGCTGGACGGACCCGGGAGCAACGATCATGTCATCTCGGGCACTATCCACGATGTCTTCTCTCAAACGTCATCCATGATGGAGTCTCGCTCCAGCACACAGCCGCGCAGGCATAACGCTCATGCACGTCAGAAGATTGTAGTCGTGGGCTTAGGCATGGTTGCTATCTCGCTCATGTATGTTTCCCCCTGAAATTCATGGTATGGCAAGAATGTATACTGATGCTGACTTGCGTCTCTCTGCAGTGAGAAGATCATTAAACAAGATGCGGAGCGTCGACAATACGATATCCTCGTCATCGGAGAAGAGCCCCATGTCGCATACAACCGTGTTGGCTTGTCCTCTTTCTTCGAGCACCGAAAGATTGAGGACTTGTATCTCAATCCCACAGAATGGGTAAGTCACCCATGAAACGGGCGGGGACATCGGTGGTTACTAACGTCAACCAGTATGGATCCGTAAAAGATCGGTCCTTCGACTACCATCTTAACACACGGGTAACCGAGATCATCCCCCAACACAATTTAGTCAAAACATCCACAGGAGATACCATTACCTACGACATCCTTGTTCTTGCTACTGGCTCCGATGCCGTCCTCCCCACCCACACTCCAGGGCATGACGCAAAAGGCATATTCGTGTACCGAACAATCTCTGATCTCGAGAAGCTTATCGAATTCGCCTCAAAACACAAAGGCGAGACCGGGGTCACAGTTGGTGGAGGCTTGCTGGGTCTCGAAGCAGCCAAAGCCATGACAGACCTGGGAGATTTCGGGAATGTGAAACTCATTGACCGCAACAAGTGGGTGTTGGCCAGACAACTTGACGGCGATGCAGGCACTCTTGTAACACGCAAAATCAGAGAGCTGGGGTTGGATGTGCTGCACCAGAAGTGCGTGGCGACCATCAAGACAGATGCCGACAACAATGTCACGGGCATTGTCTTTGAGGACGGCGATGAGATCAGCTGTTCTTGTATCTGCTTTGCTGTATGTTCATTTTCTCGTCTGAGGTGTTCCAAGGCTAACACATCTTCAGATTGGGGTACGTCCCAGAGATGAACTGGGACAATCCGCCGGCATTCAATGTTCAGGACGAGGAGGATTCGTCGTTAATGAAAGGTTAGTCGGAATTGCGTATGCTTTTCATGTCGACCGTCTTCTAATCGACCTTGCAGTCTTCAGACATCTGTCGAGAATATCTATGCTGTCGGTGAATGTGCCAGCTGGGAGAACCAGACCTTCGGTATCATCGCTCCGGGTATCGAAATGGCCGATGTTCTGGCATACAACCTGACGAACCCCGATAAGGAGCCGAAGAGGTTCCAACGTCCTGACCTCAGCACCAAACTGAAGCTCTTAGGCGTGGATGTAGCCAGCTTTGGAGATTTCTTCGCGGACAGGGATGGGCCCAAGTTTCTTCCCGGCCACAGGCCCTCAATTCAAGCCGACCGAAAAGACGGCGAGACAGACAGTGAATCATTAGTCAAATCACTTACCTACAAAGATCCATTCAGTGGTGTTTACAAAAAATACTTGTTCACCATGGATGGCAAATACCTGCTTGGTGGTATGATGATCGGAGACACGAAGGACTATCTCAAACTGAATCAGATGGTCAAATTGCAAAAGGAGTTAGAGGTGCCTCCCAGTCAATTCATTTTGGGTGCGCAAAAGGATAGTGAGGAGAACGGGGATGATCTGTGAGTTCGCCTAATCTCTTATGTGCCTTGATGTTCGCTAACGGACGAACAGTGACGACAGTACTCAGATCTGTGCTTGCCATAATGTCACCAAAGGAGACTTGGTTGCCAAGATCAAGAGTGGCACCTGCAAATCCATCGGCGAAGTTAAGTCGTGCACTAAAGCAGGGACTGGTTGTGGCGGCTGCATGCCATTAGTGCAGTCGATCTTCAACAGAACTATGCAGGACATGGGCCAAGAAGTTTCCAACAACTGTATGGGAATTATTCATCACATAAGAAGTTCGAAGCTAACATCAGCTAGTATGTATCCACATTCCACATTCTCGAGTGGACCTATACAATATTATTGCTGTCAAACAGCTGAAGACCTTCGAAGATGTGATGGCGGCGGTCGGAAAAAATCCGGAATCGCTTGGCTGCGAGCTTTGCAAGCCTGCGATCGCGTCCATTCTCTCGAGTCTTTTCAACCCTCATATTATGGATAAAGGATATCATGACTTACAAGAGACAAATGATCGATTTCTTGCCAATATTCAGCGCAATGGTACATTTTCTGTGGTTCCCCGCGTTCCGGGAGGTGAGATCACAGCAGACAAGTTGATCACCATTGGACAAGTGGCAAAGAAATACAACTTGTATTGCAAAATCACTGGCGGTCAGCGTATCGACATGTTTGGAGCCAAGAAGCAGGATCTTCTTGACATCTGGACAGAACTGGTCAATGCAGGAATGGAGAGTGGTCATGCTTACGCGAAGTCCTTGCGTACGGTCAAGGTAAGACATTGGAGTTTCGTGCTAAATCAGCGAAAGTAACTGACATCACCTTTAGAGTTGTGTTGGAACAACCTGGTGTCGCTTCGGTATTGGTGACAGCGTCGGAATGGCCATTCGACTAGAAGAGCGCTACAAGAGCCTTCGATCTCCTCACAAGCTCAAGGGTGCTGTTTCTGGGTGTGTACGAGAATGTGCTGAGGCACAAAACAAGGAGTAAGTCGAGTATCCTCATCAAGCTAAGTTATACACTAAGCGCTAACCTCCGTTAGCTTTGGCCTGATCTCCACCGAAAAGGGCTTTAATATATTCGTTGGGGGCAACGGAGGTGCCAAGCCCCGTCACTCTGAGATCTTAGCCAAAGATGTGCCGCCGGAGAAAGTGATTTCCCTCATCGATCGATATCTCATTTTCTATATTCGCACAGCGGATAAACTTCAGCGGACGGCCCGCTGGATTGAGAATCTTCCAGGCGGAATAGAGTACCTGCGGGAGGTAGTGGTCGATGATAAGCTAGGAATTGGGGCAGAGATGGAGCAGCAAATGCAGGAGCTTGTGGATAGCTATTTCTGCGAATGGACGGAAACGATCCGCGATCCCAAGCGGCGCAAACACTTTCAACAATTCGCCAACACCGATGAGACGGTCGAGACGGTGGAGGTCATAAAGGAGCGCGGGCAAGAGAGACCCACCTACTGGTCTAACGAGCCTGCCAAAGTGGATTTCAAGGGCCATCAGTGGTCGGGTCTTTCGTGGCAGCCTATGGTCAAGGCAGACCACTTCTCGGATGGAGTCACGTCCGCAAATCTCAAGCGCGGGGACACTCAGCTCGCTGTCTTCAAGATCAAGGACAAATTCTATGCGACGCAGCAGATGTGCCCTCATAAGCGTGCTTTTGTCCTATCTGATGGCTTGATCGGCGACGATGATGCGGGCAAATACTGGGTATCCTGCCCGAATCACAAGCGCAACTTTGAGCTCAACGGGGAACAGGCGGGTCGCTGCTCAAATGATGAGAGCATGAACATTGCCACATTTCCAGTAGAAGAGCGTGCTGATGGCTGGGTCTACCTTAAGCTACCTGCGGTGGACGAGCTGGACGCGATCCTTGGAACAGAGAAGTGGAAAGTGAAGAAGGGAGAGGCGCCGGACCCATTTCAGAAACATGATAGGAAGTACCGGGGGACGCGCGGAAAGAAGCCAGTCCAGAAGACATCATCAAGCAAGCAGGTGTCATCTTCAGGGGTGATTGACTGGTAGGATTGTAAGGTTTTCAGTTTATGATGTTTTCACGAAGCTACGTTAGATACCTGAGGTTGCTAGTGCTTGTCATGAGGATAGCATACACCACTTCTGTAGATTAATGATATCCAATTCAGTTCGACATATGCGGTGACACTTAAGTACAGAAACCTCTGAGTGACGCTTCATTGTAGTCGGGCCATGGTTCGTTTTCTGTACCTCACACAGGAAGTGGAGAGTATGATCCATCCATCATCCATGATGTCCTGGGAAGCTTCCGTCAACGGCATGATGAACTTTGCTGTATGAAGTACACACACATATACACACGATTTCTACTCCAGCACACCACTCTCGAGTTGTGTCGGACATCTCGCCTATTCTATGTTACTGCATATAGTGCCATCCAATGGCGGTCAGACTATAAGTTAGCATCCCGGAAATTAGGGTACGGCACATCACGCCGCTGACAGTCTGGCTAATTAGCGGGAGGTGATTGGGCGGCGTGTAAGTGCCGAACATCAGCCCATCTGGTGGTCTGTGCAGTGCATGAGTAATACTAACTACTCCGTAAGTTGATACGTACTGCGGGCACCTGATCTCCACTGCCGCTTTATGCCTCCTGAAAAACAAACTTCCCTCCCTCCCCCTTAACTTATCAGAGGCTCAGAGCATTTTCTTCCCCCCCACCCCCCGGGGTTCCCCCCCCCCCTACCTATCGTCCACTCAGATGCTCAGATGACCTGTTCCCAACTTGGCGCAGTCCTCTGTCGTTCTACTTCCGCGGCGAAAGGCAAACAAATGAAGTGACTTTGGAGCTTGCTTGACTCCCTTCCGAAACACCCGCTTACTTTCGAGTCCCATCGCGATGGAGAGTGATGGATCATGGATAACCATTCAGCAAGGTCTTTTCAACCACTAGTCAAAACTAAACTGGGGCACACGTTATAGCAGGTTAGGCAATTTGACCAAGTCATGCAACAACAAGAATCCGGGATGATCCATTCATGGCGAAAATTTTTCTGGCTGCCGATGGAGATGGGCTCCAGGACGGAGGCCCACTTACCGGTCAACCTGGGCCTGTCAAGGCCGCCTCGCTGCTGATACTTTACTGATAGATAACCAAGAACCTTTCTGACCGTTCTCACACTCCCTCCGCGGAGTTGTCCCCCCAGAGTTTCCTTCTTATCAGCCTCAGTATCAGCGCCATGCCTATCAAGAACTCAATTGCCGTGCAGGGTCCCTTTTCTTTATCTCTTGGCCTGTAAAACCATCCCTGTTGGCCACTTCTTCCCATGGGGTAAAGAAATGGGTCTGGATCTTCTCTCCTTACCACGAACCCTGAGGTCATCTCCGGTTAGGCTTCTGGTGCTGCGCTACCGGCTGCGGTATCCACTATCATATTCGAGAGGTCGGACGAGTGGATCACTGCGCGTTGCCGTCCAGATTGGCTTCATTACTTTTGCCTCGATTATGATTTTCCTGCTGCTGCACTGCCCAGTGCTGTTACGAGGTGTTCAGAGATATGCGACTGGGCATGTGTCCTAATCTTGAGTTGACACAGTCATGGCTTTCATCTGGGCATCTCCTAGGAGATAGAGATATTGCGCTGGCATCGGGCTCGTTTGCCAGGTGCATCATACTGTGCTCATATCTCTACGCCTTTGGGGATTTGACTTGAGTCATGGTCTATATATGAAGTGCAATTGTTTTCTTTCTAGTCTGGATCTAAACTGCCTCCCTTGTCCTAGCATACAGAAAAGCATCCGGACCCATAGCACCGTCGTTTGGCCTAGTGCTCCGTTGGTCTATACTATTTTCCGCACCCTGGTGGTGTTGCTTGCTGTGGTACCCTCGTGCTTAACCTGTATTTCAAATCCATATTATTCTTCTGTTTCCTGTACCTCCGATTCTATCCTTAAAGAACCATCGAGATACCTGCTCACAGGCTGTGACTGATCATGGAGTTCATCAAACTTCTCTTCGTCTCGCCAGAGATCAACCCCAGTAATCGCAAAGCTCAGTCTGTCCCAGTTCTCAACCCCTTCGATCGATATGGACGGGTTTTCTTCTTTTCATGGCTTGGTTTCATGGTTGCGTTCCTTTCGTGGTACGCTTTCCCGCCATTGGTGAGTTGGGAATTTGTCCTGGTAACTTGAATCGAACAACAAAGACTAATATTCATGACTCTAACTAGTTGACTGTCACAATCCGAAAAGACTTGCACATGTCACAGCAGGACGTTGCGAACTCGAACATTGTTGCCTTGCTAGCAACGTAAGACATATCCTCCATATACTCGGAGCAAGACGTTGATCAGTTGTCTAGATTACTTGTGAGATTTGTGGCAGGCCCTCTCTGTGATCGGTTTGGGCCACGTCTGGTGTTTATCGGCTTGCTGCTCAGCGGTGCGATACCCACTGCTATGGCCGGTCTGGTCACCACGCCTAAGGGTTTGATTGCGTTACGGTTCTTCATCGGTATCTTGGGAGGCACCTTCGTGCCTTGTCAGGTTTGGTGCACGGGTTTCTTCGACAAGAAGATCGTCGGAACGGCCAATGCCCTAGCTGGAGGTTGGGGAAACGCCGGTGGTGGCATCACATAGTACGTTGGCCATTTGGAACTCGAGTGACGCCATTGACTGACTCCTCCCAGCTTCGTGATGCCAGCTGTATACGACTCGCTTGTCAACTCGCAAGGTCTTACACCACACAAGGCCTGGCGCGTTGCATTCATTGTCCCGTTTATCATCATCGTTGCGATTGCAGTGGCAATGCTGTTCTTGTGCGAGGACACACCCACGGGTAAATGGTCAGAACGCCACCTCTGGACTAGAGAAATGGCAGCCGAGTCAGAAGGCAATATCGTGGACCTCAAAGCGGATGTGAGGTCCAATCAAGCTTCTACCACGCCGTCCATGACCATGGTCATGGCAGACGTAGAGAAGAAAGGTGCACAAACGCCGGTGTCTCTTGGCTCCGGTTCTCAGACCATCGCTGAGTTCGACGCCATCCGAGCGGACACTGTGGTCGCTCCCACACGCAAGGAGGCCATGGAGGTGCTTTTCAGTCTCTCGACTGCTGCGGTAGCCATCCCCTACGCCTGCTCATTTGGTGCAGAGCTCTCCATCAACTCCAATCTGGGCGAATACTACTCAGCGAATTTCCCTCACATGGGTCAGACCAAGACCGGACAATGGGCTGCCATGTTCGGCCTGCTCAACGTCGTGTTTCGACCAGCTGGCGGCTTTCTCGCCGATCTGCTCCTTCGCCGCACGCAGAACCTGTGGTCGAAGAAGTTGCTGCTTGTGTTCTTGGGTGTTATCATGGGTGGTTTTGAGCTCGCGATCGGGCTTACGAATCCCAAATCCGAGTCCACCATGTTTGGGCTGCTTGCCGGACTTGCATTCTTTTTGGAGTCGTGCAATGGTGCCAACTTCGCCTTGGTGCCACATGTTTACCCTTTTGCCAATGGTATGTCTATCCGATCATCGTGTGTTTGCGTGCTGTACTAATAGCGGTGTAGGCGTTGTATCCGGCGCTGTCGGTGGGATGGGCAACCTTGGCGGGATCATCTTTGCAATCATCTTCCGCTACAATGGCTCGGACTATTCTAGGTCTCTTTGGATCATCGGTGCAATCTCGATAGCCGCAAATGTGCTTGTGTCGTGGATCCGACCAGTGTCGAAGAAGCAAATTGTGCAACGATAAAGTTGCTGCTTTGACAATGTTTTCTGGAGAATCGATGACTTTTTTATGACGAATACCAAGCGTGTCTCTTCTAGTGATGTTTTTATTTCGGGTCTATGATAATTTAGTCACAAACGATCGGTGGCTTATAGTTAATGACAATTGATGATAGTATTCACCATGCTTCTTTCACATGAGCATTACTCAGCAGTCATTGAGCGCTCACTCACTATTCCCATCATATACAGATGCTATAGACCACATCCATTATCATGATTGCATCTATACATTTCCGCCAAGCCCATCCAACGAAACAGTTCAAAAAGATCAACCCCGACTCGGGACAATACCCCCCGAACCCATATAACCCCGACGAACCCCTCCCCCCCCCAACAACCAATCTCAACCTCCAAAGCTCATTCAACTTACTTCAACCTCAGAAGAGAGCTTTCAACCGCAGCAGTGCATTCTCCCCGCAGAAACCCCCGAAAGAATCCTTCACCACCCGTACACAACCCACAAACAAGCGTCAAGCAACGAAAAGAAATCCGCAAACCATCCCCGCAAAACCCCGCAAACCACCAACCAACCACCCCCGCATGACCCCCAACCCGCATACTTTCGTTTCACCTTCCACAATTCCTACAACCTCCCCCGACAGCTACTACAACAGCAGAATGTCATCTACCACAACGGCCTCAATCCGCCGCATCGCGCAAATCGTCCACCTCAAGCCCTCCGCCGTCGCAGCGTACAAGGAATGCCACGCCAACGTCTGGCCCGAGGTACTGCGCCAGATTCACGAGTGTAATATTCGGGATTGTATGTTCCAGTTCCAGTTCCCTCCAGCCCCTTGGAGAAAAGATTGTATGGCTGGGACTGTCGGTATTGGTGGCTAACTAGACCGACAATAGATTCCATCTTCTTCGATAACGAGCGGACGCTGTTTGCGACGTTCAAATATGTCGGCCAGGATTATGAGGGGGATATGGAGCGGATGCGGGCGAATCCCAAGGTGCGGGAATGGTGGGCGATGACTGATGGGATGCAGGTATGTTGTCCCTTCTTCTGGTATACCGCGAGAAAAAGAAGGTGGTGGGCTTGGCTTGTACGTGGACATGATGTGCTGATGTTGACAATGAGGTAGGAGAGTCCAATCCCCAGAGCAGTGGGTAGTGCTGAAGGTCCCGGGTGGTGGAAGGTCCTGGATGAAGTGTTCTATACGGAATAGATTAGATGTCTCCCGTTTACACCAGAGGCACAAGATAATAGGGCAAGCAAGCGGCGGGATTGCATTTGTAGAATGCATGTAAATCTAGCATGCATCATTGGTAGTCCATGTGTGGAATGCTTGTAAACTGCTTGAAAACAAACCCTCAAGTCCGTAGACTAGGTGGAAAATCCACGAATGTCCAACGAGACAATACAATCACCCCATAACCAGCAGAAGACTATGATACAAATCATGCGCAGATGGGTATCTCCCCGAAAACAATCCGTAAGTAACATGAGCTGCTCCATAACGCCACACGCAATGTAATATCTTTGAAAATCGATAACCAAGTCGTCATCGTCATAGCTCAGGCATACCACCAGGGTACAGAAGCTGCCATGTTACTTTACTCGGAACCGCCGGGGACGTCTTTCAGGATCTCCCATCCGTATTCCTCCTCGGGCTTCTCAGGCTCCATGCCGAGGGCGTTACGGTAGGCACGCACTTCGTTCTGGAGACCAGCAACGATGCGAATAGGGGTTTCTTCCTCCTCGCAGCGCAGGCGATAGGCGGTGCGGATCATCTCGGCGCACTTCATGGTCTGTGCATGCCAATAGTCCCGATCCAAGCGACTTTCCAGGTGCGAGTCACGTTCAGCCTGGAGAAGGTTGTTGTAGTGACGTTTCTGCGCTAGGTAGTGGAGGTTGTTGTTCTGGCAGTAGTTGCGAATCTGTTCCACCATAACACCCACTGCAGCCTCATATTCACCGATCAGTTTAGTGTTCTCCACCTGCTCATTCCGAAGGATTTCGGTGAGACGTTTCTCTTTTGCGAGGGCGCGTTCAAGTTCCGCAATGCGGGCAGCTAAGCATGTTAGTATGGTGTCATGTTTCGGAGTGACAATCACCAACCTGAGAGTTCACCATTAACTTGCTGGATGTTCGGACTGACTCCCTCGGCAGCAGAGCGTTTCTAAAGCCGTCAGCACTCTGGGCATACTTCTTCCAGTAAAAAAGGGAAAAAACATACCATGATCTCTTCCGCGCTGTTGACTATACTCTTCGTAGTCTCACGATTATTCTTCAATACCTCACTCAACTCAAGGACCATATCGTAGAGATGATGGAGATCCATCTGCTGCCCCGCATTAATAGGCATGCCACCGTTCATCCCAGGCATTCCGGCGCCATTGACCTGACCAGGAGCATGGGACATGGCAGGCGACATGGATTGGCGGGGAGCATTGGACATGTTCGGACCACCTCCGGTGTTATCCACATAGCCAGCGAACACGTTCGCACCGGGGTTACTGCCAGACATGCCCCCTGCGTTGTTCAAGGACATGCTTGCGGCCCAGAAAGCGCGGTTCAAAGCTTCAAACTGAGGGTCCTGAGCCGGGTCGGTGGATGGTGGAGGCCCGTGTTCGTCGTAAAAGCCAACCGGCGGGGTCTCTACGCCAAGAATCTCTTTCTGGAATTTCTCAAGGTCCCTATGAGTGACGTGGGTGGAACGACGGCGGTGGCCACGTACAAAGGGTGCCTTGGAAGCGGACGGGGTGGGGGACGCGTTGGTAGTACCGACTGGAGAAACGGGTGCGCTCTTGATCTCGCGGTCGGGTCTGATCAATGAGGGAAAGTCGGAAAAAGGAGCGAAGTCAAGCGTAGGGAAAGCGACCGCTGCAGAGGCCGGAGCAGGAGCTGAAGCCGAAGACGAAAAGGCCAGATGCGGTGGACGGGCGTCGTCATGGCGCTCTTCTTCCGTGTTGTTCACTCCTGGTGTTGGGCCAAAAGGGTCAAGCGCCGGAGTGTCGGAAAAATCAGTCCGATCACTAGCCTCTTTAGCCTCATTAGCGCCACACCCGGGGGCGGTGAACGCGTTGGTTTCTGCCATCATGGCTTCATGAAAAGGCGGAAGGCTGAGGCACTGACTCTGGCACACTTAGGCTCAGGTACATGGGAGGTAACGTGAATTAGAAGTTGCTGTCCACGAATGTTTGATGAAATGGGAGAGGAGGCGGAGTGCAGCAGGATTAACACAATCACAACATCAAGAGATGAAGAAGAAGGGATAAAAAAATAAAAAAAAGAAAAGAAAAGGGAAAAAGGAAAGCCAGAAGTGAAGAAGGAAAAGCAAGCAACAACAGTAGCAGCACAAGCAGCAGTAGTAAGTAACTAGCAGCAGTAGCAGCAGGTGCAGCCGGACAACTCATGGAGGATGCAGCTGCAGGACAAGTTCAATGTTTGTCTGTCACCCCTTGCACCTTTCCAGATTTCGACCTTCCACCCTCCCTAATTTTAGACAGACAGACAACAGACAACACAGTAAGATTGATGATGATTGTTGTCTCGGGCAATCTGTTCCCTGCCGTTGTGCTACCGGTCTCGGCCGCCGTACCTTTTCCGGAGATTATGTACAGGATGTATGTACGGTAAATGCAGCCTCTACATACGCTCCACGGCCTTATTCACTTCGTGTTGGTGGTTTTTGGAACATCCTGCCAGATCATTTAAGTTGATATACTACATCTCGCTCACTCAGTCATGTCCAACAACGCTTCCAATTTCTCATCCCCTCCCAGCGAGTACGACCACCTCGGTCCATCTGGATTAAGCTTCTTCTTGCCCTGCTCAATGCGACCTCCTACTCGCGCAACAAGCATACGCATTTTCTCTAGCTCCTGAACCAACTCCCCATCTCTTGTCACCAAATTTGGTTGGATATTAGCCTGTGGGTCCTGAAAGGGCTCTAGCAGCCGTTGTAGCTGTCGCAACTGGTTCAACCGCCGCTGTCGCTGTTTCCTACGACTGTCCAGAGAAACCAGCTGCTCGCGTAGCTCTTGGTACCTGTACTACTGTTAGCCAGACGGTAAAACCTGCCATCATTGTTATCCGTGCCTTGCTCGGTCCTCGTCACTTGCACTCGGATCTTCCAATTCCAGCGGCAGTTGTGCGATATTCCTGAGATCCAGTCAGACATTCAACCTCCAGAAGTCTTTTCTAGCATTCGGGACACTATGACATAGCTCACAAGTGGTTGCTCAAGTCCACAGATTTCTCCACCCCCTGGAGCAAAGAGCCCCGGTTGCGCATCGCTTCATTGACGGAGGACCAGTAAAGGCGTGCGATTTGTTGTGCAACATGCTGAACCGCCTGGGACGAGTAAACGATACGACTGTGCTGTTTCAGAGACGCATTGACTGTCGCCGAGTTAGGTCTGACCAAGTGCAGCATAGCAGAGGCAGGAACAAGAGTAGAGGCCATCGAAGATACTCACATTTCTTAAGAGCATCCCCGACCACCTTATCGCTTAACTCATCTTCTGCGGCCTCGGACGCATAATGTCGCCAGTCCTCGGGCGGTGCAAGGCTTTCAGACAAGATCCGCACTTGCGCCCGGATAAAGGACGACTTCAACTCGGAGATAGTACGAGTCGAGTCCATGGCCCCATAATGACGAGATGTCAGTGCTTCGGAGACAAGAGGAAATTCACTTGTTCCTCGCAGTTGACGCGTGCCGACTCCGCCTCCTATCGATAACGTCGGCACGTGACTATAGCGCGACTCACTACTCCGTACTGCATTACCATAACTAACCGGATCATACTCACTCCTTGCGTTTATCAGCATCTCCATGGAAGACCGTCTTGCAGAATATTTGGTACTATGCATCAGATTCTGCCGTCTGAAGACATGTACACTCCTTGAATGAGGTTTGGGCTGCATTGATCGATGAGCGAGCGCCCATTGAACAGGCTCTTTATCTAACCTCGGCAATCTGCAATCCCAAGGCATTAATTACTCCGCAGGACAGACGCTCATCATAGAATTGACCAACGGCGCGGTTCTTACTTCGACCAAGTACGACCAAGTAATGCCTGCATACTTACCTGAGCAGTCTTCCTGAACCCATACGTCTCTGCTCTGAACCACACAGTCTCGTCATGTCAAGTCAGCGACCTATAGGCCTCCTGTTCGATATCGGAGGAGTGTGTGTAAGGCCGAGGTCTCCCCTGCAGATGCAGTCATTTGCTCGGGCGATACGATACTAAACTGCCATAGGTTCTCTCCCCTTTCCAGGCCATTCTGGACTACGAACTAGCCCACAACATCCCTCCAGGATGGGTGAACTTCAGCATTTCGCGTACTTCGCCCAATGGCAGCTGGCACAGACTAGAACGGGGAGACATCAAAATGGATGCCAATTTCTTTGCCGGTTTTCACAGAGATCTACAGAATCCGACTATTTGGAAGCAATTCCAAGAGAAGATCCAGGGCAAGAATCCGCCCAGCAGTCAGTTGCCAACTCCTCCGGTGCCTGAGATCGATGCCGAATTTCTCTTTTGGGAGATGATGAGAGTCTCGCGGACGCCGGATCCTCATATGTTTCCAGCCTTAAAGAAGTTGAAGGAATCGGGACAATTCATTCTGGGGGCTCTGTCGAATACCGTCATCTTTCCCGAGGGTCATCCCTACAGTCGAGACCTCGACGACAAGAGATCGCAATTTGACTTCTTCATATCCTCGGCACATACAGGACTTCGAAAGCCAGATCAAAAAATTTATGAGGCTGCATTGCAGGAAATGAATCGAATCGCCAAGGAGCAAGGCAGAGGCGAAGTGCGCGCATCCGACATTGTCTTCCTCGATGACATTGGGGAGAATTTGAAAGGTGCGAAGAAGGCAGGCATGAGAACTCTCAAGGTGAATCTTGGACGAACGCAAGATGCCGTTCGAGAGTTAGAGAAGATGACTGGTCTTCAGTTACAAGCGAGCCCAGACAAGGCGCGACTATAGGGGCTGGGTTGATCTCCATTCGGCGCCCAATCTATGGATGACCACTGTCAGTAGAAGTCTGTCAGATCAGACTTTGAGGCGTATCAATCTTTGCAAGTAAATTGATAATGAATTCCAGTTGAAAAATTACCATATTGGTCCATTTTCTAGGTACTATAGTTCCTGGTGGTGTTCCGTGCCAAAGCTGGGGTGGCCATAGCCGCTCGTCGCCAACCACAATTCTGCGCCGGGATGCAGGCAGCGCTAAGCGAGTCTTTCCACAAAATCAACCCACGAATTTTCCATCCCTCTTCCTTTGCAGCCAACGTCGACAATCCGGTCCTCATCACCCAGTCACCGTCAAAATGGTGAGTTAGAACACGTTCTAGCACTCGAGCAATCGTTATTTCGATTGTTCTCGACTGGTCCATCATCTCCAAATGGGATTTCGATTCTCCTGCCCGCCGTAGAGCGGCATTTGTGGGACGAAATTTCGGGTCTTTGCAAGATGCTTCGGACAAGTCGGGTTTCCTTCTGAAGCGCAAATTGCTGACTCGCTTGTTTTCGTGATGTAGCCTTTCCACAAGGAGGTCAAGAACAGCGCTTACTACAGGTGAGTCCTTACTATCTATTTTATCGCTCACCCACGTGTACCACGATCTTCGAAAAAAAAAAAATCTTCTGACTAACAAATCCCACAGCCGCTACCAGACCAAGTACCGTCGTCGCCGTGAGGGTAAGACCGACTACTATGCCCGTAAGCGCTTGATCACCCAGGCCAAGAACAAGTACAACGCCCGCAAGTACCGCCTGGTCGTTCGCTTCACCAACCGTGACGGTACGTACATCACGCTACTCGATTTATCCACACTCATGTGCTAATTTATGGTATCTAGTCATCTGCCAGATCGTCTGGTCCGAGATCTCCGGTGACAAGATCCTCGCCGCTGCCTACTCCCACGAGCTCAAGCGCTATGGTATCACCAACGGTCTGACCAACTGGGCTGCCGCCTACGCCACCGGTCTCCTCGTCGCTCGCCGTGCTCTCAAGAAGCTCAACCTCGACGAGACCTTCACCGGTGTTGAGGAGGCCGATGGAGAGTACACCATCACCGAGGCTGCTGAGACCGATGAGGGCTCCCGCCGTCCTCTCAAGGTCATCCTGGACGTCGGTCTTGCGTAAGTTCTGCCCTATTCCACACCAAAACGATGCTTTGTCGCATCTTTCCGAGAGGTGACTAACAAACCCAACAGCCGTACCTCCACCGGTGCCCGTGTCTTCGGTGCCATGAAGGGTGCCAGCGACGGTGGTCTCTTCGGTGAGTTTTACCATCTTATTCAAGAAATCGAGCGCGAGCTAAACATTCAATAGTCCCCCACTCCGAGAGCCGTTTCCCCGGTTTCGATATTGAGTCCGAGGAGCTCGACGCTGAGACTCTCCGCAACTACATCTTCGGCGGTCACGTCGCTGAGTACATGGAGGGTCTCGCCGATGACGACGAGGAGCGCTTCCGTGGCCAATTCCACAAGTACACCGAGGCTGGCATTGATGCCGGTGACATCGAGGACCTCTACACTGAGGCCCACAAGGCCATCCGTGAGGACCCCTTCAAGAAGGACGAGGATGAGGGCTCCAAGAAGACCAAGGAGGAATGGAAGGCCGAGAGCAAGAAGTACCGCAAGACCAAGCTCAGCCGTGAGGAGCGCAAGGCCCGCATCGAGCAGAAGATCCGCGAGCTTGCCGCTTAATTGGATTTTTGTGGAGGCAAATCGTGCTTGATGCATGCGTGAAGTGCGATAGTCACAAACAAAAGTTAATCTTGTTAACGAATCCAAAAACGGTGACCTGGGTGTCTTTTCTCTTGCCAAGCATTTTTTTTTCTTAAGTTTGTGATATCCAAGTAGGTCTGCCTGAAGACTTTACAACCGGAGTTTTTAACGTGTCCTGGGTTTATACGGAGCCAATGGTGCTTAATACGAATTTCTTTCCAACTTCAATTATGTATCTAATTGCTCCGGTAGATTACGTAGTGTAGAGCAGGGTCCATGGATATCAACTCTCAAACTTCACATCAGTTTTCGCAAAATATACTAATAAACAGACCGTATTAAATATCAGGTAGAACCGGTAGTTCGCAGAGTAGCATGAGAGAACACCGATAAGTGCCCATAATTCCAGAATGAGTCCCTCTCAGCATAGTCCAGCTACGTATAAGCACTTCTGTCGATATCAAACAAACGAGTCGTCCCCGAAGGAAATAGATCTCAATGCCAGCGGGTTGGCAGACTTATTCGTTAAACAAAGTATATATATGGTTATCTTTTTCTTATAGGTCTGGTGCTCAATGGCTCTGTCGTAAGTATGTTCTGAATAATGAAGTATACTCACTGCTATATTCAAGATACTGTGCTCGCTGCTTCAATAGGTTGGCAAGAAGTTAGCTATAAGGACTATCACTATCAAGGAAACTCCTTGTAGCTGGTATGTTGTTCTTACCACGCAGAACCATACCAGAACAATGATTGATAAACAAGATGATGAAGATGGTGAAGATGGTTAAGATGGTGAAGATGGTGAAATAATCGATCTAATCCCAGGGTGACTTCAGAAGAGCTGTCAATACAGAACAGCTTGCCCATTTCTCTGCATTCAATGACAAGCACAAGCCATACAACAAGTGCCGGCTGATGCCAATCAGAGTTATTCTCCCTTGTTGTCGCATTGAAGAAGTGAATCTAGATGCATCTTTTGCCTCGCAGACTAATTCACTTGACATCGAACAATAAGGCCAAGCTAGTGACCTGTTTCATCTCAACATCGCAGGCAGAAGCTGGTTTCATTTATAGTGAATATTTGTCCAAGTTGACACTGGGATGTGACGACAGGTTGCCCGATCTTAAAGTCACACCTCAGCTCCTCCCTTTTCTCTTCCTCTTCCTCTTCCTCTTTCTCTTCCATCTTCCATCTACCTCATCCTCCCTCTCTTCCTCAACTCAACATGCCAAGAACCGTAGGGCATATAAGCCTTTCAAGCTTGAGGCATCTCTGATCCAGTGAAGACAAGATCATAAAAGACAGTCCGATACCGAGCCCAGCCATGCGCATCGTCTCGTCCGCAGTATAAGCCCCTCCGATCGCTGTCCCCTTTTCCGGGCTGGCCATCACACAGCATAAAGATTAGACACACTCCAATGAAACCTCACAAACCCTAGCGATACTATGGCAAAACGCATGGTCGAAATCCGCGAGATTGTCACGAAAGCCATTCCAAACGGGGTGCTTTTTGGACTATCTACGCATCTGCCCTCCTTCCAATTCAGTGGACTTGGCAAGAGTTGGTATAACTTGGGTGAACATATTCGGCAGCATTTCCAAGCATGCCCACGGATGTCTAGTCCTTATTAGCCTAATGAAACCACCGAGAAGCTATCGAAACGTACCTGATTGCAGACCTGGTTACGACTGGAGCATTGTTTGCACGCCACTGACGCGAAGGCGTCGAACACGCAGCCGGGCGCAAAATTCTCGGCGTCAGTGACATCGAACTTCTTAATGCTCGTCCGCAGACAGTGCATGCAGAAGAAGATTTTCGGCACGATGGGGTCGTCGGCTAGACGGCGACGAGTAGTCATCGGCATCGTGTCAAAAAGCAGCCGAAACGAGGTGTTGGAGAAAGCGAGTCAACGAATGAATGCAAAAGCAACGATAGAAACGAAGGCGAAAACAACGTGAAAGGAGGGTGTAGAGGGGAAGATTCGGTGGGGGACGGCCTTCCCAACAGGTATCATGGATGTCGATTTCATAAATCATTGCAGAAGCTGCCCGACAAAAAAAAGGTTCAGTGCGGATCATGTGGTGACTAGATGTCTCGCAAGATGTGTAGGCGACCTCATGAGATATGTGAACCGAACTTCGTGGGGATGATGTGGGCGGGGAAGAGATTCATGTGCGGAGAATGCAGCACCCTATGTGCTGTTTTGCTCAATAGTGTCATGCTATGCTAGGGTGTCTTAGCATGACTGGGGGTGCAGGCTATATCACCGCCATCATTATTGGAGAAACAGCTTTCGGAGGATAAGAAGCATAGCAACAGGTCTGGCAAGATAAGTCGCATTGACACTGAGGTCACGAACTCAATTGCATGGTTTGGATGACATAATGAGGTTGATTGTATGGATCTGGGCAAAGATGATGGCTACAACTTGATCCTGACACCAAAGCGTCGACGCAGAACCGAGAGCTCCTCAATAGCAGCGGAGACACAAAAGTATTCATTCCGTTTTATGTTTGTCGACTATAACCGACAACGCCAAAACTCATAGCTTCCGAGAGCCCTCATTGATAAGGGTAGGAGTATTGACGTCGTGCTGATTCGAAAACAGCAAACAAACGACCAGATCACACGTACACACACAAGGACACAAACGCAATCTTAGAAGATATTTCAACTACGGCCCAGCTCACCCTATTTGTCAGAGACCAGACGCGACGAATGATCAGATTGTGGAGAGAAGACGAGACCATCTTACCCATCAGAACCAGTGGTAAGCTTCCGCATCATATATGCACTGGCTGGGAAGCCTCAGAAGGGTGAATTAAGGGTAGTATACCATATATCAAAGCTTCATGTTTCACGCCTTAATGCCTCGGTGTGTGTGAATATCACGTATAGACCCTGTCAATGACTCCATTGCTCAACAACTTGATCACATACCGCCTTCCAATAAGACACAGAAAGCAAGCATAGCAAACTCCACTTCAGCTCGACATGACTGCAAAGTCTTATGTCTGCTATGCAGGCTGAATAGTCTCATCCATGCGCACGCCTAGATCTGTTTAAGACTGTCATCTTACGCCACAGCATGTACCTACCCCTGTATGTACAGAACCGGTCTCCGTATTCAGAATCAATACAATTGTTAACGTATGCCGTATGTCGTATGTGATGCTTCGTAGCGAGTCGGGCCGAGTATCTTATTGCTGGCAGAAATGCAAGCGGATTTTCCGGCACGGGTGTTGCGGCAGAGGGTTCGAAGATTGAAGTTGCCTCTATGACAGCCTTGCTTGCCAGTGACTGATGGGGTCCATAGCGGGGAAAGATCAAGGGTTTGGTGATAAGGCTGACTGCCTCGGAATGAAGCGAAGCGGAAGGTGTACCGTCAAGGTGGAACCCGTGGAGTCTTGCATGAATGGCAAAAATCCAGCATATGCTACACTAATGCAGGATAATGATTCCGGCCAAACAAAGAATCTCAAAATGACAGCAGTGAAGATGTCCTTAGTCTGACTGTTTGAGACATTCATGCAGGTACTAAGTGTGGGATGGAGTTAACGGCTGCCTGCTATTTGGACGATCTCTCCCCACTTCACCCGCTGATTCCCCGACACTAGCAACAACTAAGTTAGAAGGTAATTTCTTCTCTTTTCGTTCTTCCGAGGCGCCGCGCCCCCTGTAGAGAAGGCCCCGGTGGGGTGGTTCGATGCGATTGTTTTTACTCTTACATCGTACTCACTGCTCAGTAGGTCCTTTTATCACTTCTCTAGATCATGGAGAATCGATCTTCTCCAGACACCTAGATTCTATTCCCCTTTCCCCCCCCGCCCCCCCTCCTTCCTCTTCGTCATTCGGTCATACTATGCCCATTTTCGGTCCTAGGCTGGCATGTCTGCAACCTGATGTCGCCTCTGCTTCTATGGGCTTTATGCCTGCTACGGGCGCAGGCCGCCTTTGTTCGCGGCTGGAATTGCCACTCCGCCAACATAGCACCCACTGAGTCCCTCATCTTTCAACAGCAGTCCTTGACTGGATCCTTGATTTCCACTGCTTCTGGTGGGCCAACGCTGCTTCTAAAGCTAACTGAAGAGTTCACTGCCGATGCCTGTGACTCTCTCAATGGGTCTCTAGCACAATTGGTGGTGGATGCCAGTGTCTTGGGCGGTTCCGTAGGCCACCAGGGAGACAGTCAGGGAAGATGTGGTGAAAATCCTTATCGAAACCATCCCAGCAAATCGAACCAAGGGCACAAACACGGTCACCTGGAGGGAGGGCTTAGAGGATATGCCATATATGAGACTTCCTACTATCTCAACCACTCCTATGCCCTGCATACACTGGACACAACAGTCCGTCTGCGGCTGGACGGCCAGGAACTAACTTGTGCCGCTGCTCACATCACGCCATATATTGGGTCCTAGCATCGAAGCTCTTGAAAGCTGTTCCATTCCTCATAATGGTTCTGTTTGGACTAGCCACAGGTCCGCTCAGGCTCTTCAATGCAAATGGAAGGAGCATGTTTCGTTACGAGCTTTCCGACCAATCTCGCGATCCAGCCCAATCCCACGTACAAGGTCTAGGCGATTGTCTGCAATTCCTGCAGTTCATATTCCTAACCAGTTGTATAACGCTTCCATACCCTGGCTTCTTCCGGGCAATCATCGGACAGCTGGCCTGGTCATCGCTCATCTTCCGGAACTGGCCTGTTACGCATGGATTCGCTTATCCTGGGGTCGAGAACGGATTGTATGCGACCAATACGACTTGGGGCTTAGAGGAAATGACGCAGCTCTTGGGCGGCACTACTATCAGTGATCTCTGGGTCAATGCGATCGTCAACCTGCTCTTCTTGATCGTGGGGATTGTCGTGCTCGTGCAATTTCCGTTCGGGTTCCAATGGGCGCCAAGGATCTTTCGGAGGCGCCAAGCGGTTGAGCTGTCGGACCTTCAGGAGGAATCCTTGACACAGTTTCAGCGTACTGGATGGAGTTTTCTTCGAGCAGTGCTTGATCATTTTCTCCTTCCACTTGTGACCTTCTCCACGAGCCAATCTATTCTAGCGTCATGGCTCCCGGCCTATCGTACCTTCCTGGCAGTTGCGACTGTTGGTCTCATTTCCATGTGCCTGGGCGCTACCGTTCGGTATTTGCTGAAGACCAACAGATAAGGGGTGTTTTTCCATGGAAGTCTATTTACCAAGCACCATTCTAAGAGGTGGGTTTTCTGTATGCTGTACGGCATCCCGGTTGTGAGAGGCATTGCGATCGGAGCATTGCAACAATCCGGCCTCTCCCAGCTTGTGGTTTTGTTGATTTGTGAGACGGTCAATCTCGGTTGCCTGCTCTGGAACTGCCGAGGCTTTCCAGCATGGAGACCTGTATGCGTCTCAGTCGGCCGGCTTGTTAGCCTGGTCATGAGCTGTGCTTTCCTCCCACAGGCCCAAACGAGCGAGCGCGGGTGTATTGGCATATAGCATTCTATCTTTATATGCTGCCATGCTGGTTTTTGGGTTCTTGGTTCCTTGCCTCATAAGCATAGTGCTTTTCGTCCTCCGCAAAATGGGAATCGCGCACTTCGATGGCGGCAATCTTGCCCGAACCCATCAAGCGCCGGTGAGTGGGGACTCAACATCATTTCCTAAGGCTGGGATAACTGACAGGTCGTCTCTAAAGGTTTTCGGAATCGGTCAACTTTCGCTGCGGTCAACAAGGAAGACTTCATTCACGGAGCTTCCAGAGCTTCGTCCCGCAGGTGCGTCTGATATGTTCGGGCATAACACATGAACGATCGTGAGCATGCTAACGGAGACAATACCAACCTATCCCCAACCTACCAGAGCACATCGCACGAATGAAGTACCATCGACTTTCGGGCTCCCCGGCCCGTCACGCCGAGATCTTCGATGTCACACCGCTTTTCGACCATCCAAACGCAGTCCCACAGCGAGGATGAATCGGTGGATTCCAGCATGAACTCGGTAGACCTGAGTGTTCTGGATGAAGATACAACCACGATCAGCGGTGATGGCGATTATTCTAAGCGCGAGGCAGATCAATACTACGGTCGGCAAATGGTACTGCAGGCTCATGCTGGGGTAGAACGAACGGAAGCTGTTCGTTTCACAGAACCGGACCGGCCTTTGCGATGGCCCTGGAAGGCGAAGAAAAAGACGAAAGGCTTCGAAGTTGTGAGGCCTGGTCGTCCCGGGCTGTGACGGTGTTTATGAGTTGGACTTTGGAACTTTTGTAGACTCTGATTCAAGAAGAAATATATAATATTTTCACCTTCCTCTAACTAGCTCTCCTGATGATGCTTACATTGTGTACGAGGCGAGAATAAGCAGCTCTCTTAAGGTTCTGTTCTGGTTGACCCGTCATGGTAGTCCTTGTCATATGTGGACCGGAAGGTTAGCTATTGTCTTCATTCATGTTTACATCAGAGTACCCGGGATCAGTTAGCACCGATCCAGGTCGCTAAGCTTTTCTGCAGTCTGCAGCTGGTCGCCAAGCTGCTTTGTTTGCTGAACAATAGTTAGGTAGGCATTGGTTTTGATCATACCTGCGCTTTGTCTTGTCCGCTGTGGGTCGTTACCTAGTGCTGTTGGCAGTGTGTGGTACACGCTTGCTTGAAGGATAACTACGTATGCAACATAGTCAGTATGTGACAGTAAAATTTCAATAGTAGCCAACACTTGCTGGGAATGACTTTCACGTCGCGGTGTGAGTCCAAGAGAAGCACATGAGAGATCTTCTTGTTGGAAGGTGACCTGGTCATGTGTCCCAAGAAGTACATGATTGGGATGGGGAGATTCTAAGGGTGGAGCTGATAGGTCGATGAGGAGGGATGACCGGGCAGGGCAAAAAAGCGGACAGCGCATACGCCAACTTTGTCACTATTGATCCCAACCGCTTAGGAATGAGGGAGGAATACGGGGGATGTACTACTACTGTACATTCACGTACTGCATGCACATGCCAGACTGGGTTAAACGGTTGGGGCAATACTTCCCCGTCTTTCTCTCTCCTTTCCCACGTTCTCTCTCGCTCTCTCTCTGACTCCTCCCCCGAAAGTGGATTTCCGAACCATGAATTCGTCACAATTGTAGAGAAGGTATTGTATGGTCAGGCTTGGCAAAATGACGAAGGGGAAGAAAGGCGAGGGTGGCGAGTGGACGAATGGGCATGAATGGGACGCTCTCCGTCATCGGCCGTGGTTGCATAATACGAAGTTACGAAGATTACCAACCTCGAATCCGTCCAGAACCGTGCGGACTCGGCGGTCGAGGCTCGCCCAATTAAACTTACGACCTTAGTTGTTTCTAATACAGAGCAAGTAACTTACTGTTACCACTGCGACCCTTCCATATCATTCCGCTCCATTTCTCCTCTGTAAAAATAGGTCGCATGAGAGAGAAAGAGTATCAGTAGGGTAGAACCAGAGACAGATTCGAGTACGAAGACAGAAAGTCACTCGAGTATGTAATCCTAGTAGTAAGTTAACTTAAATAACTATTTACTAGGTAAGTATTCTTTTCTCTCCTTTTCTCCACCCACTAATGGACAATCATACTACTTTCCCAGTCTAGTCTCTAATCAGCGATTCCCACTCTTCCCGATCGCCTCGTTGTGTGGTGCCCGCAAACCCGCACCTTTCCTCTTCCTGCAATCAACCCATAGATTGATATCCCCTTCGCTTCCTCAACTTGACCTTAAACCTTTCTTCTCTTCTCTTCCTCACTCTTCGCCCTTTTACTTACTACATCCCCTCCTTCACCCCCTTTTACTCCTCTCTACTCAACTACTCTCCTTGAATGCGCGATTTATCTCTTATCCGCCTCCCGATTGCATACCTGTGACAACCCCACCGTCCGCTCCGTCATGTCCGCTGTGTCTCGCCGTCATGTCATGATGGAACTTTCCCGCCGTCGCCGTGTATAATTGACTATTGCTGATCTGCATTGCGCATTCCCCGGCTTTTCCATCATTTCACCGTCGCTCCGGCATTCTTGGTTCATACTTTATTAATCCACGACCTTTCGACAACACTTGCCACCAAATCGCCTCATTTTGTGGTTCGACGAGCGCTGTTTGAATCCGAATCTCATCCAGCCCGCTCATAATCATCTTTTCCTCTATTACGTTACAACCTATCAACTCGCAACGCAAAGCACTGGGATTCAAAATGGAGGGTGTGGAAACTGTGGATGTTAGCTGGCTCCATCATTCGCATAAAGGTGAGTTCGTTCGCTCGTACTCGGATGTTCACAGCCTGCGATGTCTGGAGCTCACCCGATTCGGCCGCAGACCATTTATCCCGCTGCAAATCGGTCTCGTCCCTAGTCAGCGACAAATCGATACCGGACAGAGAAGCGACACCTCCGCAATTATATGACCCGGAAAAGAAACCTCTTGCCGTTGATGATGCTCCAGTTTCCTCGCCCAATCCCTCGATAACACCCAATGTGGCATCACCCAATGAGAAGGAAGGGAAGACAAATGGCAAGGCAGTGGATGCAAAACAGACAGGTTCTTCGCCGGCCTCGCAGAAAAGTGCCCCACGTCCAATTTCGGGGCGGCGAAACTCATGGATCTCCAGCATCAGCTCGAGATTCTCCTCGGGCTCCACTCCTCCCTCACAATCGAACATGAAAGCACCACCCAGCACAAAAGCCACTTCTCCTGTATCAAAGTTGGACACGCACAATCCTTTCGGCGCAGCTTACTCGCCGAAGGATAAGGAAGAGGAGCGCAAGGATGAGAATAGCCCCTTTGCTTCCACCTCCCCCAAAGGCCCCTCTTTCTTGTCGAATGCCTTCCGCAAGCTTTCTTCCTCTGCATCTGGTGGATCGGGCAAAGTGGCCACCAGCGGCATCGTTTGCCCGCGTCGCGTGATGAATATCGACCAAGATCGGGACAGATGCAAGGTTGCTGATCTCAACCAAGCGAAATTGCGGCGGGTAGCTTTCTGCGTTGATGTGGAGATTGCCGGGCTATCGTATCGAGAGTCGGATGAAGAGGCTCCCGCGGTTAGCAGCAAGCGTCACATGGCTCCGGAATTGAATGGCTCCAAAGTGAAAAGGTCGAACTCGAAGTCGAAAGACAAAAAGGACAAGGACAAAGATGAGACTGCCAGCGCCAAACCTCCGCAAGTGGCAACACCGGTCAAGGACGGTAACACCCAAGACCAAGCTGCCAATGGCATAGTCTCGGGTTCGCCCGATCCAGCCGCCAGCGAACCCACGCCTAACGGTGAGAGCAAAGAGCCGACAAGAAAACAGGAAAAAAAGAAGAGATCAGAAGAGGAGCGGAAGCAGCGGAGAGAGAAAAGACGCAGACAGGCAGAAGCGAATGGTACAATCCCTATGCAACTAACTGCTGATGGCGAGGAGTACGGCGTGCGCACACCTGCATCTAGCACGAGTCGCCCCAAGACGCAAAGTCATCCGACCACGGATCCCGTTCGGATTTATCGACGCTGTTGTCAGCTGCGGGAAACGCCCGTGTTGAAGAGGATAGTAGATGAAATATCCAAACCGTCCTCCACTCTAGCGGAGTCTCCAGGCACTGTTGCCGTGCTTGACTTGAGCAATTTTCCTATGACCTCTGAGGACACGGTCACGTTCTGCGACTGGCTGGCTGTTGTTCCAGTTCGAAAGCTTATTCTGGAGGAATGTGCCTTGGCTGACGATTCGGTCCGGTCCATCCTCGCCGCTTTGCTATCTACCCGAACGGTCGAGCACATGTGGAGCAAACGGAAAAGAGGCAAGAATACAGAGAGCCAGCCTTCGGAAAAGGAAGAGAGATTCAGTGTGATTGAGAAGTTGTCACTGAAGGACAACCCCAAAATCAGCACAGAGGGCTGGCTTCATATCTGTCTTTTTGTCCACCTTTCCAAATCTTTGAAAGCTATTGATTTATCGGGCATACCGCTTCCCAGGGCGGCCATCCCTATCAGTGCTTCTGGAAAGTTGGCAGTCCAGCCTGGTAGTTGCACTACCACATCCACAGAGCTGACGGCTGTCTTTGCCAAAGCGCTTGCACAGCGGTTCGGCGGTGATCATCTCGAAGAACTTCTTCTCAGTGAATGTAGCCCGACAATTGAGGATACTCAGCGTATCTGCGACGCAGCCACCACTGTAGGTTTGAGGAGACTTGGATACGCCAACAACGCGCTCTCAAGGGAGAGTTTGGAGCACGTTGTGCGCTATTTGAAGGCTGGGAAATGCGAAGGGCTTGACCTAGGCGGAAACCCAATTCGGGACCATCTCGACTTGATCACCTCTGCTGTCTCTGATGTTCACCCGCTCTATGCGCTGAGCCTGGCTGACTGCTCTCTCACGCCCACTGCTGTTTACCCCTTGCTCCAGAAACTGGCGTGCTTGCCAGACCTCCGCTTTATTGACTTTTCGCACAATCCAGACCTGTTTACTGTCAAGCCTGATGCATTGCCAACCTTCAGGCGCTTTCTTCCAAAGATGCCTGCGCTAAAACGGATTCATCTCGCAGATGTGAACCTGTCGCCTGACCAGGCTATTGCGCTAGCCGAGGTTTTGCCGGAGTGCCCAAGCCTATGCCATCTTAACATACTGGAAAATCCCCTGATCACAGCCCTGGCGTCAGCAACTGAACCAGAGACCCAGGAAGAGGCGTGTGCGGTCTATGCCTCCTTGATGGCAGCAGTGCAGGTGTCTCGCACTATCATTGCTGTTGATATTGAGGTTCCAACTGCGGATAACAATGAAGTTGTCAAGGCTCTGGCTTCCCAGATCGTTGCATACTCCCTCCAGAATCTTGAACAAGGTGCCATGGCAGTTGAGCTTTCGGACTCTTTCGATATATCGGTCACACGCTCGACCGTGCATGTTCCTGAGATCTTGCAGCATATTGTCGGTCACGGGGTTGGAGAAGAAGCCGTGGAGGAGGACGATGAGCCGGCTCCTGACGAGGACTATGTGATTGGTGGTACCGGTGTGGTTAAAGCCTTGGGCGTATGCCTTGGTAATCTGGACCGGTCTCTGCCAGGAGACTATTCTGGTCCTCCTAGTGGCACAGCGACACCTCGACACCGGAAATCCCGGTCTTTGGTGACTAGAAAGCCCCGGGATATGTCCAAGAACCTGCTGGAATCTGCACGCAACATTCGGACGCGTATACAGTCAGCTCTTGTCCGTGAGGATAGGGCTGGTAATGATGACAATTACAGTAAGCATCAATCCTCTTGCTTATCGTACAGCTTATGTTAACCTTTCACTCTCACTAGGACGTCTCCAATTCCTGGATCTCACCTTGCAGAGAATGATTCAGCGATTCGAGGACGAATACCCCGAGACGCGCATTGTACCCCAGGCCATTCCGTACAGTTTTCCGGAAACCAGCTCTCAAAATTCCGGTGAAGACGGCTGGAATGTGCCTGCTGGCGAGGGCACATCACCTAATGCTACGAATGGTGATGCTGAGGCAGCCGCGGATGAGGAAGACGACCACTATGCGGTCAGGCTGTCACGAGCGAGCTCGATCACATCCCTTCATTCGCGCGCCATGACCCATGAGGAAGGCCACGTCCACCGTCTGGGACAGAATCTCCGACGAGATTTTCTCAGCCCGTCTTTTGACCCGACCGACGATGATCCGTCGTCTCTATCTTTTGACGAATCGCATATTGCCGCTCTACGAGAGAAGCTTGACCGGCTGCATATGGAGCAAATGCAGTCAAACTTTGAGAGTGTGAATGCAGCCAAAGCATTAAAGGATCTAGGCAATACTGTGGACGAGCTCTGGGCTGCACAGAAACAGGATTCGGAGGCCTTTGAGAAGTTTCGTCAGAGTCAAATCGCGGCGCAGATCAATAGCGGCCAGAGATCTTCGTCTCCGCCACCAGACGCACCAGGCCGCGCCTGATCGTTCCCCAACCCGTTGAAAAGGGATTCATGACCTGACTCTGATTTTTCCGGCGACTATTGCCTCGCTGTGCTATATTTCTACCATTGGAGGCTTCTTGGACCATTCATGTTCATTTCGGAGTCGGAAGCCATATTTCTGGACTGTGCATTGGTGGCTGATCATATGAGGGGGAGTTTTGCACAGCGCTGTGTATATTTACTGTCAGACAGACATCTTGATTGTATTGGCTTGTAATCTATGAGCGTGTGTCCATCGAGAATGGGCTCTGTTGGACCTTAAATATTGTGTAATGTGCATGTTTATCTGTAGATTAGATTACCAGATATCGACCTCTCGGAAGTACATCGGACCGACGCACTCCATCCTCGGCCCAGAAATCCGGGGCAAGACCCGCCCGGTAGTGATCGTGATTGATGGGGTCAATCAGTCGGTCTTTCACATGTCATCCTCCTTCCCTCATGACAACAACCTCTCTCCATCATCATCATCATCATCATCATCATCAATCCTCACTCTTTCCTTTCCACTAACATTACTACAACACCTCTTTATCCGGTGTCATGCTTTCTATATACTTGATAATATCGCCCAGCTACGGTAGATAATTGATCTATCTACTTTCAGCCCGCGATGGCCGTCCAGTCCAAGCTCCTCTTCCTGCCGTCCGAGCCCTGGTCCATACCTGTCCGTCAACTCCTCTCCCGGTTCACCTCCCTCTACCTCCGCCACCGCAAACAAATCTCCCGAACCGTTTATATAGCCCTATTTGCTGCCCTCGTCAAGCGCATACACAATGCCATCTCCGAGCAGAAAGCCGCCTCCCAGCAACAGGCGGAGTTGCGGAGTAAACGGCCCGGCACGAGTAGCCTAGGCGATGGCGCCAACTCCAACGGCAGTAGCCCCAGTGATATACCCCGGAAGAAGGTTGAGGTGAATCGCGAGTTCTTTCGAAACTTGCTCCGGCTGCTGAAGATCGTGATTCCAGGGTGGAGGAGCAAGGAGTTGCGGCTGTTGTTCGGTCATAGTGTGTTTCTGGTGCTGAGGACACTGCTGAGTTTATATGTCGCCGAGTTGGACGGGCGGCTGGTGAGTAATCTGGTGAGGGGCAAAGGGAAGGATTTCTTGTTCGGCCTGGTGTGGTGGATGCTTGTCGCGGTACCGGCAACATTTACGAACTCGATGGTAAGTAGATCTTCTGGTCAAGGTGGAGGGCGGAAGTGTAATAGAGGAAAGGACCGTCTTACTGACCTTGTCGACAGCTGTCGTACCACCAATGTAAGCTTGCGCTGAGCTATCGCAAGCGTCTCACAGACTACATTCACGAGAAGTACCTGTCGAACATGACTTTCTACGCCATTTCAGCGCTGGACGATCGGGTCAAGAATCCGGATCAGCTTATCACTGTCGACGTGTCTCGCTTCTCTGACAGTCTAGCAGAGCTGTATTCGAACTTGGCTAAGCCCGTTCTTGATATGGCCATCTACAACTATTCGCTTTCAAAGAGTGTCGGTGGTGAGGGGCTTTTCCTCATGGGTCTTCTAGTGCAGGTTTCGGCCAACGTCATGCGGGCCCTCACGCCGCCCTTTGGTAAATATGTGGCGGACGAAGCTCGTCTGGAAGGAGAGTTCCGGTTCCTTCACTCACGCCTGATTGACTATAGTGAGGAGATTGCGCTTTACCATGGCCATGAGGCCGAGAAAGACACGCTCGACAAGGGTTATTTCACCCTGATCAAGCATGTGAACCGCATCCTCCGGAGACGCCTTTATCACGGCTTCATGGAGGATTTCGTCATTAAGTACTTCTGGGGCGCTTTGGGCTTGATCCTCTGCAGCATTCCTGTCTTCTTCAAGATCCCCGGCCAGGTCACGCAAACTATGGGTGATCGGACCGAGAGTAAGCCCCGTCTACCTCCCCGGCAAATGCTTCTCGGATGTCTAACATGCTGAAACAAATAGGCTTCGTTACTAACCGACGCATGCTCCTCTCCTCTTCCGACGCCTTCGGTCGCCTCATGTTCTCCTACAAAGAGATTTCCGAGCTAGCTGGCCACACCGCGCGCGTTTCGACCCTCCTCGAAGTCATGGACGACCTGCAATCAGGCCACTTCGAGAAGAAACTCGTCTCCTCAGCGACGGACTCGACCTCCGCTCACGCAGCAACGCTCTCCTCGCGCGGAACCGTCACCGAGACGGCCGACTCGATCGAGTTCCACGAGGTACCCATTGTCTCGCCGAACGGGGACATCCTCGTGCGCGCCCTCTCCTTCACCGTTCGACCGGGCGACCATCTACTGATCGTCGGCCCCAACGGCTGCGGCAAGTCGTCGCTCTTCCGCATCCTCGGCGGCCTGTGGCCCGTCTACGGCGGCACCGTCCACAAGCCCCCGCCCGACCAGATCTTCTACATCCCGCAGCGGCCCTACCTCTCGCGCGGCACCCTGCGCCAGCAGGTCATCTACCCAGACAGCCTGCGCGACATGCGCGCCAAGGGCATCACAGACGACGACCTCTACGAGATTCTGAGCGTGGTCGAGATCGCCGCCGTCGTCGACCGCCCCGGCGGCTGGGACGCCGAGGAGGAGTGGCGCGACGTCCTCTCCGGCGGCCTGCAGCAGCGCATCGCCATGGCCCGCCTCTTCTACCACCGGCCCCAATACGCCATCCTCGACGAGTGCACCTCCTCCGTCACCCTCGAGGTCGAGCGCATCATGTACGAGACCGCCAAGCGCCTCGGCATCACCCTCATGACCGTCTCCCACCGCCGCAGTCTGTGGAAGTACCACCGTCGCATCCTGCAATTCGATGGGCAGGGTGGCTACATCTTCACCAAGTTGGATTGGGAGCGCAGGTTACAATTGGAAGAGTGAGTTTGTTTTTTTTTTTTTTGTTTTTTTTTGTTATTTTTCTGCTTCCCCTTTCCACCTAGACGTCAACCCGTGAGACCAATGCTGATCATATTGTGTTGGAAATCTAGTGAGAAAGAAGATTTGGAGCTCCACCTCCGCGCTGTGCCGGAACTGCAGAAACGCCTGGCTGAGTTGACCGCATGAGGGACATTATATATACGATGACAAGACAGGTATTGGTAGAGTAATCTTGGCTTTGGGGTAATTCTGTCCTAGCCTCTGTAGCTCGCTTCAGCGCTTTGCCTTCCGTGCCCTATTTATAACATCGCCTATCGGGCAATATTTGTTTATGAATACGTGTTGAATGACACTATAAACACGGAACATTCATCGGATGTAATGGTCTTGGTAGAACTAATCGCAGCGGTATGGACACTATGCAATGAGCAAAGTAAGCAGATGAGAGAATCATCCGTTCTCCCTCTTGTTCTTTCTTCTCCACTATCTTCGTAACTCAGGTCACCAGGATGTACTATAATCTAGGCCCCAAGCAAACCAACCTAATCCTTCACCACAAGCGGCTCAATGTTCCAGATGCTCTCTGCATATTCGCTGATCACACGGTCAGTCGAGAAAAAGCCCATGCGGGCCACGCTGATGATGGACTTCGAGATCCATTCTTCCCGGTTGCGGAACGATTCGTCGACCAGGTCTTGGGTGGTGATGTACGAGTTGAAGTCGTCTGAGACCAAGTAGTAATCTCCGTGCTCGACAATTGAGGCCAGCAGAGCCGAAAAACTATCCACGTTCCCGAACATACCGCCACGAATAGCCTCAAATACCTTGGCCAGGTGTGGGTCGAGCTGGAAATTGCCATAGAGGTGACGGTGACGGAGCTCCTCGACGTCTTCAGCCAAGTTGCCGAACAAGAAGATGTTCTGCTCGCCAATTTCTCGAGTAATTTCAATCTGTGTGGAGAATTAGCATCATTCCCGGAATAAAATGCAAGGATGGTTTCCATACGTTAGCTCCATCGCAGGTACCGATGATTAGACCTCCGTTCATCACGAACTTCATGTTACTGGTCCCGCTTCCTTCGGTCCCCGCCGTCGAGATGTGCTCACTGATATCCGAAGCAGGACAGATAATCTCGGCCTTGCTGACATTGTAGTCTGCTATGAAGATGACCTTCAGAAGATCGCCAACCTCAGGGTCCTCGTTGACAACAGCGGCAACCTTGTTGATCAAGTGGATAATCGTCTTAGCCATCCAGTAGCCTGGGGCCGCCTTGCCGCCAAAGATCGAGACACGGGGCAAGACCTTCTTCTTCTCCTCAGCGGACATCGCTTTGATTTTGAGGTACCGGTGGATGACCCCGAAGATGTTGAGCTGCTGTCGCTTATATTCATGGATACGCTTCACCTGGATGTCAAACAAAGCGTTCGGGTTCACGCTGTATCCCGTGGTTTCTTTGATGTGCTTTGCCAGGCGAAGTTTGTTGGCAGTCTTGATTTCTGCCCACTCTTTCTGGAAGGCCTTGTCATCAGCAAATGCCTCTAGTTGGTCCAAAAGGGTCAGATCGGTCAAAAATTGGTAGCCTCCTGATCTAGAAGCTATCAAGTCGGAGAGACGAGGATTTGCCTGGTGAAGCCAACGGCGCGGAGTGACACCATTAGTAACATTGGTGAATTTGTCGGGACCATAGATCGTCACAAAGTCTTTGAACAGGGTGGTTCGCAGCAAGTCTGAATGCAGTTCTGCGACTCCGTTGACCTTGTGGGAACCAATAATAGCAATATATGCCATTCTCACCATCTTAGGGTGCGACTCCTCAATGATCGACACTCTCGACAGCATCTCTCGATCCTCTGGGAAATTCTTCTCCACGAACTGCAAGAAATACAGATTGATATCGAAAATGATCTGCATGTGTCGTGGCAAGAGGCTTTGCACCAGTGGTACGGACCATTTTTCCAAAGCCTCCGGCAGGACGGTATGGTTTGTGTACCCAAATGTCTTTGTGACGATTCCCCATGCCTCGTCCCATTCCAGACCCTCTTGATCGATCAGGATGCGCTGGAGCTCAACGATGGCCAGCGTCGGATGCGTGTCATTGAGCTGGATGGCGACTTGCTCGGGAAATTCGCTCCAGGCTCTCTTTGTCTTCTTGAATCGCCGGACAATGTCGAACAAGGATGCAGCGCACCAGAAATACTGTTGCTTCAGTCTGAGCTCCTTACCGCGGTCCAAGCTGTCATTCGGGTAAAGCACTGCTGAGATGGTCTCCGCCCGTTGCTGCTCGGCCACCGCACTCTCATAGTCGCCTGCGTTAAACTTCTGAAAGTTAAACTCTCCGCTAGAAGCCTTGGCAGACCAGAGCCGCAGATTGTTTGTCGTGCGAGTGCCATACCCAGGAACGGGAACATCATACGCAACAGCCTGAACCACTTCACCGTCTTGCCATGAGCTCACGGTCTTGCCGTTTTCATCCTGATATTTCCGAACCCAACCATAGAACTGGATGTCAACAGTGATCTCATGCCGAGGGAACTCCCACGGGTTGAAGTCAAGCCAGTAGTCAGGAACCTCCATCTGGTAGCCATCGACAATCTCCTGTTTGAAGATACCATATCGATAGCGCAACCCGTAGCCCCACGCGGGGTAGTTGAGGGTGGCCATACTGTCAAGGAAACAAGCTGCCAAGCGTCCAAGACCGCCATTACCCAGTGCAGCATCATGCTCTTGGCTGATAACGTCCTCAATACGGAACCCGAGGTCCTTCAAGCCATCTGCGACAGAGCACGTACGGCATTAGTGAGGGATTCGCAGTCGCGAACGCGGATCGGATGCCTACCTCTTGCAGCATCCTTCAAACCGACATTCAACATGGCATTATCCAAGGCTCTGCCCATCAAGAACTCAAGAGACAGATCTGCGCATGAAGTATAAGCAAGCGATCTGTCTATAGAAAATATTACGTGGCTGACGCACAGTATACACGTTTCTGGTCCGCAGTCGCCTGTCGCTGCTGGGTCTTGTTCCATTCGATAATCAAGCGGTCCCTGAAAGCCAAAGCGGTTCCGGAGTATGCGGCCCTAGGAATCTATGAGACACCCTTCCGATACGTGATGGTATGGGGTTAGGAGACTAACAGTTCATCGCAGTTGTAGAGTGAGCGCGCCAATGTAGTTTCGATGTGGCGAACCAATTCGCTCTACCATAGCCGTCAACACGGGAAGACATAGCTAATCATTGTTGAAGACCTACTTCGAATTCTTCCTTATTGGTAAAGCCATTCACAGACTGTCCAGCGAATAACGTTAGTCACGAGTCTGCAAAGCGCGCAGTGCGTTTACGGATGAACTTACATGCTTTTTCCACCTGAAACGTTCTTCAGATTAGTTTTGAATCTTCTAGTGACCAATTGCGACTGTGGCTAAGGCCTCTGGAAAGCGACCGCCAGGATCTCTGGTGTAACCGGAAAAGAGGGGTGAAACCGGGTACTCACGCCTCTCTAAGGTGCTCAGGGATACTAGCTTCGACAATCTTGATCTCTGCAGGACCGAAGCCGGTGAAAGTACGCTTGTGCTTGGGTCGACTGAAGCTGGGGCCAACAGGACCCTGAAGCTCGGAGACGGGAGCTCCAACGGAGGGTCTCCTTTCGCGGCGACTTTCAGCCATGATGAGGATCAGCACGTGCCAGGTTTCAGTGACTGGGGCTGAGAGGTGAGAATTAAAGAAAGACCAATTCAAGAGGGGTTACGCAGAAAGAAGCGATGAGAAGCAAAGCCCTCCACTTGAAGGGATTAGAGGGAGGAAGTAGAGTGCGAGGCAGGGAGGAGGATGAGGATAAACGAAAGGAAGGGACAACCACCGACTTAAGAAGGATGCGGGAGCTCAAGGATTCGGAACTCAATGCACCGTACCGCGTGACAGGGAGCTGAGAATTGAATACATGATCCAGGATCAAAGCAAGGCAGCGGGGGGAGAGACAAGAGAGGAGAGAGGGGGGGGATTGCGTTGGTGACAGGATGACAGACTATACCTACTGAGGGGAAAGAACCGGGGATCGGATCATACGTTGGCACGTTGACTGGACCGTTATCCATGCACGTTGACCGCATGTCTAGGCCTTGGTAGAACCGGGGGACTTGCACGGCGCCGGAATCGGGAGGAAGCGACTCTTTCGATCAGCTTTATTAGACTAGTTAGTGATTAAATGATAGGCCATGACACCCCCTCACAGGTGACGTTATGTCGGGTTTGGGGAGCGGTCCGTGAGTGCGTGTTTGCTCCGGGACGCTCACGGATCCCTTCACGGAGCACGCACTATCTGTTTGTCATGTGACATGTTATCTTATCGAAAATCCGGGGTATGCGAACCTAATGCTTGCTTTGCTTCTCCTCGCATCCTTAATTCATGCGCCTTATGGAATGCGCTTGCGAGCGTCTGGGCAGCGTAGAACCAAACTTCCTTATTTGTGCAGTCAGATTAAAACTCTACTCCACAAGACTCCGTCCATTCCGTGCGCTTCAGAGGTCCCCGACACTACGGAGAGGAGTGTACTTATCCTAGAAGGCTATTCAAGGTGGTCTATCTCCCCGTATCATAGCTCAACAAACGGCGTATGATCAACGTGCTGAAATAGCTGTTACCAATAAACTACCAACTCTAGACGAACCTCCCCATCTCATGGCTCTGTTTTGCAGATCGAATGCCATTTTTTCGTCGCTATCTGGGTGTTCATTTGAACCAGATATACCTTGCAATCCAGCGAGTGAATGGAAAAGGGAAACCCGGGAAAGGGTCGAGTGATTATAGGCCCATCTAGCCGACCTGCAACACAACTCCCATCAACAACTCTCGGGTTGGCATTTAGGTGGGCAATTTTCGGTATCACGACTTCAATTCATCTCTCTGACTCGCTGAGCAAGTCTATAATATTACATAGTCACATATATCCGGAAAGTGAGTTGATAGGATGACCTACTACATATTAGTCTTTATTCTTTACTTCTAAGGTTAGGTGAAACGAGCGTCTAACGAAGAACCAGCTACTAGAAAGATCGTATGGGGCTCTTCTGTCTACTACATTGGCCATTAAGTAGTGCCTTCAAGTTATTTGCAGAGTCTTTCTCCCGCAGAGTGGCTGGTTGTTTCTGTGTGGTTCCATTGGCAGAAACAGAACAGGATGAATGTGAAACAATTCTCAGAGATTTTCAGTAGTATATAGCTTACTCAATGTACTCAACTAACTAGTCAGTATAAGCTTGGGTAAGTCTTTGGGGTAGTGACTTTGTATGTACCAGTACTTCCTCAAGAGGTTAATCCAGAATGATCTAGGCTCACAGGAATCACTCGGCCCACGCACCTTTATGCTCCGCCCACGCACAGGACACTTGAGGAGCGAGCCAAAAGCGGCGGCAGGTTGAGTATGTGCAGCGGAAATAGAAACTAACTGGATATCCGCAGGATTCCTGTTCGGTACTACTGTTTGGCAGGGTGGTGCCTATCTCTAGGAAATTAGTGATGCCGTCACGATCACTGTCAGTGCTGCTGCTGCTGCTGCTGCCAATTCCCCGGACGGCTGCGATGACGCATGTCCACCGCATCCCGAGGTCAGCTCAGACCATAGACGGATGCTGCTTGCAAGGACTCGGATCCATACGAGTGAACCAGAAGCGGAAGGCATTCTTGAAGGATAATCACGGTATGATTAATTTTGTCCCGTGCCTCTCTCGCTAATGTAATGGTGTAGATAGAAGTGATTGATGTCTTGAGACGGTCTCAGCTAAAGTTTGTGGTCCACATTACAATTCGAACTACAAACAAAATTAACTCAACCCCGCACTTCCACTCTCTCAATCTGTCACAGTCTACTGAAGATCAGACCTCGAGCGACCGTCTAAGCTGGATGACCCTCATGCAAGCATGCAAGGCTCTTGTCTCATCATGGCTTGCCCCGCCCCCCATCTCTAACTCTAACTTGCTTCTAGTTAATGAGTCTATGATTCAGCATTTGGTTTAGATCACAAGCATTCAATTCACTCACTGCACGCCAACCACAGACATAAGAAACCCCCCGTGTGATTTAAATTACATGTATGATAAATTAAATATCGCTACCAATGATTGTGAAAGATGAAAAGATCGCGGCCACGGGCGAAGCACGCAGTGAAGGAGAGTCGAAGGAGAGAAACAACACAGAAACTAGAATGACCGATTATGATAGATATGAAAATGAGAGATCGCCGTCCAGATGCAAAACGTCACTTAGGAAAGGAAGTTCAAATGAAAGGGGGAAGATAGTCAGTAGGGCAGAGGATCAGCTCCAAGGGCATGAAAACTGGATATCAAGCGCTCCTCCTCATACAGGCTATATGCAAAGTAAAGTTGAAGCCATTAACTTTTCGGCTGGAGATCAAGAGCTTCATCAACTCCCAAGCCAACGGAAAGGTTGACGGGCATCCGATCGTGGCCAACCCAGACCCAGACCCCCCAAACGAGCAAACCATCCCGACCCCAACAAAAGAAACAAAACAACACCTTGCCAGGCAGACCCAACATATCCGACCCATTCCAGCGCCAGCCACTTTGAACTGTGTGATAAGGCAAGCACCGCAACGCCAACGCAAACCCCACGAAAAAGCAACGCATGTGGGTAATAGGAAGATCATGAGGGTAAATCAGAGTAGAGGGCTCAAGGAAAAGAGGAAGAAGGAAAGTTAGAGACGGGTAGCCATAAACAAGATCCTGGACAACTAAACATGAAGTGGACACCCTACCGCTGTACCATCACAGCTGGAATATAGGGATAGGTTTGAGGTCTCGAGATGGGAAAATCTAATCATCGAATTGACAAACGCCATCGTTGTTCTTTGAAGATTAAGATCATCGTCACTGCTAGCATGAATTCGCTGCCAGAGAAACTGCTACAGGCCGAGTATCTACCCGATCTAGAGGATGCCGGAATCCTTCAGGGCGTTCTGCAATATCGTCTCTTTCACAGCAGCAAAGACTAATCGGATGTTCGTGGTGTCGGTAGCTTGCGTGAGACTGGGTAAAAAGTCAGACATTGAGACTCTGCAGTATGCAAGACAGTGTAGACTTACTGCGGGTAGAGATTCAAGTGCGCGCGATTGACTTGATTGAACCTCCACAACAGGTACTTCGCAGCTCGGTTTACATCGTTGCCACCCGAGTAGTCAGGGAAGTAATTGTTCAGCGGCGACCGAGGGAGCTTCTGTCGGAAAAGATCGACCTTGTTTAAGAAGAGAATGATACTCGTGCGCATGAACCATCGAGAATTCACCACAGAATCGAACAATACCAAGCTTTCCATCATTCGATTCTGCCAGCCAGTCAGATGCTGTAACGGCTTTGAGTGAATTGAAGCATACCTGATTGCTTTCCTCTAACAGAACTTGATCATACTCGCTAAGCGCCACGCAGAAGATGATGGAGGTCACATTTTCAAAGCAATGAATCCACTTCTTACGCTCACTGCGTTGACCGCCCACATCAAACATGCTAGTTTCCTTGTAAGCATCACTGAAGGCGACGGGAGAGTATGAACACAAGAGTCGCTTACTGTATGCTCAATTGGCCCATCGTGAAACGAGTCTCGTAGATACCGGTCGTTTTCGTTCGCGCACGTAGCACATCATTCACACTGGGAATGTAATCGGAGGCTGCTATTCGCTTGGCTTCCTCGAAAAAACTAGACCATCCTTCGTCAGGGTGCGTGGCACGTAGTGAGCAAGGGTACGAGCAGTCTTACTAAGGCGCGGAATCCATCAGGTAGAATTCGTTCTGGTGTTCTAATACCGTGGACGTGCAGGGGTCGTTCCAGAGATAGGTGATCGCATCCCCTATCTTATTGTCGAGTGGCACATTGGGATCGGGGTTGATATTGTATTCATAGATGTATTGGATATAATCGCGGACCTTCTGACTCGATGGTTCAAGATCGAATTGATTATAAGCGGCGATGAGCGATTTGGCGCAGTCAAGGAGATTCTTGTAGACTGTCAGACGATATAATGACAATTCTTCGACTGTGTAGCCATTCTGATGGATGATCTTCATCTGTTTGACAATCGTCGACTTTCCACTTTCTCCAGAGCCTAAAGATAAAAACACGTCCTGTTAGCCGAAGGCCCGGTGTACCCATAATTCAGGCAAGGGACTCGCAACTGACCGAGTAATAAGATCTTGCATTCTCGCCGTAGTCTCCTCGAATCCTCCTCCAATCTGCGATCAATGGCCTGGCTCCTCCGCTTCTGTTCCACATCTCCGGTCGCCTCGGAGCTCATACACGAACCCATTTTCTCGTATAACTCCCAGACAGCGGAGATCTAACCCATTAGCTGCCTGCGGAAGGGCACGGCATCCACCTATCAGACCGCTGACACCTGAAACCTCCAAGCAACGTGGTTCGCGAACAGCAAGTCGATCCAGATCTGAAACCAATCGAATCGAGAGAAGAAGAGGAGTTGCCGCGATTCAAAAACAATGAGGAGGTCTGTCAGCGATAAAAGAAAGGGTGGTAGGTTTGCGATCGACGTAGAAAGCTCGACTAGGGATCGAGGCTTGCGCGCGGAATGGCTCAAGATACCGGACAGGGTCGGATTTGAGACGACGAGGACCTGAGCGACGACTTCAAGCTTTTGAAAACCAGAGAGAAGGCTCGTGATGCGGTAGATCGAGGGATCGAGAGGAGAAAGGTGAGTGGGAAGGGTACCCTTAGGGGAGGTCGGTCGGTTGAGTAGGACGGTGTTTGGGTTTGAGAGCAGAACCGCGGGCGGAGTAGGTGTTGTGTAATTAGGTCGTTGTTTGAGCTGGGATGGAAAGCTGGGGTGAGGGGCGTCAGAGGATCCAACTGCGGAGCAGCACAGCGAAAAGAATGACGACCTGACGCTAAGAAAGGGTAGTCAAGGGCGATCGGAAGTTGGATTTGGGAAAGTCGATGGAAGCGCGGATCTTGAGTAAGATAATGTAAGCAAGCAACGAGGAGGATCTTGTCTCGGTCGGCAAATGGTCGATCGAGAGAGAGAAGAGGGGAGGGGGTGGGAGGAAAAGTAAGATGTGCGCAGATTGACTGATTGATCTATTAATGGTTCATGATTTAACTATGGTTCATAGGTTTGGTAAAAGAAAGAAGAAGAAGGGGGGTGGGTGTGGAAAAGGAAATGACAGCTCGTGGGTGTTTCAGAAGAAAGGCGGGTAAGGTTATTAATGATTGGTGTTGAATAGTTAGTAGGTATGTTCGGTGGTAGATGTAGTAAAGGAATAGTACTCAAAGCGAGTGTAGTGATGTTGGATAGTGGGAATTGGGGGAGTGGATATCCCCAATCGTCATAGTAGTGATCAAAAGTCTGTTAAGGTCGACAGACAGACAGGTGGAAGTGGAGATTTGAGGGAGACCGAGGAAAAGGGAAAGATTACATACATTTGTGTTCGATCGGGGCGACGAGTGGGTATCCGTTGGTAAAAAAACGTGGACCGCCCGCTCTCGACCTACTACGGAGTACTTATCCTAGTTCTAGTATGGTACCTTAGTTCGATCGGGGGATAACCAGATGACCAGATGAGCCCAAAGACAACAAAGGGTCTCTTGAGACTAACACTTAACAAAAGAATCAAAAAAAAAAAATAAATAAAAAAAAGATGGCTGCCAAGCTGGTCTGATTTGTCCTCCCCTCCTCTACTGAGGTAGTTATGGATGGATGTATCAACAGTGTTCCCTACTTAGCTCCAGGCTAACTGCCTCCCTCTGTGAACTGGCCGAGCGAGGTGACGCTGGAACAACTAGTACTAGCCACTGCAGTCTGTCTGCCATCCCTTTTTTACGACTGAGACGGAAATGAACATTCCTCTAATGAGCCACTACTAAGCACTGTTCTTTTGGACAGCTTCCAGTGGCGTTAGAGATTGGTTTGTCGTCAGTAAGCAAATACGCGTTCGGGATGTCCTTTCTCCTCGACGGAGTAATCATTCCGGGCTACGCACACACGGGACACAGAAAAGGTCCCATGGTTTAGATATTCTTCGGACTGTTTTTGTCACGGTGTTGAGAGGTTGTTCGAGGCTGATTCAAGGGTCACACTAGCAATGAATGAGGTAGGGCCATCAGCTTACTGAGTCCAGTGACTGCAATGATCTTCATAGAAGCATTCACCTAGAGGCGCCCAGTCTTGTACTGTGTATAATAAGGACTACTTGATTTGCTCCATGACCACTTTCTAAAGTAGATGATCCTTCCCAATGTCGGAGCGAAATGGGTGCTTTGACCCAGGAATACATGGCTTGGGGCATAATCCGGTCCGAGTCCCAGAATTAAATTCCAGGAAGCTATCTATCATTGACATATTATCTTCTTGGCTTAGTATTGTTCTCTCACACAATCTCAGTCACTGCCTCCACCCATCAATGGTCCCTGCGAAACAAAGATATATCTTATTGCGGGTGTACTTGAGCGCGCGACTGTGCGGCGTCTTCAAATCATAATCGTTTACCCTTCCCCTTTCATCATGCATAAATATAATAACCTACTCTCTGGTTTACATTGATAAAATATCACAGCGATTGCAGCTGTGTCTTAGTTCACCGAGGTGGAATGGTTCAGGTCTTCAGTATTGTGGCGCGTGTAGTCAAGCATATCTACGAGCTCGCACCTCATGTTGATGACCTCCAACTGCCTCCAGATTTAACCTGTGTTTAATGAAGTCGGCCTTCAAGCAAAGCTCCCTTATCGAGTATTGTTTTAGGAAGAATTTGACAGTGCCTAAATAGGTATGTCCTACCCAAGCGGATCAGGCACGCTTTACTATGTAACCCGAATCCAACCTGTTGCACGAAATGCTGGCTGGGAGGCTACTAGATATAAGATGACTTGCCCTGGGAAAACGTAAAATCGACCGAGTCTCGGGTAAACCAGGAAGAATGTTTCAAATGAACGTGGTGGCCCTTTGTGAAGGGACTGTATTAACACACATAGAGTCTAAGCGCTTTGACCCAATCGAGGGGCGGGCGGCCAATACCGACATCCGCAACATGGTGTATGTCAGTGTGTCTCGACCCGGTGGAGTCAAGAACTTGAAAGTCTAGATAATCAATCTAGATAAACGATAGATCTGGGGTGAGAAAAAGGGTGATGGGAAGGGGGAAAGGGGGAAAAGCCCCAGTCAATGAAGGATACAGTGTTATAGTGGATGTGGTATAGGTAAACATTCGACTTATAGATAGTCCGAGGATCTAAGATCGGTTGTATAGACAGAGCCAGTAATGGCATAGTCCTAGTACTGGAGGGGACGGAGGGAAAGAAGAGGGAGCGGGAGGGATTTTGACGCGCGAAGGCAATGGAAGTGATTGGAACCGCCGCTTTTTGAGACCCACCAAGGTATGATGACATCGTCCAGCAAAGGCCAGACTATTACGTAGTGAGCATGAAATCCTAAGATTCATTCCTCCATGTTTGAGATCCAGTTTTGATGGCTGCCGGGTACCACCACGTCCTCCAACTCTATACTCAGTACTTTTCCCCTACACAGTATCGGTCAGTGTATACCTGTCTATTGGATAAGGTAGTATGATAATTGTCAATCTTGTGGTCGCCGTCCCCCAGGGCACTAATGCCCGTGGTATGCTGTGGTAGAGACTACTGTTGCAATTTGAATGTACCGTAGAAAGGGTTCATACCGACGAGCTGAAGTCATTGACTACCTAAATTCTTCAGGTACCACGCATGAAAGTCAGAGTTCCTCGAGGGAAAAAGTATCCATGCTCCGTACTTACCTTGTAGCGAATTAGTTAAGTTATGCTGGAGGTGTTAGGTCAGCACACGTAAGTTAGGTTGACTGGTGCTCAGTATTAGGTAGTTAGTGCCGTGGTGGAGGGGCAGTCCACTTCCGGCCAATGACTTCCGATGGAAAATGTTCTAGACAGGTTTACCTGGGATCAGGCAGAGGGGGGGAGGGTAAATCACACCCCCAAATCTGGCAGGGCTGTTTGGTGAAGGCTGCACCGCTGCAGCAGTTTTTTTCTGCCATACCCTGCTTCCGTCGCGGACGTCATCGGTCTTATTTTGGGTGTTCCGGAAACTGGAGTCGACCTAATAGAGCCAACAGACTAAGAGAAAGAAGACTGCTGGGGCGCCACCTACGGCTTTTGCTGCCTCTCGCTACTCAACTCAACTCAACTCTTTCTTGTTCTCGCTCGCTTTCTTCCCCTCTCTCCAACTTTGGTGCAACCATCTCCATTAATTTTGACCAACTTAGATATCACTCTCCCGTGCCCGCAGAAATTTGGTCTTCCTTTCCTGTTCTCTAGACCTCATTTCCTCCTCTCTTCCATCCCTCTCCTCCCCTTCTTCGACTTCTCCCTCATCCTCTCATCCTTCGCATTATTCCCCTCCAATATCTACTGCCCGAGAATCTCCGTTCAAACACAACCCCTCGTCCCTTCCCCCCTCCCCCTCTTAGAAAACCTGAACTGAACTGGATTCGGTGTGCCGTCTAATCTTGGTTCAAAATGGCGGAATTTGTGCGTGCCCAGATTTTCGGCACGACTTTCGAGATCACCAGCCGGTATGATGAACTGACCAGAAAATACCCCGCTATGTTTCGGGGCTCATCTTCTGACCTCAAACTTCACAGGTACTCCGACTTGCAGCCGGTTGGCATGGGCGCATTTGGTCTTGTCTGGTATGCCTCATAATCAACATTTCACTCCTGCTCTCGTTGCGGTGCCTATGGTGTCTGCAGTTCCACCCACTGATCATCCCACTGACATGCGCCCCTTCGATTTTATTCAGTTCGGCGCGGGATCAATTGACCGGGCAACCAGTTGCCGTCAAGAAAATCATGAAGCCGTTCAGCACACCGGTCCTGTCTAAGAGAACATACCGCGAATTGAAACTGTTGAAGCACTTGCGACACGAAAATGTTTGTCCAGGCCGCTCAACGGCGATTCGTCGCCCCGCCGTGCTCCGAGCGCTGACAATTTGCAGATCATCAGCCTGAGCGACATCTTCATCTCCCCGCTCGAGGATATGTATGTATTCGTCATCCTTCAAAATGTTCTGCGCCACGCGTTCGGTTCTAATACAGCGGTGACAGTTATTTCGTCACCGAGCTTCTGGGTACCGATCTTCACCGATTGTTAACTTCGCGGCCTCTGGAAAAGCAGTTCATTCAATACTTCCTTTACCAAATTTTGGTACGTCGCCAGATTCAATCCACGTCATCCCGTTGCAAGTGTCTTTTCATCGTGGCGGTCGCTAATGTCTTACAGCGGGGGTTGAAATATGTCCACTCGGCCGGTGTCGTCCACCGTGACCTCAAACCCAGCAATATCCTTATCAATGAGAACTGCGACTTGAAGATTTGCGATTTTGGTCTTGCCCGCATCCAGGACCCTCAGATGACCGGCTATGTTTCAACCCGGTATTATCGCGCGCCGGAGATTATGCTCACTTGGCAGAAGTATGATGTGGAGGTGGACATTTGGAGTGCAGCTTGTATTTTTGCGGAGATGCTGGAAGGGAAGCCTCTGTTCCCCGGAAAAGATCACGTCAACCAATTCTCGATCATCACGGAGCTGCTGGGAACTCCTCCCGATGACGTGATTCAGACAATTTGCAGTGAGAATGTGGGTGAACACCTCCACGAACCTCATACTGCGGGGAACGGATCATTAACATGGCAATTAGACTCTGCGATTCGTCAAGTCGCTGCCCAAGCGTGAGCGACAACCTCTGGCCACTAAGTTCAAGAACGCCGATCCAGATGGTACGACCACATCCGCTGCAACTGCCTGGAGGCAAGAGCCATACTGACGTTCACTAGCCGTCGATCTCTTGGAGAAAATGCTTGTATTCGACCCGAAGAAGCGCATCCGTGCTGGCGAGGCCCTTGCCCACGAATACCTTGCCCCATACCACGATCCGACCGATGAACCTGAGGCTGAGGAGAAGTTCGATTGGTCCTTCAACGATGCCGACCTGCCCGTGGATACATGGAAGATCATGATGTAAATTTCTAATGAAACGAGATGGCGGAAATACTTTGCTTACGATGATACAGGTACTCCGAAATTCTGGATTTCCACAACATCGACCAGGGCAACGATGCTGGCCAAGTGCTTGTCGAGGGGGCTGCGACCGGGCAACAAAGCTTTGCATGAGGGGAGATTCGTGCTTAAAAATGACCCCTGACGAGGTGCATGGAATATGATAATGATGTCCTTTCCTTTTTATTGTTCTCATGGTATGTAGACTGGATGCGGGGATTGTGATATGCACGTTCACGTACTTATGTTCTGACCGCTACGTCGCTTGTTTTTTATGCCCCTCATTGTTTCTCAATGATCTCCAGGCTGTTATAAGCCTGGATAATATTGGAGATTAGAAACGTCTGTAACATGACCCAACCATTTGAGTTTCCCATTCTGCTATATATACACTATACATATCTGTTTCATGATTGACAGAATTCGGATTGGCCTTTTTAAAACTCTACTTCCATCAAGTGAAGAATGTCGTTTTACCCATGAACTGTGTTTAATAGACGTCGCTGAAAGTCAGGTTGGCTTACAAGAGATCTACTACATCTGCCTTATCAAATATAATGTGATGGTGTCCTGACTCCTGAGTTGCGCGATCGTAAGGCGGGAAGACTGAGTGGGGAAATTCAAGGTGATCCATCACCGCTCTTCGTCACCGCCCGCATTGCTGTAGATGGAAAACAGGGGGGCGGGCGGGGGGAGCTAAAGGCGGCGAGGGGAGGGAGAGCCCTCTGTTGTCTGGACTCCGGTTCTAAACCTCCTTTCCTGGTCTGGTCGGCTTCCTCCTGTGCTATTTACCTTTACTACCTCCCACTGGAGGTTCTGCTTTCCATCATTATTGCCTTGATAGTACCACACATCACTCCCAATTCCCTCATAACCGTGACCTGGGAGGGGCTTCCTCCTCTTCAAAGGAGGAATTCTGCTTGGAACGTGTCACTTCCCCGGCGCCTTCAATAGTTGCCCTCTCCCCCGCCATGTCTCACGTTCCCCTTCGGCAGGACCCCATTGTGATGGTCATAGATTTCCACCATGCAAGGTGAGTGAGTACATACTTACGAGAGTCCTCAAAGTGAATCAGGGGAATTGTGGCTTGCTTTTCTCTTTTCTCGAGCGCGGCTAGACCGATCGATTAAGATCATGCATATCGGAAACATTCTTCCCATTGCGCTTGTCCTTTGCGCGGCTGATGGGCGCCATTCACAACTGCGCCCCTAGCTCCCATCGCTCCCCTTTTCTTTGTAACCAGGCTCATGAACTAACTGAAAATCTCTACTTTGGTCGTCTAGAGGCCCGGAAGTCGAGTTATGTTTCGGAGACGAGGGAGTTGATCCTGTGGCGGAGAACGACTGGTCTCTGTTGCCATTCATGGCCTTATCAGACGGAGCGCATCTGTACGACCCACGCCTACTCCCCTTTACTACTTGCGGATCCCTGCACGGAATGCTCAGTTGAGCTCATACGCTTTGCCCACCAGGTCTACCGAGGAGTTCTCTTACTTCACTGTCCGCCGGAAGGAGACCGCGACACAGCCTGCCACATCGCTCTTCGGCATCTCCTGTTCTCGACAGATCGACTCCAACATCCTTCTCTACAGGCCAGCAGATGTGACAAGGTCAACGGTGCAGAAAGCGGTGGTAGTGATAACAGATAGTCCTCAGAGGTTGGGGCAGCTGAGGGAGAAGCTCTCTATCGTCACGTCTGCCTGGTTTGCGCAACGGTATGTCGAGCATCGCTACCAAGTGCTCCTTCTTTGATTCACTCGGTTCGGAAATCTTTTGGTGGTGCGACGCCTGCTGACACGCAGTCAACAGCGACTTTTCCGACCACGATATTTTGAAGGTGCGCTCGAATCTGTCCGAGCCATGGGTCTGTGGCTGACACGGCGTCTAGAAATTTCGAGAAGGCCTGGTTATCAGCTTGAAGAAGGATGACGAGACAAAGGATCAGAACTTGGGTAAGTAGATTGAAGTCGATGGTGTCGATCCGAGCTTACGAAGGTGCGAAGGGCTTTCCCTGCGAGAAATGATTCATGAATTCAAGTACCAAACCCTTGTCCTATTCAAAGCTCTGCTTCTGCAACCAAAGGTATGTATCTTGTCCTGTACTAAGTAATATTCGGCTTATCTGGATCAGATGCTCTTTTTCGGTACCAAGTGTGAACGGCTATGCATGATACAGTTTTCCCTCATCTCATTAATACCGGGTCTTATGAATCGCTTGCAAGACTCTGCCGACCCAGCATTTGACATGTACGCACAAACAGTGGAGAAGCCGACCTCCCTAAAAACAAGCGACAGAAGTTCTTGTATGCTGCCAAAATGCCCTCACTTGTGATTCAACACTAAAACCAGGCAGTGCTGGCGTACATGGGACTACCGTTACAAATCTTTGGCAAGGTGCGTGCATCTTCGATTGACAAGGTTGAACGACCTAACACCTCGTAGGGAAGCATGTTCGGGCCATACACCCCACTACAGCAGCTGGATCTACTGGCAGATCACGGAACCAAGTCATATGTCGTTGGCTCTACGAACTCTCTATTGCTGCAGCAAAAAGATCGCTATAGCGATATACTGGTCAATGTGAGGAAGTCCTGACGTATACTTCGCGCCCGCGTGCTGATTTCTGTGCAGCTTGACGATGACACTCTCACCATCAACTCTCCTTCTCTCAGAAACGCCCTGGCTCTCTCTGTCGCGGACAGGCGCTGGATCGACCTTCTCACTCAAATTATCAATGAGACCTGGGATGATGCACATCCCCAGCAGCCCAAGACGCATGGCTACATGGGCTCCGAGGAGTTTATTAGGCTCCAGTTTGAAGAGTACTTACTCGCATTGCTCTCCTGCATGCAGTATCATGAGGAGCTCAGCTCTTCAACTACTGGTGAACCGGGTGGGCGAAGCCGTGCTCAGCTGGAAGCCTATAATATCGAGGGCGACCCAGCGCTTGAATTCAATGCAGAATTCTTAGCGCAGTGGAGCACCACGCCTAATTATGCATTGTTCAAGCACCTCACTTCTGATGCGCTGCTATTCTCGATTGTCGAGCCTCGTCACCCGTGCGCAGGTGGTCTCACTATCGATGACGTTCAACGACGTGTAACCCAACAGGTTGCTGAGTTGCATCTAGACGAGCGCGTGCGGGAAGGTCGCGAGGCCTTGAATAGACATCTTTCGACAGGCCAAAAGAAAGTTAGTGCTGCGTTCAACAGCTTTTGGGCCGATATTGAATCTATGCGAGAAGCCCAACGGAAAAAGACCGAAGAAAGAACCACACCTTCGCAACGGTCCTCACTGGATAGAGGATCTCGAAACTCACCTCCATTCTCGCCTTCTGACACCGCTTCGATTAACTCCACTGGAGGGTCTTCGTGGTTCGCTGGACGGAAGGCCCCCGCGGTGGATATGACCCAAGCACAGGCATCAGTCAGCGCTGTGAGCCAGAAGGCGGGTGCCTACTTCAGCTCTTGGGGCACCTGGGCCAGCGAGAAACGGAAGGAATGGCAGGAGAAGAAGACCACGTCAACGTCTCCTAGCACAGCTACGCCCCCGGTTCCCACATTGACCTGCAGCACAGAAACCGGTGAAGCAGACCGAGGCAGACTGTCCATGCAGTCACGACGGAGCGAAGATTTCTCGACGCTATCCCGAAGTGGAAGTAGGAGAAAGCGGTGGAGCAACATACTTCTTCGACGCGAAAGCGGCGAGTTCAGCCGTAAGGATGACACGGCGGTGGATAGCGACGAACCAGAAAATACGTATTCAAAATCACCCCTTTCGCATGAGGCCCCTGCTTTCAGTGATAAGACTCACAGTGAGGAAGTGGCTAGTCGGTCAGATGACATACCTCAGCACGAAGTCGCCAATAAGGAGGAGGACAAGACCACAGTCTTAGACGAGGACGTCCAAGCAGCAACAGAAACCCAGGCAAGCCCTCTGTCGCTGCCGTCCCCTCACAAAGAAGAACTTCCTTCGCGTACCTGCGATATACCCATCGAGAAAGCAGGCGAATCATGATAAGCTTCTTCTGCTTCGGCCTCTAGTGACAAGCTCGACCTCAGGTTTGACCCCGGCCGAACCTTGATCATGTCTAATCTGAATCCTCTTTCAAATATGCGTGAGTACATAGGACTTCTTAAGCTTTTGTTCATCATCATAATGTTATTATATACATAATTCTGCCGGGTCTTCCGGTCTTGGTGTGCTGTCCTCGACATGGAATGAGAGCTGGCCCCAAATAATGAATGTATTTTCTGACGCATGGCTCATTACTCCTAAGACATTTCTCATGATCATTAATTTGATGAAGTATGGCTGGGACCTGATACTGCCAAATACTAATTATGAATTTGACTAGATGGGACCTTCGATTCAGAAGCCATTTGAGTTCACGCAGCCTCGCGGATAGGCAATTGCAATTTGGTACTCCGAGGAAACCTGGAAGAACGTCGCCTGGTTGATCGTCTTATACTTGTGCTTACTTGGGTTATCTGAACTTGGCCAACATCTAGCCCTCGAACATTGGACAAGACGCAAAGATCAAAGAAGAGGCGAAGATCGAAACGTCCCAGCTAGTATCTGCTCCTCCATGAGCCGTAAAATGGGTTGGCCAAGGTTGTTGAACCTCTTCAGACTACGCATCGCCTCCGTGAGGTCCCGCCGTGGCTTCGTAACCGGTTCTCCGGGTTGAAGCGGTAGGACTAAGGACTCGACACAGACGGACAAAGAAATCGTTATCAAAGGATGGACCTGCATGGTCAGCTTTACTTGAGACTAAAATCTGATAGGCTCACTTTCAGGGAGTTCAGATGGTAAAGTCGAGTCGTCAAATTGACGATATTCTGTGATGCTCGAGGTTGCCGCAGAATCCGTGGCTGTCAAAGCTTCGGGCAATTACTGCCATTTGGAGTATGACACAAGTGAACGCTGCGAATGTGCGACATGCAAGCTCTGGCTGTTGATTGCCTTGTGGGTTAGTTTGAGTTACGGATGATGAGGCTGAGTCTGAGAGACTGTAAATAAATTTGGCAGAACCAGCTGCACAGACGTTACTTCTGTCGACAGACCCCAGGGGCAGGACCGCGGCGACCTCGTATGGAAGGGCATCGGGCAGCTCGCTGGCCAGATTTGTCTGCAGTATGGTGTAGGACTGAAAGGCATTGTCCTGGTTCCGTTTCGTGGCCATGCCCACGGCATGCCCCACCACGCGATCGCCCGGCTAGAACCGAGTAACCTTGGGAGCGAGCTGGATACAACAGTTTGTATCACAACTCGCCAAATGGTAGTGGCCCATGTTCCACTACGGACTAGGTACATAAGAGTATGAAGCCTTCCAGCCTTGGGGCTGCTACTCTCGTTGGAGGATAATCGACTAAGTAAAATGAACAGGAACAACAAAGAAGCTATATTGAGAAATCATCTATCATTTAGGCAAACTACTACTCAATGAGTTTATGGATAACAAGATGATGGTAACGGAGAAAAGGAGTAAATGCCAGTCGGACCAGCCCAGAGTTAGGGCTCGGAGACGGCAGTTTCTCGGTGTTTTGCCAGTTGGTGCGATTTCTCCGACCCCCGAGGGGTGTGTCTCAAGCCACCACCTACAAACTCACTCTCTCTCACTCTAGAGACAGTGGACGACAAACTCCACTCCGTAAACACAGACCACTTCTTGAATCGGCTTGGAGTCCATTATTACTGCCTGCTTATACTACTTGATTTCACTCATTCGGAGAACAAAGGGCGCTGCGCTCTTCGGACAAACCTAGGACAAGTCGAAGGCAATCCAGCTTCAGCCCCACCCTTCAAACGGGTCGCCTGTCTGTCACCTCCCGAGTCCGATCTAGTTATCCGACAAGGATGTCTGGTCATTTGTCCAACTTGGTCAGGTAATCTAATTCGGGTGGTATCTTCATTAGAGAATCTCCGCCAGCGAAGATTCTCTAAGTTGTTGAGAGAGAGATAGAGATAAGAATACGAGCTCACGGAAAAGGTCGGCTTTTGTCGACTATGAAAAGGAAATACCTACATAGTGTTTTCAATAAGAGTGACAAGCACATACGACCACAGGGTGTGGAAAATAGGGCTTCCCGTCCGCTCAGCCGTACTCAAGCCACACGCCGGGAGGTTAGTAGTTGGGTGGGTGACCACCAGCGAATCCCTTCTGTTGTATGTTTTTTTTTCCTTGTTACAGCTATTCTTCTAAGGTCTGTGATATGCTACGTGCTATGTATAATAGCTAGTGTGGTGGTGGTGGTGGTGGTGGTGATCTGGGAAGTGGCTTTTGATCCCCGTATTTGGGGACGGATTCATGTCGTTCATCTTTACAATCCTTCTTCCTCTTGCTTTTGTTGCATACTATATTGGTATACGAACCTTCTATTTTGCTGCAGCATTCGGGCAAGACTGTCCTCAACAGGAATAGCACACTTCAGCGAGTTAAGTAGCCTTGATTGATTATGCCCAGACAAAAGCGATAGAGCAGTGCATTTTCATTCCGTTGCCTACTTCTACCGGTCACATCAACCCCCTGTACTGCAGAATGGCCTCCTTCTTCATTGCCTCATATTCGAAATGCCAAATCTTATATGACCAATCCCGAAGTTCCTCAACTCTGGATTGTTTGAAGGCTGGTGGTATTCTGACGATGAACGCACACACGCCGTAACGCAGCGAGTCGCACGGGGAAGAGGAGCTGCACTCGGCAGGGTACGAACACGTTGACTGGACGGACGGCGAGTGGTCCGCAAACAAATTGGAGAAGCTCATTGTTGCTTTTGCTTCAGGCGGGAGGTATGAGTGACTCCTATCTCTGCATCTAGATGAGATGAAGAGCCTATCGACTGACTGTGCTGCACGAGAAACAGTTATTGACAGATATTTACGTGAGATGAGGGCCGGATGGGAGGCTCTTTCGGTGGATGCCACTTCTCAGAAGTAGAGTAGGAACCCAATTGTCCTTACAGGAGCACGGGAAAGTCTGGGGTGCCATTGAATCGACGCCGGGAGGTTCACCCGGACAAATTTCACGTCATGACAATGCACCCAGGGCAGATCGCAGGCTCCAGTGTGAGTGGTTACTGGAACCCACGGGAGCACTTCTCCTTCGTGATCAAGTTGTCACAAACACTCAACGCACTGCCTAGCTTCGAAGGACTTCTGTTATGAACGCCCCTCGACGGTTCAGCTTGTACGCTCGTCGATCAGCTCTTGAACGAGACGAAACCGTATCCAGTCTATTATATCGAGAATCCCGTCCGTCAGCGCTGGGAAAAGATAATGCCCGTACTTGCATTTACCATGAACAGACATATGACCTTTTTTCAGATTGGGTGCAGCGTGTTCTAGGCTAAACCGACAAAGTGGCGCGGCGACAGGAAGGAATCAACCCCCCCAAGCGAGCGACTTCCATTTCGGAAGATCAAATTAAGGGACCCGGTGACTCCTGCGAGATCTAACGTTGTCGTCGTCGTCGTCGTCGTCGTTGTTGTTGTTGTTGCTATATCAGGTGTAGATACAGACTGCAGATTACTCAATCATACTCAGACTTCAGTCTCACAAATGGAGAGAGCATTTTCTTTGCAATGTTTCAACCATGCGATAGCTAATGCCGAGATAGTAGAAGCCTGCTGTTCATGCATGCTTTGTCTCAGAAAATGCTACTGTAATCAACACGGTGTCAGAACCCAGGGTTTCCCGGGCAGGTTGGAACGTAGAAGTCAAACTATCTTGAGAGTGGCCGTAATTGGAACCCGCAGTATACAATCCATTTCAGTCGTCGATGCGAGAATTATAAAAGGGGCCGACTCGGCTAAAGATATGATCTGGGTTATCATTTGTGGTAGCAGCGCTATGAGAAAATTACAAAATACCCTATCCTCCATGGCTCGATGAAACCTGGCGTAAATCAAATCAAAATGGGCGGTGGGGGAGGGAAATGGATACCGCGCTAACAGGACACACGGGAAGTATCAGAGGAAGGTGAGGGGGGGAAAAGAATGATGATCGCAAAGTGATGAGGTGGTAGCAGTGACGAATTCATGCAATGTAAGCAATCTCGTCCCCATCCAGTCGCTCAATGTAGTCCTTCTCCATCAAAGCCTCGATATTCTTCTTGATATCTGGGACCTTGGGGGGGAAGCGAGATTTGACTTGCTGGATCACTTCTTGCACCAACTGTACGTGCTTCATCTTCTTGCGGGATTTCATGATACGGACAATAGCAGACTAGAAGGATCATTAGAGGGGACACAAACTGTAAGGTTGGCATAGGACGTACCTGTAGTAGAAGCTTACGGTCTTCCTCAATAGTCTTGTGTGTATCATCCGACTCAACCTTCTGCTCCGACTTGATCTGGATGTTGAGGTTGACCTTTATCTTCTTGTTCTTGAAGTTATAGTTCAGATTAAAAGAGGTGCCAGGCTCTGGTTTTGAGCCCTCGGGGCTAATAGTCAAGACCTTAGCCTTGAGGAAGATGCTTAAGTTGGGATCAAGGATCTCGGGAGAAAGGGAGGTCGCTTTTTGAATATCCTCATAGGTCAGGGTGTCGTGCTCATTGAACAGTAAAAGGATACCCATTTGGAATGTGGATACTTGGAACGTGTAGGGCACTTTGGTGTTCTTGATGTAATTGGCCTTAATTTCACCTTTGCATAGCTGCCAAAGCCAGGTCAGCTTCCGGCCATTGTGCTTGTCAAAGTAGAAGCTCTGGAATCGTTCAGATGTCTTGACAATTTCAGGTGGTGCAAGGAAATCAGTGGTGGGCGCGTTGAGAGGCCAGAATCCGGTTCCGAGAATCTGGAAATGCGAGTCGACCAGCTTCTTCCGGTCGTCATCATCAAGGATCTTCTCTTGCCAGTCACGATAGCTGGCGTTCAAGTCCTTCGAGATCTGAATATCCTGGAACATGCGCTGCAGCTTGTTGGTATATTCGAAACCGCACGCCTCCTTGAGCTTGCTGATCATGCTAGTTTCTGCGTCGTCAGACACTGAGCTGACATGTACCAGGCGCTTGGCAAGCATTTTAGAGTAAAACTTCTGGAAAACGTCCTTGTCCTCAATGTATTTGAAGACAGTCATGATCTGCACCAACATCTCTTCCAATTCCGACTCCTCTGCAGCTTTCGATCCCTTCTTCAATAATGAGTCCGTATATCGTGCGAGTAATTCAGGTGTCTTGGTCGATCCGGACTTGCAGATCTTGTTACGATTGACGAACTCACGGCAGGCATTATCCAGAGACCGGACAAATTCCGATTCGCCGTTAAACGCCTCACTGACTAGGCTCTGATACCTGGTATGTACCTGCAACAACGCGTCCACGTATAGTTTAGGCTCGAACGACGTTTCACCGTCGGTGGCCACCTTCTCGACGGCAGCCAAACCAGCCTTCCTGACATGCGCCTCAAATTTTGTGCGGAGAGGGTCCAGGCCTTCTTTGATTCGGGAAAGAAGTCTATACATTCGGGCCAAATCATCCTGGCGCTCATTGTCCAACAGGACTTGGAACTCGTCTCGGAGGAGTTCTGAGTGAGCTGTAACCAGCACATCCAGACAAGTGTCGGTCAATTGCTTGGAAATGTCCGGGTGTAGGTACAAGCCGACACGAGCCTTTTCTTCCTCCAAACGGGCCTCGGCCTTCTTCATATACTCAACCACGCTGTTTTCAGTGACGAACTGCCGCGACTCGTTTTCGTAGTAAGCTCTGGTGGCACCGATGAAGGGCTTTTCGAAGTGGTAGCGGTAAACCTCGAGCGTTGATTTGGTGCTATCGGTCTCATCGAGACCAAGGGAGACGAATGAATCGACGATGCTCTTAATCTGTGACTGCTCAATAGTCTCGCCGTTGCGCTGCTTCTCAACCAAGTTCAATACAGCCTCCATGACTTTCTCATGAACCTTCATGAAAAAGTCATCTTTCCATTTCACCAAGTGCAGCGTGTAAACATCGTAGACATTCTTCTTGCCCTCGTCGATCTCGCGTTTGACCCAGTGTCTGTTAAGGTAACGAAAAAGGTGATTGATGTATTTGGCGGCAGTGGTGTAGCGAAGCCATTCGCGAATATAGAATCCCAACAGGGCCTCTTCGGCATGGCTCTCGGATTCTCTATAGACAGCCTCGAGGTGGCGTGAAAGGTATTCGCCAAGAAGCTTATACAATTCTTCACCGAGGAGATGGGCTGCAGCGATGGTGTCAGTATGCAGCGCTGGCCCAGGTGCCTTTTGGCCAAAAAGAAACAGTATGGGGACTGACCACCGCGATGAGCATTTAAACCAGTGCCGCTACCAACAGCTTTCTGTGATGTGCAGAAGTTGTGAACCGCTCTAGGCATGACGTGAGTATTTCTTCTGGTGGTGTAGACAACAGGAGGCTGAACCATACGTGTAAAGAGCCATGTACTAAGCCCGGTAGAGAGGAGTCAGCGACACGACCAATGAAGAGCATAACGCATCACAAAATGAATGTAGAAAGTCATACAGTTTTCATATCAACCCCTTCTTCTAACTTGAGCATTACACTGTCGATGCCCTTCTCCAAGAACGTCCATCTGCCTCAAGTCAGCCGGAGCCCCGGGAATAGTCGCCTCGGTCACCGTCCCCACGGATAGATGGCAGGGGAACTAACGTTTCATCAAGATCATCCTTGTGCGGCGTTTGAGGGAAAATAGCTGGCATCTTGTGTTTAATAGCCCAGGTTCGAGTCTTGAGCGCCGGTCTGTGGAAAATGCGTGCGAACATTAGCCTGATAGGACTAAAATAGCCTCATAAAGAGCTCCCGGGGGCGGGGGCAAAAATCATGATATTGCAGGATATGGCAAAATGAAGAACGAGAACTGCGGTGTAACCAATGGGTATGCCCATGATATCAGGTAGAAATGCTCTTACCTCCGACGTTGCAAGCGATACGTGCAGTGGGTGACCTCACTCTGAGCGGCGGGCGGTTAAGGCAGCGGTGACGGAGACCAGACGAATGATATCTCTTCTGGCTAGATTGGTATGGGAGGAAGGAAAAATTAATGATTCTGATAGGTCGGACAGTAACAATGGAACAGAACAGCAACCTGCAAGTCCACAAAGTGAAAGAAATGGAGGATTGAACGAGACGCGCCCGAAGCTGTAGGAGAGATCGGGGATGGAGAAGCAAGCCAGAAAAGGCGTGGCGTTGGGCGATGGATGGATGCCGTGGGGGGAAGGCACGCTTCGGGTAAGCGGTCAGGCAGCTTTATCGAGTGATGCCCTCAGCGAACTCTAGTCTACAGATTACACTGGGCAAGCTTTGCGGTATATCTCAAGTCAACTACAACTACTTCCTGATCGTGTAAAAATGACTCAGACTCCAGTCTCTCTCTGCTGACACTTTCGGTTGTCTTGTGGCTACGCGACTCACGGAAACCCACATCAGGCACCCCGACATATTGGAACTCCCAATCACATCAATTGGCTGCATATGCTTGCACTGACGAGTGTGCACAAAGTGATAAGTTGCTTTATGAGCGGCGGTGCCTGTTGCTTGCCACGCTCGCCCTTGCCTAGATATTTCTCTTGTCTCTTCCTCTGACAGAACAATCACCATTGCCCAGACTGTTGTTCCACTGTGATGATCTCTGATGGCATCAGCGACACTGCGCGTAAATGACGTCATGCTCAGCCAAATCGAAGGTCGGTCGCCCGTTTAAAAGAGAATGGGTATCCTTGGTATCCTCTCCGCGCCGGACTCAGGCACTATTCCGTCCGCGTGCCAGGCCAGAAATCTCTGCTCGGTGCAACATGACGTTTAAGCCGCCCACCGACGTCCAAGTAACTTGCCGCCAGATCCCTCGGTGGCAGGGTCTTCCCAACACTTCCATACAATTCAAACCACTGATCATCTACCACAAGGCCTTTGACGCGACGGCTAGCGACCTCGCTGCTCATTTCGAGGACATAGGTGAGGTCACATCGCAGTGGGTTTATTCCATGTACCGCCAAACGCACTTCCACAGCACCACCCACGAGGTGCTGGGAGTTGTTTCTGGCCGTGCGCGTCTCTGTTTCGGTGGAGAAGACAATCCCGAGCGCTTTGAACCAACCGTCGAACGAGGGGACCTGATTATAGTCCCCGCCGGTGTGGGCCATCGGCTCCTCGACGAGCTGGGCACAGACGAAGAAGAACCCTTCAAGATGGTGGGTGCCTATCCGCCTCAAAGACAGTGGGATATGTGCTACGGAGATCCATCTGAGACAGACAAAGTCTCAAAGAACATTAGGCAATTGGATTGGTTCCATGGGGATCCCTTGTACGGCAAAGATGGGCCGGTCCTGCACGTGTAAACTGAACCGGCGCATGCACGTGGGCTCATAAACTTATGTACGGTACATCTGTTACCCTTGACAAATCATATAGCCGTAATCCATTTATTATAAGTATCGAAGCCAGAGTCCCCGTACAGCACGCAACACTTGGACGCCTTCGTCTTACCAATTGAGCAAATGACCAGTTCAAAAGATCTGCAAACACACCAAGGAGGAGATAATTTAGGGTAGAAGCATGAGGGAAAACAGGGATCCGCTGTGGATCAAATGAGAAAGGAAGAAAACGGGGGTATAGGAGAAGAAGAATGAAGTAGAGAAAAACGAAAGAAAAAAAAGAAAGAAAAAGAGTTGCCAGGAGAACCGAGTTCCCTCCCAAATGACCTATGAGGCTACACGTTCGACGAGTCTGCGTGATAATTGGAGCGATTTAGTAACTGACTTCATAGAAACTGGAGCAAGAAGCTGGCTTACCTGAGAACACTGATCGCAAATGTTGTCAGCCAGGCCAAGAGTGCGATTAAAAGAACAGAGGCGAGAGCCACCTGTCGGTCGCAGATTGCATCATTCTTAGGCGTGATCTCCTGGTTGACTTCATTCAATGTGCAAGCACCCTGTACGGTGGACAAGGATTCGAATGCCAAACTGAGATTGGCTGAATCAAAAACGATGAAGAAAATGTCTAGCAGAATCAGCCGTGCTTTGGCTGATGCAGACCGGAGGCCGAGCGGCTTCGAGGTATATTCGTCGAAGGTGATATAGATCAAGTATACGAGAGCCACTGCGTCGACGATGATGGCCATGAGTGCGGACGGGCCCTGTGGATGTTTATATTGCCCCGACAGATGTTGGATAGAGCTCCCCAGAGCCAGTGCAGTAAGCGAGAAGCACCAGACAGTAAGTCTGAAAATGAGGGGGACCATAGGACTTCGGAGCAGAGTATTATGAAAGCGCTTGAACCAGATCTCTCGGCGCCGCTTCATCCTCAGCGGATCTTCCGTGTCTTCATCTGGAGCAAGTTGCCCTCGCCACGGCTGTGAGAAATCCCCCAGGTTTTCATTCAACCATTCTGGCGTTACGGACGTCTCAGCGCCCGGTTCGCGAGGATATGCTATCACCTTCGAGAAGTTTTGCCAGCGAGACTGGCGACGAGATGAGCCCCCTTGTTCTTCGTCCTCATCGTCGGCTCGGCTCGGGCGGTTCGATTTTGTCGCATACGGGGAGTGGTTATGCTGCGCCACGACGGCGTCGTCGGGTTGTGAGGGAAGAAGTCTGGTCGTAGCAGGGACGTCGTTGTCTTCTTCAGGATATTCTACCGAGCGAATCCATGCTACAATAGACAACGGTGCAAAGTCAGCAGGGTCTGCGTCGAGGAGTCAGGAGTCCCGATGGCCAAGGTACCTGGCAATGTTCTTGGTTTCCTGCTCATTATTGGACCAAGATCAGAGTCTCCTACCACTGTACTCTCTGGTGATCGTGAAGTCCCTGCCGACTGGTCTACCATATCCTCATCGTGATTGGGGTCATGGTCACTGTTTACTGCGCCAACGGAAGGGTTTGACTGCGCCGACATCCATTCCGAGGTGGACGGTTTTTCCGACAGTTGTTCATCGGGACCTGAGCCTGAATCCGGTGGCTGCAAAGGAGAGATGTCGCGCACATCGTGGGCCATTGCCTTAAAAATCAGCGATTGTCCCAGGCACAGTTGCGTCGGATTGTCGGAAGTAGGGGGAAGACGGCGGGTCCAGTCTGCATCGCCCCAATGTTCCTCGGCACTTCAAGCGAGCACAGCGGCTTAGTGTACAATTGGGATACCCTTGTATGCGAGAAGAATAGAAGAATTTAGATAGAAAGAATACAGACCACACCCACCATAAAACGCTGTAGGGTAAAGGTGGGTGAGGGGGGGAGGGGGAGGTGGGTGGGAGACTGGGGAGAGGAGGCTGGCTCGGCAAAAGAACCATGAATCGGAGTGCTCTAGTTTTAGTGCCCGGAACCTCGTGAGTAACTAGATTTCTAGTGATGATTCCCTCTCCAACCTTACTTAACTAACTGTTAGTTACCGCATAGCAGCGAAAACTAGTTAGTGTCGCCGGGAGCGGAATGACGTCGGCCCCTCCTGCACCTGCTCCAGTGACGAGCATCGCGACGGCGGCGGAGGCGGATTGACCACCACCACCACCACCAAGACTATCAACGGTGGCCAACAATTCTCCTGTCCTAGCACTGCCTCTCTCACATAAACAACTCCAACAGTGAGCGGACTGAGGCATGCGACAAACTTCCTTCCATTGTCGATAGTCAAACTTCCCGTTCGCTTCCTGCAACACACGACGCTCTATTCTGGTATGCTTCTCCTCGTTTACCATCCATCCGAATACATCCATTGCCATCTCACAACATCTTTCGCAACATCTGCGAAACCAGACCATCGTTATGCGAATCTTCATCGTGCCTATATCGACGCGACGAGCTCTCATCTACGCTCGGCCCGTCGGCCAAGAGGTGTCAAAGGAGCGCACATATATCGACAAAATCACCAACAAGGCGGCGGAGACATGGGCAAAATGGGAAGAAGCGGATAAAGGATGGAAGAAACACCTCGTTTCTTGGGGCAATAAGGTGCAGCAACGGATTCCGTATCAAGAATGGGGTCTCAAGAGCATTCCCTCGCTGAGCTCTCAGCGGCGAATTGACAAGACCTACGGGACAAAGAAAGTGGATGTCCTCTTCCCTGGCAATGCGATACGATCTGAGAAGCTCCATTCCCTCCTGCATGCTATCGCGACCGAGAGGCAAGACTTGCATCGCAAACGGATGTGGTGGAGCTTCCTCGCGACACCCCTCACAGCACCGATTGGTCTCCTGCCAGTGTATGTATTCCGCTCCAGCTGTTGTCAGTGTCGTCTAGCTCGGGACTTACATTTGTCAATACAGCGTCCCCAATATTCCTTTCTTTTATCTGGTATACCGAGGGTGGTCCCATTGTCGAGGTTGGCATCCCCCTCCCTTCGTCCGCCACACCCATGCGCTAATTATCTTGTAGCTTTGAACGGATCCAAGCATCTGGAATATCTTCTAGAGAAGAACCTTTTGAATCCTATCTCCTACCCTGCGCTTGAGAAGCTGTACGCCAAACGAGTTTCGCATGCACTTGAATACACTAAATTGGATAAACCTCTCCCGGAGATGGTGGAGGATGTGGAGAAGAGTGACGATAGACTGTTGCTGCGCATGAGCGATGCGAAGAAATTGGCTACCATTCTCGAGGCACCAGACCTGGCTCTTGAAGCCGAAAGGGCTATAGTGCAAGTGCAGGAACAATTAAATCCGCACGATCGGGAAGATAAGAGCCAGAGTCCTCCCAAGGAGAAAGACACATAAGTGGGCCCCAATGGCAGACAGAGGGGTTCCTGATATTCGCAAAAGCTCGGCACTTCGCCACAGATTCTTAGGGTTTGAGGTCGGAGTATGGGTACATAAACATTATAGAGCATGAACAAGTGAATCTTCAATTATCTGTATATCAATTATATTATTCGGAGTACTATTGCGATACTATGTATAAAATGTATATGTCTGTGGACGGAACTAACTTGTTCCGGCAACACCCCTCTCTCTCTCCAGCAAATGGACGGTAAGTCAACTATTACTGCGGGACTCCCCGAGCTGGAGGAACGACCAAACATCATCCACTGTCAACTTCGCCGCCTCCTTTCGCTCATTCACGTCATTCTCTTGCTGTTTCCTTGCGTGCTTTGTTACGTTCATTCAAAGAATAGTGCTTCTTCTGCCGTACCATAATAAAGCCTCCCTCCCACCATGTCAAATAAGAAGATCGAGCAATGGGAAATTGAACGGTACTGGGAGATCTTCGCATCGCTTGCAGGCGGCCAGTCGCGCCTAAACAACTCCCAAGCCGCCTCCGTGCTGAGGAACAGCCGGCTCCGCGATGACCAACTCGAGAAGGTCTGGGACTTGGCAGATGTAGACGGAGATGGAGAGCTGGACTTTGAGGAGTTCTGCGTTGCTATGCGATTGGTCTTTGATTTAGTGAACGGGGTATGTTTGCTCCCATCTTATCACTTGTCCTTCCCCGTACTGGCTGGCCTCCGAGGGTCGCCGGCCGCATACTCCTTACTCGCGACCACTAATACGCACAAACAACCCACCACCCACCCCTTGAAGCCCAGAACCGCGATTTTTCGGCTGATGTGAATCATACCAATCACAGGAATTACAAAGCGTGCCTCACGTTCTACCCGACTGGCTCGTTCCCGAATCCAAGGCCCATCTAGTCCAAGCAACACGAGCACTCAGCGACCGTCCGGAACAGTTTGAACGGATAGAGGATGAAGACGACACCCCGGGCCTCAAGGATGGATTCGAATGGTATATGAACCCAGCCGACAAGTCTAAATACGAGGAGATCTATCTGGCGAACAAGAATCACCGCGGGGAAGTCACATGTACGTCGCAACCAAGAGCCTCCCCCACCTCCTTAAGCTCTTCCTTCTCCAAGCCCATTCTGGGAGCGCTTGAAAGTCCCTATCAATATCTCTAACATGTAGCCATTCTACGGAATAGTCGAATCACTGCAGGGTCTGTATGACTCCCTAGACGTGCCGGACACCGACATCCGCTCTGCATGGAACCTCGTCAACCCCTCCGCCTCCCCCTCCATCAACAAAGATGCCACCCTTGCATTCCTGCACATCCTGAACTACCGCCACGAGGGCTTCCGCATCCCGCGCACCATCCCCGCCTCGCTGCGCGCCTCCTTCGAGAACAACAAGATCGACTACCAGCTGGACAATGCGCGGCCCGCCCAGAAATGGGGTGCCAACGGCGACACCGAGACCGCGACCGGCCGAAAGGCCAAGTTCGGCGACACCTACCTGAGCCGCCTCGGCGCCGGCGGCAAGACCTCCTACACGCCTAAGGGCACGGACTTCAGCGACACCATCCAGGACGAGGAGTGGGAGAAGGTGCGGCTGCGGCGCGAGCTGGCCGAGTTGGAGGCCAAGCTGGACGCGGCGCGCAAGGCGTCGGAAGGGCGCCGCGATCGCCCCCGCAACGACGGCCGGCCCAACTGGGTGCTCATCAAGAAGGAGGCTCACCAGTTACTGGAGTTCAAGGAGCGGGAACTGCGCGAGCTCCGCGAAGGGCTTGGTCGCTCCAAGGCCGGCCAGGACATTGAGCGGTTGCGGGAGGACGTCAACGCCGTGGGCGAGCAGGTAGAGGGGTTGAAGAAGCACCTGGCACAGCGCAAGGAAGTGCTCGCCGACTTACGGCAGCAGATCGACGAGCAGAAAATGTCCCGGTAGTGTGTGTCTGGAGATCTTACGCTGCGAATCTCTCGTTCTTTGAATATAATCCCTGTCTATTCACCCCTTCAATGTGCTCGTATTGTTGACGGAGCTTTGTCGTGTCCCCCTCTTGCACTTTTGACTCTCATCATCATCACGCTGTATAGCCGACTCTTTCTTTCTACTTACTTCATTTCTTATATCTTTGGGCAAGGAGCTCCAGGCGCTTAAATGGATGTTTTGATAATTATGATGCTCTCGCTTTTTTATTTTCCTCGGCTTTTGGAACTCCCGCCCACCAACTCAACCAGGGCTGACAAGGCCTCTATCTCTGGGCTGGTCATATAGTCTAGATATGCCATTATCCTTTGATCAGAATGCCGCGGGTTTGCTACGAACTCATTGATATCTTTAGTTAGGTAGTTGTAAGGTAACTCTGGCATCACCATCGACTTTGAGTGATTAATGTACAGCATCATGATCTGCCCGAACAAGACCTCAAGTTCAGAGCGGGCAAAAGGCCCAAAGGAGATATAGTAACGCCACCCTCGTCTAGGTTTTCGTAGTTAAGCCAGCCACAACCCAGGTAAAGCACCACGCTTCAATCGCTGCTAGAGAATGCAATCATGTACACATACATTGCCCCCAAAATTCTACAAAGCTGACCCAGCCGGAAAAAAAAAAGAGCAGAGAAGAGTTCTCACTTGCCAACGATCTGCGCCATCAAACCACCCCCATCCCGCTTCGTCTCGACGGACATGAAGGCCCGGCCACCGGTATCCAGCCCCTTCTCGGCGCGGGCATACGCCTCCTCACCCCGATCGGTCAGCACGTCCAGGTCCTCCTGTGAGAGGATGGCCGACTCGTCAGCGCCGAGGTCGAAGCGCTCATACTCGTCCTCACCAAGGGCCTTGCGCAGATCATCAATCTCGCTCTGCGTCAAGGCCGCCGCGGTATTTTTGTCTGGCGCGTCCAGCAGACTCCGGAACTTGCCCTTTTGGATGACCAGACGCTCCAGGCGACGCTTCGAGTCCGCCTTCTCAAGCAGGGTCTGCTCGACGGTGCCCTTGGTGGCGAGGCGGTAGACGATGACGGGCTTGGTCTGGCCGATGCGGTGGGCGCGGTCCTGCGCCTGCAGGTCCTGCTGCGGGTTCCAGTCCGAGTCGAACAGGATCACCGTGTCGGCGGCGACGAGGTTGATGCCCTGTCCGCCGGCGCGCGTGCTCAGCAAGAAGAGCTTGTACTCCGGGTCGGTGTTGAAGGCCTTGATCTGGGCGCGGCGGTCCTCCTGGCTGACTGCGCCGTCGATGCGGCAGCACGGCCAGCCGCGGAGGTGCGTTGCCCAGTCCTGGAGGATGTCCAGCTGGGTCTTGAATTGGGAGAAGATGAGGACTTTGTGGCCCTTAGCCAGAAGGGCCGGCAGGAGGCGGTCGAGGAGGAGCATCTTGCCCGATGCGGTCACCAGAGTCTCGTCGATGGCGGCTGCATCGCTGTTGTCCCAAGGCCAGTAGAAATTGTGCGGGGAGTTACAGACGAGGCGCGCTTGCATAACGGGGTTTTGCAGCTTCTTTTGCGCGATTTCTTGCTCTAAAGCGTGGTAGAATATGTTAGGACAATAAGAAGATGTGGAGGATGAGCCACCTGGGGTTTAATCGAAAAGAGGAGTTAAAGGCGATACGTACTGGCAAGCTTGATGGTCTTGGCCCTCTCCAGCTCCTCCTGTTCGGTCTCGTTTGGTTCGTCAATGTCAAGCTCCTCCTCCAGACCTTGCTCCAGCTTCCGCAGCTTCGCATTGAATTCGCGATCGCTCAGCTCCTTGTAGCTCTGTGGTGCTCTGCTGCGTCTTGCGGACCGGGCTCCGCTAGCAGGGGTGGACGCACGGCTCGATTTGACGCTCTTGCTGGGAGACGACGCCTCGCTCATTTCTGCGCTTCGCTTCAGGCTCTGCGAGCGAGATAATCTGCCATTTTGTGCTAATAGTCGCTCAGTTGCTTTCTCTTCGAGGTATTGCCGGCCAGTGCCGTTGAGAATCTCGCGGTAGAGGTCTTTCTGTTCAGTAGTCAACGGGGCATACAAGATGTACTCCCGCTTCTTAGGCAAAGAGGTCTCGACGTCGGTTTTGACGCGTCGCAGAAGGAAGGGCTTCAAAATGGAGTGCATGGTGGATACGAGCGTGCGCTTCCGACGCTCCATGACATCCGTCTGGCCGCTCTTATCCAACATGGACGAGAAATCGAACCAGCTCTGGAAGCTGTTCAAGTCGTTGAAGATCTCTGGTAGGAGAAAGTGAAGCAGCGACCAGAGTTCAGTGATGTTGTTCTGCAACGGGGTCCCGGTGATCAAAAGTCGGTTGGCCGAGTTGTAAGTGAGAAGCTCCTTGATGAGCTTGCAGTTCATATTCTTCAAGCGGTGCCCCTCGTCCTAAGGTTGATTGAGTGTGAGCTAGACTAGCCCCTTCCCTATCTTAAAGTGATCAAACATACCACAATGATATAGCGCCACTGATACTGCGCCAGGAATTTCCGATCGTTCATGCAAATCTCGTAAGAGGTGCACACCACCGGGAAATCCATCTCTCTTTGATTCCTGATATTCATGAACTTGTTCCGGATCTGTGTACGCTGGTCCTTGGTGCCATGATACAAGACCGTCTTGATGCCCGGTGTCCACTTGGCGAACTCGTCGACCCAATTGCTCACCGTACTCAACGGCGCCGCGATCAGGAATGGTCCCGATATATTCTTTTCCTTGAAGAAAGCCAGCAACGAAATCGCCTGCACGGTTTTACCCAGCCCCATCTCGTCGGCCAGAATCCCGCAGAGCCCGTTCATCCACAAAGACTTCAACCACTCCAACCCCTCTAATTGATACTTCTTCATCCGACCCCCCGTCACCAGCTCCGGCTGCTGCGTAGCCACAAGCTCCTGTCCACCCAATGCCGTGGGGTTCGCTTCGTATTCGTCCGCCGCATGCTCCAACGCTTCCTGAACCGTCGGCTTCTCCTCATCCACCTTCACATCCGCCTTTTGAAAATAACTCGAGATCGTCTTTCCGCGGGATGCCGCCTTGCGCCCACGACCTCGCTTCGGTTTAGTAGTCGCTTGCTGTTGCTGATTCTGTTGCGCAACATCCTCCACCTTCACTGCCCCATCAGTCTGATCCGCAGTCTGCTGCTGCTGCTGCTGCCTCGCGCTCGTCCTCGTCTGCCGTTTCGGCCCGGCCGCGACCCCGCTCTGCGCCGGACTGGCCTTCTTTACCACCGGGGCAACCAATTCATGCTCTCGCCTCTGCTGCTCCCTGAGAGCCTCCGCCCGCGCCTCTTCCTGCTGTTTCTTCATCTTGTCCGCCATAATCGCCACGAAGACCTAGACCAGCAAAAAAGAGTCAGCATGGAAAGCCCACCAAACCGAAAGCCGCGAACTAATTCCCACAGAAATCCCCCGGGGGAGGGGGGAACCGCAACTTGAAGACTCAAAACTAACCTCACTGGTATTTAACAAATGCATCAACGCCTTAGCCTGGACATCCATCCCCTCAGTATCCTCCCCGGAAGAATCAGACTTGATTGTCCCCTGTTGTCCATTCTTCTTGACTGCGATATCCGTCATCTTCTGTGTGTCTGGTAGATTAGGCCTTTTGAAAGATAGTTTGCAACAAAGGAAGTGGCGAGGAATTGGGTTCGTGTTGCCTAGATTATTAGATATTAAGGTATATCGTTGGAAGATCTCCCGTGCAGGAATCAAACGTAAAGAGTGGAAAGCGTAAGATCCTAGTAATTTCGCCACCACCGGAGAGGAGACGAGAAAGGAAAAAAAGGGTTCGAAAACTTGAAGCTGGAATGGGGATTTTCCCGCTTATTCGCCGCTGTGGCGGCGGGCACGCGCGCGCGGTTTGGGGAATTTTGCTCCTGTCGAGGGGAGCCGGATGTAGGCGAGCAGGATATAGAGGAAAATATGCCGTGTAGAGAGCGAGAAGACAGCAAATGAATCGGGGACCTGTAGTAACGTAAAGCGATTCAGTGGTCAACTTAGTGTTACTAGGTACTGGCACCTGGACGAAACGCAGACACGCGGGAAAGGCGCGTTGCCGGGAGCACAGACCATCTTTTGATTGATTCTTTCCGCGGAGTCACATGCAATCTCGCTCATTCTACGGAGTATGAAGTAAGTACTAGGCAGTAACTAATGCAGTATGCACTAGATTATCTAACGCGCTTGCTATGGTCTCATTGTCGTTCCCTTGGGACCGAAGGAAGGCTGAATCAAAATCATTGTGTGACATTTGAGATATTAGATTTGATTACATAGTACACAAACATCTTATTTTAGGTCACTTCTCTCTCCTGAAAAGAACTTCTAACTAGTAGGTAGAACCAGACGATATGAGCTCCCAGCCTCCGGTCATTTACTTCGAGTTCTTGCTCAGCGAGCCATGGATCAGACAGGGACCTGTACGAGGACCATCTCGTCATCCACAGCATCATATTCATCCGCACTTCCGGTGGATTCATTCTCAGACCTGGTGTCCAAGTTTAGCGTGCCGTTTTTTACCTGCTCTTCTGCTTCTGACCTGGGCTCTGGCTCGCATATGGGATGTGAGGACGCCTGGGTGTCTGCACTAGGTATCTCAGCCGACGTGTTATCGGACGACTCGGTCTGCGTATCTGCTGTTTTCGGATTTGCTGCGCTCTCAGAAGAGTCATTAACTCCACCTTTCCAATGCTTGACATGCGTCATGCAGGACGCTCGAGACGGACTGGCAGGCGGGGTCCAGATGATCTCATCTAGCAATCTGCTAGGCCCGTTCAAAGCAGCTTGCTGGGCATATCCGGTCGCTTCCTCTGACAATCGCCTGTGTGCTTCCGCCATCATTCCATCGATTTGCTGCCGAATTCGCATGGAGAATGTCATTCGTTTCAGCCCAGTAAGGCGGTCAGAACCGTTTGGTTTGATTCTATCGGCAGCCGTCTGGGATGTTACCGTCGGAGCATTAAGATGTGTCTGATAGTGTTCATGATCAGCGGGCGTTGTGGTAGCACCCTCTCCTGATTGAGTGAACAATGGACGAGGACGGTCGAAGAAAATCCATCCCAATGGAGGAAAATGCACAAAGGTTTGCTTGGGTAGTATGTATCGTCCCTCGGGGCTTCTTCTCTGGGCTTCCTTTTCCTCCTTGATAAGGCGAGTCTCGATATGATTATCCCAGTTGGGATGATGGTAATTCTTGCTTGTGTCCCGATGGCTGAGAACTAGCCATCTAGGGGGTTCGTTGACTTGACCTTGACATGACAAGATGTCCTTCAGCTTGGGTAGACGTTTCGTACCGACACGGTTGAGCAAGGACACCTGAGCAGAGATGCTGTCGGCCGCCCGTGACGACGGATCTAGGGACGCGGCGTTATCAGCGCAGAGTATGGCAGAAATGTCTGAAGGAGAAGGCTGAGGAACAGCGGTCTTTTTCGATCTGTATTCAAGGTCATCCACCGAGAGCTGTATGCTAGTCGCAACGGGCCCCCAGTCGCCAGCGAGACTCGCATCCACCTCACGTTTCAGCAGAAATCTTCGAGCACGCAGGAATTCATGTGTCGGGCAGATCAAATATTCCGAGATGGTAGACTTCCTAATCTTACGAAGATATCGACGCATAATCATTTTGCATGCCACATTAGGTTGAATCTGACTGGCGCGCCAGTTGGCGTGGTTGATTCGGAGAATCGCTCTGAGTTGCTTCGCACGCATTGCCTCCAGTAGCTTGTCTTCCTGCTCCAACTGCTTTGTGCGAAGCCCTCGATTGCGCTCGATTTCCTTGATATCCTCTTCTGAGACACCAAGAAGAACTCCGGCGGGCCGACGACGGCTCGCTTCTACGTTCTCAAATATCTCGACCTGCATGGGCGGTGATAGATTGCGCCATTGAGAGGGCTGCAGCATGAGAGCGAGTTGAGATGTTAGCACCTTGCTTTGTCTTCTTGGTTTTGTCCCTCCTCGTGCATGCGGACGACTTACAGCAAGTGGCTCTATGGTAGGTCCGTCGACCTCTGCTTCGGTGTCGCTATCCTCCATGCTTTTCTCAAAGGCCATGGTAGTGTCTAGTCCTGCTTGGGCCATCCGGGCCATGTTCTCGACGTAAATTGAGTTGAACTCCCCGTTGCTCGCGATCAAGTTGTCAATAGACTCAGTAGGCGACTCTTCAAAATCAACTCTGGTTGGCGCACGCGATTCGAACACATGGTCGTCATGACTGTCATTGATGATGGACGCGTAGGACCGCTTGCGAGTGTCATGTTTGACTGCTTCGTTGTTTTCATTATTGGTGAACGATTTCGGGGGGAGCGGCTGATCCAAGGTAGGAAAAGCTGCAGGAGGGAGTTTGGGGTTGAAAGTATTGGCTGTAATTCGAGATGGCCTTGTGGTTCGACGTAATACTCTTCTTGGGGTAGTATTGTAGGGGTGCGCGCCTTCGTTGAGCCTGTCCGGCAGACGGATGCTCTCGCGGAGTCTCATCATAAGCCTGCCGCGTCTGATAAAGCAGACATCAGGAGGAAGAGGAGGAAGTGAGGGGTCAAACCCAAGCGTTCAGGCAAACATAGAAGAATATATAAGCCCGGCGACACGTTTAGTGAACTTGTGAACGAGGATAAAGTGAGGGTGAATTGCAATGCCAGAGTGAAGTGCGATAGTGGCCTAGTGAATGTATAAGATTTCCGATTTGAGAAAGAGAAAAAAAAAAAAAAAACATGAGGAGAAAGGGCTTTCACCAATCATGGATACCTACAAACATCATTTCGATTTTCGAATGATTTCACTGCTTGTATCAAGAATCAGTGAACATGAGTGTTAGAGCCCAGACATCGAACGACATCTGTTTCCATTTTCAATTCCAGGCGCTTCATGGTCTACTAAAACAGAAGATTCGCATGAGATTTTCCACAAGAGTAGAACGACATAATCAAACTCAGGGATAGCACAGTATTCTCATGCAGCCGTGACCTCAGTCATCTTTGCTTGCCTTCGCTAAGGATTTCCGCCAATGTATGTCATCCTGACCGATCCTCAAACGGAGCCAGTGGTCTTCTATCGTCCTCTCCCGACTCCCCCGCTTCCACCGCCATAGCATCTCCATCTCCATCCACCATGTCAAATTCAGTGGCATCCCGTTTGCGACCCACATTGCTGACCGCAGTACTTTGCGCCATGTTAGCCCGCCTGGCTCTTTCAACATCCCGCTTGGCGTTGAGAATGCTCTCAAAGGACAACAACAGCTGCGATGCCGAGTCATCCACATCGATACAGAACCGGCGCGAAGAGACATATTGTAGAGCTTGTGGCAGGGTGATATTGAGCATCACCATGACATACGCTATCGCTACCGCAGCCGAGGGTCCATTTCCCGTCTCGCAAAAGAGCAGGACCTTTCTCTGGGTACGGCCGCTCCGCGCTGGGGAAGAGGGCGACGAGATATGAGAGTTGATGTAGTTGATTAGACGCGGTAGAATCGTGATAAGTTCTTGGCTGTCCGCAAAGTCGACGGTGTTTCCTTCGATCTGCAAATCCTCTGCCGCTCTTCTGCCGCTGACGAGACTAGCCATGGCGAGTCGCTTGTCGCGTATGGCTAAGAGCAGCGTGATGCCTAACTCGGCGAGTCGGCCGCGGTCGGCGAGGCAGCCCCAGGGGCCTAGGTAGAGAAAAGGTAGCATGATTTGAGCTCGTCTGCGGTACTCATATGTCCATTGAAAAATAGGGGGTGGGATTGTGAAGCATGCCGGTCCGACTCGGTTGAAGAAGCCATCAGGAATGAATTCACCCTCCTGGAACTCATGGGTGTCGGCGTTGACCGGGGGGTGGGCTTTGGTGTCAAATTCTTCATAAGACAAGGTGACATGATCATTTTTTTGCCGACGGGTTCCCAGGCTGTACTCATAGTTGGGGGTGTACCGTGCATCAGCACCTTGAGACATCGCCCCGTTCGGGACGCCGTTCGCGACAGTTGATGTCAGTGCCATCTTGTAGTGACAAGGACCATATCCCAGTGGAGGGGTAGAGATGGGTTTCCAGTTGATTTATGCTGGCGATTAAACTGTGGTTTTGTGTTCAGATTGTGGTCAACCCATGCAGAGGAAAGAAGCTAGATGTACGTGAAGAGTAGCGGGGAGGAGAGGACCTGAGGTGAAGCTCAACCACAAGCATCGAGTCGCGAGAACAAAGAGGCCCTTAGTAGTGGACGTGGGGGGACATGAGAGAGCACGTCCAAAAATTCACTTCGAGAATCGCATTGGACCGGTTATTTCATCCAACGTGCTAAGCTCTGCTGTACATTATACTCTCATCACTACTGGGGTGTTGTGCAATTGGGGAAATCCGGGTTTAAGGTACAAATTTGGCTCGAGGCCGGTATGGATTGGAAAATTTATCCTATCAAATCATTAACATTTCATTGAGCAATGGACTATAGCCTGACTCAGCAAGAATTTGCCATGGAGATATCTAGGAAGTTTCATACATTCATGTTCGGCCTACTTTCGGCCCCCGCAGAGGTGCAGTAAAGCATCGTCATAAGAGTGAGGGGTAACTGATTTCTTCAGAGGTACAGCAAGGTTACCCCAAAAAAAGGGACATCCTGCCGAGAGAGGACAGAAAAAGCGAATGCATCGTCCGGGAGTCGAACCCGGGCCACTTGTTTGGAAGACAAGTATCGTAACCGTTTGACCAACGATGCTATTGGTTGATTTTTTGCCACTTTCTTTCGTCTTATCATTCGAATTATGATATACCGTCAAGTCAACAAAACTCGTTATCGAACCGCCCCCCGTGACTTTTGCGTGAACGGATAGTCCCCACCAGTCTCCTCTTGAAAATGCATGAACTAGGGCTCGGCTTTCGCTGGTTAAAATCAGCTTGTGCGATAGGAGGCGGGATCGATAGCGTGTGAATGGGAACAGGAATGACGAAAGTTTCCCAGTTTGACCCTGCGTGGTAGATGAGTCCTCGACACAGTCATATAGATCAGACCTGGAGATCAGCCTCTCACGATGCTTAATGATGGATTTTGGGGGACTGAACTGTCAGTCACACAATCCCAGCGATTTCGCACGTGGTACGTACTTACGTACTGGATTAAAGTAGGGAGTACACCAGTATACGCCACAGCAACTGCGCAGTCTAGACACCTGAAGCTTACGGCCTGGGTATCAGTATCTACATATCACAATTACTAAAGCGTAAGCCCCTGGAGATCCTGCAGAAGTTGGTATATCTCAAGGAGTTTAAGACAGCATTATAAACGAACGCGACTCCAATAAGATCCCAACATAGATAAAACAGCTACGCACCAAGGTAGAAAACAGGATCAGGAGGCATGAGAGGGAGTAGTGGGACAAAGGAAACTTAGGTGAAAAACGCCTGGGTATATTTTCAGGAAATAGAGAAAGAGTAGGAACCATTAGAACACCACCTGGTCTGTATCGTCGACCTCAAGCAAACGCCATATCTTCAGAGCTGCTTGATTCTCATCCGCGCATTCTGAGACGTAGCCAAACCATATAAACGAACCTCCCACTGATGTTGTAGACAGAATCGCGCGAACCCAAGGCCCGTACTTTGCATAATAGACGCCCATCGAATGCAAACCACTTAGCGCAGACCATAAATGAAAAGTGTCTTGGGACAAAGAATGACACAAACAAATTGAAGAGAAGGGGGATTGTAAACGTATAAGTCGTCGAAAGTCTTTGCCTCGGAGTATCTATCCTTGAGACGTCGCAGTCTGCGGTATAGCTTGCTGCAGACCCGCGACAATTCTCTCAAGTTCTTCCAACCGACGGTCTTTTTCCTGAACCTCAAGCTGCAGTCTTTTGAGCTCGTTACGAAGAGTAACACCGTTTCCGCCGTCTTCGGAAAGATCCAGGGTGGGATCATCATCAATAGAATCGCGCTTGCGCTTCAAGGTTGGAGGAACACCCAGAGCTGCGGCGCCATCCAATTCGGGCGAAGGAGCAATGGGCAGGTCTGATGCATGTCCATTCTCGGTGTGCATGTGGCGACGTCGAAGGTGTTCCTTCAGGTTCTCCTGACGCGTGAATCCGTTTCCTGTACTGCGATTGCAATCGGCGTAGGGACACATCAGCGGTTTCTTGGCATTGATATTTTTCTTATGCACCTCGCGCTGGTGTCGCAATAGACCGCCTGAGTATGTGAATCCCTGAATCTTGTCACACCCGGGTTCCAAGCACTTGTAGGGGCGGTCGTGTTTGTCCATGTGTTTACTAATGCGATGACATGTTAGCGTCTGAAAATTTCGCGGATTTGAGTAGCAGGAGAAGAAGGGAAGAGACTCACTTCCACTCGCATGGACGGCGAAAAGTGGGAGGCGATTGTTGGCATTCGGGGTGATCGCAGTAAATTTGGCCTGCAGAGTTCTTGGGCGGATCCCGCGCTCGCCTCACCGACAGTCGAGGACGCGCCCCTTCCATGAAGTTGGGTGGGAGTTGTTCGTTCATCTTGGGTACTGGAGCAAGCGATTCCTGGGTAGTGACTAGAACTGAGGTTGGTCCGCCAGGACCTTCGCTTCGTGGGCTAGGATAATCAGAACCGTCACCCATAGCGTAGTTCCAACCCCGCCGTCAATTGAGATGGGCGGAGATGTCCCTGGGAGGAATCGAAGATTTAGGCCGGGCGACTCCGAGACCAAAAAGTCTATATTGATGCAAGATAGGAAGACAATAATAATCTCTATTGGGTAAGCAAGGAGGCACCAGAAAAGAGGTAAAGATTCGAGGTAGTCAGCCTGAGTTGAGCCGGGTGGTACTGGCTAGAAGATGGATGTTGGTTTCCTTAACTCGGAAGGGCGGATTGCCAGGATTTTTAGGACACTAAGCCAGGCATCGAGTGACTAAGCAACAGGCTTGGCAAACCGCCACTGAAAGCGAGGACGGGATGGGATGAGAACAATCAGTGAAGGGCGAAAAGTTTAGTTCATGTAGACAGATTATACTGAATATGATCATGGCTTATCAACTTGTTTCTGACCGGTACTTCGAACATCAACATGCCTTTGCACACGTGGTGTGGTTGGAGACGCGTTGGATCTGTCCGGCGCAGACAATGATGGTACACAATAGGTTGTATTCGTAGGCGCCGAATCAGCCGAAATCTCGATGGCAAGCCCTCTCAGAGACTTTTTAGGCTGCGACTAGTGAGTCACGCAGAAAGTCAACATCAGGCAACCAAGCGAAGAGAGGAGGTCCTCATCTCCGGCAGGATAAGCCGGAAATGTTCATTCCTGATCAACCTCCAACCCGTAACTTCACTACGATACGGCGAACAACTGTACGAGCCGCCACATACCAGGCGGGCGAATTTTGCGTGCCTCATTGCTGCCTGGTAATCACTGCGGCACGTGCCGATGGAAGGATTTCAGCCACACTGCCATCTTACACACCTGGAATTCTTGTGGCGAAGTCATCTATTTCGGGAACCACCAATATCAGCATCCATGATCCTTCGATGTGATATCGAAGATTATTGTTCACTTGCTAATGAATGCCTGATAACCCTTCGATACATACCAGCACTGTCTTTAGCTCTACTTGAATTATATCTCTCATCCAGCTTGGTGACCCTTAGGTACCCAAACCTCCTGCGGCATCGGAGCAGAGCATACTGCCACTTTTGCCCAATCTCGAGCCGCTCCATCCATTAGGCATGGAGGGCGTCAAGCGCTGCTCCCCGCCAGATCAAACGCAGAATCGCCTGCCCAATCAAATCTGAAGCTGTAGGCTCGGCAGGGATCGTGGCGCGGCTTATCCTGGCTGGTGTGTTTGATACGCAGGGTACATGCATATATTAGAACTCCGTACAACTACAGCACACCCTTACGCGCACATCATTTCAATTGCGGTATTATCGTGCGAGGGTGGGTCGTGTACCAGCCCGTTTATTCCTTTCAAGAACGTTTGTGATTTTTCTCAATTCCTTATAGCAGAGCATGACCCGTACATGCAGCTTGTCTGCTGTCTATTTGCCGGTATCGGCCCACTCATGTAAATGGCCCATCAATGCTTACAAGACCTATAAATGCAGCCATCACCGACGGCAATAGTGCCGCCTCCTATAGCCATACCATCCTAATCTCGATCTTGGCCAGTAGCCAATTGTAAGTATCTCTGCCTACTGTGTTATGAACTCATTGGCTGGTATATTTAGGAGATCGACGGGCTGTCTGCTCGAAAGCTTCTTTACCAGGATCGTGGCGCTGAAGAAGCAAATCTTCTTCCATGAGCCAATGCAATATTCGTATCACTGTACAAAATAATACAGTATAGAAAGACTGTCATCTCTCTCCAGGACTCTGACGCAAGGTGACTGTTCTGACCTCTTCCAATGTGTATAAAGCCAATACTCGCACATCCAAGTAAGCTATAATGATATCTGTTTGATAGTCAAGTTTTGTACGGACTTGCAATTGGGCAATTGCCGAAGGACGCCAGAAACACGGATGCCTATTTGCGCTTTGCTTTATCATTCCTGCTTCTGCCGATCGAAGATACTATGTGGCTATGCTGTGCTTGCGAAACGAATAACAATCGATTGACTGGGAATGCCGGATCCAGATGGTCGAGTTGCATGGCGACGATCAGATTACGATACGAGTAACCTGCTAATATGCGTAGCTTATATCGTACTCTAATGACAAAACGTAGTCTGATTCCGCACGCAATGATAAGAAATCAATTTATATGTGGATTTTCCTAGATTTTATCTCAAAGGCGACAATAAAAATGCAGAGTGTAGTAGCGAGAGAAATGAAAGAGACAATTGACTGGAATTGGTGGTGTTGAACTACCCCCATCCACGTCGCCCGCGATGATGTGAAGGCTTGCTGGCCGCCTCGTACTGATATCTGAGCGTTGCTGCAAGTGGAGGGATCGACATGACACATCGCTGACTCTTTCTAGCGACTGATATCGATAATGACCACGAGGCTAAGTACGAGATAGTTTCCATACAGCCACTACCAACACACGTCATTCGTAGGATCCTGTAAGATGGTTCCATTGGGTGAGGAGGACTTCTGTTCGCTACGGCGACAGGTCGCCGCAATTCGAAACTCGAAACTCGCATTCGTTACCGACAAGAGTGCCGAAAAGAGGTCGAGAGGTGTCGCAATCTTCTCCGATCGTTGAGGGCCTGCTCCTACCGAAGCTGCCTTGGAAAGCACAGGGGATCCCCTTCTTCCAGAATATCCATAAGGCCATGTGGAGCGCCAGAACATCGAGTCTTGTCTGCGAGCAGACCATCTATATATGTGACCGACTGTTCCAAGTCTGTGAGAATGGCTATATTAGCTTCAGGGTCGTCCCCAATGGTAGAGTTGACAAGAGCTCTTCGATCAATCATAGTTTCCACCAATCTGACTGGCGAAGGCTGTCGAAACGCTACGAGTATCATCATCGTCGTGCATGTGTCCTGGAACACCACGTGTGACGCGAATGCTAGTCGAGCTGCCTCCAAAAATGCTGCCATTATCGGGGACACCGGGCTTGTAAGGCTCGCGTCCTCCAGATTCAACGTAACGCTTCAGGCGATCAGACTGGCTGAGACTAGGCTGCTTGGTCATATCGTTGATACTCAAGCCAGCAAGGCTGACACCGCCTTGATCGACGCTCTTCCCATCGATAATACTGCCCGTGACATCAGACTCGGTGGCTGCGATGGACTCTCCTGCAATGCTAGGCGCACCCTTCATCCGATTTCCATTGGCACGACGGCCGCCCGGAAGGGCTGGCCATGAGTCGGCAAAGTTCTGGAACATGGGCGGGTAGCCAGAAGGAATGCTCACACCCCCAAGGGCGGATGAGTGGACAGAAGAAACATCATCAGGAATATATCCTACGACGGAACCAGTGTCATGGAATTCGTTGCGGTGGCCATTTCTTCCAGTCATCAATCCGCTGGTCACGTTGGAGGCATGGTTGTACGCCATTTGGAATCGCTGGGGTCCACGGTAAGCTTGTTTGGGGCGGCTAAACTGAATGAGAGACTCCTGCAGGTTGGATAAGGGCCCCTCAACAAGACAATGCCGCTCCTTGAAGTGTTGCAAGAGGCAATTCCACAAAGGATGTTTTGACAAGACCTTGGGATTCCCCAATATCGCCAGTCCATACTTAGCCCGAGTGAGTGCGACGTTGAGACGGCGGGGGTCACTCAAGAAACCGATACCTTGGTGGTCATTTGAACGAACACACGAAAGAATGATGAAGTCCTTTTCGCGACCCTGGAATGCGTCGACGGACGCGACCTCGATCTCTTTGTAGTGTTCTTTCTTGAAAGTACCAGTCGCCTGCATGGAACTGACAATGTAGCTACGTTGACCTTCGTAGGGAGTGATGATACCGATATCCTGGGGCTGCACTCCAGCCTTGAAAAAACGAGTGACGATCTTTTCAACATTTGTCGCCTCCGTGCGATTGAGGTAGGATGTACCAGACGCTGAGATCTCTTCGTTGCCCAGATTCGACCAGAACATCATCGGGTTGTCGATGATGGGCCATGGAAAGTCAACATCACGGCGAAGACGGTCAAGAGGGGAAATACCATTCTGCAAGGAACCCTCATAGAACATATTGGAAGGGAACTCCGAGAGACATGGGTGCATACGGTATTGGACGTTTAGGCGGATAGGAGAACATCCTAGAATAACCAGACGCTCAAACAGCGATTGATTGAGGCCAGCTTTAGCAGCCTTCTTGTTCATGATGACAGGACCCAGCTGTTGATGGTCACCGACAAGGACGACTTGCTTGCAGCCCAGGACCAGGGGAATCATACACTCGGGCTCAGCGGACTGGGTCGATTCGTCGATAAGAACGGTGCGGAACTTAAGCTTGGAAAGACGAGGATCACCAGCACCGACACAAGTACAGCAGATAACATCAGCATTGTTGAGGATCTCTCGTTCTGCAGAACGCGTAAGCTGTTTGAGTCGCTTTTCATCCTGGCTGGACAGTTCGCCGAGTTCCGCCTTTAATTGATTCAGCTTGATAAGTTCGATGTTGCTGTCATTGATGCGGACCTGTTCATGGAGAGACAGGAAACCGACAGGAGATTCAACATCCTCTCGCGATTTAGCAGTCACACGAACAGTCTTGAGACCAGTCCTGTGAATACGTTCGCAAAGCTGATCAACAGCGACGTTGGATGGCGCACAGACGAGAACTTGACCACCATTGATCTTGGCAAGATGGTAGATAATGGTAGCCGAAGTGACGGTTTTTCCTGTTCCAGGAGGTCCCTGAATCAGGCTCAATGGCCTCTGAAGCACACTCTTGACCGCATTGATCTGACTGTTGTTGAGCTCAGGAAGCCCCGGCACACTGAACTTCTTGGGCATTTGAGTCTTCATTGGCGCAGCTGCAACTTCATGTCCGAGGAGGCGGTGGAAGATATAGCCGGAGACACTCATTTCATCAACTGCGAAGGTCTTCATAGCGAGCTGCATGCGGTCAAAGGAAGTAGATTTCCAGACATAGTCGGCTGTGAAGTTATGTGTGCATTCGGTTGGCACGGACTTGTGGTCACCCTTGGCTCTCAATTCGATGGTCACTTCATCAGACTGATTGTTCGGAATCTTGATGACATATCCGACACCTTCCCACTTTGGCCGCAATTCGCCGCTGTATTTCAATCGCATTTCGTCGCCTACAGCCAGTTTGACATCGCCGAGTTCGAGTTTGGGCAGGATGAAACTAGCGAGGTGTTTGTTGTTCAAACCAAGGTCCCAGCGCACGATCAGTCCATCCTGAGACTGAGATTCCTTCAGTTTCCGATCGTAGTCTGCTTCAATTTTGACCAGAGGCCCGAAAATATTCTGATACTGGAAGGCATCGTCGTAGCGCAACAGGACGGGCGCAGGCTCGTCGTCCACAGCCGTGGCCTTTTCCAGGTCCGAGAAAGTCGCCTGAGAGTTCTCCTTCCACATCTCCTCCAACTTAGCAATCAACTGCGGGCTGAGGTGGCGGGCGCGAAGCTGCTCCTGGTCGGACGGTGCGGCAACAAGCCAGGGGAGAAACGAGCGATCCTCAATCAAAGGCTGCCACCGTGAGGTATCCCAGTTCATGTCTTTGGAAGAAGGCATGGCGGCACATGGCTGACGGCATAGCAGAACAACAACGGTGTCCGATTTAGCTGGAATAAAACCGAGGAGGAAAACATTTTTGGTGCCGCAGTTGTAACACTCCAGGATAGTATCGCCAAGCGATGAGGCAGGGTGTAGTTGTACTTCCTTGTGGCGAGCTCGGACGAGATGGTTGACAATGTGAGAAGATGATGTATTACCACGAGCACTGCAAAACCATTTACTGCAAGCCAAGCACTTCACGACGCTGCTCGGATTGTGAATTCCGCAGTACCTGCAATCACCCGTTAGCACAAGGAAGGCGTTTCCCAAATATCACTAGAGTCACGTACGAGCAAGCATGCGGCGGAAGTTCCTTTTCCTCATCCAGCATCCTCTCATTAGTTTTACGGTCTGCGGCGGTAGCACTGGCTGTGCTTTCGACATCGTCATCTCCTAGGTGATCGGAGCCCTCGTCATCGTCATCGTGTCTCCGCGGACGAAATTGATGAGACTCATCAAGGTCTGCCAGAGTCCTCTCATCAACGGGTGCAGCCATAGCTTACTTTTGGCGTTCTGACTCGTTGAGGAGACCGTAGCTGTCGCGGTATGTGTGTGGGCGCAGAACGAGCGAAGATATAGGAAGCGAAAGATACCTCGGCCGCCACAGATCGGAAGGTGATACAAGAAAGGCGGTCGTAGGGATGAAATGAGTGCAGCGGGCAAGCCCGTCGTCTGTGGCACTACAGAAGTACAGAGGTCAGCTTAATCTCGATAATCTTGTCCTTCAACCCGTCGAAGTGCCACAGTAGAGGGGCAAGAGATAGGAAGTGAGAACAAGTGGGATCCTGGCGAAGCGGAATTCACTTGCGCATGAGAAAATGAGACAAACCTTCAATCAGTCCCAGCAGTCCTTGCCACCACTAAGTCACTTGAAAAGAGATTGTATCGACTTGCCCTCTATGAACAAGCGTAAGTCACAGGGCAGAGTAGTGGGTGGTATGCGATCGGCTCGATCGAGTTATCGGCGTTGTTTGCCGCCAAATCCCACTGTCCGGCGATCAAGGCGGACCAAAGCGGCAATTTAGGAAAGAAAAAAAGATGGACGGCATGCCGCATTCGATAACTTATCCGATCTTTTAATCAGACGAAAATACAGGCAGGACACTCAAGATGTTGGTACGTTTGCGCTGTTCATTGACTTTTGCTTCTCATGCGATTCTATAGTCTATTTTTTGAAACAAACTAATGCCATTCTCAGCGCCGTCAAGCCCGCGAACGACGAGATTATCTCTATCGGAGAGCTCTTACCCTCCGCGATGCCTCTATCGCTGAAAAGCGAGCCCAGCTGAAGGCATCGCTGGCCTCCGGCAAACCCCTCGATCCGTCTATCGCAGAGGACAAAGCCCTGCGCGAGGATTTCAAGTACGATGAATCGTTACCCAACGGAGGCAAAGACGACGATAAGGTGGATTTGGACGACGAATATGCGCTCACCTCCGGAATCGCCGATCCTCGTCCTATCGTCACCACTTCTCGCAGCCCCTCCGTCCGCCTCAACACATTTGCCAAAGAAATCCGTCTGCTTATTCCCACTGCGATTCGCCTGAACCGTGGTAACCTCGTCCTCCCCGATCTCGTTTCGAGCGCAAACTCCGCGGCGCTCTCCGATATGATTCTCCTGCACGAACACCGTGGTACGCCTACTGCCATGACCGTCTCCCATTTGCCTCATGGCCCCACGGCTAGCTTCTCCCTCCACAACGTTGTCCTCCGTGCCGATATCCCAGACGCCGCTCGCGGAACCGTCTCCGAGAGTTATCCTCACCTCATCTTTGAAGGATTCACGACCAAGTTGGGTCTTCGTGTGGTCCAGATTCTGAAGCACCTTTTCCCTCCCCGCGAGGCTGGCAAGGTCGGCAATCGAGTGGTCAGTTTTGTGAACAAGGAAGACAGCATTGAAGTCCGGCACCACGTTTTCGTCAAGACCGGGTATCGGGACGTTGAGCTGGCGGAAGTTGGCCCTCGGATGACTATGCGATTGTTTGAGATTCGTGGAGGCACATTAGAGAAGGGCTCCAGTGGTGATGTCGAATGGGCGCTCACTCAATACACAAGAACGAGCAAGAAGAAGGATTATCTGTGACCAAGCATCGGTCAGCTGGCGGCTCCGTGGGAAAGCAGGAGTCTTTCAGAAAAAGTTTGAACTGGCGCAAAAGGTGTTAGAAGGAGCTCCATGGTCATATGTTTGCACCGTTGGCATTTAAGGTCGCTATTTGTATACCCATCTGAAGGAATATAAATCATCTTCATCCTAATGTTTCCCAGTGTAAAGCCGGCAAGCCGGCAGTATGAGGCCACTATCAGCACCCTTGATGGGAACTTTGAAGCACATTATTTACAGTTACGTGAAGCCTTCTTTCATGCATACGTCTCCGTATGCTTGCCTCATCTGCAACAAAGCCCCGCATACCCGTACCTCCGCATGTCGCAACCATCTCCAACAATCCAGAATGGCCGGTTGCCCTGCCTAAGACCTCACGATCTCATTTTGCAATGACATCTTCAGTCTGAAGATACTGGGATAATATGCTTCGGCTATCCTCGTAAATATACCATCCCTGATGAAGAGGGAGCTGATTGCCTTCCGCATCAACCTTCGGTGCAGGTGCGATTCTACTAGACCTATCACCCCAGGCTATACCGGTCTTGCTCCTGAATTTCGCTTCAAATGCACCAAGAGCAGTCTTCAAAGTAGTTCCCAAAGGTGTTAACAATTTGGCGTCATATGCTCCACTACGACTGCACTCCGTGTGCACCGCGTAGACGTGCGGTTCGTCGATTGACTCGTAGATCTAAAATAAGCAATGCCTTCTTAGCTTCCTTGCCTACGAAGTGATACTTGTCCCGTATACAGGGAGGTCCCTTGGTAGAAATGAACTGACTCTGAGGCGGATCTTCTCTCTCGATCGTCCTGAGGTCGTCATTCGCGCCAAGGATATGTCGTACTTCGTCCCCGTCCTGCCATCCATGTAGATGCTATAGTTTGCTAGGATTTCGATGTCAGCGTTGACACGGTGATGTATACGAGGACCATGGCGCCCAACGTGTCCCCCTTACCCGCAGCAGTTCCAGCCTTAAACCTGGCAGTCGCCTTGCCAAACGGATCTGGATTCTTGATCCTCCCTAGGTCATATCACTATCAGCAAGCCGGGATCGCAGGGTCGAACTTAGTATGAAAAATGATGGCCGGCTCACCTGGAAGCCTCTTTGTCGCTCCCGTCTTCTTGGCTCGAGCTTTAGCATCTGCTGACTTCTTGGTAGCTTGCTGCTGCTGCTGCTTCTTCTCCTCATTGCCCACTATAGTATTGAGAAGATACTTAGTGACACGTCTCGGCTTTCTGCCTTTGTCGAGCAAAGAGTCCTCCAACCAGTCGAAGGTGACGATCTTGATATGTTTCAGCTCTTTTGCTTCACGGACTGTTTTATGGTTAGAGTAACAGACTGTGCTCAAGTATGGAGGCACAGGGGCGGAAGACATACCAGGTTTGATGTTCTTCTTATATGCCTCGAGCGTAGTGATCAAATGGGTTACTTGTGGGGTCACAGTCGGGGAGTATTCTCCTCCATTTGCGCGGACCCATTGCGAGATCTTGTTTCCATCCTTGGGAAAGGTTCCTGCCGAGCAGGCGTGGATCTTCTGAAATGTTTTGCCCATGATTGCTGTTGGGGTCGTGGTGGAAGTATAGAGGTGGGACCAGAGATTCGCTTAGAGACGGGATCTTGAAGAGGGGAAAATGTGTTCAAAGTAATATGAAGGAGAGAAAGAGAGTCGGCTTCATTATCCTCAGCGATTAAGGTATTCAAGAGTGCCTGAAGAGAGAAGATTGAATCGACGGCAGCCTATATATCGCTCATTCTAAATTGGCCATCCAGTTTGTAGAAGCTGATTCATGTCGATAGTCTCGAAGATGACGAGAGTCGGATATAGAGTGGATATAGATTGCAAGGAACCTCACGGTAGTGATCTGTGGCAGAGTGCAAAGGAGATGGGTCGACACTTCATTTATTTATTAACGGCGCTCATATGTATGCTCATCTTGGTGGTATTCAAGTCTAAACTCCCTGTGCATGATAAGACAGCTATCTGGAATAAGGTAAAGGTGACGTTGAGCGGTACACTGAATGTGAAGATGTGGATAAAATGAGATGATAGCTATATGAGTATATCTAATCATAATCAGATAACCGCCGGTCTTTCATGCCTGAGAGTATATGAAATAGTGAAGCCCTGAAAACAAGCAACGAGACCGATGTGCTTGATGGATTAACTCAGAGAAGGATGTACCTGCTGATAGCAGACACTAGGTCACCTGTGCAAGCCCTTGACAGCCTTCACAAAGGCGCGGATCTTTTCTAGATCTTGTACACCATCTGACTCAACACCGGAGCTGACATCCACTCCCACCACCTTCGCGCTGGACGGGCCGAGTTTCTCAATCGTCTGAACGACATTTGTGGGATCCAGACCTCCAGCAAGAATGACACGTAAGCCGCTGTCGCTCTCCAAGACCCGCTCGACATGGGATTGATCCAACAGCTCGCCTGAACCTCCAGCGCCAGAGTCAAGTAAAGGCAAAGTATGGTAAGATCTCCTAGCAATCGCCGGCTCATCAAGACCGAACTTGCGAATGACAGGGACTGGAATCGACCTAGCCCACTCAAGCGACTCAGAACCATGCAACTGAACAACGTCGAGTCCGAGCTTCTGTTGCTGAGACAAGATGTACTCTAATGGCTGGTTTTGGAATACTCCGACGAGCAAAGCCCGGGTGGGATGACGCAGAATCGAAGTGGAATGATCAAAGTAATCCACAGCGGCTGCATCAGGCATTTGATTGGCTTGGCTGATGGGCTTAGGTGTGGTTTTGACGACCTGTGCTATTCTCAGTGCGACATCATCCGGAACAAGGCGTTTCCGTCCTTGTACCATGATAATACCAATCAGATCGGCACCAGCTTCAATGGCGGCCCTAGCTGCTTCCTCAGTTCGCGTGCCACAGATCTTCACGAGAAGGGAGCTCTGAGCCTTCGTGGCAACACTTTCAGCATTTCCACCGAGCAACTCTGCAACGAATGCGGACGTGTTCGCCGCTCGCATCAAAGCTTCACCGACCAAGATGGCCTTGACGCCTTCTTTCTTGTAGGCTTCCACATCTTTGGGCCCTGAGATTCCACTCAGTGCGCAAACAATCGTGCTTGACGGAACTTGGTCCATGAGACGACTCGTGGTTCCAAGATCAACCTCAAAGCTAGTCAGGTCACGGTTGTTGACGCCGATGACCTGTGCTCCTAGATCAACTGCAATCTTCATCTCTTCTGGGGTGTTGACTTCAACCAGTGGTTCCATCCCAAGACTGCGCGAATAGTTATACAGTCGTGTGAGAAGCTCGGTGCTAAGCATCTTCACAATGAGCAGCACTGTGTCGGCACCAGCCAGGCGCGCTTCCAAAATCTGGTATTCGTCAAAGACGAACTCTTTCCGAAGGATAGCAGGCCTGTTAGTAAAGCCCTCGAGGCTTTGACGAACGGCCCGCAGGTCATCAATGCTCCCCTTAAACCATTCAGGCTCAGTCAGGACAGAAATAACACTGGCTCCGGCCTTCGCATATTGCCGAGCCTGAGCTGGCGCACATGCATGCTCAGCGATCATACCTTTCGAAGGCGAAGCTCGCTTGATCTCAGCCATGAGGGACAAAGGATAGGGAGATTTTCTCAAGCGATCAGGGAAGGAGATTTGAGGAGGTGCAAGGTTGAGATCATAAGCAGCTTGTAAGTCTGCTGGTCGCTGCGATGGGATGGTCTTCTGCACAGCCACAGCAGCTTTGCGGTGGTCATAAATCTTGTCAAGGATAGATCTCTTCTTATCAGTCTTCGGGGCGGCAGTTGGGGGCGCAGCAGAAACGACAGTCTTCTGCTCGCCGAAGTGCTTTCCGTTCCCTTCCCAGGTGCCAGCCGTAAGCTTCAGAAAGTTTCTAAACATAGTCCGCCCATGCTCTGTAAGAATACTCTCAGGGTGGAACTGGACGCCCTCGATGGCCAACTGCTTGTGGCGCACACCCATGATAATGGTTTTGTCGTTGGCGTTGTCATTGGCCAGGTGCACGTAGGAGGAAACTTCCAAGCAGTCGGGAATAGTCGAGTGGGTTCCAGCCAGAGAGTGATAACGGGTGACATCGACCTTAGCGGGGAGACCTTCATAGCAGCCTTTGCCATCGTGCTTCAGAGGGGATGTTTTGCCATGCAAGATCTCGCCGGTGACGTCGACCTTTCCTCCGAAGCAAGTAATCATACATTGCTGACCCATACACACTCCAAAGATAGGGATCTTGCCGCTGAAGTGCTTGATTGCGGCAGTGCTGATACCGGCATCCGTCTCTGGGTGGCCAGGACCGGGGCTAATCACGAGTTGCGTCGGATTTTTGGCGATCAGTTCGTCGATGGTGATCTGATCGTTGCGGTAGACATTCACAGTCGCGCCTTCGAGGACCAGGTACTGGTAGACATTCCAAGTGAAGGAGTCATAGTTATCAATAAGGATGACATTCGACGCTGTGGTAAGTTTGGCAGCTTGGGTCGGATGGTGGGGGGAATGGTCAACAAGATCGGAGCCCGCCATAATGGTTAGATCTGAGCAAGAGGCAGATTAGAATAGATGAACGACTGAGTACGGAGGTAGATATAAGAGAAAGGAGGAAGATGAATCTTGGAGACCACCTTACCTTCCACTGATTGACGAAACTCTCCGTGTTCGCAGTGTTGCAAAGGAGGGGAGTGTAACCGCGCCTCGAATGCAATTGACTCAGTCTGTCCTACAAGTTGCCGCCGTCGACGCCGGGAGTGAGTGGATCGAGGTGTCGTTCCTGAGTTGGCTTAGTGTGTTCAAACTATGCAAAACTAAAATCGGCCTGGGACAAAAATCCGTGCTTTACCGCCTTGGACTAGACCCAGATAGGCAGTCATTGTTGACCTCCAGCCAGGCTCTCAGGCTAGACTCCGTTCGGGTTGAATATTCTGGAGATTCCCGCCGCGCCGTGAGCTGTTGAGCTCTCCGTATCTATCTCTCTCTCCACTGCTGCCCATCACCGTGTCTGTTTCTTTGGACTCGGTTGGACAGCGCTGTCACCTTTCTTCGCTTTTTAAATCTATAATGATATAGTGGTCCCGGCAATGGCTCCCCTCCCGGAAGCCTTCTTCCCGTCCCTGGACAAGTGCTTCTCCGGGGACATCCAGCTTCTGTACGCGCTTTTGAGATTAACACGCTCAACACAACAACCGAAGCTAACCTTGTCTGCGAGTCTAGATCATGGAAGAAAGCCTTCCTATGCATGTGTGATCGCACAAGTAGGGGCGACGATGCGGATCAACTACACGCCTTCCTGTCGCATCCCGACAGCGTCCAGCTGCTCTCGAATTGCTTGAACGGCTTCCCTTCCCCATCGGCGAAATCTAAGACCGACTTCGAATCCAAAACGGCAGCTATTCATGCCGAGACAAATGCACAGTCTTCATACGACCTCAAGGAGATCAAGGCGGACGCTCTCTGGTTGAGCGAGAAAGCCGGTATCGATGAAATCAGTGCGCTTCGGGTGACCATATTGGAATGGCAGAATCGGCCCGCTACACGCCTTTTAATCCGTTATGCTGGAGAGGAAACAACTAGTTTGCAGAGTGCAACAGGAGCCGATAATTTGCGCGCATCCCTCGCCGGTCCTGCTCTTGCGGAAGTTCTCAATCGCAAAAACTTGACGAACGATGATCCCGCCGAATTTCATCTCGAGAAAAGCAGGCGCCTGAGGCTACGCAGTACTTATCTTTCTGAACGAAGTCATGTCATCAAGGTAGCTCGCAAGCTCCTGAGCTTTTTCCATCTTAGCAGGGTTGAGCCCGATGCCACCCAGCAATTGTCGACCCACCAAAGTGCACTATGCGAATTAGGCGTCAACATCTTTCATCATAAGCTCAAAGGAGGGAATTGGCATGATTTCAGTGAAAATTGCATCGACGCTATTCGCAGCCGACTAACATCCCTGACGGGAGATGCTGGGTGGTTAAGCGCCACCGAGAGTAGCCAGCAGGTGGAAGATTTGTGGTCAACAACCCTAGTCGAAGAAATCCTGCATATCGTGCAAATACTGTTCTACCAACTCCAGGCTTCCAAAGAAATTCCGTCCGCCAGTCTCGTACTCTCCTGGCTCAAGCTGATGGTTGACCATAGCTTTTTAGAGCCACTTGTGATTGTGAGTTGTTGGTTATCCGCCTCAAGTGATTTCACATGTACTGACTAGTTGAAGCCTTGTCAGGATCCCTTGGAGGTATTGGTGCCCCTCCAGGGTCTCGTCTCTCTAACTACGGTCGCGCTTTTGAAACTTCAGTCGTCGATCAATTCCATCATGAACAAGTCTTTTCTCAAGGGCAAGGTCCCCGATTCGTCCAAAACTCAGTACTTCTTGAGTAAGGATGAGATCGGCCAAATTCATGAGATGTTTATGTCCGAAGGCCTTGAATGCAGGACTGCTAATCCGGGCGCGTTTTCGTGGGGTATGATCTTACACACCATGCAGGAGCTCGCAATCAACGATAAAGAAGCACGCGAGCTAGAGCAATTTCACAGCGCCGTCGATTCTTTCCAGTCAAACACACCTGACTCAAATTTCGGTCAGTCATCCGAGTTTTCTCTCTATGAGGACTTGCTTGAGCGCACACGGGGACCGAACTACACTATCGAAGAGTCAATCGCTATCTTGACCTCAGATGCGATGAAGGAGGTCGTGTTCGACACGATAGTCGCACTAGCCACCAAAGTCGAACCGACTTCCGCGGTCGATGATCAACTCATGGGCAACTGGATCCGTGCGGTGTTGCTAGACTTTCTTCAGTCTGCACTAAAGTTTTTGGATTATTCACCGGAAATTCTGGAAGCAGTCCTGGCAATTCTCAATGGGCCTGCGGCAGAGCCTCAGTGGCTTTCGGATTCGCAGGCGCCTCCCTTAACAGACCCACGGTTGATGTTCGTCCAAGATGATGGTCTGATGGACAATGTCTTTCGGATAGCACAATCGCGGTTTCCTTATGAAACAGTGCCTTTCTTGAAGCTATGCCGTGCTCTGGTCAGCAAAGATCTGGTTGACGAAGAAGGCTTTCCATTAATCGCCGCTGAGCTGGAGAATATGGTATCATTCACTCAGATCGTACGCGATGGTTTTCATGGCTACCAGACAGTGAGGGAGGATGAAAATGCAAACCTTGTCACTTTGATTGAGCCGCTGCCGATGGTATCAGCCTCTCCTCGGAGGTTGATCAGCAGCCGTGATGTGGGTAATGCCTTGGTTGTCACCGCCTCTTCTCAGATACCTTCAATGGCAGTTGGACAGGTTGTCTCTGAATCGAGGCCTGCAGTCATCAGGTGGCATCATCAGTATTCCTGTTTGAGCTATCTTGGAAGCTGGCTGGAAGAATGGAACGAGCAAGGAGGTTTCGCAGCAGGCTATGGGGAGGACACCGTTGCAGATTCCATTGGACTGCTTGCCGACCTCATAATAGCTGCTAAGGACGCGCAGGCACAGAATGGCGGCCGCTCTGGTGCTAAGCGCATTCTTGAGCTGGCAAGTGATGGGCTCTGTCACCAAGGCGATATCATATCCTTGATATTCGAGATCTTCGAACGGAATCTCCCACTGATTGGCTCCAGAACAGGTCTAGAAGCTGTCTTGGAGAGTACGGTCGTGTGTTTGCGGTTCATTCATGCTCTGCTCGAAGTTCTTCCAGGCAGAGTGTGGCCCTTCCTCTCCCGCAGTGGCCTTCTGGGTACTGAAGGCAAAGGTGCCGTCATGACAACCATCATATCAGCTGCGGAGGTAACTTCTGGGGATTATCCTTTCCTGCTGAGCTGTGTAAGATTGTTTGAAGCTGCCGTTGACGATGCAGCCTCTCGCGCGGTCTTGAGACGGACTCCTACTAATGTGAACGGGAAGGCGGTAAATGCTGCAGACTGGACCGCAGGCGTTCCTTCACATATGATGCGAGGCATTCTACTCAACTTTACGCGGATAATGGTCGACGCTTACAACAGCAATGGGAATTGGAGATTCAATGCCATCGAGCAAAGGTTTGAGGTAAACACATCTCTTGCCCGAACATTCGAACGTATTATATATTACGCCTACGGAACGAATGAAGATGAGAAACCAGACTTGAAGGCAACCGGTGTCTTCTCTTCCGCCGCGGACTACTTGCTCGAGGTGATGCGTCCCGAGTCGACCGATGATTTGCCCTTCAACTCCCTTCTACGCCTCATCCTTGATGGCTTGCAAACTCCTTCTACTTTGTATCTTCGTTACTTGGCTCTGGTTCAGAAGCAGGTGCTATCGACATTAGATTTCTCACTCAGGCTGTTGCAGGCAGCACGGTGCCTGAAACTTCCTTCCTCGCTTCTTGAGGAGCAACTTTTCAAGGCTACACCTGCACTCGTGAAGTTGTATGCTTTGGATGATGTCTATCGTTTCCCGGTTGTCTCGATCCTGGAAATCCTTATAAAGAGTGCCGCCTCAAATTCCGCAAAAGAACCACCATCTCTGGTGGGTCACCTGGGTCCTGAATCGGCTTGCCTTTTCCTCGACATCTTGTCTCAGTTTGACCAGCCCTTCAATGAACAGCGCCTTCGATTGGCGGTCTGGCATCTCTTATCCACCATTATCAGCAAGCGTCAGCCTTGGCTTGCGGTTTATATTCTAACAGGGACTTCACCACGTCAATCACTGAAAAAGGACGACAAGCACAAGGAGATCTCTATGAGGGGAGCTCCTTTCTTGCAAATTGCCCTTGATACCCTCGCGAAGATAGAGCAGACCGACCTTCAAATAGCACTTTCGCTACTGGAGTTTGTCTCTCACGCGCAGGAACACTGGCCATGGGCGACTCCCGAGCTTAAAAAACACCCGCAGTTCCTCACTAGCATCGTCAACTATGTCTCGAAGTTGAAGATTTCGTCTCTAGCAGTGACAGACCAGGTCTTTGCTACTCGGATAGCGGCCGTGATTGCGGACCTTTGCGGCGTGTACTTGCATGCTGCGAAGGATATGCAAGATCAAGGGTTTTATAAGACCATGATTCCCATGGTATCATGGTTCTCTAAAGATGCGGTGGATGTATCTGCCTACAATGCCTCACTGCATGCGAATCTCAAAAAGAACTTCGAAATGAGATATCAGGGATGCAAACTCGCCGACTTCAAGAGGTCTCCGCTACAGTCGCGGTCATTGGGGGCAGGCTACTACTATGATGTGGAGTTAGGCCAGAAACTTCTATCGTACGATTTCGCTTGGACAGGAACTCGTAATCAAGGATTCGCCGAAGAGTTTCAGCGCGCCAACCTCAACTTGTCCTTGGTTGAGGCGCAGGTGGTAGGTGCTTTTCTATGTTCGAGAAATGCCAAGTTTGCTGATCGAGTACCGCACAGAATCTTCTCTATAGCTGGAAATTCTTCGCCATAGAGCATTGCGAAGACTTCATGGCGGATCGCGAAGTCCAGAAGTCGATGGCCCTGGTCGTAAAGAGTTGCCTGGAGGCTAACACGAGGGGCGTTCCTCAGGAAGCCATCTTCGAACGCATCCAGCAGACCCGAGCAGAGTTTGCTCAGGCTCTGCTTCAACGACTGGTTACCATTGGTGCCAGAGGAGCCGAGGTCTTCGGTCTACTCAAGGTCGTATGGGATGCGTTGCGATCTCGCCATAGTTCCTACGAGGAAGCTATTATTAACGACGACACGGAGTATTACCGCCTACTGTTGAATGTCCTATTCCTTGCGCTTCAGTTTCACCTCGACACCCCTTCGCGGGCAGCACCAGAAACCTTGACTAAGAAAGCCGAAGTGTCGTCTGACCTTGGAGTTGTGGTTGAGATTGTCAAGGTGGTTGTTGCTCAAGGCTTCAAGTCCCTCGTGACCTATCTTCATGAACAGCCGGAGAAATGTACGCCCAAAGACTTTGCCCTCCTCACCGCGATCTTGCAGAGTGCCCTGCAAGTTAAGAACGTTGATCGCTTGTTCGAGCACATCGCCTACCATATTGCAGATAATGACACAGCACGACTTGCGACAGCCTTATTCTCATGGGCTGATCAACGGATGGTGGCTGGGGATCCCGTCTACGGTGAGCTGAGTATTTCCTTGCTGGTCAAGTTGTCCACTATACCCATGCTGGCGGAGCATCTGGCCGTTGAGACCGTTCTCGCGCGGATTTCCACGAGCCGTATCTCCAACTTTATGCGCCAGAGCAATGGATTTGGACCGTTCGATCCGGTGCCCCGGATTTATTCCATTTGGACCGGCGGCATTCTTCCTCTGTGTCTGAATCTCCTTTTCCACGTGATGCGCACGGCGCCAGAAGTGGCCGCGTTCCTCAACCAATACGAAGGCCAGTTGAGGCGGTCGGCCGAATCCTTTGCGAGTCGCGCCGCCAGCGTTTCTGGGGTTGCCTCCACCCGGCAGGTCACTCTCAGCATGGTTTCTGAAGCGTACTCCCTTGCGCTGGTCTCGATGATCCTGACCCGATTCCGGGAAGCTGGCGCCAGTATTGGTGTGGATGCGCAAGCGATTCAAGAACTGAAATGGGACAAGGCGCGAGTTAAGGAGGATATCGAGGAGCTGCTCGAGCGGAAACAGAGTCTCCGAGCACGCATCGTGGCGACCAGCGACAAAGAGCTGGAGTTGGCACGTCAGAAGCCGGTTGATGCCGCCTCGGGGGCCGGGAACCGTTTGGAGGAGAAGATCATGAATGAACTAAAGGCGACGCTGGCATGCCTCGGTGGTGATGAGGCGTGAGGGGGTTAGTGAAGTAGGGTGCAAGGGTGGGCTTTGTTTAGAATCTAAACTAGACAATAGTTTCTTATCTCTTCCATGGGAGAAGGGTGTTTTTCCATGCTGTATGGCCTTTTATCCGATTCCAATCTGGAGTAGCGAGTTTAACGGGTCTTGTTTCTAGAAGGATATAGCATCAAAGTTTGGGGCTTTTTGCCCTTGTCCCTTTCCCTTTCCCTTACCCTATTCCTAGTGCTATTATATGGAACCCTTATCAATACTCAGGACAGGTATCTCTGGTGAGAGGGGATCGAGATCCGCCTGAAGCACTGAACCAGCCGGTACTGTGAACAGTCAGAGCAACCTTGAACAATACTGTAGAAATGTCGATCCCCCGCAACACCTCCTCCCTGAATCAGTTCAATCAATCAGAATCGCGCGACCCAACGCAAACCTCGGTCCCAAACAAGCCGCTATCCGAACCACAACCGACACGAAATGCGGGGGTCCGGAATGATGTACTGTACCTAATAGTTAGTAGTAGGCTAGTAGCTGATCAATCCTCGAATGATGTATCATCATGCATGAAGTTGAAGCAGGGAAACGGCGGATATGCCGAACCAGACCCAATCACTCCCTGCAGAGCAACTGCCCGTTTCTTCGATTCCGAGACGCAAGCGCCACTGCACACCGGGAAAACCCCCCCCTCGGATGCCGGAGTAGTAGGGATTACTATAGATCCACGCCGCTGCATAAGGGTTTGACCTGTGGCAGTCAATGCCCATCTCGTATAGATATTGGCAGACAGCATGAATCAAGGAAAAGGGAAAGAGGGAACAGATGATGTGGTCTGATTGACAGCGAAGATAATACTAATGCATGGGAGTTGTGCCCTCTTTCAATCACAGCCGATGGATGCGTGGACTTTGGACTGGATTGGAGGTGAATACTAACTGGTACCAAGTAGATTATTTGACTTGATCAGTTGATCTGTGTTTCTTTCCTGGACTTGGACCGTTTTTTTTCTTTTTCTCTTTTTTTTTGTTTTATTTGTTTTTTAATTATTTTTTTTTTGTCCTCGCTTTCAAATAGAAAAGACAGGGTTCACCACGGAGTTCTTACTGATCATTGAGGACTATAGTCGATTTTATATATGATAACTTATATCTACTTATAGAACTTCATTATTTCAAAAATTAGCGACATCACGGTCACTCAACCCACACCCTCACAAAAGTATAGGTTTCTACTTCCTCTATGAATTGACTCTTGCAAAATGCCACTCCAATCCCGCTGGACGATCCCCATCCCCAAATGCCATCTCGCGACCCTCCTCTTCACCTCCCCCACGCACCCGCTCTCGCCCACCCACCGATGCTTCCTCGACGCCGCCCGGCCAGACACCCACTACTTCACCGACCACACCTTCCGCCTGTGGAGCCAGCGGTTCGCCGCGGGGCTGCGCGCGGCCGGCTTGCAGCCCGGGGACCGCGTGCTCCTGTTCTCCGGCAACGACCTGTTCTTCCCCGTCATCTTCATGGGGACCATCATGGCCGGGGGCATCTTCACGGGGGCGAACCCGGCCTTCGTGGCGCGGGAGCTGGAGTACCAGCTGCGGGACTCGGGGGCCACGTTCCTGATATGCGCGCGGGACAGTCTGGGGGCGGGGCTGGAGGCGGCTAAGGGGGCTGGATTGGAGTGGGAGCGCATGTTTGTGTTTGATAGTGCTGTTTTTGACCTTGAGCTGCGTGGTGGTGGTGATGTTGAGGAGGAGGGAAAGGGAAAGGGAAAGGGAAAGGGGATAGGGGATTTGATGGGGAAGGGGCTTCCAGAGGAAGCAGTAAATCCGGGCTATCGCTACTGGGGCGAGTTAATCGCCTCCGTCGAGGAAGGGAGTCGGTTTGTATGGGACGATCTGACGAGGCCCGGGGCGGCGGCTACACAAACGCTGACGCTGAACTACTCGAGCGGCACGACGGGGCGGCCGAAGGGGGTCGAGATCACGCACCAGAACTACGTCGCCAATCTCCTGCAGTACAACTTCCTGTTCTACCTCTACCCGGACTGGGTGGAGCGGGGGGCGCGCGCGCGCTGGCTCTGTTTCCTGCCCATGTATCATGCGCTGGCACAGAATATCTTCATCGCCGCCGCGCTGCGCCGCGGGGTGCCCGTGTACATCATGCCCAAATTCGACATGCTCAAGATGCTCGAGTATACGGAGCGGTTCCGCATCACCGATCTCATTCTCGTCCCGCCCGTCGTGGTGGCGTTGGCGAAGCACCCGGCCGTTCGCAGCGGTAAGTTCGATCTGAGTAGCGTGGAGGGAGTGGCGAGTGGTGCTGCGCCCTTGGGCGCGGAGATCTGCGAGCAAGTCGAGAAGCTGTGGGAGCCGGGTCGCATTCATGTTCGTCAGGGTTGGGGGATGACTGAGTGAGTTCTTTCAACTTCTCGCTGGGTTCGCTGTGGTGAAACATCGGTGGCGAAACAACCAGCAGCTAACAGCAGAGGTCGGTCCTCGGGCTCGCCGTAGGACGACATGTTCCTTGCTGGGCTGGGACCCTAGAATCAAACCCGATCCCACTTCAGTGGGCGAGCTGAACGCTAACTGCGAGGCCAAAATCATGGCTGAGGATGACCGAACTGAACTCGGTCCGAACCAACGCGGTGAGCTATGGGTTCGTGGCCAGAACATAATGAAGAGGTACTGGAAGAATCCAGGAGCGACCAAGGAAGCTAAGACCGACGACGGATGGTTGAAGACAGGCGACATCGCCTTTGTGGATGACCAAGGTCTGTTTCATGTGGTGGATCGGAAGAAGGTAAGCTAGTAAGACCGACTTTCTGCTCGCCACTGGCGGCGCAAATTTTCAGTCTCGGACACGCCGTTCCTGCAACGTCTTGTCGCCTCTTCTGTCTTTGTATGCTGACAGGCACTTCTGCGTTAGGAATTAATCAAAGTCAAGGGAAATCAGGTCGCGCCAGCTGAATTAGAGGCGATACTGTTGGACCATCCGGCGGTAGCCGATGCTGCTGTCATTGGCGTGCCAATGTGAGTACACGAAAGGCGAAGTGTGTTGTGTGCAGGAGGTGGAATTCGCTAACGCAGCTGTTGGCAAATAGGTTTGACGATGAACGTCCTCGAGCATATATCGTGTTGAACTCCGGACAAGTCACCACAGAAAGGGACATTCTCTCCTTCATGGATGGCAAAGTATCGTCCTTCAAGAGAATCACCGGAGGGATCATTTTCATTGATGCGATTCCCAAGAATCCATCAGGCAAGATTCTGAGAAAGATGCTTCGCGAGCGCGCTAGTAGGGAGATGCAGCCGGCTGCAAGACTATAAAATTTCTCTCTTCATTTGTCCTTGTATTTGTGCTGCTCGTGTATTCGCTATAACACAATAGAAATTGATAAAACAAGTGTCAGCCAGAGCAGTTGTCGACCACTGACGGCTTACTGGTTGCCTTGACGTGGCTATGCGGTACATGTGACGGCTTAGCCTTCGAACACTCTGCGCACTGCAGCAGGCTGCGAGATTCTGGCTTCATTCATGGGATGGTCGAAAATATTGCTACTAGCTGGCTTGAACTCGGCTTAGGCGGTAGTAAACGATATAAGCGATAACTATGAACAGACGAGTTAAGTTGTAGCGATGATACTCGTTCGGCACGTCGAGCCAGCAGTCAAGGTTACCAGTGGAGAGGAACAACCGATCGATCGACGGCATGCATCTTGACGAGTGCCACTGCCATTGGCTGTGGGCAGTGAGCTTGAACCCGACCACCAGGAATCGACCATCCATACCTTACTAATACTATTTCACCGCCACATTGCGGCGGCGGGAGGAGCCTCATTGGCACTGGACCACCGCAGGAATCTCAGATTTAAATTAAAATATGGTGGCAAGTGCCTCCTGGATAAATGATGCGAGCTGACTATCGGTCTACTATCAGTCAAACAAAATCAATGACGGGCTAGACCTCCACCTGATTCCATGCAACCTTATTCGTTGCATAAGACCTGGATCTGGATCTGCGGCAACAGTCGATGATCGGTTGTCAAGGCGCAGCTGAGCGAGAACAACGGCCGAACAATGAAAGGACCCTTGAACGACCAAGCCATCAAGAGGCAGGAAAGGCGAGCAAAGATGCGTTGAGATCACGAGACAAGGACAACTGACCGTAACATTTCCGGGTCCTTCGCGGCGCCATCGACAGGGGCCTTGCGAATGGCAAGTCAAATAGACTCATCCACCGTGTTGGATCTGGCTCGCTCGGCTGGATTTCTGCAAAATCCCCCCTCTAGGACGCCATAGGACGCGCTAAAAGATCGAGGCTCACACGGTCCAGGTAGCCTTATGGCGTTGTATTATACTGGACCGCTTTCTCCCCTTAAGAATTAGTTAGCGGGTCTCCTAGCCGATGGCACAGTGGTGGTGGCGCTTCCGCTGGGCAGCTGAACCTGCCTTGCTTCAGGACCTCCATCCCGACCTCTCTAGCTTCCTTGGTCCTATAATCGGGATGCATCTGTAATTAAAAGTCATTCTCCTCGGTTGGATCGTTGCATAAGCTCTGGTGGCTGATCATGGCACAGCTGACGGAGAGGGGCTACCCTCCTCTGGCGTTCCCCATGCGAATAACTAGTGAGCTTTAGATCAATTTAATTGTTATCTCCGTTAGACATGTCTTCAAAATGCTCTGCAGTGGAGTCGTCATTCGCAGAGGGCATATAATTAGAGAGGCGTGTTTCGTGCCCTGGGTTGCCCTAAGGCCGGCTGTTATTGCTTTCGCATCCGTTCTATAGTGGTTGCGCCATGGCCTGGTCTCATTTATAAGAACCTTTCGATATCTGCCAGAATCAATACTGTTCCATGCAATATCACTCATCAAATCAACTATTTCCCCCTGGTAACCTTTGAATGTCAAACTTTTGTCTCAGCTTGTCCTTATTTGTATCGCTGCAGTGGCCGATCCAAAGCGTACCGAAACAACAGCTCTGATAAAAGCAATCAAGGTAGTTCAGAGTCCCACCCAGTTCTGATGCTACACGGCTCTTCTTCGAGATATTCTGGGCAAGTGCTTACTGAGTATACAGGTTTGGTGTGCGCACAGCAGCTTGACAAGCGGCTTGGATCCTATTGGCCGCCACAGGGAACTATAAGCCCTAAAGCTCTCTTGCAATGAGGTGCGAGAATGTTAAGACGGCAATTCCGAAGAAGATTGAGATAGTGTCGCTTGGAATCATCTATTCTGCTGCCTGCATAGCCTGCGTTCTACTGCTCCTTCAGCGTATCCGCCGTCGACGGCTCAGGTACGCACAACTGGCGAGGCAAATGGATCCGCTGTCATCTTCGCTAGAGAAGGGAGGTGGCGAAGGGCCGGCCAGTCCAGGGAGACAAGGCTACCGCGTAGCCTACCAGGACCTGACAGATCCAATTGGCCCCAACATCAGCTCTTCTTTCCCTTCAGCTTGCGACGTCCTCCAGCCCCTGTCGCACTTTTCGGAGTTGCCATCGAGTGGTCATTTGGCGGCCATCTTGACTCGAGAGCGGAGCTCCTGGACACGGCCCCCGTACCCACTGGAGGAGCCCGCTCTCTCCGTCTCCGGAGATGCCGACATGAAAGTCACCGCCATCTCCTCTACCTGTCAAGATGGTGATTTCGGTAGCTCGATTTCGGAGCGGGTGAATGGTGGCAGCATAGATTCGAGTGCTCCACCCCGGACGGGTTTGTCCCCGGTTGGGTGGCGCACCACAAGCCACAGCCAGGAACCGCCCGCGCCCAAGGTTGCGGAGTCGAGCAGCGGGCCTCACACGGCGCGGAAATCCGGTCACGCAGTCCAGTATATGCGCGAAGAAGATGAGGAGGGAGTGCGGAGCTGGAAGCGAGTAGTGGTGGAGTACAGTTAATGGCTTACATGTGGTTCAATTCTGTTGTCTGAAATTGAGGGAGCGTTCGCTTTTCTTTGGTCTGTTCAGTACTTCGGTTCCTGTCTACCTTGTTATTGACATCATCCTCATCGGGGATGATTCTCAGGCGCATGCCAGGAAGAAAGTCTCAAAATGGGTGGCCATTTGTCTTCCTTACTTTGTCCAAGGAATCTCGTTCGCTATGTGGTAGATTATGAATAATGACTGAATGATAATCGTCAAAATCGGCTATCCAGAAGAGAGGGGCAGCATTCATGTCGTGTCTGCTCAAGATGATCCGACATCATTGTTATTGGTTGTTCCTGCAGGTGAAGCGTATGTGGGAGACCTGAATCTGTACAACATGGAGTCTCATTGTCCATATTGCTAACTACGTGAAGCCAGCCGCCTTACACTACGATCGATAGCGTTCATAAGTCCAATCTGTGACTTAGATTGTGCTGGTTCTCTATTAGATCATCTCCAGGTCTTAGACTTCAGACTAAGTACGGAGGAAAGTCGTTCTACATCCATGTAACTACTAAATATCATGGCTACTTGTATAGAGTACACCCGTCCCAAAGTGGATTAGTGCAGCACCCCTGCCCGTGCAGCTCATCCTGCTGAGTCAGCCAAGCTGTCCGCAACCGCAAGATGGGAACATTCCGTCGGGCATCCAGCTCCCTCAACTCCACTGATCTCCAGTCTCCGGATAAAGCATCGGACACGAACAGTGTGAGGGACCGACAAAGATGACGCTCACAACCTACGATACAGCATGGGGGCCCTCTAACATCGCCGCCTTGAATCTGTCGCGCCTTCTGGCCCGGTTGGAATACAACCTCCTCTCTTCCGCGGCGGACTTGAGGCCACTCCGACGATCAGAGCATCAGCGCAAGAGAGTAGGAGCGGTATGTGCTTCCATTCAGACCCCTCCCAGCAATCCTTAAGCATCTTGTCTATGTGTCTTCATGGGTTCACAAGACTGTTGTGAAATCCATCGCAATACCATCCAGCCCGCTTCCACGTCATGAGGTACCCCGGATGCAACGATCGTCACTAACATCACCCCACCCTCCTCAGAATATAGACTATGCCCGCACCACCCTTCAGAACCTCGAACGCAGCCTCCCGGAAATTGCGCCTCTCGACCGCCGACAGACTATCCAGAGTAATCTAGCGCGGCAACGACTCCTCCTCAACCGCCTCCAGGATCTCCTTGACCGACTCACCGTTGAAGCGGAGACCCACAGCCGGGGAAGCAAGCAACACCCAGCCGTCGCATTCAGCAGCACCCCGAGATCCCAAGATGAAGAGCCAGAGGATGGCTCAGATTCAGACTCCGAGCCCCTTGAGGGAGAAGAAGACCTTCTTGGGACCCCCGAAGAGGGTAGCACCACCGACGAAGACCGGGACCGGGACCGGGACCACGACAATAATGACGCGGTCGTAGAAGCAAACCACAACCAGCAACAGTCATCGCAGCCATCAGAGTCACAACAGCCACAACCACCCACGATACCCTCCGCACTCCCCATCCCCCCAACAACCACCACACAGCAAGATTCACCGTTGCCAGCCACTACCACGACCACAACTACAGCCACAGCCACCCCTCCGCAACCACAATCAAGCATTCCCCCCCAACCGTCCTCGACCCTCCGCAATCGATCCAACGCAGCAGCTCCCTCCACCTCATCCTTGCAACCCATCACAGCCTCCGGCACCTCCCTGCACCCTGAATCCCAACCACCACTACCGTCATCATCACCAACCAAACTTCAGCCCACAACAACAGAAGACACCCTCGTCTCGGACCGCGCCGAGCAGGAGGACCTCACCTCCTCACTCCTCTCGCTAGCATCACAACTCAAGGCAGGGTCACAGGCCTTCCACGCCTCCCTCGAGGCGGAGAAATCGGTGCTGGCGCGCGCAGTCGACGGGCTCGACCGCACAACGGGTAATATGGAAGCGGCGGAGCGGCGCATGGGGACGCTGCGCCGGATGACCGAGGGGAAGGGCTGGTGGGGTCGCATGATGCTCTACGCCTGGATCTTCGGGCTGTGGATCGTGGCGATCCTGATTGTGTTTGTTGGCCCCAAGCTGAGATTCTAAGTTCTTTTCCTTCTATGCATGCACGAATGTATGTATGTATGTATGTATGTATGTATGTATGTATGCATGCATGGCATATATACGGAGATTTCGCAGATTTCTCTTTCGTAATCCTCGGACTTCCGCGGATCCGTGCCATAGCTGTGGACACAAGAATTACAGGATCTCGCTTGGATGTTGCTACTCGTTATATCTTGACCCATCCAGGCTGAGATGTTGATGAAGCTTTTACTCGACTTACGCCCATGCAAAACTTCGATTCGATTCGCATGTATTCATAAGATGTCTAACACTACACGATGTGCAACAGCAGAGGCTTCATCTCCCGCAGCCCCAACTTGCAGTTCTGCACCGCAGGGACGTACCAAAGAACCTCCCCACCATGGTAAAGATATGATGATCCAGATACCGCCGCTATTTCTCTCATATTACCTACTTAGCCTAGCTCTTGCACGACCCGAGGAGATGAGGAAGCGTGATCTATGATTACATACAACAAGGTGGAACCAATTGCACCAAAAAGGTCATGGAATATCCAGCTTCAGATCACACATGAGATTAAGAACGGAACGACGGTCCAAGATAAACAGAATAAGAGAGATGGGATGAGCGAAATATGAAGAACGTGGGAATCCTATGGACTGGTCAAGATCAAGGGAATAGGATGTAAAGAGGAGAAATCAAAGATGGACATAAGGCACAGAATTCTAACAGCCTTGCAGAATTGATACAACCCACAGGAATCCTGCTGCTCGAGGGGGAGAGAAAAGGTAGTTGAGGGAATAGATAGAGAAACAACTCCTGCTCTGTGTCATGGGATGGATATCGGTGATGCTGATAACAAAGAGCCGGCTAGATATCATTTCAGGACAAAGGAAAATAGAAACAGAAATTAGTAGTAATGGACATATGAATGTCTCAACGCCGGAATCTTTCGGGAGGGGTAAAAAGCTGCAACATGGTATGACAAAAAGCACAAACACAAAATTACAAGTCACATAGCATACGGTCTAGATACGAGCCCACTCTGCTCGATCAAGATCGACCGGTCATTAGATCAGACCACACAGTCTCAGGTTTTCTTGGATTATGATGTCTGTGAAACAGTCAGTGTCTGAGCCTTCCGTATCAAATGGTGAATCTGCTTGGTCATACCATTTACTGCAGCCATGACGAAGCGAATCTGAGTGGTATCAGTGGCACATGTGAAGTGAGTGTAGATTTGCTTTTGCTCGGCCTGGTTCAATGATACGAAGCGGTTAAGAATGTAGTCACACGCGGCGGCGTAGTCTGCGCCTCCCTCGTAGTCGGGGAAGTAGTTCTTCATGGGGCTGACAGGCAGCTTCTCCTTGAAACGATCGATCTTGTTGAGGAAAAGAATGATAGAGGTCTTGACAAACCACCGGGAGTTGCAAATCGAGTCGAACAGAGTGAGGGCTTCTTGCATACGGTTGACGGTCTCATCTTCAAACAGCAGCTGGTCGTACTCGGAGATGGCAACCAGGAAAAGGATTGTCGTGACATTCTCGAAACAGTGAATCCACTTCTTACGTTCAGACCGCTGACCACCAACGTCGAACATGCGGTAAGTCAGATCACCGATAATGAATGTCGTCTCGGTGATACCAGTAGTCTTGACACGAGAGCGGAGAACATCCTGATCGGTGGGGAGATAGTCAGGCTGGGCGATGCGGTCGATGGCGTCAAAGTAGCTGGGAACTACAGTTAGTGACAGCTGAAGGGGCTAGAGGCGACCGTGATCTAACTCACTACTTGGCCGAGTCGTTCAACTGGTATTCGCGAGAACGCTTGAAGCACTCCTGAACACCGGTATCGCGCCACAGAGCGCCGATAGCGTTGCCAACCTCTGGCGGCAAGTTGTCGCCCTCGATCTGAGCAGGTTGCATGAAGACGGTTTGCACATGGTACTCGTTGCGAGCATCCTCCAAGGGAAGCTCAAGGGATTCCATGGCCTCCAAAATGACACGCATCGACTGAACCGTGTTGCTGTAAATGATTTCCTTGAATGATTCTCGCTCATCCCGGGAGTAACTGCCTTCGTGAATCAATTTCATCTGCTTGAGGATAGTCGACTTTCCAGACTCTCCAGCACCTATTCGTGAAAACTGTCAATCGCCTATCCGGAATTGTTTCCAAAAGAGCAGATATTGAGGGAATGCGTACCGAGCAACAACATCTTGATCTCATTTCTTTGCATCATCTTGTCCCGCTTGAGCTGGTTCTCAATCTCCTCGTTGCGGGCCTTCCCCTCCTTGTCTTCAGTGCTCATTCCACAACCCATTTTGGCGGCGATCAATGAACGTGTGATTAATCAATAGATAAATTGGCAAAGGAACGGCGATATTCGAGCGGGGCAGAGAAATAGAACTCTGTTAGAAGCGATCTGTGTCAGCAAAGTGCTATCTCTCGGTTGGTTTGATCCAAACGAGGTCATGTCAAGTGCGAACGTGGTCAGACACGGGACAGCAGTCGCGCGCAGCTCCAGTAGCGAACCGGTAACATCGAAGTTAAAAGGTAAAGCAAAGCAAGCATTCGGAAGGTTAAGATCCAACAAGGTAGAAGCTTCGCAGCCCCCAGCGATCGTGTTGACGCAAGGAGGTGCAGCTGACGCATCGAGTGGAGGACTTGCGGACAGGCATCTCATGTAGTCCAAAAGGAGGGGAACTGCTTACTCTGCTCAAGGACTTTTTGATCTGATATCCCACAGAACAAATAGACGATTAGATCAAGATAGTAATAATGATACTCAAGGGCGAGGTGAATGTGAGAGAGTGGGCGGTAAGGGGAAAAGCCAGATGTGAGCGCGCTGTGCGGCTAGATGGAAAGGAGGCGAAAGGAAGGTGGGAACACTGAACACCGATTATGGCGATTCGAGCAATGCCAGTGTGTAGTAGCGAAGAAGGTAAGAGGATTATGTGAATGCACAGAGAAGCAGAAATTGGAGAATATTAGCAAGTAGCTGTCTTTGGACTGCCGACCCCAATCTACCTGTGAGAAATGGATGAACGGAGGCGAGGAGGGGAGGGGAGGAGGAGGTGTGTGCAGAAAGGAAGAGAAGGAAATTGATGGAGGAAAGTGAGCGAGGCTGAAAGATAGGAGTGAGAAAGATTAAGCTCAGCCGGCAAGGGGGGGCGTGGTGGGAGGGTGAAGGAGGAGAAAGAAGGAAGGAGGGTACGGAGTAAGCCTTGAGTGTACAGTAAGAAATGAAAGAGACGCTGTGAAGAGGAACGTGAGCCAAAGGGAAGAGAGAAAAGAGGCGAAATTGGGGCACTGGGGGAAGGTGGAAAAAAAGAGGGGGCCAGATTAGGGAAGGCCTGTAACTTTGTCTGTCTGTAAGACGAATACGTCCTTACCATGTCTGGAATTAAGCGGGCAAGTGGAAAGGAGGAAGAGGATGAGAACGAGGAACCTCGTGCTCAATTGAGCCTGTCTCCGAGTGAAACGATGGAAGATAGAGAACTTTTCCTCCTTCTGGAACGCAGACTGACCCGTCGTGAAAGGCTCAAACCATCAGCAGAATTGCATCAATAAGGGGGTAGTAGTGGAGGTGGTAGGTGGTCCGTCTGGTAAACGCGATGGGAGATTTAGTTTCCATTCTCTCATTGGTTGTCAAATTGAAAGAGGATCCAGTAGAGCGGAACCCGGGCTGACCAATGGTACTCTGTATCTCCGTTCCTCCCCTTTTTTTTTCTCCCGCGCTGCAGTTCAGGTTGTGAATAAACGAATTAGCAGCCTGAGGTTTCCACCCGACTGTTGTCCTTCCCTGGAGCATGATAAGCCCCGGTACGTACTGAGTACTGAGTACAGTAATTTAGGTACCTAGTATCCAATATCCAAGTCTATTAACTATTGCGACTTTTACTCTAATTCCTCATGCGGTATGCTCATGACTCGTCGAGGCACTGCACTTATTACTTGCTTACAACTTAGTACATATATGAACCATTTATTATATCTGCTCATGCTTGCCATATAAGTCTCTATCTAATGTTCTCATCAAATAATTCGGATCCCTGAGCACTGTACTGCTATTAGTCAAGAGACGGAACATGCAAGATCAGAAGTGGTCTAGAGGGGCTTCTGCATGGAATAGTTCCTGGCGTTGCCGCTGGATGGCATCCTGAACCTAACCTCGTGTGCATAACCGACTACTGACTGAGCTAGTCGCCCATCGACCAAGGAAGAGAAGTGCCAGCCGACTCATGGGACCTGAGGAAATTACCACTCAGACAATGTTCACTGACCTGCTCATGATTATTGACGATTAGATAGTCATCAAGTCGCATGGATTAATTTCCGGGTACCGCAGATCGACTGACTGCGAGTGTTGGTCTCCAGGGTTGGATTGTCTGGATCAGCGCCCTCCGACCGATCCAACCCTCTTCTCTCAGAAGAAACATTCGGACTGATTGCTATGTGGGGGTGGGTGCTCGCCTTCTCCTCCTTGCAGGTACGGAGTACAATACGTAGAAAAGGATCTGGAGGCCACAAGGCACAAGCAGGAGAAGAGCCGGAAGCTTGGTAGGATGAGAATGAGGAGCCTGCAGTTTCAAAAGGTGCCCGCCACCCAGGAAGAGGTGGGGAATTCGGCACCACACCTTGTGCGCCCCGATCGCCAGGTACAGTCCAGAATCGTTGCTTTCAAACAATTTCATGGTTGTTGCTTCCCCCTGGACATCATTATCCTTGGTGGGTTGATGCATGACATCATGCAATGTAAGCACAGATATAAACTTGACAAATTCAGTTGCTCTTATATGGAGTGCGAACATACCCCAAGCGACAGTACTATGGAAAGATGGTGGTGCTTTGGAAGACGCTCCGTGGAATACGGAGGAGACCATTACTAGCCTCTTCTAGTGAGGTTGTAATGGCTCCATGGCCAGGTACCGTATGCTGTAAACTCCACTCCTTAACTGCCCCGTCGATCGCTTCTCCGCACGAGAATTTGAGAAATGGGCAAGAGACTGGATGATGCTGATTCCAGACATGTTTGGGAGAGTGAGACGCTTTCGCCCCCTGATAAATCGTCAGATGTTACATCTTCTGCAATGGCATTGTGAATCAACCTACTGCATGAAGAATTGAGAGACAGATACATCCATGTTTCTGCTTTTCACTTTTCAGGAGAGGCGGAGCATTAATTCGAGCTAAGATGAATCTCCCGCCGAACCCTACTGATGCTTTTATCCATGGTTCAGCCATGAACTAAGGAGACCACTAATTGACTAATTGCCTTCTTCACCGTTCCAATTCAGTAAGGTACAAGAATACATAGGGTTTTTTCCGGTTCCAGAAGCATTGCTGTACTGAGATGCTCAGCTGGAGGACTTGACGTTCCCCGAGACATCATGTTTGAAAGTCAGAATTGACCAGTCAATCTCTGAAGAAGTATGTCTCATTTTGCAAATGCTCGATGATTCCAGTACACTGGTCCCTCTCCACTCTGGGCATAACTAGTCCTCCCCAGCAGCTCGTGAACAGTGAACAGACTATTGATTCGGTTTCCACTTGGCTTGGCTCACTGGGCTTGGCGCCTCTACTTTAAAGGCCGAGCAGGATTCTCTGAAGCAAGCCTACCTCCCTCTTGAGCACAGTGCTCAGGGCTGAATGCTGCAATTCACCATGCCAAAGTGCCGAATCACCAATGCTGACGATCGGGCTACCACTGTTGTGGTAGGAGATCTACTTTAGTATTTCTCTAGGCTGGCCCTGAACAGATCCATCCCGGGGATTAGCCGACGAACTGCCATGCAGGTGGTGGTTCAATGCTGGAGAGTTATACAATGAGGTACTTTTGTGCTGTGTGGAAGCACCTGCCAGAACCTTGAAGGCTTGAACAAGGTTGAATTCACTAGAAAAACTGTCCGTTCGGTGACGATGCCCTTGCTTAGTGCAGTCCCGTCGCATGGCCGGGGGTAAATAGCGGACAGCCTCAGGCTACTCAATCGACCCTTCCAGGGTGGCAGTGAGTAGGTAGAGTTCCGATTCCAGATCGGCCATCCACTGGCGCCAACTGCCCGCCCGATCGCTGCGACTTTCGCCTCTCTGAAGTCGCCTTTCTTTTTCTCAACCATTGTCGATATATTCATTCTAGTAGAGAACAACCCGTGTCACTCCTTACCGGCCTGAATAGCGCTATATATAGCATTGATATATTTCCTTTTCAAACTGGTTGCCCATACATCGCGATCGTTCACAGGATGCATGAGATGTCGCATATGGGCCCTCGGGGTAAGGGTCCTACGGAGAAATCCCTCGCAACCCCGACCGCGCGCGGGCATGCTCACTCAAATGACTGATTGACATCTACACGCTCACAGCCTTCAACCACGAGCAAAGCCAGGACACAGAGGCCGAATATGATCGTCTCCGCGACCTCGCGCGCCAGGAGGCTTCCAAGCGCAATTCATGCTTTCAACGGGTAATCAATTTACTTTGCACCTTTGTTTCTCTTGCGCGCAATCGCATCTCAGCCTGCACAGCTTTCTGCGACGACCAAAACCCTCCCGTGGAATTCCTTTAAACCTCACTTCACTTAAACCTTCCTCCGAGACTGACTCGCATTTCCGATTCGGAAACCCCTCTCTTTCATAGTCCCAAGAAGCGTACACCAGCGGCGATGGCGCTAGAGCCAAAGAACTATCCGAACAGGGCAAAGCCCACGGGCGCAAGATGGAAGAGTACAACAAGCAGGCCTCCGAATTTATCTTTCGTGAGAACAACGCCGAAGGGCGCGTCGCGGCCGACACAATCGACCTCCATGGGCAATTCGTCGAGGAGGCCGAGGAAATCCTAGAAGAAAGGATTCGATATGCGAAAAACCATGGCCAGACGCACTTACATGTGTAAGCGCCAGCCAACTTCCTCTTTCTAGTACCCTTTCCTCGAGGCTTGCAGTTTGGGTTTTTTGAGTCCGGAAGTGATTGTCTGGCTCAGCTGGCTGACATGTTCTTTGTTCCTGGTTCTCCAGAATCGTCGGAAAGGGTAACCATTCGGCCAACCACGTGCAGAAAATCAAACCCCGCGTCGAGCAGGTTTGTCGCGAGCTCGGGCTACAGTATGCAACGGAGGAAAATGCCGGTCGCATCTATGTGAATCTGACTGGCGGACCGGCTGACATGTCCGCGGCGCCGGGACATCATCAGCAATCGCAGCACTACCCGCAGCACCAGCAGCAGCAATACCCACAGCAGCACCAGCAACAACAACAGCAGCAGCACCAGCAAGGGGATAACCAGAATGAGATTGAACAAGTTGTCAACGCTGTTCTCCCCAGAGTCCTGCGCAAGCTGGAGAAGGCTTGCTGTGTGGTTATGTGAAGAATTGGGGTCTACGACAACCCAGCATTGGGCTTGAATGGGTATGGGATATGAGAATAATGTTCTGGAATAATACAGCTACTACTCGCTTGGCGACCAAAAGGTCGGTTTTGGCTATCTGGATGGCTGGAAGCGTCTTGCGCAGTCTTGCTGGGGGCGGGGTAAGTCGCTCATGGTCGACATGATTTCTTTGACCACATTTCTGTTTCCCACTTTTCGCAAGCAAACAAAGAGATATCCATATTTGAAATGTGAATCACCTGTGCAATTTCTGGTTCTGCGCCGCTAAGTAATTAGACATGATTGAAAATTTCTCTTCATCATCTTCACTCTGTTAGACCACATGTGCCGCAGGCATAATTATCTGTCCAACGACCCGAGAGCACGTTGGGGTCGGTACAAAGAAATCGAAATCTTATTGTTTGGATTCTTGGGAGCTTCCTAGCGTTGATTCTGTAATCTTATTGAGAATAGCGCGAACCAGGGCCCCATCGTCGCTTGCACCGTCGCCATCAATCTCACGGATGAGCGCCAGTGCCTTATCTCGCAGTTCCCGGACGACGTCCCGCGTGTGCGCAAAACTGCCTGACTGCTCCATATAACTGACCGCGTACCGTTTGACCTCCTCGTCGGTGGTCTTCTGCTTCAAGATGCTGAGAAGCTGATGGTCCCCCGGTCTGGCGCGGATGCTGTGAATGATTGGGAAGGAGAACTTGCCCTCCGTGAGGTCTTCACAGAGACCCTTGTTCTTGGTGTATGTACCGCTGGAGAGATTCAGGTAATCATCGCAGATCTGAAAAACCAGACCCATGACGTTCACCAGGCTCACACAGTCCTTGCCCGCGCCACTCTCGGCCTGCATTAACTTCACGGCCAGACGGAATAGGCCCCCAGTCTTGTTGCCGACCATTTCCAAGTACTCTTCCTCGTTCGGGCAGGTCAGCGTCTCCCGCCAGAACAGATCCATGCCTTGGCCGCGGTGCAGGTTCAGCAACTCCTGCACATAGATATCGATGGCGGCTGGGTTGTTCAGCTTCTGCACCTCCTGGAGAGCGAGGAAGTACACATAGTTGGCCGAGTTGATCGTCTGCGCCGTGCCATAAATGTTGTGGGCTACTGGGATGCCGCGACGGAGGACTGAGTTATCTTCGACATCATCGATTCTGCCCACATTGATTGGCCCAAGTCAGTTCACTAATGGCTTTACCTCTTCAGTGCAGGGGGCTTAGTGGAGAGTGGTACAAAGGCGGAAGCTTACAGTAACGAGGCGGTGTGCAGCATGGCCACCACCTTAGTGATAATCGTCAAGCTCTCGGGAGGGACCTTCAGCCATACATTGAAGGCGTTGATGAGCTGACGGCGGATGTCTTTGCCCGGATGCTGGAGCATATAGTCATAGGGCCCCAGCACGATCTTCTCATTTTCTGGCGACCATTGCCCGTCCTTGTACTTAGTCCCATCCACACTAGATCGATTACGAGTGTGCGTGCGGGATAAGACATTGGCATTCGTCAGAAGCCCATCGGCTATTGTCGATCCAAGTCTCCGGTCCTGGTCGGGGATCGCTGTCAAGTCCGATCTGGGCATTTTGAGTGGGCCCGCCTCAGCCCAAGCATCATCATTTGTGACGACGGTCGAATTGGGATGGACGAAGGTGGTCGGAGGTGGCTGGGAAAGTGGCTCGGAAGGCATTTTGTGCGTGTGTCAGGGTCCGAGAACTGCTAGGCTGACCGCGCGCTACTCTAGGAGAGGGGAGGACTGAGGAGGGGAGACACTTTCTTTTTAAAATCTGGTGGAATTTACCCCGACATGCTATGACAGCCAGATAGAAGAACACGAGACTCAAAGACCTGCATACTGACTCGAAGTCAGTCAGTCGGTCATAAGTCAAGATAGAAGTTAAAAACCAAATCCTGACCGTCTGCGTGAGGAGTCAGACAGGTTGGACTGTTGCTGCATGCATCGAAAAGTGACATCCCGGCGGGGAGAAAAGAACTACTGTGGCAGTACGGCGGGGGATAACGTGACGTAGTGTCACATGCGGTAGGTCGGACAGGGCAAAGTCACGTGGTCATTCAGTAACTCCGACTTGCCGCGTGCCTGATTGCGGTTTGCTTCGTGCGCTTGAACGCCCGCCCGGTGGTGACACCAGCAGCACACGGTATCATGGATCCGGATCACAGTACATACGCAATTACTCCTACACTGTAACTGTTCGTGCAACCCAGGGTCGGGATGAGAAAGATGGGCTGGTACTGGGCGGCTATTTGCCCGATTCCCGCCCGGAGGAGTTGCGCACTGCATTGGCGGCAAGTCCTGTATCAATGATTGAATGATTCAATGGTTCAATGGTTCAATCTCATGTCGGCAAGACCGAGACGTCACAATTAAGCGTCACTTCACCTTCAGTTTAGACAAGAAACGGCCCCATCAATGGCGTAGCTGAGCTGAAATACCCCAGCCACCCCAGTTTGACATCATTTATCTGGTCGACTAGCAGAAAAGTAGCGTTTCTGGACCGCCCATTGGTAGGAATCGGCTGGTCTCCGGGACAACAATGGAGATGTTGTTGTCAAATGTGGGGAATTGGACGAGTCTAAACTGTTGAAGGGTACGTGCGGTAAGCATCTCGGACCGTGTCAACAATCATGTTTTCTTTCTATCACCAATGCTTTTCTGGAACTAATTAAGGGCTCCATTCTCCAAGCGTCTGGACTCGATCCAGTCTATTTTTTTCTCATTCAGCTCTACGGCCCCCAAGGCAATTTTTAGAAAAGATCGTACCTTTTAGTGCTCTTAGTACTATTAGTACTTTAACTAACTTCCACTTCTTTACACCTCACTTGTACCCGATCGTCTTGGCCCAAGGGTCTTTCTTCACGGACCCATCGGGTGCTCAAACGCTTTGTCTTTTTTACTTATTTTTCTTCTATTCCCCATTTTCGCCATTGTCTCTTTTTTGATTTTTCTGATTCTATTTTCTCCCTCCCTACCCGTTCTCTGTGCTACAGAGCTATCTGGAGTTTCTGTTGCGCCTGTATTCTTCCCTGCTTTACACCACTCATGGAGGCACTGCTGGCGCATTCGTTTGACTATCTTTCTTCATACGAGCCAAGCAAAGTTCGGAAAGGACTACGACAGGTTGAAGGACTCCTCGCACAGATCTGTTTGTCCAAGTCGAAACGGCCGGCGTCTGACAAACGGCGGTCCCTCCTGTCGTTTGGAGCTCCGCAGCCCGTGCCCAAGTCCTTGTCCGAACTCAAAGATGATCCGGCCTTTAGAGAGTTCTTCAAGCTTCAAGAAGGCTTCCAGTGGAATGGTAAGTAAACCACCCCTGCATCCATGCGATCATCCATGATACTGATTTGTGCTACGCAAAGTCGCAATGCGCCTGGTAACATGTCTCGAGCATTTACTTGGGCGGGGCAGCAATGGCACCAATGACGCTCTTATTGTTACCACCCTTGACCTCATACAAGGTGTGCTACTGCTACACCCTCCGTCGCGCGCATTGTTCGCGCGAGAGATTTACATGAATTTACTCCTGGATTTGCTCGACCCGATCAATTGCCCAGCCATCCAATCAGCGACTCTTCTCACACTGGTCACTGCCCTGCTGGACCACCCCGCCAACACACGCACCTTTGAGGAACTCGATGGCCTACTTACCGTGACCTCGCTCTTCAAGCAGCGCGCAACCTCCCGCGAAGTTAAGCTGAAACTTGTGGAGTTCCTCTACTTCTACCTCATGCCCGAAACTCCGATGATCCCGGTTAGCCATTCGGCACCCAACACGGCCGTCATGGGTCATTCACGCAGTCCCAGCAAGCTTGGCGTAGCACAAGTCTCCAGGAGTGTCAATGTTCCGGGGGCGTACGGCGGAGGGAAAGCACATCGGGATACGCGCACGACCGACGAGAAGCAAGCATTACTGGGAAGGCATTTGAACAATGTGGAGGATTTAGTGGAGGATCTCAAGGAAACCGCCCCCTTCGGCGCCACTGTCTACTGAAACGTCATTTTTGAGCGACTATGGGTTCTTGTCTTTCTTGCTTTTGATTCAGCGATGGAGCTAGCATGGGATTCTTTTACGGTATCATGGCGGGGTTTTGTTCCTTAATGGGCTTGTTGGTTTCCCTTCGAAGGGCATGTGTTCTTTTCGCGACTTCGTTTTATTCCCTATCTTCTTCTCTCCTTGGCTATCAGGGCCATTTTTGCCATCTCTCATTCTCTTTCCCGTCTGGTACGGACTTTGGATTCTCGAACGCCGATTCCTCTTTTTCTCCTTATTCCCCTGGTTATGTCTCTCCTAAGTTTTATGGACCAGCATGTGGCTTGCAGCTTACGATGATGTCTTTCATGTGCCATGTTTGCGATTGGTAGTTTAGTTACCCAGCGCGCAGCTCCGAATGAACCAGAGATGAAACAACCTAATTGAGAAATGGGCGGAGAATCTCCTTTCATAGGTTCACTGTACCTGTAGCATACATCTGATCCGACGGGGAAAGGTGTAGTCTCGTTTTGTTGCTCAGAAAGTAACTTGGTTGAAATTTGCGGGCCAGTTGCCCCCGTTTTCATGCAGGGAAGGGAGTCCATGCTATGCTACAGATTGTACTCCGTATGGTTCTTACTGCTTTCTGCGCATGCATTGCACATACCTCTATTGGTTGCGATCACAGTAAGCATGTCAGCATAATGGGCGTTGCCAAGGTCATTTTTACTACCAACAGTGGTTGATTTTGATTGGGAGGCAAAAGGTTCGAGCGGGTCATCGTATATATCCAAGATCGGTACAGGATCCAAGCCATCCGCACGCTAAACCGGTACGTCAAACCGAAAACCAGGAACTAGGCCCATCCACTGCAAGTCATCCATCCCATCATTTCCGGACGGAACACTAGAAAATCAAGCTCCAGCGGGAAATAGTATACTAGCAAACGAGATCGTCATCGTAAAGCGAAACTTGGTCCTTACTTATCGACGACTGTCAGAAGCATATCATCATGATGCTGAAGATTCTCATCACTTAGCAAAGACACACATCACTACCTACTCTATTCCTTTGCTTTGTTTTGATACTAGGTGAGGCTGAGCTACTTCAGTTGGTGTCGTTGCTGACTGTGCCGAATACTGCCTACTCAACGGGATATACTTCGGAGTACACGCCATTAGCCGACAACAAACAACCCTTCCCCAGTAAAAAGACTTGTCGATTCAGATTAGACATACGTGCGAGCATGTACAAACTTTCCCTTCCTCCTCTCTTCTTCTATTATCTGAGCCAGTAAGAGGCTCGCCAGTACCATGTCTGGATCCTGTCTCGTATCGCGCGCCAGGAGGGGGTGTAGACATAATATACCGTGGTTTGGCGTACCGTCTTTTTCGTTATATAGTAGTTGGTAGTTTGCGGGCTGTGGTGAGTGATCGGGCTGGGTGGGTCAGGAACCCCGCCGGCAAATATATATATGCCTCGTGATGGGGTGCCTCATAATTGTTTGGGCTTTCCTTCTACCTATACAGGGTGTAAATCTACACAGATTGTTGCAGGAAGCCTGGGTAGCGTGCATGTTGGCAATATCGTTCGTAGACTTGGGCTTGATGGGTGGTTTAAACGTTCATTTCAGTGTGGGTTATTGAGAAAGCGGAAGAGAATTAATAGATTTGAGCAGGGCAAGACATAGTGAGTGTGGCGCAGTGAGTAGGCCAAACTGGTTTGACAGAGGTATGTTTCTATTTTATGTCTAGTAGAGTAGTAAAACGGGGTTTTCAGGTACAGTGTTCGTTCAAGGTTTGATATTGTACAGATTGTGGGGCTTATGTGTGGCTAAGTTTTCTTCTCTTTCCTCCCTCATGCGTCTCTAGAAGAGGTTCAGTAGTCTTTCGCGGTGTTGTAAAAGGTTCTCATGGCGTCGCAGCAGCTGTCCCAACCGATTGCGCTTCCAACCCATCTTCTCGTCCAGGATCAAGTGCGTGTACGCGAAGACACTAGCGTCGAACAAGCCGGGGTTGGGCCGGTCGAAGAAGTGCAGGTTATCCCCGAGAAGTGTCGACAAGGCCTCGAATGCCTCACCCGCTTCCGCTTCCAGCGCGGCGGCGTCAATGAAGGATGACGTCTTGAGGAGCTCCGCCCGCGCAGCCTGCTGGAGCTGCAACGCTAAAGCCGCCCGGACGGCGGGGTTCGTGGTGCTCGGGTCCACATAAAGACGTCGGGCAACGGCATCGAAGTTCTCAGCGTCGACGTACAGAGTATACAGCTATATGAAGTCATCTGTCAGTATTGGGTCGACAGATAAACCCCCCTCCCGTGAGCTTGTCTCCACTGGCCCGAGGAAAACATACCCAAGCATTTCGTATCCGGTGGTCCAGCAATGATGCGTATACTTCGAAGCGCGTGTTCAACTGTTGCTCCTCTTCGCAGTGAACTTGCTCAATGGCCCATTTTTGAAGTTTGTTGGAAGGGATAGGGGCGTTGTTGCCGACGGGTAGTGCGGGGAGAAGGAAAGGAAGGGCGCCGGTGGGAGATGCGTGGTTGCTGGACGGGATAATATCGAAATCTATTCCAGCGAATCTCAAGTATGCCTATGGCAATGCAGAGACACGAGTGGAGTTAGTTAGCGACAAAACGAGATCCATGGCAGGAATAATTATCTCTGGATCTCCTTACCTGCCACTTGAGGCACTGAGGGTTAAAAGACGGCCTCCCGTGCCTGGCACCGGCGGCATCTGTGAAGACAAACAATCGATTTCCTTGTCGATTGGACCAAGAGCAATACGGAAGATCATTAGGGGGATATGTGACGAGAGGAAAGCGGTCGAAAATGCGCTTGACCGGCGCAGGGACAGAGAAGAAATCTCGAGCGCGCGCGGCCGCAGTGGCATTATCCGGCGTTTGGCCCGGGGCTTCACGGCGATCCGAAGTCATTGATGGAGGAGTTTTCGAAGAATTCGGAGAACGAGTAATATTGAGAACAGTGAGTTTATGTAGTAAGAGATCTTAAGTTCCAGTACCAGGTACTGTGGCGTTCTGGCCCCAAGGCAGGTGAATTGGGCAAGGGAGGTTCGAAATTGTATCCTATGGCGAGCATCGCGACGGCCCTCGGAATAGTTGCGAAACAATATGACTCCGGCGCCAAGCCGATTCGCCCAAGGCACCAAGGCATCAGTGCCGAGGCAGGAGGAGGAGGAGGGGTTGGTGCCTGAGGTTTCAGCGGGCCTTCTCGGCTTATCCTTATCGATCGAGAATTACTCGCTTTGACATGCACACCGTCTGCATCTCCCCCGCATCTTCCTCTCCTTCGAATCCCTTTTCTGCCCGCGGGGCTGTAATTCAATGACGACAGCGCAGAAAAGCGCGACGAGTGGAGTTTTGATGGCTCTGGTTTTATCTTTCAGCGCTCGTTCTCATTCATTATCTCCCAACTTCCCATAACCGAAACCTGTCGCTACCGCGACCTGCAATCGAACTCGCTCTCGCTTCAGTATTGGTCACAGCTTCTCAATCTCATCGGCTCACCAACTCTGACTCAGCAAGTACAGGCCTGAATCTGACTTCATTCGACACTGCTCTTGACCGCTGCGTTGAGACTAGATCTTTATTTCTGGACCTCTCGACAAGCGTTGAGGGCTTGCGAGAAGAGTATATCGGAAGCCGTGGCACGATTAGACCCCTCTAGGTGGGGTAAGATCATCTAGTACCGAAGCCGACGGCCGGTCTGGTAGCCGTTGCAGGTTCCTGACAAGCCTCGCGGAAAACACCTGGCGCATGCTGGAGTGAACTTCAAGATGCCCCTCGACGAAGAAGGCGCCAAATGGTCGTGGTATGGCATTATTTCCGGAATCATATCCCGCGTACGCATATGCTGATCTCATATCATCAGCGAGCCATGCATTCGTGGCCATCGATCATCAAAATGTCAGCACTTTGATAGAATGATGATGAAAGTACCGAAAGCCGGTCGACCTCTTGCCAGATGCCCACATCCAAAAGGAACGTGTAGCTGTCAGAAAACATATGCTTTTATGATCCGGATTCCGAAAGGTTCGTGCGCTATCAGTTCCATGTTTTGAGACTATATGCCACCGCTCTGCGTTTCGAACAGTCCTTCCAAAGTTGCTAACATGGTACAGGTTCTGGTTGTTTGTGCAGACCAGTGTACCAGGTGCCTGCAGATGCAGCTGGATCTGTCTCCTCAACTCCCGCCACTCCAATGCTAACGCCATCATCTGCGCCCAACAAAGTGCAAAAGTCCGGTAAACGACAGATCAAAACAGCGCCAGAGAACCTGAACAAAGCGCTGAACTCCATACCGGAGTTTGGGAAACAGTTGACCCAGACCCAGAATGAATTCCTCAACAATCCCATCTCGTACACTACTCAGGATGGGGAACCGAGCGAGCCATATACTACAGCGACCCAGGACTCGAAAGCGTTGAACGACAGCATTTACCATGTATCTGAAAACCTTCAAGACGTAACAGTGCCAGAACCAAAAAGTTGTTGCTCTCGTGCACAAAAGCCAACTGTATCAACTCTAACCCCGGAAGCCCAGCGTTCTTGCTGCGCGAAACCTAAACCAACATCTGAGGTTGAATGCCCTAACGGCACTCAGAATGGAAAATCGGTTGGACCCCAATCATCGAGTTCCATTGGAAACGCAACACCATTCTCCCCCTTCGCCAATCCTCAAGTTTTTAATTGGCAAAATTTGCAAACAGTGAAGCGGGACCCGAACTTGTCTTCGTCGTCTCTGTTTCAGATTCACCAACCACTTTCATCAATGGTCCCTGAGTATTTGTCCCACTACAACCAAACTTCGCTGGAGATATCACTTCACGCATCCTCCTCGAATGAAACCGAGTTGCCTCAAGCATTGATGCCACCGCAGTTCCCAGAGCTTACAGAACATCTCAATCTTTTGTCTGCAGCAGCGGAGGATGGTGATGTCAACCATGAGTGTTATTGCGGTGATAACTGCCAATGCTTAGGCTGTGCTTCCCATCCGTTTAACAACACGACCCAGCAGCATGTACGAGAAATGGGACTCTTGGTAGCCTTGAACGATGATGAGCAAGGCCTAGAAAGCCCATGCAGTCGTCAAAACTCTCCTTTACTGGGTCAACAACCGGTGTTTTCTCCACTGCAATATTCGTATACGAACTTCGGACATCCATCTGATAATCTTGTGCAACAACTGGGAACGCATCCCTTGCAGAGCGGTACACCGGGCAGTCTCAGCGGTGGTTACACAACTCCTTCCACAAATTACCTCCCGAGTCAACACATGATGGAGCCCTCCGAGTACTACACCCTCGAATATCCAATAGGGCTTCCCAGTGCTTGCTCCGACATGACGGGTAGTTGCCAATGCGGGAACGATTGTACTTGTGAAGGATGCCTCACGCATAGTGGGCATAACGGCTATGCAGTGGCGCCCGGGACATCCGAAAAACAGAGCTGGGACAACGCAGACTTCCCAAATTTAGCGGCGGATGGGGCGATGCCTGGCACATCGGAGATGTCTACACTTGAGAATGTATTCGTGCCCTCACATTCCATGCTGTGATGTGCCTCTCATCTGGACTGACCTGAGCCTCACTCCTCCCCCTCAACAGCAGAGGGCCTGCCTTCTGAACAATCACCTGCATCAGATGTGCTCCAATGACTAACGATGATCATGATACCCCTCCGTATACACGGCGATAGAGGATGTAAGACGAAATTGTGTTCATGCTTGTCCAATCTTCGTTCAAGGCTCTTCAATGACATACGCAACTCTTCTCGTGAAATCCTGTGCCTTTCCATTCCTTATTTTTACCGAACTAGTTTCGCTCATTTCTTGAAGCCTGGCCTTACGAAAGCTGGACTCAGGAAAGTAAAAGCACCATGATTGATGGCCGGGACTTAGGAAGTAATCTTTATATAGGTAAGTGAGCCGGCACAGCTTTGGCAGGCTATCACGTGTTTGATAAGCGCTTCCGTCCTTCCCACACCCGCAAATCGAGTAAGGTTGCACATATGCTATGCGAGCACACCATGGACCGGCAAAAAGCAAGTGAGAATCTGGTGCTTGGCTACTGTAGATGCACCGAGAAGATCGAACAGGTACAACGATAGAATTGCATGCTAAAAGTGTAAAGAAAAGTCTAGAAAATCCTTCTAAACTGCACGACTGCTGTGTGCCCTCACCACCAACTTGTTTTGCCGTCCCAGCTATACAGGTATCATACAGAATCAGATGCCAAGTCGGGTTTGCTCTACCGGCGCAGAGCATCTCTGACGGGAGAGTCACCCCGACGGAAGGAAGCTAGAATCGAGGAGTCAGTATGGGGTGTCATTTGACCCAGTCTGCGACAGGCAACGTACCGTCAGCCTCCTCCCAGGCACGGCCGGCACCGAAGCCCAGACCAACCCAGGCGGGCCAGGCTCTCCGCTTGAAGAGCAGGACGGAGAAGACAACACCGAAGGAGAGACCGAGGGAGGAGCGGATGATGAGGGAGGAGATGGCGCGATCCCACTGTGATGCGTACGAGGAAAGTTTCCCCAGCAGTTAGCATGTAAGTTTAAGTATCAATTGGCAGAAAGTGATGTTTGAGGATGAGGGTGTTGTTCCGCATGGATGATGTCAACGGGGGCTTTTAATCGGCCTGTCCGATCAAGGTAGGTATGCGCTGCGTCCAACCATTGCTGTCGGCGCATCCATCTGACCAGACGAAAAGAGAGAGAAAGACGGAATGAGGACAGTAATCGTTCGGTCGGCGTACCTTCTCATTGAGCAGGGCCTCGCTGACGGGCTTAGTGGAGCGAGGGACCGGTACAACCGGCTGGGGTTCGTTGGAGTCGGCCATTGCGAGAAGCTTGAATCGAGCATTAGTGATTATTGTTCGGATATGTAACTTGATACCAATGCAGCTGGCCACAGACCTAGCAATAGACAAAGGCGCGGGGATGCCTGAAAGTGGATTAGAGAGCTAATGAGGGAGAGAGAATGGGAGATTAACACACGAGATCAGATCGGGTGCGGACGTCGAGCTCTGCTGCCGGACTAAAAGGCGGTCGGAAAAACTAGGCTGGACAAGCAGAGCAAGGGAAGGGAAGCACGAGCGAGACGAAGGAAGGAAAGAAAGCATTCCGCCCGCCCGCCTTTCCCTTTGGCGTCAGTCCCCAAGTTTTTCTCGAAATAATTTATCTCGGGAACACCAGACAACCCCCCCATCAACACTCCGGACGATGTTTGCTTCGTCCTGACCCGGTCAGACAAGCAATTCTTGATTTTAAGACTCTCCTCCAACGACCAGAGGGTCACTCGATTGTCTCACATCTCAAATCCCGAGATGCCTTCCGTCGCGGAGGTAGGTCGTTCTTGCGCCTGAAATTGTCTATCTTCTTGATAGGGAGATAAGTCGGCTAAATCATCGCATCTTAATTTTCCCCTATACAGCGCCCACGTTCATCGCAAGAGGCTCTGCTCCGCCTCGAAAAAGGCACCGCTTCCTCCACTACACAGCTCAATGACGCTGCAAATATTATCGGCTTAGATCTTGCACTATGCGCGAGTCACCCCGAGATCAACCGAGCCCCTCATTTCCAGAACAGTGCTGCTCCGAAGGCGGAATGGGTCCTACGATGGTTGTTGAAGAGGCTGCGGACTGGGAAGAACTATCGTGTCGACGCTGCCTCCTTCCTCCTCTTGCGACAATTGATTGATTTGATCCCGCCCAAGACGCTGGCCACGACTCTGAAGGATCAAAAGTTTCTCGGAATCGTCCACGATGCTATCACCGATTTGGAGGCAGATGTGCTGGCCGGACTAGGTGGTGGTACCACTGAGTTATTAACTTCCGGCTCCGAATCGAGTCACACTCTGGGCGACTCACCTCACCGCCATGGCGATGTCGACAAGAAGGGAACGAAGAGGAAGAGATCCGGTGCGGACGAACCTGATGCTATGGATATCGACGACCCACCCCGAACTCCGACCTCGTGCTTCGTGGCCTTCATTCGCGCATTGGACTGTCTGTATAGTCTGGTTATGCTTGTCGAGCGGACATTTGGGGTCGACGATGTAGCGAGTTCACATCTGAAGCACGCTCTTAAGGGAGAGCCCGAATCGGTCGCTGTAACACTGCAGAGGTCTTTCCGGCTGGCTACCGTCATTACAACACAACTCTTCCATGCGCAGCAGACTACGGACTTGCAACACCTGCTCTATGTGCTGCCGGCCATGTTTGACCTGTGGGAGCTGAGGTCGTCTCGTCGTGACGATTCGGAAAAGGTTCTAAGTAATGTACGTCTTGTCTGGAACTGAACTTGCGGTGGATAATGCTGACCGCTCACTAGGAATGTTTCTCTAAACATTGCTTCGAAAGCGCCCTCAGACTACAATGCTGTGTGCACACAATACGACTTGATACTGATGAACGTGCTCACGTCCTCCATGGGCTAGAACGCTTGATCGCATTGCACGTGGTTCTCCCAGCCCGAGCAAGTTTCTTCGAAAGAGGCGGTTCTGGCATCGACTATTCAGCTAGCGAGCCTGACTGGAGTCCCGTGAAACCTGTCTCCGATACTTTTAGGCCCCTCCTCTGCGTTGCAGACAGCCCTGATCAGAGCACCGGTGTGAGCGCCGGGGTTCAGAAACAAGTCTTGCCGAAGACCGCCGAGCTATTACCAGATTTTTTTGACATTGCGGCACGCACAGTCCCTCGCGACACTTTCAGAAGACAAAATCATGAGGGTCCCTGGTTGGAAACTCTTTTTGTCGCAGTAGCAGAGTTGGCCTTTTCCGTTGTGAAGTCCGAGAACACGGCGGCTTACCTTTCTGAATTTGTAGCCATTCTGGAACGGCTATTTCGAGTAGTTCTTGCCAGAGACATCAAGCTGTCCCTCCACACGCTGCTTACACATGCTGCATATACTGGTCTCCTCAAAGAAGGCTTGTCGCAAGTGGAGTGGAGTTTAACTGCTTTGCTTATCGAACTGGGCAGTGATATCTTTTTACCGAACTCTGGGCTCAATGACTCTGAGAAGCTGCTCAAGGCTCTTCTTGAGAAGATTTTCTTGCACTGGCGCGGCGGTGTCCCCAATACGAATGATAGCTATAGGATTATCAAGAAAGGCATTGTGATACCTCTTCTCCGGGGGTTTGTTGGCGCTCGAGACCTGCCCAATTTCATGCAGATATGGTACGAGCAGCTCATCGAGGTCGAAGAAGCTCGGTCGCAAGACAGAGATCTAAATCATTTCATTGTCTGGGAAGATAATGATGTGTGCAACGAATTCAGCGACTTAATGCGCAATCCTCTTACCTATGCGCACTCTGCTGCTCAGATGCGCGCTGCGGCAGTGGAGATAAGAGGAGAAGACGGAAAACTCCAAAACTCAGCTGGTGCTTATGCGCAGATTGTGATACTGGAGTCTGGCTTCAGGCGTCGTGATCTTAGCTTTGAGGACAGAAACGAGGATTTGACTTCTATCATCCAAACTGTAACATCGACTTTGTCTTCTGGGCAGAAACTACACTGGCGGTGGCGGTTGTGGCGGCTCGCTCGCAGTCTCTTGGAGAATAATGTGCAGTCTACCGACAACGAACTGGGTGCTGCGATTATCTCACTTGTTGCTACCGCTGCTCAGTCGATACAGCGTGTTCACCAGGGCCGCATGAAAAAGGTCTGTGCACCTCTTGAGTGCTTTGAGGCATTCCAGTTTGCTCTCACTGCGATCAAAACCTCATCAAACCCGGAACAGTTTCGCCTATTGACAAACGAGGTCACCACATTAATCAAATCCGTTTCTGACAAAGACGCCGCCAAAGCGATCAAGTCTTCATGGGACGGACGTGCTGAAACCCTCACATCGCCTACCACACTCGCTTTGGCCTACTTCGTGAGTTTAGTCAGGAATCCAGACTTATGGCCCCAGGTGGATTCTGAGACCAGGCAATCTCTGTTCGCGCATGTCCTGTCTCTGGCGACCTCGCAGTACAAGCCTTCGCCATCTACCCTCGAGACTGTCAACCCCGATTCGAAGTATTTGCAGGCTTGGGCAAGCCTCGTCTGCCACGAGTACCTCCTCAATGCCCCTTCGATTACAATTGATCTCATTGCTGTGCTGTCTGAGCGAGTCAAAGCAGACGCTTCTAATCGTAAACTCTACATTGAAAGTCTGCAGAGGATCCCTGCCCCGTTAGTTACCCGTGGCCAAAGAGCAGTACTGCTGGATCTGTTGCAGGAGGTGATTGCGCAGGAGGGTAATACCCCTGAAGTTACTGTGGGAGTGCTCTCATTGATGGCTAAATTGGCGGAGATGCCGAAGTCTACGGCGGCCTTGACAAGCAACTGGGAACCCCTCTGGACAGTCGCCAAAGCCGTTTCTCTGCAAGGAAGCGACATTGACCTCCAGATTATGAAGGCTTTTCGCAATCTTCACCGAGCAGTTGTCGCCAAATTGCTCGTGGTTTCTGACGACGAACGGCAGCGCCTGTTTAAGAAGATGTATCGCAAAGTATCTGCCAAGGCACTCAAGCTACAGTCCCTGAACCGTGATTCTATGGACTGTTTCTATCTCAGAATCTCGCTGTCCCAGCTTTGGATCAATCGAGAAACCCTCGAGGGTGTCTTTGATGAAACCGAGTTGGCTACCTGTAGAAAGAAAGTGTTCGACTTGCTTGTTGCGGAGGTCAAGTCTGTCAAGACTCAATGCAAGAAGCAGCAGCTCGAGGACACCATCACACTTATCAAAATCCTTGATGCGCTCGAGGATTTCGAGGACCTCGCATTGGATCATGCAGAGGTCGAAAAGTTCTTGTCTAAAATCGAGAGCTATGTCGAAAAGTCAGTTGACTCGGCTTCCTCCCTGAGAAGACTGATTCGCCGACGTGTTCTAGCCGGACGAGGATCCGAAAAGAGCATCACAAAACCCGTGATTCAGTGTGCCGAATCCCTTCCTTTGCAACAAATGTATAGCGAGGAACAGCGGATATTTATCCGATCCACCAGTGCAAGATTCCGAACCATGACTGCGGATGAGCTGACACGGGTGATTCAAGACATTCGCAACCTGGGCTTTGTTGGCGAGAATGCCGAATATCACTTGCTCGTAGCAGGCTTAGCTATCGCTTCTTTGCCTTCTGTTGAGGACAAGGAGAGTCAAACCGGTCAAGAACTGGGGCTAGTCTTTACCGAAGTCACCGACGCTTTGCTTCGCAACAATGCTATCGAGCCGTTCACATTTGCTAGCGAGTGTCTGGATATCATACTTCGTAATCAATCGCGCTGTGTTACACAGTTCAACATCGACAACCTGTTGGGGACGATCGCCGTCTGTACTTCGAAGTCCGGACCCTGCATCGACCCTGCATTTGCGGGAACCGTCTACATCCGTCTCTGCCGCCTAATGGGTCTCCTGCTCGGGATTCACCGTCAGAAACTTGGAGGCCGCTTTCACCTCATCAATCCTGTTGTTGGAGGCTTGTTGGATTGTCTCTTTGCCCGCTCCAAGAAGCGCAGTCGATCCATGTTGCAGGATAAGAAACTTGGCCAGCAGCCCTATTGGCTCGCTCCATTGCAGGCATCGCACGCTGTGCACTTCACTCGTCTCCTTACCTCTCTCTGCGACCCGACAGTCTCGGCAGTGTCGAGGCCGACGCAGTCTGGCACGGGTTACGAAGGCTTGACGGATCAGACGAAGAAGGCTAAGCGCATTGCCGGGCAATATCTTCAGTACCTGATCCAAGACTATACGCAAAGCGCTCTTCGTGGGTCTCTTTCACCTGAAGTGAAGGCGGCTATTATTCCTGGTCTTTACGCCGTGCTGGACGTGATGTCCCGCGACACGATGCGGGCGCTGAATGCGGGATTGGATGTCTCCGGGCGTGCAGTCTTCAAAGCCCTTTACGATGATTATGTGAAGTTCGGAAAGTGGAATAAGGGTTAGGTGGAAGTCTAGTACAATGGTGGTCCTTTCTGTTGATCATAGCCCGGAGGTTCATCTGTGTTTCGTTTTAGTATCTCTTAACTTGCATTATCTCGGGGTTAGGTTCGAGTGGGTTCGATTTGAGGGATCATAGCTAGATAGCATGTACTTTACTTTACCATTATGTACCAGGCAACGGTTTTGCTCCTACATCTCAGTACTACAAACCAAACCAACTACTGTGTACTGTGTAATTATCTTAAGGAACAGGCGATCGGATGAGTCAGCGAGCGACAGCGGGCGCTGACAGCGACATCGGAATGGCTGGAACCCATGGGGAAAACACAGGTGAATCCAGCAGAGCCATGGGCTGATTTCTTCAGTTATATCGGCCACCCAAATCTTTTACTCGATCTCATCGAGTCAGCGGGCCTCCCGTGATGATTAGAATCATCAGATACTAAGAGATACGACCCCGCCACTAGACCCGACATGGTAGGTAAGGTACCTTAAACGCCGCCTAATTTTGCGGAGAAATCAGTGGAGAGGATGTGGTCTTGCTCCACCTGGACTGATAACGCTCGCTGGTCAGGAATTTGCTTACTCGACCGAATCGAGCAACCAAAAATAAAAGCTGAGCTGAGATAATCAGCCATGGCCCATGAGTGCTTCATAGGCTCCCGCGTCCCATCCATGGCATCCAGTGGTTCATGGCGGGCGATAAGAAAGAGGAAGATCTTCGGCCCATCTGACCAATTTTCGAATCCTTATCTTGTGTCAAGCTCAAGGAGGTGTGGGCTTGGGGCTGCCTGTAGGCTTCTTCCATGTCATGATGGCGTACGGGGGAAAATACCACTATCAGTGGTCCTATTAATTCCGCTGATTGGCTTACCGGGAGAATCAATGACGAGGGCGATGATACGGTACGTTCCGACTCATGGAGTATTCACAATATTTATACTACCGGGATCACTGATACTATCTAGTATAGTATACAACGCTGATATGGCTGGTTAGCTTAGCTTGTTCTTTCTTAATTACTACCACTTCCTTCCTCTTCATCCTCCCTTCATCCATAACTGGAAGGTTCTGATTAGAGTGACTCGAGTTCCTCCTCCTCCTCCTCCTCCTCCTCTTGCCGGGCTTCTCCCCCGCCAATCTTGTGTATACCTGCGGGCGTCGGGCAATCCTCGACTGGGCTGGCCTGGCATCAAAGTGTTCCTTACTTAATCCTTACGACCGCGCTCATTTCTATCTTTCCAGCATGGAAACGACTCGCCTGCAACGATGGCTGAAGAAAATTGAGGTGTCGGCGGAGCCTGGACTGTCTAATACTCAGTTGATGTTGATGAACCGTGATCTACAACCAGGTACGTTGGCTGATTTGTTGCACTGGTCACTGTCTAAGAACAACCCATACTCCATCTGTGGCCTTTTCTTCTCGCATTCTATCTCGTTCACGAACTGACCGTTGGACTCGATTCCTTGCAGTGGAGTATGAACGTCGACAATGGAGATGGTACAACTTCGTTGCTTTTTGGATAGCAGATTCTCTCAATATTGTGAGTTCCATTGCAAGCCTCGATAAGCAATATGGCTTGCATCTGGTCGATGCTAATGAATCCCGGCGATCGATTAGAATACGTGGATGATTTCCTCCTCTATGATTGTGGATGGGCTGTCCTGGTGGCAGTCATGGATCTGTGTCTGGGTTGGGTACTTCATTGCGGCATGCTTTGTCTGCTTGACTGGTCGCATCGGTGCTGTTTACCACATCTCCTTCCCAGTCGCCTGCCGCGCGAGCTTCGGAATCTGGGGCTCTTTTTGGCCCGTTTTCAACCGAGCTGCCATGGCTGTGGTGTGGTACGGTGTCCAAGGCTACATTGGAGGTAAGAAGCCCTGCGCCGTCGCTGCGCCGACCGGCCACTTTGTCTTGTTTGAAGTATATCTGATGTGTGACAGGCGAGTGTGTGACCCTCATGATACGATCTATTTGGCCCAGCTACGCCAATCTGCCCAACGGTATCCCTGCAAGTGCCGGTGTCGACACGAAGGACTTTCTGAGTTTCTTCCTATTCTGGCTGCTATCTCTGCCCGCGCTCTGGTTTCCCGTGCATAAGATCCGTCATCTCTTCACTGTCAAGGCCGTGTATTCTCCTATCGCTGCGATCGCGTTCTTCGCTTGGGCCATCTCCCGCGCCAATGGGATTGGTCCAATCGTTCACCAGCCTGCCACAGTACACGGGAGCGTCTTAGCCTGGGCCGTAGTGAAGTCTATCATGAGCTGTCTGAGCAATTTTGCCACACTGATCGTGAACGACCCGGACTTTTCCCGGTTCTCGCGGACCCCGAAAGATGCGCTATGGTCCCAATTGCTTACCATTCCTATCGGTTTCGGGATCACTTCCTTCATTGGTATTATCGTCTCGTCGTCTTCAGCGGTTATCTTCGGAGGTGACTTTGTATGGAACCCCTTGAACTTGCTGGGCAAGTTTTTGGACGGGGCCAGCTCAGCAGAGCGTTTCGGGGTTTTCATCATATCAACAGGATTCGCTTTGGCACAATTGGGTACCAATATTTCCGCCAATTCGGTCTCTGCAGGTACAGATATGACGGCCCTTCTTCCTCGCTACATCAATATTCGCAGAGGAAGCTACATCTGCGCCGCGATCGGCTTGGCCATGTGTCCAGTAAGACAATCCTCGCCAGTACCGGGAAAAGACATTTGACTAATTGAGCCTAGTGGAAACTCGAATCGTCCTCTAACCAATTCACCACCTACCTCTCAGCGTACTCTGTCTTCCTCTCCTCCATCGCAGGCCCCATTGTGTGCGACTACTACATGGTTCGCAAGGGTTACCTGCAAGTGAAGGATTTATACGACGCAGGCCGAAGCTCCCCTTATCACTACATCCGTGGCTTTTCCTGGCATGCGTATGCCTCTTATATTGCAGGCATTCTTGTCAACATCGTGGGGTTTGCCGGGGCTGTGGGCCGCGACGTGCCCGTTGGCGCGCAATATCTATACAACATTAACTACTTTTCCGGCTTCGTCGTGTCGAGCGTGATGTATTATGCGTTGACGCTTCTCTTCCCGATTCCTGCCACCAGCAACACATGGCACGAAGTCAAAGTCGAAGGTGTTTTGTCAATTGCGGACGGGGAGGATGTCTATGCAGAGGAGGAAACCCCTACGGCAGAACCGGGGGACTTTAAGTCGGCTGTTGACCAGAAACATCCAAAGTCCCGGGCGTCCTCACTTGCATGATGATGATGATGATGATGATGAGACAAGACTTGCTTTTTTAGCGATAGTACACTAATGTGTCGCCCGATAATGACCCACTATCTTTGTATCATGATACACATAATGGCGCAGAATGACAGAACCCTCACTCGGCGTGCAGTCGGGTTATTCTTGCATTTCCACAAACTGTTTGATGATTGGTTTCGAGATGTATCTTGGAGCAGTCAATTTACTCCGAGTCTGGGGTATAATCCCAGATGAGACAACGACTTGTGTTTTCACACGTCTTCACCGCTTAGATACTCCGTAAGTTCTTCATTTCCTCTTCCCTGGCGTACTGAACAAAAGTCGTAGCCGAGTAATGTCGGAGAGAGAGAGAGAGAGGGAGGGAGGGACGACATGCAAAAAGCAATCATACGTCCATCTCGTGACACGCTCGAGTCCGCTGCATCTCGTGATCCGTTCAGCTATATCTTTCAGGCGCCGCCAGTGTTGCTGGCTCATGGTAGAGGAATCGACTTGACATTTCCAAAGTTATACTCACGGCCAAAAATGACTTCTACAGTTTTGACAGCAAGCCAGATAGTGCTGGTCGGCTTCATCGTTCGTGTGGTCTACTGCTGCTACTTTCATCCTTTGGTGAAGTATCCCGGGCCGTTTGTGGCTAGCTTCACGAACATCTGATACGTCTCTCTTGGTTCCCGATACATACTTCATGCGAAATTCTGAAGCGCAGGGGAGCCTAAGATGTCTACGCATACCTACCGTACTGTACTAAATTTATCCCCATCAAACTATTCATTATAGGTGGTTCTCCAGTTCCCTCTGGGGCCAACATCATCTGACGGAAGAGAGCCTGCACCAAAGATATGGGCCTATCGTTCGTGTGGCACCGATTTGGCTCTCGTCAGCCCGCCTCGAGGATTTCGAGGCTATATACGGGTTCAATAAATCCATCAAGAAGGATGACTTTTACACCTTTGGAGAGAAGCGCTGCCAGAGCGACGTCAGTGTCTTCGCCACCAAGTCGAACGTCGCGCACCGGCGAAAGAGAAGGAATATGCTTGGACCGGCGTTGACGAGCTCAAAGGTCCGACGTTATGGGTCGATCTTCGCGAAGCATGTGGAGGTTCTAATTAGGAGGTTGGAGGAGTCACTTGGGGTGCAGGTGCGTGCAAGAAGAGGAAGAGGAAGAGGAAGTAGGAGGAGGAGAAGGTAAATGAAGCATTCAGACACTACTCTTACTCCTCAGGCTGGCGCGGTGAACGTGGCTCAGCTTGTACATCGCTTCACAATGGATGTCATGTTAGACAATTCTCTTCGGTCCGGCGGTGGGCCCACATCCCTATACGAACGACGATCTCGCAGGGGACATTGGCGCCAGCGTTCGCTACGTGAGCAGGACGGTCTGGAGCTATTCGCTCTGGCCGGCATTTGGGTGCTTGATGAAAACTCGTCTGGCCACTGCCTGTCTCCGGAGGCCGAGGTATAACGCAGCAGGCGCTGTGGGTGGATTGACGGGGCTGATCAATCGAGGTGCTGCGGCGATTATGGGGGGTCCGGAGACGTTCGCGCGACATTCTCGGCCCGGTATCGTGAGAAGCTGGCTGGAGATCTCGGCGGATGCGGTTCACCGTTTGACTCCGGCGGAAACAGTGTCCGAGGCCCTCATTCTGGTCTTCGCTGGCCCGGGGAGCATGGCTGCTGCATTGACAGCGATTTTGTACCAATGGGCCTCCCAGAGGGTCGAATCTGGCAGGAGAAGCTTCGTAGTGAGGCACTTGCTGGTGACGGGAGCTCAACTGATGCGTCGTCGCAGTCGCTCGAGCTGCAAGCCGTTATCAAAGAGACGTTGCGCATCCACTCGCCGTTCCCTACAGCCTTCCCTCGCGTGACCAGGTCTGGTGCTGAGAATGCAATCCCAAGCCTTTCCAGTCCTCTGCCAGCGGGAACGAGAGTATCGGCTAGCATATGTTTTGAGTCGGTCTCGGGAGATTTGGGGCGATGATGCCGACCAATGGGCGCCCCAGCGATGGATCGGAGAGGACGGGCATCGTCGGCAGATGGACAGCAAGTTCGTTGCCTTTAGTAAAGGGCCCTGCGGCGTCGGTTATTTTTGCCAAGGCTCTGAAGGCGATCGTGCAACAGTGGAGATTCACTGCTGCGGCTGAACTGCGGGGCAGGAGCTACCTTGAGATGCAGTATGACGAGTGCCATCTCCATTACACGCAGCTGCAAAGGCCACCTATTGCATCATGACGATTGTGGTGACTCAGAAAAATTCATCGGGGTCCCTCTTAGGATGCCGACAAAAAGGGTGAGGTGAATGTGGAGGACGAACTACGGTGGACGTTAATGTGGTGATGCCGGTTTGGGATCCCGCCGCCATGTCGGTCCCCACCCGATCACGAGTATAAAATGGATCTTGCGATGGAGCTCTGGAGCTGTGACTTTGTCTTTGTCGATCATTCAACTTCTTTTTTTTTCTTTTTTTTTCCTCTTCGTCCTCTTTGCATTCCTGAACAGTAGTCGTTGCGCCATACTTCCTCCAATTTTCCCCAACAATCCTCCACGAGGAATCACAACATCACGATGCTGTCCGGCGGCGCTCTGCCACAGACTCTGGGCTCTATCACTGCTACAAAAATCAATGAGCTCTCCAAGCAACGTAACCTGTTCGAGAAGCGAAGGCATGAAATCACAAAAGCCGCCGAAGACGCAACAGATTTACGCACGAAAGCTCGAATCCTTCTGGAAGGAGTAACCAGACTTAAGGGCTATCCCAACGTCGCCATCGACCGTCACGACCTGGACGCAGATGTTTCTGCAGGCGGAGAGACATACGTCAAGGATCTTTCTGAGGGGGCGGTGTACGCCAACATCCGTCGCTTCCTCCTTCAAAGCCAGTATGACCCGTCCGTTTCGGAGCGCAGCTTGAAAGGCTGGATCTCAAAGCTGGAGAAGGAGCTCGAGTTTCTGCAGCTCAGACACGAACATGCATCTTTCTACAGCGATCTGGTGACCGAATGGCTGGGCGACCTCGAAGGGGAAGCCGCGTCGACTGCAGCGAGTGCCGGTGAGAGTAGCGCAAGCTTCGAGCAAGTTGGGCGTGCGGAGATGCATGAACAGCGCGCCAAGTGGGAGTCCCTGGTTTTCACCGAGGCAGATATCGATGCAACTGCGATCCGAAAGTACCTTGACGACATTTTCGAAGCAACAAACCAGACACAGCAGGCATTGAAGGCGCTTCGTGATAGACTCCGTTCCTTCGGGACTGACTTCGCCTCGAAGAAGACCTGGTTCAAAGCTAAGGATCTTACTTGGATCTCCAAGTCACTGTTGAGCTCAGACCTGCTCACTAAGGAGAAGACGGCTGTCCTAAAGGAGTTCATGCGCAACCCTGCTGTCGCACAGGAAGTCGCTGATGTCCTCAACATGCGCCTCAGTTCCTTGGATACTTGGACATGGCCTAGTGAAGGTATCCCCGTGGAGATGCGCCGGCAGCTGAATGGAAAGTATCGGGTGTTCATGGACGAAGATCTGCTGGATAGCCTCATGTTTCAGTATCTCGGTGTGAGGTGGTCCGTCGCTCTCCGATCGGCGTTTGAAGAGTTTTTGGGATCCCCTGCCTGGAAGTCTCCGCGGGACCAGATTTCCGAGGAGGCTGTCGTGCGTCGGTCCAGATTTAGGAGAGAGTCTTGGAGCAGTAGCTCAGGCGCTCAGTCGGTCCATGCGATACGAAAAAATATGTTCAAGGAGGACTATTTCATGACCTCATTACCCAGTTCGGTAGAAGAGACATCTGGTCCTTACGCCGGTGAGGAAGCCGATGATGAGGAAGAGTCGAACAAGCAGAAGAAGAATGGTCTGGAGATTAAACATTCGCTTCTACACCTTCTCATCACCGAATCACTCATATACACGTCCTTGCACGGGGAATTCACAGCTATTCGATCGGACTTCGAATATTTCGGGCCTTCGCTCGCTCACACCACTATCTCCACCGTGTTGGAATACTTTGGAGTTCCACAGACATGGCTGCACTTCTTCGACACTTTTCTCAAGGCACCCATCTCGTTCGTCCAAGATGGCTCCGAAGCCCACGTGTCGGTCCGCAGACGCGGAGTGCCGATGAGCCATAAGCTCTCGGATTTCTTTGGCGAGGCCGTGCTGTTTTGCATGGACTTTGCGGTGAACCAGAATACGGATGGCGGCTACCTTTACCGGCTGCATGATGATTTCTGGTTCTGGGGCCACGAGGGAACTTGCGTCAAGGCCTGGCAAACCATGACATCTTTCGCAGAGGTCACAGGTCTCACTTTTAACGAGGAAAAGACTGGAACCACCCGGTTTGTGGCCAAGCATACCACTGAACTGGATGGTCAGTCAACACCGCAACCGAAGCCCAGGGAGACTAGCTCGTCCAGTGTACTGCCTAAGGGTGACATCCGATGGGGCTTCCTCAAATTGGACCCCGAAGAAGGGCGCTTCATCATCGACCAGGCCCAGGTTGACAGCCATATCAGTGAACTTCAACGTCAACTCTCTTCCTGCAAGAGTATCTTTGCCTGGGTTCAGGCATGGAACAGCTACTTTGGACGATTCTTCGCCAACAACTTCGCCAAGCCAGCAATGTGCTTTGGTCGCAGCCACATTGACATGGCCATTTCCACACTCAACCGTATTGAGCGAAGCTTGTTCCCTGTCGATGCCAGTGGCGTCACCGACTACCTCCGCCATGAGATCGCCAAACGATTTAATGTCCACGACTTGCCGGAAGGGTTCTTCTACTTCCCCGCTGAGCTTGGTGGTATCGAACTGCTAAACCCGTACATTCCATTTCTCTCGATGCGGGAGAACATTAAGCACACCCCAGAGGCACGACTGCGCAAAGCTTTCATCGAAGACGAAGCGGAGTACCTTGCAGCCAAGGAGCGGTACGAGCGGGACGGACCTCTCAATTCCGATTATAGCAACTGGGGCGCAGGGTCGGAAGTCACCTCGGCCGTGTCGCTGGAGGAGTACACTCAGTACCGGGAAACCTACAGCCGACCACTGCTGGAAGCATATGAGGACCTGATCCGTGTACCCGAGGAAGAGAGTGTCGACCAGACCGCCAAGTTTCAACGCCACCAGATGTCGTTGGACGAAGGGATCGAAGAGGAAGCGAACAAGCGTAAGATCATCTCCGGAGACTGGTGGTCCATGTTGTCGTACTGGAGGTGGGCTGCAGAGCTGTATTATGAGGACATGACCAGCAGATATGGGAACCTGGCGGCTGTCAACCGGGAATACATGCCCCTGGGAGTTATCAAGACCTTGAAGGAGGGCAAATTCAGGTGGCAGAGCTGAGATCTCTGGAAATCATGATGTTGTATTTTAGTCATAGCTCACAGTAGAGCGAAGAATAAAAAGTTTGTGACTCTCTCTTCTATGTATTATCGCTTGTAGTTGTTCGCCTCAAAGTCATCTAGAAGCCGGTCCAGGCGCTCCTTCTCTCTCGAGTCCCCAAAGATCACGCGGTATGATTTCCTGCAGAGACTCAACATATCAGCCCGACTGAGATGAAAATGCTCCGCGGCGAGGAGATACTCGTTAGACACAGGGCTACAGAAGAACCCAACATCGTCGGTCTATGAAACGTCAGCGAGTCAGTCAGCCCAAGCATAGCCAAGATCATCCCGCCAAAGTAAAATTTGGGCACTGCTCCACTCCCCCCTTTTTTACAACACAACTGTATGACACAACCATATGGAGAGAGAGAGAATACACCCGAAAGGAGACACTCACACAAAGCACAACCACAGCCCCATCCTTCTCTCCCCACCACTCCCCAAAATGATGCTCCGCAAAGCCCCCATTCACCATGCCGGCATGCACATTACACGACAAACACAGCTCCAACGCCAACCGCCTCTTTTTAATCTTCTCTTTAACCTGGCCTGGCACGTGGATCACATGGCCCAGGCGATCCGGCTCGAAGTCTAGGAGCGTCATCAGCTCGTCTGCCTGCGGCTGCTGCTGGGCCTCCGCAAAATGCAACGTCACGCCCAAGCCGGCGTCCTTTGCTTTCTGAATTGCCGGTCCATAGATACTGATGTCGCCTTTGGTCGGATTGCCGCATATGTCGACGCCGACGACCACGCATTTCCTGCGGTTGCTGTTGCCGACTACCTCAGCAGCAGCACTTCCCTCGCCCTGAGGTCGAACCCGGGTCCCTGAAGAATGAAGATGATGAAGATCGTGATACTTGATTGCCAACTCGACAACTTCCATCGCCTCCTGAGCGGTCATACCCCCACGATCGATCGCAAGGATAAGGTTAGTAGTCATTTGTGTTTCAAGGGGTGATCCCCTCTGACGGCGATCAAACTCGGCAATCGTCTCCAGCACCGTAATTAGATACTCTTCTCGCGTGAAATTCTGATGTCCCGGCGACGCCCGCGGGATAGTGCGTAGCTCCAAGTACGTGACTCCATCCGCGGCGAAATCGGTTAGCGTCGAGTACGTGGCATACCGGATGTCCGTGAGGGTGGTGAGGAGGTGGTAGATCATGGTGGAGAAGGTTGTGAAAAATCTACCTTAACCCCATCTCCACTCGCCCTCTCTTATGTGTTAACAAAAGATTGAACAAGCAACAAAACACAATAATAGTCTCTCCAGTTTTGCTAGTATAACCAGAAAAGCAGAAAGAGGGGAAGGGGGTTAAAACCAACGTGTGCAGAGAATAATCCACTTTCCCCGGTGGCATCACAACGAGGGGATCTTCAATGGTGAAGGTCTCTGGTTCTTGGGCTTTCTTTCGTTGCCAGATCTCGTGGAGACATTGTCGGCTTATGCTGCCGCTCAGGTGGGCGTGGAGCTGGGGCACTTGCTCAGTTAGCTCCTTTCTTCTGCTCTCCCCTTGTATCATCAGTTTCTCGCATTGTGATGCATGTATGGGGCTCTGAAATGTAGTAGACGAAAGGTGCGGGGGGTCAATGAGATCGACTGATTCAGGGGATGGCTCTGTCTCTCCCTTTCTCTCTCTACATACCTCAACTTTGGGAAGGGCTCGGGTAAAGGCACGGTCAACGGGCTTGGAAAGATCCATACTCAACTATGGAACGGTACTGATGTGATGATAGGTTGATCTGGGTCCCATAAGAGATAATAGAGAAGTTGAGATAGTAAATTAGTGAGTCTCTACTCGGTCGAGAATGGTGTGCGGGGGAAAGTGGTGCGGAGGCGGAGAGCAAAAAAACCAAGAGCAGGTGACTCAGTTTACGACTCTATTCCTCCACAACAATTTAGTTAGACAATCTTAAGGCCATCGCCTGAAAGTCTCTCGAAGCAAACTACTTCATACCTCAACAGTGCTTCTATGCGTATGGTTCCAGTTGCTGTATATTAAATGTACGCAGCGTATTGCGTAAAGGTTGACCAGACCAAACACCGTCAATGTCAACGAGCTAGCAATACTCAATGGAGTCTCGGATCTTCTTCGTAGGGATCTATCTTCCAAGCATCAGATGATACGCCAGCCTCAAACGTCGAGACTCAGTGGGTAAACCACTCGGCGACAGAGACGCCCAACTTTCCGTACATTTGATTAACATGGTAAAATCATCGCTGCCATGACATGCTGTGACTAGTGCTTATCATTGGCGCTCTCAGAGAAGCGGCTGAAGGCGCCTTGAACAGCATGGTATGCGGCTGCTTTATGCAGACAATGAGCCTTGGATGGTATGGAGAACCCAACGAAAATAATCTACAGAACATGTGCCCCCGGTGGACCTGCTCGCTTATGGACTCTCAAGGCGACAGTGTTTTCTCAACCGATCTACCATATCCACGTAGGTAAGTGACCAAGCCAAGGAAGTATACACGTTCTTTTACGTATTGTCCAAAATCTTACTGCGGCATTATTGTCTTCTGTTCGTCGACATTTCCCCCGAATTCTTACCACCACCAGGAGGTCAGTGTCCCTGGAATTGCCCACGCCACACGTGTTGATCAGTGAATGGTCTATATCCATAGACCTGGCTTTGTGGATGTACAGAGTTTCGACGGCTTTGCACAGACGTATCAGGTCATACCACTCCTCATACTCTGTTCGACCTAGCTCATTATCAAGTATCCCACCCGAGTCAGTCTAGCGATAATAAAAAGGATCGGAAACGCATTTCACTCAAAGCCTCGTTTCAAATAGATGTGCGGCCGCTTAACCGGGACGGCTGGTCCACACTCAAATGATGGATTAGAGTGAAGGCTAGCCAAAGAGTTCGATTGCCGAGCATCTACAAGCAAGAAGAAGGAGTTTCATATGAGAATTAATGACAGCACGGAGATTGCGTGATAATCGGTGTCATCAGGATGGAAATACCAGTTCTCGGTAGCCCGGATAACTCGACTTCCTCAATGTGGCCAAGCGTCATATCGAACCCGGAGCAATGGATTAGTTAGCAAATAACGCTATGCTTGTGGTTTATAAAATCAGAAAGTAGATGAACCGCATGCAGAAGGTCAGAGTCACAACAAACCGGATAACGCCTGTAACTCAAGGGAAGCATGACACGTGTCGAGAACTAGCTATTCTTTTCAACATGATCATTGAAGGCTATTAACGCACTGGAGGCCGGGAGCACCAGGGAAAGGCCAAACCGGTTAGCACTTCCCGTATGCTTTGCAGTAGTACAGCGCGAACCAGGGCCGAATCTGATTAAAGACCGGTCAGTATGGCCGCACGTCGTCTTACTTGCCGCTGCTCGTGGAGTAACAGCAAGGCATCACTGGCTTGAAACCGTCCCACGTAGGGCTCCTACACGTTCACAGGCTTTTCGCTAGATAGTAGATACGCAACCCGGCCACCCAGTAATTAATGTGGTTGAATCGGGGGTAATCAACGAAACGGTCATGCGCCGTATGCTACCGCAGACCCACAGTAGATTTCCACACTCTCGTCCACGATATCCAGTATCGTAAGGCGGCCTTGTTCTCGAAGGATTCGAGAAACAAAATACATCGTCATTTGTGGGCTTGCACCCGGAAAGCCCTGCGTTGGTTTTAGCCAGGGATCGAATTGGGTCAAGATTGAAGCAGACGATGTCAGTGGACTCAGGTTTCCCCTCAAATTCAAGATCAAGAGTGAGATGTGGAAACAGGTGGAATCCCATCTGTGGCTGAGATAGACTAGGTCGTACCCGAGATGAAGGCCCCTTAGGCCCTGATGGCACAAGGTGTTTCGGGCGGCTAGCGTGCTACTCCAGAGAGGATGGATGTCAATACACAAGGGACAACGTCATTCGTATTCGGATCGGCGACTGTGTTCATTCCGTCAACCACAAGCATGTCATATTCCGAGGGATTGGTAAATTCCTGGGCCCTTAGAACAAAAATCAGTTCTGACGAGTGTCCCACCCCTGCACTTGAGACCAGGAATAATTCAGGGAAATGGAGGCCCTCATAGATTTGTGACATCTCCAACCGCCTTATGGTCGTACTGTCGGAATTCGGCAAGCATAAAAGGAAGGTTGGCGCTATGTATGCACTTAGTGTGTTCATTGGCTGCATTGGCTGGCGTGAAGAGCATAACTGGGCTTTCGGAAAGCCATTATGGCATGGGCAAACTTCTGTCATTGTAAGGGACTTTTGTGTCATACTGTGTGTATCACAGTAGTCTGGATAGGAAGACACGGTAGTGGACTCCGCAGCAACGAATTGCCACCGCGATTGGCCAGCCCTGTGCGGTCCCGGGTATGTAACGTTATGTGGTACGTAGTCGTCGAGACTCGAGGCCAAGGTTATCGCCAGCAATCGTAGCCGACCATAAACCCAGTCAGCATATATTCATCTGAACGGGAAGGAAAAACAGAAAAGAAAAGGCCGCGCCAAGTCAATGTTGTCTCAGGGCGGGCCTCCCTTAGATTGAGCCCGCAACCTGATAGTGTCACGGTTCCTAATTCGCGATCGATCGTGGAGTTATAACCACCGAGGAGATTGTGGTAGCGAAGTCTGTCTGCTCATTCAAAGGGGTGGTTAGCCAGCGGGGGTAGTCAGCTTGGATGACCTGGTCAAGCTGAACGACAAGGAGTTGCGTTAGTCGAGGCTGGATGGCGAACCTCAAAGCTCGAACCTCGTACTCCGACATGCATTGAGGAAAGAAGGGAGTGAGGATGTTTGCTTGCTGCATGGTGAGACTTAAGACTATCAGCAAGCCACAACACATTCTCTCGCCGGTTTATCGAGCTCCAAGACGGTCTTCTTGTATTCAGGACTAGGAAGATACTCGCTGAGTGACCCCCCTCCCCCAACGTAGCTTAGCATGCTCTGCGCGATCAGGGATGGCAAGGATGGAAGAAGGTTGAAGCATCGAAGACGCATCGAAGGATTCGGCGGAACGAGGCCCAGCTGAGTCCTGGCTGCTGCTTTTGCCCGAGGCCCGCGCGCAATACAGGGTACAGTGCATGCGTGCTTATAGTTGTCGTTTGAGTGCTCAAGGGTCATCTCTGGAATTATCGACACTGCTCCTATTTCATACTATATCAAGTAGGAGCGTTCGTTGACTTTCAGACCTCCATGATACCGTCACATTCTACAGTGCGACGACGATTCCAGTCGATCGATCGAACGACCCCTAAGAGCAATGTCTATCGTAACTATATGTATAGCCTAGAGCAGCGGAGGGATCCTTGACTATGGGAGAGCAAATTAAGGTACGGCAAATGCTCCTATCGCCAAAGTCAAACCAAGACTGACGTGAATAAAGATGCTGTGTAACGAGAAGACAGAAAACAGTGATATCGTAATTTTCAAAGTTGAGGGCCTGTGGTAAGTCGGATACAGTACAAGGATAATACCAGAATGACGAAAGGAAAGGGCCAGAGTCCAGGAGGCGCAACGTTCCATCCAGTTGGGAAACGACGCTTGGCGGGCACTGAACTAACTGCATGGAGGGTTTTCTCGCTCACAGATAGTTCGATTCCCTTTCCTTCTTGATCAGCATACCCAAGCATCTTGAGGTGAAGGGCGCGATTGGGCTTCTTACTAGTTTTCAATATCCGACTAACTTGATATGCGAGCAATTTTAACTCATCATGATCTACATATCTCCTTGATTACAGTTGTTCGTGGACGTCATACCTGTTCCCGATTTTCTCTACAGCTTTACAAAGGAGAACCGAGCCAGCGGGGGACAAAGAAGGTACTCCGTAGAGTGGCATCATAGACGAATTACGGAAAGTAAGATTAAGATCCACTGGAAGCCTTCTCGTTCGCTGAACTGTATGGTTATGCTGCTGTTTGACGGTAGGTTACTCGGTCGGAACCGGTTAAAGTACAGTACTGTTACAGATGTACTGTTTCATAAAGTTCGTGGTGATGTCTAGACTTCGGGTCAAAGACTAGAGATAAGCTTCCCTTCTGCAAGAGGATCAAGTGTAAATATTTAAGAGTTGGAAAAACTAAGGTCTCTCCGAATTCTTGCCTGGGTTCTAAGCAGGCATGCTTTTCTTCATCGATACTCACCTTCAGGCTCTATGAGAGGAGTGACAGAACCAGGTTATGCACCACAACCTGACTGCATGATGTCATGCCCATGTCCATGGAAGATCAACCACTCGTTCTGTGTGTAAGATCTCGCTTGTCAACTGGGTGAAAAATAGAGTAGATCAGCCATTACTTTGGGCATATCTATTCTATTGTGCCCCTAGACATGCTACCAGAGTCACTAATCACAAGCTGTAGCTCAGTCATTGTGGGTGTGGGAGGGGAATATACAGAAAATCCCTATGCACGGATGCTTTGATGCTGACTACGATTGAGCGCATGTTGGTTATCCATGGGAGCTTTTGGTGAAAGCATTTAGACGCAAGCCAAATACTTGATTACTACAGTACCACTACATTAATGTATTGGGAGAAACAGTCGTTAGAATGAGGGCAACTGATGTGTAACAAATTAGATACTCATGGAATAAAATCAGATCAGATCATCAATTGATAACGAACACGGTGAGAAACTCGTCGAAGTAATTAGTGACGAAGAGAAATAGATCTTGTCGACAATCCATGCACTTGAATGATCGTAGTAAGGGGCCCGCGGGTGCAAGATCACGGCTGAAAGAAGGCCGCGATCGAAGGCCCCCAATGGAACATTTGGAAGCCTGTCAAGAGTGGGTCACCGCCGTTTGGGGGCCAGAACCCCCACGATGGATGATGGGATAGCCTGAGCAGAGCCCCCTCCCCAGAAAGTGAACCCTGTACTGTATGTAGGAGCGAGCGCGGCCTAAACATGTCGACCAGTTCAGGATTAGTGATATTACCAATGGAAATATCGCAAATTGTAAGAACGCATCATATTCTTACAATAGTAACTACATAACCTCGACACGTGTGCCTACTTCTAGTAGTACTTCCATAGTACGGAACTAATGTAGAAACTAAAACAGAGTGTGCACCATGCAGCCCTCCTTGAAAGAAAATGCGATTGCCTAGCATGGCTTCTACCGCAAGGACGGTGGAACGGAAGCAAAGATCTACTGTGTAAGACGTGGGTCTCCTGGATCGAAAGCGAAAGCGAGTGGAAAATGGTCACGGGGGTTCACAGCTGCCAAACCTTGTCTACCGACTATCGTGGCACGTCAGAGCGCGGTCGAATGCTGCTCGTAAGCCTGCCCACCTGCAGCACCTCCTCTTTTCCTCCCTGTCGTGGCTGATCAGCGAGATAGATAAGGCCAATTCGCGTCGCCGTATTCCAGATTTTCGTTTGAACCGGGGCAGTGGCCTGTTCCCTGGACGCGGTTGGTAGGTCAAGAAAAAAAAAACCAAGGGAACGGGAGCGGTCAGATGTCATTGACGCACGCAAGACGGCGACAACCTAAACACGATAACTTCTTCTATTCCACGTTGATCATCCCCCTCGATGTGGAGATTAGCATACCTACGGGTGACTTCTGCTGATCATGTCCATGCTGAAGTGCATCTCTGCCGTGCCGCCGCCTTCAGAGGCTATGCAAACCAAGTCGAAATCATAGATTGGTTCGCACTAGCTTATCATGAGCATATCTGTTTATGCATACCAATTCAACCTCTCTACAAAGGCATATGCCGTTCCTTGCTTCAGAGCAGGGCTGAGGTTCGACAAGAAGGTTTGATCTAATAGCAGCCATTGAGATAAGTTATGGGGATCGCTGGAGAAACCCCAGCCTCCCGCTATAGCCGCAAGGTGGACACGCACGTAACTAACTTATCATTCCTATCTGTGAAGCCAATGACATGGTCGGCCCGACGTTTACATCGTACTATACCTCGAGGCTCATTTTGTAGGCTCCCATCATCTAGTGTGTTAGGGCGGCGCATGGTTGCGATATTAGCTTATAGTCATACGGTAAGAAGGAGACGAGGAGTCTAGATATTGAAATCATCAATGCTGTTTCTTGAGGCGGAGTAAACATGCAATTCCCACATACAAACTGGTGAGGGACTTTTTAGCGTTTCTACTCCGCGGGCGACCTGAAGAAAGTCCAGTCGATCACCCCGCAATTACTGCATAGATTAATCAAGGGCTTCTTCCACACATTTTCCGACTACGACAAGAGGAGAGGCCCGCCTGCAGGGCAGTAAAATATTGTATCCTACTTCTGGTAATTTCGAGCAGACATGGCAATCATAATTATGAATCGTACAGAGTAGAAAGCCGAGGCCCTCGTTCAGCGCAGAGCAGCGTCCCGAGTTTCGTGTCTGTCTTCGTTTCTAGTACTACAACTCCAACCTGAGACGGCACGCCTACAGCAGAACTCATGAAATATCCACGGGATGATGTATATAGCCTTACTTTTTTGGGTGCATTGGGCGAAGACGCTCCCCTGAAGGGGCATGGCATACTGTACGTACTGGTAGTCGGAGCCGACTCAGTACCGCTATCTACGGGCTCACGTCTGACCGCTATTCTCAAACATGATGTTTCCCGTAATAAGCTTGTCTTGCGCTCTCTTCTTTCCATTGGGGAGTATGTGTCTTCCCAAAAAAATCCACCAGGTACAGTAAGCCATTGAGTCTCCGTACCATCAGCAGATACAGTACGGAGTACTTTGCACATCAAGCCGCACTGTTCCACCCAGGGGTTTGAGTTGTACAGTACAGCACATGCATGCAAAGTTCGACATCGGCGTTGTGAAAGTGACTTGGAGGGCTGGATGGCCTAGCGAAGTTTCAAGATCGAAGTAACAGGCCGCGAATGTTTAGGTGTTGACTCTGTACAATTGGTGATCATCACATTGACCTTATCTAGGACAAATAAGGATTAATCAAGTGAGCGTTACATGATGAGGACATCAAAGTATTGGTTCATATATTTAATAGCAGTCAGTCATTCTGGTTTTGATTATTGCTTGGAGGTAATATTAAGGCCACTGAGACAAGGTTCAACACCTCAACAGGGGTATCATCTTTCCTTTCCACTCTGTAGCCTCCTATCTCCTTGCTGCACCGCCCAGAGTTGGTGGTGACACTGCCACTGCTCCAGCCTCTCCATCTTCCAGCCCCAGCATTCCTTCCAAATGCGTGTAAGATTACTATAGGTGTACTGCTCAACATAGCCCACATTCCCTCTCCCCGCGTTCACCCTAGGGCTGTGTGGTCGTGGATGGGTGATGATGACTCAATGGATTCCCCGCCCTCCCGCTGCATCCGTGGATTACTCAGTTGCCAGTGCATGAGTTGTACATACATATACACCCAGTCCTTTCCCGCTCACAATACCAATAAATGACCACTGTTTCAAAACATTCCTGCGCCCGATACATAATTTGCGAATTCAGGGATTGGCAACCCCACAATGATGTCCAGTAGGGATGAAGCGGCACTGGCCGTAATCTTTGGCGCCTTTCAACTTCCCTCTAAGAATAATCATCCCCCCTCTTTCCTCCTTCCTAAATTCCTATCAGGCTATGACTCCTAGATTGCGTTCGGATAGTAAACAAAGGGCCTGGAAGACCGTTCGATCTTCAGGCGATGGGTCAAATACTGAAACAAGACGGAATTATTGAATTCATAGCCTGCCTGCTACATGTGTCAGGTGACAAATTTCCGAAAGTCGGAGAAGCAGCCTATTCGCCGGCTAGGAAGCAATAGTCTATGAATGAAGAGCTTCGCACATTCACCGCATGCAGCATCAGCCAGCGACCTCAAGTCGACAGGGATACTGTAAGACCTGTAGGACTTCGTAATAATAGGGTCAAGGTTCGCCGTTCGCTTGGCAGAATGAGGGACAAAGAAGCAGGCTCCACATAATTCCCCCAGAGGGACCGCTGTGTCGGTGCCTTGAGGAAAGGAGAAAATCAGATTAAAGAGATGATGAAATAAGACCTGTATCAAAATCAAATGTGAATACTAGCTTGTAGACTACTACGGCATGCTTCCTAGAGATGTAATAGCGCATGTGGATCGACGGTAAGGCATGCTTCCGTCTCCTCAAAAATAAATAGCAGCCGTTGCGATTGTAGACTCTCGTAGGGGCGTAGTGCAAGACAGGTGGGGACCAACTCCGTCGCGTATCGATTTTCTGTGGAGGTTCATTCCCAGTCCCAACTCCCAAGACAATAGCCGTGTCCACTTTAGCTCCATAGCAATTGATGTTCCCTCTAGCAGCTTCCCCCTTTCTTCCAGAATACAGCAAATGTTGGGGTTGAAAAATGTGAAACCAACCTTCCTGTCAGCATCGATGCGTAGGACTGACAATGATTCCCATGGAGGAATGATCGCTCATTTCATCAGGCCTGCTCACTGCCCAGGCAGATCTTCCTGAATGGGAAACAAGTCATGGAAAACCCCGGAAGGGAGACGAAAACCAGTACATAGTCATGAACCAGGATAAGGCAATAAAATGCTTCTGTTTGACGATTATAGGCTAAGAGGAATTATGTACTGTACACCTCACGATGAGTGAAGCAAAAGAAACATCACTTAGCTTTTCTCCGCATATCAGAGTTCGATCGTGACAGGAGAACGATAGGGGGCCTGATAGGGCAGGAATAAAAGGAGATAAGTGAAAGGGGGAGCACAGATGGCCTCGGATGATCTCATGATCATGTCTGAATATTGTTCCTTGGGCTGCTGTCCTTATGTATGTATGTATCATGGAGTGAACAGCTCATTCACCCCTCCCCCAACCTGAGTTAGCAAAAGGTACCCAGTAAGTACCCAGCAATATCGGCCCGTTTGGTTTAGACTATCAGCATACCTGAAATCGAGGTCACCCCTTCCCTAGTTTTACTCTTTAGTATTTAGGGCATACAAATCTCCCTTTCCCCTTTGCCTGGCTTAATCTGTCAATTCAAAGGCATTTTGACTTACTTCGATATAAGTTTGGGAAGAACCAGAGAAAACCAAAGCAAAGGTCTAGCCCTCAGGCAACCACCGCTACCGCACCAGAAAAACGCCTCTGCTATCATCACTCTTGTCTGTCCACCAAACATCCATCCATCATCATTATCCTGATCTTATATCATCATTGCATGTCAGTTTCACCGCGTTTCAAGAGGCCTAAGCGGTGTATTTTTCAGACCTTGCTGATTGATGTGACTGGGACTAGTTTCCCGCAGATTATACAGTACGAACTAGGCTAAGACCAGTTCATGAGGAAAAAAAGTGACTCGCTCAACTCCTCCTCCACTTTCTTCCTTGTTTTTCTGGAAACCATTTTTTTTTTCCCAATCGTGGATTACACACCTTGTGAAAACATTCGCGGCCTGTCACTGGTGGACAGCCTTCATACACAACCTTGAACGTATCAGAAAGTGTGACAGTACAAAATTACCAGAAACACAGTACGTCAGAAAGTACCCACTCCAGCTTTCTTTCAATTGAAACATCCAGCGGGTTCTTCGAATTCGACCTTCCAAAATCCTTCCCCCCGAAAAGTTCTCCCTTGTCTGTACGACGCCGCATTTCGCGTGGATGGGAGATTCATAAGAGGGCGAAAGTTGATTCCCACTCAACAATCTTATTCCATCTTTACCCCCACCACAAACCACCACCACACCAACCATCACCAAGCCACCCCCCTTCCCCCCTCTAAACCCTTCTACAACCATTCATCCTCGTCCCCGACTTGCGCAAGTGCATTGCAAATTTCCCTAACGAAGGACAACGCTGGCACGGTTTCCTCCGTCGCATGATCATCCACTCTTACTCACATCCTGGCGCTCTTTCGCTGCAGGTCCTCTGCTACACTCCACGTAACCGTGCAGTAAACTGGGAAAAAAAAAGCTACACATCGGTCCGCACTAGACAATCGCAGCCTTCACGACCTCCCTTGTCGGTCCAATCTCCGATTGCTCACAATCATCGCCCTTCCCCTTTGGACCACCTGCATCACTGCGTTGGCAGGCAATCCTGCATTTGCAGTTCCGATCCTCGTCGCCGATACCCTATCCTCTCGCCCTCTGCCTTAGTTGCTCCCAGTAACGTCCAGCCGACGCAAAGCTCAATTCCTCCATTACCGGCGCCTGTACAAGCTACCTAAGGAGGGGCTCTGCTGACAGCTAAGCACATGCGCAGCGCGTACGGCCTTTGACTTGCATAATACCCTCGCTTCCTTTCTGAAGCGGTCATCGGCCTCTCCCTGTTACCGTCCAGGAAACAGCCTTGCTCGCCATTCCCGTTCCCGCCCAATTGGTCCAGCTCCGCACGGCCTCCCTACTCTGCTGCAGAAGTACAGCTTTCCCCGCGCATGAGGAGATCGGTGATTTTGGAGAGGGCCAGATATCAGGACTGGGATACAACAAGAACGCGGAGGAGCTAGAGCGAAATATAACGAGAAGGCACCCACGGAACGGGATAGTCCCTGGATATCGAAACAAAACTTCCGCAGAAAGTCCTTAGCCGGTGTCGAGTCATCAATTGAGTTGAACGCAAAGACTCGAGGCACCCCTCCGCCCCTCCCCTCGCTGAGTTAATTGTTACACAGAGTCGGCGTCTGTTTCAGTTATTATCAGGAACCCGCATTCCATACTATCGCGAGCGCTCTCTGGCAGGGCTCTCCGCATTGCATCAGAGGCAGGCCAAGATGCAGATATCAAAATCGCAATCCCGCTAAGGAAGTGGCTTTTGCATCACTCGGCCAGACACGATCCCCTTTCGGGCTCGTATTGCATTACAGTGATAGGCTACCATTTCAGGGTCACCACAGCCGCCTAATTGTTGTGTGTGATTGTTCATTCGTCCTCCTAGAGTCCAGGTGACTCAGGCACTGGCACGGTTCACGGCAGCTCTACAATCTCACGTTTTGCAGCCGGGTACTACGTCTGCTAGGTTTCCCGCAATGGCTTACGCCGCTACTTCATCGCCTTCCACAATAAATGGCGAAACCCAAGCAAGTTTAAAACTCACTGGCTCACTCTCTCAAACCCCCAAACTACATAATGTCATTACCTCAATCCCGCCTGTTTCCAATCCATCTTCAGCAACCCTCTACTCCTCTTATGCACCTACCCCAAGCTCTACTCGCTCGGCACACAACTACTCAAATGCTTCAAGCCCATCAGGCACACCCCTACATATCCCCTCTGATTCTCTTCGGGGTCGACTATCTACTACTCCCCTCATACCTCCTGGGACTTTCGAACTTGGAGAGTCCGAGATGGCTGTCCCTAGTTATGCTTTCACTTCTGGTACGACAGAGACAATCACTCAGAACGCAAACAAAGGTCCGGGTTTGATGCGCAGAATTTCACGTGGAGCAGCGAACAAGCTCACGAGAAGGCGTCAGTCGACCACTCACAATGACAAGCGAGATCGAAGCTCCGGACCTGTTATCATGCGCAGGCGAAGTGATAGCAAGACGGCCCAGAACAGCTGGGAGAATGCGTTGGAATCCAGCAATGAGGAAGACAACAATGATGCCTTAGAACCTCCCGGTGCCTGTGGCTCAGAAGCATCTAGCGTACCAAATGAAACTTCAATCGCCGCTTTCCGCAATTGTGGTGTGGTCGCACCCAAAGTCGATGGCGCAATCCAATGCGGCACGCTACTGACCAAGGTCACGAAAAAGCGCCGTAAGCAAGTGCGCTTCTTCTTGGACTTAGATGCTGGCAAAGTCTATTGGGATCCTTCAAATCCCGCCAAACGGTTTTATATAGACGATGTCAAGGAAATTCGCGTTGGTGCAGATGCGCGAAACTACCGCGAGGAGCACCAAGTGACAGAAGAGCTTGAAAACCGATGGTTCACAATTGTCATTGCTGATGCTGAGCGTTTTAAAGGGCGTGCAGTCAAAACACTGCACCTCATCGCTCCGACTGAACATATACTTGAACTTTGGACCTCAACCCTCGAGCATATCTCCCGATACCGAATAGGTCTCATGGCTGGTCTGGCAGGGTCCGGACAGAGCGAGGCGGTTCTGAAGGCTCATTGGCAGCGCGAAATGCAAATATTGTTTCCCAAGGGTCTCAAGCCAGGGGATCAGGAAAGTCTCGACTTCGAAGCAGTAGAGGGCGTTTGCCGCAGCCTGCACATCAACTGCTCCAAGAACATGCTACGCGCCCAATTTTCAAAGGCGGACATCAACAATAAGGGGAAGCTATATTTTTCTGAATTCACCGACTTTGTTGCTAGGTTGAAGGAGAGGAAAGATGTCAAGTTGATCTTCAAGGACAATGCCCTCGGTTCTGACGGTCTTACTCTAGACGAGTTCCTGTCATTCCTTCGCGATGTGCAAAATGAAGATGTCGATTCGGACCGTACATACTGGACATCTATCTTCGACAAATTTGTCCGCAAGTCGAAGCCACGTACGCCGAGTATCCCGGAGAACAGCGACAACCAGGTCTCTCGAATGAGTGTTGATGCATTCTCTTCTTTCTTGGCTTCGTCTGCGAACGGGATCTATGCTTCCCGAGCTCCCCAATCTAGATTTGACCGACCTTTGAATGAATATTTCATCTCAAGCTCACACAATACTTATCTCTTGGGACGTCAGGTGGCTGGTGCATCCAGCACTGAAGCTTACATTAGCGCACTGTCGCAGGGCTGCCGTTGTGTTGAAATAGACTGCTGGGATGGCGCAGACGGTCGGCCCATAGTATCTCATGGAAGGACCATGACTACCAGCGTGTTGTTTGCGGATTGCATCACAGTCATCAATCGGTATGCATTCATTAGCAGCGACTATCCTCTTATTCTGTCTCTCGAAGTCCATTGCTGCCCTGAGCAACAATTGGCCATGGTGAAAATCATGAAGGAAACCTTCAAAGACCAGCTTGTCTTGGAGCCGCTCCTCAACAACACATTCATTCTTCCCTCACCTGAAGACCTAAAAGGGCGGATTCTTGTGAAAGTTAAAGTGTGCGATGAGCCTCAGGGGGACATGCGTCAAGATTCTTCGAATTCGATGATGAGTCCTGGTCGCAAGCGCAGCTCAAGCTCTCCATTCATGAGGCCGATGGTACCGGAACATCAGATGAGCTTCAACCTCCCTCCACTCACGAGTTCGACAACTGTGGGTCCAGATACTGCCGACACGTTCTTAACACACGACCGACGTTCGTTCACAACCACCAGCATTAGCAGTGCTACAGAGGACAGCGACACCAACATGTTTTCGGCCACTCAGAAGGAACGGAAAAGAAGCCAAAAGAGCAAGATCTCGAAGCCTTTATCGGACTTAGGAGTCTACACCCGCGGCTACAAGTGGCACAGCTTTTTCTCGCCAGAAAGTCAACAATACAACCACGTGTACTCATTCGCCGAGCGCTCATTCGAGAGCATTTGCCGCGATATGGACAACAAAGCTTTGTTTGAGAGGCATAACAGGAAATATCTCACCAGAGTCTATCCATCTGGTTTCCGCCTGCGATCATCCAACTTTGATCCACTCAAGTTCTGGCGGCGTGGCGTGCAGATGGCTGCCCTGAATTGGCAGACTTACGACATCGGCATGCAGATGAATCATGCCATGTTTGCGGCGGGAACCGACCGTACAGGCTATGTTCTCAAGCCCGAATCTCTCCGTACCGTTCGCCCCGGTGAAGAGTCAGCGAAGAGCAAGGAGAGGAAGCTCGTCCGCTTTTCCGTTGACGTTATTTCTGCGCAGCAACTCCCTCGGCCTCGCAGCCTGGGGCCAGAGGATTACATCAATCCTTACGTTGAGATCGAGATGTTCAGTGCGGATGATCGTGGTCAAAGTTTTGTACTTGGCGAGGGCGGGATGGATGCTTCTGCCCGCAATGGTATGTCAGGGATCGGGTATCCCCACCGTCGGCGTACAAAGATCGAACAGAGCAACGGCTACAGTCCTATTTTCAATGACCGTTTCAAGCTTTCGCTAGAAACAAAATATCCTGATCTGGTCTTTGTGCGTTGGACTGTCTGGAGCTCTTTGGATGGTCGCAGCGCCGGAAACAACAACAGTGTGCAGCTGGCCACATTTACAGCGAAACTTAGTAGCCTTTCGCAAGGATATCGCTACCTGCCTCTATGTGATATTGGCGGTGATCAGTACCTACTATCCACGCTGTTCTGCAAGATAACCAAGGAAGATCCCGTCCCCGTGCAACGCCTCGATGCCGAAGAGCTCCGAGCGGAGCGAATGGGAATCTTGCGCCAAATCGGCCAGTCTGTCTTCAAACGGGCCTCGTCTACCGAAAGGGACAGGGACGCATGCTCCGACAAAGGCAGTGATGCCCCAGTGACGCCGGACGACAATGCTTCTCCTGTTTCGCCCGCGCTAACCCCGACGGTTTCGGCAGCTTCCACTTCATCTTTACCTCCCTGATATATTCTGCTCATTTGACGCCACACCACCCGACCAGCTGTCTCTTTTTTGAGCCAGTACATTATCATGATCTCCTCCATCTCGTTCCATGTGCAAGTATAGGATTGGCGTTAACCCAGCTTTCACTGCATTGATATGTGTTATTAATTCGTTTGCATTTGTGTTTTGGAGCCTCAGGCGCATTTCAGCTGCAGAGGAAGCCACAGGTGGGCTGGATGGAAAGCATCATCTCGCAACTGTCATTTTGTTCTACGAGGCAGCGAAAGATGCATGGCCGCTGCAAGCGTCAGGGCCGGATGGTGTTTCTGTGACTTGTGTTTGATTTGTTTTTCATACTATTGTGCCGGAGTACCCTGATTTACGTGGCGATACCCTCTGCTTTGAGTTATTTTTTTTATTTCTTCTCTTTTGCTTATCGCCTTTCTGTGCGAGATTTATCAATATTCTATCTGTTTATGTCGTGTGGATCGTTCCTGATTTTTGCATTCCTGGCATATCGCTCGGTTTTATGACCTACGACCTCAAACCTCGGGTGGCATATCGCTCGTGTCAATCATCATTATTTGCATTTGGGTAGCGTGGGCATTGACGGTGGAGGAGTTACGCAGGAAGTCGAGCATAGTTGATGGGGCCAAAGTCTTCTTGTGGTGACAGTGCAGACCCCTTCTCTCAACAACTTCAGGCTGTCTCTTGTATTGGTATACTGACAATGTCCTGGTTGTAGAGGAGTTACGTGCCTTGATTTTTCTGTCTTTCAAACTCCTGTTTTAACATGAAGAACGCGGCTGGGTCGCTTCTTCGCAGATTCCATGAATGACAAATTCAACAATGATTATTTTTACTCAAGCTAACGTAGGCCCAACCCTTTAGAGGGTAGTAGTGATTTACAGAGGCATTGGGGGATTTTGAGTGCGTAGAGAGACAGCTCGGATCACCTGCCCGGCCCGGCCCACCTGCCCTCCGCTGCGCTCTCGCAAAGGCAACGTGACGACTTCCGCTCTCCGCATCCACGCATTTACTTTCGAGTCTAGATTGCTATCTCCGAATTGACCTCGAATTGTCATTGCTATCGTTCACATCTGCAACAATGGATCCATTCTCAGCAGAAGGCGGTGGGTTATGAACTCAATCCAATCCAATCTCCGACCCCTCCTCACGTTCCTCTCAATACCCCCTCCGCTCGCGTGTTGTTTGTCTGTAACCATCTCCTAATCCCCTCTTCTTCTCCGCAGAGTTAATCAACATTCACAATGCCTTTCACCAAGGTCAATACCCCGCTGTGATCGAGTTCGACACCTCAGCCCTCTCCCCTGAGAACCAGCTCCCCGCCCGCATTCTCCAGCTTCGCGCCCAGATCGCGCTGGGTCAGTCGGACGCAGTCTTGGCCGACGTCGCAGGCGAGGAGGACACCCCCGACCTCGCCGCTGTTAAGGCCCTGGCGCAGCACACAGCCGGAGACGCCAATTCGGCTTACACTTTGGCCCAGGAGCTCGCCGAGAACTACCCCGACAACAGCAGCGTCCAGGTTCTTGCCGGTACCGTTCTGCAGGCCCAGGGACACAGCGAGGAGGCTCTGGCCTTGTTGACCAAGCATCAGGGCAACCTGGAGGCGTGAGTCCCCTTCACTCCATTGTCCTTCCCGTCCCCTTGACACTCTGGGTGTGAAAGACCGAGATCATGATCCCGGGGGACTTGTTCGCTGATCGCTTGTTTGGGGGGCGCCGTAATAGTGTCGCCTTGATCGTGCAAATTCACCTCCACCAGAACCGGTCGGATCTCGCTCTGAAGGAAGTGCAAGCCGCTAAGCGCTGGGCTCAGGATTCGCTCCTGGTCAATCTGGCAGAGTCGTGGGTTGGATTGAGAGTAGTATGTGTCTCCGTCCCTTGCCCCCTTTCCCCCTTCTCGTCCGTTTCCTGTCTTTTGCCCCGGCTGTCGTTTGTTGTTCAACATCCAGGCGGTGGGGAGTTGTTTACTCGTCGTTTTCAGTGTCACAAGGAGAGAGGGCTAATGCGCTTCCTGCTTTGAATCTAGGGCGGCGAGAAATACCAAGCTGCGTTCTACGTCTACGAGGAACTAGCCTCCGCGCCTAGCACCGCCGCGCCCCTTTCGATCGTCGGCCAGGCCGTCGCGGAGCTTCACTTGGGAAGACTTCCCGAGGCGGAAGCCGCCTTGTCCGCGGCGCTGGAGACATACCCCGACGAAGCGGAATTGATCGCCAACGCGATCGTGTTGAATGTCCTGGCTGGCAAGTCGACGGAAGATTTGGAACAGTACGTCCCTCCGAAGCCGTGCCTCCCCCTCACCGACCTTATTCACCCGTGATTAACCCTTTGTTTGTCGTGAAAATAGGCGTCTCCAGAAAACCCAGCCATTGCACCCTCTGATGAGCGATGCGCAAGAAAAGAGTGCCCTCTTCGATGCCGCAGCCGCGAAATATGCCCCTAGGGTGTCTGCCTAAGTCTGTTTGCAAGCGCTGCCGAGCTCAGGAGTACCCTCGGACTCATACTTCCTTTCTTCTTCTTTCTTGTTCCCCTGTCCAGATTTCTTGTACAACCCTCTAGCGCTATATTGTTCTTTCATCATGAATCGATTTGACGGCATAGCTATTGTATTAGACAGTAATAATAAGCAATGCCTTCTATACTCCTGACTTCTGCCAACACGTGACGTCACATGAGGATGTTGAAGGCTGGAAATGGCACGGCAGTTGCAGTTCAGTGCGTGTCATGGTTACCTCTTCTACTCTTTCAATGTGGAGATAATGGGAAAGATCATGCTACTCACAAAGTGATTAAGATTATATATACATCTGAACTGATCCAGACTAGTGGTAAACCCGAGATAAAGTGTTCATGTAGAACTAAAGGTCGTGATAGAAACCTGGAAACATGGCCTTGCGTACGACTTCAGTTGCCGTTCGCCATATCTTCCTTGCCAGTTAGATCGCAGAAAGCCTTGTAGGTGACGAAAGGATTCTCTTCTCCGCTGTCAGTGCTCTCAATAATGCACTCGGCATTGGCTCCCACAAAGAATACATAGCCCTCCTTAACTTCCTCCGTTTTGTGGCCTACTGTGATCTTTCCTGCCCCGCCCGTGCAAATTAAGATGCTGGGCCCCACCAATCCATCAAAGGTAGCCTTGGCACCGGGTCTTCTGAGCTCCGTTTTGACAACGCTGAATTCCTCGATGGGAGGGTCGTAAAGAAGACAGGACGAGCCACTCGAGTACGCAGACGCGTTGAGCACCACATACGGGTAGTCGGTCGGCTGGAGCTTCTGCTCCTCGATAGGAGCATATGAGTACGTCAGCATCTCAGTAAGCGTGTCCACATCCTTGAACTTGGGAGTAAACCCGGCCCGCACGACATTGTCGGACGAAGCCATGCATTCAATGATGTCGCCGGAAACGTAGGCGTGGATGTCGTCGGCCTTCAGAAACATAGCCTCACCTGGGGCAAGCTTCACGAAATTAAGGAAGAAGAATACAAAAAGACCAATATCATCAGGAAACTGGCTGTTAAGGCGAGTGATTATGGCAGCCAGGTCAGCAGGGTTGCTAGGATTTGTCTCAGGAGATTCAGACGACGTAGCGAAAGTGTCTGCTTGTTGAGCTGCTGCAACCAGATCCTTAGTGGCTGCTTTGATATCATCCGGAGACGACTTCATTAATGTTGTAAAGAGCTTGCGAAGAGCGTCCTTGTTCTTGGCGGTATCATTGGGGTCTTCCGAATCCTCAGAATCCTGGACGGTGCGCTCGAATTCACTGGCAGCCTGGTCTCCAACGAGGTTCCGGAGGGGTGCGACGGCCTTGAGGAAGTGGGTAATTTGAGCCAGAGGACGGAAGCTGCACAATCCTTCGAAGGGTGTAATGGCGATGGCCATCTCAGGCTTGTGGTTGTCATCTGCAGAGCAATAATTTGGCGTCAGCTCGAGAACAATGATTGCTATTGGAGATGAATTATAATCACAGATTGCTTACCCGGATAGTTGCGAGGATCTCTCGCGTGCAGCTTTTCTGCAAGTTTCTTGTTGGGGTGGGCTTGGATGCTGAGAGCTTTCTGAACGGAAAGAACCTTGAAAAGGAACGGCAACTTTCCACCATATCGCTCGCTGACCTCAGTAGACATCAAAGCCTGGTTATCCTGCACCATGTCGAGCAAAGTCCGCCTGGTTTCCAAGTCCTTGGAGGGGAGGGAGGGGTGTGTGCCCATCCAGAGCTATACGTCATCGGGTCAGTCGATAGCTTGCGGAAGCTCAACCACCAGGCGCACCAACCTCTGCATAAGGCTTCTCTGCTTCTATCGAGAATTCGGGATCAGACGAGGTAGCTGCATATTTGGCGGCCGCAGACTCATGGCCGATTTTGCCTGGGAAGAGCGTTCAGCGTGAAGCACACGGTGGATAAGAGACCTGAGTGCGGGGAACTCCTACCCCAGTCATAACTGTTGACACCTGCAGAGATTGACCAACGCTGTTAATTGTGCGACAAATCACCAGTTGTATATGCAGAATGACACTTACCACACTGAAGACGAAGCAATGGGACCTGCATTTTAGGTGGGGGAGTAAATGGGAATTTTGGAGAGTCGAAGCGCTATGGTGGTGGGGGAGGGGAAATACAGGATACAGGAGGGCAGAGTGAGAGGGAAGGCGGGGAGATGTGAGAGTGTGTTATTCTTTCCAAGGGAGGTAAAAGTGAAGGGAGAAGCCGAAGAAGAAGAAGAACAACAAGGAAGAGAGTGAAGGATAGATGAGAAGACAAAATTCCCACTTCTCATCCCGCTGCTGCGACTGTTCTCGGCTTCACCACCCTCCTCCCTCCCTCCAAGTCGACCATCCACTGCATCATTGAAACCTGCCCCTCCAGATTCGTCTATGTGTCTGTCAATTCCCAATTCGGTGTATTCCATATGCGTTCAGACTAGTTCAATCCCGTCTGTCACACTCCGTTACCTCCGGTAACAACTTCTGGGCTTAGCGCTCCTTACGTAAGGGGTAACAGGTGTTTCCCTTGGGATTCGCCGGTTAATAACCTTACGTGAGGGTGATGGCATCCGCCAATCAGAAGATCCAGTGGAGCACCAAACGGTTGCCGAAAAGGAAGACGCGCCAAGATGGTGACGCTGCCGTTGGAGGGAATGAGGCCGATAGTGCCAGTAATGAAGCACCACCACCCGCTTCTGCTCTTGCTTCCCAGCTCCACCAGCAGCTATTACCTTCTCCTCGTTCCCAGCCTGTCGGGTCTCTTGGGTTTTTAGTCTCGACCCCAGGTGCACCCGTCGCCTCTCAGAGCTCTCCTCCTACCGGTTTCTTGGGTGGCCGACCCCACGATCAGAGGCAGGGCGCGGCGCGTGGCACACGCAGCTCGGCTCGCAAGGACCTGGTCTCCGCTTTCGCTTGGGAGGCCCTTGACATAGACAAGGTCAAGCATACAAGTACTACGACTACTACTTTTATCGCGAATCCAGAAACTCCAGCCCAGTTCACCACCCCTAGTAGGAGCTCCCCAGTTCAGAGCAGTAAAGGTCACCGGCACCAGCAGCAGCAGGCTGAAGATAGAGCTGCGGACCTGAGTCCCTCCGTCTGCAAAATGTCTAGGAACCGGCCACGAGGCCCTCCGGTCCCCAGAGACAATGGCCTTGCGGCCAATGAGGAGACTGATATGTGGAACAAGATCCTCCAGGATCTGCGCAAGGCTAAAGAGAAGAACGACAAGCAAAAAGGCCTGGCAGAGCAAATAGCTTCTCTGAATGAGAAGATTGGACGAGAGGGTGGAAGTAAGTCATCTTCCTCTCCTGTTCACATGCATTGCCCTTTACTCCAACACAGCCGTTTCCCCATCTCAAGGTGTTCTCGCTCCTTGAAGATTGTACGACTCGCGATGCTCTAGGCTAGCCCTCGGTCTTAGCTCAATGATGCCTACATCGGCATCACTGTCTTCCGGGTTCTCTCTCGAAGACCGAAGCCGATAAGTCTTGCACGCGCTAATGGATCTCAACAGGGCCATCTTTGAGCGAGCATAACCAATTAGATAGCCTCTATAGGCAGATGCTGAAGTTGTGCGAAGATGAAAGGGCTATACTTCAAGACGAGCCAAGTGATGTGATCAAGAATCTGGGTCTTCTGACTGCGCTGCGGCAGGCTTCAGAAGCAGAGGCACCGCAAAATCGTGCTGCATCTCTCTCCAAGTCACGGAAGAAGCGAAATGAGATGGACGGCTCGGCTACCGACTCGCCGGGTCCGTCCAACAACTCTCTGTCGGACAAAGTCAGTCGCATGAAGGGTGGCTTTCAGCGTAGTACGAGTGTTTCCAGCTCACAAGCTCGCGAGGGTCGTGACCCTATCGTGCAAATCAAGGTAGAAGAAGGATCCGAGGGTGCTAAAGGCACGCTTGCCGAAAGAAGCGGGCATCTCGTGGTAGGGGCCGAAGTTGTCTTCAAACACAACAAGAACAAGCAAGGTGTTGAAGGGGAGGGTATCCAATGCATCATTAAAGGGATTTCTGGGGAAGGCCCTAAGAAACGGTACGCACGAACCCTAAGCCCAGTCCCACAGAACGATTGACCGATGTGCCTTCGAAAGGTATGATGTACAGGACCCGGAACCAAACGAAAATGGCGAACAGGGTGCGGTCTACAAGACCACAGCAGCGTCCTTAATTCCAATACCTCGCATAGGGTCTACGTTGCCATCATTTCCTCTTGGAAAACAAGTTTTGGCCAGATACCCGGACACCACGACTTTCTACCGTGCCGAAGTTATGGGAGCTAAGAAGGATGTCTATCGCCTCAAGTTCGAGGGTGAGGAAGATGATAAGGAGATGGAAGTTGACCGTCGCTTTGTTTTGGACATTCCAGGAAAGTGATGTCTGTCTCCAAATTGAGAAACATCTCTCTGTCAAGGCTTCATTCTCGCTCAGGCCTCGAGAGATGCCAAGTCAAGGTTTATGTATGGTGTATGGTGGTGATGAATGCAAGGTACAATCTATGGACCGCGACATGAGGGAGAATTGAAATCGGCTGCCATATTGATCGGTTACTTGATACCCATTGTTTAGCTAGGTTATTGTTATAATGATTTGATGGTTCTTATGACTTTACATCGAGTCGCAGTTGCTTTCCGAATTTCTTGCTGCTTCTCGTTAAATCAATGAATGGGGCTAGCTCCGATGACTAGTCAGCATTACCTAGATCGCGTCATGCTGAGTAATGATAGCTGAGTCATTCTTGGCCCCCGCCCGTCTCCGAAGCCGCCGCCTTTCCGAGGGGCCGAGACTAGAGAGTAATGCGGCGCCGAGATAGCACTCGACGATGGACAACTATGATCCTTCGATTGCCTCTCCTTTTCTAGTCTTTCCTGGCTATGTGCCTCTTGTCGCCACTACGCTGTTGAATTTCATGTACAGCTTTGGTCAATTCTGATATAGACTTTCGTTCTCTTTCTCCCACGTCTCTGGACCTCACATCTGCCTCGTCCACCTCAGCGCCCCCACCATGTCGAATTTACCGTCTCACGCGTCCCCAACCTTCACGGCGCAAGCCCCTTCAATCAACCTTGACGAAGAGCTCTCACTTGGCGCAGATCAGACGGTTTTAAATAGCAGGATAGATGAACTCCGTGCCGATGCAGCCAGTGTGACCGACAGTGACCGAGGGGGAGATGTGACTCCGGCTGTGCCAGCTTCACTTCTTTCCCCTTCCTTCACCCCGCCAGCAACCCCAGGTGGAACATTCAACCCCGCGCAGTTGCTACAACAAGCACAACAACCGACCAGTTCAAAGCCTCCCAAACTCCTCTCTCGCCTTCCCGATGTCGAATGTATTGTCCGTGCCCGTATTCCTACCACCACGGGTGCGGAGATGTTCCTGCACCTCTACCACAACGACCTGGATAACAAGGAACATTTGGCAATTGTCTTTGGTAATACGATCCGGAGTCGGAGCTTGGATAAAGTTCGACCTGGTGAGACTGAGATGGATCGCATGATTCGTGGTGCTTATGTCGGCAAACTCCACCCTGGTCGGGTTAGCAGTTGGTATGATGAAGGGAACGCTGAAGGCGCGAGAGACACGCATCAGGAAGATGAGAGCACCCCGAGTCAAGCACCACTTGTTCGAATTCATTCGGAATGTTACACTGGGGAGACCGCTTGGTCTGCAAGATGTGATTGCGGAGAGCAGCTGGATGAGGCAGCAAGACTGATGTCATTCCCCATGGAAACCCTGTCAGAGCTTGCATCCCAGCAGTCGGTGCCCGTGGCTTCGAACGTCTCTGGTGGAGTAATCGTCTATCTTCGACAAGAAGGGCGCGGGATCGGTCTCGGCGAAAAGCTCAAAGCCTACAATTTGCAGGATCTTGGATCTGATACTGTCGAAGCCAATTTGCTGTTGCGCCACCCTGCTGATGCGCGAAGCTATGGTCTAGCTACCGCGATTCTTGTCGATCTTGGGCTTGGAGAAGATTCCAACCCGCATGGAATTCGACTTCTCACAAACAATCCCGACAAGGTGCGAGCAGTTGAGGGTCCCAACCGGGAAATCGTTGTTAAGGAGCGAGTGCCCATGATACCCTTGGCATGGAGATCTGGTGGAAAGGCGGGCATTAAGAGCACGGAGGTAGAGGGTTATCTTAGGACAAAGGTTCGTACATGTGCTACTTTCCGCCTATACTGTGTCGTCTTGCTTGTCGAATGTTATAGCAATGCTGATGAATTCTCTTATAGATCTCAAAAATGGGACATATGATCCAGTAGATTGAACCGAATCTTTGGCTAGTCGCATCCTGTGCTCTCAACTCCTGCATACAAGTTTTACCCCTGAACTATATACTCTTGAAGACCTCAAGGGGAGGTATTGTGTAATGTATGGTGTTTATGAGACAGCGACGTCTATTCCAATTGCCTTTGCTTTGTCCATCTGTGCTTACCGCGCTATCGATATCTCCTGCGAAAGGCGCGGGATGTATTGCTACCTGCCATTTTGATTGCCTGCACAGTGCGTATGTACAACGGTTCGGCACTGTATATCATCACTTCACGTCTTCGGAAAAACAAAAGGGATCTGCAGAACTTTGTTTTCTCACTAAGCCTTGGCATTAATCCTTCTGTGAACTTGAGGACTTGGGAGACCAATGAGAAAGATTGCCGGGGAAGAACAATAGCCGAAACAATGGCCGGACTATTGCAGTTGATGATGGGCACACTGACTCTTCAACCCTGGACGGGAGATGCTTTGTTTGCGCAGCTAGAACATGCCGGACGCCACGCTATCGAACTTGGTCCGCATGGAACCATAGATTGTGATTCTGCACCGCCATCTTGGCTAAAGCCAAAAGAGAGGGCAAAAAGGAAGGCAAAACGTGGTTGCTCAGTACCAGTTGGTGCTAATGATAGACTTTTGAGGGGGGAAATACCCACTGCTGGAACCAACCAGACCGAGTTGAATCCTTCCAACTGCGCCTTCGGGACCCTCCGCTTTCTCTTCCTTTTTTCCCCATTAATATTTCCTCCTGCCCCGACCACCTCGAGCATGCACTTTTATGCTTGTCTCATTCCCTTCTTCGGACTTCCTCCCCCCTCCACTAGTCAGTCTTATTCAATGCCACCTACTTTAACATCTGGATGGAAACATTCAATTTGTTCTTAAAAACCCCTACTTTATCCCATTTGATCTCACCTCCTGGCCGTGTTGAATGGCCCGGTTGCTCGCATAGCTCAGCCCGCAAGTGAGGCCATGGCCACCCGCCTACCGCCTCTCAACAATGTGGCTCGATCGCCAGCCGTCGAGGAAACATCGCCGTCCTCCACATCCTCCTTGGTGCCTGGACACCCGGTCACATCGATTGCTGCAACTTTCGACTCCAGTTCAGTCGTGAAAGTAGAGGACTCTCCCACTCCATCCGCTCTGGCATCCGCCGATGCTGAAACGCCCGTGCCTGATGCCGGAGGCGCGGCGACAGCGGTTGCGGGCCGGAAACGCAAGCTCAACAGCAATTCCGCCCGTGGTGTCGCCAACCTTACCCCGGAACAACTAGCAAAGAAGCGAGCCAATGATCGCCAGGCCCAGCGCGCCATTCGTGAGCGCACGAAGGCTCATATTGACTTGCTCGAACAGCAAGTCCGCGATCTTTCGTCGCAGAAACCGTACCTGGATCTTCAGGCTGCTCTCAAGCAGAATGAAGCCGTTCAGATGGAAAATAGAGAACTCAAGCACGGGCTGAAAACAGTTCTGGAGATTATACAGCCCCTGTTACGTGATCAGGCAAATCCTGGTAGGTCAGTCCTGTTGTCTAATTTGTTTCGACGGTCTTCGCAGCACATGAACTTATCAAGGACATGTTCTAGACCTTTTAGCGTCGGCAGCGGCACCAGCGAGCACTAAACCCACGCCTTCAATATCTGTGACGTCGTGTTTCTCAGACAATAGCCATCACCCTTCTATTACCCGGCCTTCGGTCTCGGCTGGTTCCTCCTATGCGAAACCTGCAAGCACGCAACCTTCTGCACCATCAAATCTTACGTTCTCCCCTGCTGCTGCTCGACGGGATATTACAGCCGCTGGTTCGGCTTCGTTTCGCATCGCTTTCGATTACCAGCGTCATAATCTTGCTCATGGCCTCGATTTTGGCGGAACGGACGAGCGGATGGGGTTTAATTTTCTGCTCGATACATCGCAGCAGGTACCCAAGGTCGAAGGGTTTCGTCGTTGTTCCGAGGCAACCAGACCACCACCCCCTACTAACACGGCCTCGACTTATCCAGCACCTTTACCTGCAGGTGCAACGACAGAACAGTCTCTGTCCTTACCTGCGCACCTGACACCAATCCGAAATATCGCGCCGACTTGTACACTAGATGCTATTCTCATGGACTTCTTGCATCACCGACAGCAAGAAACAGCGAAGGGTGTACCAAAACAGAATCTTGTTGGGCCGTCATATCCTAGCGTGTCGTCACTGCTTAATCCGGAGAGGAGCGTATACTCTCATCCTTTATCGAAAGTCTTTACCGACATCCTGCGGACGTTTCCCGATATAGCGACGCTGCCGGAGCAAGTCTGTGTTCTCCTTTCAATGTTTCTCTTAATGCGATGGCAGATATATCCAACACGAGAGAATTACGAGCGACTGCCTGAGTGGCTGACTCCTCGGCCGTCGCAGCTACTCACCCCGCACCCGGTTTGGATTGACTATTTGCCTTGGCCGCGCATGCGAGATCGCCTGGTAATGTCATATCAAGACTATCCGTTCGAGAATTGGTTCATACCATTTACACGTACTTTGTCAGTCAATTGGCCGTATGAGGCAACAGACTGTCTGCTATCTACTGGTGATGGTGATGATTTGATCATTAACCCTGTCTTTGAGAGACATATGAGAAACCTTAGCAATTGGTCCCTTGGGCCGGCGTTTGCGGAGGCGTATCCTTCACTGATCGATACCGTAAAAATCAAATGAGAGTCGTTCTCGGGGCTTAATTACGACCATCAAAACTTAAGCAATTGGTATTCAAACTGGGTGGATGGAATTGAGGCATAAATTCGATATGCGGCCACAACTATGCCTGCATTTCTCTAGGCTTCCCTGCGTGAGCGCGTGCCACACGCACTATGGTCCATCTTAGGCAGTCAATGCTTTGCATGAGCAAGTGCTGCCAAAACTTCGGCTACTCTACCGGGGTTATTGCAATGCTGCTATTGTGTTGAGGCACGGCTCATGATAAAACCCCTAGGCTTTGTTAATCCCATGGGCGTTGATAATAGAATTACATAAAAATTGTGTTCTTCAAATCCTTTAGGTGGAAGCGCTATGCAGAAACATGCTGGTTTCTTTTGACTTGACTCGTTATGCAAAAACACTGCGCGAGCACTATTTGTCAGGACGAATTTCCTTGTCTGCTCTTCTCATTCCAAAATTGCAGCCCGGCCTTTTGTCGTAAAACACCATACATAGAGCTGCTGTCTAAGCATTCGCCCGCATAGTCCCTGGCAGCCTCCAGATTCTCCAGGGCTACCTGCAAACCTGGAAGCTCAACATTGTTCTCCTTGGACATCGAAAGAGCATGCTTGGCATCTTTGATAGCCAAAGACACTCCAAAGCCAGGCCGCGAGCTCAGAGGCGGCGCATAAACGCCTGTTGTCAATCTATCTCCAGGTCAACGGATACATTCATCTGCGGACAGCCGTAAATGCAACGAACCTCTTAGAATAGCCGCCAGCGACCGGACCGAAGGCTTCGCCGATGAGCTCCTCCATTGGCCCTGTTCCTAGACCAGTACGTTCGGCGAAGACCTGGGCTTCACCAACAGCCTCCATCATGTTGACTGTGACGATGTTGCTAGTTTTCGAGGAACACGAACAGTCAGAATGAACACAGTTTTTCGCCTTCCTATGGGCCCAAAGAGAACAAAGAAGAGAATAGAGGCGGAACAGGTGACCGAGCTTACCCAGCAATCTTCAGCAACGAGGCTCTCGTAGCGTCTTCGCCACAGTCGATGATCTTCCGTCCCATCACATTCTGGATCAACGGCTTTACCACCTCCGATGCTTGCTTCGGCCCTCCGATGGCGAAGACGAGCTTGCCGTCCACCGCGATGGGATTACCGCCGAAGACGGGGGCAGCCAGGAACGACGCCTCTTTCTCCTTCAGCTTGACGGCAGTCAGACCCACCGTTTGGGGGTGGACAGTTGAACAGTCGACGAAGATCTTGCCGCGGAGGGAGAGCCCTGAGCCGGTGACTGAGGAGATGAGGTGCTGGAGGACGGAGTCATTCGAAACCTGCATGGCGGGGTGTTAGATCAGGAACTCACGCTTCTCTCCGATATCGTACTGTCGGAGTACAAGTAGAGAAGGGACTCCATGAGGAGGGAAGGGAGCCGAAAGGTACAGACCATCGTGAAAATAATGCCACATTGGGCGACTAGATTCGTATAACTAGACTCGGGCGTACCGCCCAGTGCTCCAAGGGGGTCTCCCCGTGCCATTGTCCGATTTGAATAGATAAGATTCAGGGCTCGCTTGCTGGCTAGGTGTCTTTGGAGGTTACTGGCCATGGCCAGACCCATCGACCCGAGGCCATACTGTATGCGTGGTAGACGTCAGTACGTGAAACTTTTGGGTATTTGCCTACGGCAGGATGCAGGGTGAAGAGAACGCGCACGAACCCAGCCAATCTGAGTCATTGTGGTTAGAGAAAAAATATGTCTGAGTTTTTTCAGTATGTAGCCACTGGTGTAGATTGCAGTTAGTTGCGATTGTTGGTTGATTTCATATGATGTTGATGGTTCCGATGGTGCATTAATTTAGTACTGTGTACTAAGTATCTCGGGCGATAGTTGATAATCGGCCGGGCCCGATGGGAGCTGAGCAAATACACAATTGAAGCACTCTCTTTCAGCCATGCGTTCTCACAACATTATCACTACTCGAAGTTTGAAGTCTACAGTGATTTCCCTAGTTAGGGCATTTTCAGCTATCTTCATCATCTCCAGTTGCTGGACTAGCCTTAGCATGCTGGATTCTGGTTCACTATCACGAGGTCCTGGAATTGGTAGAGTTTCTTTCCCAGATGAGCTGGTCTTTCCCTGAAGATTCAATACAGCTTAGCTTTTCAGCTCAGATAGGAGACTCTCCTGGTTGGACTGAGCATTCCAGGGGATGCATGCAAGTAAGTAGCAGCCTCAGGCACTATACCCGTGACTGGCTGACCGCCCGGCAGGCCCCACTGAAGCAGTGCCGCTCCGGACGGGCGACCTGGTCTTCCACTGTTGTTGGCGTTGCTTGCTGCGTCTCCGGCTACTGCCTGTCTCCTGGACGTCATCTTCATACTCCCTCCGTTCCTTTTCTTTCACCCGCTTTCGTGATCAATCGCCTTTCTTTTTATACTTCTCGCCGGTCGCTCAATCTCATCTTTCACCATGGCTGATATGCCCATTGGTACGTTGCGCTCCTCTACCCGACACGCCCCCTCCCCCTTACTCTTCTCCCCCTCTCCGCCAATCCCTCCTTGCCCGGGATCTCTCCGTACCTCCCGTCCACTTGAGCTAACCACGACAAATTCACCCAAACAGTGCTCGACGGAGGAACTGGTTTCCTCAAAGTCGGATATGCTGCGCAAGTCAGTCGCTCTCGTTTCAACGTTTGAGAATCTAGTAAATTAACCCTCGTGTCTTCCTGCAGAACTTCCCCGAGCACCAGTTCCCCTCGATAGTGGGGCGGCCGATACTGCGGACGGAGGAGCAAGCAGGCGACATTGTCGTCAAGGATATCATGTGCGGAGATGAAGCCGCTGCCGCCAGATCAATGCTTCAAATCACCTATCCCGTACGTTCTTCCACTCGATCGTCCTCACACACACACACACACACACACACACACACCCAACCCTTCAAATCCGCTCCCCGGGGCAACTCAACAGGCATATTAACGTTGGACCGGGACGGTTCCTGGCCTGGCCTACTAGATGGAGAACGGAATCGTGAAGAGATGGGACGATATGCAACATCTATGGAACTACACTTTCTACGAGAAGATGAAGATCGATCCTACTGGCCGCAAGATCCTCCTCACCGAGCCCCCCATGAACCCCCTCAAGAACCGGGAGCAGATGGCTGAGGTCATGCTGGAAGGCTACAACTTTGGTGGCGTATACGTCGCGATCCAAGCCGTACTTGCACTATATGCGCAGGGTAAGTGGTCAGTGCTGTTTACATCCTCGAGGGCTGCCGCTAAGCCCCGTGATCTTTTGGCGCATTACAGGTCTTAGCAGTGGTGTCGTGGTCGACTCCGGAGACGGTGTAACTCACATCATTCCCGTCTACGAATCTACCGTTCTGAACCACCACATCCGCCGACTGGACGTTGCTGGTCGCGATGTGACCCGCAATCTCATTGCCCTTCTTCTCCGCCGTGGTTACGCCCTCAACCGCACGGCCGACTTTGAGACCGTGCGCCAGATTAAGGAGAAGCTCTGCTACGTTTCCTACGATCTGGAACTAGACAAGAAGCTTTCCGAAGATACAACCGTCTTGGTTGAATCCTACACCCTCCCCGATGGTCGTGTCATTCGCGTGGGAAGCGAGCGATTCGAGGCTCCTGAGTGTCTTTTCCAGCCGCACTTGGTAGATGTCGACCAACCCGGTATTGCTGAACTGCTGTTCAACACGATTCAGGGTGCCGATGTCGATGTGCGCTCCAGTCTCTACAAGGCTATCGTGCTCAGTGGTGGAAGCAGCATGTACCCCGGTCTGCCCTCGCGACTGGAGAAGGAGCTTAAGCAACTGTGGCTCACTCGGGTGCTGCAAGGAAACCCGGAGAGACTGAACGTATGCGCCTCTTCCCCTCCTAGCCATGAGAGCTGTTCCTAATCCATTCACATAGAAATTCAAGGTCCGCATCGAGGACCCGCCCCGACGGAGACACATGGTCTTCCTTGGTGGTGCCGTGCTGGCCAACTTGGTATGATCTCTTGGAGAATCGGTGGTTCCCTGCAGTCTGCTAACCTCGTCTCTTCCAGATCGCCGACAAGGAGGATATGTGGGTCACCAAGCAAGAATGGCAAGAACAGGGTGCACGTGCCCTCGCGAAACTCGGCCCTAGATAAGTCTAGTTTACTACTTCCACCCTCTAGTACCAGTACATACATACCAACCTACCTGCCATATCTTGATTTCACAACGACTTTCTCCTTGCCGATAAAATTCAATCCTCGCAAAATGTCAGCCAGATGATTCTCTGTCCAAGGTATATTCCCATTTACCCACTCCCTTGCGGTCATATCTCGCGCTCAACCATACACACTTCAACGAACCTTTACTTAATCTTTGCTCTGTATGTTCTTTGGCCAAGTGGCCAGCTGGTGTAGAGGTAGACGACCCGAGGTCAGGATTAAGTTAACTGACTTAAACCAATTGTGGTCAATGAAGAGATTTCTTTCTTTCCTCCCACTAGTGTCATAAAAGTTTGCGAGTTCAACAAAAAGTCTAACTATATCAGACATGGGGAGTGAAATGAATCTATATGAAATAACTACCAAGCAACCTAGCGAAGACGAAACTCCTTTAAATGCTGACACAACCTCTATAACCCATTTCAAAGTACAAAAGCTAGGAAAATATGGTCCGTCCCATACAAAGGAGAACGAACAAAATTATGCGGGAGTAATGTCATGCACCAAGGAGACACACTATGTAGGTCGAAAAGAAAAGCCAAGATAGTGGGAAATAGATTAGTAGAACCAGTAGCCTGTCTCTGCCAGCGGAAGGCAAGTAGATTGATGATATATATATGAATGCGGAATGAGACTTTGAGAGGGCAGCCGTCGCCTGGGTGATGATCAGGAAGACGAGCAACATCTTGAAGGTATCTTTACTCATCGGAGTCGGACTCGGTTTGCTCATTGGCGTAGACCTTTTTGCGCTCCTCGTTCTTTTCGCGGTAGGTGCTCCAGCTGAGGAGGAAGAAGGCCACAATGATGAGGATACCGCCGGCGATTGACGCCAGGGACAGAGGTTGACCGGTGCGAAGCCAGTCGACAATCGCCACGAGGAAGATGGTGAGCAAGGCGGCTACAGAAGAGAGTACAGGCGAGGTGAGGGAGATGAGGACGAGGAAGGATCCGGAGAATGCTATGCAGAGGAAGTATTAGACTTTCATCCTTGGCCGGATGTAACTTGATCACTTTTCGGGGTCGGGGGGGGGAGGAGGGGGATTGCTCATGGCATATGAGGGCGGACTTACTGGCATTGGCAAGGACAGAGATCATAAGCATCCACGCTGCTTCTCCGGTCGGCCAGCGGAACGTTTCCAGCCCGGTCCAGTGAAGGAATGGCAAGGGAATCCACAGCACAAGGAGTGTAAAGCATCCAATAAGGCTCCCAACAGTGTTTGCAAAAATCATGCTGCGTCCGGCGCTGGTGCCCTCCGGGGGACAAGCAAATCTCTTGTATAAGACCTCATAGAGTCCGTACAGAACGCTGCCGACGCCTATAATGATATTGCCTAGCAATCGGTTTTCGGCTTCATCATGAGCTTTACCCTTTTTGCCATCGTCTCGATCCCCGTAGGCCACCACGAGAACTCCAACGATAGCCACCACGACTGCGATTATCTTGTCGGCCCGCAATTTGTCATTGAGCAGGGGGATAGAGAAGGCATATGCGAAGAATGCGGAGCAGTTGTAGATGGCGGTCAAATCACTCGGAGTGGTCATGTTTACCGCAACGTACCAGGAACCTCCAGCAATCGTGAGAGCGGTGGTGACAAAAGCCGTTGTTTTGAGCATGTACGGAACGGGTGATTGCTGGGAGTTGCGGGATGTGAGATGTACATCCTGGGTCTCCACCATTTTTGCTGTCGTTCGAAGGATATATACATGACGCCGCCAGAAGGCCGCCCAGGAAAGTTTACGTTTTTGTGAGCGAAGGATGAGGAGCTGGAACGGCCACAGTAGTGCCCAGGAACCATGTGTGAGATACCTAAGTACCGCGGAAGTATTAGTCTCCGAGATGACATTTTGACATCGAGGGTTAACTCTGCGATCAAGTCGGCAACTTACAGCATACAGTACGGTTTATCCCAGTGTAGCTCATGCTGAATGTATACCGCGGTTTCCGTCTGAACAACAAAACTAGCCAGGCTGAGAAGCAGAAACCCAGATGCAATCAGATATTTATGGCGCGTTGCCTGCTCCGCGCTGTGCTCCGGACTACTGCCGCGTATTGTAGGTCGTCGTGAATGGTGAAGCATAGGCCTGCCTTCTGCGTCACCATTGCCGAGACTGGCAGTCGACAGTCGTCCCCGGCGCTCATCCTTGAGCAGTGGTTGTTGAGAACGTGCTTCAGCGGGTCGATGCATGACAGGACGATTCATAGACGTTTCGTCATCCGAATCGTGGAAATCAAGGGCCGGATCCAGATCCCAGGCTTCTCCTAGACCCGACAATCGCACGTTATCTGCAGCCACCTTGTTGCTGTTGACCGTTCACACAGAAAGAATAAAGGTGAGAGTGAGCAACACAAAGTTCAAGGAGGAGACTTTGAAGACCTGCTCCTAGTCTATGATTTATCTATGACCAGTGCGATACTGACGAAGCGTTGGTCGGGCAGTGGGATCAAGGTGAGTGGGTGAGCCGCGCAATCGGCAGAACGAACGACAGCAGCTCAGGCGGACAGAAGGAAAGTTGAACTGTTCACGTGGAAGCTAGGGAAAAAAGGAATATTGCAGCCCCAGCTGATCAGTTGCCTCCAGAAAGACGCGTATGATGAGGTCTTGAGAGCAAGGCATACAGCCTCGTATGTAAAAGATGTCTCCGGGGGGAAAGTACTTCGGACCGCTGCACTACGGCCACGTTTGCGAAAGATGTAATTGTAATTGCGGGGAACGTCACTGCTAGAACAGTAAAGGTGAAAGGGGAAAGGAATGAGTCAAGCCCGAGATAAAAGTATGGAGAGATTTTTGCTGTAAGGGAGGAAATCGCAAGAGTGAGAGAATCGAAATGGTGAAAGGCAGAAGTCAAGTATGTGGTAGGGAGATGCAGTGCAGTACTTCTAGGTGGTAAGGGGAGGGACAATGCGCGGGTTGCATCCCGGCCCATCTTATTATTCTATATCGAGTCAGGGACTGCGCGCCCCTACGTACTCCGTAGCCTGGAGAGCCACACCGCCTTCGAAGCCGAGTCTGCCGGAGGGGCGCTAATTCTGATCCGGTTAGTCACGTGCGGGGAGCCAGCCTCCACCTTTCGCTGAGTCGCCGCTTTAGTTGTATTGAACGAATTGTACCAAGGCGACGTTACATCAATTCAGGATGTCTTCTATCAATATGATCATTGCCATCGTTAAGATTTAATCCGGCTCGACTAGCCTACTTTGACCGGTTGCCCCTCCAAACACATAATCAATGCGCAAACCGGAAATCCATCCGTTTATTGCCATCATCCTTGGTCACTGCGACATACTCGACCTTTTGTTCCTCGGTCATCGCATCCCAGCGTCGATCGCGCTCATGGTTGCGCAGCACATAGTAAGCCTTGGTAGCAAGATAGAGTATTATATTGACGCCCACGAGGATCAGAAGCACTCGATTTCCTATAACATAGCGTGGTGCATCTCCTACAGATTACCGACGGATCCAGAATCAGTCCAAGTACTCATATTCATGTCATAATCGGCGGGTACCTACCATCTTGGTATATGTTCGAGGCTATAATTGCAGACAATTGAACGGACATATTATATATCGCAGCCGCAATGGCCCGAGTTCTGACGCTGTTCGAATTGCGCGATATCCATCCCGCCTGAAGTGCATGAGCTGTGAACATGCATCACTATTAGCAACAAGTGACATAGTAGGTCAAGATCAGGAGTCGAGCCAATAACATAAATGGCACACTCACCACTTGGAAGACTAAGAAAGAGGGTGAGAACGGTCCACACAATCCACTTGTTCGTTTGATTGAGATCTACCACATTCATGTATATCATCATCGGCAAACTCCAGACCTGGGCTAAGATTCCCATCCATGAGAGGGACTCAAAGTATTCGCCTGAATAAGTAAGAATAATTCTTGTGATGATGCCAAAGACCTAAGGCATAGATTAGCATCCTGTACTTTTCGCATCTAAAACCAAACACCATCCGCTCTTAGACCCACACTGTATGGGATAGCCAAAAGAATGGAATTGAAAGTGTCGAACCCGAAATCTTTCATTTGCAGTGTGAAGTACTGCGAGACCGTTGCTAATCAATTTCGTCAGCCAAGAATCTCTTCTGGAACCAGAAAAATGAGTAGGGTAGGTCTACTGACTCCAAGGTGTCAGAAACATGATTCCGACAATGTAGAGCGGCCACAGATCGAAATCACTGAAGCTAAGCCATACAAGCTTCGCTGTCAAAGGCTGTCTGTTGTGCATTGAGCCTTTACTAGGATCTTCCCGCACTATACGGTTGACCATAATAACCTCCTCTCTGCGAAGGAGTCAAAATTCAGCCTCCAAGATCGCAATAATTCGAATGAAGGCCACATACCGTTCTGTGAACCAGCCCTTTTTACCGCGGGCCCAATTCGCGGTTTGAGTTGGCCCCGGAGGCAGAAAAATGAAGGACAAGAGTCCTAATGCGAGAGTGACAAGACCCTGTCATCTATGAGTAAGGGCCTGCTGAACCTCGGGAAATGGAAACCGACATCGATCAAGAACAGCCATCGCCAGCCAGCTTGGCCACCACGACCCCCTAAATGCAATATGCCGTATGCAAAGATGGCCGCCAATATATCCGCCAGCGAAGAAGCTGCATACCAGAATCCAAGACGTATGGAGAGCTCATGATGCTTATAGAAATACGATAAGTAAAGGATCATCTAGATAGAATATATCAGTAAAGTCTTTACCACATAGACATCATTGCAATTGTCTTACTGTGGGTGTAAACCCTCCGGATAAAATGCCAATCAAGGCCCGAGTGATCAAGAAAGACGTTCTTCCAGATAGCCAGAATTGGCAAGTAGCGACGATGGACCATGATATCATCTGGATTGGAATCCATTGATCCGCGCCTAGTTTCTTGCCGATGATTTGTGCCGGTATCTCACTCATCATATAACACAGCCTATAGATAGTATTTCCCAGGTTGTAATCTAAACTCGATGCAGCATTTAGTATAGCGACGTGGTGTCAGTAGGTTTTCACTGACCATCGCGGCTGAGTTTAAGGTCTGTCAGAAAATCATCCGCGTTGGCTTGCTCTAGTTCGAGACAAATAATCAATCAGTAATCAGCTATAAGAACCAAAAGAGCGTTAGCCCATACGGATATTGGATCTGTCGAGTTCCAGCGCCGTTATCATGACACAAGACCACAGGATTATGCGGATATCGAGCTTCTTAACCACACTCTGCTCCCAAATTAGTTTCGTGCACACCCCGAATCATAAAAGAGAGTCGCATAAATGGGCGCACATCTTCTTCAGCTCTTGTCCATCGCGCCGCTGGGTCAAACCGATGTATATTTTCCCAGTCTGATCGTGGTTTGTACTCCTCGGCAAGATCCGGATCGTCGAACACCGACGGCTGTGTCGCGATAGCATTTGGATTGTACTTCTTTGATTTTTGAAAAAAGAAGCGAGGAGGATCGATCACATCACCGAGTTGGTCGTCGGCTAGACTTGACGTCTCAGGTCTCTGAGTCACACATATCGTAGCTTTTTTCTCAACGTCTGATGCAAGCGTTGTGCTAGAGAAAACAGTCAAGCTCTGCTTGCTTGCAGCTGAGCGAGCAATAACAAGCGGCATTTCTTGTCTGGGTGCTTGAAAAAGCTTGAAGGCATGGATTGACCGGGGAGGCCTCAAATTTGTCGCGCCAGGTATGTCTGGCGGTTTAAGTAGCTTCCTCCTGCACAACAACGATTGCGGTCAAGCGATAGGTAAGGGGACTCTTGTTAAGCCACTCTCATGATTCCTTCTCATTCACGTCTAGATAGCAAACATCGATGTGACCTCGGAATCTAGATCCCAGCTTAGGTGCGGCTCTGCAGGCGTTTGAGATTTTTACGGCTGAGAGCATATATTCAGGACAGCTGCGAACCCCTTGATGCAGTCTTCCTTGTCACTCGGCGATCCTGGTAGTTCTCGCTACATGATAGCGATGTATCACTGCAGCATGACCACTAGGACCTATTCGCGCAAGCGATGGGGACGATCTATTTTCAAGGCAGAGTCGGTTTTACTTTTCTCGAATTCCTCCAAGATCGTGCCCCTTCGATGGTGTTGACTAGATAAAGTTTTATAAGCAAATCTCTGAATTCAATGCTGCTGGTAGGCCATACCAAAAATACGCATTGCCATGGAATGATCACGCAAGGAAGGAATATGCGCTATTTCGAAGTGATTAGCGATAGGACTGATGATAGGGACTCATAGAGCGGTGCTCAAGAAATGTGGCAGAAGCGCTGTCAGGCGCCTCCCCCATAATAGTCTTGGAACATGGGCCTAGACTCATGCAAGGGACGGATCGGGGCCTATCAATGATGTCGAAAATGTAGGTAGTTCGCGAGATTCATCTCCTATAGCTTGGAGTAGCAGTCTCGTGCAGAATGGTAAAATAACACGGATTTCGGTCTCGTCAATGGCACTTACCAGTATATCGTGATGGCACATGTAGTCGCTTGTACTGGAGCTAATGCGGAGAGCAACTGTACTCAGATCGAAGAGCTAGTAAATTCCTTTGCATATGAAGCAACTTCAGAAAAGCCTGCAGGCAGCTGCAGCATTGTTGCTGGTTTGAAAAAGTGGAATTCCGTCGATGCTCTAGACCCTCCAGGGGTCGCTGTTGATATGATCGACCAGTCATCTTCGTCGTAACAACAATCGCATACCCGTCGCTTCAGTATTCGATTACCCGTGATCACCTACTTTGGCTGAACTATAATAGCCCATTCCAGGCGAATCCGTGCTGCATGCCTCCAGCCACTTTTACTTGCCAACCTTCTCGCATTGTACCGCTGCCGACTGGAACACCCCCCTTCTTCCTAAGCAGCTTCATTATCCAGACCTCTGGAGCCTCGTGAGGTCGCGCCATTGATTCTTTTTCCATGACATTGGTCAGTAGCGACTTGGACCACATGCCTTGGCAATAGAACTAAAACACCGCTCTCAATTTGGACGATGCCCCAACCCTGCTTCTTTATGTTTCAGACCAGTTGGAAGAAGAATTATAACATCCAAATTGAGATAGGTTCAAACATGATATAATTGGACAGGAGATATGGATTTCGTCTTTTTCTCTGGCTGGGTACTGCACTACAATTAGGCGCTTGCTTTCGATTTGAACAACGCCTCCTTCGTATCATAAGTATACTTCAGATCGAGGTGCCAATAATCGGGCGCCGTGGGCTTCGCAATCAACCATGCCTTGTCCAGGGCTTCCACCACTTCCTCAGGCAAAGGTCCTTTCTGAATGTCTCTGAGATTGCTCTCTAGTTGCGCAATACTACTCACCCCTACGATGATGCCGTCACGACCACTCTCCTTGATATTCAGAGCAGAGTGATGGCGAAGCCAGCGGAATGCAATCTCCGGCAAGGTCAGAGCGTGCTTCTCTGCGACCGGCTCGATGACGCGCAGGGCATCGAATGTTGCGTCCTTAAAGTATCGCTTGCGATACAATGTTCCAGTGGACGACTTGTCGCTATATCTGCCTTCCTGGGGAATATCCTGCGTTTTGTATTTTCCGGAAAGGATTCCACCGGCAAGCGGATTATAGACCACAACGTCAATTCCATACCGCTTACAAGCATGGACCAATTCGGTTTCAATGGACCGAGCTACGACAGGCCAGGCCAGGTCAGTTTAATCGGTGCAAAATCTCTGAGAATAGATGATACGACTCACTGATAGCATTGTACATGGCCTGATAGATGGTGGGCCGCACCCAGCCCCTCTCATTGCAAACGGTAACTATCTCTGCAACCTCAAAAGCAGTGAAATTGCTCAAACCGAGCTCAACAAACTTCCCCTCCTTATGCAATTGGTTCACAGCCTCCAGTGTCTTTGTGAAGGGCACTGATCGGTCGGCAGCATGAAGGTAGAAAATATCAACGCAGTCGGTTCCCAAGTTCCTCAGGGAGAGCTCGAGCTGCTCCTGAATGACTTGTGGCTTATGATCGCCAGGTACACGAGGATACCACTTGGTTGCCAAAGTCAATCCACGCTCCTTCCACTTCGCTTGAGCGGTAAAAGCTTCTTGTTGTCCTCCGACATAAACGCGAGCGGTGTCAACCTCATTGAACCCCTGCTGTTGGAACAGATCTAGGGACTTGTTGAATTCGTCGAGAGAGGTGATACGAGCACCCGCAGACTCGTCCGGACCAAAGGTCATCAAGCCAAGGATGACTCTTGGTAAGGGGCTCTGTGCAACAAGAGGCATAGTGAACAAAAGGTCAAGTGTCTCGGGGTCTGAACAGATATGCGGGGTAGAGCTAGAAGGGAGTTAGCCCAGGCCATGATCCAATGCTCACTTCATTCCTGAATGCGGTACCTTGTATGATTTGGTGGAGTAACGATTCTAATCAAAGAATATGAGCGATTGAATCATCTCGACACAGGGCGGTCTATAAAGGGAAAACAATGGAAGCAGGTGGAGCGCAAGGCAGGTGTTGTGGAGATAAGAGCGGTATTTGTCACCATTCCCCGCCATACTTGACTGATGGCGCAACTCGACCCCGCTTGTCCGACGACATCGCCGAGCAATTGTGAATTCCCCTACAATCAGCAGCGAGCACCAGAATCCGCCCATGTGTATATTCCCTACGCCTGACTTGAGCATCAATGTATGTTCTGCTTATCAGTATGTGAAATACAATTAATGGTGGCTCATTTCCTTGGGTAGCTATCACCGCTGGCCAAAGTTCACTTACAATTCGGCTTTCGGCATCTTGGTGAACTCAGAGCTTGAATCACCCTACACTACTTGCACTCATCCTCTGGTGCTTTAATCTGTTACACTGCTTCAAGATGAGCCTTCCGAGCAAAAACACATGCTCGATACTGGTCATCAACCCCAATACTTCGTCGCATATGACCAATGCGTTGATCCCATTGCTGGATAACCTTGGACACGGAGGTACCCAATTCGACTACTTCACAGCTCCGGTGTCGGAAACCGTCACTCTTCCGGATGGTCGCGCTGTTGAGGGTGTGCCCAGCATTGACTCGGGTGAAGACTCGGTGAGATCAGCGCTCTACTGCATGCCCTTCCTGGAGCGCATCATATCCGAATACGACGGCTTTCTCGTAGCATGCTTCTCGGCCCATCCGCTGGTAGGTATGCTAAAGGACAAGGTCCGAAAGATTGAAGATTTGGACTCGGCCAGCGTGCCATCAGAACAGAAGGTGAAGAGGAAGTATGTCACGGGCATCTTCGAAGCTGGAGTGCTGGCTTCACTGGGCGTCGTCAGCTCCTTTCAGTATGCAGGAGGACAGGGCTACCACAAATTCCAGTCGCGGGAAACTTTTGGCATCATCTCCACCGGCAAAAGTTGGGAGAAGGAACTCAGTGATGCCGTTGCTGACATGCTTGGCCATTCAAGCGATGGTAACATCAGCCACTTCGCAGGAGTCGAGACCACTGGACTGACAGCTGTGGAACTACACACGACACCTCCTCAAGAAGTAAGGAAACGGCTTGTTGAAGCAACTGAGCGACTCCTCAAAAAATCGCAGCATCCTGTTGGCGCAATTTGCATGGGCTGCGCTGGTATGGTAGGCATGGAAGAAGCGGTCCGAGAAGGTTGTGTAAGAGCATATGGTCGGCAGAAGGGCTGTCAAGTAAGAATTATCGATGGCGTTGCTGCCGGGGCTGGAATGCTTGTCACGGCTTGCAAAGTAGGTTACTGAGCCCAATCTGCTCTGTACGTTTTGTGTACATACACGAATGTCGTCATATGAGTAAGTCGGGTGTACGAAGCATCCTTCAGTAGCCTGCAACTTATTAATGACAGCAGCGATCTAGCCAACGGCACACAGTATGCGCAGCAAGATGTCTACTTGGTAAGCTTCTGGCCGGTGTGCGGATTGTTACAGGGAAGAGCTGATTCCCTGTGTCAACTGTGTAGACTGAAGAAGTGGAACCTAATTATTGACGAGTGATATTGCTTTGCTAAGAATAACGAGAGATAAAAGAATTCAAGACAAAAACAAAGACCATCTGTAGGAAGCTACCTGCATTGAAATCCTGGCGATTTCATTTAGAGCTGCCCGTTAGCATGGTTGGCCTGAGGCTTCCACATCTAACCTAGATTGAGAGCTGGAACTTTCCCCGCGGAACGCGCGACGCGTGGGCCAAAAAACCACGACTACTTGCGGTGGTCAAGCAGAAAGATGCCCAGGTATGTGCCACAACTATATTAAATTTGTGCTTGATTGGAGTCCTTCGTCTGATAGCTAATATCACTAACCTTGAGATTAGAGAAATAATCACAATCCAAGCCGGCCAGTGCGGCAACAACGGTACCTAGCCCCCCTCCAGCAGTATTTCTTATCGCAACCATAGCTTTCATCATTGTAGCTGCTGTGCGAATGCTGCTGCTGACCGACGTGATAATTAGTTGGCTCGCAATTTTGGCAGCAGCTCTGCGTCGAACATGGAATAAGCCAAGATGGCAACTTAGAAGAATTCGCAACTGAAGGTGGCGACCGCAAGGATGTCTTCTTCTATCAGGTACACCAACGCACCTACACTTCGCTCCACAATAGACACAATTGACATCTGACTATACAGAGTGATGACACCCGGTATATCCCTCGAGCGATCCTGCTGGATCTTGAGCCCAGAGTACGAGCCCCCTTCCTGAGCGAGCAGCATTGGGACCGACGAGCCTAAACTACGGCGCAGAGATTGAGCTAAAAGTTCTCAAACAGGTCCTCAATACTATCCAATCCGGTCCATATCGGAACATTTACAACCCCGAGAATTTCTTTATCGGTCAACAGGGAATCGGTGCAGGGAACAACTGGGGTGCTGGATACTCTGCAGGTGAGGTTGTTCAGGAAGAGATCTTTGATATGATCGATCGAGAGGCAGATGGAAGTGATTCGCTGGAGGTACAATTCATCGCGTCCGAGCCCAAGACACACAGGAAACGAGTTTCCAGTACAACACTTGAATTCTCGGGGCTGACATCTGTTCTATGACAGGGATTCATGTTTTTGCATTCGATCGCAGGAGGAACTGGTTCCGGCCTGGGCAGCTTCATCCTTGAGCGCATGAACGATCGATTCCCCAAGAAACTGATGCAAACTTACTCTGTCTTTCCCGATACCCACTCCGTGGACGTAGTCGTCAACCCATACAACAGCCTGCTTACGATGCGCCGGCTGACTCAGAATGCCGACTCCGTTGTAAGGCTTCACAGATTTTACTGGGCTTTTATGAGTTCAAGCTAAAACACGCTTAGGTGGTATTGGACAATGGTGCCCTTTCAAGAATTGTTGCGGATAGGCTTCATGTACAAGAGCCATCGTTCCAACAAACAAACCAGCTAGTAAGTTCTCCCATGCGCTGCACCGCGAAGCAAAGCATGGGAGAAGGACCACTAACATCGGCCCTGCTAGGTTTCTACCGTTATGTCCGCTTCCACTACCACTCTCCGCTATCCGGGCTACATGCACAACGACCTGGTAGGAATCATCGCTTCCTTGATTCCTACGCCCCGCAGCCACTTCCTCATCACCTCCTATACCCCCTTCACAGGCGACAACATCGAGCAGGCCAAGACCATTCGAAAGACGACCGTCTTGGACGTTATGCGCCGACTCCTGCAGCCCAAGAACCGCATGGTTTCCATTAATCCAAGCAAATCCAGCTGCTACATCAGCATCCTCAACATCATCCGGGGCGAAGCAGACCCGACCGACGTACACAAGTCGTTGCTTCGCATTCGCGAGCGACGACTAGCGTCGTTCATTCCGTGGGGTCCTGCCAGCATCCAGGTGGCTCTGACAAAGAAATCGCCGTACATTCAGGACACGCACCGCGTCAGCGGTCTGATGCTGGCGAACCACACCTCGGTCGCCACATTGTTCAAGCGCATTGTTCAGCAGTACGATCGTCTGCGGAAGCGAAACGCCTTCTTGGAGCAGTACAAGAAGCAGAGTCCCTTCTCGGATGGGTTGGGAGAATTTGATGAGGCCAGGGCTGTGGTGATGGATCTGGTCGGAGAGTATGAAGCGGCGGAGAGGGAAGATTACCTGGACCCGGATGCTGGAAAAGAAAAAGAGCTCGGAATCTGATATCTGCACGACCTTCATCCTTTTCTCCCCTTCGTTCGCCCTCCTTGCTTCTTTTTATTTGTCTTCGTTCCACTATTACCAATTTGTTTATTTTCTTTTATGACTACCAAGGGTTGACCCGGTGTATTTCGAGCGGCGAAGGCGTTTTTCAAATTGATTGTTGCTTCATCTTGTGAAAAGAACCGCCAGTTAGACCTGCTACACTAATTGAGGCAATTGGGACCAGTGACTCGAGTATGCTTGGTCGGTCATGGCAGCCAGTTGACGGACGTCGGTAACAATTACACAGCGGGATACCGGGGGCGTTGTAAGCGATCAGGCCCGTGGTTCGATGTGAAGCCCTCAAGAAGCCAGCGACAGGCAGCTTGCATCCGTCCATGCACTTATGCAAGCTGGTCCGGTAAGAATTCCCCGCCCAATCTACCACGACGAGAGTCCATCCACGCGCAGGCCTGCCCGCTCTTTTAGGTAGTAGAACCTTGAAGTGCTGGTGGCCGGCTTGTCTAGCAAGTCGCTCCTGAGTGACCGACGATACGACAAACCTAGTCTACCACTTGGCGTGCTATTGCCCATCTCCGCTCAAGTCATCTCGGTGTATAGCCATGATCAAAAGAACCCCCGAACCGGACCATTTATAAATCGTAAGATCGGAAAGCGAGCATCATGGACCTTGTGAAGTGTTCTGACAGACCGTGCATTGCCGTGTACCCAGAGGGCTGAAACTCAGCACATCCTACATTTGACGTTGGTCGGAGAGTACTGGTTGTCTGGCGGCCATATATGACACAAGAGACGTAGTGATGTTTCTGCCCAAGCGAGGGGGAAAATTCAGGGCCAGGTGGTTGAGGAAAGCATGGGTAAATCTTTCAGTGCAGGTGGTTTGGACCACGCCAATACACCTTAATCATCCTTTCCTCCGCTCTGGCAAGCGGGAGTAAGTCGCATGAAGATACTACTAGTACTATCATGCACACGCCCCGTTGGAGTGTCTGACAGTACGCAACCAATCGCGGAGAAAAGACCCAATGCACCAGCGATCCTTGGGTATCGGCCAGCCCAAGTCGGGTTCGCTTGGAGGGGGGAACGTAGCACCTGATTGTAAGAGACGGGGGAGCAGAGGGGGAAGGAGGTGAGAGTTCCAAGAAATAAAAGGAAAAAGGATTGGTACTTTGCTGTGTACTATCCTCTTAAGTTGGGGTACATGAAACCACCGACCTATTTGTGGGTATGTCGCTGCGTGGCCGTTGAGTCTCATGGGTGCTAGGCAGTGAGTAAGGTAACACTACCCAAGGAGCTGCAACAGGAAGGGTGCATGCATTGGAGCAGCTTCTTGCTTTGCCTTTGCTTTGCCTTTGCCTTGCCTTTGCCTTTGCCTTGCTCATTTCCTACCAATCCGAAAGAGAAATCGATAAGGGTTCTATTCTTTCGTGTGTCGTCAGAGCCACCATCACGATCCTGATATGTGCACCTTCACACATACCAGTGCAGTGCGGATGTGCCTGGCTCTTTGGTCAGAGGTCATGATCGCGACCGACGGTATCGATCGAGCTACGGGTGATGCCTGCAAGGCATGTTGATTGGTTCACGTGACTTGGATTGACTGATCGGCCATTCGAACTAATCCCAAGCGAGGTTTGTAGATCAACGCAAAATCTCAATGCTCGAGGGTTTGGAAAAAGGAAAGGAGATGTTGTGGTGCTACCTCGGAAGTAGCTTCAACTCTGGCGTGCACAGACATCGGCCACAAGCCCGGGGAAAGAGCCAATCCCCCCTGTCTTGAAGCCTCAACCCCTGGCCATGATTTATGGGCTCATAATCGGTTGTGATTTGACAAAAAGGACGAAGCGAAGGTGCCTGGCTGTTGTTACCAGGATTATATGCAGCCGTTGGGACCGGCTGCTTTTTCAAACTGGGCAAAGTACGCCGTATGTACAACTTAAAACGGGGCGAGGACGCTAATTAATCATTACGATAAACCCGACATTGCTATAACTAGGTCCATTGTTGACAGACAGCCGATTGTGCCATGAATGGTGACATGATGCCATGACCCTGCCACGCTTGCAAGGAGACTGCGTATAGTTCTAAGAGTTGTGGACAGGTAATTGAGGAACTTGACATGATGTGCACAAAATTGACTTCGATGGTGTATTTATAATGATCAAGGTACAATTTACTCACTATACAGCATGGAGTACATTCACTCTTCCTCCTCTGCATTTCGAGGGAGAATGAACACGTATCAGCGGGTGGTGCCAGTGTCGTGTATGGCACCCTTTTTCCTTTCTGTTGTCTATCCATCTTGAGTTAGACTTTTCTTCCTTTCCCTAATTCTTCGTCACCTGTTTTATTTGCCGCCCGGGATGAAGATAAGAAAAAAAGAAAAAAGAAAAAAAGCAGATGGTACCGAAGAAAAGCCTCGTGCGCATCCGGCAAAGGCAAAGACGGTTGGGAACATTTGCCTCGCCCCGAAGCAGTAGTAATCTGGCATGGAGACGGAGAGAAAGAGAGAGAGGCCGAAGGCCCGGAATCCCAAAGAATCGCAGAAGCTTCCGGCTCCACATCTTGATTTGCCTCCACCGGGGCCCGTAGCCTCGTAGTGCCTTCAAGTTCCATGGAGTTGGAGGAAATAGGGACAAAAGGGAAGAGAGATTCAGTAGTATTCAATACTTCACTATCTAGGCTAATCGGCGGATCCGCCAGAAATTAAGCAAAGGGCGACGAATACCCGGGCACGATCGCTAGTTATTTATTTAGTGATGTCCTCTTCAATCAATCACTAAAAGAAAATAAAAACTAACTATCTTCGTACTAAGGAGGAGGCACTAAGGCGGGAGGTACTCGCTGTAAGTTAGTGACTGTACACCGTACACTCCTCCTCTTCTTTCTCAGGCTGGATCAGCGCATCGCACGTCCATTAAGTAGTCAGTTTTTACCTAGTTAGTTAGTTATTATTATCGAGTGACTCAGCAGGTCATTCATACCTGCCGATTCACCCCCTCTGACCCCCCTCAAGAACCCAATTTCGCAACCACGCCCACCCCCTCCCCATTTATAAATTGACTTTGCGCTGCAGTTTCGCCGCTGCCACCGACTGATTCCGAGTCATTTATAAACTCCTCTTTCGCTGCCTCTTTATCCTTCTCCTTCACACCACCTTACCCTTCCTCTGTTTCGACCTGTTTCAACCTGCACCACCCTTTTACCCTCTCACTTCTTCCTCCTCCTCCTCCTCCTCCTCCTCCTCCTCCTTCCTCTCCTCCTCTTGCTGTTCCCGTCCCTTACTCCGGTCTCGCTCACGGTCCAGACACATCTGCCTGCTCCAGTCATCATATATAGACCGCCTCTCTTATCTACTGATCCTTATCTGTCACGCCTTGGGACAACAGCTTTCCACCACCGACAAACTACTTCCACATCACCTTCATCCTCAACGAAGGTAGTATCTTTCCCACCTCTTGAGGCCTCCTCTACTGGGTTCGATTTTGCCAGCAACCGCATCGCATCCTCCGGTCAATACCAGCGCTCCCTCACCAGCATCAACTCAAACGCCGCATACGCAAGCGCTTATCGGCTCTTCCTACTCCGGTAACTCCTCTTGACTCCGCCCCGTTCTTGCCACCCTTTCCATCATGGCGCCCCGCAAGCCTCGCTGCAATTTCAAGGAGTGCAAGGAAGCCGCCCAGCGCATCGTCGGCGACTGCAGCTTCTGTAATGGTCACTATTGCTCGAAGCACCGCATGCTGGAGGCTCACTCCTGTACCGGCCTAGAGGACTGCAAGAAGGAGTCGCATGCCCGCAATGCCGACAAGCTAAACAGCGAGCGTACCCACGTCATCAAGGGCGTATGAGGGATTGCCTGGCGCACAATTACCTCATCTAATCACATTCCTCTTCGTTCCGCTGCATCGTCATATTCCGATTAGCACGGTGTTTGTCGCTTCAGCCACACTATCGCAAGGCGGAGTTTTTCTTCTCTTTTACGTCACATTGGTTAGGGCTTTGCAGTTACTGCGCGGACAGTATCGCACCCTGACAGTTTATAAGCAAGGCCTTTGGGAGTTTGTCTATATTTGTGCTTTTATCTGTCATACTGTACGCTTGGCGTTAGACACTTCTGGAGTTGTGAATGATTATTTTTGACCTGTTATTTATCGCAGAAGGCGGCAAGTACCCCCTTCAATAGGATATCAGAAAGGTGGTCGAGAGTCGATGTTGGACATTCTATCCTGGTTTTGGTCTGCCCCTTTGAGTAGAGACAATATTCCTCAGCTGTATATTTTCTATTCTTCTTTGTTGGGATTGTACAGCCTAGCACTATAGGCAATTGTCAATAGTGGCATGGAAGGAGTATTCACTGCATTACGTAGAGTAATTCGCTCGAGGACACAAGTGATCGGCACTGGAGCATGAACGTGGGAGGTCTGGTCTTGTGCCAGCTCAGTCACGGGTAGCTCAGTCAGGTACCTAAGTCGCCTTTTCCAGCCAGTGAGCGTGCACAACGTAGCACTGATCATATCATGGCGAGCTCGGTGTTCCGTCAAGAGCTACAGTCCACTAAAGTGTTGGGATCCGGTTGTACCTTGAGATCTAGCTCAAGGTAAAGAAAGAATCAAGCAATTTGAACTTCTTTTGCTAAATCATGTGGCTGCATCATAAAGAACGAAGTGATATAGACCTTATCAACAGCAAGTGAGACCAGTTAACCGGGTCCGATTTTGGGCCTGAAAAATGACTATGTTAGTGGCGAGCGAAGGCAAGAGAGCCACCTCAACAATGGAAAGAGTTATCAAAACGTACATATCATGGTGTTCACTCAGTCGGCTGAGGTACTTGTTAAGCTCTTCCACGCGCTCTTTATGAGTTTTGACCCCTTCCCGCTTAAGGCGTTCTTGCAGCTGCGAAGTGAAAATCAGTTGGAGCCCAGCGTAGTCAACGGTTGCCTTGTTGCACCAGCAATGTGGGAAGTATACTAAAGCAATCTCTTGGATTTGAAATAGTGATCAATGGGAGCGGGAGAGAAGGAAAGAAACAAACATAAATTGTGGATGATGAGAAATGAGTATGATATTGGAGGCCAACGGGGGTCAATCGACCCAGAAAGCTTTGAGGTCAAAAACCTGGAACTTACTCTTCTTTTCTTCATCTCCTCATGCCTTCTCTCCGCCTCGGTCTTGCCGGCGGAGCCGATGTCCAGTGATGATGACGATTCTTCTCCACGACCAGCCTCATCGGGAGCACGAGACGAGTCTCTTGTCGTGGTCGTTTCATCTGGTTGTTGCTGCTCTTGCTCTTGTACTTGCGGCTGCTGCTGGTCTGCATCCCTACCTGGAGAAGCCTTTTTGTTTTCCTTTTGTTTCTTCTTTTTCTTCTTCTCTACTCGGCCATCGGCCACCTTGGAGCCTTTCAGCTTGAGTTTACCGCCTCCGCCGAGAGTGGAATACTCGTCTGCCGGCATCGGGATTGCTATGCACGGTGTGAGTGGGACTATAGCACTATAACAGGATTGTGTTCTTCTGATAGAAGACAAAACGGGGGTCTTGGAATTACCGTCAATGTGGTCGGGATGCGATCAAAATACGGGATAGATAAATCAGTTGGATAAGTAGATGGTTGTACGGTGGTGATTTTCCTTGCCGCGTTAGATTCAAGTCAGGTGATCATGCCCATTAACAGGTTTGGTTTGTTCTATCCAGTCACTATGGTCAGGAACCTTCATGCGTCCAAAATCCATATCATACTCACGGCTGTTTGTGCTATGGCCCGTCGTTCAATGTTCGTCTCGACTATGTACATGGAAATGGCCCGATTATAGTTCGCAATGTGTGCAGGCTGATAAATGGAAACAAAATCGGCCAAATTCCACCAGTGGTATTCATCATTGTTCCAAAACTATGTTCTATGCTATTTGTAGTACCTTTTGGTTACTTCATACTATTAATCTTGTGATGCTGCCTCCTTGTTGTTCCTCCTGCGGCCGTTGTTCGCCCTCAATCGTAAATCATAAATTCTAATCAAAAGGGATCGGGCGTAAGCCCGAACCTCCCCCTCTTTTCCGCATCTCGGCTCCCGCAGCAACCGTGCTGGGGACCTTGATACCGCAGCAATCGCCAAACCAGTCAAGGTGGTTTTGATGATCATGACCGTGTCCATGGTCATGTTCGTGCTCCTCGCTCTCCATGTCATCCGTAACCTCCGTCATTCCAGGCGCGGCAGGCAGCAAGCTGCCGAAAAGGAAATGCTGCATAATGGGAAGCTTGCCCAGAACTTCCTTGACAAACATCTTCTTCATTCCGCCTTCGATCTTGCTCCAATTTTTCGCCCCCGAGATATCGTCCAGCATGGGACTATGCCAGCGTAGTCCTTTCACAGTCTTCACGCTATCCACCCACCGCACCTGGTCCAAGTAGACATAATTGTCACTTTCTTCCTCGAGTACCGCCATGTTGTGGATTGACAGCGGGGTGATGTAGGGATGGGCAACGAGCTGCGAGGCGCCGAAAAGGAATGGAAGGAAATGGTAGTCATCGAGGCCCCAGACACCGTGAGAGCCAGCAGGTTCAAGATAGTATGTGGTTTGGATGTCGCGCATTAATAGCATGTAGCTCACATATACGTGGAAGACAATGGCTGGGAAGTCGGCATTCGAAAACATGTGCACTTGACGGAGGCATAGGAGCCACATCATGAAGTTCAACTCGTGACCTGATCCGTAGTCAAGTCGATCCCGCGACCCTAGAGAGTGTATAAGGTACGTAGACGCCTCCTCTATGAGTGCCGAATCTTCGAATCCGAATGTGTCTCGATGCCATGCCTCGCTCTGCCTCGCGACATCGTCGAATAGATCCCGAAAAGCGGGGTTACCGAACCGCGAGCCGCCCTGATCAAGGGAAGGGTGCTTTTCGAGGAGTGATCGTATTTGGACGACAACGGATTGTACTTTATTCAACGCGGGGGATGGCTTGCCGACATCAGTCGTTGCTCGTCCTCGTACAGAATCGGTGAGCCCGAAGATGAAGCCGAGGATCAAACTATATGTTGGAGAGGAAAGGAAGAGTTCGTGATCCGCTCGTGATAGAATTCGACGGACCGGCCGGAAATATTTGTGAGATGTGAGGTCCGGAGGATTAGGTAGAGGCGGGGTGACTGGTGCGGGCTCTTTGGAGGGTGCTGTACTTGATCTGCTCTTGCTTGCTCGAAGTTCGGAAAGCTTCTTGGACAAATCGATCTTGGGCTTAGACGCCGAGCTTGACGTGGAGATCTCTGAGGCCATAATGAGAAGGTAAGCAAGCGAGACCAAGCAGAGCTGGGTTTGGGATGATCCTGGCAAATGGTGCACTTCCCAGGGTGATAATAATCATCTGCCACCGCCCACCTACCGACGGAGGTGCGGAGTGAAAGCTGGATAATGTGGCAGAATATTACCGCCTCTTCTGATCGTTTGACAGAAGCTGACCGATGACGCTTAACCCAAAGGAAGCTTAGGCTGTGGATGAGGATCACCATGTGATCGACAAAAAGGCCAGTCGGTCCCCTATAAGCGCCAGCTATGCCACTTCAGGCTTGGGGCGCGTAATAGTACCTGCTGGAGAGCGCCGACCGAAATCGTACTTCCCCCGACAACGGGCAATGAAATGCTGGGTGAGGGGGTGAAGATGAGTTTTGCTCGATTTATTTGCTAGAGAAACAACATCTCCAAATACAAATTTCTCGTGTTTAAAACCTCACGTCGCGGTTCATTACCCGCATCACTTGTTGCAAACCCTAGGAAACTGGAGTACCTTCTGGCGTTACTACTTATCCAATCTTGGACGCCTGCTTAATTACAGCCTGCCCTAGTTTATATGAGCCCTGCGCCTTTGCGAGCACGCCATCATGGAACCCTCCGATTTGACCACACAAAGCACCAAGAATCCTGGTGCTTCTTCTCCCACAGAGCATCTTTCATCCCCGCATGCGTCTCAAAAAGAGCCACACCGCATGTCTCCTCCCAGTGCAGAGCAAGGGCCGCCCGAGAGATCTTGCAGTGGGCAAGTCCAACCAATCAATGAATGCACGCCCATTGTTTCAAATACCGATTCATCTCGCCGAAATTATCAGTCCACGGAAGGACTCAGGACTCGTGAATCCGAGTCCGTGAATAGTCAGGCCGGAATTTCCGAACGGCAATGTGCTAGAGACACTGATCAACAGCCGTCTCAGTCAGACGCGGAGGAGCCGCAGGCCTCATGGTATCGTCGTATGGCCGATAGGTACGGCAGTTTAGAGCTGGAAAATAAGGGAAGTGTTGCCCGAGATCATCTCGCCCTAGGTGCGTGTTTTCTTTGCCTTCTTCATCTTTCGGCTTCCGTCTTGTTTCAACTTTGTATACTTGCGACGTTCGCAGTCTGACGTGGTGGTAGAACGTACATTTCTGGCCTGGCTAAGAACTTCTTTGGCTTTCGCATCCATTGGAATTGCGGTGACCCAGCTGTTTCGTTTGAATAACACCGGGAATGTGACCGGCGTTGATTCTGCGTCGCAAAATTCTAATATTGATCCCGCTAGTATCGCTATAGCTTCCGCCTCTCAGCGGCTCCGCAGCATAGGCAAACCGCTAGGAACCACTTTTATCGGTGTCGCCATCCTCATTCTCTTGGTTGGCTTCCACCGCTACTTTGAAAGCCAGTACTGGATCATCAGGGGCAAGTTCCCGGCGAGCCGTGGCAGCGTTGGGTTGATTGCAATCGTCGCTGCCGCATTGATAATAGCTACTCTAGTAGTCATCCTTGCTATCTCTCCGGGCGCCGTGGAAGCCTAGCGAGAGAACGTTCTTCAGTTTCGTCATTTGAGCGTTGAGCGTGTTTCTTCTCTTCTCGTCACCTTCGATCATGTCATTTCAGCAGATGATACGGAAGTGCAAACTGGGCATATCATGCTCAACTGTTGTATATCCCTTCTGTACAAGGATCCTCGGAAACAGACAATGCGTATCATCTAGCCCTATGCTTGCTGTTCGCACTAGGTTCGAGATGTGGCTTCGGGCACTTACTTGCAGCTAGTTTTCACTAATCAAGCGCGAGCAAGCAATTCGTGATGTACATACGTAACGTCCGACAGGGGCTTGGCAGCTCTTCTAACTCCGATAAGGTACCTGGCAGAAGCAAAGTCGGCCCTATCCCCTCTGGATATGACCGATCTTTGCACGGCCCGCACAATCGGAGGGTTTGATTTGAAACTTGACCATATCGTATGTAACACCACTGCTTGGTGAAACAATAAGAGCCGCGGTTGCCAATGTAAGAGAGTAGTTTCGCATCTTAGCCGCTGTGGAACCGGTATTTCCCGACATGCCGATGGATAATTCGGCCTTATATACGGAGTAGATCTACGTCTACTCCGAGCGCTACATCTGGTCTTGCCGGAAGGAGGCGAGCGGCGGGCAAGACATCCTCAACCCGCGCAAAAGACTATAGTTATCCATAGGTAGTAAAGTTACAGTGAAGAGCTTAGTTATCTTGAGCTGTTGACTAATACAATGGTCTGCTAGATACTATATTCGACCAAGGGTTTTAGCTTTTCTTTCTTGGGGGCAAGTGTATCAGCAGAACTCCCCGTATCAGAACATCTTTAACGTATGACATGATTTTCAGGCATGCTGATATTTATAGACCTATGGTTTAGCTCTGTTACTTGTGATATGACCAGAACACTGGGATTGGTCTATGACAGCCTGACATAGCATAAGAGAAAAGATAGTTTCCGTGCACACTTGAATATCGCAAGTGACAATGGCATATCATGTGCAAAGCCTGGCCCTCTGTTCACCTTTCGTTTGGAAAAAGTTGGGTTACGGTCTCTCACAGGGGTGAATATATTTGGTAGACAGGTGGACCGATCGATGTCCAGTGTAGCTGAATCTGTGGAATGGAAATGAATTTCTGGAAGACTAGAACAAAGTCGATCGTCAGTTAACCATGGATCGACCGGTGCCGATTGTCCCAAATGTCCAAAAAGAGCCTTAAGGCCTCGGCACAAAGAACCTCAGAAAGAACTAAAACGAAAAAAGGTTACACTCCGCATTCGCTGTGGGCCGCGCTGAAAAAGACAGGTGGAGTAGATACAGAAGTCAAGAGATACACAGGAGATCAATTGACGTCGGCGGTTGTGAGACAAAGAAGTTTACCAACTAGCCCTTGCGTTCCAGCAGAAGTTAATCGCTTCCAATGTCTCTCACCCCTTCTTTGTGCCTGGCACAACGGAGAGCAGTCTCGGCAAGGCGCCCAGAGGAATTTGGCAAATGAGCTCTCGATCCCGATCGTATTGTCTCAGAGCTCAAAAAACGAGGGGAATTTATGAATCGAATCTGTCCATCTTGTGGATACACGCTGCTGACTTTGGTGGTCGATGGTTTATTCATGTTACTGACAAGGCACGCAATATGGAGTAATGCACACGCTTCAACCCGTCCTTATGCTTTACCACTAGCCAAGCCACCCTTCCTAGGTGAGTATTTGATGGCTTATTCCGGGTCGATTCCATGGAATACGCGGTCATCAATTGACGAGGGTCTTTGATCGCCCAATACAGCACTGGGCTTCTTCACGGGTTGTGGCTGATGTACTGAAGCTAGTATGAGAGTACGACTGGAAATACACTCCCTCCTCCTCCTGCGGATAGGGCCGTCTGCACAACGACGAATTGGGACTATCAGTGTCTCCCTTGCCTTTGGGCCAATGGATAAGACAAGCCCACTCCTGCAAATCCCCCTAAAGGTGCGATAAGAGGGGCAACTGCCTTGGGAAATCTGACAGACATGGCCAGCTGTCTATGATCACAACACCAGACAAAGTCTAGATTGCGAAGATTGACCTTTCACGATTCAGTCGATGTTGTTAAGAAGAATCATTGGTGATCGCTTGAGGCCATACGGAAACTCACGGTCCACTTAGAAAAGAGAACCCGTCTCAGCTCAGAAAACTATAACATTACTCATAAGTATACGGCGTCAGCCACAACATGGATCTATCGCTCAAGCAGAATTTCGAGCTGAAGATCGTGAACTAGATGACCGAGACTTTGACGCTCTTTTGTCTACTCCCGGGGTACAAGTGTTTAGTAGTTATGCACGGAACATCTTCCTAAGCGACGGGCGGCAACGTTGGCAAGAAACATGGTATGATCGGCCGAAATGGCTAAAAGCAAGTCATAATGGTATAATCCTGTCTAGCATAGGGCGCCAAAGCATGGCATCAATCCTGGGCCACTTACTCCGTACTTACGGTTACTCCGGAGTAGAAACCTTGATATTTCCTGCCCAGTCCCAGAAGAGGGATAGCAAGTTTAGTAGCCAATGATAAGCATGACGTGTGCCTCCATGCCTGGCGAGACATAGTGCGCAGCAGGTGATAGTTTGGTAAGAATTGCGATAAGACCACAGGGATGGAGGAAGCTTATTGGTAGTGACCAAGGGTTCACTTTACTTAGGACAATGTACAGTACTAAAGCGACAGTGCTCAGCAACGATTGCGCAAGCCTAGTTTGTTCAACAGTAAGGTAAATAGGTTGACGCCGCGAGGGCAGAAGCCTGCGGGTTAATGAGACGGCATTGAGAGGACAACAAGTGCAGCAGATCCCTTTGAAGATGGGGGAACGACGCTGATAGTGTCAAGGATCTATTCTTGGTTGTCCTTCTTGAGGGTTTCCCATATATCCAGGCGGGTGTTTCATACCTCCGACTCCTTCTTCCCCTGGTCAGAGGTCAAGACGTGTCAACGTTTTAGCAGGGATCACCTGTTGACAATAATCTGCATTGGCGGGCAAGCCTGGAGGATGGGGGAGACACACACACACACACACACACACACAGAGTGTGGCGTACAGTCACACACCCTCACAAGGAGAAAAGTCTCCAGAACGCTAATTAAACCAGTGCCGGATACGGTTAGAGCTGAGCGTCTAGTGGTGGCGTTCGGCCTTCCTCCACCGAGACAAGCGAGATTTCAGTCCCCTGTCTACCACTGCTGATTGGAAGTCCGGCTCAGGTACGGGCGGGTTAGTGAATCCGCTGATGCCTGGAGGGAACTCGTCGCCCGGAACAATATTATTAGGGATTGATCAACAAACAGCGTCAGCAATATTCGAAGAAAAATGAATTGCATTGAAACAATAGCCATATATTACTCCTCCAATTGACCATTCACTTGCAGGAAGATCAAATAGAACTGTTTCGCAGTTATGAGCATGGTCATCTCGTACCACAGTACTCTTATTACTGCCTCCACAATTCATAGTATATTAATCATGCTCATGCCAGAACCCTGATTATCAGTTGTGTTGGGTGTTGTGGGGACTGGTGTCTTGCCTTCCTAAGTTTCCTTGTGGTGTTCGCCAGCTAACTGCACACCAATAGGATGAGACTTTTGTCTCAACCAAGGATGGCTCATCGTACTCGGATGGCGACAAAATGGTCGTGACGTCGTTCATCTGGTTCGATACGGGTGACTTTTAGTGATTTATAGTCTTATACGGTACTCGGGTCTTCCGGCCGGCTCGACCTGGTGAGGATCTAGAATGGACCTTTCAAGAGGGAAACCGTAGACATGCCCAAGAGAGGAGGAGAATAAGGGAGCCTGCAGGCTAGTAACGTAGTGTATTGGACCGAGGATGGTGGATCTTGGTAAATTTATCTACAAGCTAGATGGAGAACGCATCCATCCGCCAACTCCGCAGTGGGAGAGGCGTGCAATTTCCCCATATCATCGCTGGCTGGAATTAGTGATTTTAAGACAGCAACTTAATTTAGTAGTCCTCACTAGTAAGGTACAGGCACTGACCGGTGTCAGTCTTTTGCACCAAGGCTAGGTAATAATGAGTAAAGAGCGATTAGGTACCCTTCAAACTTCATACGAGGTCCGTTCTTTACCGGGCGTGCTGATGGGGTTCGTTCCATCAGTTCGCCATGACTGCCAGGAAGGCGGGCGATCGGATGGCCCTGAGGTAAGTAACTTAGTGCTCCGTAGTGGTAAATGGTAATACCACCTGTACCAGTCGGTACGGGTGCGGCCCCTCCGGGTGACCACTAGCCAATCAACCCCTGCCGCCCGCCTCCATACGTCGTCGTCCGTCTCCTCCCTCCGTCTCTCTGAGAGAGTCTCTCTCCACCACCAAGCCTTTTGCTGCACTTCAGCCTTTCCTCTCCTTCCTCCAACTTCATTTTCCCTCTTTCTTCTTAGGTTGATCCTCTTCTTTACCTCTTCCTCTTCCTCCTACACACACACGCTCTCTCTTTCTCTCTCCATTCTTCTCCTCCTAACCACCTCCTCCTTCGCTTTCTATCCTCGCCCGCTACAACCTCTTTCTATCCATCTTCACTAATCTCCCTTCGTTTGTCTCTTCATCTGCCGACTCTTCCGCTTATCCTCGTTCGTGGCCCGCTCCCGTGGCCGTCCGCTCCTTACCATCGTTACAATCTCTCTCGCCGCCTGTACGCTTTCCAGATTCGTGTCATACCCGACCCCTTCGGTGCGGATTTCTTCCTGAGGAGAATCTGCTTGGTTTTGGTTTGACTCGAGTTAGTCCGGGGGAGCCCTGCCGCCATTCGATTCTTTTCTCTGTCTTCGACTCTTAGTCTTCGCCTGTTCTCTCATTGCGAAGTCGTCTTATACTAGCAGCTCATTCTCCGATATTAAATTATTGGATGTGTGGTTCACTAGGGGTTTCAATGGTCTCGATGCGCAGATAAAGACCTCCAGACAAAGTCACATCGGTCTGGAGGTCCCGTACTTTTGGGCTATATCAACCGTGCTCATTCGCAATTTACGGGGTCGACCAAGTATCTCTAGCAACGTCCAATCACTGCACAGTGTCACTAATCGACCATGGCTTCGATTTCTCTTCCTCCGCAACATCCCATCACTCCGGCATTCGCAGATTATCTTCGACCGCTCGATCGCTCACCTGGCGGTCCCAGCCGCCGCAACCTGACCATGTCCGCTCCGCTTCCAAACCCACCTTTTGTATTCCCTGCACGGGGTCCTGACGACACGACGCCTGAGGCTTCAGCGACTACACGCGGAACACCTCCGCCGCTTCCGGCCTTTTCGTTCAATCCAGGGTCCAACCACTCTGCACAGCCTTCGATGCCAAATATTCCTATAAATAGGCCGGGTGGTCATCGGCGACGGTGCAGCGAATTCGTTGGCGGAGATCGCTTAGCCATTCCTGCGACCGTAGAGGCTATTCAAGGCAACGATGAAAGTTCGGGCTCATTTTCTGCGAAACTTCCTGCTCCAGGACCCGGTTTCGGCGCGGGCAGTCAAGCAAAGCGGCGTCATGCCCATCGACGCTCAGCTGCGGTTTCGAGTGTGGATCTTACGGCAATCTCGAATGCACTAGACCTGAAGCCTAGTATCGAAAGTGCCCCATGTATGCCAGCAGATCTGGCACAAGAACGAAACTCTTCAGATGAACCTGCACGACCCGTATCACAATCAGCTGCCTTCATTTATCGGCAGTCACCGCCAGTGTCTCCTCGAATCGTTGTTGACACTGAGCCCGCGACTCCCGCCGAGCCACATAATGACACCACTATCGTACCACCTGGCTACTCTTCCCCTGAACAGTCGCCTAAATTTCTTGCGCCCGCAAGCTTATCGAATCCAGTCTTTTCCACTCGAGATAGTGAAACCGTCGAGATGAGTTCAGCAGCTGAGCTCAAGCTTTTCTTAAAGGAAAAGCCCAAGACTAGGCCCAGGACTGCCGACGCCTCTTTGATGCTCGATCAGAATTTGGTCTCAGGTATGGAGGATGTCTCATCTTTGAAGCGACCGCTTTCTGCTGCGGGACATTCACGGAACCGTAAAAGTTTCTCCTCAGGCATTCTTGATCATTTTGCGGGCTCGTCAAGGCGTTCTTCCTCGTCCAGCAATACTGAGAGCACTTCGGATACATCTGAGCATGATGCCCGTTTGTCTTCGGAGTCTTCACATGTGCATAAGAGACTATCCAAAGCCAAAAAGCGCCAGAAAAAAGTGCGCTCTTGGGCAGGTGCCATCTTGACTAGGGGCAAGGCCAAACGCCATGCCAAGAAGGACATATGTGAAGAAGTCCAGCCTTCTGTCCCTGCCCCTGTGATTACACGGACCAATTCCGACCTTGGCTCTGGACTAGACGTGGATTTCGATGACGACAACATGGTTGTTATTCGCACGCCTACTAACCCAGCTTCTCCAAACGCTCGTCGCCTCGCATCTGAGGAATCAGATATACCATCCTTGGAGCATTCTTGGAAGCCAAGGAGCTTTTATGAGCAAACCTCCCAGAACGATGCTCTGAGCCCAGTAATTGACTTGGACGCAGCGTTGGGGCCTTTTAATACCCCAGACATGCATTCAGGCCGCGTCGCGGAAAGTGGTTTCTCGGCAGCTACTAAGCGCATGTACAGCGGCGGAAGGCGAGGTGAATTCGTCGGCCCAGAGATGCGTTATCATCGCCGTGCTGAGAGTGCTCCTGAGATGCCACCCTTCGACCGCAGTTTCTTGGGAAGTAATCGATTCGTGACCAGTTCGACACTGGAAAATCCAGATGTGCTTTATGAAGAAGAAGAAGATGCCTTCCTTGCCGCTACAAGCGAATCACCAGCCGAAAGTAATGAGCGACCGCTCTCACATGTCCTCATGCCCACTTCGTGCGATGATGATAGTAGATCCGAGGAGAGCAAAAGCAGCTCCCACACCCTGACGACTTATTCTGCGGTTGAGGAGCTCCATAACGAACCTCATACTGGTCTTGGTATCCAGGAAACTGAGTCTACTGAGTCTAAAGTCTCGACCTCGGGCGCTGCTCCCTCCATTCACGAGACCCTCAAACCCAACAGTGAATCAAGCCCCATTCACCAGTTACAAAACGCGGGCAATCCCTTCTCTAATACACTGAGCAACGTCATGGACGTCAGCGAGCAAGAAACATGGCAGCATCGCATGCACGTTCCTTCGAGTCCTGACGTCTCACCTCGGTTCATGGCTGCTGATCATCGACCTGGTACCTCCCCGATGGAGCTCACATATAATATCCCTCCATTTTCTCTCCAGGGAGGCACATCTCTGTCTAATTCCTCTTTTCCGTCCCCCGACTTCACTGGCTGCTCATCAGATGCCCCACGGTCGATAACCACTCCGTCAACAAGTGACCGAAAATTCTCGAACCCTTCATACAATACGTCAATGGACCTTCCACAGACGTCAGTTGAGGATGTGCCCTCTCTTACCAGCAGTGCATCCACCACGACGAATACACCTCACAGGTTCTCTGGGACATTCTTCGGGCGTCCTCGGCTGTCTTCAGACCGTTCTGCATCTTTCTCTGCGGTTGTGCGCCGTCGCACCAGCCGGGCCAACAGCTATAAGAGGTCTAGTCTCGCTAGTCTTTCCAAATTGGTCGTTGGTTCTCAGGGAGAAAAAAGCAAACTCAGTCACGAAGAGAAGCCACCCGAAGATGAACCTGAAAAATCCAAGAAAAAAGCTCACCGGATCAGTCGTTTGATGCACTTCTGGAGAACCAAGGATAAAGAGAAGTCGTCCCAACACGGGGTTCAAACAGAGCGACAATTATGAAACATGCCCATTTTTGTGACAAATATTGACACATGTACATATTCGACCTCATGATTCGTTTCTCAATGGTCTTTGCAAGATCTCTTACCTCTTCATTACATCTTTTTTCTCTCTTCGCATTTTCTTTTTCCATCAAGTCTCCCCTCACTGTGTTGGGGGTAGCTGACGAATTTTCTTTTGATTGGCATGTGATTGCAAGCGCCAGAGTATGAAGCTCTATCCTTTATTTTTGATTACTCATGTCTCTCGTTTCTGGCTTGTTTCGAGCTGTGAGCCAATTATGTCAATTCCGCTCACTGTCTTGCCGGCCTTACTATTTTTTTCGTTAATGCCTTTTTTCGATTCCCCTTCTTTTCTGTCTCCATCCTCCTTCTCAGTCGGAAGGATGGGTGTTTTCGCTGCTCTTTTTCTCCCATGGGACGTTTGGTGTATTTTCCTTTCCTTCTCTTCTTGGCATACTTGAGAGAGAAGGGAACAATCTGATACTTCTTGGCTGATTGAAGCTGGTGGTTACTGTCAAATCCACGGAGCGGAGGCCTTTTCATTACGGATTTAGCATGAAGTCTAAATATCATACCAAAAGAGCCGCTTACGGCCGCAATGAATGTACTGTACTTTCTGCAGCTCTATGTCAATGAAACCTTCAGCCATTCGGCTTCCTTGTGATAAGTTGTATTATGAATTTCGTGTTTGTCCCCTGGACTCTTGGAAGAGGTATGCGCCACCCTCGTCCAGGATGAGAGCTTGAGTCTGTAGATACAGTAAGTCTGTAACCACAGTCTCGGAGCCCCACACGCCGGCACATCCCCTCCAGAAAACTCAGTTTTACAGCAGCCGTCAATGTCAGCACCTGAGGATCGAATATTATATGAAGTTCTGATCTATATTTTATGTATCCACTGGACCGCTAGAAAGTATGGTGTCCTCCCGACAAGGCCCCTCGAAGAAATCCGCGAAGGCCCCTCACGGTCGCGCGAGCAGCAAAAGTGATCAAAAAAAACCTCCGCGGAGTAGTGCTTGTACTCAGGGCAAGCAACGGCCGCAAGATCATTTGTTGGTCGAAAACTGGCTCGATAGCTCCGCTACCATTCCATTGACTCTACAGCAGCTGCTGCTAAATGTTTTCAAATCTGCCCTACTCACTTACAGAGTACCCAGTTGTCGAGCCGGTGAAAGCGACGTGGCTGGTGGGACTAGTGCGGCAGCTCATGCTCCCGAGTCAACCGAGCAGCCTCAGTTGGACATCAAAGGCCTCATTCAAACCATAAAGTCTCACCTCTACAACCGGGACTTCAACTCGGCCTTTACGGATGCCGATGAGGATCTGCTGCGGGCGTACGCCTTGCGATGGAGCTCCTCGCGAGCGTTGGGCTACGCAGGGATCTTCAGGGCCTTGTGGGCAATCCTGCTGAAGCCGAATTCCCAGGCTATGGCTTCAGCCAACGATGGCGTAGACAGCCATGTGGTATGTATCGGTGGTGGCGCAGGAGCTGAGATTGTTGCCCTTGCGGCTGCCTGGAGAGACTGGACTGATGCCGCTGACGGCAGTAAAGAGCAGCCAGCCGATGAAGAGCAGGCGACCCTCTCCGCTGCCGTAGGTGGTCTATCAGTGCATGACGAGCACGGGACGGATGCACAGTCGGCTGCTCCCACGGTCGAGAAGCTGTCAACAACTGATGGACAGTCGGCGTCGGAGCGGCGTCACCCACGGCTGTCCGTCACAGCCATCGATATCGCCGACTGGTCAAGCATCGTGGGTCGATTAGTGTCCACAATCCGGTCGCCCGCAGTCGCAGGATCCAACTCTCATCCGGCTCCATTGTGTGGGGATGCGGGACTGTTGAGCCCGGACGGGCAGCCAAGTGACAAGGGCCTCGACTTCCAGGTCGGGTTTCAGAGGCTGGATGTTCTTTCAGCCTCCGAGGACGAGCTGCGGAGGCTGCTACATCCTCGCGAGCAGAATCACAACGCCTCCACTGTCTTGGTTACTCTCATGTTCACGCTTAACGAGCTTTTCTCGACATCCATGGCCAAGGCAACGGGCTTTCTGTTGCGCTTGACAGATCTGTTACAGCCGGGTGCTGTGCTTCTCGTTGTAGACAGTCCGGGGAGTTATTCCACGCTGAAACTAGGAAAGAGCAGCTCCACAGCGACTGGGGCTTCGGCGAATCCGTCGGAAAGGCAATATCCGATGAAATTCCTTCTTGATCATGCGTTACTCACAGTTGCAGCCGGTAAATGGGACCGGCTGTTCTCGCAGGACTCGCGCTGGTGGCGGAGAGATGCGGCGCGGCTGCGGTATGGCGTTGGTGAAGGAGCTGGCCTCGAGGATATGCGGTTTCAGATTCATATCTACCGCAGGTCAGCGGATTAAGCTCTGTGCGGCTTCAAAGTACTGCATTGCAGGCCGCTGACTCATTTTTGTTCTTGGTTACATCGTTTGGATTATTATCATTTTCTGCTCGGTCTGGCACCGTTTCCTATAATTGATACTGAAGGATTACAAGATAGTTCATTGGGACGGACATGGCCCCACAAGGCGGGCGAAGGAGAGATATCAAGAGCGAAGAATGAGTATGTTATTGCTACAGTCGATAGAAGGGTGTATGTCAAAAGGAAGAGAGGAAGGGAAAACCAAACAACATCAGTTCGCCAGGGAGATCATGCACGCCCGAGGTCCATCCAGGTAAAGGAAACGGAATAACAAATTAATAAAAACTACATGACGATTCCACTTCAGTTTCTCAAGCCTAGCAGAAGGCTTGTGCTTTTGCCACCTTCCTTGCCGTCGTTGCCGGGGAGGTATGTAACGTTAGGGTTGCTGGCCAGTGTATTGGCAATCTCCTTGCTAGCCTCAATACGACGGATCTCGATCAGCCCGCTGCCGGCCTTGGCGACGGCCTTGCTGATGATGTCGGCACTCTCAGCTTCACCCTCAGCTCGGATAACGTTGGCCTGGCGCTCCTGCTCAGCTCTCTCGACGATGAACCGAGCCCGTTCAGCATCCTGCTGGGCGATCTGCTTCTGCTCGACAGCGCGCGTGAATTCCTTGCCGAAAGTCATGTGGGTGATGGAGACATCTTCAAGAGCGATGTTGAACTGTGCTGCACGCTTCATCAGGTCCGTGCGGATGCGGTTGGAGACGGCCTCGCGCTGGGTGATCAGCTCAGCGGCATCGAATTGGGCCACGATGGCCTTGAGAACTTCGTTTCCGATAGAGGGCAGCACACGCTCATCGTAATCGGTACCGTATGACTAAAGAGGAAGCAGGACAGGGTCAGAAGGGCATTGGAGGAGGGGGATGGGGGCAACTCAGGGTTTAGGGAACGCACCTGGTAAATCACCGGCAGCTTCGGGACATCAGGACGGTGCAGAACACGCAGGGTCAAGCTGACCATCTGCAAGTCCTTACTTCCGGTTGTGGTAGAGATATGACGGGGCTTGGTGCGGACATCGTAAATGATGGCCTTCTGCAACCAGGGAATGAGGAAGTGTGTGCCTTCATTCACGACCTTCTCCTGCACACCGGACAATCGGTCGAAGATGACGGCGCGAGTACCGCCACGGACATCGTAGATGGATTCACCGAGAAGCCAGAACCCCAAGAAGGGAGCTCCATACTGGAATAAAAGGCGGTTGGACATAGTGATTGCTGGCTGTATCTGGAGGGGGAAAAGAGGAGGGGAAGGAATGAAGCTCTAATTCGACGAGTATCAATTCCCGCTCACTGGATGGAGATGATGTCGCGGGAGGCTTTTCGCGGACTGTCCTGATTGGGACTAGTGCTGGGCGGTCATTCAACTTCGACCTTCGCCCGTTCCGGTCCGAAGCCAACGTCGACTTTCTTCCTTCTGTCTGCCCTGTCTCTGCCTATCCCTTCTACACCGCGTTCCATATTCTTGAACCTCGTCGCAAGCATCTACAATGGGTGGCCACCTTGATCCTAAGAACGGAGTGTGAGTTCTCCCTTATCGTTGGCACTTGCACCGTAATCCCTAGCTTTTCCGGGGTCGGCTATCGTGCGGCCTTGTCTTCCACTTCTCGAGCCGTACTTCGCCCGACTACATGAACTACGAAAGAAGACATCTCAGGAATAACGGCTAACATCTGTCGATATAGTTTCCTCGGCACCTGGGGTGACCTCGGTATGTCCTTAGAATCTTTGCCCCGAGCCTATTGCTGGAGAGAGTCCTAGGCGGGAACAAGTTTCGATTGAGAGCATGGCATGCATTATTCGCGGATGATCATGCTCCAATTGACTGGGTTGTTCTTAAAGATGACGCACACAAGCAATGTCTTTCCGACAAGCCGACCAGGGTGGTTAACCTTTATTCAATTTATAGGCTGCCCTACTCCCCAGCGTATCACTTCCTACTCCATTTCTCCTAACCGCCAGCGCCCTCTCGCTGGTGCTGCCCACGCCGCTATCTTCAACACTTTCCGCAGATTCCGTCACCAGATCCTCTATGTCGCTCCTCCCTTCATTGCCGCCTATGCCATTATGAACTGGGCTATTGAGCGGTATGCTTTGCCACCACCTTCGAACGCGCAACTTCCATCTCGCGCACTCCGTTGTTGCGATTCCTTGACTACAAGCTAACGCCGATATCTCCTTCTTAGCAACGAGTACCTCAACTCCAAGCCTGGTCGCCTTCTTGAGGGTGGTGATGAGTAAATGTAACGTGCGATACCAAGGGATCATCCCAATGGGGAAGAACGAAGTCCAGGAGGTGCAGGAATTTGTTTGGTGATTGCGCTGTACAGTAACTAGAGGCAATCGATTACGTTGCATGTTTTGCTTTGCTTAGTTCCAGCGGGGTTTGTATCTGTAATGGATGCACTCGAATAGGTCGGATGCAATCCTGACCCAAGGCAATCTTGACTAATCGTAGCGTCTACCAATCAATGCTCTGCGTCAATTGACTACTTCACCTCACTGATAATACTTTTGAGTGACCTACTGTCTTACATGCCTATTAAGAACTACAAAGAGTTGGATCTCGGTCGCTTTGGCCCTGGGCGGCTGCTGCCCAAGTGCCTAAAGGGCATGACTTGTTTTCTGTTCTCCAGCGCACAGGCCTGACAGTCAATGTTCGCGAAGCGAGTTTATCAGACCCTTCACTAGTGATTTTAACAGAAGCTAACCGTGGAATGTTTGTTCTTTATCTCCCTTGAGTCTCTTCTGCTCCGACTAAGCTGTTAAACGAGGAATAGTGACTGAAAAAAAAAAACGAAAATACCAGAACGGGACATTAGAGAGAGAAAAAAATGCCTTCTAGGATACAGCGGATGGGTAGTAGATACCGTAGATTACGACCGGTACGTACTAGTTGATGTAAGGTTTAGTAAAGGCACTAAATGTTGACTTGACATCGACTCGGACTGTAGTTACAGTTTTTTTCTTTCCTGACTGGATTTGGAAAACACCCCACTCCGCATGCGCTCGTCTTTCCTGTCTTTCTGCTGTCCCTCTTCTTCTTCCTCTTCTCTTCTTCTTCGACTCTCTTCACTCTCTCCTCCACTTCCTCCTCGCCGTCCTTCTCTCATTTCTTATTGGCATCTTTCGTGTGCTCCTCAATCCATCACAATGAGCGACATCACTCACCCCACTATCAAGGGCAAGTTCTTTTCGCACCATCAACAACCCCTCCATCGTTGTACCAGCTACCCCACCTTGCCTGTGGTTGACCTTCGCCAATATGGTCTTTGAATCTTCCTTGAAAGGCCAGGCATTGTTGAGGCTAACTTGACAATGGGAACAAATATCCAATCACCTTTTCAGTGAACATATAGTGACTAGAGTTACCCCTCATCGCTAACTTATCGCATTTTGCAGATGGCTGGTTCTCCGAGCAGTCTAACATGTGGCCTGGTCAGGCTATGAACCTCAAGGTCAACCAGATCCTTCACCACGAGAAATCCAAGTACCAGGATGTTCTCGTCTTCGAGAGCAGCGACTACGGCACTGTCCTCGTCCTTGACAACGTTATCCAGTGCACCGAGCGCGATGAATTCTCGTACGTTGGGCCTCTCTTTCCTTTTTCTATCCTACTTTCACATTATCCTGCCCCTCTGTGTCACCTTGCATTCCACTCAAAGCAGACTATCTCGGAACTGACCTAATTGGATTATAGCTACCAGGAGATGATCACCCACCTGGCCATGAACTCGCACCCCAACCCCAAGAAGGTCCTTGTTATTGGCGGTGGTGACGGCGGTGTCCTCCGTGAGGTCGTCAAGCACGAGACTGTCGAGGAGGCCATTCTGTGCGACATTGATGAGGTACACACAGCCAATACAATCCCGGATCTATGTTCCAATATAAGTGAAGGACGTCAAGCTCATGTATTCTAGGCCGTCATCCGTGTCTCCAAGAAGTATCTTCCTGGCATGAGCATCGGCTTCCAGCACCCCAACGTCAAGGTCCACGTTGGCGATGGTTTCGAGTTTCTCAAGCAGCGCCAGAACGAGTTCGACGTCATCATCACCGACAGCTCCGACCCCGAGGGCCCCGCTGAGAGTCTCTTCCAGAAGCCTTACTTCGAGCTCTTGCGCGATGCGCTGCGCGAGGGAGGTGTCATCACCACACAAGGTTGTTCGTCGCCTTTACTTTGTTCTCATCAGCCCATACTCACATGCACGACTCCATTCTTCCCTGTGCCCCTCTATTATTTGCTCTTTTGCTTCTTCTTCTTCTTTTTCTCTTCTCTCTTCTCCTTCTCCTTCTCCTTCAATTTATCCTTTTTCCTCTTCCACCCTC